GTCGTGGTGGCGATAAAATCGAGTGTTCCATTACTAGGTTGGTTCATTACGTGGTGCCCAGACTTACGGCCGTCCGCTTTCGCTTTCGCAACTTGATCTTGGTTGGCGACATCAGCTACCTACCTAATCGTCTCACTCTTCTCTCTTCTCCCATCTGCATTGTATTGCGTTGTTTTCCCACCATGTATTCGTCTTCAAATTCTTTCATGGGCGGTGCCAACAGTGCCCGACCTGGCGTTGGAGGTTATGGACAGCAGCAACAATTTGGCTCCTTTAATCAAGCTCCTCAACAACAGCAACAGCAACCCTCTCCTTTTGCTCCCCAACCTACCGGATTTCCCGGTCAGCTACAATCCCAGCAAACAGGCTTCCCTGGGTTTGCTCAGCAGCCCAGCTATCAGGCTCCTGCTCAGCAACCTCAATATACTGGGTACCCAGCCCAGAACCACGCCCAACAGGCACCGCCATTCCAGCAGCAGCCATCATTTCAGTCAATTCCTCAACCGCCACCACAACAGCAGCCTCCCCCTCCTGCCCCTCTCCGTCCTCAGCAGACCTCTTCGCAGATTGCGCAATCCTTCTCCACAGGTCCATCGAGTGCGCCTGCACTTCCAGACAGGAGCCGAAGCAAGAGCGTGAGCAAGATTCCCAACATTCGCCTGTCCTTCATCACGGCCACCGACCAAGCCAAGTTCGAGCAGCTTTTTAAATCGGCTGTCGGGGACAGTCAGGCAATCAGTGGAGAAAAAGCGAGGGATCTTCTTTTGCGCTCCAAACTCCCGGGGAGCGCCTTATCGCAGATATGGATTTTGTCAGATACTACAAAGTCAGGCCAACTCCTTTTCCCGGAGTTTGCATTGGCCATGTACCTCTGCAATTTGAAATTGACCGGAGCCTCTTTGCCATCGGTTCTACCCGAGAAGATCAAGAATGAGGTATCGAGCATGGTGGATATCATCTCTTTTGGTGTTCCAGATGATCGAACACCAGCACCTCCATCGCGCACAAACATTCCGAATTTTGATGCTCCATTGAGGGAGAATGCCGTGTCTCCTCCAGCTCCTCAGGCCCCTCAACCACAGCAAGCTTCAAACCAGCAGTTGCTGTCACAGCTTACGTCTCAACCGACAGGATTCTACAACCAGGCAACAGGATTTCAGCCTGGTCCTCAAGCGCAGAACTTTCCTGGGCAACAAACTATGCAACCTCAACCTCCTGGGTTTATAAATAATCCCATTCCGTCTGCCTACAATGGTCCTCGTCCACCTCTTCCTCCTATGCCCACCGGTTTTGGCAATGGTATGTCACCTCAACAGACAGGACTATCATCGCTTCAATCACAACCAACAGGTATTCCAGGCCAGTGGGGATTTGTCAACGCTCCAGCTACTGGCTTGCCCAACATTGAAGCCCTTCAACAAAGACTCATGCCACAAGCCGGTCGTGAGGGAGGGTTCACCACCCAAGGCCTTTCTGGCAGTGCCAAGATCCCTTGGGCTGTCACGAAGGACGAGAAAAGGATCTATGATCAATTGTTCAAGGCGTGGGATGGCCTTGGTAAAGGATTCATCACTGGCGATGTGGCTATTGAAATTATGGGTCAGAGTGGACTAGACAGGTCTGATTTGGAGTCTATTTGGACATTGTCCGATCCCAACAATAAGGGGCGACTCAATATGGATGAGTTCTCCGTGGCAATGCACTTGATCTATCGCAAACTCAATGGATATCCAGTTCCTGCTCGACTACCCCCCGAATTGATTCCACCATCCACGAGAAATTTCAGCACTTCTATCGATACTGTGAAGTCTTTACTTTCTCAGGATGCTGAAGCCAGAAAATCTTCGGGTGCTTTCCTCCAACCGCAAAGAACAGGTGTCAGCTACCTGAAGGACCACTCATTTCGCGGTGGTGCAAATTCACCTGGCTTTGGCCGTAAGGATGCCACTGTCTTTCGAAATAATGATGATGATATTGGATATCGGTCTAGTGCCAGACGTAGGCTCGGAGCTGGAGGAAGAACGCCTTCACCTGCTCCATCGTCAGAAGTATCTGACAGCACATATGATGACCTGAGCCCCGACCAAATCCGAAAGAAAATTCGAGAGAAGAAGATTCTACTTGATGCGACAGATTTCCAAGACGAACGAGCAGCCGATGATGAAGATGTTCTAGATCGCAGAGATCGCAGGGAAGCAGAGGACCTTTTCCGACAGATTCGTCGTCTTCAAGATGACATTGATACCCATCCCAATGCCGGGTTCGGTGGCTCGGATACGGGCGCAGAACGTAGATCACTCCGCAGAGAGCTGCAGCGTTATCAGGATCGCCTGCCAGCATTGGCATCGGACGTTAGAAAGATTGAAAAAAGTATTGCCGAGGCTAGGATGCAATTGTTCCGCCTGAAAGATGCTAAGGCTCATCCTAACAGCGCATCAAACATCGTCGGCACTGGTCCAGGAGGGTCTGTTACAGAAGCTGATCGTATCAAAGCTAGAGCACGGGCTAGAATGCAAGCTCGAGCCGCAGAGCTGGCTGGACGACCTGCTCCTGCTGCTGATGACGAAGCGGGCGCACAACGACGTGTTGAGCAAGAAAATTCAAAAATTCGTTCTGAACAAGAACGCAATGAAGGCATGACTCGGGACGTTGAAGACAGTGTCAAAGATTTTGTTTCCAGCCTTGAGGATGGACTTCGCGAGCAGGGAGGAAATGCCACCCAGGACCACGAAAGAAGACGATGGGAGGAAGCCTTGGGAGTCGAAGATGAAGTGAAAGAACTCATTTACGATCTTCAGAGAAGCAGCCGTACGGCCAAGGTCCGCAAGGATGAGTAAGTCATGTTCCATATGCCCCTAGATACACCTTCTGACAACAATAGGCAATCGCGTCCAACACAACGAGTGCAGACAGACTATCAAAGGGAAGAAACTCAACCTGCAAATGGTCATGCCGATCTCCCTTCCCGGCCAGCACCAGTGTCAACACCATCCTCTTCCTCACCGGCTGGACAATCCCAACAAGATCGTATTGCATCTGCAAAGGAAAAGGCTCTCAAACGTATTCAGGACAGAATGGCAGCGGCTGGTATTAAGCCTGCTGGAGACTCTGGCGAAACCCTTCAACAACGACAAGAACGAGAGAAGCAGGAACGAGCTGATCGCGTTCGCAAGGCTGAAGAAGAAGATGCAAAACGCGAACAAGAAAGACAGCAGCGACTGGCTAATGAAGGTGTCACCCCTCCCAGTCCAAAAACAAGCAAGAAGCCACCGCCGCCACCTGTTCGTAAGAATCGACAAGACAGTTCTGATTTCTCAGATCGCAAGTCTGCAGATGCGTCAGCACGCGCCAAGGCTGAAGAGCAAGCCGCTCGATCGAACGCCGAGCAGGAAGCCGCGGCTCAGATCAAATCCGAGCAGCAAGCAGAGGCTGAGAAACGTAGAAAACTCGAGTAAGTTCTGGCCTATTGGATTGGACACACATCATACTGACACTTCGCAGATCTGAAGCCAAGGCTCAGGAGGAAGATCTCGATAAGGAGCGTGAAGCTGCTCAAGCCCGTCTCCGAGCCCTTGAGGAGCAAGTGAAGGCTGGTAAGGTCAAGAAGGCGGAGGAGAAAGCTCGCAAAAAGGCTGCAGAAAAAGAAGCAAAGGAAAAAGAGACTAAGCTTGCAGCCCAGCGTGCCGAGCTTGAAGCAGCAAGAGAAAAGGAGCGACTACTTCAACTCCAGCTTGAAAATCTTGGTGATGACTCGTCGTCCGATGATGATGATAGCCCCGAACAGATCACCCCTCAGGAGAGTACACCAGCGACAAGTCAAGTGCTCACAAGCAGTGTCTCGTCTCCGCCACAAGCACCACCGGTGCCATCGACCAGTGGCGGCTACGAGCACACTCCAGTTGCAAGCCCGCCTGCCGAGGAATCGAGGAATCCCTACTTCAAGAAACTTTCCCAATCTTCCGAAGCTGGTCGTCCTGCATTCTCTCCACCACCAGTGCCTCAAACTCAACCGTTTTCGCCTCCACCAGCCCCAGCCGCTGACCTGTCGTCGACAAATCCGTTCTACAGAATTGCGCAACAGGATGCCCCTAAACCCTTGACTCCGAGTCTGACAGGCGCACAGTCGCGTCGACGACCCGAGGAGGATGAATGGTCTGCTGCGGGTTCGGATAAGGATGATTCGAGTGACGATGAAGACGAACCCCCTGCTGGCGGATCGGCGAAACAGCTCGCTTCTCTCCTCTTTGGCACAATGGCGCCTCCACGACCATTGTCTGCCATGGATAGCAAGCCAGGAACCCCAGTACAAGATGCTCCACCAGTCCCAGGTGCTTTTGATTCTGCTCCTCCACCTCCGCCATTACCAGGGTTTGGTGCACCTTCAGCCCCCCCACCACCACCCCCACCAGTTCCAAGCTCAGGTGCTCCAAGTGCTCCTCCTCCACCTCCACCACCGCCTCCTGGAGCCGGATTTGGTGCTCCGTCGGGTGCGCCACCGCCACCTCCAATGCCAGTGTCAGCTGGTGCCGGTGGTGCTCCTGATCTTGGAGCACTTCTAGGACAAATCCAAGCCGGTAAAGGATTGCGCAAGACTGAGACTAAAGATCGAAGCACATCATCTGTTGCCGGTCGGGTGTTGAACTGAGTAAATGAAGTATATAGGAGTGGTGATTGACTGATATGCCGGTTGCGAGGGAAAGGAATCGAATATAAGTTCATAGTCAAGATTCATGCTTATTCTTTCTCCACGTCGTGCTCCGGTACCTTTCCCATGCAAAGTGGCTCCTCGGATACCTAGGTAGTAAGGTGTATGCCCAATAGTCCAGGTTTCCACGAGATTCTGTCACAAGATTCTCGACCTTTTTGAACAATTCTCAATGACATCCAGAATGGTCTAAAGAACTATTCGTGACACAGCCGTAAGCGTCCCGGAATGCCTGCAGCCACATATCCAGGATCCAAGAGGATCATGGCTTGTGGGGCTACAGAGCCCGACATACCACGTGATATGGCGCCGAGATGCACCTTGCCTATTCGGGATCAATAAACAAATACCCGTGCGATTCTGCGGAAGGCCGCGAGTGACTTGATCTCGAACTCGAAGAGGATGAATCGATCAACATCGGAGTCACAGAACGACAATTGACGCTGAAGGAGTGAAGATAGACTGGTTCATGCACGGTCAATGGTAAAAGGAGACTCGAGCTCATAGACTTGAAAGCATTGAATCAAGAGGGGAACGATCACAGAGTGCAGCGGCTTTCCTTCACATCGAATCAACTGCAACATGCCTCGTGTCGCAGGACAAACGGGCGGGCGCCCGAGTCGCCAGAACGTGGTTATGAATATGGCGCGTGACAAGAGCAAAGCGTCGCCTGTGAAGTACGTGTTTGGTCCATTATTCTGCCCCTGCGCACTGTCCTAGTGCTGCTACATACCCATGCCCTTATTGCGAGGTGACTCTAGACTGACAAGAGATCAAACTCGCTACAGACTGGCGTTGAATGACGATCGAGGCGAGAAAGCCGCAAGACTACAGTCCCGACAAGCCCTACAAGAAATCCACATGAACGAGATCCGCGCCCAAGCCAGCCCGGTACGGAAAATCAATCAACGACGAGACACATATACTAGAGCTATGTCTGAATCGCCGCGAACACCCAGAACACAAACTGCGGATATGCGCAAGAGAGTGCAACAACAACATAACAGCCAGAACGATGCAAGACAAATCGAGGCCGCCAATGGCAATGCCGCTACACCACCCAAACGCGTCCCTATCTTGGCCAACTTTGAGGAGTGGATGAAGATGGCGACAGACAATAAAATCAATGCGGCCAATTCTTGGAATTTTGCATTGATCGATTATTTCTACGACATGAGCCTGCTGAAGGAGGGCGATGGTGTGAATTTCCAGAAGGCCAGTTGTACGCTTGATGGGTGTGTCAAGATCTATACCAGTCGAGTGGACAGTGTGGCCACTGAGACGGGTCGACTACTTAGCGGCCTTGCTGATGGTTCTGCTTCAGAGGGAAAGAAGAAAGGGAAGGGTGATGGGGAAGAGAACGATGATGACGATGAAGATGGTGAAGAAGGTGAAGATGGTGAAGATGGAGAGGGAAAGAAGAAGTCCAAGAAGAAGCCCGCACGAAGTCACGAAGCGACACTGGCTCCGAGCTTTGCGACATTTCAAGCGAAGAAGCTAGATCTAGAGTTCGCGGTTGATCCTCTGTTCAAGAAAGCATCGGCTGACTTCGACGAGGGAGGGGCTAAGGGCCTCTTACTCAACCACCTGTCCATCGATTCAAGTGGTCGGATCGTCTTTGACAGCAGCGATGACACAGGAGATGCAACCTTGACAGCTGAAAAAGGTGAACAACAAGAACACAACGAGGACGGTCCAGCAGAATCAGCACCTGCGAAGACATCGGTGGTTGAGGATGAGGCTCAACACGAAGAGGAAGATGATGAGCAGGACGAAGACATTGATCTTGACTCACTAGCGACCAAATTCTTCCCAGACCTGTCACTGTTGGACAACCAAGATGTCTGCCCATCTATGAAATCATTTACTCTAGGTGATCCGTCAGGAGATCTTAGCATTCCATTTTTGAAAGCACCGGATGATTGGCGAGATCAGAAGAAGGCAGCCGAAACACAACAACCTCCAGCCATTAGTGCGAACCTATCGGATCAGACGGGGATTTTCCTTGATGGGAGCAATGCTCTTGGATTTGATGACGACGATGATGATGGCCTTCTTGGTGGCTTTGACCTCGCAGACAACGTCGGGTTTGGTGAGGGAGGTGAAGCCTGGGCCAAGGATGCCGTCGTTGATGCACAGACCCGGATCGATGGGGATGATAACCTCATCGACGGACAAAACGCAGACGGGTATGGTCTATCACTGCAACACAAATACCAGGAGGATGCAGAACATGAGTCAATCATGGCTTATTTCGAAAAAGCGTTCAACTCTCGAGCAAAGGGCAAGACTGCTTTCACGACACTGGAAAACTGGCGGATGCAAAAGATCCAAAAGGCACAGCAAAGTGAAACCGCGGCACCTACACGTCAGAGGAAAGAGAAGGAGCCCTTCGAGATTGACTTTACAGGCCCGATGACGACGTCTTTGCAAGAGTTGCTCAAAGCTCCAGCTGTGCTCAATTCGCAGATCAGCTTGCCCAAGGCGCAATGGCGGACGAAAGGCAGGAATTTGCTTGACAAGGATGATGAGATTGTCGATCCAAGAAAGCTTATGCGGTTATGGACCAAACCCAAGTGCAGAGTGGGCAAGAGGAAAGGTACCATGGGTGTCATTGATGAAGGGTTTGGAGCAAGAAATCGGGTTGGCACAGCGAACAATGGCGAGCTAGACGAAGAGGACGAAGATGAAGGAAGAAAGGGTGATTACGATGCGAATTTCTTCGCGGATGATGATCAAATACTTCCTTTCGATGGTCCTTTACCTATTGACGATGACGACGACGACGGCATTCTGGGCGTTGGAGACGACGGGCCACAACCATTTATGGATGCCCGGGAAATGCTCAGTCCACAACCTGAGGGTCATCAACAGCAGAATCTTCTCGACGCCGCCTTGGATGGCGAGGGCGAGGGCTTACAAGGACAGCCTCCGGACTCTCAGTTTCCGCCACAGAGTCAAATGGACCTACTACCAGGTAGTTTTGGTAGTCAACTCGTGACACAAGCTGGCCGACGAATGCGCCCCGAGTATGTCAACTACGCCCGCACGGCCAAGAAAGTCGACGTGCGCCAGCTCAAGGAGAACATGTGGAAAGGCATGAGCGAGAAATTAATCCGCATCTTCGACCAACAACCACCGCAACCCAAACCTACAGAACCAGCCGCTCCCGCAGATGAAGATGTCGACATGATGGACGTGGACGACACGCCGCAGGCCCTTACGCCCCCAGAAGCCGAGATGCTCAAGACACCGAATGACGACAACGAGGTTCTCAACTTCACGGATATGATCCATGATTTACGGTCGGTGTATCCGGAGCAGCAGATGAAGGACATCAGCACGAGTTACTGCTTTATTTGCCTGCTGCATCTGGCGAATGAAAAGGGGTTGGTGCTGGACGTCGAGCGCGAGGGCGACAATGCCATGCAGGAGATCAAAGTCATGCGGGACCCGAATGTCGGGGAGGGCTACGAAGGGGAATGAGCGGGCCAGCAGTGAGTTAGAGTGATGCTGATGAGATGAAATGCAGTGCCTTATTGAGGCGAGACGTTGGTCATTCGTTGTCATTTGCCCCTAGGTTGGGTATACATGTGATGCATATTGGCGCTTATTGAGTGTTTGGTTGGTTTTCCCAGCACAGCACAGCACAATGATTACAGTTTTCTTGGTCTCGTATTATTATTTCCATCCCGTCTATCATTCCACCCGAAAGAAAGTACTAAAATCAAAGCTGCAATCGTTCGTGATTCATCTACATGTATCTCCAGACAAGAATCGACCAGTGGCACACACAATACATACGTAGGACCAAGGATCTCGACGATCAATGAACTCTCACGCCTCGGGGTCTTCGGGTCTCGGCCCTTCTAGAAGAGGCCTCCTCGATGTTGATGTGCAGGTGCAGGGAACGTAGTAGGCTCCTAGTCTTCCATTATTATTACAGCGGCCGAGGGCGAAGATACAGTAAAAGATACTCCATCCGTTGAACCTACTGTATCCGTCCTCGAAGCCACGCCACGTTCCCATCATTCGTCCCTGCAATCTCAGGTAGCTCCCAGTAGTAGTGGCGCTGGCGTGCCCCCCACGGCCACCTCTCGAGATCAAATTTACAGAGGGTCGAGCGCTCTGGCCCTGGGAGGTGAGGTGTGGTGACAATTGGGCTAGACTGAGCTAAGCTATATGGAGAACCAGTGCTTAGGGGGAGCCTTTGACCCTTATCTTGAGAGAGAGTGAGGGAGGTGAGAGTTTACAGATAGTATAATTATTGCTTACTCGGACAGCGTACCGTAGAGGCGGAGGGATATCAAAGTGCGGCTCGGACTAACTTCCTGGCACTGCACTGAGGGGGTAGTTAGTGGGAATAAGATTGTGGACCAATCTCGTTAATCTGGCAACCGAGATAAGCCGCAACGCACTGCAGCGAGCGGCGTACGGTACGAAGTACGGAGGATGGAAGGAAAGTCGCGGGACGGGGGGTTTGCTCTCCTCCGCCGATTGCTCTCCTCCGCCGATGATTTTCCTGGAGGTCTAGATTGATGGATCCATACTTGATTAATTTAGCCGGTACTTCGTCGTAGTAGTAGTTGATGATACTGTGGATCGATGTTCATTCTTTCCCACTTCTCTTTGCAATTTCTTGGTTTGATGGAAGTCTATTCTGTTCTTTGGCTCGGAAGTTGGAAAAAGTTGGAGAGGTCTGTAGCAACGAGGTCTGGGTTGGGTTAGTCTTTTCTTGTCTCAAGCGCCGCCCAGATGAGGCTCGGATTGCTGGTCGAAAGGATTAGATTGCGGAACCTTTGAATGGCATACCACCGCTACCTGGTAGTGCGAACCATGCTCCATCTGTGGTTGAAGGTGGAGGTTCGAGAAGCTGTAATATCTGGACCTGAACTCTATTTCTTCATCTTGAGTCTGTTCTATTCTAGTGATTTGCGATACCAAACGGTGAGTGCCATGTTATAGCTTTCCTTCCCTCTTAGCCAACACCCAGGTTCCTTCTGCCTCTGTCAGTACCTGGCCGTCTTTGTCGCATATCTGGCCACGCGACATCCACTTGCGACCCTCTCTGCCCAGTAGCCAGGTCCTCACAAAGACATCCCCTGGCGTGGGTACAGGTCGGCGAAATGTGACATTCAAGTTGACGGTGAAGAGAGAATCCCGGGGGCCGGATATATGTTGATGATGCAGCATGACACACAAGCCCATGGTCTCGTCGAGGATGGCCGATGCCATACCTCCATGGATTACGTTCGGATGACCATCGAGACCTGGCCGACCCAATGCGAGTAACATGATACAGTCAGGATGCTCGGGCACGGGTGTGATCTCTTTGGGATCCTGTTTGCCTTTTAATTGTCCTTTTGCACTCTCTGGCGGGAGCTTGTAGTCTTTCAATTGAAGGGTCACTAGGTGGGGAATGGTGGATGGGGAGCTGATGGTTCGAGAAAAGAAATAGTCTTCGCCAGATTCCTTGAGGACTCGTGAGAATGTGGGAATGGCCTTGTAGAGGGGATCGACGAGGTAGGCGTTGGTCCATTCCACTGAAGCGAAGTGTTTTCGAGCGTCTTCAGGTACCCGATGCGCTGTGATGAATTTGGACATAAAGTCCGTTTGTTCGCCCATTGTGAGTGAATAAGATTGAGATGTTTTACCTGTAAAGCATTCCGGTGTTGTCTATCATGCAAGAATGCATGTGTTGTGTGTATAAGAATGTCATTAATTATTTTCCGGTTTTCGGTCGGTTGAGTTCGGACAGCAAAAGGTACCTCGGTCGAGAGCAACCGTGGGAAGGAGTTTGTGCTCCAAAAAAGTTGGGGTAGACATGCTGGCCTTAGGTACCAGGGTACCTCTTCCAGGTGGCAGTGATTCACCCAGGGCTCACTCTCTGGTGCTTTACCTACTGTACTCTGAGCGTCATGTTTGCACCACTCAGGTAGAAACAGCCTCTAGTTATACCTGCAGGTTGCTGTTTCTTGCACGAGATCAACGAGGACATGGTCAATGAACATTATCCGCATTTTTCTTGCCAGGGTTTACGTGGACAGGTTCCGGGTAGAAAGAGTTAGTGTCTGAGATGGACAAATGGAGAAGAAGAATGGAAGTGAGAGGCTGCTTATCCGTGCCTGGACTGATCTGTTGAGTGGGCTTCAAGCATGCGACAAGGTGGTGATTGGAGGCAAGCCGAGGGAAGCCCTTAATGTGTTTTAGAGTTGGTTGGATTAGTGACGAATGCCTTGCTTGAGATGCCCGGGAGTGGCTCCCTGGGAACCCCCAAGGGCCCCAACATGGGTCACCACCTGCAGAAGACCAGTCCGAAACCCTGGTTAGTGCTTTCACGATCCTTGAGGAGGGTGACTGGGGGGCGACTAGTCGCCAGATAGCGGCAACGTAGCTCCGACGCCAGTGCCTTTCGACCTCATCACTGCAAGAGATATCGGGGTGCCGCGCCAATGCCAAAACTTGAGGAAACGGAGTTCAAGAAAATAAAGCCCTTGGTCTCCCAGCGACAACCAAATTCCCGCCCAACCCCCAGCCCTTTTCTGTACAAATAATCATCTTCAGGTCACGACGACAACCCTTACCACGTCCTCGTCCTCCAAATTGACAATTATTGTATTAAAAGGTAAGGCATAAACCCCCAGGCCCCAAGGACTGCCAGTCCTCACTTGTCCCTGTACCTGTACCTGCACTCCACCGGCATTGGCATTGGCATCTATCTGCATCATCCACTTCGCTCTTCATCGACAGCATCGACCACCTCCACAACTGCGACATCCACTGCCACTGCCATTGCCTTTGCCTTTGCGATAGCTCACTTCTTGCCCGCCTCTACTCCACCCACCTTTTTCTTCTTCTTGCCACTCTTGTCCCTCATCTGACTTTCTCTTCCACTGATAAACCAAGCATCGATTGACCTCTCCCATTTAGAACAGTCTCACACTTCTCTTCCTTCCAATCATCTTACCTCGTTCAAGATGCTCTCCAGATCGCTTCTCAGTGCGGCGGCCCTCGCGGTCGTGGCCAATGCACAAACCATTGTGACCTCCAGTGCCAGCTCAGTTGCTGCTGCTACTACGGTCTCACAAGTCATGCCTCCAGCTGCCACCGCATCCTTCAATCCCGCAAGTGTTGATTCGACTGAAGCTTGTAAGAAATAATTCATCCTTCGTTGCTGAGAGGCCCTTACTAAAATACAAACAGTCAACTGGTGCCGCGGTCAGCTCAATACTTGCCCTCAGATCTGTGGAGGTTCAGCTTCGACAAATCGATGCGACTCGGTAAGCATCGAACCGTTCATACTCGTCATTAAACATTCTAACAAATTCTCAGACACAATTCACATACTCGTGTATCTGCGCCAATGGAACCGTCCCCGATTGCACCGCATTCGCCGAAACCCTTCCCTACTTCATGTGCCAGGCGACATATGGACAATGTGTTGCTGCGCATCCCAATGATGCTCAAGGTCAATCTGTATGTGAGACAAATCAACAATGTGGCACTCGCAATGCGACAGCCGAAGCCCTTGCCCTCACCTCTGCAGCAGAGAGCAGCACCGCTGCGGCGACAAGTTCAGCCTCTTCATCAGCTTCCGGTTCTGCCACTGCTGCCACCACCTCTGCCTCTGCTAGTGCCTCAGGTAACGCTGCTGCTGGAATGAGCCAGCAACTCGCCACTGGTGCATTTGCCGCTGTCCTGATGGCTGCTTTCAAGTTCTTGTTGTAAACAGATCTTGCTCCCCAGCCTTCGAAAGACATCCTCAACCTCCGCTCATGAACTTGGATTGGACACAGCTTTTTTTTTCGATAGTGGATTCGAAATTGCAAGAGAGTTGAAAAGCGGACATGAGAGCATACCTGAAGGCACAGACCTTGACCTTGGGCTCAAGTGAAGAGATGGTATGACAGGATGACGATTGCAGATAGTGATGATTTTATGTTAGTGAGCGTGTTTTACTATGGCTTTGGAGCGAAGCACCCTTCATTCCTTTAGCGCGGCGATCGAGTCCAAACGGTTCATGTTCGCGCAAAAGCATAGCGAATAGAGCTCGGAATAATACAATTGTTTTGGCGAACAACGGCCTCTACTTGGTTTTATCATCATATGCAAGCACTCTAAGTGATCGTCGTGTCAATCATTTTTGTCTGTGCCCACTTTTATGATGGGACAACATGGTGCTGGGGTTACGTTTGCAAGGATCAACTCTCGTGCGGGGATCCTTGCGACGAGGCTCGGAGAACAACAAACTTAGCTAACGAGGCTGTGGAGACAATACGAGTTTTCGTCTCGAGTCTAACAACAAGTGTTTCGGAGAATTTGGAAACCTTGGGGCCAAACCTTCAAAATATCATGAGACTCGTGTTGAAGCTTCACTTGCTTGTAACAACGAGTCACACATCACCGTGCAAGAGTTTCTTTGAGACGTGCTTCTTGGACACTGTGTTTTATCTCGCCCCCTTCTAGTGCTACCTAAGCTGTGTTTGGGGAGCTGATTCAAATGGATCATGATGTCGTGTTGCAAAGATGCTTGACCAGGCTTACGATAATCGTCTGGAATTATTATCATCGCTGCGCTTCTGTTGCTAGGCCGTGACACGCTATTCAAATGGCCTGTGGGGAAAAACTGTCGCATGTTTACCCTCATGAAGTGGAAATGACCGAATGCAGATAGTAAGTCATCCTGCCAGTTAAACAAGATGAGAATTGCACGTTCGGGCTTGATGTATGACTGTCTACCTGGGTATGCAACTATCCTTATTGTCATTTGTGATATCTCGACGGTGCCATTGGACAGGACACCTTCCCAAAGCCGAGCAATTATGAATGAACATCGCGCCTTCCCTCATCACCTGCCCTGCTTCGACGGCAGGAGCTTACCGTGGTTTGCTCCTTCCTTCATTGCACCAATGCCGTCAAGTTGATTGTCTTGCGAGTGCCTACTTCAGGAAAGCAGCTTGAGCTGGTAAGAATCCACGAACCACTTCAGCAACAACTTCGCTCATTTTGGCCAGTGTCATATTGCCCGCTCAGCAGACGACGCAACTCTCGAATGGCTTTCGGTACTAATTCTCTCCTAATTCTTGCTCTCTTACTCGAGACAACCGCATTTCCAGACCCCAGATATCTCGATATCTATGGTCAGGTCGTGCACGGCCCTCCAATTCAGGCGAGGAATCTACCTACCTTCTCAAACTTCGATCCCAATACGGTCTGTACTCTGGCCACTCAGCATCAGCCAAAACTAAATGGATTTGATTTTGCTTTCTGCTGCAAGGAAGACTCGCCTCTACTAGACCTCTGGCTGGGTGTCAGCTTTCAGACTTGTGAGTCCATGCCTCAAATCACTAGTCATGTGCACAGTGGTTTTCTTCAACTATCTTCAAGTCCGCAGAGACTGACTCTCATTGCATAGGCAATATATCGCTAGCTACGAATCAGTCTTCTCTTTGTCCTCAAAACCAGAAGTTCACCTGTTGTACTTCTGATGAGTACACAATCAGACGATCTTGTACCGTTCCGAGGCAGAATATTGCCGGCCCACCCAACTGCACGTATCATACTGCGGTAAGTGGATTAATTGCTGCCCCTCCAATCGGATGGAGAGTGCAGACGATCAGAAGCTGACAGGTTCATATCCAAATAGCCTGGTGTTGCCTGCGCCAATGAGACATTGAACGATGCCATGACAGACGATCAGTTGAGCCAACTCCTACGAGTGACGGGCAATGTTGGGCTCTGAATATATCGACAGGTTTGAACCGCCGAGAGTCGTAACCACCGATAGCTTTTATTGCAGTCATGCACACTATGCTTTATGCTCGACAATCAACCAAAATTTTGACATGTTTGTCCTTCTCCTCAATCAATGCCCGGTATCCATCCTCCACAACTCGATCAATTTTGATAGTGCTAGTTATCATTTGCTCTGGCTTCAGACTACCATCGTCCAGTGCCTGAATCACGCCAGCAAAATCCTCTTTGAGGTATCCAAGGACTATTCAGGTAGTTAGTTAGCTTTGGTCTTTATGGAGTCGTGAAAAGCTATTACTTACTTGCGAAATACTTCTTCTCTCCAAACACAAGATTGTTTGGCTGGAAAGGAATCTGTCAAGCTAGTCAGTATTGAACCCATCCAATGGCGGTCTCTTTCTGGATGTTTTTCTGTGACATACCTCCTTCTCCCAGATAGCCAGATTCACGATGGTGCCTCTGGCACGCACTGCCAGGGCCGCAGACGTAATACTCTGGGGCACACCAGCGGCATCCAGTGCCACATGTGGTCCATTTCCGCCACATATCTCTTTTGCTCGTTTGACCACGTCTTCTTTGGATGGATCAATGACATGGGTTGCACCAAATTTCTTCGCAAAATTCTGCCTCTCCTTGGCGACCTCGACGGCAATAATGGTTTTCGCACCTCGAGCTTTCAAGCATTGAATTACCCCAAGACCGATTGGTCCAGCGCCCATGACCAATGCTTCATCTCCTTCCTTGAGAGGATATTGATCGATTGCATGCCATGCCACCGCCAGTGGTTCAACCAAAGCACCCACGTTCAATGGAATGTGCTCTGGCAATTTGAACACAAACTGCGGATCAACGCATACAGCATCAGTCATACCCCCGCCTCCACCGCTCAATCCGACAAACCCAGCACTGTCGCAGCAGTTGATGTATCCATCACCACACGGGCCGCATTTGAAGCAACAGACCGTAGGTTGCACAGCCACTTTGTCTCCTACTTTCAGGTTCTTGGGATTATCAGCCTTGGATCCAATTTCAAGTACCTCGCCACTGAATTCGTGTCCGATCGCTACCGGCATAGATTCACCGGTCACTGGATGGGGAGCATCCTTTGCGGGAATGAATGTTGGAGATGAGTACTCGTGTACTACATCCAGCATTTGTCAGTCAACCCGATACGGGCACTTCCACGGCTCAAGACCTCGGAAGTGACAGTAGGCAGAGAGAACGTACAGTCTGTGCCGCATATTCCACAAAAAGCCGCTGTACAGTATCAGTCAGCGTGGACTCTACCACAGAACCTCCTTGGGGTTTGTAACACGAAAAGGAAGTATGGATCAGTTAAACTGTACTCAACTTACGTTTGATCTTGATCTGGTTATCTCCACATTTCGGCTCAGGAATATCATCCACCCGCAGATCCTTCGTGCCGTGATATCGAAGAGCTCGCATTGCTGAATACCTGGGTAGCAAGGTCGCACTATTGTAAGAATCCGACACCTAGAAACAATGAAATAGAGATATTGTGCCCCCAAAGTCCAATAAAATGACTCGTACACGGATTTACAAGGATATCGACGTCGTGGTATCAGGTGATGTTAGGTAAGTCGAATAACGTGAATCATTCATGTACTAACTCAACTCGAATGAATCCCACATGAAACCCCAACCATTTCACCATCCAGCCAAATCCGTAGTTTTATATTGCGACTCTCAAGCTACACAACTCCGCACTCTACGTAACCTACCCAACAAGTGGAGAAGATGCATTGCACTGCACTGGCACTGGCAGTTAATTATTGCGCTCCTACGGCCCAAAGGAGAGCCGAAGCATGCGAAAACGTGGAGAAGAAAGCTAGTGCGGAAGCCGTCGTCATAGGATAGAGGAACGTAGACTGGGTTGAAGGACTCGGAGCCGATGGAACACGCCCGGCTTTCTGCGCTTGCATACTGGGTGTAGACTTAGGTTCTTACCTAGGTAGGTAGATATGCGTCGTCGATCGTCGGACGCCCGGACGGATAGGTTTCATATCTAGTTCACTGACTTTGGGCACACCGGGCACATGAGTAGTATTTACCAACTTCGTGGATCACTTCGACTGCCGGGCTCAACGACGACACCCAACGCATCTTTCTCAGGAGGTTACTTATGTGCGTTAATAGCTGGCTCTGTCAAAGGAACTAGTCCACAAGGTTCGAATTTACTCAAATAGACTATACCTCAGTGATTTCTCGTTGAGAAAGCTCTGCGGCTCCCACTAGGGATATGTGGTGAAGAGTACTGTCTAACAGTATGTCTCCTAGTATTGCTGCTTTGATTCAAACACCTAGTACTTAAGAGGAGGTATGTAAGTGTTCTTTAGGGATGTTTTTATACGGGTTGAAAACCGGCGGGTTAGGCGGCGCCTTGGGCTTTCTTACTGAAGCTGGGTCGCTGGAGCAGAGAGTGGGGAAAAGTGGTCAAGCATTGGACTTTAATTAATGTACGCAATAAAGAAAGAAATGCAGTCGATAAGGCAGATATCCGCTCCAATCAGCTCGGAGGTGTTTGCGAAACGAACCAAAAGTTGTTGACATCGCCAATCGCCATCGGCCTTCTCCGATCATCAGAGGTTGCCCCCATTCTTGCAAGTTCGTACTCTCGTACATCAGTCTCGATTTGTTTGTATGCCAACCACAGGGCTCTCACCTCAGCAAGGTGCAGTTCATATGATCAAAGCTTCGCCACGACACCTTCCACTCAATTACACTCTCGCACGCAGTGACTCCATGGGCGTGACAGTATCGTTGATATATCGAAACTCTCGTCGAGAGATTGAACCAGGCTGGCCGCCGTAATGGCCACCCATCTTATCTCTCCGTCGTCAAAAGCTACACCGTTGGCAGAGGTAGATGCTGAGACTGGATACATCAGCAATATCGACGATATCAGACGTTTGGAGTATCCTTCTCTCAATGGGACCACATATCTCGACCATGCAGGCACGACCCTGTACGCCAAAACATTGATCGAGAATTATTCCAGGTCTCTGATTGACAATCTGTATGGGAACCCTCATTCGGCTTCGGCAGCCTCACAGCTATCCTCCCGTCGTATTGACGATGTTCGAGTCGAAACATTGCGATTTTTCAACGCCGATCCGGAAAAGTTTGACATTGTCTTTGTGGCAAATGCTACCGCGGCCATCAAGCTTGTTGCTGATGCATTTCGAGACCAGAATGGTGGCTTCAATTACAGCTACCACGCGGAATCTCATACCAGCCTTGTTGGTGTTCGGGAACTTGCGTTGCCTGGTGCTCTTTGCTTTTCAAATGATGTCGAGGTTGACAATTGGCTGAACAGTCAAGAAATCGGGTCAACGACCTCGGATTGTCCGCCATCATTGTTTGCATATCCTGCACAATCAAACATGACCGGTCGGCGCCTGCCCATGGATTGGTGTCAAAGGGTGCGAAACGCTAGCTCCGTCTCTCATACTCCTATGTTCACCTTGCTGGATGCGGCTGCCCTGGTTTCAACAACTCCGCTCGATCTTTCCAACAATGACATTGCCCCCGACTTTGTTGCCTTAAGTTTCTATAAGATCTTCGGGTTTCCTGATCTCGGAGCCCTGATCGTGCGGAAAGAATCTGGAGATATCTTACGCAAGCGGAGGTACTTTGGGGGCGGTACTGTTGACTCGGTGACGGTGCTGAAGGATAATTGGTATGCTAGAAAGGAGTCATCCCTGCACAGTTGCCTCGAAGACGGGACTGTCCCTTTCCATAACATCATTGCACTTCAGTTGGCCTTACAGACCCATGCCAAGTTTTACGGCTCAATGAGCATAATCTCCAGACATGCAAACTTCCTGGCCTCTACCCTATGGCGAAAGTTGGCTGCTTTAAAACATGCGAATGGGATGAATGTGTGTACAATATATTCAAAGGGGTCGTTCTTTGGGTCGAATCAAGGTCCCGTAATTGCTTTCAACTTGAAAGACGAAAGAGGTGGGACCATTAGCAACAGTGAGGTTGAGAAGTTGAGTATCGTGAAAAATATTCAACTCAGAACTGGTGGCCTTTGCAACCCAGGAGGTATCGCATCACACCTGAGTTTGTCTCCGGAAGAGATGCGACGCAATTATGCAGCTGGTCAGAGATGTGGCAGTGAAAACGATATCATAAACGGAAAGCCAACTGGTGCCATTCGTTTGAGTTTCGGCGCCATGAGCAGCATGGAAGATGTGACCAATTTCCTACATTTTGTCGACGAGTTTTATGTCAGCTCCATTCGCGTGGAGACAAACCTGACCTCAACACAAGTTGATACGATGATCCCTCCCTCCGATACATATTTCGTCGAGAGTTTATCGGTCTTTCCAATTAAAAGTTGTGCGGCCTATAAGATTCCATCAGACGTTGAATGGGAGGTGGGGTCGAAAGGACTTGCGTGGGATCGTGAGTGGTGCCTTGTTCATGCTGGAACAAATGTCGCGTTGAGCCAGAAAAAGTTCCCTCGGATGGCGTTATTGCGCCCAGAGATTGACTTGGTGAATCGAGTGCTCAGAGTATCATTTGACACTCAGGGTAATGGTACTGTTAGTTTTGATATCGGTTTGGACTTTGAGCATACCTCAATGGGTCGTCGCAGCCCATACGAAACAATGACCAACAGATCATCCATCGTATGTGGTGAAGATGTGGATGTTGAAGTATATACTTCAAACGAAGTAACGAGATTCTTCAGTGATGCACTGGGCGTCCCTTGCACATTGGCTCGATTTCCGAAATCTGGAACTGTTCGTCAGGCTCAAGTGCGGATACCTGGCAGTATTCCTGGTAAGATGGGCAGAGAAACCGGTAGATCAATCGCATTGGCGAACGAAAGTCCGATTCTATTGATATCGCGATCAAGCGTCAACCGCTTGAACGAGAAGATCAAAGAAAGTAGGGGGGTCGGCAAAGCAATTGCAGCAGCCTCATTTCGGGGGAATATTGTCATTGCAGAAGATTTTGGCGTAAGCCAAAGGGAAACGCCTTATGCAGAAGACAACTGGGAGTCCATCAAAATTGGAAATAACAGCCAGAATCACTTTGAAGTTCTTGGACCATGTCAAAGATGTCAGATGGTCTGCGTTGACCAGAAAAATGCGGAACGAAGGCAGGAGCCATTCAGCACATTGTCAAAGACAAGAAGGAGTCATGGGCGAGTTTGGTTTGGTATGCATATGTGTCTGACTCCAACTGCAAGCGAAGATTCTGCAACCCCTGTCTATATTCGAGTTGGCGATCGAGTGACACCAGCGATTGGTAGTTCGTGAGTGAAGGATTCCTCATGAATGATGGGTTCCATCGGCCTCCTTGGATCACATTCAAGTGCCGAGATGTGAGGAGCGGAGATCAATATCACGCGGCAACATCTCATACCTTTATACACACGCAAGCAAATGTATCATATCTCTTGTATAAGGACACGGTAGTTAGCTCTAATATCAAGCAGTCTTCAACCCTCCACACGGACGACCAGCAATGCGGATATTCTCTGTCACCAATTGAAGCCATCTCAGCAAGAGACTGGTACGAGCCCCTGCATGCAGAAGATGAGATTTCATGTCGACTCAGGACTCTGTAGCGTTACACAGGACTCCACATTGTTGCGTTCGACTCAAGAACTAACTCATCTGAGATTTCTGCGTCATCTTCTAATGGGTTATAATTGGGCCACTGGCTGTGGTTGGAGGCTGCCAAGCACTCCATGAGAGGGGAGATTCCTCTTCCGCTTCCTTCTCCGCTGCCAAACACTTTCATCGCTCATTCTTCTATCTCATGGATCAAACCTCTGCATTTTTACAGAAATCCATGTTCAAGCAGTGGGAAAACCATGGCTTTCCTTGACTTGATGTATCTCATTGATTTGCCTTGGAAATTTCAAGATATGGGCCAAGGTTTTTTCTCGAAGTTGGCAAGGTCGACGCGTGCCTCACAGAAGGAGCTACTGCCACCAGTGGCTGTACTGAGCTTGCTCCCAAACTTCATTTCTGCTAATTCAATCTAAGATATATATCTCTGTTCTACTCTCTAATATCTCTGTTCGTACACCGCTTCCGCTTGACAACAACGGATACCAATCGTATTCACTCAATCTTGCAACTGTGTCAGACTCAAGCAGACAACTGCCAAAACCAAAACCCAACAGAAGTTTAGCAGCAAGTCTTGAGCCGTACTCAACGCGATTTCGCTTGTCTATAACAACAAAATGAGGAAAGAAAACTCGTTATCGTCACCAAATCCCAGCTCCCTTACGATCGTGCCTTTTTCTGCTGGTGCTTCCTGAGATTGCTGCTCTTCAGGTCTGATTGTGTCGTATGCCCTTTGACAACCTGGTCTTCGTCAACCATCTCGCGCAACATGGATTCCAAGAAGTCCCTTTGTTCAGTTATGAAGGCCTTAGTCGCCGCGGTATCAAAATTTCTACCGGCTCGTTTTCGGTCATTTAGCTGTTTGCGATGGGCTCGAACACGTTCTTCCAACATATCCAGTCGATACTCAGCATACTGAGAATAAAGGTCTGAGAGGTTGGAGATTGAGCGGACGGTTGTGAGTACTGTATCATCCTTGATGAAGGCCGACTTCGGTCTGAACGATGTTACCATGGTGATTCGCTCGGTTGTTCCTAGAGTCCTTAATGCTTGATGCTCAATGTATCGTCCCTGCAAAACAACAGCATGGCCCTAGCACAAGGTTAGTTAACATTAATAGCCCAGGGGAGGTTATGACTGACCATCTGTGGTCCCCGAACTTTCATAACGTTCCCGTCTCCTTTTAACAGTGCAGTTTCTCCACCAACCATGTGTGTGCAGTCACTTAACATTGTGACGCACACAAAAGGATAGCTGTCAGTGTGCCAATTGACAATGGGCTTGTCATCCTCCCATGGGCATCCAGCCACCCCTTCATCTGCATCTCGATGCTGTTTCTCTTGTATGGCTTTATCATCCTCCTCCTTTTGTTCAGCAGAAAATTGTGAGAGGTTGATATGTGCGATTTCTAGGTCCATTTGAGGGACAAGATCGATACCGGCAATTTTGGATACAATCTTGAGCACCTCTGGGCTATTCCACGCATCGTAAACAAACGGGGCATATCTGTCGAGGTAAGCATTGGTTCGACAACCTCCCACTCAAAACCTACTTTGGTGCGAATCCTCTCAGTTGGCTGGCAGCAAGGTTGCTGGCATATTTACAATTCTGTTGCACCGCATCGCTAAGGACTTCGTCCCTCATTTGCATGATCGCCTCCTTACTGAAAAGGGGAAAGGGGTTTGATACTGCAACCGGTGAGATTCCAACATTTTTGTGCCCAATCTCTTCCATGGTCCATATCTTATCGGGATCTTGGAATTGCAGATGCTGACTTGGATCGAAAGCAATTTTTCTTGGGACGGTGAATGACATGACGTTCTCCAATGATGATGTTGTCACCGACTCCGATCGTTTCCTTTTGCTAGAGCCTAGACTAGCGGGGACTGGGAGGAGTACATCTGCGGTCGCCATGTTGAGCTGTGATGGGTGTATTACTATATATCCTCAAGAGTCTGTCTTAGAGGGTGGGTCCTTAGGAACGAACAAAACTGATTTCACCAAGTCAAGGGATATATTAATATGCAAGGACAATCGCTTGTGAGGAAGAACAAGGAGTACTGGTAAATATCTCAATGAACCTGGAGTCCTTATATGAACCGACTTATGGACACTAGAAACATCGGGCCTTGGAAGAGCTACGAAGAGTCACAAGCTTGAACTTAGTCACGCGGGTATTCATTCGATACTCCTGGCCTCAGCTGCAGTATAGCCACTGAGCAAACAGCAACGGCTCTCCACGCAGATATCAATTCGTGGGTTGTGGTGGTGAAAGCCGACCGAACCCGCATTAGAAAGGCACTCGCCCGGATCATCAGGTCTTATCAATATCCTTATCTCGATCACCTATCGGGGAATGTCAATTTTCGCTACACATTGATTGCGTCTTGCAAGGAGCACTAGAACAAAAGCTGGGGGTACGGAAGTGAGGCGGCAGTGCCGTGACGGCTCTCTTTATTCTTTCTGGATGGGAAATTGTTGCTTTGTTTGGACTAAATCATCGCCCATCCATCGTTCATGTTGACCTTCACAACCAGTCCAAAATAAGGTCCATGATTCCACCTCACGAAAAATTCCACGTCTTCCTACCAAGTCATCCAAGAACCGGAACTGCTCCGGTTTCTCAGATGGGAAAAGTTGTTCTTGATTGACTCTTCATCTAGGTTCGATGTTGATCTGATGACCGCCTTGTTTACCGAGCGCGTGGGCGGACTCCGGAGATGACATACCTCCACGATTGTCGTATGGTAACAGCATTTCTAGTGATGTGCCATTGTTGGCTAGATCAAGCAATGTCATGTCTACTATTGCTCGTGTCGAAGTCGACACATAGTATCTGGACGTGTTTTATCGCAGATAAATGTGCGTGGACAACCCCGCTGAGGTCAATGGATCTATTCACCAAATCAGGCAACGTGCCGGCTGCCAAAAGTATCTCTGGCGATACCCTAACCAGTGATGGCATCTAGGCGACTCTGATTGACCTGTACTTATCTTTGTCTACCAGGGTGTCCTTTTCTCTTGATATCCGATCCATGGCCTACGAATCAATACAATGACAGTCGCAACGTCGAGCATAGTGTGAACAGTGTGATTTAACTAACGGGCAAGGGTCACCTCCAAACAATCTTAACATGAACACGGACATCTGCTACATGGATTGAAGTCATTCCTGTTACCACGACGATGCATGGATATAAAAGATTCCGATGTCGGGTGTGAATTTGCAACGGGTCAGTTGAGGCCCAAGTTTCTCATGTTAACGGTTCTCCTTGTAAATTGGGAACAGCACTGTGTAAGAACTGTGCTACAAAATGAAGTCAGGTCTTCCGAAAAGACACTGCAACGGTGGAGATTGTCACGATCTCCTTCATTAGCCATAAGCCAGTCTGCTCCATAGACTTCCAGATCAGTCTTCATGTTCTTGTGCACCTTCATGATGAGAGATATTTTGGTGGGGGAGACGTCGGGGATTGCTTGGCGGGATCAATTTAAGGTTATCGATAAGAAGCACACTAAGATCAATACAGCTTAGCTTTCGGGTAACTTGCATCTGCATCTGCAACTCTTCCTACGAAGTACGGCCGCGAGTCGAATAGTTAATTCGACATTCAGAATAGACACATCCTTCCACGACGGTATGGCTACCTCGGCGGCACCGAAAGAGCAGACGGCTGCAGAATCTAGTGGTGACGTATGGGATGCATCCGCGAAGAAGTACTCATCGTACGTACATCGACACTGACTCCTCTTTGCCTCCCGCCATACAGAGACTGGATGGCGACCACTAGCTGGACGAAGTGACTGACACTGATTGGTTGTAGAAAACGAAGCTCCGAGTACTTTGATCCCTGTCAAGAAGCTGCGACGAGAAGCATCAAATGCATGCACCGCAACGCAGGAGACAAAGATATGTGCCAGGACTATTTCCAGTGCGTGTTTTCCCCCACGCACCACGACCTTCCCTCCCCGAACCGTCACCAGCGAAGTTCGTACTGGACTGACCAAAGAATTTGCGGAGTATAGGGCATACCGGGACTGCAAAAAGGAAATGCTGGCGAGGATGAAAGCGGAGCGCAAGTCGTGGTTTGGCTAGCTCGACCCGGGCCATTGCGCAGCATGCGCGATCACGTTGCAAGGCCATGACGAAATCGTCGTTCCTCGCCAAAGCACGTTTCGAATGTAAGAACATATCATTGGCGCTACACTACATTGGAGAAACATCTTGGGGCCGCATAGCGCAGGCGTGGGTCTGGGTTCAAGCTTGGGACATAATCTCCTCATCAGGCAGCAAAACACGAAAATGTATAAAATGAAATGAAACACGAGTTGCAAGTGGATAGGACATACGACGTAAATTGGCAGTTCTCAGATCTTAAACGTAAGGCTTCGTAAGAGAAACTACCTGGAAACCAGAATCTGCACAAAATGATGTGGCTGCGGATTGTGCTTCCCTAACTGCTACCCCCCATCTCAGAGCCTCGTCTGATATTTATAAATTTCCCCACTTGGAGTTTTGTTGTAATAATTCATCAGCTTCCAGCCTTCCAGCCTTCTGACCTTCTGATATTTGTTATTGATGGCGGCTTGGCCAACCACACGATCATGTCGGATCTGACCGTGAGCGAGCGTAGAATCCGTCCTATCCAGGATGCGGTCTCGAGTGGGAACTGGAAACAGGCACTCCAGCTCTGCGACAAATGGTCCAAGAAGGGTGAACGGTCGGATCGATTCCTGGTATGAGTGTCCCTCCCCACAGCCCCGCCCATGCATCAGTCCCATGGCGACGTGACGAAATAATAACAGTTCGTGACAATATAGGCACTGAAAGCATTTGTGCTCGTCAACCAAGTGGACGAGAAGCAACATGATCGGGGACACAATGAAGTACTGGACTTGTGCAAACGCAACCCACCCATTACGGAACCCGAAGCCATCTATCAAATGCAACATGCGCTCAAAGCCCTGTCGTTGCATAAAGAGCAAGGCTACAAACTATGGGAGCGGGCGGTCGGCTCAACACAAGACAACAAGGATTTATACATCCGATGGTTGAACGAAGCCATCTTGGAGAGCGATTGGCTCAGTGCTCAAAAGGTGTGAACAAACCATACTCTACCATATCAGACCCAAGCATGATTTCCATCTACACCATAAATGAGATGGTACAACTCGGTCAGAAACATATCGAAACCACATACACACGCATACTCATTCTGTCTCAGTGGACTCTGGCTGACCATGGGGGTCCCAATTCTCCTCGACGCAGGCCACCATGGGTTTACGCAAGTCCTTTCCCAAGGAACGCAATTACGAATTCTGGAATATCATGATGTGTTCCTTGATCCAAAGTGACCGGACGCAGGCGGACAAGGATAGAAATCTCTTTGGCACTCTGGCATTCCGCATGATCTCCAAAGCCGCCGAGACGATACCGACCGACCAGGTATGTTGAGACTATCTGACGACGCACCATCATTTCCCCATGTATTGCTGTGATTCTTCTCTACTGATGATCCTCCGTTTACTCGCCAATTAGGAACAAGTCCTTGTGCCCGAAAAAGCTATATCAACACCCGAAGAGGTGGCACTCCTCTCACAGATTTTCAATTCCAATGGACAAGCAGCACAGACAGTGAAACTGCTTCAAAGCGAAACCTTGAATGTGGAATCAAAGGTCGGCAAACAGGATCCCCAGCTCATCCTTTCCTTACTCCTAGATGCATTCGAAGCATCCGAGCAGTGGGAGGAAGCCCGCTCGTTCTGCCACCAACTGTTGTCGTCCAAGCCTGAATCGCAATCTGACGACCGCGTGTGGGCTCTCTGGCTCAAGGCAAGGACGAAGCTGGATGTTTCAGACGAGTAAGTCTTCTAGTGCAGCGACTGACACCCCCATTCAGATGAAATCCTACAGTAAGTGACGACTGACACCCGCATCATAGCCAGGATCAATCCTACGAAGAACTCCTCGAGTCAGCATGCTCAGTGCGACCGATATCACGAGCATCATATATCGCCAAGCTACAATACCTCCAGACGAAAGACGACGACAAGTCACTAGACGCCATCGTGAAGACCTGTGAGGAATATGCGGACGCCTTTTCCACAAAAGCGTTCTGCTTCGATGACCTGAAGGGCCCACTACGTCGTCTGAATGAAACCCAAATACAGTCCTTCCGTGACGCGCGTGCAGCCGCAGCCGAGCAAAACACACTGGAGCGACTGTTCGCTCTCGAGCTCGAGTACAGTCTGTTACCAGATGCGAGCAAAACATCAGACCTAGTCGACTTCGCTGCTCGAGCTCTAAAGCTCTACCACATCTCGTCGTCCGAAGGCTCTTCGCAGCCCTGTCCAGAAGCGGCCTTCCTAGCAGTGCTCGCAATCCTACGTCTCGGAACCATGAATACAAGTGGTGCGGGTGGGAAAGCCACAGACGAGAAACAGCAGCCGATCGACCACGACCACGTGCTACGTGCAATCATTCTACTCGAAACCGTCCGCTCCTCCTTCGAAGACTACTACCAACTGACCGTAGTCCTCATCCGCCTCCAAGCATATCTGGGGCTCCTGTCATCCGCCATGACGACCTTCACAAAACTCAGCGTCAAGAACATGCAATACGAGACGGTCGCGCATCTGATCCTGACACGCATATCGTCGTTACATCCCTCGCCTATCACCATCCCCTCCACATCTTCAACGACCAGCAGCAGCGGAGGAGGAGGAGGCGCCGTTTTCGACCCACTCACGGCGATCGAAACCGGCCTGACCGTCCTCGAGAACGCCGACGGCGCCCTCGTCCGCGGCATCCGTGAAGGCCTGCGCTTCAACAGCTACTCCAACATCCACAACAGCGTCGACATGCGCCTGCAGCTGCACAACAGCGCGAGCCGCCGCGTCTACGCAGTTGAGGAGCGAAAACTGCGGCGTCTTAGGGGCATCGCGGACGATCACACCGTGCTTGAGTCCGAGGAGGACGGTCAGGGCGGTGGAGACAAGAACGCGGCGGAGTCAGCGACGGCGGCGACAACCGCGACCACGACGTGGTCCGAACTGGCGGATAATCGCGACTTCAGCTATTTCCCACACTTCCGCGACGATGATGTCGAGCTCGTGCAGACGCGCTTCCGGTGTGGGCCGTTGCCGCGGGGGGAGTGGGTGCGCTGCATGGCGCTGCTGGACCATGTGGTCACGTTCTTCCGCGCCGAGTTGACGGGTCAGGTGGCTGGTGCGGCGGTCGGGAGTAAAGCGCTCGAGCATGTCAAATCGCTTGTCGGGCGGGAGGAGACGAACCGCGGGAAAGGAGATGAAGAAGACGGTCTGACGAGTGCGGAGCGCTGGAACCTCGAGTGCCACACTCTCCTAGCGAAAGCGGCGCTCTTGCTTGCTGATTCATTCTCTTCATCGGCGCCTGAGGATGACGACATAGCCAGCGTGCTCGGTCGGCTCAAAGACTGGCTACAGAAGACGATCAGCTCACAGAACCAGACGACCACGACGACAGCGACCGTCACTGGGATCCAAATCTACACGTGGCAGGCCTTGCACACAAGCATCAGCACTCTCGAAACACTGCAGGCCGTCGCACTGCTCCTGGGGATTCTGAACAAGAAGGCCAAGTCCGGAAAGGGCAAGGCTAGTATTCCGAAGCCGGCGCTCGTGGAGATTCAGGACTTGGTTGGCCAGTTGGAAGGGGAGATCCATGGGGCGGTCAGAGCGGTAAGAGATGAGATTAATCGGGCTGGTGTGTTGGGGAGGTTGGTGGATTTGGGGTTCGCGAGAGTGGGTGATGACGGGGAGGGTGCTGATGGTGGATTGGGTGCCTTGGGCGAGGTTCTGGAGTTGGTGAGTGATGAGGTTCAGATGGAAACGATTTGTGGGAGGATCAAGGATAGTTGGGAAGATGCGTTGGACGGGGTTCTGACTGTGAAGGTCAAGTTATGGAAGTGAGGCTTCCATGGAGATCTGGTTGCATGGTAGAAAATTGCACTTTTGAGCAGCATTCACACGAGTCGGTAGGTTGAAACCCAAATTACTCATTTCATCCCGTTTTTCTCCTTTATCAGGCTGATCCCGAAGCCCTCTTTGACCATTTCGCCATAGAGAGAAAAACGCCATTGCAATATGAATCAGTGGTGTGCTACAAGATCCGGAAATCGATCGGACCACCAGTGCTTTAATCTTGTCTTCCCTTGAGTAATCTTTTTGTCACCTTGTCCTTTTCGATGATGTAGACATGCGCACCCCAGCCGGATAAGGCATCTCGATCAACAGCGTTGAGCAGTGCCTGTGATATTGTTTCAAACAGGTCTTCGGGCTCCTATGGAGTTGGGATGAATTAGTTGGAGTCTGGGGACAGGAAGAACGATATAACCAGCAGATCATGGAGTGCTGCAAGATGGAATACTGACCAGATCGGGCTCCCAGAGACCCTCACAAGTACCAAATAGCTGATCGCTGGCGGTTCCAGCCACAATAAAGTCCTTGGCAAAGTCGATGCATCCAATGCTGTCGAATCCACAAATGAAAGGCTTCCCCGTTGTGTGATTGATTCCAGCAAGGACTGGACTGACGAACCAAGGACCGAATCTTCGTTCATAGAGGCTGGAGGAAACGAGATTTGCCAGAGTTTGGGGGGCAATGTTGCGCTCTTCTCTCAATCGATACATGTTGACTTTGTAGCGGAAAGTATCTGAGACGGTCTGTACATCTGTGGCTAGGCCGGTGAGACCCAGAAAGACAGAGGGAGCATAGTTGAAGATCTTGGGGAAGTTGTTGGAAACGGTCAAGGCTTGTAGACCTAGTCGCAAATCACAGGCAATGGCCACGCAGTCTTTGCCCACCATTGCAACACAAGCGCCGCCATCTAATCGAGGTCAGGGGAGATCCATAAAAAGACACTGGGCGGATGGAAGTACGTACTGATATCGAAGGGACTGCTCTGTATTGAATGTCAGTAAAGAAGAGCTTGCGATTGAGGTTGAATGATGGCGGCTTACCATATTGCCTACGGAGCTGTTGTGATGAAGAGAAGACCGGTTGTTTGGTGATTACAACAGCGCAGCGCCAAAGTAGAATTGGAAGAGAATGAGAGAGCGGTGAGTGAGGGTAGTGGTGTTGGTGTTGGTGGTCGTTGTGAGTTTGATTGATGAGGGTGCTAAACGGCAGGTGCAAGGGCAGACGCAGGCATATCCTACAACGCGTTCCTTCCTCTCCAAAAACTAATTAGGTGGCCAATGGGAGTTGCTCCTTCCCCACAAGGCTGCCAAATGACGCCGCCTTCCGCATTTGCCTGCGCCTGCGCTTGTGCCTTGACAAACAAAACCATTTCAATGAGCCTGACTACTCAGTAAACAATCACTGCCACTCTAAGATATTGCCAGCATATCTAAGCATTCTAGATTCTTCTTGTCCTGGTTCACCACTTGTCATCATCTCATACCCCTCCTTCAATCTTCTCTCGTTCATATTTGAGACTCAAAAACAATCCATCCACCCCGCACTCACAAGGCACTCTCTGCTGCCTACCTCTCGCCATCTGAGGTGAACATGTCTGCCCACGTTGTCGTGATCGACTCCGCAGCCAGGAGGCATACCGTCAAGACCACTCCAACAAAACACCTGACCGATGTCGTTCAAGAAGTCTGTGATAAACTAAAACTCAATTCTTCCCAATACGGCCTGAAGTGAGTGTGTCTCCAACTTGGTCTCCTGCAATCCCGAACTCGCTGACTCCCTTCTAGACACAAGAACAAGTTCGTTGATCTGACGAATCCATTCCGACTTTCAGGTCTCACTTCCGGCGCCAAACTCGACCTCGTCCAACTCTCCAAGTCTGCCGGTGTTGTCTCGATAGCCCTCCAGATACCAGAATCAGAAGCTGGTGGACAAGTGAATGCTCGTCTCACAGATAAATTCCCAAGCTCAACCACGTTATGGCTGGTCCTCAGGAAGTTCGAGGCTGGAGTTGCGGGAGGTGCTCCCGCGCGGAATTTCACTGCCAGGGGTATACCAGCTATAGGTCGGGGCAATTCTGGAGCAGGGAGACTGTACTATGAGCAGCCTGTCCTACACTGTTTGAACCGAGAGCTCTCCTCCTTTACCGACCTACAAAAGACGCTTGCACAACTCGGTCTAAACAACGGCTCTGCTCTCATCCGATTGAGCTTTAAGGCCACCGAAAATCCATTGGAAGAGGCAATGGCCCAGATACAAGGCTATTTCGATACGGTCGAGCCTTCAGCTGCCTCTCAAGCATCAAATCTTCCACATCCCACCACAAGCGAACCTGAAACATCCGCTACTCAGCAGCCTGAATGGACGGAGGATACAGTTTTACCAGATGCGCCTCCTCTGCAAGAAGCACCCGAGGTGGCAGTTCCAGATTTACCTCCAACAACAGAAACGTCACCTCCACCACAGACCACCACGACATCCTCTGGTCGTCCACTATCGGTCTACCGTCCACCTAGTTCTTCAACACCGGCTGCTGCCAGAACGACGCACAATGATTCCGACTACACACCGACTGTTGAGCATGCCCAAATTCACCAGAAGCTACTTGCTGACAACTCTCGAAACAAGAGGCTGCCTACGGAAGCTGAGATCGCCGCCCAAGCAGAGGAAGAGGCGGCGAAATGGGCGCAAGTCGCCGATGTGGAGATCAAAGTCCGGTTTCCAGACCAGAGTGCTATCAGTTCTAAATTTAAACAATCTGACTCGGGAGCTGACCTGTATGGTTTTGTGAGAGACTGTCTTGAGGATAAATGGCGGCCAGAACCATTTTTCCTCAAAAATCCCGGTGTAAGAGGAAAGAATGAGATAATTCCAGACGATAAGACGCAAAAGTTGATCAAGAACCTCCAGCTAAGAGGCCGAGTACTGGTTGTATTTGGCTGGGATGATACAAAGGCTAGTATTGAGGCGAGAGGGACCAAGGCGGTTCTGAAGCCCGAGCTGAGAGCTCAGGCTCAGGAGATCAAAGTCCAGGAAATTCCTGATGCCCCGAGTGGTGCGAATGATCCTGGTATCAAAGTCAATCTGGCCAAGAAGGAACCCACAGAGGATGGGGGAGACAAAAAGAGCAAGCTGTCCAAATTCTTGAGGCTGTCGAAGAAATGAGGCCAAGACATGAAGCTCGTCAGCTCTGAGTAGATGATCCTACGGGAAGCCTTCAGGGCCTGTAAAATTACGACTGCTGAGAACTACCACTTGAGTAGAATGAGTGATGCAGCGAGTGTGTTTGACAATAGAGTAACGGAGTTGAGAGCGAAGGCAAGGCTGAACAAGGCTTAAGTCCAGATACCCTGGTGCTTTAATTCCGGCGCTAAAATGAATATTCCGCACAATTGAATCTTGGCTTGGCTGCGATCTGAGCAAAAGCACTCCCATATTGGTTCCATCCCTGACGCCGCAGCACTCATTCGCAACCCGACCTCTTGTGAAATCCAGTCAGGAATTCTCCTTCAAGATGCCTTCCGAAGTATCCGACATCAAACAATTCCTCGAGATCGCTCGTAGGAAGGATGCCACAGGTGCGCTTTTCCAAAGATCCCAGATCATCCCACCACGAAATAAAACGAGATTGGGTCAGCTCAGACAATAGGAGGGATTTATGGCTGACAGAAGAGTTTCCTTTGTGAATTATAGGTGCCCGCCTGAAGAAATCCACAAAGGGCAAGGACATCAAGCTCAAGCTTCGCGGAAAGCGCTTCCTCTACACCCTCAAACTCAAGGACTCGGACAAGGCCGACAAGATCAAGCAGTCTCTGCCTCCTAGTAAGTCTTCCGGATCTCCCTTACACGTTTCGTTTCCTCTCCTGCAACTATTGACTGGATCACCTGGACCGTATTGCAATGCGTGGGGGGTTCCCTAACAAAGGACAAAAAGTTGTGACATTTTGAACCGAGAATGACAAGACAAAACCTAACCATTCACCCACATCTGAACCATGCCCAGAGTAGCATGCGGAGATGGAGAATACAACGACACCTGGCCGTTTCTTTCTGTTTTTGTTGGCACCTCACAAGCATCTCCGTACTACGGAGAATCAAAACGGCTGACCCCATCTTTCTCCTTTATAGCATTACCGTTCCAGGAGATCAACAAGACAACCAAGAAAGCCAAGAAATAGACGCCAGACCTTGAGAGGCAATGTTGCGAGCACGGGAGGGACGAAAGATTATTCCACACGACTAGTCTGACTGCTCTTCCTGGACGGCCAGAGAACGCCTCGAAGGTGGTCACAAGTCGACGCATTATCTACTTGCTTAATGTCCATTGTTCGCTCTAGAATATGATGCGAAACAGATCATTAGCCTTCGGCTTGGTGTCTTCAGGTGACGGTCTTGAGATGCAATGAATGCCGCACGAATTGCTCGAGGGCGACGGCACTCGCGGTATGAAGGAAGAATAGATGTGGATGAAAACAATACCCTACAATGAAAAACAAATTGAAAAACAAATACAATGGATTCCATCCCTTGACTACGCCTTCGCCAAGAACAAGTCCTAGAGAGAATCGTCTGTCATTGAACACAGTCGTCATTGAGGACAACGATAGTCAACCTCTCGATATCCAAATTCAACCCCCTCAATCATCTTCAGCACCGTCTCCCTGCCAACCCTCAGCTCAAACTCCCCAAAGAAACTCGGTGTCTCTTTGACCTTCGTGAACCCTAATCCCTCAAACAACCCAATACTCCGCGCATTCTCTTCGCCGATCTTGACTGCCAGATAGTCAAATCTCGTTACATTAGCACTCGTCCCGGTGGCCGTATGCTCATCCCCCGCCACATCGAAGAACTCACGTAGAATCTCGCCTTCATGTCTAAGAATATAACGTAGAAACGCCAGTAACGCCGCTTTGCCGTACCCATGGCCGCGCTCCCTCTGCACAGCGATCATGAGTTCCAATTCACCAACCGTAGCATCTCCTGCGTTGGCCGCAATATGCTTTGCCTCTGACTCATCCTCCTCATCGTCCCGCTGCACCTTCGCCACAAACAAGTTAACATCCCCAATCATCCCGAACACATCCAGTGCGCCATCGCGGTAATTTCCATCACTTTGATCATCACGACTGGTATTGACATTGATATCCGAGCCATCATCCGGACGGTCAACATCCTTCTCCGCGCCCGCTTTACACACGATGAACGTCAGTTTATCGCCGTCGCGCCGCCAGCTCTGCTGCATTGCGTATTCTTCGGCCAGAGAGAGCGGCTCCGAAGCCGTGAGGGCTTGGATTTCCTGGTGTTGATCAAGCGGAGCGAGTTAGTTGGGTGGATGGATAATCCCTGGGAGCATGGAGCTCGATTTGGAGGATACATGCAAGTATGTACATGCGAGGCAAAATCCGTTCTCCCAAAGGCGGAAAGAAGATTCCTCAAATTGGATATGGGCTGGACATACGTACCGTATCTTTCATCCATTCGTGGTATTGAGGCACGTGGTGCGCCGAGTATGGCACGAGGATTAATCTCGAGGTTTGAATTGCTGGGCGGACACCATCGTTACTGACTAGTACTTGTCATTGAGGCAGACCTTTCTCATCTTCTCATGTAGAAACTAAGGTTTCAATGGGTAGATTTGGTTCCTCTCTTTAGGTGGACGTCCTTACCGGTGTGCTCGTTGACACGCATATTTGCGTCTTGAAATCTAACTTAGGTACCCGCCTCCCGACATCGACAATGTGCTTTATGCCATGATTTTAGTGTTGGCGATCCTGTGTTTCAATTGACAGGTGCGCAAGGGTCGTCTGTGGTTTTTGTCGATCGTAAGATGAAAGAGAGGATCTTGGTGTTCGAGGGAGATACAGGCAATTTTGAAAATCTCGAGTTTGGTCTTTTTCCAAGGGGGTTGTCCGCAACTTGGAGCAAGGCTTGCATCCCCTAATTCCTAATTTCACTCCCTTTCAGCCCAGCAATGATGACGAACTTCAATTTGTGATGTCTTCCACTTGAAAAGAATTAGATATTCGTTGTCGATATGCTACTTTTCCGGAAAGTCTATTCTTCTATCTGAAGCAGTCGACAATAATCTACTTTCAGAGCTCCACCGTAAATTCTATATCTATCCCGGTTTCTATCACCCCGTTCATGGTCGATAAAGCAAGATCCACGTCAATCTATACTGAATGACTTATAACTCCCGACATCGTCAGCCCTCCAAGATCAAGAAACAACAAGATCCGCCAGGGCTAGGACTGTGATGTTGGTTGGGGGTGATTTCAAAGTCATTCTCTTCGTTTTCGAGGAGAATTTGGAATGCAGGATGCTCCCGAAGGTCGAGAAGAGAGGCGAGCAGCTTATTCAATCCATCGAGAGTCGTTCCGCGAATATTCAGCGGCTGATGGCGGTTGGTGGGGTCGTGGATGTCTTGGATACATGAACTGGCATTCCATTTTCGTACTCTTTACTCTGAATTGTGACCGGCCGCTTGTCAGCTCTGTCCTGGCCACAATTTGGCACCGTCATCCAATCTTCAGAAGATAACTCGTAAGCTGAAATTACCCACAGTAATGTCGTCTATACGAAGATGTGGTGACGGGTAGACCATGTGCTAGTGTGGTGAGGCTGTGGGCTGGACCGATGTTGAACATTGCATGGTTCCGTCAAAACAGATGAATTTGCTCATCGTCTGGCTCGTCCGAGTGATGGGATCAAAGTATCATAACTTCAGGCAGATCCACCAGAACTTCCTGCATAGGGCGTTCACGTCGAGGTCGTACCAGGCCAGCATCCTTCTGATGACAATGACATTTCAGGCGTGTGAAATAACTCTTGCAGTGCTCAGCAAGTTGGAGATCATATGTGCCACCGGACTATTGACCTCGTGGTGTTGTTGGTGCCTCGGAGCCGGAACACATCCCTTTTCCTTAGCCAGTCTTCATAAAGATCTCGTCTAGACCTTTCATATCTGCAAATGCCATCCTCTTTGCTTGGATATTGCGTCCACGCAGCAGATGTCGTCCGTTACGCAGGGGCGTAGATACTGGGGTTTTTGGCATCGACGTCTCAGAAATTTCGGTGACCAAAGATGATCGTTTCCTTTTCAGCCTGCTGTTGGATGTCGAGTCCTCCGTCCCCGATGATGAAGATACTGGCTCGTCCGGAGCCTGGGAAGGGGATGATTTATGTGCCTGGAATGGGATCGGCGTAGAGTTTTCATCTTCATCAGCACTACTTGCTGCAGCGCTTTTCCTTTGTCGCCTCGCCTTCTTCTCGGCTTTCCGTAGGGCCCGCTCCTCTCGTTTTTCTCTTCTGGCTTCTTTTCGTTGTCTCTTCTCCTCCTTTCGCATCCTCTCTTCAGCATTGGAGCCTGTGGAGTTGTCTTCATCCTCTACCTGCGGTGATGGCTCGACCGGCTTTGGACTGCTGTCTTTCGAGTTGGCGGTCTCGTTCTCTTTGTCCCCCGTGCCGAAATCTCGATCACCAACGAGTGTGCCGCCTTTGACGAATACCATGCCGCCCCACCGACCCTTGGCGTACATTGCCAGTTTGCGGTCTTCGATTTTTTGCTCCTCTTTCTGAAGTTCCTGATCACTCTTCCCGTTCAGGCGTCCGAGTAGACCTTGGAAGGCATCTAAACCGGTCCTTTGCCCTTCAATATCTTTACTCTTGTGTTTGGCACCCAACCCGAGATTGTTGTCCTTGAACAAGACACCGACACGGGCTGCTGCGAGCCGATCAACATCGTTTAGTCCAACGTGCACCGATTCTCGATTTCCGAGGGACTGCCCTTCTTTCCAGCCCTGTTTGGTCATGAGTCGCTGACCGAAGGATGAAGATTGCGACCATGCTAAATTGCGAGGGTCATGGGCAAGTTTAGAGCGCCTATAAGAGTGCTGTCAGCCTTCTCACTCATCAAGATTTACCGAACAGCAGAGGAGTGGTCGGTTGACTCGATTTGTGGAAACGCTTCTTGATTTTACTGTATTTACAACTTCCGCAGAGGAATGTAAAGGAGATAAACATACCTTTTCGGCTCAGCTAGACCCATGGTACCAGTGTCTTGCTCGAGGCGATACGTTCAAGTATTGTACGGAGCCCTGACAGATACTAACACACCGCAGAAATTTGTTCAAACCATAGGAATATCGCGGGGAAAATAATTGGACCGTGCCAAGATTTGCCAGTCACTGACGCTACTAACAGCACCTGCACAAATTAGTGCTCGGAAAAGTTGCCTCTTACGAGCCTCCGTTTTGTATATGATCCAACATCAACTCTAAGTATCCTTTCTATGATCAGAATTACTAGACATGATCACACTTAAACACCATGAGCTCTTCTGAACTCAGATGTCTTCCCATACAAACATCTGCCGATATCTAGAGCCAATCCTCCGGCCTCCCAGCAGCAGCACCCTGCGGATCGTAGGCGACAGCCTCGATCTCGACCAGCATCTCAGGTAGGCCTAGATTTTCCACGCCCACCGCTGTCCAGATGGGCTTGTGATCGGGAAACCACTTGATAAGGTTCTCCTTCATCGTGGGCATGGCGTTGCCACAGTCCTTGGGATGATACGAGGTGATGCGGTACACCTGTGAGAGACCTTTACCGCCAGCGGCCTTCAACGCGAGGTCGATGTTTCGGAATGCCTGGTCAACCTGGCTTCTCAAGTCTGCGGCAAATGTTGGTGGTATTGCTACTGGGTCCCATCCACCTTCGATCGTCAGTGTCAGTCAGCCAGTTTTCGCTTGCCATGGCAGAATTGTAGATGATAGTTCAGGGACCGACCTTGGCCGGAGAGCTCGATCTTGTCGCCCACGCGCACAGCCTGGTTATAGGCAAAATTCTCGAGGGCGTAGGTGCCGTAGTTCTCATAGTTGAAGTATTTCAAGTCTGCCATTTGATTCGTCCTCGGTAGAAAGACCGGAAAAGTCGAGGGCAAGGCCGATGAAGAGTTGTCAGGGTCTTAGCCAGCAAGGAGCCTGTCGCTTGGTATATCTGCGTTCGTGCGTAGTAGCTGTATCTTGCCCTGCCACGAGGTAGGCTTCAACTCGATCCCAAGTCGGAGCCGAAGAACACTACACCCGCGTATCAGTTCGGATCCTTCTAAGATACGACCAGATGCCAAGATCCCGAGCACTTCTTCCGTGCTTTTGAGCACTTGACCTTGAAACATGAAGAGTGTATATTTGAGTTTAGACCGAGTTTGCGGAATGTGTAGTGTCGAGAAATCATAGTCATTCAGCTGGCGCCGCCGTTGTGGTAGCCCGAAGCATCCCAATTATTGTTGAGGAGTCCTGGTGGCAATCGGCTTCAGATACCAGAAATATCATTACTTGAACTATTGTTTGTCCCCAAGAAGTACGCCGAGGTCACCAGCCTTCTATCGTCTGTGACTATAAGTTCATTCCAGTGAATTATGATTGGGAAAGCAAGATCTCTAGAATTTTGTCTCAGCTCGAGGCTGCAAACTCAGGGGTATTGAATCTATGACTACTGACATTCTCGGCGACGAGGCTTCAAGGCCGTTGAGGGACGGTGCCTTACCAGACTCCAAGAGCCCATATTCCCTATCTTTACAGTCTCACAGGGACTTTGACCATCCATGCCAAGATCTCAAAAGCGAGCTGGGCAACGGTGGTTGCCGTCATTTGCGCAGCATCATCATAGATGGGCGACAATTCTGCGATATCCGCACCAACGATCTTCACCCCTGCGGTGCTCAGCCCTCGGAGCACTGCCACTAGCTCCCTACTCGTCCATCCACCTATCTCGGTGCATCCTGTGGCCGGGGCAAACGCTGTGCAGACTCAATATCAGCCATTCCACCCAAATAAAAAGGGTTAAACTTGGAATCGAACTCACCGGCGTCGAGAACATCAATATCAATAGTCACGTAGACGGGAGTCTCCGTACCCACCCGGCCTATGATCCGTTTGATGACACCATCGATGCCCACATCGCTTCGGTCAATCTCAGTTGCCATGACGGATTCGAAACCGCACTCAGCATCGTGTCGGAGGTCTTCGGTGCGGTCGAAGAGGAGAGCCCGGGTGCCAACGTGGATACCACTGTTGTTCTTGAGCAAGCCTTCTTCGTGGGCAAAATGGAGCAGCGTGCCGTGGGTGAGCTCATCGTACTTGTTGATGCCGCCGCCCCATTGTCGGGGGTTCCACGAGTCAAGGTGTGCGTCGAAGTGGATGACGGCCATCTCACCCCAGATCGGATAGAGGGCTCGTAAGGAAGGCAGCGCTAATATCATCAGTCACTTTACTAATACATGAAGAAACTCGGGATACAAGGTGTCCTTGGACTCACTGATCGTGTGGTCGCCGCCGATAGTAATGAGGCGGACGTGGTCTCCCTTTTTTGCTGCTTTGGGGTTTCGGGACGCCATATGATGCAAGCCTTGGCCGAGTTCCTGTACAGCCTCGTACTTGTCGAAGAGTGAGTTTGGGATATCTCCACAGTCGACCACCGTTGCCCAGTCCAGAAATGGATTCATCATATCATGAGCCATACTTGTCCTCAACATTAGCACTCGTGCTGAGAAGTGCGAAAGAAATGTTTTCCCGTACCTATAGGAGATGAATGGTGCCATCCGCTGAGAGACTGTTCTTGCTGCTGCAGGTCCAAACCGCTGGCCTGGGCGATAGCTCACTCCCAGATCGAAAGGCATACCTACGATCCCGACATCGAATGTGTGGTCGCTCTCAGGAGCGAAGCAGTTGGTCCAGTTCAGGTGAGCAAATGTTGCGATCCCTGGCATCGAATTCTGCTTGCCAAAGTTGTCGTATAGGCGGAATTCAGGGGGTACCGACCCTGCAGCCCCGACGACATCATGCCCCGGTCGAAATATTGATGCCTCACGAAAAGTCTGTCTGCTGTTCATCGGCGTTTGCGAATCGGATGCGTGTCGCGCACCCATCGCCGCCGCATCAGCGACATATGTGCTTATGCCCAGTGCAGTGAATTTAAGCAGGCTATCCAACATGTTGCAGTAGAGGTTGAGGTGCTTTGCGTCTGATAATGATGAGGGTATGCCTCTGCTTCTAAAATTCAAAGATTGGTACCTCCTAGTTCTTGTTGAGCACCAAGGTCACCTGGCAGAAATCATCTCCAACTGCTCTTTGGGAGAGTACTGTCTCCACGGATATTTGCAGACTCATGGTTTCGGACTTTCTGGTGCACGAGAACATAAGGGTGCGATGTGATCTTCGTCCACGATTGACCAGCCTCGGCTTTTCCGAGACTCGTATCTAAACGACTTCCAGTGTGCATGGTAGCTACACACACAGGCCAGGACAGAATTCGTGGACCACTAACCCCTTTTCTTGCCTTGTCATTCGCCGTACTCAACCGTTAGTACACAACACAGGGTAGGTTGCATCTGATAATCAGATAGGAATCTCGGGATATGCGAGCTTCGGTCGAGACACGACGAAGGTGTTAGATCCGAGCAAGTAAACATCACTTACTTCCTCGAGAGGTAGGTGGGCCCTGGTTCAGTCCGTTGGAACTCCCAGGTATCTCGAGTCCTCAAGTATTGCATGACGCTTATATGAACGTGTTGCAATGCATTTTGATAAGTTCCCGTGCCTTAAGCCATTCTCAAGGATCTCTTGGACTCAACTTTGACACTACGACTCGTCGATATGATATTACACAAACCCAACCGAGAAGAGGACTTTGATAGGCCACACCCTACTGAGGCAACGCCACTGCTTCGAGAGACCGGCCACGCTGATGAAAGTGGTACGCAAGTTTCTCCTGCTGGCTTTGTTCTTCCCATTGTACTGACACGGGAACAGGCCCCGTTATATCATGGACAAAAGCTGCCCAGCTAATGGTCAAGAATGCTTCTCCACTGGTGCTGTCGGGCCTGTTACAGCACTCGATTGGCCTGACCACCGTTTTTCAAGTTGGCCACCTTGGACAAACCGAACTGGGAGCTGGTAGGTTGTCACTCTCCCTGCAACCAACAGATTTGCGATCCTCTGCCTGCTGGTTAGCATTCCATCCAGATACTGACTTTATCCGATCCTTCAGTCTCCTTGTCCATCATGACGGCCAATGTGACTGGATACGCCGTGTATCAAGGAATGAGCACCGCTCTAGAAACCCTCTGCGCACAGGCTGTTGGCTCTAAGAACAAGCTCCACGTGGGACTCTATTTCCAACAAATGGTTCTCCTTCTGTGGCTGTTGACGATACCTATTGGCATATTGTGGTACAATGCAGGCCAGATCCTTGGAGCATTAACACCCCACAAAGACACCGCGCATCTTGCTGGTGTCTATCTGAGAGTCTTGTTCTGGGGTTGCCCAGGCTATGCCGCCTTTGAAGCAGGTAAGAAATATCTGCAGGCGCAAGGCATCTTCCATGCAGGAACGTACGTCCTTCTCTTCGTTGCCCCGTTGAACGTCCTGACGAGCTGGCTCTTTGTGTGGAAACTCCAATTGGGATTCATCGGTGCACCCATGTCAGCAGCACTTACCAACAATTTGCTACCCTTCTTCCTTTTCCTATACATTGCGTTCGTTGACGGACGACAATGTTGGAATGGCTTGACGTCCAAGGCTTTCATGAATTGGGGCACCATGATTAAGCTCGCCTTTCCCGGTTTTGTCATGCTCGAAGCAGAATATCTAGCATTTGAATTGCTTACGCTAGGAGCATCACACTTGTCCGGCACACAACTAGCTGCACAGAGCGTCTTGAGTCCCCTTATTGCCTTGACATTCCAGGTACCCGTCTCTCTTGCGATCGTGGCGTCCACCATGATCGCAACCGCCGTAGGCGCGGGTGCCGTTCCGCAAGCCCGTTGTTTTGCCAAGGTGAGCATTGAGTTATCAACTTAAGCACCATATAAGTGAGGGCGATCAACTCAGACTGACCAATATAGGTTGCCGCATGGGGTGCTTTCCTCGTAGGCCTCCTCAATTTCATGTTCATAGTAGTGGCAGGGGTCTCTGCGGCGCGATTTCTCACCACCGATCGCGAGGTCATAAAACAAGTCACCATGGTGCTTCCAATCGTTGCGATATTTCAGCATTTTGATTCCCTAGCGACGACTTTCAACGGTTTTCTTCGTGGTCTTGGCAAACAAGATGTCGGCAGCCTCATCAGCATCGGATGCTATTATATCGTGGCCCTTCCTATCAGTTTTTGTACAGCATTTTGGCTCAACTGGCAGCTCATCGGCTTGTGGTCCGGCATCGCGGTGGCTTTGGCACTGTTTGTTCACCTCTTCCTCCAAGTATCCCAACTGCGTGGCTGACACATCCCTTAGGCACTCATTGGTTGCTGGGATCTACATCTTTTCTTTTCCATGGACCAATGCCGTCGAGGCAGCAAAAGCTAGGCAGATCGTGGCGGATCTGTAGAAGGACGCTTTTGTAAAGTCAGAATTGGGATCTGTGACACAAAGCCACGGTGTGTGCCCCCATCAGCTATGATCTGGGTAGCGATAGTGCAGTTGGCGTTGAAGCACGAATGCCACAGATGTGAAAGGTGCCCGCCCTATCGCCAAGTCCTTGATGAAAAGCGTAAAGGAGGCCAGTTGATTTTCGAAGATAGTATATGCTCGGAGTGAAGCAGCTGCTTGGTACTTGGCATCTAAGCTGGGTTGTCTAATATGCCCCTCACACGAAGAGCGAGGTTGCCATTAGCGGGCAACAGCGGGAACAAAATTGCGGTCCTGCTGTAATGTCTGACACAAGGATACAAGAGTCTGACATAATTCGCGTAAGTCTCCGACCGATGCATTGAAGTCAGCGAAGATCTCTAGACCTTCTGTGACATCTTCAAGCAACTTCAGGTCATGCCAACACGATGACTCGACAACGTTGCAAAGGATGGCGAAGAATGGGCACATAGGGTATAGTAGGATAATCCTAAAGATGTTTGTAAGCCATATCTGGTGAACAAGGCTCTTGCTCAGAGAACTCACCAACATGCAGATAGGCAGTACGCATTCCGGATCGCACGGGATTGTTGAGCATGTAGCTCCATATCTCTTAGACTGGAAAGTGAACGCCTAGCATTTTCATAGCATAATTCGCGCACGTCCTTGCTGGATTCGAAGTTGAAGTGGAGACGGGAGATGGCAGTCATGAGTCCAAAGTAAGTGAAGTCGATGCCCATCCATTCGCCACGGAGCAGATCGTCGGTAGATTGGGGTGGGCGTGAACGGAACTGCATAAGCAAGACAGTAAGAAGGTGAAAATTCGAGTATAGTACAGCAAGAATCACTCACGTTTTGGATGTTAAAACGAACACGTTCCATTCGAGATCTGAGATCTTCAATCACTCTTAGGCGTCGTGGATTTTCGATTCCAGAAGTGGGGTCTCGCATTTCTCGTGCCACGTCGTCCTGGATCCTTGCAAACTCAATGTAAATGTTGAAGATGAGAGTGCTAGGAATCTCTGGTACCGGTGGCATCAATATCGAGGCATCTATTTGCATCTCGGGCAAAAATGAACGCTTGGCTAAGGACAAGGAAAGCGACTTATCCATGATATAGCAATGGCCTAAACAGTGGCGGACCTCAAGAGATTCTTGCCTGGACTCATCTGAGGCTAACTCGGCGAAGTAGTGGCCTCCTAAATGCATACAGACGAGACAAGCAGTACTCGTGAGCTGAGCGCATTTTTCCACATTGCCAGCCATCTGGAAGAGCATTGCCTGGTTCGCGTCGAAGTTGTTAGCTCAACGTGCAATATGACAGAGTGGTGGTCAGGAGTTCAACGTACGCCGGCGAGCAGGGCTTGAAGAAGTGATAGGCTTGGGGGACTGAGCACACTGATATGATGCAAAGCCTTGAAAGCGTTTTCCCGATACCGGTCTTGCAAGGAAGTCAATCGTTTCGCGATGCAATTGCTGCTAGCACCTGCCTCTAACCCACCTACTAGCGTAAGTGTGAAGAAGTTGACGCATACAATATATTCAGCTCGGGTGTGGCCGTGAACCTCCCGATCGATCAAAGCATATGCCATACGTTCAAAGGAACTTTTTGAAATGAGCGAAACGATTTCGGAATGAAATACGCCTGCGATGGTCCTAGAGTCTGAATCATATTAACACAGATTCTGCTGTGCCTCACTTGTCCGAAAAGATGACGCACCATTTGACAAGAAGCACATTGTCTCTGCTGATGGGTACATCGATGAGTTATCGAGAGCGTGTCGATCGAAATCAAGTTGCTCGTATCCATCGTTCCATCCTTGTCTACAGCCACCTATTTGAGGAATCATGTCAATGGCTACTGTTAAGCTCTCCCGCTCGAGGGCACTGAGGCGGTGGTTAGTCGCTAGCTCCTTCTTAAGATAGGTCTCTGCCTCGAAACCAGCTGCTATTGGACTTTTAGCTTGGCGCACTTCCGACAGTGCGGCCTGGTAACCATTTCCTCGTCCAGCAAACCCTTGGTCGGCTGTTGAATTGTGGTTCTCTGGCTGGTCGACCCTTCGAGGAGACGTCATTTCTTCGGAAGTCATCATGAGCTGTAGCACATCAGTCGTATCGGGTTCGGTGGCAATTTCCCCATTGTCAGATTGTAACAGCTGTGGCGATACAGAGCCTTGATCATGGTCATCGAGATGCGTGATGACGCTCGATATTTGACGAACGTCCCGTGTCATGTAAGTACGTTTGCGCCGCGTGTGACTGATTTGCCTTGTTCTGAGACAGGGCGTAGCAGAGCGACTGCATCGATCACATGGATCTTGTCGATTGCAACGAACCTGCCCAGAACGACGACATGATAAGCGCCATTACTATAGAGGACTGTAGAAGTGACTTAGCATACCTTCCTGCTATGGCAGAGATCGCACTATTGGTTGGAGTGCCATATCAGCATTCTGCTCATACAGCTGTGTAGAGCAAGTGACTATTCCCAAATTGGACATCGGGATTAACCTACAGCGATAAGATTGGCGGAGCCCACTGTTGGTGGTAACGACCCCCTGCGGCTCTCCATGGTGTGAGGTATATCATCTCACAGCTGAAGAGAAAGGTGGCTGGAGGTAATGAGGGAGGAACTCGGATCTTACGTGGTACAACAGTCGTATCTTTAAAGCAAGAGATCGCTGCGTGTGTCTCGTATCTTAAGGGTGGATCAGGGTTCGGGTCTCGGGAAACTTCGTATCAAAGACTGGCGCTTATCTTAACAGCCTGGACCCCCGACTCGAACCACCACCGCTTGCACCTCGCCTTATCATAATCAATGCCATATGAACAGTCCAGCGTGATCCCAATAAGACCTGCAATGATGAAGGCGGAGTATATAGACAGCCCTGTACGCATGCAGCGGCAGCGGCCTCACTGGATCGGAAGGTAGCAGATTGTTTGCACTCGGAGTACCACCACTCACACAACTCCGGTTTCCGCACCACACGCCGACGTCAAAATGTCTCTGACTACAATGACCGAGAAGGGTGTTCCTGCGGCCAGGGCTGAGAGCACAAATGGACTTGAGGAGGGCACTGCCCACAATACGAACACCAACCAGTTGAAACAGAGCTATGGTTTGTGGAGTTTCTGTGGGCAAGCCATAGTCCTTCCCGGCTCATGGGCTTTTGCGGCAACTGCTCTGACCATCGCCATTTTCGGTGGAGGTTCTTCTGTCGCCATCTGGGGTACCATATTTATCTCAATATGCCTCTGGGTGGTCGTAGCCTGCCTGGCCGAGTTTGGTTCTGCCTATCCTTCGGCCGCTGGCTGTACCTTCATTGCCTACAACGTGGCAGGCCCGGAATGGGGCCCGTTCTCTGTAATAAGTTCCGAGTTCTTAAGGCAGAATTTGGATTTGACTAACATTTTCCGTCACAGGCATACATGACTGGCGCATTTCACTGTCTCGGTGGCATTTTTTCACCGCCGGCATTTCTGATCGTTCTCTCTCAGCTGCTTCTGACTTGTGCGGCCATTTTCCACGAAGACTACCAGCCCACACGGTGGCAGATCTTCCTTCTGTACGAGTTCTGGAACCTGGTTGCGCTCGTCTTCCTCCTCTATGGCAGTCGCATTTTGCCTCTGTTGAGCACCATCGCATGTAAGTTCAGCTCTTTGCAGTACTTCCAGTCCTGGCAGGATCATCTGACACACCAACAATAGTTGTCTTCCTCGCGGGGGGGCTATTCCTCACGCTCGGGCTTCTTCTCGGTTTCACAAAGGAGACAGCTCCCGCTCAGTAAGTGCTGGCCTTAGCTCGTGTGGGAAATCTGAATCAGAAGCTGACTCTCCTAGCCATGTCTTCTTTGACTTTCACAATCTGACAGGTTTCGAATCCCCCGTCATTTGCGCCATGCTAGGCTTGCTCGGTCCCATATACGGCTTCGGTCCACCGCATTTCTTGTTGAATATGGCCGAAGATGTTAAGAACCCGTCCAAGAACATGCCTATTGGGCTCGCTGCCCAACAAGCAGGCAGTACTGTCTTGTAAGATCATACCGGGCGTAGCGTACCCCGCATTTTTATTCGGCAGAGCTGACCCTGGAGTAGGCTCCTTGTCTTTTATATCGCTGCATATTTCACTGTGGTCGATTATAATGCTTTGCTTGAATCCAGCTTCCCATCGGTGGTAGGCGCCGTGTATCTGCAAGCCACTCAAAACAAGGCTGTAACATTGATACTTTTGATCATTGTCCTAGCCCCTGCGTTCTTTGCCTGTTTCAGTTATTTCCTGGCCAATATTCGACTCCTATACGGGTTCACTCGAGCTGGTGCACGTAAGTCAATAAGCAATCATAACTAATTTACTCGCGGGAAGTCATGGCTGACGACTCTTTCACAGTTCCCTACCGTCAATGGTTTTCCAAGGTCGATGTTGAACGAAACATTCCTGTCAACATGCTCTATGCCACGACTTTCATCAACTTCCTGCTCGGATTCATCTACCTTGGTAGCAGGGCCGGCTTCAGCATCATTCTGGGTTCATCAGGAATCTTCTATGGTTCGTGTTTTTCAATTCCAATCCACAGTCCCTTTTCCAATATCGTGCTGACAAACGTGTGAATTCCCTAGCGGGCGGATACCTGTTCTTTTTCATTCCTGTAATCCTCAACAAGCGCAAGTACATGGGCAACGGATCTTTCAAACTGCCATCTGCTGTGGGTATGGCTTTCGCAGTCTTCAGCGTCCTATATGAGACATGGACCATGATCGTCTACAGTCTCCCACCCGTCTACCCGGTCACAGCGGAAACTGCCAACTTTACCCCTGTATTTCTTGGCTTCGGAACCATCCTGAGTCTTGCGGGCTATCATTTTTACGGTAGACATGGTTTCGATATCGAGAATTCAGGTGTTCCTCCGCATAAATAGCAGTGACGAGCTTCGACAACCAAACGTCATGGCGAGCGCCTGGAAGGCGAACGCTGGTGGATCCGGCCCTGGGTGGTTGGTGTTTTACTCGCTGGGTAGCATGACAGACTGAGCAATTATGGAAGTCGATCTCTGTTGGATGCGAAGGTTATAAGGTACCCATAATTTATACTGTTGTTGTACAAGAGTTAGGCAAGCAAGATGAAGACAATATGGAAAAAGCAAGGCTCGTAAAGGGCAACTTTCTGAGTGCTAACTGGTGCTAGCGCCATGTACTACTAGTGGTCTTGATTACCCACTAACTTAAGAGAGGCAAGCCTGCTTTTACCCATCACAATCAGTGATCGCTTTTCCATTTCGCAAGTTCACCAGATCGAGGCACTCTTGCTTAGTTGTGAAGGCCATTCGAAGCTTCATGCCTGTCTGTGGAACATCTCAAAGTTGCATATGCAGCTTTGAATGGTTCCCATCATCACGGCCGATGCCCATGGGCCCAGAATGGTGGATCAAGTCGTCAATGTAATGGGACTATGTCCGGGGTTCCACCATGTCAAGTATGTGGTATATGAATGGAGAATGAAAGGTAGGTCCTCCAGATATCAGGAACCTTCAATTATTTGAACACCGTTCCACAACTCGAAAAGTGCTGTGTCGAAGCTGTTGGATTCTTGCTCAACTCTGTACCTGAAAGTTACTCCTTCAAAATGTCAACACCAGTCCCTCATGAATACCCTGGGATAGATGACCCAGATGCCAAGCTTGAACTTGTAGGCCAAAATACTCGGAACAATAATATTCGTCGGCGTGCTGAGATGGTTACGAGCTCATGAAAACCAACACGCTTGCCGAGCTGATTGGCCAGACGGTCCGCTTATGCAGGGGATAGCACAAGTGGCGGTCGGGGAACAGGCGAAATCTCATCAATTGATACCACCTCGCGTTGAACACAGCGAGGCATACTCCTCGAGCGACGCTGGGACTCAACTGTGAGTAAAGATTTACAACTTGTCGAGTTCACGTGCCCGGCCTCAACTCTGGTTGTCCTGATTCACGGCGGAGGCCCCTGCGTTGGCGTGCCCAAGAACGAAGCAATCACGACACGGAATGTGGTGCGAGCCTTTGGGGCGGTGGCTGTATCGCTCGATTAACGACCTACTCCAGAATACAGGTTCTCATATGCGGTCGAGGATGCATGGGCCGGATTCAGATAAGTCGCAGCAACTGCAACCCTCTTGCGTGTTAATGCAAGCGTGGGTTTCATCCTCGGCGGAACTTCCGCGGGAGCCAACATCACTACAGTTTTAGTCCACAGAGCTCGTGATGAGAATATGCAGTTTTTAATGACAGGGCAGTATCTGGCAATCCCGACAACAGGAACCGAGGCAGAGATTCCTGCTCGGTATCGTAGTCGTCTGCTGTCCTTTCAGAAATACAAATATAACTGTCCATATAATACAAAGCATCATTTAGAATTTAAACCAGTGCCACAATTCTCTATCACATAGTCCACGTCTTTGTCGCCACGACCCGAGAGATTAACCAGTATACATTCACTAGTCGGGCGTTTCGCCGCCAGCTTCAGAGCATATGCCACGGCATGGGCGCTTTCCAGCGCAGGAATGATGCCCTCATACTTGGCCAGGCGGAAGAACGCGCCGATGACCTCGTCGTTCGATATGCCCGCGACGGTCAGTCGATTGTCGGTGAACAACATGGCGATTTCCGGTCCGATGCCGGGATAGACAAGGCCGGACGCGATCGACGACACGTCCGCGGGCGTATCGTCTTCGCGCTGAATCACCAGCGACTTGGCTCCGTGCAACGTGCCTGGTCGCCCATGCAACAGGGTCGCGGCGTGCTGGCCGGGCTCTTCAGACTTGCCCGTCGGCTCCACGGCGTGCAGGACGACGTCCGGGTCGTCCAGGAAGCCCGAATACATGCCCATGGCGTTCGAGCCGCCGGCGACACAGGCGACCACGTGTTCCGGCAGCTTCCCACCGGACTGTGAGAGGAACTGCTCGCGCGCCTCCTGGCCCACGACTGCCTGGAAATCCCGGACGATCATGGGGAAGGGATGGGGCCCGATCGCCGACCCGATCGCATACAGGGCATGTGCATGTTGTTCGGTGTACGCGAGCATCGCCGAGTCGCTTGCGTCCTTCAAGGCCGATTGGCCCGACGTCGACGAGATGACGCTTGCGCCCAGCAGCTGCATGCGGGCGACGTTCGAGCTCTGCTTCTTCACGTCGATGCCGCCCATGTGCACCTCGCAATCGAGGCCGAAATGCGCCGCGGCCGTCGCCAGCGCGACACCGTGCTGCCCTGCTCCTGTCTCGGCGATCAGCTTCGTCTTACCCATCTTCTTCGCGAGCAGCGCGAACCCAACGCAGTGGTTGATTTTATGCGCTCCCGTGTGGTTGAGATCCTCTCGTTTGACGTAGATCTGGGCGCCTCCGACTTGCTTGGACAGGTTTTCCAGATGCTGGATCGGTGTCGGTCGTCCCTGTAGCGTCTTTCGTACGGTGTCTAGATCTCGCTGGAAGTCTGGCGATTCGCGTAGTTCCAGGTATGTGTCGAGTAGTTCTTGGAGCGCTGGCTTCATCTCCGGCGGGTAATGGCTGCCGCCAAATTGACCGTAATACCCTTCGGCATCAGGATAGCGTTGAATGTAAGTTTTGGGAGCTTGGGACATGATGGATGAGTCTCGGCGGCGATGTCTAGTCGTAGTCACGTCGGAGCCTGATGGATAATTATACTAATTGTCGAAGACCGTGACGCTAGATTGCACCTCGAGGGGTGAATGATAGCTCTTTAGAAGGTTCTGGTTTGACTTTTGATCTGCTCAAGGACCTCTCCGATCTTGAAGGAATGCGATACCTTGGAAAGAATGAGAGGATACAAGACTTATACCCCCCAGGAGCATGAAAAAGGACGGCAGCAGGTAGCAACATCATGTTCAGGCCTTCTGACTCACTAATTAGTTCGAGGCATCGATCCCCAGACGGGCATGTGGAGCTCATTAGACAGCAGAGCATCGTGGCATTCTTGAAGGGCGTCGACGCAGCCGGAGTAGATGCCCATCATGCCCATCATGACGAATCTTGGTTGGCACGATGACCGGAGACGGGTTGATTTATGTGGTGAATTTCCTGTCCGTGCTGTGAAAGCGCACGTTTTGCGCGGGCCGCGAAATCTCGAGTGCACGGTCCGCTGGTATATAAACCAACTAGTGCAAGTACGGTGGGACTCGCTCTGAAGTGAAAGGGACGCCTTACGGCTTAGAACCACGATGTGACTTCTGCTGTCGCTTTATTACGCATATTGTCGGTTGTAACTTTCTTCATATGGTCCTACACTCTTGGATCAGCGTTGGTGGTGATGAGAGTACGCGACTTTTAACTTCTATCAAGCGATGATGCGTGGACTCGGAGCCAGCTTGATATTGATACCAAGGGTATACATGGGTCAGCTCGGTTTGGCTGAAATTTGACACGAGATCTGTGACACTAGAGAATGATTTTCAAACTTGATTCTTGAAAACTCATGACGCTACTTGTATTCGTGACCTCTTCTCACTACTTGTGAAGAATGTATCCAGGTTCATGGGGACTTGTTCTGGTGGCCGCTGCACCATTTACTTAGCCGTCCGTCGGCCCTCCCTGGTTTCGGTGACATGTTCTCAAACTCCTCGCTTCTGTGCAGATATGTAGTTGGGGACGACTCCTGGGACGACTCTTTTTTGTGCTCGATCCATATTTGCAAAATGGCGTGATCGAATCAATTCCTTCCTGTTCCATCAGGAGCATTGAAATACTATTCCCGTATGCATCCCTTGGAGCTCCCATTGTGTAAGTCGTTATCAACGACCATTGTGTTGAATCATCTCTTTCCTTTGATAGAGCTTTGACCCACTTCAACCAATTTGGTGTGTGGAATTGTTGTCTTTGTAGACACCACCGTGGACACGGATACTGATGCCGACCGCGATGCCAACGGCAGCCCCGATGATGACTAGAGCAATCACTACTTTGACCAAAAGTCTCTGTCGTGGTGGTAGTCGAGATAACCATCCCGTCTGTTTGGGTTTGGTCATGCACTTGTTCTTCTTTTGCCAAAATTTCAGTCTGTTCTGGGCTGGCTTCTGGGCTTCTTTCTTCTCCTCAGTTATAGTAGGTGACAAGTTAAAGGTTGCTGATTCGAGATCGTGAATGGAGACTCTGGTGCCAGGCAGATTTTGATCCTTTGCCGAGACGTCAAAGGAAGGCCGTGGCGAGTCGTGATTGTACAGGTAGAATGGGGAGGTGATTTTGGCATTGCAGCAAGGATCGAAGTTCTGAGGAGATTTTGGTTGTTGCTCGGTGAGCTCGGTGCCTTCAGGGACGGTCTGCATAGTTGTTGAATACAGAGGGAACTGTGGATGCAAGTCAAGGTATCGGCAGCAGTGAAGATATGTCGAGCAGAACGAATGCCGTAGTAGACCACAAGCAGGTTGCCAAAAGGTCAAATACGTGAAGGCTAAGAGTCCATGGCTTAAGCCAATTCAGACTTTGTTGGTGACAGTCTGGAATGGACGACGGGCTTTCTGATATGATCAGGTTCGAGGTTGAGTGATTGCGGGCAGGTACGAAGTGCTCCCTATGTAGTGGTGGGAGTGGTTTGCTATGCAAGTGCAGGCGTGATCCGGGGACAGTGGGTTCCTCTTGCCGGATTGATTGCACTCTATCGTGTTGGAGGTCCGCAATGGTTAGGTATCAATTGATAAAATGGACTAAGGGCTCAAGAAGCCTGAGGCGTGGAACGAGTCGAAGAGTCAAAGAAGGCGCGAGACGGAGACCCGTGTCGCCGTTGGAACTTGGAAGAGATCTCACCTTTGATATGAATGTGGCGGAAGCCTCTGAAACCATGGCACAGCCCATCCAAGGACGACGTAGTGCGGTTGATAGTGCCCACGAAATACGTGTGCCATGGAGACGTTTTCAGAACCCGAAACCTGATGGATTTGGCGAGACTGAACAAGTGCAATCAAACTCGCTGGACGAGCAATTTGACGCCTGTCTTTTGAGCTCGACCGGGGTTGAGAATGGAGTGATCAACAAAAAGCGCCACTCGGGGAATCCGCTTACGGTTAAGGCCCTGGTTACAAGGACACCCACCCAGGCCAGTCAGTCGTGGTCCATGCAGAGTCCAGGCACGGGGGAGGGTTGGCCTGCAAGGGCGGTCTTAGATTCCCTGCTTATCAGAATCTTGTTCGTTTAAAGATAGCCCCAAGATATCGGAAGTGACCAACTACAGAGTACAAGAATCGGATGTGATATTGGTTTGAGACTCGTGAGGTCACCATCTTAAGACCGCTGGCCAGGTGGGTGATTTGGGTAATTGCGAAGTAAAATTCCCCAGTCATCGGAGACCACTTGCGCACCTGGCCTGTGATAATTTCTTCCCTGATTTATTAGGCGGGGATCCAGGTAAAGTTTGGTAGGAAGGTGATAGTTGTGGCGGAATCGACCGCACCCGGGTGGCCTCCGTCCCCAAGGGCCAGTGAGGGCTGGGGGATGGGATTTCCTTGAGTGAACTAGTTGTTCGTGGTGCCTGGCTAAGCCTGTTTGAGAGTTGGCCTCAGGTGCTTCCTTGCTCACTCATCACCTGTCCCCGCCACGCAGGCCGTTACGCGATATTTCTCTTCCACCTGCAATCAAATCAATCAAATCAACCTTGGGAGGTCTCACCAAGGCACCAACATCGTCCCTGCGTCCGTGCAACATCCAAGGTGGTGGTCAGAATCTTAAAACATCATCTTGTTGATTATTACTCCGTACTTGAATAATATACCGCTAAATGTAGAAGCCAACTATGCAGTCACTGTCAAGGCCATCTCCAAGGCTACCTCCAACTGTGCTTTTTTCCCTACTCGAAATTTTTGAATGCCCGCAACGGCCAATGCTTGCTTCCCCATGCTTTTTTCATATGCGTACAATCAATTCTCCAAGAAGAAATCGTCTCGTCTAATATGACTTTTGTCACACATGCCGCGGAAAATCCCATTCGCTTCAAATAAGTTGATTGGTGTATCCAGTTCGGCAATCTGGCCCTTGTCCATGACGCAGATCCGATCGTAGTTGATGATGGTCTTCAACCGATGGGCGATGCAGAGGAGCGTCTTCCCTGCAAAGCCCGTCCTCATCGTTTTCTGGATTTTCTCGTCCGTCTCGAAATCGACAGACGAAGTGGCCTCGTCGCACACGATGATTTGTGAATTTCGCACCAACGCTCTCGCCAGAGCCATCAGTTGTCTCTGACCGAGCGAAAAGTTCAAACCCTCTTCTTCAACCTGGCTGTCAAGGTGAATTCTGCTGGGTGCTGGAGGTCCGTTCACGTTCGATGTCGATGTCGCTGCTGTTTCTGCTGTCTGCGGTCGTGGGGTCTTGTCTTTGGGGTCAACGTCCTCCGCAACCAGATCGGCTTTTCGTAAGGCGGTCCATAGTTCAAGGTCAGTGTGCTCGTTGAACGGATCCAAATTTGATCGGACGGTGCCACGGAAGAGTGTTGGATCTTGCGGGATGATCGCCAACCTCGACCGTAAGTCCTGGAGCCCGACGGTCGCAATGTCGATCTCATCGATCTTGATTTGACCGCCTGACAATTCAGTCAGACGGAACAAAGCACTCATGATCGAACTCTTGCCCGCCCCTGTCCGACCAACGATTCCAATCCGTTCGCCACCTCTGATGGAAAAGTCCAAGCCCTGCAGCACCAATGGCAGCTCTGGACGATACCGCATCTCAACCTTGTCAAAGGTGATGGCTCCGGTTTGAGGCCACGCAGCTGGGACGTCCCGGTCCTTCGGTGGTGCTTCCTCTGCTAGCTGAGTGCCGTAATAATGAATTCGTTCCGTAGCATTCATATTATTCTCCACCTCGGCCAATTGTCGGATCGTGAATTGGATCATTTGAACGATGGCGAGGACGTACGACAGGACCAATCCTGCAATACTAGGATTGACGTTGAATCGATCGGTCACAACGAGAATTCCCACCACAAAGACCATAATGTTTCCAATAGCGTCAAGACGTGTCGAGACCCAGCGTTGGTTAGCAAAAGTGATGTAATATGCGGAATTCATCTGGTCGATCGCGTCTCGCACCCTCGACACAAAGTACTTTTGTAATCCATATGCACGGATCGATGCCACCCCGGAGACCGATTCTGAGAAGCGAGCGAAGACTGTCGATCGTAATACCGACTCGTGCCGTTTTATCTCCCGGGCGGAGGCTCGATAATATCCTGCTGCGAACAAGAAGAGCAGGAACAAGGGTCCTAACGCCACAGCAAAATAGTAGAAGTATGCGATGATCAGACCAAAGATGGAGGCCACCATGGCCAGGGTCAAAAAGTACAGACGCATCGCATCGGTCAAACTGTTGTCCATCGAGTCCACGTCCTTGGAAAATCGGTTTGTGATTCGTCCGAGGGGAGTCGTGTCGAAGAACGACATCGGCGCACGTAGCACACGGGTTATGGCTCGATGGAGAAGCGTTCTACTCGCATTCGTGCCACTCGTTGACAGTACGGTCGAGAACAGATAAAGAAGTAGGGCTTGAGAGAAGCCCAACGCCGCGTATACACCAATGTAGGCACCTTGGGTGAACCCGAAGTGATCACTAACCCACCAACTCAGCCAAAGACTGGTGGCGATATTGGACCCTTGAGACAAGACCAAGAAAATGAATATCAGCGGCCAAAGAATCGGCGAACCCGATGCCTTGATATAGGCGCCCCAAACACTCCAGCTGACCGACTTGACCGCACGTTCTTCTTGTTGCATCAGAGCAGCGGCCTTGCCCTTTTTAGTCCTTTTCTCTGGCTTCTTCTCTCCCTCCTCAATCTCATCTGCCTTGGCATCAACCGTTTCCTCTTGTGCAGTGGTGGCCATGAGCTTCTGGAAGTCAACACTCTGGCTCATGAGATTGTCGAAAGTATCGATGGCTTGGATGTGGCCGTCTTCCATCCAGATAATTCGATCACATCGATTCAAGACGTGGAGTTGATGCGTCGCTAATATCCGGCATTTATCCTTCATGAGCCCACAGATTGCCTCGTCCATTATGTGGCGGCCAACATGCGCATCGACAGCCGAGAGAGGGTCGTCCATAAGAATAATATCCGCGTCGAAGTAGATGGCCCGGGCGATGTTCAAACGTTGCTTTTGACCGCCAGACAGTGTTATCCCTTTCTCTCCAATTTCCGTCTGATCGCCTGCAGGCAGAATTTCCAGATCAGGTCCTAGTGCACAGGCATCGACCACATTTCGATACCATTTGGACTTGTACGGTTTGCCGAACAAGATGTTTTCTTTCAAAGTAGCGTTCTGGATCCATGCATACTGAGGGCAGAAAGCGCGACTCGAAGCCATGAGCACCTTCCCGCCGGTTTTGCGCATGTCACCGGCAAGAGCAGCCAGTAGAGATGATTTACCAGAGCCTACCGTGCCAATAACAGCGACCAGCTCATTTCTGCCAACGGTGAAGTCGATACTCGATAGTTTGAAGGGTTCGATCTCGGTGATATCACTCGATACGTCTTCGTTGGATGCAGTTGGCTTCTTGGATGCTCTCTTGGCTGCCTTTTCCGCCTTCTTGTCTTCCTTCATCTTGTTCTTCTGGGCCTTGAGTTCGCCCTTGGTTTGGAAAGTGCCGACTCGTTCCTTATCTTGGGTCACAGTTCGCTCCCATGTGAAGGAGGCATGTTGTACTTCCACAGCGTCATGCATCTCCTTGTCCCAAGTGATCTGATCTTCTTGCTCCTCGCTGAGTAAAAACTCTTGGATTCGCTTCAGGGCTGTGAGGGCATCCGTGGTCTGGCCGAGGACCAAAGGCAGCAAATTGAGCGGCATTCTCAAAGAGTTGAACAGAGCCAAGGAGGAAAAGACTCGAGCGGGGGATAATCCGTGGTCCGTAACAGAGTATGTGATAAATGCCAGCATGGATGCAAACACAGGCATCGACATTGCTATTGCGTTGATGGCATTCCGTATTGAAAGCAACACCTGGATCGCTCGGATTTCACGTTTTCGCAATTCCTTCAGGCGATTCAAGAAACTGAGCTCCCAACCAAAGAACTTGACAAAACGTACGGAACTCAGGATTTCCTGGGTCAAAGTGACACGTTGGTCGGTTATCTTGTTGATCTGCTTTCGTCTGGCGAATAGTGATCTGATGGTTCTGGCCAGAATCGGCATCATCACAAGAATCAATCCGTAACCTGCCAGGGCACTGTAGCCCAAATTGATGCATAGAACGACGAGCACAACAATGAGTTGAATTGGCGAAGTCCAGATGATGTGGAACATTCCCGATGCTTGATCAACACGATAAGTATCAACGCTCATCAGATTAATGATCTTGCCGTTGCCCCAGCCAGTACCATCGCCTGCAATCCCAGCTGCTTTGTCCGGTGTGACTTTTGGTCCTCCTTTGGGGTGAAGTCGTTTAGAGAGAGCACGAGCGAGTGCTGGCCGATCGGAGGACTTTTCTGTCACCGTCTCATCAACTTGCTCCTGACTTTCGGCGCCTTCGACAGCCTTTCCTCCAGCTTTCGCCCTGGCGGAGATCTTCAACGATTTTTCGAAAATTGAATTGATCAGCACTGCTCTTGCTTGTCCTCCAACCATCATACCACGATAAAGAAAATGGTTGGTGGCAGTGGTCTGACAGATCTGCATAAATGTAATCCCGATGACCAGGCCAATTCCATGGCCGATGTTAGGGGCCTGCCCGCCCGTTCTATCGGCGATCCAGGCATCTGCAGCAAATTGAATGAGGTACCGTGTCGCAAAGGGAGAGAATACCTGAAGCAAGGCTGAAAACAGGGCGCAAACTCCGCCAAACAAGAATTCGCCCCGAAAGGTGTCGAAAAGAGCCCACATGAGAGGATTCTGTTCTCCCCGAGCCGTTCTTGCCTTGAAAGCTGGCAACATTCTATTGATCATCGTTTCGGAGCTCCTATCTGGATTCACTTCCCAGATATCATTAAACTCGACTGTCCGTTTGTAGCCCACCGACATCAACGATTGCATCCACTGAAAGGTCAACAGGCTGAAGAACCCGGCGTTGTATTCCGGGCATACTGCCCGCTTCTCTGGCACAGGAGGTATGGGCCCTCGTTTGAGCGGGTTGATCTTGTGGTACCAGGGAAGATTTTCGGGTTCTGTGGTTTTCACAGGGTACGCCGTACTGGCTTGGGTCATTTCTGTCGCCGTCGATTCTATCCTCGATAAGGTCGTACTGGCATCACTTCTGGTCCGACCAAGCTGTCCAGGCTGGTTGGGTACCTGCAAGAACTGTGACGACTTGTCATTTTTCTCCAGATCCGTTTGGTCGACATTGTCCTGTTCGAGTGCTCGAGAGACATCCTTCTCCTCATCCACGGGAGGCGCCATCGTGGCGCTTGTGAGTGTTATTCGACTAGGGACGCAACTACGAGAACTTCCATGTCCTGTGGGAAGACGTATGAATGCCAAAAGGGGGGCAAAAGGGCAACGAGTGTCGAAAATCACAGATACTAAATACTGGTCGTAATGACGGAGGGGAGATCCCCCGACGAGGGGAGAAGCCCCGAAGGACCTACGGACTCACTGCTGTGGGAATTAAATCATGGTGCTGCCTCGGTCACAGGGCTTCGGAGTCAAGTAGTAGTCGTAATCGAAGCGACAGTGGAGAAAATGGAATGGTGGGAGTGGTCCGGCACCCTTAGTGCACGATTGTAGCCAAAGCCACCGTCCTTCAAGCCTGCTAACCCTGAAGTCCGGCACCCACATTTGTCAGGCTTATCTAAATTGGGCGCCTCCAGGCAAGACAACACATTGTTATCCGTGTAAAAATTCGGGAGTGTCCTAGAGTCATAGGGACTGACAGAGGTGGTCCCGCAGCAATCTGTGCCGTTCGTTCCAGGGAGGAGGACTTACCTGTCTCGATTATCAATCCACCTGTCGCGACACGAGTTTTCCCCCTTCATGAGGTCGTCGATATCCCGCGAGGTCTACCGCCTCAAACCCCCAGACCTCTCCACGAAGCCGACTTTGTGATCTCATGACTCCAAGTCTTTGTCAATGTCACCCGGTTGACTTTTGTGGTATTCGAGTCCGCCAATTGTAGGCTAGATGTATTTGGATGACTGCCCAATCTAATCTATTCCATACTGATACCCCAGGCAAGAAGAAATGATAATTAATGGATGCCTATTTTCACGTCTAACCCCCGAGTCAACGTGCATTCGGACATTATGCAGGCTCACTCGGCTTTAAAATTTAACCTACTCGTACAGTTCTTTTGTCCGACAATCTGCAAAGCTTGTTTTGTAGGCGACCGCCATCGCAACGCCTTCTTCTGTCGGAACTCGTGGGCAAGCTTTGTTGGGACGCCCTTTGCTCTCTATAGCTACAGTCCGTTCGGACTCGGGACTGTTTGATTCCTTCCGGGTTCTCATCGTTGGCATAAGATCCTACAAGTCCACTGTGCTTGTAGCGGGTTTCACAACAACCCCAGACACTGTTCAAGGCACCTCGCAACCCTTGTTCTTGAGTACTTGGTGGGTGCCATTCACCCCAGAGGGAGGCGCCTATATCACAGGTTTGTACTTCCAGCGAGTTCCTTCTGAGCATCTAGCGTCCTCCGGAACTCGGTGATTTTCGCATCTGCGACCCGCCAGCAGTCTGGCCCAATTAAAACTCGCAAGAAGTTTTCCTTTGCAACGAGAGTACCAAAGTCACCTGTCCCGGTCGCAGCTTCGAACATAACTTTTGCTGCTTTCACAGGATCTCCTTTTGCGGCACCGGATCCCAGACTCTTGACCCATCCAAGCCTGGTGCCAACGGGGTGATCGTTGGCATATGCTTCAGAAGGCTCGCTCAACACCCCCGCATTGGCAAAATTGGTGCGGAAGGCCCCTGGCACAGCAATCAAAACCCTGATACCAAAGGGAGCCACCTCTGCACCAAGGGCATCTGACGCTGCTTCCATGGCAGCTTTACTGGCGGCGTAGATGCCAGTAGCGGGACTCGGGCACACCCCCTGTGCGCTGGAGACATTCAAAATCACTCCCGATTTGCGGTTCCTCATCCCTGGGAGCACTGCTCGTGTGATGCGCAATGGCGCAAGGAAGTTGACTTGCATCTGAGTCACGACGTCTGCATCCGGCACGTCTTCCGTAGAGCCGAGTACGCAGTACGCGGCGTTGTTGACAACGATGTCGAGGCGCCCAAAAATCGACTCTGCCTGTTGCATGGTTTCTTTTATGATATTCTCATCCGACAGCGCATCCAGAGTGAGCCACTTCCCTCCCTGCTTCTCTACCTCGGCCACGAGTTCTGGAGTCCTCGCTGGATTTCGTGATGTCGCAATGACGGTATGGCCCTGGGACAATGCATAGCGGGTCAACGCAAGGCCGAGACCTGCACTTGAACCGGTGATGAACCAGACTGGGTTTGTGGACATGGCTGGCTAGCTTTCGGTAGGTTTTGGTTATATGTGTATATACTCGTAGCTCCAATGGATGATTCTCGTTGTATATCGCGCTGTATCAAATTTATACCCCAGCTTGTTCTATCTTCCCCGGACATATGCTTCACTTTCGTTTTTATGTCCGCATGCTCCGGTCAGCATTGATCGATCAAGTGGGGAATTCAACACCTAGAACCCGAAACCGAACTGTAGAGTATCTTTTTAGTGTCAATAACAACCATGGTCAAAATAGTTCTTCGAAGATCTTAAAGAATTATACTTCCATGGCTAAGGTGCCGAGTTGAGTTTGCCCAGTGCCCTTTGTAGTTTGATGTCATTCATCATCAATGTTTGGTGTTGAATTGACATGGATGTTTACCTCGCGTTAGGTAAGAAAAAGCCAAGTATTCAACTAGAACCACGAAGAACTTGAGCCATAGGTGTACCCTTACCCGGGGGGAAACGCTGAGAGGTGCCTAACCTACCCCTCATCGGCGGGCATGTGTTTGTGTGTCTTATATTTGATCAACGAAAATTTCGGAGAAATTATGCACACAGATCCATGTCCAAACCAATCCCACTGTACAACGATCTACCCAGTTCCTTAGTGTAGTGGTTATCACGTTTCCTTTACACGGAAAAGGTCGTGGGTTCAATCCCCACAGGGACTAATGTTTTTTTTGGATGGAAGATCTGGTGCGTAGTTCGATGCTGGAGAAGGAAATGCTTTGACGGCGATATCGTTTTTGGTGCACTAAAATTGGCTGAGAATCTCTTCATGAACAATGGTTTGCAAAGTTATGCTTATTATTTTTGTGTTCGCTCGCTAGCTGATATTGAAACCTCAGGTCTGAACAAGGTATGGGCTAACGTCTCGCAATTCCATACCCACGCCAACAACCATTACCCTTCGTCTGCTCGCTGCAGGGCTCTGTTCCTCATCGCCTGGCTTGTCTCCCTCGCCGTCCACTTTCACAAGCTCAATAGCACTCACGTCCGCCACCGCTGTCCATTCAGCATGGACCCTTTTTACCTTGAGGCCTATCATGAGCTTATCCTCGACATCAGCTAAGAACTGGCTCGATACTTCCACCTCCCATACGTTCAGCCGCTGATCGTTTCCAACACTGATGATTTTCAAATTGAACCCTGTGGAGGTACTTTTGACTTCTGCAATTTGGAGTGCTGTCAGTGCAGCGGCATGTGCTTTGGCAATGCAAACCGATCGGGCTCGAGTCGCACTAGAACCCGTCATGGAGGTTGCTCGTGATATGACTGTAAGTCCTAATGCATTATCATCGCCTCCCGTGGCGGCAAGCCATGTATTCTGATTGAGGGCCACGGTATCCATAGACAAGATGCTGCTTTGGTGCACGCGGTGGGGCTCAATCCGAGGGGTGATAGTTTGCACATCATCCAAATGGAAGAAGCTTATGTTCAGAACTCCATTGGTGCCGGCGGACAAAATATGCATATCGAGCAACCGACCGTCCGGTGTCGTATCAGATGACAAAAGTAACGCTTGCATCAGACAGAAAGAGCCGTAAACAATTTCTGTCAATGTCTCAAACTTGCCTTGTCCTCTATCGCCACCAGGAGTGTACTTGATGATTTTGACCTTACCATTGGAATACGCGAGTGTCATCAAGAAGGTGGGCTCCTGATATCCCTCGACTGATGAGAGGTCTGAAATGTCTTTTTGATCAAAACTCATAATTCGTGCGTCTGAGTCTTCGGCTTCTTTTTGCATCTGGTCTTGTAGCACCACACCGACACCGATGAAAGGAACGTTAAACGTCAACTTCCAGACGAAGAATTCTTCACAACCCGCGCTGCTGAATAGATATGTCCCAGACGAAGAAAAAGCGAGATGCTGTAGGCCAGTAGTGTGGCCTTTCAAGATCGCGAGAGGCTGGAATATCGTATTACCGTGAGCCTCGGGCTGGTCGGTAGACAAGGCAAACATCTGGATGTTGGTATCTTCTGAACCAGTCGCGACAATTGGCAGAGCCTGGAGTTCAGGCCTGGAGAAGCCACGGCAACTTGCCAGCGCCTTAATTTCACGGCCGTGCCCACCCTTGACGATTGATCGATGGGGCGACCCTCGAACACTGTACCAGTTGAAATTACCCGCCTTTGTCCACACAAAAGTACGTACTGGATCTGTCACGTTTGAAGTGTGACCTATGCTCTGAAGAACTTCGTCGCCCATTTGATCGTGCGTGTCGCTATATGACCAACTTCGGTGGGACCCACCACACTCCACTGAAAGTAACGTTGACTGCTGCGTTTCGTTCCAGACGACATACGAAGTAGAGCGAAATCCATACAAAATGAGATCGGACGTTTGGGCCTCTGAGCCGGCACAGCTGTTGGTGAAATATGACCCTTCAACGTTGGGGCCGAATGGAGGCGCAGAGCGATGAAGAGTCGAGAGATGAGATTGAGAAATACCTGTGTTTGAATCCCATTCGACACAATGTACAGCGTAATATCCATCTCTCCCTGTTGTCAGAACGTATATGCGTCGTTGGAAGGAGCGATCAGGTTGATATTTGGTCGTCAATATTTTGATAGAAGTGACACTATCTTCACCATGAATGTGACGAAAGCATGTCGGGATAGTGGCTGAGCACTCATCCGATCTGAATCTCGAATATACAGCCAGTGCACCAGCACGCGAGCCCAGAAGGAGGACCTCTGCTCCGGGGTCATAACAAGATGCCGTAACAGTAAATGTATCTGGGAGGTTGAGGCTGACCACCTTCACACGGAGAGGTGGAGGTGTCGTTTCTATCCAGAGGACGAAGACTTCTTTGTTGGCAAGGCATGCGATCACAGATGTCATTGAACTATCCCCTGACCGGGATTCATATGCAATATCAATGGATGAAATCGCTCCCGGTAATGAGGACGAAATTGGAAGTAGCTGGTAATTGGCAAGGTGGAGGAAAGCCAATGACCCGTTCTGCATTCCCAGAAGGGCGAGGCTATTCCTTCGTAAATATCGTATCACCAAACTCATACTGGAGTCTGGATCAAGGATTCTCGTCCAGTTGAGAGAATTCTCGACACCATTGTTAGTAAGCATGAATAGCTCCCCAGAATCTGTCGTCGCAATGCACTCTTCATGCGTGACAATGTTGTAATGCTTCAAAGCTTTTTTAGATCCAGTGATGTCCTTGAATGGACGGGAGGTGTGTAGAAAGACAGTTTTTCCGTCCCCTATATTTCTGAGAATTACCTGGCCATCTGCACCACCCGTGTATACCTTCGTTGAGGACCCGACTCGTCGTTGAGCGAATGACCAGATATTTTTCCCATTGTGATGTCGATCCTGCAGGACAGGTTGCAAGACGAACGATGGCCCTTGATTGGAATTGGTTACTCGTATCAGAGACCATAATTGACAGGTGGCATCCTCGCCTCGGGAAAGTAGGAGGACATCATCCTGGCCGGAAGTGGTCTGCCTGACATCGAAAGTGATGTTCCATATGCGAGATGCATGTCCCCAGGAAGCTGCAAGCTGAAGGTTATCAGACGTCTCGGAGTGTCCAAAACCTGTCGTCACAGGTAGGTGTTCCGGGTGAGTAAGCGCAGCAGAATGATCGCAGTCGCTGATATCCCAAACTCGGATCGTGCGATCATCGCTACAACTGGCCATCAATCTTGTGATAGTGCCATTGAGGCTTAGCGGATTTGAGATTGCAACACCGAAGATGGAACCTCGGTGGCCATTGTATCGATGTCTAGGAACTGCCAGCCAACTCCCAGAGGTGGTCGATCTTTGACATGTCCATGTGATCACTTCCCCGAAGACAGTTCCAGAAGCGATGATGATGTGATTCACTTCAATAACCTTGATATCTGCTGCATATAAAAATGACTGTGGGCCATGAACTTTGGACACAACATTACAGCTTCCAGGACCAAACTCGCCGTCAGCCCAGGGGTTGACCTCTAGTAATGTGTTATGAGCAGTTAGCATGAAACTATTGGTCATTGGTGACTGTCCATGTTCTGGTGCGTCATCGTGGAAGGCTACGATTTTCAAGATCCAATCTTGAGCATCGAACAAAGGTTTCGGGATGAAGGTGAGCCTGCTCGAGACAGAATCCGGTTCAAAAGGCTTCAGGTAACCATAGCGCACCCAACGACCACCCCAGACAGCGATCGCAACTTGAGGAGGCACATTTTGAGCAGCTTTCTCCGGGATGATTTCAAACCCTTGAATGGGCTGGACATCAAAAATTTGCGCGCACACAGTTTGGACGCCTGCGTCGTCGTAAGCACACAACCAGGGCCCTTGGCCAACAAGGACGAAGTTCCTTTGGCCACATTCCAATGGAAGTAAGGCGGTCACAGGCAGGCATGATGCTTGAGATGGGAGCATTCAGAGTGTGCGTTGTCTTTGAATGACAACAAACTCCTAAAATGAGCCAAAAGTCTTCCAGATGTTGTTCTACAGTAAGAGGGCTCCTTTGGACATGTTCAGAGAAAGCGCGGTCGTCAGTCTATGGAAATCGCCAGCATGTTAGGAGACTTCATGTATGTCACGCTCTTATTTGAGATTGGTTGAAGTTTGACAATGAGCATTCTACGTGTGCTAGACGCCAAGACGACGCTGCACTTTAGTGCAAATTCGATCCCAATCACCTTACCAACTCAGTGACCTCTCTAGAATATCGGCCTTTGTGGCTTGGGTCTCATATATCTCTGCAGATAACAAATCAGCGTGATCTCGATGATCTTGGTCCATGGTCTTTACTCAGACCAAGGTCGCAGGTAGGTTAGGTGGCTATCTATCACTCATCGTCATCTGCATGCTTCTCTTCTTGTAAGTCCGTATGATGAATTTTTTCGTGGGAAGAAACAAAGGTTACTTGACACGAAACAGCTCGAAAACGTATAGAGCTGATATATTCATGTGGACATCAATATGGTACCTTGACTTTCGAAATCTCTCCAGAAACGTTATTATGGATATTTAAGCACTGGTTGTTCGGCCGATATGGCCTATGCCATATCCTACAGGAAAAGCAACTGAGCACTAGACCTTCCAGCCTTCCCAGTTGCCAGCACAATGACCATGGCCTGCTGGAGATCTGGAACTCTTTTCTCCTCGGGTCGATCATTTGATACAGGCTGTGAGCACGAGACCACCTCCCAGTTACCACCCGACAATTTTACATCCTTAATCTCGTCTCCATCTACAAATATACGCAATGCCGACAACTCGTCCTCTCGAATAGTCCCCGATACGTGGATTTGATCGCCTTGTCTGAATGTCTTTTCGCTGTCGACTGTCAGCACAGGAGCTTCAGACCCCAATTGCCTCGGTTCCTGGGAAAGCAAAATGATATCTGTTTCCAGCTCTGGCGTCCTCGCCGGCTTTTGTCGCAATTGGCTACTCTTTTCGAAAGCGTAGGCATACCGAAGCAGAGCGGTGTCGTCATATGCCGCCGACGCAAATGTGAGGTTGACAGGCATTGCCGTGTCTGCCATCACACCCATGGGCACACTAATTGTGGGAATACCTAACTGGCGAATTGCACAGTTGCCATTCGAGAAGAGGACGCCGTTGCGCCACGCATCTGCTGCGGAGGCCTCGTTGCAATCGGCGTCTGCTTTGCCAACATCGCCGTTGCAGGGCCATACAACCGCATCCAGCCCGAGGGTGCCGAGCCAGTCTTCAAAATCAGCTCTCCGCCTGGCTTCGAGATTCTGTAGGGCTTGCCCCAGGCCGGGAATGTCATATGTGGGGATCCTGCCACCTGTAATGTGTGCCACCACATCAGCGTGGCGTGCCAATGGGTCGTCGGTGTCATATTTGTCGGGGATCGTGCCTGGTGGCTGGGGAAAGATGGTCGCGGAGTCCACCTGCGCGAGAGTCGCGAGCTTCTTGTCGCCATTGCTGACGAGAAAGTCGTCCCAGGCATAAGCCATCAGTCGACACATGTCGACTTCGTTGCGGTGAGGCGGAGCGATTGATTCCGCCTGCGGAGGACCACTGGCCCCCTGTTCGACCGCCTCGAACTTGGTCACGACGGGGAAATCAACCTCTTCGACTACGGCACCAAGTCCCTCCAATATCTTTCGAGCATTGTTCCACAGGTCGACGACAGACTGACGGGTATGGACTTTTCTCGCCGCTGGATCGGAGTCAGTCTTGCCAATGTACATTTTGGGAACGCCGATCTTCTTCCCGACCAGCGCGTCGGCATCGGCCAGGTTGTGGTATGATTTCGGGCGGACGCTGGCGACCTCTGGAAGGGTAACAAAAGGCTGTGCTCTCCAAAAGTCGCACTCCTTTTCCTGATCATGCGCAACGATCACATCGAGCAGGGCAAACATGTCCTTCATCGTCCTTGTGTGGGGGACCACGGTGTCGCATGTTGGAAAAAGCGGCCAATTTCCTCGAATCGATATCAAGCCTCGGGACGGCGTGTAGGCAACAAGTCCATTGTTTGAGGCGGGCGAGCGCCCGGAAGAAATTGTCTCCTCGCCCATGCCAAACACGCCGAAACTGGACGCTGTCGCCGTCGCGGATCCATTTGATGACCCTGAAGCGAACGCTGCTGTAAGGTATTCGGCATTATACGGTGACTCGGCACGACCATACACTCCGCGCTGCATTCCTCCTGCAGCCATGGGAGGCATATTTGTTCGGCCCAAGATGACGGCGCCGGCTTCTTTGATCTTCTTCACCGTGAACGCATCATCCTGGGCGATCAGATTCTGAAACGCATGAGAACCAGCCGCCACAGTCATGCCCTCTATCTTGTAGGAGTCTTTGATGGTGCACGGAAGCCCATCTAGAATATTTACTGTCTTCCCGGCTGCGCGGCGGTAATCAGAAGCTTGCGCAGCTTCCAGTGCGTTCTCATTAATGATGGGCATTGCATTGAGCACCGTGGACCGGCGATCATATTTGGCCACACGAAGGAGGGACTTGACTGTCAATTCAACACTGTTGGTGTGTCCATCGGCAAGGGCGGCCGCCAGATCTGCAACAGTGGCTTCGACGATGGATAGTGCTGTGGCTTTCTGTGCGATCTTAGTTGAGTGAACGATGGACACTGGAAGGAAATAGACTGGAAATACAATGGTAGTGAGAACTTACGGGTGACACCTCGATGGAACCCATTTTTGCTCCGTTTGGTTGTTGTTCTTGAGTGCTTGAGGAAAAGAGATAGTATGAGAGAGGGATACCTTTGAATATTCGTTCTACGTCTCGGTCAATCAATTCTATATATGTCTATCCTCCTCATCCTGAAGAGCCCGAAATACAGCTGTAGAACCCGAAAATTACCAGCTGCTAATGGTATCGTAAATCTGCGGAAATTAACAGCTGTTGAATTGATAAGCCATTTCAACAGCTACTAAATGCCTCCGACCACTTCAGAACTACACGATTTAGCAGCTGTAGATAGCATATCAACAGCGGCCGCCCCTGACACAATGTCATCCTTCCATAAAACGAGTATACACGGCTATCTTCGCTTCCAGATTACCAAATACCAGTTTATGATAGCTGCTCGGCCAGGAGAACTCGAGCCCAGGGTTATGTATATATAGTGGGTTCTTTTTCGAAGTTTTAATCCTTCTCCCTTCAGTCAATTCATCTCTCCAGATTCCACACTTCTACAACCCAAGATCTATACTGATTCCCTCCAGGCTTCCACAAGCCGACCATGTTGGGCCCCACAGACCATGACCCAGACTATGTGCCTGGCACAGTCTACCTCGTCGACGTTGGCGGTCAGCTATCGTCGAATCTGCACGATGCTGCTCACCGCGACATCGTGCTTGTTCCGCGCCCAAGCTCAGACCCTGAAGATCCGTTGAATTGGACACACCGACGCAAGATCCTTGCCGTCAGCATGGGTTACCTCTACGTCCTTGGAACTGGCATTGCGACTTCTCTGCAATATTCCGTCCTCGCCGACATCACGGCGGATACCGGAATCTCCACTGCAAGCCTCGTCCAAGGTACCGGCGTCATGTTTCTGTTCTTTGGCTGGGCTTGCCTCCTGTGGACTCCAATCGCTCTCACCTATGGTCGTCGTGGGGTGTACCTTATCACCATGTTTCTCACCATTCCCATAATGGTCTGGACCGCTTATTCGTCCACCGTAGAACAATGGTACGCCCATCGAGTGCTCATAGGGATAGTGGTTTCCCCGATCGAATCCTTGTGCGAAGTCACCGTGTTCGACCTCTTCTTTGCACACAACCGCGGGACTTATATGGGACTATATGTTTTCATTCTGTTCGGCTCGAACTTCCTCGCCCCTCTTGTGGGCGGGTGGTTGAACGATGCCTATGGATGGCGGTGGACGATGCATTTCGGAACGATCCTCTGTGGAGTGATCTTCTTGATCTTGTTTTTCTTCATGGAAGAGACCATCTATTTCCGTGACGGCGCTACCCTGGGAGAGACTGCGGTACGCGCAAGTCCACCGAGCGAAAATGAGGCAGACAGCCACGAAGGATCAACATCGCCAAAAATGGAAGCTTCGAGCATCGCAGCGTCTCCAGCCCCATCTGTACTTGGAACAGGCGAGCACCCGCCAAGTATCAACGCAGGTTGGAGAAGGTACGGACTCTTCAAAGCTCTTCCCAACCGTCCAAGCAACGTCAACATGCTCCGAATGGCATATCGGCCGATCATCATGATCTTTCGTTTCCCCACTGTCGCATGGTCTGGATTTCTTTATGGAATTAACCTAGCCTGGTACATGGTACTAAATGGCACCGCATCACCAGTCCTAACAAGTGCCCCGTACAACTGGTCGGCCGCCTTGGTAGGCTGTGTCTACGCTGGTCCAATCGTGGGGGCCGCCCTGGCTTCACTCTGGGCTGGCAATGCTGCAGACTGGATTGCCCTTCAGCTCGCTCGACGAAACAAGGGTATTCGAGAACCTGAGCATCGTCTCTGGGTGTTGGCGGCCTCGGGTATCATCAGTGCCGCTGGACTTGTTACCTGGGGAGCGGGTGCCTATCACAACGTGCACTGGATCGGCCTTGTCTTTGGCCTCGGAATGCTGACCTTCGGTTGTGTGACTGGCGGCTCGATCGCCGTCAGTTACAACGTGGATTGCTTCAAGGAGATCGCTGGGGAGACCACCGTTTCCATCATGCTGATCCGCAACACCATTGGCTTCGGCATCAGCTATGCAATTACTCCATGGTGGACACGGCAAGGATTGCAAAATTGCTTCATCACCACCGCCGCAATTTCTTTGTTCTGCACGTTTACCTTCCTCATTGTGATTGTGTACGGAAAGCGAATCAGGCGCTGGTCGATCCCCGCCTATCGCAAATATATGGCGACACAGATCGTTTCGCAGGAGTGATGGAGAGAGATGGAGAGGTGTCTCCTTAAACGACTAGGTATTTAGCTGTTGGGAGTGCATCATCTTCAAATTCCTTATGCTTCGGTCCTCAAATTGACAGCTATTGCAGCGTCAAGCGGCTGTTTCTGCCAATTTGAGTAATCGTTCGGCCGCGGCCGCGGCAGAAGGAATATCATGCTCAAGATTTTGAACTAGATCTCCAATGAATGTGATTAAACGTCTTGCTTCTGGACGGTACTGGCCATTATCGTAGTGAGAAGCGTTGCAGATCATATGCCCGACTCCAAGCAGCTGGTGCACAATCTGGCCACTGGCAACTTTGAACATGATCAAGGGTGCTTGACTTAATTCTTCGAGGAAATTCTCGGCAAGTTCCATTACATCGCGGGCTGGAGCCTGGCTGTACAAGAAACTCAAGATTGTTACCAGTGTTTCGGTACATGATATCTGAATACCCATGTATCTGCATCGGTTGCTCTCGAACCCGCCCTCACCTTCGGCTGTACCGAAGATTCGATGTGGCTTGCTGGCCTTGAGCCTGGTGAGGCTATCGAAAAGTGTGGTTGGCGAAGGCCGATCACAGAGGACGGCCAATACTGCTTTCCGGTTCTTGCATGCTCGAAGACTGAACAGGGCGTACTCCAGTAGGCGAAAGAGATCTGTGATATAGTCCCATCCCGCGGTCCATGCCTGTGCTTCAGGATCCATAGAAGGGATAATGCGAGGATAGAGGACCGTTATCTGTGACTCGGGCAGACGCACGACGTGGCCAAACACAGTTGCGCTATGCACCTCCAAACGGTACATGCACCAAAAGAGTCGACGCCGGTCGTCAATTTCGGGGAGTGAAATATCTGTAGGCCACTTCGCTTCGTCATGGAAGCCATGTTGAGCGACCAGCGCATGGTACAGGCCAAGGTAACGATGAAGATCATTGGTCTCACTTCGTTGAAGAGAATAGACTGCTAAGAGGCCGAAAGCTCGCAGATAGTCTAGGTCCTGCGACTGTGTAAAGTGTTGTGGTATCCTGGAGACAGCCTCTGAAAAGTATTGATGGCTGTCCGGTAAGCCAAAGTCTCCAAGCAAAGTGTCGTCGAAGACTGCGTTGAAAGCGGCTGTCTGACAGCTGACAGCACACAGAGCCATTAGTAATAAATAGGAAGGTGTTGTTGCATCTGGAATTCCGCCTGACCAGCGCACCAGTAGATCGTTTTCAGGGAGAAACGGGTAGCTAAACGTTGCTCAACTCCTTGTATAAAGACCAATTACGGGCCAAGAGAATGACATACTAGCATTGATACATAGTGTTGCGATAGATGCGCAACAGAAGCGATATTGTGTCGATAGACATTGCTTCTGGATTCGTGGACTGCAGTTCCACCTGAGATATCTCACATTCATTCGACCTCTGCGGCTTCCGGCCTCTCCTCTGGATAGGGCGATTACTCGTGCATTCAATGTTGTAATCATTACATGTGAGACAACTGTTTTGTACATGCTGTGGTTGACCCGAGCTGATGGGTGCACGACGACATCTCAGTCCACGAGTATGGCAAAAATCGCATGCATGTGAAGCTCGCTGCCTCTTGTGAGGAGTATAGGTAGGCATATCGCGACGTACAATCGAGATGAATCGACATCGAATAGTTGATGAACAGTTCTGAGAATTTAAGCGCGGTTGTATTCAATTCTTCTTATCGTATCATCAATTTTGCCGTTGATAAGCCCGTTCGGTCTCCTAACTAGCGATGAAGACCAACCAATGAAGACTTACCGTAGGTCAAGCCAAGATGAAACTGGAGCCCGCCTTAGATGTAAGCGGATGTTCATAAGGCATTCAAGTTGTTGTTCAGTAGGGCACAGGTTTCGTCGGTACCTACAGTAGGCGTACGCTTAACATGGAAGTGCTCGGCTCATGCATAACCTACCCATGTGTCTGATGTCCCCACATCGGGGCTGCGATGTTAATTCGGAAGAGCGTAGCCCCTCTGAATGAACAATGAAGTTCTCTACGATGATGAGTCTGGATGTTAGATGATCTATTAGCTACATAGGCAGCGTGAATTTCATTTTGAAAGAACAGGAACAATTCATTTTCTGGATGATTTCTGGGAATCCGAGAGAAGCCAAGTGATTCCGTCGCTGCTTTAGCCCCTAGTAGTGCCAAGATTTTCGTCGCCCTCAGTAACCCTCTGCTGGAGAAGACATTCCCCTTTACCCTAAAGCCCGTCAAGGAACACAATCAGAATTTGCATGAAACAGGCCTGCAATCTGCCTCGGAGCGTTACTCTTTGCATCAGATGAACGAGGATAACAACTTAACCATTTCCAACTACTCCTTGTTGTGAGCTCGGGCAGTACGCGCCAAACACGCGGCATTGGACGCGTCCGTTGAACCAACAGAAGCAGGAGGGACATGACCAACTTCGAGTTACAATGACCCTGCAAGTTGTTTCTGATCTCAAGTTGATTCGAAGCGGCACGTTCAGATACTTTGCAGATCTCGCTTGCGACCTAACTAGGGGTAGGGTTACAATATGGGTTCCGCCCGGGAGCCCATTGTGTTGTCTGACTCTGATGAGGACGGACAGCCACAAAGAAGAGTTTCAGCTCACCCTGAATACATGCGCCAGGCCTTAAACCCAGATCGTCACTATCCATGGCGGTCAGAACAACGACAAACACCTCCACAGAGACCTTTCAACCGTCCCACGATGCCAACCATGGGCTTCTCCCAACCCCCGCGTGTTGTTCATCAATCTACTCGTCACTTAGTAACCACAAATATACCCAGAACACAGGTACCCTTGGCCACCCAACGAGCTTCAACAGAATATCCAGGGAGTAGTCCATTACCTGTATCACAACGAAGACCGGTGTCCTCAAATGAAGAAATCACCATGGCTCGCCTCAGTCGAATATGGGGATTCTCAAACCCTCTACCCAAGACGGGCAATCCTTCAACTCGCCCATCCACTCCGAAATTAGCAGAACGAGAGAGTGTCTCTGCCCCACAGGTTTCAGCTCGCCAGCCAAAGGAAGCTGTGGCCACTACGAACAACAAAGTGCCTGACCAACAAGCACGCGGGTCCTCTGATGTCTCTAAAAAGAGCTGCCAGCGTTGCGTTCGAACAGACACCACGTGTGATGGACTACAACCCTGCACACCTTGTAAGAACACGCACTGCAGGTGCTCTTATCAGACCATGGTAGTTACACTCGTCTCAAAGTCAGCCAGGGCCATGGATGCCAACTCGAAACCCAATCATTCCGTGAACTCAGCACAATTCCATGTGACTGACCATGGTATTGATGGTCACATTGAACCTCACGAGCCCCAACAGAAGCCGGGACTCAGCTACGATATGGTCGCAATTCAACCTGACCACGACGACACATCTTCAGACGAATTCGCCGCTCTCCTGGAAATTGATCTTAGTATCGAAGCAGTCCGAAACCTAGTCAACAACCTGCAAAAGGATCAACACGTTTGGCAAGAAAAATCTGTTCAAGCAGACCTGAGACAGGCAACATTTGATATGAAGACTAGACGCTTACCGGATCTCGACCTGAATATGCCTGACCCTTTTCGTGTCGCATTCGAAAAAAGAAAGGCCACAGAGTCGGAGGATATTCTCGAGACACCAGAGACCAATGGTGTGGGCAAGACTTTGGCTCGGCCTCAACAGAAGAAAGTCTTGCTGACCAGAGCGGTCGAGAAACGCTTCAAGACTGGCGGCAACGTACTCCCGAAGTACAAGGCGATAGGAAGAGTATCTTCGACTTTTCTTGCCCCTAACTGCCACACTCAGAAATACCGACCCTACGACGCGGAAGATGAGATTCAAGATCCAGAGTCAACAGAAAAGTATCTTGAACTCGAGCAACGATTTAACAATAATTACGACGGTTTGAAAGCCCAACGGGACTGTCAAGAACTGATATGGCTCTGGAAGCCATGGGTGGAGCAACTTCTTGGCTCTATGCAGATCAAAGCAGAACACGTGATTTACTATTTTGTTCGCGATCATTTCGAGCAGGATCGGCAGCTCAAAGTGCCTTGGTCAATGGAGTCTGGAAGGGCATGGACATCAGAGTGGACAAAAAGCTGCACAACTTGCGAGCTTGCAAGTCAGGAAGAAAGAATTTCAAGCTTCAGTCGGAACAAATTCGATGAGCTAGATCGACCTGATGACCGGAGTTTGGCCCTTGCTGGTCTTGCAGCCTACGCATTCCATCAATTGAGTCGAGTCAGCATGTGGCACATCGTCACAGGTGGCCTCATCCAGCCGCCTCATGATGAATGGGAGGATGACGAGAATGGGTCAGAACCATGTCTGATCTGTTTTCGCCATCATTGTCCAGCCCATGGCAATTTTGTTGAGCCCCGCGATGAAGATCAACCAGAGGATACCAAAGCCTATGTCAACGATGAAGAGAAGAAGCAGAATGTCAGAAAATTCATGTCTCTCCCTGCAGATGAGCAAAAGGACCAGAAGCCACACTCCTGTGGCGTCTTTTGTGTTGATCCGGCACAAAGCCTCCAGCAGATAGTAGGCAGACATCCAGATGGCACTGTCGGTGGTGACAGTCGAGTAAACGATCAAACACGGTCATCATTCCAAGAAAATGAACTTTGCAGCAGTAGGTGTTTCTGGGAAGTTTCTCGGCGACGAAACCTCAAGATATCCGAAGCCAAGTTTGAACCTTTCCTGTCGAGGTCGCATAGGGTTCTTGTTGAGAAGCTGATGCGGTTTTATCTCAACCACCTCAGAGGACCATGCGTCATCTCTCGAATTGTCAAAGATGTGACTTGTGAGAGTGTCTTTAATCACATGATCTTTTGCATGATGCAAAACCCACACCCTTTTCTGGATGGAGATCCACTGTCTGACACCAATTCTGCCCAGAGACTTCAGATTGCCGCAAAGAAAAAGAGAAAGCCTGCGCCACCTATGGATACATCCAAGAGTGGGGATCTTGATCAACGGCCTCCGTTTCAACCATGCTCGCATGAGGGGCCTTGCCACAATGATCCCAAGTGTAACTGCTACAGATACAAGGTGCACTGTGAACGCTTCTGTGGCTGCGATGACTCTTGCAAACGACGATTCAGAGGTTGCACTTGCGTGGCCCGTGGAAACAAGGTTTGCTTCAAAGACAACCGCTGTGAGTGCTGGAAATTGAATCGAGAATGTGACCCGTCCCTCTGTGGGAAATGCGGCGTGTACGAAGTTCTAGATTCTTACAACAAATACAACGATGACGTTCGCAAAGGAAGATGCAGGAACAATCGGATTCAGCTCGGACTTCCAGCACCTACTACCAAGGCGCCAAGTCAAATACAAGGCTATGGCCTTTACAGCAGAACGGCCATTCTCAAAGAAGAATTCATCGGCGAATACACAGGTGAACTCATCAGCAAGTCAGAAGGCAACAGAAGAGGTGCCATGTATCACGTTCTAGGGCAGGAGTACCTATTCACCATCAACAAAGCACAGGAGATCGACGCATCCAATAACGGCAACAAGATGAGATTTATGAATAACTCTCAACGCGAAGAGCATATTAATGTGGAGCCGAAGATGCTCTGGTGCAGTGGCGTTGTGCGTGTCGGTCTTTTTGCCAAACGCGACATCGAGGCCGGAGAGGAACTACTGTACAACTACAATTACCCCGAATCCAAGGTCCAATATTTTTGGGAACCTGGTGAGCGGCCATCCAATACACGAGCTGTCGTCCCGCTGTCCCATGAGCGCACTGCACGGACGATAACAGCGCCAAGTGCAGTTAAAGCTTTTGCAGACGCAGTGAATAATGACAGCCGCAGCCCATCTCCCATAGTCGCACGATCCCGGAAGAGAAAACGAGTGTTGGACGATAGTTCCTCCGAGCCTGAGGAATTCAGGCAGGCTACTCGACCAGCTGGCACTGCCAGGCGTCCGCGCAGTGGGACCGGAACCTCACGCGTTCCTGAAATTGGAGATTCAGCAGAGTCAGACTATCAAGTCAACGGGCGTTTTGCTGACGAGGATGAGGCAGGAAGAGAAGGAGACTTCGAGGACGATGCCGATGGCTTTGTTGACGACCTTTCAGAACCGCCAGAGGAGAAATCACGCAAACACAAGGCCTCTAAATCTCGCTCATCTAACATCATCATCGGAGCAACCAGCAGACGGGCGAAGAAACGCTCGCGGGTCAGTGGCGCACCTGCGGCTCGTCGGGTGTACAAAATGAAGGATCAATTGGACGGAATGGCAACGGCCAGTAGAGCTGCGAGGGTCAAGTCTCTGAGCCGCTCAAATCATACGAAGAATAAAGCGGGAAAGTTGGTGATTAGGAAGCGCAAGATAGGGCCGAATGATGGTCGATTTGGTGGGAGAGCGCAACAGTTGGCGTGGGAGACGAGAAGGTTGAATGAAGCGCGGGCGAACGCAGGCTCAAACAGCTGATGGCAGGGCTTTTTGTACAATAGTGATGAAACGTCCATCACATGCAAGGCAGATGCGTCTGGCTGGAGGCATGATCCGGAAAGGAATTTACATGGTTAGCTACGGTGCTCAGTACGTACTCCGTATGCACATGCGATTGACGATCCGGAGAAGGCTTGCGGCAGAAACTCTGCAAGGGTGGTGGATAACGATGGTCTCGTGAGCTGTGGCTGTGTCTTGTATTTGAACTATCCGCGCGGGCTATCGTGCGGCTAATGAGGAGACCATGACCACTGTGGCATCCCGATCTACATGCAGAAACTACTTCGTGGATACTCTAGACGCATTCGATGCATTTGAATATGGCGGTATCCAAGAACTGCCCAGCCAGTGGATCTCGCAAATGGACCAAGATAGCAATTAAATTGGAATTGGGTCATGATGGAAAAGTTGAAGATCTGTTTTGCCTCATGCATATGGAGCATTCCCGAGACCCTATGCAAATCGATGACGTGAGCGGCTTGTTGCTTTGACGACGAGATTGCGAGTGAAGTATTATTTGGGGAGCTTGGAGCTGCCAGCTGCCAGCTGCATGGTGAGCGGGTTATTAAGCTGGCGGCCAGAAGATAAACTCGAACCATCGAACCAAGCGCCCGAGCATCTTCCATTTAGAGGGTTGCAGCGGATCCCACGAGCTTCAAGCTTGAAGCATCGAGCCATTGAGCTGCCCCAAGTTCCAACTCCAACTTCTTGCAGGCTGCAGCTATCCATACTAGTTTCCTGTTTCCCCCCTTCGCAAGCTTTTAGAGCTCTCTCCTCATGCCCGTTCGTACCTGCGCCTGGTTAAAAGATCATCAGAAAATTTAATTTGGATATGTTGTTTATTTCTTCCCACAGCTTCGCTGCCCAGCACTACTCGTATGTGCCACAGTCGTCAAGATCGATCTCTGGCAACCGCTGTGGAGTTGAGGGAGGAGGAATGACGTGGAGGCTGGCCCCATCTGGGTTTCCAAATCCCATCATGGACTTTCGATTGTGGCTTGTCCTTGTCTTTGCACTTGTTTCAGTGGTGAGTTTGTGTGGAAAAAGTGGGCTTGATTGGAGAGGGTTCTAGAGGGTGGTGGTGGCGCCAGTGGGTGCCCCAGCAATGGTCGGTGCACACAAACCGGCCCCTGGTTTCTTTTGGCTTTCTCTAGCCACTTCGAGTTGCCAGTGCCACCTAGAAGGTCCAAAGTCATCAGTAGTAGCAGCAGCCCCAAGGTGGTCCGCTCCCATCCGGCACGTCATCCCTCCTCCATCGCCGAAGAGCTATCCCGCCTGAATTACTACCTCTCCTTCCGCTGACCTCGCTGCCTCTTCTCATCTTTCCATTCTTCACAACACAGTTCTCACCGAACATCAGCTTTCACCGTTTCTGAAACAGCTCTGTGTCTAACCCTGACACTCAGTTCTCATTCAATATACACACTTACAAAAGACCTGCCCAGTAGCTCACCAGCCGCTGTAGCTCCTTCTCCACCCTCACCCTCTCCTCCTTAAAGAGCGTTATCATCAGTCCCACAACCGCCTTTCAAGATGCACCGCACATACTCTATGCGCCAATCGCGCGCACCTACAGCCTCACAAATTGAGAATCCCCCTCCACCATCTTCCTCAACCAAAGGCGGCCGCCTATTTGGCCGCAGCAACTTCGGTAAGCTCTTTCTTCTTTTTCTGCAATGAGTGCAACCCCATCTGACAGTTAGATTAGGCCATGCATTTAGAAAAGGTACCGCAGGTGCCTTTGGCCCAGATCTCGCCAAGAAGCTCTCCCAGCTCGTCAAGATGGAAAAGAACGTCATGCGAAGTCTCGAGCTAGTAGGCAGAGAAAGAATGGAAGTAGCTGTAAGTTCTCCACTTGAGCAGCATCCGATGACAAGCCCAGACCCCAAACTAACCAAGATGTGCAGCAACAACTTTCCCTGTGGGGCGAAGGTTGCGACGAGGACGTCAGCGACGTCACTGACAAGCTCGGAGTCTTGGTCTACGAAATTGGCGAGTTGGAAGATCAATTCGTTGATCGCTACGACCAATATCGTGTGACTATCAAGTCGATCCGTAACATTGAAGCTTCCGTGCAGCCCTCGAGAGATCGCAAGCAAAAGATCACCGATCAGATTGCTCAACTAAAATACAAGGAGCCCAATAGCCCAAGAATTGTTGTCCTGGAGCAAGAACTCGTTCGTGCTGAGGCCGAGTCCTTGGTTGCCGAGGCCCAGCTGTCCAACATTACTCGCGAGAAGCTGAAGGCTGCATTCACCTACCAATTCGACGCAATCCGAGAACACTCGGAGAAGGTTGCCATCATTGCAGGTTACGGAAAACATCTCCTCGAGCTCATCGATGACTCCCCAGTGACCCCTGGAGAGACCCGAGCATCCTACGATGGTTATGAGGCCTCCAAGGCCATCATTCAAGATTGCGAAGATGCTCTCACCAACTGGGTATCGTCCAATGCAGTTGTCAGCTCCAAGCTCTCGGTTCGCTCGCGCAACCTTAGCCAGCGCCGGAAGAAGAACGCTGCTTCATCCGAAGGCGTGGATCTGAGTGGTCAAGATCACGCTCTCAAGAATGACCGTGACAGCTGGGTGCCTGCAGGTCAGCACGGAGAGTATGAACAAGAAGAGGAGGAAGAAGAAGAGGAAGAGGAGGAGGAGGCTACTGGAACCAATGGTAAGACGCGTCATCTTCTGGTCACCCGAGTTGTAGCTAACAGACGTCCAGGTCAACACGCCGGTCAGCACCCTGTCGCCGCTTAGACCCAAGGAGTTGTTCAACGACAATGCAATGCAAAGCAGACCGATGTGATCCTCCGGCAATGAGCCTTACCGATCGCAAACACGCTCAGAGTCACAATGGATGAGGAAGAGCGTGGAAATAAAATACCCCCTTGGGAAAATGGAAGGCGCTAGATCTGAGGGAGCATACAGGGTGTTCGCACAATGATTGATGTCGAGATTCAAGTTTTTCTTTTCCAGGTGTAATGAAGACAAGCGAAGATGGAAGTTATTTGCCTGAACGCCACTTCGAATCCCTTCCGACATGGTTCTCGCGTCCGACTGCGCACTGCATGGCCACCATCGAGTTATCATCCGTGGTGGACCACATGACCAGGAGACGTATGGGAAGATAGAAGCAAGTTCCAATTCTGCGAATCATCTAACACCGAGTAATAATGAGATAATGGAAGAAGTGTCTAATTGCACTGTATTCACCCAGATTCCGTAAGCTATTGCGTGGTCTATCAAACCGGTCGTCATAGAATAGCTACGGCTACAGACTTCATACCAAAGTAAAAAGCGCAGCCTTCCAAGTATCTCACCATGACTCCAAGGAACTGGCACGAGTTACGGGGGCGCCCGCTAGCATGATTGGTACATGGTGACATCCGGGGACGCGTGTACGGTCACCCAAATCATCGATGAGTACGAAATACATGCCCTCCTGCTAACTAGGATACTAGGGACCATCACCTACGACACTATACCCCATTATTTACACCAAGACGTTATTGCGCAAGTACTCGTCATCCACTATTATGACTGAAGAACGCCGGCAATTGTTGAAGATCTGGGTGTGTGCGCTCACCAAAACGACCCTCGGCACATCCAGTGCTGTGGGTGGGCACCCACCATCTATTAATAACAGGGCTGAACAAGCCTACCGGAGTACCACATGATTGGTGATCTTGTTACATTCGGCGAGCTGAACAGCTCTTCGGTAAGCGAAAAAAAAGAAGGAAGAGAGGAAGAGGAAGAGATCTGAAAATGGACTGATGAGGCCTATTTGATGACTGTGTGTTGGTCTTTGAGGGCACGCACCCGGCTCGCCTTGAATAGATACCTACCTAGGTATTATTGTGATGATCGATGCAATTAAAACCAATATTGTTGTTCCTTGTTCATTATTATTGCCCAAAGACACGTCTACGTTATTATCATGAAGCCTCGCGTTCGGGCTGTTCTAGACTTGGTGGTCCTTGGACTACGGAAGGGCTTAAACGTGGAGGAAGCTTGGCTACCCTCCCTAAAGTTCACAGCTGAAATGGAGCTGATCGCTGGGTCCTCGTCGATGCAAACACCGAGAGACCTTTATGGCTTGAGTTCATCTTCGGAATCAATACTGCATGAAGATATAGGTATGTGTGATATGATAAAGTTTACTGCTTATCAATATAGGACGGAATGAAGAATTTGGGTTCAATATCTCGATTCCGTGCTTTTGAAATCATACCTACATATGGACATAGGTAGAATATCTGGATGGTGAATGAAACACTCGCCAGGATGGGGGCTGAACAAATGCATCGCACTAACTCGGCGGGCCATATAGCATGATCCAGCTAGGCGGTCGTAGGCGATCCACCTGAAGCCTAAAGGGCCAATGTGAGGGGAAGGAAGGATTCAGTGGCCGTCCCTGCGCAGGTTCAAGTTGCCTCAGCCTCACTCCTTAGTGTCCCGTTTGGCAGTGCAGGGCCTTGCAAAGCCTGAGCTGCTACGCCTCCAGTACCAATAGAGGATGATGAAGCAACATGCTGTGCCACGGTTGAATCGAATGACTTTTCTTCCTTCAAGCGGAGTTCCTGCTTGCTCAAAAGACCACCTCGGACTTTCCTGTCGCTATTACCTCTCGTTCAACCATTCATTCTCCTCAGCCTGTCCATACAACGACAGTAACCATCACCAACTTGAACTCGCTTTACTTGTTGGTGGGGATCCATCAGCATTCGTTCCCCGTACGCCTCCAAAACATCGCCTGTCCTCAAGGTGACTTCCCAAATTGCCCTAAGTGCTTACGGCCCCCGACTCACCAACTGCACCCTGAAATCTACCTCTTCTTCTTGAATCTCTCATAAGTCAAATCATTCCGTGACCGAACTTGACAAGAGATCGTTCTGTCGAGACTCATCAACCTACCTACCTATATCCATCCTGCCAACACAAGATCCCCATCTCCATCGGCCACTCTGATTCCCCGCATTGAGACAAACTTACCACGGCCGGCACCTTTCAGCTGAGCTGAACTCGAACTTGTCCTCCATTCCCTCAGTAACACCTTTTGGATATTCACAGTCGCAGCCATGGTCTCTGCAGGCCGCATATGCTGTATAACAGCTCCCTTTCTTCTCACCATTGCCGTCCTCGTCTGCACGGTATTGATATTCATCGCCGGAACCATCGATCGGAATAAGACCGTCGATGATTTATATTTCCTAAAGGTAAGGAGCATCGCTCGATCAATGTAAGACACGCACTGACAGACACCCCGTCAAGATCGATTTGACAAACCTCACCCTCACCTCCTCCGCAAATCTAGTCGGCGATACCAGTGCATCCGATTCCACTATCCTCGCAGGTGCCCTTCAGGCTGCGAAGCAGTCTCTGGGCATGAAAGACTTTTACACCATCTACCTCCGAAGTTACTGTAGCTGGAACGGCAACGACACCTATGCGAACTGCACCGACCCCAAGGCATACTTCTGGTTCAACCCTATCAACGTCTGGGGATTAAACAACACTGGAGTAGATGTGGACACCTTCATTCCCAAAGAGTTCAACGACGGACTCAAGGTCTACCACAATGCCTCCAAGGCCATCTTCTACCTCTACACCGGCGCTCTCGCCGCTGCTGCCATCAGCATCTTGGTAGGCATCTCAGCCATTTTCTCCCGATGGGGTTCTTTCTTCACCACCTTCTGTGCCACCGCCATGTGGGTTCTCTTGGTTGCTGCTTCAATCACAACCACTGCCGTCTACGTCATCCTTCGCGCCGCCTTGGACAACACTCTAAAGAAGGACTATGGAATTGATTCAGATATTGGTACCAGAGTCCTCTCTGTCTCCTGGATCGGCTCAGCCTTCGCCGTAGGAGCAGGCTTCTTTTGGTTCCTATCAGTCTGTTGCTGCAGTGGACGAAGCCCATACAACCCTGGCAGTAAGGAAGCCAGACGCACCCGGGCCGAGAAGACTCCATACACCTATGAACGTGTTGGCAGTCCTTACATGGGTCCCAGCGACCACCAAAGTGTTCCCTTGACGAATTTCGGACCTGGAAATCAGCAAGCCCAGAGAGGAACTGCCTATGAACCGTTCCGTCCTCAACACGTCTAGAGGACTACCAAGGCTCCCAGGACCCAACGAGGCCCAAGACCGACACGAGATCAAGGACTGTCAGAGGAGGGGGTGCATTTTTCGTAACGAGTGGCGGTGCATGTGCTGGTGGCGGAGGCATGGCTTTTTGCTGATGGGACTCGTTCACGGCGGTCACACATGGTGCTCACCATATATGGTGCAGAGCGATCCCAGGTCGACGCAATCTCACTTGCAACTTCTCGTCACTTTGTCGCTCAAGTCGTGTGTCTATAAACATTTGGGTGTTTTCCTCGTCGCAGTCATCATAGCCACTACAGGCAGATTCGTGTGTGGCTTTCACACAATCAAGTCATGCCTGGCACGCCAGACATAAAGCTCGGCCTCAAACCCCACCAGAATACGCGGCAAATAACGAAAAGTGTTTCATTTAAACGCCATGAGTAATCTCTCGGGCACCCTTCACCTATCAATGAATGAGTTGAGTTGAATTGAAAGCATGTTTTTCAATAAAGAACCTTGGAGTTTGCATGGCGTATCAACAGCGGATTCGGGCTTTTGAATACTAGGGGCTAGCCATGGGCTGACGGCGTTGGGCGTTTAAAAAACCATTGTTGCTCTATCTATCTATCTATATCCTCCTGGACTATCAAGTATTCTCATACAACACAATACAATACCATGAGATTCTTCGTATACGCAATGCTCTGCACCTGTTCTTCCCTCTTATATCTCGTGTTGTCATCATCGGTATGCGTGCACAGCCGTGTATCTATTGCAACATAGTCCGCCGTCCAATATATGACAATTAAGTATATTGCTAGAGACCTGTCAAGTCTGACTAGCCTCATCCACATATTCTCGATGGACATACTGGAGATATCTTCCATCTCACTGATCTACCCACGCAAGACAGGTGACGTCTACTCAAAACAGACACGGAAGAGAGCCAAGAAGTCAGTCCACGCCATGCCGAGGTTGAGGTTGCCTATACAGAAGACCACACACCTGCCCACCCTCTTGCTAATACATAGATCTCGTGTAGTCCATCACTCACCCACTCAATCAACCACTCACTCACTCCGTAATCCCAACCCACCCACCACGCGGCCTGTACCCTACCAAGCCCTCGTCCGCCGCAACATCCGCAGCCTTGCGACCTGTGAGCACGCTCGTCTCGTGTTCGCGACCGAGGACGTGGAATTTCTCCGACGGCCCGGCTTCACAGCGGCGCCATATCTGCGTGCCGGTCCGGGGGTCTTTCGTCCGTGTGAAGCCACTCGCGGGCCGGTCAAGTGACAGGAACCACTTGCGTTGGTGGATCGAGTTTATACTGTTGGTCGCTCCTGGATACGCGTTCTGTAGCCGGATTTGTTCGTCGGAGTCCATTGTTGGGTGTGCCGTTGGGATTGGGGATTGGGGTCGGTGGGGGTCCGGCGGAGAGGGAAGTGGTGGTGGTAGTGGGGGTGGCGGCTGCGCTGAAGGAGAAATGTGCTTTTGCTCTCTGTCGCTCTTTTGGTCGACGGTTGCTCCGATAGAGCGCTTGCGTGCTGGTGGTGAGGCGAGGCGGCGGAGTGATGAGACGCTTTGTTTCAACTGAGCGGCCCGTGCGCTCCGTTGCTGCTCCGAGGGGTCCTCATCGTTTGGTGATTGTTCCGGTGATGGGGAGCGGCTTGAATCTAGAATCTCCGGTTCTCGGCGTCGTCCAGCCGCGTCAGCCTTGTTATTCCGTCTTCGCCGTTTGAAGGATGGAGGTGCTGGCTGTGTCGATCGAAAATTGTCAGTAGTCAGGCGAAGCGATATCGTGTAATTGGGCGGCAATTTCGTGCCGTGCAGACGAAGCTTGATCTTTCTTGCTTGGAATGCGCGATGGAGCTTTGCAGGCTCCGATTCTCCATTCTTGGAGTCTTCGGGCTCAGAGTTCGAATCGGAAGTGTCCGTACAGGAGACTGGGTCGGACGAGGTTTGCTTTGCGTTGTATGGAATAACTGAATATTCACCAGTGTCCCACAGAAGCATCGTGCCAGTTTCTGACGACGCGGTCTCAATCAAGTGATTCCAGAGGTTGTGAACCCTGGTCTCTGTCGCATTGCGATTTAGACGGCGACTGTTGGGATCACCTGGCAACCCATACATGATGGCAAAGCTGATCGAGCTCGTCGCATTACACTGCAAACGCAGGTCATAGTGGGTGCCGGCGATGGGATGGTCATGCTGATGGACAACGAAGTGATGACCTCTGTCATTGAGGTTTCGTCGATAGAGATCTAACCATGCTTGGTGTGCGAGACGTGGTTGATTTGCCAGTACAGGGAGGCGTGCTGCAAGTAGTTTCGTCGAGAAAAAGGAGACATGATCGTCTATCTCAATCTCACCTGCTTCGACTGCTGCTGTCTCTGACTTTATTGGCGCAAGGCTCTTGGGAATGATAGCCTTGGTGACATTCGCCTCTTGCTTGACTCGGAGACGTGATGGTGGAGACACACTCCGGTTGAGAGAATGAGGCGCTCTGAGCTCCCATGATTTGTTTTTCGATTTGACGAATGGGTTCTCTATGGTAGCAGCATCATCCTCGTGCCCGTCTAATCCATTCATTCACGAGGCTGTAAAGCTAATGATGATGATGATGATGAGGAGTAGCAGACTGACCAAGGGTCTCAAATTCCACGGAATAATGCTCTCGGGTGCTGAAAGAGGTTTAGTGTCGAGGGGTATTCCCGAACAATGATGTCAATGCCAAGCAGAATTCCGTAGTGGGCAAGTGCATGACAAAGAGCAGCAAGAGCGGGCGGTGGCAGGTGGCAGGCGCGTCCACCAATGTTGCCCTCGTGTTCAAGCTTTCTCGTTATTCAAACTCGATCTGCTTACTCAATGATTGAAAACCCATTAGCCAGTCTGGATCAGCCATTCCATCATGAACCAATATACATTCTGGATTCTGCCACCATGCTCTAGCAATGCTCAGGTCTAAGTCTATATAGCTTCTCTTCCTTCCCAATGTTGTCTGGTTTTCTCCATCAAAAATCACTTCTCATAACAGCCATAACAGCAATACTAGCAACAATCACAGCCTTTGCAGCAACTCACATGCTCTCTAACAACACCAGCAGCACTTCTCAAGAATCTTCTATGAAAGCTTCCAACATTCTCAAACAAACCATGTCGCAACTCTCTCACGCTAAGATCGTCCCTCGACCCTCCAAGACCAGAGGAGCAGCCAACCACGGCTGGCTCAACACCAAGCACTCCTTCTCGTTTGCTAGCTGGTACGATCCAAAATATACTCAGTTCGGCTCTCTTCGAGTCTTGAATGAAGATCGCGTGGAGCCAGGAGAGGGATTCCCCACCCATCATCACCAAAACGCCGAGATCTTCTCATATGTTCTCGCTGGAGAGTTAACCCACCGAGACTCCATGCAAAAGAAGGGTCAAGAAAGCAATGACAAAGACAAGTTCTTCCGCCTCCATCGTGGAGATGTACAGTTCACCACTGGTGGCCGAGGTATCTCCCATAGCGAATACAACGAACACAAGCAGGATTGGGTCCACTTCCTGCAAATCTGGGCATTGCCATGGAAGAGAAACCTTCCTCCTGCATATCACACCAGGACATTCTCTGAGGAGGCCAAGCGAGAAGGATTTGTGACCATCATCACACCCTTGAAAGCGGGACCAGATGCAACACTAGAAGAGGAAAAGGCTGCAGTTCCGACAATCGATGGCACCATTCCAGTTCACGCAGATCTCGTTTTCAGTGCAAGCATCATTCCTCAAGGCAAGACTTTCACATATAAAGTCGGCGGAGGAGATGCGGTAACTTCCAAATCGAACCGAAACGTTTATGTCCACTTACCCGAAACGAAAGGTGGAAAAGCCAAGATCCGTCTTGACGGACGAGATAACGTGGTATTGAGCGAGGGTGATGCAGCCTTTGTGACTCAAGTCAACGCCAATGACGAACTCCGAGTGGAAAGCATAGGCGAAGCTGAAGCAGAGGTCGTGGTGATCGATTCAGAGTAAAAAAGTTTATCCTTGTACACTGGACACTGGCATATGATAGCAACGGCGCTCCCGGGGGGTTTCAAAAATTGTAACATCAATTATATAGGTACTGATTTCTAAATTTCAGATTTCACTTCCATAACTTAAAACTTCTGTCTCCTATCTGCTTTCTATTTTTCTCCCTCGTTCTGATCTATATTCACTTGTGTAGGAAGTTGAAGCACTCCGATTCGAGAAACCCCAATGACGGGAGAGCTATGCGATTGCGTTATGGCTTGACGGGATGAGTCATCTTCAGCGAGCTTTCGACTAGGGAGGCCTGAGGCAGTGAGTCAAAGATGGCGGGATCTTCAAGTTCAGTCAAAGGAAGGTCTCAACAATCCAATTGTCGCTGTCCGAGGGTGCCTTTTAGCTACAGGACTAGTCGGAATGTGGGTTTGTGCATTGCGTAACATCTCCAATCCGCATCCACTGATTAGCGGACATCTGCATCCTGCGAATACGAGTCTGAATGCAACTTAGCTCACCACCGGGGTGGGTGGGATGGAGCGGTCGTGGTTCTGGAAATTTTAATGATCACTTCACAAATTCACCAGACCGTGGCCTATATCGTATCTTCCTTCTTGTCCACTCCTCCACATCAAACAACATCGCCACTCACTCGTGAGTATTCCTTCAAGAGTATTTTGGGGCCAAATTCAAGCTCCACCAGAGTGTGCAGTCATCAGCTCCGCCACTTTAGTCAAGTATTGAATATTTCATAATCGACCAGTCTTACAGCCGACTCTTATACTACCTAAGAGATGTTGTAAACGAATAATGGACTCAACTCGTCTCTCCCTCCAAATCCGTATTTGTTGAAGACATGCCAGCTCAAATGAGCATACTGATGGTCCACCACGCCTCCGCCTCGTTAATAATCTCAATCTCATGTCTTGCTCTTGTTGCTGCACTATCACTTCCAGCGCTATACCAGTATCTGGAACGAGTTCGGGCAAGGAAAGATCAGTATTCTGAATTGGCAGATCTCTACGAAGACGAAGATGGAAAAGCTACCGAGGAGAGTCAAGAAGCTTATTCGGATTTCGTTCCACGGCTAGTTCTGCTCTCGACGTCAGCAGTGGCCAGTATTGATGCTCTGATTGCGGCTATCCTCATATCGCGCCAGCAACATCATTCTCTTGCGATCGAACAGTGGCTTCAGTTTGCTACATGGGTGAGTCTGCGAAGGGCACCATTTCTATCCATTGTCTAACTGGATACTAGCTGCTTCTCGTCTTTCAAGTCATTTCAATCTTCACCACGCCCTCTTCTGTGAAGAGATACGACCTAGGAATCTGGTCTGGTATATCGTCATTACTTCTTTCCCTTGCTTTGGCCTTTGAAAATATCTCCTTGTGGCAATCCAGCGTAACTCCTCTCCCCCGAAGCACCCATCTTGCACTTTCACTGATCCAATTTATCTCTGGGATAATTCTCTTATTTGCAAGCTTCTTGATCCCACGCCGCCCAGACGTCTACTGGAACGGCACTATCGTGGACAGGCAAAATACTACTACAGTACTCAGCAAAATAACTTTCACTTGGCCAGGCGCTATCTTGGCCAAGGCGGTCAAAAATAAGGGCTTGAAACATGAGGACCTTGCAGAAATCGACCATGTAACCCGTTCGCGAGAATTACGACGTGAGTTTGAAGCTGTTGAGAAAAAAGATAAGCTGTGGAAGACCCTCTTTTGGTCAAGAAAGGGCATCTTCCTTCAGCAGTGGGGGCTTCAGATAGCCACGTCCATTACGCAATTCTTACCCCAGATCGCTCTTTACGCTATCCTTCAAACTCTGGAGCGCCGGGACCAAGGGGATAATGTCTTGCTACGCTCATGGCTGCTCGTTATTGGTCTAGGAGCAGCCAACGTATTCTCCACATGGTTAGAGGCAAGAGCATTTTTTATCATATTTATGCAACTTGGAGTTCCCATTTTCGAGCAACTATCGGCGGTCATCTTTGGCAAAGCTATCCGGAGAAAAGACGTCAAAGGAGCCGGGAAGAAAAGAGAAGAAGATAGCGTCGCTGGCAAGGGCGTACTCCTTAATGGCGAAATCGTTGTTAATGAGGAGGCTGGCCCAAAAGGCGAATCCAGCGTGCCTGAGGATGAAGCTGATGCTGAAGAAGATTTTCAGAAATCGAAACAAAACACAATCAATCTGGTGGCAATTGATGCGAAACGGATCGCAGATTTCGCCACATTCAACGATATCTTCATTGGCTCAGCCGTTAAGATGGCTTTCGCTCTTGGATTTCTGATAAAACTAATCGGAATTATCCCGTTATCAGCAGGTCTGGTGGCCTTCGCTGTGATCACTCCATTAAACATTGTCACCGCAAAACGTTATGGAGATGCACAGGATGATCTCATGAAATATCGTGATCAGAAGATGGCTGTTGTGACCGAGGCACTTCAGGGTATACGTCAAATCAAATTTAGTGCTCTAGAGCGCAACTGGTACGAGAAAATCTTACAGTCACGAAAAAAGGAGTTGGATACACAATGGAAGGTTTACACATCCGAGGTTGTCTTGATCAGCATCTGGATTTTTGGGCCGGTGGCCTTGTCCGCTGTTTCATTGGCTGTCTATGCCTCTATCCATAAGGAACTATCGGCGTCCGTCGCTTTCACAACGATCTCGGTGTTTGAGGCAATCGAGATGACCCTAGCAATCATACCTGAGATGGTGACTGATCTATTGGATGCCATTATTTCGGCAAAGCGAATCCAAAATTTCCTCGACGCTCCGGAGAGAGAAGTACATATTACTCCCGGCGAACTTATTTCTTTCCAGAACACTACAATAGCATGGCCGACTGATGACCCCGAGCAAGAAGAGACCCAGTTCAAGTTGAGAAACTTAAACATTGATTTCCCAAGGAAAGAATTGACGGTGATCTCAGGCCGAACCGGGAGTGGGAAGTCCCTTCTATTGGCTTCGATCATCGGCGAGGCAGAGGTGCTTGAGGGAACCTTGACGGTTCCTAAAGCGCCAGTACCCGAGGACCGTTATGATTCGAAAGCCAATAAGAGCAATTGGCTTATCGACTCAGCTGTGGCTTTTGTTTCTCAAATTCCTTGGATTGAAAATGCGACAATACGAGATAACATCCTATTTGGTCTTCCACTTGATAACGATCGATATCAGAGTGTGCTTAAGGCGTGTGCGCTTACCAAGGACTTGGAAATGCTTGAGAGCGGTGAGCTCACTGATATCGGGGCCAATGGAATCAATCTCAGTGGTGGTCAAAAGTGGCGTGTGTCATTTGCAAGAGCGTTATACTCAAGAGCAGGAATTTTGATCCTTGACGACATCTTTTCCGCTGTTGATGCCCACGTTGGTCGACAATTGTTTGAGGACGCATTAACCGGAGATCTCGGAAGGGGTCGTACAAGAGTTCTAGTGACCCATCATGTTGCTCTTTGTTTACCAAAGACAAATTATAGTGTCCTTCTCTTGGATGGCACTGTTGAAGTGGCAGGCAGAACGGAAGAGCTGAGAAGAAACGGAAAACTGAAACTCATTCTCGACCAGGACAGTGAAGAACAGCAAAAGCATGAGGAAGAAGAAGCCGAAAAAGAAAATGCACTCACTATCGATGATGGCGGAGGACTACAAAGAATCCTCACAAATCAATCTCGCCGATCGAGAAGGAGATCTGCTGCTAGTGAGATAGGCGCCAGTTTGAACCGTCGCCGATCCCATGCAAATTTTGAGGACCAAAAACAGAGAGACCCCCCGAAGAAATTCAACGAAGAAGAGAAACGCGAGACAGGTGCAGTCAAATACAACGTTTACGATGCCTACCTTAGAGCGGCAGGTGGATACGGGTATTGGCTTTTCATCCTGAGCATATTCGTCATGTGGATTGGTGTCTATCTCGGTCGAACTTACTGGATCAGCATTTGGACCAGATCGTACCGCACAGAATCCGTGTTCACTAGTCGACTCGTGCAACAGTCCTTGGGTTCTCTTAAAAACGCAGCATCAAGACTCAAAGCGACCGAGATGGATGACAACCTGAAATACTATCTGGGCATTTATCTTGCGATATCCCTTGCGGCAGTGAGTACTCACCTAACCTATGAATTCCATCCTTCCTCATCACTCCACTACTCTACCGTTCTCCCTCTTCTTTCTCTATTGTTAACTAGCCACTCAACTCTTTATATTCTTACTAACTAGGCGATAGTGGCTTATCGGGACAGTAAGATACTTCCTTGTGTTCGTAGCTGCCATTCGAGCCTCAAAGGTTCTTTTCAAGGAGCTGGCCTGGACTATTCTTCGAGCCCCACTCCGATGGCTCGACACTGTACCGTTGGGACGCATTCTGAATCGCTTTACTGCCGACTTCAACATGGTGGACTCTCGCATCTCATACGACATGGCTTCCACACTACACAATGGTATGCACGTTCTTTCCGTCCTCATTGCAGGTCTTGTCATCTCAGGGTACATGGTGATTCCTGTCCTGGCATTCATCCTCGTATGTGCATACTATGCTCGCTGGTACCTAGCAGGTGCGAGGGAGGTGAAACGACTGGAAAGCAACGCCAAGTCACCAGTTTTTGAGCAATTCGGTTCCGTACTAATGGGCATCGGCACAATTCGAGCTTTCGATAAGTCTCAAACCTATCTCGATCGGATGTATCAGAAGATCGACACTCACTGCCGTGCGTACTGGCACCTCTGGCTATTCAACCGATGGATGGGATGGCGTCTGAATATGGTGGGGGCTGTTTTCGTTACCATAACTGCTGCATTAATCGTGAGTATCAGGCATATTGATGCCTCTTTGGCCGGTTTTGCTCTTAGCTTTGCGCTTGGTATGTCAGAGGGTGTCATCTGGGTCGTTCGATCATATTCCAATGTGGAGCTTGCCATGAACGCCACAGAACGAGTTGTGGAGTACAAAAACATCGCGATTGAAGACCAAACAGGCCACGATGCACCGGCAGCTTGGCCCACGGAAGGCAGGTTGGAAGTGGAGGACCTCGTCGTCTCATATGCACCAGATCTTCCTCCTGTGCTCAAAGGCTTGACCTTCGGCGTCGCACGAAATCAACGGGTGGGCGTGGTAGGGAGAACCGGAGCCGGAAAGAGCAGCTTAACATTGGCGCTCTTTCGATTCCTCGAGGCCCGCTCAGGAAGTATCTTGGTGGATGGAGTGGATATCTCGAAGATCAAGCTCTACGATCTTCGATCAAGACTGGCCATCATCCCTCAAGACCCCGTGCTGTTCTCCGGGACCGTTCGAAGCAATCTCGACGCCTTTGACCAACACGCCGACGCCGAGCTGCAAGAAGCCCTGGCGCGGGTCCATCTCGTCTCCTCCTCGACAACCACAACATCCGTCCAAGCAAGCGGCAGCGCAACACCCACCGCCCCATCTGGGAACGAAACCCCACAGGGAAGCACGAACAACACCAACACCAATGTCTTCAAATCCCTGAATTCCCGCATCTCGGAAGGCGGGCTGAACCTCTCGCAGGGGCAACGCCAACTGCTGTGCTTGGCGCGCGCCATCGTCTCGCGCCCGAAGATCATGGTCCTCGACGAAGCGACCTCGGCCGTGGACATGGAGACCGACGCCCTGATCCAGCGCTCGATCCGCGAAGAGTTCACCGACTCGACGTTGCTGGTCATCGCGCACAGACTGACCACCATTGCGGATTTCGATCGCATTCTCGTGCTGGGCGAGGGCAAGGTCGTCGAGTTCGACACCCCGGCGAATCTGATGGCCTTGAAGGATGGTGTTTTCCGTGACATGGTCGAGAAGAGCGGTGAGCGTGCAGAGCTGGAGAGGATTATTGCTGCGTGAGTGAAGTTCGATTCTTCTGAGGTGGAGTGGACAGGCATGGAGACCGAGGATCGATCATAGAGAGAGAGAGAGCATACTGTAGTGCTGCACATCACACATCGGGAGATGATGGGATGTCTAGGTAGTAATCATGGCGATAATGGCGTAATGTTTCTGGATATTGCAAAGAAATTAAAATGGGAGTCTTCCTTTTTGCTTCTCAAATCTCGAAAGAAGGCTTCCTAGCTAACCAAAGGACTACAAATAGACTGACAGCCTCACATGAATTTTAGTAACTTCGTCGAGAGGTTGATATACTGTATTACATCACATAAATCCCTCTAGAAGGTGGAGTAGAACTACTGGATATTAACCCCTTTAGGCCACTAACTCATTAGGACGTCTGTCGATATTTACTCCTAAGGTATGGTTGCCTGTCCTATGTATTCTTTCTCCTTCCTCATTTGATCTACAAGCTCGAGGAGAACGGTAGATGGATACACTGTTGTCAAGTTATCTCGGGAGTTAGGTGCATGAGTAGGGGCGATACCTTGGATACTGCTGAGTCAGGTGCTCGCTACGATCAGAAGTTGTTTAGAGTTGTTGAGATATATCTATATTGCATGTGCTGTACTTGATGAATGTAAAGGTGGACGTGAATGTGAATCGTCAATGTCTTGTCTTCGTTCCGTCTATACATCTTGAAGCTAATGTACATCCCATCCTCGTCGTTTTCGCCCATAGCTCTAAGTTTAGACAGCCTCAGACCTTGAGCGTCTCTTTCCAATTGTACCATATCTTCATTTCCTCCGTGACATCGAGCGCTTCGCGTCAAGGAGAAGACCTGGGATCGCATGAAGGATCGAAGCCTCAGAGTGAAGCCGAATGGACAACCTTATCTTCTTGTTTGGTAGCACTCAAGATCCAAGCAAGCACGGACTGTCCCATTCCAGCCTTTACCGAGTTCCAGGGCTGCAAGATATTGCACATATCTTGAACATTGAGCATTGAAGCCCTGGCAAGACCAAGTCTGTCGCACCTTGCATAGCAGGTGGAATGCAAGAATATATGGGACTTGTCTCAACCTCATTGAGTAGTTTGACATTGGTGTGAGGGGAGGTCTCCTCGACAGAAACCTGAATTCTTGCTTCCATAGGAGTTCTGTTGAGTCGTGTTTCTCGTCAAGGCGCCATCACGGCCAGGTTTTGGAGTTTCTCAGCTTCCATGGAAGCCGAGTTACCATCATTGTCATAACTCGGTTTTGCTAGTTAGCGCTCTCCGTCCTTTGATGTGCTCGGTCGGTAGTGACTCAAAGAAATCGTCGAGTTCGAGATACTCGGCGGCGAAGACAGCGGTAAGAAGAGCCCAATCCTCGACGGTAGGAATGTCGAGATGCTCAGCATCGTCGTTGATTGTGTGCCAGACACTAGGAAAACGAGAAGGAATCAAATGCAAGACTTGGACACCTCGAGCGATGAATGGGATATGATCATCCTGCATCACATAACTACTGAACCTGTCCGTGTCCTTCTTGTTCTTTTCGGGTAACCAAGTATGCTTTGGATTACTCTTGAACATGCCCAGCTGTCTCAATCGTTGCTCGGCTTCGGCCATTCGGACATAGGACCAGTGTGAACTATGTTGCCACGAAGGTATCTGCAGATTCTCAGGAGAACCAAGAAGATCGAGTAGCACAAAGAGTTCGATGGAGTCGAGGGGGCTTCTGTAGATGCTTGTAGCAGGATGCATGGTATGCTCCCATTCTTCAGCCAGTGATCTGGCTCCATAGATACTGTCGGTAGCAGTCCAGTCCTTGAAAGCCTCCTCACCATCAAGCAGCAGAACTTGAATGCCCTTGTCCTCCTCGAATTCAAGATCTATATCATCCTGCGTCTGCATGTTTTCCCACTTCTTTGTCAAAGCGGCGTCAATCGACCGAATGGCATGCATGATCATCGCACACGGAGCGGCCGAGTCGGTTGCACCAATGAAGCCCTCGGGTGTGTACTTGGAGTCATAATGTGCCACCAAGGTCAGCCTTCCTACATTTCCTGGCTGGGCCCATGGAGGATCCCTTGAGGCGATCAGGTTCACGAAAGGCACATCGGTGTCACCGTGGGTGGGAGTCTTGGAGGTGGAATTCTGAAAGGACACTGTCCAGGTTGGGAGAGCGGTGCGAAAGAAGTCGACGAAATGTTTGAGGACTTTCTGTGAACCTGGAGTACCGGGGACTCGAGGAATCAGGATGGGAGCCAATAAATTGCCTGTATGGATGTCAAAGTCGGCCGTCTCAGGCAATGGCAGACGATGTTTGAGGGTGTCATCAGAAAGAGGCTTGTATGCGACAACCAGCTGTAGCGCAGAAGCGAATGTGACCAGCACCAACGACCCCGATGCCCACCACATTGTACAAGAGCGATGAGGAGAGTCAAGAATAGGCCATTGCCTGTCAGTGGTGGTGTTGGTGTTGCTGAACCGTGACTGCAAGAAGCCACTACCCGAGCCTGACGAGTCTGGGGTGCAAGTTGGGGCAGGCACTTGGTGTTCCTCCAGTCGGCTTTTCCTTCCCCTTTTCCGGCCGGAAGTAATTTCTGCCCAACTTTTCGGCACAGTTTCTGTTCTTGTCCAGCCGATCTTGTTTCAAGGCGCCTCGACGTGTTTGGCGGCGTGACAAAAGTTGGAGAACAATGTCACAGCCGGCGAGCCATGTCTGTTTTCTTTCTCTGCTTCCGTGCATTTCGTGTCTGAGGATCTGTCGATCTTTGTTGCTCTCCTTCATCTCCCAGCCAGATGGGCAGGCTCACAACTGGCCCACTGGTCTGGTCATGCATCAGACAGCATGTTGTGTCTCATAAGAGGGTCCTCTTCAGTACTGCTTCTCCGCTCTTGAAGAGTCCTCGAAAACCAACCAGGAGTCCACCAATTCAAGTTGTCCACCACAAATATCAACAACACCAGCAGCAACGCCTGGCCCAGGAACATGCCACATCCGACAGTCAAGAACTGGTCCCTCTTCCCGACCAAGAAACCGCAGTAGAGACTGCTCCCAGGGTCAACGTACCTCTGCGAGTAATTCCGAAAGCTCAGGTCGCTCCCAATCTCAGACTCACCCCGAAAGAAAGACTGCATATTGAGCAGCTCACAAGGGTCACACCTCGACCATCCGCACCACCAGGTACTGTGGAATCACAAAGCTACACTTCGTCGCGGATAGATCGGCTGACAGAGAGACAGTGTATAAGAGACGGTTGCGCATTTACAGTGCAGGCAATCCTCGCATATACTTCATCATCATCTCTCGCTTTGCCGCTGTGTGTGCCTTGAGCTTCTCCACGGTCTTGTTTGTCCCAGCCTATATTGCTGCTGGCACTCCGTTATATGTTGTAGCTGGAGGTAAACTTCCCCTTGGATTTTCGACTGAAGAATCTTTGCTCATTCAATTAGCTTGGCTTGCAAGCGCTGGCACTTTCGCCTATGTCAATTGGAGTTTGCGTCCCTTTGTCACCGAAGTGTTCCTGCAGCTGCCCGAATACGCTCAGAGTACTCCAAAGGCCGCAATGGAATATGCAAAGAAACTCCCAGATCAGGCTATGCTGGATATCAGATTCCTTAGATTGACTGCCATCACTGATGTTGTCTCGTTGAGATTGTCTCAGACAATGCCTGCTCGAAGTATCTTCAGACCTGTATCGTTCGAATGGATGGCCGCCTATGTCCAAGCTAGTCGTTTTTGGAAGCCAACCCCTACTCAATTCTATGTTCGAACTGAGTCTGCGAAAGGCAGAGCGGCTCGAAACACGACCCCAGGCATATGGAGCAAAGTCTATGAAAGACTTACGGGAGTTAAGCCTGATGCAAGGTCAAGATGGCAACGTTGAACCAAGTCATGTGGTGAACGCTGAGCTGTGTGTCTGAATCGCAAGTTTATCTTGATTTCACACCTCCGGAAGATTCTGTGCCATCGTGGAAGGTCTGGCGGACACTGTCAGTCGCCCCAGTCTCGGCAACTGTGCCTGTCCACCCAAGCTCAAAACCTCTCTTTGATTCATCGTCCTTGCCCTTGACAAAACTTCAACCTCTCGGACAAACCTATTTCCGGCACCGTGAAATCTCCGCCTTCAGATCGACAACATCACAAAGCCAGACCCCTGAGATACCACAGCCTCGAATCAAAGATGGCATCACCATCCGCCCCTATAAAAATAATTCTAAAGTTCACCAAGCCGGCACCACGTCCGCCAGCCCCAGTCAACCTCACACCCACGGGTATGAAGAACCTCGTTGGTGCATTGAGCAACACCAAGGACGAGATCAAGGTATGCATACACCCAGTTTACTTCTCCAGGCTCTATCCTCTATTATTCCTTCCTGGTGATATGACGTCCAAACACTGACATATTCGCAACAGATCGACTACGAGGGAATGAAGCAGGCCCTAGGCCTCAGCTCAAAGTCGTCCGCCTCGAAAATCCGGTCGCGCTTGCGAAAGAAGTTGTTCGCCAACCAGGAAGAAGCCTCCGCCTCCTCCGCCGCCCCTACCGCCGCCGACGAGGTCTGACGAGGTTGAAGAGGACGACGAGAACGACGAGGAGGAGGACACTGCAGATGACAAAGGTAAGTCCCCTACGCGTTCTGGCATGATACCCTCCCCAAACACAACACGACACGACAACAACAAAACTCACCTATCCCTCTACACCACAGTCCCAGCCAAGAAGCCAGCTGCTGCCGCTACCCCTGCTGCAAAGCGCGGCCTTGAGACCGAGGATGACGACGAAGAAGACGACGCCGGGGCAAGGCCAGGCAAGAAAGCCAGAAAATCTACCTAGAGGAGAATAGCTACACGTACATACAGATAAACAAACAAACAGAAACCCACAAAGTGGTAGCCTCAGCTGTGGCAGCGAAGAAAGGCAGAAACTGCAAGCATGATGGATGAAATAATACATTTTGCTATTGAAACACTCCTTAAAAGTTCAAATCTCTGTCCCCTTGTTTTTGCGCCTTTCCTCCTATCCGTGCCCATTGCAGTGAACCCCACAGACTCGAATGTACAATGATAACTATAGAGCCCGAAAGACTCGACCGAATCTCCGCAACTTACAACTCGCCCACGCTCAATTGCCCTGACAAATTCCCTTCAAGACCGCTGCTCCACTTGCTCCTTACAAAGCCTCAATACACTTGACCAAAGCATCCAGACTCCTGGTGTGGACTTGCCCTCCCTCTGCACTGTCAATATCGTCCTTCAGAATCCATGCCAGATCACTCAGAATGCCCAACGGGACTTCTTGCTCCTTCTCTCCGTCGGCTTCGGAACCGTCCTCAGATGAGCCGTGCTTCAGTTTGCGAGACACCAGGCTGGTATGTTCCCATTCGCGGGCTGCTTCCTCGGCGCGATCGACCACGGCACTTGCAATGCCACACATACTCGCGCAGTGCATGCCGAAACTGCCCTCGGCGACGCCAGCTTCGAGTTTATACAAGAATGTCACTCGTCGTTGCTCGTCGTCGACTAGAATTTTCATCCTCTTTGACATGATCTCTGGGTGGTGTTGAAATTCTGCGGACAGTGAGTGGTAATGGGTTGCGAAGAATCCAAGACAGCCAATGTGTGATGCCAGGTGGTGAAGCACCGCTTGCGCAACTGCAAGACCGTCATGAGACGAAGTGCCACGGCCAAGTTCGTCCAGGATTACGAGAGATCGTGGAGTGGCTTCAGACAAGATCTTCTTGGTCTCGGCAAGTTCCACGAAGAAGGTGCTCTGAGCAGCAAATATATGATCTTGTGCTCCGAGGCGGGACATGATGCGGTCGAAAGGCGTGAGCCGAGCATACTCACATGGTAAGTAACAACCAATCTGGGCCATGATGACCGCAATGCAGGTCATTCGCAGCACTGTTGATTTTCCAGCGGCATTCGCACCTGTCAGCAGTGTGAGGTTATTGGTTTGACCGCCTAACACAATATCATTTGGAATGAAGTCGTCGACATTCGCAAGCAGACAGGGATGACGAAGCTCCGCCAACTCAAGTGTCGAGCGCTCGTCATCCACAAATTCAGGACGGCAGCTTGGATTTCCAAGACTGGAACTTGCTTTCGCAAGCGAGATGAGGCAGTCAAGCTGAGCAATAATCTTGACGGCCGCAAGCCAGATTTCGTAGTTCTCATCAAATCGGGCGAAGAATCTACCTGCGACTTCTTTGACGATCTGCGAGTGTCTCTCTTGGGCCTCTTGTAGCTTGCGAACCAGCTGTCTCAATTCTGGAAAGTAATATCTCTTGACTTGCTTAGTGGCTGACATTTGGTCCCAATTTTTTGGGATATCTTTGACCTTGACTGGTACTTCAAGCTGCTTGATCTCCTTTCCGTTATCACGGTAACAAATCGCGTTAGACCCTAGCTTCTTTCTTTGCGTGCGAAGCAGGACGTCGAATTCAGCTTCGATTTCCTTGATCATATCGTGAGAATTATCGAAGTCTTCTTCGATACCACGTTCAGGGACTAGAAGGCCGGATTCTTTTGCCTGACTGCGGTCAAAAGCATCCATCCAGTATCTGAGACGCGAATCGAGTTCCGGCATAGCAGTGATGAGTTGGCCAATTACACCTTCTGAATCTGCTGCTTTTCCAGATCCATCTCGAAGGAGTGACATCGTGTGATCGATCTGCTCAAACCCTTCCAAGACCTTGACAAATTCTTGAACCTTGCATGTACCCGCATGAACGCGAGAAATTAGACGTTCTAGATCAGGCATTTTTGCCATTTGTGAGGTGAACCGATCTCGTACTTTCGTATCAGCATTGAGTGAATCCACAGCATCCAGCCGAGCATTGATCTTTTTCGTGTCCATCAGGGGATGACACACCCATTGCTTAAACATGCGTTTGCCGAACGGTGTGATACAGCGATTGAGAAGCTGGAAGAGAGTGCCTTCGTTACTGCCATCATAGGAATTTGCAAAGATCTCTAGGTTGATCAAGGTCTGTCCATCGAGTACGAGGCTTGAGGCCTTCCGAATAGGGTCATACCATGTGAAATTACCCAGAGTCACGAGATCTCGCTCGATTTTCAGCGTCCTGAGATACTGGATGAGAGCACCCAATGCGGACATGAGCAGGTCCTTGTCTTTGCCTTGCTCCAGTGCTTCTGGCCATGCAGCAGGAAAATACTCACTGGCTTCAATCTCTTTCAAGGTAATGTGACCCTCCCAAAATTCTTTACCTGGCTTGAGGTAATTCCAGATGGTGGTCAGGCCAGTGTTGTTCTTCAGGATTCGTAGAGTTTTAGCTGAAATTGCACCCTTTTCTAGAATAATCTCTTGTGGCCTGGTCTGAGCGATAAATGTCTCAAACTTGGTCATATCTGGATCATCTGTGAATTGAGAGATGTTGAACTGCCCGGTCGCAGTATCGACAAATGCTATTCCGAAAGCTGGAAAGCCATCGATCTCGGACTCTTTGATTGCAACACAGTAAACAGCCATATCATCCTGTAGCATATTCCCATCGACTAGAGTCCCTGCCGTCAAGACACAAGCAAGTTCTCGTTTGATGACTTTGTCATCTTTACTCTTTTTGGCAGAAGTACCAGTGGACTGTTCGTCACGTTCACGCAGATTCTTCCCCAAGGCAGTCTCCTGTTGATCGACACGGGCGATTTTGTATCCTTTGGCAACGAACTGATTTGCCCACAGGCCCAGGCTTGACTCTGGAACACCAACCATACGCATGTTGACACGATCAGTCAGCTTCAAGTCAAAGAGCTGATGCCCTATTGTTGCATCTTTCTCGTAGAGCTCATAAAACTTTCCCTTCTTGAAGAATACAATAGTGTCCCAAAATTTCTGTTTGATTTCCCAGTATTGCTTTTCAAAAGGTGAAAAGCCGGCAAAAGCCATGGGCGGAATGTATAGAGTTCGAGGGTCATAATCGGGATGACCTACTGGATTGCGATCAAGGTCCCTTATATCTTCAAGCCAGGCGTGTCTTTTCTCGGGCTCTGTCATGTGTGCCTTGAGCTTCTTATCCGCATTTGTTCCAGGCTTTTTCGAAGGGAGATTGGCATTACGTGGTTGAAGAGGCATGGGGTTCTCGGGGTCGTATGTCCATTGCTGAGCAGTTGTCGTTTCGCGTCCTTCCAGATCCATATCGACATCATCATCTATGGATGGGGTGAAATGAGTGGAGGTGGTTCGCGACACAGGTTTGGACGGCCGCTTGCGTTTCGTTGGCCGCACCTCGTTATCTGAATCGTCTGGTGCGATGAAGTCATCGAGATCTAAAGGTGTTACCCTTGAAGGCTGTTTACACAGGAACAGGGAAAATTACCTTCGTCAATATCTACTACATTTTCCTGTTCGTAGACGTCCTCGTCCTCCTCATCAGAAAGTTTTCTTCGTTTCACAGCCCGACCACGGTTCGCAGGAGTGGGGTTGAAGACATCATCATTGTCAGTACCTTCACTATCGGACTCAATGTAGCTGATGATCTTCTTCTTTGCCTGCGCGCACATTAACGAGGATACTCGAGCTGGTAATGGCATACTTACTTTTCTAGTAGGTGTGCCTCGTACGTTTAGTTCTTCTGCATCATTGGTCTGCCGTCCGTCAGCTGAGACTGGCGAAGGCAGACCTTTAGTAGAAGAGCGGAGACTCGCCTGGGCGTCGCTATGCTCGAAGTCCGGCTCTGCTGCGTCACTGCTAGGGACGGGAGTCAATGACGAGCCAGATGCCGAGGAACCCGCCTTTCTGAAGACGGGTTTCGAGGGTGCTGGTGTCTGGATTGCAGGCTTCGTGGGTAAGGAGGCTGGAGAGGAGGTAGATGGAGTCTTTGAAAAGAAGCCCAGTAGAGTCCTCTGTCCACCCGAAGATGCGGCCTTCTTCAACGTGGGCGTGGGCGTGGGCGTGGACGCTGGTGTTGCAGATGCTCTTTTGCCCATAGTGGCAACTTGGCCGCCTTTCAGGTCTTGGTTAATCAATAATCGTATTACCTCTCAGCATCCGTCTGTGGACAGAGAGAACAAGTCGCGCTGAACAAAAATCGCACAAAAGAGTGAAAGTTGGGGAATCAGAAGCAAGCGGCCTCGCCGCGTCCCGATTGGGACGCACCTTCCCTTCGCGCTAGTTAGCGCGTTCTACGCGTAAATTGGTTCAGCCTCGTTGGGTGTTCCCCGCGTTGGACGTCGAAAATCTTCAAAGTGGGATTCATTTCTGCCGCTTGGGTTTTCAGCAATAAGCTTGCTGGCTAGAGTAGGGTTCTGAGAAAGTAGAAGGGTAGTATTGTACAGTCTATACTACTGGAGACATTGCACTACTAACCAGAATACAGGGTAAACCTTCCTAAGTATCCTTAATGGCCCAATGTTGACCTAGATATATTGCAATGTCGGAATTTCTGTCGCCAAATGCCCTAAAGCCTGGAAATCAAAGAATTTACCAGACTGTAGGGCATGCTAGCCGAGTTGGATAACTCGACCTTCTCGAAGATCAAATATTCCACTCGGCTGGCGGGTGAAAAAAATCCTCGCAAGAGGATTTTCTATCACTCCTTCCTACCATGGGCCCCTCCCACCTCTAGTAGGTGGGCGGGGCCCGGGAGGAGCGATAGTTTTTTGTTGTTGGCAGAGGATGGCCTTTTTTGAATTTTGTTCAATATCCCGTCAGAGACTTGTGATAAGCATCGGCCCTTCAAGTTGTTGTTACAATGGGAGTTGGTCGTACCTTCGCATGAGAAATCTTTCGGTTAAGCAGCGCACTGCTTAAGCACGAGGGGGCTTTGAGCTGAAGCCTAAGGTCTTCATTCGTTTTTTGGTGCCGTTGCTTCCTCACTCTTTTCCCACCCAGGGCAAGTCAGACCAGACTCAGCATACTCCTCGTCCGACACGATATCGATGATCTTTAGCCTCCATTTTCCGACCCGCAGAATTAGAAGCTTCTCATCCATTACATACTTCTCCAGTAACTGCCAGTCAGAACTCTTGGCAGGTGCGAAGTTGAGCGCGTCATCCATTCCACCTTTCGCATCTGAGTTCCCTCCAATGTACAAGCCTCCAGCGTTGATCAGCCGCTGGCCTTCGGATTTGGATGAAACCAGACCCGCCGAGCAGCATATTCGACTAAGCGGTTGTCCGATAACTAGGCTTCGGGGTAATTTGATGTGAGGCGAGCCCGAAGTCTCTCGAGTCAATGGTTGAGCGTGTTTGTTGGTCTGAGGGTTGATGAAGCCTTCATTGGGATTCCCATCCAAGGGTGGCTTTGTGTGGGCGTCAGGCGTTTTCAGAATGCTATTTATTGTGACCGCCTTTCCGTACATGCCCCGATGCTCAGTCTCGGCTTTATCTGCTGCCCCCAAGCCATGAATCAGCTCTACGATCTCTTTAGCAAGTCTGTGGTGCGGAATTCGTTTCGAGGAGTCCAATTGGTGTTGTTCCATCAAAGACTTAATCTCTGGCATCGGAACGAAGGTCAGAAGTCGGAGGAATTTGTCGACGTCTGCATCAGCGGAGCGGACCAAGAACTACGGGACTCGTCAATGAAACTGTACCCATGCAGAACAGATCAACTCACCTGGTAGAGCTCGAAAGGACTAGTCATCGACTCGTCAAGCCACACAGCATTTCCTGCGCTTTTGCCGAACTTCTCGCCTGCAGCAGTCGTCAAAAGAGGAACGGTGAATCCCAAAGGATCATTCGTCGCCCGTCCTCCAATTTTGCTTTCCCGCGAGAGTTCCACCTGAAATGGATGGTCTGACTTCGCAATGCTTTTGACTGCCTCTGCGCCAGCAAGAATATTCCCAAACTGATCAGCACCTCCGATCTGTAGTTGCACACCACCTTTATAGAGCTCCCACCAATCCCAAGCTTGGACTAATGGATAGCTGAATTCCGCGAACGACATGCCGTTACCATCGAGTCGGGTTTTGACACTTGAAAGCCGTTAGTAGCGAGCCATTAAGAATCTCCAGTAGGATGCTCTTACGTGTCTCTACCCAGCATTGGGCCCAGACGTATGTGCCGCCCTAGAACAGAAAGGAAATCCCTTGCTGAAGTTTTATTCCACCAATGTACATTGTTGTGCAATGCTTTCCTCCACGCCCACTCTCGAATGAAGCCTCGTCGCGCTGCATATCTTTCGACCGAGTCCATGAATCTCTTGAGCTGCATGTGCAAGGCAACCATATTCGCTTTCCGGACTTCAGGCTTGTCCTGCTTCCTGTCGGTAAGACGACCGATTGGGTCTCCTATGCTCGCGGTAAACCCACCGAGCTATTGCAAAGAAACTTGTATCAGCTGATGTTCTCAGTGTGTTTGTTCGTTCCGCATACCAGGTAGCGCGCGCTGTAACCATGAATGTACATGAAGGACAATGCCATAAAGGGGATCAAATGGCCGACGTGCATGGAAGCTGCGGTGGGATCTATTCCAACATAGACCCCGATCCGTCGCTCAGTAAGGAGGGTCTCTAGCTCTCCGCGATCACTATTTTCATCTCAGCCCCAGGAAAGAGTTTATCTTCAACACGAAGAAGACTCACCCAACGATCTGGTTTATGTATCCCCTCTCTTCCAGGCGACTGAGCATAGTGGGAGCATGCCCAGCCTTTATGAGTTTCGCCCGCTCATGCCATTCTTGCTCTGCTAGTTTGATCTTTTGGATGTGGTTTTGAGTTATGCTTCGCGTTCGCGGATGTGAAGAGGATTGTACGGTGCGCGGTGTTTGACGCTGTGCATTGCGACATGTTTGACAAATGTAGAGCGAGCGCGGAGCTGCTCGGGAAACCTGTGTCCTAACCATGACGTTTCATGATATATTGCAATGCAAAGGCAGTCTCGCTTCTGCTCGTGGTCACAATAGCGATGTGTGTTAGGCGCAGGCAAGGATATCATTGACCTTAAGGTTCAAAAAAGTTTCGGTCATAGAAGGACCGAGCAAAAAGCTGCCCAATGACTCAAGGTCCCTGGCTTACATCCAAGGACTGACTCGGTCGGATCACGTGCGATAGCATTCCCGGATTGTTGAAATCCCGCCTGACTGGCGCTCGAATTCGGTTTGCCGTCACAAATTTGAAGTCTTGAAATTTAAAACCCATACCGACTAAAGAGTTCCCTCAGCCGATTCAATTACTTGGAGGCTGAACTTTGCATAAAGTGATCGATGTATAGTCATCCATGGATGTCAGTGAGTATTTCGGTTTCCATCGAAGATCATGAGATGTCTCTCCGCCTCGTACTCGTATGAGGCAGATCCCACCTCGGTACTTGTGTCAACAACCAAAGCCGGTCGCTGGTGGCTGAGATCCTTCGAACTTCAAAGGGCGTTTTGTGCTGTTCTGGCGGCCGCCACCCTTAAGCTTTAAACTTGGCCGCGTTGATTCAAGCCCCGACCACTTCTTAGTTGAACGTGAAGTTGAAGACATGAGACTGCCTTCTAACTTATGATAGTATGTCTTGTTGGACTTCATTCTAAAGGGTGAGCGTAAGTCGTACCTCCGTTTGGACTCCTGATCCCGAAAGGACTTGCCCGGACGTATTGGTGAGGAGGAGCATGCTCATGCGACCGTGGTTTTAGTCGGTGGCCTAGCCCTGAACCCTGGGTCATCTGAAAAGACGGACTCATCCTAATGTCTATGCATGGTCTAGCCTACTTGATGCCGGACCATTCGCTTCCCCACCCCCCGGCCTCTTCATTTCCTGGACGCATTTGCCTGGGTCTGTCGACTTTCGGCCATCAACGATTCACGCTCGCTAAGTCACTTGTGGAAGAGTCCGAACTCGCTTCAGCTAACAAACTGTCAGCGATTGCCAGGGCTTGACTGTGACTTGTGACTTGTAACCTGACCCCGGATGACGGGACAAGGGCGTTGCATTACTGCCCCAGGTTTTGAGTCCAAGGCCATGGTCCGTCAATCGCCCAGGTGAGTGCCCCGATCCCATATCCCTACGGTGAGTCCTCGTTCTCCTGTGCCCACTCTTCAACCTCCTTCCGCGTTTTATAGAGCACCAAGCTCGCTTTGAGCTTTGACACGCTTCGCTGGGTTGCTTGTGAACGCCATGGTCAACAGGAATTACTTCGTGTCGCAATCATGGGAAAGGATTTCTACACAAATACGTTTGAGTACGATCTCCTACTGAATCATGCCAACCAATATGTCAAGACTAATCCACAAGTAGTTCCACCACAATTATAGTCACCGCGACGACAGCCCTCAGTTTCTACAACTCCATTGAGTTGATCCTACTGATCTTCACCACTTTCACGTCCTATCGCGGCCTGTATTTCTGGTCGCTTCTGATTGCTACATCTGGCCTTATTCCTTACTGTATAGGCCTCGTTCTCCACTACTTCCGCCTTGGGAACAACCTTGCTGGATTGATAATCAACAATTATGGTTGGTGTGCTTTCGTCACTGGGCAGAGCGTTGTGCTCTATTCGAGGTTAGGAATAGTACTCGGAAGGGAGAACAATCGCATTCTCAAGTTTGTCAAGTGGATGATTATTATCGACGCGATATTGTTCCACGTCAGCACGACCGTTCTGGAGTTTGTCGGAAACTATGCGGATTCTCATGCAGTCCGACCTGCGTATCAGAAAGGATACATCTATATTGAAAAGATTCAAATGACCGGTTTCTGCATCCAGGAGTTCATCATTTCAGGGCTTTATGTGTGGAAAACACTAGACATCCTCAAAACGCAGGATAACGCTCCACGATCCGGCTCTACGACTTCAGACCACAGTCCCAAGAAACACGTACACCGTGTCATGCTTCAGCTTGTCATCATTAACGTCATCATCATCGCGCTTGATGTCTTACTCCTAGTCGTTGAGTATTACGACCTCCATATCGTCGAAATCTCCCTAAAGCCGTTCGTCTACAGTGTCAAGCTGAAGCTTGAGTTCGCTGTTCTGAGCAAACTGGTTGAGACATCATCGACCGTTCAAGCGAACAGACGAAGATTGAGTCTCACACCGGACCTATTTGACCCAAACGTGGCGTCATTCGACAGCACCCGCCCATTACCAGTACTGAAAAATGCAACAGGTACCGACGTGGAGTTTGCTGTAGATCCCACGCGCAAATCTGCAAATCTTCACCTGCGCACAACTTTATCCGCGACCTCTACCTCGGCCTCATCTCGACCGCAATGGATGGAGGACCTTGAAAAGTCAGACATATCGACTCACATCGAGAAGGTCGACAATGACAGTGAAGTAAGAAGAAGTGAGCCGCTAGCAGGACCTTTCTCGAAAGAGTATATGCAGGAAGATTCAGCCGATCTTGACCAGTACGAGCCCGCGAACTATCGAAAACTGAGGAAGGGATCAGATCTACTGTACGCAGACGCCCTTCTCGCGCTCTCCAAACGGAATCAGGGCGCATCATGAAATCGCCCGAAGCATTTGATTCGGAACCACTATCTTGATTCGAAAATTGTACATATATAGCAACCCTGCTAGGAGGAGGATAACACACCAATCCCTCCTTTTCACGACGTGCACGAGCAAAATACAAACTTATACCTCCAACAAATCCATCATCACCATCATTATTGCAAAAAGCCCTTCGTGATCTGTCAAAAACGCGTTTATACTTCTGTCCAGCATTCCGAAGAAAGTACTACGGAGCATCAGATAGTCTCAGATCAATGGAATTCAGAACAAAGGCCTTCTACCGTGCAATTACCAACGTGCATACCTTGTTGTGCATGCCCAACCCACCCCAACCCAATACGATATCGATTGTCGTTGGCATCGCTCTACTCGTTCCACGTTACGTCGTCCAAGGCATACCATTCCGGCAGCTCAACATTCCAGTCCTTGCCGAGCTCGTCGCCGAACAGAAATTGATCCCATCCTGGATTCACATCTGGACCGTCGATTCTGAACGGTGCATAAGCGAGGCCAGGGCCATTGTTATTGCCGTCGACACCGTTGTAAAAGTTGGCATCCATTTCGCCTTCGCCAGTGTTGACGTCCGTCCAGTCCTCCGTGGACGAGTGAGGCCATATGTCCGGGTAAGAGTACTCCGTACAGTCGGGGCCAGCGAACGCCTCATGGTCTGGTTTTAGCTGCTCCACTCGGACAGCGGATGCCATGTCGCCGTCTCGAATTGAATGGCCATTCGAACTGACTGGAGGGTTTAGCGGTGGATTTGCAATGCTGTTTGGTCCGTCAAATGCTGGTAACATGTTGTCGACGGTGTACTGCTCAATTCCAACCACCGGATCCAGATATGGTCGAATGGGCTGTATGGCTGACGGACCAAACTCGAGGTTGATAGTTCCGAAATACGGCATGATAACGACTCGCCGCCTGGGCTTGCCCTGCGGGATTCCCTTCTCCACTCCGATATGAGTATCTGCGAAACCCAAAGAATCATGACCAGCACCGTCATCAGCGTCATCGGCAACATCATCGTCAAAGAACGACCCCAGCTCAACCAGAACCTTCAAGCCCTGCTTACTGATAAAGCCGCCCTGACGCTGCGAGCGGTATCGGAAAAGGTCCTTCGTCTCCTCAACCAGCGCAAGACTCTCGGTGATTTCGTCCTGTCCCGGCCAAGCTACGAGGTTGTTTCGATCCCGCAGCACTTCCCCGGGGCACATAGCCTTGCACATCAGCAGGCCAACCAGCAGGATGCAGCCTGTCAGCACGCCCTGGAAGTCGTCGCAGTTGCACACGTACACAGCCATGGTCGGGTTTGCGCGTAGAAGATTGAAGATCCGGAGGACGCCGCGGCATCCTTGGAAGCACAGGATTCGGTTTTCTTGGTAGATGTCGATGGTGCCCATGTCGGGGCTGGGGCTTGTGTTATTGGTTGCCGTCGACGTTACGAGGTGTTCGTGGGAGGGCATGGGTTTGAGCATAAAGAGGAGGTGAAGGAAAGCTTGCGTTTGCCAGTACCAGAGCTGGGTCATCAGGTGTTCGTGGACGAAGAACGGGTCGCTCGGAATGGCTTCCACGTGGGTTTCCATGTTCCACCAACCAGGTGGCATGGTTGCGCCCGCTTCGATGAGTGAGGCTTGTAGATTCATAGTCTCAGCGTGCAGGACTGAGTCATCTATCCCTGAGCTTGCTCGGACGTTTCGGTCGTTGGTTTTTCCGGCTATGATTGCGACGATGCGTCGTAATGCGCGCATCTTGATATCGATGTTTGATGTATTGGGTTGGCTGCTGTCTACTTGTAGCCCTGCCTCATCTCTTAAGACAGCAAACGCTAGTTGATCGGTGAAGTTTTCGTCCATGTAGTAGGGAAATCCAAGAACCATGCTCATCAGGCGGTCGAGCTCGAGTATCGAGCCTAGAAACCTCTGTCGAACGACGAGTTGTGTGACATCTTCGCCTGTTTCTGTACTCACAGCGGACGTCTTTGCACCTTCCTCTGCATTTGGTACACCAGGAAATATCTGGCTGGGCCGTAGTTTCGTGTTTGGATCGACGAAGCCCATGGCCTTGGCGGCATGAATGGCTGTGCGGAGTATCAGGAAGGATTTGTGCACTTGATTGCCTTCGGCATACATCTTGCTTCGTGCCATCAGAAGTAGTAGGATGGACGGATCGTTCATGTAAGATGAATTCGCACTGGACGACAAGACCACGGAATCTACCGCTAGAACGATCCGATCCATCAGCTCCCCTGGAGGACAGGAGAGATGTAGTGGTGTATCGTCTATGCCAGATCGAAGTACTTGTAACGACATGGCTATGCCGAGTAGCCCTGTTGCAATCGCGATCGCATTGTCCTTCTGTGCTAGCTTTGAACGGACAAAATCTTGCAGGGAGATTGGAATAGGTTTACTTTTCGCGCCGCCAGCAACATTGCTGTCCATCGCAAGTGCTGTGTTGACATGTGCAGGCAGGTACTCGGCGTTCAGAAATACTTCATGTAGTGCAAAGGCTTGGTCACGCCAGGAGATCCACCAGTGTGTTGAGACCTCGAGGACTTCCATAATATATGGCTCCGAGGCGATGGTGGATAGCAATTTGTCGGAATCGGTGGCTGAAGCTTCGTCTGCAAATGTCAGAACTTGGAATTTCGAGCTGAGGTTATCGGGATCTATGGAGGTCTGGCTCATCTGATCTAGGTGAGTAAAACGCGAAGGGTCATCAGAGTCAACCTACCATGCTGTTGGAGAATACTTGAGACAAGACAGGGCTTGATGTTTTTAAGCCCATCTCATGCTCGAAAACACTTTGGAATGGCCTTCGGGTCTGGTCTGGTTTTATGGATGCCTTAGTTTGCGCAGACCCACAATCGCTTTTCTCGGGTGTCTCGTAATGATGTAGCACTGCGTTCATCGCCGCGACATAGTCGTAAGCTCCAATATGTTCAAAGTCCTGCATATCTGACACTCTTGAATTTGCTAAATGACTTCTTCCAGACTTCGGACGCTTTGCCAGTCGCTCGGCAATGGAATCAACCCTATCGACATGGATCTTGAATAATCTCGGACGGCCTGCAGGCTGATTCTCGATCACCCGGTCTTCACTACCACTTTCGGGAGAGTCAGATTGGATCCCAGATTGGTAACGACGACGCTTATAAATTCTTTTTGGTAGCTGAGACGGCGCTCCATCACTCTGCTCGCTATCTTTGGAGCTTCCCACGATGCCTTGAATCTCACAAGTGCGGCCGTGGCTAGTACACTCAATGCATTTGGTGGTAGACGTAATGGAGGCAACCGAGTCTAGTGTCTCCAATTGCTCTGATGGTATATGTTCAGAAACAGATTCTGCGGATGGTGGGTAGCTGCATTTGACCTTCCTACGACGACCTTGGACATCCGCATTAGCATTTTTCAGAGTCACTGATGGCTTCCGGGGTTATCTATCGCCAGGAAGGTGATCATAGAATTTGAACACACCGGTGAGAAGCAGAGGAAAGCAATCGTGAAAAAAATTAATTCTGAATCAGGGCTCGACCAAATCCTGAACCTTTAGATCTTGGAGCATCGAAGTGTACCTACATTCTCTGCACGACTTGGTCCCTTTCCGCATCTGCTTCAATGATGACGGCTTTTTATGAGTTGACGTCAAACCGCCATGTCGCTCAGAGGATCTTGGTACCGAGGCTGTAGCGGGCAGATGCATCGGTACGGTATCAGCAGTCATCTCCTCTAGATGGCGCAGCTAGATTATTTTTCAAGTCGTAGATTGTAACTGTGGCAAGGCCAAAAACCTCAAACCAAGGTGGTGTGATGTGGATCCCAATGAGCGTGACTATGAAGACGCAGATCCTGCATCAAGGGGGAGGACTCAGAATACTGCCATCTCAAGTAGATGGCCTGAGACGGCGGAGCATCTCGGCCGAAACGTGCAGCCTTGCCAACCTTGGTAGCCTCGCCAGCCAGGCCTTGTTTGTGACGCTTGGCTTGGTCTTTAGGCCATCAACTCCTCAGTGCTTTTGATCATTGACATGCCTAGGGTTGCTTGAGACAGTGCAACTAGTCAATCAAAGGACCATTACAACACCAGAATCACTAAAGGTGCTCCTCGTGACGGGGTTGAGTACTTGTAAATTCGGTGGAAGTTAACGCCAAGAGTTTTGGCTTGTTAGCGCCTTTTCTGAGTTGTTGCTAGGCGGCGGGCAGCGAAGAAATCTTTCGTCTTTCAAGTTCTCAAGACCAGGATCTAAGTATCAAAACTGATCCACCTTTCGGAGTTCTGCCTTACATACTCTTGAAAATTCCACATGTCACAACATGTCTGATACAAATTCCCGAAAGCGATCCAGATCGGCCGGTAGGTCAGGATCTGATGGCGACTCGTCAGATGATGATGATTTTGGCCCAGCCTTGCCCTCTTCAGTCCCGCCCAAGAAGAAGCGCAAACTGCCCTACGAGTCCCTCTATGTCGATGCTTTGCCTCGAGGACTGAAGTACTCCAAGTCGTTGATGCACAAAGATCAGCTCTCTACTATTACTGTTGCTCCCTCGCCAGCAGATTTTGTTATTACAACTTCTGTGGATGGAGTAGTCAAGTTCTGGAAGAAGGTGGCAACTGGTATTGAATTTGCCAAGGAATATCGAGCGCATGAAGGTCGGATAGTCAGCTCTAGTGTGAGCACTGATGGTGGACTCTTCGCGACTGCTGGTTATGAAGACGATAATACCATCAAGATCTTCGATGTCATCACATTCGATCTGCTGTCTATTCTGAATCTCGATCAAGCAGCCTCCTGCATATGCTGGGTACATCGAAGAGGTGCAGTCCCTCTCTTGGCAGCTGGAGTAGGGAAGGCGATACATCTCTACGATGGACGAGGTAATTCGTCGACACCTCTCCATGTCATTCCTGCTCTTCATCGGGCCCCAATAGTGGCCTTGGCTTACAATCCTGCTTTCGACTGTGTGGTGTCAGCCGATTCGACAGGCATGATTGAATACTGGCAGCCAGGAGACAGTTATGAAAAGCCAGACAATGTCTTCAAAATGAAGGCAACGACAAACCTATTTGACTTCAAGAAGGCTAAATCAGCGCCCGCAAGCATCACCATATCACCATCTGGCCACCAATTTGCGACGATATCTTTTCCCGACAGAAAGGTACGCGTGTTCGATTTCGCCTCCGGAAAATTGTATCGCTCCTATGACGAGTCCATTGAAACTATTACTGCTATGCAACAAGCGGGCACTGCACTTCAGAAGCTGGAGGAAGTGGAATTTGGACGCAGATTGGCAGTTGAACGCGATCTCGACAATGCAGTGATCCGGCCTAGGATCAATGTTGTGTTCGACGAGTCGGGTCATTTCATTGCCTATGGCTCGTTGCTCGGTGTGAAGGTCATCAACACCCTCACCAATCGGGTTATGAAAGCATATGGGAAAGATGAACCGTTCCGAACATTGAACGTGGCTTTGTACCAAGGAGCACCGCAGAAGAAGGATGTGGTGACCATCTCCATGGCTGCAAGTTCGAATCCCTTGCTGAGCGAAGCGGAGGAAAGAGATCCCATGCTTTTTGCCACTGGTTACGGGAAGGTTCGGTTCTACATGTTTACCAATGAAACAGAAATCACCAAATCGACTAGAGATGTCCAGAACGAGAAACCTCGAGTTATTAGTGGTAAGAAGAAAGAAGAAAAGCAGACCCAGAGCGGCACGTCGGCGGTGCTACATACCAACTATGGAGATATCCATATTCGATTATTCCCGGACAAGGCACCGAAGGCAGTGGAGAACTTTGTGACGCACTCGCGAAACGGATACTACAATAACACGATCTTCCACCGAGTTATCCGTAAATTCATGATTCAGGGTGGCGATCCGCTAGGAGATGGGACTGGAGGAGAAAGTATCTGGGGTAAAGAATTCGCTGACGAGTTCTCGGATTTGAAGCATGACAAGCCATACACGGTGAGCATGGCAAATGCTGGTCCCGGAACCAATGGGTCACAGTTTTTTATCACAACTGAAAAGACACCTTGGCTGGACAACAAGCATACCATATTTGGTCGAGCATACCAAGGGCTGGATGTGGTCCATCAGATTGAGAATTCCAAAGTGCGGAAAGAAAGGCCAGAGGAGGACATTAAGATAGTCAACATCTCTATTACTTAAAGAAGGTTAATCAATCCTGGTGATGCCCTTACGAGAGACAAGAGACACGCATAAAGTGTTCTCCTCCACAAAGTCCAAAATGGAAAAAAAAAGAAAATTGTAAATATTAGAGAATACAGTGCGGATTCAAACAACCAAAATTTCTGACTGTTGAAGATACACAATCGGGGGAGTTTAGAGAGTAGCTAGAATCGCCATACATCATTTTACACGCAGTAAGTGACGAGAGGGTCCATTTGTCGCCGGATGAGCAAGAGGATACGCGGGCACTATTTATCAGGCCAAGGGGCAGAGAAAGTGATTCTGTGTTCAAGTCATATTTGGTTGGATTTCGCGCTGTATTGAGAGCAAGACTCTGGGATTAAAATATATGTGTTTCCCTTTTCAGGAGTGGAGGGTAATTGTAGGGGATGGCGCCCATAGTGAAGCTATCGTCACCTGTCCACTCACTTTCAGGCGGATTGTACAGAAAGAAGTGAGGCGGAGATGAATGACAAGATTGACCACCAAGAAAGAATTGTGTTATTCTCCTCAAAGGATATATTCTCTTGTTCAGACTGATTTATGTCAATGTCCATTGTTGGAAAATATTCAGTGAGGATGTTCTCACGAGGCTGTAACCCTCCAACCTCGACCACTGTAATCCAGCTGAGATATCCACAATTTTCATTTCTCCGCATTCCGAGAGGAGAACGGTTCCTTCCACTTTTTTCCCTCGCTACAGCAAGCACCACTGGCAGCCTACATTCCTCAAGCGCGTCTTGACCAACCACGCGTCTGGCACTTCCTGCCTCGACCGCCAATATGGTCAAGCTGAGGGTCGTAGCCAGAATCATCTCAGAAGATGATTACTTGGCCGACCTCCCCCAGACGTCTCAAAAAACTCCCAGAAACGAAAAGCGGTTACTGGTCACCGTCCGAGATCCGTACACATGGCAAATTGGCACTCTTGCTCGCGAGATCGAGAGAGCCTACAAGAGCACTTATCAACGGTGAATACCCCTCCTGACCGCAACGCAGCCTGTGAGGTCTAACTCAGATTCCGCAGTGATCTCCCTCCGATCAAGTACTTGAAGGACGTCGAAGATGATTGCGACCTTGACCTGTACTCTTCTGTCGCAGACCTACTTCTCGACGAGGGCAAAGCTAAAAAAGATGGCAATGACCAACGAGTCACGATAAAAGTCATATTGGAACAAGGAAGAGCAGTTCGTGAAGGATCCGTTGCAGTTGGCAATTTGTTGGCGGACCCGCACTTTCACTTTCAACACCAAAAGTCTTTACGGCCACCGGTCCCCAAATTTCCCGATGTCCTTTCTTCACTTGGGAAGCGGCCACATCCCCGAGAGGATTCTATTCCCACCATTGCAAAGAGATCGAAACAGCTGGAAGAACTCCAAACACTACGAGAAGAGAGCCTGATATCATCGATCGAGCGGGATACCCATGCGACATCAGTCGATGTTATTGAAGCCACACAGCCCTCTTCGCGACAAAATGGCACTGATTGGCAAGTTTCTGACCACAATGTCAAGGCTGAATCGCCCGAGTATTGGAAATCATGGCAGGACATGCCGGATGCAAGTGTCGATGAGCTCGAGCAATTGCAGCAAGAACCAACAGGCTTCATACCTCGCCACCGAGCTGGTAAACAGGTAAACAAACCTCAAATCAATCCAGAGCTTCAGGGTCTCGATCCTCAACCTGTCCAGCTCCCTTCTCACGAACGCCTCCAGCATTCTCATGCACCCATCACTCCACCGATGGAGCCTTCTCGCCGCCCTTCGAGCTCTTCTAGACCTTCGGTTTCAGCCAGGAAGAACCCAAACCCGTCGCCTTGGGGACGGTCGTCTAAATCGGCGAGAAGATTTAAGAACCCGTCAAGGAGGGATGTCTACGACTACCCAGAGTCTGAGATTGATGACTCGCAGATGTCACCCAGATCGAGAATGGCAACTCTCCGCCAGCAAAAGTCCAGTGACCGTCTCTCGCGCATCGAGAATCAGAAATCACCGGAGCTTGGAGACGATGCAGCAGAACGCTTAAGCATCTCTCAAGCGATGAACCTCCTGGATAACAATTCTGGCTTCGACGATAGTGCAGCTCCAGAAGACTCAATATACCCCACAAGCTCACTGCTCAATGGCAACGAGCTTGCTACTCGTGATCGCGCGAACGACTTAATTCATGAGGACACGGATCAGAATATCGAGCCAAGAGATATGAGGGACGATAACCATGAGGATGCTAATGATGCGGATCTCTCTGATGCTGCACAAGATGACTATGAAAAGGAGAACATGCCTGTTCAGCGACCCGTAGTCAAGACTCCGAAGAAACCGTTAATTGGCCAGCATACAACGCCACGATCGGCACTGGAGTCCGATGTCAACTCAACCTCTGCGAATACAGCCTCGGCCAAAAAGAGAAATCGTGCTAAGAGGCAGACACCAAATGGTGTAAACAATGATGGAAAAGCGTCTGCAAAGGTCGACCACGAAGGACTGGACACTCCAGATCTTGGAGAGACCAATGAATCCGTCCGCCGCAACTCCGGAAATGAGAGAGACACACCCACTCTAGACAGTCCAGGTGAACAGCTCTCACAATCCTTGCAAGAATCGACTCGCAAGTTGTCATCTATGCATGCTTTAAAAGACAAACTTGAGGCTAGCGGACAATTATCATCTTCGCCCTTGGCCAATGTCATCAAGAGCGATGACGACGATGAAATTAAATCCAAGAAGAGTGAAAAATTGGCCAAAAAAGCCGCAAAAACCAAAGTGAACGGAAGTGCAGCATCTTCGAAATCGTCGAAGCGACCGCGGAAGAGCAGAAACAGCGACATCAACGCCGGCCCTCCCTCGGTCAGTGTTGAAATAGTCGAGCAAACAGCAGTTCCATCAAGCCCCGTCTCCAAACCTCTGCCCAATTGGGGATCCGAATCAACAACGGTCGAGAAACCTCAGCGTTCTGTTCCAAATCAGACACACTCCTTGACTGTGGACAACAACAGCAATTCCAGAAAGAGTCCATCCGTGGCTACAGGTCTGACCTTGGAGGAAATCAAAATCATGGAGAGTCGGCAAAATTGGACCCAAGAGCAATTTGCAGAGAACAAGAAGAAGCAACAACTGGAAGCGAAGCACTATGCAGCAGAACAAAAGAAGAAAGAAGCCAATTTGAGGAGAGAAAGCTCGGGGAAGCAGTCAGCCCCAAAGCCAAAGCTAACTTTACTGCCCGCAACCGAGCCGCCGCCTGCCACTGTTCCGTCGCGTAAAGCCAGTGCTATCAGAAGGAGTCTTTCGACGGATGAGGAGGTTGGGTCGGCGAAGACAAAGAAAGGTTTGGATGAAAGCGCTTCAGTCGATGCAAAATCAACCGCTTCAACTAAAAAGTCTGCTTCAGCAAAGAAAGACGAAGTGAAGGCTTCCGCGAAACCTCCCATCGAGACCCTCTTTAAGACTCCTTCCAAAACGTCTACCAAGACTACATCGGTGAAGTCGGTCCCGAAGGACGCCGCAAAGACTCCTGGCATCTCGAAAACGGATAGCAAAAGTCTGAGTGCTTCAAATCAGAAGAAATCAGCAGCAAAATCAGAGCCTACGCCCAACACCGCCACGAGTCCCTCCTCCAAAACTAAGGTAACAAAAGCTCCCGTTACAACAATCCGGGGTGCAAAAAGTCTCAAAGACCTTCGTCAAGTGATGAAGAGCGCACAAGAGCCCCGAATTCCGGTGACAGCAACAACTTCTCGGGCCTCCTCAATCTTACCTTCTCATAAGCGTTCCGCCCTCAACTCCGCCAGTGACGATGATAGTGACGAATCAGAAAGCAGTAGTGGTGATGAAAGCGAGGATGCAAATGTACGAGATAAAGAAGCTATGCAGCAGCAATCAGTGCAGAAAAAGGCTATCGGCGCTGCAGAGAAAGGCCAAGGCTCTCGAATCAAGACTCCAGCACAGGGGAAACAGGCAAAAGCTACTATCAACGCAAAATCAGAAGTGAAAACATCATCATCCGGGTCAAGCGAGGACACTGATGAAGATGAATATGAACGCAGGCAGACGCAAGTAGCTCGGAGCAGAAAAGCTGCAGACGCCGTCGCTCGAGCAAGATCTAGTTCATCTCGTCCTATCGCATCTTCACTGACTGGCATCGCTCGCCCTGACCCAAGTATTCGCGACGCGAGCGTCGACCCGTCGTCTTCCAACGATGATGACGAAGAGCTTTAGAAAAGCAAACCCTTAACAAAAACGATACGCTCGATTCCGCCAGTGTGCCACAGCGCCAGGCCAAAGGAGGGAGGAGTGGACTGTCAGCACCAGGCACTAGACGGTGTTGGTCGTCGATTGATCAGTCGCAGGGAATATGGAGCTTGAGCATTGGACCTTGGAGGTAACCTGGGAGACTATACACCAAATAAGGCGGGCGAAATATCTCAGTGATAGAGGAAGCTTGACTCATAGGTACTCTAGCTAGTATGCCAGACCTTCAATCGTGTTGAATATCACAGAGAATGAATGAATGAAAAGCTCTTTTCCTTGGTAGGAAGACAACATAAAATTGAGTCTCAAAATTCTGATGGTCTCACTTCAGAAGAATAGGATTTTCTACTTTGTTGCTCAGCGCTCTGCTCTGTGCTCCTCACACTTGGATGGATTTCAAGTCATGTCCCGAACTTAAGGCAAGGGATTTAATCCATTGCCGTGAAGGATAGATAGCAATGCAAGTGCCGACTCCACATACCTAGGTAGACATACATAATCCTAAGATGCGGGCGGAAGCTTCATGCATAGTCCCTCCCATGCGAGTCGAGTGTAGCAGAATAAAAAGCATAGCAGCATCATAATCCCGCAACACACACAAAAAAACAAGTTCGTACTTTATAGAAGAAATCTAGTCTAAGAAACCCGTGAATTCTTGAGGGAATGTTTGCTTTTAGTCTCCGGATCGTCTCGTCTCACTGATTGATGGAACCTAACAACTACATAGTTAACTTAGAGTATGCAATTTCTTTATCTAGCTGGTGGCGCTATCTATGGCACATCCACCAGCTCCCAAGGGCGCTTTCTTTCCCACGTACTACGAAGTAAGTTACAGCATGAGTTCCCGTCATGTCATATCTCATTGCTCAGAGCAGAGTTCTGCCTGAGCAGCGACCGACACACCTTGGATCGCCCAAAGTCTGTGATTAATGGTTACAATGTTCTGCTGCGAGGCCTCGATCAAACCTGGAAGTCAGGAGTTCTTGTCTCCACGCCCACTACGTTCAACAATCCTCTTAGCTATGTGCTCGATCGTGGCCTGAATTTCTGCGCTTGTTCCTGCCTTGTCGACGGGAGTCGGAGTGTACGTAGCTTGAGTGTACCCACTAGGAGTGTGCTGTGGTCTTTTCTGCTTCATCCCAAGATCGGCTGATAGTGCTTTCGTTACGCTTCGGCATGCCATGCAATTCATTCTCGAGAGTCATTTCATCCCATGTCAACACGTCTGACGTCTTCACCACTACTCGCAGCATCTCTTTTCACTACCATCCCCACAGGGGGTGGTGGCAGAGCCTCCATGAGCAAAAGCAAGGCTATCCGTATCTCCACCACTGCCAAAATCTTTCGAGGATGCGGGCTTTCAAGAGCTCTCAGGCTCAACAGTGTTTCCAGCAACAATGTTCGCCCAACCAATCAAACGCCAATGCTTTTCAATACGTCTGCTGAGAGCGATCTTCTCGCCAATAGCTGTGCAAGCAGGGTTGGTGAGTGTCAATTTCGCAGCATCGGCTTTGACGCCCATAACTTTCGCACCCGTTGCTGTCGAACCGATATTTACCATGAGAACCTCGTTCTTCGCCAATTTAGCGACCTTGGCCTGCTTGCCATCGGCAGTCTTGACACCTAGCAGTCTGCGGAGGAGGAAGTAGTTGACTTCGAGTTCCATGTAGATTTCCGGAAGTTGGCCTCGGAGACCCAGTACGTGTCCGACAAGACGATCGGCTCGGCAAAGAGTGGGATCAATGCGTGTTCCCACGCCAATGAGACCGCCAGGGACGGCGAACTTGAGATCGTTGTGTTCTGCATATAGAGAGACAACGCGTGACATGATGGGTTTACAGATGGTCTGGCCCTGTGCGTCCTTGGTGATAATGCCAGGTCGGATCTCAATTTCGTCACCGAGCTTCAACACGCCGGTCAAGATCGATCCACCAGCCACACCTCCTTTCAGGTCTTCAATCTCAGCGCCGGGCTTGTTAACATCAAAAGATCGGATAACGATCATGTGAGGAGCATCTTGGAAATTTCGGATGGGGACTGGGATCTTGGTGACGAGATATTCGTTGATTGCATCGATATTATACTTGAGTTGTGCAGAGATGGGAATGATGGGTGATCCGTCAGCGACTGTGCCTTTGATGAATTTCAGAATCGACTCGAAGTGAGATTGTGCGCCTTCCTCCCGCATGAGGTCGACTTTGTTCTGGAGGATGATGATGTGGTTCAATTTCATGATTTCAATAGCTGCGAGATGCTCCGAAGTCTGGGGTTGCGGGCAGCTTTCGTTGCCGGCGATGAGTAGCAGGGCAGCGTCCATGACAGCGGCACCTGACAACATGGTGCTCATGAGAATATCGTGGCCAGGGCAATCCACAAAGGAGACATGACGTAACAGACGGTAGGTGCCACCGCAGCCTTCTCGCTCACAGGGAGGATCAACCTCCTTCTCTGACTTGTAGCTCTTGTAACATGTGGGCCGAGGGCATGCCTCATTGTCACACTTGTAGATCTTTGCATTGGCATAACCCAATTTGATGGTGATGTTCCGCTCCAATTCGTTCTTGAACCGGACCGTCTGGACACCGGAAATAGCCTTGACGACCGTCGATTTCCCGTGAGCGACATGGCCGATGGTACCGATATTTATGGTGGCCTGTCGGGAGATGATTTCAGGTGACAGAGGAGTGAGAGTAGAGAGATCGAGGTCTTTGGGTTCAGGTTGTTCGGGGAGAATAGGACGAGCGACCTGGGTTTCTGGGATGGCCGCAGAGGTGTTTTTCTTTAGGGACGACTTGGGTGGTTGATTAGTTTCTTCTACATCATCGACGTCGTTCTCCTCTCCAGGGGGGCTCCCTGGCTGCGAGAACTCATCGTCGGATGGTAAATCGCCGTTGGTAGCCATGATTGCGGTTGAGTAAATGGGCCTGAGTGGCGGTTGCGAAGGGATTGCGGGAGTGATATTGGCTCTTTCTGGAGCGCCGGAGGAAAGAACCAATGTATGTCAGGGCTCAATGTCGGTAATGGTAATGTCGTTGGCGAGTGCGAGTGTAAGGGGTTTCTTCGTTCTATGAGCTTTTCTTGGTGATGGATGGAGGGGTTGAACACATTGACACTGAGTGTCCGGAGTAGGAAATTTAGATATCCCAATGCCAAGAACATGAACTTGACTCATTTGTGGCCTTTTAAAGCGGCATTATGACTCATCCTCATACGTCCTGATAATCTCTCCAGCCTCGTCATCGCAAGGCTTTCCAACTGACCAGCTGGACAACGCTCTTACCCTTATTATCATTGTGCGACGCCAGATTGCCTTTGTCTACAGCGCTTGAAGCTTTGATAATGCTGTCGAGTCTATCAGACTGATGTTCTATTGCTTGCTGTACCATACATTGTGGAGATATGGTCACAAGGCTTTGAGCATTATTTACTACTCTTTACATGCACTCGCTACTCATCATCGAGTTCATCCTCTGCTCCCTCTACAATCTCATATCCCTCGCTACCATCAATGTCGTCTGAGCCCTCCTTATCATCTTGTGCACTTTCATCAGAATCACTGTCATCTTCATCGTTGTCTTCTTCATCGTCACCTGCCTTTAGCCCGTAGTCATCCTGGAAATAAGTAAGGTCGTGAATCTCAGGTGAGAAGCCCTCCCCAGCAAGCCCTTCCGAAATCGCCTAGGTAGAAATTGTTAGCCTGGATTAACGATCACCAATCCTGAAACTTGAACTCACCTCTTTGAGTGATGGTGCACACGTCACCAGAACATCGGCTTTGTCAGACCTGAACACATCAAAGACCACTGTTTCAAGTACCTGCTTGATCTCTGGTACCGTGATATCTCTGACTTTCTTGAGTAGCGATTCCTGGTGGTCTTCTGGTAACTGCTTCATGACGCTGCGGATGAAATTTGACGCTGCAGCGGAAGCTAGTGTTTGTTGCTCATTGGCGAACGCAACCACGATACTGCTGATCGCACCCTCCAGCATTAACGGGTCGAACTCGATCTCGCCTGTGATGTGGCCATGGACTACTTTCCGGCTGGCTTCGAATGCCTTAAACGAATCTGGAGAGCGATACACATCCAATGTGATGAAGCCGGATTCAATGTCGAAGCTGACGCTCGTACCGTATGCCAGACCTGTGCCCCGGACCGCGACCCATAATGGACCCTCGACAGCGTTCAGATACGCCATCGCAACCATGATGGCGGGCGTTTTGGGGTCCTGGTAGGAAGTAGGCCCTCGGGAGATGGAGTAGGCAAAGGAGGAATCGATAGTAGGGAGTGGTACAACATATGCCAATTTTCCAGTCTTCTTGCCTGCCTCACTAAGGCGTTCGATTCGCTTGCCGATGGGTGCTAGCTCCTTGGTTGCCTCTAGGCCTTTCATGAAAGGTTTCCATGAGCTGGCAGGTCCTTCAAGCTTGTCTAGATCACTGACGACCAGGAGTCGGAAATTCTCAAACTTGAACAGGATGCTTCGAAGGTCTTCCAGTTGGTGCACCACCTTGCTGGAGTCTGTCTCTAAAAGATGCTTGATCCGTTTCAGATAAAGAGCCTTAACCAGAGTGCTTCTCGCCCGGCCGATCGACTTCGGAGCTAGATGCGTCATGAGATGTACTGCTGTCAACATATCGTCGCCACTGCGCTTTGCGTCAGGTATATCAGCCAAGAGTCTGGTATTTATCGCTTTCAGTCGTTCCACATCGAACACAGAGTTGTACAATAGTTCACTAAGCCATCGGATCGCCACGTCATATTTTTCGATCTCCACCTGAAAGCTGATCCTCAGCCCCTCCACATTACCGAGATTGATGGCTGAATCGATAGCATAGCCGACAGTGTCTCGTTCGAGCTCTAACACCACCTCTTCGAAGCTGATGGTTTCTTTCCCGCGTGTAACGGGGAGGCCGTAGAATGACTCCATATAAAGTGATAATAGCGGCCTCAGTTCGTCTGGGAGGTTTTCTGTAGAGACGATAAGCTCAACCCTCGCAAAATTCGATGGAATGTGCTGGAAGTTCAAGAAGAGAGGTAGATCTTGTGCATCTTCATCAATGATTTTCTGGTACTTGGATTCTGGTCTCCCCAGCTTCAACGCCAGTCCAGATCGGGCAGGTGAGGTGCTCACAAAGTGAATTGTTTCAGTCGAAGGGACCTTGAACTTGCCCAGCAGCTCTCGAGGTATTTCGCGATCGTTCTCTGCTTTCGCTGCATCAAGCTTTTCCTGCATCTTCTTCAGTCCTTCAGGACCAAGCTTCTCCTTTTGTTCCTCCACTCGCTGAGCTTCGTCAACCTTGAGCTTCTCTGACAGGCGGGCAGATGGAACACCAAGAATTGACACGTGGTGAGCGTCAGATATGTAGGTCTTGATGAATTTCTTCCATGCATCTTCTGACCAGCCTTCGAGAATAGATCCAAAGTGCTTCAGCGATTTGAGGTTTGCAAGAGTCGATCCATCACGATGTCCAAACAGATAGTCCGAAATGATAAAATCAGCGAATGAAGTTGGCGAGGATTCAGCGTTGTACTTGGACGATCTAAGTTGTCGGTCTATGCAATCCTTCATGAATTTCATGTCTAGAGGTTTGTCCATTGCTTCTTTTAGGATCTCAAAGAATCGCTTCTCCACCTCCTCAAGTCGCGCAGTGGCGACACTTGAGAGGGAAAATGCAATCTCGGTACGCGGACGACTGTCGAGAGTGTAGTATACTGCTGTGGCCAATTGCTCTTTCTCTACCAGAGTGTTGTCTAGCACGGCAGCCGAGGATCCTGCGAGGTAAAGTAAGGCGACGTTGAGAGCAGCCATTGACAATACATCTGCGCAGTCCGGGCCCAAGAAACGTATATCGACCTCACCAAAAGACTCGTCCTCTTCAGGAAACTCAACTCTTTCAATCGTGGAGTGTTCCAATGGCGGTGCAGGCTTGGAATCAATCCATGGTCTGGTGAACGGAGCGTCGGGGCTAGGGATATCAGACAAAATCGATGACTCAAAAGTATCCATTATGTCTAGCATCTCTTCATGGTTGACTTCTCCAAAGAGTGTAACACAGAGGTTTTTGGGCTGGTACATATCGCGGTGGAATTCTCGGATTCTCTCGGCTGTAAGAACACGAAGCTGTTCCATCATACCACCAGTTTCATAACGAAAACCGACACCCTCGGGGTACAAAATTCTTTTTGATCGCAGTTCAATTAGTTCGGCGGCGGCATTCTGCACGCCTTGCATCTCTGAGTAGACTACACCAGCGTCATTGCCAGTGGCATCAATGTGGTGAACTTCAGTTGTACAACCTGCATCGGTGAGAGTTGGAAGAATAACATGCTCGAGGTAGACAGGTAAAATCTGAGCAAACCCTGCCCAGCCTGCAGTTTCTAAGGTGTATGCAGTGTGATCTGTTGCCGTCCAGGCATTGGTACCTGAGTACGCTCGAGTGGCTAATTTGTCTAGGAAGCCCTTGTACTTGTAGCTTTTCGAGCCCATAAAGCATAGATGTTCTAAAGTGTGTGGTGCTCCAGAGTCATCATGAATCTCGGTGGCAAGGACGAAGAAACCAAAAAGTTTGGGACCCTGTTGGTCCACAACAACGATTCTTAACCCTGTCCGTTCTGATTCATATTGCGTGACCTTGGCAGGACAGTAATCTGGCTCAATGGTTTGAAGGCGCCGAAAGCGAGGCTGGGCTCTCATTGACACCATGGTCGATAATAACCGGGCGAACTGAAGGGGGCCCAAACGAAGATAGCTCGGATTCAGCAGCTTGAGTGCAAAAATTCCAGGGAGCCACTGATTGACTTCCACAGTCAGGTATGCGGTCGAGAAGTTGGGAGTGTATAGGGCCGGGACAATCAGGTTTAGAAACAAGATGAGAATGGGAATAGTGATGAATGCCAATCTCATATGCCCTTGGTTCCCACCAAATTCAACGCGATCACTCTTCTCTGGGGAGTGAGGGCTCCCTCTGCAAGAACTGAACGCTCACCAATGATTCCGAAGATTTCTAGACTACTGTAAGGAGGGTTGAAATCGTTGTTTGCCTTCAAGTTTCGCTGATAGCGTCCAGGTTTTCACCAGATGCGTGCCGCGGGGCAAATTGTATGGTGGAGGTGCTCTGACGAACACAAAAGTGACCGCGAAGAAGTACTCGTGAGGGCAGATTTGTATGTGCTATCGCAGCGCTAACGAATGTTGCCCTATCGCACGTTTATTGAAAGACGGTCTGCTCGATCCCAGGCGCTCAGTGTGAGCCAGTTCAGGATCGAGGCAAAGACAGGCTGGTGAATCATCTACATGTGGAGGGACGAGGCCCGAGGGCTACCAGTCCTCCCTCGTGCAGGGTTTGTTTTAGGATTAGCTTATCTTGGCATCGTATGCCACTGCGTGTCAGGCTGTTTTCAGTCGTCACGTGATCTTAAGACCTCTACTTAGGTCAGTACCTAGGTAGGTGTTGAACGATGGTCTCACCATAATACATACGAGCCTTGTCTGTTGCCAGAAATTGGTTATGTTATTACTTTACAACTCCCCTAATATGTTACTTCCATTGATCCTCGCCGAGTAAGTAGATGTCCTTACCAAAAAGGCATCTTCCACCTTGACTCGTCATGTGACTATCCCAACAACTTTTCCAGAAACCACATCTTCTATGCAAATGTGGTGCAAATGTGGTACCCATGCTGAATATCTCCAAGATTTCTCAATATACCGCTCATTAAATCGCTAAAATTCTTTCCAAGTTGCCCAAATAGTAAGCAATGTGCAAAGCGTGCCTAAGTCGCTATCACGTCGGGGTACCAGTATACAACTCTTGCAATCCATTATTTCCCTTTCGGAGCGCCCAGTTCTTTTGCTTCTTATCTTTCTTCATCTTCATTTCCGCCCAGCCTTGCTCGTCGTCCTCGTCGTCGTGTTGTTGATTCAGTGGCGATCGTCGCCCAAGGGTGTTGACCGACGGTTTAGCGGAGTGGCTCGCGCCTTGAGATCCGTTGTTTGTTTGTGCCCAAGGCTGGAAGCTCGCACTTGTGAAAGTCGAAGCACGTTTAGTAGGGGTTGCGTCAGGCTCAGCCATGGTCGAGACAGGTCGATAACGAGATGCAAGCCCAATATTGCTGCGTTCCGATGGGGCGATTGATGGAGCATAATTGCCGTTCAGGTTGATTGATGGGAGAAAATTAGGAGTCGAATTCCATGGAGCCATGCCAGGATTTAAAGTGCTCATGGTCCGTTGGCTGGCATGAGAAGGAGCCATGGGAGGCTGCATTGAATGAGGTCGGGATGCTTGTCCTCCATATATGCTAGCGGCGGCAAGACTCGGCGCTCCAATTTGAGGTGCTCCTCCTGGTCCCATCATTGACTGCATTTGTTGCATCCATTGCATCTGCATCTGCATCATCTGGTTCATCTGCTGTGACATTTGAAGCTGAGCTTGGTCTGCTGGAGAAAGCATCGGCGGCATCCCGGGCACCCCCATAGGTGGATACCCCATGGGGATATTTCCTGCAGTTTGTGATCTCGTCATGCCTGCGTGAGGCGGGAGACCTGGCATTTCGTAGTTGCCTGCTGGGTTGGGGCTTCCTCTCCGGGCTGCGCGTGCCCTTTCCTCGCCAGCAATCACCCCGACAAGCCCAGCTGGATGGATGGGATGTGCGGTGGAGGGACCAGATCCCAGCGCACTGGGGCTTAGCGAATGTGCCGCCAACGATTCACGCACCGGTTGATTGACCAAACTTGCACCATAATAAGGATCCTGGGGTAGGCCTCTTGCGAATACAGGTAGATTGGTCCCTTTCGGGGTCTGTCCCCCACCAGACTGTGCACTTTGTGGTGGAGGCTGGCTTGTGCTTCGAAGGTGCGAATTCGAGGGAGAATTTGCCAATCGAGTCGGTGGTCGGTTTCTATTGGGGAAGCCGTGTGCGGCGAGGATTCCAAGAGGCACATCCTCGTCTTCGTCTTCATCCTCTCCACTACTCTTTCCTCCTGATTGTCTGGAGGCCACGGTCAGATGTGAGAGTCGGTTATCGAGATCAGTAGAGCTGCCATTATTAAACTTTAATGCTGCAAGAGCACTCTCGGGACGCGGTGGTGCTGCTTCGCCTGTGACCTTCATCATTTGCTGCCGATAGACAGCAAGATGAGCTTCCTGTTTCCGCCTTTGTTTGGTAGCTTGTCGATCACGTTCAACCTCGTCATCATCCTCATAATTATCTCCTGCCTCTGACCCGCTGTCATCGGACAAAGCGCCTAATCTGCGGTCCATCTCTTTTTGCTGTTTGTAACGTTCCCATTGCTGGGGAGTCATGACCTTATTTGAAGGAGCGGGTCTGGGCGGAGCGGGTCGAGATTCTTCATACATGTGGGCCAGCTCGGCATCGGCAGCAATGGAAGGATCAAATGATGCACTATGCAGCGAAGTAGGTGACATTCCTCCATTCTGTGGTAGTGTAGGACTGGTAGAGAGTAGCTTGGTTTCTTCGTTCGTTCGAGTGCGGCTCACTGATAGAGGCTGCAATGTATCCATGGAAGAAGAATCCCTGGGGATGGTAGGCCTTCGTTGAGCAGGTTTCAGCGGTGGGAGTGGACTTTGATTTGAATTGACGAATGTATTATTCGCCGATCGAGGAGGACTCGCTTCTGTGATCGTTTTCGAAGGGCTTGGTGATCTGATCAGGCCATCATGGGAGTCGTGGGAGGTCCATGAGTATGGTGAGGATTCCACAATCTGGTTTCGATCGACGTTGATGGGTTGTGGAACGGCAGCCCGATGCGAGCGGGCAAAGGCAGGACCCGAGTAGCTTGTGGGTGGATAACTGGTGGGAGGGGAAGATCGATCCTAGTTAAACATGTCAGTATGAAGAAGAAAGGAGACGAAGGACAGGTCTACCTCAGATTGTATAAGACGGATACCCTGTGACTGAGAGCTAGACCCAATGTGGTCAAACATGTTGCCGAAACCGTCTAATTCGGTATTCTCTAGCGCCAGATCGGAGTCGAACAACCGGGGTGGAGTGGCGGTACTGGCGGTACTGGCGGTCACCGCCCGGTCTCTCTTGTTGTTTATAAGTGGAGGAAGGCCGCCCGGTGAAGAAGCAGGGGATGACCGCTTGGCGATACCGAAGGAGAAAGTCCGCGAGGAATCACGCATAAATCCAGGTCTCGCAGAAGACGGGGGTGGCACTGGGATATCTGTGTATGTCCTGTGTCCGTTGCTCTGGCCGTTCTTATCGGAGCGGGCGTCGATCGATGAGGGATTGGTGGATGAAGTGCTCAGACGAGCCGAAGAGGCTGCGCTGCCATTTGGTGCAGTCGAGTGGGAACGATCGGTGCCACCACTACCGCTGCATCAATGGTCAGAACTTTGGTCATGAGAGATTTCTTAGGTTGATACACTTGACATACCGATGACTCGCATCATGGCGTGCTCCTGTAAAGACATCCTCCTCCTGATGTTGATGGAAATAATCCTTGGGAGGGGGCCTAGGGCTCTCCTGAGGGCCAAACTTCATTGACAAGCCCCCATCGAAAGATTTGCCCTTGCTTGTGGGGCGTTCCAGCACTCTGAACGAAGAATTTGAAGAGTCGCCAGCTGGAGGATTGCGCACCTCATCTAGGGCATTGCCTGAAGATTTGCGTCTCTGAAAACCCTTAGGCAGTTTGATGGGCATGAAGGTCGATTGGGATGGGGGATGGTGTCCTGGACCAAATGTCAAGGAGTGAATGACCAGAGGGGTTTGTAGCTATCAGGCTGTAGCTATTAGAAGTGTCGTTCGAGTAGGGAGGATTGATCTTAGGTTGATGGCATGGAAAGGGCTCGAGAATCGACAAAGAAAGGGCAAGCTGCATAATGATGTGGTCAGCAAAAACTCGAAATTGACATGGCGGATATGCGGGTTTTCGGACCGGAAACTGAAGCAGGTAGTCTATTAGAGGCTGGTTACCGTGCTCGAGTGACAGCAGTAGCAGCTGAACCAAGCGTTCTGTCAAAAGCCAACGACAGATGTTGGATAAGGTGGTATAGACGTGAGGTTTTGTAAAACTTGCGTTGTTGAAAATGGCGCGAAGGTGGCAGGGTGCAGCGGAAAGGACGAACCCCGACAGGGGAGATTGGGAACAGGAAACTCAATTGGAAAGCCTAAAAATCCCGTGATTTTGGGAATGCGGGCGTGATGTTCGATCGAATACGTCGCAACAGCAGATCAAGGAGCGAGCAGAGAGCGATCGAAATAACGTATGGTATACGTAGAACGAGTGTGCGAATGGTGGATGGTGGGAAAGACTTCAGGGTCGTCAACGCCAACAACAAAAACAACAATAATAATGACTGACGAGATGATGAGACATTGATGAACGATGGGCACCCAAAGGCAGGGAAGAGAAAAACACTAGTTAGTTGAAGCCTGCAGGGTCAGGCCAAGTGTGCTGCCCCGTGGCCCGCACGGTACAGTACCAAGTAGCACACTGCCCAACAAGTCCCTCAGGGCCCACGACTCTACGAGAACTCTCATCGGGCAGGCCCCGCAGCACGGGATTACTCGCACGGATGATGGCTAGGCACCGGGGTTGAATCGTCTTCTAGCAAGTCCTGTGGCTTTCCAGGTAAGGAGCAGGGGCAAATAGGTGTACGAGCTGTTCCGGATGGCTACTCCTTGGGTCATGGTAGGCATACCTCTGGTTAGGAACCTGGGTGGTCCCTTTGAGAAGACCAAGACATCAAAGCAAACTATTTCGAGCCAGCCACGACTACGAGCCTCCTCATTTAGCCCTTCCGTCCTGGGCGGCGATTACCGAGAAAATACCCCCGGAGGCCGCTATTGAGTCTCCAGCAGTTAAGAATGCTTAACTAGTAGCAGTAAATTAAGAACAACTCTCCCATTTCAAGCCTGACCACCCACTATATTCTCTGAGACTGGCACTACATCATGATGGTCGCCGGACTCAATTTGTCATTCTGAGGATAAGCGCGTTTTTCATGAATATAGATGAATCGTTCTCTCTCCCCTTAACCATTATTATTGTCTGTCCGAATCAACACGCAACCAGCCCCTTCTTGATCACACTCGTAAGGATGATGATGATGCGGTGCCTGGTTGGTACCACCCAACGGAGGTTAGTCACGACGATAGTCTTCAATTGATTGCCACATTCGGCCTTGTTCATCTCCGCTCACGATCCCCCCCTGCACTGCAGCTCATGCACTGGTTTTGTGAATTTGTGCGGCATTGTCCCTGACCCACGTGTTGGCTGCTTGCATGACCCCGGCCTTGCGCTTTTGAAAAAGTTGGCTGGGCCTAAAAGTGTAGGCGTCGAACACAAAAAAGGAATTTCATCCCGAATACCGTCGTCAGTCATTGATCGACAACAAGTCTCTGGAGTCTTGAACCTGTAAACGTCGATCTCAATGCCATGAAGGACCGGGCTTGTTTGAGTTCTCTCCTCTTCGCAGCTTGCATTGGTTGAATGTCCAAAAGTCCGTGTTGTTGTCTTGGAGAAGCCAAAAACAGCCAAACTTAGCCAAACTTCCGCCACCTTTTGCGACAGCCAGTCGGATACAATGACGGGAGACTTTCCATTACCACCAGGCACCCACCAGGTGGCTGAACATTTTTGACATCAAGGCCTGTATCAAAATCCTCCGATTGACGTTGACAGCCACCAATATCGCTCGAGAGCTGCATTTACTTGTGGACGTGCACCCTTTGTCCGGATTGTACGTGTGCTTCATGACTTCCCACCGCTGTTGACCTGGACTACTTTGTCCTCACCACCACTCAAAATACCCACATCCTTATGCCAGCAGACTCCGAAGACCTTGACCCCATCTCCGGACACAGGGTTCGGTCCGCCTTTCAGGCTCGCTCTTGGCAGTGTATAAAGACTCTGGCCGACTAATCCTTCCTTTTCTTGCTGCGTGCTGCGGACATCCCATACCCTGCACGTGCCATCATGGCTGCCACTGACAAGTGTGTAATCATTGCTTGGGTCGCGTGCAAGGCTCACCACGGAGTTCTTGTGGCCTTTTAATGTCATGGCCGCAACGGTGGTGGCCGAAGCTCGTGGATCCACCAGCTTGATGACACGACTGACCGATCCAGCTGCCAGAAGGTGGAGATTGGGCATGTGTTCAACACAAAACAGCGCACTTGACGTCGTTCTTGTATCCACCAAAGCTGCAGTCACTAAATCCCACGTCCGTACCGTCTGGTCCCACGAGGCGGAATAACCCACCGTGGCATCGTTGGCATCGAAGACAGCCCCAGAGACTGGACCTGTATGTTGCTGCATCAGAGCCAGTGGTCCTCTCTGTGGAAGCGAGATGTCTGGGTTCAGTTTCCTCCTCTTCCCATCCTTGGTCGTCGTACGGGGTATTAACTCCTCTGGTGCAGGTGGTGCGTCCGATTTTCTCGTCGACCAAAAACCCACCGAATGGTCGGCAGATGCGGAAAGAATACGGCCCGACGTCTCGTGAGCATTCACCGAGTCCACTGATGCTTTATGTCCATATAACTCAAGCGAAGGCGTTAAGCTGGCAGCAAAGCCGTCAGCCTCCTCAGCATATTTCCATAGCCGCACCGTTCGGTCAAACCCACCGGACACGACCTGTTTTGGTGATATAAACTTGGCCGACTTGATAAAAGAGCTGTGGCCGCCAGCTCTAGGGCCTGGAGAGGTAGCCAGTACCTGCGAAGAGGTATTCCAAACTCTTAATAGTCCATCGTAACTCGCGGATAAGATTCTTGGATTATCTGATGATGTGACGTCCACATCGCTGACCCAGTCTTCATGTTCGTAAGAAGCGATGTACTGAGGAGGAATGCGTGCCCGGACATATTCAATGGCCAATGTCGTTTCGGTCGAGAGGCCGTTCTTACTTAGGTACTCATCAAGAGTGGTGCGAAGATATGTGCCGTTGACAATAAACTCTAGTGGCACCGGTTTCTCATTTTCGAGAAGACCATTAACCAACGAAGATAGCGGATAGCGACGGAAGGACGTAGGAACGAGGATTGGGGCCGCATCGTTGAGGGTCAGATCTGCATCTCTGGTGGTCAAACGCACTCGCACTTGGGTGGTTGGTGGATCTGGATCTTGTAAAGTTGATGCCATGGTGCGATTCGCACAGTGTGTGGGTTGAGCTAACCGTGTATAGCATATACTTGTAAGATTTTTCAATGCGCAGCTGAATCAAGGTGATTATAGGTGTCAAGGATCAAAGGTGGTTGCGATCAATTTGGTCGCTATTCGTGGTTTGAATTGCAAAAACTGAGTATGATAAAAATTTCCGATCGAGCACGAAGACCACAAGCGCAGATTCGAATTCTAATTTGAAATGACGCTATCGATCGCCTGTGAAGCGGGTCTTTGAGGTAATACGTCCGTCATGACATTCGAATCAGCAATTGATGTCACCGCCAGCACCCTCTAACCTGAGGGACACTGTTTCCGCCAGCGTGCCCGATGCTGGCCGCAGTTACCTAGGTAATCCCTTCGTCTCCTAGCCACTGCATCACGACCAGAGCCAGAAATGCCAGATGACACGAATGCGGCCGCTTCAATATGCGAAAGCATTATTCAGGGGACATACCCTCAATCAGATGATCTCTTGACCTCCGAACTCTCGACCCAGCTCATTCCACCCCTTCTTAAATATATCTCGGAAACACGACGCGAAATCAGCGATGAGATCAGGACTACAAGTCAAGGAGAGGCTGACGATGTCGATCAATGGATTCTACAGGCAAAGAGGGCCCAAGAAGATATAGCCAGGTGCAGACTTGAGTCCCAGAAGATAGTCGAGGAGCACGACCACTTGCGTACATTACAAGAACATACCACAGACTATCAACGCAAGGTTGACCTTCTCGAAGCCGAGATTGACTTTACCGAAAAACTCAAACAAGAACTTCAATTTGTGTCCGTCGTCAGCCAGTCCCTGAAGGTGGTGGAGGACCTTGTGCTGCAAGATGATCTATTTTCTGCGGCCGAGAAACTCCATGAACTGGACAGCGAGGTGCACACGCTGACCAGGTCAAGAACATCAGTCTTGATTCGAGATCTGAGAGATGAATTGCAGCTGAAGACACGTGTCAAACTGGAAGCCAGATTGAATTCCCAAATTCAGATACGAAGAGATTCGACGTCAGTGTCCCTCAAAGTCCAACCTTCAGAATTAGGAGGCTCTTCAGCCACTTCAGACTCCATCTTGTCCGCCTTGCGACAAGTCGGTGAGCCCCAGGACGTGGTCGAAGCTCTCATAGAGAAACTCAAGGTGTTTATCTTACACCCCTTACGACCGTCTTCGCGATTTAAACTTGCAACTTATGAAATGGAAGTACAAAGCATCACAATTCAACTCGGCGAAGTAAATCCGTCCTTTGATCTGGTCTTTAAATTCGTTTCTGACTTGATAACATTTCTGCATTCTTCTGTCTCAAAGACTATCCGAGAGACTGCCGTGTCCACCATTTTCCCGGATCTCATGTCACTACTCGTCACCGACTGGCTAACTCCAACTCTACCTGTTGAGCTTACTGAGCTGAGGCAGCTTGACCACATACGACAGCACATGCATAGGATCTTGGAGCAACTGAAGTCTCTTGGTTGGCAAGGTCAGGCTGAGTTGCAAAATTGGGATGAGTCGTTGAACCGTGTATGGCTCAACAAGCGAAAAGCGACAATCTTGGATGCTGTTCGGAAAGGTCTTGCTTCATCCAAAGGAGTCTTACGTAAGGTTGAACGAGTGGAAAAACAAGTTGTTCCCATAAAAACACATGATGTTGATGACTCGACCGACAACTGGGATGCCAGCTGGGATGATGAGAAGATTGATCAGCTAGCATCGTCTGATGCATCAAAGTCTGTGGATGATGAAGATGCTAGTGGCTGGGGATTCGATGACGAAGAGGAGTCTGACGAGAAACCCGTAGAAGAGGAGAAAAGAACACCAACAGAGAAGGACGGGAATGAAGTTGAAGACGCCTGGGGTTGGGACGATGAAACTCCCGTTCAAAAGGAGTCAGACACGGCTAGCCACAACCTCGAAGCACAACCAAATGGTGCACAAGAGACCAAACCTATCGACAAAGAGCAGACGTTAAGCGAATGGTATAGCATCAGTGAAGCACCCGATCACATGATTGATATCATTTCTCGTGAATTCTCTGATGCTCAAACACTGCAAGAAACTCAGCACACTTCTTTGAACACAACACTCCTCTCTCGAGGTCTTCTCGCCCTGCCGACTCTTGCACTCGCCATGTTTCGTGCTACTGCTCCAAGTTATTACGGTGCATCACCATCACTGACGGATATCCACCGTTATAACGACTCCTTGTACATTGCAGAGCGACTTCGCGATATCACCTCAGGCGGAACCAACGCGAACGGTGGCGTCTTTTCGCCAAACCTAGACGCGGACATACAAGCGATGGAGAAATTTGCCCGCCTGGCATATTCCAAAGAGATGGAAACCCAACGGCTCATTGTCTGGGACCTCCTGGAAGGTGCCCAAGGGTTCACCTCATGCACGCAATTCCCATACTCCCAGGAAATTGAAAACGCCGTCTCAAGCGTTGTGGATCGCATTCGGGCACTCCACGCGGAGTGGCTCCCGATCCTTGGAACCTCACACTTGATGCAGAGCACGGGGACGATCCTAGCAATGGTGGTAGGCAAAGTGATCTACGCGATCGAGGACATGGACGACATCTCGGAACCCGAATCTCAGCGCCTGACGGGCTTCTGCCAGCAGATCGCCACGCTGGACGATCTTTTCCCACACGATGACAGCCTTACCGGCAATCCTGTGTCCACCACGCCGGTCTATGTCTCCAGCTGGTTCCGCTTCCAGTATCTCATCCAGATTCTCGAGAGCTCACTTGTCGATATTCAATATCTGTGGACGGAGGGCGAGCTAAGCCTTGAATTCAGCCAGAGGGAAGTCGTCAGTCTGATTCAGGCATTGTTTGCGGAAAGTCGCCATCGGAGGGAGGCTATCAATGCTATACTCGCGAAGAAAGGTCCTTGGGATCAATGATCTATCTTATGTTGGTGTTTAGCCTTGGGTAGTTCAAAATGGCTGTCGTCCAGGCGCCCACGTTCGTACGGACTTCTCCTTATACTAGTATGCCTGGTATAATCGTATAACATAAGATATCATGTAAAGAGCAGCGTCCAAAGAGAATCCATGTGACTACTGTACGTCACTTCGAGTTTTTACACGACTGTTGGTAGCACTAATAACACTAAGTCATGCCCAGTGGCTAACAAGTCCAACTCAATAACATGGCCGTGAAGCCCACAAAATTCTCGCTAGGTCGTTCTCACACCTGTTGTCCTTCATAAATATCCCGAATATGAACGCCATATCGCTGCCCAATCATACGTATCATGTCATCAAAAATCCATGACGTTGTGCCTGTCACAACACACCTCATGATCACGTCTGGGATAATATGGCATGACTCGAGGCCGAGCACAGGAAAACAGAAATTACTTAATAAAGCACGAGGAAGCCGGCAACCTCGACCCAATAGTACCATTTGAAAAACCATTCATCCCAACTCAGCAAAAGAATTTATACCATTTCTTCCAAGCCGGCCAATTCTGGCGATCGGCCTTCTCCTCGTTGACGAGGGAGCGGACGTTGAACTCGCGCTTGCCCGTGAAGAGATCCATGTCCCTGCCCTTGAGCACCTCGGTTCTATTCCAGATCTTGTAGCCGAGATACATGAGCAAGACGACGGGAGCGGCGAGGTACGCCTGGAAGAAATTGACGACGAGCTCGGTGGGCGACATGTCCTTCCAGCCGACGGGAGAGAACCCGGTCCAGAACTGCGCGACCAGCACGAGAACGTTAAACGTCAGACCGACCCACGACCCGATGACGCCGACGGGGGAGCGGAACGCCAGCTCGTCGAGTCCATGGCCCTGCAGAGACCAGGCATGCCGGAACCGGATGTGCGCGAGACAAATGCTCGACCATGTGAAGATCGAGGAGAGGCCGGAGAGCGCCAGCATCCAATTGAAGGCGTCTTGCTGTTTGTGGGACGCGGCAAGGAATCCGAGGAGTCCGAGGACCGACGCCAGGATGATCGCGTACAGTGGTCTTCCTTTACGGTCGATGTATGCTAGGAAGGCTGGCGCTTGGCGCTGCTCGGCCAGTGCGGCCAAGGTACGTGACGAACCGTAGATGGCGGAATTGCCCACGCTGAGCACTGAGATCATGATCACTACGTTCATGACCGAGGGGAGGACTTCGATGCCGGCGTTTTGGATCGAGATGACGAATGGGGAGGCTCTGGAGTTTGGACTTAGTATCAGCGATTCATTCCGCAGTAACTGTTGATTCGGTACACTTACTTTGCATCCGCACTGTTTCGACCGTCCAAGAGTCGAGGGTCGTCATAGGCGACGATGGTACCCACGAGGAGCAAGCTGACGATGTAGAAAAGCGTGATACGCCAGAAAACCTGCTTAATCGCCGAGGGCAATGCTTTCCTGGGGTTTTCGGTTTCGGCCGCTGCAAGGCCCACAAGTTCAGTGCCTGCAAAGGCAAACGCTGCAGTTACAAAGGTACTACACAGTCCCTTGAACCCGTTGTTGAAGGCGCCGGGATTATGCCACAGCTTAAAGCCTAGATAGCTCCCGTCGGGTCGCCCATTGGCATCGCGGCCGCCCATGATATTGATGAGGATTGCAAGGAGGCTATTTGTCGTTCCACGCGGTCAGCTCGTTGCTAATGGAACGCCAGCCGGCAGGGAGAGCGAACAGAGCAGATCGTTCTTACATATAACCAATAACGGCAGTGACTTTGACCACCGAGAATACAAATTCAGCCTCGCCATAACCTTTGACACCGAAGAAATTGATGATGACGATCAAGATGAGGAAAATCGAGACCCATGCGGCATTCAATCTCATGTCTTGGACCTAATGATTGTGAATTCTGGGTCAGCGACAATGTTCCCCCATTGTTCAATTGTCCATTGTTGTTTCCATTGTATCGAAAGACTTACCCAATAATCCACCGTTATTGAAGCCGACACAATTTCCAACGGTAACACCACCAACCATTGCATGGCGTAATTCCATCCCATTGCAAAACCCCACGCCGGGTCGAGGAATCGTGTCGAGTAAGCGGCGAAGGAGCCCGCAACAGGGAATAGGACGGCGAGCTCTCCCAGTGCTTGGACTGTGCAGTACATCATGGCTCCCGTTAATGCGAATGCGAGCAATAACGACGCCGGGCCACCTATATGAAGGCATTAGATAATATGTCCAACCAAGGACGATTCCCCTTCTCTTTTCGGCGCATCCACCTAGTAATCCAACACCACCAATACATCTCTTGATCCGACGCAAGAAAAAAGGATTCGCTCACCATGGGCCAAAGCCTTCCCACTCCCGACAAAAAGCCCAGTACCAATACTACCACCAATAGCAATCATCTGTAAATGTCTCCCCTTGAGCCTCCTCAACAGCGGCGACAGCGCCGTGGCCTGGACGGCGGCCTCAGCATCGTATCCGGATTTGTGGTCGGCTGCGCTGAAGGATGCGGACCTCGTCACACTGGCGTTGGGGTCGCGCTTGAAGCTCTCGCGGAGCCGGTTCGTGAAGGATCGCTTGTACGTGCCCATGTCGCCCTCGTAGGCCGATGGGCCAGAGGATGACTCTGGACTCCAGCTCTTCTTATCGTCCATCCGGGATCGCAGTTGCCCGTGAAGAAGGGAGAGGGAAGATGGAGTGGAAAGTTCGCGGGCACTTTGAATGGGTGTGGTCAGCGGCCGTCGAGGCCTATCCGCTTAGGCGCTAACTAACTACGAATAGGCGCGGAGGAGGGGGACTGCCGGGTTACGAGTTTGTGACGGAAGAGCGATTGGGCATGACGTTCTAGCGGTTATGGTTGCGTATATGTATCGATGTGCTTATATACATTGGTAGATTGGAGGTGATGAGAAAGTTGAGTGAACTCGCTACTTACAACAATGAGAGACAGACCGAACGGTCCTTGACTGATTTGGGTTGCTAGCAGTGCAAGACCTCGTGCAAGGTTGGGTGCGTCTGGTGCCAGTCTCATGTCAATTTGAAGCCACAGATACGGCAAATCTCCACTTAGGACCCTGCCACTGATAACGGATCAGCGTGGGCATGGGCATGATTTGCCTCGTGCTTCAGAGCCCTTTGCGTCCAATCGGTGTCGGCCGAGGTTACCCAGAAACCCTTGGATTCTAGGCTTGGTGGTTGGGGACTTTCCATGTGGAGAGTGGAACTCAACTCCGAGAACATATATAGAAATGCCATATCCTCTAGGAATAATGGACAGAATACCATGGCTGTAGGTCGGGACATGATTGTGTCTTTGCACATATTATTACATAGCTATATACGGGAGATACCTCTGGTCGGGTTTGTATTTTCTGCTATACAAACGCAAGACTCCCCTTAGGATGCTGCTTTCAGGTCATTAGGTCATTAGGGAGAGGCTTAGGGCATTGGACATCCGGTGAACCGCCCATTTCTCTCGCATTCAGCCATGGTAGAGGCGCAAAAAAAGCCGCCGTGTGAAGTTCAGTTTCGCTGGGGAACACACGTTGTGCGCGTATCGAAATCAATCTTCTGAGGACAGCTCAACATTTGTCGAATTGTACAACTAGTCGGAGCCCTCTTCCTCCGGGCGATCAATGGTGCTCGAATCCTCCGGTATAACCTGGTCTGGTATTGGCTCCGGAAGGTCTGGAGTTTCTAGCCCTGATTCAGGAATTTGCAGAGTATGGTCAATTATGTCATCTGTTTGAGCTGGAGGATCAGGTTTGACTTCAGTAGAACTTAGGCCTCTTTCCAAGGCGAGTCGTCGAGCCGCTTCCCGTTTAACCTTGACTTCCAATTCTTCTTCCCTTTCGACCTCTTGTTCCTGCTGTTGGAGATCGAGCAGTGTCGGAGCATGCGAATCATCGTTCTCGGGCAATGGTACGACGGGTGCAAGGCTCTTTTGTGACATTGATCTCTGGCTTTTACTGCCAGGACTTCTTATTGATTTGGAAGAAGTGGTTCGATTGGATCGTAGAGAATCCCTTGGACGTTTGCCACTTGTACTCCTCGATTTTCCATTTCCTGATTCTTCATTTACACCTTGATTGGTCATCCGTCGACTTAGAGCAACAGCAAACTCATCATCGAGGGGCACAGCATCATCCTCTTCATCACTCATGATCAGATCGCCTCTTGAGCTGAGTGAATTCGTAGTAGACCGTGAAGTGGTAGTATCACTCCGCTGTCGACCATGTCCTTTTCTCCATACCTCGGTGTCGTCTTCATTTTCTTCTAATAAAGGCTCAGCCGCGCCATCTTTTACCCGTACTGCACCAGGATGCTCCTGCAAGTCTGCAGCAGATGGTTTGTATCGAAGCGTCCTGCTACCAATCTTCCACGGTAACCGCTCCAAGAAACCTAGGTATGAAGATCCAGGGATAATAGTAGGATCTACCTCAGGTTCAGGGTGAAGAGTTGTCGGTTTTCGGCGTCCCCGAGAGCCATAGCTCATTGCGCGCTGTCTCTTCGGTTGTTCTGATGCCGAGCCGCGTCCTGCCAATAAACTGTCCAGCTCATCATCCCCCCATCGTAAAGTATTCTCGTTTGCCTCCTCTTCATCTTCCCATGCGCTATAGAAGTCAAAGCTGTATTCGGCGCGACCACGGGACCGGCCCCTTCGTCGGCGCAAACTGCCCTCCCGGTTTGGGAAACATGGTGCCGTGCAGTCGTATAGACAGGATTTCACTCCTGACAAACAGGGGTCGATATAAAGTTGGGTAAATGTGTAGATGTTCTCTTGCGCTGTCTGGTTTGCGCTTTCGAGGTTGTGAGAGAGGTTGTGTAGAGTCTGGCGGAATTCAGGATTGTTCATCTTGAGGGGTTTAATGGTGAGGCGAATTCAGAGGTTGAGGAGGTAAGCGCAAGCACGGAGCGACAGTGCTTTGTTACAGGCGCGACTTCTGTGCGCTTCAGGATCACAATGGCCATGCTTAATTGCTATGGCATAGATCAATCCATGGGTTGAGATTGTTGGAAGCAGGTTCCGATGAGAGTCTGTGCACTGAGCCTGGGAGGAGATATGTGACCATTGATGATGATGAATGGGGGAAACCATCTCACGTGACGTCTGTGATCACGGAGCAATATAGTCCCGCTTCCGAATCTACGATGGAGCATTCGCGCCATGTGGTCTTTTGAAATCAAAATAATGCACTTCGAGTTCACATCAGAGCGGCTCATGAGGCACACAACCTGTATCGATCTATATTCTGATATTCCCGAAACCCCCAATACCAAATTCACTCCTTCGGATTATTCATTTTAGACACATATTCCACCGGATGAACGTATCATATATTGCGGAGGCAACTTCCCAGAAATCAAGCCACACCATGGTGCTGGCACAACTCACCCCGACTCCAAACCCGCAAGACATGGGACAGTCCAAGTTATGCATCAAACAGTTCGCGAATTTTTACTGATTTCCAGTGGACTTGTAGCAGACTCCCACTTCCATGTGTATGAGAAATGTGCCCGCATCTGCAGATCCATAACCTGTTTCTAGTCTCTCATACTTTGCATGGCCAGCACTACACCGAATATCAAATCGTGGAAGTCTTCGGAGCATCTCGAAGCCTATGTCCAATACCTAGACGAAATGCACTGCTAAACTATGCCCTGTCTCATCTCAAACAGCACATACAAAGTTGCCTGCGAAATTCGGCCCTGCTAGATGCCGTTGCCCGGTTCTTTAAGGAATTGATCCCGTAATCCGGCAGTCTACTGACTGGAGAGCTGGGTCAGCCTAAACTTGGATGAGAGGATCCCAGGTATTGAATGGTCTAAGGCAAGGAGCTTCAAAAACACAGTTCTACATGCTGCAGCTGGAAGTGGGCTTGTCTACAGCAGTTGAGATGTTGCTTGTAGGATAAAAATTCTACGAATGCTTGGTCTTCACTCTCTAACACGGCATTGGAAGACATCTAGACAGGCTGTCGCTTTCCCAGAGGCAAGATAGAGTGCTGCTATTACTGACAATGAAGCAGACTTTCGATATACCTTCCTCAAGGAACCACTATTATCGGCCTGGGGGACCTCCCTCAAGCAGGTCGTTAGACACCTCAGTCATTCTCTCCCCCGAACTCAATCAAAGATCTTACCAAGTCGTGGCAAACGAGGGTGCCAATTAAACCTGGCTGCTTGCCAATCTGGGAAGGTGTATCACTACTGCCAGCATTCACCACAGAAAGTGCTGCGCCTGATCGTCACCGTTTTCGCTTAAACACGCAGGGTTACTCGATTAGAGACAGGACCGAGCGTAGAATACGATGCTAGCTAAATATCATCTGAATGTAAAGACGACTGTACGGCCCCCTGTCGGACCCGATGCGGTAGGAGTAATTTTGAGACGCCTGAAAACCAACCCTAATCATCGCCCCCAGGGACTATTTTCGGCCTTCCAAGTGGCCAACTTTGTTTTCCATTCGTGGTACCTGGCAATCACTAGTAGACCTAAAGGAAGATGGCCAGCAGCAGTGTGTATTGGTGTAGTCACTTCTGCATCCTATTTTCATTCTGTCCCCCTTTCATGCAGCCTTTCCCTCCAATAATTATTGCAGGGGAGATTGGATACTGCAATCTGACATCAAAATCTGGCAACTGAAATCCACACACAACAAGAATTCATTCTCGTGCTTGTTAGTCTGGCAGATCCTGAAAATCGCATGTTCCCTGGCCGGCCTTATTGAGACCAATTACGATTATCACTCCGCCATCAACAATCCGTTGAAGGAGCTTCGAAAAAGCGCTCCTGAGTAACAAGCAACTTGTAGGAGGAAACGCTACAAGCTACGTGAGAGAGACGTTTTCTAGGTCTTCAGTAGATGCAGAACGCTGATTGATATGGCAGATCAAGACATGTCGAGTAGTCCCCAGACTAGCTAGGTAAAACTACAGCGTCATGCCCGAGGAACAATGGAGGGATGAATTGCAAGAGTATGCACTTCTTGTAGAAGCCGTTTCTAGCGGAGATAGATCTAAGGTTGTCAAACTTTTCGGCGACTATATACTACGGAAAAAAGCAGCAGAGGCAATTGAAGAAGCAGAGGCAGAAATAGAGGCAGAGGCAGCTGTTGAAAATGAATATGTCGACGAGGAGGATAACCAGCGGGATCTGAACGAGGACGATCATGAAGAAGGTCTCGACTCGGGCGAAGCCTACGAAGAAGATTACACGGCCGAAGACTACGAAAACCACTATGATGAAGACGAGCCTGGTGCACATGAACGGACCCCAGGGAAGCGAGTCACATTTGCCGACGATGAAGGAGGTGGCGGAGAAGATGAAGAAGAATACTACGATGATGAAGGCAACCCACTGTATGATGATCAAGGAAATGGATATGGTGACCCAGACAATGGCTACTATGAAGAAGAATATAACCCAGATGGATACGTTGGTGGTGAAAAAACTATTCCTTACATGTCTGGGGCTCTGTCTTCGGAACATAACGAGAGCAACGAGTACGACCAAGGAACATACGGCGAAGGATTTGACTATGATGATAATACGCAGTCGTACGATCAAGGAGATCAGTTTGAAAACGCGAATATTCAGGATATGGGCCACCAAGAACAGTATCAGGACTATTACGGCTCATCGAACGTGGCTGGTGGTTACGAGGGGAACGGATATCATGATTCAGCACAAGTCGAGGGCTTCTATGATTACGATGTGAATCAACAGGACGGAGGTGAGTGGAGCAGCGCTGTTAATGAGAACGAACGGGTCACAGATGATGAAGTACAGGACAATGGTATGAACAACAACAACTATGAATTTGACAACTCATACAATGAGGAAGTGCCAAATTTTCAAGCAGACGAGCTCAACGAGCTTAACGGTTTGATGAACAGGCTCCAGCTAACAATGAATGCTCATGAATATGATGGTGGAGAAGAAAGGCAGGGCCAAGATTATGCTGAGAACGGCTACCCTGAGTATGAACTTGGGGTGCATAAAGGCAATTCAACAGGACTTGGAGATACTCATCAGCAGTCCCCTTACCCCGATCATGAGGAAGAATCAGTCCGAAAAAGAAGTATTGCGGTACTGCCGCCCTACGCGGACAATGAAGAAGGACGCAGCAGCAATAACCCTAGTTCTGCTCAGCCTCGAGATCTTGTCTATGAGGAGTCAATCGATGACAAGGATATAGACGACTTTGATTTCTGGGATGATGGTCCTGCGAATCAGGCTAACGTCCAAGGATGTCTTGAAGATTTAGATTGGGTTCAAGAACAGCTCTGGGATGATAGCCTGAACAAAGATTTAAGCAGGCGAAGGGACAATATTGCTCTTGACAACGAAGATCTCGAAGAATATGACGAAGATTACAATGATGAGGAAGGGTACGATGAAGGGAATCACGATGGAAACTCCCTTTCGCAGACGGACAGTACAGAAAGGGTATGGGTCGATTCTGTACGTCCCCATTATGATGCCGATACGGCTCCATTTCCAGGTTTCCATCGAACAATCAGCAATGACCAAGTACTGCCATATGCAATACTACCGGGCGACAGGTTTGACACAAACATGAGACGTGACCCTATAGAAGAGGTCAACCCCACTTACAACGTATTTGACACCGGTCAGCGATTCTACGACCACTACAGCGATAACCGCGAGGACCGCAAGCGTGATCCAAAGAGGAGAAATCAGAGAGGAACTCTTCATCCAATGTCTTTAGTCGATAAATTCCGCGAGAGGCTCTATGCGAATTGAACACACCCTCTGATAATGGGGAATGTATTGCTTCACATCTGCGATACTGTCTATATGTCATGTACATTTGAGCAAACTTTGTATATTTATAGCAAGGTTGAGACCATTGGCCCCTACTTGAATCTTCATACTAGCTAAGTATAAATGCTTCGTGATTAACCATTGTGAGTGCGTATGAAACTGATAGGTGAAATACCATGTCTGAGCCACTATACAAATGCTGGCAGCTATGTGACCTTTTATCTGTCCTAGAAACAGCTAACGAATACGTGCGAGACCCAGATTTCTGAGCTCGCGTCAGCTCAAACGCCATTATGACTGAATGGAAGCGGTCACTAAGACCCATGTTGAGTTTACTGATGGAGCTATTCTGAGTCCGCATCCAGAATATTTGGCAATGTGGTGGGGCGGTTGAGTATTTTAATTAGGGGAGGCTGTGCAAGACCCCCTCTTCAATTCTGCACTATCCAAGTCGTCGAGATCTCCCTACCATACACTTTGGCGCAAACAACGTCTTCTACACGATCGCTATATTGCACTACTTTGCCATCTGCTTATCGAGGATCGGACATTTTGACAGAGATCTCCAAAACACAACCTCCTAGAAAGGCTGACGGCTGTATTACCAAGGTTTTCTATACTTCTTCGACCTCCGATGGACTATTACGATAACTCTCACGACTCTTACGACTACTACGACGCATATGAGAGTCAGGCTTGGGATAGTGAACAATACGACGAAAGTGGATACGGGTATAATGGCTATGACAACTATAACGAGTACGAACAGGAAGAGGAGTATTGGTATGATGCAGAGGACGGCGGTTACGGTGAATATAACGGAGAGGATGAATATGGCGCTCAGGAGCCGTACAATAACTACGAGGAACATGAACACTATCAACATGAACACAGCCAAGAGTATAACCAACAGGACGACCAAGAATATAGTCAAGCATACGGTCAAAGCTATGAGAATGCGGGTGAAGAATATGTAGGAAGTGCACAGGAGCATTCTAACATGGAAGAAGACCACGGATACAGGGAAACTGGCTCTCAGCAACAATTAGGAGGCTACCCGAATGACCATGAAGGCCAGTATTGGTAAGGTGTGAGCCATCGATCTGAGCACAAAGAATCTGCGACTAATACTTCTACAAAGGTTCTTCAACGAATACGAAACATCCTCACGGTTTCACCACTCCGATGGAAATCATATAACAGGAGCTCATAGATCTGCCATCCCAGATATTCATGAGTCCACTGGGACTAGCGAGTATGAGACAACGCAGCACGCAGCGGTGGATCAACATTTATCGCCCGCGAGGGGGGGGCACAGTGTCCATTCCGAATCATATCAGTCTTTCTTGCCCAGTGCCATGTTTGAGCATGGTCAGCACCAAAATCATCCGCCATCTCGCGCTGTAAGCCTCAATCGCAGTCAACGCCTGACCCTCCAGCCAGCATACCCTATGGAAGAGCATGCAGCATCTCCTACGGGAATATTCCGCGATCTCTTCTGGAAGAGTCAACGCAATGGTGGTTCGATCAAGTCGGCTGGCGAACTCGATCACCGTCATAATAACCATCGTAACAGCTCACCACTATCGACACCCCGGAGTCCACGGACGCCCTTGAGAACTGGCTTACTCACACCACGCTCTGCAGATGGGGGGTTTCAGCGTCCAAACACTGATTTTCGAAGACCAGATACATCTATCGGGTTTCTAGCGCCCTTGACACCGTCATGATCTTAATTGCGGACGCCGCTATCTCATTTACTCAGATACTTAATTTCATGATGTGGATGGAAAATATGACTTCTTCGGCGTTATACTAGATACTACTGTATTCTAGATGGCATAACTTTTCTATCAAAATTATCTCAATTATCTAAAGATGAGAATTCGAAGAAATTATGACTGAGCAGAACAATCTCAACTTCCAGTTCCGTCTTGTGCTACTTCATATGACACCCTCATCATTGTCAAAAATGGGATGCATCCCACGAGGGCCACTCAGCGCACCACCAGTCCCTTATATGATGGATTTACCCTCACTAATCCGCCCTGATGATATTGCCGGTCTGGCTCAGCAAGATGACAGATCTAAAGCCAGGAGTAACAGCCAAAGGCACGAGTCATGGTTGGCAGGTTAGTCCCGTGTTTGCATTGTGAGTCTGCTCGTCTGCTCGTCTGTGGAAGCCTTAAAGACCTATGTACATATATGGAAATGGCCCCCAGCATGGTGGGGTTACGGCAAACACCACTGATATCCTCTGGTGGGAGATGGTTAGCCCTGCCAGCCCTATATCTATATGCAAGATCCAAGGTCTACACTGTAAGAATTTAGGGTTATCATGCATGGGCAATACTACCACCCCTCCATGTCTAGCAACAATTCACAAGCAAGCGAAACGATCAAACAGTTCGATCGGACAATAGCAGCGCCGAAACTAAGTATAGATGTCATTAACAATAATCTATACCATAGTTACTACCTTGTATCGTGGCTGGGGACTGCGACATTTCATCGCTCCGCATGCATATCATGCTTCTTTGATGGCTTGATCGGGTTTTAACAATCCTCAACATCCTAACAACTGATTACCCACGCACTTGTATTCACCAGCCCTCTTTCCTATCCATTCTCATTTTCATTCATCGTTGAAAATACGCTCTTTTGAGATAACAGTAATATACACTATGAAGATCTCTGCTTTTTTGACCTTGTTGGCGTCGCTAGGAGCCACAGCTTTGTTGAGTTGTTGCATATTCGCAGGTTACAGTCGCTCAACACTTTCCAATGTCTCAATGTTTACTGTGAGATCTAGAAGTTTTTAGTAGTGGGTTTCGCTGACATGGAAAATGCAGGTCAATGCCTCTCAGATCGCAAATACGAATTTTGATAATAGTACTGGGAATGGATGCAACTGTGTGGAGTTCATAAATGGCACACTCACAATCAATGGGACATCAGTCGAGAATGGTACAGTTGATACTGAAACGGTTGAACTTGGAACGTCAGAGTTCTACGCGGTCTTCGCGATGAACTATTGTGAAGGACAATATCTACCAGACTATCAGGATCCTGATGCTGGCGCAGTCCTCACTCGATGCAAGAAACCATCTCTTGGAAACCATTTCAACCTTGCAACAATTGTCGAAGATGCGATCGAGAACGTCGGCAAACTATTGGAATTGTCCTTGGATCTCGATGACTTAGACTGGCCCGAGGGAATCACAAGCGCATTCTTATATGTCAAATCAGCAGGATCGGCACTGATGGCTTTTCTCATCATTGGACTGCTGTTTCTCCTGATATCAGTATTGGTCGCAGCTCTTGGCCTTTTCTTGGAGAACAGATTTGTGACAATTCTGTTGGTTGTCACCTCTGTGGTAAGTGATGCGCTCAGAGGAAAAACGTCTCGAACCCATGCTAACATTTTTCCAAGCTCGCAACCATTAGCCTAGGTATAGCAGCCGGCATTGCCACAGCCGTTATCACCACAGTCGTGAATGGGATCAATGTAAGCGGCGATGACGTTGGAATATCAGCAGAACAAGGGAACTATTTCATGGCAATGATCTGGATAGCTGTTGCCCTATTGTTTCTCTCTTCTTTAACGTCATTAGTCCAAATATGCACCAAGTCTACATCCAGTGGTGCAGGAAGCAGATCGCAGAGAATGAAGATGGGCTCGAAGGAAGGCTATGGTATGCCCATGATATCTCCAAGATATTATAGAGGCTCCATGCCCTATTACATGCCAATGGGCATGAACGATGATCCTTATATGGATCCTTATTCGTCAAGGAGAAACTTAAGAGACGACGAGTATGAAGAGTTTAGGTAATGCCAATTGGCGATGCACTAAAGGCTGCCATGGGAAAAAGTATGTATATATGTACAATCAATAATGACTATAAGTAAATTTAGGCATCGAATATCGAAGAAATTCAGTAAAAATATTCTAAACTCTTTTGTTGTTTTGCTCAATTACGGCATTACCACCTAGTTAGCTTTGGGTTTGAACTCGCGCTATGGCTGACGCCCAACTAATTTCCTATGAACATATCGTGCAGTACAATAGCCATAAATTGCTGTTCAGATATCTAGGCACTACGAAAATTATCTCGTTCTAATTCTCACTTGAGAATAACCTTGAGAGTCTCGAGTGAAGTGGGCAGGGAAAAGGTTATGCTCCCCCACGAGGCTGCCAGTCAAGGGGGGTAGTTCCCCCACTTCGAGAATAAGGCGAACCCCTTTTCTAAGATAAGCCCATCTAAATGCAAGGCCTCCGAATTCGGGGTCGCAAGCAAGCGCTTTCCAAGACGGGGGCGTAACTGTCGAACCCCAATGCTCGTGATGGTGAACGATTTAGCCACATCGAGTCTGTGGACTACGGCCTCCAATGTTACATATCGGTAAAGCCTGCTTTTTGCTTTTCTCTCGAAGCGAACACTAGGCATTGTTCTCGTGCTCGGGTTTCGCCTTCGTTCTGTTACTAACGATGTAGAGATCTACAAGCGTATTATAGCAAGAAGCTAGTGAATACCAGCTAGTAGGACTAGGACCAGGCTTTGGTGTTAGCACTGGAGTGCAGATCTGCACATGCTCTCAAGTAAATGTCTCTACGAAGTAGGCAGTTGCTTGAATACTGTAGTAACGAATGGCGCCAAGGCTCTCTACCACGAACAGTGCAACGCGATTGTCAGCCAGCATATCACATCAGCCTGTCGACCGGCATTTTAGAAAAAGAAAACCTCTAAGACGGTGGTGATTATCGAACGCCCTGTATGGGGCCGAATTCTAACCAGACCATTCCTGGTGGCAGGCCTGGAATACCTACAGACAGAATGAAAGCAAGCTTCATATCTTTATTTAGTGTTCATCAGTAACATATTCGCCCTTGCCCTCCTCATCTAGGCAGTTGGCATCTCCCACTGATTCCTAGTGGGCTTAGGCTACCAACCCGACATAGATTGGACAAGCGCATTTCTTCTGCACCAGTTTGCAAATAGCAAAGATGTGTAGTAGATGAGGCTCGGGTTGATGGAGTCTAGATGTCATGATTAGGCTCGTTGTTTATTATACAATGCATCATCAGTGATATTCAGAGGTTTTTTGGAGTTAACAAAACATGTTCCACATCTGATAGCTGGTTGTCATAAAACACAGGAACAAATAATTTCGAGCAGGATTCCAGGATGATTTGCAAGACCTTTGGGAATATGGATTGTGTCTTGTCACGAATTCAACCTGAAGCAGGCCCTGCAATATGAAGCCAAGAACGTATGATACGTGCATTTTATATGTACAAGTCTTCCAGTCCCTTGCACCAGGTCCCGCTTTCTATTACCCGGTGTGCCATACACTCCCGTTTCCAAACCCAATTCACGCTTTTCGAGATTCGAATACAATATGGTTTAAACATGGTTTACATCATACCTCGCCCTCGCATACCTCCCCTCATAGCGCCACCCCGTGCAGCTCCTCGACCCATCACTCCTCCCCTGCCACGTGCACCTGCCATGCCGCCTCTTCCCACCGCTCCACCAGTACCAGCTCCTCCGTCTGGAGCTTGGGGTGTCAGACCAGCAGGAGCAATCGCCATAGGCTCTGCGTCTTTAAGAAGCGAAGATTTCTCGATAGTGTCGCCTGCAGCAGCGAATTGGCGCCCACCGGTAGTGCCTGCAGTATCTGCTGGAGTGACCTTGACCTTGATACTACTTATATTGACATGTGTTTGGATTACTCCGATGAAGAATCCAAGGGTAGCAATCACAGTTAGCCAGTGTAGTGCGAGCGCTGTCGTCCCTCGGTTGACATTGAAAACATCTGCGGCTTGCTGATTATGAGAAGTGATCTTAGCCATGGCTGCAAAGAGTTGGGAGTTGGCCACCGCAATCGCAAACGAGAACACTATTGTCAATCCAAGACAAACGATCATTATGAGCCTCATGATATCCAGTCTTCGATTTCGCTGAGACTGCCTCCAAGATGACGCCGGTCCTACCCAAGGTCGATTCAGGGTGGAATATGCAATAAGAAGTATAACACCGACTGCGAGAAATGCTCCCGGGATCGCAGGCATAACTATAAAAACGTCATTCTGGAGGGACATTGCGATGTCAAAGAGAACCGTGTTCAGTCTTTGGTTGTTTTCCAACAGATCGAAGGAGACTCTGTCGTTCTGCCCCGTCGACAAGAAGCGAATACTTGTTTCATCATCCTTGCCAACAGTGATGGCACAATGTTCAGGCTGATCTGAAAGCGACAAACACATAGCTAGATTTACTTAGCGCCAATCGTGCTTTATGTGGTAATAAACGGCATACCTGTATAGCCAATCCGCAGTCTTGTGGTTGCGGTCCCATTTGCAGCATTAAACTCTATCAGATAATACTGCGAAGCAGCACTCGAAGACCCCGGCGCCCCTGGTACGCATCCAAGGATGACAAGGCCTTATATAAATGATAAACCGAATTGCAATTCATAAGACTGGACCTTTCAACTTACATTGGAATAGAATAGCTAAAGCAGCTAGGAAATCGATGGCGATACGGAGCCAAAAGCTGTCTATTAAGTCGTCAGTCACAAGTTGTCTAACAGTTAGAAATAGGCAATTACCGGCGATATGTCTCTTCCAATATTGAGACATGGTCCCTCCCATGGCTCCCATGGCTCCCATCGCGCCCATACCCCCCATACCACCCATTGCACCACCGGCGCCGCGCTGTTGATTCATCTTGAGAAAGTGTTGGTGTTGGTGTTAAGAGAGAGTGGTTTTCAGTAGACGATGAATGAATGTTATTGGCAATGGATCGAAGTTGGAAAGCTGATGCAATAGTGAAATAACGGGACACAATGGAAATAGTAGTGGATCTGGAGAAGCCAGAACACCACTGAGCAACCCACATGGAACTGTTAAATGGAAATTCGAACAACTCAGACTTAGTCTTAGCTAGGCGTCCATCGAGGCTCATGTCACCTAATTTGGCACAGCACCAAATACGACAGTTCCTTGTAGCCATGAAAATCTATGTTTGTAAGTATAGTCAATGCTAATTTGGGCTGGGAGGTCGCATTAGTGCCAGTGTGGAGGAGCAAAGGGCGAAAGGCTTTGTGACATGTGACCCACTCTGCTATCACAGGGGGCCATCAGCACCATCGATCGATCCATACTTATTGGACGGCTATTGCTGTAATCAGCTGCATCCCGATGGTGGATAAGCTTAATTTGACCTGGCCAATTGACACTGGAACTGTTTGATCGATATCATTCGGCGTTGAGGACTTCCGTTACTAATGACAGCGCCTTCCGTAGATTCAATGTAGAGCGCACACTATTTTGAACTTGGCAAGCCTTAACAGAGACTGGCCAGGAAACCCTCACGCAGGACTAGTGAGGCCGCAATGATGCGCATTAGCCAGCTGTCGTAGAGCAAGCCTCCCAACCAGCCGGCTGTGCCATTCAAGTAAGGAATTCGTCTAGATGCACTCACAAACACGTTCACGGTACAATCTTTCTTGAGAGGCTTTGTAGATGAACAAGCCTGAATGGATTTTTCCGCTGAGCTGCTTATTATGAATTCAAGTGGATGGTCCTTCAAGTTCCAGTGAAGAGAGAAGGATCTTCGCGATTTTGGACCTGGCACCAGTTCTGCTTCAGAAGGCGTTGGTATGCTATATTTTCCAGCGAATTGCTCCGCTGAATTCGAGTTCTCCTCGTGATCTCTCTGTCCACTTCTGGATATATCAACCTTTGATCTAAACTTTGGATTTGTAGTCTCTAAACAAGCAAGTCACAAGAGAAGACTTACTCGGCTCACGTTTGGCGACATTGTTGCTGAAATTTGTCCAAGGACACGTCAGAGTATGCACTTCAAAGTATCTATAGTTGTGAAGCAAATAGCCTGGCCCTGGCATAGAAGCATTTGGGCATGTCCATCAATTCATTCAATAGCACGAATGCAAGAACGATCGTAAACTAACTCTGTCCATAAATTCCCAACCCAGCTGAGAAGTTTGCGCAAGCCTCCAATGGGCACAACCTCATGCAAGGCTTCGTACTATGAAGCTGTGCTGGATAATGAGCTCTTTTAGCATTCCTGCCCAATCTGCATCGCGTGTCGGCCGTGCATTCCTTGTCCACCATGCTCGCCATTGCCATCATGGCCCTGGTGATTATGCTCGTGCCCACCATATTCATTTCCATCTACATGTTTTGTCAGTCTTACCCAGCACATACATAGTAGAGCTAGAATTGTACTCACGAGATCCATAACCTCCTTGATCGTCCCAATCCTCATCTTCACCGTCGCCATGCTGTGCATTTGGATTGCCATGCTGACCTTCGTTATGTGGATCGTGTGATTGGCATTGATTATGGTTCTGGCCATGTTTCTGGAGGTCTGAACCATCATTCCAGCCCTGATCATCATCACCGTGTCCACCATGCTCGCCATCATCATAATCATCATAATCATCACCGTGTTCACCTTGACCACCGTGTTCACCATGTTCACCATGTTCACCATGTTCACCGTGTTGACCATGGCCGTATTCGTCATCGTCCTCTTCATCACCATGATGATCCTGATCCTGGTCCTGCTCCCACTCTTCAAAGCCTTCCTCTAGTTCGTGGAGACCATGTTCGAGAACGTGGAAACCCTGTTGGACATGCTCCATGATCAAGAGTTGTGAAAACGTGTGGATAAGATGTAGCAAACAGTTGCAATGGAAAACAAGGTGCCAAGTCTGCGAAAATGGTTCGTTGCTGTAAGGACTTTTTAGTCGACTTGGACTTCTTGGCCGCTCTTATATCTTTCCACTCCCAGATGTAGTGCCTGTAGAATGGACGCAGGGTAAGGCAAACCTTCATTGCTTAGCCCACGGAGCGAAAGCATCTGGGATCAATAATCATCCTCCTGAACAGATTTTCATTTGCCACGAGAGATGCTATATTCGTCCATGGCAAAGTCCTCAGCAAGTGTATCATTTCAGGAGCTGATGGGAGGAGCATCCTCAAAGCACAATCATTTCGCTCCTGGATGCACCCTGCAGTTGCAGATCACGTACCCTGCTCATACCCGTACTTAGAAATGGAAGGGCCAAACTGCAACCTAACTTTGCTAGCGTAAAATGCATGCTTCTTATTCGACAGTTGTTGCCAAATCGGGATCTATCCCAAAGCAACCTTGGAGATTTTCAAGGAAGTACGCTGTAATGACCTCAGCGCTATCACTGTATCAGTAGCACAGGTCTTTGAGATTCATACCCTGGTCAAGCAGCCATGCGCGGTGCGGAGCCGGGTGCCTGGGACGCCTAGAGATACTGATAAGGTGAAGCGGGACATGCTCTGTGAATGAGCTGTACCTCAATGCGTATTCTATCCACAGATTTGTTGGGGCTACTGATTAATTGCACTGCATTTGCAGGATTGAAATTTGCCCGCAACAGTGTTCAGTCTAGTCGCTATTTATGAGAAACTCCAGATAATGTAGTAGACCTTCTGGGATGAGATTGAACGAGCGCGGAGCATGACTAAGGACTAGCGGGATGTCTCTTCCAGGCAAGATCATCGTTAATTTTGCAGCTCTGTTTTGTTAGTCTAAGTCTTTCTTGATTCATTCATAGTGATAGTTTCCAGCATCAAACCATGAATAGACAGCCCGAAATAGCATCTGAGCAGTACCCCGTGGGTACAGGTGTTCGCTGGCAGATTTTAGATTTGACCTGGGCAGTTCTTTATGAAGCAAGTTGACTATCCAAAGTCGAATGAAGAAGTCTGATTGCGAGGACAGGCACATGCACCGGTAGACCGAGCAGGAAATTCCAGCACAGCAAGGCTTGGACAACTGATAATTGGGTGTGTTGGAGGAATATCTTCAGAATGCGCTTCAAGCAACTAATACTAACGTAGTCTTGGCAAGCGCTCTATTCAGGCTTAGCGGCTAAATTCGTTTCACAGAAGCAACTTGACATCCATAGCAAACTCTCCCTCTTCTCTTCTCGAGGACTCTCGCAATTCCAGTGTCCAATCTCATGAAAAAAATTCCTGAAGAATGGTACACTATATCCGCCTTCTGCGAACCCCGCAGACTGCTACTAGCAAGAAGGCGATTGATGTTTCAGCGGTGATCGCGGTCACGACAGACTTGGGGGACGCTCTGTATCCTGCAGACGTTTCCCTTCATGTCGAAGTTGTAGAAGCCAACTACCCACATGATACCTTGTGTGCCACTTCATTGGAGTGGAAGGCAACTTCCCGTGCCCTGAAATTCACCGTGCAGTGCCCCAGCAAGTATCTTTCGAGACCTGCTCTGTTACATGTGACCACCAAGGAAACGACCGATACTTTGAAAGCACTGCATATCCCCCAAATCCTTGATGTTTGGAGTGTTGAATTCTCCTTGTCTGACAAACAGCGGACTGAGCCAGTCGTGGAGCGACGACTATGGCTAGGTAATAAGTCCTGTGTTAGGATGACGGAAGAGACTGGTGATAGCATTGCCCGCCATATTTGGTTTGTGAATATCTTCGCGAGCAAATATAATCCCGCTGACTTGTCCAGGGATGCGAGTTTAGGCTTTCTGATCTACTTCGACAAAGCAATGTCACAATCTTCTACTGTCGGAACATCAGCTATATCTGAAGTGATGAAAAACACCAAGGTAAGGCGCTTGAAGGTACTTGAGCTGGGTGCGGGTTGTGGCATTGTTGGCGTTGCATTTGCTCAGCTTGTCAAGTGTGACATGCTTCTTACCGACCTCGAAGATGCTCAGGAGATTTTGGGGAGCAACATCCGGCTTGCTTCACTTGCAGCTGGGTCTACTATCCAGGCACAAAACTTGGACTGGGAAACAGGCCTTGATGATAGCTCCAATGCGAATTTCGATCTCATTTTGGTTTCGGACTGCATCTACAATCCAGAAAGCAGTCTACACTTGGTAAAGACTTTGAGACAACTGGCTCTACGTGCCCCCCACGTGTTGATATTAGTCGGCTTTAAGCGGCGACATGAAGCCGACACAATCTTCTTCGAACGAATGCAACAGACTCAGTTTAAGGTGCTAGAAAGCATCAATATCCCGCTTCCCCACCAAAATACCGACCACGATCCTGATATACCAACTGCAGAATTTTACACCTACAAATTATCTATAGGAACAACGTGAAGGCCTTCCACGACAGGGCATTGCTCCTTTGTTCGAGCTACCTAAAAACTTAGATGGTAGCAAGACATGGAGAATGACCCTATATGCAATTCGAATCTCCGCCACCTAGGGCTTACACGCCTGGGCAAGCACGTCACGTGCACACACGCACACACACACACAAAGCTCTTTTCAGCTGGATCAGAGACGCCAGGGATGAATCTGCGGGAGAGTGACGGTCTTTGTGGCTTAGCGCTGAATCACCAATTCCCTCAACATCAAGGCGACTGGGAATTTGATTCATCGATTTCACCTACCAGAGACTTTTTGATGGGTCCCGATTCTGCCCTTGCCCCCCACCTTGTCGTTCAGCCATAATTTTCCTATCGAAACCACAATTCGATCTTTCTCTCACATACCTCAATCAACCTCACTTCACCTCCAACAAACTAAAAACAACATTCCATCTACATCTACTACAGGTGTTGCAATTATTGGATAACTCTACTCTCCGCCTTTGGCCGACCAAAGGCACCCGATAACACGGCTTCAACATCTTTTTGCCTTCGCCATCAAACTGCATCCTCTCTTAAACACAGACACATTCTCAACACTCGTCCACCTCCTGCTACAGTTCAAAAAATCAATCCCGATCTCGTGCTTTCAGTTTGAGATCCCCATCATTCAATCTAACCAACATCAGCTGCCGCATAGGTCGTCACTTGAGGTTCTTCCTCTTCAGGAGGGGGAGTCGCTGAGGCAAAGCCAACGTCAGATCGGAGCAGAGTCCCGCAAACCTCCCTAACACCGATTTGGGCTTCTTAATCAACTGATCTATCGCTAAACTCTCTTGCATGGTTATGGCCCCTTCTGCTATCAACATTGATTACAAAGAAACTACAATTTTGAATGACAGTAAAATCGATCTTTTCGATAACAATCATGGCTTCGAATCTGATGTGACTGGCTTTGCCTCAAAGGCTCTTATCCAGAAAGTGCTTCAGGAACAAGTGGCTCGTATCAACACCGATACATGTGAACCGGGTGAGGAAGATGCTTTCTACGTCGCCGATCTTGGTGAGGTGTACCGTCAGCATCTGAGGTGGAAAATGAATCTTGACAGAGTCAAGCCCTTCTACGGTGAGTTTACATCCCTGAAGCTCTGAGTCCGGGAGTGAAACTGATCACGACTAGCCGTTAAATGCAATCCGGACAAGGAAGTTCTTCGTCTGCTGGCAAGTCTGGGCACTGGCTTCGATTGTGCATCTAGAGCAGAAATTGACATGGTTCTCGAACTCGGTGTGTGCCCGAGCCGTATCATTTATGCTCAACCCTGCAAGACCAAGTCTTATCTCCGCCATGCTAGAAAATTTGGTGTGCATCAGATGACTTTCGATAACACCGATGAACTGCATAAGATCAAGGCTTGCTTCCCAGATGCAGAATTGGTACTCCGAATTTTGACGGAGGACTCGACAAGTTTGTGTCGTTTGAGCTCTAAATACGGCGCAACTCTGGACGAGGCGGAAGATTTGCTCGCTTTGGCAAAAGAGCTGGAGTTGAACATCACTGGAGTGAGTTTCCACATTGGATCTGGAGCAAGCGACCCGGATTCTTTCGGGAAAGCCGTCAAAGATGCACGCCACGTGTTCGACCGGGCTGCCGAATATGGTTACGATCTCAAGTTACTCGATGTTGGCGGTGGGTTTGTCGACGAGACGTTTGAAATGTTTGCAACCAATCTGAATGAAGCTATTGATGAGTATATTCCTTCTCATGTGCGAATAATTGGAGAGCCGGGCCGATACTATGCTTCGAACGCCTTCACGTTGGCTACAAATGTGATCGCACGGCGCGAAGTTGCAAGCGAAATCCCGGGTCAGCGAGGGTACATGCTCTACCTGAATGATGGAGTCTACGGAAACTTCTCAAATATCATCTTCGATCATCAACGTCCCATCCCACAGATACTCTCTGCCGAATCCACGAACGATACACCCGTCGAATATTCAATCTGGGGTCCTACATGTGATGGAATCGACGTCATCACTGACCGACACTATCTGCCTGGAACTCTCGGCGTGGGTGATTGGCTGTACTTCGACAATATGGGAGCATATACCAGATGCTCAGCTACAAGGTTCAACGGCTTCCGTGACGATCACGAAGTCATCTACATTTCGAGCGAGCCTGGCGCCTCAGCATTGTTGGGCTACGGAGGTGCTGGCAAAATCTCCATATGAGACCATACAAAGGAGCGTCGACAAATCGAGCTATTTACACGCACGATATTGGTCGCTCAAGCAAGGAGGATTTTCTATTATTCTGTTGTCACACGGTCATTTTCCCATGGTTTCCTAGATAGGCTTTTCAACACACATCTATCCCCTTTCTCTGCAAAGGGTCGATTTCAATTCGATATTCTCAAATGGCTATATTATCCATTTGAAACTCCGGTCTGATCCTGTCAAAAACATTCCCGAAGGAGAAGTAAAGCCGCTGGCGATTCTGTCCGTATCTCCAAGTGAGCGTCTTTGTTTTATTCGTAGCACAATCAGAGACCTCCTCCTCTCCCTGATCTCCTACCAATTTAAAGGGGATTCGACAAGGCTGTGAGTGTTCAGATCACATGATGGAGTCAAACATGTCAATGCGGTGGATAGTTTTTGGACATCTCTTTCTCCAACTATTTTCACTTCGCTTAGATATTAAACTTCGTCACCCAACGAATATCAACGAGCCTTCCAGGGCATCTTCGACGTTCGTTTTCCTTGTTCTTAGTTCTCATAGACTCCCCATTTATCTTCTTCACGCCTTAGATTTGTTTTCTATCTCTCATTGCCTGGTCAAATCACCTCGATAGAAAGAAGTTCGACGCTGTCCTGGGGTTCCAAGAAACATGGCACCAACGCCAGTGACCATCATAACCGGTTTCCTAGGAAGTGGCAAGACAACATTGATTCTGAATTTAATTCCCCAGCTACCGAAGACATACAAAGTAAGTCAAGCACCGAATTTCCAACTCTGGCTTTTTTGTGGCTGGTTACGGTTCAACAATCCGAGCACCAACGCTTCACCCACGACAATGATGGACTTGAATCTTTCAAGTGCGGACATCAATCTTGCAGTCAAACACTGACTCTTCTACCAGCTCGCACTTCTCAAAAATGAATTCGGGGACCTCGCTGTTGACTCCCAACTAGCTGGATCAGCATCGATATCTGGTGTGCGAGAGCTACTCAACGGATGTATCTGTTGTAACCTAGTTGGCCAACTGGGCGACGCACTTTTCCAACTCCGCGAGTCGGTCGATCCCAGTAGAATTATCATCGAAACGTCCGGGTCTGCGTTCCCCGCCACGCTGGCCATGGAAGTGAACCGTGTGGCGAGGGAAAATCCTGGGACTTTCACGCTCGATGGCGTCATCAGTGTCATCGACGTTGAGAACTGGAAGGGCTATGATGATACGAGCGTCACGGCAAAGATGCAAGCCAAGTATACCGATCTGGTGGTCTTCAATAAGTGGGAATTGGTTGATGAAAGGAAGTTTGAGGATGCACTGGATAGATTAGGTGATCTGGAGGTGCAAGTCGCTTGGGTGAAGAGTCAGAAGGGCTGGGTTGATGTCGAGGTGGTCATGGGCATTGACGGGGCCATGGTACGGGCGCAGGGTTTGAGAGGTGCGATTGAGATCAACGAAGAGCACGGCAAAGAGCACGACCACCCGCACACGCAAAATGATCATGATGACCATCATGATGACCACCATCAAGATGAGGTTGAAGTCCTGAGCGTGGTACTTCATAACGCAGACACGTCTAAAGCGCCGCAAGGCGTCGTCCTAGAGTCCTTTGAGGATCTGCTTCTTGGCGCACCAAAGGACGAGGTCTACCGCATCAAGGGTCTCATCTTGTCATCCAGACCTCCACCGGATTCGACGGGGGACAGCAAACCGAGCATTGCCGTAGATTCTGAAGGCCAGAGTCTCTATGTTCTGAATTGGGCATTCGGTCGATGGACATACACCCCTCTACCAGGGACAGCGTTCAAAGCAATGGAACAAGCAAGTGCACGACTCACATTTATTCTGGCTCGAGGTGAATCGAATAAATGGATCAGACGGTTGGAGCGTGGTGATTTCATGGCGCTCGAGGGCGAAGGGGGTAAGGAAGAAAAGGCAATACTGAAGGTTGAGAAAATAGGTTGAAGAATGCACTTTGAGGCTAGATTGAGGCTGGAAAGGGATGCTCAGCCTCGGGTTCAAGAGACTTCGTTGTTGATTAGTGGTAAACAAAAGGAAGCTGAGCGGCATGCATAACCACGGCAGTGACGAAATGCCAGCCTACTGGAAGGCATGAGAGAACCAAGTCAATTCCATCCCTAAGCTGGATCACTACTTCTATTCGACTGGCCAAGACAGATGACTTACGAGTGTAGTTTATATCATGCCTCGATGTGAACAATATAGCATTAAAAGATAGGTCAATGAATAAGGCTCATTACCTCCCTTATGGCGCAACATCACAACACGGCCCTCAACTCTCCTTTTGGATCTAGAGTCCCATCCAAGCCAAGGAACCTAACGACCTGGCCCAGATGATCGAAACCCCAGAAGCCTTCCGTCCTGCCCTTGGTATCCGTACATTGAAACCACGGTAGACCAAAAGCACCAACCTCGAATGCCTCATTCGACCGGGCCAACAACTCCTTCTTCACAATCTCCGACCCCATCTTCTCGATCCCCTCTCGCACCACTTCCTCAGGGAGCATCTTGCCCAGCACTTGAGCGAATACCTTCGGATCCGGGAGCGCGGACTCATTCGGCTCGGTCCACAGAGCCGCATACAGCGCGTCGAGCGCCGTGGGGAGTAATTCCGGGTGAGACATGTTCAACCCAGTCAAAAATCGCTGGAGATGGAGCGTTGGTCTGGGGAAGCCGGCTGGGCTATTCAGTGACATGGGGATGCCAAATTGACGAGCCCACCTTAGACGTTCCACATTTATCCACTTGTCCTTGTTGCGAATTTCTAGCGGTGCACGGTTGCCGCACGCTTTCATCAGTCCGCCCAGGAGGATCGGCACATATGTGATTTCCACGGACTTGAAAATCGGAGAGTTCTGACATCGTTGAGTATCATGTTAGCTCTGATAATTCTCTTGACATGATCAGAAGATCAATCGGGCGTGATGACCGCGATGTAGAATCCAGGTAGGCAATAATGGATCTCCCTGGGCTTGACACCAGAACAGAGCAAGATTTCATACCAGCAAATGGACAGAAGAGTTCAACGCGGTTCAAAGAAGCTAAGAAGGAACAAAGTTCAACTCACCCTCAACATATAATACCCCATATAGGCAAAGGGGCTGACAATGTCGACATACAACGTGATCTTGGGTGGCGCCATCACGAACCCCTCGTCGTCAAAAGTACAGTAGACCTTAATCAATCATTCAAGGACCCCTCGGTTTCGAGTTGTCCAATCGACTTCGCAGGCGATGGCGCAATATGATGACAGCGCGCGCCTCGAACACAAACTACGGCGTGTAGATTGTCGAAGGATGTTCAGTAATCCAGCTTCAGACGACCGCTATGCGCACTTGGCGACCCCTTCAAACCTAAGATAATGGTTTGATAGCAACGCGTATTGCTTGGATATTCACGGTAAGGAAAGACTTCATAAGTCGAGATACAAAACCCGGTAGCGCTTGTCTACATGATCTTCACTACTGATAGTGCCGTGGAAGGAGGAGCTGGTCCGGCGGAAAGTGACACGCAAGTGACGTCGGTAATGCTGCAATCTGCTCTGAACCGAGGCTTAAATAGAAGCGAGGGCCCATTGTGGTGGAGTTGTCTCCCCTCTTCAGCCTTGCGCACCGGGTTTCCTCCACTCCTGGCGGCAGCCTTGCCATGTTGTACGACATCTTGACAGGGCCATTTGGTTGGAGACTACAGATTCGGATATGATGAAGGATAAGACAACATGTAAGATACATCTCACTAAGCTCAAACTAACACTCTTGTACCTCTACCTGCCAAGTCACATTGGACACTGCTCCACAGATTACCCTCCCTGACCCAGGATGGACAAGACCAAACACCACTTCAAAAATGGAAATGAGTCTTGATAACAGGCTCATAATCCCTATACCGATCGAGCAACTTATTCCACCTATCAGCATCCAGACCACCGTCATCGATCTCAAACCTCCCAGGCCGGATCTTGCCCTCGCTCAACCAGCCAGGCAACCTCTCCCAAAACCCAGCAGTCAATTCCCCATGACCGTGACAGCTCCCATGGACATCGCACAACTCAAACCCGACCTCCTTGACCCCCGCATCGATCTTGGACTCATCGACCGGCCCAATAGGCAGCAGCCTCGCGAAGCGTCCGCGCGCCGATGAACTCAGCGCATTGATCGCGAGGATCTGCCCCTCGGGTGGATTCGCCGTGTCGTACGCATACAGCAAGTCGTCGTGGACGATTGCACGGATCTGCGCCAGTGTGTCCTCGTAGGTCAGGTGGCGTGAGAGGACGTGTGTCGCGCCATAGGACCGCAGTTCGGCTTCAGGCCCGCCGACGACCACTATCGTCCCGATCCCCGCGAGCGCCGCGAGCTGCACGCCGAATTTCCCGCACGACGTGCCCCCGCCGATGATCAGGAGCGACTGTGCGGCGTAGTCGAACGTCGTCGCTGCGGGTGTCCACGGCGCCGGGATGGCGAGGTTAGCGCCGTCGAAAAGCGAGATGGCGCTGGTGCTCGCATTCACCGGCAATGTGGCGGCTTCATCGGCTGATACGCCTGCGGGAATCTTGGCTGTGAATGCGCTGTCGAGCACGCAGTATTCTTGGGATCCGTTCTGGGGGCTGTCTTTCTCGAAGCTGGATTGGCCGAAGACTTGGTCGCCGATTGAGAAGGTCGTCACATTGGAGCCTAGTGCCGTGACGGTGCCGACGACGTCGTTGGTGATTGCCGCCGGGATTGCGTCTTCCACGAAAAGCCCGATGTCACGGGAGAGTTGGTCGTGTGGGTTAGGACCCGCGATGCTGACTTTTATTTGGATTTGGTTGGGGCCCGGTTGAGGGATTGGTCGGTCGGTTACTATAGTCAGTGGTTGGCCGATCTCGGTGATGAGGAGGGCACGCTGGGTTGATGGGACGGCCATTGTGTGGTCGTTTGAGTTGTTGGGTTGGCAAGAAAGTGTACCTGTGGAGGGAAGCAGTGGGGCAAGACCGTATGCCAATTACTTCAGTTCCTGATAGGAGAGACTTGGTTTGACAGATGTGTTATCTTCGTTATTGAGTAATCTGACCTTCTCTGAAATGATGTGTTCTGTTTCGTTTTGAACTTGTAGAAGTATCAGTGCACCTCCATCGATTCCATTCCGTCTTATATACCCACGAACGTGATGATTGTCGAGTTTCGCGTGCAGGACGCCATACCACTGGCATGCATGCCAACGACGTCCTCCACGTCACCATAGGAAGCAATATCAACGCGAGTGTAACTGTAAACACCACTGACAGCCTTAGTCACGCACCCAAGACGATGCCAATGGCGACCGCCTAGCCATGCTGAATAATGTTGAACTCATCATCCCAGATACGAAGCCTTGAGAAGAAAGAAAGCTTCAAACTATTGAGATATTAGCATGTCATCGAACGATACAATGTAGTCTGTGGCTGTCGACAGGTTAGGGAGCAGAGGGGGAGTTATCCAGGCAGACCAAATTCCGATCAATCAGGAATCGCTTTGCCCTCAAAGCCAAGTCTGCACCGCAGAAACATTTTGCTTGGACACTTCGTGATCGCATTGCGAATACGAGTGGGTGAGCCGCTTTCACCTAGGAATTAGGGATTTCGGAATGAATTTCTCAATAATGATTGAGAGTTTCGGAATGGGTCTGGACGTTGGTTTGTGGGATATTGGGATAATGCAATTTGCAACAATGTTGTCTGGTTGCCTGTCAGAAATTTCCACGCAAAAGAAGTCACATCACCTCTCAATTGCTTCGAAGTTTGCCTGTTTATTGCAGCACCGAGCTCAAATCGGTCATGGATACCGGAAGAGCCCTCTAGTGATCGTATAACTTTCAACAGAATTCTCGATGCAACCACAGTGACCAGATCGCTGTCATGTGCTGTGCATCAGCAGCAGGGAAAAGACAGTCAATATGGCATCTCTTTCAAGCGATATTCATTATTCATAGAAAGCTAGTAAAGCTATCGGATTTTGATGCCTGCATTCTGCAGCGCACCATTGATAGGGAGAAGTTTCATCTCATGCCATGTGTGTGTATGCATCGGCGCAACGCCTCACGCTGCCAATATACCAGAGCTCTTGCACGTTGATATATTCGGGGGTGTTGTGAGAACGAGTGGATTTACCCTCCTAATCCTTAGAGAAAGTGGTGTCTTTGTCCTTGACGAAGAAGTCCTTGCCAGTCTGGGTTTTGTCTGCAGAGAGAGAAAGAGAACTGTCAGTCCCATAATTCAAATTGCAAAGAGAATCGGAATATTGATCCTCGACAGGAGCAAGGCTTGTACTTACATTGACCACGGATGAAGTCACTGATTTGCTCGTCCTTGGCTTGCTCAGCAGCACTCTCGTTGTTCTGTGGGCCTTGACCCAAGAATTTCTCCTGGACAAAGTCGACACCTTGAAGATTATCAATCCATTAGCAGGATTTTCAATGATATCAAGTCTCCGATCCCAAATTGATAACTCACCCTTGTCAAGATAGTCCTCGTTCTTCTCACTCTCCGGACCACCGCCAGCAGCAGCGTTCAGTTTGTTACCGATGCCATCAAGGAAGCCACCGCCACCAGAGCTGCTCTGTTGGCCTCCTTGTTGTTGCTGTCCTTGGTTTTGGTTGTTGCCGCCACCAAAGCTGCCGAGTGCGCCCTTGAGTTGATCCATTGTATAAGGGAAGGGTGATTTGATTCAAGGAGACGGTTCAAAGGCTGTAAAGATGAAAGAATCTACGAGAAGACAAGTTTCAGGATGGTGATTGAGATGGGTATTGAGGTGGAACAAAAACTATCAAGAGAAGACAACACCGGCAGGATGAAGACCCTTTCTTAAATTGTCAAAATGGGTAGGAGCGAGGGGCTCACGGGTGAAGAGACACAGGGCAAACAGGGCAAGCAGGGAGTACATTGTGGCTTGGATCCAGGAACCTACCTAGGTAGTCTGCATTACCATCACAGCTGAGCATGAATGGACTGAACCTTGACACGAGCTTGAATGTCGAGCTGTCACGACAGACACAAACGAAACAGGTTCCTCAGACTGGAGCCATTCACGACGTCAAGATGGAGACCACAAGTGAGGGGCACAAGTTGACGTGGGCCAAGCCTCGGATAAATCGATGTGCAATGCGGTGCCATGTGCTCCGAACTTGCTTATTTTCAGCTGGGACGATCCGTAGCAAAGCACCTGATTCCCACCTGCTAGACAGCCAGTGCAGTATTACTAACTAACTAGCTGCAAAACCACACGCCATCTGCCGGGCGATCATTCGTTCACTCCGTTACCATTGAAGCTGAATGTTGCTGCGTCCTTTGTCTCACTTCTAGCCTGCCCTCGGTACCTCGTACACCTGTAGTACTGGAACTCTATCTGGACAAAGCCGGGAGAATCCTCCGGCACATCATAGCCCTTGGGCGCTACTCCCCAGCGCGGCTTCTTCTTGTTCCTCCTGCTCGGCCTCATTCTCCCAGTCGTCTATGACTTCTTCTTTGAGCGCTTGCTTCCGAAGTCTATCTTCATTTTCCTGCTTCCTTTTCTTCGCCTCCGCTAGTCGACTCCCCAATACTGTGTAGATCGGTCGTTGCCCAACGGGTTTCACCTGAGGTGCTTGCATAGGTATTGCTCTCTTGGCTGCAACCTGAGACCAACCATTAGCAAAGCTGCTGCTGGCTTTCCCCTGCACGTGAACCACTCGAGGCTCAACACCAGACAGATCGAACTGACACAGAGTGGTTGTTGATGCAATGTGATGCTTGGCCATTTCGCTGGCAATCAATGGCTGTAGGCCAGTCAGCGATGTTGTCAACTGCTCGGGTGTTTCCCAAGACCTTGATGGCAGCAACCCAACACCATCGTCGTTGGATAAGAAGATTATGTCAAAGTCGATAGATGCGGCTGACTTCTTGACCAAAGGCTTCACCTCATCCTCTGTCAATCCGAATTTCACATTGGTAAGAAGCAGACCATTATAGTCATACTTGACCTCGTCTGCTGGCTTGGCTTCTACCGTGGATGAGTGGATTGGAGCTACAATGTTGAGTTGCGCGCGCTTGATCCTGACTGCCTGTGCCAAGGTCTTCATCGGCGCCGACACAAACTTGGGTGTTTTGAACAAAAGTACATGTCGATGTGGTTCAGGATCCAGACTTTCTCCATCAAATCCAAAATCTTCCGCAAGGCTGTGGATGAAGGCTCTTTGCCGATTTTTCATTGGAGCAAATCGATGTCTCTTTTCATCGTTATCGGCAGCAAAAAGTCTCAGAATCTCTTCCTGCCTGTGAGACCACACAATATCTTCAAGATACATCTGCAACGTGGCTGTCGAGTAGGGAATGTGTTCGCTGACATGGTCGTCGGGGATGTGCAGAGCCCGTGCCAAATTTCGATTTCTTTCGAGTCTGGCGCACTCTTCATCGCACTTGAGTGAAGTCTGTCTACCTGATGGCTCAGGTACATTGGCTCTCGAGTTACAGCGGACTTCTTCCTTCTTGCGCTGGCAATCACAAGTTATGATATCCTTGAATGGGCACGCCTTGTCCTCTTTGCACGTAGATGGAGCATGACAAGGCTGTTCGCACGGATGACCGCACGTCTTTTTTGCTTTCCCGCACTCCTGTTGACAATGCTGATGTGCATCTTCACACTCTCCAGGTTTGTGACACGTCTTTCTACAGCTGTGAGAACCGCACTTGAGCGCCTTACCGCAAACGAGTCCACAAGGAATCTCCGCGCGCCAGCAAGGCTGATTTTTGAGGGTTTTCTTGCCACACAGACATGCCTTCTCTGTCAAGAAGGGACATTTGGGACATTCCTCTTCCTCGGGGTGGCAGCTATGCTGTACCTGAGGGTGGCCACAGGCCTTGGTTTTGGTACACGGAAAATTGCAAGGAGGGGCTTGTGTGCCGCACGGCAGCGGAGCCTGTAGTATGGTCCTTCCACAAGCACATGAGATATCATCAAATAGCGCCTCTTTGCAAGTCCCACAAGGTCCGCGGTGGCAGAGATCTGAACAATTGTGGTTTCCACACTTGAGCTTTCGACCACAGGAACGAGTGCAGATATGCTCTGCTTCCACCTGGTCGTCCAACGAGCGCGTGAAAAGATCAAGAGTCTTCAACTTTCGTTTTGTGGCTTGACGTTCTAAGGCTTTGCGTTCTCCGGTGCAACACTTCTGCCCACATTCATGTCTCCCACAATTCAATGTTGCCTTACAGAACCTAGTACACTCCGGTGGGTCTGTAGTAGCCTCGTGGCAGAGCACTTTGAAACTATTGCGACCACATCGGCAAGGCGTAGATATTTCGAGATCACAAGGTCGGCATTCACCACTATGGCACGATTGCGTACAACCATGTCCGCAAGGTAGTCGTCGACCACACGCTTTCTGGCAGCTGGGGATGGGATCGATACATTTGAGACGAGGCTTCCCACCAAGATATTTGAGCGCAGTTTTGCCACAGGGGCAGTGAGTTACCACGTCAATAGAGCGAGGACAGTGTGGTGCGGTCGAATCTTGAGGATGGCACGACTTCTCGCAGCGATGGATCCCGCAATCCATGGGGTTATCACACATGTTTCCACAGTCGAATGAGCCCACCCAATCTGTGCTTTGCTTCTCCTCACCCCGATCATTACACTCAAGCTTCTTCTCGATCTTGCCACAATAACATCGAGCATCGACTTCTGCGGTGCAAGCACCACAAAGACCCTCATGACAGGGACGTTGACATGCGTGCTGACCACACGGCATCATGTCACCACATATCGCACCACAGCTCCAGCCTGTCTCGTAGTTCGTCTCCAGACAGCGTCTTGTGGTCTCCTCTTTTCCGCAGAAACAACTCTGAATTGGGCCCATGGCGGAGCAGGGTGGACAAGGGCCAGCGTGACATAGCAGATCACAAGGGTGTGGACATGTCTTGGGAAACTTCCTCTCACGACCACAAGTCTGCCCGCAGGAGTGTGGTGGGAGACCGGTAATCATTTTGGGATCCAATTCTTTCTCACACCAGCAGGTATATGAACTTGGGGTTATATCCTTGGGTAGATTGCAGCCAGGACACCTCCATTGTTTCCCAACTGCAACGCCTTGTTCGTCTTGCCCCGCAGCCCGCTGCACGGCTGAGCCCTCGTTCTTGGACCATCGCTTGATACATCCAATGTGGAAGACTGTCCAGCAGGTCCGACAGGACCAGACTTTTGAATTCCGGCCAACTTCATTCGTACATATGGCACATTCATAAACCCCGCGGGAGATATCTTCATGAATGCGGGTGGCGATGTCAGGCGCAGTGGAGCGAGAGAGGGAGGCTCTTCGAGGTTGGGGATTCTGTGGTGCAGGCTTCTTGCCACGACGAGGATAGGATTGCGACTGGGACTGAAGTTGAGCTGAAGAAGAGGCGGTGGTAGTAGGAGGGGGAAGTGAGGCAGGAACAAATGCCGGTGCATCTGCTTGCAATCGTGTAAGTTGACCGCCAAACTGTCTGCCCGCCACTCCCAGTCTGCGGTTTGGCTGTGCTGGTTCCTGAGGTTGGGATTGTGTCTGTGGCTCTGGCTGTTGTTGCCTAGGGTTTGGCCGTCTCCTTCTCCTATTACCTCTAGCACTGGAAGTGGAGCTAGGGTGTTGTACAGAGACCGGAGCCTCCATGGTCAATGTATGGAGTTGCAGAATTTGTGACAATGGCTGAGCCAGGTGGGTGGAGGCGAGGGGATGCACCCAGTAGATCTGGGTGGTTATGGTTGAAAGACAATAGGTATGAAGAAGGTAAAACTGTCAGGTCCTTGGGAATGTGACTATCAAGATCCAGACACAGTTAAAGTGGTGAGCAAACAAAGAGAAGTTGTACAGTGGTGGTGGCGGTGGTGGTGTTTGGTGCAGTCACGGAAGTGGCACTGGGACCTTTTTCTAATTCGGAAGTCACAGTGTCAGTTCCAGTTGCTCTTTCCTAACATTTCTCCAACATTAGACTTGGGAAGGCACGTCATGCATAAAGGCTGGACAAATTGCAGCAATGGGGACTCCAATTTTCTCTTTTGACTCATTCCCCAGGCTAGTAGAGAGGCTGACCAATAGAAGTATCATCCTTCCAGATGCAAGGTGATGTTCAGAGAATCTCGCCGAGTCTATTCATCCATCATGACTCTTCCGCCATCCTCAATGCAACACCTCCTGGCGGCCACAATGATAATGTATTGTACAGACCCAGCGAAGGATCATTTCGTAGCTGATATCCATTTCTTTGCGCCCATAGACGATGCGCAAGTTTGTCCCATAAAACGCCACGCCACACTTGCATTGCAGGCGAATGAAATCATGCTGCCATACGAAACGTCCTTTCAATTCACCTGGGTGCCATAGCCTCGAATCTGGTCTGCAAATGCCCAACTTTGGTCTTCCAGCTTCTCGTCCTCCTTCAAATCAACTCCGTCCTTGGTCACCACTGCAATGCTGTATTGATCCAAACTCCGAGCGTCTCTGTAGAAAAGCACTTTCATACATTCCTTGACTGCATTGATCGCTTGTTCCTTGGTCACATCTTTGACACTCTCCTCATCGTTTGGCATCAGTTTTCGCAATAATGGTTGAGCGAGATGAGCTCCAAAGCCTGTAGCCAGCGTTGGGCTTGTAAAGGTTGTTCCCAAGAGATCGGCACTCGCCAGGAAGGGCTGGTCATCTTCATCCAATCCCGCCACAAGAAGCTGATTCCACAACGGATTGAAGTCGTTTCTTCTCTTATAGAGAACTTTTGACAGGTAAGTGTGTAGATTCTTCGCGTTGAGGCTGTGTTCCGACGACGAGAGATAGTTTTCTCGGATGTCCAAGGAAGACAGAAGACGGTCGAAGTATTGCATATCAGAAACATCACCGCCAATGCCGATCACCGTGTTGGGAGGGAAGGTTCGCAGGCGCTTGACATCCGTGAATCTGGCCAAAGATCCATATGAAGCTAGTTGTAATCGTTAGTTGACCCTCGTCACTCTCACACTGGACTCGTCCGCATACCTAGATTGTCGGCCGCTACAACGACACCGTCCTTGAACTTGACACCCAGTACTGATGTTCCCGTGACCGCTGGTGATTGCGTATGCGTTACGGGCATCGAGGTCTGAAGATAAGAAGCGTCGTAGGGACCATAGACATCATCTCTGGGCTGAGTGGTGGTTAGCTGGAAGTTCAACCTGCGGCGGGCTACAACTCACTCTGCCCCAAGCTTGAGGGTAATGGTTCATAATTTCGGATTTCTGTATGCGTGTGTACTCAACCGGAGTGATGAGCAGTGAGGAACGACTATCAATGTAGTCTTAGCTGTGTGAAAGGATGAAATGTTGACTTGGATTTGAACACCGGGGACTGCTCTTCTATGGCGATGGTCCAGCCGCGTCAATCATCTGCCTGTAGTGGCATCGGTTGACGGCACTATACTTAACCGTAGTAATTTCGGTGTGGAAGAACACACTACCGCGCAGTCATCAGAGTCTTGGCGTCGTCAAGTTCGACTTGCACAGTTGAAAGCACTTAGCATCTTCCATCCTTCACGGGCAAGTTTTATAGATCATTAGGCGCTATGCTTCAGAGCTCATGCACGATACGCTGAAATCTCAAGTATTCATTTACAGCTGCAGCCTCGCTCATAATGGGACCCTCCAAGCCGCGGCGTCATAATTCTTAGGCCAGATACCGTTCTTCCCTGGTGCCAGAATACCCTTTGGATCTAGGGCATTCTTGATCTTCTCGTTCAACTTCATTTGGGCATTGTCATTGAAATTGTAGGTCCCCGAAATTTGATCCATCAAGGCCAAATGTGTCCGATACTCACCCCAGCCTGCCTTTGCTGCGTCATCAACCAATACACTGATGAGCTTGTGAGCTTTACGTCTCTGCTCTGGGTCCTTACGGTTGTAGACGATGCACACAATATGGTGCATCTCTCTCATCCCAACAACGAATGTTCCAATAAAATCGAAGCCAAACTCTTCACTACGACGCCGCGTGAGCTGGTATTGAGCCATGGCATCGTTTCCAGATACCTTGGCGATCGGACTGAAGAACAGATGGCCTCCATTAGGAAGCCAATCCACCCAACTTAGCTCTGAGAAGCTAGGGATACCTTGCAGAGTGTTGTGTCTGATCTGCAAGACTTCGTTATCTGGCATGTCTTCAGGGAAGTAGAACTTGGCTCCAGGAATGGTCGAGAATGCACCTTTCACTACCTGCCACATTGCCTCGCGGATCGGGGCTGGGCCGTAAAGAGCGCCATAGAAGTTCCATCGACCTAGGTTGAGTTTTTTTGCTATTTCATCAATCTCCGAGTCCGTCAGTGGTTTGTCTGAAGTTGAATATTTCGTTCGGGTTCCCTAGTGGGTGGTTAATTCTTATGACTTCATGAATATCATCAACACTACTTACCATCACGGCTGCATCCATCAGAACATGGCGGACAGTTGGTACGTTCTGCAGGACCATTGCGACTCTCAGTGGTCGAATGATCTCAACAGCCTGGTGCAAATCCTCGTCGCGAGGGATCGTGACCAGATAAGATTGATATCCTCCAGGATTGACCATTAGCCAGATACCCATTTTGGTAACAATTCCTGATCGATGTTAATGAGGATGCCCCTTGAGACAAAAGTGCTTCACTGACCTAGAGAAGACTGTGTGAAAATTCCATCATTGTATGGACCGAAGCCATAGTTGAAAAGCTGCCAACATTCATTCGCAGGCTGCTCATCTGCAGGCAAAGAGGTGTCCACATTCGGTGGTGGAAGAGCTCCCATGCCTGTTCTGATCAAGCTTCCATCCGGAAGTACTACCTCCATGCCGCAGTGCATCATAAAGTGGTCACCATATGGCTATCGAGTGTCAGTTTTCAAATCCTCAAGAACGATAACGGTCGCAACGCACAGTATATCCAACACCTCTTTCGATTGTATTACCAAGCACTGAACCACCACCAAGATCCGGAACGTCGATCCAGAGTTTGTCTCTCAAGTTGTTGGCGACGAGATAGTCGTGCAACTCTTGAAATGTAACACCAGGCTCAACAAGAGCGTAAGCACCATCGACATCGACCTTCAAGACCTTATTCATATTCCTCCCCATATCGAGGCCAATGCTACCACGAACGCGTGGTCCAGCACCACCATAGCCGACATTCCTCCCAATACTGAACGGCCAAACCGGGATCTCGAACTCATTGAACAGCTTCATAAGGGCCTGAACTTCCTTGACATTCCTTGGCGCGACGACAGCTGAACTGATGAAGTAGTCTTCGTCGAGGATGTTGAACATATCATGAACCTTGCTGGGGTCCATGTAGTCGTCCTTGCTATGGTCTTCAGGCTTAGTGATGATAGTTATGTTCTCCTCGCCAACAACCTCCGACACTCTCAGGATGAAATTCTTGAACGTCTGCGAATTGACGCCCGGCGGCAGCGCGATAGGATCCTCTGTGAGCTTCGGGGTGCCGCCATTGTTAGGACGACGGATCGCCAGTGGAACTGCGCCGCCTCCAGAGACATCTGACGGTGTCACCTTGTTATAGTCCTTTGGCTGTTCAGGCATCTTTTCTTGCGATTTGTCAACCTGTCTCAAATATGCCAACAAGCTGTAGGCTGTAGACCGACCAAAGGGGCACATGCGACATTTATATACACAACAGAGGCCCCTCGAACCGGACGTACTGTGCTCAAATCACCAGCATCCCCGTCTCCTCCTCCACAACTCTCACCCACAATTCAATCCCGCATCTGATCAGCAGCATAAGATACCTAGTAACTCCACAGGAACCATGTAAGTCCCCTTGCCAGTAGACAGTCAGTCCGGGACACCTAAGTTCGACCAAAAAGTATCATATCCGGTGGGCTTATGTGAGTCCCTCAAGAACTTGTTTCAACACGTATGTCCAGCGCAGAAATGCAACCGCAATTGTAATTCCAGTCGCTTCAAAACGGAGCGGAGTGGCATTGTGGGGGTGGATCTCCCTCCCAAATGCCGTGCCCAATCCCCATGCCTGGGCTGGAATGGACTTGCAAGATGGATGCAAGGTTTCGAGTGTGCTCGCGAGTCAGGTTGATCAGGCCCTGACTTTGGCCTCAAGAAGCCGGAACCTTCTCCCCAGGAATTCTCTCGACTTGCGGCTTGGCCCCACTGAGACTTACGATGCCTGGGAGTCTAGGCGGCTGCGGGTTCGAGACGTCAAGCAATAACATTACGCGGTGTCGACTGCAAGGTTTTGAGGATGGTTTCGATCTCGGGAACGTACAATCCTACAGTTCAAAGGATAGATCCAGGAGTGCAGTGGTGAACCGGGTCTAATGGGCTGGATCCTGTAGGCAGCCATCGCAGGGTTCGGTAGTTGCTTTCAGTAGGAAGGGAAGATTCAATCTTGACCAAATAGCTACGCACTTCCCCAATCCTTTCCTCGGTGGTCGTCTTGTCATTTGGTACTCAGCCTCCCTCAGGGTCCAGTTTGCCTCCTCTGTTTAGTCTAGACCCTATATCTCTTGTTTGACTTTCGCCAATCTGCGGGCTAAGTTTCCATTGCCTTCGTAATTAGGAGGGCCCGACTTTCGCGATCTTTAGGAATGCGTTTCTCGATGGGGAGAGTTCTTCGAGTCTTGCCCTCTATACCCATATCCGTCGAGTGAAGTAGGCAATATTCCAATAGTGACGACTCAGCTCATGTTATTGCCATCTACAGATCGTTCTCTTGCGCACGTATCTGATCGGCATCGGTTGTGGGTTCTCACACGCACCATTTGTGAGCTGGACTTATGTTGCCCTAACCAGTCGAAACTCTATGCCTACTGGAGCTTCGGGTGGAGATGCTCCTCTCAAGAAGCATCTGTGAAAACCACGAGACTTGATTCATGATAGCCTGGCTTCGATAGCGTCCAGTCAATCTGAATCCCATCGTACGGTCAGACAGAGACCGGCCAGTTCAATAGCTGTTCTTAGATAAGGACAGCATTCATGTCTTTAGAGCCGCCAACTCGGCCTTTGTCTCAAGAGTTTGCGAGATAAAACTTCGGAGTGCAGCCCACCTTTGGCTTGTAGAAGGAGCAGACTGCGATGCAGGCTGGGTTGAACTTGTGGCATTATTGTTGTTGACACCACCAGCATCCTTCGTGCTCGCTGGAGTAAGCTGGGCCATATTTTTTGCGAATCTATCCCTCTCGCTCTTGTCAAGCTTTTCTCTCCTCTTCATTGCACCGGGTTTGGACTTCAGGCTTTTTCGCTTAATCACATTGATCTGGTCTTGCGGTCTCGACCCTGCCGTAGCGGTTCCAGAAGTTTCATCGTCATCATCTGGTAGTGCGTCGGCTAGTGCATCAAGTGTCGTGATCAACTTCTTGTTAGGTCGTCTCCTTCGCGGCTTAGTCGTGGAGGATTTTGTGATCTTGTGCATCAGCTGTGCATGTTTAATCCTTCGCTTGTCCTTCTTGGAAGAAGAAAACAGAGACTCTGAAGCAGCATTCGAATCTCGCGATGCACTATCCGAGGACTTTTTCTTGAGGATCGACTTTAGCGATCGAGATGGCTGTGATGGAGCCTGAAGAGCATTGGTTAGATTGTCCTAGACATAACGTTATATGGGCGGCTTGACGTACCATATTTATTTGGAAGAGATGCCTCGAGTATAGTCTCCCTTTAATGACTACATAATCTCACCATATGATAAGTTTGGCATCAATGATATTTCGTACCGCGTTTGCCCACCGCTTGGAGCAAGAAAGCCGCGAAATATTTATTCTCGTTATCGATACAACGCGGGGAATGTCATGTGATTGAGCTCACGTGATCCTAATTTCGAAGATGAAGCCACCCAGCACCTTATCGCACCTATTGTATCGACTTACATATCTCTGCACCTAAGTGCTAGCTACTTAGGTAGTTACCACTCTCTGCACAGTTGACAAAGTGATGAGGCCGGTCTGCATAGGCTGGAGCCTGATGCACATGCTTCGCCAGTGGCCGGGAAGTGGCCCGCACAACGCCTACCCGGCAGTCCGACACTATTCGGAGGTGCTTGTGCCTCGACTGACTCGAGTAGATGCATCTGTCGGCAGTCTTACAATGGCGTAGGCAATACAATCAACACAAGTCGTTTTGCGCAAACTTTGGTTCTTGGTCTTGCAAAGCCAGCCAAATATCAGATCCGAGTATCTGGACGAATCTTGCAGACTCTGGCAACCGGTGAACGGGGTTTCAAGTTTGAATCAGTAATTGAACAACTGGAGTTACCTTGATAAGTTGTGAAATGGGGTTCCACCCCAGGAACTACGGTTTCTTGCATGTACAGTCGCAACCGTGGGCCTCGGCTGACGCAACGCCGGCGGCGAGGATCGCAAGCTTTCCATTCAGCCAGACTTGACCCCGCCCTTCCTGTCAAGCGTGAGTAAACAACGTGAAGGGACGGCGGGGGAGTTTGGACGCAACCTCACATTGAGTGGTTCGGCTCCATGATGGTGACCGGCTCCCCATCAATTGTAGCAGTGAATAAGTAGGAAAGAGTCCCAGGTTTGAACGTCTTTTATTCCCCTCCCCCATTGCATTGCCCACCCATTGCAGAGTTGAAGCAACCAAACGCAAACACCTCAACCCATTTTCCATTACAAGAGGCATCTTCAGAACCACTTCCTAGCTGGAAATCCATATCGCAACTTACACTCAGCATCTTTCAAACCCCTCAACATGCCTTACCACGCCACCGTCCTTTATCCCAACGACGACGACCTCAAGTTCGACATGGACTACTATCTGTCAAAACACATGCCGCTCGTACAGGAGAAATTCGGCCCGCACGGCCTCAAAAAATGGGAAATTCTTGACTACAAGCCTGGTGCCGACGGTGCCAAACCAGCATTTGCCGTAGGAGCAACGCTGATCTTCGACAGCCCGGAGGATCTGGGCAAGGCCATGGGTTCGGCGGACGCTGCGCCCGTCTTTGGAGATATCCCTAACTTCACCAACAAGCAGCCAACTGTTTTGGCCGGAAATCTTATCAAGACGTCCTGAGAATGAGAAACAGACTCGGATGGATTCTCATGTACATGTGTCCAATGAGAAATATGAGCAGGAATTGGTCTTGCTTCAAACATATGTAACGAAGATCCTCTCCTAGAGGGATAAACCCAGACAAATAAAAGTCAACAGCAAAGCAATTTAGACCAGTTACAGTCTTATCACTCGATCCCCATCATTCTTTCTTACCCCATGCTCCACCACCAGGCGTGTGAATAACAACACGATCATTGCGTTTCACCTTGACCGTATTCTTGCCCCCAAGATTCACCGTCCTGGTCTGACCCGTAAGCTCGTCCTTCGTAATCCACAGATTCAGCCCAACTTGGCCTTGCCCTCCACCATTCATGCCATACGGCCTGTGGACTCTCCTCTCACTCAAAATCGAGCACTGCAAGGGCTCCAAAAACTCGAAATCTCTGATGACCCCCTCCCCACCACGATATAGCCCCTGACCACCCGAGCCTTCTCGCAGGGAGAACTGTCGGACGATACAAGGATACCTCTTTTCCAGTATTTCGATGTCTGTTATCTTGGTATTGGTCATGTGAGATTGCACGCCGTCCTGGCCGTGCCAATTAGGGCCTCCTCCGCCCCCTCCGCAAATTGTCTCATAAAATCCATATCCATCGACATGGGTTCCGTCTGCATCTGATTTCCCTCCTTTCCCGAAGGTAAGGTTGTTGGTGTCGCCCTGGGATGCGGCAGCCGCGTTGAAAGCTTTGAGGACCACGTCTGTAATGCGTTGAGAGGTCAACACATTCCCTCCGACGACTGCGGCTGTGCGAGAGGGGGAGAGGATCGACCCTGGTGGTACCTTGATGTCTATTGGGGTAAGGCAGCCTTGGTTGAGGGGGATCTCGGAGTTGATCATACATCGGAGGCAGTAGATGATGGCGGAATTGACGATAGCGATGGGAGCATTAGTGTTGCCTAGGACCTCGGGTCCAGTCCCTTCGAAGTCGAACGTTGCAGAACCGGTTTCGGGATCGATCTGGACTTTCAGAGCTATCGGTGTGCCGTCGTCCATGTAATCAACGGCCTCGAGAGACTTTCCACCGTGACGAACCGAAAGTTCACGAAGTAGATTGCGCACTGCTGTTTCTGCTGTAGATTGAATGGCGTACATATATGCTTGAACCTCTGGGAGGCCATATTCGGCAATCAAGTTTTGAATCAGCTGGATTCCGCGAGTGTTGGCCGCAATTTGAGCCTTCAAATCAGAGAGATTATCTGCAAGGCATCTTGTGCCGGAACAGCCCTCGAAAGTAGCCGGGATCTTGAGGAGAAGCTCTGTCATTCGAGCCTCGTTGAATACACCACCACTTACAATCTTCTCTGCCTCGATGGCAGCACCCTCTTGCCAAAGTTCTGTTGACTTTGGTGGCATCGATCCGGGCAGTAGCCCACCGATATCGGCGTGATGACCACGGGATGCAACGTAGAACACAATCTCTGTTCCTCCGGGGCGGTCGAAAACCGGGGTAATGACGGTGATATCGGGCAAGTGAGTGCCTCCACAACTAGGGTGGTTCGATACGAGAACGTCTCCATCGACGAGTTGACCGAGCCAATGGTTGTGTTGGTACTTGACAGCAAACTGCATTGATCCAAGATGAACAGGTACATGGGGAGCATTAGCAACCAGTCCACCGTCTGGAGAGAATAATGCGCAGGAGAAGTCGAGTCTCTCCTTGATGTTTGTAGACACAGACGTCTTTTGGAGTGTTCGACCCATCTGCTCAGCGATCGACATAAATCTGTGCCCGAAGATAGACAGTCTGATGGGGTTGATTGGAATTTCGTTCATCACATTAGGATCCGCCTTGAAAGTGTCGCTTCTAGCAGCCAACTTCTCCTCTTTCAGGTCTATAATGATGCAAGTCTGGAGTACACTCGCCACGGCTTCTGGTGCCACGACGATCGTCTGTGTTTCGTCGATGATGATCGCCGGTCCACGGATACGACTATCCTTCTCAAGATTGTTAAGCAGGTAGACTGGCGTCTCAACTCGACCTGTGCTTTCGAAATACACTGAGGTAGTCTCCTGTGATTGTGTTGGATTTATATCTCTGATGCACGCCCTCTTCAACTGTTTCGATGGACTGATCTCTGCATGACCACCTGAAGATGCAACAGATCGAACTCGGACATCATCAACCAGGAGTGGCTTATCGAATGTGAAGCCGAACTCCCGGCGATGTCGTGTTCTGAACTCTTCGGCAAAGTCCCAATTGTCCGGTTTCAATATCATCAATTGAGAGTCTGAGCCGACGTAGCGCATATTGAGATATAGCTGATGGCTGATTTGGTCGATCTGGAATCCTTGATCCATGAGATCTGTGGTAGATTGGGCAATAATGCTCTCAAATCTTTTGCGTAAAGTTGATTGGGAGTTGAGATATTCCGTTGACACTGGCTCCTGGGATTCTTTGACGACATCTGCCAATGCTAGGCCATAAGCTGACAAGATGGAAGAGTATTTGTGAATGACTATCCTCGAGATCCCAAGGACAGCTGCAACTGAGCAGGCGTGTTGTCCTCCTGCGCCACCGAAAGATGCAAGTTGGTGGGATGCTGTCTCGTAGCCCCGTGCCTCGGTCAGATTCCGAACGGGGCGTGCCATAGACTCATCCGCGACTTTCAGAAAGCCCATGGCAACTTCCTCGGAGGTGAACAATTTTTCTTTTTTCTGGACTTGTTCCTGGTTTATTGTTTCCGTAAGCTCTTCAAACTTCTGTGCTGTAACCTCGCGATCCAGAGGCTGATCTTCATTAGGGCCGAATATCTTGGGAAAATACTCCGGTAACAGTCGGCCAAGGAAAAGGTTGGCATCAGTGACTGTCAAAGGCCCGGACTTTCGGTAGCAGGCTGGTCCTGGGTGGGCACTTGCTGATTCAGGCCCGACCATAAAAAGACCATTGCGCCAGGATAGAATGGATCCACCGCCAGCGGCAACTGTGTTGATATCAAGCTGTGGGGATTGAATGGAGATACCTGCGATATTGGCGCCAAAGACATGTTCGAAGTCCCCACCAAAGCGGCAGACGTCAGTTGATGTACCTCCCATGTCGAACCCAACCAGTGGTATCCTCTCATCTTCATCCCAACTGGTGTTTGCAAATCCTACAACACCAGCTGCAGGGCCCGAAAGAATGGCCTTGAGGCCACTGAATTTCCGATAGTCCACTAGACCACCGTCTGATTGCATGAACTCAAACCGGGCGCCGTGTGAGTTCTCAAGTCCACCCTCAAAATTCGAATCTATGCTGTCGATGTAGCTTTTTATGACCGGTGTCAGGTATGCATCAGCCGAGGCAGACATTCCTCTTGGTACGGCTTTGATCATGGGTTGAAGTTTGGACGAAAGGGCAACTGAGAACCCCATACTTGATGCCACGTGCCCAATCTTAAGTTCATGCTCGGGATAGGCATATGAATGCAGAAGCACAACAGCCAGCGATCTGTAGCCATCTTGCCATAGGGCCTCCAGGTCTCTGATAACTTCTTGCATGTTGAGCTCTTGCAGGACCCGGAAGTTTTCACCAGTTGTGCCTTCGACTAGTCGACATTCTGGATACCTTTCTGTTGCCGCATTTTTGGGACATGGAATAATCCGCTCGTCCACCTCAACCACCTTTTCGTATAACACTCCTGGTTTTGTGGCTGAAAGCTGAAAGATTTTTGGTCGTGACTGGTCTCCTATGGATAGCAAATCTTTGAAGCCTTTCGTGGTCAGTAAAGCTGATCTGGCACCTTTCCGCTCCAGAAGTGCATTTGTAGCCACTGTTGTCCCCATGCGCAATTTTCGGATGTACTTCAGGTTCAGTGGTTTCCCCCTTGGGAAATTCTCACCAGTCGCCTGCTCAAGGACTCTTCTTATGCCCTCTGTCGGCGCATCAGCATAATTTGTGGGGTCCACTGAGAGCAACTTGAGAATGATATCGGGTTTTCCAGGATTCCGGGCGTGTACATCTGTGAATGTGCCACCACGGTCGATGCTAATACTGATTTTGGAAGTGTTCGACATGATTGACTGTTGGTGTTTGCGTTGCTAAAGCGGAGGTCAAGCTGGAAGGTGGACATTGCTCTCTCAAATATAGCACCCTCTTGCGCCTGGCACGAGGAAAGAAGTCCGACATCTTGTAAGCCTCCATGCTGTGCTTCGTCATGTCTGGAGTTGACGGGACTGAAGACGGTGTGGACGTCCAAGAGCTCCAAAATGTTGATAGAATCAAACAACAGGAGTGGGGTGAACGCGCTAGGCTTGGTGCCCCCGATCGTGTTCAGGCACCCTGTTTAATCATCAGCCGGAGTCGGGATCCACAAGCCTAGCGTGATGATGATCCCTGCATATCTCGGGCTGGTCGTGGCTCTCGCATATCCCCGCATATGTCATTCATCGGAGAAGTACGAGCCTCGAAACCACGCTCATGAGGACAGTGAGGCCACCAGGGGAATGCATGTCCTCCGGGTATCCTCCATGACCATCGCGTCGGACCTGCTCTCCTATGCGAAACAGTGTTGGCAGCAGATATCATTCAAAAACCACAAAATTTCTAGGGAGTGTTCGATTTTGATGATCGCATAGGAGCCTGTCAATACGAAAAATACTCCTCTGGAGGACAAACTCTGATATGAGTACCATCGACACAAATTTCCAGCAGACTGGCGAATCAATCCGTTTACTGGCTAGGTCAGGAAAATTTCATACCCCGACAATCACCTCAGCACCTGGGTTCGTTCAAGCAAATTTGATCGTGCTACCCTCCCGCTTAGCACCAGACTTTAGGCAATTCTGTGCAAGGAATTCTGTGCCATGCCCTCTACTAGCTGAGACGCCCATTGGCATCTTTGATCGGCTCAAATCACACATTCCAGGGTTGACTGGTCAGCAAATTGCAGGAGATCTCGACCTCAGATCCGACTTTCCTCGATATATGATATATGACAATGGGCGGCTAACAAAATCTCATGTCGCAAACATTGAGCGAGAGTGGACTGGAGACCATGTTGGGTTCTTGATAGGCTGCTCTTTCAGCTTCGATGCTGCACTGACCAAAGCCGGACTTCCTCCAGCCCATACATTATGGGGAAGGAATGTACCAATGTATCGGACTCGAGTTCCATTGTGTCCTGCGGGTGTATTCAAGAACTCCACTTATATCGTTTCGATGCGACCATATCGACGAAAGGACATCGAAAAAGTTCGAGATATTACTCGGCCGTACCTCATAACTCACGGAGAGCCCATCGATTGGGGCTGGGATGCGGTTGAGCGACTCGGAATATCCAACATTGCCACTCCGGAATATGGAGACGCACCAGTGGCTCCAGATGGCACAGAGTTGGTTCAAGGATTCGGCGAAGGTGATGAAACACTAGAGCCTGTGTTCTTTGGATGTGGAGTCACTCCCCAAGAGGCCATTCAACGGGCTGGGCTCGAAGGAAGAGTGTTTGCTCATGCTCCAGGCCATATGATTGTGCTCGATATCAAAGACTCGGATATTACTCGAGATAATTGAAGATACTTCTTGTAGGGTAAGTAGTTATGGAAAGGAACCATCATGATCTTTCCGGAGAGCAGTTTCAATCCAACCAGTATCCATGTCGATGTCGAAATTTCCGGATATTTCATCCCACAACCCGTCTTTATCATCAATGTCAAAATTGAAGGAGATATCTTGGAATGGTTGGAATGTATTTTGCGGATAGGACATGTTATTTGGTGGCTGTTCAAGAGTCTCAAATGGCACAAGAGGTGCTTGTCGTGCGTGTAGGCTTGTCATAGTGGCTGATGCAACGGACATCTGGGCAGGTATTGGTATAGCTTCTGCTGCAGGAATCACGTGTTGCCGTCCCATCGATGCTCGAAGCCCCATAAGTAGCTTCAATCGAGCCTGAATATACTCGTTCCCTTTCTCTGCCATACCTCGTAGGACTGACAACGCCACGTCCATTCCTGATGCATCTCTCTCATTATAAGGAAATGCAACGTTGACCAAGACCAAGGTCAGAGATGTGGAGAATGCGTGTTCACCATCCATAAAGCCATATGTTGCTAACACGGTTAGTCATAGCACATTTTCAAAAAGAAAAATCATATTGCTCACCCCATTGATTTTGACTCATTGCCATGTTCATGGTCATGGCACTAGCTCGGGCAGCAGCAATCGCATTCTCAATAATCATGACAATATTTCCTGAAAGACCCTCACGCCAATCCATTGGAGCCGTGTTATTGGCTAGGTCCTCAAGTCGTTTCTGGGCCACGAATAAAAGGAATGGCCGTGTTGTCATTGTAACGCAATGATAATAATGGAGGAAAGTAGACACACTTTCACGAAACATGGACGATGTCGAGATTTCTGCCGGTACATCCTTGAGCCAGTTTGATAGATCCGTCATGATACTCTGAACAGAGTGCAGAAGACTTGTCCCCGGCCGGTGTTTCTTTCGATATATTTCTCCACCAATTCTTCCAAGAATGCGCGACAATCGAGTGTACTGGGATAAGATTCTGCTACTAGACTGATGGTGGTCAAGTCCCACCAGAAAGCTTGGCCATGCAACGTCGATGTCCTCATCATGGATGCTGATAGGCTGTCCCGACTTCACAGATATGATTCGGTCCATACTGTAAACTGACCACCACACCCGTCGCCGGATCTCGCGTTCAGTTGTGCCCATCGCTGGGTCTGCAACCTCTTGATGTAGACCTAGAGAGATTGCCATGCGGATTGCCAGTCCGATATAAAGGAAAGCTGCATCCTTCCTGTTTAGATTTTGGAAGTATGGGGCTATAAGCCCGAGCACTTGTACAAAGAGAACAGAACCTTCTTGGTGAATCTCGGGAAGAAGGAACAGTGCGTGACGGAAGAAATTGAAACCAGGAGGTCCATCACTTCCAGCCCATTGATTGACACTGTACATTGAACCATAGCAAAGGAGAAGGAGCACCAAAGTGTAATTCAGGGTGTCCTCCCGGTTCTCAATGTTCGGTGGATGGTCGTAAGCTTGACGCAACCGAGCTTCAAATTCACTCGGCGGACAAAAGTGGAAAATGCCTCCGATGAACGCATTCTGCACAGTATACAGCCTTTTGGCGAAGTCGAAAGGGGGTAGTTGTGGGAGAAAGGGAGCAGGAGGCCGCTTCAAGGATGAAGGATCTTTGTACATGGGATCGCTGTCCCAAGCAAGGCTAGCCTCAGCAGGATTCAATCTCTGGGCGAGATAGGTCGATGAACCGCTGCCAACATAGTGATGCTCTCCTGACCGGGTCAACCAGAGATTGTCCATCCCTTTGTACCACCAGTCATCATCTTGATTTGATTCCTCTTCGTCAACGTTTGATGGTGAATCAACGGTGCTGGGCCCAGATTTGATACCTTTCACAATTAGCACGCACATACCAGATTGGCATGTGAACAATCTTACATTCTTCAGGTTTCTCTTTGGCCCTGCGTTGAAGATCTAACAGGTAGCTGCATGGGTCAGTCTACTGACGGTGCGATCCCAGAAATTTAACTAACCTTTCAGGAACATTAATTCGTCTTTCGGTCTCGGTGTACACACATTCTGATCCTACGTCAAGGCATGCTGAGCATGGATGAGGAGGCGTCCCAGTGCATTTTGTCTTTCGTCCTCGACAACGATTGCAAGCGAGGGCTGAACGCCTGAGTGGATCGTAAGAGAGTCGCCTCGGCTTGTTTCTAGAGGATCCTGAAGACATTATCAAAATTCAGCAGTAACGCCTATTTCAACAGGCACTTGTGGAAATTAGACAGCCGTTCTTGTTTCCACAAAAATTACGAGTCGTGATGCCATTTGAGGTCAATAAAGCATCTAATGAGCATAGTAAAGTCATCAATGGCCATTTAATGCTGAATCGGATAATCCAAGGCTCCGCAAACGCGATATGATCCAAGATAGGACAGATTCGCCTACCAAGATTGCGTTTTGCGTCGGCTGATACCCCAGAAGGACCTCAACCACCGGAGTGATCACCGTCTACTGGCTCTCCGTCTTCCTCAAACACAATTGACGCGTCTGTTGCGAGTTCCTCGGGTCTCACCCGGCGGCGAACGAAGAGGTAGGGAAGATCAACTTCAAGCGGCATCAGCCACCCACGGTACTTGAGTCCCTCGGACTATGAGTCCTATCGGCTATGAAAGTTTCAGGAAGCTCTGTCCGATCGATAGTGATTCAACGCGACCCTAAGCCTAAGATGTATGTTGAGAATAGGTGTGCGGGTTAGGTGGCTGGTGGATCGGATAGAGGTGTTAGGCTCGGAGCACGAACAGCGCAAATGCGAATGGCGGCTACCGGTTTACCAAATACCTTTGTATCGGGTCGTAGACTTAGGTACGTACGAGAATTCTAATATTTTGTAAAGACAAGCCGATTGCAGAAATCCTGACCTCAATCCTCGTGCTTTACGCTTCAATTTCTCAAGGAAGGACGTATCTATATTCTTTGGAATCAAGAGACATCATTTTCTATACTCTATTATGGTAAAAAATGTGGTTTTATGTAAGACTGCGCGTTATAATAAATATAGAATCTAGCTAACAAATCTATACAAAATTACCAGCTGCGAAAACGGTATATCCGTGTTCAGACCGAACAGTGGCAGATCCATCTCCTCAGCTTTGTGGTTGATCACGTGATGATACAAGCCAGGGTTACATTCTCGCTATCTCCAACCCTTGTAGGGCCCCCCCTGTCCGTCGGATTCCACAAGCCGATCAAGACTTGACAGGCAAACTCGTCACTTTTGGCGATCCACTGTACTTGTACTACTCTACACTATCTCCTGCTCCTCCACACAGAAAACACAGATATATAGCTGCCAATCCACTACAGCATGGAGAAAATGGAGCGCAACACTGGCGGGGATTTGAGCCGACATTCTACCCATTGCATTCTACTCTCAACCAAAAGAGCCATATCTCGAAGAAAGGTTCGTCATGTCTGGCATCGAGCAGCAGCAAACAATAGATGAGAAAAAGATTGGTGTTACGCCTGAAGGCAATCAGATTAATGATGAAGCTATCAAAGATGACGGGGAACTCGAGCAAACCATTGACCCCAAGAAGGAGAAGCTGCTTCTCGCTAAACTCGACTTACTATTCACGCCGGTGATCATGTTGGTCTACCTTAGTTGCTTCTTGGACAGGACAAATATCGTAAGAAATATGGATCTCGCAGCAACTCCCAGGTTTTGACTCATCATCAGGGCAATGTTAAAGTCGCTGGGATGCCAGAGGATATTGGGGCATCTGATCAACAGTTTTCCACCGCGGTCTCAATTTTCTATGGTAATGACCCAAATTCAAACTAATGATCTTCTACTGATACAATCAGCAACCTATGTTACTTTCGAAACACCCTTCGCCATCATGTTGAAGAAGGTGACGCCTCGCGTTCTTCTCACGGGACTGTGCATTGTCTGGTCTTTAACTACGATATTCTCGGGATTCATCCATAATGTTGGTGGACTGTACACTTCTCGACTCATTCTTGGAGCCTGCGAGGCAGGCCTGTTTCCGAGCTTGACAATCTACCTTTCTATGGTGTATCGCCGAGAAGAGCAAGCCCGCCGTATCGCATATCTCTTCAGCTGTGCGGCATTGTCAGGTGCATTCGGTGGATTGTTGGCCTATGCAATCCTGCAAATGGACGGGGTGGCAGGTTATGCGGGGTGGCGGTATGATTTCCCTCGGACCCCAAGATATAATCTTGACTCACACTTCTTAGATGGGTATATATCATCGAAGGCATTTTCAGTATAGCCATTGCTGTTCTCGTCTGGTATGGCCTGCCAACTGACCCAGCCCTTCATCCGTGGTTGACGGCTGAGCAACAACAAATGATGAAGATTCGCCAACAACAGACCGCCGCCTACATGGGTAGTGATGAGTTCAAGTGGGAAGAGATCAAGATCGCCTTCAAAGACCCCAAGCTATATCTCAGCGGGGGTATCCAATTCTGTCAAGATATCCTATTATATGGCTTCAGCACTTTCCTCCCGGCAATTCTAAAATCGAGCGGCTATGATCGACTGCAGAGTAATCTTCTTACGATTCCGGTCTACATTGTGGGGGCTGCCATCTTTATAGTCGCCGCCGTCTTTTCTGACCGGTTCATGCTACGATCCCCAGTGAGTGGACTCGGCTTATTCGAGCGATGTGAACACTAATCATGACTTAGTTTATTCTTGTTGCCAATATTTTCGGAATTGCGGGCTATATCGTCCTTCTTACAGTCTCGAATGATACGACCAAGTTTGCTGCAACCTTCTTGTGCGCTGTAGCCGTCTACATTGGACCTGGCGTCAATATCACATGGCTAAGTGTCAACGTTGCACCACATTACCGTCGAGCGGCCTCAATTGGTCTGCAGCAGACCATTGCGAATACTGCTGGCATTGTTGCCGGGCAAATCTACCGGAAATCACCATACAAGCTCGGCCATGGATTCTCACTTGGTGCCCTCTGTCTCAGTCAACTGTTGATTGTCGCCAAGATGATATACATCAAATGGTGGAACGTCAGAAAGGACAAGATCGCTCGTGGTGCAATCGAAGATACTAGAAACGTCAAGACTGGTGATAGAGAATTGGATTTCAGATATCACATGTAGAGGATACCCGATGCAAAGGAAAGAGAAAGCTTGGGGTAGGTAGAAATGTTGTCGGCTAAAGCTGGATGAAAGTTCTTGGCAACTATGGTTCATGCAATTGACCTAAGTAGGCAATATATTCAAGAATAGTGGTCACAAGTTAGGAGAAGAAAGAGAACACGAGGATATGAGGACGAGACAAGGAACTAAAACTCCGCATGGAGTCTCGGACCAAGACCGATGTGCGACAATATGGGTGCATTCAGGCTAAATTGCAGGCTCCTCCCACCGGTTATGTGGTACTGGTGCTGCCGTATCGGTGCTGGCGGATGCTCCCCGTCCTGGGCAGAACAGCGACTTCATACTAAACAGACAAACCATTTATACTTGATATTTTCTACTATTAAATGGGTATTGTTTCTTTTCATTGATATTTATTGAATTTACAGACCCCGTTTAGTGACACAATGGCATCTGGAATCTTACGTGTGAAGGACACCCAAGTGGTGGATGAAAATGGCAAGGTGGTATTACTACGAGGAACAGCCATTGGAGGATGGATGAAGTATGTACACCCTTGACCTCCTCAGAGACATGTTAGCTAACTCTTATATAGCATGGAGAATTTCATCACTGGCTACCCCGGTCATGAGTCAAGTGTCCGAGCCGCCATGCTCGAGGTACTCGGGCAGGAGAAATACGAGTTTTTCTTCGACAGATTTCTCTATCATTTCTTCACCGAGGCAGATGCAAAGCATTTCAAGAAACTCGGACTCAACTCCATCCGCATTCCTTTCAATTACCGACATTTCGAGGACGACATGAACCCTCGAGTACTCAAGGAGAGCGGTTTCAAGCACCTTGACCGTGTCATTGACCTATGCGCCAAGGAGGGCATTTACACCATTCTGGACATGCATACACTCCCTGGTGGGCAAAGTCCAGGTTGGCATGCTGATAACACGACAAGCTATGCGGCATTCTGGGATTACAAAGATCACCAAGACCGAACCGTTTGGCTTTGGGAACAAATAGCGCACCGGTATAAGAGTAACCCCTGGATCGCGGGTTACAACCCCATTAATGAGCCTTGCGACCCCAAGCACATCCGACTGCCCGCATTCTATGCCAGATTAGAAAAAGCCATTCGGGCTATCGACCCAGACCACATCCTATGGCTTGATGGCAACACCTTTGCGGCAGAATGGAAAGGGTTCGATGAGGTCCTGCCAAACTCCGTCTACTCGTTACACGACTACAGTATGATGGGCTTTCCCACCGGAAGGCCCTACACAGGAACAGAACAACAGAACAACATACTTGAAGCTCAGTTCCTCCGCAAGTCGGAATTTCAAAGAACGCATAAGACACCGATATGGAACGGTGAGTTTGGTCCGGTATATGCAAATTCGAAATGGGACGAGAATGCCGAAGAGATCAACCAAGGCCGATACAACATGCTTGGCCAACAGTTGCAGATATACGACAAGTTCCAAATTCCATGGTCCATCTGGCTGTGGAAGGACGTCGGTCTGCAGGGGATGGTCTACACCTCATCGGACTCGGCGTGGAACAAATTGATTGACCCATTTCGCGAGAAGAAAAAGGAACTCCAATTAGACAACTGGGGCAAGTATCCCAATGAAGAGATCGATGGTTTGATCAAGCCATTGGTGGACTGGATAAACAGGGTATCTCCCACGGCGAACTCCGTGTATCCAACCACATGGAACACCTCCCGACATATGGAACGGCAGATCCTACAGACGTTCTTAGCCGAGTCGTTCGTTCAAGAATTTGCCGAGTTGTTCAGAGGCAAGGACGAAAAGGCACTAGAGGAGCTGGCTGCAAGCTTTAGCTTCGAGCAGTGTGTGCAAAGGGAAGGTCTGAACAAGATATTGTCTGATTATGCCGCTGTGGCTTCGAAATAGCTTGACTTAATTTAACGTGCCTTAGGCCGAAGGACTCGGCCCTGAACTCCTTGCGCTTCTGCCTCATGATGTGTCATCCCCACGAGTGTGGTGTCGTGGGTGTGTCGATCCGTGCGAATAACGTCAATTTCCCCGCCATTGTTAATCTGCCTCAATACGGCTTCTCGCCTAAATTCATACTTCAGCATCCTGAATTCCTTCATTAGGCATTCAAACTCCAATTTCGCTGTGGTTTTTGGAGATTTTCATGGCTCGTGCGGGGGGACGTGGCAAGGCTGAGCATGGGTAGGAGTCAGTTATGGCTATCGGCAGATTTGCAAAGCCTATTGCTATGCGCAATACTGGGGTTTATGATACTTAAGGCCGGCCTGATGTCCATTTTGGTCCGTGTCAATCGCTCTCAATCGCAAGTCATCCCGAGGATTTTGAACAACACTGATTCCAGGAAGCCCTGATCAGTATCTTGGTCACAATGGCGAAGGCATTGGCAGGACATGATGTCGCGGCAAGAGATGTCGCAAAGATTTCAGAGATCAGTCATCTTCTCGAGCAAGATACAACACCATGGTATAGAAAGAAGAATCTTCGAAGACTCTACTTGTTCCTGGTACCTTCAGCACTGGGTGTTGAGATGACATCAGGTTATGATGGAAGTGTCTTGAATGGACTCCAAGCAGTACAACCGTGGCAAGATTGTGAGTAATTCAAGCGGAGAAGAAGAATTTGCTGTCCGCTAACGTTACAGACTTCGATACTCCAAATGGAGCATTACTGGGTGTGATGACAGCCGCCTTCTCAATTGGAGCCGTCCTCGGTCTCCCTCTGGTACCATACATCAATGATCGTTATGGCAGGAAGGCCTGCATCGTGCTTGGAAGTATCATCATCACGATAGGCGCAATATTGCAGACAGCATCTGTGAACAGTAAGCAGCTATTCATTTCCTTTCCGTTGCGCGTGGCAACTCACAAGCATATATCTAGTTGCCATGTTTTTGATCGCCCGCATCATCCTTGGAATGGGAATTGTCTATGCCATCAGTGGTGCCTCACAGCTCCTTTCAGAACTGTCATATCCAAAAGAGAGATCCGTGATAACAGGTCTCTTCAATGAAAGTTGGTACGCTGGAGCGATCATTGCTGCTGGTGTAACACTCGGGACTTTCTCCTGGAAAAGCGATTGGAGTTGGCGACTTCCTTCACTATTGCAACTTCTGCCTTCGACATTGCAACTCACTTTTATATGGTAAGTCAGGTTAAGTCACGTTCGACTGCAAGACACTAATTTGCAAGGTTCGTTCCTGAATCACCGCGTTTCTTGATTTCACGCGATCGACACGAAGAGGCTCTGGAGATCCTAATCAAGTACCACGCCGAAGGTGACCGCGACAGCCCTTTGGTTGCAGCAGAGTTCCACCAGATCCGTGAGACTATCCGTATGGAATTGGAGAGCACCAAGACCCCTTGGAAGCAGCTTGTTACGTCCAGTGTCAACCGCAGGAGAGTTCTCATCGCCGCCTGTGTTGGTACATTCTCGCAATGGTCTGGTAATGGCTTGGTTTCGTACTATTTGAGTCGGGTACTCGCCTCGATTGGAATCACCGTGAAGAGAACACAGAATGAGATTAATCTCGGACTGGCATGTTGGAATCTCGTAACCGGTGTGACCGGTGCATTTCTGGCTCACAAACTGCCGCGTCGTCGACAATACTTGATCTCCTATACTGGAATGACAATCATGGTGAGTAAGGTGTAATTATCATTTTGCCCCATCAGCCTATGCGTGCTTTGTCCTGTCTCAAAAGCATCAAGATGAAGGAGGATATCAGACAGACTGACCAAAACCTACTTATAGTTCGCCTGCTGGACAGCAGCTTCAGCCACGTACGCAAAAGATCACACAAACCATCATGCCGCTATTGCCGTGGTCGCGCTGATTTTCATATATTATGCCTTTTACAACCTCATGATGCCTCTCACTTACATTTTCATCTGCGAGGTATTCCCATTCATTCACCGCAGCAAAGGTGTGGCTATAACACAGTTCTTCTCACGCGGAAGCTCTGCCTTTAACCAATTTGTGAATCCGATCGGGCTACAGGTAAGTCTCAACCAGACATCAAGTGCCAGGGGAAGTCGAGCTGATGGCGTGAAAACCAGAACATCGAATGGAAGTATTATATCGTGTATGTTGTCTGGCTGGCATTCGAGACAACTACCATCTTCTTTATATATCCCGAGACCAAAGGGCCAAGTCTGGAAGAGATTGCAGTAGTCATGGAGGGCGACAAAGCCAATGTCGAAGTTATTGAGATTGGCGGAATAGCGGGAAAAGGAAGTAGTGGTGTTCATGAGGTTGAGAAGGCCTGATCCGAATTTGCTGTCAGCGTCGGTCAGATGGAGCAGGGCAGAAGCAAGGCTGGCGTAGCACTATAGTAGAGGAAATTTACCTCTACGGAGTGCCATATCGAAATTTCCAAAATATAGCTAGGACGTAATTACGTGCGATAAAAGATAGTGAGGTTGCGTCGTGCTCGGCAGATTTCGTTCACCGAATACGATGGCGCGCGAATTGTCTTCTCAGCAATCGCCATCTTATCTCAGGACCTTCACATTTGCGATTACCACTCATGGTCCACATCATATCTTGCAAATTTCATGAGCACAGCGGTCTTTTGTAGGTGGCGGCTCGTGATTCCTGTGAATACTTGTTGTGTTAGCCAACTGGACCGTTACTCATGTGTGGAATTCCTTAGGAACCACCTTCTGACCTCACTATCGCGGTGACGCATCAATCTGCTGCATCCTTCTACAGGATTCCACATTATCAACTTAGCGCCCCTGTTGTTGTCCAGTCTATCTGCCTCTTGTCTATGCCGCAGGCTCTTGAACTGTATTGATGGTTAAGGCCGAGGCCACATGATGATCAATAGTAGGTTGACCGGCACAACACTATTACATATATTGTAACGTGCATGGAGTGTTCGTCAGCGGTACTCTCCTTCTGAGACAGGGATAGTAATGTCGAATGATGCGAGGCACGCTGAATATTCTAACCAATTGATCGCAATAGCATTCAAGCTTTTTGTGTTTTTTTTTCGAAAGAGGAAGATGTGATGCCTCATAGAGTGGCTGATTGTCAGCTGGATGGGCCAGCACTTGGTATGAGATTTGCCGTAGCCCAGAAATCCAGATCGGCGAAAGCAGACAGATCAACATTCTGCCCCAACGCAGCATCTACTGCCGGAAGCTTGAAGCCAGGGTCGAAGTACTCGAATAAGTCAATATCAGGTAAGTCCGCAAAGTCGAGATCAAAATTGAACGAGTTAAGATCCTCATTGTCGAAAGTGACAAATGCCTGCCTATTTTCAATATGCTGCGTTGAAGTACTCGGCTCATCAGTATCATTAAGATGATTCGGAGCTCCCGCCGACTTTCCAGAAGAATTGTCGACAGTCGCGGAGAGGTCGGCTGCTCCATTCACTTCTCGTTCACGTGGTGTGAACAATTCTGTGACCGTTTGCCGGCGCCCCGAGATCATTGACGCAGCAACCTTATCCATTTCTCGAATCGTCTGCTCTGCCATGTCAGCCATTGTACTGGCTGATGCAAATGTGTCGAATCGTCTTAAAAGGGCGCATGTTGTTAAGAGCTGCCGCCTGGACCGGGCCTGGAGCAAAGGTACCTTACTGACGCGAAGCTCACGATATGACACTCTCAAACACAGAGATACTGCATATGGTACGAATGGTATTAATGAAATTTCTCCATTAAACTCACTGCCGATAATCGATATCACTCGGGAGGCCGAAAAGTTTTGTCGGATGTTTGGGGTCGACCGTCGGTCAGGCTCATCTAACGAATTGAAGCGACAGGAGAGCATGGCAACAGCATGATAGAGAATCTCAATAGTAGCTAGAAAAGCTGTTGTCAGCCTCTAGCCAGCGAATTCAATTGGATTGAGCCAGGAGAAGACGTGTAGGGGATTCTTCTCATTCGCATGAAACTTACCAATCAGGTATCCAGAAATTCGCTGAGATCCAGTCTGAATAATCAAATCTTCAAACGAAGGAAAGTCATCGACCCAATTGTTCTGAGTTCCAGTCGAAGGCCTGTATAGGTCTATGATCTTATCGAGCAGTTCGATCACCACAAGGAATAGCTGAAAGCCATTGTCCTGTTGGCTGACACTCATTGTCATGTCCCGACCGAAGTCACGCCCATGCATGAGAACTGGGCGCCCATGGAAGGCTGCATTCAGTCGATCCAGAGCCCATACACAGAGAAACAACCGTGTCGCTATCCGATGATCCTTTCTGAATCTGCTTGTGTCGAGATGGAGTTGTAAGGTCTGGACGTAGCTGACTGCTCTCCCACAGTACTCTGCGGAGGAGTGATTATCATTGGACAACTGAGAAAACAGTGAGAGAACCGACAGGGCCTGCACGGCGACAAGCTTGTCTCTACTTGTTCCCAAGTCAACAAAAGTGAGTATTGCTTGCGAGAGATAGCTTATGAAATCACTCGGCATCTGCACGGAATCTGACAAGGAGGGCAATTTCAAATGTTTGCGCGCCCTGGGACTGGTGGCTGCTGCCAGGCAGATTGTTTGCATTAGCAAAATTCTCGTTGGCGAGCTTTCAGCCGTGGTTGGAGGAGGCATGTCGAACTCAACCACCGGAAAGATCGGATGCACTTCTGTCTTGTAGATATTTTGCAGGACTGCAAAATCAACCGGATTCGGAATGAGATGGAAGCTCTGGTCGAGTAGGCAGGGCAATAGGACGTTGGATATAAGTTGACTTTGGCCGTAGAGGGTTTTTGATCTGCGATTGACCAGTCCGATTCGGTGTCTTTTTATATGGTCATAGGTCTTTCGCGGTAGCCAGACGCCGATTTTATCGCCACCTCCTGAGGCAATAGAGGCAGTCGGGCTTGTCGCAGCTAGAAAGATGCCCTGAGGATTTGTATGCCCGATGAACTGCAACTCTTCATCACTTGTAGGCTCTGGGCTTTCGGAAAGCGCTTGGTGAGTAAGTCCTCCAAGTCCAAGGTTCGTGGGCTGTGCCGTCGACTGTAATTCAGACTCAGCAGCAGGACAGGATTTATTGAGACTCGACATTGGTTGAGGCTGGGTGTTCTCACATACATCCGGCCACGGGGTTTCTCGCTGTACTGAGTGCGAACTGGGGGCAGGGTTTTTCGGATTTGGAGGCTGGAGTGGCGTCAAAGGAGATGCCGAAGAAAAGGTAGGGGTCGAGAATGCTTCCATCAGGCGGTCGCCGGTAGTAACGAGTTTCTGCGAATTATCGGCGGGGAGTGTTGATACGAACGTGGCATGATCCTCAACGGGAATATGTGAGCACCTTTTCTAGTGTAGAAGTCAGGGAGGTCCATGGATCATGGAAAGCAGAGCAGTCAAACCGCTTGTTGGCTTGTTAGGCAAGTGCAGGCTTATAGAGCAAAGGATATATTGCGAGGGGACCCATACCTTGCGCTTGCGGCACGTCTGACATGCTCGCGGTGTCTGCTTTCTCTTGACAGGAAACCCATCTGAGGAGCTGGCCACAAATTTGACCATGACACAGAATCGTCATGTGCTGTCGTCGCCGTTGCTCCTAGTCAGCATAGCCATTGATTGGTGTGGGACGAATTGTGAGATACGTCGGCCGGGGACCGACTTCAAGTTCCTTGCACATACATGCTAATGGAGGACAAGACACGGAGGACTGAATCCACCATATGAACCAACATGAGGTCAATAGAAAGAAGAGCGGGGAAAAACTCCAACTTATGATACCGAACTATGACACAACGGGTTAGCTATCCGGTAGCGCACTCTGCACTTTAAGGGAGCGGAATTATGATTCTCCGCCCTTGGGACTCGAAATGAGTTGTTTTGACAATAGCAGGCAAATTCGAACGATGAGTAAGTGGTCGGTGTTTCCAATTCTGGAGCAACCCAATGAGTCCCAACAAAGAGAGACTGTGGCCATGTTGACCCTCAATGTGAAAGTGTACAGGCGGGCACTGTGGCCGGCCAGAACTGTGGCCGCACTCCGCATTTTTGCTGTCGGACTTTCTTCATCTGGACTCACCTCCGTCGGGGGCCTCCAGAGTGCGACATACCCTTTTGGGGTCAAAGGATGGGCATGAGCATGGCCTCTTTGCTATAACATCTCTAGAGGCTACTGCAACCAGAATGATCATCGACAGGAATCTCTACCCTCAATATCTTGGCCCTCAAGTTCGCAGAACGGCGTTGAAATCAGACAAGCTCTCAGGTTGTCCAAGATGCAGTTCCTCAGTCACTGGGACCTTCTCCTCATCAAAACAGCTCTTGGTGGACTATCAGCTCTATATATAGGATCAAAAGTCCAGCAAGCTCTGCGTGTCCAGAACCTGGCCACAAGCATCAGTCCTCACTTCATCACATCAATCAAGTCAGACACCGGTCCATCGCTCGCCTCAACCCGCAGTTTAAGAAAGAGGTTGGAGCAGACAGGAAAAAGATGCATTATCTTCTATGGCACTCAGACTGGGACGGCCGAGAAATTCGCATTGATCATGGCAAGAGAGCTGACTGCACGATACAATTTACCAAGCATGATTGCAGACCTTGACGACTACGATTTCGTTGATTTGGCATCGATGGAATCGAACCTCCTGGCTATCTTCATACTTGCCACCTATGGAGAAGGTGGCCCAACAGACAACGCTGTCTCATTTGGGAATTTCCTCAAACAGCAAAATGCCCAGAGAGGCGCTACAGGTGAAAAGTCCATGTCGTCGCTACGCTATGCAGCTTTTGGTCTTGGGAGCAGCTCTTATCAATATTTCAACCTCATGATTACCAAAGTGGACGAAACTTTGCAAGAGTGTGGAGCAATGAGAGTTGGCTCGCTTGGACGCGGTGATGACGGAAAAGGCACTTTGGAGGCTGATTTCATAAACTGGAAAGAGGCAACCTTAAACGACATCGCCACTGACTTTGCCCTCGAGCAGGTCGAATACCACTTTAAACCCAACTTTAATGTCCAAGAAGCATCGAGCAGCGAAATTTCGGATACATTTCTCGGCGAGCCGAACAAAAATCATCTGAACGGCAAACTCTGCGGGCCATTTACAGCTCGAAATCCCTACCCAGCAAGAATTGTGGAAGCAAGGGAGCTGTTCACATCACCTATACGCAATTCCTTACATTTGGAATTTGACGTGTCAGATTCTACAATTACATATGAAACGGGAGATCATTTAGCAATCTGGCCTGTCAATTCCGACTTGGAGGTGGAGCGTTTCCTTAAAGCTCTCGACTTATTCGACAAAAGAGACACAATTATCAACATCACAAGTAACGACCCCACCAATCAAGTCCCTATTCCACCCAAAACGACATACGCTGCAGCAGCAAGGTATTACTTGGATATCTGCGCTCCCGTTTCGAGACATACACTTACCATTCTCGCAACTCTTACAGCTGGTCCAGATCAGCAAGTTCTCCAACGACTAGCTAGCGACTCGCAACTATTTCAAAGCGAGATAAGTGACAAGTTGCTCAACCTTGCACAGACGTTGGATATGGCTGGAGCCACCGCAAGTTGTCTAGCCGTGGGATTTTCTTTTTTCCTGGAAAACATCCCGAAACTCCAGCCGCGATACTACTCTATTTCGTCCTCATCACTGGTTTCGAGCAAGAGAATTTGCGTCACCGCTGTCGTTAATTCATCTACTACTACGGGGTCGTGTTCTCCATTCAAAGGCGTCTCAACGAACTACCTTCTCGCGATCAAGAATGAAGCTTGCGGTTCGCTGACGGAGAGCACTACTATCCCAACACATCGACTTGGCGGCCCTCGTGACAAACATCACCTCCCCACCGCACTAATCCACGTCAGACGATCCAGGTTTCGGCTCCCCACCAATCCAAGCACCCCAGTTATCATGGTTGGTCCAGGGACGGGGGTGGCCCCATTTCGCGGCTTCGTTCACGAAAGAGCGTACCAGGCTCGTGCCGGGCGAAACGTAGGTCGAACAGTATTATTCTACGGCTGTCGAAAAAAAGACGAGGATTTTCTGTACAAAGATGAATGGGAGAGTCACTCTTCCTCTTTCAAGAAAGGCCAATTTTCCATACATACGGCGCTCTCACGCGAAGATCATACCAAGAAAGTTTACGTCCAAGATTTAATTCAAGACCATGCGGACGAGCTGAAGGAGCTTATTTTGAACCAGAATGCGCATGTTTATGTTTGTGGCGACGCGTCACAGATGGCGAAGCAGGTATTCAAAGCATTTGGAGATATCATAGATGGCTGTGTTCAACAGCCAAGCGACAAATATCTCAAGAGTATGAAGGCAACAGGTAGATGGTCTGAAGACGTTTGGTAATGGGATCTGATTGACATTCTCTCATGTCCTTCATGTGCGTTTTGGCGCTCATTCTCCAGTCCTTGGAGCAGACTAAATTTACTAATGTATAGACCTATTCACAAGTTGAATATCAGAGTACCATGTTTCAAACCTGAGTTATAGTCTCACTGTGCAAGATAAGTACTTGTGGGCATCAACCCTTGAGGCTTGTCGTCTGAATCCGTGAACAGGCAAGCGTAGATATTGCAAGCCGCAGACAACCGAAGCTAGAAAACCCATATCATTGACTTGCATTGGTCCATTTATTGGATAATCCGGATATAGTATAAAAAAACAATGAGTCTAGGAGATTGCAGACAATCATAATCTCATCTAGGATGTAATCAAAGTGCGGATAAGCTTAGCGCCAACTCCCTTTACACCAGTTGCAATGTTCGCTGAAGACATCTCAAATGTAAAACAAGAATTCCAACCACTCTTCAGGGAGAAACCAATACTCGCTTCCGAACTCGCATGACCATTTCATCCGGATTCCCATTGAACCTCTCCAAAGTTCTCAACTCAAACCCTTCCGACTCAAATTCAAACTCGTACCCCTTGACCAACGCTGCAATGACGAGCAACTGTTCGAAATATGCAATGTTTCGTCCAATACACGCTCTAGGCCCGATGCTGAAGGGAAAATGGGCCTTGCTCAGTTTGGCTTTTTCGCTTTCTCCCCCAAGCCAGCGTTCCGGCAGATACACTTCGGGTCTGTCGAACACTTCTTGGTTGCGCAGGAGTGTGTAGGTGGGGACTGAGACTGTAGTGTCCTCGGCGACAAACTGACCGGCGATAAGACGGCCGCCTTTGGGCACAACACGTGGAAGGCCCATGGTGCTTGCGGGACGGACGCGGAGGGATTCTTCAACGCAGGCTCTGAGGTAGGGGAGTCGGGAGAGAGTCTCATAAGCTGAGATTGGGCTTATTCCTGTTGCTTCGTCGAGTTCGTCTCTCAGTCGAGCTAGGACGGAAGGGTTTTTATATAGAAGGTAGATCGTGTTGGTCAATGCCGCGGTTGTGGTGTCCGTCCCCGCGTTCATCATAACGCTACATTCAGCGAGCACTTCACCCAGCTTCAAGCCTAGTGCGGCGCCTTTATTGTCAATCAAAAGCTTGGAGAAGATGTCATCTGCTTCTGTGTCGTTCTCATTGAGTCTTTTCACTGTGTTGTAGTAAATGATGTCATCGTACGACGCTCCTGCCTTCTTGTATGGATGCCAGGAGAAAAGACGTTTGGTGAGGCTGAGAATGGGTGCCTCCATGCCGAGTACAGTGTTGATGATTGTCGCATCGTGGAGTGACTTAATGAAAGGCGTTTTATAGATCTTTCCAGCCTCCGACTGGGCAGTGACCATGTCATTTCCGCGCTCCAGACATCCCTGAGTCTCGCCATAGAGGAGCCTCGAGAAAACATCGATTGTGAAGTAGTTGAGATATCGCCTCATATTCATCGGCGTCCCACTTAGTGCAGCCTTTTCTACTTGTGTAAGTAGAATCGCGACAGTATCTGATATCACGGGCTCCAGGTTTGCAATGGTCTTCTGTGCAAAAACGTGAGCCAGCAGTTTACGTTTCTGCTGGTGCTCGGCTTTGACACGAGCATCTGCCATATGTCGGAATTCGCCGGCTCCACCATCGTACCAGGCATCCTTGAGGAAACCCGCCCCATGGCCGTAGATATCATTCATAGCAGCGGGATCTGAAATGGAAATGTGGTTTGGTGCTATGCGAACATGCGTGCCTAAATTTGTGTGTGCTTCATGGATGGCGAGGAAATGCTCCTTGCGAAGATTGTGGATAATGCGCCAGAAGGAAGAGACAGCTGCATAAGACGGGGAGGGGAACTTCCGAAGGCCTTTCCGATCCACAGCATACACCACAAGTGGTTGGATGAAGAGGACACCGAATAGTACGGCGAAACCAGCTGCCACAAAGGATTAGCAATTGGAACTAGTACAAGGAAAGGAGGTGGGCATACCGACTAGTAGCATTTTGAGATGGATATAAAAAGAGCCCTTGTAGTAATCGAATTTCTCCGCGATCAGAATGATCTATGAAATAATTTATTGTCTAGAAGAAGAAGCAGAGTCAGATATAGTCCTTTTTATGACCCGCTCCACGGTCGTACCAGGTGCCCATTTCTCAGAGAACTATCTGTCTGTATCTGGATACTCCGCTCGCGACATGCTTGGTTGCGCGTCAAATGCTGCACGATAGCAGCCAATGTTACTACTCCATTCCCAAACGCATTGGGTAAATGGCTCATTGACATGTGTGGGTTTTGTGGCGTGGGAATGAGTTGTCGCATGGATTACCCAATACGGTAGGCATCCGCTCCTCAAGTCGGAGCTGCCGCAAGCAGCATTACTTTGGCTTGTGTTACGATCATCGTTCTCCTTACTTGGAAAACAATCCGAGGGGCTCTTCCTAGGCGTTAGAGTCCAGTACTTAGGCAACAGGCTCGAACCCAGCAATCTGGCTATTGATTACTATCAAATCGTCCAAGTTTAAGACTTTGAAAGAGTCAACTTGACGGCGTTTTGGTGGATTAGGGATACGCTTTGCGTCTCGGTTCACAATCAGTTTTCGAGTAAGATAATCGCAGTGGTTATTGTCATGCGCCACATGCGGATACATATCACACTCGACTCTAATTTGTCTTTGTGAAATTTGTTGACTCTGGTGGATGGCTAAGAGAATAAGTGTAAAAATGCAGGGTTTCAGTGGATGAAACCTTTTGTTGCAAAGCCTAATAACTTAACTTCATAGATTACGTTCACTCGACGCAGCTCAGGTTGACCCTCGGGAAATTGTAAGTTCCATAACTAGTAGTGTCTCAAGCACTGTATCGACGATGTCATATCTTGGGTCATCCAGGGGCCTCACGTAATAAGTTGAATAAAGGAAACTTATAAAGCTCTGAATGGAAAACGCGAATTCGATCTTCCCCACCAATACAGCATCTAAATGACCCCAGAAACCTCTGAGCCCACCAATCCTGGCCCTGTCTCCCTATACAGACCCAACTGCAGTATCCAAACTCAATGGCTTCCTTTGACCTCGTGCTCTCAATCTCAGTCCCGTCTCGGTGACAGCGACATACCTACACTGCGCTCCTCACAACTTCAGTGACTGAGGCTCTTCTCTTCTCTCCGTCTCCAACTACAGTGCTTCTCCTCCTTTCGGTCTCCTGAACAAGCTCATCTAGCGGAGGGAACACATGTGTCCGCCACTGTCGTACTGGGATACCTTGCTCGAAAAAGAGCGAAAGCTCGAGGGTTGAACGTCCATTGGTTTCACCCACACAGAACCAAACCCATGCAAGTGAGGTAAGTGTCGTACCAGCATAGAAGAAACCGAGCATAGGACCCCATCCGGCCGAATAATACATGTAAGGTGCAGTGAAGGAGACTAGCCACGTAATGAAGTAGAAGAAGACTATGGAGAACGACATAATCTTGTTTTGGTTTGGCCCGACAGCCATCTCACGAGCCACCGTGTATGCCAAAGGACCTAGTCCGTAGTTGAAGGCGACAATAATGACGAAGGAAAAGACCACGATGACATACTGCGAGGATGTAGTAAGCTTCTCTTGGGTTCCGATGCCACCGATGACAAGGAAGGCGCAGAGCATCATGCTAGTGGTTACGAGCAAGTTGTGCCGTCTGCGGACTTTATTTCCGGTAACGACAGCAGCAGCAACAGCGAAGATCTGGAGGATATTGGTGATGAGCTGAATCATGAATGGTTGTTTTATCCCAATGGCTTGAGCGAAAACGACGCCGTAAACGTAAAAGAATAAAATGCCACAGATCTGTTGAGAATAGAGGGCGCCAGCCGAGTAAATGACCTTTCTTCTCTCGATTGGATTGGTAACAAGAGACAGCCACGATGAGTGATCCTTGTTTTGAAGTTCACGCTCACGCGCTTCTATAAGGACGGTGAGGTCTTTGGCGGCACTATACTCATGGTTGCCTTTGTGGATTTTCTCCAGGGCTCGAGCGGCGTCGGTATGCTTGTTCTTGCTTACAAACCACGTAGGTGTTTCTGGAATAAATGGTAGTCCAGCGAAGAGCATCAAAGGAAGGATGATCAATCCGCCCATTGGGATCTTGTACGAAAGCGTGCTGTTGATCCCTTCGGTACCCTGGGTTATGCCCGCGGCAATGAGTTGGGAGATGGATTGGAGGAATTGAAACATCATAAGGGCAGGTCCTCGAACGTGAAGAGGCGCAACCTCGCCAATGTAGAGAAGCAAAGTGACCGTGCACTGGCCCATTCCAATCCCGATCAGGATACGTCCAAGTGTCAAAACCCCTTCGTAATGAGTGTCCGCCACTTGCGTGATGCCTCCGGCGAGAATGCAAATGGCGGCGAACCAAAAGGTAGTCTTCCGTCCGTATTTGTCGTTAATAGGCGCTGAGATCAGGGCACCAATTGCATCTCCGATGTAGATAGAGGAAGCAGTGAGGGAGGTAAAGAACACATTTAATGCTTTCTGGCCGTCCGCATCATAGTGATCGCCGTAGTGGTTCTTGAAAGATCGCATGGCGAGTACACCGTTGTAGTAAGTATTATCATATCCATAGACCAAAGCCCCGATGGCGGAGACGGAGCAGAAGAAGTAGGCCCACCGATTTTTGCTGATTTCGAGACCGAACATGATGGGAGTCAAGTGGAGCTGGCAGAACACCTGATGAGACTGATATAAGTAGATTTGATAAGGATAATCGAGTAGACCGTTTGTGGACGATTGAAAGATTGCCTCACTTCGAGGATTCTTTGTCGAATTTTATATCAATCCATTCTTCGGCGGCGTCATCTGGGGGAATAGCGGAGACCGCCAGAGCGGGGATTCGCACTTTTCTCGAAGCAGTAACTCCGATACCCCAGATGTGGAAGTGTTCCCCAGGAGGTCTACGCATCGAGCTGACCTGCCGAGATTCAAGCTGTTATTGCGCTTATCTCGACAAACCATACTATTGTATTTTCGTTATCGTCCGTATACCAATGTACAGGTGACAACCCGGAATATCCACAAGTAATTTGAATAACAGTGTAAATAATTCCTTCTCCGCCCCTTATATCTAATTTACTTACTTCCAGTGCTGATATTGAGGGCTGAATCATGCGTCCGCTGCTTGGCTTCATTTCAGAGTTCTGCGAAACGCTCTTCGTATGATTCCGTGGCCAGATTTGTGTTACTGATCGGACGTATCTTTAGCAGGTATTCTGGCGAGCGTACTCGGGAGGCCTCTCTAGAATAAGCGGACCTACTCTTTACGACAGCGGAGTTGAAAGAAACTGAACCCCACACAGAGCCGCCCCAGTCATACTGTCCAGTGCCACAATTTACAGGTTGGACAACGTCAAACAGCTGCAAAGCTGAGCCTGCATCTGAGCGGAGTCGACTTCGGAGCTACTGAATTAGGCAAACTGACCGGCACAATGTCGCCACCTTGCTCAAAAGTTATTTTGTATGGCTCGAAACATTAGAAAACCGCGAAAAGGTTTAGATATGTCGAAGAAGGATATTTTGATGGATTTGCTGAATAGATTTCACACATCGAAATGATATCTGCTTTGAGCATCTCTGTCGGCTGCGGCTCAGCGACGCCGCCTTTACTTGGCTGCAGATTTCCCGCAAATCAGTTTGAGCAAGAATTTTGCTGCATTCTTTTTGACATGGATGGAACCTTGATCGATTCTACACAAGCTATAATCAAGTTCTGGAATGAGTGAGGCTAGCCGCGGTGACTTCAAACTCCAAGAACAAAATCTAACAATGGCGGCAGAATAGGCATGCGTTACAAAATAGACCCTGGGGAAATTCTGGCCAATTCGCATGGGAGACGCTCGATCGACATATTTCGTCGCATTGACCCTAAATGTGCATCATGGGACTGTAGGGCTTAGTATCTATTCTTCAAAATGACGCTGCTAAATGCTTGATAGATCTTCGCAAACTTGAAGGCGAGAGTCCGTTGAGATGGGGTAGTGATGCAGTCGAAATTCCTGGTGCACGCAAACTTCTCGGTAAACTTGAGGAGGTCGCAGGGAAATGGGCGATTGTTACGTCTGGAACACGACCTCTAGTAGATGGACGGCTCGACATCTTGGGACTCGTTGCCCCACAGACCCTGGTAACTGCTGAAGAAGTCCAGAATGGAAAACCGGACCCCGGCTGTTATAGACTTGGGTTGAAGAGACTGTCAATACCTGAAAAAGATGAACTATTTTTGCCTCCACTTTGCATCGAAGATGCTCCAGCAGGCGTCAGGGCCGGAAGAGCAGCCGGTTGCAAAGTACTGGCAGTTGCGACCACCCACAATGTGGAGCAGTTGATCGATGCTGGGGCCCACTGGGTGGTCCAAGATCTCAGGTCGGTGTCATTAGGAGGCAATGGTAGTGACAAGAGCAAAATTAATGTGGAAATCAGAAACGCCTTTTCCGCATGAGCTTCAGCATTGTGACTGGTATTCTGGATTGGATAGTTTCACTACTAACAGTAGATGCAACACGGCTCCGTTTGAGCTTTGAGATTAGATTAAACTAAAGAACAACGTGACCATACGAATCGAGAATCTGACGACGCACCTCCACCAGCTCCATCGTATGGTCATTTTCCACTCCGGCAGCCAACAGATCCGAACTAAAGCAATCAAGGATAGATTGTTCTTGCCGAGCAGGCATCATTTGCGGACCTACAGCTGACTGGTAAACACGGGGAAGTTGTAATCTGACGACTGAACACCAGGATTTGGGATTTGGAGGATTAGAGGAGTGCAATTTTGCGCTTATCACCCTTCCAGGCCAATGAAGCGATGCGAGAGTTTGATATAACAATTCGATATTGTCATCAGAGCCCGATACTCAATTAGGATTAGATACAATGTGTTGATATTGGCAAGACATAGACAACCCATCACTCTCTCCGCTTCGGAGCATAAGTTCAAGCTGAAGAAATGCGTCAGGAAGTCTAGTGAGGAAAAGTTCGACTAGCAGACTTACCACTTCTAGATCAGCCAGCGCTTCCTCAGGCTCCAAGTCTTTGACCGTGATTCCAGCCGCGATTGCCTCTGCCCAGATACGGACCACAGGCGGCACACCCGTTCTTTCGTCTTCAATGATATTCACTTCGGTATTACCGGCCACAGTGACAACGACTTTAGAACCAGCAACCGAGACAACGCCGTGCTCATAGCCAACAGTCCACTCAGACCCCGTGAGCGAAGTACCTACCGATTGCTGGTATGTTCCACTAACTCCCGATTCAAGTTTCAGAATCGCATTGATCGTATCGACGGGTGGAAGGTGACTTTGTAGTAAAGTCGTGAAGGATGATAAGCGACATACTTTGCTGGAGGGCTGCGATTCTAGAAGTCGTCTCAGACCTGCAACATAGTGCACACCTCCATCGAGTAAGAAGCCACCTTGGTGAACTGGGTTTTTGCGCCAATCGGTTTCTGTGTCACTGTGTTAATCAAGAGTGATATATGCCATCCATGAGTTTTGGTTTATCCCCCACCAAAAAATTTCCAGCCTTTCTGGATGTTGTCGTAGATTCGAACCCGAAACCCCAACAATCTGCCTAGTTCACTGGCCTGCTCTTTCGCAAAAGCAATGCTGTCGAGGAAGCGCCAGTTCTCTGCTACATGCAGGTTGCTTTCATCTTCAGATCTTTTCTGTACCAAGTTATCAACTCGTGTGCTTCCTCGAGATTCTTGGCAACTGGCTTCTCGGATAATACATGCTTTCCCGCTTCTAGTGCGGCTCGAATGTAGTCCTTTTGATTTGCAATCGGTAGTCTAGTAATTCTTAGTTAGTACTAATACATTATAACATAGAAGATTCTGACGCTATAACCACAGCTACAATGTCCGGTCGCTGCAGCAGGTGGTCATATGATGCATCGGAGTCGTTCGAATATACATCAATCCGTCCGGCATGTGATGCGATGAGTTCAGCAGATTTGACTGATCTCGAGTACACGGCCTTCAGCGTAAGGTGCTTCGAAGCTTGAATAGCGGGCTAGAGCTGTCAAATCTACGTATTTCGACAGATAGAGTGGCCTGAGATACGGACCAAGTGTTCTTCCCTGGCCCAGAGCCCTGTATCCTGATGGTCAGCACTCAGTCTTCTTCAGCATTGCCTGGGAGTTTACAAACCACCACCAATCAGAGCAACGCCTATTGTCATGGCATACGTGGAAGATATGACAGATGGCTAGCTGTGCTAGTGGATATCGAAATCAAGTCGAAGGTCTGAAAAGAAATAGGCAAAGCAAAATTTCCCAAATATCGTTGAAAGAAGAAGAACACATTTTAAAAACAAATACTTTTCTTTTTCACAACTGATTAATGAGCCCGTATCCCTTGTCGCCATGACCATCTGAATCCTCCCCTTAAGTGACATACGAAGTGTAGCAATTGGCTTCTGGCCAAAGGAGTAATTCCGCCTTCAGCCAGAAAGGCGCAGATCGCCGCGAATCTGGATTAGACACTCCGATATACGGTTTTGAGCGGAAGGTATGAGACAAGGCACAAGCGGATGGATTGCTTCAAGGGTCACTTAGATTTCAAGGGCCAGGAGCCCACCAAAATACACCTTGCTAGAGGTGGTGGTGCACCCTCATACTCTAACAGGCGGGAGAATCGGGGCGGCGGCGTTACAATGTCATCCTAAATTTCGTTCCAGGGCATTGCTATCTCGTGGATGCCTTCTGCTGGCACCTCCTTCGTATATGAACTGAGGCACAGCTGAGGAAGTTCGACGAGATCCTTCCCGAGGCACCAACATGAATAGCGTTATCGAATAGTCAGCTTCGTCCCTACGGGTCAATGCTGTCACATGGACCTGAAGTGATGGCCTCTGCTTGAGATTTATCCTCAAAGAGAGCCAAGGGCGATAGTAATAGATTGCAGATGAGTTGTTCTTATCTTGATAGGACAAGTGAATGGGAATGAATGGGAATTGTGCGGAACGCTACGAGTGCTGGATACCATCTTCCCACTGAGGCGGCGACCTAACTACTTCATAAATACGTTTTGGCCAACACCAATCAATCAAACTACGTTCGCGCACAAGCGTGTCAATCTATACTCTCCTTTAATGCAAGAATGGTTAAGATACTTAGCCTGGGTACAAACTTTGTTTTGCGCCTGCCAAATACTACAACAATAACCATTAATATGCAGCCGTTTTCTGAACCTGTATAATCTTTTCACAGACCTAAGTCGCGAATCCTTCTGACTGCTCCCCCAATCCCTGTCCCCTTTTGCTTCATCATGTGTGCCGCCCCCATTCACATGACGTCCCTCCTCCTCGACCTCGACCAGAAAAGATCCTTTCTCCATATCATGGACACAGCCATTCAGAATCTCTGGACTCCTGGGGAGGAGGGCGACTCCCATGGCCACGAAATCGGCACACGTCTCCTTGGCGAAGAGAGTTTCTATCATGTAGCGTTATGTGTGCCTTGAGGGAGTCCATAATTAGCGTAGGCGGCGCAGACGCCATGCGGCTGCTTCATTCTCAACACGCTTCGACCTATGACGCCCAATACTGCGCGTTAGAGGTGTAACACGCCAACTGTCCGAGGGTGGACTGTCGCATTGGAACGCTGGTGCCTCGATATTTAAATGCCATAGTCCAGCACATAGCTACTAAGGTATACGATCTAACGAGTCAGGAGGGAAGGGAACGTCAACAGGTGGGTTCAGGCTGATTGCGGGTAACAGAAGATCTGGGACTTCGAGATGCTGATATATCAGAACGTCGAGACTGTGCAGGCTGTGATAGTTCATTTGACATGGCAGGAGTACTTGCTGTAGAAGAAGGCGAGAAGATATGGTGGGGAGTCTAACAGCGCTTCATTTCTCGGAATGTGTTACTAACTAGTACTTGGCGTTGGGCAGGATGATATCATCAGCCCATATGAGATCTGTCCTTGTGGGTGCCTGGCATGCCTCGAGGACCCAAATGGCTATGCTTGCGAACATGCAGCCGACTACAGCCCAAAGCAGCAATTGCCTAAGCTTTGCCATGTATTTCTTTGGGGCGACCCCCGGAATCTTTTGAGAATCTGATTCTGGTTTAACTACCCGGTAGGCTTTCACTCTCGAAGGACTTCTGGTGTACTCTGCAGATATCGAAATCGATTGATATTGCAAGCAACGCTAAAATACCAAAGAGGAGGAATACGCCGAGCTCTTGATCGTTCGTGCCGATTGATGATAAATCAGACAGCAATTCTGCGGAATTGTAGCCCAGAATGCAAACCGTTCCAAAGCAGCGCATGGTCTGCTCTCAATAATGTAGGCTACCGACGCACACAGCATGATATTTGCGAAAACATGTTGTCTATCAGACCTGGACTACTTGATGCTCCCTGATGCTGATCATCTGTAAAGGGACCTTGTCCTGCATTGGAGTCCAGCGGGTTTACTGGGTGTCTTGTTAGTGATCCTCACGGTGATACCAGTAGAGCCGTTTCTTTCCTTAGAGCAGTGGACACCACACAAATCTGTGAGATGCGCACTATTTGATTGGGCAATGGGGGAGTCAGGCAGCTCATCTGCGCAGATGGACAGGCTTGAAACTATCAGGACCCCCAAAGAAATGTGCTTGGAAGCTGCACCTCAAGGTTCAAGCACATGAGGTAGTCCACAAGGCGCAAGCATTGCGGAGCACGGCGTATTAAGGCCCGCAAAGTGATACGCTTAGGCTTGATTCTGATACATATCATCAAGCACAATTGGTGAAAAAGCCAATCAGGTAGCTAACAGAGCCAAATGCTCTGTCAATGACTTATCCCTAAGTGCAGATAGCGGCGTATTGCCGGGGTACTGGGTGGTAGCCTAAAACATCAGGCATTGGCATGGGTAGGGTCCCTCCTCAGTGACTAACCATCACACCAGCTAATCTTTAGTTTTAGGTCAGCTCTGCCCTGCAGCCTAAGGGCATTTATTTTCTTCCCGACAACGACTACTTGACATTCACCCATTACGATGTCGGCAGAAAGTCCCATTCAGCGGTTAATTGTTTGTGTCGACTCTGCAGATTATGATCAGGATGGCAAGTCACGTAAGTCAAGTTACGAACTTGGTGCGGAGCATTGCGCTTACTGCGACCCCTAGCAAGTGGTAACCACAGCACGATTTACAGATTGAAAAGCATTGTGCCTAGCAAGGTGGTCTACGATGTGAACAATCAAGCTGTTAACCAGGTGGTGCGCTATTATCGTGCGGCTGACGATGGACCAAGTCTTATGGAAAGACTGAAAACCAAAGCCACATCACCATTCTATGAGGACCAAATCAAGGAGATCGTGAAGACGATCTGCGAAACTCTCGAAAAACCCACTGATGAGCTGTTCCTCTATGGCTTTGGCCGTGGAGCTTTCATTGTGCGGGCGGTTACTGGACTTCTACATACTATGCGGTTACCAAAGAAGTCAGACCTGAAGAACTTTGATATTATCTACAAAACAGGCATTGATTGCCTGAAAGCTCGACACGAAGATGATAACATTAATGGACCTAAGATGATTGATTTCCTCGCCTCGCACACTACCCAGCTTCCTCGAATTCGATTTGTAGGGGTCTTCGATACAGTTGGGTATACCGCTGAGGGCAATGTACACGACTTGTCTATGGTCAACTCCGTTGAAAATATGAGGCACGCCATGGGCATTAACGAAACGCGGTCTCAGTTGAACCCTATCTTTATCGAGACTCCTTCCTTGGAAGAACTGGGGCAATCAACGCTTATTCAAGCCTGGTTTATTGGTGGACATCAAGACTTGGGTGGCGGATCCTCTGAAGATGGACTCTCACTATACCCTCTACAATGGATGATTCTCGAAAGTATCAGAGCCGGCGTGATCTTTCGCTTTGAAGAACAGAAAGGTTCCGGTTCCCCTATGGAAAATCCCTTGGCGCTCAGCCTTCCTCACTTCGCTGGTGAGGTACCAACTTTCCGTGGAGAGGAGAAAATTGAATGGCAGATCCAGTACGCAAATGGCCTCATTGTCTCCTTATACGATCTACAAAGTGTACACGGGCTATCCACCGATGCTAAGGACCAAACACACTCTATACGCATCAATCAAACTTCAAGTCTTTATAATTCCCAGAGAAAGATTTTTGGTTCCAAGAACCTAATGAACGCCAAAATAGCCACTGTCGAGGGTCTGATGGGGTGGAATGACCAAGGTGAGCTTTCAGAACACCTTACTGGCGGGAATCTGGCTAACAACGGGTAGGACCTTCTGGCACCATTATCCATCCCTCGGTCTATTGCCTTCTCGATAGGCACCCGAAGCTCTACGATCAGTCCCGGTTCAAATCACTCAAGCAAAATCTGGGAGATTTCCGGGACAACTATCTACAACAAACTGACGGAGCTCTACCACCATGGCTTGAGGGTATGGAGCTACAAGCAAGCGGTGTCAAAGCGTTCCGTATCCTCGTATGCGGTAAGACAGGAGTGGGCAAAAGTAGCTTGATCAATGCCGTTTTCGCGGTCGATATGGTATTGTCACATTGATTGCGCTTGTATGAAATATTGCTGATCTTCATGGGTAAGACGGACGAATCCACCACCTACCAACAAGGTGTGCACGATATTAACCAGGCGTTCGAGTCACCAAATCACCCTGGCCTACTGGTCCATGACTCAAGAGGATGGCAAGCAGGCAGTGATACGGAGTTGGAACTCATCGCAAAGTTTCTGCGTCATCGAGCATTCCAAAAAGATCCTGCCCAAGCACTACATGTGATATGGTAAGTGTACCTGATGAAACGACGATATGATAGATGGCATTCCTTGTACTCATTACCCTTAAACAGGTTCTGCGTGGACTCAGACGTTAGTCGCATTGAAGAGGCCGACAAACGAACATTCGCAACCATTGCTCAATATTCCAACCACGTTCCCGTATTCATCATTGGCACCAAAAAGGACAAGATGGTTGGATATCGCAAGATGAAGCTCCTTGAACAGTACATGGAAAAGACCAACGATTTTAAAGAATCCAATAGGTTAGCGACTGAAGAGGCGAGTAAACAGGCAGAGGATCAGTTTATGGGGCTGCGAGACGAGCTTTCCCGCCTACCACATTACAAAGCAGATGGATATTGCTGTTTATCAAAAGGTTTGACTGAAATCCCCGTGCTTTGAGTCTAGGGGGTACGCCACTAACACGTTTTGCTGTCATAGATGATATGGACGGCATTAAAAGGCTTCTCTCGCAGACGCTCGAACTGATAAGTGATGACAGAGTCCGTCTCTTCTGCGTAGCGGCGCAAGTCGTAGATGTCGAACAGAAGATTGACTCGGCAATTACAGAATGCATGCGACTGGCCACGCACGCAGTCCGGACGGCGATGGTACCACTACCGTTCTCTAGTGCCATCGGGACGCCGACGGTAGCGCGGATTCTTTGCGAGCATATGCTGCTATGTTTCGGCTTTCCAAAAGCTATACCTGACGAGGTCGAGGACATCATGCTCAAGATTTTGTTCGGGCACTTGAAGTCGTTTATGACTGTCACAATGGTGGAATTCGTGGCGGTCTCGGCGATCACAGCAGGCCTCATCGTTGGTACCATGGGTGCTGGCGGTGTCGTTGCTCTATCTTTGTGTGCACTGGCGGCTCCCCCAACGGCAAGGATGCTATTTAAATGTGTAAGTGCATGATTATCAGGTTTTGTATTTCACAGGCGCAGGTGCTCGAGAACTACGTCGTTACTGTCACCAGATTGCTAACTATTGTTAGGCTGCCGATCTCATTCTGATTCTTGAACGGTCTTTCAGATATAAAGGGAAATATGTGTCCACCAAGCAAATCGAAGATGCGGCAATCTATTATACCACCACGAAGGTGACCACTTTTGCAGGCAAAGAAAAATTGTTGCAGACGCATGTGCATGACCAAATAGACAAACTGATACCACTGAAAGGTGTCAAACTCGGGTTTAGATTCGGTAAACTCAGACAAGGATTAGAGGAGATTATATACAGCAACAGGTTCGAAAAGGTCGATACCAACTCGAAAGACTCGATAGCAGAACTGCCCACCAGCGACGCGATTGCAGAGCTTGATGCATCCCCAACCATCGCGGAACTCCCAGGCAACCAGACGCAAATTGCAGAGCTACCAGCTGAAGTGAGCTTTCCGGTACGATACTCTGGCAGTGCGAATGCGCCTGATAGCAAGCCGTCACAAGCAGCCACGAGCACGGTTATTGGATCGGACACACCGAGTTGGGATGATACATCGACATTGGCATACACTATGAGTGATGTCGGCCCCAGCAGTGCTACCACGGGTTCAGTGTCCGTGGGCTCGCCAGTATCGCCTATGACTCCGGCTCCAGCTCCGGAGAAGATGAAGGGGAAACGGAGTTGGAAGACCATGGGGTTCCGAACATCGTCAAAGGGTAGCCTGTCTAAGACTAAAACTGGATAGTGGTAGTATGGAGATTGTTGTATACCCAAGAGCGCGGTTTTTTGTCAACGCGTCAGAACCTTAGCTACCACGATACGATATACGTGGAAGAGGAAACAAGTAGCACATGTCTTTATTATGATTGCCATAAATCTTGGAAATGAGATGTTTTTTCTCTTCTTCTTCTTCTTCTTCTTCGTCGCCGAGGCTGTGACATGAAATTAAGAAGATGGATCGGCGAGGCCGAAGTCGAAGACCAAACAAACGTGATGCTTCGGCCGCAAGGACTATTTTGCTGAACCTTTGAGTTAACACTCATTGGTACGCCCCTAATGAAAACAGCTACAAGGTTGATGAAAATAAGAGCCCGCCGGTTACAGGCTTGCCTACACCCAAGGGGCACTTCGGTCCCATTGCTGTGTACGGCTTAGCACGCGGACAGAGGCCCCTGGCCCTATCGATAAGCACGTGAAAGCGTGGGCACCTCGGGAAGCCAGGATTGACGGATCTACGGTTAGAGAAGGCTGGCCGGGGTGGAGGGGCATCTCTAAACCAAAGACCTCGGGCATCTGGACGGGCAGTCTCGAATTGATCCCCGTATCTCGTACTTGCCCAAACCACCGTTAGTCTTCATCGCACCTGCAGTACCTGCGTCACGCGCGCATACTCAACAACCAACATTTTCCATTGCTTCCTTTGGTCCAAGTCCAACCCACCAGAATTTCCTTTTTACTATATAAACATCCACCTGCGGTCACTATCCTTAATCACGGATCCCTTTCCTCCATTGAATGTTTTTGACTTCTGGTTCCACTACAATACTTCGTTACTCTAGAATCTCTATTTCTCGTAACCTTCTTCCCTGCCTACCTAACTCAACCCGTCCCAGCAAAATGGATGGGATTCGAGCAAAGATGTCAGGTCTCACACCTTATGCGAAGAAGCATAAGGTGACCATCATTGGCTCTGGTAATTGGTTGGTCATCCAAGCTACTCTCTTTCGAGCTTTACTGACATAACTCAAGGGGTTCTACCATAGCTAAGATGGTCGCTGAGAGCACCGCGGAACATTCCGACCTTTTCGAACGAGACGTGCAGATGTGGGTGTATGAGGAAGATGTCCAACTCGATGAGAAATCCAAGCATTACAAAAAATCTTCAGAGACCAGCCAAGGACCTCAGAAGCTCACCCATATCATAAACACCTTTCACGAAAACGTCAAATACCTTCCTGGAATAGCCCTACCTCACAACGTCATTGCCAACCCGTCCCTCACTGATTCCGTAAAAGATTCCTCAATTCTCATCTTCAACCTACCCCATCAATTCATCCTCGGCTTATGCAAACAACTCAGAGGACATATTCTACCCTATGCTCGAGGTATTTCTTGTATCAAGGGTGTCAATGTTCACGAATCTTCGATAGGTCTATTCTCCGAGACCATTGGTGAAGAGCTAGGAATATATTGCGGTGCTCTTTCTGGGGCTAACATTGCAAGTGAAGTTGCTCAGGAGAAGTTCTCAGAAACCACTGTTGCATATGACCCACCACCGATTGACTCGCAAGCCCCAACCCCCGCAACATCGCAGGGACCAAGTCCAGTCTCTAGTCACGTCGATCTTACCCAGCTCGCACACAAAGATGTCACTGGCAGACCTTCCAAGGTCAAACTGCGACCGCTTCCCCAAGAGTACCAAGCCATTGATCACACCACTATCAAAAAGCTTTTCCACCGACGCTATTTCCACGTGCGTGTGGTTTCGGATGTTGCAGGCGTATCTCTTGGTGGAGCTTTGAAGAACGTCGTGGCAGTTGCTGCAGGTTGGGTTGATGGTCTTGGTTGGGGTGATAATGCGAAAGCAGCCATCATGAGAGTTGGTCTGCTTGAAATGAGAGAATTCGGAAACCGATTCTTCCCTCACACTGTCAATCCCGATACTTTCACTGTCGAATCCGCAGGTGTGGCAGATCTCATCACGACTTGCTCAGGTGGAAGAAATCATCGATGCGCCATGCTGAGTATTCGAGAAGGAAAATCAATCGAAGAGATCGAAGCCAGAGAATTGAATGGGCAAAAGCTTCAAGGCGCTATGACCGCCCATGAAGTAAACACGTTCCTCAAGAGCCAGAAGGCCGAAAAGGATTTCCCTCTTTTGACTGCCGTCCACAACATTCTCAAAGGCAATGGCAAGGCAGAGGATTTACCTGACTTAATTGAACCAAGCGAGTGATTAGAACGAAACTTGACTTTCTTTTCAGTCCCAAATGATATCAGCAATGGGAGGGAGTATTCTTTTAGCCGACTTCCGGACATGGCTCGGCTTGCGGTCAAATGTTTATATTGTTTGTCAGCATGATGCATGATACCCAGGGTGGATGGGAGGAGGAAGAACTTGAACGATGAACAGGATTGTAGAGCTAGCCAGTGGTGTACCTAGGTATCTATTCATGGTCAGAGAATAACGGACTCGCCAGTGGGAATGACGTAGTAACGAATCGGAGGTCAAAAAGTCTAGTTAGACCACGATGGAATATAAGGACCCATAACGATCCAAAGGCCTTTCAAAAATAAGCTTTCGACGTTTATACTATACGTTATCTATTTATATTCAACTTCTTCTTCTTCCTTGCTTCCTGGGCTTGCGTGGGACTTTCACGATTTAAAATTGTATGATGCCTGAGGACCTTTACATTCACCATCCTAACTTGGCCAGAGTAATTGCTATTTCCTCTTAACCTTGTCCAGACCTAACGGCATAAGTTTTTGTGGATGGTAATTCGCCCCATGATTTCTAGCACGATAACGCCACATCTTGAAGGAGCATGGGATAAGATATACATGTTAACAGCACAGCACTAAAACTCGTGGATCTGGATATAAATCCACCATCGATTCCCATAATCTGCAAACGCCGAAGGATTCTCTATATATCTCGGATCCCACCACCACCAGGGCCACCACCAGCGACCTCATTGTTAATCTCCCTCAAGAATGGCGACACCACCACCACCACCACCAGCAACACCGCCAATCCTGCTCCCCGCGCCAGCGCTCTCCTCCAGCCGGTACAACCGGCAGCTGCTCGTGCCCCAGCTGCGGGGCCTGACGGGCCAAAGCAACCTGCTCAAGGCACGGATCCTGATCGTCGGGCTCGGCGGGCTCGGGTCGCCGGCGGCGCTGTACCTCGCGGGCGCGGGGATCTGGACGCTGGGCCTTATGGACGGCGACGCCGTCGAGACGTCGAACCTGCACCGGCAGATCGCGCACAATGAGGATGCCGCGGCACGGAGGATGTCGAAGGTCGCGAGTGCGTTGCGCGCGTGTAGAGCGTTGAATTCGGATGTTGAGTACTTGCCGTATGAGATGCGTGCGATGGCGCAGGGGCCCGATGGGTTCCTGGATGTGCTGAGGCAGGGGAGATTTGGTGTCGTGCTCGACTGTACGGATAATCCGGCCGCGAGGTATCTGATCTCCGATGCGTGTGTGCTTGCTGGGGCGGTACTGGTTAGTGGTGCTGCGCAGAGGGGGGAGGGCCAGCTTGTTGTGTTGAATTGTCCGCCGATTGGGGGTGTGTGGGGCGGGGATGAGAGCCAGGGCGAGGCGGAGGAAAAGGGTCCTTGTTATCGCTGCGTGTTCCCACGCCCACCCGCCCCGGAGATGGTCAGGGGTTGTAGTGAGATAGGCATTCTCGGGCATGTGGTCGGTGTTATTGGGGTGTTGATGGCCGGTGAGGCGATCAAGATTGTTAGCCAGGGTAGGCATGTGCCCCCGAGTGCCGAGGAACGACAGGTTCAACAGCAGCAGCGACAGCAGCAGAAGGAACACATGGAGCCGAAAAAGCAGCAGCACACCATGCTCCTGTATAACACCTTCGCTGCGGATCCGCGAAATCAGTTCCGCACGATCACGCTGCGTGGGCGGCGGAAGGATTGTGTCGCGTGCGGTGACGACGAGGTCCTTGCGGCGAAGAACCTTACTCGCATCACGGCTGAGTCTATCTCCGAGGGCCGCATGGATTATGTGGCGTTCTGTGGTGTGTTGGAGGATGTAAACGTGTTGGGCGAGGAGCATCGGGTCGATGCGAAGGAGTTTCTATGGAGTCAGCAGCAACAGACACGGCAGCGGCAGTGGAGTGGTCAGAGAGATGGTGGGCATATTGGGAAACGGAAACGAGGGTTTAAATCCAGACCCCGAGGGCTCGTCGTGGACGTGCGTGAAGAACATGAAGTCGAGTTGGGCCCGAAGATTAGTGGGAGTGTGAACGTTCCGCTATCGAGAATCCTCAGGCATGGAGGAAAGGCTTTTGATGATTTGCATGCCCACATCGATCGAGTCCACGTAGAGGATGCAGGTCCTGATGGTACTGCTAGAGAAGGTTTTGGCGAGGGGAGGCAAGGAGGAATGATCGACCAGGAAACACACGTGCCCGTTGCAATTTCTGGGTCGACGATCACTGCGCATTCAGGGGCAGCGAGTGAGAATGTCAGTTTTGGCGGGATGGTGGATGAAGAAACTCACATCTCTCCGACTTCAAGAGCGCAGGACTTCCCTGTGGAACACAGCAAGCCCGGTCAGGTCAGTGGCATCAACAGCGGTCTTAATCTGGAAAATGGAGCGCTGGTCAACGAAGAAAGCCACGTCCCCATTACCGCCACAGACCGCGACGCATATCCTCAACGACCAGACGCCAAGAACCAGGACAGCCACGATGAGCGATCCGGAAATACCGATATCTTCGCGCCGGAAGAAGAGGAACGCACTGGTGACGAAGAGAATGGCTGGCCGATCTACTTTGTCTGCCAGCGCGGTAATGATAGCCAGATCGCGGCGCAGAAGTTGTTGGACCGAATACGGGCAGAGGAGAAGGAGGAGGCAGACATGGAAGTGGAGGCTCCAGGGGATCTTGATGGTTCTGCTCCTGTTGCACGGAAGAAAACGAGACCATGGGGTTGGGTCGGAGATATCAAGGGTGGCTTTGTGGCATTGGAGAGGCATCACTTTGAAGGGTCACCATGAAGAGAAGCAGAGAGATCACTTGAACGAGATCAACTATTCTCTTGACTAGGCAGGACGTATGGAGATGTTTGTCAGGTTAAGTTGTGTAGTAAGGACAGACCGTAGCAATGGAACGGGTTCAGACAAGGACAAGTCACAATATGAGGTACAGTGAATCGTTCTAGCATAACATAGAATAGATTATGTGTGATGGGAATTACATACAATATTTATTGTAATCCTATACAGTCGAGGTGTCCACAAGCATGGTAGGGATTGTGTATCCCACCCCATGGAAACCAGACCTGAGAAGAAACCAATACAAAGTGTCGTGAACAAACGCTGGCGGGATGGGCGCTTGCATCCCATAAACATAACCGCAGTCATGCTGAGACAAGAGATTGAGTGTTCCAAAATCGACCCAAGCAGTTTGAAGGCATCAGAAAAAAGAACAAATAGGGAGTTCGTTATACCACGTGTAGAAAAGAGTCGCCGTTTCAGGTGGCTTGGACCACTTTGCAAAGATGCGTAGGTTGTAGAATAGTCGTTCATAGGTCATAAAGAAGAAAATCGCCTCTCCCTGTTCGCCAATTAGTTGTATTGTTTGAAAGGCAGATAGATCCATTCGTGCATGGACGATCCTCAATCTGTGAAAATCGTGCCTGGATAAGTAGGTGAGCACCGGCTGTCTTCAGTACTCTCAACATCGAGCCTTGTCATGTCGGATGCGTAGCTCAGTCGCATATGCTCTGCTGAACGGAGAGATTTTTTGGTGTCTTGATTTGTTCACAGTCAATGTACATGTATCGTCATTAATGTCGTTCCTCTTCCCATGCAAATATTCTAGGAAGTCACCATACCGGGGGCCAATGTCCCCGCAAGTCGGACTTCTTCGATGAATTTTTCTTCGTTACCAGCTGCCTGGAGGTTCCAGTGTCCAGATCTTGGTTCTCGATTGAAGGGGCCCCAACCCAACATTTCTTGTGTATTCCGTCGCTTGAGGTGAATATCGCCTCTGATATCGAAGAGTTGCGACTGCAGGGATCCTAAAATGGCGACTGCAGCCTGGACCAAGCTTCTGTCTCCTTCAAAAATCCATATATCCCAAACACGGCAAAGTCGGTCCACATCCAAACCATTGGAGAAAATAGTTCGAAACATAGGTTCGAAGACTTCCTCTCCAGTAAAACCTAGACCTCCTTGTTCGAGTGAACCAAAGAGATATTCGTGGAGACGTGGGAACTTGATTCCAAGGGTGGATACCGCATGATTGTACGTTCGACTTGTAGATGCTGTGTCATTGATTTGAAATGCCAGTGGTGCAGGTCGGTTCAAGCAATTAGCCATCAGGATGAAAGCTTCTGCGGGAGTGGGGATTTGCAGAAGAAGTAAAGCCGCAATCAGTTGAATCCCATAAACGTATCCCACATCACTCCGATAACACGCATATGCTTCGCATACATTGACCAGATCTTGCCACATAGGACATTGTCGTTGGAAAAGCTTGAGCTCTGGAAAAGCTGTTTCGGCATCACGTTCAATATCAACAAACCACACTCCCATGCTTCTTGAATGCCGATCAAGCTGATCTCTTGGTTTTATTTTGATCTCTTTTGCTCTTTGCAGAGCTTTCTCGTAGCTTTTGACAGTGAGACCGAGTGGGTTTCCCACAGTTCTCTGCCAAACTTTGCCTCGGAGATTCGGACTTACGCCACGCCAGCAGAGATCGTATATACGTCGATCAATAGCATTGAGATCGGTGCTTTCATCCACGTAAAAGGTCCATATCCGGTTTAAAGATTCGCTGGTATCATCCTTGACGCATTGCTGAGCCTCAAGTTTTGCGCGGCGCTTCTTCTCGGATTCCAGTGATGCAGCCATCATTGCCTGGTATTCTCTGAGATGTTTTCTCTCTTCACTGGGGTTTTTGGGTGGTAACCAAGATGGCCTTGTTCGTGAGAGTATGGCCTCTTTTTCCTTGGAGATAGGCATGAAATCTAGGGTGCTTTTCTGAATAGGTGGTAATTGAATGGAACTTTTCCGAGAATTACTGCCTTTTGGCAGTGCAAGACTTTCGGTGGATCCGTCTGCGTGTGGACTCACCGACCTATCTTGTTCTTTGACTTCAGCATGATATTGCAATGTCTCGGAAATGATTCGTGCTTCTTCACTTAATTCGGCCATCGCAAGATTCCACGATTTGGTACGGCCATTGCGTAAGGGATTAGTTCTTCGGGGAGATGGTGGATTCGAGCTTGAAGGGTTTAGAGAACCTGTCCGTGGACCATGTGATCTGTTCTTTGGTAGGGATTGTTGTGAGTGCATAGTTGGTCGGGGTGGAGTATCGGGAGTGGTTTTTGCATGCGCCAAAGGTATAGGGCCCGGACTTTGAGACAGACCTGCTCGATCTGGACTGCCTCGAAAACTGGACCTGTGAGACCGTTGGCCGCCGAAATGTGGAGACACAGGGACATTCCAGAGGCTTGCGTCGTCCGGAAGCTCGTCGTCAGAATCATGGTACTCGTCTTCAAGCTCTTTAATGGTTTTCCGTTGAGGTTGCCATGAAGATCTGCGGGAGGGTACATCCAGGAAAGACGCAGGCGACTGAGGAATGGGTCGTAGTCCACCAGCACTAAGAGAAACACTTGATGCAGAGGGCAGAACTCTTCGGGTCGGTGGCGAGGAAGATCGCGTCCTCATATTCACAGGGAAGAATGATTCGGGGCTTGTGAATCCCCGTTTCGTGGTGGCCATCCTGGCTGGAGCATTTCGTGGTGCGGCCCATTCCGGTCGTTTACTTGACGATTTGCCTTGAGTCTGAAGCTGGGGAAGCTGCGACCGCCTCTCGGTATTGATGGAGTCCGAGGATTTGATCAACTCATGTTGGGAACCCACGGATTGCATCGAAACATCACGTGAATGATAGCTCCGAGGTAGTGTTTGCTTGTCATCCTCAAGTCCAATCTCTTCAAAGTTGGTTACATCGGACTCCAAACCATCTGGACTGGAAAATGTGGAGGACAATGAAGAGGATTTGGAAGATCTCGAACCAGAAAGGTCTGGAGGCGAACCGGGGACACTTGTGATGATTGTGGTCATGTTCAAGAGATGCGCATTGGAGGAAGAGACTATTGGAGGTAGATCAGGGTGCTGCTGGATATACGTTGAATCGAGGAACAAATCATTGATCTGGGTGGTATGGTTCCTGTGTCTGTGGCCTGAACGACTGTTGGGGGTGGGTGCGTCGGCAGTGGAAAGTGGAAATGCAATTTCCGAGCGAAAGCGGGTTTTCAGGTGTTGATTAATAGTGGGAGTTGTAAGTGAGCGCGTATGTTTGATGGACTGTATGTGTCGAGGACGGTCAGAATCGTGAGAAAGGAATGTAATAGTGCACCAGAGGGCATGACGATCTTGATTGTTGAGGTGGGCGAGACCGCTGGCAACAAAGCCTGGTGGTGGTGAAGCTTGATAGCAGCCAAGCAGAAACTCTTGGAGAGATGGCAATGCCAATCGACAATGACGGTGACCAGCCCCTGGAGGGTGTGGATGGCCTCGAGGAGTCGGAGTCGAGTCGATTGGTGGGATGGAAGAACATGACGGTGAGCATGGGCTGCATGGCTTTGCTGGGCCGGAGCTTGAGGATGAAGGTGCGAAGCTATACCAAAGCTGGGGTAGCGGTTGCTGAATTAAGGGGTCCTCCATTGTCAATGACCCCTACTGAGTGGCTGACATGTGCTGGAGGGCGGGAACCAGGCACCCACTGACACCCACAACCACCCAGGAACAGGGGATAGTACGGGCACCACGGGGTGGAGATAAGGGCCACCACCCAGACCGAAGGGGGGCTGGCAAGAATTTCTTGGGGCTTCCGGGCACTCCTGTGTTCGATTGGGGAGGTTTCAAGCGCGACCAGTTAACGAGCTGCAGGCCAGTATGCGGCCCACTGTTTGTCTCCCTCCCGTGCTGATGCTAATGGAGAAACCGGTTGATGAAGATTTGAATCTTGATGCAATCGTAACAATCCTGTTACTGACACTGGCACTGACTGACAGCACCGTGGTACAGAACGACGCTGGCCTCCCCGTGTCTGTTGTGCTTTCTGAAAGTCAACTGTCGAGGCCGACTGGCAACTGGCGGCTGTTGACCACTTCCGGTCACAACTGCGTTTCAGGTTGGATTGGGTCAAGTTTGCGTCTCAGGCGCAAAATGTCCTTCCATGGGCGATGGCGCAAGTGGACAGTTAGATCTGATGTGGTAGTCGACTTCAACGAATCAAACTGTGCATCTTAAATCTGAAGCAGCTGTGGCGGTTTCATCTGCTTTGCAACGATCAATTGAAATTATTGGCCTATTCGAATATCGACCAATATCTGAACATAGTGTTGAAGGTTGTACGTTGAGTAGCATTCGCATGAGTTGATTTAACGAGTATAACCATTTGGTAAATCATGTTAAAGAATTCTTCTGGCTGGTGGTGGGTGGGTGGCTGGTATCAGGGCCATGGCTTGCAAGTTCCCGTTCTGGCCTTCGCCAGATACCTCGCCCTTTTCACACCAAAAGCCACATTCCTCAGTCGACTACATACGTTCAAGAATGGAGGCTGAGCTGTGCATCAATGCCTTGTTGACAAAACATTGGGGACTACGTCAAAGAAAGTGCTCGATTGTAGACGCTCTCCATTCCGCACCTAATATATGTAGCCACGAAACATTTGCTCGTTCTCTTTTATCAATGCTTCTCTGTCCCCTGTGTGCATTCCGACGCGCAGCTCAGTCTCTGCCCGGAGCGTGTTCAACCAAGCTAGAACTACCCGATACTGGCTCTGCTTCCGTTGAAGCACTCTCTGGAAGGCGCATGCTCCCAACCAGGACATCTCAGGCCATCCAATTCTCTGCCTTCCACCATTCTTGGTTGAACAAATTTTGAAGGCTGTAGTGATTGTGTCCTGGATTAGCCCTCGGATCAATCCTTCTGAAGGACGTTGGTTTTGGGAAAGCTGGCCCAGGTACTGATGAAACTTCATTGCCGACTCGGCAAAATTGGCCAGAAGCGTCGACATGACTTGACGTTTGCTGTTCAAGGCAACATCCACAAGCATGGCATGCATCTGCAACTTGAGCGAGGACAAGACCTTCCTCTGCAGAATCTTTCCTGCTTTGGAGCCTGTTTCGACGGTCAGTGAATTCCTGACATATGCATCCTTCTTCTCTCGGTCCTTTTGTAGAACGAGCGTGTTCATCTGAATACTCATGCCGCAATATGGAAACCAAGTGGTCCCATGTAAGCGTGGCACTTTGTGTCCATTGATCGTCACATCGAAGTTGGCCAGCGACTTATCTGTGTTGACCTGGATTCCATACTTGGGGTCTCCTTTGGCCATTGTCTCCAAAAACAACTTCGCAAGGCTCTTGTCAATCGTAATCAACAGAAAATCATCGATAAGTCTCAGAAGTAAACAAGATTCTGCATCCAAGAAGCTCAATTCTTGACTTTCAAACATGCCATAGAAATAGCTACAAAGCAGGCTGCTCAGCATTGATCCTTGAGGGATACCATCCTTCTGAATCATGTGCTTTTTGCCCACTTTGACGATGCTCTCCTCCACATGAGTGTGAAGCAGTTTCAATAGCGAGCTGCGAGTCCAGATTCTGTGGTTTCCAGTATCTGAGAACACAACTCGCCGCTTTTTAGATGCCAAAGACTGAATCGATGTTTCCGAAAATACTGCTTTGTCATCCACAACTCGTGCTGATCCGACAAATCGTCGCCGGAGTTGCGGTTCCTGGTTACAGTCCTTGTCGTCAGCTGACTTTGTCTCGACATGTTTTGTAGTCCGGTAGGCTGGCTGATGGAACAGGTCTGTCACCGCCAGCAGTAGTTCATTCTGAGGTATACTATCAAAGCAGGATTTGATGTCCATCTTGGCAAAATAAAATGCGGATTGACAAGGCACGCCGGTCTTGAACTCAGCCAACTTGCCATGAATATCTGCCGCTGACAGCATGGCAGACCCGAACACTGACGGATTCTGACCCCATTCGTACTTGAGGACGCTGAATATTGGCGTGAGCTGCGAATTGATGCTTTGAACCAATATTCTCCGACCAGAGATTCTTTTGATTTGTCGTCGTCTCAAATTCGTTATGGGTCGCGAGCCAGTGTCTTTTGGAAGCAATCTCAAATGGCTGTATCCCAAAGACCTCGTAGCAAGCACGCGTCGAATTTCGCTAGGTAGAGGTTGCACAAACATATTAAGCCTCAAGGTAGCGAGACTCGGCTCACTGAGCTTGCGCCAGATATCATGTCGAAAGTAGAACAAGCGATTCCGATGAGACGAGCTCTCAGTAACATAAAAGTTGGACCGAATGAGTGGTATCAGAATAGAGTCTAGGAGATAATAGACGAATTCCTGCAATATCTCAACCCGCTTAGAGAAGTCTGACTTAGAAAGGTTCTGTCCCTGTCCAGTCTTGGGACTACCTAGCCATTCGATTGCCTTGACCCGTAAACCCTGCATTACTTGATGTAGACTCAAAGTTTCAAAGCGGCGTAATCTGATGAATTGGTCGATCCTTTGCATAATGATCCGCATGTTGTGTTCTCCATCTGAGCCAGCCCCGAGTGCATCCTGAGGCAAGAGCTTTGCAATGACTGACCGACAAAATGCCGAAACCATCTCTAGCGAGGTCGCATGAGGTAGGAAGGAGGTCTCAGAGTCGTATTGATCACGCACAGGGCCACTTGAATCGAAGGATGGGCTGGACTTAGTCATCTGCGTCACTGGTTGTTCGGAATTGGAGGGACACAGAGTATGTTGGGTTTTCTCCGAATTCATCATGCCTTGAGTCGCGATTGCAGTGAGCGGGCAATAATATCGCAGTAACTGACTGTATGAACAAGTTCGGTGATTGCGCTGTATTTTCCTCACCACATTGATGGCTCCTCCACGGAGACGGCGTGGAACCTTGACTAGACGTCCTTTCCATCTCTCCCCAATCTCCTGCTCGCGGAAGGCATAGTCTTTGAGTGGTTGTGCTGTCTCGGCGGGATCGACAACACTTGTGAAAACATTGTGCAAGCCGAACTGGAGAGGGAAAACATGCTGTATCACATGTACTGTATGTTTTGGTTGCGTAGAGTCAGGAAATCTCTCAAGAGCGTGCACATGTTTCAGCCCAAACTTCACCTTACCACTGCGATTCAAGCCGGGTCTCGAATAGAGAATCCTGTTTCTCACGAAACGAATGAGCGATGGATCAGCAGGGCGATTATGAGGTTTGGAGGTTTGCGGGTTTCCAGTAGATAAGGGTTGTTTCCGTTTGGGCTTCAGCTCGGCCAAGGGGATCCCACTCAATTGAAGGTAATTATCCCTTCCTGCAGACATACGAACGAAAATGCCACAATCGAGCAGTAGATCAGCCAATATACTTTCAGCATTTTCTCCGAGTAGCAGAACCACATCAGACCATGCTGTTGATTTGAGCGTATCTATGCTTTCATTAGGATGCTGTCGCATAATGCCCGGAAGAAACGTGGTACGCCCACGGTCTTGGTCCGAGACCAGAGGTGCAGCGGCTCGGGCAAGTCCATGACAGAGGATATGATTAGGGCGATTTGAGTGTGCTCTATGGTCCTTAAAGAGCGACCAGACAACGAAATCAATAATCTGTAGCCAGTTCAATCAGACCTTCTTGTTTGGAATTTGCAACAGCTTTTCAATGGATGTCTCACTTCTTTCATTGAATATCGCAAAGTCTTCCCACTGAAGGCGCCAGTTGCGCTATATTGGGTTTGGGTAAATGAAGAAAAATCATTCTTTCGGCATCTTGACAGCTCGGTGGAGGGCTCTCTGGAAACACCGACCAAACAGGTGTCCAGCATGCATGTCGAATCCTGCTTTCCATAGGCATCTAATCGCTTCCTTCTGACGCGAGACGTGGTCGGTAACTTTGACAGTAGGAAGCTCCTCAGAGTGCATACCTTGTGATAGTGAGAGGACAGCACGTTGTGATGAGTTGCTGGCAAGGCTGCTGGTGCTTTTGGCGCCTGAAGACCCTTTTTTGCTGGTGTCTCTACACGTCTTTTGGTAGGACTACCATCTTGTGCGTCATGGCACGGTCTCTTCCTCTTCATGGCATGTGGATGAACTGGTGTGGAGGATCAGTGGACTAGAGGGATAGTCTGAATTTAGATGTCAATAATGTGCTCGATACGACCGAACTAATGTTTAGATGCCCCCAGGTGAAGGCGCGCAACCCCTGAAGTTGCCAAGGTCTGATAGAAAGTGCGAAAGGGCACCAGGTAGTTCGTTGCCGGTGAAAACCATGGGTCTGTGAGTTGTTGATTTTAGTTCCACCGGTTTGCTCGAGTTCGTGTTCTCGATTAAAGCAAATACCAACCGAGGCAGGTAGTAATGCGGAAGAGCGCCCAAAGCGTAAATAGGGTTTGCTTCCGGAGACGCGCTGCGGACGCGTCGAGTTGAGGGATACGAGTCGCTAGCGCAGAGGCTACTTTCCAAGAAGGTATTTAACGGCCAACACTCATTTAGCCTGGGCCGCCACCAACGGTGACCCATGTTTTGAGATGACGATCTTTGAATCTTTTTGATATTGGGTCTGTCAATTTAGAATGTCTTTTTGATCTTGATCTCGATGTTGCAACTCCATGGCTTGGGCTATCTTGGGCTATCTTGGACATGTTATAGACAGATTATATCTAGGCTGTTCTACGGAATGGGATGACACCATCTCAACCAGCATCCTGAATAAGTACGGATACAAAAAGAATACCAGTATCCTCTGTAGAGACATCGGACAAGGCCCATGAACATCTAGTGGGGAATGACATGCCAATCTACCACAATAGGTGGCGGGACTTTGATCACAGGCGGGCAGATCCTGGCTCCTGTGTTGAGAATGGCGGTGCACTATGATGGCAACTCTATTGCCGTCTCGAGTTGTTTCATCCAAAGTTGGTGTGATTTGTAGGGATGAAAGCATCAGTCTGCGGCCGATGGAAGGCATTGGATGTGCCCGCCGGAGAGAATAATGTTACTTTCGACGCGAGCATATTCCCCAGTCATCTTTCCTTTGTTCGCAGCGGTAGCTAGTGGTAGAGACTGACCAAGCACTACGGACATACTAAGATCACGGATGATCAAAGAACGACTTTGTATCTTGCCAGTGGATCAATCATCAGTGGCATGCGTGCATTGCCAGGTCATCAGCTAATTACGGATTCTTTTGCCAGTGAGGCATAACCCTGGTCTATCGACCCATTATTGAACTCCGTTCACAATCTGCTCGCTTGTCGTCGGCGGTCGCTAGTTTTTCAAACCCCCTGGGGGCTCCTCTTTCCGTACTTACCTAGTAGGTAGGTGCCCGCCTCAGGTGCCCGAACCTGTCCCCCGGACTAGGCGGTATCTTAACTAGAGTCGCCTAATCGATTGCCAACTACACGGAGAACTTGCAGTCAAGTGCAACTGACGCTAAGATATCACCAGCGACCGCCCTCACCATCGACTCTTGTAGCCTCAGCCCAATCTATCCTCATCACCGACAACGACAACGAATAACGCATCAACTCCGTAGGCCACCGCACTGAACGATTGCCCTTGAGAGTGGCGTCTACCATTGCCAAAAATTCCCACCACATCTCAACCTGGAGGCTTTGCCTTCCGTCGTCACTTCTGCCCGTGCCTGACCGCAGGCAGTTCACCTCACTTGCACGAATTCACTCGCACATCTTCGGTGGCATCTTACCTTCTATTCTCACTGCTAGATACCACCAAAAGATTGTTGGACCGACTTCCTTACCATTCTACCACCGTATGCGAGAAATGCTAGCTCAGAATCGCGACGCATCGACAGCCATCTGACACCACCTCCGTGTCTTGACAACCATCAACTCCGCGTTGTCAACCTCCACCCCGATTTCCTGATCGACGACATTTCTCACCTGCACGTCCCACCACCCACGGTCGCGATCACGGCCTGAAAGTCACCATGCGTGCGGTGGACCATGCACCTGTCCCATAGCCTTGATTGTTCCCAAATACAGGCTTGTCCGTGACCTGACTGGGGCCGATCTTTAATCCTCTAGCCCCAGCCTCAGGCTGGCGGCTCTTGACGACATGCCTTCGGCTGTCTCTAATCAGAAGAATTACTACACCACTCACCACCGACGGCAATCGTCTCTGTCGCAGACTAACCTCACGGACCAGATCGTCGCTTCTCCAACCCAGGTCACCTCACCCTCCCAGTCACTTGTCTTTCTGCCCTCAACTGCCTACCAACCACAGGTACCGGCACCGCGAACAAGAACCCCTTCTCTATCTACCACCGCATTATCCAACATAAGGCTCGACTTGGCTCGGGAGGAAAATGTGATCAACGATCCCCATGAGTTCTATCGACGGTATCAGGATCCTTTCGTCAACAGCGCACCCATCGGGTCACATCAAGAGGGCATAAGAACCACTGCAGATGAACAAGAGGTAGCGCAATATACAAGTCGAAAGTCAAGTTTTGCATCCTCACAGGCAAATGATGATCGGGGTCAAAGATCAGTCAGAAATTCGGTTAGTGCCCGAAAGCTCTCAGTGAACACCCAACAAACGCAGTTGGAGGGAGTCAACTCAAAATCTTCCAGCTCTGCGCCAAATACATTAAGGTCGAGAAAAACATCCTTCAAAGATCTGGTGGCTCGCTTCGACGCCTCTCCAGATGAAGTCCCGCCTTTGCCTACCCAGCAAATCTCTCGTCCGTCATCGAGAACTGCAAGTCCGATGTCAGGTTTTGCCAATGTGGAATTTGGTCATTCTGCCGGCACCGGTACTCAGCCCAAACGGCCATCCTCAAGACTGTCAGAATCTTATCGAAGAAATGGCAGTGCATCGGCGTCTACTGGAATACCCAACACCAAGTCCCTCACTGGTCGAAATAGAACTTCATCATTGGCAAGCGGATTGACCAAAAGTGTGACCCACCCAGAGTCCTCTCAGAGTGGTCGTAAATTGTTGTTTGGTGAAGTTCTGCCATCGGTTTCTCAGACCGCTGCCGCAGGCTACGGCATTGCTAATGTACGGAGACGCCGTGGCTCAGAAGGGTCTCCGATGCACAGTCCTAATCCGATGTTCCCATCTAATTCCTCCACTTCGACTATTCAAAGACCTCCGTCAACCTCATCACAGATTCTCCAACCTCCAACCTCTAGTCAATCACATGTCGGCTTAAGCCAAGAAGCACAGTCCCATCGATCACATCGTCGGGCACAGAGTGACTTCGCTAACCCTTCAATCAGAACTTCTGGTCGACAGGGAGGGATTGTGTCAGCTGTAAATTTTGAAACTGCGCTGAGCTCACCGGACTCGACTGGTGACGGTACGAGTAAGGTCAATGGTCAATCACGAATACCCGTTAGCACACGTCATCAGCGCATGGCTTCCGACTCTGCAACCATGTCAACTATTAATGCACATCCCGCCTTCGTCTCACAGCTACCTCTGCGTAATTTGGCCAGCTCACAACCGAGATTCAATCCCGCTCCATCTGGTGACCGCAAGGCAGCCAGTCCAAAGAGAAGGCCTCGATCCCCTATCCAAATCAAAAGCCCTGGACGGCGCGGCAAGGAGATTACAGCCAGCAGCGAGAAAAGCCCTTCGCTTCGAGCAAACATCATAGCACCTCCACCTAAGATCTCTCCTCCATTAAGAAGCTCTCGGCCCCGGCTTCCAGTCTCCTCTGCCAGTACAGCGGCATCGAGAGCAAAAATTGCAGACAAGTTCCAGATCATGGCTAAAGAACAAAGTGACAAGAGAGGCTATCGGCGACAGCGACCACCCGAGTTGAGCGACATCGATCTCAAAGCCCGAAGACTTAAAATCACGCAGGCACTGAGTAGATCAAGGGAAGGTGAGGATCTCAGAACTGGTGATTTCAAAACTCACGATAGCTCGAAAAGTCGTACAAATAGCATGACTCCATCCTTTTCAGGTTCGAACAACGAAAATCCAAGCTTTCCTGATCACATTGACATCCCAGCAGTCGTGGTCAACTTTTCTGGCCCACCTACAGATATGTCGGAAGAACGAGCTTTTTACACACCGGATGATCAATCTGCACGAGACCGCACAACATATACTCAAAATGCTCTCAGGATTGTCGAGTCAAACTCCAGACAACCAGCTGCGGAGGTCGACTCACCAACTTTGGGTCATGCAGAATCAGCATTCGGTAGCATTCCCTTCTCATTGAACACGCAATTAGTGCCTACCATGCTTGAGCAAGAACCCTCATCTGCGCTCACTGAAGATACAATAGCAACCGAAGCAACCATGATTGACATGGAGCCACAGACCGATGCTTCGAGATTGCAAACCCCTGCGCAATCTCTATATGCACAGATCAGCGCTTTCCGGAGTCAAGATTCCAACTCTCCTATGTCTGCGAGTTCGCAAGCATCAGGTGAGCTTTCTGATCATGCAGATGGGGTTTCGGTTCAGCTAGGGCTGCGGGAGACGACGTATCTCGATGACGTCGAAGCAGCTGAAAAGGGCTATCGACCCTTCTTAGCCAGTGCTGGATCTGACATTGCCACATCACGCAGTAATGGAAGAAGCTCTTGGACGTCGTCAATTGATGAGTTGCCAGAATCTGAATCTGGTGAAAACACCCTCCCAGTCCATGGACTGTCACAACCGCCAAATCAACCGCCAGCAGACCCTGGTTCCACCTCACTCTCTGATTCGATACATTCTAGCAATCAGGATGACTCCCAGGAAGAGCCTGGTGAGCTTGATGTCTACACGATCGTCAACATTGTTCTTCAACAGCAGACCCCCTCAGGAGTGGTTGACCAACAGTTGGTTGATGACATCTATCATCGCATCATCCAAGTTGCCCCAGATCTAGCAAGCACTGATGCTGTTGATGATGACACAATTCGACAGCTCTGTTTGCATGAGCTTGAGAACTATCACAATCAGTGGGACGAACCAGAGTCATCACGGCCACAGTCGGCCGACTACAGCCATTCCGATGACTTGACAGACGCACATCGTAACGCAAACGAGAATGCTGATGGGATTACCAACGAGCAGACTGACGAGAATAGTCATACTGAACCATTTCCAAAATCTAAAAGCAAAGAGCCAGCACTTCCGCCCTCGAGTTACCGTGGCCACCACTACAAGTCAAGTCTTGATAGTGCGGAAGATTGGGCTGAAACTTCGCCGTCTGTGGGAGACTGGATACAATTTGCTCTCAAATCACCAGTAGAAAACCAACAAGTTCGACCACAATCTACACTGTCCCGTGAAGTTACTCGGCAAGACCACATCGCTACAAGTTCAGTCAATGCAGAGGACGAGCAAGCTCCTGGGCCAGTCTGGAATTCACATGTTGATGACTCTCCAACATTAGGGGTTGGTCGTGACATTCCACGTCCACCTTCACACTCTCCCCCACCGCCTCCGACGACGATCTTGCCATCAATTGATCAAACTGCTCATTCCGCACCCGCAGGTATCACGCCACCTGAGACTCAGACATCACAGCCAACCAGACCACACACCACCGTGTCGATGTCAGCCAGATCTAGTCTCGACCATCACGGAGTTCCTTCGAGTTCGAGCATGAACAGACCGTCCGAGGAGAGCAATATTAGTCCTGATCAACGACGCTTGAACAAGCGACGACATATACTGAAAGAGCTCGTCGACACCGAGTACACTTACGAACGAGACATGAGGGTGCTTTGCGATATTTACAAACAGACTGCTGTGGTGGCCATTAGTGAGGAAGACACCAAAATCATTTTTGGCAATGTCGAAGCTGTGCAACACTTTGCCAAGGATTTCCTCGCTTTATTGAAACAAGTCGTATGGCCTGCCTACATCATAGACAAGGCAGACAAGCGGAAAGACGGCAATCGTGTCTCAACCGTTCAGGGCTCAGGCGCATCTATCGATGGACTGGCTGACATGACTGAAGCTGAGAAGGATGAGGTGACCAGAGTCGGACACGCCTTTGAGGTTTCGATGAGTGATATGGAAAAAGTCTACAGCGAATATGTTCGTACTCGCCATCCTGCCAACAAGAGACTCCAAGCTCTGAGCACAAACAGCGCTGTGGACGAGTGGCTCAAGGAGTGCAGTGCCAACTCTAGTGATATTACGAATGCGTGGAGTCTGGACGCGCTTTTGGTCAAGCCTATCCAACGCATCACCAAATATCCGTTGTTGCTGAGTCAGCTGGTGGACGCAACACCTTTGACACATCCTGACTATGAGTTCATTCGAAAGGCACTGGTTGAGGTTACGGAAGTGAACATTCGCATTAATGATGTGAAGAAACACACAGAAATTGTTGACCAAGTCCTCAATAGAAAACGAAAGGAGTCGGACGTCCGCACTGGGTTGACCAAGGCGTTTGGTAGACGAGCGGAGAAACTCAGACAGCACGTGGGCATCAACGAGATATATGAAGATCCGGAGTATGCCAAGATCAAGATCAGCTACGACAACAACATTGCTCACCTGTTTCTTGTCACCAAAGACTGTCAAGGGTATATCGAGGCCATGAAAGAATGGGTTGATCGAATTTGTGGAATAGCAGCAGCGGCCGAAACTTGGGTTGATGTTGGCCACACCAGCTATCCACAAGCCGAGAGCAAATTACGACAATTTGCCATTGTGGTTCGCGGCGTGCACTCTATCGCACTTCCTGATCATATTGAGCAGGTGACAAAGAGAGTAATACAGCCCATGGAGAAAACAGCAACCATGCTGGAACGGTTCAAGGTTGATTCCAAAGGTCTTATCCAGAAGCGAGAGAAGAGGCTACTGGATTATAATCAATTCAAGAACAAGAGAGATCGCGGTGAGAAAATGGACAAGAAAATGACCGAACGGATGGAGCAGTGGGAGGCTCTAAATCTTGAAGCCAAAGAAAGAATGAAGCGTCTACACAGCTCGACGGCAGACCTCGTTCTTGCATGCCAAGCGAGTTTGATCGAGCTTCAGAAGAGCTGGCTACAGATGTGCAAGGTCAAGTTTTCGGCAGCGATGGAACTTGATCTGAATCACCTGGAACCTGCGGAAATTATGAAAGAATGGCAAGAGGAGTTTGATCCACAGCATGTCTACGCCATGACATTGAGCATCTGCAATGGAACACTACTAGCAGAAGCCATCAATCTCTTGTCATTCTTGAGTCCAGGAACGACCTTGACTGGTGACGATTCTCCACGCCAGCCATCATGGAATAGCAGTGTGAAAAGATCTGCTTCGACCAATGAAGGATTAATCCACGCTTCGATGTCAGATCATCACCATCGATACACTGAAGGTCCTACCAGTCCTAACAGTGACGATCGTAGTGATCATACCTCGTTCACATTTGCCAATGGACGGATTCGTGCACCATCTGCAGCGTCAGGGAGACCACCGAAAACCCCTGAAGCTCTTCCACGAAACGTGACGGCTACATCACTTCATACTACGCACAGCGGGAACATATCTCGGCCAGGCACTAGCCTCGAACATTCAGACGACTACTTACGTTCTGCGCCGCGGGTGAGCCTAGAAGCACCGTCTCCAACGATAGGAGCACTCTTCACCGAATCGTCAGCGGCTGCCAAGCATGCCTCGACGTCTACTTTCTATTCAGCGGCTCCGGGTCCGTCACATTCACAGCACCAGTTGCCACCAAGCAGAGGCAGCGTCTTCTCTTCAGCGATGCCCATGGACGAGAGCAATGGCACGCCGAATGAGGGTGCTCCAGAAACAGAAGCTGATAGGGAGCCCGGTGTACTTTTCACAGCGGCCAGTGTCTACGAGTTCAATATTGATCGGTCTCGACAGCAAGGTGGATTCCGGTATCTCACATATGTGACTGGAGAGATCTTCGATGTGATTGCAGAACATGGTGAGTTGTGGCTAGCAATCAATCAAGACGATGACACTCGTGAGATTGGGTGGATATGGAACAAACATTTTGCGAAGTTGGCAACATGATTGTGTGTCGTGATGTGCGGCAGGAGGGGATGAGGTGCAAAGATCATGTGTTGTTTAATGCTTAATCTTGGATAAGTGTGACCTGACCATGCTTGATGAGCTGTGGACAAACCTTTGCAGTCTTTCGAACAACAGAGCACGAATGCGGATCCGACTCTTGGTTGTACAAGAAGACACGGGGTTGAGATCAAGGACGTGCAATGAACACGGAAAGGGGCAACAAAAAGCAAATGCAAAGAGAACATAATCCCCTGGGCAGGATATCAAGGAATGACATCGAAGAACAGCGCCGTCAATTAGCGTGGGCGAACATGATTTTTCAAAGCGTTCAAGCGGTAAATGGGAGTTGGCGTTCAGTGTATTCGGGAAAAAGAATACTGTGTACTGTACATTAAGCTTGAGCTTGGGCTGAGCATGAGAGATGATGGAAGCATAGGAGGCCCTGGCTTGCTACAGTACCTTGGCTAAAGTGGCTGACATCAATGATGAGAATCCCTAACATTAATTCTTTCTAGAAGCCTTGACGCAGAAGGATCTAGCATCTCGTGACCGTAAGGCCTATCCATCTAGTTCCAGTTCTCTCTCCACCTTAGGTGCATCTTTAAACTCAGGCACCGTACGCTGTACCTGGACCCTACTTGCTGTGGGTAGTTGAGATCGATCGTGGCCTGATGTGTACCCGTGTATTCGTGGAGATGCTTGGCCCTGGCGCCCTCGGCCCCTCCAAGTAGAATCTGGAGCCTACGATCAGCCCTGAAAGATGACGTCTGCTTCGTGGCAACCACGCAATTGTTCATTCTCCAGCTTCGAAGACTCACCAGCCTCAGACTCCATCGCAGTTGTTTGTCTATATACATATTCTTGTCTTCCAGCTAGGTCCTTGCGTGTCATATACCTTCTGTTTGGTTTTATTCCTTGTGTCACCATCAGAACTCCAAAGACGGCCTTCCTGCATAGACACTTTGTGCCTCCCCGCGACACACCCAAGCCTCGATTTCTGCCCAACACCTCCCCGTCTGTGACACGAACAACTCGGTCCTCAGTTGGAATTTCAATCATCATAGTGGGATTTGAGCAATAGGTGGACGACCACCTTCTCACTGCGCTCACAACGGCCGGCCGCGGCCTGCGCTACTCCAGTCTCTCTCTGTTGCCATGCCTGATCTCCACCCATTCAGTGGTAGACTAAGTCGACATTTCAGATCGGTATGTGCGCCCTTGTCCTTGTCCTGGCAACCTGCTCTTTGTCCATGTCGACTTGCCCGCATTCCTTTCTCCCACAAGAGTCCACCCTCCAGCTCTTTTTCTTCGGCACACCGCGCCCATTGTTGCTACTGATGCCCATCCTGTCCACAATCGCTGGAGGAACTCAAAGCTGATCATTATGAATTCTCAGCTTGCTCCTGAAGATGCGTACCTGAGTTGTGAGTGGACGCTCTGGACTGTGGGTAAAAGATCTTAGCTAATCCTGCGGCAACGACAGACTACGATATCCGATGTTAGTGCCTACAAATTTACAGACCACTGCAGACGATCGCTGACTGCCATACCAGTAACAAGAGAGGATATATCAGTGTTGAAGAATGACTGGCTTACAGATAATGTTGGTTCAATGAGAGAGCGCTGTGCGAAGCATTTCACTGACAAAGGACGTAGGTCATTGCGTTCTGGGAGGAGTAAGAAACACGAGGAGGTATCTTGATGAAAACGAAGAGTCGCGATGTCTGACATGTGGATGGACAGGTATCTAGAGCGGGAATATCTCACAAACTTCAAACATTCCCACATCGTCCTGCTTCGTCCTGCCATGGCGTTCATGCTCATGCAGACAGCAGACCCACGGACAATAAAGGTATGGTGTCCGCAACAATTGAGGTGATGGCGATTCTAACTCGAGAAGGACGCCTTGCCAAACTTGACCAACGTGTCACATATATTTCTTCCCATCAACGATAACCCATCAGTGACAGTGGCTGAAGGAGGATCGCATTGGTCCCTTCTACTAGTCTCCATCGTCGATGGAGTTGCTTTCCACTACGACTCGATGCCACCTGGTAACCAACAGGAGGCGCACTATGTCACACAAAAGCTGTCTCGATTAATTCAAAAACCGCTTCGATTCATTCCACTCAACGATAGTCCCTTACAAGACAATTCGTCAGACTGTGGGGTTTTTGTCTGTCTCAACATGAGACATCTGCTTCTAAAAAGACTGTTGATGGTCCGTACCGATTCAAAAGTCAGTATGAGTTTGGGTGGCAGCATGGTCGATGCCAGTGCTGGGAGAAAAGAGATGTTGAGAATCATCGATGATTTCAGACGTGAAGGCGAAAGAAGAAGATCGTAAGAATGACTCCCTGACTAAACCCATCCTCCTACTAGATCGCGGCTAACGAGTTTCCGCAGGCAAAGCCATTCACCGCACCCAGGCCGAAAATCCAAAAGTCCACCCAGAATCGATTCACCCCGAGCGAAAGAAATCTAAAGTTCCCGAAATTACGACGAATGCATGTTTTACGGTGTCAAATCCAAATATATTTTGAACGACGAATGAAAGCCTTCTCTACAAAACTGCAGTTTCTGGTTAGAGGCTACCTACGTACAAGCCCTATGTTTCGTGGAGTGTCATACTTTTTTATTTTCTTCAATCAACGAAATGATGGGACTTAGGAGGAATACTTTAAATGCCTTAGCACGGTGATGCTGAACCCTAACAGGGCTTTTACGAGTCAGTCAGATAAGCGTGAGAAATGTCCAACAGTTAAACAGAGCCCATTAGTTCACCCGTCACGATTGGGGTGACCTGTTCCACGCGAGCCTGAGTTGAGTCAACTCACTAACGAGACAAGGCTACCACGTGCAGAAGGTTACACCTGCCACCTACCTGACCTAGCCGAATCAATACTACACCACCTCCATAGTGTGATCCAGCAGCTAAGGCCTGGACCTGAATATCAGGATTCCCGAGAATCATGACCTATCTAAGTTAAAGCACCTCGTATGTACCTGAGCTATTCATCCGCCTGCGGCCGACGACGGTCCACGCCATGTTCTCCACCCAACACGACTGTAACAACCACTCCCCAACCGTGATCAATGCCTTAAATCAGCCAGGCGGAATCGGACATTAGCTGACGCGATTTGACCCATATCCGGCAATATCTTAACGCCTAACTTAAGCGGTGGGCGCGGAGTTGCCAACCTGCCATGCATATAGCTGACAATCAGGCTGTGATTCGTTCGGTTCTCAAGTGGTGGAGAGTTTTGGGTAGGCTCCCGGGATCAAAGTCTCATCTCGCGTTTGCTTCGGCTCGTATGATATTCCATCTTCGAATTAGATCTTCTTCCAAGCAAGGCCTGGCATGCTTTGTATTTTTGAAGTTTTCGGTTTTCGTACTCGCTACTATCATATCGCGGCTCTCGGATTGTGGATGGGGAGGTGGTGGATCGTGTTCGGCGTTAAGGCAGGTTATTTGGTTTGAAGGCGTTCTCCTTTTACTAGAATCGGACGCATGTCGAATAAGTGTATTCCTTGAGTAGGGTAGGCAGCAGTGGGATTCGTCTTCCTTTTCCTCAATTTCTTGGACATAGGTGAATATTAAGCCCTCGCTGTCTCTATCGCATCAACACCTTGACAACGGGTTTACACCGGGTGAAAGAGCAAGCATATTCCACCGCCAGGTTACGTGGGAAAGGTGACAACGCTATTCGACTAAGGCGGCCATCAGCCCGTTCCGATTCAAACACAGATAAAATCGCATTGTGCCTTTTGAGCCAGGTGAGGTAGACATCAGACCAAACGAGGGAAGAAAGAGAAAAACCAATTGCACCTTGGAAGCAACCACAATGGTCCATCTAATCCTGACGGGGGCAACGGGCCTCGTCGGGTCCGCGGTCCTCTCCCACATCCTCAGCCTCCCCGGGGGACTGGTGACGACGGCGGGAAACGCGACGACGACGACGCAGAAGATCTCGAAACTCACGATCCTGTCGCGCTCCACGACAATCCCGTTACTCAGCAGCACGCCGCCGCCGGGGACGCCGCGCGCCAACACGGCGACGGAGATCGAGGTGGTCGCACACCACGACTTCTCCGTCTACGATGGCGATGTGCTCGCGAAGCTGCGTGGTGCCGACGCGTGTATCTGGGCGCTGGGGATCAGTCAGAACGACGTCGACGCCGCAGGCTATGTGACCATCACGCGGGACTACACGCTCGCGGCGGCCAAGGCGTTCTCTACGCTGCGAGCACCAGCACCAGCACCCGGACCGGGGCAGGGATCATCCGAGTCCAAGACTTCATCCGACGACAAGAAATTCAAATTCATCTACATCTCGGGCGAGGGCGCGACGACGACGCCAAGATGGTACACGCCGCGGTTCGGGCGCGTCAAGGGGGAGACGGAAGCGGCTCTGCTGACGCTGTCGCAGCAGTCCCCGTACCGCGACGTGCTGGCCGTGTATTCTGCACGGCCGGCGGGCGTGGACGGGCTGAGGCAGCCGTGGGTGTGGGATCCGGTGATGCGCGAGAAGCGCTCGGCGTTCCAGCGCACGTATTTGCGTCTGCTGCTGCCGCCCATCGCGTGGTTGTTGCCCAGTGCGCATTCGCCGACCGAGGAGCTGGGGCGCGCGTTGGTCGAGATGGCGGTTGATCCGTCGAGGGGGTCTTTTGGGTCCAGTGAGCCGGGTGTTAGTGGTGAGGGGAGGACCTTGGGCAATGTTAAGCTCAGGAGTTTGGTTGGGCTGTGATGTGCCAGCGCCAGTGAGTTGAGGTTGGTGGGGTCAATGGACCAGAGTAATTTGTTGCATTAATTCATTCCAGATTAGATTAGTATACGGATGGGCTGGTGCATCTATCATTGCCGCCGTGTCTCGAGAGCCTTCTTCTCCCTCTTTTGAAGGCGTTCACCATTCTCCCGTCCTCGTCTATGCACTTCTTGCATCAACTATGGTATCGTCCCTCATACATCGTCTAGCTCCTCTGCCATCTGAGGCATTTCTGCGTTGAGGAGCACCTCTTAAATCAAAACACCAAAGAAAGTCATCTCTTCATGCAATGCAGACCCGCTCGCCTTTGCTGGATATTCCGAATAGGACGTCAAAAACAGAGCAGCACCAAAAAATGCCAGAGAGGGAATCACATCAGGACATGCCCAAGCCAAACAATAATGCAGCAACCGTGACACCCAAAGCAGCCCAAAGGTTCGACCTCCTCACCTCGACATTAGCACTCGCCATACTGGTGCCTGACGCCGTGGGACTGGCCGAAGCCGTCGCGCTGGGAACACCACCGGTGGCACCCCTCGTGGCCTCAAGTTCATTGAACCCATCATCGCCCGCCGGCCTCTCGGGAAACACATTCTGCTTGAACCAGTAATTATTCTGGCCGATCAAGTTGCCAGGCGGCCAGTATTCACACACGAGGTAGATGCCATCCAAGCCGTTCTGGCCGTCGCAATCCGTCCAGCCACACCCCGTAGACTGTGTACTCAGCCAGACCAGCTGCGTGAAATGGCCGGTCGGCTCGGTGAAGCCTGTGGGGTTTGTGGTCGAGAAGTCATAGTCCTTGCGTTCGTCGCCCCATGCCTCGACCGCGGCCGTCACGTTGGTGTATCCCCGGGCTAGGTTCTCACCGTATGCGCCGTGGGAGTGTTGCCAATCGCATTTGCTCGAGTATTCTTGTGCGTAGGCGGCGAGCGTCGTGTTCCAGTACAGGAAGGGGACGGAATGTTCGTAGCGGTAGAAGTTGGTCGAGTTGAGGATCGAGGTGCGGAAGTCTAGGTCGTCGCTGTATTGGCTGGAGAGCGGCACTGTGGGTGCTGGTGCCGTGTAGTAGTGTGTTACCGTCGTGGCCACCACCTCGGTTTGTGTGACTTGGGCGTGCGCATGGATGAAGAGGAGGGCGGTTGCAAGTATGACGGGCGCAGAATGGGAAAGGCGCATGGTTAGGGAATGAATATGCGGGCCGGTTGTTGCGCCGTCTGTGATTGCTCTTTTGTATATCTTTATATTTTGAATTATTAAATGTTTTGTATCATGTATGCATCGTTCTTGCGAATTCTTGATGAGTTGAGGGTGGTTGTTATTCTTTTAGTTTCGTTACGGGCAGTAGGATTCCGGTGTTGTTGGTCCAAGTTCAGGGCGGACCAAACAATTGAATAACCCGGGGATGGTTGTCAGCGAGCGGATGTATGAAATACCAGCAGCGAGTGAGATTGAGAGAACGGAAAGGATGGACTCTTTCGAGCAGAACTCTTTGAAGAAGAAAAGTGAGGTTGGTGGAATGAGGCGAAGCAGCTACCGAGTATACCTAACGGTAGCGACATGCACGCCTAGCTGAAGCGTTAGTAGGATGACTACTAGTTGGTTAGTAGGGCAGCTTTAAACTCGATGAGGCATCCTATGTACGAAAGCTGACAGAGACCGAGAACGAACAGAGGCGAAGGCGTTAGCTAGTTAGAACCTGGCCATACTGCGGTTGGTAATTCACCTCGCAAAAAAGCTAATTAGTTAAAGACAAGAATGAAACTCTGTAGAGCCTCAGAGACACGAAGACGAAGGGAGGGGCACTGATGATGTTCAATTTCAGTCTTCCTTGTTCATCTGCAACGTCATGCTCCACGTTCCAACGGCCGCCTGATTCTCCCCTGGCGAACCGATTTGTTGTTGGAGCCCTGGCCACCAAACACTTGGCTTGCAGCTGAACTCCGGAGCCGCTGGGAGATAATTAACTGGGGGACAGAGGGGCGGGGGGCGGGTAGCTTCGGACGTCCAGGGGGGTCCCGAGGCTGCCTTCTAGGTATTAATAGCAGTAGGACTCCACCAAACTTCATCACACACCTAGGTAGGTAGACAACAACTCTATAGAAGACCGTGTTTCCCATCAATCTCAAAATCAAGCCCATCCGATCTGTGAGTGAATAGCTGTTGGCTACACTCTAAAGACCACTACATGTAAGTCAAGCAAAGAATCAACGATCAATCACCGACCAGCATCATCCCGTTCGCCATGGCGGGTTCCTGCAGATAAAAAAAAAAAGGACTGCTTCTATATACATAAGTCGATAAATCATCAATAAGAAGTCGAGAAATCTGCACCCAAAGACTCAATGCCTGCGACGCTTCACCCTAGTGTCTTCACTATCTCGTCGTCGCGAGTGAAGGTGACGACCAACCCTTTTTCTTCAACCATGCTGTCCCCTCCCATTCTCACCCCTCGTTCACTTCTCTAATCCTTCCACGCATGCATCTTCTCATGGATCTCGTCGCGATCAACACCACTCTTCTTCCCTTCTTCCAGTTCCAGTCTGCCTAACTTGCCCTTCCTGGTGCTCGGCGTTTCTTTCTCTCGGCGTGGTGCAATCAAGTCCCATTATTTCTTTCACAATGGCGTCGTCCACTCTCCTCGATCCCGATCTCATCGATCTGAAACTCGACTGGCAAGACGAGTTTGTCAGAGACTTCAAAGATCCACCGACGGCGATCAAGGAGTTCTTCAGAAGAGCCGAGGTCATCAAGAAACGCCATCAAGCTCTGCGCAAGCAAAGTCTTCCCAACCGACCTGATCTCGACGAGACTCTCCGTGAACGCTTGGGCATCAAGAAATCCAACACCGAGGTCGACGACTTGAAGGAAGCCTACCAATCTCTCAAGTACACGTTCAAACCCTCAGAGTACAAAGCCCTCCACTATCCAGCCCGCCGCCACCCAGCTCAAGACACCTTCAGCTCGGTTGAAGAACGAGACCAATTCCTCAGAAACAAAGAACACCTCGACGATCTCCTCGCCATCAAGGGAGAGGCTCCAACACTACCAGACGAGTTCAGCAACCCCTACGCCACCCGCATCCCCATCATGTCGATCCTCACTCTCCACCCCACCAAGGAGAACTGGGAAGCCAAAACCCGCGAAGTCCTCACTGCCTCCATCATCCACCGCAAAGGCCTAACCGCTCAAATCATGTACCTCAACTGCCTGCGCAACACCAAGATGAACGAAGTCTTCGCCCGCGACAGCCTCCTGCGCAACACGACCTGCGAAGCGGCGCTCGCCCACAACCAACACGCCTGGGTCAACTTCATCAACCACCTCCCCACCATCACCACCGAAACCCTCAAGCGCGCCACGTGGTGCCAGCTACTCGAAGACGAATACAACGGCATGACGCGCGAGTGGCTGTTCTTCTGGAACTGGGTCGAGGAGTGCAAGGCGGCCAACATCGAGTACCGCGAGAAGGAGATCCGCTTCTGCGCCCTGCTCAAGGAACACTGTAAGAAGAAGGGGTTCCTGCAGGACAAGATCGCCGAGAGCAACGACCTGGTCTTGCCGGCTTTGTACCACTGGTGGGCCGAGTTGGAGTGGCTCGAGCTCGACTGCAAGACCATCTCGGTCGAGGAGGATGGAGAGACGGTCGCCCGCCCCGTCTTCTTCACCAGGGGCAATGCCCAGTTCGCTGAGCATTGCCGCGTCGTCCAGACGTTGGAGTGGGAAGACAAGTAGATAGGTAGTTTGGTGGAGTGGAGAAACCGCGGTCGAGATGCTATCATGGCGGCCTCCCCGGTCACAATGGGCCGGCCCAGGCGGCAGATGCCGCCCTGAATGCAAAGTTGCAAATGAAAAATGAAATCTTGAAAACAAAAAAAAGTGTCATCATGACTTCCTCTCCTGAAACACAAAGAACTCTCATTGTCTCGGTGTGCTCCCGCCATCCAATGCTGTGAAATGTAGACCGTCGAACGTGAATTCGGTCGTATTCCATGACACGCTGTTGTTGCTGTGGTATGCTGTCGCTGCTGATATACATGCAGAGCTCGCTGGCGATACGGTGTCTTTGGTAGTATGTTAACTAGAAGTGCTCCTGAGATGGAAGATGCCATACTGTGATACCGTAACTTCCTGGAATGTACATGACTGTGCCAGCTCTAGAGAGTTCTAGAGATACAACGGAGTCAACTATTCAATGCTATAGGAGGATTCTTAGATCATAGGAGAATGCGATGGGAAAGCACACCACCCCCAACTATACGGCGAAGGCGGAAATGGATCTCAGCGGCGGTCTCTAGAACTTTGATCTTCTTTCATTTCGTTCTCGTGATGTGGTATCTACGTAACTTCAATTCAGGTATAAAGGCCCCCAGCATCACATGAGATAGCATCCCTCGCCCTTGATACGGCCCTCGACGCGACCCTTGACGACCAACCAATCACTCCTCCGCTCCGCGAATTCCACCACCTCTTCGACGGTAAACACTCCTCTGTAGCGCTCACCATCACTGATGATGGTCGCCATCTCAGCCACGTCACGCTCGCTCTCACCACCGATCAGGTAGATCTGTGCGACCTCACGCAACGCGACAAAGTACGACGTCAAGTCGTGGTTCTTGAACCCCGCCACGAACGACGCATACGCCGAGAGGTCCGAGAGCAACGGCAGGGCTCCGGAAGTCGAGATGCGTTGCCGCTTGATGTGTTTCGTCAGGGCCCCGAACAGGCGCAGCCCGACTTCGGTGGTGAAGACGTCCAGGAGAGTCTTCTCCGTCGCGCCCGTGAGCATCGATGTGTGGTGTGAGACGAGGCCGATGACGCGTGAGGCTGTTGCGGTCGGTTGGCCGGAGAAGTCCATCACTATGGCGGAGCGAGATCCGTTGATGTTGCTGGCCGTACTGAGTTCCGGGTAGAAGTCGGTGGGTTGTTGGGTCGTGGCACAGACGTATTCGACTTCGTCGATGAGAACGTCAATGCCCTTGCTCAGGCCGGCGGCGACGCGCTCGTCAAGCATGGCCTCGAATTTCTTCTTCTCTTTGACGTTCATGTCGAGGAAGTCGTCACGGTTGGAGATGCGAAGACGGACCAGTTCGGACTCATAGAAGACGTCTAACATCTGCTGAATCAGGTCACCGACGTTGACGAGCTCCAGAAACGTGACCAGTGCTGCAACTTGGACGGGAGCTGTGCTTGAACCTGTATGCTCCATGCTGGCTTCGCGGGGGTTGTAGTGTGAGAGATGATCGATAGCTTTGTCGAACCCAGTCTTGACATGACGATCACCCACGGCGTGAAGGAGGAGGACGAAGATGGCTGAACATTGCCTTCGAGCAGATTCCCCTGCTTCTCCACCAAGACTGATGAATTGTGCCCCTCTTTCTAGTGATGATTTGGCTGCGTGAACGAGATTGAGTGCCACTTCGATTGAGAAGAGTGAACGAATATTCTCGAGCTTGGTTGTCATGAGAGCGGCTTTGGCAGCAAGTTCATTTGTTGGCGCTTCACCGGATATCGTGATTGTAGGTGTAGCTGTCCCGGCGTTAAATGGATTCGGGGTTGATGATCGAGACGAAGGAACATCCCCATTGACGAGTGCTTTGGGTGCAGGTTTTGTGTGTGACTGGCCAGAAAAACTAGGTAGGATGTTGACGGGCATCATGACCACCTTTTTGAATGAGGACAAGAAGTCCTTCTTATCTGCTTGACGATTGACATTCGACATCAAAAAACTCTCCGTAGAAGCTGCCTGTGCTGAGAGTGCCGTGTCCCACTTCTCCACCTCGGAGTCTGCCTTTGACCTGAAGAAAGACAACTCCTCTGCCAGGTACGTATCTAGATGAGGCTCAAAGATATCACGGAGGACATCGTTGCATCGAACATGCATTCCATCATTCTCATTATCGTCAGCAGCTTCACTTGGAAGTGCAGAATCCTGGAGAAATTGTTTTGTTGCCGCAAGACTGCCAGAAATGGTTCGCAAAAATATCGAGCTTCCTCGGTTACGCGCATCTTCAAAGAGTTCTGCCAAAAAGGGTGACAAAATTTCCTTTCCCACCACTTCAATCATCTGAATGGTGACATCTTTTGGTTCGGGAAACGCAGCTTGAATGATGGCGATTTCCTGCCTGAACGCAGTCCCAAGTCTTTCAAAATAACTGTTCACTCTCTCAAGAGACAGCTGGCCAGATCCGAGTGAATAATCCACACAATCAGATGCGCTCCCCAGGTTGACCTTCTGAGCCACCAAGTTATTGTCGTGGAGGAAAAGCTCAATGCTGCTTTTTCCACCATTGAGGATATACATCACCTTGGCGTATTGTTTCATACGTCCTTGGATGTCTTTATATTCATAGCCTTTGCGGAACTCTAGGAGGGCGGCCGCGTCAAACATGTCAGTGGCTGTCTTTATTCGTAATTCTCTGTCTACTGAAGCAGTTGAGAAGTCGCTCTGGCAGAAGATTCGCAAATTCGCAAGGAGTTGGGCCTGTTGTTCAGGCGCCGCAAAGTCTCTGAATATTCTCGCTTCCATTGGATTGGGGACTGTGTTGACATTGATATAGTATGGCCCGAGTAACCTGTAGATCTTCCCATACTCGCGTCTAGCTTGACCACGTAGTGATTTGACATTTTTGAACACCGACAATACCGACTCAGTATCGACTGGTAGGGAAGGCGTTGATGTGACTTTCGAGCTGGATAATTCCGCAACATCAAACCCATCAGAAGTAGTTTGTTGTGGGCGCATGGGCGAGATCAAGGTTGTCTGTCGTCGTTGGGTAGTGGTAGGAGAACCCATGTCAAAGAGTACCTCTGGCCTGCCTTTCCCATTGACGAGGCTCCGATCCAATGTATTCTGCCTCAAACCAGGTGTGGTGGGTTGTTTTATAGACTCTGATCTTTTGCGGGCCTCTGTTTCATTCCAACAGCCCATTTCCCTCAACCTCTGGACCCATTTTGCATCATCGTACACCATGTCCTGCATACGGCGTGAGACTCGTGCGAAACGAAGCAGATCCGGCACATCGAGGTAGTCGACTATCTTGGCGAGTATTTCTAGACATCTCTTAGTGGGTGGACTTGAGCATCTGGGTTGCGTTCGAGGTGACAATACCTAGAGGGAGTAATGGCTTTGAGATGAGCATGTCGGCCATCTTCAACGAGGCCAGCGGATCCCTTCGTGGGACCTTGTTCAAGGGTCCCGGCTTCTTGGGTTTCGACATTGCTGCAACAGAGATGATGTCGTGTGAGCACTAGAGGTTATGACTTGTTACTGGACATTCCGCGGATCTCAAAGCCTCGGTGGTGCCACAGCCACTACCTTACGGCCTGGTGTAAGGGCTTTATGGTGATGTGTAGGGAGAGAGGTCCTACAGGTAGATGATTTTGTAGTCGGTTTGCCCTATGAACAGGTCCAGTTCTCCAAATGACACGTTTTATTGCACAGGGCCTCCATCAGGATTCTGGAGGATCTGCCAAGTTTGGACAGACGGTGCTAAAATGAGTCCCGTAGATTTCCCCAGGCGAGCGTCAGGCTTCGGGGCAGCACATGGGCACTTAGGTAAGCGGTCCTTCCACTGGAGCTCCCGTCGCCTCAACACCAACGTGCCCTTGCTATCGAGGTCTACATGATTGAGTGAACCATCTATGTCACCCAGTCGTGCTATCCTGATCAACCTAGCGAATGTCATTATGCTAGATTTGCATCTGCATTTTTCAGACTGTAACCAATAGTCCTGTCCACCAATTGGTTACCCAATGTAACAGAGCTTCATGTCGACTGCCCTTTTCACCTTTGAATTAGAGTCCAAACCCAATACCAGCATTGCGCCATTCCAGCCATGTCTTCCCAACTCCTCTCATTCTAAAGATCCCTATCATACCAATATCAACCTAGAAGCCGTCACCGTCACCGTCACTGCCGGCGTCTTGATCCTCGTCCTCGCTACCTGCGCCCTTCCTTTTCCGTGAGTTTCCATCTTTCCGAATCGGTATCTTTATTCCCTGCTCAGCGAATTTTCGACTCAATGGAGTGGTTTCAATCACTCCCGGGAACTTTTTCGCACTCCAGACCCGAAATACTTTGCTGAAAACTGATGCTAAGCATGGGGCTTCGGTCATAAGCTCGGGCCCCTTTCCCAATGCCTTGTTTTCATTGTCTGACAGATTGAACTTCGACAGATTGAAAAAGTTCAACTTCAATCGGAAAGTGCCCTCAGTTCTGACACTTAGATCCTGAAGGATAAACCATAGACCTACTTTGCCCTTTTCATCAGTCAAGCGGAACGCACTGGAAGACGCACTTCCGATCAGATTTTTGGCGACATGCGCTCCTGCCACCTCAGGTCTCCTTGGACCCAGGTCCTGACTAGAGCGCGTCGATCTAATGGCTCCAGGGGGTGGAACTGGATGACTGCCATTCGGACGTGAGCCATATCCTTCACCACGACCATATCCATTCGAGTACGGTGCGCCATATCGATCTGTTGCACGATCCACGGAGAAAGATGGTGGACGACTGTGGAAACTCTGACCACCATAAGGATGTTGATCCTCATTAGGGAAGTATGAAGTCGCGGAACCGGGGGTGATGACGTTAGGCGAGATGATACCTGGCGAGGAATACGGAACACTATGTCCGGTATAAATCTGAGGAGTTTGGGACTGTGTCATCGGTGTCACGACTTGAGGGTAAGCACTGAGACTTGTAGTGCCTATTGACGGTGAGACATTGCTATGATTGATGCAGTTGTCCTCGCGATCTCCTCCCGGGCTCCACAAGTCAACATTCAATACAAGACGTGAAAGGTCTGTCACTTTCCTTCACAGTGTCAGTTATCGAATAAGTAGTCCAGCTGCGCGACTTACGAGTAATCAATTTCTTCACCAGTCTCGGGGTCAAAGATTATCAGTCTGATACAAGGGGGCGGTGAGATTGGGCGTCGATCCTAGAATCATCAGAAAAGTCACGCCCGCAAAGACAATGTTTGCATACCTTGTCACCAAAACCACACATGCGAGCTCGAATGGGTTGCTGAACAACCTCCAGTGCCCACACCTTTCCCTCGTGTATCCGGTGAACTGGCCGTGGCTCTGGCCATTCATCAACGGCCTCGGTGGCTTGGCTCCCTTGAGTTGGGCTAGGTGGAGGGATGTTGGACATCATGTTATGTGTAGAGAAGTGTTGAATTACTTGACTCGACATGTTATGATGTGGCATTGGTGGGGGAATCTTTGGGAGAGGATTTGGTCTGTACATTCTTATGGTGTGATGTGATTGAGAACTGGACACCTGTAAATGGGGTTGGGAGAACCAAAATCTTCTCGGAATTTCCCTTTGGTTGTGTGGCGTTGTGATGATCCTTTGTCAAATCGAAATGCTTCTGAGGGTAGAGTGTTGTCGTTGTCGTTGCCTATTCACAGGACAAGTCTTGGTCAAGCCTGATCGACCTCGCCTTGTGGATTCCCAGGGCCGATGCCCGAAACTTTGAACTGTGAAGGCACAAATGACAATAACAACAAACAATCAACCGTACTCGGCAGATTTGTCCCAGATGAGTTTGTTCTTCCGGCCTAGAAAAGTTTACTTGTGATGGGTTTATGCCAAAGACGCAATTGAGGGAGACGATCAAATGATTCCGGAGGTTCAGCGGGTCAGTTTGGCGATATAAAGTTCAAAGGAGATGAGAGGCTCTGTCGGCGGATATGGATCAAGCGATGGCTGGAATGAGATTGTCTCTGATACTTTACTGGGACGATAGAAGCCAGCGTGACAAAGAGTACAAGCCGGTCGAGATTGGCCCAAGTTGAGATTGGGAAAATTGTGACAGAGGATGGAGTGCAAGTGTGAGGGTTGGTGCCAGTGAGAGAATGCTACAAGGCTGTCTGGGGAGGTTTGGAGTTGGGCCTCATGAAACGACGGACAAATGTTGGAAGAGCTTGAACCTTTGTGGGTCTCGAGAGTCCAACCAGCATGGTGCAAGGTTCCAGGGTGTTGAACAATCAAAGGTAGGACAGTCGGGGGATTAATTCACCCAAGCAGCAAAAATCCGTTTTTTTTTTCTGACAGGCAGGTGGTCAGGAATTGATTCTTTTTCAACGGTTGAATTGAGGCTGTGAGGATGAACCGTGGAATACGGAGTACTGGTTGTACGGAGTGGCAGTACGGAAGCAGTTGCAACTTGCAAGGTCCAGGGCGGATGACTGATGTGGTTCCGAGCAGTGGAGCCGGGAGGTGAACAAGCGAGGCGTGTTTGATGGATTGGTAGCGTGATGGCAGCCCACTAGGGCGGGGATAATGAATTCTTGCAGTAGCCAACTCGTAGTGGATTGAGTGACGGTCAAGTTGAAGGCTTTTGCGAGGTTTGATGAGCCTCCCTGATGAACAAGAGTGGTACCGAAACCAAATGGAAGGTGTCATGCAGATGGGCTGGCCCTTGAATCGCGCACGAGGGACCACAAGGAGGATAGCGTTGGACGATCCCTGCAAATGCAACTGACAGGACGGCGGGGACCAGGATTCCGGGATCACTGCAGTGCAGCGAACAAAGCCTGGATTGGATATCCGTCCTCCGTACAGAAGCGGAAGAAGAAGACTGAAAGTCCAATATTACGGATGACCGAGTGGACGAGGTAGGGAGGGACTGAGTCAGAACATCCTCAGGCTCAGGATTGGGCTCAGGCTTCCAAGGTCACTGCTCCAAGTATGCGTATACCTACGAAGTACTAGCAATAATGGGCACCCTTCGCCTAAGCTTAACCTTGAACGATGACATCCACAGACTATTGTTCGGATATTCGATGGCGGATGGTGACCGGACTGCACTGGCCAACTTGACCACCTCGTACCTAGGTAGGCACGAGGGAGGCACATGTCCCAGCTGCCGCACGGTCACAATTACGACGGACAATGCAGGCGGTGTCTGTTTGACATTATGAAGAAACCAACTATGATGACGGATAGGATGGATAACGAACTAGTGAACTATCCATCCTATCCGTCATCCTACTCGTAGTCTCTTCAATGTCTGCTTGATGATACTTTCATTCCCCTTCGCAGCGCATCATTTTTCCACTGGTACCCACCCAGGTGGGAGTCCTTCAACTTGGGCCGAGTATATCCCTTTCAACTCGCCTCCCAACAAATCCCAACATTGGAGCCCCTCCAAGCTACCTCCACCTCCCGAGTACTAACCACAGAGCATTGAGGTTTAATCGACAAGTGCTCCTTTTGCAAGGCTGCGGGGTTTGAGCCCAGACAAGTTTGTTCTCTCTGGACATCCAAACTCTCTCAAACATTTCCAGCTCCCCAGGGCCCTGGCGTGCAGTGATGCCCTGTTCGTCAGATGTCCCGCAGGGCTGACCTTGCTGGAAGGACACGCAAAGTTCTCCACGACCAAAAGACACTTTGCATGTTTAAATGATCGCCTCGCCGATCTTGTCAATCATCCGGGAGCCTAATTGTCGCGATCAACCTCAGGCTGGAAACCTTCATCTCGGCCCTCCTGTCTGCCCAACCTGCCCCACCCCTATTTGATCTTCCTTGTCCAAAGCACAGGCGGACTGACTCTGCCGCACCACGTATCGACTGAGTCTTAGCTACCTCGCTAGGTTGTCCTCCCTGTCACCATGCGATTCCCATGCCCTGGCTTGAAGAACTCTATCTGGTGGTGGTCCGTAACCACTCCACTACTTGGTAGGTGTGGTATGGTACTATGGCGTCAGATTCGAATACAATGTGACCACTGACAGCGATGAGATATCGACCTACCAGTGCCGATGCTCAATGCTGAATCACTGCGAGGCATGCCACAAAGCTATCACGATAGCTATGGGTCCGCTGTCTTCTTTAGAAATTCGCCTAATGTAATATTTATAGTTTGACCAGTCCCTTGGCCACGAACTCTGTTGATGAACCGGCACTTTCCAACCATACGAAGTATAATACTTTGATACACCCCCGGGTCAAGTGTGGAGTACCGAGGTACTCAAGGGACATTTGAATTTGGGCCAATATGCACACTCCGCACGAGTCCTCAATACTGTAGATCCCAACTGCCTAACGCTTATCACTGGGTATCTATCGAGTACTTCGTACGCTATTATCCAGCCCTGTTTCCTTCCAGAAGCTGCATGCGAATCCGGGTAATTGACAGCAGACATCGCCATCGGCAGCCATTTCTTAACCCCTACCAGGCCCTCGACCAATCTCGCCCCAGTCACAACTGGCTCGCCGCCGATGATCACGCCACTCCAGACTAGCGCCAACCCGGCCTCGTCTAAGCGATAGCAAGGATGGCTTTTTTGGTGACAACATCGACGGCACTTCCTCCCTGATGGGTTTTCCCTCTAAAAAAAATGTGACCTGTTATATTTTACCCCGCCACCGTGGTTCCCGACCGCATTACCAAGACGCTTGGGCCTTTTTCTCGTGATCGAGTGTCGAGCAGTGAATGGCGCCAGGCCGTCAAAAGACCATGTTATTCGTATCCACGGAAAAACGAAACATCCTCGCCCTTGCGCAGATCTTACGAAGTACGCGGTAAAACTCTTTTCCTATGCCGTGGTCCAGTGGTCCATGTCCACGACATCCTACAGGCTCTCGAGTGCAGTGTGCATGAGGGGCAGGGGCCCTCTCGTCGGATAGTAGCTACCTAAGTAAGTTTCTACGTAAGCATAATCCTTAAGTTAAAAACTTGTGTACATTTCGCCCATGGCTCCTCCCTACTCCGTACTGACCCCAAGAACCCAGGTATTGGACTTAGTTCGCGCCGGCGAACTCAATCCGGTGCCGTATATCCAGGTCTCGCAAGCTACTCCATGGCTAAGTACCTAGGTAGCATCACACGCCGTGCGACACGGCTCAGCACAGCTCAGCTCAGCTCAAGACAAGACCGACCTTTTTCAAGTCAAAGTTCCCGTGAATTGTATACTACTAGCCCCCTCCTTGTCGGCCCGGTGGAGGTTCCCATCGAGATGTCATGCTCTTTCTTCCATTGACTGCACCCCAAGCAGTATCCGAGCAGTAGGCCTGATCTCCACCCACGCGTGAGTTCCGATGACACAAGCGGGCCACCACACCCTGGCATTTATGGAGAAGCAGACGGATCATTCCTAACGAGGCACAAGTTGTGATATATCAATGGCGCTGATGGATTGATTTCCTTCCCGTTTTGGCGTTGTTGCGCAATCCACCCTGGCGTGGTCTCTTTGAGTATATCTAAGATGGACATATATACATATATCTATATCTCTACCGTGACAGCAGGCCTTCCATCCCCCTGATGAACTCTTCAACGCCCCGCGGTCCGCCAACTTGCGTCCCCTGTGTCTGCCCAGACCATCCATCACGCCTAGTTAGTTGGCCCCGGTAATTCGTTCTTCGGAGCTGAAAGAGCATGAATGATAAGATCCTCCAGGTTTCGAAAAGATAAGTGATACTCAAAACGTCGATGAGCCGTCGTCCATGAATGAGGGAGCATTCTTCGGCAAGTCGACTTTCAATGCGCCCTTCAGGCCGATCATTTCCCTTGAGAATAGCTGGGACTGGGATTGGGGAGACTCGTCTGATGGACTTGATCCTGTGGCCGCTTGGCCATCGCTGGTCAGACAGACTGTTGGCACCAACGTAAATTCAGGCTCAAGGTGGTCTTTAATGCGCTATGTGAAATCGGACAGTCCCATTGGTGCACGCTGGTTGATCTGGAGATGAACTGGTGCTGGACTCGGGACTGGTATATTTCAGTCCGTCATCGAAAGCGGGGGAGGTCGGTTGGTGAATGAGAGAACCAACAATGGTTTGACCTGGTCGGGCAGGGTAGTGTGCCGGCGAAATTGATCCATCACATCCATTTTACCGCGGTCCAGAGGCGGAGAGACAGGAGCACGGAAAGTAGTTATACAAAATAGACTTGTTTGACTCGACTGGTTTATCTCGCCGTCATAATCCATGACCTGGATATCAAAACAAGGGCGCTAGGGGCTCTCTATCAAAGTAATAACAAAACAAGGCTGAATCTGCTCACTCGCACCACCTGTACCAAGATGTTCGCTCGCAGAAGAATGATGATGATGATGATCGTGGAAACGCCAGGCCCGAACAACTCCGTGCTACCCGTCTCTCCCATGACCGAACAACCGCCATATACCAGGTAGGCCGTGTGCCGCATGGTTGCCAACGACATGGGCCAAAGAAATGCAAACCGGTAGGCGTCACCGGCTACTTCTCAGCATGCTTTCCCGACACTGCGTCCTTGGCTTTATCTGCGAGAGCTCGGATGCCGTGTCGTTCCTTGGAGCCGCTGCGGCGGAAGGATTCGGAGCGCACCTTCTCGTTGTTTGCCCTTGCTTCGCGTTGCTCCAGTTCGCTCGGCGTATATGTGTTGGCGGCGCCTCCTACAGTGAGAACACGGGGTCATTAGAATCCGCTCTGGCATGCCTTGGTGGACAGGAGAGAAAAGCTTACCTCTGCCGGTATGGTGAGAGTGTTCAGGCAGTGTCAATCCCGGGACGTCGACATCTTGTGCTCGGCGAGCTTCCTCGGGGTTTTGAGGATCGTTGCGGGCCATGTTTCCTGTTCCACCCCGTCCTGTGGTGTAGATCTTCGATTTTAGGGTGGGAGTGGTCTCGGTCTTGGGACTGCCGACTTTGTCTTTGGTCGTCACATTGCCTACGTTACAGATTACGAGTCAGAATGCTTTGATTCGGTGCTGGACGAGGTCGAGGAGGAGGATAACAGGAGGACTCACCGGCACCACCGCGACCATACATGATTGGTTTTCCGCCCTCGGCCATGGCTGATTTTCAAGCGTTGTAGTTGTGGGGGTTTGGTCAATGGTCGCAAGGACTGGGAGATGCGAATGTTGCGAGAGAAGAGACACTGGAGATACGCGCTGATTGTGCTGTGCGGTTGAGTGCAAGAAGAGAAGTCGAAAAGTGAGATGATTCAAAGCGGGGAACCAGACCAAGGTCAAGTGTGACAGGATAGAAGGCAGGTCAAACAAAGGGCTTACTGCTGCTCAACTCACGAGAAGGGCTCAAGAGCGATGATGTACTGTGTAAGAAATGGTCAAGGAGTTGAGCACGGATGGTCACAGACAAAGTCAGTCCCTTTTTATCTTGTTTGACAATTAGTCGCGGTCCTTCTGATCTGAAGAGTTGCATCATGGCTTTTGGGCCCCGTTAGTCGTGCACTGACCAGTGACCACAATGACCAGGCAAAGCGACAACTGGGCCAAAAATGTTTGTAGGTCACACGTGAAAAAAGCTCAACCAAGTCATGGGTGAGGTTGAGGAAACTGTCTCGTAAGAGAAAACACCTCATTTGATGAAGTCACTCTTGGCACTCACCGAGGCTGTGCGGGTCGGTCATCACCTCATTCCTTGGTCGCCGGCAGCCTCCACTCATCTGGAAAAACTCATCGGGGGCCTATGATGTTTCTCCTTGGAGCCCTTTGATGCCTTGAATGTTACAGTAGCGTGAATAGCCCGAGATCTACCCCAGATCCACGTGCACCCCTCAATCCTTTTCCTTTGGCAAACGAAAAATTGGCATCAAAATTGTTCGTGGGCAGGGCGAAGCTTGGTCCAGGAGTGTCGCGAACTCTCTGAGGGTCAAGTCACGCCTGGAGGAGATTTTTGGGACTGAGAGGTGCACATGAACTACCTAGGTACTATTCCGGAGCAATCAGATAACCATCATAGCAAGTGCCTTTACGCGCTGATGAGGTAGTCAGTTGAATGATGGATGGTTCATCGAATGCTCTTTCCCCTGCCACTTCTATTCCAAGTCCTAGTAAGACTCTCCTTGACCTAGAAAAGGCAGCGACCGAAGAGAGATAACTCGCGATACGTGCGACATGTTCCAAATCCTTGGTGTTACTCGTACTCGTACTTGAGCTTCAAAATACCCACGAGTAGTAGAGCAATAGTAGATTTAGCGTGCGCTAGTGTCCGCTAGTGCATCAATACTAACAGATCAATGACGTAGTTTGCCAAGTATTACTGCATTTTGTTGGACTCGGAGCTTTTTCCAGTGGCATGTGTCAATCAACAATCAACAAGCCATGGTCCAGACTCTGAAGTTTCCAAGATGCTTTGATGGAAAGCATGGGCAGTTAGGTCCATGTACAACATAAAAGCCTTGCTTGTGTAGCTTAATAAGATGAAAACCGGGCATTGTCAGCCCGATGCTGTTCTCATCTGTAACCTCTTTGTTGAGACGGTGGGGTAATCCAGGAACACTTGGTCTCATAATCAGCCACTGACGAGTCAAAGTCGCTCCTCGACGATGCTTCAAAAGACCGGTCAGCAATACATGAGACAGAGAATGCATATCTTGTGGATTCGAGCTATTGAACGTCGACTCAGTATTGTAGGCTTCACCGCCCATGCAACCGTCGATTCCAGCGTCATCGACTGGGTCCCGGAGCCAACCACTTAAGCGAACCACCTGGGCAAGATTTGTCCGGAAATCTTTTGGTATGCAGGAACGGGCATTTGGCACCAAATTTTGACTTTACCATCTCACCATCCCGTCCCACGCTGCTCCTCCCACCTTCTCGCCGTTGAGCTAGCAACCATCTCATATCCGTCCACAAAATTCATCGCTGATTGCCGCTTTGCCCCTTTGCTTTTTCCGGTTTCCATTTGAGCATCTGTGTAGACAATTATTTTTATTCATCGGCTCTCCATCACAATTGTCCTCTTTCTGGCCGTTGTACTTACCCCTTCATTCCCGCTTAAGAAGTCTGTGGACCAAGAAAATGCAGTAACGACCCATTACACTTTCGCCTGCAATCATCCTGCCACCTTCTCTGCAACAATGCCACCAAAGACCCATCAAGGCTCGCGCCAGGTCTATCTGCTACCTTTGACTGATTTAGGTGCCCCAAATGTCCCAAATGAGTACATCTATCTCCCTGCGCCCACCGATCCAGCCTACTTCCTAAGGTTCGCCATCGAAGGTGCAAGCTCAATATGTCGACAAGGAAGCTTGTGGGTCAATATTCCTCAATCTGGGGAGAAATTCGATCGCAATCATTTCCGCGAATTCAAACTTCGACCCGATTTCAATCGAACCCTCGAAATTGACATCCCAATCACCTGTGCCGGTGCCTTTTCCTTCTACACCACATATACTCCCCTCCCAGAGTTCTCTACCTCCAAGGTTGACACTCCCGAGCCTACCCGCACTCCCACTTACTATGTCGACATTGAACCAAAACTGGTGCTTGGAGGTTCAAGCCTGCCTTTGGATGCCCTGGGCATCTTCTCTGTGGTCTCCAAGTTTATGGGGAAATATCCTGGAGATTGGAATAAACACCTCCGAGGTATCAGCGCGAGAGGCTATAACATGGTTCACTTTACACCACTCCAACCACGAGGGGAGTCCAACTCTCCCTACAGTCTATACGACCAGCTCTCCTTTGATACGGAATTATTTCCCGAAGGCGAAGCTGGTGTTGTAAAGTTGATCAAATCTATGGAGGAAGAGCATGACCTCCTTGGTTTGACGGATGTCGTCTTCAATCATACCGCAAATAATAGCAAGTGGTTGGAAGCTCATCCAGAGGCTGGTTACAACGTCGAAACTTCTCCTTGGCTAGAATCCGCCTTGCTCCTGGACGATGCACTTCTGGAGTACAGTGGCCAGCTTAAGAAACTTGGTCTGCCGACGGATCTTCGCGACGGCAGTGATCTAGACAAGGTCATCGGAGGCATCAAGGAACATGTAATCAACAAGATCCGCCTATGGGAGTTTTTCGTGGTCGATGTTGTGTCCGACGCCCAAGCAGTGCTTGAGGCATGGAAGAACGGTGAAACGAAAATCCCATCCGGTTCATTTGACAATTCCATAGGTGGCGGTCTCGATCAGCTCAAGGAATGGTCACTTTACGAAAAGGCAACCTTCCTGAAAGAGAAGGGCCTTCTCAATGGTCTGCGTATTGATGGGCGATACTCCCGAAAAGTCGATCCAGCAGTGGGGTCCGCATTACTGACCGCACTTTATGGACGATATGGAGGTAGTGAGAATTCGTCGGCGGAGTCTGGCATCAAGGATATTCTGAACGAGTTAAACCTGCCATTCTACCGTGAGTATGATGCAGATACAGCCGCCATTCTAGAACAAGTTAAGGGGAGGTTACAGTATACTAGACTTGATGCAAATGGCCCAAAAGCAGGGCCAATCACAGAAAAAACTCCTCTGATCGAGACCTATTTCGCTCGTCTACCACTCAACGAAACTACCCAAAAGCACAATCCTAAATCTCTTGCTCTGGCGGTGAATGGTTGGATTTGGGCAGCAGACGCTATGAAGGACAATGCGGGTCCAGATTGGAGGCCATATCTCAGAAGAGAACTCATACCCTGGAGTGATTGTGTCAAATTGCGATACGGCAAGGGTCCAGAAGACAATCCATTCCTGTGGGAACACATGACCAAATATGTGCAGCTGATGGCCAAGTACTTCACAGCCTTCCGCATCGACAATTGCCATTCTACTCCTATTCACGTTGCTGAGTATCTTCTCGATGAGGCCAGAAAAGTTCAGCCGAACCTGGCAGTCTTTGCAGAGTTGTTCACTGGAAATGAGGCCACAGATTTCATCTTCGTCAAGCGTCTGGGCATCAGTGCGCTGATTCGCGAGGCAATGCAAGCTTGGAGTACACAGGAATTGAGCCGAGTTGTTCATCGACAATCTGGTCGACCCATTGGTAGTTTTGAGATCAACGTTCCTTCAAGAAGTGCTGCCAAACAATCCAATAACCTCGTCAATGGCAATGGCACTGCTCCTACCACCAAGGAGGTCGTCAAGCACATTCGGGAGTCGCCTGTACACGCCCTATTCATGGATTGTACGCACGACAATGAGATGCCAGCACAGAAGAGAGATGCTCGGGATACCCTACCTACTGCTGCTCTGGTCAATATGTGTGCATGTGCGACGGGAAGTGTGATGGGTTTTGACGAAATCTATCCCAAGATTGTCGAGATCGTTCACGAAAATCGGCAATATACCTCAATTAGCTCCGAGGGTGAAGTCCACACTGGTGCGGGTGAAGGGGGCATTGCTGGTGTCAAGAAACTCCTCAACCATATCCATACCATGATGGGTAAGGACGGTTATGACGAAACCTTCCTTCATCATGAAGGTGAAATAATCACTCTTCACCGTGTCCATCCGGATTCTCGAAAAGGTTACTTTCTAATTGCCCATACCGCATTTCCTGGTAGTGGAAATGGAAATGGAGGTTTAAGTCCAGTTCACCTTGCCGGCACTAAGGCTAAGGTGGTTGGATCTTGGGTTTTGGAAGTGGATCAAAGTGAAGCCGCCAAAAAGGAGGCCATCGATGATAAAGAATTCTTGGTAGGCCTACCAGCTCGAGTCAGGAATATCAAAGGCGCAACGATTGAAACAGAAAACGGCGATACGACCATCAAGGTTGCCGACTATTTCCCTCCTGGGTCCATCGCATTGTTCGAGACTTGGGTACCCTCAGCCGAGCATTCACAGGGATTGGGAGCATTCATCGCAAGTGGTGTTGAAGAAGGATTTGGTGAATTAGATCTCATCGATCTCAATTTTCTTCTCTACCGATGCGAGGCAGAAGAGCGGGATTCAAGTGGCGGTCAAGATGGCGTGTACAATATCCCGGGGCACGGTCCGTTAGTCTATGCCGGTCTTCAAGGTTGGTGGAGTGTCGTTGAACCGATTGTTCGGAAAAACGACCTTGGTCACCCTCTTTGCAGCCATCTCCGCGAAGGCCAGTGGGCATTAGATTTCCTGATTGGACGGATTGAAAGAATATCCAAACAAGAAGGGTATTCACGCTTGCAAAAACCCGCTCAGTGGCTGAAAGAACGTTTCGATGCTGTTCGAAGCATACCAAGCTTCCTCCTGCCACGATACTTCGCCCTGATTGTCCAGGTGGCGTACGATGCCGCCTTTAGTCGAGGGATCCAACTTCTGGGTCCCAGCATCCAACACAGTCAAGAGTTCGTGCAAAGTCTGGCTATGGTCAGTATTCAGCAAACAGGCTATGTGAAGTCGGGATCTCTTTGGCCGACCAGGCTTGTGCCGTCTCTCGCCGCCGGCCTGCCTCACTTTTCTGTGTCATGGGCTCGATGCTGGGGCCGTGACGTTTTCATTTCTCTCCGAGGACTGTTCCTTTGCACAGGACGGTATGAAGAAGCCAAGGAGCATATCAAAGCATTCGGTAGTGTACTGAAGCATGGACTCATACCTAATCTGCTTAGCAGTGGAGCAGCTCCAAGATACAATTCGCGAGACTCTCCGTGGTTTTTCCTCCAGAACATACAGGATTACACGACAATTGTACCGGAAGGACTATCAATCCTGAAGGAGAAGGTGCCCCGTCGATTCCTACCCTATGACGATACTTGGTTCCCACATGACGACCCGCGAGCATATTCCAAGGAATCTACAGTTGAGGATATTGTTCAAGAGATCCTTCAGCGCCATGCATCTGGATTGTCTTTCCGAGAATATAACGCGGGTCCTAACCTTGACATGCAGATGAAACCAGAGGGATTCCAAATCGATGTCAAGGTTGACTGGAAAACAGGAATCATCTTTGGAGGTAGCCAGTCCAATTGCGGAACGTGGATGGACAAGATGGGTGAGAGTGAACGGGCTGGTAGCAAAGGTGTGCCAGGTACACCGCGAGATGGAGCTGCTGTTGAGATAACTGGGCTCTCGTACAGTGCCTTGAAATGGGTTGCCGAGCTACACAAGGCAGGCAAATACCAATATTCAGGTGTCGAGACAGACCAAGGTGAAAAGATTTCTTTCGCTGACTGGGCCGGGCGCATCAAGGCGAACTTTGAGAAATCATATTGGGTTCCTGTTGATCCCAAGGAGGATATTGATGATGACGTGGATCCCAAAATCATCAACCGTCGCGGTATCTACAAAGATCTGTACCGGTCTGGGAAAGAGTATGAGGATTACCAGTTGCGACCGAATTTCCCGATTGCCATGACCGTGGCGCCGGATTTGTTCAGCCCCGATAAAGCACTGATCGCCCTGAAGGCGGCAGATGATTTTCTACGTGGACCCACGGGAATGGCGACTCTTGACCCATCCGACCTGAATTATCGGCCTTATTACAACAACTCTGAAGACTCAACTGACTTTGCAACATCCAAGGGAAGAAATTACCATCAAGGGCCGGAATGGTTGTGGCCGACCGGGTTTTTCCTCCGGGCACTTCTCAAATTCGATTTGATGAGACAAACTACAGCAGCCGGTAGATTGGAGTCGTTCCAGCAAGTTACTCGGCGTCTCGCCGGTTGCAAACAGGCCATCAAGGACAGTCCATGGAAGGGGTTGACAGAGTTGACCAACAAGGATGGGTCTTATTGTGCAGATTCGGTAAGTCTAGACATGATTTCTTTGACTGTCGTGATAAGGGTGCTAATTATGATTGATATAGTCGCCCACTCAGGCATGGTCTGCAGGATGTCTAATCGACCTGTTTCACGATGCATCATCATTGACGGCGGAAATGGATGATTTATGAAGGATGAGATCATGAACCTAGACACAGGAGGAGAAAGACTATTTTTATAGGTAGAAGAGGTATTGATACACGAGATAAGCTGTGGGAGAAAAGACAGTATTGTTCCTGTAATTAATATGAGTATGACTATATATACCTAGTAAGGTAGATTGGTCGCTATATTTACGGCCTACTGCGAATATCCGACCACGGACCATGATGATTTGACTTTCCGTCCAATCGTGGGTCGGTAGTTTCTCTCTACTAAGACTTAGTTGAAGGAGTCAGACCAAGACTCCTGATGAGGCACATGGCACATGCAGGAACAAAGTCTACCTATGAGACTTGAACTGGCTGGTGCGCGTTGACTTTTGGGCTGGACAGGTCTGGCCACTTCTCTTGCCGGCACCGTCACCGCCAACTAACTCAGCACTTGACATTGAAGATTTACCACATTCTCTCGCCCCTCCAAGTTCTTCGCCTCTATTATTACATTCACCTTCTCTCCCTCCCTCTACTCTACCACCTAATACTAGACCATCCCTATTCATTCCTCTTCATTCTCATCCAGGTTGCTGTGTTCTTCATTCGTTCTACCCTAATACCTGGCCCATCATGGCTGTAAGTCTCTCTCGGTGATTTCTCTCTCCCACACAGATTATTTTTATTTCCCCGCAATTTTGACTCATTGCGCGTAACCTACTGACTCTTACCAGACTTACTACATCAACAACTCGCATGTCGGTGACAAAGAGAGCTCAGAAGATTGGCGAAGTATGCCTCCCATTTTCCCCTTACTGCCCCATACTCCTCTACTACTTCACCATCTCCATCTGTCATGTCTCAAAAAGCTGACTGCTGACCCTAGTTCGTGGCTACAACCCTCTCACACCGCCCGATCTTCTTCAACATGAAATCCCTCAGACAGCTGCCTCCAAGCAGACCGTGCTACAAGGACGTGATGACTGTGTCGCCGTCGTCCAAGGCACCGATCCTAACCGACGCCTGCTCGTGATTATTGGACCTTGCAGCATCCATGACCCCGTCTCAGCACTAGACTACTGCGACCGTCTGCTGAAGCTGAAAGAGAAGTACAAGGACGACCTGGTCATCGTCATGCGATCCTACCTAGAGAAACCCCGCACTACCGTCGGCTGGAAAGGCTTGATCAACGACCCCGAAATCGATGGCAGTTTCCTCATCAACAAGGGCTTGAGACTTAGTAGGCAGCTCTTCGTCGATCTGACCGCCAAAGGTATGCCACTAGCCTCTGAAATGCTCGATACCATCTCCCCCCAATTCCTCGCCGATCTCCTCTCCATCGGCGCCGTGGGCGCTCGAACCACCGAAAGTCAGTTGCATCGGGAGTTAGCGTCCGGGTTGTCGTTCCCTGTGGGTTTCAAGAATGGTACAGATGGTACATTGGGTGTCGCCATTGACGCCATCGGTGCCGTGCGCCACCCACATCATTTCCTCTCCGTCACAAAACCCGGCGTTGTCGCTATCGTAGGCACTGTCGGGAATGAGGACTGTTTCGTCATCCTGCGTGGCGGTACCACGGGGACGAATTTCGACAAGGAGAGCATCAGACAGGCCAAGGAGAAATTGCAGGCTAAGGGTCTTGCTGCCAAGGTCATGGTCGATTGCTCACACGGAAACAGCGAGAAGAACCATGCCAATCAGCCCAAGGTTGCAAAGGTCATCGCGGAGCAGATCGAGGCAGGTGAAGAGGGAATCATGGGTGTCATGATTGAAAGTCACATCAATGAAGGTAAGATTCAAAAACCCTCGCATATATTTCATCCATTCAATTTTCTGCAACGCAGCCACTAACACTGCTTCCCTTCCACTAGGAAATCAAAAAGTCCCCAAAGAGGGCAAAACCGGCTTAAAGTATGGTGTCTCCATCACCGACGCTTGCATAGGCTGGGAAGACACCGAATCTGTACTAGAAGTCCTTGCATCGAGCGTAAGCAAAAGAAGAGAAAAACTCGGCCCTAAGAGCGCACCAAACGGTACATCGACGAAGAGCAACGGCGTCACGGAGAACGGACATTCTTGATCGATTGACCGTTTGCATTGAGCTCCTCCATCGAAAAAGCTTTCCTCCAGCCGCGTCTCTGGTATATCGCTGTGCAACTCATTTCTTGTCTGAGCTACTGGCATCTCAGTGGCGATGAAATTTGGCTAGAGACCTCTGTAAGGGCTTCTTCCAACGACGGAGCTTGGATCATCCTCTATTTTCTTGATCACCCAGTTGTTTGGCACATGGCTCATTGTAGGACCGCTCTGCCTGACTCATAGGCGAAGAATTGGATGCGACCGGGTATATTCTTGGACATACAACCCTGTCTACAACACTAACGAACCATATGCATGCACGAAAGCCAAAAAAACACTATCCCATTAATTACATTACATATGTTTCCCACGACTCACCATGCCAGAGGTTCTCTTGCTTCGCCTCAGAGCCACCCGAACATTGGGTAATTAACTGGATCAGATCATTTGAAAACCAAAAAAGCAGTGCGATGCCGAATGCGCATGCGAGTCTGAATTGATAGATGGGGCATTCACAGCCACCTAGATACCTACCTACCCTACTAAGCATACAACATGCATGCATGCAGTTAATTTGTTTTATGCCAACGTGTGGGATGTTTGGATTCCTTGATGAGAGAGACCCAAAAGGGAAAAAAGCATATCAAATCAAATCAAATCAATAATGCCTATGCCTGCCCTTTATTACAAGTATCTTTTGAGAACCTGGGTGGGACTCTTCCCTTTCACGCCCACTTCCGCCGTCTTCGAGAAACCCATGGCACATTGCTGCCAAGGACTCTTTCGATTTTGTTGGGAAACTCCCTGCCTGCCCATATCTCGCGACAATGTGTAGAGATTTGTAAGGACTCGGGAGAACGAGAACGAGAACAAGAGCGAGAGGTAGGATAAGAATAGATCATTTGGTAGGTGCCAGATTAAGTGGCACGATTCAACCTCTACGTACATGCGTAAATACATACATACGTATATATGATTCAGATTTATTGGATACAGTAAGCAACAAGCGAAGAGGGCCACCAGTTAGGTGGCCAGCTAGAGAAGGGGGATAGAGAAAAACCCTCTCACTTCGCGCCTCTCACTATAGCAGGCGTTAATCCTGTCCAATGTAGTCCAGTCCAGTCCAATTCAACTCGCGTTCAGTTCCTTCAGCCGCGGTGTCTGACACAGAGGAAGCTAAAAAAGGAAAGAAAGAAAGGACCAGCCCTAGATCAAGACCATACGTCTGCCCCATGGTCCAATATTTGACGCAGTTTCCATCGCGAGGATGAAGGGAGGGTAGAACCCCAAGAAACGAGATCAGTGTGGTAAGGAGGGCAAGAATTGAATAAATAAACCTGGTATATAGAAGCAAAAAAGGGGGGAAGAACACGCGGCTTTGATCAAAGATTCTGAGGGTTTTCGCCCGGAGCTGTTCGTGCGAACCATGTGTGCTGCGCAGATCGGGTCAGACAGACGTACTCTCAGCTCAGCTCGGTGGACGTCAACTGAGGGTTGTACTCAAGAGTCAAGACGTGCTCGGGATGGCTGGGTTGGTCGGTCGGTTGGTCGGGCGTTGCAATGAATTCCACTGCATTGAGTTTTGACTGGGCATGAGCGAGGGTAAGAATTGAAAATGGACGGGAATATAGTATAGTCAGTGCTTAGACGGGCGACTGACTTGAGATAACAGGCGATATCCGAGGTTTAGGAAAATAGTCCGCTCTTGCGTGCTGTGCTGAGAGAGTGGAAAAGGGGGTTGGAGGTGTCATTAAGTAGTGGTGTGTGTGTGCATGAGATGTGCGGTATGAAACGTTGAGCTCGTTGAGCTGTGGGACGAAACGGAAGCGTGAGCATCGTCTGGGAACGAACAAAAAGCCAGGCGAGGCGAGGCGAGGAGCGTTTTCTCTTTTTCATCTTCAGCGTCGCCCGTGTCAGTTACGAGGCTGAAATTCCTCGACGACAGGTGTGTTGAAATGGAATCCACCAGAAGTGGATTTCCCGGAGAGACTGAGTTGATAAAACAGTGAGACAAACCCGAAGCGTTGGTGATCAGCTGAAATCGTTGCCGTTTTTCTCTCTGTTGAAATGAAAAGATAAAATACAATAAGACCTCCCGAGAAACGACGATGGTGGCGCTGGCGATAGCAGACGAGCAGGACATCCGACTTTTCCAGACTCCGGATCTTTCCCCCCTTCTTCCACCCATCAAATACCACAAAACTCCGAGTCCGCCATCGCTACAGACATAGCAAGGCTCTCTCTATTGAATCAACTAAGCCTGGCCCTCGCGCTGCCCCTTGGGCTTCCCCTTCCCAGGCATACCGTATTTCCTAGCCTCGCCCTTCGGATTACCATCTGCAGCTTTCTCCAGGTCACGCACAACCCGGGGTTTATTTTTGATGCCGCCGATATTGGTCCAGACGCCAAACTTCCAGTCTTTGTAGGGCAGATTGGGATTGCCGATGGTGAGGTCGAATTGATCTCCATTGCCTTGGTTCTGCCACCAGTCCCACGTGCCGAACATGTCGAACTCGCCTTTATAGCGCTTGTCCAGGTCGCTCGGCGCGCTGTTATCGCTGCCGTGTGGCCGGAAGCAGCCGCAGCGGATGGTTGGCTCGTTGACGGCGTCGGTCTCGACAAAGTCTTGGAAGCAGTTGCATTCGACGCCGGCGTATGGGTCGGATGGGTCCTCTGAAGACCTGTTGGTGTCCTCGTCGCTGCGGCGTTGGTGTTTGTCTTCGCCCCAGTTCTTGCCTTCACCCCAGTTTTTGCCCTCGCCGCCTTTGCCTTCATGGCCTTCCTTGTCGTTGCCGCCCCATTCGCCCATGCCGCCGCCACCGCCACCGCCAGCACCGCCAGTGGGTTGGTGGCCTTGTCCGCCACCAGTTCTTGATGGCCAGTTGCCATATGTGCCTGTGTGCCAAGAGCCGCCACCTCTGCCGCTACCATAGCCTCCACCGCCCTCACCAGGGTCCCGCTTCTGGAAGCCAGTGCCCTCCACATCGTGGTAGAAGTCAAGGTCTCCATCAGGAGCAGACTGAGGAGCTGGCACCGCGCCTGCGCGTGCCAGCGTGAAGGCCAGGATGGCTGCGGCGGTTGATGTCGAAAATCTCATCGTCGAGCAAGTTTTTGAATATGAAGGTTTGTTTTTCTTTTATTTTTCTTTCTGATATTGGATAACCTGGATCCGGTGAAGCGAACGTATGGAGAGGAAGGGGAAGAAATCCCGAGGTGTCATCGCTAGACTTTGCGATCCTTATCTATGTATACAACATGCTATTGTATTTATCAAGCACTCACCTTTAAGTGGGTAGGAGACAAAGAAGAAGCTTCATGTATGATGGAAGCGTCAGTCAGTCACAAGAGGATATGTCGTTTGACAAAGTCTCTAGCATTTGGAGAAGAATGGACTGGGTAACCGCAAAGAGATTTGAATAAGCCGACACAAAAGAAACATAGCTTGGAAGGAACAGGCACAACTTGCCGGATGTCGGCCTCAATAGATGCCCATGGTTGACGCCCGGACCTCAAGACTGATTGTTCCATGGCCGGGAATGCATCTCAATAAGCCCTTGTACCTGATCGTTTTGGCACACTTCAACCTCGCAAAAACGGAAGCGCACAAAACGAACTTCGGGAAGCAAACTCGGTTCCAATGAATGTTTAGTGATTGAATAAAGTTCTGCTAAGTTAATGGTATGAGAAGTTTGGGTAATCGCTAAATCGCTGTTGATGTGATGAAATCATGGGAAAACTGGGTTGGAATGAAAGGCTCAAAATTGAGCAATAAGATTGGAACCAGCCTAGACTGCCACAGCATTCTCTTGAACCGGCTCTGGTCTGTCCTCCACTCCTTCTATAGGTGACTCGGGTTGAATTTCTTCTATAGTGGAAATATTCTCAATTGGTGTTTGGTTTGGTACTTCCTCCTTGACTTCCGCCACATGCGATTCCTCCTCAATGGGCGTGGGCGTGGGCGTGGGCGTGGGTAGCTCTTCTTTATCCTCTGCTGTGATTTTATCGTCGGTGATTTTCTCAGTAGCTGTACCTTCGTTTGGGTCCAGAGAAGGAGTATTTTCGATGGGCTCTTGCGGCACTTCGATCTTACTCTCAGATGCGACTGGTGCATCACCTTCTTTGATCTCTTCCACGTCTAATTGAGGTGGTTGCACGGTTTCGTCCGGCGAAAACACATCTTCGTGACTTGCTTTGTCTGCCTCGTTCTCATTGGTCACCATCTGTGGCTTTGCGAGCTGCGTTTTTGGTGGCGGTGGTGCTTTCTTTGTTGTCACATCCTTGGGTCTATGCGAAGTTGAAGTTCTTGGACGCGGAGGGCTATTAACTTGAACCTTGTCGTGTGTTTTCTGAGCACTACTTGTAGTCGGTCGCATCATTCTGGCCAAGAAGCCTTCATCAGGCTTGCTTGCTTGTACGCTGACTCGAGATTTGGGTCGCTCATGCTTATCGTGTCCGTTAACCAACGAAGCACGGGAAGGTTTCTTTCCCAATGTGGAGGTGGTGGATGAAACACTCGCGCGTGGTTGTCGAATGGACAAAGTCGAAGACTTCTTTGTGACTGGTTTGCGGAAATCAGGCTCGGTAGGGGACAAATGTGTGTCCTTGGCAGCTGATGAAGCGGTATTTGCTGTTGCAGCAGTCGGAAGTCTTGATGGTCTTGTGGGAGACTTTGCCCTGATAATTTTGGATGATCTCGCTACTTGTGGTGATGCTGGGGCTTTTTCCTTCTTTGTAACCTCACTTGTCGACTTGGCTTTTGTCTTTGTATCCAGCTTGGGCGCAGTGGGAGCTTTCTCTTGCTTCAGAGTTGGTTTTGACTCAACTCTAGCTTGTTGAGCTTGCTTGGCTGATTCCATGACACCTCTGATTTTTGCAGGCCCTCCTTTGACACTGGTTACTGGTGAGGTTGGAGTTTTCGGAGAAGGCTTGGAGATTACGGGGGATTTAGGAATTGACTTGGTTGCCAGTCTGGTTGGAGGAGGTTTGATGGGCTGTGTGGACTTTGTGGTCTGCAGGGTTGTTGGTGGAGGAGGACCGGATCTGCCATCAGTTTTCATGTTCTTGACCATAGTGGCTGCGTTTGCGCTTCCGTTTTCTTTGGATGGAGAGTCTCGAGTTGGGTTCTGCAGTCTTCCGGAAGACAGAGCTTCACCCAGATTCTTTGCATTCGAGGTGACTGAAGTGGTCTTGGGAACCTTTGACGGAGTTTCGGCAAAGGCAGAGCCCTTGAGTATCTTGCCTAGCCCACCATCCAGGGTACCATTGGTAGAAGATTGAGCCCTTCCGTAGGGCGGGCGAGCGTCATGCCTAATGTCTGCATCTGTCCTGACAGAAGAAGACCTCTCAAGATGACCGGCGTCCATTGTTGCGTTCTCTTGAATGCCACCTAGGCTGCTGACTTCACTGGCCCTTCTAAGACCGAGGATAGGAGGACCGCCGTTCTCGCCAGGTCTTTCCACAGCGACGAAGCTTGCCCTAACTTTGCTGACAGGTCGGCTACCGTTTGAGAATTCTGAAGGATTGGGGGATCGGCCTCGGCTTGGTGGAGATGTAGATTGATCACCGCCTTTGTTCTCGAACATAGCCCGTAGGTTCCTGACTCCGCCATTTCCAGAATTAGCGGACATGGTGGATGGGAATTGGGCAAGCGCAAGTCAGGTGAGGTCAGGTCAGGCTTGCGGAAGCAGGTGCGAAGAAGATTTGAAGACAGCAAGCGCCGAGGAGGAAGGAGAAAGGGAGGATTAAGATTCGAAAGCGGTCATCTTGGGCAACCAATATTAAATGGAACGCGATGATGAAGAAAGCAACGAGGAGGACCAAATGTGTACAATGAATAGAGTAGGGCTGAGAGCAGAGATGACTTGGAGGATGTCAGTCGATCGTAGATGGTAAGTCGAACATGAAGTGGAATGGAAATGAATGGTGGACCGTGGTGGTGAATCGTCAGTGGATCCGGGGTTCGAGTTTGGGAAAAAAGCAGGACAAGGGGTGATTTGGTAACCAAGGCTGGTTAACGCAGAGACTGAGACGCGTTTTGTAGGAGGGAAGAAAAACGAGACTTGGTACGAGATGGGGACTCACCAGTAACAGTTTCTTCAGGTTACACACGTCTTGTGTCTCCGTATCCAATGGGTTCGGTCGATGGCGGTGACTTGAACAAGACTGGCTCGGTAAGCTGTCATACTACGTGAAGGGAATATCGCTAAAAGCTCCAAAAGCTCTCGAAGCATCTCTCATCTGCCTGGCAACTCGTCAAAACTTTACTTTTCAGGGGTTCTGCGCGTCGCCTTGCACTACAAGTATGTTTGAACCACCCTCCTACCAGTTACAATCTACCCAAGTAATAAACTCGGGCTACCTACTAGCTACCTAGGTCGACATCACCTGTAGCGCTCTCCATTAGATCTCGTATCTTGTGTTCTAGCATTGAAGGTTGCTGTCCACATCACCCACTAGGAGCTGCTATGTTTTTCACGTGATGACTCAAGGAGGCAGTCACGCGTCTCGTGTCCCGGGCCGATGAAATTCCGGGTCTGTGATGTCGATGTGCAATATCTATACTACTTTCAATGTTTACACTCCATCTTTCCACTGTTCCCGCACCTTATCAGCCTTGACAGGCTTCGCACTAACCAGGTACACCAATTTCTCGGTCCAAAAGTGCGACACAATGGCCTGGAAGAGTGGAATACTCCCAAAGATCGTCCCAGAGATGGGGAATATAAAGTAATCAACAATCGCCGTCAGTGTCCATCTTTTCCGGTGAGAGAAATCATCTTCCATCTCTTCATATAACCCCGCTCTTCTCATCTCGTGCTCTCGCGCACTTATGCAGACCTGGTGGTATTTCTCATAGAAGATAACAAAGTAGATCGTCATCAACGCGAATCCTGCTGCTCGCATGTAGGAAGTCATGTCGAGCGCATATGACAAGATCTGCCATTGGTTGTCCGGGTGGATCAACGAGCTGTAGAGGGCGGAAGCGAGCAGGACAAGGAACAGATGGTTTGGTAGGAAGTGCGCCTCAAAGAGCCGGGTGAAGACCACCGCATTCCTCCACGTGTATCTCTTGACTTCGCCTTGGTGGACCGAATGCTGTCCGAGCTTCAACCGGAGCAGGACATGCGAAGGCAATGATGACTCCCGTCCAAAAGGACTCTTGCTCCCAGAGTCTCGTCGTTGTGAGAGCTGAAACCATTGTCGCACAGCGAAGCCTGTATCAAGTGACCCCCACATATGTCTCAATCCTTGTGAGTATCTTGCTTGATGGTTGGCTGCCCAACCACGTATTCCAGACTTTCCTGTGCTGACATTACACTGACTCGCTGGACTTGGAATGCTGATGGTGCGTAAATGTCCGCCCGTCGCGAAATAGCATTTCAGCAGCATATGCAGGTCTTCACCAATGGCCTCGGAACCAGTGTCCCAACCACCTACAAGGCAGGCAAGGGAAAGCGAGATGGTATATACCGCGGTAGGGATCGCTACTGCGTCACGGCGGGCTCTTCCATTGAAGCACGACAGTCCTGCTCCGCACCACATGAGATCTGCCATGCGAACGAGTCGAGGTACACGGCTGGCGTTGCGATCGAAGACAATGGGCGGCATATAAAATGTGACGTCTGAAAGCCCAATCTCACCTCGCGTGCGCAGATGGTTTTGGAAGATGAGTTCAAAGTATTGACTTAAAAGGTGAGTGTCGCCTGAGTTTCGTTAGCCAACATTGTGAATTGAGAGACTGCAACACTCACTATCCATCACCGTGATGAGTACATCAGTCCAATCAGGCTGATTGACATATTTCTTCTCCACTGCTTTGGCAGCCCAGCTGACATTGCTACTCTTTCCAGGGGCTTCTCCTTCAATGCCGTTAGGATGTAAGGTGAATTGAAGATCCCGAAACTTGTGCTTGAAGAGATCAATGAGGCTCGTTGCCACCGCAACACCATTTGGATCTCTTGCTTCCATAGCTAGGAAAACCTGCAACGTCAATCAGCAATTGTGTGAGTTCAGGTTTGGAAATATCCCTACATCATAGCAAGCCTTTGCATGACGATGGCTCGCGAGTACCCGCAACGTTGTCTCAAGTATGTCAATTTCCTCTTTATAACTTGGCACGATAATGGCCATGGTCACCCTTGGAGACTCCCCTGCTGCTCCGACAGGCTCAAGTCTCGTCGATGGACCAGGTACATCTTCCAGAATGCTCCCTTTATGATATGAATGGGTTTCTTCGATCTGCTTCGTTGCGAAGTATACAGCGGCGCATAACCGCAAAGGGAAGATGAGTGCGAGGAGGTGGAGGAATAGTGAGTAAGAAACGAACAATGCTTGCGCAAGAAAAGAAGCATTTTGGTGTAGAAGGAAGGCCGGGTAGAAGTAACGAATCCATTCTGTTTCGACTATTTTCAACGACACCTCCAGCAAAATGAGCAGAGATATTGTTGAGAAGCCAGGAATACAGCGAGAAAACCAGTTGCTCACTTTCATATTGTCTGAGTCCTGCTCAAGTAGGTTGGGTGTATTTGAATGATGCGCGCCGAAGAAATGTTTGGGGTGCAGATGACAACAGGATCGACAGAGATCCCGGCAGAACAGAGCGAGTAGTCTGCATTATCAACTTCGCATACAGAGTTATTGTACATCTCCTTTCGACCCATAATGGTCCATATTTGACATCTTGGGCAACGGAACTCCTCTCCAATTCAGGAGGATCGTGCTGCGTACTTAATCAGACATTGGCCCTCTTGGCATTCCTTCCGCATGCTGAAGGAACTATTGTGGCACATGGAACCGAACTTTGGGCTCACTTCCCCATTTCATTGACCACAATTCACCACAGGACCCAGCTCGTGGGCATAATGGTCTGCAATTAGCTTGCAAGCAAGACTTACCTCTCTGAAAATTGTTGGTGTCTTTTCTGACCAACCAATCAAATGCTCAGGATTGGGAGGGTGCCCCCTATCATTTGCCGTCGAATAATGAGCCACCGAAAGTAGTCAATACCCTAAAGAAGTTACATGTTGATTCAGTGTGGACGCTGTCGCAGGATCTTGTTTGATCCCAACTCAGCCATGCGCAGACTGCGGTCCAGCAGGCAACGGATAGGGACATATAGAAACCAAAGAGTACTTCTGAATGTACCGTGGAAGGATCGATTTATATCTTTTTTCGCCATGGATTTGACAAGCCAATGGCCTTCGTGAAACGGCTTGGAAACCATCCGAGTCTTCCGGCTGACGGTCCTACCAGTTATTCACAAATGTCTTTTCCGCACAAATCCTGGGTTAGCATGTCTAGAGTTGTAGGTATTGATGTGGTGTTTTTATCAAAATGAGAGACGTCACACTAACAAGGAGGGTCAGATACACCGTTCGCAGGCTGAGTGCAGCTCTTTGGAAAATTGCGGTGGTCCCATCGATCCTCTTCATACTTTGGTGCTCCGGGGTGGCCGTCATCTTCCTTATCCTTTGGTGCAGGGGTTCAGAGACTGCGAGCATTTCGGGGTACCCATCAACATCCAGAATCGAACATCAGCTCAAGAAGCATGCTAATCTGAGTGCCCGGCTCTGCGTGCCACCCCTTCGCACGAACGGTCGAGATATTGTCGACGATACTGGTTTCCGATGCAAGCTCAGTTCGGTCAATTGGTATGGAGCAAGCGATATCTTTATGGTACCCGGCGGCCTGGATGTGCGTCACCGACGCCAAATCGCGAGAACAATCCGTAGTCTGGGGTTCAACAGTGTTCGGTTGCCTTACGCGGATGAAATGGTGAAAGAAAATCCCCGTATCGAAGGGAAATACCTGGCAGCCAACAGAGATCTTGTTGGCAGATCGGCGTTGCACATATTCACCGAAGTGGTCAACGCTCTGACAGATGTTGGACTTGCAGTAATCGTAAACAACCACATTACTCAAGCCCGGTGGTGTTGCGATGCTTTGCCTTGCGATGCATCCTGGTCAAATCAAGGAATTCCATTTTGCCCTGTGCATCAAACGGAAGAAGACTGGGTGGAGAATCTCGTTACCGTCATGGCGCCACATGTATTGAACCCACTTGTTGTTGGCGTGGATCTTCGGAATGAAGTTCGGGGTCTACTGGGCGCACGCTTGTGGAACTCATGGGCTGCCGCCGCCGAAAATGCTGCGGAACGACTACACCATCTCCAGCCAGAGTGGTTGATGGTGGTCGAGGGCGTATCCTCTGCGAATGACATTTCCGGGGCAGGGAAACGTCCCGTCCAACTCCATCATGAGAATAAGTTGGTATACTCAGCACACGTTTATGGTTGGTCTGGATGGGGTTCTCTCGACCCATATTGGTACCGCAAATACGATTCTTTCGCAGAAGACATGGGCCGCAATTGGGAATACTTACTTAAAAACAATACCGCGCCTGTCTGGGTAGGTGAAGTCGGAAGTCCTAGGTACCCTGCTGAGAGAGACTTTCATTATTGGAGGAATTTGATGAGATATCTTCGTGCCACAGACGCTGATGTAGCGTATTGGGCTCTCAATCCTCGGAAACCAAAGGACAACGAAGTTGAGACTTATGGTCTTCTGGAAGACGACTGGATGACGCCAATATATGACTACAGGTTATGGGATCTGGCAAGTTTGCGATGATGATGATGATGATGCAAGAGGGCGTCAGAACGTGAGAGACAGCGCAAACCCTTCAGAAGGCTTAATCAGTATGAACAGAATATGTGGTCGAGAGCTTGACTGCCGTAAGAGATTCGAATTTCAACGTCGCCGCCGCTTTCCCGTCGGTCGTTGGATTAACTTTAAGCCGAGATGACCCTAGGGCCTTATCGATAGCTATACGAGATACGAGCAGTTGCATCATCAGCGGAGGCAGTTGTTTAATCATCCATGCGCAGAGTGATACCAGAGCCATTGTCCGACATCATTATGCTATTCCTCAAATAATATCTAATAGGGAGCCGGTGTGAAGCTGGTCTACACAATGCCATCAGAATTGGATCCTCTCCTCCCCTCCAATCCTCCAGCCCCAGAAATTCGTGGCTATGGTTATTCAACTGGGAAGGAGATAGTCGCCGACTCAACCTCCTCGGAACCATGGGGCTTTGTCCAGCATGAGCAGGACTTAGATGAAGAGGAGGATCAGGACAATGAAGACGACAGTCAATCATTCTCATCTGCCAAATCCGCACTCAGCACGCTCGGCTCAATCTTCGCCATTGTGGTACTCTTCGCCTTTATTGTCCTGGTCTTAAGCCCCGAGGCCGAGGATGATAAGCCCATCCCTTTACCGAGAAATCCGTCAACTATAGATGAGCGAGTTTCGGCTATCCTTGATGGTACGCCTCTGATCGATGGACATAATGACCTAGCCATCTTCGTTAGGGCGGTCTACAAGAACAAACTGCATGGAGACTTCCAGCATAAATTCGCCAAAGGCGGCTTAGAGGCGGACGTTGATCTCCCCCGCCTGAAGAAGGGTAAGGTCGGCGGTGCATTCTGGAGTGCATTTGTTGTCTGTCCAGAGGATGCCAGCGATGACTTCTCCGATGAAACATATGCGACAGAGGTGTTTCACACACTCTCGCAGATCGATCTGATACGCCGTATTCAAAACCAATATCCCTCGCACTTTACGTTTGCTACAACCCCTCTATCATCCGCACTGACCAATTTCCATGCTACAAAAGCGTTGATTTCACCCATAAGCATCGAAGGTCTTCACCAGATTCCTCAATCCGCACCTCTATCCACTCTCCGTTTGTACCACGCCCTTGGAGTCCGTGCTGCGACTTTGACCTGGAATTGTCATAATGCCTTTGCGGATGCTGCATTGGTCAGTTCCCGTGGGAAAACCACAGTTGCAGGGTACCATAGAGGCGGCCTAACGCCCGCTGGTCGGGATGTCATTCGCGAGATGAACAGGCTAGGCCTCCTTATCGATATCTCGCACACGTCTTACTGGACGCAGAAATCCGTGCTGAGCAACGGAACATCTTCAGCGCCCGTGATCTTCTCACACTCCTCAGCCTTCGCAATATGTCCGCACCCAAGGAACGTCGAGGATGACATTCTCGAGCTCGTGAAACAGACTAAAAGCTTGGTCATGATCAATTTCAGCCCTGGGTTCATCTCTTGTCTCCCACCACCGAATTCGAGCGTGCTACCTGAGTTTTACGACAAGAACAACACTGTCCATCAAGTTGCACGGCATATCATTTATGTGGGCGAGAAGATCGGCTACGACTATGTTGGACTTGGGAGTGACTTTGACGGCATGGGTGATCTCACTCCACGAGGGCTCGAGGGGGTGGATAAGTATCCGAACCTGGTGGCTGAGCTCTTGAAGAATGGTGTTTCTGACCAAGATGCTGCAAAGATTGTCGGTAGGAATTTGTTGCGGGTCTGGCAAGCAGTTGATTCTGTGGCAAGGGAATTGCAAGAGAAAACACTTGAGGGCGAGGATGAAGTCAGTGGATGGTAAATCATTTGGATAAAACTTGATACAATATCTCGCCGCCTTGGACGCTGCCCGGTCTGCGCAGCTAGTTCATCCACTCTCCATTTATCTGCTCCCTATAAGCGAACATATCATGATATACGAACCTATTTCCGCACTTCAAATCTTCAAGGAGAACCGAGAATCCTAGCCACCAGGTCGCGTATAGACGCCACACCCTTCAAACTCTCCACAACACTGCTCGCCTGCTTAGCACCATTGCCACCAAGGACCAAAGCAACCTGATCCACGAATTTCTCCTGCAATTGCGTGTCTGTCATCGGCACCTCCAGACTGCCCACAGCATGTGAGACATGCTTCTTCAATTCCGCACCACCCTCAAACTCCAGCACGATCTCAGCCTCATCAGCACCCAGCGTCTCATCCGCCGTGGCAGTGATCTTATCCCGAACGGTAATGATTTCTTCACTGGTGACCACACGGTCCTCGTATTCCGCTGGTCCTGCTTTGCCCAGCACCAGACCTACGGCTCCGCCGTGATAGACGCTGAATTTTGCTTGGAGACCGTCCTTTGGTGTCTTCTTGCCCGTCAACTCCAATACCAAGGGATGGACTCTAGCGTGTGCGCTTTTCAATCTCGCTGTCGATAGATCCTTTGCCTTTAGTTCGCGGTGGAGTTGAATACACCCGTCGATGATGGGATGGACGACAATGCCGCACGGGAACGGCTTGAAGGAATTCTTCTCGGTCTCCCAGACTTTCCCGAGTGAGGCTATCTGCGCATCGAGGTCGTTGGATACGCTTACGACATTGGCCCAGCCTCGTTTGGCTTCGAGAGCCTGTAGGGAACTGGTGTAACCGTTTGAGGCGAGAACGGCTGCCATGAGTCCATTCTGCGCTGAACGTCCGACATGGAATGACTTTGTGTCGGAGCCAAACATTTCCCGTAGCCCCGTCACTTGTGTAGCTGCGATGCCGATGGCGTGTGCCATCTGCTCAGATGTCAGGTCCATGAGTTTGCCAACAGCAACAGCCGCCCCGATTGATCCGGTCGTGCTTGTGATATGCCTGGAAAAAGGTTAGTTTTTATCGCCAGTATGTTTGGTTGTAGACTTTGAACAGAGGAAATGTCAGTTATGGTTATTACTCACCAGCCAATATCATAATGCTTCGGCCAGACTGCCAGTCCAACTTTACATTCCGCCTCGATGCCAACGATCAGTGCGAGGATGAATTCCTCTCCACCAACATCTCGATCAAGCGCCTCGGCCTGCGCGAGCAGGGCACTCGCCACGGGTCCTGTCGGATGGATAATTGTCTCCAAATGCGTGTCGTCATAGTCATGGACATGCGAGGCGATACCATTGATCAAAGCAGCATGGGATGCATCTGCTTTTGCCTTGCTCTCATGCCCGAGGACGGTAGAAGTCGCGGGTCCAAAAAATGGCCTGAGTGCTTGGAACGCTCTCGTTGTGGTTTTATGTCGTGATCCTCCTAGCGCACAGCCCAACCAGTTGTAGAAGCTGCGGGATGCTGCTGTAGTGGCCGTTTCTGGGAGAGAGGAGTACTTCAATGACGTTGCCCATGATGCTAACTGTTGAGTTGCCATTGTGGAGATGTACTATGGTTGATATTCTTGTCTCGTATATACTGGTGAACGAGGATTGATAGGCACTCCGATTTCCTGGTCAAACTGTTTGAGCGATGGCTTTGGAGATTAATGACGGTATATGAGTGAGATTTCAGTAGGAAATGTCTGCAACTACACGACACGATATGAAGTGCAATTTCTGGTCCAATGCAGGATTTAGCAGCCCGGAAGAAGAGTCAAGCTTTTCAGCCTTGCAGCATTGGCAAATGCTTGATATCTGCAACGACGCCAGGTGGCTATCACCAGAAAGGTTCAGGGACCGGACCTCTGACTGAGGAATCGGAATGACGACTGTACTTCTGATTGTGCTATTCGATAGTAACGTAGGGACAGTCGCGGGATAGGTAATGTGGCGCATTCATTCATCGCTGCTCGGATGTGACTCCTAAATATTACGTGGATAAGCTATCTCCCGCCCACTCCAACCATTATTCACCCGATATCGCATGCTGCCATGTCGCAAGACGGGCGAGAATGGGAGGGAAAGTGTGTACTTAGGTAATTAACTCGGAGTTCAAGTTCGGTTCTGACGGCATTTGACCGATGGACTTGTAGAGGAAGGAGCACTTTGATTTCGAAGAGTGGGGTTCATGAACGAACTATACTGCGGGGGCGCCGGGCCCATTCCGGGGATAATAACTACGTCAGAGGGCTCCGTTGAGAGGACTTCTCTTAGTGTTCAAGCCTTCTAGTCGATGAGAAGAATATATTGACACAACTACAGCTACTCGTCGGAGGCTATGTCGGGAGAACACTGGATGTGCAGGACACCTGCGGCTCCATGTAGGCGTTAAAGTAGTTTCGAGACGCGAGGTCTTTCATTTCAGCGATGTTAATCCAGAGGGATCCAGTCACTGCCCTTCTCTCTTCATTTTTGTGAATATCCCGTGTAGACTGTCCATCTGGATGTTAAGTAGATTATGTTGAAACATTTCATAGCTGTGTCCTATCGTCGACTTAAGGTTCCTCATCGCTATCAGCGTCCCCGCCGATCAAATCAGGGACGGCGTAATCAGTCTCTTATCTTCCACACTAATCCAATAGGCCGGCAGCAACCTCAATCGCCGCAGCCGTCTTTTCAACCCATTCCTGCGCTAGGGTCTCGTTGGAATACTCAGTAATTGCTTCCCAGATGCCTGGGAAAAGAACTGGAGCGTATCCGGTATCCAGCCCAGGGGCGAAAACGACGTGCTTGTAGAACCCTCGGTTGGGCAGACCACCTGACGAGACAAAGCCACGGCTGAAGAGCTTGAGCTTAGTGTTTAGTGCTGCTTGTTCTTTCTCTGTTGATGTAGCAGAGATCGCTGAGGTTATTGCGGCGGCTGATGCGTTGAAGGTGGCGATCGCTTCCTCTAGTCGGGCAGTATCAACACTCGTGGCGTTCTCGGTCTCCAGAGTTGCGACTAGCTTCTCGTAGTACTCTGTCAACTGTACACCGTAGTTCTCAACATCCAGAGGCAAGACTTCGTCGGTTGCCAAGTGGTAAAGAAGAACTGCCACAAATTGCCCAATGACTTTATGTTGCGTATATTCTGGATCTCCAAGGGTCGTCATCCAATGAAATGTGTCGTAATTACTGTGGTAGTGATAGACGGGATCCTCGCCAGAGCCTCCGGAGCCAATATCAATCGCTGAGATCCCGTTGTGTAGAAAAGTTGTATAATCGGAGCCCGACCCAAGTACACCCCATTCGCCTTTGGTCAAACCAAACCAGACGTCATACAAAGTCAGGTTATTGTAGCCACGGTATGGATATACTATCTTCTTCATTGTCTCCTCAGCAATCTTGTGAAGATCTGGCGTGGCTGAAAAATCGGGATCAGGTCCAGAGGTAGCGACATCGACGTTCAAATTGGCGATGGCAGCACCCTTCAGCCATGGAAGGTTATCCTCAACCCATTCGGTGGACCCGAGCAAGCCATATTCTTCCGCATCCCAGGATGCTAGGATGATTGTGCGCTTTGGCTGCCATCCAGTCTTCTGAAGGCGACCAAAGGCTTTCGCGAGCTCCACTAGGACAGCAGAACCGGAATTTGGATCAGCAGCTCCACCAATGATCCAGGCATCTCTGTGGTTGCCAACAATGATCACCTCATCTTGACTTGTTCCATTGATGACTCCGATGACGTCCCATATAGGCGTGATTTTGCCCTCCATCACATTAGACAGTGAGATTGTGGTTCCTGGTGCGGGGCCCGTTGAGTAGGTAGCATTGAGCTTTCCTACCCAGTTGGTTCTGTTGACCTCTGCCCCACTCGGTCCATAGTTATCAAGAGCCCATAACAGTGGCTGCGCCTCTCGATAGGAAATGGGCAGGGATGGAATCTGCGGAGTGACGGGCGAGATGTCAGCCCTGGGAACTCCTTCGTGCGAAGCATAACCTGGTGTTGTTGGATCTCCAGGATACGTAGATAAAAACTGTACGCTGCCACGCTGTACTGAGGATGGATTTCGAGCTGGGCCATGAGGATACGCGGCATAGCCATTGGCTTCAGTGACATTTCCATCATCCGCCGTGTCAGTGAATATAACCACACCAATAGCACCTCGCTCCTGTGGAGATAAAGTCATTAGATGTCTAAATCAAAATTGTTTTCGTTCTTGGGTAGTACCTGAGCATTCTTGACTTTCAAGCCCCGGAAAGGCCCGCCATAACGTGCTAGAGCGATCTTGCCTTCAACAGATATACCTAGCGCATCAAGCCTTTCGAAGTCAACCTTTTGCCCGCGGCCGACATACACGTATTCGGCCTCGGCATCTCCAGTGGCAGAGTAGCCATGGAAAGTGGGAACACTGTTTGGCCAGTTCGTGACATCGTCTTCTGGCAGAGCGTCTTCCTTCAACGTTGCTTCCCACGTTGATCCGTTCGGGTATGACAAGGACAAAGAATGTGACACTGGGTAATTCAAGTACACGTCTACATCGAGTTAGAAGAGAGTTTGAACTGAGACCATGAGTAACACACAATAGGTTATAAGCCCGGAGGTGAATCCAAACTCGGTCCAACGATCAGCGGTCCATTGAGCCAGAGACTGGTTAGTGCCAGCTAAATGATAGCTATGGGCATAATAGTAGCTCCATTCTTCCAAGGTCGTGTTGTCAAATGAATTGACCAATATTGCCTCGTTCTTGTCCAGAACTGGAGGAAACTGAGTTTCCTGTCGCTTTGCTAGAGCCACATGAGGATCGAAGATTGCGTGCTCAGAAATATCTTTGGCGCATCCAAGCACCGCGGATGCTTGAAGCAATACCAAACCACATGCACAGAGAGACTTCATGGTGCAAATGCAAGCAGCAAAAGTTCAGGGTAGACGAAGCTCGAGGGAACCACCCCTTGACCCCTCCATTGCTCAAATACTCATCTGCGTATACTGGCTTCCTCATCTTCCGGAAGAGCTTCACAACTTGGACATCTTCACAAACAGGCTCATCAATCACCGTGCGTCGATCTATGCGGGCAAGGTTCATCTCGGTGCTCGCCTGCCTGTTGCAGTATGGTAAAGAGTACATGCCAAGATACTAACCTCCATAGAACCATCTGTGATTCGACCTCGTGGCAAGCTCCCAAGGAATTCCCAGGCACGAGTGTAACCACAACCCTGGAGGGGGGCCCTGCTCGAAAAACGTTGACACACTGCAGCTTTATGAAGAAACAGAACGTATGATCTCTTGGACAGCGTCATTGGAGAAAGATATGACGGAATTTTAGGCATCTCCTCTTTCGCGACTGAGGTACTTACCACCTGTGAGATGGGAGCAGGTTTGCGAGCTCACAGGCTGTTTTAGATACTGCTGACTCAAGTTCACCTGCCTTAGACTAGAAGGTAATGATGCGATGAGTCCCAATTCCTGTACATACACAGGTAGAACATGCATAAGCAGAGTCCACTCAATCGTGATGGAAATCGTGATTCCGCATCTCCCATCATAGTTAGACGACACCATACGTATCGATCAGCGCCACCAGAAGCTTATCGGTAGCCGAGGCTTCATTGATAGGAGAGCTGAGGTTCTCGTCACGTGCTTGTCGCCGAAAGATCACGTGGCACTTCTCGTGTTTCGGAGACGTCGCCTTTGGGGCCGATGATCCAGCCCAGGGCAAAAAGGGGGCGTCAACATGCCTAAGCCCTAAGAACATGTGTCCAATTCTGTAATTAGACAGTGACAGGAAAGTGACGACCTGACTCATTGCCAACAATAAGACTTGCCAAACCCATCTGTCTACATAAATAAAGTCCTCTCGAACAGTCTTTCACGCGGAAAGCAGCGGAAAATCGATCATCACATTAGCAGAGAGCTTTTTTGAGAGACCATCAACGCGACCTTGCAAAGCCCGCAAGATCACTTCTTCATCACATAAAATGGTTTGTGGAAGCCTTCAAGCCTAGTCTGGAAGAATCACTCACATACCTGCAGCCACAAACACCAGCCCAGCGGCGCGCGAACGAAAAGCATGCCCGTGGAGTTGAAAAGCGCATGGGCAAGCCCGAAACCGCGTACAAAAAGAAAGATGCTCGCAAATCCCCCGTCAGCCTGGTAGCTGTCGGTACGTTTAATCCCAGACAACCTGTCAAAATCATCACTCTTCATGATGACTCTAATTTTCTCTCGGCAAGAAGGACTAACGCCCCGAGATAGGCCTTCTTATCTTCGTTGTCATTGCACCACTCTTTATTGAGCAACTCAAGTTCATTCCAGCTGTGTGGAACTTCTTCTTGAATCTCTTGGCCAAGATTGGATTGGTCTCGAGATAAGTATTGATGGACTTGTCAATTTTCAACGTAAATGGAGGAAAAGGGTCCAAATTTGGGGTGGAAAAGCGAACTGTCTTCATCTTACAGGCTTGCTAGGCTATGTTTACTGGGAAGGAACTACAAATAGGACCCAGTCATCGTGCAGCAATTGCGCGACTGCATAAACAACTCAATGATTGATTAAAGCTAATTAGTGGCCGCTTGTATCCTCTATTCTTGCTCCTTGCTCAATAAGGGATACCATTGGTCAGAAGTTGGAATTCATCATATACCTTTGTGCTCACGTTTCCTGCACTTTTCTTGATGCAAGCATGCATAAATTCCGCGGCCTCTCTATTGGTCTTTTCCAGGACAAACCGGTCTCGGAAATTGCGCATAGTTTCTGGTTTGAAGCATGGGAGGCCACTGTCCAACATCAGACTGACAAGATGACTAAGCTTGTCACAATATTGTCTGCTGCTCAAGAACGCCTTGATTGTAAGTTCTTCGAACCACCGGTAAGCCTGGGAAGTATTGGAATCAGCACCACCCATGACAGCGATCATCTCAGGCGTAAGCTTGAATGGGGCTCGCTCAAACTTGACTCCTCCAGGGGCAATGTCGAAGCAGAACCCAAAATCGATGTGTAAAATATGGCCCTTGTCGTCGATCATGATATTTCCATTGTGGCGATCTTTGAATTGTAGGAGGTAACTGATGACCGAATATGCCGCCATACTTTTGACGAATTCACTCCTTGCTTCCTGATAACGGACGGAATGCTCGCCACCATATTTAGTGATAAAATAGTCATGTAGTCCATTGACTGCTTCTCGTCCCAACATATCACGACTGATTGAATTCGGGAGAACTTCAATAACACCACAACCTGGTGCTGTGGCAGTAACATGGTAGGGAAAGACATAAACATCCAAACCAATCGAATTAAAGATACCTCTGAATGCAGCGATCATTTGCAATGCCAGCACATCCTGACGGCAATCGTCACCGACTTTGAAGATGGCGCTCTGCCAGATCTCATAAGTCAATGCATCATTCTCGTTTAGTCTCATGTTAGAAATGTCACTGGTATTTCTGCGACTGTGACCTCTTCGTGGAGTCGTTGGAGATCTTGGAACCATTTCTCCACTGTCCGCTCCAGCTTCAGGAATGGCTTCCCTCGTCTTTCGAATCCTGAACGTTGCCATATATGGTGCCTTAGCGTGAGATTGCAAGGGCTTTCCAGATTTGCGATCAATGCCAACCACTATGCCATCAGGATTACTTGGGATATAAACACCAACCTCAACCTTGATTTTGCGTAGCTCTTCTTCGATTTTAGCTTTCTTTTCTGGTTTGCTTTTCTTGATGTACGGCTTTAACTTCCCAGAGATGTCAGTAACTTCAGCGAAGAAAGCAAATTCCCGTTCGTAAAAATCTTTATCAGGACCAGAGAAGCTGGAAATCAGACTGTCCATGACCTTATCCAAAGTTGGCTTGACAGGATCCGGTATTTGGGAGTCTTCGTCCTTATATGCATTGGCCTTGATGTTCCAGATGATTTGGTGGGCAAACAGCTGAGAGAACTTGCCAGCTTCAACGATATATCGCTCAACATAGCCAAGAGCATCATATCGTAGACTCTGGACAATTTGAGGAACATAGAAGAAGGTCACGTCAACAGAATGGCTTTCAAGTGCTCTCATTGCATATTGAAGCACCAGAGGGTGGTTGCCATACGCAGGGAGAAAATATGTGACTGCCTGCATTGGATTCACAGGTGCCCAATAGAGAAGGTATTTCAGTTGGAACGAGACATCTGATGGTAATGCTTCACCCAATAGCAAGTCAATTCCCGTGGCAGAATGAATTGCTTTCTCTGGAAAATTAGTCAGTAAGAACCGAATTTCCTGGCGAATTTGAACATTTGCAGAACGATGCAGAAGTTGCAGTGCGAGAGCTGCATCCTCTGACCATGCCACACGTGCGAGACCAGTCAGTTGAGCCTCAGTCTTGGCCAGAGTGCCAGTGTAGCCGAGAGGCGAAAGCCAGACTGACAAACGACTGATTTCGTGATTGATAAGGGCTTCAAGTAGGAGTTGTTTCTGTTGCACGTCTTTTCTGGTAGCTGATGATGTGAGGATTGCTTGCCTTGAGCTCTCGAGGTATGCCAACACTTCTCTCATCACCACTACTTCCGCCTTCAGTTGAAGACGATTCCCACCAAATGACCAAGCTGGAGGGTAGGAAAACCAACGAAGACCAACTGACAAGATCAAATCCCGTAATTTCCACAAGTATAGTTTATTGGTTGTGGTACTCGTTCTGTGAACTCGTAGTGCGAATAGTACGACGTGGAACAACGTTTCTCGTAGAAGTGGGTGCCAATTCAGCTTCGAGAAGGCAACCAGAGTCCGTTCGAGCATGCGAAGAAATGTCCGCTGTGTATTGGCACTTCCGAGTCTGATGGCGTTGAAGTGACTTTCAAAGAATTGAATGATTCTGAAATGTGGAGAAATGATGTTGTGAGTGGCTTGCGCTTGTTGTTGAATAACAGCCTTGTCAGAAGGGGCAAATTCTTCTTTGACGTAAAATGGATCAGGATGCTGGAAGCTGGGATTGAAAATGCCTTCTTTGCGATCTATCGCCCTCTCCCAAGCTTGTACCACCTCGGTCAAAATACGGGACTCCATCCTGCTATTCTCATGAATGACACCAAGCCAGAGCGAGATTCCAAGCTTGATCGACTCTTTCGTGAATATCTCAAATGGTATGTTGATAAGATGATGCACTATTGCAGTTTGAGACTTCTTGCTTTGGCATAGAAGTGCTGCAGCCCGTCGTAAGACGTCCTTAACCTCCGAGGCTTTAACAGCAGCCCCCTCACTTGTTCGGGAATGCAGGGCTGCCAGGGATTCCTGCAACCCAGTGACAGCAGAGGTCGGAGCGTTTGTAAAGGAGACTCTGCGACCTGTTGACCGGTCTAGCTGAACAGTACCCCGCTGGTATTCAGGGACCCCAGTAAATCGATATTCCTGTCGTGTAGTATACTGAGCCATGAAATCAGAACCCATATTAATATGTACTGAATCGGCCTTTCTGTCTAGGCCGTTGAGTCTCTGATCCGATGGAGGGATTATTGATCCCATCTCAAGTGCAAACGATCGTCCAAGTGAGACATGCCCGTAAGCACCAGTATCATCGAATTCGGAGAGGTAGGTTTGGAGGAGGCCTTTGACATCCAGCGGTGCGATTGCCATAACGCTTGCAACCCACCTTCTTGCATCATTGTTCAGATTGTTCAAAGTGCGTTGGCGATAGGCATAATCGTCTGATAGCTCAATCGTGATTTTTCCACGTGTGGAAGTCAAGCTTGGTCGCCACTCGTATTCATCCAAATCAGCTTCCAGACAACTTGACCACATCAAAGAGAGCAATTCGAGCAACGCAAATAAAGCTGCTTTCTGACACAAAGCTGAAGGGGCGAGGCCAATGATATGATTTGCAGCCGATCGGGCGACCTCCTGCATCTTACTACTGCGATGGCAGCACATACTTAGAATACGAGCAAGTTGTCGGGATGCAAATGGTGCACTGAATTCCTCTTCTTTTGCGGCCACTACCTTCTCGGTATATCTTTTGACGACTTCATTGGCAACAACGCCTAAGCACAAACCCAAGTGGCTCGTCTGAGTGCTCGGATCTGCAAAATAGTCCAAAATCTCGGAACAGCTGCCCGAGGTTGCACGGAGGCTCTCTACTAAGAAAACCGCATTCAGAAATACCACCTTTTGATAACTCATTTGGCGGATATCAGACTCTTTTTCAGGAATTATCGCAATGAGATTCTTCTTTTGATCAGCTGTATGTTGGGGGCTCATCCCGCGACGGAGGACCGTGTTCAATTCGACATCAGATTCAAGAAGCTCGGCTCGAGCCTCGTCGACAAGTGGTAGTGAATTCATTGCTAATATCCTTAGTTCATGATAGAATTGTTGCCCAATGCGCGACTGCAGAGTAATGCCATGAACAGCAATATTGTACCAAACATCGCGCACAAGGGCTAGCAACTCATTGTCTTCAGCTATATCTTGTGAGAGTGTTGGCTTTCGGGATGCAAGTATAGAGAGAGGCTTCAGTAGAGGTGCTATCTCTTTCGCAGCTTGCTCGACTTCCGCAGACTGTTTGAATTCTCCTTCGATAACATCACCCTTGCTAACGATTCGTTCTAGCAAGTGCGTCGCATATATTTTGAACAACGGAGATCGGTTGTCCACATGCGTGGCGAGATATTCTTGTGCATTTCGGACAGCATTGAAAATTGCTCTGTTCTCCTGAGCAATTGCCTCTTGGTGGAGGCGAGTGTATAAACGGAGTAATGCTCTGAACTCATTCTCTTTGCCATGAATCGCAAGTTTTGCTGCTTCTTCCGCGATTTGGGCGTCAACCACAAGGCTGACTCTCCCAATTTTCTGCAACATCATCATTTGCACAAGTGCGGTGATCTTGCTGTCATTACATTCCGTTGCGATAACAACAATTGCATGGGCAACATTACCACAGACGAGGGATGTTTCTTCATCACCACTGATAGATAATGAGATAACACTGCCCGTTCTCAGCCTGGAAGCGGAGGAAAGTGATCCATGATGACCATTTGTCTCCGGGAACAAGTTGGGTTGATGCCCTTTTTCTGTGGCCGTCTGTGAGCTCAGGACGTTTCCTAGTGAGTAGATGGTCGTAATCACAGCGTCTTGAGACAGCATCCGCAAAATATGAGACAGACTTTGGGAGGCCATGGTGACTGCTTGTGGCTGTGAAGTTCCCTGCACAATAAATCGAAGGAGTATCCGGGCATAATTTGATGCTGACTCTGGTATGAACTTCGCCACAACCGCCAGACTTTTGAGTGCAATGTCAGCGAGTTCGAGGTCGGCCATTTGGACTTGATTGGAGATTGAATCTTCCAACCATCCAAATAAGTCTTCAGGATCCGCTATATCGTCATCCAGAACAAGACAGTGCAGAAAAGCTTCCAAAGCGTGTGCCTTGACGGAGAAAGCCAGTCGTTGCTGCCACGCAGAGCTCAATTGAAGATAGTCTGAGCCATCTTCCAACACGTTGATTTGATCCGTCACAACTTCAACGAGATATTCGACCATATCGTCTGTGACCTCTTCATCTTTCGCGCCATGCAAATGACTTCCCGCGATGTATTGATCAAGAATATCCCCGCACTGGACAGTATGCTCATCACAAAGCATTCGAGCAGTGCATGCAAGAACTAGTTTCATGAATCCCTTCTGCAGCATCATTGCACCGACAGGGATTCCCTGTGCAGCAAATCGTTTGAGGTATCTCCGCCAGTCTCTTGTAACTTGATCTGAGGAGACGGAGGTCCTGATTGCAGAGGATGCGGTTTCCACGGCAATCAGGAAAGATTCGGAGAGACTTTCCTTCAAGGATCGGATCATCTCAACCCTCTCGTAGGAGGACCAGAAGTTCTCATGCAACGCCGCAGCATCCATGAAACCAAGCAGAGATACCGTAACTGCCGCTATCTCTTTGGCCTCATATTCGTTGTCCTCATCGTCTTCACTGAGTCCAGCGGAGGCCAGAGCAGCTGTCGATTGTGCCCAATTGCTTAGGTATGACTTGAAACTCGTTGCAATGCTATTCTTAAGCGGAGGAAATTTAAGACCTAGGATAAGGAGGGCCTTGGTAAGCTGATAGGTCAAGGCTGTCCACGGAGCAGGCTTTATCTCATGTAGAAATGGTGAGGCAGCAAACACTTGGGTATGAGCTTCAGGTAGATATGCTATGAGCTGTGTTATCAACCGTTCTGCGTGGTGAAGGTCATTCAACTCGTGAGCACTGGCGCATAAGGCCAATAGAATGTCGAATTCTCGGAGAGACATGTGTGTCCGAGAAGTCGGCGCGATCGCACGGAGAACTCCTTCGAGAACTCCATTGGACTGGGCTTTCGAGGGCGGAATTGAAGCTGTCAGTCTCGTGAACTCGGCGTCTTTATGAGGGGATGGCTTTGAGGACAATGCCGCAAGTCTGGCAAAAGCCTGCCTACGTAGGCCACCATGACCGCTAAAGAAAGGTTAGCTAGAGTCAGCAGAAAGCAGAAGGATAGGCATACATGTCCATCTAGTCTGGACTAGGATTTTTCACGTAGCTGGCGTATAGAGGTGCTGTTCAACATGTTGTTGTTGGTCTTCAATAGGTGCACAAGCACTCCAGCCATGCTCCGACGCTCCGCAGTCAAGGAACAATTTATTATGACGGGGGATCGGCAAGAGCGGTCTTGGCGTCTGACTGAGCGGGAATGGCGTTATGATTTTCCAGGTGCAAATGACAAATTCTTTAACGATAGACTACCTCTTGCCAGTGGTCCCCATTCGTGCTTATCTCAGGCTTCATCTAGGGCGACCTAGTTAGTCAGTCATCTCCAACAAATGTCCAGACAGGTGCACGACTAAGAGAAGTTGTAGAAGTTCTCTTACGAGTAGATAACTACCTATCCATACTCGTAGGTAGGAATCGCAGGGCTCAGGGATCCATATTGATAATCTTCATGTATCCTAAAGCCTTAGAGGCGGCCTACCCCAGGCTCCACAAGCCTGTCCATTACTAATGCTGTCAGCCTCCTAAGGGACAAGATAGGCGATCCACCGTGAGCAGACACTGACACCCAAAATAGCTCCACTATTCTGAAGGTGTGAGGGAAATGACTCGGTGAGTGTGGATGCTGTGAAGAACATCAAACCGAAGGCACTGCCGTTTCCAGCCACCAACACTTCGTTGCTATTCCTTAACCAAAAACCTATTGATTTGCCCAGAATACGGTGATCAAGGCACCCAAAGGGTTTAAGCAGCTTGGAGACTTGCACGACGAAGCTCTGCTAGTACCTGATATGCTAAGGAATCTGCAGTAGAAGAGTATGGGACGATCTAAGCTCGACTCCGAGCAGGCTGCGCATGAATGGCGATGCTCAAAATGTCAGATGGTGTTTACTCAAAGTGAGTCCGACGCGCTCTGGACCTCCTTGAGCTAATCTAAGCCAATTCTGTGTCCAGAGTCATCACTCTCCAGGCATCGTAAACGATGCCTTAGTGATACTCGAGCCTTGCCTCGCCGCAAAGCATGCAAGAAATGCTCTGGCTCGAAGACCAGGTGTGATCTCGGTCGACCAGAATGCAGCAGATGTTTGTCCAGTGGTTTACAGTGTGAATATGATCGCTCCACCAGTAATGATGGCCGATCAGGTCCACACTTGAGCTCAAGAAGGCTCCAGAGTCGGTATGCTATTTTCGAACTCCCGACGCCATCGACAGAGGACAATTGTGGCGATTTTGACCCCTTTACATGTCCTCCGCAACGAGAGATATGGTCGGACGTTCTTGGCCGGGCTAATTACCCAAAATTGAGCTCGGAGCCAGGGTCGGCTGTGGTTGTGACTTTCGTCCTCCGAGTTTTGAAAACGTACCCTCAAATGTTTGAACGCGGACGACCTCCTCCATTTATTCACACGCTACATCTTGGAAACAAGATCAGAACGCCTCTTCTGAATTGCATCCGTGTTCTGAGTGGCTTGAAAGATTCACTCCTTAGAGATATCTCTGTCATCCACAACGATGCTTCCAATGAAATCATCACATTGCTCGCAGGAGTAAGTCTTCCTCAACAGCATTGAGATTTGCTACAACTAATGAGGCTGTAGTACAAGGACTATGATGAGGATGACTTGTTAGCCGCTTTACAAGCATATGTTCTATATACCATCCTGTTGTTATTTTCCGACGGCAATTGCGACCGGCCGCATCGTATCGAGCAAGGTATAATTTTCGGACTTCAAGACATCAGCTTGCAACTAGCAGCCTCTGGCGTCGTTCTCAATGCCGAATTAAACTCGGAAATCCCAGATTGGAGCGAGTGGGTAGTTGTCGCCGCGAAACGGCGCAGTATCTTGGCCGCTCATCAAGTCTTGTGGATCTGGTCACTTTTACGTGGATATCCCCCTTTTGGTTGCCGTGAACTCGGTTTCATGCCTAGCCCAGCACCAAAGGTTCTCTGGGATTCACAAGGTGATGATTGGCAGTGTCTTTATCAGAACTGGGCATCTCGGTGGCCAGGCGGACCACACCGCCTGGAGGAGTTACAAATCCTTGGACCAGAGGTGGACATTGACCCACGAACACAGACATGGTTGGAAGAGGCCGACGAATTCGGATTGCTATTGATGTCTGAAGGTAACTGCATGACTTCATTCGTAATACAACGAGCTAACGCTACAAGTAAATTCTATCCACTAAAGAACCCAGACGAACTCGTCCTAAATCCCGGGAGGGCTTGTGCGCCGAACTCCGGGTTTGTTTGTCAGGTTTCTCCCTATCCTACTACAGCCTTACACAGCCTTGGATGGCTTGGATGGCTCAAACCCAACTCCTTTAGGATCATCTACTGTATATTTTGGTCAATCCTCCAAGGTACGACTTCTGCCTGTGCGCAGCTTCAGTTTGCAGAATAACGCCCGGCGAATCAAGATATCCACTGTGTGCAAGACTGATACCCGGAACTCCGAGTTGAGTATCTTCATCCCCAGTGTTGATTTCCAAGCGATGATGAAGGATGAGAGATATTTATGGTATTAGTCGTGCACAGCTTCGTAATTCTTCGCTCAAAGCATTCACAAGTTTTGGACTTCGAAAGTAATTGAAAACCATGAGATCATATACACGACAATACGATGTGGCCCTCCTGGGGGCCACCGGCTTCACAGCCACACTTGTCGCTCAGGTCTTCGCCGCAACGCTGACGAGCGAGATCCGTTGGTTGATAGCAGGACGAAACTACGACAAATTGAGAGGGCTTCTTGAGAAGCTAAGAAAACTCAACCCAGAGGGACCAGTGCCAGGCATGCCATGTCTCATATTCAGAGGACCATAAAAGTGATGTACTGATATAGAGCACCAGATATACAGAGCATAGACGTTGTAAATGACAACCTCACAGAACTCGCACGCAGCACAAAAGTCATAGTAAACGCCATTGGCCCGTATACGCGATATGGCAGACCGGTGGTTGAAGCATGTGCAGCGAACGGGACGAGCTACGTCGACTTCAGCACGGAAACGCCGTGGATCGAGGAAATGATACTGATATACCACGATCTAGCAAGAGAGAATCATGCGACCATCATTCCCGCGATCGGCAATTCAAGCTCTCCGTCGGCACTAATAGCACTTCTACTCGCAGACCAGTATCGCATCCTTCACGGCAATGATGTTCGGGAAATCGTGAGCTGCTATGGAATGAAGATCAACGGGATGAGTGGAGGATCGCTTTCCTCTGTCGTGGACGTCGTGGATACATATGGTATCAGACATTTGTTATCCCCAAACCCGTACCGACTGTGCCCATCGAAGGAGACGAAGCTTTCGCAAACGCCAACCAGCATACCGTTCCTCGGGCACATCAAAGATCCGATCCTGGGGCATCTCGCCACATCCTTTACGGCGCCTGGCAACGAAGCAATTGTAAATCGTAGCCAACATCCCCAGCAATCCATAGCTCAACATCCAAGTTTCATCTACAAGGAATACATGCCCGCCACGAGCACGTTACAAGCCATAGCGATTCACATGCTCACGAAGCTCGGAATCCTGATGCTCGCGCTCCGGCCCTTCCGGACATTGCTCAACAGGCTCAAGCCCGCTTCGGGTAGCGGACCGTCCGCAGAGATCACCAGAACTGAGAAACTGGCGATCACGGCCGTGGCAAGAGGCGAGGATGGGAAAGAGCTGGTCGCGGAGTATATCTACAACGGACCAATGTACTATCACACTGCGATCCTTGGCACAGCGGCTGTGGCAGTATTGCTGGAGTTGTGGAGGGGAACAGATAGAGATGATAGTGGCGGTGATGCTGGACAGAGACGGGATCCTGATATGTCTGGCATCCTCACGCCGAGTTGTCTAGGAATGCCGTTTGTTGAAAGACTGAGGGCTGCAGGGGTGAAGTTCGATGTTTTGGTTTAAGGCTTGATTAGTAGGTCAGAATAGAGGAGTCGAGGTATAGAGAGATGAAGGAGGGTTGTGGATTATCTATTGGAGTTTTCTGAATTACGTCGCCGCTCCGTTGATGGCTTCCAAATCCCGTAACGCGCTGATCTCGACTTGTAGCGTCCTGTTTTGTATTCCCTCTCTATTGTACAATTCGTTTATTCCCGGCTGTTCCAGGATACTCAGCCTTCTAGGATCCACCTATTTCGTTTTCAGACCGGAATTTTGTGTTGGTACAAATGAAACCTTTCCATCAGAACCAATACTGGCCACAGAAAGTCTTCCCTGCTGACGTGAAGCTGGCAACGACGTCCCTGCCGCATTTCCAAGGGTTTTTGGTGTTTGTGAAGCTGTAATCGCCTCTTGAACAACGCCCGCCGGGGCGTCTGCTAATTCATTCACTTCTTGAGCCGACAACACATCACCAACTCTTGTTGCACGACTCTGGATTAGAAGTGTGGTTGGTCCTCGGAATTGTAAGAAAAGCCGGTCTCCCCAAAGGGTTCTTCGACTCCAAGTGCGGATTCTGAGGAGGGAGTTCGCGATGAATTTGTAGGTTTTGCTTGTTTTCATTGTCTCGACAAATTTTGATGATGGGAAGAAATTGCCCAGTTGTAGTGGGATTTGGAAGCGGACATTCGTCGATTTGAACCGGTAAGGTTGTGGTGGAGGTGTTGGTGAGGACGCTGTGTATGCAAGGACATTGGATGGGTGCACAACATAGGATTCACCTTCAGCGAGCTCTATTGAGTAGACTTGCCCTTGGCCTGCCAGGGCAAGCAAACCTCTTCCAGTGATGTCGGAGCTTCCCCAGTATGCCAGCGATAGTTTTGTGTTCAAACTAGGCGTGACAGTCAAGGTCTTCCCGGTCCACGCTAGCAACGCTTTTCTTTGTGCTAATTTCCAATCAGATGTACCGTCTAGTTGCAAGATCGCGAATGAGGTCAAAGGGGATTTGGTCGATATGAGGGCATTGATCGGAGCGGTTGAAGTAACCTTTTGGTAGAGGAAAGGAATCCCAACCAGGGCTCGCCGTAGTGGATTGAGAATCCGCAGAGTTGAGACTGTGCTGTCCGGTTCGCCAGCAAAGGCCACTAGTGTTCCTCGACGAGTACAGAGGTCTTGGGATGGAGATAGGTTAACGGATAACAGCGAATAGGGACTTCCAAGCACTTCAAAGGAAGCATCTGTTACTTGTCAGTATTTCACAGGTATGCACCTTTGCAAAGGTGGACGGACCGGGTGACGCAGCCGATGTCGATTTCCCAATTACTTCGATCTTGCTACTGTCTGTTGAAGGTGTCGCTTGCAGTGAAATATATCTATATCCACCTACTCGTCGGCCAGCAAGAACCAAGGCGGGAAATGTCCATTGGTGGGGGTTGTTCGTGACTTGCCGCAAGCTTTGCACAGCAACTCGAGGCATTGTCAACAAGGAGGCCACTGCCAGAAAGTTGACTAAAGGGTGGAAGGGTGGGAAATCAGACCAAGATATACAAAGTGGGAGGTTCGTATCTTGAGTAGTTCGTCGTCACGACACGACCTGCCAAAAAGTTCGCGAACTTGGAGAAGCTCTTTTGAGGTCACGTTTTTGAGTGAGCTAAGACAACAAATAAGTCACGCACCCATGTAATGACCCACCCGTGTAATGACCCACGCGTCGAGACGCGCACGTTTTGACCACTCCCCCTCTTCTACACCTAACTACACTCTCAAACGATCTACTCGTACGATAAAATGGCATCAAGTCGAGAGGCTAGGATCCAACAAGCCATTTTAGACTATGAGACTCGTCGATATCCAACTATTCGCTCTGCCGCCGCGACAAATAACGTGAATCGAAAGACCCTAGGCCGTCGACTACAAGGTAGTAATTCACGAGCTATTGCTCGTGAATCACAGCAACTCTTATTAAATCAATAAGAGCAAATGCTCGTACGATAGATACTCGACCTTAAGGCGTAAGGACATCCTCCTAGCTTTACCCAAATACGAGATCTCGTCGTAATTATCTAGGACAATTCTACAGGGCCCTTAAGCATCGGCTATAACTGGATATCACGATTTATATAGCGTCATCCAGAGATTCACTCTAAAGTAGGTAAAAAGATCTATAGTTTACGTCTCTATAGTACTACTCCTAAGTCCCTAAATCGCTAGTTTGAGCATTTAAATACTGTACGAGAGCGATATCAAGTTTCCTAGAAGAATGTCTATAATATAGACGAGATAGGTATCGCTCTAGGCGTCTATACTAATTAACGAGTAATCGGTAGGACCAATACTACTTAATCATATAAAGTAACACTAGAAAATTGTAAATGGGTCTCAATTATCGAGACTATTTCCGCAAATGGCCGTCGACTACAATGTCTCGTTATATTTAAAGGAAATACACTCTAATCGACTTGGTTTACCGATCCTAAGATCCCAGACTACTTATATACGGTCTCACTAAACGGTTAGATCTTAAACGATATTAGATTAGCCTGGCTATATTAGATATTCCTTCCTCAGATAGCGATAAATAACTATCAACTACTCCTTCTGTCATGAACGTCGATTCAGACAACCCCCAAACCAAACAAACAAGCCAAGACCTGAGAACCTGGTTCGAGTAGAAGGCTTACCGCACGCTCACCGCATGAGAGGAGCTTCCCTCCTCTCTATGCTTTGAGTCTTAGTTAAGACACACGTCAAGGAACAATCTATAACCCATTGAACTACCCTAATCGTCGTACTCTGCCTATCCCTATAGGTCCGTTCCTAACATTCTCAAAGCATCTACTCTGGGTCGGTCGGAGTAGACGATTACCTAGCGTATCGCAGGCGATACGATGGCCCCAAAGAGAGCCGCGAGAGAACCAACTGCTGGGCCGTCCCGAGCCCAAATACCACCCCTTGAGCAACTTACATCTCTATCCTCAACAGAACCGCTCCCGAGTCGCGTGCGAACCCCGTCGCACGATGAGGACGAGGAAGAAGATGAAGATGAAGAGGAAGATAGGGGAACGCAGTTGGACCCAACGGAAGCCGCGCGCGAACCGCATGAGCTTCCAACAACAGAACAACAGATTCAAGATCTAGAAAGACAACATGCTGCTCTAAACGCACAACTAAAGTTGATGCGCCTACAGCACGAGGTGGAAGCGATGCAGCAGGAGATGGCTGGGGGAGATCCAGACATCTTTGTACCTGTCGCAGGTACATCGCTACCGACCCGCAAGCGACCCCTAAGCAATTCGTCCGAGAAAGATCGGGAAGAGCTTCAGAAGGTGCTTCGCACCGTGAAACCTGTCAAATTTGCAAGTAAATCAATGCAACAGATGCACAACTTTGACAGTACTTGGCAAACAATTTTCGAGTCAATTTCCTACACAACCAAACCTGACTGGCCGCAACGCGTGCGGACCGCAGCGAACTATCTCGAGGGTCGCGCCCAAGATGAGTGGCGTCGCGACAGAAGAGAAGGTGTACCAACTCCCGCTACGTGGGAAGAGTTCATCTCATGGTGTAAGGACACCATTGAAGATTCTGATGTTCGGAAAGGACACGCGTTGGTGAAGCATGCGGCACTCATGGGAACCGCAGATCAGTCGCCACGAGATTTGGTGCATCAACTAGAGTTGCTGGAGCAAGAGATTGGTGTTCTAACTGAAGATGAACAAAAGGGGTGGACCCTGTTTCATAAGCTGCCGGCTCGCCTGCGTGACGCCGTGCGACGGGATCTTCAGACAATCACGTCTCGAGCACAAGTTTTGGCTTCTGCCACTCGCCTTCACTCGACAGTCTTCAGCAATGTCCAAAAAGAAACATCAACAACTCGCAGTCGGTTCACGCGCGAGACGCGTGAGGTTCGCTCCCTACCGGCGCAACCCAACTCGTCAGACAAGGGCAAAGGGCCCGCTCAAAAATCATATACGCATACCGCAAGAGAGACGCATGTAAAAGGCACCCAAGACGACCCCTCGCCGGCTAAGAGAGCTCGGCAGGGCGAGTCACACTCATTCAAAGGAGACTGTTTCCGCTGCGGAAAAAAGGGTCACAGAGAAAAAGACTGCACCGACAGCAAACCCTCTACCTTTGCCGGTACGCAGGTGAATCGCACGGGTACTGAAGGCAAGAAGCCTCAAGAGGGCAAGTCAAAAAACTAGCACCTAGCCTGTTGAGTGCTGTGGCAGCGCTAGGCCTCAATCATGAGCTACTTCCACAGACAAAAGCAGGGCGGAAGTGGCTAAATAAACAAGCACTAGTGATGGAAACGGAAATCTCGTCGCCGCAAGGACCGCGGAAGATACGCACGCTCCTCGACAGCGGGGCGCAGATGAGCTTCATTTCCCACCTACTAGCCACCGAGCTCGGACTATCACGCGAGATGGATGCGGTACGGGTGCGTACCATAGGCGGACAAGCCCTGGAGACCTATGGGAAATATCAGGCCGACATTTCTGCATGTGACAAGCAAGGAGAGACTAGGACTAGGAGACATCAATTTATTGCTGCAAGAATTGTGGAATATGATGCAGTCCTAGGTTTCGATTGGCTAGAAGAGGTGAATCCTGATATAGACTGGGTTGCAGGCGCGTGGCGCTACCGTAACGCACGCGAACCGCAGGTATCAGTAGTTAGCCTTGAACAATTGAAAAGAGACGCTGATGGTGGCATCATTGGAATGTTGTGGCTTCTCCCTAGCGCCATGATCACAACCGGAAGCGGGCCTATAGCGCTTGTGTCCCTCATGGAAGACGCACACTTACCGCCGCAGTTCGAGAAATTTGCCTCAGTCTTTGAAGATCCTGGAGATAAGCCTTTCCCAACAGAGACAAAGACAAAACATACCATCAAGCTACTAGAGGGAGAAACAGCTCCCTACGGACCCATATACTCTTTGAGTGCGAAAGAGCTGCGGGTCCTACGCGAATATCTGGATGCCGCATTGGAGAAAGGATGGATCCTTCCGAGCGAATCAGCTGCAGGAGCACCGATCTTGTTTGTACCTAAGCCGGATGGTAGCATGCGACTTTGTGTCGACTATCGTGCGTTAAATAAGGTCACGGTGAAAAATCGATATCCACTGCCGCTTATTCCAGAGATTCTAGATAGGTTGGTCGGCGCGAAAGTCTTCACAAAACTGGATCTGCGGGATGCCTATCATAGGATCCAAATCGCAAAGGAAGATCGCTGGAAGACTGCGTTTCGCACGCGATACGGCCACTTCGAGTATACGGTTATGCCATTTGGGCTAACTAACGCTCCGGCAACATTTCAGGCATACATCAATGAGGCCTTGAGAGGACTATTGGATGATATATGTATTGCCTTTATGGACGACATCCTGATCTTTAGTATAGATGAGGACTCACATAATACGCACGTGAGCCTCGTACTAGAAAGACTCAAGGAATACGGTCTATATGCGAAGCTCTCGAAATGCGAGTTCTTCACACAGGAAGTGAGCTTCCTAGGGTTCCGCGTGGGAGCCGCAGGCGTCTCGATGGAACCTAGCAGGGTTTCCGCGATCGAGGAGTGGCCTGTTCCTAAATCCTTCCGGGATATTCAGGTGTTTTTAGGGTTCGCGAACTTCTACAGAGGGTTCATCTGGCGATACTCTGCAGTCGCCGCCCCTATTACCGACCTACTCCAAGGGATGAAGGCTGGGAAAAAGACTGGGCCATTTACTTGGACCTCGGAGGCTGACGATGCGTTCCGCACGCTCAAAACGTGCTTTACGCAAGAGCCTATGCTGGCACACTTTGACCCTGAGAGGCAAAGTAGACTAGAGGTGGACGCTTCAGGCGGTGCCATCGGTGGGGTCATATCCCAAGCGTACGAGTCGCAAGAGGGCCGCACGCGTTGGAGACCTGTAGCCTTTTTCTCAAGAAAGCTTACTACAGCTGAGAAAAACTACGACACGGGGGATAGCGAGATGCTAGCCATCGTACACGCATTCAAGGAGTGGCGCCACTATCTTGAATCGCCTGCGATTAGCACGCTAGTCCTAACCGACCATGAGGCGTTACAAAGCTTCATGACCAAAAAAGTGTTAAATCGGAGACAAATGCGCTGGGCAGAAATGCTAGCTGCATATGACTTTCGTATTGAGTGGCGTAAGGGAAAGGATAACCCAGCGGATGGGCTTTCTAGACGTCCAGATCATATGGAGAAGGATGAGACTCCTCCCGAAAACACTTTGCGTGAGGTCTTGCAATTACGCATGCCTGCCGCAGATGATGCGCAGGAGGGCCGCATGAGACTCGACGACGAAGTGTTCGTCGGAGTCATGACTCGAGCTGAGGCTCGAAGAGGTCAGGCTCAAAGGGAGAGCGATTACAACGTTATAACACTCCCAACTCCTCGAGAGGAGAGAAGAGCTGACTTGGGCGAAGCCGAGGCGGATCTCGTGCGGAAACGCAGAGAGACGCTTGCGGCCCGCCTTAAAGAACTTCAGTCACTAGATGAATGGTGTCAGGAGGCTTCGTGGAAGAAGTTCCCGAACAACTGTATCACTAGTGGTGAGTTCAAGGGCACCTGGAGTGTTGATGATACTGGCCTTATACGTCGCGAGCGTCGCGCATACGTACCGCATGATCCTGCTACGAGAGGAGAAATCCTCTGGGTGAATCACGATGATCCGTGGCAGGGCGGACACTTTGGCGAACATCGGACTGCTGAGGGTATCATGCGACACTACTGGTGGCCGCACATTAGACGCGATATAATCGAGTATGTTAAATCATGTGCGGTGTGTCAGAGGATGAAGGTGCCGAGGCATAAACCATACGGGAAGCTTGAACCCCTGCCCACACCGAAAGGTCCCTGGGAGGACATATCAATGGATTTTATCGTTGGTTTACCGCCGTCGTTACACCTGGGAGTCGCCTGCGACTCGATCCTCGTCATCGTGGACAGATTCTCTAAAATGGTGATTTTCACACCTTGTGTGAATACCATTACGGCACAAGGCCTAGGAGAAATAGTCCTTGAAAAGGTTGTGGCAAAATACGGAGCTCCTCGCTCAATTGTCAGTGACCGGGGTTCGCTTTTTACGTCGACATGGTTTGGGACCATGTGCGAGTACCTTGCGACCCAAAGAATGAACCAGACAGTTGAGGTGTACCTCAGGTGCTACGTCAACTACGAGCAGTCGGATTGGGCCGAGCTACTCGCAGGCGCAGAGTATGCGATGAACGCAGCACCTAGTGCTACCACAGGTATGTCTCCCTTCTCACAAGTGCTAAAGTTTGAACCAGATATGCGCATGAATCTCGACGGCGAGTCGCATGCGGATACATCGAACAGATTGGCAAAGGGAAAAGCAAAGGCTATTGCGCAAGCCCTACTACACGCAAGCGAATCGCGTGATATAGCAGAGGAACAGATAGCGAAAATGGCAGCGGATTACAACAAGAAGAGAAAAGAAATGTTCTTCAATGTTGGAGACAAGGTCATGCTCTCAGCAAAGAATATCCGCATGCTACGCGCAAGCAAGAAGCTAGCGGACCAGTACATTGGACCCTTCAGGATCCTTGAGAGGATTGGAAGGAATGCGTACAAACTGGACCTACCTCCTAAGTATGGAAGACTGCACCACACATTCCACGTCTCCTTGCTGCAAGCGTACCGCAGGAGAGACGGAGAAGAAACGCCTGAACCAATGGACATTGATCAGGAAGAGGAATGGGAGGTAGAGCAAGTGCTGGATGTTCGTCAACGACGAGGTCAGCTTGAATTCTACATTCGATGGAAAGGTTTTGGTGAAGCTCACGATAGCTGGGAGCCTGAGCAACACATGCGGAACGCACAGGACCTGATCGAAGAGTTTAAGAAAAGAAGATTGGTGTAGCAATAGATTTGATTGAACCGTCTTACACCAGCGCAGGATGCAACCCTTGCGGGTCGCACGCGACTCAGACGCGGCTTTGCTACACACAAAAAAGAAGGAAAACTATGAACAAAGGAAAGTACCGGCTTACGTCTAAATTCCCACAGTCTCTTGCGAGACGCGGGCTAGAGCACTGCGGTCCGCCCACCCAACCCTTCCCCAGCCACTGGGCTTTACCAGACTCCCGAGGGTCATACCTCCGTGGCTAGGGACAGAAAGAACAAAAGAAAGAGCCAGAGCCACCACTGCGAGAAGCAAGCGGTTCAATGGCGATGCCAGCCCATGCCCCAACCAACCACCCAACGGCATGACTGCATCATTCAGAGTCCGAGTCTTCTCCTTCCTCAGAGCCGGAAGAAGCCTCTTCAGGCCAAGAGCGAGGCTCAAGACCGTGCTATACGCGATTAGCATGCGGAGAGTAGGAGTAGAGCTCAACTTACGACTTCACGAAGAGTGTCCACCAACGCACGTTGGGCATCCAAAAGGAACCCGAGAACAGGAGCAAGCTCCGATGCAGACGCGCCACCCACAGAACCCAGCGAATCGCGTGCGGAACGCACACGACCGCCAACGGCACGACCACCGGGGGTTCTGCGAGCGGCCTTGGTGTCGGCGAGCTTCAGCTCTTGATCAAGAGCATCGGCCTCGGCCTCGATGTCCTCCTTGGTCTCGGCGTCCTCATCGCGGCACGCAAGCGAGACGTTGGCGTCCCAGAGGTCATTGGCACGCGAGACAAGGGAGGCAGGGACCTGCGCGAAATGAGTGAGGCTCGCATGCGGAAAGGATGAGACTCACAGGGACACAGCCGGAGCGACCAGCACGCTTGCCCTTGGCGCAGTACTGGCAGTTGACAGAGACATTGCCCTTGGGCGTCTCGAATTTGCACTCGATGCGGGTACCGGCCGCACCGCCGGCGGAAGTCAGGCGGCGGAGGCAGCGGCAGCAGCACTTGGCCTTGCGGGCACCCTTGGCTCTCTTGCTGCGGGAGGGGGTGGGGGCATCGTCGGGGACTGCTGCGGGTTAGCTGCGGAACGATAGCGGGACTCATGCTACCTGCGTTTGCGCTTGTCACCTCCACCAGGAGGAGGGTTGGGGGGGGCCGGGCCGGACGGAACAACGATTCCAACAGCGGCAGACACTGCATGCGGTTAGCATGCATCTCGCAAAGGCAATCTCACGAATCTCACTGTTTGATTGATTGAAGCTATCACAACTCAGTCAGTATATGCTCGATTCTCATGCGGATCTCAACAGCAACACTTATAATTGATGATGATGATGATGATGATGATGATGATGATGGTGATGGTGATGATGCTACATCACAGGTTAGCAAAAGCTCACAGACTGAGGGCCTCATGCGTATAGCACATACAGTTGATATGTGACTGGTATGAAAAAGGTCAAGGTTAGAGAGAGAGCAGAAGGAGATATATATACACTACGATTCTACAGATCTACGGCAAGATTCACTACTCAGCATTCACGCATGCTATTCACAGGAGCAAAACCAATAGCCGAATGGGCTGAATGGGATGAGAGTGAAGTGGATGAATAGGCCACAAGAACAATAGCAAGAACATTCACTGCACGAGGAAACGCATGCGCTACGCAGGAGGAAACGCAGTGCGAGGAATGAATGAATGGGATGAATAGGATGAATAGGAACAGTGAAGGAATCCAAGGCACATGAGGTGAATGCTGCAAGGTTCACTTCGCTAGGAACTCATGCGTACCGCAGGAGGTTGGCGCAACTGAGATGATACAGCCTTACGTGGGGATTCCCCAACAAGGCCGGAACTCATAGGATTTGAGGCATGCGACGCGCATGCGATACGCTTCTCGAGGACGAGAAGCCTGGGGGAAGGGGATAATTGTCATGAACGTCGATTCAGACAACCCCCAAACCAAACAAACAAGCCAAGACCTGAGAACCTGGTTCGAGTAGAAGGCTTACCGCACGCTCACCGCATGAGAGGAGCTTCCCTCCTCTCTATGCTTTGAGTCTTAGTTAAGACACACGTCAAGGAACAATCTATAACCCATTGAACTACCCTAATCGTCGTACTCTGCCTATCCCTATAGGTCCGTTCCTAACACCTTCTCGATAGGTATAAAAGTCACACTATATACGAATTTATGTGGGAATATCATATTAATCGAGTAGCGTTAGTCTACTTAATATCTCATTTAAGTTATATCCTTCAGCTACTTAATCTTACTTACTTTTCACTCCTAAAATGCCGTTATAAAGATAAAATCGCTAACTTAGCAAGGTACGACGACGCCTCGGCCGTCAAGAAGAGCAAGTTCCTTAAAACCTATGAGAAAGTAAGCAATGAGGGCTTATCCTCATATCGTATCCGTACGGGATGAAATGCGGCTAGTATTTATCCTTAGGATCCTCATAAAGTTATTCGATCTTATCAAGTCCTCTAAAGCAGCTAGAATAAGCGAATTCTACTATCTACGCCGCCATCACGTAGGCAAAACCAATATCTAGTAATAGATATTCGTACGCCATTTAATCAACGCTAAATACGATAGGAAACGAAGTTGATTTCACGACACGAGACTCTTTCTCGCTTAGTCCGTTTACTACTTAAAAAGACGGGTAAGGTATTTAACTAGCTATAGTAGGATATTACTATAAAATTACAAGAACTCGTAAATGTAATGGGTTGAACCTATGGAGATCCCTGGTTACACCAAGGACTACCTCTACACGTGACCTGTACGACTGACTGTACGAGGGAAGCGAAGGGTTACTCTGGTGACCTAAGCGATATCGATAAGTAGGAGTATTTACTCCTACTCTAGAGCTCGTACGGAGCTCTCTTCTCTTTTTTCCTCTTTAGCTTAGAATCCTAGTTATATGGTAGCTATACGAATCGTATGATTTATAGCAAAACCCTTACAGTAAACTAGCGTGTATAGCTGGATGAACTAGTCGCTAGGAGACAACCACGAGTCGCAATCGACTGCAATGAGGTATTTGCGAGTATCGAAACGATTAGACAAGCTAGGCAGGGTATGGAGGCATTGGAGGCGATAGCGAGGTCTTCTGTACGAACGAATACTAGAAATACTACGCGAAATAGGCAGGTGAATGACGTCCTGGCACCATTCGTACATCAATTTAATGCCAATGAGTCTGTAGGGTAGATAATTATAAATTTATCACCTTGGTGGCAATGCCTAATGCGTGGGTCATTACACGGGTGGGTCATTACATGGGTGCGTGACTTATGCCAAGCTTCTTGCTTGAACCCGGAGCTGCGAGATCGGTGGTGGAGGGACTTCCGGGGTCCGCCGATGGCATCAGATCAAGCCAGAATTACTCAGACAGACCAATATTGCGCTAGGTCATCATCTGTGAAACTAAGAACAATTTCATCTTCTTCCATCAGTTATTCTTTGAAGTTGCTATTGGTTATTTGGGATCTTTTCTTGCTCAGCAACACATTTGAGAGCTGGAATGATCAAGTATCCCTGGGATTTGCTTAGATGATGAGTTGAATATACTCGTTGTCTGGGTGGCTGCTTATTACTAAGTACCTGAGCACCTAGCCAACATGCTGTCACGGACATTAACTACCTGCGGGAGAAGAAGTTTGCTTAACACATACTACCCTTTCCCCAGGGTATGGAATCTCGGTTTGCGTGCCTTTGATCATGGCCGCACTGAGTTTCATTCTCAGTCTTCCCGGAGAAGGCAACAAGACATCAAAAACCCTAGTCTTCAGCAGTCAGTCGCAACATCCGATCTTGATCCAAAAAAGTCAATTCCGCAAGAGATAGCAGTCCCCGAGTCTGCACAGAAGCCGGAACCAGCGAAGCCTGGTCCAGCTCCCTTCAAGAATGATGTTTCACTCACCGAGAAGGTAGTCTCCAATAAGGAGCAGCGAAAAGTCGATCTGGCCATCATGAAAGACATGATCCAATACCTGTGGCCAAAGGGAGAAATCGGTACCAAGATACGTGTTGGTGCAGCTCTGGGACTACTCGTCTCCGCCAAGATTCTCAATGTCAATGTCCCATTCTACTTCAAAAGTATTGTGGATTCAATGAATGTGGACTTCCTTGCTGTTGGAGGTACAGCTTGGACGGTGGCTGGTTCCATGATCATCGCTTACGGCGTTACGAGGATCGGTGCTGCAGTATTTCAGGAACTACGGAATGCCGTGTTTGCCAGTGTTGCCCAAAAAGCCATTCGAAATGTCGCCAGAAATGTGTTTATGCATCTCCTGAAGCTCGACCTAAACTTTCACCTCTCAAGACAAACGGGCGGACTGACTCGAGCTTTGGATAGGGGTACCAAGGGTATCAACTTTCTGTTAACCTCAATGCTTTTCCACATCTTCCCAACGGTACTCGAGATATCCATGGTTTGCGGTATCTTGACGTACCACTATGGTGCTCAATTTGCCTTGATAACTGCTTCTACGATGGCGGCCTATGCCGCTTTTACGATCACGACTACTTCCTGGCGAACAAAATTTAGAAAGCAAGCCAACGCCGCGGATAATCAAGGTGCGACTGTTGCAGTCGACACACTCCTCAATTATGAGGCTGTCAAATATTTTAATAACGAGAAATTCGAGGTTGATCGATATGACAAGGCTTTGAAAAAGTATGAAGATGCCTCAATCAAGGTCACGACCTCATTGGCGTTCTTAAATTCTGGGCAAAATATCATCTTCTCCAGTGCATTGGCAGCGATGATGTATATCGCAGCCAATGGTGTTGCTGCAGGTACACTGACAGTTGGAGATCTTGTGATGGTCAATCAGCTTGTCTTTCAATTGTCTGTGCCATTGAACTTCCTTGGTTCCGTTTATCGCGAGTTACGACAATCACTGTTGGATATGGAGACCTTGTTCAATCTACAAAAGGTCAACGTCACTGTCAAAGAAGTGGCACACCCAAAGCCTCTTGCTTTGACTCGGGGCGGGGAGATCAAGTTCCAGAACGTTTCCTTTGGTTATCACCGTGACAGACCGATTTTGAGAGACTTGAGCATGACCATCCCTGCTGGAAAGAAAGTGGCCATCGTGGGGCCCAGCGGCTGTGGCAAGTCGACCATTCTTCGATTGCTGTTCCGATTCTACGATGCTGAGTCTGGCAAGATCACGATTGATGGTCAAGATATCAAAGAAGTCAGCCTGGAAAGCTTGCGAAAGAGTATTGGAGTTGTTCCACAGGATACTCCCTTATTCAACAACACCATTGAGCACAACATTCGATATGGACAAATTGATGCCAGTCTAGATGATGTCAAAAAGGCAGCTCAACGAGCCAAAATCCATGATCTGATTGAACGCCTACCTGCTGGATGGAATACAATGGTAGGTGAGAGGGGTATGATGATTTCCGGTGGTGAGAAACAGCGACTCGCTGTTGCTCGTCTATTGTTGAAGGACCCTCCTTTGTTATTCTTCGATGAAGCGACTTCGGCACTGGACACGTACACAGAGCAGACATTACTGCAAAACATCAACAGCATTTTGAAAGAAAAGCAACGGACTAGTGTGTTTGTTGCCCATCGATTGCGAACCATTTACGACAGTGATATTATATTTGTGCTCAGAGAGGGCAGAGTGGTGGAACAAGGAACACACACCGAATTACTTGCCTTACAAGGATTATATTCTGATCTGTGGTCTGCTCAAGAAATTTCCATTGGACAGGACATGTCGCTTGAGAGATCCCTTGAGGAAGAGCGCGAGGAGGACAAAAAGCAAACCTGATTTGTATCAGTGTCTAACTGTTGACTACTCGGACTCCGCCTGGAATGGAGGCACGATACCTGGGAGCATCTTCGGTTTACCCAACCAGATGGACGGGATAAGCAACTGATACCGCGGCAGTTCCAGAAATGACACCCTGTGTACAACGTAACCCCTACCACTATCTCGCAGACTGATCAGAGTCATCGAGATTTTTACCTAAAGATATGCGGCATGAAAGACGGAGTTTGACTGTTGAGTCGTGAGTATCCAGCCATCGGATCTGGGACTTGCATTGCATAGCTCGCACTTAATGCGCGCACAATCACACCTCACTTAGATAGACCATAATCTTCTTGATGATATCAGGGATGACGGTTAACTACTCGTACATCAGATTCAACAGCCAGAAAATGGATCATTTGGAGATTACTCCATTTTCCAACCACACATCCCAAGATGGATAGCGAGTCTGGAGGGCAGCCCAAGTTAGGACAAATCGAGGCCAGAAACCAATTCCGCAAAATCGAGCTGTTGCTAGGGAGCCGAGATCATCCTCTGGGGCAAGAAAACAGGGGTAAATCTTCCCACCACACGTGGCGTCCGGGTACACGGGCCCATGCCCACTCAGGTCTCCATGGGGCTCTTTTAGTGGTTGGGCTCTTCCAGCCCGGCGATCTTTGGGCTCTTTAGGGCAAAGGCGGGCTGTTCAGGCACCGTTCCTTGGTACCGAGTACCTAACGAGTTCAGTGTCGTACATGAGTGAAAAAGTGTGTTGACTCGAGCGGCTTTTCCACACTGTTTTCTAGCCTTGCGCAGCTTCGGCCTCGAGGCGACAATTCAGCAATAGCCTGTAGGTAGCTGCAGAGCCTGCATTAGGGTGCCCTTCGGTGGAGGGGGCGTTGAGCACGAATACCACATGACAGTCAGTGATACTACTCTGGAATACCTAATTATTGATATTCGTCATTTCGCTGGAAGGAATTCTGATTCACTTGACTGTCTCAAATCATCTTTTTGCAGATTGATGTCCATGGTTGATGCTGGTCGGGCACCTCAATTCCCCCTCCAAGATCACCCCCCAAAGAGGTGCTCGGGCGTGGGTCTTCAGAAGCATTGGAAGGACTCGCTAGTTGTCATTTAGGCAGGGACCATTGCAGCCTAATAGGTGCTAACCAGGCCAAGAACGCCCTAAAGTCAAACTAAACATGCCTTGGAGAAATTACAATGGGCGTGTCAATCCCACTGCACTCCAGACTCTCTCCTATCCCTTTCCTTGCATGGAATCCACCGACTCGGTGGTTCGCAGTGAATGCGCTAGGTTGACTGCAATATGCGAGATATGAACCATCCTCCCGCCCTCCTGTTCAATGCTGAAGATGATTGTGCACCCATTCTACTCCTGTCATCCCTTACATCGACGGATTTGCGACATCTTCTCTTGAGCAGCATTGACCTGGTTAAGTTGGACAATATTCACTTCACTCACTCGGGTCCCACTGTCCTTCCACCACTTGTTTCAAATCGTGCATAAAGACCAGGAACCCATTGCGCACAAGACGTTGCATCGTCCACGAAGCCGCACAAGTTGAACGCCCAACCAATCCTCGAGTTTGTGACTTTGATTTGTTATCGGGTTTATCCAGTCGAAACGTGGCTCATTACCAGTCAAGACGAACTACACAGCATTCCAATCTGACGAGAGATTCTCTTCCTCTCGTATTCATAACGGAAACGACCAAAATATTTTAGATATAAACCCTGCGCGCAGTCATCACAAGGCCATACATCAGCTGACGTATTGACGCTCCATCAACGATAAATCCAGCATATACACGATATCGCCTCGATTCTCCGGCCTTTTCTGACTACCATAACACTTGAAGCTCTTTCAAAATGGGTCTCTTCGATAAACTACACTCAAGTAAGTCTATTCATGTCCATTTCAGAGAATCACAAAGACTAACCCACACTTAATGCAGAACTTGAACTTTATCGCCTCGAACAAAAGTACGCGCGCCGCAAGAACCGTACTACATTCTCGACCGGCGCCCAATATGTGGACGGAGAATACGTCTACAACAATTCCGCCGATAGCAGTCCTACCATGTCTGCCACCTCGACGGGAGGATCCGACACCTCTTCGTCAAATAAGCGACAGACCATGCTATGGACGCCTCCAAACTCCAAGAGATCATGGACATGAATATGCCTGGGCCACGACTTAAAATATGATACAAAGTCCCTTCGAAGACGAGTTCACACGCACGCCAATGATGGGCATCTTTTCGTTATTGTTTCCGGTTTGGCACCATTTTTTTATTGCATAGCATTGGCGTTTTTGTGAAGGGGTGGTTGAGACTTGAGATTTGAGTAACTGTCTCGAATCGCGTAGAGATTTATGAGAGGGGCAAATGGAAGGGCAGGCTTTCAAGGGGAAAGCTCAGGCCATGCATGACCGCGAAAGGAGGATGAGAAAGAAAGGAGAGCAATGAGACACCTGCTAGGCGTGCTGTTCGCTACGTGCATACCCTGACCTCTTAATACACGAGGCGTTCACCAGAACCACGATGAAAAAGAAACAAGAAGAAAGTCGAGAAGTCAAACACGATGGCTGCTCTAGCAGAAAAGGAAAGAAAAGAACAGACAGAATTAAACTCCATTGAACACAACATGCATACCTACATCCAGCCTCATGGAGTTTTGATGCCCCCTTCAATAAAAGCGAGCTATAGTATCTCAAACCTACTCACGGGCATTCAAACCCCTGTTGTTATCAATCAACTACCTACGTATCTACAAGACATCCAACACCCACGAGTTGTCCAGACGATACCATCCACATCATAAATCATGTCCACATCCTTGCAGATAATCAAATCCTCAACGCCACTTCCATGCCACCTTGGAAATCGTGACATAAAGTGACAGGCGCCCGCTGCATCTGCACATGCAGAGATTTAGACAGTTGACGTGTGACGCCATACGGGGTGCATATCGCCCCCTGTTCATTCTTAATGGATTGCGGATACTCATAATCGTGTTCATGCTGGAGTGGGGAATGTAGATTCGGTATGACAAGCAAGAACGTAACTGTGAATAGAACTATCTCTTCTTATTCAGTACCTAAGTAGTTACGAGGAGTGAAGTGTTCTCATCCGTACGTCTCTTATGAGCCTGTGTGCGCGCCGTTTGGTAACGTTTGGCGGGAAGTGTCACATGTGAGGCTCAGTGTTGGTTGCTGATTTTAATTTTCAATTTTGGCTTCTCAGCCTCGCGGAACATCATGGTCGTTTCAGTCTGTGAAGGCTACTCATGCACACACAGGTTGGTCGCTATATAGACCGGCCACTAGACCGATGTATCTTCCATTGCACGATGAACATTGTGTCACCTTCGTTGGAGAAAATGTGCTTGTTCTACGCATTGTCAAGCCGAAAGTCAAAGCCAGCCAGTTAATCCATTCCGTACTGCCATAAAGATAACACTGAGAGCTATTTCTCTGTCACAATCGTGGGCCGGCTTGCCATGTTCGCGATCGCTGTATTCCAAATGAGTCCTGATGAAAAGTCTCCTTCGGCACTTCCTTCCCCAGCCAAAGAGCGACCTACTCAGACCGTCGCAGAGGAGCTCGCATCACCGACCTGTCTAGCTGGGATGCAAACGTTTGACCTGTCCCTTGTTGCTTCCTTCATTCGTGATGCACCAGCGATCCCTCATCCAGTCTCAAATCCAACGACACCTCGCCTCGCCTCGCCTCAACTCTTAATTCTAATTTCATCTCTTCCCTTTCTCCTTATCCTTGTCCCGATCTCTACTCCCGCCCGCCCTGGCAATGCCACTGGCGAACTTCCCCAAACCACCCGCCAGACTATGGCCACGCTTATGGGGCGCGACTCTACCGTCGCCACCGATCACCGAGCCAGCCACGCCAGCTGCAACGCCACCCGGAATATTAGCGCCTCCAAACTTTCCTGACGCGCCGGCACCACCACCGATGCCAGGTGCACCGACAAAACTAAGTGGTCTCCCGAGCGCGCTGTTCCGGCCCCCTCCAGCCCCGGTCGACCGCCCTCCTGCATCAGCGGAGCGATTACTCGTGCGAGAATCACGTCCACCACCACCAAGGCCGATCCCGTCGTCGAGTAGACCCCTGGCGCCACTGTTCGAGCCCGCATAGGCGCCGTCGGCGTCTGCGCCACGGAGGAGCCTCTCATTCCGCCGACGCGCTTTTTCTTGCGTCTGCTTGAATTTCTCCATCAGCTCGGGCCATTTCACGTCGCTGGAGGCATTGACGTCTCGAGCGGTGCGTGTCAACCGGCCGGGAACGCTACCTGTCCCGGTTGCACTGGGGAGAGAAGCGCCCGACATGCCTGCCACCACGGAGGGGCGTGCTGATGTGGGCATTGAGGCAGGGGTATGCAGCAAGCCGATAGCTGACACGGAGTTCAGCCGATTCTTCAGGGCGCCGAATGCAGATGATTGCGGGAGGAGCATTAGCAGGCCATAAAGGCATTTGTAGAGGTAGGGGTATCGATCGGGTTCGAGGAGTTGGAGGCGGAGGTCTAGAAAAGCAACTGTTAGGAGATTGACTACACATGATTGGGTCACGGGGTACTTACATGTGAAAACTGGGCTCTCGAGCAGTTGGACCAGCTTATCAATCTGAATAAGCATATTAACGGTCATTTCCAAGTCGGCGAAAATCTGAAGCAGGTTGTACGCCTGTTCGTAAGCCTGAGCAAGGAGGCATAGAGAAAATGTCGCCACTGCATTATAACACCAGGCTCGGAAGAGGGCGACAAAGAACATTTGTCCGTCTTTGCTGTCGAGATTTCGCAATCGTTTTCTCAGCTCAGCCAATTCCGGGGCGGTGATAAGATTATTGTTTAGATTCTGGACCATGATACTGGCAAACTCAATGTCCTCATCTTTCTCGATGCAATCGGCGAGCGTCCTGTAGATCCGCTCGGGCTGGAGGTTGATACATAATTGGCGGATGATCAGGTTTCCTCTGATCTCCAGCAATTTCCTATCCGTGGAGAATAATTGTAACAGGGCCACCATGAAAGAGGTAAAATAGCCATCCTCACTATTCCTCGATATCTGCGACAGCAGTTGCAGATCCCTAGTGACCACCGCTTCTGCAGGGTCGGATAGAGTCTTGAGCAGAGCTGGGAAAGTTCCGTCATTGAAAGCGAGGACCTTCTTTGGGGCTTTACGATGCAGCATTATAAGCCAACTTAGCGCAGCGACACGGGTTTCTTCGTGTTCGTTGAGAAACTGTAGCGTCAGTTCGTTGACCGCGGCTGCATAGTTCAAATCGGCCATTGGTTGTGGTGATGGCGTGGCTGTGGACCGTGGGGTATCTTCTGCCCCTGATTGTTCATACTCAGGCAGTGTCTCCGAAGAGGCTTCACCCGCGGGTAGGGGCAGAGCCGGTAGACTCTTCATGGTGGCACCTGATTGCCTCTTGTCCTGGCTCTCGGCATCTCGTGTCTGTAGAAGACTGAGGCTACTGGCTGGCTGCCCTCTTCTTTCATCAACTTGGACCTCATCTTGAAATGTGACGATGTAATCCATGAGAGATCTATTCACCTTGCTGGCTGTTGTCCGGACTTGTTCAGATTGAGCTGACAGTGCAGGGAGCACTCGAGACAGGAGTCGTGGAACATATTGTAGGATTTCTTCTGGGCTGATTTCGAAGAAGCTGTCAATCCATCGAAGAGCGACAATTCCGATTTCTTCCTCTTTTTGCTTTGACAACCCTTCTAGCCGCAAGCTTGAGGATGACTCCTTTTTGGACGAGACATCGACAAACTTGAGAAGGATGTCGAGGATTTTGGCATGATCAACCTGAACATCTTGTCCTGGAATCCAATCGCCACTGTTCTCGTCTGCCGGATTGACCTCATCATCTTGTGCGGTTCCAGATTCCGAGTCGTCGATTGCATTGTCATTGGAATCACTTCCCCGTGCTGTAGCACTATCTGCCTGACTGCCGGATGCACCTCTGACATTACTGGTCCGACTTCTCCGACTTTCAGCAAGACCTCGTTTGATCTTTGCAATCTTCTTGATCTCGCTGAGAAAACGCTCCAACAATCCTTGTGTTGCCACATAGACATCTCGATTTGGGTCGCCAAGAAACCTGAAAAGGCCTGCAAGGAAAGCTGGGAGATAATGTACTAGCTCCAGGTCTGGAATGGTGTCAAGAAGTGTGAGCCATGAAACCAAAAAGGTTCGAGTAAACGGATTAATGACATGAATCCGTTCCTCGAGCAGTGGAATGAATTTTCCGAGTGAGAATGCTGTGGGAAGTTCAATACTGGACTTCTCAGAGTCTTGGTCTTCCCCCTCAGCATCGTTGAAATTTAGTATCGACACATATGAAGCGGCAGATTCAGAGACGATGTCCTTGATTAGACGATCAAGCAACTCAGCACCGTTCTTGACTGATAATTCAGTATCGGCTGCGAGCTAGAGCATGAAAGTCAGCTCTCAGAGGATTCACAGTCAATGAGTATTTCTGCAACATACCTTACATAGAGTATCAAAGATATCATTGAAAAATACTAGAATCTCACCCTTTGCTACTTTGGCAATATTGTACATGGCTTCACAGGCATAGTATCGTACACGAGCATCCTGATCAGTAAAACACGCGAGAACTGGCGGTACGATCAGCTTCAGGTATCGGGCGACATCCTCCTACAGATCAACAAAGTTAGGGCATGTCCTCTGATAGCCACCGATTGGAGGATGTGACTTACCGAGCCCAAGGCAATCGAGGCAGCCGCCAATCCTATCAAACCTCCATTCCGAGCATGAGGAAGATGAACTGCATATGCATAATCGTGGCACAGTTGTTCGATGGTCTTTTGGATTTTGTCATGGTCCTTAGCTGCTGCAGATTCCCGAATAAACCGTTCAAGCCTTACGTAAGTCAGTCACCAGTAAGTAACGGATTGAGCACCCGATCTTACTCCAAGGCACCCTGTTTGCGTTTGTCATAGAGCTTGTCTGTCAGAAGTCGCTGCACTGAGGGATCCATGGTGTATTGATCAAGTTCAGGGCTGAACTCAACGTCATTATCAAATCAGCGGCAAGACTCGAGGGTGGTGCAGATGAAAGACAGTCGATAATCACGTCATTCATGCATTCGGACACGGACGTTCAGGGATCATACAAAAGGGTGATTAAAGTAGTGATCTATTACACGTCGTGGTGAAGATGATGGGAATGAAACGCGTATCTGTTGAAGGTGAGGTCGCGATCATGTTCAGGGTCCTGCTGGGATGGAGGAGTTAGTGGTTCACTACTTGGTTCTTACTAGTGCGCCGGGCCAACTTTTTAGCACTACGTAGTGACTAGTAAGTAGGCTGAAATCAAGCCGCTTTAACTGGCCCCTCTTATCGAAACGACTGAGGTATTCAGCCTCATCAATTCAACTCCTTTGGGACCGGCGCTCCTTTCCTTGAAGTAAATGCTCCTATATAAGCCTGAATGTACCTGATGAGCTGATGTCGCATTGGCCGAATGATTGACGTGGGCACGTACGCTCCTACAATAACCATGACTCGTGCTGGACATTGACACGTGACAACTTCAAGGAGGAAAGTCAAGCGAGGTTCAACCAATAAATCACCTATGCATCAAAACTTTGTTTTGTCCACCCAACGCCTACTAGGTATTTTCTCTCCGAAGAACAGTTCCAAGCGAATACCGATACAAATTGCATATCATACACAAACAACCCATCAGGGTAGCAGGGTGCTGTAGTCCATCGTGTGGGGCTCTGTTTCCCGTCCAATTGATTGGAGCTTGGTCTTCAAGGTCCTGGTTGCCCTATTCGCTCTCAAGAAGGATACGAAAATTCGCCCCATAACAGCCCGGTGGCCCTTACCCGATTCCTGATCACCCAAAGTATCGCCACTCGGGCATCAAACTTCCGCTTGTCGGAACATATATGCGATCACCAATGTATGTATCGATCTGTACAGCACGTCAATCCGGGAAAAGGCAGATGACCAAAACGTCTGACTGACCACAATGCCCCAGTCAGCAATGAAGCTGGTGTCAATCCTGCTGCTCTCAACCATTTTTCCGAGTTTTCTGCAAGTCTTCGTCGATGTTGATCTTGGTCGATTTGTATCGACCACTGAGTCCACGGATCGTTTTGGATGGATGATTTTGCATACTGATCTAGACATGCTGAAACCCGCTTCTCACGTCCTTTCAATCCGTTAGCCACAGGTGCTCAATGCGTCTGTAACTCACGATTTTCTGAACAGACCTTGACACCGCTTGAATTGGTTCATCTCGAAATCAAAATCTATCTTGATTGGAAGACTTTTTTAGTATTGAAGCCCAATAATGCCGATTGATCCAGCCTTTTTGAGCAGGAAGCCTTGATCAGAAGCGAGCTGGTGCTGGTGGAATTATCGCAAGGTACTGTTTCCCCGAGAGAACTGAAGCTTTACAGGACAGAGAAAGGACAACGCGGGTCGTTACTGCATTTTAACATCTTCACTAGTCATGATTGACAGACGGAGTCTGGTGACTCAAAATTTTTAAGGACAAGATTCGAACATCAGCTTGCCTGGAACATGCGTGAGTGGAATCCGAGCTTCAAACGGATCGGCTACGTCCGATTGATTGGACTTTGTAGGCTGGAAACGAAAATTAAACCGAGAGGGAAGATGCAACTCGATCCGTCCCACACGCTCCAGGGATACTTTGGGGCATACATTTCACAGTCATGCAGGGTACAAAAGCCATCCACTGACGTGGCATTATGGATGGTGGCAGTCAGAGCATTCGGTACAAGGTACTTTCGGCGTCCCATCTCGGGCGCAAACCAGCAACGAATTGATCATTTTCTGTCTGATATTATGGGGAAATTACGAAGCATGCTAGCTTCGATGGATTCTACAGCCAAGCGCAGGTGTACTCTGACGGGAATCTGGTTACGATTCACTATCGTGCTACTTTGCAACCCTCTCAGGGCTTCGCTCAACCCGGGGTTCATCTCTTACACGCTAGAGAATGGTCGAGAATAAAACTACAATCGCATATCTCGATCAGAATCAAATTCGCAAGGCACAAAGGCCCGGCTTCTGGCCAGGTCGAGATCAAGAGATCACCCATCGCCCTCAGACTCTGGTCTGGGCCTGGAATCTGAGATGAGAGATGGTGGGGTGCCTGGCCAGTAACTGGCGATGCAACTCCATGATGGGTTTCTTGATTTACCGATGCGGTCCGAATTCAAAATGCTGTTTCCAAGAGGTTTTGCGCGCGCGCCCGGGTTTGCATACTGTGGAATGCCAGACGCAATTGAGGATATGATTCATCTTTGAAACTTCCAATGAAAGGGAACTCACGAGGGCAATGAGGATCCCAAACCCACTTTTCTTTTCGATCTCCCAATTCAGACATTCCTTCTCCTGCTGATCCTTTCCCTTCCCTTTTTATCCCATCCCATGCTATGACGCCTTCGCCTTCCACATCGACACTCGCATCTCAAAGCTCACACCTGACTCTCCTCTATCCCCTCGCCTCTTGAGAAGCGAACATCGTATCGTTGACGCGTCGGCCGTCAATTAGCCTGAAAGACCCAAACGTCAGCCAAGCAGGTAACCTTCTCTCCCGACATGATGCCGACTTTTGAAGGAGAAAGTACCGCTTAACTTAGAACAAGCCACCCCGCCCGTGCATTCCCGATTCTCCGCCTGCACAGTATTTTCTCCCTACAGTACCCTGACCCTCCGCACCCCGTACTCTAACCAATCAACCGAAACACCATGCCACTCTGAGTATAGCGTAGCCGAGACAACGAGAAGACTGCTCATCTTTCATTGGATTGAAGAGTACTACAGTACTATCCCACTCACCCACGACCCAGCAAGAATCGGGATATTACCGCCCTCCTACCTAAACACATGCCTCTGTATACGGACGAACCTATAAGGACCACCTAACTACACACTACTGACCCAGCATACAATTTCACTCGCTTCAGGTAAGCAATAAACACGTCACGTCATAGCCGTAGACTAGGTACATACCGTACATACCTTAGGTAAGTAGCCAGGTCTCGCGACTCACCAATATCCCAAATCCATCACGCATCGTGATGCCAAAGGCAAGGATGAACAGGTGCAAAGATGATAGCATGATGCAATCAATCAATCAATCAATGCAAACGGACGGACGTGTGGTTCTCGGCCCGCTCGCTCGCTTCCCTCCCTCCCTGCACAGACACCCACTGTAGACACCAGCACCCCGCGGCCCGCGCCCTTGGGTACTTCACGCTCAGGGCGCTTGCGATACGAGACACAAGGACGCAGTGAAGAAAGGATACGCGGGTCCCAGTATCATCACTATGACTGAGCAATATTCAAGGTTAGGTTCTTTTCTATTCTCTCGAAGACACAAGACGATCGCTGTCCGCGATCACGACTTCAGATACGGCTTATTTACTCAGGATGATGGACCCAATAATGTACGTCGGATGAGGCTGTCACGCGATGGATACCTAGTGATAGGCGACGGTCGTCTCGCAAGGGTGTGAGGGGAGGAAGGACCGGGAATACGAAGACGAGAACAAGAAGCGAGGAACGAGGCAGATTCGGAGATCGGATTTTAATCAGGTGGTTGTATCGTGAAGCGTGATCTACCTAGTGGGACCTTTGGCCTTGTAGGTAATCATGCTTTTGTTTTGCGGCATCATTCGACTCCTAGTCGGAAAAGGTCTGCTGACTACTACTGATTTAACCAACTTCATGCCTAGGGTACATCAGGTGCATCTCAGGGGGAGGTTCTCCACAGGGGGCCGGACCGTTTCGAGTGTCCATTCATGCTTTCTCAGACGATCCGGAATTGGAGTGGCCTGTTTCCAGTCTGCTGCGCTGTCAGGGCGCAGTTCTGTACAAATCGAAACCCCTAGAATGCTGGACAACCGGCACCTCTAGTCAACGCGAGAGAGTTCGAAAGGGTGCCTCAGGCTTGGATAGGGTGTTCTAGGCATGCATGTAATGACAATATATAGGCTCGGTATTCGAAGGAAGTCGTAAACATGCCAAAGAGGCCATAAAGATTCGTGAATCTAGAGTCGTGAAATCATCTCTGACATGCACATTGTGCCTTTGTGTGATGGTGAAATCGGGCCACTTCAAAGAGATGATCGTCATTATACTGGAATACTTGTCCCCTAGACTGCTCCAGGAGTGGGAGGTAGGCCAGTGATGATCTCAGTCAGTTTCACGAAACAAAATGGCTTTGTCAAGAAATGATCCATGCCGGATTCGAGGGCTTCGTTGCGAGCGGTCGCAGATGCCAATCCAGTTAAAGCGACAACGGGTACTCGACGCAACGAATGGTTCGCTTCGTATTTTCGCAAGAGGTAGGTGGCAGTCATCCCGTCCAGTACAGGCATACTCACGTCTGATCATGGTTAATCAGATGGTTGGCAAATGTGGATAGCTTTGCAAACGATTCTACTTACCCATCAATACACACTTGAAAGCCCCATTGGCGGCTTTGAAAATATCAACTGCTTCCTGACCATTGGAAGCTTGTACTGGTGTAAAACCTTTGTTCTTGATGAAAGTCGTGAGAAGCTGTAGACTGTGAGTGAACAAGATGGTATGCTGTGTTTTCAGGTACTTACCTTTAAATTCAGCGGATTGTCGTCCACACATAGAACCGAATCGTTAATTGGTGGCGACACAACCACTTCCTGAGGTGTTTCAGGAGTACTGGCGATCGAAATAGGAGTGAGTGTCCGTGGTGTACCAGTCGAAATATCTTGAAAGGGAAGTGATTCAGGTGTCGATGCAGGCGTGGGAACAGGCTCAATGGTACCTCCCGCCTGCTGCGAGCTTCTGCTACTTAGGAGGCTAGATCTCTCAAGGCATCGATGTAGAACTTTGGAAAGCTTTCGTGGACCAAGTCTAAAAATGCATGGATGAGCTTCAAAAGCAATTTGTAGTTTTTGTGTCAGTGGGGGAAAACTTACGGTTGATGCGTAATTTCAACGACAAAATCCTTGTTTTGTATTCGCGCGTCGTCACGCAGAGCGGCCATTTCCAACGCATCATGGGAAATAATCAACATTGGAGGGACAATCGAGGCTTGAGCTTGTGCTTGTGATCTGACTGATTGGATAAGGCCAAATGATGGCTCCAAGCAGATAATCAGGTCTGCTGCATCTGGAGACCATGATGATTCAACAGTACTCTCCACTCCATACCAACGTTTTAAATCAGAAAGTAGAATTCTACTGAATTCACCCTCCGCTGTCAAGAGGCTTTCTGGATTGTCTTTTGAGGCTTTCGAGGCGGTGTCTTCTAGGATAGCCACGCGAACATTAGCAAGAGATTTCGATAAAGCTTGCGGGTGCTGTTCATCCACATCGGTAGGGTGATGCTTCCCACGGCGGGTATTGACACAGACGGTCATGTTCGTCCCTAAGCCTCTTGTGCTGGTAACATCTACATAGCCACCCAGTGACTTGACGATTTGATCCACTATGCTGAGGCCCAAACCAGTACCAGATGATAAAGAGTCTTCTTGAGAGAAGGGTTTGAAGAGCTTGTTTTGCAAGAACTCGTTCGACATACCAATCCCGGAGTCATTTACCGTCAGAATGATGGAGACTGTGTCGTGCCCCTTTTCATCGGATTCGAGCTTTTCATCGTTAAAATCAGAGACCTGAAGGGAAACAGTGATGAGTCCTTCATCGGTGTACTTCAATGCATTGCCAACAAGATTCATGACAATTCTTCTCCAAGCACCAGGCTGTATCTCGACATTATTAATACCATTGATAGACTGAAAGTCCAAGGCTAGCCGAACGCGCCCTCGCTGATAAACCGACCGACGACTATGGGCGAGCCCTTGCGGCTGCGATTTTTGTATTGGGAGACCAATCGGGGTTGCATCATCTGATTGTAAAAAGCTGTGCTGATAGGAAAAACCAGTAAACACGGCCTCCACAACCTCTTCAATCAGTTGGCACAAGTCAACACTGGTCGTCAAGCTGGATCGACTGATGTCATCCTTGCTCAGCGCACTTGAGACCTTGTTATTCTCGGCATTTGCTTTAACAGAGAAGTTTGTCTTTGTGTTTGTGAAGCTGTTGATTTTTGTGAAGTCCATCTGCAAGTGTGCGCAAGTAACATTGTCAGCACAAATACAAGACGCTAGGATAAACGGATAGAACTATGTGTCGGGAGGAGTGGGTTGTATCAATCAACTTACGACGTGTTCGAGGGTATCAAGTAAAGTACGTCCAGAACTTGTTATGGAGTCCACCATCTCTAACTGAAAGCGATTGAGCTTGCTATCGTAAAGAAAATTGGCTGCGCCGAGAACGCCGTGCAATGGTGACCGAAGTTCGTGAGATATTGAAGCAACGAAAGATGTCTTGGCTTCATCTGCATCCAGAGTATCGAGATGTGATAAAGCATTCGTGATGTTGTTGCAAAATATCCTCAAAAAGTGGAGATCACCGTCCAGAGCAGGATCACGTTTGGGCTCTATAATCCAACATACGCAGAAAGCGAACCATCGTTCCCGGTTGTGATCCCACAGCGGTAGACAAACAAATGTACGCGCTTGGGGATGAATCTTTAGGAGAGAGTTGACTTGAGATGCTCGCTGCTTTGAACGCCCAGAACCATGCAGTCCAGGAGTTGTTGAGTTTATGGGCTGTACAGATGGGTCTGGTCCTTCGCCCGAGCTTGAGGTATCGCCAGGAAAGGTATTACCAGACCGGTCAAGGATATAAACGCGGCCGCGGGGTTGAGTGCCCATGAGTTTCTGTAAATCACGAAGACGAAAGCGTGGAAAGCGCATCTGATCGCTAATTCGTGTTTGCTCATCAGTTTTACTGAGAGAGAATCCTAAAATCGGACTCAGCCCATCTAGGTTGGTCTCCTCATTGCCTGAAAGATCCTCGGATGAGCTCTCTGCGTCTGGAGTAGTTGTGGGCAGCGCCGACCGACTCCTGTCCGAGGCGGTACTTGATGATGAGCAATGTCGAGATCTGTGGCTCCCAGCATTGGATGCTTGGTACTGCCGTCGAGAAGACTTTCCAGTACTAGACACGGAAGAGATGTAGAAAAAGGCTGTCCCATCATATCCACCTGCTTCTCTGATGATATTGGAAGCCCTTGAAAACATGGTTTTGCAACCACTGGGAAGAGCCATTTCCCACATTGACAAGGAGCGAGTAGAACTAGTATCACTGCCTCTGCTGATGAGGTGAAGGGACTCTGCGTTGACCGGCACTCTCTGAGAACGAGTCCCGTCTATTGCGGCAGTCGTAGTGGGAACGTCATCTTGAGAACGGGGCATCGATGATAGGCCTCGAACGAACGATTCTAGGCCAATAACCAGGCGGTCTCTTCGTTGAAATTCGGCCTGTACCCGGACATTTTCGAGGTGCGTCATGATGGTCTGAGACATGTCAAGCATGAATGATTTGCTTAACTCAGTGAGATCCTGTCGCGGTTTCTGTAGGTGGCGCATTAGTGTAGATCAGAATGGCATCTTAGTCAAACTCACGTTATCCAAAACACAGAAAGCGCCGATGATCGTGCCGTCGACGCTGCGCAGGGGTGCACCAGCGAAAAAGCGCAATTGTGGACCATCCGTCACATAGCGACGAGTGCAGTAGCGTGAATCATCTCGTAAGTCGGGAATAATGACGAGCTCCTGGTTGTGTTTAATCCTGGAGATGTCTTCTTCGGAATTGGTAGCAGATCTGATTGGATCGCAGGTCAATACGACTTCGCATATCCCTTGCTTTCTTGGGATCATCACACTACCAAGCCACAGACCATCACCAAGATCATGTCGATCATCGGACTGGGAGGAAAGCGACTGGGTTGACTCGGCCAGGACATGCTGACTAGTGGAGTCGATGAGCGAGATCAAAGCTCGCGATGTGTTGAGGCGTAAAGCGCCTAGCTGAGCAAAGGCAGTGAGGGCAGAATCGTTTGAAGACTTGGGAACGAAAGAAATGGTGGCGTTTGGATTGTCAACGGTAATATCTATGCCTTGTTCGAGTCGAGGGAGGGCTTGAGTGATAGCTGTATACCTTGTAAGGCGAAGCGAGTCAATTCGATGTTCCTTTGATCGCTGAAGGATAGAGAATAACATTTACCTAGCGATGACTCGCTCTCTAAACAAGTCGAGTGATTTCGACTGTGGTGGAGGGGTACGTGCCATACCAGTGGGAATGTGTTTTGTACTATCGGGCGATCAATGGCCACCAGCAGGACTCTAGTTCGTTGACCAGCACGATTTTGCACATGCCATAGTCCTCAGCGAGCAAGATGCGTTGGGCGACATGAACACGAAAGAATAATACCCAGGAGTTTAGAATGAGGATAAGGATAAGAATGATCAATTCAAGGAGTTTGTCTGGTCTTCGAGTGGAATCTAGTTCATTGGGGGTGGATCTAGCTACAATCAGCACGAATTAGAGATGGAATCGCTCGCTGAGCTGGGTCGTCCACCCAGAATAATAATGGAAGGCTCGATCTAGGCCTTGAATGGTCCTTGAACTGGCAGGGATCGAATTTTCAGAGTTTTGGTGATGATGTAGCGAATCTGGGAATTAGCGGCCACCTACGTCGTGCCTCACAGTGCAAAAAGTGGTCGTGCGTGGCGGTGGACTGAGACCACCAGGATAATGCAGGGTCAAAAGGCCCACGGAATGAATAATGATGGGCTCGGATGGATGAAAATTGAAACAGGGCCCCAAGGTCAGCATGCGATTCTTCCAAATCCCATCAAGACCCTTCCAAGATTGTTATTAATCGACTCTTATTTGGATTCTTGTGGCAATAGTACCTACCTACCTACCTACCTCCTAGGCACCTTTACCTACGACCGCTACCTAGGTCGGTATGATACGGACTATCTCAGCACCCATTCAGTACCTAGGTACCTATCAATTTAGGCATTCCTAGGTGCCGGTACATGTAAAGGGGGTGCCAGTGGCGAACAACAGTACTTTGCACTAATTCCACCATGCTTCCGAATCAGGTAGTTTTGCCGACTGACATGGATCACGTGATATTAAATCCACGTGACTCTAACTAGGACTGCCATCCGAATGTGGGGAGCCCAAGAAGGAAGCCCCATCATCCATGTCCCACTCTCTGCCAGTCTCGGTCGTAGTTCTATCACCATCATTACCTCTGCTCTCTAGCACCTCTCGGAAGCTGGCACAATCAACCCATCTCACTGGGTCCCATCCGTGGTTTTTCTGGTTTCGTCTAAATGTCCGCCTAGGGAGTTCCTTGCAGGAGCTCAACAATGTTTTGGGATGCGCCTCATTCGGTTCCTGGCTACTCGCACTCGGCTCAACAAAATATCTCTTTCCTTCTCACCTCCAAACACACGTCGACCATCTCCTGTCCCTAGTACTTTTCAGACCTCGAACATAGTATCTCTTTCGTTTTCTCGAATGGCGTCTACACTACCCTCCTCTCCCATCTTCGAGGCCATTGCCAGACATGATCCTCGGTCTCCTGCAATCATACACAGTACTTCTGACCGCACATTTTGCTACGGAAGTCTGCTACACGATGTTGCCGCTGCCAAAGACAATTTGACTGCTTTGGCACGGGGAAAGTCGTTGGTTGGCGAGAGGATAGCTTTCCTGGCTGAAAATGGTTATGATTATGTAGGTGCGCGATACTCAACACCTCCAACTTCTCAACTAGTCCTTTAACTCGATAGAACAGTCACTTTTCTCTCGATTTTATCTCATGACGCCATAGCCCTTCCGTTAGCACCAACTCATCCCAATTCCGAACTACGCTACATCCTTGAGAACAGCGGAGCTTTATTCTTCCTAGCCACGGAGAAATTCCGTGAAAAGGCTCAAGACGTGGTCAAGGAGGGTCTTGATCATGTCCCTAACCTGGAAATACTCTCCAAGATTGAGACCGGCGCAGTCTCCGCCGAGAATGTGAAATTTAGCTCGACTCGGGTCGAGAAAGGAGGCTTTATGCTTTACACGTCCGGGACCACAAACAGGCCGAAGGGTGTGGTACTCTCGATACCTACCATTACGGCTCAAGCAAGATCTTTGATCCAAGCCTGGAGATACACTCCGTCAGACCTACTCCTACATGTCCTTCCCTTACATCACATTCACGGCACTATCAACGCCCTGTTCACACCGCTTCTCGCAGGTTCAGCTGTCGAGTTTGCCTACCCGTTTAACGCAGACACAGTATGGAAACGCTTGGCCAGTCCTTTTCTACAGAGCTCGTCTCCCTCGAAACGACCCATTACCTTTTTGACAGTTGTACCTACTATTTACAATCGGCTTTTGACCTCACATCCCAATCTCGATCAAGATATGCAAGTGGCGACTCGTACAGCTATTACGCCTCAGTATATGCGCTTGAATATATCTGGATCTGCTGCGTTGCCAACTCCCACCAAATCTGCTTGGACCGAACTAAGTGGCGGAAACGTCCTTCTAGAGCGCTACGGTATGACTGAGGTGGGCATGGCGTTATCATGTGGCCTAGCCTACGAGGATCGTGTTGACGGTAGTGTCGGCTGGCCTCTACCCTCAGTCGAGGCTCGACTTGTCGACACGGAAACTGGTGAGGTTATCCAACCGGGTCAAGAAATTGATCAAAAGGGGGAGCCACGTGCAGGAGAAATTCAGTTACGTGGTCCTACCATTTTCACCGAATATTTCCGTAATCCGAAGGCTACAGCCGAAGAGTTTGTAGCTGCAGATGACGGGCAAGGAAAATGGTTCAAGACTGGAGATGTGGCAATCCGCCAAGTGGTCCCAGGTGCGGGAAAGAGTGGCCAGTCATGGGCACAGGGACCGATGTACTTTATCCGTGGACGTCAGTCAGTCGATATTATCAAAACCGGAGGCGAGAAAGTTTCGGCTTTAGAGATCGAACGAGAACTTCTATCCTTGCCTGAAGTTGCCGAAGCCGCAGTGGTGGGCATCGCCAACGAGCAATGGGGTCAAAAAGTCGCCGCCGTGATCGTCCTGACGCCCAAGGGATTGACGGCAGGTAAAGGCGGCAAGCCATGGAGCGTAATGGATATGAGGCGTGCGTTGAAAGACAAACTTGCCAATTACAAAATTCCCCAGGAGTTGAAGGTCGTGGAAACAATCCCCAAAAACGCAATGGGCAAAATCAACAAAAAGACCCTGGTGAAGGATGTTTTCGAGAAAGAGAAACCTGTTACAAACGGTGTATCTAATGGAGTCACCAACGGAGTTCATCACACCCCGTCCACCAACGGACTCACGAATGGTGCATAAATAACAATGCGGTATGTCCGAGGCGATTCCCCGCGATGAGAAGTCACAAAGAACGGCTTGCGAAAACACCAGAGACACGGGCCTTCGAGTCGCTACTTTGGAGACAGCATTTATACAGAGCTGACTCTTACCATGCTACTCCCTTCTTGTACATTTACACTGAAAGTGGTTCCACTGCAGCAAGCGGTGCTCAATGCCCCACCGAGCACAAGTCAATCATGTGCGTGAAGTGTATCCAAGGTCCGTCGGTGATGCACTGGCTGGCTGGACGACATGTCCTGACATGGCCAGTCTATGTTAGTAGATTTAGTCTGTCGAGATATATGCACCAGAGGTGGATATCGCCAGAGAGGCCTTTAGGATGCCATGCATAATATGTATATACCCAGGTAATTATATATACTTTGCACATACAACGAAAAAGGGTCAGATATCTCAATCCCTCGTTCTCGAATCGTGAGCGTTCACCTCGAAAGTAGATCCACATATAGATATATTGCTCCGAAGCAGAAAACAACAACAACAATCAAGTTCGTCAGAATTAACCGCCGAGATTCATTTTCATTCTCTTTCACTACTCCTCCTCCCCCTCCTCCTTATTCAACGCACTTGGGCCGCTTGCCAACTAACTAGTCGACAGACGGACGTTCAAGTGTCCCCCCTCTTTGAGTAAAACGATCCGTCCCTCTCCTCGATTTACACAATGATCATTCCTCAAGACCGATCGAGAATTGAATTACGTGATGGATGCCTCGCTCTGTCCGTATAGAGTCGTTGGTCCTCTCTATATATAATAAAGGAGCCTTGTTCCTCATCTCTCGTCTTCGCCCGCTCCCATCGAGTTTCATTCCGCATCACATCATTCGGTGCACATGATAACATTCTAGCCTCTTAGACCGTCTCTTCCCGAGTCGGCTGACCTGGTCGGTTGGCATTGTGTGTGCTCTTCTAGGCGCGTACATAGACATATATATCTCTCTATAGACATATAGGATAGTGAATGAGGTTGAGATTCCGTCTTCGATATAAAAGAGGGTGATAACCAGTCTCGTCGCGTCACCTTCTCAATCGGTGCCGTGTGGCGGCCGATTCGGGCTGGTCGTGAAAGTCTATGTTAGACGAGACTAGTTGGGTCGATCGGAGAGTGTGAGGCAGATGCCATGTCCATGATAATGGTGGTGGGTACACAGTAGCCGGGTCACTGGTTGGTTTCGTCTCCCGATACCCTACCTCGTTCCCCTGTGGGTGGGTTGGGGGGTTGTGATCTAAAGGTTCGGATATGGTGCAAGGGCATATTCTTGGTAGTACACCTTCCTCGTCTCAGGTATTGCGTAGTTGTTGTTGTTGGTCAGAGGGGAGTTCGGAGACCATGCTGAAGCGATCTGAGGTATTGGACGATCCTACCGATTGCTGGGCTATTTCATTCGGATTGTTGTATTTATATTGCTGCTGTTGCTGCTGGTATTGCTGTGGTTGAGCGTGAGAAAGAGGAAGCTCGGAGATCATGCTTGACCTGTCAGAATAGGTGGCACTGTTGTGATGTCCACTGGGTGATCCTCGAGGAGTGGCATTGTCAGAACCGCCGGACAGTTCCGAAACCATGCTCATGCGATAGTCCGACTGTGGAGGCGTGGGTTGGCCCGGTGTCCCCGACAGGTGATGCCCTGTGTGATAGGTTGAGCCAGGAAGTTCGGCGACGAATTGCTTGGGCGCAGTGAGTCCTGCGTGTTGGTAATTTTGCTGCATTTGTTGCTGCTGCACTCCTGATATTTGACTGTAGTAACCCGTCCGTGGATCGTGACCCTGGTATTGTGGCAGGGTGGAGGTGCTCATTGGCCTTCCATTTTGCAGGTAGCCAGACTTCTCATCTATCTGACTTCGATATGCAGGATGGTTGGCCATGTTTTGCCAACCACCGTGGTCCTGTTGTGGGGACAGCATTTGAGGGGAGAGTGGACGTTGATAATCGTTATTGAGCAGTGAGGATTTGGCCATGTGTGAGCCAGGTTGAAATCGAGTGTTTTGAGGGCCGGGACTGGTGGGATATGCGGACGTTGCTTGTACATGCTCTTCCACCATTTCGGCCTTCTTAAGGATTCGTTCCACCAGTACTTTGTGGGCATTATCAAGATTCTTTCTAACAAACGAAGATAACATCCGGTTACACCTCATATCACCATCTTCGCGAATATAAAGTCCTTGACGAGGAGTTTCGACACCTAGTTCTCGAGCCTCGGGTGGCTCTCCCGGTAATGTGCCACCGATTGACCACTTCTCCCGAATATCCAGGCCCAATGGGGCGTAGATGTGTGTTTGCAATCCGTTGGGAGTATCATGAAAACATGCCTTGTAGCTGACTTTTCCCTTTGCGACGCCATAATTGATCTTGTCCGTCAGCTCTTGCCAAACACAACCTAAGAATTCGTCCGCTGGTGCATCTCTAGGGGTCTTGATGGGATGATGTTCAATGACCAAGGGATTCAATTCGATCATTTCGTCATGGTTGTGAAGCATGGCGACCGCGACCTCGCGCGATACCTGAGGCGGCAGAGGGGTAATATTGGTGAAGAGCGTCCGTTTCGGCATGGCTGCGATTAATTATGGAGTATGTGGGTTGATGGTCTTCTCGCTCGACGAGCTTTTGATGATGTTGTGAAGCTGTCTTGAAGACGCTGGAACCACGTCGGAGCGAAATCAATTCAGATGTATCTGTAGGAAAGATGCCAGGAAAAAGGCAAAATGGCGACCCCAGACAAGAGACACCAGACACCAACCGCATAGGGCTGTGACAGTGACAGAACGCGCAGACCCAGTGGCATCGACTCAGCCCGGACTCAGCTTCAAGCCAGGCTCCTGGCGCGCGGTGCCTGGAACACAACCTGCACTAATACTCGTAAACCGCCACCTCGTTACTGTAACAGCGATGCCGATCCGAGAGAGTCAATCCATTGAGCGAAGACCGCTCTTGGTATTGGGTAGTAGGGGCCTATAGGGCTTCTGTTCCGCTATGAATAGCTTAGTGCTTATCAGGTTCAGGCTAGACTTCTTGCACATCCGGGCTTCCTTAACCCAAATATTTTGGTTGAAGAGAATCAAATACTGCCCGACTGCCCCCCGGACTGAACTGTCACTGCGTCAAGGCGTGGCTGAAGCCATCCATGCGTCATCATCTTCGCTTCCCTTCCATCGGTGGTGATTCTGGTGAACTCATGGTCCCTTTTGTTGCAGCCCTCGACTCTGTGTGTTTCGGTAAATGGAATAACTATCATTCACAGAAACACTCAACCCTTCTCGTGGTCAGGCATCTCTTGGTCACCGCCATGCTTGGGCCACCAAGCAGTGTGAACTATTGCATATAGCTGACAGGCTTTTTGTGAACCCATAGGCTACCATGAGTCGTGACAGGAATGACCAACGCAGTGTCACGGCTCGGCAAGCACCCGTTGGTTGGTCACCATCTTTCCCTGTAATGCAATATTCAGGTGTGGCTTCAGGTGTCACGGGGAGTCTGGAGTGTTGGTTGAAGAACGAGCGCGAATGACTTCCGAGCAGGGACCGTGTCGCGTCTCTGGCTCATGTTCTCAGCTTAACGTGTCCACGCCACTCGCTTCAGATTCTGCACCGCGTCCACGCTGAAGCAGAATGTTGCATCAAACTCCTTTAAGCCGGGTTCTTTGTATATTGCCAACACAGCCAGTCCGAGATACGAATGGAGCAAGTCTGGGATTCCCATTAGCATTAGCATGACAAGTTGCGACTTCACATGGACATATTCATCATACCTGGAAGCTCGCCCGGACCTTTTCCAAAACCACCGATGATGTGTGTCACTGTTTGCAACAGATATCTTCGTAATGCTTCGACCTCGACCAGGTGCTCGTTGTTGAGAATCTGCAAGTTATCAATCCATGATCGACTCAAGCAGGTTCTTTCAGATGTGTCTACCTTCAACGCTCCCACATTCCAGAAGCAATAACAAGTGTCTGCTATTTTCCCACTCCGGCCACAGAAGCCAGCGATCATACCCGACTCTTTCGATTCTTGCTTCACTTCCTCATCAGGCTGTGTTTCCTCCTTATTGGCATCATCTCCATCCTCATCTCCATCCTCATCCTCATCCTCATCCTCATCCTCGATCCAAGTTGTCTGTCTTTCCAACATCCATCGTGCACAACTAACAAGATCAAGTCCCGCATGACCCGCAAGTTCCTGTATTGACGCCTGCCTATTTTGGCTCTGGCTGAGAAAAGACAGCGTTGCTATTGCACAGTAATTCAACCCGGCTGTTGGACGGTTAGAGAGGAGGAAATCGTAGTTATGGGAATCCTCTCACTGACAATGTGCTTCAAGAAGCGGTGCTTGCGCGATGCCGCCTTCCAGACTCTTATCATAACCGTCAACAACGTAGTCCAAAGCCATCACAACAAACCCCATAAGAACTCACTCACCTGACAATTCGCAAGATACTGCTGCAGTCGCAACTGATCGATGCCTCCAACCCTCCCCAGCTCCCCATCTCCATCTCCATCCCCGACCAAGATCCTCATCGTCCCAGCCGCACACAGGCAAAGCCTGGGATCTCTCCCACCCTGCACGACCTGATCCTCACCCAGAAACTCCCCAAAGCTCCCGTCCGGAAGCTGCAACCTTCTGACCCACGCAAGACACTCCCGTCTTCTGACCCTTGCCAAATCATCCCCCAGAACCAACAACGTCGCCAGCGCAAAATACGTATTCGGCAGATTCGCCGGGTCCCAATGCCAATTATGAGGGCTTCGCAGCGGCCCCAGCCCCGTGCCGGGAAACCCTCTGAAGCCGCCCGTGTGCGGCACCTGGCACGCGTAGATCCATTCAACCCAGCTGTGTCTCTCTTCGGGTGTGATGGCGCTCTCCAGTGCGCCGAGCAGGTCGAGCGCCGCGACGATGAAGAATCCGAAACTCATCCGGCTGGATTCCCCGGTCGTGTACGGCTCCGGGAGGAGCTGCGCGCATCGTTTCCAGTATTTGATGTGCCGTTCTTTGTTGAGTTGCGGTTGTGCTTCGGATGGCATTCTGTTGGCTAGAGTTGGCTGTGGTGTGGGATTGGACGGTGACCTAGATACATATATTGGCCAGTCTGTCAGGTTTAGTCATGCGCGCTAGCCCAATTAATTTCTCGGTCTTGTCATAAGCATGGACTTTAGGTCTCCGTATATGCGTGGATGGTTTGTCTGAGTAATGAGACGGGAAGCCTCTATCAAGAATGGTAAAAATAAATCGGGGAACGCGGGATAAGGAGGTGTGGGAGGGAGCATCCGCAACAAGACCGAAACGATTTCTAGGAGACGAGGCTGACCTTGCGACATATTACGAGTACATGATACGCTCACACCTGATGCCGCTCTACAACACTCTGACAAATCATAAGTACAGATTATAGTAGTATGTCAACACTGAAACGGATTTGCAAGCGTCTGAACTCTGTTGTCTAGCATTTCTTCTGGAACTTAAACAATTGTGTGAACGTAATGAACTAGCCACCATTTATCACAGTGACCACGAATTCAACTCGTGGATAGAAGAAAATGAGGCTGGCTTCATGTCGTAACGCCGATGCAAAGCTGTTCGAGACAAGATCCCGAGAAAGAAGAAACCCCCAAGGAAAACCCAATCACATAAAATCATCATCTTCAAGACCGCCGTCATCATAACTCGTAGTATCAGCCATGCCTCTGCCCATATCTCGCGTTGCTGCAAGTGTGGTCTTGGTCTTGGCTGCTTTGGATTTCTTGCCAGTCTTGTCGCCTGACTTCTCCTCTTTCATCTTCTCGTTGCTCAGGGCGGTCAAAGCGCTAGCTGCCTTCTTGATTTCTGCGCTCGGTAGATCGGCGGCTATCTGTTTGACAAACGTAGAAAGCCAGATTGAATAGTGAGGTTTGGAAGAGGCCGCTGTGAGTAGGGGGACTAATGTCTGTGAGAGAGCGTCAAATTGTGATTTGGTTGCTGGTCGGAAAAGAGCAAGGGTGGAGAGATCAATGGTTTGGCCGGGGTTTGCTTTGTCTTCGATGATGACAGCCTTATTCTTTGTTGTACGGGTTGTCGGTCCAAGTCCTGCACTAGCAAGAAGATCTTGGGCGTGCTTCAGGTCGGACTCTTGCTCGGTTTGGCGCAGGCGTGCTCTTTTATCGGCTTCGTCCTCATCTGAGCTCTCCTCATCTTCGCCAGCAGCGCGTCTTCGTCGATTGGCCTCACGGTGTTCTTCTATTCTTTGAGACTTTGGTTTCTTGTTGGCTGCTGCTTCGGCCTTGGCTTTGGCCGCAGCTGCTTCTGCTTTGGCCTTTTTCTCTCTCTCGACATCCGAATCTTCCTCTTCATCCCAGTTATCGGCAACCTGTGGCATCGTTAGTGATCAGGGATCAAGGATATTGAATCGTAGGGCCATACGTCATCAGAGTCTTCTTCATCAGCGAACTTTCGTCGGGCAACTGGAACATCGACAGATTCTTCTTCGGAAGATGTCTCTTCGGACTCTTCTTCTATAAGTTGTACGAGTCAGTATCTATAGTGCGCGGTGCCTGGCCTCTTCAAAAAGGTTGTGTGGGAGGCGAAAATTCGCGCGAAGGGGGAGCGACTTACCCCACTTCTTGGGCGGCATGGTGAACGCGGTCTCTGCGAAGAGGGGTTTTCTTTGATTGTCAGGTAATCGTATGAATTGCGTGAACGTGTAGGTTGTCGTAAGAGCAAGGTGGGAATTTGACTGTGTCGTTCAATGGGTGTGGGAAACGAAACAAAAAGTTGGATCGTGGGAAGTTTAGGGGGGAAACTTATTGTGTGTCACCCAGGCGCAGATCGGTTCTTTCCGAGGCGGTTCCCTAAGGCTTGTGAGTCTTTCAGCCCACTGCATGTGGCCACCGGCACTGGTTCTTCACTGTCAGTCCATGACGGCAGCCTGCAGCACCACTTTTCGCCCTGGCCAATTCTCATCACATCGAAATTCACATTATTTCCCTTCCGATGCCAAGATTTTGCTGCCCAATTCACGCCGGCTGTTTTGAACCGTGGGCTCTCTAGACTCTAGTGCCCGTTGTCCTACTCCGACGAGAGAAGCTTCACAAAACATGTGCATCTCAATCCAGCCAGGCACGTGTTTTTGGTCGTCGTGTGTACTAGAACAACTACTGGCATTTGAGCATTCATCACTCTTCTTATTCGTGATTCTTAGCTGCATTTGGCTGCAGGCTACCTCGCTGTTTGTTTACCTCTGCTACCTATAGTTGATATTCCTCTAACCTCCCTATCACTTTTGGGTGTTGTAAAATGGAGGGCCACCGCGACATCCCTTCCATCCATGGTTGATACAGTTATTGCATCCAGACCTACTCCCGGAGACCACTTACAAGTTGATGGCCTTGCGGAAGTTGGATCCAGCATAGATGGCGTTGTCACCGAGCTCCTCCTCAATGCGCAGAATCTGGTTAAGCTTGGCGAGCCGTTCAGATCGGGCGGGAGCACCAGTCTTGATCTCACCAGCGCGTAGACCGACGACAATGTCTGCAATGGTGACATCTTCAGTTTCACCAGAACGATGAGATACCATCACACCCCATCCGGCAGCATATGAATCCTTGGCAGCCTGGATAGATTCTGTTAGGGTACCGATCTGGTTGACCTTGAGGAGGAGTGCATTGGCAGCCTTGGTCTCAATGGCTTTCTTAATGCGGATAGGATTGGTCACAGTCAAATCATCACTGTGATACCTGTTAGTGATGCTTCGACACCATGCGATCCGGCACAAACTTACCCAACAATCTGGAAGTCGGAGGTCTTGTAGAAATAGCTCCATGCCTCCCAGTCATCCTCGGCGAAGGGATCTTCGATCGATACGATGGGATACTTGCTGGCCAATGACTTGTAGATGTCTGCAAGTTCCTCGTAGGTGATCCATTTGGTTGGGTCACTGTCGGGGTTCTTGAAGTCCAAGTCGTATTTCTTTTCCTTCTCCTTGTAGAATTCGCTGGAAGCAACGTCCAAAGCGATGTTCATTCTTCCTTCATATCCAGCTTCCTTGATGGAGTCTGCGATGAGCTCCAGAGCCTCTTCTGCGGTCTGGATATCGGGTGCAACGCCACCCTCATCACCAACATTGCCAGCAGATTGTCCATATCTCTTCTTTGCCAAGCTCTTCAGCTTCTGGTAGACCTCTGCGCCCCATCGGAGAGCCTCAGTAAAGGTAGGTGCTTGGCTAAAGGATTCAAGGTTAACAATGCACCAGTTTTGATGCAGATCTCAACTTACTCTGGGACAATCATGAACTCTTGGAAAGCAAGACGACCACCAGCGTGAGAGCCTCCATTGAGGACGTTCTGGAATGGCACTGGAAGAACATACGGCTTCTTGGTACCTGCAAGATCGGAAACGTGGGCATATAGAGGGACACCCTTCTGAGCAGCACCAGCCTTTGCAACTGCCAGACTGACACCAAGAATGGCGTTGGCACCCAAGTTGGTCTTGTTCTCCGTTCCGTCAAGGTCAATTAGGAACTTGTCAACGGTGGGTTGGTCTGTGACATCAAGGTTCTTCTCGATCAACTTGGGTCCGATGATTGAGTTGACGTTCTCAACCGCCTTCAGGACACCCTTTCCACCCCATTTGGACTTGTCTCCATCTCGGAGCTCGCAGGCTTCGTGTTGGCCAGTCGATGCACCGGAAGGAACGATGGCACGATGCAGACCAGTCTCAGTGACGACGTCAACTTCAACTGTCGGGTTACCCCGGGAGTCGTAGACTGATCGGGCGTGGATCTTGACAATAGGCATGACTGCGGTGGGTCAGTTTATGGGGAAAATCGGGAGGGCGAAAGGCAACCAGAAATAGTTGTGAAGGTGAAGAGAGGAGGATTGACCCAGAAAATGTGATGGATGGATGGAGGGGAAATAGTATAGCTCTACATGTGAAGCTTTTGTTGGACTTTTTGGGGCATGTACTTACTGGGTAGTAGGAGCAGTGGTGTGAGGGGACTTTATGTCAGCGATGAACTGCTTAGTGGAGTTGACTGAGAAAGACAAGAGCAGATGAGGCAGGAAGTAGAAATCACTTCTACTTTAATGGGATCTCAATGAGGAAGAAGAAACTGCAAGAAGGGAAAAGCAACTGAGAACGCAATTGCTGGACTTTTTGTTGTTTCTTGGTGGGGTATCGTCAATTGGCTGTTGATTGTCGCTACAAAAGTCACTCACCAAAACTACCACAGTGCAGGCAGTGGCAGCGTGATCTACGGAGGATGAGGCCTGCAACTTGAAGCTGCTGCAAGCTGCCACTGCAGCGCGGGACGAAGTCATGTTCCAATTGGATCTGTCCCAAGGGCTGGATTCAAGGGTTCAGGGACCACTGCCCACTGCATCACCCCTCTATGAACACTCACCTGGGAAAGAGCGACTTCAAGCTGTGGCAGCCCCTCCATCCCATCTCAACCAATTTCTGTTTTGCCCTATTTTTAATCTCACCGCCCGGGCGGGCGCTTTCACTAGTGGTTTTTGGTACTACGATGGGAGGGACGATCACGCTGCCAAGTCCAAAAACACGCTATACCTTAAACGTAATATCACCCACGTGACCCTGTATCTAAAGCCTTGCCTTGCCTTGCCGCGTCTGCTTGGGTACCTGCGTCGGAGTTCATGTTGCCATCATCAAACCCAAGCGACCAGAATTCACATTTCCAAGTTTTCTCATCCTCCTTGTCCAACAATCCTCACAAGCAGATACTGAACGATTCGGTGTAGCCTGTAATCAACCATCCCCTCCACGCCGACCATCCGACTTCTTTCCTCCTACCTGCACGATGGACGGCGGTGGAGATCCGGAGAGGCAGCAAGCCCTCGAACAATACAAAAACAAACTGCTAGAATCAAGAGAATGGGAGTCCAAATTAAAAGCACTAAGGATGGACATCAAGGGTCTACAAGCAGAATTCGAAACCACAGAAGACAACATCAAAGCATTACAGAGTGTCGGCCAAATTATTGGAGAAGTGCTGAAACAACTTGATGAAGAAAGATGTATGTTTTGACCATACCATAGCGGTCTAGCATGGAATTAACAAGTCTCCAGTCATCGTCAAAGCCTCCTCAGGCCCTAGATACGTCGTCGGCTGTCGGTCGAAGGTCGACAAGGCCAAACTCAAGCAAGGCACTCGAGTTGCACTCGACATGACCACTCTCACAATCATGCGTATGCTACCACGAGAAGTCGACCCCCTGGTCTACAACATGTCGTTGGAAGATCCCGGTCAGGTTTCATTCGCAGGAATTGGTGGCTTGAATGATCAGATCAGAGAACTGCGAGAAGTCATCGAACTTCCACTTAAGAACCCGGAGCTTTTCCTGCGGGTCGGCATCAAACCTCCCAAGGGTGTCTTACTATATGGACCTCCAGGTACCGGAAAGACCCTACTGGCCAGAGCTGTGGCAAGTAGTCTTGACACGAATTTCCTCAAAGGTATTCCTTGGGCCTAGACTTGCTACGAAGAAAGCTAACATTAATCCAGTCGTCTCCTCCGCTATCGTCGATAAATACATTGGTGAATCTGCTCGCCTTATTAGGGAGATGTTTGGGTATGCCAAAGAACACGAACCCTGTATCATCTTCATGGACGAAATCGATGCAATTGGAGGCCGAAGATTTAGTGAAGGAACATCCGCTGATCGGGAAATTCAAAGAACATTGATGGAGTTGCTCAATCAGCTGGACGGTTTCGACTATCTGGGCAAAACCAAGATCATCATGGCAACCAACCGACCCGACACACTCGACCCTGCCTTGCTTCGTGCTGGTCGACTCGATCGAAAAATCGAGATTCCACTCCCTAATGAAGTCGGAAGACTGGAAGTTCTCAAGATTCATGCAGCGGGAGTGGTGACCGAGGGAGAGATCGATTTTGAAAGTGTGGTCAAGATGAGCGATGGTCTCAACGGTGCTGATCTGCGAAATGTCGTTACTGAAGCTGGGTTGTTCGCTATCAAAGATTACCGCGACGCTGTGAACCAAGACGACTTCAACAAGGCTGTCCGGAAGGTCGCAGAGTCCAAGAAGCTGGAGGGCAAATTGGAGTACCAGAAATTGTAAGATATATACTAGGGTGTTCTGTTGAATGCATAGCGTTTGGACTCTGCCAAAATAATCCAATCCTCATGTTTCGGTGGGCGAACCTGCGTGGTGTACCATAAAATTGGCATCAATATTTGCGGCGATTTCTGAATAGAGCAAAAATACACCAGCTCCTAGACGCCGTGATAGGCCTTTATTCCAAAGCTCTCTCTTCAACACTTGAGACCAAAGAGAACGTCCAATAGTAGCAGCGTTATACCTGGCTTTTCCTCCTCGCTACCGGTGCACCATGTGAAATAGTTACCGTGAGGTCAATCAGACAAATCAATATAGTGAAATGCAATCGATGACTCTATGCACCGTCAACCTGATGGTTGAACATCTGCGAAAGTATCCGACCACAGTATTCATTCTCGTGCGAATCCCATGGCCGACCTCCACCAACTTATGATGCCTTTGGCTTCCATAGAAGTAGCGATCTCCTTCACAGTGCCCACTTCTTCAAGTATCCCCAGTGGCGACTCCATTTCCAGCGTGCTTCCTCCTTGTTCACCTCCCGCAATGCTTTCGACAGGTGCTGCAAGTTGATAGTCTTTGTATCGCAGGCCATGAACAGTGTCTACCCAGCTCTGAACATCAGACTGGGTGCGACCTCTGACATACATCACTCCTGGAATGCCACCTGTTCTCAGCAGAGCAAAGCATTGATGGATCTTTGCTGCCACTTTGAGACGAGCTATTTTCTTCCTCGAAGTGATATGATGCGTGCGTATCAACGCATGATACATCTGGCCTTCGATTAGACCTGATTGACCACGATTTGAACACGCCTTGCTGCTCAGATAAGTAATGTTGCTGCATGGCGGATTGGAAATCAGAAAAACCTGGAGCGAACACAGCCTCGTGATGAGCTTCAGAGCCTTGCCGGCAAAGACGGCTTCGAGCGGAGTTCAACGCTCTTGGACCCCTGCTTGGATCCCCGCAAGACCATTTCCCCTGGTCAGATCTCATCTGTGAATGGGGAATACGGGCCACCCTCGCTCAACATCAGCAAGAGGCTTGGATTGCTTTTGATGCCTTCTGGTGGCTGCGAGCCACCGCTCAGCTTTGCCTTGAGGGTTCGAAAGCCTACACGTATGGAACCAGAAGCCATGTCCGTCAAGATCAGATGCAATCAACCTTACCAAGAAATCCTATGGGTAAGCTTTCGTGCTCGATTTAGGTCATGGTTGGAGCACCGTTCGACGTCAACGGGATCACATCATACACAACAGCAGTCCCATACCTCGGCATCTCTCCAAAGGAGGACTTATTCAACTTCGGGACGGTCTACTGCAGAGTCATGAGCCTCCACGGACTTAAAAAACAGACATCTAACTAGCTCTCCGGCTAGATGATCGAAGATCCGTTTCTTGTGGATGACCCCATGTTTTTTCTGATTGCCCATATGTCCGTATTTTGACTTTTCACCTTTCTCGTCTTCGTCTTATTTACTTCATTCAGACCTTGGCCTACCTTTGTTGTTGTTGTTGTCTTTCTACATCGAACTTGTCCTACTGCTCCAGCTACTTATGTTAATGGTATGGCCTGAGGCATCTTTTGCTTGACAAGCATTTTCGGCACCAAGATCACAAGGGCAAAAGCACGTCATTTGGATTGTTTGTTTGCATATTCGTAGCGCTTGGGCATCGAGGAATCATGGCATATCGAAATCATGGAGATGAGAAGGTCGACATAGAAGCAGAACCAGTCCAGATCCCTCCCCTACTCGATATTCCCATCGAGGAGAAAGCAAATGTCCTACCACCGCCTGCTCCACCTCCTGATGGTGGCTTGCGAGCATGGCTCCAAGTACTCGGCTGCTACCTCGTCTTCTTCAATGTCTGGTACACATGCTCCAATCCAACGTCTGCCTTCTGGCCGAATAATGGAAACCTTTCTAACCTAGTGACATATCAGGGGATTTACCTTCGCATTCGGACTTTTCCAGAACTACTATGAGACGAACTTACTCCGAAACATGAACCCATCTGCCATCTCCTGGGTCGGCACGACAGGCTCATACCTCCTGATCGTCACCGGTGTGATTTCAGGCCCTCTTTTCGACCTCGGCTTCTATCGCGTAATGCTATTCGGTGGCGCCGCCGTCTCGACGTTCGGCTGTATGATGTTGAGTCTCTCGACGAAATACTACCAAATCCTCCTCTCACAGGGTATATGCATGGGACTGGGATGTGGGGTGTTGTACGTCCCTGGCCTGGCCTTAGTGAGCCGTTCGTTTACGACCCGTCGTGCCGTGGCGCTGGGGATCGTGACCTGTGGTGCTCCCATCGGTGGCATCATCTACACCATCGTCTTCAACCAGCTCATCGATGGTATCGGCTTCGACTGGACCGTGCGAGTCATGGGTTTCATCATGTTCACCTCTTTTTCTATTGCTTTCCCACTGCTGCTCTGGGGCGCGGGAAATACCGGCGACATTGCGGCAGGTACCACGCGCAAGATCTTTGACAAGAATGCCTTCTCAGATCTGGGATTCTGGCTCTACACGTGGTCGAACTTCTTCATCTTCTGTGGCTATCTGGTTCCCTTCTTCTATATACCGAGCTACGCACAGCTTGAGCTTGGGACGTCTCGATCGTTAGCTCTTTACTCGATAGTGATCGCATCCGGTTCTTCGGTGATTGGTCGAATGGTTGCAGCGTTTGTGGCGGGGCGTACCGGTGCAATGATACCTTGGATCACATGTGTCGTTGTGTCTGCAGTAATGTGTCTTGCTTGGATTGGCATTCACAGCGTCCCTGCCTTTCTGGCCTTCGCTGCTCTCTATGGTAAGTACTTGTTTCTATTCTCACCCTTGCATATTTCCTTAATTCTCGAACCCCAACTCCATCCTTAGCGTTCGTCGGAGGAAGATGAACAATAATCTAACATAAACAAAAGGCGGCTTCAGCGGTGCGCTCATCCCACTTCCGCCCACCATCTTCCCTACTGTGTGTCCCGACCCAAAGGTGCTGGGCGCTCGATTAGGTATGGCGCAGGCAATCGGTGCGTTTGCCTCATTGATCGGCAGCCCCATCGCCGGAGCCCTGGTCAATAGTGGTGGTGACAGTGGTACCGGCCAGGGCTATCTAGGTCTCCAGCTCTTTTGTGGGTGCATGATGCTCTTTGGCTCGGTGTTGTTGTCCGCGCTGTGGTTCTATTTGTTCAGGAAGCGGAAGACGAAGATTTTGATCTAAATACCTAGGTATGTTGAGTGTTTTGGCTGATTTCAGGATCGAATCTAGCCTGTCGAACCAAGCATATGGGTGTGTCTAAATAATTGGGGTTTATGTCAATACGCACGAGGCAATATGTTTTGGCAGCGCCCAAAGATATGTCGATACACGATCCGCTCTACGTAAGAGGGAACGGTGCGACATCTGGCATCTCATATCGCTCGTCAAAACTGGCGACTGACAACAGTGGGTACGAATGTAGTTATGAATTAAGTATCAAGAGTCACAACTCTGCGCATGAAAAACCTAGAAGGTATTTTATTACTTTCCCACGGCTGCCTCGATAACACACAGATGTATCCATTCTGGCTTTCACGGCCAGTTACATTGTTCTTTCCGCTTAAGGCGCCAGGGGACGTTGAACTCTATGGACCCACCAAACACCGAATCTAACTTCCAGGCTCAAAAGAACAGTAAACCTTGATCGATTTGAGAGGACCTCGTGGACATACTGGAAGTATATATAAAGACACGTTATTACTGTCGTTGAAAATGGCGCAAATGCAACATCAACGCCTTCGTTTTCACATCAAGATTACCCCTAGGTTTGACTTACTCCTATATCTCAAATACAGCACCAGACGCAGCAAGACAACTATATCGATCTGGAGCCCTCCTCTAACAACAACCAACTGTGAAAATGCCGAGTCCACCACATCACAAGGCTTTTCCAAAGAACCAATCCCTCTCTTCTCCCCTCCACACTCAAATCGAACGGTTGGAAACAATGCCTCGCTCAAAACCAACATCATCATTACTACCACCGCCATCACCATCACCATGGCCATGAAAGGCCCGATCTGGCGACACACCAGTCGCCGCCTCATCGGCAACCAAGAGGAGCGTCGCAGAGGCAACCAGCCCGTCGAAGGGGGTTGTTCATTGGAAGACGCCGTCGCGTATCTGGACACGGCACGAGCTCCAGTTTAAGGAGGGTAGCAGTGGTAGCGGAGCGCAGTAAGGTGCTGATGCCAAACAGCATCATCACAGCGCCTTCCGATCGTGAAGTCGGCATCGATGATGGCGAGGTCGACGCCAAGTCTACGACCGCCGATGAGGCCGTGGTGCTTACCGTCGCGGAATCGGACGATGCAAACTGGGAGAGTAGCAGCGACGCCGAGGATGTTCTAGAGTCCGCCATGGTCGTCCGAAGCAGAAGAGGGTCATGATGCAGACGCGGAGCACGTGGCACAGAGAGGAGAAGAGGAGCAGGAGGAGGAGCAGGAGCAGCAGTCGGAACCATGGCCTAGGGTTACTGGTCGGACTCGCGTGCCCCTGAGTTACATGCTCCAGGATCTCAGTCAGGAGGTGCCGAGACAGTTGGTGCGAGTGCGGTACTCGCATAAGAATCGCTGGCAGTATGGGAATGGGAAGTGGCAGGTCAAGCTGCTTAATACTGTTGACGAGGTTGATGGGTTCTAATTGTGGGGGTTTGGATATGTATCAAGAGATGGCAATTTCTGACCATGGGATGGTTGATGGTGTACTTGTTTTTCTTGATGGATGTAGTACACGCATAGCACCAAGCTGTAAAGAGCCAATGTCTAGAGAGGGTACCTTCCCTCTGTTCACACGGCATTCATGCCTTCTTTCTATAAATTGGGAGAGATGGTACAAGCGGGCTACCTAGGTAGTCATAGTCGCAGTTTTTGTGAAACATGTCTATACGTACATGAGAAGTGCTCTCGGTGTGAGAGGTTTCGTGATGGTGGTGTCGCTAAGAATGAAATGCTGTGTGGATGGTGAGAGAACGGGTATCGGAATGGTCGTTAGGCGACACCTGACAAAGTCTCGACAGGATCGTGTTGGGAAAGTTTGACAGAAAATCCACGACCAGATCAAGACCCCGGCTTGGGATATTTCTTCCACCCTCGGCCATGACCTTTCTGAATGAATTGTTAGCAACAATGCCAAAGATTATGATGGGTAGTAGTCTTACCGATTCCCACTCCCGAATCAAAGCAGGCATATTCTCCATCGCCTGCCTCCTCTTCTCCAGCCTCGTTCCCATCGAACGCTCCCATTTATGGCCCTTAACCTTTTCGCCCTCACCAGTACCTTTGATGCGCAGGCCTCGCTCTAACAACCGCTGCTGCTTGAATGCTGTCGACTTGCGACCAGGGGGTAGCAGTTCTTCTACACCGTGCTTCTTCGCAAGCTTGACCAGATCGGCTTGCCGCCGAAGGCTTATACTCGCGCCCGCCCATCGCCCTGTGGTGAAGTTCTTCCGTGGTAAGAAGGGATTGGGAGGGAAATGATTGCTGGGCGGTGGTTCGGAGGGATTAACTCCTCCTTCGAGTGTGAGGACTGGATTTGCGGGTGGGGGAGTAGAAGTAGCCGGGTCTTCTACTGAGATCGGCTGTGCGTATTGATAAAGAACTGCTCCATCTTCGCCGAGGACCGAAGAGGGTTGACGGATTGTAGCGGCGAGCTTTGCGGCCTTTTTTGTTATGGGAATCGTGATATTGGTGTGTTTGGCAGAGTAGAGCTCGGGAGGGTAACGTGTAAAGAAGCTCAGCAGACGTGCTGGTAGCTTAGTTTCGACGGCGAGACTGGCCATGGTGGCCTAGGCGCAGGAGATATCAGTGTTGAGACTGTTCCTGTCTAATCCAGGTAAACGGGATCGAACACGAAGATGAAGAGACATCCCAGAAGTTCGAGTCGCTAAACCGCTTGGCAACTAGAAAACAGCCGCAAGCGCGAGTGTAGACGCGATAGCCGCGTTTCTCGGTCGGAATGATTTCCCCAACTTGAAATCCTTCTCGTTTTCTCAACTGACATGCATTTCAGCTTTATCCCACGTCAATTCTTACCTTTTCCTCCCTGAATTCATTTCTAGAATATTGACTCTCGATCAAGGTTCGGAAGGTTACTTATCACATACAATCAATTCTATTAGTACCGCCTGCTCTGGTCGCTTTCAGCCTCGGTAGGCTGCGGTCCAAATGGACGCATACGGCGGGAGTGATGAAGACAGTGCGGAGCTGAGAAAGCTTCTTGCTGAGGTGGTACGTTCAACCAAGCTGCAATCCAGTCACCAGTTACTTGCTCCTGCTCTCCGTCGCTAACTTACTTCTTTCCAGGCCGAGGATCCAGATAGTTTCGAGACCTGGGAGAAACTCGTCCGGGCCACTGAGTCGCTAGAGGGCGGCATCAACCGGAACTCGAGTTCACAGGCCATCACAACCCTCCGGAGTGTCTACGATCGATTCCTCGGCAGATTTCCCTTGTTCTTTGGCTACTGGAAAAAATATGCGGACCTCGAGTTCTCCATTGCTGGCACTGAGGCTGCTGAAATGGTAAGACAAGGCACGCGCGGTTGCATGGAGGAACACAATGCTGATAGCATACTTAGGTCTACGAAAGAGGCGTCGCCAGTGTCACAAACTCGGTTGACCTGTGGACAAATTATTGTTCATTCAAAACTGAGACGAGCCACGATGCCGACATCATCCGAGAGTAAGTATACCAAGCACAAAAGAATATGCACCCTCTCTCGAGACCTAAACACAGTGCGGCACATACACATCCACACATGTCCATATCCCGGACGCTAGTACGGTCGGGTCTGGTCTGGTTTTCATCGTTATACCCAACGTTTAAGATTGGTGAGATCGTCACTCAATCACTGTCCCTAATGAACTTGCTTTCTTACAACTCACTACTCAGGCCCTTTGATCTTTTGCTTTTATCTGAAAGGAGGCCCTCGTGCCCGTCATACCATCTTTCGAGGGCCATTGTTGTGTTGCAGAAAAATTCATTTGATTGAAGGACTATCACTCACGTACATACACCTATTCCCCATCTTTGCTTTCCGCCCTCCTCTTCTGACCCCGAAGCGAAAGGTCTCCCGCTGACACTATACTATCTAGACTCTTTGAACGAGGCGCGACTTCTGTTGGCTTAGACTTTCTTTCTCATCCTTTCTGGGATAAATATCTCGAGTTTGAAGAACGCCTCGAGTCTTTGGACCGAATTTTTGCCATTTTGGGAAGAATTATCTACATCCCTATGCATCAATATGCCCGATACTTCGAAAAATACAGACAGATGGCTTCATCAAGGCCTATTGCCGCTACTGCTCCTCCTAGTCATCTCACTCAGCTACAACTCGATCTTGAAAATGAAGGTGCTGGCTACAAGGCTGGCCGGAGCCAAGCTGAAGTGGAACGAGAGCTAAGAGCTCGAATTGACAATTACCATCTCGAAATCTTCCGACGCACCCAGACAGAAACAAACAAACGTTGGACTTACGAGTCCGAGATCAAGCGTCCTTACTTCCACGTCACAGATCTGGACGAGGCTCAAGTTAGTAACTGGCGCAAGTACCTTGATCTGGAAGAATCTGAGGGCGACTACATCCGTACACATTTTCTCTATGAACGATGCTTAGTAACCTGTGCACTTCACGAGGAGTTCTGGCTGAGATACGCTAGATGGATGTTGGCACAGCCAGGGAAGGAGGAAGAGGTTCGAAACATCTACCAAAGAGCATCTTGCCTTTATGTGCCAATTGCTCTGCCTCTCACAAGATTGCAGTACGCATATTTTGAAGAATCATCTGGTCGCGTGGATATTGCAAAGGATATTCATGAAGCAATACTTTTCACCCTACCTGGCCATGTGGAGACCATCGTCTCATTGGCGAATCTCACTCGGCGACATTCAGGGTTGGAAGCTGCTGTAGCCGTCTATCAGTATCAGATCGAGCAGCCCAACATTGATGTCTCTGCAAAAGCAGCACTGGTTTCCGAATGGGCACGAATCCTTTGGAAGGTCAAGGGCTCACCAGCAGAAGCTCGCCAAGTCTTCCAGAAACATCAGCATTGGTATTCCGAGAGTCCGGTTTTCTGGAGCAATTATTTGAGATTCGAAATTGACCAGCCTGTGTCTCACGAAGCCGAACAAAGCCATCACGGGGAGATCAAAAAGGTGGTCGATGAAATCCTCGCCCACAGCAAGCTGCCAGAAGCCACTCTGCAGGAGCTTGTATCAATGTACATGAAGTACCTACTGGAAAGAGGCACCAAGGAAGCCACCAAGGAGTACATGAATCTTGACCGAGAAATCAACGGACCCGCTTCAGTACAAAAGTCTCTGAAAGCAAATCACGACGCTATCAAGGTCGAATCCATTAACGGACAGGTAAGTCACCAGTCGCCTTGAGAACCGTGCACCCGCTAACGGTATTGCAACACAGCCACCCCCGATTCACTACGCATAAAAGCTTCATCCGTTTCTAGGAGTTACACTGTGCTTAGATACCCTGATATGGTAAAGGGGAACTGTTCTGTAGGGCAAATCCGGATCGCTTGGGTGGAACATAGCGAATACACCAACACGATCTTTTCAAAGATGAAATTTCGCAATCAAGAGCAACAAGAATTTGATTGCTGTGTACAGCTTAGCTTTCGCTGTTGATATTATCAATACAAATTCTTTTGAAAGCAGTAGTCTTTGCATGACCTTCAAATGCCATGTGACCTGCTTCCTAGGCTCGGGCAGCATATGTGGTTCGGCCACCACGCTATTCCTGTTCCACACATGGGATATACAAACGCCTATCCATCTATCTTTCTTCCATGTCATTCTTTTGCCATTGTTTGGCTGATAGAAGTATGGGATAGTACCAAATGCCGAGTCATTGATATGGGGAGCTGCATAGTGTTATGAAGCGAAATAAAATAGATTTTTGATAATTTTACATGCGCAGAACAAAACGTCTAATTTTATGAAGGCTCAGACTATTCCACAGTAATGCTGAGGCAATCAACCCTGCATTTCAATCCCGCCGGTACCATGAATGACTTCTCCGGTAAAATACGAGCCTAGAGGCGAAGCAAGTAGCACATACGCCGTCGCCACCTCAATAGGCATGCCCGGCCGTTGCAATGGCGCTTCCTGCACACCGAGAGAGTCCATCGCCTCGGGTGGATTATTCTTCGTTGCAGGCTGCAGTGGCGTCCAGATGATACCCGGCGCCACGGCGTTAACTCGGATGCCATTGGGCGCCTGCTGCTGTGCCAGACTGCGTGTGAACGTTGCGATCGCACCTTTTGTCGACGAGTAGTCGACTAGTTGTGGATTGCCCATGTAGGCGGCCACGCTGCAGGAGTTGACGATGCTGGAACCCCGTTTCATGAGCGGTAGTGCGAATTTAGTCATGGCGAACATGCTGAGCACGTTGGTACGGAAGGTCTTTTCGACGACAGATAGGTCGATCTCGCGGAAGTCTTGACATATTTCTTGCATGGCAGAATTGTTAACGAGGACTGATAGCTTCTTGAATTTCTCGATGTGCGCGTCGACGGCCTTTTTGCAGTTTTCTTCTTTGGTGATGTCCAGGGCAAGAGTTTGGGCTTGTCGGCCAGCTTTCTCGATCTGGCTCTTCGTCCATTTCGCATCCTCTTCTTCTTCAGGTAGGTAGACGAAGGTTATGTCTGCACCTTCGCGGGCCATGAGGATCGCGACGGATCGGCCGATCCCAGAATCGCCGCCGGTGATCAGCACCGCTTTGTCCTTGAGGAGACCTCGACCCTCATAGTCTTTGAGATACGGGGCTTTGCCCTCGTCATCCCAGAACTCCAATTGAGTCCAGTTCGCGCCGGGTTCGAGTAAGGAGTCTAGTCCCTTGGTTCCTTCTTGATCTTGTTTCTTCAGCGACGTTGACGGGTATGCCGTAGGGGGAGCTTCTGAGTCTTTTGACATGTTTTCTTGACGAGACCGAGATATATATAGTAGAACTCTCGTGAATCAAAGCAGGTGAGATATAGTGTCTTGGAAGAACAACAAGCAATGAGAGTCGCAGACCGCTGTGATAATTCATTATGGCTATTCAAGAATATATACTTGCAAGAGGAAAGTGCTCATGGTAGAGATAGCATGACATCAAGATGATCTGCATCATGCGTCATGTTTTCGGACATCATAAACACGCATATTGGAATCCGCCCACTAGAATCATTAGCTATTTCGTGCTTGTTTTGAGCTTGCACTGTGATCATTGATCATAGGCAAAGTCCCGTGGGGAATAGAAGGCAGATACAGTTGGTCCATGGACTCAGCGCATCCTCATTAGGACATCGATCAACCCACCCGCAAGATTGTTCGGCCACGCTTGGCAATGCTGTGTGTATGCATGCACGACAAGTCTGACGGGCCCACCGTTGGGGAGGCTGACCACTGGTGGTCGTTGACCGAGTTGACACCAATTGATAAAGACCATTTTCCAAGCACCTGATGCAGTGTGATCCGTCCGCTCAAAAGTACCTAAGCGGCTCCCGAAGTGACTGGGATTAGACGAACGACTGTGTCACTCGTGGGAAAAGATGAAGGCATAGCGGGCGGCTGCTACTTACTGTAGCGTACTAGTTAACTGCTCGGTTACTCGTAGCCTCGGGCGGCACGCCCGGCACCTCGCGCCCGTGGCTAGACCTTTTTAACGTCTGGAGCAACAACCAGTGTTTTCTGACCTCGTTGGCTCGCAGTAGTAACGCAATGAGACTGCACGAGTCATGATTCGGGGGCGATGATCTCGCATATTGCGGTTCCACGTTCATTTTCCTCCAGGATGAAGTATTCTCATTGTCTGTTTCCTTTGAAGTCGCACACGACGAAGTCAGGGGCTTCTTTCTAGCATTCAAGGTCGTTGAAGTTTGGAGAGGCTCATATGCTTCTTGCCTCTTCGCCAAATCTAGAACAATGTCTCCAGTCATGAGAAGAAACCTATGTTTGAGCACTGAGTCAGATCTATCCAGGGTGTTCATGGCGGGCTGCTCCACCTTCTGGTCAAGTAAATCTGCCTTGGACTAAACCCCCTGCATAAGTCCGCATATGCCTCCTGGTATCTGCTCCTAAGTCTCAAGAACTAGGGCGCGGAGTACGCAACGTCTCACTTCATATCTTCGAATTTGTGAACGCCTACTGTATGATTATCGAGGAGGTGTTTCACCAGATGTCTCAGAAGATGATGAATACGTGGACTCGCTACACCTTTATCATGTGTGAAGCCGCTGAGCATACGCTCCCATGGTCTGTCAACACAACAGCTTCAGGGCGAAGCTTGATACATACTTAGCGCGGCGCTGGTAGTTCTGGCCCCCAGCGCCACAAAGTTGCATGGGCGACAACATCCTCCGTAGCTGGAGAATCAAATTGGCTGAGGTCACAAATGGGGAACAGCTCCGTAACTAGTAGAGGGTTTAAAAGATTGCGAAACTCCCTCGACTTCAATTGCTTTCGACACAGATCATCATCATCAAAATTGAACACATTCACGATGGACATTAGTAAGAGTGCAATTGGTTCATTCCAATCGCCGGAACGCCTCGAGCTGCTTAACGACATCGACAAATTTCGGCAGCATGGCCTTCACAACCTCCCTCAGATAGTTGTCTGTGGAGATACCAGTAGCGGAAAATCGTCCGTTCTAGGAGCCTTGTCCGGAATCAACTTCCCTGTGTCAGGAACAATTTGCACGAGATTCGCCACGGAGATCGCATTGAGGTACTCTGCTGCAGAAGCGGTCGCTGGACATGCTTTCATCACGGCTGCAGAGACGGCATCCGAAAGCCATAAATCTAAAGTGGAATCATTCCGGCGAGAAATCAACAGTCTTGATGGCATCCCTGCTCTGATGGACGATGCAAGGAAGCAAATGGGTCTGCCAGAAGTGTCGGGAATCAGTCGGGATGTGTTGCACCTTAGACTTGAAGGAAGAGAGCTGCCGAATCTTACATTGGTCGATCTACCCGGACTTATTCACGCGTCCAGAAACACCGATGATATCGTCAAGGTCAAGGGCCTCGTCGAAGACTATTTCAGGCAGAAGGAGAGCATCATACTGATCGTCGTTTCTGCGGAGAATGTAATCGACAATCAAGGCATTCTCACCTCTTCACGGGAATTTGATCCTAAAGGAATTCGCAGTATTGGGGTAATCACCAAATCCGATGTGCTGGAACGACCTGATAAAGCCTCCCTCAAACCGGCGATAATGGAGTTAGCTCGGAATCAAAATACCTCATACCAGTTTACACGTGGTTGGCACGTTGTAAGGTGCCTAAACGACAAAGAGCGAACTGACGGTCTTGACCGAGATATCGTTGAGAGCCAGCTGTTCGGTCAGGAACAGTGGAAAAGTGTGCTTCAGCCCAAGCAACTTGGGATGAAATCATTGAGGTTGAGCCTGTCGAAATATCTACACCAGCACATCCTTCAAGTCCTACCAGAACTCCAGAAGTCCCTGGAAACAGAGGTGAAAGAAACCAAGTCTTCTTTAGAGCTACTAGGCGAGTCTCGAACGACTTCTGATCAACGCCTGGTCTACCTCACAAGAATAAGTAGGCATTATGGGAAAATAATCAGAGATGCTCTCGAAGGCAACTACAGTGATGCCTTTTTCCAAGACAGCGATCCCGTCAAACGGCTGCGGGCAAGAACGATGGCACTGACAGAAGAATACGAAGAAGCAATGCGCAGCCAGGGCCATTCGTTTTACATATCTCAAAATCAGGACCTCGTTGGGGGGAGAACGTCTCATGCTCCAGAAGCTATCACCCAATCTGATGCCCTACTCAAAGTAGAGAAGCTTTTGAATGAACACAGAGGGCCGGAGCTGTCATTCTTGTTCAACCCCCGTCTGGTTGGGGTGCTTTTTAAAGAACAATCCAAAAAGTGGCCAGTCCTGACCGAGAGATATACCAGCCAGATAATCCATGTCGTTCAGGATTTTCTACGAAAAGTGCTCGACTTTCTTTGCCCTTCCCAGGGAGATACGTCTTACCTGATCTATCACCACATCCTGGAAGACACTATAGAAAGCAAGATTGACAGCCTTGAATCAAAAACTCGCGAACTCTTTCACCCTTACGAACACACCTTCCTCTTCTCCACCAAACGACGACTTCAGACAAGTTTGAAAAGAATTGAAGATGAAGCAAGTCTTCGAGAAAATGGTGAGACAAGCATCCAACAGCGGAAAGCTCCAGGTCCTGAGATTATGGGCTCCGATCATGATACCCGAGTTAAGTTGCTCCAATATTCGGAAGCCTATTATCAGGTCGCGATCGAAAACTTCATTGATAATGTTGTTGTTCTTGGTGTTGAGTCATGTTTGCTCTCGAAGCTTGAAGCTATGTTCACTCTCGAAATTGTCCTGGAAATGAGTGAGGAGACACGAAATCTGGCAGGAGGAGAATCGGCGGATACCCGGAGCGAGCGTGAGGCGCTGAATGCACGATTGGCGACTCTTGAGAAAGCTCTCAAACGGTGTCGAACACATACAAGCCGATATAACTATCATCCTTTCGCCCAGCTTCCTCAGCCAGCCTTGAAACAAAGCATTTCCAAGACTGGTAGCGAAACATACCAGCTGAAGACTGGGCACGTCCAAAGAGATATTTTAATCCCCAAATCCCATGCACAGGTCCCGTTCCTTAGCAGGACGAGCCAAAGCTCTTCTTCCGGTCCTCAACCCTCAAGCCAATCCGGATTCACCTTGGATTATAGTAAATATCTTACTACGAAGCCGAACAGCACCTCTCAGAGAAAGCTTTCGGCAGGCGATCTTGGAAATTCTGCCTCAACTGTGTCTGCTACAACACCGACGTCCAAGTTCACGATTCCGGGATCTAGTATCTTTGCCGATCTCAAGGATATGGGTTCTGATCAACCACATAGTATATTCACATCCACAAAGAATACAGCCACAGCCACTCCCATCCTGCCCCCTAAGGATCTAACTTCTACTTCCAGCCTATTTTGGACTGCAAAAAGCACAGCTTCCACAGCTTCCACAGCGACTCCCATCCTGCCCTCAATGGATATTACTTCGACTTTAAGCCCATTGACGACTACAAAAATCACTAGCTCCATAGCCACTCCAACACGAGCGTTTGGTACTTCTTTGACAACAGATAAAGCGGAAATCGTAGGAGCATCTTCACTGTCCGCGACTAACAGCTTTTCGTCGCCAGCACCGGCAGGGGTGAATACTTCTCCTTTGTTTAATTTCGCAAAATCGCCGTTGCCGGATCAGCACAGGGCAGATGGAAGTTTGTTTGGCATCAACCGCTTTGATAGAGGGCAAGTCCAGGGTACGAAGACAACATGAAATGGTTGAATGTATGGCTGAAAGATCATTAGATACTCTATTTAAAGCTTCAGCGCCCAAAGTATACCTTCCCAAACTGAGTCGCATTTACTCGTCCGGATACTACGCACCTGTCCAAGTCCTGACACTGCTTGTAAACTGCGTAGATGTGGTAGGTAATGGATTAGGGCAAGATCGGGAGCAGGATCTCTGGCTGCTTCGTCGTCCACATCTTCGAACCCCCGATCGGCATTATAATGAAACATTGGATGGAAGAGAATACCTCCAATGTCACTCAGAGTATTACAAGACGTTGGAAAGGGTAAGTATGCTATCACCTGAGGTAAGTTAACACTCCACTCTCCTCGGGCGCCTCTACTCCTACAGCCTTGATGTGTAGTCTTGGTGAGGTATGCCTGGATTTCATGTGATGCTGCTTCGCGGTTCGAAGTAATGCCTAACATTTTATAGGAAGCTCGTTGGCGCGATTACCGGCTCATATTTCACTCTGAGACCAAGCGGTTCGTAAGGGCATGCAAGGAACGTGACATGCAGCGCACCGGTGTTTTTGAGATGCCCGTTATGAGATACACTGACTATTTAGAGTATTTAAGATCTGAAATAGTGAGCTGTGAGCGCGAGGAAGCCAGCCGCACTCGCCCTATCCGCATCCCCGATAATCATCTCTGTGGATCTGGTGAGGAGCCATCTGGAGGCAAGGAGTTAAAATAGACGGACTCCTATATCCTCAAAGCCCTCGCCCACATGAGGCAATAATTCATCTGTATCATTGAGACTTTTGTGTACCTATGTGGCCGATCGATGTCAGATGGTGGGGCTTTGTGCCCTTCGTTGTCAAATTTCGATCAATTATCATAGGAAATCTGCAAGTGTGACATGTTTCAGGCTTTTGAGACAACACACGAGTGATTGGAATCCTTGGGGGGCTCCCCTAAATCTTAGAGGTCGGGAGCCTGCTGTATACGTCTAGCTATGTTGCCTGCAGGGTGCCTCAAAAGTAGGTTTGCGATGCACCCTAACACTCTAACAAGGCTGAGTCGAGCAACAGAACTAACGGCTTCGCAATTGCCACACACATTACCGTAGGTTCATTATTGTTTCTGGATAAGACATTAGAAACGTGGATAATGAACGTACAGACATATCCACATCTCCTCAGGGCCATGGTTGGTGTTTATATCTACTCCATTTCGTGCAACCTGTGATGTACAGTTGGTTGAGGAGGCCTCGCGTCACCTGTCATGTATGAGATTGCGGAGCTATCTTGCATCGAACCGTTACTCGTGTGGCCATAACCAGATTGTGAATATCTGAAGTCACGTAATGTTGAGCCTTCCAACTCTGATAACGGGCGTGGGCGAATTTCCTTCATATGAGACTCAGAAGGTGGGGGAGCGGGTACCACGTACTCCTCCGTTTGTGGGACAGGCTGATGCGATTTTCGATGCCGAAAAAAGAGCATAGCGGCGATTGCCCCGAGAGCCAGAACTCCGATGGAAATTCCTACGCCGATGCCGGCTTTGGCGCCAGTGGATAGTGCGCTTGAGTGGTCAGCTTCGAGGGCTGTGGCGGAGCTCGTAGGTGAGATGGTCTCTCCACCGGCGTGTGATGCGGATGTTAATGCAGTGTTCGTGGCTAAGAGCTGAGACGTTGTTGAAGTGTATCCAGCCTCGGGGGGTGTTATAGTAGTGGTCTTGGTCACATCAGATACAAACTCCACACCTGTGGGGACCGAGGCGGTCAGTCGTATTGAGGTCGTTGGAGAGTAGTTCGGGTCCAGCGAATAGGATGTGGGATTCACTTGAGTGAAGTATACAGTTGAGCCACCGACGTTCGTGGGAAGGGACAATATGGGCTGCAGGCTACTCGGCCCGGCGAACGCAACGATAGAGTCGTCATAACACTGCTGTGGCGCGTTCTCCTGGATTGAATCACTGTTGGAAGGCGGATGCGTGCACGACCATTCAACTTGTGTTGTATTGTAGCAGTAAACAAGTCCAACATATGGTGAAGCATCTAGCCCACTCAGTCAGCAACCCTGCTGGAAACGAAAACAGGAGATTGACTCACCATAATCAGGTCCACATTTCCATGGGCATGAAGGGTCAGAATAGGTCGGGTCTGAGCACCCATATAGGTATGTCACATTATGAGTAGGATTCCAGCAAGCACTGTCACTTTGAAGCGTCAGTATGATGAAGATATGACCCTTTCCTCTGAAGTGATACCTTAAACACAAGTCGCCGATTTGGCAGCAGGAGCTGATGGAATCGCCGGAGCCACAGGGCACAATAGCCGAGCCTGCTCTTTCACCAGCAGCATAATAGCAATCATTTTGGGCTATGGCTCCAATAGTGAAGAGAACGCTGGTCACTGCTATCCGAAGGGACCGCATGTTGAGGGTGCGGACACAGATGAAGAGAAGGACGTGGAGATGAAGAATAGACGCGGCGAGTGCGACCATGAACCATAAGAGCGACCCTTTCAATCGAGATTCACCAGAGGGGACGAATCCAGAGCTCGATCGAAGCGGACCCGCATGGTTGCCCAAGCACAAGATTGCCACGACCTGTTCTAGCTGCCTTTTGATGCTCGTGTGCAGAGGTGGCTGCAGGTCTAGCGCTCGCTACTCATAGTGTGAAGTGCAAGGCAGAATTGCCATTATTTCCAAGGGCCTGTATCAGGCTGGGAAGTCCCAGAACCGTGCTCAGGTACATAACAAGACTGCTGAAGACGGCTACGTGACCAAGGTAACATCTCTTGACAGCCACCGCGATGCTGAATCATGGATCAAGCAGGTCCATAGCATTTGGAGCACTTGTCAGAACTGTGTAGTCATCTCAAGACCTGTATTCGGTACAAATTTCATGCGCACCTCCTTGCGTCTCCTGCATGAGAATGGGGTGCTCTGCATGGGAGGTCCAAAACATTGGTCCTCTGCAATATGACAAAAGAACCTAGCCAACTTGTACTAGCAAGCCGCGTGGAACTAGGGCCGGGGCGCAATTTCGTGGCGCCTGTACCTCCCCTGTTAGGGTTCTCGTAATCCATGCCGGTCTTAGAATTTGGGGCCAAACGCTTGCTTCAAGCCTTCATCGGGTTTCTGGAATGATCATAGAATCATGTGGATACCTACGCCATTTCCATAACAGAAGTGTTCGTGAGGACACGGATAGCAAGACGCTGATTCGCAATTTAAACGTTCTTCAGCAGAGCTTGAGATACTCGTCCAAGACTGAGTGAAAGGCTTCGTTGAGAGCGAGTAACCATGACAAGCTCTATAGAGAGTGCACGAAGAGAAAGATGGATATGAGTAGCGTTACACGACTCTTGAGTAGTACGCGTCAGTTTGATAGGATTGAATCTTTTGAGCACTGGTGTTATCAGAATAACGTCAGATATGAATGGCGGCCACCCCATTCAAGAATCGGCAGGGCGAAATGCGCAAGTTACAACACTTCGAGGATTCACCCTATCGTAAATCGCATAAATTCCCCTATAACTTATGTATTCAAGACGGAGATTTTAAAAACACAACATATACTTGACCACTTGAGAGATAGAGAAAGCTTTACTACCATCATGAAGGAGAAAGTGAGTAGTGTCGGGTTGAAGGGAATAGCGGGCTTTCTATCCAGTTGAGCGAATGCAGGCATCCTCTAGTCTCCGAGTTCAGTCCTCATTCGGGCAACTGAAAGAAAGGCCATCAGGGTGTTGACATGTACGGATACTTGTAGAACAGAGGCATACAGTGTCCCCTGGAAGCAACGCCGCTATAAGCTTTGCACGTGCCAATATCCGGCCTTGGCAATATTTCTCCAACTTCAATCAAGTCTTCGCATGAAGCATTGAAAGGGCTCCGCCATTCAGACAGACCATCGACAACAGCAGAATCCACTTCAACAGGCTTCTTCCAATCTAGAATCCACGCCCTTTGCCCCGTTCAAGCCCGTCCTTTCAATAATCTAATCTTCGCCAGCCCGCGGTGCTGGTCAAGCCTGATATGCCGAAATGGCTAACACAATGGTGAACGGCCGCCGTGACATGATCATTCCAGCTCCGCCTGTTGACCCTATATCAAGACCACAGTCTCCGCCGCCGCCCTCTTCTACAGTCCAGCCACCACCTCCACCACCAGACAATAATTCCGCCCCACCACCTCCACCGACCGCATCCAATATCCCTCCGCCACCCCCAGAAGTTGTACCACCTCCGCCAGCAGGTGACTCAGACCAAGGCGCAGACGAGTTGAGACTACAACCTCCGACGAAAAAGGGATGGGGCTCCGCCAAATCTCAGAGGGCTACGCCTCTCAGCGTGGAAGAGCTACTGAGGAAGAAGAGAGAGGCCGACTTGGCTGCTAGTAAACCTAAATTTCTGTCGAGGGCCGAGCGCGAGCGCATCGCTTTGGAGAAGCGTGCGAAAGAAGTTGAAGCCGCAACCTCGTCCAAAACCCAGAACGGCTTTTCTCAAAATGATTCCCAAAAGGTTTCCACCAGCATTGAACGACCCAAGTCGACTGCTGCGCCTACCGGACCTAAGGCACTTCGGAACGGAGAGGTACCCACGGGACCAGCAGCTATGCGCTCTCGAGATCATAACCGAGATGTTGATCTTAAACCCCCGACAGCCCCTAAGGCGATTGCTTTTGGCGGTGATTCAAAGGCCCAGAAGCGGCAGGCAGACGATGATCGGAGTGCAAATAAAGAGACGGATCTCATCCGCCAGAGATACATGGGTGCTGAGATGAACGTGTCGACCTTCTCTGCCCTTAAAAAGAGACGGAGGACGACAGAGAAGAAATTCAATTTCGAATGGAATGCTGAGGAAGACACTACTCCCGATTATAATCCCATCTACAACAATCGCGCGGAGACCAACTTCTTCGGCCGAGGTCGTTTGGGTGGTTTCGATGAACAAGCGGCTGACGCTGCCGCGCAAAAATATGCTGCCGCATTGCAGTCGAGAGATTCCGAAGGTGGCTCTGCCCGTGCCCAGGAAATCCTCGAGATGGAGCGGAGGAGGAAAGAAGACTCCGGTCGTATGGCTATCGATAAGCACTGGAGCGAAAAGAAACTTGAGCATATGCGTGAAAGAGACTGGCGTATCTTCAAAGAAGACTTCAATATCGCCACAAAAGGCGGTGCTATCCCTAATCCTATGCGGAACTGGAAAGAATCCTCATTACCACGAAAACTCCTGGAAATCATTGACGAGGTGGGTTACGTTGACCCTTCTCCTATTCAGAGAGCTGCCATTCCTATCGCCCTTCAGAACAGGGATCTCATCGGGGTGGCAGTCACAGGTTCGGGTAAGACGGCTGCCTTTTTGCTACCTCTGCTGGTCTACATAGCGGAGCTACCAAGACTTGACGAGGACGAAATGCGCAAAGGCAATGGTCCTTACGCCATTATTCTGGCACCCACTCGAGAACTGGCGCAACAAATCGAATTAGAAGCACGTAAATTTGCCACGCCCTTGGGATTCACAGTTGTCTCTATTGTTGGTGGCCATTCAATCGAGGAACAAGCCTACAATCTACGGAATGGCGCTGAGATAATCATTGCCACACCAGGCCGTCTTGTCGATTGTATTGATCGGCGTATCATTGTTCTCGAACAGTGTTGTTATGTCATCATGGACGAAGCAGATCGAATGATTGATCTAGGTTTCGAAGACCCCGTCAATCGAATCCTCGATGCACTGCCTGTGGGCAACGAAAAACCAGATTCGGAGGCCGCTGAAGATTCTCGTGCTATGTCACGTCACCTTGGAGGGAAAGACCGATATAGACAGACTATGATGTACACAGCCACTATGCCTGTCGCAGTCGAACGCATAGCACGCAAATACCTCCGCCGCCCAGCGATCGTCACAATAGGCAATATTGGTGAAGCCGTCGACACAGTCGAACAACGTGTCGAATTCGTCGCAGGCGAGGACAAACGCAAGAAACGCCTTGGGGAGATCCTCTCCTCAGGCGACTTCCGCCCCCCAATCATCGTCTTCGTCAACATCAAACGCAATTGCGACGCCGTTGCGCGCGACATCAAACACATGGGCTTCTCCTCTGTCACACTGCACGGCTCCAAAACTCAAGAGCAGCGAGAAGCCGCTCTCCTCTCCGTGCGCGAAGGCAAAACCGACGTACTTGTCGCTACGGATCTGGCTGGGCGAGGTATCGACGTCCCCGACGTCAGCCTGGTCGTCAACTTCAACATGGCCCACAACATCGAGTCCTACACCCATCGTATCGGTCGAACAGGTCGTGCCGGCAAGAGCGGTGTGGCTCTCACCTTCCTGGGCAATGAAGACGCCGACGTCATGTATGATCTCAAACAGATGTTGACCAAGAGCAGTATCTCCCGTGTCCCTGAGGAATTGAGGAAGCACGAGGCCGCACAGCAGAAGACCCAGCGTGGTGGAGGTGGTGGCGCCTCCAAGGGGTTTAATAAAGGTGCTGGTGCTTCGGATGAGTCTGGCGGCTTTGGCTCCTCGAAGGGCGGTCATGGCCATGGTCATGGTGGGGGAGGAGGAGGTGGTGGTGGTGGTTGGTAGAGGGGCCGAACATATACACCGCTGCAACGTAGCTGTGTTAATAGTGACTTTAGATGCTGCAATGGCGAAATGTGTCATGTCTCTAATACTACGTCTACGGCATAGAGTCCTTCAACCACCGCCCACTCAACATGCTGACACTTTGATCAATAGTACGACTATGCATAGACTTGGCTCGGCACTGAGCAATCTCGAGCGGAAGAAAGTTGGAAAGAATAGTGACTTGTTCAGACATGAAGCTGGCTATTGAGACTCATAATGCTAGAAAAGCCACGAGCGTAACGGTTCTCACTATGTGGATAGACGGGGACCGAAGTGCATATCCAGAAGACTATCAAGTCGCACTGCAAAACCACCCGTTTTTCAGAGAACAAAAATCATGCTCCTGCAAACCAACACCAGCTCAATCTGCTTTATTGCCAAAGGACATGACACGCTCCCGAACAACCGACACGTAACCGTCCAGAATGATATTAATCTAATCCCGTGTATAAACTCCGCAGTGCACCAATCATTTCGTTTCATTTTCGTAGCGTAACGCTCAATCGATCAAGTGGCCAATTTTCAACTTCCTTGTATTCTCCAGACACGCCAAAAGTCCTGTTGTTTCATCTGCGTGATCTTGCCCTGTCATCTTTCCAGTTTTCCTCCCATGTCGTACTCAGATAGGACTCCTCCTCAATGCTCCCACACGCTTGATAGGCGTGTGCATCATAGACTCCTGGATTTCTGGTGGGATGGCTGGTTTCAACGCCGGCTCATGGAAATCCTGGTGATTAGTTTGATCGAACGATCGCTTGTTCATGGACAAAGACGGGTTAAAATTCTCTTTTTCGTGTGCAGATGTAGCGGGCAGAGAACTGGTGCTTACGTTGAAATTGGCCTTCTCAATGCGCTGCTTGGGCACAGGAAGGGTTTTCTTCTGTAGGACATTTGTTCGCTTCGGAGCCAGTGGTGAACGTCTGACAGATGTTGTTGGAATAGCGACTGCCGGAGGAGCGATTTCAATGACCTGGACCACGGCTGGTTCTTCATCTTGCTTCGTCTCGCGTGTTGGCTTCTGTTGTGCAGCGATCCATGACTCGAATCCATGTACAGCATTGACCCAAGCTCCATCGCCGAGATGTCTGGTCTCGATTTCCTTGCTGAGCGCTTGCTGCACCTTTCTGGTCTTCGAACTGGTCAGAGCATCTGTGGCTGCCCCGTATACTGCTTTGGCGGTGACATTGGTCGAGGCGACAATATCGCCATCAGTGAGGATTGTTACCGTAACCGCGAATTCGATGTCAACCCTCCCTCGCCTAGGAAGAATTAACATGACTCTTACTCCCAATTTCTCATCACCAAGAATTGATGCTGACGTGATCCCAACCATGTTCAGAAGTCTAAGTTCTTGACTAATTCTGCCTGCAAGATCCCAGCCTTGTGAAACTGTAGATAGTAATGATTTGGTTGAAATCGAGCCCTTTGGCATCATTGAGAAAGCGTGAAGTTGACTTCGAATTAGTTGCAAGAAGAATCTCTTCTCGGTTGAGAGTTGAGGCGCTGAAGATTCTATACCTTCATCATTTATTGGCGCGAAAGTGAGACTGATAGGTGCGGATGGACCAGAGGTGGATGCAGACTTCCTGCCTGACCTCCGTCGAGCGGTTGAAGGCGTGGCCTGGTAAACCTGCGGATACATGAAGAGGCGCAACTCGTTCTTGTACATCATTGTAAGTGCAGCCCCAAAGTCGTTGGGCTCCTCAACTTCTTCCTCAGCTGTGATCAGACGCCATCCCGTCTCGTGCTCCAGACGTTCCACTTTCGTCTTGAAAGCCAAAACATCGGCACCTGACCAGCCCTTTTGCTCTTCTCTTACCCGGTCTGCCTCTTCAATTTGATCTTTCATTTCGGTCTTCAGCTCGCTTGCCGCATCCAAGGCCTCCTCCTTCTCATCCATTTGGTCTTGAAGAGATTTCAACATTGTGATGCGCTGGAGGTGATACTCGTCGGCAGCTTGCAATTCTCGACGAGTGGTCTGTAAGGTTTCATGATCAACACTGTCTAACTCCTCGATACTTTGCTGAAGTGACGGTTTCTGCTTGCGAAATTCCATCTGCTGCTGTAACAGCCCAGGAATGACACTGTCGAGTATCTGCTGTTGTTCGTTCAAGATTTTCAAATCATGGGACAGGTTGTTGTTAATGCCTTTCAAGCCTGTCTTCAACCCGTCAACCAGCTGAGCTCGCCATTGGTACCAGCCTTCCTTGCTTTGGAGACGAGCATTAGCTTTCCCATTTCGGAATTGGTTGTCCATGACCAACTTCACATCCGGTCGAGCATCAATATACTCGCGGAACAGTGGCGGTTGTTCTGCTAGTGTCTCGGCCTCAATCGATCGAACAATCTTTCGGCCAGTGGAGATGTAGGACTTGAGCTCTCGTGTCGAATGCTGATATAGCTCAAGAAGAGGTAATGTTGAAGCTGCTGCAACGAACGTCTCTTCCAAGGTGTTACCATGCGGGCCTTCCTGTGACTCTTTGTCCGGTAAAGATTGCGCCATGGTGTGCCTTCTCTTGGTCGTAGAGAGTTCGATGAAATGAATATTGGTCTTGTTTAGGAATTCCTGCAAGGAGATTTTGGGCATATCAGGGAGATCCGTATGTTCTAGCATCTGGGCAGTTGACACATCAATCGCTCCGATAACATTGTCAAGTTTGTCTTCAAATGATGTTGGTCTTGCATCTGCATCAATATGAACATCTTTGTATCTTCCTCCTGTGGATGGGCTCTTCGGTACGGTTGTCTGGACAGGTGATGAAGGTCCAATCTGTGGTGTGAGCTTAACGTTGGTCGAGAAGTCCTGAAGCGCGAGCTGCAGCTTTGTTGTGATTTTTCCTGTAGTTTCATCCTTACTTGGAGGTTTTGGCAAATGTACCTGTTTCACCGGGCTGCTTTCCCTAGAAACAGCTTTCAGTCGCTTGGGTGTCGACTCTACCTCCTCGTCATCCTCAAAATCAAGCTCAGCCGGTCTCTTTCCCAAAAGACCTTTCGCACCACCGGGAGCGAGACTCTTGCGGCCCTTCACTTTGCTAGCTTTCGATTTCCTGGGTGACATTGCCTCGATCATGCCTTTGAGCTGCATGGTGTTGTTTCCTCCTCCTTGCTCGTCTGCCTCTTGTTCCATAATGAACCGGCCACTTTCCCGTCTGTGTTCCTCGATACGTTCTGCTTCAACCTCTTGTCCTAAAACCTGAGGATCTTCGAAGCGTGCTCGTGCCGGATTTTCCTCGCCTAGCTTGAAATGAGGCACTGTATCACTGATCGAGGATCTCCGATCCAACAGCTCGGTGATACGCGGAGATCCGACTACTTCTGGTTCTGGCCCAATGCCTAGACCGCTTGATCTGCGACGAGCAAGACTCTGTCTAGTGGCACGAAGAATAATACTGGGAGTTTGTTGACCAGTCTCCTCGTTCCGGGAGAAAAGCGTATTTGACTTGATATTTGTTTCTCGCTTGAGCGATCGTGGCGAGGCTCTCGCTTGTATTTCAGCTCTAAATAGCTTCTTTGGCGATGCGCTTCGAATTGCAACATTCGCAGACAAGGGTGTTTTGTTGGGCGTTTCCGCACGAGGGGGAAGTGGCGTAATTTGCTTCGAGGGGGTGCCATTGTGTGCTGCATTTAGTGCTTTTGTGGGAGTCAGGCTCTTTGCTCTCGACGGTGGCGTTGTAGACACAGTAGCAGCAGAACTTCTCTGAGTACGACCTGATAGTCTCGGCTTGAGCGAAAGACTTGGGCTTCCTGTTTCCGAAGCAACGGAAGTGACGAGCAACCCCTTCGGAGTTGATTTAGGGGTCGTGGTTGGAGCAGTCATTGGTTGTGCTTGCGAACTCGAGGCACTAGGAACAGCCGCAGATCCAAACCTGGACGATCTTCGGGCGCTGTTTGGCTTCGGGGGTGACTTTTGAATAATGCTGCCAACAGCTCGAGTCATGTCCATGGCAGCGGTTTGGTCTTCGTCGGTATCGGTCTGTGGTTCTGTGTGCTCTTCGATTGGTGGTAGGATCCCTCCTACAGCAGCTGTCATATCCATGGTTTCGTTTTCTTCAGTCTCTTCTGCATCAAGTGGCGCTCTATTGCCTCTCATGCCTAGAATACTTCCTACTGCACTGGTGAATTCCATAGTCATACCATCGTCGACTATTTGGGATCTTGTTGTATTCGTCGTCACTTCCTCCGATTCATTGTTGAGAATGCCACCTTGCATGACGGTGAAATCCATAGTTTCGTCGAATGCAGACTCAACACCAGATGAACGGCGGCGCCGCGTGCTGTTTCTGCGACGAGAGACTGGCGACTGACCAATTTTACTGGCTGGAGATTGCTTAGAGAGAATACCACCAACAGCTTTGGTGACGTCCATACTCATATCCTCGGTCTGATCAAGATCTTGTTCTTCCATCTCCTGGTCTTCCATAGCTCGAGAATCTGGTACCGGGCGGGTAGATGAGAAAGGATCCGCATTTTCTTGGTCGTACATTGCACCGTCATCCAGCCCCTGACCACGGGTGCGAGCCCAAGGTTGAAAGGCGTGTGTTACTGTCCCGGTTGCCAGTTCCATCGACAGTTCTTCCTCTCCATTTTCATCATAGCCAATGCCGCGAGTCCCCGCCTGGCTCGCAGCTTGGCGCAAACGTTCTTCAAGGCTGGAATGGGTACTCGATCCCGACTCCTGTGATGTGACTGTTTGCGATGTGGCTTCGTCCATGCTCATTGCAGTATCACCATCAGTGTCTGATTCGTCGGAAGACTCTATACCCTCTTCGACCCGTATAGGACTGCTGTTTGCTGCAATATCTCCAGAAGGACTGGAAGAGAAGACTTCGTCTTGTGAAGTATCTAGCATAGGATCTGAAAGACCAGAGCTTCTTCTTCGGCGCTTTTGTTGGTGGAGTCCTCTCTGGTGAGCGGGAGATTCTTTGACCAGCAGGTTTTCTTCATTATTGTCTGGTGCGGATATTGTTCGTGGGGTTTCAGGTGATGCCGCCGGTTTCGTGGGTGATTGTGCTACTGTGGTTGATGATTGTCTTCTAGTTGAATTTGCTGCGGAGCTCGTGGTGGAATCCTCTGCGATCTCCATCACGCTCCATGTGTGGAGGGTTGCTTCTGGCGCAAATGACACTCGGCGGTTGGCAAGTGATTTCCGTCTAGCAGCTCTTCGCTCGAGTATTGCCTTCTTCTCTGCCTGACGTTTGCGCTCATCTTCATCCTCTTGCCCAATGTCATCGGTATTGGCTCCATTCTTCGCGGGTGTCCGTCGCGCAATCGGGCTAAATGGGTCCAAGGCCTCCTCTGTACCAGAAAACGAATTATCTCCTCCACTTTGCTTATTGGGCCCAGGGGTTGAGAAGTCTATCAGAAGCTCTTCAGCATTCTGCTTGGCAGGAGATTTTCCCTTGCCAGTGCTCCGTTTTCGCAGCTCATCGAACGTAGGAATCGCTTTCGGTGGAGTGAGTGGAATCGCGGGCTTCAGGATTGACTTGATCTGGAACGGGGTAGAAATCTGTCTGCCATCAATAAAACCCCATTTATTAGCTGTTGGAAGCATATTCTCACCTTTGCAACATTTGCGGAGGTTTCTGTTAATGCTTCCAGACCCCCAGGACCGATGCTCTTTCCGCGCGCTTTCTTCTTTGCCACTGCAAGACTTTTACCGTGCTCGGCTTGCAGGGCAGCTATGTCTGTGGTGGCGTTGTCCTTGAAAGCGGAAGACTTGGAAGAGGGTATGTGAGCGATTGATTGTCTGCTTTTGGGCTTCGCAGACCGACGTTGAGCAGGGAGGTCGTCCATCTCGGTCAAAGTGCGCCTTAGGGATCATGAAGTCGAGGGAGTGACTTAGCGAAACATGGCAGGAACAATGTTGTTGAGAGACTGACACAATCCACGTCCCACTTGGAGATCGCGTCAACATTGATGACGCTAACCGGATGCAAACAGTCAATACACGACTGACATAATCATCTTGTCGCGCAATCACATGATCTTGGCGCCAGCTTGCCAAGCTTTCGCACACAGCCGATTTTGGAGGGCACGGCACTAAAACCTCGAGGAATTTCCAGACGACTTCCACTACACTGCAATTGTCGACGAACTCACTCTTCCTGCGCACCCACCGTCAACCACATACCGCAATCATGGCGACCGAGTTGACAGTTCAGTCCGAACGCGCCTACCAGAAGCAACCTCATATCTTCCTCAACCACAAGAACAAGTCTACCAAGAGCAGGAGAGTCGGCAAGGGTGGACGAAGATGGTACAAGGACGTTGGATTGGGATTCAGAACTCCAAAGACCGCCATTGACGGCTCATACATCGGTCAGTAGATTACTGGGTGCGATACGGAATCTGTGGTTGTTCAACAGCACCATCAATGCTTTGAGCTTTCAAGTTCCAAGTTCGAGACTTTGGCTGGGCTCAAGTCAATTCTAACATTTCATCCTCACAGACAAGAAATGCCCCTTCACCGGACAGGTCTCCATCCGTGGCCGTATTCTCACCGGCAAAGTCATCTCCACTAAGATGCACCGAACACTCGTCATCCGCCGAGAATATCTTCACTTCGTCCCCAAGTATGCCCGATATGAGAAGAGACACAAGAACCTCGCCGCACACGTTTCGCCCGCATTCCGTGTCGAGGATGGGGACACCGTCACTGTTGGCCAATGCCGACCGCTCAGCAAGACTGTAAGGCCTAAATCTCAAGATTAGGAAAAGAGAATACCATACTGACAGAGTAAATTAGGTCCGTTTCAACGTGTTGCGTGTCCTTCCCCGAACTGGCAAAGCCGTCAAGTCATTCCAGAAATTTTAAAGCAAGGATGGTGGTGTAGATGAAGGGTTACTTCGATTGATTTCTCTGGCATTAAAGACGAATGCAACTTCGACAATGGAGTTGAACCAACCCGAAATCCGCATTTTGTCCTTTGAACCGGCATGGTGGTATGGGAAAACGAGTATTCGGCGTCACCAAAGCATGAATAGAGAATGCTATTGGTTTCGAGGCCAATGCCAAAATGCGAATCATGAAAACAGCATTGATCATCCATATCGGATCCGAGCACAATTGTGTTTCTACCCGTCTACCTATGTGACTCTCGCCATGAGGTGGATGACTGCTTAGCCTCTAATGGCTATAGCTCCTGCTACTCCGGTCTTTCTCTGGTTGCAACGGTTATCCTATATGATTGAGTATATCGTCCAGAGCCCGTCGTTTATGCCCGCAGATATGCAAACCCAGCCTCGGCTTTGAAGAAAGGGTAGCCACTACTATCGACCTTGGGAAGGATACTCAACTTCCGTTGCGTTTCCTTTTCGTTTTCTTCTTTCCATTTCTTGACCTCACTCTCTACACTCCAGTCGCTAATCAGGTCATGTCCATGTCCGATTTGATGCAATTGCGTCCCACTGGCTTGGGTATTCATTGGTAGCGGCACATAATTTTCGATTGCGCCTGTAACTTTGCCAGCCAACAATTCTTTGACGAGGAACGGTTCTGCTGCAAGTGGTCTCCCAATGCCGATGCCATCAGTTGCACCGTCACTGACAGCCTTGACCATGCCGCTGGCCGTCCTCAATCCGCCAGTGACGTAGACTTTCGTCTTCTTTAGAAGTGGCCGTATCATCTCTGCAAACTCGATGAAGTAAGCTTCCCTGGCGATCGTGCTCTGCTTTTTGTGCTCGAAGGCTCTCCCTTCGAATGTACCTCCAGAGAGGTCCACAAAGTCAACTCTGGCCTCTTCTAGCTTGAGGCATAACTCTTTTGCATCGTCGGGTGTAGTGCCTTTGTCCTGAAACTCAACAGAGTTGAGCTTGACGCAAATGATGAACTTTGGATCGGTGACACGACGTCGGATCTCCTCGATAATTTCGAAGACTATCTTTGATCTGTTGTTCAGGTCGCCCCCGTACTCATCGGTACGATGATTCGTCGTAAGGCTGAGGAACTGGGCTAGGAGATATCCATGCGCGCAGTGGACTAAACGTTGTTTTCCGTTATCATTATTGCGATATAGAGACCAGTTGCACCATTCTTACCTTGGACCCCATCAAATCCAGCTTTCCAGCACAGATAAGCAGTTTCACCCCAGCTCTTCACCATGTCTTTGATTTCAGGTATCGACAGTGGTTTGGGCTTGTTAAATGCATTCCCTGCCCACTCAATCTTCAAGTGTACATCACTCGCGCTGACGGGATTGGGATTCAGGTACTTTGAGCCTTGTCTGCCAGGATGGGAAAGTTGGGCAACGATGAGCGAACCGTGAGCTTTTGCAGCATCTGTGACCTCACGGTATTTGGCGATTCGTCCATCATGGTCGTCAACGAGAATTGGGTTTCCAAAAGCTTCAACCGCGTCGTATCTGACCATCGTGTTGCCGCTCACAATGATGCCAATCTCTCCTATAGAGCACTGTCAGGATCAACATCATCCGCACACTTGTATCAAGGCTGAATCTGCATGCAACGCCAGAGGAGATAGTTGTCCAGACCAAGTGGGTTGCCTACCTTCACCCCATCGTTTATAAAGATTCAGGTACTCTAGCGTCGGATACCCTCGCTTAGACTAAGAACATAGTCAATTCCCATTAGCATGAATGAGGTCAAGTGTGGAAGAGTACAATATCTTCTCCTTCCTTATTCCACTCGCATAGTCTCTCAGTCATGGGAGCTTTGAGAAATCGATTCTTGGCAATCCGCCCCGAGAAAGGGAAAGTTATAGATTCATTTAAGACAGAGACATCAGCCGATCCTGAAGCAATACGCGCATGACCTCTTCCATCGCTGTGGTCAACGCCAGTGGCAGAGGGTAAAAGAGCACCCTTCGCCGTCGATGTATCATACTCCATAATATTAAGACTTGTGCTGAGAACAAAATGAGTTAACAGGCTCAACGAACGGCGATATAACAGTGGTCAAAATCTCCATGTCGAAGAGATTACTACTTAGATGTAGTATGGCAGCGATATCAAAATTAGTCAGCACGATCAGGGAGCATCATCAAATCATCCCGCAATGGTAGAAGCTGTTGCGCAAATAAATGAGTAGGGTAATGATCCGAGCTCCGAGGCCCTGTCCCCTCATTTGAAGGGTCCTCGAGATGCAGCACTTTGGTTCGAGGTTGCTCCAAGATGGTATTGGCGACGGTCCATTGGTAGTTGAAGGCTGTTTAGAAATTTTCTAGCTTACTGCCGAGGTTGTCTGATTGATGAGCGCTGCCAATGCAGTCAGGTATGGAGATTCTGAAATTAATTTCCATCTCGGAGAATCATTCTCGAAAGTGCAGGGACGCAAAGGCATTCGAATGAGCTGCTGGCTCACAACTTATTACCGGTTTCTTGTCAATTTCTCATTCTCATATTTCTCGCTCTTGTCATACAATACACACGGGGTGCCCCCAAGATCAGAGTTTGTTTCGCCATATCTCGTGGGTTATTGGTTCCCCCTCGTGCCCAAGAATTCAGAATCCGAGAAATAAGAAGAGAGATCGTCGGAAGTTAGTTAGTGTTGCCGGCGTCCAAACAGCCGGCATGATGTCAGTTAGGTAAACATTACTTAAATGCCAAGGCTGTGGAAGTTTCATCCAAACTTTCTAGACTGTTGGATGAAAATTCATCGGTGCATTGGGCCGGTGGGTGACCGGTGGCACGCGTTTTATCACTTCCCCCCCAGTCGGGACTGAGAAGGTGTCTTCATGTGCAGTCGATGTGTTGGACCTGGAGTATCTGCTTCTTGGCCGCGTGTTGCAAGCATCACAACACCCAACTGGAGGCCAATGGGTTCGTCTCCCGTTCATCGAGTTCCTGAAGGATTCTCGAAACCCAATCGCAGGACAGTCCTAATATTATGTAAGACAGACCGCCAGTCTTATTGATTTATTTTCACTCTTCGTTGGACAGAGTGATGAAATATGTAGGTTGCTGACTGCTTTCTTATTATATGGATCCAAATTTCAAGGATTGTTTATGTCTGTCTCCACCAAACTTCTCCATTGGAGGAATTACTCCAGGAAAATGAGAGCTTGTGATCCATCCCTTCCTTCGCAAGCATAAAGAGGCCGAAGCCAGGGGTTGTGATGAGATGTCAACTTGCGGTGTATTGCTGCAACTACGGTTCTTCCTCAGAGAGAGAATCCGCATATGTTGATGTCGCAAGAGTTGTTGCTTCCGGGTCAGACTAGGTAGGTGCACATTCGATGGTCCGATTCAAGGTGGCCAATCTCTAGGTGAAGCTGCACCGTGTCAGTGTAACGCTATAGTGGAATAGTCCAATTCTGCTTTCATGTAGGTGAGCATCTGGCCTCAACTTGCTTGCGGAGTCCCCAGACTACCTTGGCAGCCACGTTCCTTATCATGCTCATCTCATTTGGGAGATATCTCATGATGCCTCGGTTCATAACTCATTCATGTGCTATGAATGGCTGGTCGATCGATCTGTTATGACTGGCTTCGTTTTGCACAACACGAAATGTGATTGCCGTCTGGCATATCAACAGACCTCGGTCTACAACTCGATGTGAGTGATATGACTGGCCCGTGGTAGCAATTTGCAGAGTACTATTTCAAAGAAAACTCCGTTATATGTCCCAATGCCTTCCCAAAGAGGGAAGATCCCCGTTATCACCACAGAAATCGGCTGATACCCCAGCTGTGCCCTGTTCGCCGCCAGATCTGTAGAATTGTGCTCCGGACGGGGCAGTGCCACGCCTTGGCCCTTGGCGAAGCGGAATCAAGACAAGGCTGGGCAGCTCCACTCCGTCCAGTCAGAACATCGAACTTAAAGCGTCCAAGAGAAATGAATCCTTGCAAGTGTTTAGACAAGATCTTGAGTACGTCAATAGTTTTTCGATGTGGCAAGCGAACTCATTAACGGCCACATGCGGAACAATCTTCTGGGGTTGAAATGTGGGATTGTGTGGGATTGTGTGGGATATAAAATATCCCCGGACACCCTTTGTCCTTTCGTTCCAGCCTCTATCATACCGGAAACCTAGCAAAAATGGCATCCGTTCCAGTTGAGAGATCAGATGACGTGCAAGTCGCTGGCGAAAAGAGTCCCGATGATTCTTTCGTCGAGGATGCCAAACAGCGTGAGATCCAAGCTCTTGACGAGGATGCTGTCTACAGCAGACCAGAGCAACGCAAGATCATTCATCGTATCGACAGACGGTTGATAACGACCACCGGTGCTATGTACTGCGTGAGTTTGATGGATCGAACAAATCTACCCAACGCAGCTATCGCCGGGATGAACGTTGAATTGGACTTGAATGTTGGCTTCCGTTACGTGAGTGCTCTGGCCATCAACGCACCATGAATGTTGTTAACTAATCTCCTACAGTCAACTATCGCCCTGGTGTTCTTCATAACATACACTCTATGCCAGCCGCCGGCCACAATTCTTTGTCGCAAGATCGGTCCTCGACCTTTCCTTGCTGCTATTTGTCTCGCGTGGGGAATCGTTATGATTGGTGGGTGTTCTAAATATCTGAATACCTCCTGGACCCTCTAACTGTCATGATAGGTTTTGGTTTCCCTTCAGATTGGGTGGTGATGATCCCACTCCGCCTACTGCTGGGTATCTTTGAGGCCGGATTCTTTCCAGGATGTGTCTACTTGATTTCAACGTATGTGTGGCTTGGAGATGTCCCATACCAGGCCTAATCTTTCACAGATACTATTCTCGCTACGATATGCAGAAAAGATATGCAGTCTTCTACATGATCGGTTCCTTGGCTTCTGCGTGCTCTGGAATTCTTGCTTATGGTATTCAGCAAATGGTAAGCAAAAAGACATACAGGTGAGCAGAATCTTAAGCTAACTTGCACAGCACGGACTCGCCGGATACTGGGGATGGCGATGGGTAAGCTTCCACTTTTCCTTTCTACAATTATACTCGCATCAATTCCACAAAACCACCGTTCTCGATAATCAATCTTCCACAGAGAACTAATGCTAATATATCATGATTTTTAGATCTTTATCATCGAGGGTGTAGTATGTTGACACAATTTCATCCAAGTTTGAGTAGTATTTACTGACAATCCCAGCTTACTTGCGTCATTGCAATCATCGGATACATCTATCTCGTCCCCTTCCCCGACCAACTTGAGAAGAAGAAACAATGGCCACCATTCCTGAGCTCTGAAGAAATCGCCTTCGTCATCCGACGCATCAACAAAGACAGAAGTGATGCCGAAGCTGAAGAGTTCAACTTCAGAAAATGGATCGCCTGTGGAAAAGACCCTAAAGTTTGGGCATTTGCATTGGTTTTCTTGTAAGTGCTGTCCTGCATCGCGCTAAACGATAACTGACGACTTTTCATAGCTGTCTTACGACGATGGCATATGCTATTTCGTATTTCCTTCCCATCATCCTTCGCGCGAACATGGGATTCTCCATTGCTGAGTCACAGTGCTTGGTTGCACCTCCATATGCATTTGCCGGTATCTTGATGGTCTGCATTGCTTGGGTGGGAGACAAGTACCACATTCGTGGACCTCTTCTAGCCGCCAATGCTTTGCTGGGTCTGACTGGATTGCCAATCATGGTATGCTATTGTGACATCGTTTACCTTCCATGCAATCGCTAACCTGAGCATAGGGTTTTGCCCCAACTGCCGGCGCACGATATTTCGGAGTCTTTCTCGTTTGCGCCAGTGCTAATGCAAGTATTCCAACTGCGATGGCATATCAAGTAAGAATCCGTAAAATCTTCATATTTCATTCCTAACAGTTCTAGGCGAATAACATTCGTGGACACTGGAAGAGAGCATTTTGCTCTGCGACCTTAGTTGGCTTCGGTAGGCCACCATACATCTACTCTACCCACTGTCAACACTTTTACTGACATTAAACAGGTGGAATTGGTGGTGTCGCTGGCTCCCTAATCTTCCGATCACAAGACTCGCCCCATTATCGCCCTGGTCTTTACGCAGGAATGGCATGCAATGGACTCATCATTCTTATTGTCATTATCAACACCATCTACTTCCGACGGGAGAACCGCAAGGCGGATCAAGAGGGTAAAGTGTTGGAGGACAGTCCATCGTTCAGATACACCATATAAAGGCATACCTAGGACTTTTGCTCTTATATACAGGTCTGATTAGAGATCGTACTCACACGACAGACAATCCTTCGATTTGTTCCCGAAGCCAAAGACCGCTCGTTGACATAGAACGACAGCCAACAGCAATCAAGGCTTAGGGGGAAAGATTAGAGTGAGAGTGTACGCTAAAAGCCTATGAAGAGCCTATTAAATCATGATCGAGTTGTATTCAGAGAAGATAAATAACCACACTAAGTTCTAGGATGGTTTCAGTTCTCTTTGTATGTATTTGAGTAGCACCTCCACCCTTCCAACACACTTGCCGCGTAGTTGGAAAATACATACGACACGATAAGGGTGTATCCTGAGGTACACTCACAACGGCTCATGAATTACATGGGCAGAAAAGGAAGAGCTATGTGTGCCGCAGTCCCTCCTCCTTCACCTGATGCTAGGGGCGGTCACGCTCACGTGGCTGTTGGTGGAGGTCGGTGCGCCTTCATGACGCGTGTCAATACACGATGTAGCGTCCCGAACATCTCTTCTCATTCCTCCCTTCCCATGTCGCCAATTATAATTCATATAATTCTGTTCGCGTCACTACTGACACACAATCATGATGCTTGGACTGCCTTACAAGGAGTCTACGTCAAAAGATAGTGATCGAGGTGACTTCCTTCCAGACGAGACCAGAAACTCACCATGTCTGGTCACAACTTCGCCGCTGATCTGTTAGGTTAATGCCTAGTTCATGGTGAATCCTGTATTCAGCCCTTCCAGGACATGGCTGACAGCGTGTGATATAATGTTTCCTGGTGCACCCGAGAATGAACATCTTCGGCGCCATAGCATGGCGACCAGCGACGCTGCTTGTGAAGACTGATCGTAGCGGCGACACCGTACTCTGTTCAGGCGTGACACGGTAACGAAAGAAAATGCAGGCATGAAACCTGCATCAGGAAGCTTAGTCGAGACTTTGAAGAGGGCGTACTCGCCGTTTGCAACATGAGGGAGAGTTTTACGAATTGAAGTGAAGTTGCAGACACTGGCGCGTGAAGATACCTGTCAACGGTCTTTATATCTCACCTGTGAAAGTGAGAACTGAACATCCGAATCTATCTCGATCACGATATTCTTAACTCTTCTCGATGACTAGGTCTTTATTGTTTGTTTCTTTGGAGCCTGTCAGCTAGCTCCTCCATAAAAAAAACTGGCGGTTACGATGCTTTCGAATCTGTGTTGGCTCAATCGCCTTTCTTTCTTCTTCGTCGCGTCAACTTCAGTCCTTGGAATGACCCTGAATTCTGCTGGACAGCTGAATTCCAGACAAGCGCAGAACAATCTTGAGCCATGTGCAGTCCTTCAGGAATTTCTAAGCACTGGAGTTCCGAACGGCGACTTATGTACGCAAGCAAGGCTTTTTCCTCAGATTTTTGGGATGCTAACAGTTCATAGCACCATCTAATGTGAATGCCCCCATTCCTGCTGAGCTCGCCTATTCATGTGCAACGTCTGCACCCTTGGTCAAAGCCGATGCACTCCGGGTACTCGATGTTGTTTTGGCATTACTGGAATGGCAATCGTCGTTGGCTTATCTCAAAAAACCTCCTCCCGGATATCCATTCTCTGCCACAGACATCATCGGTGATACCCAAGCACTTCGCCTTGCAGTGCAGAACGATATCTTTGGTTTTGAGTATGCATTCCAGCAGAATCTCACGAAAATACTGGCGTCTGCCCACGATGGTCATCTTTATATCGATCTAGAGGTCACGAGTGTTTTTGGTTTTGTTAGGAGTTTTGGTGACATCGTATCAGTGTCTCTAGATGGCAAGACAGCACCAGAGATTTACGCATTCAGTAAGATGCCTTCATTATCGGATAAAGTAGAAGCTAACTAGAATGACAGAAGATCTCTGCAAACAGCGCAGGAATAAGAATTTCGTTCCTTATCCGATCATTACGATCAATGGACAAGACGTCCAGAGCTGGATTACGTACCAAGCACTCAACAAAAGCAGCCACCAGCATGATCCCGATGCCATGTAAGGCTTTATACGCTCTGCATATCATTGTCTAATATCTTGTAGGTACAATACGTTCACAAAGTCACCCGCCACTGGAGGTGGATTTTCATTTAGTGGGGACTATCAAGGGGAGCGCACCACGATCGGCTTCAAGAATGGGACCGTGGTGGGGTATCAGAACAAGGCGATACTACTCAAGAACTTCACTGACGTCGTGGATGGCGATACCTTCTATCATCACTTCGTCACGGGGAGTGTACCGGAGCAACGAGAGTCGAGGAGAAACACCATTGCAAAGTTAAATCTTGGTCAGGGCGCAGGTGAAATTGGTGCTTTTCACAGTGCCCAAGCCTCTTATCCTACTCCATCTTTTTACACAGATGATCTCGCCATTTCTGGGTATTTCATGACCGATCCTGGATTCGAAAACGTTGCTGTCCTCACATTGAGGTCATTCGGGCCCAGAGATATCAAGGACTTCCATTCCAATCTAACTGGTTTCTTGCAAGCATGTATTGCAAATGGCAAACAATATCTCATTCTGGAAATGCAGGCCAATCCAGGTGGAAATATCGGACTAGGTTATGATGTGTTTAAGCAATTGTTTCCAGACATCAGTCCGTTCGCAGCTGGAAATCAACGTTCACATGACCAAGGAAATGTGCTAGGCGAGTTCTTCACAGAACTGGCACACGATGTACTCAAGTCTACTGGAAACATCTCGGATTACACTGCTGTTGGAGGATTTTCAATTTTCGACGCTCGAGCTTCCATCAACGCGACTGGTTCGAACTTCGAATCCTGGAACGATTTCGGTGGTCCAGTAGTCGTCCACGGCGACAATTTCTCCAGCATTGCTCGTCAGGATATTGAAAACACAGGCCTTCAAACATATCTGAGCGACATTACCTTTGGTGATCCGCCCATCCAGCCTTTCGCATCCGAGAATGTAATTGTGCTCGCGGACGGTGACTGTGCATCGACGTGCGATACCTTCATGCACCTGCTCAAATGGCAAGCCAAAGTCAGAACAATCGTGGGCGGAGGTCGCCCAAGCCCAGGTCCCATGCAAGTCGTCGGTGGAGTCAAAGCAAGACACAAGCTCAGCATCGGCTACCTAATGTACCTGATCGGAATATTCCGCAACAAGGCACCAGAGACGGTACAAGCCAAAGCGAACGCAACAAAACTGAAGACGATCTTCGAAAGCGGCGAATACCTCTCGCGCCGCACGGATGGAACATTCTCCGTGAACCTCGGGAACGCGATCCTGAAGGGCGACAAGACCATGACGCCTCTTCAGTTCGTGTACGAGGCCGCCGACTGTCGTGTCTGGTGGCGGCCGGAGCATTTCTTCGACGTGCGCACCCTATGGACCCTCGTTGCTGGCACGGCGTTCGGATTGAACCATACCAAGATGTGGTCTGCTTGTGTGGAAGGCAGTACTAATCATCCCAGCTCCGTCACTGGAGGTGGTCATCTGGTGTTTGATGCAAACTCGGGTATCACCGTTGACAATGCAACTCAGACGGGCTCAAGCAATGGGAATTCGACGAGCGATGGGAACGCCACCGCCTTCGGAAAAGCCGAACCAGCCGGAGGGAACGCTAAGAGCAGGGCAGATCATCCTGTTGTGTGCTCCATGGGTTTCCTGCTTACATGCCTCCTCATTGGCCCCCTGTTCACTGCGTTCTGATCGCTGACCAGAGTGTTCGGGTCTAAGAGTCTACAGAAGTTAGAGAATCTTAGACAGTTTGGAGATAGACTTTGGATTTCTTGGAAACGATTGACCGCCAGGGATGCGGGAAGAAAAGCTTAAACACATCGATAGAAGTCATGATGATTGGATCGTGCATATTGGAAGAAAAAAAAGGTTTCAGGATAGTTTCTCAAAGTGAGCATATCGCCCTCATGAGAGGTAATGATATGCATTAAACTTCGTCTCCCACGATTCCTGCGTATCATTATATCGGCTATATACCATCTCAGTAAGCAGGTACCGATCATGTAGAGAGACGAACCAGCAACATGGTCGCACAATCTGTGCGACCGATGATGCTAAAAAGTGCCGTCTTCCTTCTAAGATCGCCACCAAGATATAGTATATGCGAGTTCTGACAACTCGCAGGGCGCTGAAGCCTGTCCTAAAGCTTCTTAGGCTCGTCCACCATACCTTCCTTCAAACCGTTCTCTGCCTCATCACGACGCGGACTATGGCTCGCAACCGCAACGCCCTCTTCCGGCTGCAGATCGCTCAGCACCGGTGGGCCCTTGAAGCTCTTCCTAGCGCTGACAAAATACCACGTGATGGCGACTGACGAGAACGCGGCGAACACCACGCTTGCGTAATTCATGCTGGTTGGAGTCACGGGTATCGCGACGGGCATGCAGAATAGTACGACGGCAAGGCAGATCCAGCATAGCGTGGCGATGTTGATGAAGAAGCCGAATTTGCCAAGGCTGAACGTTGAGTGCTTGACCGCTTTGCGGCCACGGACCACATTGACGAGGATTGGGATGCCGTAGCTTGTGCTCAGGCAGATGGTCGCAACGCCGGTGAAGGCGTTGAATGCTGCGGTCGAGCCGAAGTAAATTAGGCCGAGGAGGCAGTCGACTGTTGTGGAGAGTATTAGGCCCCACAGGGGCACGTCAAGACGTTTGTCAATGCGTGACCAGAGTTTGGAGCCGGGGATGGCGCCGTCGCGTGCAAACGCGTATGTGCATCGTGATGCGGCCGTCAGAGCGCCAATGCCGGCGAAGAAGAGGATTCCTAGGATCAGGAATAAGAGGCCAAAGCCTCCGGCTGCAGAGCCAGTGACAGTTTTGAATAATAGTCCGATGGGTTGGCCATTGGCTACTGCTAATAAAGTGGCCACGTCTGGGAGAACGAACAGAATCGGGATAATATAGACAATTCCGGTGAGTCCAGCGGCCGCCACCGATAGAACGATCGCCTTTGGGACCTCTCTGTGAGGATTCTGGACTTCTTCACACATGCTGGCTACCATTCCATATCTGTCGATGCATTAGTTTAGTTGTCTTTCTGAAAGGCTCACGTCTCATACCCAGTTAGTGTATAAGCAGCCTGGAGAAGTCCCACGAAAAATGCCCATCCACTTGGCCATCCCGAAGCAGAAGCGTCAAAGTGCGAAAAGACGAACTTGGCGTTCCTTTTGTCGTCAGCCATGACTAGTAACGTGATTAGAATGATGATGACGCTGGCTCCAGTCCAATAAATGCATATGGTGTTGATGATGTTCAAGTATCTCGAACCAAAAGCGTTGACACTGGCGCAGATCAGCATGACAGCCCAAAACATGAGTACTGTCTGCCAGGCGTTGGGTACGAAGTCTTCATTCCATAGCGAGATGGCTGATAAAATTAATTGCCCTCCAGAGAAGTTGATGCTCAGTGTCACCTATCGACGTTTCAGCGATCAAGATCACGATCAATCGATCGAGAGAGAGGAGCTAATGGTCGGTTGGCGATAGACAATGGAACGGGAGAGCCTTACCGTCCAGTTTCCAATTAAAGTCAACCATCCATCAACATACGAAATCATTGGAGCCCATTCTTTGGTCGCCAGCATGGCTGACCAGTAGTAAACGCCACCAGCAGTCGGATATACCTGAAAAACAAGCATGGAAATCAGTGATGACCCAACAAACCAGAAGAGGACTTGATTAAGTAGTGCTAACTAACCGCACATATTTCCGCCAAAGATGCCGCGATGCTCAGCGAGATGATTGACACAAAAATCCAACCGTAAAGCACAGTAACAGCCTGTCCATCTGTTAAAGTAATGTAGAACGTAGTGCTCAGACCAAATGGCACAGCCTATTGAAACCAAAGTTAGGATATAAAACTGTAAAATTTCACCTTGAACGATGGCAGGCGGTCCACAAACCATGATAGCAAAGCTAAGTCCAAGAACACTCAGCATGCTCAGATTCCGGGGAAGCTCGCTCTGGTAACCAAGCTTTGCCAAAGCAGCATCACTCTCGGCATGATTGCCAGTGGAGCTTCTACGCCGTTGCGGAGCTTGAAGGGAGGGTCGTCTAGACATGGTTCGGAATAATATGATAGAAAAGGGTAATTGATGATCGAAAACCCACGTGGCCTTCAGGCAGGAGGATAAAACTCAACGTCTTTGAAAGAAATTCAGTGTAATGGCGATGTAGATAAATGGGAATGGAAATTACTCCCACAGGAGCTCATCCATAGCTAACTCATTTGGCTTGTGGTGCCCGCCGGACCCTCGTAATATTGGGTGGGTGTGCATAAGGTTCGGCCTGACGTCACTGGGGTAATTCGAGTCGCCATTAGAATGGCCCGAAGTCGATTTCGGGCATGTCGACTCGAGGTTGATCATTGTAATGTAACGGGTATGGGGCCTCGGCATTTGATTAAACAGGAGACCTTTCAGGGCCATTGTTTCTAGGTATCTGAGAATTAATCACTCAAACCTCGAATGCTTGTGCAGTCGCATGCGAGAGAGTTTAAGAGGAACTTCGTGTAGCCAGGTGACTTAGGCAGAACGAACTGAAGAATTACACAACATGTTTGCATAGGCTGTAGGTGCTAGGGTCAGCGGGAGATGCTCTCGCCTGTGTACTCGTACCTAGCGACGGCACCTAACTAACCTGTTAGGTATCTAGGTATGTACTTCTAGTGCTCGTTTCGAAACAAGTGTCCGAGTCCCACATTGCATATTAAAATGAAACAGTGCCGTCCTGTCTTTTCCTTCCATCTCCTGACAACTTTGACGTCGGCAACTGCCATAAAAGCCGCAGTCTCCACCACCGAAGATAAAAGCAACTTACTTCGCCCCTGGCCTCTCTCAAATCCAGAGTCAAGGCGCCGGTGTCCGATGAAATCGTCCACATCAAGACTAATATGCTGGGAACCGCACGGAGTCTTAACCTCACTTACTCGTAGTCTCTAACCTCTTGTCCTGGTCCCGTGTTCCCAGTGTATCATTCAACTCGACTTCACCCTTATTCCATAGCCTCTTGAAAGTAGTACCAAGTACTCACCCAGGTCATCTCACTCCATGCAGAAATTCTAGGTCTAATCGGCAGTCACGGTTTGTATCCTGGGATCTGCAATTGTAATGCCACCGCAGCATCCCGTCGAAAGCCATCGACATAAAAAGCAGTGACACTTCGCCCATTCTAAAACCCAAAACAGTTCTTATCCTCCTCATATCCCCATCCTAAACCCGATTAGTGTACGATTGCATCCGGGATAACAAAGTGACGAACCTTTCAGCGCTGGCAATGCTGCTTTCTGTATCATCCCCGGTGGTCCGCACAGCAATACGACACTATCTTTGCCAGGCGCAAAGAGCTTAGCCTTGATAGCTGATTCGTTAACATGGCCACTGAGACCACCCTTGGCCTCCCAATCGCCCTTCTTCTTCGGATGGCTGAGGACAAAGGCGATTTTGAGCCTTCCATTGCTCTTCTCGACCAAATCATTCAGCTCAGATCTCAGGAGAATGTCCTCTTCCGTCTTGTTTGCGTCAAGGACTGCGACAGTCGTGGGGTCTTGCGTATTCTCCGCAATTCGTTTGATCAAGGCGTACCCCGGCGTAATACCGCTCCCGCCCAGCACGAGACTGACCTGCTTGAACTGCTGCTCTTTGCCCTCGATGTTGAATCTGCTGTTGCCCAAATACGTGATTTCACCCGTTGGCCCACAGACCTCGACCTGCTCGCCCAGGTCGAGCTTATGCAGGAAGCTGCTGAAGGCCCCACCCGGCTGATTCTCGTCTGGAAAATAGGTCTTGACCGTGAGCTCGAAAGTTCCATCCTCTTCGTCCTCCCTGATTGGCCGCGTAGGGGTATACGAGCGTATGAGCATCTTGTCGAGCATGTGGATACCGAATTGGATGTGCTGGCAGGTACCCAACCCTAGCTTTATCCTCGATCCTCCGCCCTCATTGTCTCGGTATCGGAAAGTATAAGAAAATGTATCCTTGGACAACTGCTCCCTTTTCGAGAGTGTGACAGGCTTCCATCTCTTGGTGTTGAGCAAAATATCATCACTCTGCCCCCTCGCAGCCTTCTCAGCCTCTACCTTCGCCTGCTCCCGCATGTACGTCTTTGCTTTGTCCGTGACACGCCCCATCGCACACTCGGCAAGCTTCTTGTGCGCATACTCGTCATGAACGTTCTCAAATGAGCTTGTCACCTCGAGACTCAGCTTGCCGGCGTTCGCTAGCAGTGCGCTGCTGCCACCTGGATGCCACTCCAGCACGCTCGTGGCGTCGTACACGTTACCATTGATGACGAGCCAGCAGTCCTTGCGGGTGTTATGCTTCTCAATTTCCTCGCGCGTGAACTGCTTGTCCGGCATGCCACTATCTTGCTTGGCTGCGGCAAGTATATTGCTGGTACTTGGTTTCATCCAGCCGCCGCCAGAGGTGCCCGTTTGCCCATAGGGGTGTTGGAAAAGCAACCTACCGTCACTATCGGTGCTGGACTTGACGACGTACCAGCCATTGTTCATCATGCCTGAATAGATTTAGAGAAAATGACGCGATGTTCTCGAAAGGATGATACACATACCCATCAGATTCCAAACCGGCTTCTGAGGTTGCGTGTTTTTGAAGACGTTGAAACATCGCACTGTCAGGCTTTCCGCGCGCACGAAATGGGCCGAATCGATCTCGATGTGCCAATGAGTCCATGTCCAAAATTTGTTGCCATGTCGTATTGGGTGGTCAGGGAACTGCTTTCAGTCAGCTACACCTACAGTATTTATACACAAACCTCAACTCACGTTTCTTATGCAGTATAGCCATGTCTCGCCACCATCCAAACTCAACTCTACCCTCTGTACCTCATGGCCCCCACCATCGTATGCAAAGCCTTGAACGCAGTAGGTGTCCTTCTTCAGCACCTCGACAAGGTCCAGCTTCTCACCCTGCGCGGGCTTTGTGATGACGCTATTAAGATTCTGCTCGTTGCATGCCGTGCTAGGATGGTTGAACATGGTCCTCGAAAATTCCCCATCTTTCTCTGTCACAAAACTGGGTAGCACGCGATTGTCCCATATGTGGTAATAGGAGTCATTCTCCTTGTCACTAACCCAAACTCTCGCGAGCCACTTCACGCTTCTACCTCCCACGAAGCCCGGGACAAGTAGCCGGACTGGAAACCCGTGGTCAGGTGGCAGTGGCTGGTCATTCATCTCGTACGCTAGCAAGACATCATTGGATATATCCATGACATACTCTAGCGGCAGACATGTTGCATACTGGTCTTCTAATTAAACATCCTCACGAAATATTGGATAAGCTGGAAGTAACGGGACTCACCTTGCCTTCACTCGGCTCATCCGCGCCTTCAAAGTTTACCCACCGCCTACCCTCTCCGCCGGACACCCTCACACCCGCCGACTGCAGGACGTCCGCGACTCTCACTCCTCTCCAAAACGCACAGCCAACAGCTCCAGGGCCCCAATCGAACCCCTTACTCTTGCGCAACCGATTAAGCTCTCCCCGCCGATTGCCATCACAAGCCAGCGCCACCTGGACGTTGATGCTCTCCCACCGGCGCAGCAAATTATCCATGCCGACCCTTATCTTGCCGCAGCACACATCCAGTACATGCTCTTCCCAGTACAGCCGCGGCACACTCCCGTGGTTGCGCACGTAGTGCAGCTGGTTGGGCGTCACAAGCCCGGCACGCATGAGGGCCGACAGCTCCGGCTCCGCGTTCAGGGGGTGCTGACCTGTCCGGCGTATTAGCTTAGCCGAACGCGGGATCCAGTTGTCTGGTGTCAGCGCGTCCGCGCCGTCGATGGACGTGTCCATCTCAGCGGATGCGGTGGCGGCGGGCGAGCGGAGTGTCCCGGGGTTTTGCTGGAAGGCTCGCGTTTTCGCCGCTTCGTGCTGGAGGTGCCGGAGCAGCGTGATTTCCTCGGGCGTATACTTCTCCCGGAGTTCTGGTACTCGGTTTTGGTCTGGCTCTCGCCGCTTCCTTGCTGTTTGCCGTTGGCTGTTTCGGAGTTGTGATTGCTCCTTTCGGAGGTTTTGCTGTATGCACCACGATGTTTACTTCCGTTATAACCCTCAGCCCGGCGCCAGTCGTGCTCTGGGTTGCTTGACGAAGCGTGATCATCTGAAGTGTCATTATCCTGTGGAGGCTGCTGGTGCTTGTCATCGTCGTCATTCTGCTTTTCTGTCTCCTCTTCTGCTTTGCGTTGTTTTATGTTGGCTTTCTGCCGTCAGAATTGGCTTGGAAGAGAAATATGAGGCATCACTAGTACTGGATGGGCGTGGTGGCAATGTTGAACTCACCAGGCCAGTCCTGCTTGTGCCTCACACCATCTTCCGTGGCTCTCACCACGAAGCGCCACCCAGGCGGGTACCTTTTCGGGTTTTGCGTATGGTAGTCCTGCAGAATCATAAATATCAGTAACTGCGCGTTTGAGACACAAAGCGCGATGCGGAAAGCGCCATCGCTAGTCGCAAGAGAGCACCATGTTAGACCCTACCGTCTGTGCTTTCATGACATCCACGAAGTTTACCAGGTCGCCTTTGTTCGCCCTCGCTCTCAGATCGCGGTACTTCTTCGTTGCCGCCTCCACGAAAGCTCGTTCATCTTGGTTCTTTGACTCATGATCACCGTCGTGAGTGAGGCCCGCTTGCAGACCTGCAGCATTGATATAACCAATACGATGCTGATGGCCGGCACCCCAGTTGGGTTCTGCCGCTATCTCTGACTCACTGGATCCAGGATGCGAGACCACTCGTGCTGTTGTTCGTGGGGGAGTAGGCATCTGCCACAGGTTTATGAGCCGCCGGGAGATAGGCCCTGCGCGGCAAATCGACGAAGATGAGATGGGGAATGGTTAAACGTATGAACCACATAAGGGAGGAGACAAGACGTTCGCAAGCTATATACCTAGCGTGCTCTTCAGGTCCTGTTGTGTCCACTGGGAACAAGGTAACCCTGTGAGGTCCCTGTCGATCACTGCATCAAAAAGATGCGTGTTGTTAATCTTCCACACCGTTGGGATCAGTGTGCTATACTTGTCCGATCCAATATTTGGAATTACACACACAAGAGCAGCACACTATTGACACATCACCTCATCATCGACTTTCCTGGCTGCATCCTAGTCTTCTTGTTCGATCTATGGGTACTTGGAGTAATTGAAGGCTCTCGCCTCAAACTTTCGAGCTTTGACGTCAGGCGAGAGCCAATCGAAGTCTAACTTTTTGAGTTTTCTTTCTGTCTTCCGCGGACTTAGAGAAAGATCAAAGACCAGTATTTATAAGGTGCATCAGGGACTTGAGGAAATTTCTTGAGAAACGGTTGCAGACCATAATACACTACTATCATTGTCGGGGTAAACTAATAGCTAGAGTAACAAACTTAGCTTAGGGATTGCTCTGGACCGCTGCCTTATGAGCATTACGTTAGCAAATTGGTGTTTCCGAAATCCCAGGAAAAGTTGAAGGGCATCATGGTGTGGATAGGATGAATCTCTGTCTGTACCAATGGATTTATTCGGGCGAAGATGTGGTCTGTTCTCTCCTAGCTCTTGACATTCGTCATGGGCTACAGCTGAAATATTACTTAGGTACCTCGGTAGGTAGTTAGCGGCCCGTCTGTATACAACCTATCACTGAACAGCACTTTTCGTCACGATGCAAACGCTTTTCAGCATAGGCCGTCTAGACAGATTGCAGTAGAGGGTGACAAAGTCTGAGCATTGGTTTTATCGACCCGAGTAATCAACAAATGACAAGATGACCAGTGTGCACTTCGAACAATTGTTGACTCTAATCAAATAATTCATTATTCGGGTACAATGATTGGGTATTTACTTTCCATTGAAGCTATCTTGACGAGACACTTACCTCCTTCAAATTAATTCCCTCGCGTGAAGCGATTCGCCGAAATCTGTATTCATGGTCAAATGATGGCTTTCAACAAGTCATCGGTAATGGACGTCTTTGTCGTTTGCATGCCCATATCATCTTTATTTTCGTGTATTTCCTCCACAATTTGTTCCTTTCATTCCTGCTGGTGCGCGCAATTCATAGACCAATGGCAAAGACCAGTGGCAGTAACATGCCGAGCACAAGAGTCCACCAATAACGGGCCTCTTTGACCTCGTAAGATCTCGAGGCGCTACCAGGAAATTGTGATGGGACTGCACTTCCAGATGCGACTGCACTAGACGATGCACCAGCAATCACGGTACCCGAGATGGTGGTCGGTGGTGCAGAACTGACTGGAGCAGGGCCACCTGTGAGGGTTGTGGTGTATGAATTCGTGGTTTGTGCAACTGGTAATACGAGAGTCGCTCCGTTTGTCAATTCAGAGCCGTATATCGTCGTTGTGCTATTGTTTTCAAGCGGTAAAATGATCGTCGCTTGCGACCAGTCATCTCCCGCGACAGTACTCTCTGAATAACTCGTCGAAACCACAGTCGTGACTATAGGAGCAGTTACCGTAGATACTGAAGTCTGGGGTCCAGTTGGACTCAAAGTGACGGACGAAGTCCGTGGGGTGACAGTAGTTGATAAGAATGATGACATAGAGCTTAATGTCGAGCCAGCACTATTGATGGTTGTTGCCGTCACCGAGGTTGTGACGATTATTGTTGAAAACTGGTCGCAGTAATCTAGGAATTGTTGAAACTGTGGTGCGATCTGAACAAATCCACCGCTGCTATCGGTTTTGTGTACCTGGATACATTGCTCACATTTCTCCAAGGATGTTTCGAATGCTGAGCCTGGAACACAAAGAGCAGGAGTCTTGCCGTTCGCTTGAGCTTCGAGCAGACAGTTGTTGCACCAAGGGAAGCACGCTCCCGGAACACTGGTTTGCGCCTGTCTCGCTCCGACGGTTGGGGATGGTGGGCGGACTGTGGTCGATGTGAGTGTGATCGTTTCCTCAATCACGAAAATCTCATAGCTCAATCCAAAATCACTGGGGTTCATGTTGAAATAATCATCAAGAGCCTGAACTGTTAAACCGGGGTTCTGCGCCGGGGTTGAATTGCCATAGATTGTGTCATCCCAGGTCACCAAAGGCACTGGAAGTGCTTCTGCTGGAATGCAATGATTAGGTGGGCACAAGAAGCCTTGATCAGGAATTCCAGCTTCAAAGTTGCAATTGTCCCGTGTAGGCCTGCAAAGCCAACCGGGAGGACACCCCCATCTGTAGACGAATGGATCAGCCAAAATGTATTCTTGCACAGCTCGCGATACTTACGTCCAGTCGGTGGGATATGGTCCCTGAGCTGTGTAACTTGGATTCACCAATCGGGTCGGGCACAATGTAACACTGGTCACCCTTTGCGTCAAGGTGGAAAGAAGCAGCTCCTCTGTTGCCGTTGCCGTCACAGGACTGATCGTGATTGACGTCTCAGTCGCGGTAGTTGGAACAATGACCACGGAAGTTTCTGTCGCAGTAGTGGGGCTGACAGTCGTTGAAGTCTCCGTCTCAGTCTCGGTAGTTGGAAGAGCAACGACAACAGTTTCTGTTGCGGTTGCGGTGGTAGGTGTCACGGTTGTTGAGGTTTCCGTTACAATCCTCGTCTAGCAGAGTTAGTTAGTCGTATCAAAGTAGAAAGCCCTGCCTTTCAAGAAGGCTGGTTGTTTCTCGGATTTTGTAGCTTACTGAGGTGAGCACTGTGGTGGATATAATTGTCTGATATATAGTAATCGGAAGTGTAGTTGTGTCCCATATAGAGGTCGTAATGACATCGGTATCAGTAGTCGTATCAGTGATGGGTATATACTGAGTGACGTTCACCAAGATAGTTGGCGCTGGTGGACAAGTAAATATAACGGTCTCATTCCAGGTAGTCGTACTGGCAAGTAGTGGTGGTGGTGGAGGCAATGGAGGGCCATTGCTAGGATCTTGACTCAATGCTGTAACAACCAACGACAAAGCCGTTAGTAGGCGGGTGTGGTAGCAGTACATTGTGCGCAATATCTTAAGTCGAAGCTCTTATAGCAGCGGACACATACTATCACGACCTCAGACTGGAGGAAACTCAAAGCGAATGTAGTGCAACCGAAAATTGGTTCAAAACGAATGAATGATGAGCGTCTGGTGGTTGAAAACGTGGAAACTGGTGCGCCCACTCTTGATAGTAAAAGAATGATTCGGATAGAGGAGTTCCCAGCCCTCTCGAAGACTCACCGTCATTGAAGAACCGTGGACTTGCGGGTATACATCACCGAGCTACCGTCCCGCTCAGCATTGAGCGCATGCCACATGGCAACGGTGGTATTCCTGGAGGCGTCAAGTCTTGGTACTTTGCTGGGGGTCCCCCAGATGGGTGCTGTGAACTTGCAGGTTCCTGGATTTGTGATGAACGCTGCCTTGCTCGATGCAGCTGGTGGCATGCCAATCAATGGCAGCGATCAGCTCTCATCGTCGGTGGCGTGAACGGGAGCTTTGCTCAATCACGTCTAGTTCACCGGGAAGAGGAAGGTGGAAGGCAGAAAGAGTGGACGGTTGTGCCTGGAGTCTGTTTCCGGTGCCAACTACTCCAACCTTGTTACAACCTCGACCATCATTGCCGTCTTTTTCCCATCCCTGTCTCAAATCTGCCATCAAAAACCGGTTTACGGCTTGTCTGGTGCATAAGCGCAATAATGAGCTCTTCACCTACGACTCTCTGCCTTTTCCAGGCACAGCTTCAGCTACTGACGTTCAAGTTGACCTTCGCTTAGGTATCCACACTCCATGTCGCTCTTAACCAAAGATTACAACAAATGCAGTCCCATAAGTCCCCACAATTGATGGGATTGTGTCTGGGCCAAGCTGGGTTTCTCAATTCTTCTTCCTCAAAGTACCAGGGGGATACCTGTCTCTGCAGATCGTCTCTTATCATGGATGTTCTGGAGTGCGCAGTATCAACCCTGCACTTCCTAGTCCATTTCTCTCACCAATGACGCATCCTTCAGGTAGGTCTAGCTGCTGAGAATACTCCGAGTGAAGTACTATCGAACCATCATGCTCTATTGAAGACCCTGATTCCTCTGATCGCTAGGCTTTGCACAAATGACAGCGGTTGTTCAGCAGAAATAGCATCATGGGTGGCAAACTACGCTCTGCCGTTGATTCTCGGCCCACGAAGACGAGATATGTCTTAGATACTGATAGATGGTGCTCACACTATTTCTGCCTTCCATACTACAAACACAAACAAGACAGTCAGTGTAGGTCTTGTTTTCTTGCCTCCGTTCTGTAAAAGCAGAAACAATTTGTACTTGCACCAAAAATCGAGCCGAACAGAAAATGCCCACAGTGGCCACACAGCTATGAGGTCATACACTCAAACCGCCGCGATTCTGGCCGCACATCTCTTACGCTTGGCTGGGGCGGTCGATGTTCAACAGAACTACACAATATGTAACTGGGCGCGGTTACGAGCTGGGGCTGTAAGAGATTCAATATATCTCGATGGCGGTCTTCTTTGGTGGCAGACTGCCTTCGCTGATGGTACCACCCCAGTGGTGAGTAGCGATGGCAATGTTGCGGGCGACATGTTCCGTTTGAACTTTTCCACTCCGTTCGATACGACAAAGACAAATACATCGGACCTGTTCAAGAAAATGTCAAAAGCTGGAGGAGCCGGAAACAACATTGCCCCTAACTATATCGACGGCACAATGTTTACAAACGATGGAGAACTCTACCTCTACGGGTAAGGCATGGTCCGAGCTATATGCATTCTCTGAACTAAAAGTTTCTCAGTGGACTTCCACGTCTGACCGATTCTGCCTCGCCTCAAAGCGAGAGCTCCGTCCTGGGTTATGAAGCTTTTCAATATGGTGCAGATCGCCCAAGTTGGTCACCAGGATTCTACCAGGGTAATCTTCCAAATGATGTGAGTCGGTATGTCACCAACGGTGCAGGTACTTCTGCACCGAGTGAGAATCTGGGCTTTTACTTCAGTGGAATGAGAGCGCCAGATTGGGGTCCTATATACTACGATGATAACTCAGCGAACATCACCGCAAACACCCTCATTACCATTGACATGTCAACCATGAGAAGTGAAAAATGGACCAACACCACCCTACCTGATAACATACCACCTCGGGCAAATGCTGAGTTGGCCTGGATTCCAGTAAGCGAGAAAGGTGTCCTAGTGGCTATTGGGGGTGTAACTGCCCCTGAAGAGATCTGGTCCACTGGGCTTAATGACTCACAGACCTCACAAAGTCAAGAACAAAGTCCTGGTTTCATGAAATCTTTACCTGTCTATGACATCGCATCCGGGGAATGGTATCTGCAGAATACAACTGGCGAAGCTCCAGGACAGTTGACAGAGTTCTGTTCTGTTGTTGCGCCCGCAAAAGACTCATCCTCCTTCAACGTCTACATCTATGGAGGTTATGATGGGCTGAACGCCGGTGATGTTCCATCAGATGATGTTTGGATCCTTTCGATCCCTTCATTCAACTGGATCAAGGCATACACTGGTACTCAAACTCACGGCCGATCGGGGCATTATTGTGTCTCTCCCTATCCGGATCAAATGCTCGTTATTGGTGGCGTTTACCAAAACCAAGCTAATTGCGTGGAGGGCGGTATCATTCAAGTGTTCAACCTCAACACATTGCAGTTCCAAAATACCTATGATCCGGAGACCTGGTCTGACTATGAAGTACCAAGTGTCGTGTCCAAGGTCATCGGAGGTGATAGCTCAGGTGGATCAAGCACTAATGCTTCTTGGTCCAACAATGCTCTCGGAGGCATATTTGCTCAAAAATATTCTAGACAGGTAACTCACTACTACCCCTATGAATCCGACAATAGCAGCAGCAGCAGTACAAATGGGACTGTCGACTCCCCACCCACTAGCGGCAGCTCAGGCATCACCCAAGGAGCGATTATCGGAATCAGCGTTGCAGCCGCGGTCATAGTTCTCTTTGTCGTCATTCTCTGCGCACTGTTGATCCGAAGACGGCGCATCATTCGTAGCACGTCGTCCGAGAAATCTGTCGCCTCGGGTAACAGTAGAGTCAGTCGCTGGCTCAACGGCGCATCCTTTACAGGAGGAAAACCCAAGCACGCATCCGTCTCTCCACCACATGTGACACAGTCAGCTCACTACGCCCAGATCTCGGAAGAGTCCACACCACCACTCCAACCGCAGCGTCATGAAATGTCAGGTACGGAGAGACCCAAGCCTCCCTATGAGCTGGCAACGGATTACAACGATCAGCAACATCCACGCCATTCCAACGCTGCGGATTACGCCTACAACGCCAACTACGGTCATACACACTCAGACAATTCCAATTCTAACACAACCTCATCTGGTTCATATCGCCCCTCGCCATTGCACAGCGACAGCCTGACTGGTGCTTCACCCTTACGAAATGTAAGCAATGTCGGCCCTGGAGCAGCCACAGCAGCAGGTGGAGCAGCAGAACTGGGCACAGGGCTATATGCCCCTCATGACGATGTCTCCGATCCCAGTAGCAGGTACGACACTGGGTCATCATCAACCGGCACGAACGAAACACTTGCATGGCCTTTTCCCGCCGCGACCAATCGATGGCGCACCCATCGCGCCCGCGCCGAGCGAGAACAGCGCGGTAGCGAAAGCTCATCTCTCCAGCCCATCATCATGGAAGAGTCCCAGCCCCATGCTCACGCTCGTGACGCAAGGGGACTAGGCGGCGATGGATATGGCCACAACTACGGCGGCAGCGGCAGTACTTATGCTACACATCACCACAATGAGTCTGCAGAGAGTGGCATCGGGACTTTACCGAGCCCCACTCTGGGTGCTCACGATGATGACTATCATCGCCGAAGTCTCTTTGAGGCGATCAGTCCCGTCAACTCTGCGCCAGATCGGCGGGGTCAACATCATTGATTGATGCCATTACGAATATACACATGATATTTTCTTTCGCCTGTACTTTACGAATAAACGAGCGTTGTTTGGCGAGTGAGACGCATATTTCCGGTCTGTTCTGGCTTCACACGTACACGTACATAATCTGGGGTTTTATTTGGGATGATTGGCGATGAAGCCTCCACCATGCGCGCAAAGTCTATAGAGCGCTCTTACCGTATAACGAAAATAATGATATGTACTTTACACCGTCCAGTTGATGGGCCCTGGAACCTAAATCGTGTTAGAGGTTACCGATCCTTAAGCTCTCAGACAGCCAAACAGCCAACTGCGCATCAAGTCTTCAAGCAGTCAAAGTCGTCTGACCATCTTCGCTCTCCAACACCTCGAGAAATCCACCAACAAGATGCAAACTCCCCGTCACCAAAGCCGTCACCTCGCTGGGTTCCCCATCACCCAACCGTGCGCTCGAAAACTTCCGCACCAGCGCCACCGCCTCCTCGATCGTTCGCACGACTGTGACGTCTGCGTGGGAGTCAATGCCTCGCCAGGTTTCGGCAAGGTCATTCTGGACTTTCAGCGCGTCGACGTCCGAGGCGTTGGTGTTCACGGAGACGAGGTCGGGTTTGAAGCCCGTGTCGACGAATGTCGTGTTGGTGCAGAAGATGGCGTGTGTGAAGGGGTGAGAATCGTCGAGCGCGGTGGATAAGGTGGTGAAAAGTGCGGTTGCAAGTGCGTTCGCGTCGCGGGTTTGTTGATTGAAGATTAGGAAGCGTGGTTCCCGGGCTGATTGGGGTTGAATGCTGGTAAGTTGCGATGCGAACCATTTTCCAGCTAGTTCAATGCTTTCAAGAGTATGACCGCCGTCTATACACCATCTGATGCCGGGTTCATGACGGGTTTCGCACCGTCCGGCCCAGCGAACGGTCTCTAGGCCTCGCCGGATTTTGGAGTCATACTCGGGATCGTTTTGGTAGCCTTGCAGTGTCAGCCATTCCCTTGCTACAGCTTCTGCAAGGCTGCCATTTGTCTTTTGGAACTCTGCTTGTAGACCGAGTTTGATCTTGTCGTTGGCGATCTCCGGACTGACGTCGACGAACTCAAGGATTGTGCCCTTTTCCCGAGCGACCTGTTGCAGGACTACTTTGGCATCATCGGGTTGACTGCTAGTGGTAAAGCATTTGGTACCGTTTTTCATGATACCGGCTTTGTGCCAAGCGATTTCACCAATTGTAGAGCCCAACATTGCCACATGATCGATACCCAGACTCGTAATGCCAGTGACTGAAGGCTTCTCAATCACGTTCGTGCTATCGTAAGCGCCTCCAATGCCACACTCGATAACTGCAGCGTCAACTTTCTCACTGATGTAAGTGTGAAATGCCATCAGCGTCAAATATCGAAAGTAGACTGGCTTTGTGCCTGGTGCTTGTGGGTCGTGACCTTCTGCTTTCGCAGCCTCTTCAAGACGATCCCAAACCTCGAAGAAATATTTCGCAAATTGTTCTTCGGAAAGTGGTTCTCCATTGATCTGTATCCGCTCTCGAACGAATCGCAGATGCGGGGATGTATATAGCCCGACCTTTGATAGCGATTTGCTTCCGTTGTTCCCAATGAACTGCGCCAGTATTGACGAGATGAAAGCAGAGGTAGAACCCTTCCCTTTCGTTCCGGCAATATGAATAGCGTTGAGCGCATCGAAATCTGATGGCTACCAGGGACGCGGGTCAGCTCGGTCGAGAGAGAGAGAGAGAGACGTTGCTAAGCGTTGCTTTTTCAATTCAATGGTAGCATACTTGGTATCCGATTTTGTTGCACCACTCGATCATCTCAGGGATGGCCTGATCATTCATCTTCCGCCCAGACTTACGGATCGCATCAACGATTGCAAAATTAGACTGTAACGTGTTGAGCGACGTCACAGCGTCCTGGATTGTCATTAGTTGCATGCCAATAAATGCGGAGGGCATGACTCACGGCGTATGTCCTGGTCATGGTAGCAGAGGTGGTCGCAAAGCTGCGAGTATATTGGGAGAGATGTATTAAAGGACGTTGAGTCCATCCTCGTGGCATGTGTGAGGCATGACCATTACTCAAGTAGTCGAACGGTCGGCGTTTGTTATCCAAGTGCAAACGCGACTGTTCAGTACCTAGGTAGTGGATAACTTTTCCCCTCGCAGTAGTAAAAATGATGTGCAGCTACGGTGGGGTCTATGCTAATCACTACGGCGAAGCTTAAGCGCGAGGATACGCTGTCAAATTCAGGCCGACGTCATTGGCATCGAGCAGATCACCTGTTCGTGGCGATGACTGCCGCCCTTCCTCCCTCCGTACTCTACACTATCAAAAAGTGCCTTCATTGGTCGAGTCAAATGAAGTATTGATGAGCCATTAATACATACGAGAATGGGCCAATCCCAGTCTTCAGAACCTCCCAAAGAGGTTCCTATCGGTAAGTACATTGAGGTCGTGAATTTGTCCTGATGCCTGAACTATTTCAGAACAATTGAGCCATGAACTGGCTCTTCGCTTTGCAAGCAAGTGCTTCACACATTTGGAAATCACACACTATAAGGACAACTTCAAGTCCTTAGCCGATCATCAAGAAGATGTAGAGTATTGGAAGGAAGACACGTTGTGTCGATTCCTTGCCATACCAGAATTACTCCAGGCAGGCTCAGTACTATATCAAATGTGCACCTACCTCGGGGCATTTCCATTTCCCAGCCTTGCGCCATGCATATTGACGCGTGAGGCCATGCTGAAGGTCATCACGATCATGACTGGTCGGTACAAGAAGATCCTCAAGCGTGGGGATCAGGACAAAGCAAAACTACTATTTCGAAGTCTTGCTGTGTTCGATCGGAGTGCTAGTCATTCAAACCTGGTGGAGAAACCGACAATGGAAGATGTTGTCAATGAGCAACTACCTGATGATATGAGGGCGGAGAAAGCCATAGGAACACATGTATCCGGATTTGCAATTGACGAGCCCGCCAATGACGACGAAGAGGAGGATGAGGACGATCTGGCTCTTGCTGCTCTGGACGCCCTTGATGCGATTGAAGTGTTCAAACAGGATCAGAGGGTTGATCGGAAAATTCATCATGCCATGATCCCCGTGGAAAATTTCAAAAAGCTTGTGAAACTACTTCTCCTTTTGGCTGGCATTGAACCGTTGACCCCTTTGGCCATATATGGTGAGAGCCTTACACCTGCAAAGCTGCAGACACTGGATACCTCAGCGGATGCAATAATTGCGGCTTTCGATCCCGACCCACAGGCAAAAGGAATTCGATATTCCAACTTTGTTCAGACCATCACATCCACTCTCCCAGATCTATTCGACCCGTTGAATGCACTATTCGAGCACTCCCTCTTCAGCAAAAACATCAATCTTTCCAAACACCGAGACATCTCACTCGACCATGAAGTGATCATACCCCTAAGACCCTCCCCCATCCGCAAATCCTCAACTAGCGATGCTGATCAAAGCAAGTCAAATACCAACACCAGCACCTCACTTTTGAACGACACACTCCTCTCGCAAATTTCCACAAGCCTCAAACTTACCACACCAAGCGGCGTCACCACCAATATCTTCACCTCCGGCGCTCGCTTCGATGCCCTTTACTCAACCTCTAGCCACGGCACATCTCTCAGCTCCTTCTCGCGCCAAGTCCTCTCCTGGCGAGCGAGCACCCTCATCATACTGACTGGAACCACCGAAGCCACAAATCAAAAGCCTAGCCGATCCATCACACTAGCGGCCTATCTCCCAGATCGATGGACCGACTCCTCCCAAACCCACTCACATCCCCAGTCCACCACATCAGGCAGTCTCGACCCTACGACACCCAAAGCAAGCCTCCTTCTCCTTCACCCGCGCCAGGCCCTCTTCCCTGCAAACCCCTACAACCACAGCATGCCCGTCAGCTATTTTAGCACCCGGACAGGCATTGCGCTAGGCTGCGTCGTGCCCGCATCGCAATCACGCACCTCACACCAAACGGTCCAACCGGCCCTCGGCCCGGTCAGCCTGCTCATCGACAGCGACCTGTCGACCTGCACATTCCAACACGACGGCTCTCAAGGGAGCGGCGCCTTCGTGACGGATCCTGCATTTGAGCGTGCCCAGCAAAAACAGTCGCCATCACCACCATCATCGAATACCCTCCCCTGTAAAATCCAATTCGACCTCGACGAGCTCGAAGTGTGGGGCGTGTCGATCCCAGATCCGGCGGCCGAAGACGGGCATGACGACGAGATCACGAAACAGCGAAAGCGGCTGGCATGGGAAGAGGCCGAGGCGGCGCGGCGGCGAGGCGTCAATTTTGGGGGCGACAAGGATGGCGCTCGGGCGTTGCTTGAGATGGCAGGCATTGTGGGCGACCATGGGAACCGTAGCGGTGGGAGTGTTTGATCCTGGTCCTATCAGATTGAGCTTGGGTATGTCGCTTGGTATATGACTGCCCTGGACGGATGCGTAAGAACATTTCTTTGGGCGATGTATGTCTGCAGGGTATGGGTATTGCATAATTTGAATCCGTGTCTAGTGCATATTATCAGTTGCTATGGAAGGAGAATAGCCCCGGTCACTGTAGGATCTTTGCATCCAACGAGCTGTTTGGTGGCTATCGAGTAGAGACACTGACTGATCATATATGAATTATGACTACGAGTTGGGGGTAAACTTTGAGCAAAAGTGGGAGAAAAAATGGTCTAGTTTTGGAAACGCTGGGGTTTAGTCATTTGAGGATTCTCTAAGAGCATTAGAAGGTGGATCGATGATAAATAAAATAGAAGCTGCAGCGTTGCCAGAACGCCTTCCCTCCCCAAGTTGAAATTGGGGTCGAAAGTGCTTCTTGTCTGGACACAGAAATGCATGCCGTCGTTCGGAGTGTATCGCCATAACACATGTTGAGACAGCATTTCCAGCAAAAGTCGACTGAACGGACGGGTTGCTGTTGTCGCAAGTGTTGATAAAGACAGGGTGATCCTTGGACGCGGAATCTGAAAATGGATCTGACTTCCTCGATCGTAGACAATCTGTATGCTGTTCGCTCAATTCTCCAACATCCCCACTAGTGAGTGATCATGGTTGCGTGAGTCTATGCTTGGTTCGATGATCAAAGAATCGAACGGTCGAAATGCATCCCCTTTCCTAGCACGATACCTGAAGCGAAAGAACCTCGGCCACATCCATCCCCTCCCCTCCCGTGATATACGCCTAGTCGCCGAGAACTGGGAATAGTAACACGCCAAAATCGGTGTGGAAAACACGACACAATTTGGTCACTCAGCACTGGCAATTGCCCGCTCCTTGAGTATTGGTTGATTCGGGCCTTAGATCAACACCTGGCCGGGGGTTGGATCGAAGATTTCTGGGACCGGCTTGATCCAGTGGTAATTTTTTGGCGATCGCAGTGAAGAGTTCCCTGACATTTGTTGAAGTCTTTGCAGATGTTTCGAAAAATAAGAGGCCGGCTTCTTTTGCATATGCCTCGGCGTCGGCGGTTTCAATGGCTCGTTTATCGGGGAATTCATTGACAACATCCACCTTGTTTCCTGCCAGAGCAATGATGATGTTTTCATTAGCCTGTCTCTGCAATTCCTTTACCCATGACTTTGCTTTGTCTAACGATGACTAGAAGAGATGGTCAGCGGGTACTGTCATTCGACTGAAATGGCTTCATGGTTTGCTTACGGCCTGGGTGATATCATACACGACAACGGCGCAGTTGGCATTACGATAATACATGGGGGCCAATGACTTGTATCTCTCCTGACCAGCGGTATCCCATATCTCGAATTTGACTGTGGTGTTCTCATCGAGGGATATCGTTTGAGTGAGGAAAGCGGCTCCAATCGTTGACTCTCTGTAGTCATCGAACTGATCTTTGACAAAACGGAGGACTAACGAGCTCTAATTTGGGGTCCAGTTAGAATTGAGGGAAGGCTCGGATGGGCAGAAAGCAGTACCTTTCCTACGGCAGATTCGCCTAGAAACGGGTCAGTAGTAGGACTAGGGTATGGGAGTCGAGCAACGAACCGAGTAGAACGAGTTTGAATTGGGCGAACCTGCCGCCTGCGCCTGGGCGGGCTGCGGGAGCTCTGGCGGCCATGGTGGCAATGTGAACTGATGAAAGGCTAAGTGTTGGAAAGTAGAGAGTAGAAGAGACACTTGTTACGGTTGCAGCAAGTGTAGATGAAAGATCCGGGTGGAAGAAGGAGTTGATTGTTGGTGGTGGCAGTAGTGAGGGCAATATGATGAAAGTTGTATAGAGATAATGGCAGGTGATGTTGTTCCGGCAGCGTCGTCACGCAGGCGCAGGCACAACAGGCATAAGCCTACACTTAGGGGTGGGTAAGCCAGGGGCCGGGGGGAGGCCAGTGTACCCTCATAGGCGTAAACGGTGGTTCAGCCTCTACTTTGTTGGGGGAACCCAAGGCCTAGTAACAGTAGTAACCAGGGTTATTGCTCTTGGGGCTGGCGACCGTGGAGCACTAGTGGGAGAACTATAATCCTTAGCGGTTTGCTAATAAGAATGGTGGAGGATGGGGAGTCCAAGACAGTGTATTGTATGACGACAAGCAGATCACTAAGATTTTAGCATGAATAGCCCACACTAATGCTCTATCATTTTGCCTGTTCAGCGTTGGTGAGAAAAATACTCCTCCGTACTTATCTGGTTGGCGTCATCATCGTTGCCCTCAACCCTCACCTGCGCCACGACAGCCTCAGTGCTATCTTGCCGCACGGATTTCATAATAAAACAACAACCTTATCACTCAATCGCACCAAGCAAAACCCAAAGTCTTTACCACGCCTTGTCGTTGCCAGTCTTAAAGCCGCTCCGTCGGTGATGGCATAGAGGCAATTGGCCCTCCTCCGTCCTTCTCGTTCAAACCTGCGTCTGTGTCTTCTCGCATCCGCAATCCTACTCCTGCACCCACACCATGGCCAACCTCATGCCTTTCCGTGACATCAATGTCCATGCGTCCACCTCTCACTATGCCTTCACCTCCCCCTCGACCCCATCTGCACCAACTCTGGTGGTAGAGCGTCCATCAGGAGATATCAGGCTGAATGATGGTTCCCTGCTCGGAGCCAAACGTGTCTCTAGCATTGCTGGCATCTTGGGCATAATCAAATTGAAGCTGGACAAATATGTTATTGTCATCACCAAAGCTCAACCCATGGGCCGACTACGGGGCCATATGCTCTACAAAGTCGTCGCCACAGAATTCCTACCTCTGCGAGAACGACCTGTTCACGATCCTGATGAAGACACCTATCTATCTTACGTCAAGGCTCTACTAGCCAGGGGTCCCATGTATTTCTCCTATTCTCTCGACATCACCTCCAGCTTCCAGCGCCAATCCAAAGCCATTCAATCCGATCCTTTATGGAAACGAGCTGACGATCGCTTCTTTTGGAACCGCTTCATCCAAACCGACTTCATTGACTTTCGTTCCGGTGGTGGTGCTGGTGGTGCTGGTACTTCTGGTACCACAAAGGGTCATCAGCAACCCGGAGCAGACCCATACATTCTCCCTGTCATGTATGGCATGCTCCGAGTTACTCCTGCCAAAGTACAATCCACATCTTTCACATTTGCTCTCATTACACGAAGATCAAGGTTTCGTGCAGGCACAAGGTATCTGTCTCGGGGTATAGATGATAAAGGCCATGTTTCCAACTTCAACGAAACCGAGCAGATTGCCCTTCTCAATGATGTTTCGGGCCAACCTGTAGGTTTCGCTGGATCCCAAGGCCAACAGAATGGCAAAGTTGGTTCCAACCCATCCGAGACCCAGGTTCTCTCTTATGTGCAAACTCGCGGCAGTGTCCCTGTCTACTGGGCCGAAATTAATGATCTGCACTACACCCCCAAGCTACAAATTCGAGGTGTTGAGACTGCTGTTGAAGCTGCACGGAAACACTTTGATGAACAAATCAGAATTTATGGCGAGAATTACCTTGTGAATTTGGTCAATCAGCGTGGGCGAGAAGAACGTGTTAAAAAGGCTTACGAACAAGTGGTCCGAATTCTCGTCAACTCGCCTGAGGAATCGGTCGAGGCCGATCGACATACTGATGAGAAATTTCGTGAAATCAGTGCCGACCATCCTCATCAGAAGATGGATAGGTTGCATTATGTCTATTTTGATTTTCACAACGAGACCAAGGGTTTGAAATGGCATCGGGCCGAGCTCCTGCTTGACGAACTGATTGATGGTCTGCGGAAGGGTCAATATTTCCGCGGTGTCGAAAATCCAGGTGACCCATCTGGTGTGCTGGAGGTCAGAACACAACAGACTGCTGTGGTTCGCACAAATTGCATGGATTGTCTCGATCGTACCAACGTGGTGCAAAGCATGCTAGGAAGATGGGCACTGACCCAGTCATTCCAAGATATTGGTGTTCTCCGAGCAGGTGAGAGAGCAAGTGACGACGCTGCCTTTGAGACACTGTTCCGTAACATCTGGGCTGACAATGCTGATGTTGTTTCCAACTCATACTCCGGCACGGGCGCCTTGAAAACGGATTTCACACGGACTGGCAAACGCACCAAAGCGGGCGCGCTGCAAGATCTCAACAATTCGTGCACTCGATATGTTCGCAATAACTTTCTCGACGGCCCGAGACAAGATGGGTTTGACCTATTCTTGGGCACATATCTACCTTCTACATACGGCGTTGGTTCCTCGCTACAATTTGTAGATCGAAGACCATTGATTCTGCAAGCCGTACCCTACGTCCTGGCTGCCTCCGTTTTCATAGTCGTGATTTCGACCTTGACTCGCCGTCCACCAGACTCGGCAGTGTGGCCACTACGACTCTTCACAATATTGTGTCTGATTATTGCGGGATGGTCCTTTCAATTCATTTACGGACATGGCCTTCTCTTCGTGAACTGGCCGAAACTCAATCCGCCCTCATTTGCGATAGAAGGATATGCAGATGCTCTTGCACGTGCCAATAGAGATCCGGTGGTCGGCCCATTGATCGCGGCCGCTGGTGGAAAGGATAGGCGGGCTCGGAACATCAGCACCGCAAACATGGGATACATGGAAGAAGGAAAGAAGAGGATAGAATGATTCCAGTATCATCAGCTTGTCACTATCGCCATGTCTGGTTCCTTGATAGATATATAGACTTTAATGATGGATCGTTCATGCACACAAGTCCGGTAGATTGTTCACCGATTCCTTGGGCAACTTGGGATCAGTGGGAGTGCATGACGACTCTCGGTAACCGAAGAAGCACCTCTTACCACCAGTGATGGGGGCAGTCAAAGGCTTTAGGCGGGAATCCAACCACCGCAATCTCACAAAAGCAAGGATCCCGTGCTACAAAGTCTAAGCCTCAGAACAATCCTGACAACAAGCGTGGAGTACACCATCCTTCCAAAGGTGATATAAAATGCAGAAGGAGAATGGGAAATACTGTGGAAGTAAACCGAAATAGGATGTGGGATGTTATGCCAGATGTCGGTCGGCAATGCACCAACCTGCAGAGCTTGCCTCCCTGGTGGCCCCCCATCGCCAATCACAATGGGTCGATCACGACTTGGCTTTTGCCTAACTCGATCCCGACGGCTTTTATTCAACCTCTCTCTCTCTCCCTTCCTCCACTTCCCCACGACTATGAGGGATTTTCTGAATGCATCTCTGCTAGCTTTCCATCTCATCTGGGATACGTGCTTGCTATCTGCTCCAATCCTTTACCTGGCATCACTTTTGAGATCCACGGGCCACCTCATTTGCACCGGATCAGTTGTGAAATGACACGCTTCTCACTGCTTCACACTGGTCCGGGCAAATGTCTGACTTCTCTTTGTTTTTCTCGCTCTTGCCCAGCAACTCTTGAAGGATTCCATTATCCCATGGTATGTTTATTTGTGACACCACAATGCCCTCCTTATCTGTTCATGCTAGAGCAGGCTGTTGTCTCGATTGGACTGGTGAGTTATACGACTATCTGAATCAGGAATAACCATGGTGGCTGTGCTGTACGCACGCACATGTGAAGTGACCAGAGATATCCTCAATATCTACCCACCCGCGACTCTTTACACCAATTCAAAAAGGTAGGAAATGAGCCCACGTGCTTTCTGGTTGTAGTGTCCTGAAAACTATTTCATGGTCGCCCGTCAACCTTGATTCTCCTTATCTGCACTTGTGGTCCTCCCGTCCTTTTCCCTTGTGCTCAAGCAAGTCCTCGTTTCGGAATAATCAGGACAATACCTTGTTTGCTGCCACTGGTTGAGCATTGTCTTCCACCCTCAATGTCTGACCTCCGTATTCAATTTAACGATGACATCCATCCTGTTCAGTCGCGAAGTGGTGGAGTGCACAGGCTCAGAAGCAGAGAGGCGACCGGCGTTGGAAGCATTCGCGTCCCCAGTCATGTCGGACCTCCGAAACGCGAAGAAAATGATGCCGAGTCTATGACAAACATAGAGGATCGTGACTACAAGCCCAAGCAGGTCTGAAGATTTCTTTCTATTTTCACACTTACTCCGCTGACTGTGATAGTCCTTCACTAGCTGGCAAGTACTATGGCTAGCATATCAAGCGTCGGGGACAATATACGGCGACATTGGCACTAGCCCTCTCTACGTGTACTCATCTACGTTCAGTGCCGACCCTAGCTATGATGATCTTCTCGGGGCGCTTTCCTTGATCATCTGGAGTCTTACAATCATGGTCACTGTCAAATATTGTTTCATCATTCTTCGAGCCGACGATGAAGGAGAAGGCGGTACATTTGCCCTTTTCTCGCTTCTGTCACGATATGCAAACATTGTCCGTCGTGATCCCCGTGAACAGCAGATGGTCAGGATGGAGCGTCATATCACTCATGAGCTGGGCAAGCCTGCCCAAAAGACTCGAAACCTCATCGAGCGTTCCAGGTTCCTACAGTGGATGCTGAAGATCGTTGGCGTCTTTGGGGTGGCGCTCGTCATGTCCGATGGAGTTCTTACACCTGCTCAATCGGTTCTCGGCGCCATACAGGGCATCTCGGTGGCCTCTCCAGGTATATCGAATGGTACCATTGTTGGAGTCTCGTGCGGCATCTTGGTTCTCCTGTTTCTAATTCAACCTTTTGGTATAACCAAACTCGCCACCGGCTTTGCACCAATCGTCATCATCTGGCTCCTTTTTAATGCCGTCTTCGGGATCTATAATCTGGTCCAACACGACCACTCGGTCCTGAAAGCATTCTCGCCATATTTCGCCGGTGCTTTCCTAGTAAGGAATAAAACCGAAGGATGGAAGAGTCTCGGCGGCATTCTTCTGGCCTTCACAGGTTGTGAGGCACTTTTTGCTGACCTAGGAGCGTTCACTATACGCGCGGTGCAGCTTTCGTGGCTGTTTTTCGCCTTTCCATGTCTCCTACTTGGTTATATCGGACAGGCCGCCTATATTTCCGAAGATCCTTCGGCCTGGACAAATCCCTTCTACAATACTGTACCTCCAGGATGTCTCTATCCGTCACTTGTCATTGCGATCCTGGCGGCCATCGTTGCCAGCCAGGCCATGATTACTGCCGTTTTTCAACTTCTGTCACAAATCATGAAGCTCTCTTACTTCCCTCAGATCAAGGCAGTGCACACCTCCAAAATCTTCTATGGACAAATTTATATTCCAATGGCAAATTGGCTCCTCATGATTGGTACGGTCATCGTGACCGCTGTTTACAACAACACGACGAATCTTGGTCACGCATATGGGGTTTGTGTCATCTTGGTGACATTCTTCAGTACCTGCATGGTGGCACTCGTTGCCTTGATTGTTTGGAAAGTGCCGGCATTCATTGTACTGTTCGTCTGGTTGATATTCGCCCTGTTTGATGGCGCTTTTCTGTCTTCATCATTGACAAAGGTGCCTGAAGGAGCTTGGTTCACCCTTGCGCTTGCTATTGTACTTTCTTCGCTGTTTATTCTCTGGAGGTTTGGCAAGGAACAGCAATGGCATGCGGAAGCTTCAGACCGATTCCCACCATCACACATGATTCGGACGAGGGACGATTCTTCGAACGCAGCGCTTGAACTCACACCGGCATTTGGGGGACACGCTATCACTCAAATCAATGGCATCGGTGTGTTCTTCGACAAAGCTGGGGCGCCTTCCACAACCCCAACTGTTTTTGTGCACTTTCTGCAGAAATTCCATGCAGCATGTGATGTGGTTATTTTCTTCCACCTACGACCTCTTCAAGTCCCCATCGTCGCACCTGAAGAACGGTACACCGTGACACGGTGCTACGTTGGGTCTGAAGGCGAGAGTCGACGACCGATGCCAAACTGCTATCGGGTCATCATCAGGCACGGATACACCGATGAAGTGGTCACTCACAACCTGGGCTTACTCCTGTACGAGCAAGTACGTGATTTCATCTGCAACGAACGTGAGACTGCCATGATATCGCCAACTGCAAGCGGCGAGAAAGTAACCGGTGATGCCGACAAGGCAATCACCTTTGCGGAACGGCCTGTTGATCCAGACCGCCCCTCCTTCGAGTCGGCCAGTGTCGGGTTGGTTGAAAAGCTGGTGGAGCTACGCAGAGCATATGAGAGCCAGGTGGTTTATATCGTGGGCAAAGAACAGATGAGGATTAAACCCGGCACGAATATTATCCGAAGAGGACTATTGGAATTATTCCTCTGGATCAGAGAGAATAGTCGTAGCAAAGTGCAGGCCTTGAATATTGCTGTGGACAAACTTGTCGAAGTGGGCTTCGTCAAGGAGGTATAACATATATTAAGGCGGTGAGTGGGTGAAGAGTGACAAGGCCGAATGATAGGCCAGATGAGGAGTCGTTGGGCAAAGATTGACAGAGTGATTGCTCACTCAGGTTGTAACGAGAGGCTATGAGGCATACAAGTGCCAGACTGTGGCTATAGGGGCAGCATGTCATGACTATCATGACTGTTATGAGATGTGTGGTAGGTACTGAGGTAGTTTCTATTACTTAGAGCTAGGTATGCATGAACCGCCATACTTGTGAACGCACCCCAGAATTGTCAACAGGTGACATGACAAGCAACTCGGCCCGCTTTGCAGGTCGCCTCGAGTGGCGCAAGCAAAGCCCCCCAGCCGATCATGATAACCTTGCAACTTGCAACTTGTAACAAGCCCGGTTCCAATTCTGTACGGGTTATCCAATTCACGAGGTAGTCTCACTTTACTCGTACTTATGGGGATCTATGCTCCACGTGTTCCACCAACATGCGACGTGCTCGGAAACCTTGGTAAACTCTACGAGGTACTGTGGACTTCGGTATCTGGTCTTGCCACACCCTTCAATCGAGTCATCACGAGCTTACAATCAACAATGATACAAGCTTCCACATGATCTTTCGGTTTTTCTCGAGCAGAGAAGAACTACTTGTTCGTTCATGACCTTATAGACGATTTTGGTCAGCAAACCTACCCCACAGATCGGCCGTGTCAAAACAAAGCCAAGTTACCAGATGGAAGCCTACTAATAACCAGCAGGGCAGTCGTATCCGGGTGTTGCAAGGGCGCTCTTGAAATCTTGGCTCGCGTCGAGCTCGCGTTCTCCGATGCAAGAGAATTAGGGGTACGGGTAGCTTAAACCTCACTGCATCAGATTGCATCGATCCATTCCCAGGAGCAGTCAAGAGCTCCTCCCTAGTGTTTTGTTTACGTATACGAGGTAGATTAGGGCAACTAGAATGATGACCTCGGCTCCTGGGTTGACAGAGATAAGTCCTGATTTCACCAGTCACGAAGAGGGGAAACCTCTCCCCCCCGGCTGCACGCTGCACGCTACGTCTCGTGTGACAATCAATTCCCACGAGATTTGACCCAAGATAACTGGCGAGTCGAACCCTGACAAGACCTCGCTACTTGCGCTTGCGATGTCCTAACACGACGTAACGACATGCTCAACTTGGTAATACCTCAAGCTTGCTTGACATGGAGCACTCACCTCGCTGACTGTTGTTGGGGTTGAACGACCTTTGGGTTAGTCGTTCCTTCGTTTTAAGCTATTCGATAACACTGAACCACTGAACCACTGCTTAAGGTCGTTCGTCATGAAAACAAAAGGAGCGATCACCTAACAACTTTGGAAATCTATCACACCTGCAGTCAAGTCATGTACACCAGATGCTAGGTGCAACTACCACTACAAAGCCTAAAAGTGTCTCTAAGTAGCACTTGGAGCCTAGACACCACGACCCCAACGCTCACATCTCAAAAGGCTCCAGGCTAGGTCAAGTCCAGTCCAAGCTCCGATTATTTATCAGTCAAAGAAAGTCTTTATTGGTGGAGATGCGCCAGAGAAGCGTCCGATACCACCCTCTGCACCCTCGAAAGATAAACACGTCCCCGCTAATCTTGGCGCCCGTCATGATGCTTGAGAGTAAAAACTCTTCGCATGAGTGGACTTGCAATCTACAAGCTCCCACGGCTCACATGGACAGCAGCCCACCCGTGGCTCGCTGACCTATCCTATCTCAGATTCTCACCTGTTGGACCCCTGCAAAATGGATAGTAAGGTTACCTCTACAGCCACATGGTCCAGCTGCCTTTGCCCTCGTTTCTTCTTCGATAAATCAGACTGCGTTCCCCCATAATGGGCAGGCTTCTGCGAAAAGCTACTTCCTGAAATTCTAACTTAGTCAAGTCAGCGTCCTCTTTCCCTGCGAGGTCACTCTTTCCCGGTGACAGCCTTGACTCTCAGGCTTTTCAATCTGCTTGCTTCACTCTATTTCGTTTTACCCAACGCGTCTGCCCCGATTGCAACAAACAACCCAAGGCAACAACTACTGTTTCCCCAGAGATAGGCCTGTTCGAGTATATATTGACCTGCATCTGCATCTGCATCCACCTACACAATACTTGATCCTCGAGTACGCCACTGCCCTTTCGCGCCTGGACTGCAATCATGCCAGCCCAAAATGTGCACGACGTCCCTCATGGGTTCGACTATGATAATCAGCCTGTCGCCTCTGGTGATGGCAAGACCAAAGAAGGTGGCCGACACAGCATAGGCCATGGCGCAGAAAACGCCGAAGCTGACGACCTCCTGGCTGTCTTGGGTTATCAATCCGAATTGTCGCGAAACAGATCTACCTGGCAGGTCGCCTTCATGTCCTTCGTGCTCGCATCAGTACCCTACGGTCTTGCGACAACCCTTTATTATCCCCTCATTGGTGGTGGCCCTTCTGCGATCATCTGGGGTTGGGTTCTTGTATGCTGCATCATCATCTGCGTAGCTATCTCGCTTGGTGAGATCACTTCAGTATATCCTACCGCTGGTGGTGTCTACTACCAGACCTATATGCTCTCTCCTCCAAAATGGCGAAATATTACCGCTTGGATTTGCGGTTGGGCTTATGTCATGGGCAACATCACCATCACTCTCGCCGTCAACTTCGGTACCACACTTTTCCTCGTCGGATGTGTCAATATCTTCCAGGATAGCGAAGGCAATGGTGTATGGGCTGCGACCAACTGGCAAATCTGGTTGACTTTCGTTGGTATCACATTGCTTTGCAATGCTACCTCTTCCCTTGGTAACCGGTGGTTGCCGCTGTTAGATGTATGTATTTTCCCACACGCGCCCATCTTAAAAACTCGACCCCATACTGAGACATCGTTTGCCATTATAGACATTCGCCATCTTCTGGACGTTCGCTGGTGTCATTTGCATCATCGTGTGCGCTCTTTCTCTTGCAAAAGGCGGTCGCAACAAGGCCAGTTATGCATTCGGCGGGTTTGAAGCAAGTTCGGGATGGACTCCGGGCTGGTCTTGGTGCATCGGCTTGCTGCATGGAGCATATGCCACCTCGGCTACTGGCATGATTCTTTCGTAAGTGGAATTTCAAAACACCTAGCAGTTGACCGGTTTCTAACAACCACAAAGCATGTGCGAAGAAGTGAAAGAGCCTGCAACACAAGTACCGAAAGCCATGGTTGGAACCATCGTCTTGAACGCCATCTGCGGTTTCATCTTCCTCGTTCCTCTATGCTTCGTCCTACCTCCAATTGAGGATGTCATCGTTGCATCTTCTCCAGTTCCCTACATCCTCAAAATCGCAATTGGAAACGATGGTGGAGCATTCGCGTTGACTGTACCTCTTCTGGTACTGGCCTTTTTCTGTGGTGTTGGATGCACAACTGCCGCTTCCCGGTGCACCTGGGCCTTCGCTCGTGATGGAGCCATCCCCGGTTCTCGCTACTGGAAGCAAGTCAACACCAAATTAGATGTCCCGCTCAACGCAATGATGCTGAGCATGGTTGTTCAAATCATTCTCGGTGTTATCTATTTTGGTTCAGTTGCTGCCTTCAACGCCTTTAGCGGTGTCGGTGTCATTTTCCTGGTAAGTCACGTGCTTCAGCGGCTCTCACGGTTGGTATTTATCTAATCTGTTCCCAGACCATCAGTTATACCATGCCCATCCTAGTTTCACTTATTGGAGGACGAAAGTCTTTGAAACAAGGTCATTACGATTTTGGAATCTTCGGTGTCATCTGCAATGTTGTTGCTATCTGTAAGTGCAATCTTCTTGGCCTCCCATGAGCCAACATCAAGCAATTATTTCCAATGCCGGACTAACGACCACGTTTCTTCTGGTTAGGCTGGTGTCTCTTCATCACTCCACTTTTCAGTATGCCATCCTTCCTACCTACGACACCAGATACAATGAACTATGCTTCCGTGGTCTTCGTAGGTGGTGTGGCCATTTCAGGAGCGTGGTACCTCGCCTGGGGTCGCAAGAATTACAAGGGTCCTCCAGCCAAAGAGGAAGATATCGCAAGACGAAGGAGCTCTGTGATTTCGGCCCATTGATTCTGAAGGGTTTTGCCTGTTCCAGGTATCTCTATCGCTTGCTTTCTAGTATGGCGCGTGGTCCTGGGGTCGGAAAATGTCCGTGGCCTAATTCCCATGTATATGCTTATCTGTCATGTGAAGATATGGGCTTTTTGAGCTGGATACGAACCTCGAATGAACACTTGCTCGTACTTGCATGCGTATCGATTGATTGCTCTTGATAATCCTGTCTTACAGGATCAAACATACATATTCATAATGTTATAGTGCCTGGACTTACTCTCCGCCATGTACCCGTCTTTCTAAGGATTTTTCCGTCCACTAGCTTTCTAGCCCTTCGACGTCACCTTTGGAAGTTCTTCGAGTTTTGCATGTGGATTCCCTGTCGTTAGAAGATCAATCGACATGCTGAGCCAGAGGAGCAAATGTATTGGAATTAGGCATACTACTGCGTCACAATCAGCGACAGATCATCCGAGGAATCCCGTTGTAAGCAAGCATATTGCTTGGCCTTCTATGCGTAGTTCATCTTCGTATATGGATTTGCGTAATCATTGACGCCCCAGCTAATGCCATCTAGCCAACGGGGAACCCACGTGCATCAGATTTGAATCTCCCTCCGATAGAATGAGAACTCCCGCCATTCTTGATGGATACTGTGTTCGTCACCAAATGTAGACCAATTTCCTTAATCCATAAGAGCCGTCGATCGATGCGGACTCCTACTACGGACTCGTTCTGGATGTGTTCCCTGTGCCACAGATGGTATCTGGAGCCCGCCGTTGTCACTGCCAATCTGCGAGTGGTTCGCATTCAATCCCGACTTGGACTTGGATGTCGCTATCTCGCCATACGCACCGTCTGAGGAAGAAGACGACCTCGACGAGGAACCTGCAAGACTGCCCATCTCCAACTCCACCTCTTCATCAAAGTCACGCCTTCGATGACCGTTTGGCAGGGAGGACACGCCATATTTCCCCTCCCCGGCATCCCCACCCTCATGCTGATGCAATTTCATATTCACAAACATGGCATATAAGCCAAAATCATAGAGCAGACGGCACACGCCCGCGACAACGAACGCGATCCAGAACTTTTGGTTTGATGCCAACAGGCCCGTGACGGACGGGCCCATCATCGCGGCCAGCGTGCGCACCATACTGGTGATGCCCATGACGGCAGTGCGCTCCTCGGGCTTGACGACGGCGGCGATGAACGCCGAGCGCGGCGCCTGGTCCATGTTATTGAGGCCGGTGCGCACGAGCAGCAGTCCCGCCGTGAGCCACAGGGAGGGTGGGAGCGGGAAGAACAGCACGGCGGCGGACGACGGCACGTGCGTGAAGACCATGGTGTTGATGAGCCCGATCTTGCGCGCCAGCGGCCCCGCGAACGCCGCCCCGATCGCCCCCAGGAAGTAACTGACAGACGTGATGTCGCCAAGCGTGGACTTCGCTGGGTGGAACTTCGTGTCCATGTAGTAGTTCGTCAGGCTGTAGGGGACCATTCCGTCCGCGAGCGAGTCGATCACCAGGAGGAACCACAGCTTGTACATGATGCTGCGCGTTGTCGAGGAGATCTGCGTGAAATTCTTGGTGAGCCAGTGTTTGATGCGGCCTGCGAGGGTTGGTGGTTGGTGTGGTAGTGCTTCGAGTAATGGTGGTTCGAACGTCGCTGTTGCTGCTGTTGTTGGTGATGCGGACCCGGTGGTTCGACTGTTGTCTCGAGGTGGACTCCGTCGCTCGCTCATCTCCTGCACATCTTCGTCCTGGGGCACCTGGCTGTATGCCTCGTTGCTCGAACCTTTATCGGCGCCCAGTTCACACGCGCTCGTCAGTGGTAGGACCAGCAGTGCATTCACGACGCCCATCACCGTGTACACCCAAAACAGCGCGTGATACGTCTCCACTTCCGTCCACCCTCGTCCATCCTTCAGGTAGTGGATGATGCGTCCTGATGCCTCGCTCCCGGCGCTGGACCCCAGCGTCGAGGTCGTCACGTACCAAGCTAACGTATCAGCCCTGGTCGACGGGGTCGTCAACTGTGACAGCATTGATCTGCGATAGGCGAGTCAGTCAAGGACCAGCCAAAGATTTCAACTTACCTAGTGTTCGAGGAAAGGAAAATGGGGAGACATACTCCTCGATACTCCGAAAGGGACCGAAATCGCCCCCAGTGACGCTGATCACGCCCAGGATGGCAGCCATCAGCAAGATCCAGAAGTTTTCAAAGATGGCGAACACGATCCCGCTGAGGACCATGAGCACCGAGCCCGCCATCAGCATTTTTCGTCGGCCCACCCGGTCGGCGATCAGTGTCAGGAACGTCCCGAGAAAGACATCGCCCAACAGTGTCAGGGTCATGAAGATGCCGATTTGGTGGTCCGAGTATTTTAACGAGGAGAAGAAGATGGCTATTAGGTTTCTCGACATGAGTCAAAAGGATCATCCTTTGAAGCAGGGGGCAGGGGGAAGAGTGCCGATTCGAATGGATGTTTTCCACTTCTTCAGGTAACAAAAAAAAGAGTCTTGCTCAGCAACTTACCTAGGATTAATGAATTCGTCCCGTACGCAAACATTCGAAATGTCCGAGCCAGGATGATGAGGTAGGCATTTCGCCCGGTTGCCTGCAGCGAGTCGATGCCGAATTCATGGTAGAACCATTTCAGCGGTCGCGTGACCGTACTAGACATGGTCATTCGCAAGCGTAAGGCTATTGAGAAATGAGAAACAGCGTTTTCGTAGATTTACTTAGATGCCGACAACATTGACGATTAAAAAGTACAAGTGCTCGGAAGCGTAAGTTCTTAGGTTAGCTAGTATTGCTTGCGCAAGGGAGAATGGGAATTGGTTTTTTTTCTCTGTCTAACGGGAAATCACTGTATTGAGAGTGGTCGGGCATGATGCGATAGCACGGATGCTACCCCGACGTCCCATGAGGTCTTTTTGCAAAAGCAGTGACGATTTCTTGCAGATGGCGAGCGCTGAGAATCATGGGGATTCTGATGCGGCATCGGCGCCCAACAAATCACCCGCGGTTAGTAAAACCCATATCCGTGTGGTCGTTCTAGGCGGTGAGTGCCGCGTGGGAAGGGGACTATCGAGATCGGCTATCAAAGATGCATGGTGAAAGCTGCGATTCCGGGCCGCAGAGTCTTTTAACTACAAACGCTTAGACGTTTATTTGCCAGCCTTGTGGATTGCCGGCTATCGGCACGGCGTTCTTGGCCGCTGGTTCTTCTCCGTCGAATTTGATCTGAAGAGTCTGGGGATCTGGCGCCGACCAGTATCATGGGGAATTGCTGTATACCCAAGTAGTCCTACTAGATGGAGATCTGACGCTAATTCATCATGGCTAACTAGCATATCATGTCCATTCATCGCGCAACCTCCTGACCAGTCCGTCGATGCGCCACCCCGCCCGGCGAACTTGGTTCAAGCAGGACAGTATCTCATTTCTTTGACTCGGTATTGTCGTCGTTCGAGCTGCTAATGAGAATGCTGCAATGATGCATGGATCCCAGCACTTGGTATTCTCTGGGTCGCTGCTTATGCCAATCCCGCACACTCGGCGCGCATGGCTATCCGGCGACATGTGGGTTAGGTCTGCTCCGATCACGTTGAAACAGTCATAAAGGGAGAGATTCGGTGGCCAGCGATCGAGCAGTAGAAACATAGCAGCATGGTAACTCATGTTGACTGAAATTCCGACAGGAGTGGTAAAAAGGATAGTTGGGAATTGTGTCTCCCCATCATGATCGAATTCTGCCAGTGGTTGCATTTCCACTGGTCGATTGGTGTACCACTCCCACAACTTCGATAGCAGGGCTGTCCACTCGCCTGGTTGCGATTTCTCTCGTGCGATTGTTGAGCGTTCTCCCGGTGGTGTCTCCTTTTCATCGGAAGGTGGCAGACAAAGGGTCATCACGTCACCTAGAAGAGTGAGGCAGTGAAGACTGGTCGCCAGTATTTTACTGGAGTCGCCGTGTTCTATCATCGCATTGTCCGATGGCAGCAGAAGCTCACGAAAGAGATCTGAACTTATGGAAGGAGCGGTTTCGAACATAAGTGCATGCGCGATCTCTTTCCGTCATGGCTTTGGATTAGCCAGGTTCTCAAGGGGCAAGGGAGAGCAATAGGGAGAACGCCTTACCGAGCCTTGCCATAAGAGCGAATGAACCCTGCCATATTTGTCTATGACAAATATCGGCGAAATCATCCCTTCTAAGGTCTCTAGGGATCCGTCCTCCGTGAAATGTCCCGGCCCAGGTTTCCGGTACAGTTTCAACATATTGTTTCACTCTCAAGAGGACAAAATGCGTAACAATACCAAGAATAGATAATGGTGACTGCTTGACCGGTTCGATAGACACTGCCATCAAATACGAAGCTCCTGCTCCCCGAAGACCTGCTGGACTTACAGGCAGTCCGGAGGATGACGCCGAGAGCTGTAAAACAGCGTTCATCACACTGGGTGAATACATCGCGAATCTGGGCACCGCCATGCCGAAAGTTCTGCTTTGATCGTATACGTCAAGCTATTGCTCGTGTACAGGACGAAGTTAGTACTGTAGCCTCTCTTAAGGTATATGCTTGAATTTAGCTCACCCAGGGTGCGACATGGTGAATGTAGTGTCTCAAAAGCCGTAAGTCGTCTTGCACCAATAAACACTGCTCCGCTGGAGGTAGCCAGTGTTTGTTCAACGTCTCGCCAGGAATCTGTCGAGGCCCTGACAAGGTCAGCTCTCTCAATGCTCGCCAGGGCATAAATTGACTCACCGTCGTCCACACTTTGCGTGGCGGGGACCAAAGCCTCGCCGACATGCTCGGGAGCCAAGTGCTCATCCCGATGTTCAATAGGCGGTAATTCTACTTGCTGAGACACTGTATCCATCCCGGGTTGGGCGTTTTCCGTTTCATCTTGATGACCGCCATCCTGCTCACTCCCTAAGGAACCAGCAGCCTCTAGAGCGCCATCAACGCTGGGCTCGATAAAAAACTGAAGACAGACGCCGTCAGTGCCTTAGCATATCGGTACCATTAGACCACTAACTTGGAGTGAGGCATAGGTTGCATGTGTGGGCGCCGCAGCTCCCTTCAGACCAGATTCGAATGGCAGATATTTTGACTTATGCTGGAGAAAGGCTATCTGCCTGACGTAATTGCATTCAACCCTAGCATTGATGCAACGCTTGCACATTGGCTTTTGCTCATCACATTTACGGCGTTGTGTGCGACATCGTTCACAGCCGGCACGCGTTCGACGGTGTTGGGCTCGGGGAGGACGCTGTGGATAGTTTTGCTGAGGTTCAGCATCCTTACCCCTGCCTTCGGCCTGTCGCGCTACACTCATATCGACCTTACATGGCCGATGGATGGTTGTTGCTTAGGCTATGGGAGGGCTTTCAGAGAGTGCTGCATGATAATCTTGGGCAGTGAGAAAAGTGAAAGAGGAATATGGAACCGCTAGCGCGAAAACCAAACGACGCTTAGAAAGAAGTGCGGTCGTCTTGGTCCAATTCAAATGACGAAAAAGGAAATTGACCGTTGCAAAATAGGCAGGGATTCGGGCTCATACCAGCACGGCCGAGGCTGGGCAATAAAAGTGGTTTGTTAATTGCTAATCGCGATTTCGTAAAGGCATGGTCAATGCGGCTAGACTTGTCGTTTTCGAACATTCTTGAGTACCGAAGTGCAAATGCATCAATGCTTAAGAACTCGAGTCAACGGTTTTCATTTTCAATCATGGCAGATCAGTTCGTGAGCAGTCTATTGGAATTGCAATCTTCTTTACTCAAATGGCAGACTTACCTAAAACGATGAAGACGTGGGGCTACGATCGACGAGGAAAGCTGAATGAGGTACTCAGACTCAAACCCAATGTTCCTCTTCCTCCCGCTCCCAAGGCTGGAGAAGTCATGATAAGGGTATCATACGTGGCAGTCAACCCAGCGGATTATAAGTTGATGGAATTTTGGATACCGTTCAGATACCCTGCCACTCCCGGAATCGATTTTGTTGGGGAGATCGTCCAGGTCGGCCATGATCTTTCTGGCCCTTCAAGCAAGGTTCAGCTGGGAATGACCGTCGGTGGCTCAGTCCTGACGATGTCAATTTTTCGCGGCGCGGGTACGCTCGCCGAATATATCGTGCTTCCAGCCCACGCGGTTGTAGAAAAGCCCAGAGATCTCCCTGAATCTGTGGCCGCTGGGCTGTTAGGGGTCGCAGGACAAACAAGTGCAATGCTACTCAAAAGTACCAAGTTCTACCACGGGCACAGAGTCTTATTGAATGGGGCAAGTGGTGGTGTGGGCTGTGTCCTGATCCAAGTGTTTCGCGCGATGGGCGTTCATGTCACAGCCATCTGCTCTGCAAGAAATGAGGCTCTTGTTCGGAGGCTGGGAGCGGAAGAGGTTAGGTTTCTCACCTTCACTCAACGTACATTTCTGATTACAGTGTCTCCCTAGGTTATCGACTATACTGCTCATAGAGATCTGTATGCTTTTTTGATACAAAGGCGTGCTGAGCCTGGGAGTGATCCTTTCAACGCTATCATTGATTGTGTTGGTGACATGACACTCTATGATAGGTCTGCTGGCTACCTTGAAGTAGGTGGAGTATTCTGCACGATCGAAAATCCTTTTATGAAGAGCCTGATTCCAAGCTGGTGGCCGAGATTCCTTGGAGGTACTGGATGGAATTATAAGGGCGTAATGAACGACCCTTCCGGTGCCAATGCAGGGATTGCTTCGAATTGGGTTGAGAAAGGATGGATTAAAGAAATCCCAGTTGACTCAACATTCAGCATGGAAGATGCTTTGAAGGTATTCTCTCTCCTCCTTCTTCGTTTTAGTAAGAATTTCCTTGAGTTAACATGGATTTTAGGCTTTCGAGAAGCAAGCCACTGGCAGAGCAAGCGGCAAGATCTTTATAAAGGTCAAACAATAAGCTCATCCTTGCCGTTAGGACATTGGGAAGCTCTACCGTATTCCTTGAAAGCGAGCTCGCCAAACATCGCACATCACTGCATATGAGCAAGAGTGGGATTTTCCGGCCACCAAGCAGTCGTTTTGATTGTGCTAAGCTCGATTTCGTGGCTAATCGGAAATGATGGATGCCATGTAGTTCATCAAATGCAGCTTTGAGAGTATTAGGGAGGTAGGAGGAGCTAGCGGGAATAAATCTAGATCGATTTTATCAATAAGTATTTCATGTTGTAAGAAGGTGGCAATCCAGAACATAATCATTTAAGGATCTCACTGGGACCTCAAGTTGAAGAGTGATTAAGAACCTAGGCAGTACTGGGCTGCCAAAATAAAGGGGAGTGGACACTGCTGGCTGTCAGCTGGCTGGTTAAACCCTCAAGTCTTGTGCTTTAGCAGCGGTACCTACCTAGGTAACTAGACGGAGTAAATTCCGGTTAAAGCCTCCGGCTCAGACAGGACCCAGTGGCATCCTGGAGGTTTGACAATAGGTGCGACTGCTTGGTGCAACACTGAAAAGGTGTGGTGATGAAATTCCGGGCAAGCGTTTCGGGCAAGAGTATTCGTCTCATATGTTGATGAGGACCTGGAACCGCGGGGTCACCATCAGATCATCACCCGATGATGCTGAGCTTCGGCGCTATTTAGGGGAGCTCAGACATTGTATTATTAATGATAGTTATGAAAGTCCTTTAACTACCTAGGTACAGTAATCCCTCCAACTATCTAGTCCCACCGGATTCTTTGTACTCCCCTCCTCGTTACTGTAATCATCATTCAGCGACTCATTTGCGTCATCAAATCAAAGGTTCACCTAACCCTCGACACCTCATCTATTTGTGACTATGCAGAAAGCTGGCAGGCGTAAAAGACCCAGAGCCCTCCAGGCGTGTGAGGTATGCCGCATCCGGAAAAATCGATGTTCAGAGGACCAGCCATGCACTTACTGCGTTGGTGAGTATACCAGGGCCGGCTAGAATATCGAGTTGAAATCAAATCGCAGAGCATGATCTTGAATGCATTTATTCTCGGCAGATCCAGGATAAGAGAGCCAGAGTTGCAAGGCAAGCTTATGTAAACTCATCGGGCACCCAAATGCTGATTCTCAATAGGCCCCTCGATACCGTAGCCAGCCTCCAAGGTCAAGATCCTCATCTGCAGGTCAATTCAGAAAATAATGAGCGGCAAAAGCTGTCGACTGACCTCTCTGGAGCGGAGCAACTCACTCTGAGTCCATTGGTACCTGCATCTGAAGTGACGGACACACATCCTCACACCAGCAACTTGGAATTCTATGGTGCTTCCTCATCTGTATCATTTATACGCCAGATTGAATCTATGTCCGACAACCATGCATCAGGCCCAGTTGGGCCATGGCCATCAGAACGATCATTAACCTCTCTGGTACATAATCCTGAATTCAAGACACCGTTCACCACCCAACCAACCTCCCCAGGAGCAAACAGCAGCCCGCCAGCAGAGCGTTACTACTTCCGCATCGCTCAAAGATTTTTGGACGCGTATTTTACCAACATAGCTCATATACAGCCACTAATTGACGAGGAATCATTCATGAGTCGTTGCGAAAGTCTTTGGTTCGACCATCCCAAACACCCACCTTTGTCTTTTATTGCCCTTTACTACGCGACTTTAAGTTTAGGCTGCCTTGTCACCACATCTGAGGATTGGGACAAGCATGGTTGTCATCGATCCGTTTGGAGCCGGAAACTGCTTAGCGAATCTCTGAGCGCAATCAATAAGTTAGGCTCAGCTACAGATATTGAAATTGCCCAGTGTTATTATATGATAGTAAGTCTTGAAAACATCGACTGTATCCCTGAAGCTAATGATCATTTGCGTCCAGAGCAAAGTTTATCAACATGAGCTCAACCCCCATGGTAGGGACTTCTTGACCTTGTAAAGACCCCTAGATCACTAAGACATGATCTGTGAAGTTGCATACCTTTACTCTGGCCAGGCGGCTAGAACGGCGTTAGCAATTGGGATCAACAGGAAGCCGGTGTTACAATCAGATCTAGGTTCCCACGTTTCGAGCGTGGCGTCCAGGACCTGGTGGTGAGTTTTATCCATAGAATTATATGCGTCATGGCAGTATTCCCAGCTAATGATACCCAGGGCAATCTACTGTCAGGACATGTAAGTGTGCTTCGATCGAGGAACGCAACGCTTACAAAGCCTTAGACAAACGAGCTTTGCCTTGGGAAGACCAGACAGTCTAGGTCCCGACGAGTATCACAATCAGGTATTACCAGTCGTATTCGATTTAGATATTGCAAACACCGTTCTGGAGGGCTATGTGCTTCAAGTTGTTCCCTCAATGGTTGAGCTATCTCGAATAATGAGGAATGTCGGCCTCCGTCTCTATACCGACACATACACTGTGGAAGAACGACTTCGCCGAGTCCAAAACTTGGAAACCGATCTCCAAAACTGGCGACGAAATCTTCCTCTTCACTTTCAGTCAGCTGATCAGAGACCCACAGGATATTCATTGAAGTCTAAGAACTCTGCGAACTATGCCAAGAAGCAGACAGTTGTTCTTGACCTTCGTATGTTCTGATAGCGATGCTCCTTGTGATTACTAACTTTATTCATAGGTTATCTAAATCTCCGAATGATTACGCATGGTGTCTTTATGAGTGAGTCAGAGAACTTTCTCCCAGAACAAGAGGCACAAGTTCGAGAGTCAAGAGAAATATCCATCGAGTCTGCGTGTTGCGCGATTGACTTGATCTACGACACTTTCTCAAACTACAGTTTCTTTCAAACATGGTACGGACATTGCTGGCCAATCCTCCACACTCCTGCATATCAAGGTCACCTCTCATGTTGACTATTTTTGGTTCTTTGCAGGTTCTACAACTCGACCTACACACTATTCGCAGCGAGCATCTTGCTGACCGCTGTTTTCCGCAAATTCGCGACCTCAAGTCAGAACCTTGACATCATGTTCAATCACATTGATCGCGCCATCACCGTCCTTCAAGCCATGGAAGAATGCATGGTTGCAAGGAACGCCATTTGCATCATCAAGCGTGCTCTTGCCCGCGCAAAGGGCGTGGAGCAGCCAGTCTTGAAGCCTGAAAGTTCTAGTACCATACTGAAATCACAGAATATCTTTGGGGCCTCGGCATTGAACTCTGCAAGTCTGAGTAGCCCGATAAATTTTGATACTGTGCTTCCAGCCGTTGGAGACGAAGCTGACATGAGCGAGGGTGTTGAATATTGTTTTACATGGCTTGGTAACAATCCTAACCCTTTTGATGATTATCAGCAGGCCCTTTTCTGGTCAACCTGGGGTCAAGAAGTTGACTTGCTCGGAAAATAGTATGGATGGAAGTTTATCCGTCTCTTGCTCCTTATGAACAAAGAGTTCAAGACGAGTCAGCTATTTCAAAAATCTAGGACTATGGTAGTGAGCTATGACTTCAGGTTTGTCGATGCTAGACGGAACTCTTGCTAGAAACCAAAGGCAAAACGATCTCAGAAGGATAATCGGGCCCTGAATGGACCACATGATATCCACGATTAAGGTTTTTGGGAACTCGCTCCATTGCCGGAAATTCAGGCAATGTCGCTTCGTGACCCTTGATCTCTAGTCGAATAGACTCGCCTGCTTGAAAGAGCATCCCACCTGGCCAGATTGCAATCTCTAGGCATGCTACCTCGCCGGGGGGGATTTTCTCCTCAAGGTCGTGCGGGTGCCAGACATCTCCCGGAGCAATCAGGCGACACTGATCAGGCGACAGGTGTGGATCTGGCTCGATCTTTCGATGTGATGCCCGTAATCTACCACCAGGACCGACATACTTGAATACGTTGACATTTGGCACATCGGTGTCCGTAGTGCCCGGTGGAAAGCTCTCCAGGGGCATGTTGATGTGCAGCAAGGGCTTCCCATCTCGATCAAGCTTCCTCAGAATGACATATACGTCCATGTCATCATTCTCAGCGCAGGACATATACAATTTGACTCTTGAGAAGCCTATTAGCTCTGTGTACTCATGGAACTTGAGCGTAAAATGTGCGCCATCATCATCCCAGGAGTCCGCAAGATACCTGGTAATCGAAGACTTCTGAGGTCTATCATTTTGCAGAGTTCCATTCTCACAGTTGAGGACGAATGTATTGTGTTTGACATAGTCGGGCGGATAGGCAGATTCGGGTCGATTTACAACAGATGGACAATTGTAACCCAGTAGCGAGTGTCGAACTTTGGGCGTTGATTCCCAATCATTGTCTAACCCGCGCAGATATCTGTCAAAGAATTTCTGCAGGTCGTCTACTGCAAATTCTTGATACTGGTCATACCATTCTTGGCTATCGTGAATTCGCAACCTTTGATTGAATATCAGTATCGTTCAGTTTCAGACTTCGACGCAATCTTACCATTTGTCTTTGGAAGCTGAAAACAAAAATCCTCGAATCGAACCCTCGGTATGTAGACCTGAGGAAAAGCTTCCGAGGACATACATTGGAACATCAATCAGTTCTATCTTTGCACGCTTATCGTTCCAATACTCGTTAACGAGAGGATACTTGAGAAGCATTGCACCCGTGTCCTCCAGTCTATTCTTGCCTAGTTATCGAAATCTTAGTATCAATGCTGCTGGAAGCATCAGATAACCTACCGTGGTAACCACCAGACCGAAAGTCCCAAAAAGCGGAATTTGGTATGCCACCCCAGCCCATTTGATGACGGTAGTAGTCACTCAGTCCCTCCCAGGGTGCAATGGCCTTCAGATGAGGAGGTTTCTCTGCGGCAATGAACCTGGAAGGGTTGTAAGGTCAGAATGGCGATCATCACTATCAATGATGTTATCCCGATTCGAAGATAGACAAACCATTGAGCAACAGCTAGCCATGAGTTTCCTCCAAACCCAACGGCACCCGTGCACCAGCTGAGCGAGGCAATGTATTCAACAGCATCATATCCGTCACGACCCTCCTATATCACCTAAATTAGTTCGACAGTGCGAATGAAACAGAATTCAAGCTTCAATGAGCCCACCTGTGTACCAAGTACCGCGATATCCCCGTCGGAATCATATACTCCACGAGGATCGATATTGACAATTGCATATCCTCGAGGACACCATTCAGCAGGATCTGGGGCTTCCCACTTCTCCAGATCACTTGTCCTATTCCGAGGAATCCCAGCGCGAAACGGGATGGCATCGAGACCCTGGTGATCTAGACTGACCTTAGTAGATAAGTTGGAGAATTTGGGAAATCCGAACCATTTCCTTCTTTCCCGTATGGGCTCCACGCAATGATTGCGGGAACTGGCTCGTTACTAGAAGTCGAAGGTCGAAAGATGTCGGCCCACATCTTCAGTCCATCCCTAAGTGGGATGGCGCAATCCTTCTCAAAAATCAAATCTTCCGCCAATGGCCGTCGACCAGGGGCTTTGACCCATCCCTTGGGCAATACTTGAGTGCATATTCTGAAATCCTGCCAACGTGTACTAAAGTCACTGTTGGCTTTCTTGTATTCCACGTTGATATTACCAAAGCGATTCATGTCTTCGATTGGCTCTTCGTCTCGACACTTGATTGACAATGTTAACAGAAGTCACTACTATTCGATTTTCCTGAACCCTTTGAGTAACTTAAATATGGTAATCCCTGCAAGAGGGTGTCTTAGTACGCAATTTAATGATTATGCTCTCTTTGGCATTGGAAATCAAGAGGACCGACCCAAGCCACCCTTCTCCTATCTTGCATAGCCGGCGGACGTCCCGCCGGAAGGTCAACCTCCTTGGCATGGTCAGCCTTATCCCACTTCCCACTTCCCACCACTAAGTAGCTCTGATTCTTGTTTGTTGCCACTTTTCCTTCAACAACGAGACCTCTCTTCTCGATGGCTGATCGTGTGGCTTCAAATACGAGCGCCCATCAATATCAGTAGGGGCTCGTACCGTGGAGTCCGGGGATCTATCGGAACCCCCCATGGGGTACTCGAACGAACATGGGGTTAAATAGGGGATCGGAATCTATGAAGTTCAGGAGTCAATAGTCCTAAACGAATGGATATCTTAAGTTGATTTACACGACCTAAAACCCTTGATTCTTATACTGAAAAAAATCGAGTTCATCTCTCCCGTATTGGCGAATGACGCTCTCAAGTACCATACACCCTCATCCACGGCAAGACATTTCCCAAGAAGCCGCCAATCTACCTCAAATGGACGAGAAAGTACGAACATCGGAAGAACGGGTGGAAGTAGTCAAAGACCCTGGGTTGAACATCACATACGATGAAGTCGATGAAGAGCCATCACTTCATGTTCGCACCTACATTGCTCTGGGGGCTATGTTCATGCTGAACTTAGTCCAGCTTGTTGCTTTGCAAGGGCCACCAACCTTTGTATGGCAACGATACCTCACAAAAATTGTGACTGACTCAAGTTTGCCAGCTCAACTCGATTGGAGCTGATCTAAAAGCACCCCAGACTCAGATATGGATTCTAACCTCGCTCCCAATCGTCCAAGCCACCATCGGACCGATCATTTCTACTGCCTCAGATCTGTTTCAAGCACGCAAATCGATAATGGTCGGATCTTGCACCATAGCGGTCATCGGCTGCGCTATAGCACCTCGATCAAGTTCAGTATACCAAGTGATTGCCGCGCAGATACTGATTGGCTTCGGCTTTGCCTCTGTTCCACTTGCATATTGCGTACCCAGCGAGATAGTTCCGAACAAGTGGCGCCCAAGTAAGTGGAAGACTCCCCGCGTCGTCGAGTTTAGAATTAATTGCTGCAGTGACTCAAGCAGTAATGAATATTGCTGCCTGTCTAGGCGCAATGATAGGTCCTGTAATTCTGGGCGGCTTTTTTCAGGTCGACCGTGTCCGAGGTTGGCGAAATTTCTATGTGAGCGCTAGTCTGACGAATAACACTCCGAAATGTCTTCTTGTCTAACTTTCTCAGTGGGTACAAATGGGTTTATGGGCTGTCACTACTCTCGGAATTCTTGCTGGCTATCGTCCCCCAAAGAGACACACGAGATTAGATCATCTTACGATATGGCAGAAGGTTGGTCGGATCGATTTACTTGGCTGTGGTTTGCTTCTTCTAGGTCTTTCGGTCTTCCTAGCGGGCCTCAATCTCGGAGGTGGTCTCTACGCATGGTCAGACGTTCGAGTGCTGGCGACTGTGATCACTGGTGTCGTTGTTCTGGTTGGTTTCCTGCTATATGAATGGCGTGGCACGAAAACTGGCATCCTACACCATGAAATCTTCACGGGCACTGATGGAACTGGAAGAACAGCAGCAATTTCGATGTTTCTTATAGTCGTCGAAGCCATGATGGCAACTGCCTACTATCTCTTTTATCCAGTCCAGTAAGTATTCGCGCTGTAGACACCTGTAGACAATCTATGTGGTTCTTGTACTGACTCGAGTTCTCTCAATAGGACGACAGCCTTGTTCGATACCGAGCCCATGAAAGTAGTGGCTCGTCAAGAAGCGTTTTGGGTCGGATGTATCATAGGCAGCGTCCTATTCGGATACTGGAGTACCAAGTACAAGACAATCCGAGCTCCATTAGCAGGGGGTTTCTTTATCTTCAGCTGTGCGATGGTCGGGTTCTCCACCATCCAACCAGGACACTCGGTAAACGCCATTGCTTTCGCGACTATGTCGGGCTTCGGATTCGGTGTCGTTCTCATACTTGTCGTTGCTGGAGTACAGCTTTGTACGCCTCATCATCTCATTGCGACCTCGACAGCCGTTGTGACCACGTCTCGAGCTGCTGCCGGCGCAATAGCGCTCGCCATGTACGCTGCCGTGTTTCGTACTCGCATTGAAGAAAAGCTTCCTGCTTATATTGCTGAAGCTGCCGTCGCGAATGGCCTCTCGCCAGATTCCGTCCCCACCTTTGTTGGGGCCTTTCTTAGCAACGACACCGTTGTCCTCAGTAACACCACAGGAGTGACGACAGCCCTAATAGCGGCTAGTGTTGTCGCCACCAAGCAAGCATACGCCGATTCACTGAGGATCGTTTTCATCATGGCAATTCCATTCGGTGTCACCGCCCTGGCGGCCTGTTACTTCCTGGCCGACATCAATAAGCTGATGAATTATGGGGTTGATGCCCCTGTGGAAACTCTTCACGCCAAACATCATCAAGACGTTGAAGATCACAGAGAGTGAGGAAGGCTAGATGAAGACAACCGGAGCCTACATCAATATGTTGAGAATGTTCTGATAAACTGAATTGTGTGACTTGAGAACGAGTTCAATGGTTATTACGCCTAAGGGAGCTAACCTGGTGGCTTCGAGATGAACGAAACTGACGACGAAAGTAGGAAATAAAGGTTGTAAAGAATTGGATCTTGTCCACGAGCTCCTTAATCTTTCTGTATAAATGCATACACTTAAGTTTTGGCTATTTGGGGATTAGAGGCTGATCTCACGGCGACATTCGAAGTCTCACGCAGGGCGTACCGCGGAAGTACAATCGCGGCCTCTACCGTGTTGTGTTCAGCACCCTCGCGGACACTTTTCGAAGATGTAATCGCTCTCAGATGCATCCAGCTAAGGCTCTCAAATCGCTATAGTGGACATTTCGCTCCTTATGCACTTGGTAGATATTTCTTAGATTGTCAAAAGATCACTTCTGTAGTTACTGCTACTACTACGAGCACGAGAGGTTGGGCATCTGATATTACTGTCAACGCTCTCCTTTGGCCCGTGATGCCTCGTCTGAGTCGCTGCTGCTTCATTGGCTGCACCGGCCACACACCCCGTCCTCTGGGATCGGCCACCCTTATTTGATTAGCAGACTGTCAATATATGTATCCTTCAAATTGTTTCCATTGGCTTTTTTTTCGCGGCTGGACCATCCCGGACGATATTTGAGATCATGAATGGTGGATGCGGGATATCCGGCGGAGATCAGCAACGGCTCAGGTCGGTAGAGAACAGGAATTCTTGCTTAGAAACAGGCTTGTGCAGGAATAGCTATGCGAATATTACCAAAGCTCTAGCGAGAGGAGATCAAGTACTATTGGAAGATTTTGAGCTAATCCCATGGAAAATGAACTGCCTCCATGTTGCTTCAAAAATTTATCCTGCACCAAAACATCCCAGTAGGCTTTCATTCTAGATATCTCGAAGATCAAAGCAAGACCATTAGGTGAGCCTGGTCAGAGTAGCAATGGCGATGGAAAAACCGACCGTCGTCCTCATTCCCGGCTCATTTTGTTCTGCAGCGTTGCTTTGGGACGCAGTTATCGACGACCTCCACGATGCTGGATACGAAGCGACAGCCATTGAATTGAGGACCGTTAGTCCTCCGAGCACGTCTCCCCCTAGGACTATGACTGATGACGCTGCACATATTCATGGAGTTATTGAAGCACTTGCCAATGAGGGGAGGGAAATATTGATTGTTATGAGTTCTTACGGTGGCATACCTGGAACCCAAGCGACCCAAGATATGACGCTATCCCAGCGGCAGAGCGATGGCAAGACTGGAGGAGTTATGGGTCTGGTATATGTTTCAGCACTCCTGATAAATGAAGGCGAGAGCTCTGAAGATAGCTTTGCGCCGTTTGTGACACCCCAGGCGTCTCACAGCTTTTTCAAGGTTTCCGTAAGCATCTCACGATCAAAATCCTATATTTGGCATGAAGAAAGCTTCTGATGAAGTATAGGGCGAATACCTTCACCTGGACCCCGTCGGCAGTGCGGCCGTCATCTTCTCGGGCTTACCAAAACCTGTCGGAGAATCATTGACACGCAAGATGCCTGGCCATGCGGCAGGGTCGTTCCGCGAGCCAATGACTAGCACAAGTCACTATGATATACCGGTCACCTATATCAAATGTACAGACGACAGGATCGTTCTTCCGGACCACCAGCAAAAGATGATTGACGACTTTAAATTGGTCAGCCATAGCACTGTCAAGGTGATCGAAGTCGATTGTGGGCACTGCCCAATGGTGGAACGCCCAAAGGAGACCACACAAGCAATCATTCAGGCCGCGAGAAGTAATGCGTGACGAATATGCCATCCGATGGAGCTTCAAGAAGAGCTTGCAAGTGCTATGTTTGGCTTGATATCGAGTTGATCCAGCGTCAATCTAGAATTCTCCAAGTAACCAATATGGATGTGTAACGTTGAGGACTTCTATGGTGGAAATCTTCAGGCATTAGTACAGTTGAAATGCTCCACCGCGGATCTGTGTCAGCAGATTTCCTGCTATGCGAATTTTCTGGCCTAAGCCGCCAAAGCCTATGGGACAGATAGCTATGATGTTTGGATTTCAGGACTCGTACAGCTCCTGTTCGATATCGCATTCGTGGACATTGAGTTTTAGGCTTGCACCATAGTCTTGACCCTTTTCCAGATGAAACTGCTGGATAGACATTGGAAATAGTATTTCGTAATATGGCAGCCATAAAATCATTGTTGAGTAAGTGTTCGAGACTCACTCCTTTTATTCAATTTTTCTTTTCAGAGTGCAATACCACAGATTATGCCCATCATGGAATGAGATAGTTGATTCAGATGGAATCAGTCTAAGTAACTCCAGAAAACGGACGCTTCATGAGTATTAAGTACTTTCTGGACTTCTAACTATTGAAAACACCTCTGCCTAGGTGAAGTCAAAGGGACCTCGAATAGATACTTAGGTACCCACTTAAGTATGCCTAGCAGGTGAATGTTTAGGGCTCCAAGGAAGATTCGGAATCTCGGGTGTCACATGACGCAGCGCCAAGGCATTTTAACATCAGACCACGGCAGCTTGAAGTTCTAACGCTCCGGAGAGTTTCTCTTCTTGGAGGACAATGACACTTGAATGACTCGCGTTACACGGAGTGCTCAGGCGAATCACTTACTAAATATTCCATGGTTACCCTTGTGATATTTAGGACAGATGAACGCGGATCCCGGACTCTACATGTGAAGAGTCCTGCAACATGAGTGCCTCGGGTGATCATGCGTACTTCCCTGTTCGAAGGATCGCTCAAGCATGCAGTTCATGCAGGTAAATCGCATGCCTCAGCATTTAATTATGATCATTAATGATGTTTAGGCGCAAGAAGGCTCGGTGCACAGGAGACCGACCGACTTGTGGACATTGTCGCCGGTTGAAGATAGGTCGGCCCTGACATTTAACGAGTTTTTTGCTATCGCGGGCTAACCCGAACAGAATGCGTTTATCCTGGAAAATCGTTTTCTCAACCAAGGACTCTCGAGAAGAATGTCGATGATTCCTCCCAGATAGGCGAGGCTGCGATCGTGGGTGTTCAACCAGTATTCTAGTCTTCCCGGTTTCCAACTGAATAAGTAGGATCAACTCTCGAACAGGTTGTCGGCGATCGAAGATACTCTGCAAGGCTTTGGCTCTCAGCTAGAAAGGTGTGTGAACCATCAAACCACTCAGATTTGTATGGCACTAAAGAAAAAGCATTTCACGATTATTGAGACATTCCCTCGTTGGCACGGAGCCCAAAGACCATGCCTCTGAGCTTCTCAGTGAACCTGCTATGGAGAAACCGCAGACAACTACATGTTCTCAATCACTTGACTTAACATACGATACTGGAACACACACTGTCATGCCAGGGGAAAGCTTGGCATCAAAAGAGGTCCTTCTTGCTCTTGTTGATGCGTTTTTCACGTATTGCCATAACCAACCATACTCTTTCTTTCATGAAGGCAACTTTCGCAGAGGTTTATCACAGGGTTCGCTTCCAGAGCATTTGCTCTTAGCTGTTCTTGCGAGTGCTGTCAGGTTTTCCAAGCACACATATTTCAATGGTAGGTGGTACGAAGCTGCAGTGGGCTATGCCAATCGATCTTGGAAGTCGGTGGTGTCGAGCTGCATTTCTGTCTCTAGAACAGCCGATGTATCAATTGTCCAAACAATTGCACTCCTGGCGCTTTTTGACTTTACCGGTAGGGTCGAAATTAACCCACATATTGGTAGTTGACCAATTGCTAACCGAAACATTGCAGCTGGCCAATCTCGTCACGGATCTGCCTGGATCAAGATTGGGATAGCCGTGCGAATTGCGCAGGACATCGGCTTGATGTTAGACGCCGCGCCTCACCTTCCATATGCCGAGCAAGAAGAACGACGGAGGGTCTTTTGGTCCGTTTATTTACTTGACCGTCTTGTCTCATGTGGTCGCGGCAGGCCTCCAGCAATTGTCGATGCGTCTTGTCACCTGCAACTCCCTTGTGATGATCTCACCTGGAAAACCGGTGCTTGGAAGAAGACACCAACATTGGATGAACTATCGAATCGAACCTTGTTACATGTTGAGCGTCAAGGCCCTTTTGCCCATGTCATCGTCATGTCCTATGCTGTTGGACGAGTAGCACAGTATATGCTACAGGAATTCAACATAAGGAGTCGCTATCCGCCTTGGGACCCAAATTCTGATTTCGCAGCACTCGAGCTCGAACTCATGCACCTGGAGACTCAGTTGGAGACAACTAAATCAGTTCACGACATGATCACACCCCATATCAGCTCAGTGGGACTTGTTGATCATCAAAGCGTCGGCCCCGTTATTTTCTCACGCGCATTGTTTCACCTGTGCTATTGTATGCTCCACCATCCTTTCCTTTTGAGAGAACGACTTGAGACGAGTCAGTTGACTGCGCCTGCCAACTTTCTTGCACGTGCTTTCGAGACTGGCTGGCAGCATGCTCAGTACATGATTGAACTTATTCGCCATGCTCGACGTTTAGGCTGTGTGTTCCAGTCTTCTTTTAGTGGGTACTGCATGATAGTAGCAGGGTCAATCGCTGCCTTGAATGTCCATAACACTGTAACAGCTACAAGGGCTACAGCTGAAGCACTGGTTTATGAGTCAATTGCCTATCTTGAAGACGTGGGACAATATTGGCCCAATGTTTCCACGATGGTAAGCCGCACCCCGTGAGCACCCTTAATCTACTCGAGGATATCTCGCTCACCTATTACTGTAAACTAGGCCCAATTGCTCCGACACATCGCTGAAAATGCTCATCTCTTCAGACAGCTATCATGCGACCAGCCTCAGATCCAACCATTGTCACAAGCTACTTCCGAGACAATGTGGTCACTTGTTGACTACAGCACAATGTCAAACGATGCACCCACTGGTTTGATGGAGAACCAATCACATGAGACAAATCTGTGGTTCGATTCTTGGTTCGGGATGTTCGGTAACATCGAAACCGAGCACGATTTCGGCGTCCCTCGGATCGATGTGAACCCTTCGAGCTCTGTTAGTTGATGAACAATTCTCGATATTGTAGGGTCTGGAGCTTTTCGGGCATGAATCTCGTCTTAGCGGATATCAGGACCTCTACTCGTCCACAGAACTTTGGTGTCATGATAACACTACATCCTGGCCATCTCAAAACAACTGCTATGAGAAGACCTCTGTCGGATATCGCAAATGACACAACTTCAGATTGTAGAGATTTCTTGTGGAGTCGGCTGGAACGAAGGAGTCAGGCCGCTAAACAGGGAGTGCTGGCTTACCTCTATCCTGGATGGCTTGCCTTGCCAATCGAGATGGTGGTATCCAGAGTTTACTAGTGATCTAATTCCTACCTAAGAAGCTTCCAGGCTCGAGAACTCGGCAGTCAGGCAGCCTTGATTGCAGAACTCATTTAGGCATTTTCGCATGCGCCAATCAGCCGACTCGCGCGCCGCTATCGGCCCGAAATACAGCTTCATGTCGGTTCTACGCGCATCTGGTTTCTTTATCATTCTCAGAGTAACGTGGTGTCTGCTGCCGGTAATGCTAAACAACGAGACCGAGGCGAACTAGCTTGGATATGATTCGGGGAAAGAATCCTGGGGTATCAGGGGCGGGGTTTAGCGTCATCTCCCCACAGTTTAGGCATCTCGTTGATTCTGTCAAGCTCGGCTACGGAATTACGGGGCTCATTAGCCGCTGGGATATGGGTATACACAGGTTTGTATAGCCGGAAATGGGTATACGTGACAGCTTTAAAGAACCAGATTGCTGGCGATCGAAACTAGATATGACGATTCACGAAAGAGGTAGAGATTGCGCAAAACCTGGACATTTGCACCATGGCGACCACCGAGAAACCACAAGACATTCAGGCGGAGACCCGCACTGACGAGATAAACGACCTCGAGAAACATGTCGTTGTGGACACTGTTCACAAGGATGAGGCAATGAAAGTTCTTGCAAATTATTCCGGAGACGAATCATGGACTGAGGAGGAAGAGAAACTCCTAAGACGAAAAATCGACAGGAGATTACTGCCTATTATGTGCATAACGTATGGTGAGTACCCCGTGTATTTGATGCTACTGATAGCATCTTCCACCTTATAAAACCATACTATTTACTAATCCTCGGCTCTAGCAATTCAGTATTACGACAAAGGGATGATTTCCCAGGCCTCGATCTTCGGCCTGCGAACTGATCTAAAACTTACCACCAGCAATCGCTATTCTATGTCTTCTTCGATTTTTTTCTTGGGGTTTGTGGCAGGAGCCTATCCTGCATCTCAACTCGCACAGAGATACCCTATAGAACGGGTCGCCTCCGGCCTCGTCTTCCTGTGGGGTGTGTGCTTTATTCTAACAGCCGCCTGCTTTACCTGGCAGGCTTTCTATACTCAACGATTTTTTCTCGGCTTCCTTGAAGCGGGAATCAGTCCAATATTTATGCTTATGATCGGCCAGTTCTACAAGAAGGACGAACAGGCTCTTATGATGGGAGTCTGGTATTCGGCTTCAGGCTTCGTTACAGTCTTCTCACCCCTAATTAACTATGGACTGGGTCATATCAATGGTAGTCTATCACCATGGCGATATATGTTCATTGTTGGTGGCGTCGTTACCATCCTCTGGACTCTGGTGGTCTATTTCTTCATGCCGCCGGACCCGATTCGCGCCCGAGGGTTTACTGAGCGTGAAAGATATATTGCAGTGGCTCGCTTGAGGACCAACAACGCAGGAGTTCGAAATACGCATTTCAAGATCCAACATGTTAAGGAGCTATTCATCGATCCCAATTTCTGGTTGATTTTCTCAATGGCATTCCTGAGTATGTTTGCGGCTGGCCCGGTGAACGCCTTTGTTCCAATTATCATAGCAGGCTTGGGGTTTAATACACTCAATACACTCCTTCTGATCATGCCTGCGGGAGCAGCTGCAGGCATCATGATTCTAGGAGCGACTTGGACTGCGTATAAAGTCCCTCGGGTACGAATATGGATCATCTTTGCCAGCGAAATTGTTACGATCATCTCCTGCATACTCTTATGGCGTTTGCCCCGCAGCGCAACTGGTGGGCTTCTATATGCTGTTTACACTTTGGCTGGATTTACTGCTGGGTGGGGTATAATCTTAGGTTTGTCGATTGCGAACACTGCTGGATACACTAAACGCATGGTCATCTCTTCGGCAGTTTACGTTGGATATTGTTTAGGTGAGTAGATATCGGACTCTTCGAATTGGCTTGATCGGATCGCAGACTGAATTAAGCTAACATCTCACAAGGGCAATTTGTCGGGCCTCTGTTGTTCAAACCTGAAGATGCACCAATTTATGGCCCAGGCTTCAAAGTAGTGCTCATTACATCAGCAATCACAGCTGGCCTAGCTGTTTTCTACCGCTATCTTAATGTCTGGGAGAACAGAAGACGAGATAAAGCAGGGACTTTGGAAGCATTTGAGCATGCTTACGAGGATGACGTGACTGATCGAAAGGTATGTTCCTGCACATCATGCTTCTTGAACAAACCGAGTGCTTCCCCTGCTGACTCGTGGTTTCTTTTTTAGAATCCCCAATTTCGATACGTCTATTAAGGGCCGGTCTACCTCTAAAGAATGTGCTAAGTTACTTCTGTCTCTTAACCTAGCTTCTCGCATTAGCTATCACCAGGTGATCTGGTCAGTTTTGTGTGATAGATAGTCTCATTTAGCTACCGATGACCTCAATCAGCACACATGCAGCTGGTATTCGAGCATACGGGGAGATCACATACATACCTGAGTAGTAACACAAATATTTTAAAACAAAGATCCAGCCTTACTTAATATAATATGTCTCACACAATGATACAAGGATCTATTCGCGGAAAGCGAGATTAACAGGCACGCTGCTCGCGAGATACAGACCGTGAGCTGATCTTAATCTGAGCAATTCTTCAATGGCTCGAGAAAAATGGACCACTTTTCGCTAGACTGCCGACTTAGATATGGGTATCTCTCCAGTGGCTTGCATTAAACATTCCTTCAGCTGTAAGCCCAGTGCCCTGCCGGGAGAGAAATCAGGTCCCGGCGACGGCTATACGAAACCTAGTGCTCGGCTGAGAAACTTTGAAGGCCAGAAACAAACTGTGCGGGGTTAGTCACCAAACGTGAAATGGTCCAGCCGAGGTGTCTCCAGATGTACCCGACATGATGGAAATCAATATCCATTAAAGAGTAAATGGTACTGGTGAATTATAATTTTATGTCCGCTTCATTTCGTGTCAGCATCTCGGCCAACTCACGTGCGCCAAAAAAGAAGTTCCTCCCGCAAAATGCTCCCAACAAACCCCATTCCACGATCAGCGTATGTGCTCGGTGTAGGTATGACCAAGTTCATCAAGCCTAGGGGCAAGGTAGATTATCCGGAGCTAGGATACGAGGCCGGTGTCAAAGCGCTTCTCGACGCGCAGATAACCTACGCCGATGTCAATGCAGGAGTCGCCTGTTATGTGTATGGAGACTCTACGTCTGGTCAGCGAGTCTTCTATCAGCTCGGTATGACTGGAATACCCATTTGGAACGTGAACAATAATTGTTCGACCGGGTCTTCCGGTATTGTGTTAGCCAGAGGTATGGTCGGTGCCGACTGGTTTGCGGGAGGCAAAATGGACTGTGTCATGGTCATTGGGTTCGAGAAGATGTTTCCCGGTTCCCTCAAGAACTTTTGGACCGATCGAGCTGGCCCCACAGCTTTGCCTCGAAAGATGATGGAACAACGAAAAGGAAAGCGTAATGCACCACCAGCAGCGCTCCAATTCGGAGATGCTGGAAGGGAGTATGCTGATAAGTATGTTTAATACCTTTCGCCACTGAACTCTGTGACTGAAAATCTGAACAGGTACGGGGCTCTTCCTTCAGATTTTGCCGAGATTGCTCGCATCAACCACGAGCATTCGTCAAGAAACCCTTACTCTCAATTCCAAGATGTCTATACTCTTGACCAGATTCAGTCATCTCCTCAAATTCATGATCTTCTGACCAAGCTCCAATGCTGCCCGACGTCCGATGGAGCAGCGGCCGCCATTATTGTCTCGCAAGCATTTCTTGATGCACGTCCGCATCTGAAGGATCAGGCTATCCTGATCGCTGGGCAATCTATGGCTACCGACACAGCTAGCTTATTTTCTGGCAGTGCCATGGATCAAGTAGGATATCAGATGTCGAAGATCGCAGCTGAGAATGCTTTCAGAGAGGCAGGGGTAACACCAGCAGACTGCAAAGTCTGCGAGCTCCACGACTGCTTCTCGGCCAACGAAATGATTACGATTGATAGCCTGGGACTATGTGAACCTGGACAAGCTCATGAGATGGTTCGGAAGGGTGATATCACTTATGGAGGGAAAATGGTCATCAATCCCTCTGGGGGGCTCATCTCGAAAGGCCATCCTCTCGGCGCAACGGGTTTGGCACAGTGTGCCGAATTGACATGGCAGCTTAGGGGCTGGGCAAACAACAGACTTGTGAAGTCGGAATACGCGCTGCAGCACAATCTAGGACTTGGAGGTGCTGCGGTCGTGACGATTTACAAGCGAGCTGATGGCAAAAAGAACGAGCCCTTGAGTGATGCTGTGATCGGTGAGAAGAATGGCTTAGGCTATAATCCTGCAGTTGTAGCAAAAGTCTTTACCAAGGAAGAAGCCAACAGAGTTAGGGCTTTCGCTACGGACTACGCTCTTGGCGACACAGAACAAAAGTTAAGGGCGAGAATATGAGCTTATTTTATTAGTTAGTGGGCACCCACTGAGCTATCTCCCTAGGTATCTTTTACCTGAACGATGGAGTAAACCTTGTCTTCACCACCGCATACTCCTTACTTTTTTGCCTCTCCATTTCCTATGCCACTCGGCTTAAGCCACAAAACCCTCATTCTCCTGCTAGGTGTATCTGCTTGCGTGGCGACTTCGGTGTCTAAGCCGATGCTCCAGTAATGTCTGTGACTAGTTATTCTCGGCCTCTATGTTGAAGGATGAGGGGAGACCGAGGTGGCCGAATCATGCATAGCCGTCGACCTCGGGGCTTCCAAGCATAGGTAACCAAACCATAGGGCAGCCCGAATCACCCGCAGTATGGCTACCATGTCAATGTCATGCTTATTCCTTAAGTCTGCGCCTGATTCCAACATGGGTTCTTTCTCAAGGCATACACCTACTACCACTAAGCGGGCAGTTTTGTGGAAACTTTGAAAAGCCTCCGTAACCAAAAAAGAAATGTCACAGTTACGCTATGACGGACAAGTTGCGGTTGTTACTGGGGCAGGAGGTGGTCTCGGAAAGGCATATTCCATATTTCTTGCCTCCCGCGGTGCAAAAGTTGTTGTCAACGATCTTGGAGGTTCAGGCCATGGTGAGGGCAAAGCAAGCACCGTACGTTCTGCAGACTTTTTGGGATATCGATAGGTCTGACATTTTCTTCATAGCTTGCGGATCAGGTCGTGGCTCAGATTGTGTCATCTGGAGGCCAGGCAGTCGCAGACTACAACAATGTTGTTGACGGCGCCAACATTATTCAGACTGCCATCAAGACTTATGGACGCATTGATATTCTCATCAATAATGCCGGCATCCTTCGGGATATCAGTTTCAAGAATATGACTGACCACGATTGGGACCTGATCATGGCGGTTCATATTTCAGGATCTTGGAAGTGTGCTCGCGCCGCCTGGCCATACTTCAGAAAACAAGGGTATGGAAGGATAGTTAATACTTCATCAGGCGCAGGGTTATTTGGCAATTTCGGACAGACAAATTATTCCGGTTCGTTAGAATCAACATCTACAAGAAGCTGGCTGATTTTTTGATAAAGCTGCAAAGCTCGGACTCGTTGCTTTCACCAAAACCCTGGCACTTGAAGGCAGAAAATACAACATCCTTGCAAATGTTATCGCACCTATGGGTAAGTTGAAGCACCTTTTTGATTTGTTGATCGGCAGATTTGACTCACTTTGGCAGCTGGAAGTCGCCTAACCGCGACAGTGTGGACGAAGGAGATGCTTCAATTGCTCGACCCGTCTTACGTGATGCCATTAGTTGCGATCTTGGTGGACAAAAATTGTCGGGAAACTGGATCCATCTTCGAAGTAGGCGGTGGCCACATGGCAAAATATAAGTGGGAACGCTCGCGCGGTGCGATATTCGCCCGTGATGACAACTTCACAGCGGGTTCATTGTTACGAAGATGGGACGAGGTGACCGATTTTCGACGACCTCAACATCCTGAAGGTCCTATGGACCTCAAGGAAGTTCAGGAGAGGCTTCTCCATGCTCCTCCAAATCCAAAGACGCCGAATCTTGACTTCACTGGCAAAGTCGTCCTCGTCACAGGAGGAGGTGCAGGGTAACTCGAGTTTCCACCCACATACTCTTTCACTCCGCTGATCAGAATATATAGACTTGGTCGAAGTTATTGCTTAGCATTTGCAAAACTTGGCGCTCTAGTAGCCGTCAATGATGTTGTCAACGCGCAGAAAGTGGCGGAAGACATCGAATCCCAGGGAGGCAAAGCTATTCCAATTACCGCATCAGCGGAAGAGGGTTCGCTTATTGTGAAAGAGACTGTCAATGCTTTCGGACGTATCGACATTGTCATTAATAATGCGGGTATATTGCGAGACAAAGCTTTCATCAATATGGATGACAAGTCCTGGGACGACGTTATGAAGATCCATCTACGGGCAACATACAAGGTCACGCACGCTGCATGGCCGCTGTTTCAAAAACAAAAATTTGGTGTGAAAACGTTCTACTTCAATCGGAAAGTGCCCCGATTTCTGACACTTGGATCTAGGTCGAGTAGTCAATACCACATCTACAACTGGTATCTACGGAAATTTCGGGCAAACAAATTACGCAACAGCCGTAAGTATTCCTTCAGCCTACAATGTCGGGGAATTGTCGCTCACCCATGCTAGAAAGCTGGCATTCTCGGGTTCTCCTTGGCTTTGGCCAGGGAGGGTAAAAGCAAAAACATCTATGTCAACACTATCGCTCCGTCCGCATACACAGCAATGGCTCAATCGGTTATGCCAGTAGAACTTGCTGAGGTCGTCAAACCTGACGATGTGGTTCCACTTGTTCTCCTGCTCTGCAGCGATAAGCTGTCAAATCCGACTGGCAATTTATATGAGGTTGGAGGTGGCAAAGTATCTCAGACGCGTTGGATCAGAAGTGGAGGCTACACCTTTCCGACAGATGGAGTTCTCACTCCTGAGCAGGTACTTCAGAATTGGGAGCTTGTAACGAATTTTGACGACAGAGCCGATCACCCTTGGACTCCTGAAGAAGGAGCAGCGAAGATAATGAAAACTATCGAAAATCAAGCATCCAAGGTATGGTCTTGTTGTCGATGCAAGATCACCTCAATTCTATGCTAACGGACTTCCAGGCTCCAAGTAAATCGAATGCCTCATATCTGGATGGCATCAGTACTGTAATAGCTGGTCCACCATGGAAATCACAATTCATTTACACAAACAGGGATGTTTCCCTCTACAATATTGGGGTTGGGGCTAAACACAATCAATTGCCCTTGGTTTAGTAAGTGTTAACTCTTTGGACTATCTCCGATCATGACCTGCTCACACTTATCTCTGTGATAGTGAAAATGATCCTAATTTCAGAGTACTTCCAACCTTTGGATCGACTTTGAATTATTTCACAAACACGCAAGAACTTTTTAAGACTCTGATACCCAGATTTGATCCAAGCATGATGTTGCATGGTGAAGAATATTTAGAGATCCTCCAGTTCCCAATACCAACCTCTGCTACGCTCGACTTTGAGAACAGGGTACTTGAAGTAATTGATAAGGGATCTGCAGCGGTGGTGAGGACGAGCATTACAAGCATCGATAGGGCAACGAAACGAAAGGTCTTCTACAGTGAAGTCACCACTTTTATACGTGGAAGCGGAGGTTTTGATGGTGAGAGGAACGGGAATGATAGAGGAGCAGCCACTGCTGCTAACAGACCACCCCCAAGAGAGCCAGATCACGTCACAGAGGAAAGAATATCATTGGACCAAGCCATTATCTACCGCCTGAGTGGTGACTACAAGTATGTTGGCTCTCTCTTTCATTTATTCGGCAATCAGTACCATCAGGATGAGGGAAGTGAGTGTACTAATACCTGATAGCCCACTGCATGTCGATCCCGGATTTGCCGCGAAGGGCGGATTTTCCAAACCAATCCTCCATGGTTTGTGCACATATGGAATGGCAGGAAGAGCTGTGTTTGAACGGTAAGCGGCAACCCCCTCACTCTTTCCATACGATTTGTACGAAGACATGTGAACTAAGTGACAAAATTTCCTCGGATAGCTACGGCCAATTCAAGTCTATCAAAGTGCGCTTCACGGGCACAGTCCTTCCAGGCCAAACATTAAGAACAGAGATGTGGAAGGAGAAGAACAAGATTATCTTCCAGACAATCATCAAGGAGACTGGAAAGCCAGCACTTGCGGCTGCTGCTGTGGAGCTGATGGACTCGAACGCGATGTCTAAGCTCTAGGCCCGCAGTGGCATAAGACGCGGCCGTTGAGGTTTCATAAATCATACCCTAATATCTTCCAGCTATGGAGCAGTGCACTAGCTAGCAGCCCATACTCATAACAGATTGACTCAGAGGGCAGGAAGGTTGATTACGACTCCTATGACAAACGTCATTCCAAATCATATTCCGTAGGGACGACAAATTCTTTCGCGAGAAGTTAGATCTATCAATTGGTGACTTTAAACCCTGTGGTCCTTTCCCAGTGATATTCGGCCTTGTGCTGCAAGCACCAGATTCTCCGCAAAGGCTGCGCAGTGTGCGGGGGATTCGAGTCCAACAGAAAATGAACTTTGAACCATGGGTCGGGCAGATCGTAGTTTTCACTGTCCAAAGCATTTTGTTGCCACTGAATAGATCAAGGTGTCGGCAAGAAGATGTTGAGATATATTTCACGCAAGGGAAAACTCGCTGCATAGAGCGGCATGACTTGGAATATTCTCTGCTAGCTTTAAAATACTCGGCATTTACAAAAGGACTACCGATGATTGATGGAACCCCGCCCCGGTTATACAACCTTTCGCTCGTCCGACTGCATGCGGACCCCGAATGCAGCGACACAAGGTTAACTGGCGATGCCTAATGACCGAGGTCAAGCAATCAGAAAATCATTTATAAATCATTCAATCTGTTAGTGGACCTATGATCGTTTATAATCAATCCATGAAGAAGGGATTAGCAGCCCAGAACATCTAACATCATTATGCCCTTCCTCGCGCAGAAGATTTTACCGATCTCCAACAAAGACATCCTCTCTTGGATCTTTGACGAACCTCAGTATGATCCCGAAAAGCCAGTGAGCCACTCTAAAGCAAATTTTACCGCACTTGCAGATAGGAGCAAGAACAGCGAGATTGAGCAATGCTAATCCAGGAAGGTCTATGTCGACGCCATCAATCCATCGCGATCACTATCCGCGACTCAATCACGCACAATAATCCGCAAGCTAATTGCTGGCTTGCGAGCTGCTGGTCTCGGACGAGGTGACTGTGTTTGTGTGCATTCATTCAATGATGTGAGTTCGCATGAACCTTACAATTGATCTGATATGCGAAGGCTGAGTACAAAGATCCACTACCCTATGCTGTTCCTTGCGATAGTAGGAATGGGTGGCATTTTTACAGGATGCAACCCGTCTTACACGATGTTTGAGCTCTCTCACCACCTACGAACCTCAAAGGCGAAATTTATCATCGCGGAGCCGGAGCTACTCACCACCATCAAAGCAGCAGCAAATGAATGTAAGATAGCTGCCGCAAACATTCGCATCTTCAACGTCCATAGCCAGACAGTCCCTCGGGGCTACCAATCTTGGACTGAACTACTGAGCCACGGTGAAGACGATTGGGTCCGATTCGAGAGCCAGGAAATATCCAGCACTACTGCTGCAGCGCGGCTCTTCAGTTCCGGGACCACAGGGCTTCCCAAAGCAGCTGTCGTATCCCACTACAACTTGGTGTCTCAGCACACTTTGGCAGTAGAGCCCCAGCCTCCACTATATGATGTGAGTCAGATCCGCTTAGAGGATATGAGAAGTCACTGAACTCAACTTCACCCTTCAGCCGTCACGTTTACTCTATATGCCTATGTTTCATGCCTCAGTAGTCCCACTGGGCCATACTTCAACGCTAAAATCAGGAACCCGATCCTACATTCTACGAAGATTTGATCTCGAAGAATTCCTCTCCTCCATACATCGCTACAAAATAACAGAGCTTGCCCTCTTTCCACCAATCGTTCTCATGGTTCTTGCATCACCGTTGACGAAGAAATATGATCTGACGTCAGTGATGTCGGCCAAAGGTGGAGCGGCAGCACTCAGCAAGGAACTTCAACTCGAATTTGAGAAGCTTATGAGCAAAGATGGCGCTTTCAACCAAGTCTGGGGGATGACCGAAACTAGTTGCGTTGCCTCGTGTTTCTGGTATCCTGAAAGTGATACTACCGGCAGTATCGGCCGCTTCGTTGCGAACATGGATGTAAAGTAAGTCCCTTTCCTCCATGTTGAGCCGCTCATTTCATCTTTCCCCCAAGTGACAGACAGCAATGGCCCATGAATTTGAATTTGTCAGATCGGTGTTGCTGATATGCATACAGAATAGTGGATGAGAATGACAACGATATCACTGCATTGGGAGCCAAAGGCGAGTTACTAATTCGTGGCCCGACCGTTATCTCTCAGTACTTCGAAAACCCTGCCGCCAATGCTGCATCATTCGATCCTGACGGTTACTTCCGAACGGGCGATATCGTGATATGTGAGGGTGGCCCAGGCGTTACCCAGGCCACTGCGAAGTGGTACATCGTCGATCGTATAAAGGAACTGATCAAAGTTCGTGCCTTTCAAGTATCTCCGTCCGAAATCGAAGCAGTAATACTTCAGCACCCAGCCATCATCGATGCTGCGGTAATCGGTATTCCAGCTGTGGATCCAAGAGATGGTGAAAGCCCCCGCGCTTATGTGGTATGCCAGGGTGAAGTTACCGAGGACGAAGTCAAGCAATGGTGCGCACAGAGATTGGCCAAGTATAAATCTCTCACAGGTGGTGTTAGATTCGTGGATGCACTACCAAAGAATGCCAGTGGGAAGCTCTTGAAACGGATTCTACGAGAGCAAGTTCAGCAAGAATCGAGGGGAGGATCATCTAAGGCCCATCTCTAGATTTGACAAATAATCCCCAGTTGTGTGAGAGTTGCGATCATTGTTATCAAGTGTTGATAAGAGTCATTCTTTGATAGGACTGATAGATTGGTAGCAAAGAGCGTTTTGACCACCTCCGTCCAACTCCGTCGGATTATGGAGATATTAAGCGATAAATATGGAGCGATATTTCTTTGGAGAAGCGACATCGTTACGCAAGCCAATCCAGGTTGAACCCCAAATCGTTACAGTTTGACACACTTTCCTCCCATAAGGCCATATTGGGACTGCTATTCATGTCCCCCATGTCTATCCCCCAGTAAACCCCAGAATCAGGAAATCCGAAAACCATATTCGTCGTCTCCTCACCAGTGCCATCTGAGTCAAGATCTGCTCCGTATGAGAATTCGAACAGGAGATCGGGTCTGAGAGTATTGTTCTCTGACATGGGGAGCTCAATTAGCTCGTTCGAGTTGAATCCGCTCGCTGGTGGAACCTGAACACCCTGACTTTGAGGCGTAAGTGGACCATCAAACACTGGGGTATTTTTGACATTCACACGGTCTCTGGAAGGCGTTTGATGACAGTTCAGCTCAAGTTCAAATTCCCTTCGCGCCCTTAACGTTGAATGTTTGAGGTCAGTAGCGGCTGCAGATGGAACCACTCTCGCTCCAGAACGAACCAAATAAGCCTGAAGCAGAAGTGTCACAAAATCTGCCCCAACATGAGCTTTCCGCAGTATATGAAGGGAGACCAGAAGTTCACTAAGACTGTCTCTAGCCCTGTGGATCTCGGTCTCTTCCGTGGTGCTGTGCTGACCGCTAGGGTCAGTCATCACCACCCGTCTGAGGTAGTTGATGTACCAAATGATGCTGGGTAGCAACATGGTAATTGTGTTCACGGGAAGGTATCTTGTAAGACCATTCTTGTTTAAGAACGCGCAAATCATGGCCATACCTTCTGCCGCCTCGGCAACTTTCTGGGAGGAGATCAGAGAACGATTCTTTGGTCGGTGTAATGCGGATGAAGCCGCGAAATAGGTGAGATGCAGGATGGCTACCTGTAACGCGACACTGAAAGGCTCCCGTGAAGCGATTGGTTCGACGCAAAAGTCTTGTTCCTTTGGTGGGTTATCGATACTGATTGGGTCTCGAGCCACCCTTGAGAGCATTTCAGAAAGGTGGGAGAAGCAAGGCAGGGAGCCGAGCCATTCTGTCAAGCTCTTCTCCAGAAGTGAGAAGTTAGAGTCTCGTATTTGCACAAAGGTACGATCTGACGATTGGTTGGAGATTGGGTATAGCATAATTTTCGCAGAAATGCTGTTCGATGCCTCAATCGGGCCTTCAGAGGTCTTCATAAAGGTCGTATATTGCACTGAGAAGATGGAACCGATGCTCATGCAAAGCTTGATGTATAAGATGAACATTGTTGCCAATTTAGTTGATATGTCCGCTTCGGTCAAGCTGATCTGAATTTTGCCATCACGATGGTGTCCGGCCACACTCGTGACGATTGGAATGTCACATTCGAAGTCATCCACCGTCGGCAATGGTACGTCAAACTCGCCATCACGAATGCGCATGGGACGGCTCATGCCTAGAGACAACAGTCGGTCTCGCATGAGGATACAAAACCACAGCCGCTTACGAAGGCTCTTTACACGTTGTGGAAGCTCCAAAATTTCGGGATTGTGTGTCAATCGCATGGCCTGGGCCAAAGAAACTGCGACACCGGTCCAGTGCCAATTTTGTTTGTTAGTGTCTGCGTTGGCAGCCCATTGGCTCATCAGGAGGAGACATTGAATTAAAGTCAAATTGTCTGTCTCGATATCTGCGTCGTATAGTAACTATTTTTATGAGTAAATGTGTCTGAGTGGAATATTGATAACTCACTCTGGCTTTCTCGTAGAATAGCCTCCTGGCTGCTTTGATACTTTTATGTTCTGACTCTTGAACCAGTTGTTCGTCCACGAATGAAATTCCAGCAAACATGACGCACTGAAAAAGTAGAAAGCTATATCTTGGGCGGCTTCCATCGTTCATGGAGAGATCCACCATCTGCAAGAGCTCATCCAAGTCCAGTAAGGGCATATATGGATGTAAGTACTCAGCATAACATCTGATGATTTCCAGCCTCAATCGGGCCTGGGGCATTGATAACGCGCCTTTCCGATGTAGATATTCGAGATCAAGCGGTGACCAGTGGTTTGGAAATGGCTTGAAAACGGCTGGGAATTCTTTAGGAGCTGCGTCGTCAGACTTTGGGATTCTGGCGGTTACTGATGACCTGATTCTCTCCAGACCTGTTGGGATGTCTCCCAGAGAAAACAAAGGGTCCAACAGACTCGCGGCATCGTTGTGTAAGTTGAATGATGACGGCCGGCTTGGGCGAGCTGCCTCTGGTAACTTGACATTAGACTCGGTCCGAGTGGACGTCTCGCGAGTTTCAAAAAACTTTTCGACAGGCACCTCCTCCCAAAGAGGACGCGGACTATTCTTGGTCTTGGTGCTCGGTTTTCTATGACCTGTGTTAGATCTGGTAACGGATCAGATTACTTGCCGGCTAGCTTACTTTCCTCGACGACATCTAACAGTCAGACACTCGAAATTACTGTTTAGACAATTCTTGCAAGGAATACCATGCTGTAGGACGTCGCATTTGACCTTTTTCGCACGGCAGCTCAGACATGCTCGACCTGCTCTCCTTTGACTTGGCAAAACGTGGTGCGCGTTGCGCCGATGTCCATCCGAGAGCTCCGAGCTTGCCATGAGGATAAAAGACTAACGAAATTCCTTTCCTCTCTCAGAGGCAGAGAGCAAGACACATATCCTTGTGATAACAAATCAAATAAGAAGAGTACAAAGAATGAAGTTGACCTCCAAGTCTGGGGTCGCGGAGATAGGCTTCCTTGAATCGCAGTGACTGGGGCCCCACAGCATCCTGGTGTCGGGTTATTGGCAGTCCAAGACGAACCAAGACTTTTGTATAGCCATAGCCGGTAGCGTTGTGCCGAGGCAGATCCATGCAAAACCATGAGGCCGCTATTATTGGCAGATGAAGATGTCAGGTCTGGATCGGGCAAAAGACCACGCCCAAGAATAACAAAGATTAAGTCCTGCGTATGCCACTCAACGCTACTGGCTTGCAAATTGTCGGGCTTAAAAGTAGCCATGTTCAACTTTCAGAGTATGCGAAAGTCAAGATTCACGTCGTTCCTAATACTCTTTCCCACAGCCGCGAGACTCAGCACACGGCGTAGCAGAAAATTCTGAATATTGAGACAGTTTAGTTCACGGAATGCATTTAAGTCACTTCATCGTCTTCTAGCGCCATGATTGACACGCCATTACCGCGAGTTTGTTAAAGGATTGACACAATCATCTCGATTCTGAGGGATGACTGAAGACAAGGACAACTTTGAGAGCCTAATTCACTCTATCGCCTCAATGATCACCATCGGGCAGTCACTGGATAGTTCCCTGGCAACTACTTCTTCGTATGATCGAGTGGCTCTTGTGTGGACCCGAGGCCACGGTATATACCGCAAAAACATATTCCAGGACAGTTTATTTGAGATGGGGGCGGTCTCTGAAACATCTTTAACTGAGAATACTCCCTCCACATTCCGGAGATCATGTGCAAGGATGCCCGAGTTGATGTAAAGAATCTCCCCACCCGGCATCAACTTGTGACACCCTTTGCGGTACCGGTATGTTGGTCTGCTGATTGCAGGGACCGGTCCATCAGGCCAACCTCGAAGGACGCCTCGTGTTGATGGCATTGCACATGGTACGAGATAGTGACCCCTGAACGACAAAGACCAAAATTGGTACCGATGGTACCCACATATGCCTACTGGAATAGCTACCATTGCCCACTTGTGTCCGCAAGCTGACGGATGACAAGGTTGACAGGGTTGGCACTTGTGGAGCACCAAATGTCACGAAAGGAATTTCTGGAACGATGCAGCATGACCCCATGTGCAGATAGTATGGGAGTGAGGCACATATATCCGCCGGAAACAGCTAATGTTAAGTTTTGGTTCTTGCAACACTTTATATAAGCAGATTGAGAGAGCTGACTGTACTCGGAAACGAACTAACTAGCACCTAGCTCGGAGGGATATCTTCACAATAATACTAGCGCCAATATCGCACCTTTTCCGCGGTTACCGATGAGGCTTTCCGTGATGAGAAACAAGATATAATATGCAGTAGCTTTTAGTCCGCGTCCTAGCCGATATGTGAAATCGGCAAATTGTAATGGCTTAGACAGTGCCCGAAGGCGTTCTCTCTAGGAAAAAATTCATGCGCTTTTGCTGTCCGAAACCTCGGATTCTCTGTAAAAGCCAGCCACCAAGAATGCAAGTTCGAGAGCTTGCTTCTCATTCAACCTTGGATCGCAGAATGTTGTGTAATTGAGACTGAGGTCCTCTTCGGTCAGTTGCTCTGCACCTCCAACACATTCCGTAACAGCTTCACCAGTAAGTTCCAGATGTACTCCACCTAGATAGCTGGACATTGATCTGTGAATCTGTAGAGCTTGGCGAAGCTCCGATAGGATATCTGAAAAACGACGGGTTTTGATAGTCGTAGTGCTTGTACCTGATGAATTCGGAACAGTGACGGTGGCGTTTCTTCCATTCCCGTGCATAGGGTCACATTGCCAAACCACTGTGTCACGGTGTGGCGATTGCTGCACAGCACGGATATGTCCTGGTAGATGCATTGCAATCTTCTCTTGTCCATATCTGGTAATCAGAACAATTTTACCAATTTCATGAGTTGGATTCAGAATGTTGAGTAAGGGGACAAGATCTGAAGGTGGCATACTGGGACCAACTTTCACACCAATAGGGTTGGCGATACCACGGAAAAAATCAACATGTGCATGCGTCAACTGCCGTGTACGATCACCAATCCAGATGAAATGTGCAGATGTATCGTAGTATCCCTCGGTCGGTGGCAAGGGTGGCGGAAATTGGGTAGGAAGAGACGCTTTACGGGCTTTGGATGAATTTGATGGTATGGAAAGGGGAGTATCGACAGGCAGAGCGTTCGATGGATGCTTGAAGAGACGAGTGAGGGACTGTTCGTACTCGAGCAGTAGGCCTTCATGAGAGGTGAAGAGATCGACGGTCTCTAAACCACCACCAGTATCGAGACCTATCGTGCGCATCATATCCAATGTGTCTGTGATTCGCTCAACGATTCGTTGGTAGTTGTCTCGAACGCTGGGGTCACGAACGTGGCCCAGACTCCAATCCAAAGGCGCATGTAAGTCAGCCAGTCCAGACGATAGAGCCGCGCGTAGGTAATTTTGGGTAGCAGCTGAGTGGAAATAGGCATCGACGAGTCTGTTAGGGTCAGGTACTCGTGCGACTGGGTCCGCCTCATAGCTGTTCAAGATGTCACCCCTGAAACTCGCCATGCTGACTCCATCAATTGTTTCCATGGGAGAGGACCGTGGCTTTGCATATTGACCAGCCATTCGAGCGACACGCACCACCTTCTTCTTCCCACCATAGAGCAAGACTAGCGACATCTGCAAGAGCAACTTAACTTTAGCTTCAATCATGTCTTGGTTGCAGTAGTCGAAGAGTTCTGCGCAGTCACCGCCCTGTAGTAGGAATGCATTCCCTAAAGCCACTTCCCGCAATTCGTTCTTGAGTTTGGCAATTTCTCTGGGTGTGACAAGCGGTGGAAGGGTGTTCAGTTTACTGAGTGCCTTTTTGAATGAAGCTTGATCGTCATAAGTGACTCCCTGAACGATTGGTTTGCTCTTCCAACTTGAAGGTGACCAGCCGACAGTTGGTGTTCCATTTGTAGCCATATTCACTGCGTCTGGAATTTCTTCTTCAACCGGCAAGCAGGATCCAAATCCTGTCGTGAAATGGGTATTATGAGGACTCTCCTAAGGGCGAGAAGGGTCTCATGCAATCTTCTTGACTTGGGCTGGGCACTGGATGCACTTATGATCGACTGACTGACCACACCACGCTAGCTCGTGCTCACAACTGCTGTAGATTCGCTACGACAATGGGCTCTCGTCTTATGATACTCTTTAGAGCAGATTTATTTGTGAGTTGTGGTGGAAGTTTGACCCCCGACCCCTGGGAGATGAGTCACGCGGAGCTATGCCGTTTTGGGACACATTTTGAACTCACTACTCGATTGCAGGTCAATCATCAAAAGTTCCAACCACGACACACACCTCTTACCGACTTTTAAAAACAGCTAACTACAAACATGGCGGAACCTATACCCTCAGCATCAAATGCGGCCGATGCAGGCGACGATGAGACCACTCAAGACCTCCCAGCCAACGCCGAGGACCGCAAAGCCGCTGCGGCATTAAATTCATTAAATGCAAATGGCATGTCTCAGGAGAATGGGGAGATGGCAAACAAACAACCCTCGGCTGCAGATCAAGAAGCCCTAGGGAAAGCCATGTCGAGATTGGAGATTGCAAGCGGCGTTAGCAAAAAGAAGGACGACCCGAAGAAAGCAGATGCAAAGAAAGAGGTAGAGGTGAAGAAAAAGATCAAAATTGCTGCGGAAGACGTGGCTTTCTTGGTGAGTGTAGAAGGACCTGGATTACTAGAAAAGCTGCTGATATCTTCTAGGTCGAGGAACTTGAGCTCTCAAAGGTCAAGGCAACGGACCTACTACGACAACACGACGGAAATGCCACGCAGGCTATCAAAGCCCACATTGCCCCAGCTGTGCGAGCATAAAATACGCTGCGGTTGACTGCCTGGCAGGTCTTTTTTCCTCAAACAGAAATGCCCGGTATCAAATAAGGCTCTAATAACATCCATGGAGCATCGTCTCCATGAGCGTCTGAAACTCAGTTGATGAGCTGACATGGGAGCAGAGTTCTAGAAGCTCAACTCCGTCATCTAATTGGTCTTGCTAGCTGTCATCTCATGCTCTGTCGTGTAACAGACCTCTACGCCGCTTATAGAGGTTGACATATCTGTTAGCATTGGATAAAGTCGACGAAAATACTTCGAGCTTTCAGTCTTGGGACCGCTGATATTTCAGGACCACCATCCATCTTTATTGCTGCTATGGTTCGAAAGTCAAAATCTTGATAGGTTTGCTGGTTTCAATGGGCATTACGTGGGGATGGAGAAAGTTTCGTGGTGATACCAGCACTTTTACACCGTCCACGGCCAGCTTGATATGGACCCGTCGAATACCAATGCCTCACTACCTCGCATCCAAGGACACAATCAACAGCATTTGATCGTGGGAGTTACCAAGATTAGACGGTGTATTCACATTCTGCATGCACCTACCTGCCGCTTTCCAACCATGCCGCCGGGCCAACTTCGGGTATTCGTCTGTCAGCTATGATAACCATAAATTTTCTCTCATCTTCAATTTGCCTAATAAATAATAATGGTCCACCTTGGCCGATTTAGAGACGGAAGGACGAGGCAAGCCTGAAGGTAGCATTGTGCAAACTGATTTCCATCGAAACTATTTATCTCCATGTTATATCTTGGCAAACTTAGAGTTGACTATAAGTTCTGCCACTCACCCCCGGCAATTGATGACGGATGTTTGCATCATCCGTCTGATGGTTGAGTTCCGACAGTCTCCCTGACTTCCCAAGCTTTTTATGTGTGCGAAAACCATTACTACCTAGTGACAACGGAAGGATCGCACATACTTGTCGCTATTCCTTAGTTGTTCCGTTCCGTGCCAGGGCAATATCAACACCAGTCTTATAAAAATGGGGATCCAGGAGTGGACAGTGAAAGAGGTAATTCTGGGCCAAAATTGGTGGCATAAGAATGTGTATTGATCAGACTAGGCATACATACCCTCAAAATGTAGCCTTGGTGAGGGACCATATTATTCAGAGGAGCGCCATGAACTCCGGTATATGGTGAGCTGCTAACGACTCACCTACTGAAGCCCCCTCTATTGACACCCAACGTAGGATATCAACAATAAGAAATTGTTCATCGTGGATCTGGCCAAAGGTCCTGACTCCGTCAGAACAATCGATACCAAGATGCCTATCGGTGTGACTGCAAATATCGAGGGCGTGGACTCTTCAGAGGTCATCTTGGTAGGCGCAAAGGATGGTGTTACCAAGTTCAATCTCAAGACTGGAGAACATGAATATGTTGCGAAGTACTGGACCGGCGCTGATGCGGAAGATAAGACGAGAAGGTATGGTCTTTCTTAGATATCATGGTTTTGTTGATCTGACGTGAGAGAATAGATTGAGATCAAACGACGGGGCAGTTGACACTCAGGGTCGATTCTGGGTCGAGGCCTTCGTCGACCCTGAGATCAGCGAACTCACCGAGGAGGGTGTACTCTTCCGACTTGACCACGACGGGACACTGCATACCATGCACGAGAAAATGACCATTCCCAATGGCATCACCTGGAACGCCAGTGACAGCACGATGTTCTTGACGGATTCGCCCGTGCAGAATGTATACGCATTCGACTACGATTCTAAGACCGGAGCAATTTCCAACAAAAGATTGTTCTTTCACTTGGACGAAGAAGGGATACACCCCGATGGGCATGCCATGGATGTCGAGGGTAACATTTGGCATGCCTGTTACGGCGGTTCCAAGGTCATTCGGATATCGCCCGAAGGTGTCGTTACCGGCATTATCCACCTACCAACACGCAATATCACCTGCCCAACGTTCGCGGGCACAGAGCTGTTCATCACGAGCGCCAAAGAAGCCGAGCCTGAAAAGTATCCCGAGTCTGACAAATTCGCTGGAAATTTGTTCAGGGTCGAGGTCGGCATCAAGGGTATGCCAAAGTATCGAGCTCGCTTGGGATAGAACATTCCAATTTTCTTCTAGAAGGTACGGGATGAGCAATGCGACTTGGTAAAATTAAAATACTATTTCTTGGTTTGACGGCGTCTTCTGAGTGGTGGAATTGATGATTAAATCAACCAGGAATAGTGTCAGGGCCAGTCTCAGAACCGTTGAAGCCCAAAAGGGGCCACACCAGGGGTCTGACTGCGCCCTTGACAAGGCTGTAAAACCTGGTCATCGATAGTCTTGTCCAGGGTGAGAAAGGCTTCGTTAGTGACCTTTTAGAATCAATTTGTCGTTGCAATTAAATAAGCGAGAAACAATCCCCGGAAGAGGCATTTGTCGACAAGGGTGGTGTGTTTAATGCACTAAAACGGCTTCAGTTGGAGCCTCAGCTCCTGACTATCACATCAAGTTCGTTTGCTAATCTAGGTAAGGGCATGGAACATCTCTGGTTTCTGGAACTACGTTGACGAGTGGCCCCCTGTGACTTTTAAATCCAGGACTACCTTGGAACGCGCTAACAAAAGGATTTTCGGGATGCCGACACTTTCATCATGGCGCAGCATGTTCGCAGGGTTGTTTGGAGCTTTGACTGCCCACTGGGCCAAATGAATTGCATGTATTCGCTTGTAACTCCAGACAACAAAACCTGACGGTGAAAAGCGTCGAATGTTATTTCGCAAATCCTTCCTTGGCCGAATTCCGGTATCCGAGTTGGACCAAGAGGTCCGCCCTTTCCTCCTCTTCTTACAATCTGTACAACTTCAAGCTCCTTGTCACAATCCTTGCCACACCTATGTATCGTTGCGGCGCTACCTACCGGAAGTGTTGAGTTGTGCCCGTACACAAGATGCTTTGGGCGAGAGTCAGCGAAAGCCTCGCTTAAATTTACTAAGTAGCCATCTTATCTTCATGCAAGCATATGATTGAAGGCAGCACGCTAATATCCACTTCTCCGGAACAGTTGCTCCAGCGTATCTTCATGTAGCATTAGTTTCGAGATCAACCAGCACAGATAAATCGGCCTGGGCTGGACTCGACCAGTTATCACACGATGGAAATCGAGGCCATGGCATTTATGAAAGATGGAAAAATCAGAACTGTTGAGGCTACGATGCTCCATCTAAGAAAATGGCATGTGCTCTTAAAGACACATAAGGTAATGCCAGTAGAATTCTCAATAAAAATCGGAGGTCCACTACCGTCATTCGTCAACTCACGGGATTTTAGCTTGGGAATGTCGTCTCCCAGGTTTTGATGCCGTTGCGACGATGGAAATTGCGTTTTCAGTCGTTTGATCTCACCCCGCCTGTACTCGCCTCTCCTGATGTGTTGCTAGGTGAGGATATGCTTGTGAGAACAGCGGTGTTTCGCCGTCAGAATTACTGAAATCAGCACCTAGTTGTGGAGTGAACATGTCGAGACAGCGATACCCAATTTGTGTCAAGGAGAGGGCAGTTAGATGCAGCGAGTGCACGGCACGTGGCCAACCCGGACCGCCCCTCTTCAAGGACCCCCCAACGAGTTTTGCAGGCCTTTCCCTGTCAAATTCACTCCACGGAAACAATGGAAGCATCTACCGTTGAGATGGGAAATTATCAAGGAAGCAACGTCATTCTCCAGAAAGCCCGAACACCACGGTCCACACTGACCATCTCAGGTTGTAGGTCGATGCAAGACTACTACTAGCATTGATCAAGCTGCCAACGCAGGTGATTTGAACACATTCGAAAAAGTGTCGCAATTGGTGAAACAACGCCCAACGTTATTGGTCTGGTACTCGTTCCACCACCTTTTGTGTGAAACAGCTTATCACAGTCGCAGGTATCCTCATGTGGTGATGTCCATAACCTTTCACAGACCTTTTCTTACCATGGAGCATACTCCGTACACACCTTTCAATAAGGTGTAAATGGTGCGTGTTTGGGACTTGAGAAGGATACCCGGTTTAACAGGGTGATGGGTCTGCAAGCCGCTGGAAGACGAAACCGGAGTACTTAGTCGATGGATGTTTATGTGGTTGGAGTTTGATATCAGCCCAGGTTAAGAGATTAAAGATGGGTTGCATCTGGGTAACAGCCTGATTAGTATTGCGTGGGCATCCACTAGTTAACTCCTTAGGTACAGTACGATTACTTGCAGAAATCCGCGGCAGCACCCGAACCCAGATTGTTAACAACAAATCCAACGCTAACAGTATAAATTTTACGCTATTGTTATGCTTCTCAGAATCCAGGGATCTTAGCCTAGGCTCGGTGTTCATACTATTGAAGCACAGACGTCTAAGCATGCTGACTAGTTGCCGTACACGCTACCTGTGAATCAGGTAAAAATCGATCAGCTAAGCTACGCTAATAATAGTGCAAGAGAATCTGCCTTATTAGCTACTTACCAGCTGAGAGTGGCATGCATGAATTTGGCGAGCGAGCTTGACGGCACCATGCTCTTCGCAGCGAGAGCAAGAATCATACATTTCTGATTTGCCGTAGGCCCTTTCTTGCGGTGTGACTATCTATGTTTTAAGTCACGAAAGGAGCCAGTCAGTGGCAAGAGATTCCAGACATCGTGGACTACCTCACTGTAGCATGATAGACTCCGTTAATCATCCCCAGACAGCTGATGATGCCCATTGCGGGCCCTTGCAGTATCAAAGAATTAGGTCTACTGGAAGGGTTGGTCAAGGAGCTAACTCAGCTTGAAGCACTTTACGAGTACGGCATTCGTCACAAAATCGCGAATTTTATCAAATGGTCAAGGCCCGAGCGCGTCCACTGTTGTCCCAATAGTGTGTTGAGACCATGTCAATAGCTTGAAGAAGACTCCTAGATATCCCAACTAGGAGCTCGCTTCTTTTTGAGGTGGAAGTTACGGTGGAGCTCCAAGTATACTCATGCTCGTACGGAATACCTATCCATTTTATCGATTCGGAGGGAGTCCGATGGGTCCGACATCGAGCACCTAGTGCGGATACCCAGATATCCGAAATAAAACGGGCGTACAATCTGCAAGTGATCAGGTCCGAGATACTGTAGATCCAGCAGACGGTGTGACGTACTTGGTACAAAAATTCATATGGAGTGCTATGGCGGCGGTGAGGAGCTCTGAGGCTTGTCGAAGGAAACCACTGCTACCTGGAAGCGGTCTGCTTAGCCATACCTTGCAGCAAAGGCATCATCCAATTCCCATGCCACGTAACTTTGTCAAATTGCGAATTTATACAAGGGACGAGGCATTCGTATTATTGGGCTTAAAGGAGATTGGTGTGTTCTGAGCCATTTGCCTGCACTGCCAGCCCACTTCCTCCTTCGCTCCCTCATTCATCCATGGGATTGTTGTGTAATAGTAGATACGTCTAATAGAGCATAGTCTGGAGTATGGATAACGTATCCACTTTCTCATCCCACGCTCGCAGGAAAGCCGAAAAGGTTCTTTGAGCGTCGGATGCGTCAGTAATCGAATTTCATGGGGGTGGGGGCGATAGCTACTTCGTATTGTCCACGGCACGGGATGGCGACGCAGTTCGGATCCATGCTGGCTGGCTGTGGAGGACTATAGAAATCGCAATCTGCTTCTCCATTAGAGATGAGAATTGCAGGAGTTTGTTTTCCAGATCCTGAGGAGAGCTACTGCAGTGATCTACAAAGTACTGGATCGACCTCTTCCTAGGAGGATCCTTGGAGGTACAGGACCTCGCCAAGGAGGATGGGAACCGACGGACTGGTTTGGTGCCGTAACTCCGCCACTGACGAAGTCCTTTCTCCTCCGACCATGTCTGAAGTTAAATCGATCACGTCACCGGCTCCCTTTCCGCGGGCCCGTCATCTTTGGTCGCCCGTTGGCCCCCTACGGCAAGGATTTTGTCTGGAAACCACCAGCCAAACGGCCACGGCAATTGCTAGCACAAGACGGTGTTGACGAGTTTTGCTGTCTTCCAAGCAGCATTCATCCTAACCACATGAAGGAGAAGCAACAACTTGTCTGGTGCTACAGTAAAATAGTATAACGAGTCCCTTTTCTGCCAGTCCAACCAAAAATTAGGCCTGGGTGCACCAATTTTAGAACAATTAGGCGTTGACCAGGTGGAAACCTCGTCCAAGCCACCGAATTCGGTCTTCACGTTGGGTGTAACAGGGGTTCCTTCTCGTTGACGATGGCCTTTTCCGATTCCCTGGATCATAGTGGAAAGAATTCGTCACTAAAGGAGGGAGATATCAGGACCGTTCAAGATGTAAAGTGTTGTTGCAACCTGGGTTGCCCTGGCTGCTGGCTCAGGGCGAAGACCAATTGGGATTTCCATGCCCCGAATGTAGACGAAGGTCGTTCGCAGTACTCCGTAGACAGGGGATGGAACTTTGACGCCTAAACCCAGGCGAAATGGTATCAGAGCCGCGAGCCAATCAATTCCACACGACACAGTGAGTTGATCGTCTTGCTAGTCCCGCTAGCATCTCTGAGTCGACGCTATCCGTACTTGTTTACGGCTTTTCACTGAGGTCATTCCTGACGGGGGAAGCAACCCGGTGTCGGGTCAAGCCAAGAAAGGTACTCGAACGCATGGTTTTGCATTGCAGAGTTGAACCTGCTTCAAGGAGTCGGTAGGTTTGTTGGCTAAGACGAATGCTGCCATCTTAGCCTTCCATGCCTGACATCCTGCGTGATAAACTTTCGGCCCCTTGTCTGTCAAGAGAATGTCATTGTTCTGCCCGCTCCGCTTCGATCGTATCCCAAGGGGACAGAGCTCATAGGCTGCTCTGCCACTGTAACTTCCAGGTTCCAAGCAAGTCACTGACCGACTCCTCTTATTTAGAGCACTGGATCACTTCCTACATGGGTCACGACCCCCGAAGTGATCTTTTTTCCCACAGGCTATGTGGACCACGCTTGGGATCTCCCTAAGCCCCTCCAAGTCAAAGTCCCTGAGTCTAAACCGAATGGGATCCATGTCTCGTCGGACGGTTACCACCACCCCAGCCGTCCGTAGCGCCACATCACCGCCATGCCGACCCAGCTCGCGCTATCACGTTGGTGCCCAGAGCTGCCACCCATCCCGCCTTGTGGTGCCATCACGCGCTTGTAAAGGCATGCTCGAGCCATGAGCTAGTTCCTCACAGCCCTGGCTTGCTTCCTCACACCTCGCAGATGAGGGCCAGTAACCTTTCGCCCGTCAACCTGCAGGCTGCAAGTAGAACTTGGTCCTGGTACTCGTACCCAGAGACTCCGTAATGGTGACCACTGGACGGCGCGACCCACATCCCCTTCTTATCTCCCCTGCTCGATACCCACCGATGGAATGCTTGCCTTTTGAGAATTGGGCCCAAATGCCAAAACATCCCAGTTTGTCGAGCAAGGGCAAGATCGTGACGACGCAAAGCCTGCCAGCGCTAGAAGCCTAGGAAGGACCTCTCCATCACTTCAGCAAAATAATGCTTCCCGCTTCCCCGTCCCAGGAATTTAAATCAATGGTACCTCTGCTTACCGTCAACTCCGTACGATGAAATATTACGAGCTGACTGACCTCAGGCTAGCTGGCCAAAAGTGATTGCTCTCGCTCGCTCTTCGCCATCGCCGGTCTTGGTTTGCCTGGCTTCAATTTCATAGTTTCGAACGGACCTCTCAGAACTGGGGTTTGGATTTAATGACTCTCATTTGCCGCCTTTTTTGTTCCAACAGCGAATTATCTGAACGCTCCTCGTAAGCCTTGCAACGCTTGCTCAAATGCTCCTGGTCTTGGAATGCGCAATCTTCATTCCGGGTTCATATCCCTTCGTGTACCCCTCGTCTGACTGCACCAAAGGTCCTCTGAAGTCCTTTTGTAAGTCTTGCTTTGGGGCCAACCTTGCTTTTTGATCCAACCTCTCTAACCCTTCCAGCATATTAAGGCTTTCAATCTGGCTACCCTCGGAGTCAAACCCTCTCCTCTTCCACAGTACCCCAGGACCACCCGGAACCCTGGCTACTACGACCAGTCTTGGGAGTTCAAGCCTGCTCAGAACAGTCCACAGACTCCTATAGATACTCAAGATCGGTGGAGGAGAGGAAGCGGAGAGGCGCCGCAGGAGGGACCCTCATGGTCGCGACTGGGGTTCCAGCCGCACGAGGAGGCCCAAGGGTACATGTCACAACCCCCTTCAGCAGGCCTACCGACGACGACGTCCCCAGCGACCACCGGTACACATTACCCATTTTCCTATGTATCCGGGGCGAGCGCAAGTTCTTCGAGACCGAGTACGGCCAGCGCTGCTCGGACGGACCCTCATGGCGGTCAGAGTGGCCCCCCTTCAGCAAGGCTCTTGATAGAGTCTAGTACAGCAGCGGTGGCTGGCCGCCGATACTCCGCCGAATCAACAGCGCAGACTCCTTCTCGGGCATTTGGTGTACAAAGCATCCTCAATCCTCAAGCAGACTATGAAGACAGAGACTCTGGACACATCAGATTACCCCCACCGCTTCCTATGACTGCCAGTACACGTGAGACTTTACCTGCTCCTGCCGAGTCTCCTCGAAGCCGTAAGCGGACAGACCCCAGGTCTCCTGTCCGAGATCATGACTATCCTTCTTCTGCTCGTGCTGGAAGACGAGTCCTAACCCCAAAGTCCCCTGCCATTCGTGCTGCAAGTCTAGGAGCAAGAAGAAATCCTTCTTTCCATTCTACTATTCAACCTCTTCAAAATATTTCTGGACCTGGAGGACGCACATATACTGCCGAACCTGGTCTATATCGATCTTCTGAGATACCACCTCTTCCACCACTATCAATTGCCACAGGTACCCACCCAGCTCACTATGGTTCTCTGGACTCTAGGCAGTCACGATCTGCACATCCCATAGAAACACCTCGAACAGAAACAATAGTCACTCCACAGACTGAGCATTCGGTCAGTAGTCAGACGTCATATAGACGACTTGATCAATCCCCACCACTTTACCGTTATGGCCACGGAGGGTCGGCAACCCATTCTTCAGGTCCGTTGAGAGTACTACCTGCTGCGGGTTCGGGCTATGGTCAGGAAACTCACGTTCATGGCCCCCACGAAGGTTACCAGATGGGCCAATCGTCGCTGAACATGCGATTGTCCACAGATCAGGGTCCTATGGTGCTGCCTGTGGAAGTGGACACGCAGCAAGCATCAAAGGTGGCTGATGAGAAGCGCAAGCGTAATGCAGGTGCCTCTGCGCGATTTCGGGCTAGGAGGAAGGAGAAGGAGAAGGAAGCATCGACCACCATATCCGGCCTGCAAGGGGAACTTCGAGATCTGATTGAGGAGCGCGATTTCTATCTTAACGAGAGAAACTATTTCCGCGATCTCGCCAGCAATTATATTCCGCCTTCTCAATTCCCAGCACGCCCTCAATCACCACAACATACACAGCTGAACACCGGGGCACCATCTTCAACTTCAGACAATCCTCCATTATCTGATGAGATCTACCATGAACGTTCCGAGTCCGGATCGGCGGCTCAACGGCGTCGAACTGGAGACTATCACCCAACATTTGCGACCCAGCAACGACAGTCTCCACCCGCGTCCGGTTATCGCAGCGGATTTCCATCTGCTCCGCCCAACCCCCTTCCACCACCTTCATCGACTGCTTACGGAACACCGAGGACACTCCCACCCGGACCACCGCTAGGCCCAGCCATTACAAGGTCACAATCGTATGATCCGCTTGGAAGAGAGTTGTACGACAAGAACTGGAGTTCAGGTCGATAAACGAACAGGTTCGCAGAACGAATACGAAAAAGGCATTAATTTATGAAGATGAAATTTTCCTAGAGAGACGACGATGAGGGCAACCTCAGATGCAGCATCCCTTAGCCCATCGTGGCGGGACATGATTACGAATTTACCGAGATCAGAAATGGGATGCTCAAGTGTCGTCAGTGTGGCTCATATTCAAAGCCCATTTGCACAAACCCTTGGGAAGCGTTGGGAGATGGATGATACACAATTTGCTTTTTGGCGCTGTTTTCTTTTTCTTTTCTCACATCCTGCCCTTATAAACTCAACCTTTTATTTTGCTCGCGATGTTTTCACTGTTTATGGAGTTTTGATCGAAAGTACCAATTGCATATACTAGATACCCCTGCGGCCGACACAATTCCTCGATTAATTGGTTCTATATACATGGGGCGTTGAGAAATCGCTTTGCGACTTGAACGAAGGGGTCATGGAGATTGACACAGCCCCAGAGGCTACTATTGCAGAAGGATATGTACACCCAAAGAGTGAGAAACGGCAACGAAGCTTGCCTCTGGTTAAGAGGAATTGGGATGGCCACGTATAGAGGAGTTATTGGTCATGGTGAACCAGTATGTACTTTTTGAATACATTTATGTATCCATAAACGAGGAGTGTCCCCAACAAACCACACAGAAGACGTGCTCACCCAACCACGCAAGCCTTTTGAGATAGTCCAGCTTTCTGGAGGCTTCTGTCATGCTTTCTGTTTCTCTACCTAGCCAGATGGCTAGCATATCCCCTCACCGCTCTACTTTACGAAATATCTGCTCTGCACGGAACGTTAGGCGGTGAGCCTACACATTCACTACTACTATTAACTTGACGATTTTGAGATCTTGAACTGATGAGTGGTGGCTTGGGGGAATGATGTGCCTCGAATCTGCCAGTAGGGTCCGATCCATAGGGCACGGCAACCAATTTAACAGTTGCGAGGGAACTCCGCAACTTTGCTAACGTTCACTGGTAACCCTGTCTACGGGCTACGAGCTGCTATGGGAACCTGCTGTGGAACATCTCCAGTTGCAATCGACCTCTTCAATTCTAATAAGACCTATCTAGGAGATCGGGAAGTTGGCGGTGAAGAATGTAACTTTCGACAGGCGAATAATGGCTGTTTGTCGAGGGCATCTCTCCAATTCGTATTAACAAGTGAACACGATCGAGCATCATTATTGGCGTAGACACCGAGGATTCAATCTTGAAACAAATCTCGGTTCGCAAGCCGTTCAATAGTAATGGAGAGGCCAGCGATGTCGATCTGACACAGATGAGACTAAGAAAGAAGTCCATGACAATAATAATGTGATGGTCTCATGTTTTCCGGGAAAGCGCTTCAAACGAAGAAGAAACTTTGGCACACCGGCCGCTTGGATTGTACCGCTGACCACACCACACCACACTTCCCAGCACTTGCCTCCCAGAGTCCAAGTTTCACGGTCCAGTGTTTGAGGTGTTTCCGGCAGACGAGAGCCCACAAGGCGCTCTAGTGCCACGTTAGTGGTAATTGCGCCGGATAGAGTTCCAGCCAGCCAAGTCGGTAAGTGAAGAAGAGTTGGACGCCTGGAGTAGGATGGGCACTACTACACGTAGTTAGCGACTACCAGAGTCCGTACCTCGTACGTTTATCTGGGTGTGTTTTTCGACCAAAACCTGCCCACGGACTGGGTCATCAAAACAAAATTTGTAGACCTTTAGGCGACGGAGTAATACACGTAAATGGGTGCGGGAGGCTTCTTCTCCTTGACATACTCCGCATAAACAGCACACATGGTCTTGATATCTGCGGGTTTCGCGTTCAACATAATTTCTCTACCGAGTACGGGATAAACGACATCAAATGGTTCACTGGTTCGGTGCGGTGACGAAGTTCGGGACTCGGTGGCATTCAACCTTGCCATTCGCTGGCTACTGGCATCTTTGCGGATAGCAGAGCCTCCGGAGATCAGTATTTTGTTTCGCTGGCTCCCCGGGAGAAAGGTCCAAAACGCCATCGTCCACAATTTGTAGCTGGCAAGTTAGAAATGGCTTGACGGAGTTTAAGGAGAGTAAAACATTTACAACCAAAATGTCATTGCGTGTTACTACTGGTCAATGAACTCCGTAGTTACTGTTGGTACGTAGTGGCCGATGAGTTGTGTTAGCAGGTAGTGGTCCGTGGGTTAAGATTAGCCGCAGTGTTCCTTCCGGCTTCTTTTGACGTTCGAACTACTCTTTTAGCGCTGGACTTGGTTGGACTGGGATCATGGGACCAGATACCACGAGGCACCAAATTCAGCCACCTCGGAGATCAATGCAAGGTAGATCGAAGCGAGGCAAGCCGCGAAGTTCTTTCGAGTGATTTTCTTTGGGAATCTGCCGCTGAAGCACTTCAAGTTGGACGGTTCAACCTGTCGATTTGCATTTGACAGCACGGTACGGTTAGATCGTGGCAGCCTGCAAAGTAGACTCTGCAATTTCTTAAGGCATACATTCCTCCCAAGGTTCAAGCTACGCATACTTACGACCCACCATGCTAATGTGGGCGACACTGGATCTAGGCCACTGTAGTCATCGCTGCACTGTTGATGGACTGCCTCAAATGTGCGCCAGTATGCCCACGGGGCACCTCCATAGGTCTGTGAAGGGTGCCCGTGCTGCACATTTGTCTGATGCAGCAAAGAGAGAGGATTAATTTGAGTGCTATTTGTGGTTTTCCTTGGATAAAGTGCTCTAGGTGCAATTGGATGCTTCATAATTTGGGCAACAAAAGAAAGCTGCTTTCTCACTAACCCCATACGTAGTGGGGTGCCAATAATACTTTTTGACGAACAATGTGCGTTCAACTTGATGTCAACGACGTGAGTCGCAAGTAGCGGTCTCAGAATGGTGGATGAACTCATAAAACAACTTCCTTGTGACAAATAAGAGATTAACCAGATACCGGATAGGTTGGAGTGGCTGCTGCAGATAAGCCACGGAAACTTGAAGTTGGGTTGAGTGCTTGCATACCTGTTGGCACTAGCTTGGCTACCTACTCGTGGGTAAGTTTACTGCAAGGCGGCCCAATGCACAAAAGCAGAGGTTACGCCCAAGGGCTGCAGTGCATTGCATTGCAGCACAAGGTTCATGGGGCCATGCGTTTGGCTGTGTGTCAGCAGTCACGCGTATCTTGTATCCTCTCAGTGCCCGAGGGGAAAGGAGGGGGGAAAATTCTCCTGCCTCCATCGACTTGATTCCAAGCCAGCCCACTCATCTCAAGCTCAAGTGGTGAAGGTGCGACGAGCCACTTCATTTGACGTAGCTGACTTCTAATGGCGTGTGACCTACAATCAGAGTAACACATTGGTTGTTTTGAGAGCGGAAGAGGAGGATTCTGCATTCGTCTCGACCATTGAGCCTTCGCTTGCATGCAGTCTCCGAGCTCGAAACATGACCGTCACGGGTTGATAATCAAAAGTCAATCTTGAATAAACTTGAAAACAAAGGAAATCCTCCGGTCGACCAAACGGATAGACTCTAAAGTTCCCGTTACTGACACTCTTCGGAATGGTGTTCGATAAGCTGCATAGAGGACTTGGTTCGAACAGAGGTATCCGTACTTGTTCCGCAGGACTTCGTATCTAGGTAGTAGAAAGCTCTTCTGGGCCTGGTGTGTGACTGACGGCTCTACCAAGCGTCTGGGTGGCAAGGCACCCTACCAGGGGGTGTTTCTTGTTTAGTGCTTGCTCGCTGCAGCAAGTCGTGCATCTTTGCGTGCAGGTTGCAGTAAAGATGGTGGCCATGTGAGGCCATTAAGGGAGCGCGCCGCGCGGATGTGGAACGGTGGAGAAGGAGTGCAACTAGGTGGGCAAAAGAAGCAAGCTTGGTCACGGCACTTTGTGGGCTTCGGCCTTGTTGATGAGTATCCGTAAACAGGACCCGGCAGCAGTCAGCCACGAGTAAGATCTTCTGCAAGGGCGGTGCTCGATTCGCGGGACGACACGTGGCTGCAGGACATCTTCCAAGTCGACTTTGTGGTGGTGGTGCTTCCAGCCGCTACTGGCGATTGAGCAGAGTCCGCACCTATCTGACCCAACAAGCTACCCGATCTAACTATGCGACATATAATATCAATTGCCCTCAAAACCAGATCATATGCCCTCTGACATACAAGGTGGGTGATAAACAATGAACGGAATCAATCGAAAAGCAGCCTCTGAGAATGTTTCCTGAGGCAGCGTAGGAAAGGGAATAATGAGTGACCGTCGACCCCCCACCTGCCCGTACGAAGTAGGTGCATGAGCTGACAGCTTTCCGAATGCCACACCACTGGAGAACAGGACCTAATCCTGGGCCATGACTATTCGCGCGCGAGAAGTCGCCATCACGCCGTCATCCTATCCCAAGCTCCTGTCACCTGCAGGATCTGCATTGAATGGCTTGCGCCGTTGGGTGACTGGGAATTGACAGCCGAGCAAGAGTGAGATTCCATGATTCTCGGCATGTGTTCAATGTCGCACGTCAAGAACATGGATAGCCTAGTTTCTCCTAACGCCGCACTAGTGCATTTCTGCAAGTTCGGAAGGTAGTCCTGCCACCCGACATTTCTTGGTGATGGGATCAGATTCGTAGCGTTGACAGGCAATAATGCATTGATGCCGGTTGTTCTCTCAAGGGTGATGACTCCAAGGTTTTCGCCTGAAGGATGTGATGATTCATTTGGCTGAGACACGTGTGAGGCTAACACCAGCTAGTGAAAGCCCGGTTACTTGGAGAGGGGAAATCCGTATTGCTCACATTCGCAAAGCCTCTAATCTGCTATTTCCAGGACAGGATAGAGGCAAGGGTTTCCGAGCCAATTTCTCGTCTTGAGGGAGTTCACTCGTAGTCCGCTTCTAAAAAACTAACCACACCAATATGTACCCATGATCGACAATTCTATGTATTGCGGCATTAATTGTCGGATAATAGATATTCCGTGGAAATTATGCCAAGACTTTCCCCAGATCTCAACCTCGTTTCCCTCTAACCGATTTTGGTCACGCGATGTCAGACGCGACTTCCACCCAAAGATTTTTGGAAGTCTACTGAGGTTTGTCCTCGAGCACTATTGAGCTCTTTATGGTATTGCGGAGTTTTCTCTAGAAGTCCTCAGTCAACTACGATAGTGGTTACCATCTTTGTTTCATCCATCTCTCACATCATGCCCCCCAAGAAGCGAAAGGCTACGGCCTCGGGTGCTTCCACGCCAGCAAAGAAGGTCCGCATTGGCGACACATCTGATGTTCCTGAAGTGACTTCAACTGGGCGCCCCAAGCGGAGCTCGGTTGGTGAACCGCAGTACAGTCTCACTAGAAAGCGAGCGCCTAAGCCCGCCACTGAGGAGAGCCCTGGCAAAGCACTCTCTATCAGTGTCGAGCCAAAGAAGCGTGGTAGACCACCAAAAGTAATCCCACAACCTCCCAATGCCCGCAAGCAAACAGCGACTCGTCAACCACATCCGGTGCGCGGCGGTACGACTGCTGGTACGTTACCTCGAGTCAAGCCATGCTTCTTTCAAGCTGACTACATTAGTATCAACATCTTTTCAGGCGGCGACCAAGAAACCAAGAGGTCGTCCCCCCTCCGCTGCTCCTACTGTTGCGAAAAAGAGAGGGACCCCATCAACTAAGAAGACCACAACCACACCATCAGCAAGCGAAGCCAAAGTCACTAATACCCAAGCCGACACTGAGCAAGTCGATGAAGCCACCACAGGGGAAGATAACGGATTTGTGGATGGAGATATCCAATACTGGCTCATGAAAGCTGAACCGGAATCACGCATTGAAAAGGGTCACGACGTCAAATTTTCCATCGATGATCTTGCTTCAAAAGCAGAGCCTGAGGGATGGGATGGTAAGCTTTCTCTACTCAACATGGCGAGATACAAGATCTAACATCGATTCTATAGGCGTACGTAATGCAGCAGCACGGAACCATATGCGAGCCATGAGAAAGGGCGATCTGGCATTCTTCTATCACTCCAATTGTGCAGTACCAGGTGTTGCGGGAGTCATGCGTATTGTGGAGGAGCATCAGGTTGACCCTTCAGCATTTGACCCGGACCATCCATACTACGATGCGAAGTCCGACCGTGACAATCCTAAATGGGAAATGGTGAAAGTCGAATTTGTCAAAAAGTTTGATGGGTTGGTTACTCTGCGAGAGCTGAAGTCATTCAGCGATAGTGCCTTGGCTGGCATGTCTATGCTCAAGCAAGGCCGGCTCAGCGTTTCTCCTGTCACCGCTGCTGAATGGCAATTCATTCTTGACTTGGCTGGTGAAAAGGCATCACTGGGTCAACCTACTCTCGAAGGTGGTTATGAAACGGACATTGACAGCGCAGGTACTGACGGCGTCAACGACGATGTTGATGGTGAGAACACTCTCCCAAAAGGAACCGGCGACGATTCTGGCTTGAACGCTATCAGCAAAGCTCATATTGACGAGTGGGAATCGGCAGATGATGCTGTCGTTCCACAATCGCTTACTAATGGGATGTTGGACAGGTCTGACTAGACTAGACACCATCACCAATGATAGACACGTGCAATTCTCAGCCTGGTGGTCGCTCTCACATGGCTCACCAAGGGTACCAATGCAGAGTGCTACTGTCGAGCGGTCTCATTATGGCCTCCGTGGGGCTGTTTCCAAGAGAGGGGATTTCGCAAGGCGTTTGTGCTGTTGTTAAAGAGTGGAGGCAGTATTTCAGCAATGAAAATGAAAGCAAGCGCTGCGTCTTCAGCGAGCAAGCGAAGTCCGTAACAGGAACTAGTCGAGCATAAGATGTCTTTCTCGGCATTCAAAGTTCAAAACCGAGTTCATACAACCTTTTCTTGCTTCGAGCGTATGGGTTCTACATCGCGAGTAATTTAGACCACTGGTGATACTAGACAGCGACAGCGTTCACCCCACCGCAAAGCACGCCCACAACAAGTAATGTATGTCTACGCAACAAAGCAACATCCACCACAACCATCAAAGCAAAACCTTCATACACGTCATAAGAGCACGGCGTCTTTCTATCATCTCGGCCTCAACGCATAGATCCTAACGGGAAACAAGCCCAGTTCCTTGGGGAACCCCGTCTGCAGCTCTGTCTTGACGACCTTGAGCCCGGCTTGGTCAAAGGCCAGTCTCCAGTTCGCATCGCTGCGGGTGACGCTGCTGTCCTCGGCGTCGAAGACGTCGGCGCCGAATGCGTCGGTCGACAGGTTCTCCTTGACGATGATCCAGCCGCCGGGGAGGAGCAGGGGGATCAGGGACTGGAAGTACGATTTGAGAGACGCGAGCGACAGGTGGTTCAGGCACCATTGGTTGAAGATGAGGTCGTATTGTGGTTTGTTTAGGGTGGTGGACTCGGGGTGCTGGTGTGATGGAGTCGCGTCGGCTGTCCACTCTTGCAGTGGGAGGTTCCATACTCGCTGCAGCTGGTGCGCTTTCACAAGCGGGCTCTCGGGCGCGGTGAGCACGGCGGTGAATTTCTCGATCGGCTCGATTATGTCGATCTTGGCGCACAATGGCGCGAGGAGATTGAGCGTCACTCGCCCGATGCCGGCACCGGGCTCCAAGGCGTGTTGGAATGCGAACGATCCTGTTGACTTCTCGGTCGGACCGGTGGATTGGGGTTCGGATTGGTTGTTGTTGTTGTTGTTCGTCTGGATCGCATTCTTCATGTCGAATCTTCGAAGTTTTTGAATGAAGTTGCGTGAGAACTGGACGTCGATGCGCGAGACTTGTGGAAAGCCACCGAGCATGCCCGTCACGTCGGGGCTGATGCTTTGCCAGTAGTTGACCTGGTCGGCAATGGAGATTTGAGCGTCGGTGAGTGATGAGTCAGTGTCCATAGATGGATCAGGTGTTGTGGCACATGTCGATCCTGGCGTCGATGTGGCCCGTTGTTTTGAGTCCATTGACATGTTCTCTGATCGTAGTCGCGCTTTCTTTGAGGGTGGCATGCTTGCCTGTCAGTTTTGCCGAGTGGAACTATAATTTCCCTGACAATATCAGAAAAAGTCGACGTAGTTAAAGCTTAAGGACTGCTCCCAAGGAGGTTGAACTTATTTCCTTGTGATGCCTGAAGTTGACGGTGTTAACCTTTGGTATAACATATATATTAGATTTGGGATTTGACGTAGTTTCGATTCATTGGAGGAAGCACAAGAAAAGCACAGGAGGAAATTCAAATGAGTGACAGCTGGATAGTGGGACGAGGCTGAGTGAATGGCCTAAGAAGGCTAGCTCCAGCCTTGTAGTTCCAGGCACGTAGTACAACTTGAACTTGGCTAATCTTGGCTAGGTAGTTATCTAAGGTACTTCGTAGCCAGGGGCCTATCTCTAGGCATCTGGGAGCACCAGGTGCGCAGCTTCATAGGTACCACCCATGCCTATAAATTACGGATGTCGTATCTTGAAAGGATTTCGAAGAATACTTTCCTTTATCTTCGTTCTCAAAGTAAGTCTGTTTATCGAACGCTGAGGTCTCCTATTTTGCCATGTTGAATCACGTAAAATGTCGGAGAATTTCAAAGCCACAAAGTTGTTTCAATTCATGATCGTCTTCTGACAGAGAAAATACAGGCGGGTGCCCCATTGTTCAGCCGCTATTACGGGCGTCGAGTTTAGCATGTGCTTCGGGCAGGATACCGCAACATCCCCGTAACGGGTACCTGCAGTGTGCTCCAGTTCCCTGATGAGAGCCATTCTGGTTAAAGATACCTAGGTATCCCCGCCGGGGATTTATTCTTTCCAGTTGTTGTTAACTCTAAGCTAAGGGTGTTAACACAAACTACTACTCTTTCACCGTTTGCATTCCATAAGTCTCAAACCCGAGGCCTAGTTACCTAGGTAGTACAGCTTGCTAAGTCCCTGCATCCGATCAATACGAAGTTAGATATGTTCGTGTCCCTGTCTCTGGACAAGTCATGCAGTGTTCCCTGCATAGCATTTGTATACTGAGCGGTTGCCGGTCCTCGATCCCGGGATTGCGCTCGAAAACATCCCTGGCCGGCTTCAACAGGCTGAGATTCCTAGCCAACCTATCCACAGCCTGAGCACGTGTTTTAGGCACGAGTAGTACTATAGTGGAAAGAGTCAGCGATAAGGTCTCTAGGTGCCTACTCGGAGGTAGTTAGTGAGGGGTAATGTTTGGCTGCCCCTCCGAGTCGTTCAAGATTCTGTTCTTATCGTGGACGAAGAACCATTTTTCAATTTCTTATCGGAGCTTCGCGACAGGGTTTGGGCGTCGTGGTGGACGCGCTGATCACCGTTGCTCCAAACTCCCCTCTTCTCTCTCCTCTGTCCTCATTCATCTGAAGCTCAGTTTGCGGATAGAAGCTCCAATAGGCAACTCTTTCCACTGCCATTATTGATTAGTACACACGCTGCACGCTGGGGATTGTCGCGTTTCCATTTCAGCTCAATCTAGCACTTTCCACAACCGCGGTCCACCCCTCCAATCTGCATAACATCACTTGTTATTTGCCCGCCGGCTTTTTTCATTACATGTTCAAGCCATTCAAGTTGACCAGAGGTCTTGCTTCACATTCACGGCGTCTCCCTTTTAATTCCATTCTTGTCTCTTTCCCTTCCCTGTCACCTTGTTCCTCCACTGCAATTTCCCCCAGGCCTTACCAACGTTTCCTTTCCACCATGGCAGATCTCAAGGTTGAATTGACCGCACCCAACGGCAAGAAGATCACTCTTCCCACGGGTTTATTTATCAACAATGAGTTTGTCAAGTCAAGCTCGGGTGATAAGATCACTTCGATCAGTCCAACGTAGGTTCTTCATCACCCTGCTAATCCCACACCTTGAAGGACTCCGTCCTGCCCATTGCCTGACCATTCTGACATTCTCTAGCGACGAATCCGAGATCACTTCGGTCGAAGCTGCTTCGGCTGATGATGTAGACAAGGCAGTAAAGGCCGCACGCGCTGCATTCAACGATCCATCATGGAGCGAGCTTCCAGCAACCGACCGAGGTGCCATAATGTACAAGTTTGCAGACATTCTTGAAGCCAACAAGGAGATCCTCGCTACCCTTGAGACATGGGACAACGGCAAGCCTTACAGCGTTGCACTCAATGAAGACTTGGGCGAGGTTGTTGGTGTCATCAGGTACTATGCCGGATGGGCTGACAAGCTTCACGGACAAACCATCGAGACAAACCCTTTGAAATTCGCCTATACCCTCAAGCAGCCCATCGGTGTCTGCGCCCAAATCATCCCCTGGAACTATCCTCTGGCAATGGCTGCTTGGAAATTAGGCCCTGCTCTAGCTTGTGGCAATACCATTGTTCTCAAGCCTGCAGAACAAACACCCTTGTCGATTCTCTACCTTGCAAGCTTGGTTCCAGAAGCTGGTTTCCCGCCTGGTGTTATCAACGTCATTAATGGATATGGAAAAGAAGCCGGAGCTGCACTGGCCTCGCATCTTGACGTCGACAAGATTGCTTTCACCGGTTCAACCGCCACAGGCAAACAGATCATGAAAACTGCGGCTGTAAATATGAAGAACATTACTTTGGAGACTGGAGGCAAGTCGCCATTACTGGTGTTCGACGACGCAGATCTCGAACAGGCTGCTAAGTGGGCACACGTTGGCATCATGTCCAATCAAGGACAGGTCTGCACCGCCACTTCTCGCGTTATCGTCCAAGAGGGTATCTATGACAAATTTGTTGCTCGTTTCCAGGAGATTGTCAAGGAGACCTCCAAGGTCGGCGATCCATTCGCTGACGACACTTTCCAAGGTCCCCAGGTGACAAAGGCCCAGTATGAGCGAGTACTCAGCTACATTGATTCGGGAAAGTCAGAAGGTGCCAAACTTGCATCGGGCGGTGTCCCATATAAAAACGTCGGAGATGGCAAAGGGTTTTTCATTGAACCCACCGTCTTCACTGGTGTATCAGATACCATGAAAATCTACAGAGAAGAAGTATTTGGTCCATTCGTGGTGGTAGCCAGCTTCAAGGATGAGGCCGATGCTATTCGTATGGCCAACGACACAACATATGGCCTCGGCTCAGCTGTCTTCACCACCAATATCGAACGTGCCCACCGCGTCGCCGCCAAGATCGAGGCTGGTATGGTCTGGATTAACAGCAGCAACGACTCCGACTTCCGTGTCCCCTTCGGTGGTGTCAAGCAGAGTGGTATTGGTCGTGAGCTTGGTGAAGCAGGTCTCGCTGGTTACAGTCAGACCAAGGCTGTCCACGTCAATATGGGCTACAAACTATGAGTGGTGATTCATGGAGCTATGTGTCATCTGTTTGAAGAATAGTGATGGACCCACGATCGTGTTCGCAGCCAAAAGAAAACATAAATAGGAAAGCGAAGAGGAAATGAAATTGATGAATTGCCCTTCGGGAAGGACACTGTTGAGTGAAGACAATCCAAAAGCATTCTCAAAGGCTTAGCCTCCAGGACATCACTTTCTTGGTACAGCCCACTGATCATATGAGATCTCTAGTCTGCCACTGGTATGGCACGATATGTGGGTGGCACGATCGTGCCACAGGCTATATACTACTCAAGTAGTCATATAAGACCATTGAGCGTTCGAAAGCCTATCCTGATCAGATACCAGCCGACATTGCAGCGATTCTCTTGTTCTCCTTCAGTGATGTTTTCCACGCCGGCTTACCACTTGCGTACATATCATCAATTTGCTCCAATGTCAGTCGTCCAGTCTCTGGGACAAAGAAAAAGCACCCGAGCCAGATGATGAGCGATATCCCTTGAGTGTGTCAGCCAGGTGTCCACATTTGAGCCCAAGGGGCAAACAACCCGAAACTTACCGGCAAAGAAATATCCGATATTCAATCCCATATTACCATAGTTGGCGCTGATCATGTATGGAACAGCAAATGACAAACCAAAGGCGAAGACCTCGTAAACAACAATCGTAAATGCCTGTCCGTTGGTTCTCAGACGCACACTGTGCTGCTCGGCGGAAATCGTGGCGAGGCTGGCGCTGAGACATAAGCCATAGACAAAGTTCCAGAGACAGAGGAAAACGACGAGAACCAGCTGGGCCACACGACTTTGCGGTCCTAGACCAGTACCGACCGCGGCGATGAGCAGCATGAATATCCCCAGCGTGCTGTAGCCTGCCAGGAGACCGAATCGGCGACCCAGGTATTCCATCAGGGCTGGAGTACCAATGACTCCCACACATACGCAGGAAGCCATGATGACCGTGACGAGGTACGGGCTTCCGACACCGACACCCGCGAGGAAGATCACGGCATAGGTCGTGATGAATCTGATGCCTGTCAGGGCGATTCCCAAGACGACGATCAAGGCGGCGAATGTCCGTCTCAGGTTGACTCCACGGAGCAGCTCGAGGCCGCTTGCAGTCTTCATGGCGGCCAGTTCAGCTTCGATGTGCGAACTTGTCTGTTGCACCTGATAACTGATGATTGGATCATCGACGGCTTTGCCATAGTAAGTGGCGAAAGACCTCCGGGCTTCAGCCTCACGGCCCTTGGTGAGCAACCATCGTGGCGACTCGGGGAATGCGAATGTGCAGAGACCGAAGATCAGTGCGAGCGGAATGTGGCAGATGATCGGGGTCTGCCATGCCAGGTACGTCGTGTACTTGGAGGTCGCCAAACAGACGCAGCCGGCCATGGTTTGGCCGAGAGCAAGGCCCCAGCCGAACAGGGACAGAAACAGGCCGCGCTTCTCGGCCAGCAGCACCTCTGCTCCCCACAGCGGGCTCGCTGCGAGCAGGATCCCAAGGCCAACCCCCTGGATGCATTTGCACACCATGTAATTGAGATAGCTGCCTGCCGTCCCAAGCATGCCGCCGGCACCAACGGCGATCAGGAAACACGCTGCTCGTATGGCGCCTCGCCGCCCGCCGTATTTCCCAATGGGACCTGCAAGCGCGCCGCCGACGCCAATGAAAATGATGGCAACCGACACGAGCGATTGTTGCAGCGGCGTCAAGCTGTACTCGTGGACCACCGTGCCGTTGGCTTTCTTCACGGGTCCAAACGTCCCAAAGGCTTCCTTGAACGGCATCATCTGGAGCACGATCCCGCTGTATCCTGCATGGGGCGGACCTTAGCGCATTTTGTCCCGAAAGCGTCTTGATTCAAGGGACCGTTGGGAGAAGTAAGATTGGAACTCACCGAGATCGAAATTATACATCCATCCGGCCATACCCACGTAGAAGCCCAGGAACATCATCCTCTTGGTGGTCGTGGGACGGTCCACAGGCGCGCCATTGCTTGAGGTGTCGTCGATATGCTCTGCGACAGAATGCTGCTGCGTTGCTGCTTCCTTTTCCGCCAGATCCATATCAGACATTATGATTCTGAGAGCTGATGATAGTTGTGGATTCTTGGATTCGGTCCTTGTGTGTGACTTCTCCTATCCCTTGTCAATTGTGAGAAACAAATCAATGGCTTCCCCAGTCAGGGGATGATCCCCATTATAAACACTCATCCCCTCTAACCCCAGATTCCGATTCTTTCCCTGTTAGCATGGAACCATTTTGGCAATGAATCTAAGCTCTAACGACCTGTATTCCCGTCTGACCTGATCACTGAACGGTGGGGTGAGGTGGCTGGCCGAGACCCTCGGTTCTGAGCCGATGGTTTTTTGGATCCCAACACGGTTGAAGCGATGGTCGTTTCCGAAGTCAATTTTCTATTCCTTGGGATGTTGCTTCCCACCTTCGAATTCATGTTATGTCTGGAAAAGAAATTTATGTTCCCGAGCAGCAGTATCGTGTGATCAGTCCAGATTGCTTTCAGTAAAATTTTGGAGCGTGGAAAGATCATGTCTGGGCGCATTTTCTTCGTTACGGGCACGTCCAGTGGGTTCGGCAAAACCTTGGTTGAAGAAATCCTCGCTCGAGGAGACAAAGTCGTAGCAACTACACGAAATTCAAACAGTTTGAACTTTTCGTCTGCTACGCCAGAAAACTTCGTCTCGGTGGCTCTGGACGTCACCGATACAGCCTCAGTCACCAATGCATTCGATGTCGCTCTTTCCACCTTCGGCCGGGTCGATGTGGTCGTCAACAATGCCGGATTTGGACTTTGTGGCCCTTTTGAAGAACTCGATGAGAACCAGATATCCGAGCAGATGAATGTCAATTTCTTCGGCTGCGTTAATGTCACCCGAAAGGCGATCCAGGTCATGCGCGAGCAGAAGCCCCCGGGCGGGCTGATCCAGCAAATCTCAAGCATGGCAGGACAGAAAGGCATGCCGACTTACAGTATATACTGTGCGAGCAAATGGGCGCTCGCAGGCTTCACGGAAGCGGTCGCGGCAGAGATGAAGCCGGAATGGGGCATCAGTTTCACTTGCCTTGAGCCTGGAGGCTTTCGCACAAACTGGGCAGGATCATCAATGGTATTCCCCAAGCGTCGTCTTGCAGAATACGACCACCTCGATGCGAGAGAGCGAGCGAGCAAGAGGCACGGCACACAAGTTGGTGATCCTCTCAAAGCAGGCAAGGCAATCTATGACCTTGCTGTCATGAAGGAGCCGCCAACTCGCATTGTTCTCGGATCGGACGCGTACGATCTGGTCATGGCGAAGCTGGATGACTATCGTAGGATATACACTAGTTTCGAAGAGTTCTCAAAGAGCACTGATGTCTCGGAATGAGGTCGATGATTGAGTTAGTCCCTTGGATAGATTCGAGTGGATAGACCGGGTAGTAAAATTTGCTTCGTAGGGAGCGACAAAATGATAAAATATAGATCTGGTTGAGTGGAAGACTTAGTTACACTGGCCGCTCTCCGTTAGGCGGTGCAAGTCGCTAGGAAGGTTGCTCAAAGCAGGACGACCCGCACCCCTAACCTCTCATCAAGCACCCCTGGCGGCCGATATCCAAGGCAGCCTGTTGAAGAGCCTGAGGGGCAGCCCTGGAGATTTCCCCACGTCTGACGTGACGAGCTGAGCGTTGGAGACTTTGGGTGACCGCTATGTGCTTACCCTTCGACTACCGCGTAGTTACCCTGCCTTCCAAACATTGCTGCTTTCTTAGCCTAAAGTACCTTCTCCTATAGGCACCCACTAGGTATGGACCCACCTAAGTCAGGTACCTAATCTAGAAAGGATCACTACCTAGGTACCTAGGTAGGAAAGCACGGGCTTTCCTGAGCAAAATATCTTCACTGTCAATATGTTCCTTCCTATCCGAAGGTCTCCCTAAACGTTTCTCGAATGCACACATCAAGGCACCAAATGATTATTCTCTTGTCATGACAAATCGAAGACAGTTCACGAGCTGCGATGCGTGCAGAAAATCTCGAATTCGCTGCGATGCTGCCAATCGAGATGGGTCCTGCTCGAACTGTGCACGTCGAAAGAAGACATGCAGCTTCCAGGTTGGTGCTGATTAGGACGTCTTATCATTGATTCACACTCTGACTCCTTCAGTGGATCGAGCATTTCACTGGTGGTCGACACCGGCATTCAAGTGAACGATCCACTCCTCGAGGGCCACGACACACGGACAGGGAGACAAGTATCACGGTTCCAGACACAGAAGGCAGGTCTGTTTGTCAATTTGCGCCTTCAGCCCGATTAGATTCCACGACAAATCGAAGACAACATGCTCTGACACTACACAACGTGTTGTGGGATATTTTTACCACTCTTTATGAGCCGCAGCTTGGTTTGTGGATGGGGACTGACTGCAATCCTTTCAAGCGGATAAACACTGTATGTCATTGGGATCCTCTCTTCCAGTAACTAACGGAGCCAGGCTCCGAAGACATTGATAACCCGGTTGATGGTGTTACTGGACAGCACCTCAACATGGTTCCCTACAAAGACAACTGCCATGAAGCTCGGGCTTCCAGATGTCGAGATACCTGCTGAAGATGCTGTAACACAAGATCGGCTTGTCAATCAGGCGCTGATAAGTGCTGTCCACGCCTTCTCTGCGCGATGGCTACCCTTGAGTTGTTTTGGGGAAGTTAACCAGCCAAAGTCGCCACATCTACTTGTGGCAAAAGAACATTTTGTGGAGTGTATCTGGAAACGGGCGCAAAAAGATGTCGAGAAGGTTTTGACAATACCAAGCTATCGTTCAATCCTGGCATTGTACCTATTTGGCGTCACTCCAACTTCGTCCAAAAATGCAGAAAGGCAGATTGCAGATTACTGTATGGAGACGGCCCTTCGGCATTATGTGCGACTCAGAGCACGGAAGTGTATCACAGCCAGCTCAGTGGTCCCAGTGGGTTCAGATATGACTCAAGACTTTGGCAGCAATGACCGCATCATTGGGACGCAAGACGCACATCATGAAGAACACCAACATCTAGAGGATACTGCATATTGGTTCGGTATTGTCATTGACGGCTCTAGAGCTTTGACCCGATGTCAGCCATCGGTTCTGCTTCCAGGCTTGACAGGAGATTCGAGAGTTTGGGACCTTATCAAGAGGCAATCGGAAAATTCAGCCAATGTGTTTCGCTCGATTTCAAGCGCGAAGACACTGTTAACTGATGAGACGGTAACGATTATGGTCCAGTATGGCTTTCAATGCAAAACACTTTTCTGGAAAGCAGTTTCTCGTCTTCAGGAATGCCTCTTCTACCAAAGTATCGAAGTTTCACTAGCAGTAGTACTGGGAGACATCGAGCGAGAGATCACTCGGTTCGAGAAGAATTTTACTCACTTTCTTGACAAATGCGGGAGAGACTATATCCTGCTATCCGTTAAATCGCGAATTAACTATTGTAAGTCGTTTTCTCTCTCTCTCTCTCTCTCTCTCTCTCTCTCTCTCTCTCTCTCCTGTTGTTCTTCACTAATTAAATACAAAGTGATTCTCAGCTTTCATTTTCACCTAGGGATACTGATTCTAGTCGACACGCTCGACTGGCACCATGAGGTTTTCCAAAGAGATCTAACCATAGATGTCGAAGCTCATAGACTCTCATCGACTCGAGCAATAGTGACTTCGATAAATCTAATGCTATCACAAAGCGATACTTTCGCAGGCGACGATCCCACCAGTATCATTCTCAAAGACCCCTACCCCGAACATACTAGGAATGGACTTTCGAGGGCTGCGTATTCTGTTCTGAAGATGTATGCCGCCTCGGCGCTTCCTAAGCAGGTAGCAGAAATCATGGCTTCGTCTCTCTTCGCCGGATTAGAAGTGTTGAAGCAAATATCATATTCAGCAACAGAATCTTTGAACGGTCTGTACGAGGAGTACGCGAAGTCTGACCTAACGTTGAAGCGTCGGCAACCTGTACCGTCAACCAACTTAACAGCGGTGCCTTCAACATACGGGGTAGCACTCACCCCGGAGCTTTTTGAGGAAGCCACGTTCAGACAACTCGACCTAGCAGGTGAAGATCCATTTCTGGTCAACAAGACAATTGGGCGCCATGAGGTAAACGAACAAACCGACGACTTCGCCTGGTTCGATCTAGATGGTGCTGATCTAGAATGGATGAACCAAGATTGGTCTTTTCAGGTGAGCGTGCCTTGCAAGCCAACCTGCCATCTATGTGACTAACTTTAAGATCAGGATTGTTTCTCAAGCGCTTGAAGCAACTTGCTAGAAGATCTCGGCTGGGTACACTATGCGATACGTCTCATCCAAACTTCCGATTTGTCTACAGAGGATGGCTTGGAGCAAAGACTTGGAATGCAGAGCACTCGGCTCTGAGCCGTATTCGTTGCGCTTTTTGCCAAGAAATCGGTTCACAACCTAGAGTCAATCTCTCAAGCCGAGGGTGACACTCGCATACGCGAGTGAGGACGGAGGACTCGAGGAAGCTGATTCCTTGAGAGGAAAAGAAGATGAAGCTCTCCTGGCGTATAATTTTCTCCATACTCTTCTTCATCCAGGCTTGATATCGTTGGGATCCACGTTCGCTGCTCGTCTGCCGATTCTCGGATGCGAGGCTAAAGAGCGAGCCATGCTTGCTGTCAAGCCGAAGCAGTGGGACGGATCAACAAACAACTATAGCTGATGGAAAGACCACTCACCTGTCAGACACATCCATGCAATGATTGCTATCTTCGAATCTCGGACCCAAGAGCTTCTCTTCGTGAGGAAAAGTCCATAGAGTTCACATCGTCTACACTTCGTACTGAACTTCTTAAGGTTTTGAATTCTCTCCAGAAATGGCCACTGAAATTATGTATGCGCCGATGGCAACCATGTCATTTGATGGCTTGTCAACAAGTATCGAGAAATCAGTGCGCATGAGCTCTTCTGAACCACTGCACTCCCCAATTCCTCTTGAGGCGAAGAGGATACTGATGGAGTGCTTACTCGGCAACAAAGCTCTGGACATGCCACTGGAGGTTGCCGACAGAGCGTCTGAAGTCACATTCACTCCTCAGATCAATTCTTTCATGCCAACTCCTATGAAAATGACCGAGTCTGTGTCTGCGCTATGGGCTTGTATCGGATTATTTGCAACCACCATTGTTCAGAAACGATACAACAACTCAGAGCGTATGAAGATCGAAATAGATGCACAAGCCGCGACATTAATGCTCTCATCCCTTGTTTTATTTGAGATCAACGGCAAAGGAATCGCTGACAAGGAATTCAGTGCGAGAGGGGCACATCTCGACAAGGGTCACATAAGTGAAACATATCGGGCTATGGCCACAAACATGTAAAGAGTGGTGCTAAATTCAGAGCCAATTTGTTACTGATATGCGTGCAATAGCTATGAGACTGCCGATAAACGATGGTTTCAGTTACACGGTAGTATGGATACGACTTCGATACTTGAAATGCTTGGACTCCCACAACACCAGCCAGTATCAAGTGAACCAGCAATAGCACATCGAGACGCAATGAAAGACATATATAAGGCTGCAATAGCCCAATGGGACAGTCAAGCTCTTGAAATTGAAGTCAATGAACGATGGCGACAGCCCGGAGTGACCTGTCTGACGAAGGAAGAGTATGCTGCAACAAAACACGGGCAGATGAGCATAAAAGAGCCACTATACAATATAAGAAAAATCCATGATCCGCTACCACCTGCGCCATGGTCACAAAATACCAACGGGAAGCAACAGCAGCCCTTATCGGGTATCAAGGTACTCGACCTGACGAAGGTCATCGCGGGCCCCACAATCACAAGAGTACTTGCTCTCATGGGGGCGGATGTGCTCCGTATCTCCTCTGAAACGACAGCTGATGCAACCTTTGCACTATTTGACGGGCAGTTGGGAAAGAGAGACACTAATCTGGATTTGAAAACTCGTCAGGGCCGCGCTTGCCTCCAAACGTTAATGCAGGATGCCGATGTGGTAGTCGATGGCTTTCGACCTGGTGTCCTTGAGAAGCTCGGTTTTGGGTCAACATGGGCACATGAAGTAGCAAGACGGAGGGGAAGAGGGATGATCTACTGCCGCGAGAACTGCTACGGATGGACTGGAGAGTGGAGTGACCGGGCGGGATATCAACAAATAAGTGATTGTGTGAGTTATGTTTTCCCTATTCAATTCCATGGCATATTGATAATCTGTTGGACAGGTATCAGGAGCCTCCTGGGAACAAGGCAAATTCCTCGGATTGAACGAACCAGTTGTACCGCTACTCCCCAACTCGGACTATCAGTAAGCCACAAGTCTTACGGTAGCTATAGCTAAGCTTACTCGTTCACTAGAACAGGATTAGTCGGTGCCGTTGCAATCATGCAAGCTCTCCTGCAGCGAGCATCTATCGGCGGCTCCTACGATGTTCAAGTCTCACTAACACAATTTAACAACTGGTACCTTCACCAGGTTGGCCTACACGATTCAGTGACTCGATCATCCTTACTCACACTCAATCCTGGGTTTCTGCCTCGCCATGACATGGACATCTTCGAGTTGATCACCAAGACCGTTGAGCAGACGAAAACACTAAGCGAAAGCGATGTGGGCAGGCTCTGGGATCCGGCAAAGTTCACGACTGGGCCGATCCGTTGGGCCGGCCCTGAAGGTGAAATGGCCACGTATCTGGATTGGCGTAGGATCGTCACGGTTAAGAACGTAGGTGACGGTATTGAGTTTGACGACGGAAATGAGACCGATCTGGTCATCTTTGACTTTGAACATGGTTCTTGCCTACCTGGCTCGGACGAGCCGAAGTGGCTTTGACCCTTAGACGATGACAACTTCCATGGCAAGTTATATCAATTACTTTGAGTTTATTGCAATTTGGATGACTATTTGAGGGTATGAGCACCACTCGGCTACATGAATTGTTCTGCCCATTGGCTGTAGAGCATTACCATCTGGGTCAAACTACCACATTTTCTCCCAGGTCCTGCTGAAAAAATTCAACTGTGCCAGTCTTTCGTGCTCTTTCTCTTTCGCTTCCGGACTCTCCCAGTGTGCACATTCTTCGTTGACCTCGGCCAGACCGGTATAAAGATCTGCATTTGCTGGAGAAACCCACTTTGTCTTTTTGTAGACCTTCCAGAACACGAACATGACGACTCCAAAAGCCAGCCCGAAATAGAATGTGACGAAACCCTGTGTGTCCCAGGGGACGAAGACATCAAAACCCATGAAGATCATGCACACACACCCAGCAACGATACCGAACCAGGCCGTGTAGGGTGCGAATGGGACGTGGTAGGGAAGTGTCTTGCGATCTAGGCCCTGTGCTTTGCACGCTTCGTACCACCTTGTCCAGACGAAGATGTACGTTGTGTAAACCAACACGAAACAGATTGTAGTGAGGTTGACAAACCAGTAGAAGACCGTGACGGCACTGTTTGATGCGACGAGGTATGTGAGGCATCCAATTAGGGACACAGCTGTTACACACCAAATGGGCACGCCTGCTTTGGTGCATTTGAGGAAGATTTTCGGTGCTTGGCCGTCTTGTGCAAGGGAGAATAAAGTACGCGATGTCGAGTACAGATATGCATTGCCACAGGAGAAGCCGGACAGCATAATGACAACATTGATGACAGATGGAAGGCCTTCGATGCCCAAGTTCTGAATGCCGACCACCCAGGGAGAAGCAGCAGCGCCAGATGCACCACTCTTGAGAGCGCCCAACAGGCGAGTGTCGCGCGAAGAACAGAGGATTCCGACTGCAAGTACTCCGACAATGTAAAAGCCCACCAGCCGGTAGAAGACAAGTTTAGCTACTCGTGGAATGGTTTTTCTCGGATTCTGAATTTCGCCGGCCGCCATGGTGATCAGATCAGGGCCCGCGATCGTGAATGCCGCGTAGCGGACACAGGTCCACCAGGCCAGAAAGCCTCCTGTTGTACCACTGGTGTAGTAAGCGTGTGTGGCGAGTCCGTTTTTCCAGTAGCGAAAGCCGTAGGCGTCGTGCTGAGGATTTCCGCCCACCATAGTGATGAAGGTCAATAAGATGAGGCCGACGAGTAGGATAATCTTGGTGGAAGCCATGATAAACTCGGTTTCGCCGTACCACTTTACAGCCACGACGTTAAAGAAATAGCAGACCACGATCGAGATTGTGACCCAGGCAGCTGGATTGATATCGGAGTTCCAATACTGAATGACTGCAGCAACGGCCGAGTGTTCAACGCAGACCAACATCGAGCCACCGAAGAAGTATGTCCAACCAAGAGCAAACCCAGCGGCTGGGTCGACGTAACGACTTGCCAATTCGAAGATTTGACCTTTGATGGGAAGGTAGGCGACCATTTCTGCCGTGTATAAATTGCAGGGCCAGATGAAGCCTATTCCCCAAAACATGTAGCCGAGGAGGAGTGAAAGAGGACCGGCTCTAGAGAGACTGCCTCCAATACCGACGAAGAGGGCTGTGCCAATACTACCTCCGATAGCCATGAGCTGCACATGTCTGCTCTTGAGACCTCGTTTGGTGGTGCGCATTCCTTGCACATCTGGTCTGGCCATACCCTGCTCATTGATGCTCTTAGTATGGGTCATGGTACCGGGAGTGATGGTGTGGACTGGAGACATCGTCTCCATGTCCGGAGTTTTCTTTAAATCTTCTGAAGACATGTCTGAATGCTCTGAGCGAAGAAGCTGCAGAATGAAGGCAAAGTTGCAGCTTCCGTGGAGTTGGTGGAAGCCCTCATATATGAAGCTGCTTCGCCCAGCATGCGGCCAAGACTGTGACTGTCACCGAGGCATCTTTATCAACGTCGAGATAAAGTACTCAGTAAGCGAGACTGCTGGGCCAAGTGAAGTTGTTTTCAGGGATCTAGAAGATAAGAGCGGAGATGTTCGCGTGTGGCATAACTGCTACAATGGTACAAGCTTCTCCAGCGGACTACCTATCTAAGCAGGCTTAGATAGATACTTCCGCTAAGAAACCCCCCTCACAAACTAAGAGATCCACGTGGAGATCTCAGTTTCGACTCTCCGCATTTTCGCCGTTTCCTGTCAGAGCCCATCTCAAATGTAGGTTTCTACGAGTAGGCGATAAGGAGATAGAACTGTCCAGAGTTCCAGGGATTCTGGCGTACTTCTCCCAAATAAGCAACAATTGCCCCCCGCGACGCGCTTCAGCCAAGCCTTACTCACTCCAATCTCTTAACAATGGGTACCACCGAAGGTTCTATTCCCTATCATGGCCAATGATGAGCATCCTATTTGTTATCTTACGTCCGGGGCTACAGGAGAGTCAAAATGCGCTGATATGCAAAGGGCAACGATTATGGCCAATGATGGAGCAGAAATAGATATACCCCTACAATTGCTCGCTGACAGCTGCATTCACTTACGATGGCTCGCTGACGGATGCCATTTCCACGAAATCATGTCCTCGTAGTCGCGGAGCCAAGGCTTTGGCGAGGATAAGAGTGATCCTTACCATTTTAGATGAACGAGATAACACTACATCGATATCTCGAGGCTGGGATGCTATCGCCATTTGACGTAGCTAAAGCTGCCCTCAAGGTAAAGATTGAGAGAGTGCATCGGTTGATGGCTTTGCCACTGTCGTAGTCACTATCCATTTTCGACCCTTGCGCATAGCATCTTTCCGTCTGCTTCTGGATATCATGGAAGGCGATACATACTTGCAGCGGTAGAGAGATGCCGATGCGCCATCACGCGAGAGTATTCGTCAATCGATCTGCGCCATTCGCACACGATTTTGGCTGCGTGAGCTTATCATAAGTGTAACTTATCATTCGTCCAAGCCGCTCAGGATGAGATCGACAAAAGTGGTCAAGATATGGAGAGCTAGTGCGAGACAGGAAAATTTAAGGAGAAGCTAACCTATTTCGAACGCTCGTAGATCGAGGCCTCCACGTACACCTCAATTGTTTGGATGCACATCTTTCGATTGCTTCAGGAGCAAGAGAACAATGATTTTTCTTACGAAAAAGAAAAATATCAAAGGGCGCATCGACAGGGACTTGATGCTGAGTGGGAGGGGAATAAGTACCGGTTCATAATACTCAGACGAACCGTTCCATCTCGGATTTTTCGACCAAACCATCTGAGCAGCATTCTAACTTCATGGCTGTGCTTCAAAAGACACTGCCCGCCACTTGGTATACCAGTGATAAATATCACAAACTAGAACGAAAGGCTGTATTCTTGCGTTCGTGGTTTTTCTTGGGAACCGTGAACAAGTTTAAAACTGGTCAAGCCGTTGGTTATGAAATTGCTCAGGTGAAGCTGACCGCAAGAGGCGAAGATCTCGCAGGCGAGATCACAGTGAGAGTGTTTTTCGACCAGAATGTACGTCCAATAATGCAGTGGCACTGAAATCGTTACTAAAAACCACCGGAACAGGGTGAAGAAGTGCAATCTCACCAGACACGCTCGGGCCTCGTTTTTACAACGATTTCATCAGATGCCCCGTCATTCAACGAGTTCTTCCCAGGCCTCGAAGAGCTGCTAGAGTCCTACGACTTCAAGAAGCTGCCTCACCGACGGAAACTGCACTACACTGGCAAGTACAATTGGAAAACCATGATAGACGGTTTCCAGGAATGTTTGCACTGCCAATACTGTCACCCGGGGCTGTCGAAGCTTTATCCGACCGAGACATACCACGTTGTCAATCACCAGAACTGGAGTCGTCATTATTCGGACCCGAAGTTCGAAGACGATGGACTGTTCCTCTACTTTTTTCCTAACACCACGTTGAATCTCTACAACGGCGGCATGTCCTCGTTCCGTGCCTGTCCGAGCCCAGAAGTCGGTGTTTCCAGGATGGAATTCGACTACTACAACGATAACTCTGCAGATGAATTCGAAGTCTACTACAAGTTCGTTCGTGAGGTTGCAGATGAAGATGGTGAGTTATGTGAGAATGCACAAAAAAATCTAGAGAAAGGAATCTATTCCCAGGGAATTTTGAACCCAGTCAAAGAGACTGGGGTTTCCCGTAAGCATGACCCCCTTTGACTTTGAGATCGGCATCGGAAGATTGACCTCCCCTTAGATTATCAGCAAACCGTCCTCAAGATGGTGATGGCTCAGCATAGGAGTGAGGTATCTACGTAGAGTGATATCAGAGATATCCGGATGATAAAGTCAGATAAGACTATAGTACTACATCTTTGCAGATTCTGTAGGTGTGATAAACTGTAAGTGATAGGAGAGATCAGAAAAATAGCCCAATACTTTGCCCTTGGGCGTAAGCTTTGTATAATGAAACATTTCGTAGACAGTCATAGGAAGCTCCTAAATTAGTACAAGAAACCCTAGATCAACTCACAAGACTCACGCATCCCGTAAGAATTGCCATTACGTACAGCAAGGCGAGAAAAAGTAATGAGGCGATGGGTGGTCGCCGGCCCACTCCCGAGAGTCAATATCTAATGACCTATAAGAACGCCATCCGCACAATGTTCAGGATGCTTCAGAATCAAGCATGAGAACTACCTTGACTCTGTCCTGTCCACATATAAACGAAACTCATTTTAACAAAAACCTATCCTTAACTAAATACTATGTCCAGACAGGCGCAGACATGGGGCGCAATCGCGGTCCTGACCGTGGTTGGCATCGTGTGGATCAAGCGGCAGCAGCAAACAGCGATCTACGAGCCACTGGGGAGGTCTTCGCTACGAGAGATGCTTACTCGAGTCGAAGATGAAGAAGGCACGGATGGCATGGTCACCAAGGAGTCCGAGTACCCCTCGAACTGGTGGACGTCGAGCGAGCTCTTGGACCTCGAGCGCCGGGCGATTTTCTCGAAGGTGCAGACGTTTTCTCCCAAAATTTTGTTTTACATATCGAACGCAGACTGACTGTGCCAATAACGTAGGTGCCAATAGCGCTCGCACACGCAAGCATGTTCTCCAAGCCCGGCGCCTATCGCGTCTTCGACCACCCGTCAGGCTACCCAATCTTCCTCGTCCTGGGGAAGGATTCGGTCCTGCGCGGGTTTCACAACGTCTGCCGCCACCGCGCTTACCCTGTCGTCTCGACCAAACGGTCCGGGTGCACGCCGGTCCTGAGCTGTAAGTACCACGGCTGGAGCTACGACCTTCGGGGGAATCTTGTCAAAGCCCCCAAGTTCGATGGACTCGAGGGATTCACCAAGGCCGAGAACTCTCTCTTCGAGGTCAGCGTTGGCGTCGATGGCGATGGAGTCGTCTTTGTCAATGTCGGCGCGCTTCCTGGACCGTCCACCGCGGTGGTCGTCGCCAGGTTCAGCAAATACCGCGTCGAGTCGTGGGACGTTGACGTCGGCTTTAATTGGAAATTCGCAGGTGAATCCTTCTTTCTACAGTTGAGTTCGGCTGCACAGCTCTAACAATTTTGTATCAGAATTTTCAGATACTTTCGATCTTGCCCAAACTGTGGAGAAATATACTCCCAACTGCCCGTCGGCTGCTCTGCTTAGCCTGCTATCTCTCCAGAAACGCACTGAAAATATCAAGCCCACCGTGCTCACCGAAATCCTACATTTTAAGGGGCTCAGATCGACGCTCATGATCAAAGTGCGCCCGGTCGACGGCGGAAAGAGCATTTTGGAGTGTGCGTTCTACTCGACCTCTGCGAATCTAGACTCATCGTCCCTACTTGATGATATCAAACAACAATTAATGAACCGTATTACGTTTTTGGAGACGGCATTCGAGAAGACCAAGCATGCGGTTCCGCAGTAAGCTTGCGACCACTGACCCTCTGACCAACCCCCAAAGACTAATTCTATCGTGATTTCACCAGATCCAACGAGAGTCACCTTTCAACCATTCTGGGATGGGTGAAGTCTCATAGAAACCGTGAGGCCTCTGTCGGCAGACCTATCTGGCCGGCTTCGGATATCATGGCCACCGTGAGAGCGAACGATAGCGCGGCAGAAAACTGTAAGTGCAAGTCTTGTCTAGATCGTCGAACGTGGGTTGCTAATGAGATGTAATAAAGTATGCCGAGATCTCGAGGCATCGCAACCTGATGTTGGAATCGACATTGAGAAGCATAGTGCGAGTGAAATCTCATGGTGAGCGTGAATCCATGGAGGCTGGAAAACGATGAGTCGCCTTAGTCTAGCTCTCTGGCCAGAGTCACTGAGACAAGGTGATATGTGGGATGACAATGCTTTGAGAAAGACGTTGGTGGAAGCTGATCGGTGAAAGCTGGCGGGTTGTGACGGTCGACAGAGCTGTCCATTATCTCAATAGTTGAAATTTGTAAACAGTAGTCGATATAATAGCTCACACCGCAATGATCTGCAACCCACGCCTCTCCCAATCCGCAGCAAGTCTGATCCAGTCCGGCTTCGCGCTCTCCCACAACTCCTCGTGAAAAGCCGCGATCCTGCTGTAATACCAGAACTCGGTCTTCTCGAGCATGACCTTTGTGAGAAACCGCACCAGACGGATCCGTTCGATATTCGGCCAGCTACAGATTCCCGCCACGAGGATCGGCCAAGCGAGATTATACAGCGACGTGCCGAGATCTTCGAACTGGTCGAACAGACGGAACAGGCTTGAGGTGTGGTATTCTTCGTGTAGGGCCTCGTTGGAGATGCGGAGCCGCTTGCACCCGTAGAGGATCCCGGCGTGGTGGTAGATGCGGACGATGCGGGTGAAGTCGTCGGTGATGGGTCGGCCGGAGCGTGCGCGCATCGCGGCCGCGGCCATGATGGTCGATGAAGACGCGAGTTCGAACCCGTCTTCGAGCTCGCCGATGGATGGGTGTTCTGTCTCTGTGATGGATAAGGTCGTGATGTGGTGCACATAGGAAAGAAAGCGGCCGAACATGACTTGTTCCTGCTTGAATATCGGCAGTGTCGCTTGGCTGATATACTCCGGGTCGAAAATCGTCGTGCAGACCAAGACGTCGTGAATGGCCGCCTGGTTCTGGAGGAAGTCGAATAGCTCCTCGTCTGAAGTGCCGGTGTAGGCGATTGCCTTGATCAGGATGCGGACTGCATGCCGATGGAGCTGCGCTTGGCTTATCTCAGCCCCGAGAAGAGAGTGGTTGGAGAGTATGAGCATAGCAGCAAGCGTTGCTTCATTGGTGCTGGCGGTCATGCGCACATCAATGGGTGATTGATCGCGGAACTCGACGTCAGTCATCTCCCGCACGCGCTCGGTGATCAATCGCAGTGCAGCCTCGTATGCTCGACGGGAGAAGCCTTCGTCGACGTCGAAACTATGCGGTGCACGCGCCGCCGCGATCGCCATGACCGCGAGTCGAAGCACTTGCTGCGTCTCGGCAAGAGGAACCACCAGTCGCTTGTATTCGTTCTGCGTGGAGTCCAGCCACACCATGAGGGGGGCAATATTGGAAGAGTAGAACTCCAAAAGCTGTCTCGATATCGACAGCGGTAATGCCTCCGGACTGTGGACCGGCAGCGCTGGCACACTTGCATCTAGCAAAGAAGGCTCCACGGGTATGATGGGCTCGCCATCAGGGGAAGAAACCTTAGTGGCCGAACCACGTTTTCCATCAGGCGGAGACGCACGATCGTGCGTGGCCACAGATACCCATCGGAGTCGATTGCCATAGCCTGGACAGTCCAAGCGCTTATTGTTGCATTTGACGCACGTGGGGAGTGTGCGGTCGCAGCGGATGCGGCGGCGGTTGCAAGTATGGCAGTCTTGATGAATCCGTCAGCCAGAGGCGCTCCATCGGCCGAGAAGAACCTCCTTCTTACCTTTGCCTGCAAGCACGTTGGGCGAAGTCGACATGATCCTGATGATCAAATCTCCTCACCGAAAGAGGCGCGTTCGCCAAAACACGAGGCTAGCTTGTCACATCCGCTCATAGGGAGACTCTCTCTAGTCCATCGCAATTCTCATTCATCCCTCTGCTTACCCGCCTAGTTAGTGATCGGACAATCAAGGTGGTCCCTTGGATCTTAACAGGAAGTTAGCTTTCATGACAGACGATTTGCCAAAGTATGATAACAACCGCCAAGCCGGGTGACTCAAACCTGCTGTTCGAGCCTCGTAGGTCAGCTGTTCGGCCTCACCAAATCCTAGTCTACAGGCAGATGTTATCCTGTGTCAGGGGAAATAAATATCATCACTGGGTCTAGTTGCTTGTAGATAGATCTGAGACGGCTAAGCCAATGGACACCCAGACTGGTTCTGATGAAATCAATTACTTTCAATTCACGATTTGAGTCTGTCCGTGACCACTACTTGATTCAGCTCTCCACAGCCCTCACTTCAGGACTCCATAAACAAAGCCAACGCCGTGATCTGCTAGTTTAGCGCTTTGGATTCCATTACCACAGCGGAAAAAAAAAGAACCAAACGCCTATCCCCTGCGGAGCAATTCCATATCACCATGCTAACTAGTGCCCCAGTTCCATGGACAGCCCAGTTCATTCTCCCCTCAAGAAACATATTCTCAATCCTGCTTCCTCAACGGGCTTCCGACCACAGGCTGAAAGGCAATATTGGCCGTTGCGGCAGCAAGAGTTCTACGTCGCATGTCCTTCCCCTTGCCACCAGCGGCACCTTTACCCCGAGTCACACCATTCATCTTGACCTGAAACTTCTTCATCTCGCCTTTCATCTCACCATTCTCAGCGTCTGCTCCGTTCAAGGTTGAATCGCGCTCGGCGCCATCGTACATAAGTGAGTTGTCGCTTTCCTCGTCGCGCTCAAAGAGACCTTGTTGGATTTGCTTGGGAGGTGCACTCATCTGGACCAGGCTTTTCTCTTTGGCGAGAAGATATGGTGTCATTGGCGTGGCTGCAGTGCGTGGATCGTAGTCGACTGCCAGAAATGCACCCTCAGGAGTCGAGACATCCATATTGCGAGTCAAGAGTCTGAAGTTCGGCGTGCCTTCAATTTCGGTTTCGCCTTCCTCTCCAGCGTCGTAATCCGCCAGCAATTGACGCAAGTCGGTTGTCTCACCTCCACCACCAATAGTGGCAGCTATTGGGGAGTTGAAGGTAGATGAGAGTTCAGATTCGTCACCAATATGAGCATTTGCAACAATAGACTCATTGAAGTCTGCTTCGGAATTGTCATCTTCAACACCTGTAAGCTGTTCTTTGCCTCGGACTGGCGTGTTGATCAGATCCATTTTCATCTCATTCGTCAGGCCAGCATATTCTGCACTGATAGAGCGTCTTCCATCACGTTTCGCGGAGAGAAAGCCATTGGCATTGATCAACATTCTCGGTTCCATTGACTTGCGTCTTCTCGAACCACCTCGAGGTAGGATTGTTGAGTCCACCTCGTAGGATGCCTCATCTAGCCATTTGCCTTCGCGCTCGCAGTCAAGAACCCATCCCACGCCAACGCACAGAACTTGCCCTTTAGCTGCACGCACTTTTTCAAGAGTTCGCTTTCCACCGTCTTTATAGATGACGTGTGTCATTCCGATGCTTGTGCCGGGTGTCTCTGCGATAGGTGAATTTTCTCCATTCGATGTTTGGGCGACGCTTGCACGGGGGTTCCATCTCCAGTCTCTGACACATCGAGCACCCATCGAAGTCAGTAGTTCCACATAGATCCCGGATGCATCTGCACCTTCGCTAGTATGAACGTCTACATGAACCACAGCTCCTGTTAATACGCCATCACTGACTGCCTTGAGTGGTGTGCGACTTGGGACTGGAGTTTTGAGAGGAGTCTTGCCCTTTGAAAGTGTGATTGGTGTCTTGGTCTTAGCAGTCGCAGGAGTTTTAGTGGTTGGCACAGCGACTTTCGACGGTGTAGGGTTTGGGAGCACACTATTCCGGCTCTTGCTGGATTTGGTACTCATGGCATAGCGTGGAGTAGGCCCTTGCTTTGACTGAACAGATGAGATGGCGCTGTTGGGTCTCTTTGCCGACATCGCTGGAGTCTTGAACAGGGCTGAGCCAATGGTCATGAAACTCTCCTCCTGTCTGTCTCCATCCTCATTCCGAGCAGGAGTTGTGGTCTCAACAATGTCATCAGACATCAATTCATCCTCTGGCAAATCAATCCCATCCAAAGTGCTGTCGCCAAAATCGTCAATAGCAAAGCTCATTTGTCCGGGTGTAGTAACACTGGAGAAAAGTGAATGTGCTGGACTAGGGGCTGCACTACGAATGCGTCTTTGGGGAGAAGAACTGATCTTGTCATTTGCCTTTGGAGTGGCAAGCAATTGATTTCTTGCGCCTAGAGCGTCAGGACCGAAGCCAAGGCTTCGTCTCTTGACGGCCATTGTCGGGGCAGCAGACAAGGATCGAGCTCGCTTTCTCATAACTTTCAATGGCGAAGAAGCGGCAGGAATATCACCCTCGGGACGTAGTGGAACCTTCGAGACCACAGTGTTGATATATCGCGGGAGGCTTGGATCAGGCCGAATAGGTGTAACATTGAAATCGATAGGCTCAATATCGTCGCTTATGTTGGCAGTGTTGGATGCCACCACTGAGGGCGTGATCGCAATACTGGTTGAAGCATTGACCTCATTTTGCTCGTTTTCAAACTCGTCATCTTGCTCAACAGTAGCTGCCGGCTCGTCTGGGTTATGGCGGTGGATGACCACGGTATCGTCCACAACAACTTCCGTGGAATCATCGTCGTTCTCTGGGAGTTCGCGTTCTGGCGCAACAGCTTCGGTAGACTCATCCTCGTGCTCTTCAAGTTCAGGTTCTGGCGTCATAACCTTGCCTTGCAATGGAGCAACATTCTCATCAGCATAGTTGTCAGAAGAGCTGCTTAAGGCCGAGGGCTCTTCATCCATCACATCCAGCTCAGGTTCGTTGCTGAGAAGACTTCTCTCACCAGCGTCAACGACATGCTGCTTGAACTCCGTCTCGTGCTGCTCGTCCGCCAACTCCTTAGCCTCACTAGCTAAAGCTTGGAAGTCCACCATTGCAGTATCGGAGGCGTTGGTGAATTTGATCAAGTCGGTGGTGAGATCACCCGGTTCGTGGTCGAGGTCCTCAGACACGCTATCTTCGTCATTCTGGGCATCAGAATGAACAGAATCAACATCCTCTGAAGGCAAAAGATTGAGTTCTTCCCTGTCTTTTTGTACGAGTTCATTGAGATCTTCCTCTCCAATCACGTCATCTTCCTCCAGACTATCGGCCTGGTCCTCGAAATCTTGAGCAGCCATACCATCTGCGAAGAAATCAGCGTTTGCAGGACTTCCGGTCACAGATGGGCCGAGGGATTGTCGATAAGATGCAAAAGATTTTCTCTTCGAGGCGGATCGCCCAGGCGTTTCTTGTCTATTCAGTTCAACCGAACCTTCCACATGGATTTGAGCAACAGGAGAGAAGAGACCTCGTGATAGAGCAGCAGCTTCGCTCGCTTTGACCTTCTTTGCAGGACTAGAAGCAGCCCAGCCTCGAATCTTTGCTGCAAGTGGAGTGAATCCTAGATTTCGTGAGGCGCTTGGCGGAGCAACACCGGTAGATAATCGAGATCGAATGTTGGCTTGGTTCAGAATGGGTCGGAAAGATGATCCAGACTGCTTGTTGTCAGGTGTTTCATCTCCAGCAAGCTCGTCCTCGGATTCGTCTGCAGTATCTCTGAGTCGGCTAAACAGAATATTCGACATTCTAGGTCGACTGACGGAGGGTTCATGGTGAATAACCGAGTCCTCGCTTTCAGATAAGTGGCTTGACGCTGCGGGTGATTGAGCTGGGTCGTCGCCCAGGTCAGATGATTCTTCAATATCTAGCTCGGGATCTACAATAGTCTCATCGCCATTTGGTTCTGCTTCGGGCAGGTGGTCTGCAGCCGTCGAAGTTGAAATAGGAGCAATTGATTCAGCCACTTCATCATTGTCTTCGTCTGCTGTAGCCTCGTGTTCCTCTTCATCTTGAACCGAAGGGGCGTCGACTTCCATATTCTCATAGACATCTCCGAAGAAAGGTTTGGTTTGGTCAACTTTGAGTGGGCTTCTCACAGTCAAGACCGACTGATCAAAGTCCAAATTTGCGCCTGTCTCCTGTGCGAGCTCATCGTCACTCATTCTGTACACTCTTGCTTGGCGTTGAGGAGATACTGAAGAGCGGAAATGTGAGGTCATTGCAAGATCCACATTTCCAGGACTCTTGACGGAGCCGACTTCTGAAAGAGGTGTGAGACTTGCCTTCTTCGTGGGTGAAGGTGAGGTGCGAGCTGGCGTCTTCTGCTTCAAGGGAGAAAATAGCCGTCGAGCTGGTGAAGACAGCAAGGAAGCTTTGAACGGAGATTTCGACAATTTCGCTGCTGATGCAGGAAAGATTGAAGAGTCCAGAAGTCCTCTCTTGGGAGACTGAGACAATTGGGTATTCAAATTCGAGGCACTCAAAGCCAGAGATCCACCAAGGCTCGAGTCTGGCAGGTGAGCTCTGAAGATGGTCACTCCCTCTGGTGCTCTTCTAGGTGACTGATCAAATTGTTCTTTTGCTGGTGATGCGGGATTTCGACGAGGTGGGCTTGCGATCCCTGAGGTCTCGAGGCCATCTATCTTCTTCGGCGATTTAGGTTGAGCAGTAAGAACAGTCGTAAAGTCCAACTTCTTGGCGGGAGAAAGTCTCTGCGACGAGGATATAATGCCACGCTTTGGAGACATGCTCAAATCGCGAACAGGCGTTTTGGCACCCGCAAGTTCATCCTCTGATTCATCACTATCGGGCACGGAAGCTTTGGCAACTTGTGTGATCTTCTTCGGCGTCAGAGCTCTCTGCTGAATCTTCTCAGATGTCTCTATATCGGTCTCTTTGGCATTCTTTGCAGCTGCTCTGCCTCGGGTAGCTTTGGCTGTCGTAGCAGAAGCTCCCTTCCGGATAGGCTTGGCTCGAATTCCCCGACTCACTGGCTCTGTCTTTTTTGTTGAAGTAGAGGCTGCTTTCTTTCCAGTCCTTGCAGCAGGTCTGACATTCTCTTTCTCTTCCTCTTCATCTGGTAGATCTTGGAACGTGACCTTCTTCCGTGGGATTATAACTGCAATTGTAGGTTGAATAGTGGGTACGGATGCGTTAGACCCGGTCCGCGTACGGGTTTGTCTGACTGTTGTTGATGGTTCTTCAACAGGTTGAGATACGACCACTTTCTCTTTCTTTGGTCTTCCCCGAGTCTTGGATGCCACTGGTGCTGGGGCCTCTTCCTGTACTTCCTCCACGTTGGTGCGCGTTCGACCTCGCTTCTTCGGTAGAGGCTCGGTCATCTCTGTGTCCGACGTTTCTTCCTTGGGTTCATCGCGTGTGACAGCTTCGCGAGTACGCTTGCTTCTAGAAGTAGCCGTTGACGCGGTTGCAGCTGGCTTTTCTTTCTTGGCTCTAGAGCTCGTCTTCTTCTCCGGCTTGGCTTCAAGTTCAGGCTCAGGTTCGTTGACGATTGGATCTAGAGGGGTAACTTTGACGCGTCTCCGAGGAGCTGCAGCCAAGGATGATTCGATTGTGGTTGCTTTGGTAGCTGTGCTGCGAACAGATGGTCGCACTGCTCTTGGCTGTGGCTTCGACACATTAACGGTAATGACATCTTCCTCTTCATGATCACTCTCCGGAGTGTCCGCTGGTGGTGCTGCCTTTGTTGATCTGGCGGTACGTGTACCGGCTTTTGGAGCTGCAGTCGTGGCTGTCTTCTTGGTGACGCGTGATTTGGCTTCACTGGCCTTGGTGGCGGTCGTTGTAGGTACAGCAGCTTTAGCTGTTGCCTTTCGTTTAGGAGGTTCTTCGGTAATGGTTGTGGTATTGTCACCAGCAGCTCGTGCTCTGGTGACGCGTCGAGGCCTCGCGGGGCTGGCTACCTTTCTTGGTGCCATGACGGTTGGACGATGTGACAATCAAAATCGCGTATGAGAGTTCGATTTCCGGCGGGTTGAGTCAAGGTGAGTGTACAAGAGATAAATCCTCAAGCAAGAATGCGAAAACAATCCGAAAGTCACCCTGTGATTGTTGGGGGTTAGTATGAGTATCACTTGGGACCGAAGCGATCACGAGAATGTGGAGGAGTAGACGGATATTAGAGGCGGCGGAACAACAGTGATCTGATCGGGGCTGATCTGTTTTTGTTTACGCCCAATGCGGAAGTGATGTGGCTTGGCACGTGATCGCCGATTCACTTGTGGCAAAGGCGGCGCTAGAATCATACTACGTGGGGGCAATAAATCCTGCTGCTCTAAGATGCACTTTTTTCTGCGAACATGACGTGAGGAAAACCATGAGATTGGAAACAACCGATGGCCGGCAAACAGAGTACATTGTGGAAGGTTCTGTATGTCAATGACAGAAGTATATCAATATTCAGTATAGCCTCTCTATTATTCAATGACCAGATATGTGTACATTTCATGCAAATCCCTTGAACGTCTAAGCTGATCTCTATCTCAAATTATTTTCCAGCATCAAATGCTTAAGTTGTTCATCAATCATATCTTATATGCGACAACCATCTAACATCATCTAGACAATTGAGTATCTAGCAGGCAAGGCTGTAAAGAGGAGTGGTGGGAGGGGGAGTGCCAGCACCGACCAGGCCAAAGCTTGGGCTGGCACCGGTATCCTGAAGAATATACCACCAGGTGTTGATGTTGTTGGCGAAGGCATGGCAAGCCACGTCGTCGTAGTATGTCTTTGCATTGTCGACTGAGGCCACTGCCTTGCCAGAGGCTGCTCCGGACACAGGCCAACCGGTTTCAGTGATCCAAACCGGCTTTCCTTGGCTGGCGGCGACGGTCACGTCGTAGTCATCCCAGAACGTTGCGTTTGCGTTTTCGATAGTGTTGTCCTTGGTGGTCTCGTAGTAAGGATAGGCGTCGACTCCGATCCAATCGACCGCCGCAATCAAAGCGTTCTGGCTAGAGTTGGTCCAGACGTTGTAGGTGTCGACATGGCCGATGGGCTTGTCACCAACGACCGCCCGAACCTGGCCGATATAATTAATGATGGTCTCCGGTCCGACACCAAGACCGGCATTGTTCGACACGCCAATAGGAGTAATGCGATAAATATCCTCCGAGCCAACACTAATTCCGGCAATCAAGTCGGTAAAAGCGGAGCCATACTGCGCAACCGCCGCCTTGAGAGCAGCAATCTCGTTGGCGAACTGAGCGTCACCGGCCGAAGCCCACAAACCGAGCAGCAGAGACGTCTTGGTGCTGATGGCGGCAGGGATGGCTGAGATGGGTGTGTTGGTGGTCCCGTCCTGGATCATGGTATACAGACGGGCGGATGTGTAGCTGGAGCCGGCGAGGTTTTTGGCCGCATTGAACTCGCCTTCGAAGGCGGCTTGGTCGCGACCGGTCGCGCCGTAGTTGAAGCCTTTGTATGCGGCGAGCGTGGTGGGGAGGGCAGCCGCGAGGGCGAGGATTTGTGAGGCACGCATCGTGGTTGTGTAAAGTGTGTTGTGTATGTAACGACTGTGTATATGTGCTGATAGCAGAGCAAGGAAATAGAACACACTGGTACTACAATTGATACAGGGCAATGGGAATGGGAATTTCTAAGAAGAGAAACCATGGAATTGAGCAAATGCAGAAGTCTTTAACCGCTCTTACAGGTGGCGGAAATGGCTTCAGACATCATGGTGGAGAGACCTACAGTACCGTTGGATGATGGGGGGAGGACATCGCCAATCGGCGGGTCCATGACAAGCACAAGCCTCACAGACTTCAAAGAGCTGTCGGACCTATTCCCAGCTGGTTGCATTCGCATGGCCACTGCAGAGGAAGCAGGACCCTGAGCGAGAGAGAAAGAAAGTCTGTTGAGTTGATTGAGGGAAAAACTGTGAGTTAGTGACGTACCTGCATGATGCGTCAAGCATTGACCAGGATTACTAGTTGGTCGCACGGTTCCAATGCTTGCAAAGTCCCTAGCCGCAAGCATAAGCATCCGCATCCCGCAAGCTTTTCCAGAAAAATCTGCTGCAGGATTAAGGCACGCCTGAAACTCGGCCATTGAGAAGGACGGACTCTGTCAGTTCGTTTCTCCACACGGCCACACATCATTCAAGCACTGCCCTCAGCGAACTTTTGACCATGGACCGAGAAATGCCGTTCAAGTGCCAAAAGTGATCATGTGTCAGCATGATAGGCAAACGATTGATCGTAGGCAGAACTTGATATATTGTCATCCGCGATCTTTGACTCGAACGAATATAGTATTTATATATGCCTAGTCCCAGGCTATCCGAACCTCAATATTTTTTACAGCTTCATACCCAAAGCCTTATGCACCTTCAAACTCTGACGAATACTGAGATCCAGCATGATTTCCTCGCTACCCCCAGGAATCTTGTACGCCAGAGTATCACGATACAGTCGTTCGACCTTTGCGCCCTGGCCACCTCTCGAGTAAGCCAGACCACCGAAGATCTGCGCCGCCTCTTTGGTGCAGAACTCAAAGGTCGTAGTGGCCTGCGCCTTGAGGCCGGCAATCGCACCTCCAAGCCTTAACATCGCTTCCGTGTCGTTCATCTTCTGACATTGGTAGACGACGTTCTCTAGCCATGCCGAAGTGGCCTCGATTTGGCGTGCCATGTGTGCCAACTTCATCCTTATGACGGGATGGTCGATCAATTTCTTGCCGAATGTCTTTCTCTTGGATGCATATTTGACCGACTCTTCGTAGCAGACGCGTGAAAAGCGAGTACATTGGATGATGATTCCAATGCGCTCATGGTTGAAGTTGGTCATGATGACTATTGCAATGTTAGCGTAGTACAAGACACGGTAGGAAGATTCTCTCATACCTTGGAAACCTTTGTTGGGCTTTCCGAGAACGTTCTCAACAGGCACCTTGACGTCTTCGAATGTGATGTAAGTGGTACCACTGCTCCAGACACCCTGGCAGTCCATGCGCCTGGTGCTAACACCTTCACTTCGCTCGATCAAGAGCAAACTGATGCCACCCATTCCTGGGCCACCTGTCCGCACGGCTGTGGTGAAGTAGTCACTCCAGATACCGTTGGTGATCCACTTCTTTTCGCCGTTCACTATAGCGCAAATGTGAGCTGACGAGCAAAGGGCCAAAGTGTGTTTAACTTACCGATATAATGCTTTCCATCCTCGCTGAGCTTGGCTTCACAAGTCAGATTGGCAACATCTGAACCGGCATCGGGCTCAGTGATGGCCAGACATATCCGCTTGTCACCAGACAAGATATCGGGAAGAATCCGCTCCACGAGCTTCTTGTTTCCATATTTCACCAGAGGAGGGCAGCCGATACCGTAACCACCGATTAAATTCCAGACGAGACCTCCAGAGCCACAGCGAGAGATCTCGTCGGTAATCAACAGCTCGTGGAAGAGATCCCATTTGTCAGCGGGCACGCTCTTGACGGCATTCTTGACTAGATGTTTGGGATATTCGACACCCAGCAAGCCTGCGAGATAGCCTCGTTCACCCATTTGTTTGTAGATCTTTTCCGGCACGTTCTTTCCCTCGTCCCACTCGGTGACGTAAGGCTCGATCTCGGTCTCGACCCATTCCCGTACTTCAGCCCGTAGAGCCGCGTGTGTCTCGTTGAAGTAGGGCGAGTGGTACTGGCCTTGTGATCAGCCAAAAACACCAGCCACCATAGGAGAGGGAAGACTTACACCTTGATACCAGTTTGGGTCGGCGAATGGAATGAGTGAACCATATGCATCCAGGGCTTCGGCCTCCTCTTGGGCAGCAGGACCAGGTGCAGGAGCAACGGTACCGGACTCGGCTTGCGGCACCACCTTTTGTTTCTTCTCCTGTGGGGGAGGTGTAGCTGGAGGAGTTGGTGGTGCTGCAGCCTTCTTCGAGTCTAAGGAGCCAACCAGCAGCTTGGCCTTGTACTTTTTGAGGATGGATTCATTGTGGTATTTCCAGAATTGCTTCGAAGCATCTTTGCCTGCGACCCGCTGGAGGACTTTGGGGGTGTGTTAGAAGAGGTCTCGAGGGTCAAGTGTGTCGTCGGAGGGTGCGGATCGCTTACTCTTTTTTCCACCTGTAGGTTTGGTAAGTACAAATATACTCGGAAACGGCGGGAACAATAGCAACTCACCTGGATGTTCGTCTTGAAACGTCGTCAAATCGTATACATCTTCGTCTACAATGACGTAGAGGTTATTGGCCTTGTTGTGTGTGGCCACATCGGCGGATGAGAAGGTCTTGGACATGGTGATGATTGGGCACTGTCAAGGCTCAGTAATACAAGAGCGGATAGCAATCTATGATGGGTATCGATGACAGGAAAAGAAATGAAGTAATATCACAGGACAGAAATGTCTAGAGAAAATAATGCAAGAGGGAAGAATGACAATGGTGGTAGAGGGAGAAGAAGGAAGGATGGATGGAAGGACTGGTCATTCCGCGGTGGTGACTTTCACATGCCAGAATACATCGCACAGACCGACCGTGGGACTCCAAACTCCGGCATGGACAAATAAATGCAGAGGTAATCTAACATGCGCTGTTGGCCAGGACTCAGGAACCGATGGGCCCTCACGGTTAAAGGCTGGGAACAAGGTCACGCTCCTCCGCAGAAGATGGAGTCCCCGGAGTTGGTTGTTGGCTGATGACGCCGCCAGAGGTTTGAAGTCTTATTGTCGGCCTTCTTATTCGTGGCTTGGAGGGTCAGATGATGGCTTGGGCCCTGACGGGGCTGAAGGACAAGATGCCGAGGCACATCCATCACATGTTTTTTCAAGTTTTGACAATGACCTCCTTTGCAATCTCCGTCAACAGCTAAACCGCCGTGCAACGCACCACATGCCGGACTCGCAATCACATAGAGTCCGGCCGTCTCAATATGATCACCGAAAATGGTACACCGCCAATATGGACTGAGAGTACTGTGTTTGTCATAAACTAACTACATGCTGCTATGTTTTCTTTCTAGACCAGAGCCATTGCCTAGGTATCCAAGGGCCTCTGTCCATTATTACCAACGTCAAGCGGTGACAAAGTTCTGCTGCTGCTGCTGCTGCTGCTGCTGTTGTTGTTGATCACCCGCGCCTCCTGTGTTGGCTCGTTCTCGAAGCCTTCGTCCCTCCATAAGACCCCTCAATCCTCGTTTTTGAAGTCCGATGACAGAGCTCAGATCCCCCGACCACTTCTCACGTGTCTCCCCTCCCCTTGCGTTCGGATCAGCATTGTCATCTTTCGGTGATGCCTCGTTGTCTGTATTGGAAATGTCCGTCGACGTCGAGACCGACGTCGCAGTCGATGCGGAATCCACCGAACTCGATTTCTGGTGTCCGCGTTTCCTCATCTCTTCCTGGGTTGATCCGGAGCCCAACCCTGACGATTTGGAGGCGAGGCTCTGGTCTCCAACGGTGGTGGATTCGCTCTCCCGTCGACCTAGAGCTGCAAGGGTCCCGCCCACAGCACCTCCCAGCCCACGCCCTCCGCCTGCCGCCATCGCTGCCGCGTTGAATACCGCGGCCGAATTACGCCCGTCCAGGACTTCGTGTAGTCGCTCCACGGTTGCTTCGATCAAGCCATCAACCTGATATGGTCGCGCCATCTGTAGAAGGGAACACAAGGTGTGTGGTGTACACAAATTCGACCCGGCAGGGGGGAGAGCCGAAGTGTACAGATATTGGAGTAGAAGCTGAATGGTCGGTGCCATATGTGGCAGATAAAGCGACCGTGGCCGGCTTGAGGCCGGTACCGAAGTCGGGTTTGGTAGTTCGACTAGTGTTCTTGTAGTGGACCGACTGAGAGATCTCTGCGGATCTAATATGCTATCCCCGCTCCCACCAGCAGTCGATGGTACAAGACCATTCGCCGCGCTCGGGGTAATGGTCACTGATGAATTCCGACTCGCTTGCATCCTAGCATTGGGTCGCAGCGTGGCAGCGTCCGACATACTGGCACTTTCATGCGTAGTGGCTGATTCAAGCAGTAACTGATTGAAGAACGGCCCCCATCGTCGAGAAAGGAGGTAAGAATTACAGGGGATCTTTTCACCACCCAAGGCCACAATTTCCATATCGGCAAGTTCGCTCAAGCTCAGTGCTGCCTGTCCGAGCTGTTCGGCCATGGTACTAAAAGGTCGACCGCCAGCTGACTGACTTGGTAAAGATGACTGAAGCGATGTCGGCACCGCAGGCGAGGAGGCTGACACGTATCCAGAAGTTGGTGAGAGTTTTCGTGGGTTGTCATAAAGTCCGAATGCTTCGAGTTCAACCATACAAACATGACTGAAATTGATTCGTCGATGGTTATAGTCGTCCACAAGACTCCGTTTTCGATGGCCTAGAATGACAAATGTATTCCTGCGATTCCACAAAATTCCTCGATTCCAACTGCCCTGCGAAAATATAGACCCGTTGGTATCAATTCGTGCCCAAGTAAGAGTTTTGAGGTCGAGCGCCCATAACGCATATTCGTGTTTTGACGACGTGAGATATGTCCCACTAACAACGAAATGCCCATCAATTATTCCTCCGTTTGGAAATCGAAGACCGGGCGGGGATACTGAGCCAGTCATTGGCTTCTCCAGCATGGAACCATCAGGCATTCGAATCTGCAATTCCAACTTGACGTCCAGAAAATTGTAGTTCGAATAAATCAACATCGAGGTTCCGGGCCTCGAGCTCATTCTCTGAGATTGTGAATCATTGAGTGGAATACCCCGACCTATCAATTCAGCCGAGATTCCAGGCATCGGTGCCACCATACTTTTATACGCTCCACATTTGCGATCCCACGATGTGGTGTTGGTCCATTTCAGACTTCGGAGGTTGAAAACGCTGATTTGCTCGATATAATTATTATTGCTGTCCTGGCCACCGACCACAATCATCTCCGCACCGCCGCTTCCATCCAGCTGCACACCCAATGTGCCGGAATGAGGATCTGATGAAGGTGGATTATGTTGAATGGCGGAAAGCGGGGCATTTGCCGAGGTGAACGCTGCCGAAGAGGGAAGGATTGCGGCACAATGGGCATATCGTCCTTGAGGGTTATCTGAAGTCGCAATCAAGGTCCACGTACGCGTCGATACGTCAAAGACATGTATATCAGACATGACCACCACTTCAGGCTGGGCATCGGCTTGTCCACTCGTGCCGTTTCGGCTATGAATGGCTGGAGACATCCCACCGTAACATACCAATTTCATATCACCCAGGGCACACACGCTGTGAAAATAGCGTGGGGGAGGAACATCACCGATCGCGTCGATTTTGACCCAGTGTCTTTTGATCAAATCCAGCTCAAACAGATCCGAGGTCAGTTGTGGTCTCGTCCTTGAGTGCAGTCGTCCACCAAAAACATACAGCTTATCTCCCAAAATCGTGGTGGTGGCACCCACCAGTGCATGAGGTTCCTCACCAGTGGTCCTGTGAACATTGCAAACTAAATTTGACAGATTGGATGGAGCTGCCCCAGGAGGTGGGACTCCGGGTGATATACCAATATTTCCACTGCCGCTGCCATTGGGCTTGCGGACGGGCACGTTGAAATTATCGGCACCTTCATTACTTGCCTCGGAAGCGACTAGGCTCACTTGGCTGTTGTTCATTGTTGCCTTTGAATTATTCGGGAAGGGAAATGCATTTACATCGAACTCAGACGAGGCCGGGCTTGAACTGGCCCTCTTTTCATCCGAGGTGTCGTCAAGTTTGCTCTCACTTGGCCGAGTTCGAGGTGAGACAGGTGAGATGTTGCAGGCGGTGTCTTTGTCAGACCGGGACGGTTGGGCGAATGGTTGTGCAAATTCTGGGATTATGATGGGCACATAGCGCGGTAGTCGTGTCGAGTTCGTAGTTTTCGTAGCATGCTCTTGAAACGATTCATATGTTGGTAAGGATGCCGATTGATACTTTGATATGTCAATTGGAATGTGCCGTGATTTGATGGCCGTCGGTTTTGTCTCAACCACCAAAGATGAGGAAGGATTGGACCAGATAGATGAGGAAGGATTGGACCAGATAGAGACCAGACTGTTGAGGCTGGACTTTCGTTGTCCTTCAGCAGTCAAGGGAGGAGTAGGTGGCCAATTCTGTTCCTCAGGAGATGGCGGGTCAAGATGTGAACCCACAAAACGAGAGCCACTACTAGCACTTTGACCGGCCTGTGAATCCTCCTTGGCAGTCGAGCTTTTGCGTCGAAATCTAACCATCATGGTCAGCTAGATCGCCCCAGTAGTAGTTCCTCTGATACGTTCAAGGACTCGAATAGAACGACCACACCATGACAGAGTTGTAAAGATTGACAATTCTTCAACCCATGGCATGTTGACATGGTCTTATCTTCAGATAGGTACCGACATCCAGGGGGAAACACCACCAAAAGAGAGGGGATCAAGCACAGTACGCGGCCAGTGGCCTGGTTGGCAATACCTCCGACCAAGGCACCGGGCTATGCAAAATAGAAAGGTCATCAAGACTTACCGAGGGGACAAAGAAGTTGTCTCGGAACGACGCCGGGTTTTGTGGATGAGTGGGTGATGATCCGTGTGACTTTGGCGGGCGTCAGAAAATAGGGGAGTCAATGACGAAGGGACGTCAAACAGTCGTCAAAAATCCCGACCTGCGAGCCTTGCATCTACGATCCAAGAGAAGAGCAACGAGAACGAGGTCCGATCTGTATCACACGTTGGACGACAGGAAGGGTTGATTAAGTATTTTCTGTGTAGCAACTTTGACCGTGCATGGTCTAGATAGAGTCGGTCACTTGAAGTTCTGTGGCCAGATCCATGCCAAGCCGGCTGTTGATAGACGATGCAATCAGAACCAGTCATTGGGACAGGGTTCAAGGATACCTAGACCAAGTCACGTCTCTACGCCATGCTGCGGTACCTTTTTCCTTTCAAATCATCTTGGAAACTCGTTTATGCTACAGGCGTCCTTGACCACCGCTTGCAGCCTCGTGTGGTGCATCCCAAGGTACCAGACTAAACGAGAACCAATCTGTTTCCATCAAGCGCCCCGCGTGCGACAATACGCGCCGCCAACCGCTTGGAGTGGTACTTGACTAATTTAGTTTGGAATTGGGAAAAAGGATAGGTATTGTTTACTATTTCTTGATTCGCGGGGTATTAGTTCCACTAGGCCATTCTCATGACTTAAAATGAAGCAAGCTCAGCTAAAGTTCTTGACGCCACTGTCCCGGCTGTCGGGGACCATCTCCTAAGCAGCAGAGGTCTTCTCCTTGGGAAGCGGAGTTGTTCGTAGGTATGGTCTGATGATTTTCATATCAGGCCATATCTTCTGGGCGTCCTCGGTCTTGACGGGAGGCGCAACAATGACATCGTCACCGGGAACCCAGTTGATGGGAGTGGTGACCTTCCACTTGTCACCTGTCTGAAGGGAGTCGACAATTCTGAGCACTTCAGCCGAGTTTCGGCCAGTTGAAGCGGGGTAGGATAGGATGGTTCGGATCTTCTTGCTGGGATCAATCACGAAGACTGATCGAATGGTGAAGGCAATTCCCTTGGAATCGACGTTGGTGGCATCTTGGTGGTCAAGCATGTCATATAGGAGTGCAACCTGCCTCTGCTTGTCTCCAATGATTGGGAATTGCAAATCGCTGCCACTGATCTCGTTGATATCTTTGATCCATCCTCCATGGCTCTCAATGGTGTTTGCAGACAGACCAATCAACTTGACACCTCGTTTCTTGAACTCCGGCTCCAATTTTGCAAATGCACCCAACTCGGTGGTGCAGACTGGTGTATAATCTTCAGGGTGCGAGAAGAGGACGACCCATCCGTCGCCAATGAACTCATGGAAGTCGATGGGGCCTTTGGTGGTATCTGCCTTGAAGTTGGGGGCGACGCTGCCGAGGCGGAGGCTGTTTTCACCGAATCGTCAGCAATGATCTGTGCCAAGAGTGATCCTCCTGCGGGCGAGCGAGCGAGCGACGAGTTCGAAAAACCATCGCTGCCACCACGTGGACGAGGATGGAAAGGAAGCAACTCACGGTTCAGGACGAGTAGCCATTTTTCGTGATTGATGAGAGTGCTCGTTTCTGTCGATACAAGTATAGGAGAGGCACAGAGATGAGTTGATGGACTGAATAGCAAGTGCAGAAGCTTGATACGTGGGGGAGAGAATTTATTTGTATGGATGAGCAAAAGGAGGACGGCGAGCACGACAAATCTTTTCTGGCATCTCCCTCGGAAGAACCTGCACCCAAAATGCAGCCACTGGGCGGAGGGTCATGGCGGCCGGCACATCATCAATCAAGTGGGATGGCCCTCCATCTCCATTGCATCAGCAGAGGTCGGGTGGAGGGGTATCTTGGTAAAATTGATCCCTCCATTTTGATTCCATGACCGCCATGCCTGCTCCGAGTCCAGGATTGAAATCCATACAATCACGCAATCGACTAGTCCGAAAACATGCTTAGCGCATCTTGGCAACCAACAATGAATTGCCTTCGTTGCGGGTGGCTTGTGCAACCTTTGAAGCCTCCAAGCAATAATCAGACGACTGGATTTCAACTACCGTGAGGCATGCTTCTGGGAAGGAAGGTGTGCTCGCCGACCACGAATACGAACCTGTTTTCCGCTTCGGGGTGGTGGCCTACCCTGCCATGACAAAATGCTGAGATAGGTATCCATTGGTTGATGACCAGTTCCAAATAGCTGGTGAGAATCTGAAGTGGCAAGGACTTGATGATAATCGTAAGGATGATTTCCACGAATGATGGAGCATGCCAGCCTTGTGTCAGATTTCTGAGCGGTGCTTAGTGGTCAGTTCTTACATCTAGGTAGGTATCTAGGTAAGTAGGGAAACACGGTCTGAGGCGGAATGACCCGTATGACCTAAGACTCTTGAAAGCGGCGAGATATGGCTGTGCGAAACAGAAATTGCCCCTGTTCACCATCTTTACATCCATCGAGAATGGTAGACTGTGACCCAGTAGAAGGCGGCGACAAGTCTATGCTGCATGTCCAAATACCGCGTTACCCCCAAAGAGTGAGGAAGAAAACACGAGCAGCATCTCGAGCACTATCAAAGTCTGACTTCAATGTCACCCAATGTCCTTCTTAATCAAATCAGCACCCTTTTCCGCGACAGCGTACGTCGTAGCCATGATGTTTCTAGGATTCTGTTAGCAAACAAGAACATCAAGACCAATCCACACATACCCCGAAATATGGCCCGGGAAAACACTCGCATCCACGACCCGTAAGCCCTTGACGCCCTTGACCCTCAAATCATTATCCACGACCTCTCCCATCGCACAAGTCCCAATCAAATGATACTGCGTAGAAACATGGTTCTTGACGTATTCGATCCGATCCGCCTCGCTCTCGAGACTCGCATCTTGGGGCGGCAGTTCCCTGGTATCGAGGGACTTGGCCACCAACGGGTGCTTTGCGACCTGGTCAATCCATTTGATGCCGGCGGCGAGGATCTTGGCGTCGATGTCGTTGCGGAAGTAGCCTGGGTCGATCTCGGGCGCAGCGAGCGGGTCGGAGCTTTTGATGTGCACCGTCCCGCGGGATAACGGGTGTTCGAGGCAGATCAAGAGCGAGACCTGTTGCTTTCCCTTCGGTGGGGCTCCGAAGAACTGCGTTTGGTCAGATCCTTTCGCGACGTCGAGGCGGCAGGGAATGCAGAATGTTTGGAGGTTGCTGAAGTTTGGGTTTCGCAGTTGGTCGACGATCACCTGTATACGGAGAAGAGCATGGCGGATCAGCAGCCGTCATGTCATCTTTGTTCTCATGACATTAGCTATGGACTTACCTTTTCTTGAGCCTTCTCGAACTCGGTCTTTGCCAATGACTTTTCCTTGATTTCTTTGATGGTGGCTCCAAGTTCTTCCGGAGTGACGGTCTGACTGTAAGATACAAACCCCATGGCCATTCCTGGCGAAGAGAAGAGCCCTCCAAGAGTCTTCTCATATACTTCTTGTTGCGAGGTCAAAAAAACCTCGTCATGCAGAGCGTCCATCGACTCAATACCTGGTTTGAGGTCGAACAAAATACCACCGAGCACATGATCTTGGAAGTTTGCACCAACGCCTTTGTTTTCGACAACGAGATCCACGCCAGCATTTCTTAACACTTCGGGATCACCAATTCCAGAAAGTTCGAGCAGCTGTGGGCTTTGGATAACGCCCGCAGACAGGATAACTTCTCGCTTGGCTTCTACCCGGTGCTTCTTCTCTCCATGGACAAACTCGACCCCTTTAGCAGTTGTCCCATCTAGAATGATTCTCGTAGCTTGTGCTTCTGTCAAAACTTTGAGATTTGGTCGTCCTAGGTTGGGTCGGAGGTAACCTGTGGCAGCGTACGATCGCTTACCATAATCATCCGAACGATTGACAGCACCAAGACTGGAGTAAAAGCCATGATGGTCGCCTTGATAGGCTGACTTGAGTCGTTCTCCTGGAGTTATCTCATATGCAGCATTTGCAAAGTCTTCCTCAAGGGGCATGTACCACTCGTTGAAACTGCTGTGGATAGGTCCATCCTTACTGTAGTACTCCTCAGATTCGGCAGCTGGCATGAATGAAGGCTTCTTTGCGCTTGACTCGGTTCGATCAATTCTGTGATATTTCCGAAAGTAGGGAACCATAGACTTGAAGTCCCAGCCACTGATCCCGGGCATCGAATTCCATCCACTTCCAAGGAATTAGCTGCCCTATAATGGATCCTTGTTGATTGGGTCAGACTCACTCAAGATCACCGGCGCTGGGACGGACGACCATGAGGTAATTGATCCCAGAGGAGCCTCCGAGTAGCTTTCCTCGTGGCATTGAGTAGACTTTGTTGCCGGCATTGGGCTGAGGAATGCTAGTCATACACCAATCATATTCGGGACGACCGATCTAGATAGACCGTCAGTGAAGCTTAGAACAACCAAAGCACTCATGTTCTGACCATCGTTGGGTATAGAGATGGCGTGGAGACATTCTTATCTTCCATTCGATTCTGTCCAGCTTCGAGTACTGCGACAGTGATATTTGGATCCTCCGTGAGACGTGCGGCAATCACAAGGCCAGCAGTACCACCACCGACGACAATGAAGTCATAATCTTGTGAGGTCAGCTCATCAACAGACACCAGTGCATTATGGGTGCCATTGACACCATTGGTGGTCGCCATGGGGACAGTCAAGAGTTCAACAGCTAAGGTGTCGACACGCAGATGCCGCTTGTGGAAAAAGAAACCCTGAACATTTCGATTTCGATGTATTGACCTTCTATACTTCGTAGTCAGGTCTCTATGTCCGGTACCGCGTGTGCTCTCCCCGCATCAACAACCTCATCGCCCCGAGGATGTATGTTTGCGGGGTTTTGCCAATCGGCTATTGTTTGGCCCTGGATACTACCTGCGAGGGGATCTCAAAGGACTACATGCTCCTCTGTTATAGGCATAACCCTTCATGTGGAGTTCAGTGTGTCGAATATCTTCCCGTGTATTCTTTCAGAGACCCCGCGCGGTATATGTACCGATTTTTCGGGGAGAGGGAAGTTTGCTCTCCAGGTAGGAGGGTCTCATGATTCTCACCTTATCTCAATTAATGCCCTTGGGGTATGGGGATCTGGTATGATGACTCATCTCATCGGTATACAATCTGTTAAGAATTAAAGATCCCTGAAGACTGAGTGATTGACTCGAGGAAGAAGATATCTCACCAAAATGATGCCGCGATTTAGCCGGATTATCTGCTCCGGGTCACATTGGAGCGTACGAGTACGGAGTGTAATGTAACTAGAGCCAAAAATAGCGCTGATAGGGTTTGAGCACCCACACATGTCTAAGACCTGGAATCCCACCGACAGTTGAGCGGTTTAGGGGGTGGATAGGCGAGGAGGGTATCACTGGAAGCGCCTCTCAGGCACAGCCTCAGGCATCAACAACGTCCACCAACGCCTCAAACCAAACTCTTTCCCAAAGTGATTCTGGGTCCTTCTGGGTCCTCGGGCTGACCCCATTTCGATTCTTCTTATCGCCCCAATCCAGGTTCTTCGTTCAACTTCGGTGAAAATTTCACTGGTTCTCACCAAGCTTTTTGCCTGTGCGTTAAGGACCAAGACCACATGGCGACGGTTGTGGCTTCTTCTAAGCCCTTTGATGGCGAGCTGACACGGTTCTCTCCTAAGCTTCAGCTTATTGAATCACACGCCGACGAATACATGCCTCAACCATGATCATGAATGCCTAGCTTGACTGGCCAGAGGGTGGCCCGCCCAATGTCTCTTCTGCTCCATCTCGGGTTCTGCTTCCTCGCATCAAAGGGAACGTTGCATATGTTGGTAGGTTGGTTGGTCGGTTATGGTCTAACCTCCCATTCTAAACGCACCAACAAACATCGTTCGTGTGCCCCGTACGGTGTTTTACCTGATGAGATATCTCACCCTGCATTGATGTTTGTATCCACCCGAGACGAGCACGAGCACGATAACGCGTGTCGAAATTGTAACATAGAACCACAAAAGAGAAACATATCTATCGAGGTAAGTCCCCGACCATCGGCTGATCACTTCTCGATCTCGACAAGAACCAGAAACAAGGCTCCTGTGGTGTTCAATCTTTGCCTACCAGTCGAACTTGCTGTGCATTTCCACACTCTTCACATATTGGCCATCTTTCTCGACTGGAAGATCTATATACCGATAGATCACCTGTTCTCCTTCTCCTCCTTCCCAAGTCTTCGTCATCACCCCAGATCGAGTCTATCTATTCGTGTCCGGATCCCCCGGCCATCGAAAAATTTATCCCGCATCCATCGGATTCCGTGCATAAGATCACTTATTCAGCGTGATATTTGCACTCAAACACGAATTTCGTCATAAGCCTGCCAGCTCCGGTGTTCAAAATTGTACCACTCAGGCATATTATTACAGGCCATCAACAACAGAATTCTACTTCTTCGACAACCAAAGGAACACTCTCTTCCTCGAAACCATTCTTCAATCTCTAGTTAATATAGTTGTCACCAAAATGTCCAACAGGTCTCAACAACAAACCCAACAACGGTACTACGCCGACTACGAGCGCTCCCTACGCCAAGGCGTCGAGCGACCGAAAACAGACCGCAACGATCGCTCCAAATCTTCCCCACCATCGTCCAACTCATCTTCACGGACATCTTCAGCCACCTCTCTACAGCCCACATCTCCAGTCGCTGAATGGTGTCATCAAATGCACATGATCCAGCAACGCAAGTACGACTGGTGTGAAGGCTGTCATCCAAGAGTCCAAGTCTCAACTCTGAAGGTGCCTTCGCACAAGGCCATGCAGGCACAGAGATATAGCCAGGAACCGAGCCATGCTTATCAATGAACGACGAAGAAAGACTTGGAGAGATAGTGTTCTTTTAAAACAAACAGCGAGCATGGTGTTGGTGGCGTCGGTTCTATGGTCTTCCAGTTCCAGACCTTTTCACGTTTACAGTCTCCTTGACGAGCAATGATATGTGTAATGATCATGTATGATATACGAATGAGGAAGAATGATTTCAGATGATCCGATTAGATAGAGACATGACAATCCAAGAGGACAAAACATTCGAAACACATTTTTCTTCATTATAAGTATTTATACATTTAATCGTGTATCCTTTCCCTCTGCATCATCTTCAAGCCCACTCACCCACCAACCTCAACCACTCCGCTCACCCACCCCGTTCCTCAACTTCTCAATCTGCTCCTTAAACAACGCCTCATACTCCTCCTGCCTGAACACCTACACGAGCCACAGGAGCCAAAGTCAGCTAAGTAACAACCCGAATTCAAAGCGTCGGCCAAAAATAGAGTAAAAGAGTAACACCGAAAATAATAACAATCACCATCCAAACTCACTCACCCTCGTAGCCTCCAGGGCACTCGGCATCCCGACCAGCGGATCGGCGCCGTGTTCCAACAACACGGCGATGACGTCGCGTTCGTTCTTGAACACCACCCCCGCCAGCGGCGATTGGCCCCGGTCGTTACAGCGGTTCGGATCCGCGCCGTGCTGAAGCAGTAGCGACACCAGTGCCGCGTGCCCGTGGTACGCGGCGAGCATGAGCTGTGACAACCGGAGACGGGGTAAGGGTTAGCGTCAGCGACCGAGACAGTATCATATCAAGCATTTCAACTTGGGTTTTGAGTCAAACACGCACGTACGTACCAGTGAATCGCCCTTGTCGTTCGTTAGGTTCGCGGGAAGGCCGGCGGGCAGGCCTTGCTCGAAGAGATCCATCTGCCCGTGTCGCGCTGCGTCGAAGAATTTGCTCGCGAGCGCGATCGCTTCGGGTGGTAGGGACGTCACTTCTCTTTGTGTTGGTGATGGCGTTGCGTTTACAGCGGGTTGCGATGGTGGTGCTGGTGGTGACGCGGAATCCATGGTATCTATTTTATTCTCTCTAAAATGGCGATGAAGTAAATATAAGAGCCAAGGATGAAGCTCGACGTTGATGGTATAATTGCGTTCAGGTTCAAATTCAGATTCAGATGTTCAAGTCCTAGAGACGCCTTTACTTAGTAGCAATTGTAGTCAGTTGAAGTTCGGGTCTCAAGTATGGTATAGTTTGATAGATTAATCATGGCACCCATAACCCGAGAACATATGCAATATGCAATCGAAAGGCTGTATGACGTCGAGAAGGAAGGCTCGCCACCGAAACCACCGAAAAAAACAACCCGCGTGCTTGTGAGTAAAGTATTTGGCGCATACAATGCTTACATGCAATACTTTTATCCGATGATCAAGACTTAACTCCTCTTGAGTCTTCGATTTTATATATCGCATTGTCCATCTACACACACAATAAGATGTATATAAACATATATACAGGTCTCCAGGGGTTTTTGCTTTCTTGCATGTTCAAACCCTCAGTGCTCTATTCGCCATTATATCCCCTGTAGCTTTTCTTACAAGAATATTGCATCTCCTTCCGAATGCTCAAAGGTATTATCAGCCCAGATGGAACCGCTGCACATCTCGAAAGAGATGCTATCATGCTCATTAGAAGGCAATAGAGTAAGAGAGGAGTTTTTTCTCGATATATAACACAAGTCGTTAGAAGTGAATGGTCTTGAAGATGGTATTTGGCCCTCCAGCTGAGCTGGAAGTTATCCCTGTTTTCTGCAATGCATGGCATGCTGACTGATGGGAGGCCAAAATATAATAGGTGCCTGTTAATAATGCTGTGATGCTCCGGTGTTCGGATTCGGGACTTTGAGCCCAGAAGCCTCGTAGAGAAGGTGTGCAGAGCTAATGATGAGACACACCCCACATATCGCACGACTTCTCGTAGTTCTGGGGCGCTGATGATTGCTCGCCATAGGGTATGTAGCAAGCGGGATCGTGTGTCGAGAGCAGTAAGTGTGACACTGATTGCCAGAAAAGCGTCAGGTGGCTTCGTCCTTTATGAGGCTCTGGTTGCAAAGCACCACCATCGAGCCCTGTCTCCGAAGAAGCAGGCGGCGCAGAACCTCCACAATGTTGCCCACAGCTTATTTCTTGTTCCTGTCAGCCTGAGCTTTGAGGTACTTCTGAACCAGCTCCTTTTGCAACTGTGGAGGCGCACGTTCATAGTGGCTGAACTCCATGCTGAATTCACCTTTACCTTGTGTCATAGCACGCAAGTTGCTGCTAAAACCAAACATACCGTTGAGACTGACATCGGCATAAGCAGTGAAATCATCCACGCCAACATCCGTGTCATTGATCACGGCATTGCGCTTCTGCATCATGCCTACAACGTTGCCCTGAAACTCGGTGGGAGCGGTGACAACGACTTTCATAAGTGGTTCGAGAACAGCAGGATCGGCTTGCATGAAGGCGTTACGGAAAGCCTGTTGCGTGGCGTTCTTGAAAGACATTTCGCTTGAGTCGGTCATATGTGTGGCACCATCGTTGATAACCATGTGAGCACCGAGGACTTTGTGACCGATGAGAGGGCCTTTCTCGCAGGACAAGTGGAAACCCTTTTCACAAGCAAACAAAAACTTTTCGGAAATTGAGCCGCCAATGACTTGCTCTTCGAATCGATTCCCTTCCAAATTTCCCGTGGTGTCCATCCATCCAGCGACACGAGCATAATCACCAGCACCGCCGGTTTGTTTCTTGAGGAGATGGTTGAATTCCGTGCGTTTGGTAATTGTCTCACGGTAAGCAACCTGCGGCGGGCCAGTATCGCACTCGACTTTATACTCTCGTCGCATGCGTTCGACATAGACCTCGAGGTGCAATTCACCCATACCGGAAATAATCGTTTGCTCGCTTTCCGTGTCGAAATGGACACGGAATGTTGGGTCTTCTCGTTGGAAACGAGCAATTGCTTTCGAAAAGTTCTGCAAGTCTTTGTTGTTCCTGGGTTTGATGCTGAGCGAGATAACCGGTTCGGGGACGTACATGCTGGTCATGGTGTATCCAAGTTGACCATCAGTGAAAGTGTCTCCAGATGCACATTCAACACCAAAGACGGCGCAAATCTCACCAGCGCCTACTTCCGTCACATCCTCCATTTCATTAGAATGCATACGAACGATACGTGGGATCTTGACCCTCTTGTCTGTTCGAGCATTGAAGACGTTACTGCCCTTTTTCAGAGCGCCTTGGTAGACCCGGATATATGTCAGTTGTCCAAAGTTAGATTCTTCCAATTTGAAAGCCAGGCCGACGAAAGGGAGCGAGTTGTAAGGGATGAGTTTGACCGGCGCTTCCTTTTTTCGTGTATCCAATGCCATGTTTTCGACCTCACCGGGATTGGGTAGATAGTCGCAGACTCCATCAAGCATAGGCTGGATAAATTTATCCGCTAGAGCAGATCCCATAAATACTGGTGTGAATTTACGTGAGATAGTAGCACGTCGAATTGCAGCTCTCAGTTGCTCTGTGGTCGGCTCAATCTCGTCCAAAAACATATTTGCCATCTCCTCATCGACGTCAGCAACTGTCTCGATGAGCTTGGCACGGCGTTCCTTAACAAGGTCTTGGACTTCGGCCGGTATTTCGTCCTTCGTAATGATGATCTCGCCACGTTCGCCCTCAGCGTAATAGGTCTTCATGGTGACCAAGTCAACGAGTCCACGGATATCGTCTTCGGTACCGACTGGGACTTGTACAGCGGCTGCAGCAATCTTCAATTTGTAGTTGATCTGCTCAATAGCCTTGAAAGGGTTGGCACCCATCCTGTCCATCTTGTTGATGAATGTGATTCGAGGAACATTATACCTTCGCATTTGACGATCCACGGTAATGGTCTGACTCTGCACGCCAGAAACAGCGCATAGAATCATGACGGCTCCGTCGAGTACTCGTAGAGCCCGCTCTACTTCAATGGTGAAGTCAATATGGCCAGGCGTGTCAATCAAATTGATGTGATATTTCTTGTCTTCCCCGTTCTCTTTCTTGACCCAGTCACAAAATGTGGCTGCAGACTGGATGGTAATACCCTTTTCTCTTTCCAGTTCCATGGAGTCCATCTTAGCTCCAACAGCATCCTTGCCTCGAACTTCGTGGATGGCGTTGATACGGCCAGTGTAGAAGAGGACTCGTTCCGTTGCGGTCGTTTTGCCGGAGTCAATGTGTGCCTGAAAGCGGTCAATGGAAAGATTCACAGTGTAAGATTGTTGGTCCGACTGACTGCAATACCGATGTTCCTGACCATGGAAAGTCGACGAGCCTCCTCCGAAGACATGTTCTCAAGGATGGTCTCCTGGGCAAGCGAATCTGGATCGGACGCTTCTTCGAGCCTACAACATCAATCATTCAGCATTATTCCGCAGTACCATTGCAGGCTAGACTCACATTGCAGCCGCAGCACCAGCAGCACCTCTTCGCTGCTGCCACCGACGGTCCAGTGTCCATTGTGCTGTCTGTGACCTCGGGCCACCGGAGTAATTACTGAGGACCGAAGTCGACGCGCATCGACGGCAAAGCCATTGCTGGGAAATTGAAGACCGCGCAGAGGCCGGATTGTTTCTGAGAAGCCTGGATGAGGCTCTCAAGGCACGTGAGGCACTCATATTGCCAGCGGGCTTTAGATGTGTGCTGTGAAGTGCACGCAAGGAGGACGCAGGACGAGGAGTAACTAAAGGCGAATCATTGATAGCAGCACCAGCGTAGACACGAACTGGGGCGGGCAACTTTTTTCTCGGTCGGGAGCTTGATGATCGCTGCATTCCGGCTGGCTTGTTTTAGATCATGCCACGATCTAACCATACTAGGTCAGAAATAATGCCGCTTATTCCAATAGCCCCTAAAAGCCCCAATCGCAGCCTTGCGGGGAAGGCTGTCCAGACGCTTGGTCTACCTCTCCCATAGATGTGAACTCATACTTCTCTCCTTCGCGATAATGATAAGCTACACTGCTGTGAAAGCCATGGTCTTTCAGAGAGAAGATAGAGGTCAGTCGGGCCTATATTTCTAGGTAGTCATAAATATGACGCTGGGAGAAATGGCACCCAACACGAATCGATTAAGCGTACAATCTGCCTTCCTGTATCTGCTCTACATTTCGACTAGTGAATGAACAATGGCCGATACTGTTTCGCTCGGCTGGGTAACTTGAGTAACAGTTCTCAGGCACATGCTTCTCAGCCGCTACCGCACCCCACATCACAGCAGTAAGATAGGCCTTCTCATCACCAGCTGGCGCGTGGCAGGCTGCTGCTATCGCAAGGGAGCAGCTACTCGCCACTGGCATGAAGCCTTCTCCCTTCAGCTTGCGGGTCCGACCCAGCGCTATCGTGCCCACGCAGAGTCCCACGGCTGTTACCATGACAATTAGCATCGGTTGCAAAGAGAAGCCCAACGAAATGATATCGATTTTGCTTAGGCCGCCCTCCCAGTCGACTATTTCCACAATTGCTAGGAACAGCGACTCGGAAATGAGCCAGTGCATCAGGGAAGATACGATGATGAGCGGGACACCAACGCGATATGGTAGCTGGAGAAAATATGTGCTTCGCTGTTCTGCGCGTGGCAAGCTTACTCGAAGAGATTTGCGCTCCAGAGAGAAATCGTTCCATTCGCTGGCCAGCCACATGCATGTGACCAAGCTGTTAAGATTGACATATAGGAAGGAAAAAATCAGTTGCGGAATGTTGGCAACGAGTGCCGTGAAGAGGGTATTGGAAATGGGCCAACTGGTAACGATGGCTGCAGGCTGCGTCTTTCCAAAACCGATCGACGTGATGGATTCACCGGCATAGCCCGAAACGACACCATAGCCAATACCAAAGAAGACGAGAACGACCAGTACAGCAAGCAGGATGCATCCAATGGTCACCTTCCAACGCTTGTGACTGGCAGCTCTGGACCAGGTAAGAATCTGGGATGAAGCCCGTGTTCCGTTGTCTATCTCTGCTCGCTGCGCACTGACAATAGCCTCGGGTTTCTTGGGTTCTGCACATAGGGAACTGACATCCTTCCTGCTGAGTAGGCCACACCCTTTTGTCGTCACGTCAGGTTGCCGAAGGAAGGAGCTGATAGCGTCACCCACTGTAATAAGTGGTGGGCGCTTGCCCAGACCAAATGCGACGATCAACATACACAGGATTTTGATTGCATTGCACACAATGACCACCATCAGGATCTTCGTGTCGCCAATAAACCGGCAGAGTTCATGTTCAATACGCTCACTCAAGCAGTGGTCGATGTTGTGATCCCAAGGGGTCCACTGCTCGATCTGATTTTTGAGCTTAGAAACCTTCGCATTGCAGCCTTCTCCCGAATCGGGAATATTCAAGTATCGAGACATTCGTGGTGACTTTCCACATATCCTGGGGTGCAATTAGAGGAAATCCCGAGATCTGGAGGATGAAAACATACCACTCATAAGGATGATAGTTCGAGCCGCTTCTCGTGACTGCTTCGTCAAACTCATAAAAGACGTAGTCCAGCAGGGAAGAATTTCGAGAACCCTCTTGCTCATCATTTGTGATCAGAACGAGATTTGACCTGCCTGTCACAATCGTTTGAGCATAGAGGTTCAGACAATCAGCGGGCTTGAGATATTCAAGAGCATCGGGGTGCTGGGTTAGGTTCTCAAGGTACCTTGCACCTGCATGTAAGTCGTTGAATTCGTAGTAATTGTACTGCGGCAAGCCTTGGTTAGCAGTGAATGACTGCCAATCAGGCGTCATGGCAAAGGCGATATAGCTCCTGGCTGATAGTGAAGAGTAGAAAGCCGAATTGTAAAGGAGGTGAAGAGGTATAGAACTGAGACACAGGACCCACCACAGCGAGCTCCTCCATGGTGAGATACTTGACAAGTTCCGCAGACTCTGGACACCAATGTCAAGATATTTACCCTTGGTGTGCGCGCGATCCAATTCATGGCGCTTTGGCGCGGAGAGCACTTGCATACTGAAATTGGAAGCGCTGAGCAAGATGCTGGAGACTGCGTTGATGCCGAAATGCACCCATAAATTCATCTCCTTGACTTTCTTGCAGCTCCCTGAGTAGATCTCAACGTGACCTTGTCTTGTCCCTCTGCTACTGACAGCCGGGTGCTGGCTCATCCATACAAGGACTGCAACATTGACGGCAAGTGCAGCGATTGACGTGCAAGCGCCAGCAGTGGCACCGACTTTCCAGCCTGAGAATTTGCGCTTGACATTCTCATCAACATTGCCCTCGGATTCTCGCATCTCAGGTTTGCGGTCTGAGTCGAAGTCTTGCTGGAGGAGCTCAGAGTTGATCATTTCCGTTTTCGATTGGTTGAGGTCTTTGGGCGCTGCTTGCCATAATCTGTAAGTCGATTCTGTATATCTCGTCGCCCTTGGGTTTGCTGGCGACTTGTCGACGTCGTCATGTCCCGTATTGAGGGGAAGCAATGCGTAGCCAGATGCACCCTTCCTATTCCCGGCCTCAAGATGATAGTAGCTTGCGTCATTATTGTAAGTGCTCATCGTCGAAGGCTATGCCTCTGAGGGATATGGGCAGGTGAGCATCATTAGCAGGAGGCATTGGAGATCCTGCTACATGATATAAATCTTCTCTGGGATGTGGACTTGTTAGCCTTACCGTACAAGTCCTGGGGGCCAGATGCGATGCCAGGAAGATGGGAATGTCACTTGCCCATCTGCCATACACCAGGCCCCCAAAGTGGTCTTAAAGTCGTTTCAAGGGGTTGTGGCTTGTATCATTGTCAAGGCAGCTCGTTGAATAGACTTTGGAGCATGCACGAATGGTTTCAACTCCAGCCCGAGGGAGAGTAGTCCAAAACCGTGCAATTGAGGCATTGGAGCAACTGTACTAAACGGGTGATATCTCTCACTCCATATATCATGCATTGAAGGATGGGCATGAGATCCAATACGAGATATGGCCTGGTCGAAACTCTCTAACCTGAGGATCTAGGTTGTAGAAATTCCGATTGGGTGGAATCATGTCTGAAACGGCGCACTCACCTGCCTCAAACCATCAGATCAGGAACGGCCCGGGAGACTACAACCGCTGATCTTTTATGATCAGCGGGTACGCCATGGGTACGTGATTAGTTAGGCTGAATGGTTTGTTTGTCGATAACCCCTCTAGTTCAGCCTAGAGAGACCTCAGTGACAATTTCCGGGTGAATTGCTTACTTGTGCGTATTAGGTTGTACGCTTAGCACTTTTCTAATCTATTACATTTTTCCCACCAGCTCTAGGTCTTTGTAGCTCTGGCGTCTTCAACGAAGCTATGGCGCCTCATTGTCGTTGGTTTGCGCCAAGTTACCACCAGCAGACCGATGACCAGCAGCTTCTCCAGTCAGAACACAGCCTGAAGACGACTCAGCTCGCATGCCGATCATCGCAACATCACCGCCTGATTTTGCCTCTGCTTTTAAATGGCCCCGAAATTCCCACCTCGCACGAACAAACCAATCAAGAGACATGGCAAGCACTAAGGCCAGGTATAGCGCCGAGACGTAATTCATCGATCCGGGTGTGGCAGGCATAGTCGTGGGAAAGCTGTAAACAACGATGATGAAGCCGGTCCATGTGAGGAGGACAAGATTCGCGATGAAGCCAGGTTTGTTGCCGAGCCAGAAGGGCCCATGCTGGACTCTGCTGCGGCCACGCATCAGTAGTGCGATCACCGGGATCGAATATGAAACGTAAAGCAGGACGATACACGCCGTTACAGTACTATTTTAGGCCAGTCAGTAATGTGGAAATGGGATGGAAAGTATGTGTAGTGTTGAACTTACGAACTGAAGGCAGCTGTGCTGGCAGAGTAGAGTAGTCCAACGAGCGCAACCAAGACACAACTGGCGAGATGAGCCATTAAGGGCACTCCCAGGGTAGGATGGACCTGCCTCAGCCATCTATGTCCAGGTAAGCCGGCATCTCTCGCAAAGCTCCAGCAAAGGCGGCTCTGCCATGTGTGGCAGGCGATGAGGCAGCCAATTCCAGTCAAGATGATCAGACTTTCCAGAAGGCAAGCACCAGTGTTGCTAGTTGCTTGACGAAAGATCTCGATGATTGGTACACCAGTAGCGGTGAAGGTCACACTCTCGAGGTCTTGGATACTGAACATCATCCCAATAGCAAACGGCCATGCTGTGCAGAAGCCGATCGCGACGGTGCAGCAGATGGCAAAAGGAATCGTCTTTTCTGGTCGTGGACCTCCTCGGCCAAGTGTGTCGCACAGTCGAGACATGCGAATGCCCATTCCGGATTCATCAGGCCGATGATGAACGCAACACCGTTGTTCTGCCATCCGGTGTTATTGATGAATGTCGCAAAGACGAATTTCGGCGAGTTATGACTTGGTGCGAAGCTCGGGACTGTGATCAGAAGGATGGCGAACGACAGAAGTGAAATATAGAGTGTCGCTTTTGCGATTGTCGGCAAGACCTTGTCATATATATTGAACAAAAATGAGACAGCGTTGAGAGCTATGGGTAATCGGCAGATATGAGTAAATCTCTTGATAAGAAACTTTCGATTGCATGATCGATCTGCTGGGCAAGGGGATCGTCTATGTACAGCGAACCAAATCCAAGTGCGAACGGGCCTCCAAGATGACGGACTTACCCTGATACACAACAATCACATGCCAAGCCTTAACTTCAAAGACAGCATGAGTAAGTTGATAAAGTCCAACAATGGCGGTAGCCATAGCCAGCGCAACACTCGAAGTAGTGAAAAGGCTACCCACCCAAGCAAAGCAGCCAGTTGAATAGCCTGCAAACTTGGCATATCGTGAAGGTGCCAGCTCTGCAGCCCAGAAGGATTGTCCTGCCGCGTTGGGCATCATAGACACGAGCTCACTCAGCGAGATTGCGGCGCAAGAGGTGATCAGCGCAATGAGCAGGATGCCATAAATTAGGAGGACTGGTCCGCCAGAGTTGATGCCGGTGACCATTGAGGCGGAGACGCCGAACCAGGAGTTTGTCAGTGAAAATGCCACTCCGAGCACGGACCAGAGCGAGAAGTTGCGCTTCAGATCTTGCTGATAGCCCATTGACGCAAGCTTGAGGGCGTCGGCATCGGCATCGGCATCGTGGGCGGTTGGGATTGAGGGAGTGTTCTGTGCGACTTCTGCACATGCCATTTTCAGAGGGTTTGAACCATACACGATAGCTTTTGGGAAGGGATATAATGAGGGAGAAAAATTGAACAAGATTGGGATGATTAAAGTCAGAGAGAGCGAGAGAAAAAGAGAAACAATGGCTAATATAGAAGCGTTGGTGAAGCTCAGTGTGCTGAAGAAAGGCCTGCTTGAATGTCCGCTGTGAAGTTCAACGCCGAGCAAATCCATGTGACAAAAGTTGAGAGATCACTTCAATAGCTAGGCAGTCATGATCACGTCCCATTATGGAACGCACTGCCACTGCCATGAATCAAAGGAAGAGAACGGCGTCATATACAGCGATGTAATCAGGGACGCCGCCCGAATAAAACGCGTCAAAGCAGCACCACTAGGTGTCACCCGAATTGTGCACCAAGGGAGGGTTAGCCGCAGCAAACAAACATCAATACTCGCACAAAACCTTCCAAAGAAATGGACAAAGGAAAATAAGAATTTGGCATCGTCTCGAGACAACGGGTCTGATATCTTGCAAACCTTGAGATCATCGATGAGTGCCAAATTTCGCTTGATGCCAGATCGAAATGGTGCGTGTCGATGGTGAGTATCGAGCGCTGAACGCGTTTCCTCAATCTTTTGTGTACTCACGAACCAGCTGATGTGGTTGTTTGGAAAATCGTGAAACGAGTATTTCTCACCAATGTACGAACGTTAAAACGACGACTAGAATATGCCAAAATCATGACCTGACACCAAGCCGCCGACCTCGCAAATGTCTTCAACAACCTTTCAGATCGTTGTTTACTTCCATATTACGGATCCGCAACCTTATTGAGGGATATATACAATATAGAATGTGACTGTAAAAAGAGCGTATGCCGTCGCCGTTAGGTCTGAGTTATCTCGTTTGATCCATACTAGATGGGGAGGAGGTGTTTCCACCTGCCGCGACGGATGTTTTGGTATGTGCCAAGACCGTTCACGTGATATGGGCTACTCGTCTGCTTACCTAAGAGGCCGACTGGGGATACTCGAACTCGATCAGCTTGGCCACCTTTCACCGCATCCAACCCCTTGATAGAATCCTTGGTGGAGGGTCCAGACCTACCGCTCCACTACAACCCGATCTCCTGTCAAAATCAATACAGTCCAACGCGACGAAACCACCAACTTGTCATCCGACTACCTCGTCGTTGCCCGGGACCAGCAGGCCTTGGGCGACCATGAGTGCCCGTCGACCTTCGCGCCGCCAAGACTTTGAGATCGCGATAATATGCGCCCTGCCACTAGAATACGATGCTGTTTCTCTGCTGTTTGACGAATTCTGGGATGACGATGGTGATCAGTATGGAAGAGCGGCTGGAGACGACAACAGCTATACAACTGGTCGCATTGGCAAGTACGCTGTCGTTCTAGCTCTACTCCCTCATATGGGCAAAGCGAATGCTGCAGGCGCAGCGGCTGGTTTGCGCTCAAGTTACAGCAGTCTCCGGTTAGCTTTGCTTGTGGGTACCTGCGGCGGAGTGCCTCGAGTTGGCCACGGCGAAAACGACGAGATCCTATTAGGTGATGTTGTCATCAGCAAGACCGTCGTCCAATACGATTTCGGTAGGAAGTACCCCGACAAGTTTGTACGTAGAAACACCGTGAAGGGTAACCTAAGCAAGCCAAACAAAGATATTCGCAATCTATTGGTCACATTCGAAACCGACTTTGGCCGAGACTGGCTCCAGGAAAAGACTACTCACTTCCTCAAGGAGCTCCAGGACACCGCTGCCCGAAAGAAGCGTCGCAGCAAATATCAGTATCCCGGAACAGCGGAGGACAAGCTGTTCGAGTCGACGTATCGCCACAAGCACCATATACTACCGACTTGCATCTGTAGCGAATGCTGTGACGAAACTGACCCTGTTTGCGACCAAGCTCTGGACTCACTATGCGATGATCTAGGATGTAATATGGCATACCTGGTAGGTAGGAAACGGCTGGAGATGAAGAAACAATTAGAGCAAAGTGATAGCAATGAGGCTCAGTATCCTGCCATCTTTATCGGGCCTATCGCATCGGGCGACCAGGTGATGAAATCCGGAGAAGACCGAGACAGAATCGCGCAGAGAGAGAATGTCATCGCATTCGAGATGGAGGGTGCTGGGATTTGGGAGGAAGTCCCCTGCATTGTAATCAAGGGAGTGTGTGATTATGCAGATTGCCATAAAAGCAAGAAATGGCAAAATTTCGCAGCCGCGACAGCAGCTTCTGCATCCAAGGCAATTCTGCTGCGCTACGTCCAGACAGACAAACTCGCTATTGGAGACTGTAAGTACTAGAGACACAAAGATACTAGTCATGTCGAACTGACAGGAAGCCCGAAGCGGCAAACCGCAGCCCAAGCCCAGCAGTGGCAGCCACGGTAACCTCGTCTTCCGAGCTCAAAATACCATCACCGCCAGTAGAGGTGCCTCGAAATGTCTCAAACTACGTACACCACCAGAGTTCAGGTGCCGAAATCAGACGCAAGCTTGTCATAGTTGGTGATGGCGGCATCGGAAAGACTTGCTTGTTGGTGTGAGTAATCCTCCACACGATCGTCAGTACTATCGAGGTTGCTAACGTGTCACTAGCGTCTTCAACAAAGGTGGATTTCCTGAGGTAGGGGTCCAGTTTAGAGCTATGCAAACTTGTTGATAACATCTCCAAGGTTTACGTTCCTACCGTCTACGAGAACTACGTGGCCGACATCGAGGTTGATGGAAAAGCCTTGGAGCTCGAGCTTTGGGATACGGCTGGTCAGGAGAATTACGACCGCCTTCGCCCGCTCTCGTATCCCGACACACATGTCGTGCTTGTCGCGTTCAGCATTGATTCGCCCGACACGCTTGACAACGTACAGGAAAAGGTTCGTGACTCTGCTCTGACCAGTCCTTATCTGGTCAATCACTTACAGATACGTTTCATTGTCGCCAGTGGATATCAGAGGTAAGGCATTTTTGCGCAGGAGTTCCGCTTCTCCTCGTCGGGTTGAAGAATGATCTTCGATATGATCCTGAAACTGTAAGCACGCTTCATGCGACTGGCCAGCGACCTGTCTCACCAGAAGAGGTAAGAATAGCAATGGTCCACGGAGGCTTCATGCAACCCGTCCGGCAAAGTCTGCTTCAGATCAACGCTTACAATACATACAGGCCCGGTCAGTGGGTCAAAACATCGGTGCTTTCATGTACGTCGAATGCTCCGCTAAGACTAACGAAGGTGTGAGAGAAGTTTTCAAGGTCGCCGCCCGGCTCGCGCTCAATTATCGTGGTCGAAAACGGAACAGAGTACGGTGCACTCTTCTATAAAGTGAATCCTCTCAGACCACAATAGAAGACGGTAGAGGAAGCGACCCACATGAGAATCGCAACTAAAATACGCCACGGGATGATTAGCACGACAATGTAGACAATGGGCCTCTCGTGACAAAGTTGGCCTTAATTGGTTATCCCTCTCGTGGGAAGGGCCATTGCCCCTGCAGGTATCCTCGAGCCGAAAATCCAACGGGGATGCAGTCCCGCGGCATACAAGGAGAAAAGAAAGAGTCGGAACCAACAAGCTCTATATCTTTGGTGATCGAGCCAGAGTGTGTTGTTCGTGGCATCATACGGCACCACACAGACACCAAAAATTGTCCCCGCTCTCCTTCCGCAAGTATCAGATGCATAACGCACTGAGAGGGAGACTGAGCATCGACCCGAAGAATCTCGCTCTACCATTCGATCGTAAGAAAAGGATTTCAGCCACTTCTCTCCGGGGGAAGTGCTCCTCAAAAGGAGAACCGAACCAATCCTGGAGTCGTCGAATTGCTTCGGCCAGCCAACCGACTAGCTGGCACCGCCGATTTCCAGCTTGACCAGTCCAGACTCACACATCGATTGGGCATGTCAATTTCTGGGACCATATACACGTCCCAACAAAAATGTATACAAGGGAGAAGCCCACAACACAGTGTCGCAATCCTGAACTTTCCCGATCACCTAACTGTCCGATGGACCTCCTTTTGGAATGCACATTGCGTTGGCCGAACATCAGAACTGGGCACCATGCTGCAAAGCAGCACATGGCGGTATCTCGACTCACCACCTATTCTGGCCGGGCTAAATAACGAACTGTGGACATATGTGGCGTCGGTCGCCTTGACAGACATATTCGTCGATGTGTCATGGTCTGCATTAGCGACCGAAAGAAGGTCTTGAGAGGGCCGCGCAGAATGTGTTGCATGGGTCATCCAGGCTCCGATGCCACTCGTATCGTATCGAATCGAATATCTTCACCTAGTTAGGGCCGACGTCGAAGAACCAGCCTACCTAAACTACCGAGGTAACCTTCCATGCTACCAAATATGTGCTTTCATTTGGAAGGCAATCGGCTAGTCTGCAAGTGCATGCCAGGACATATAAAACTCTTATGAGGCTGTTCAAGCCCTTTCAAACTGGCGAACAGCATAATAGAGCCTTTCATTGGCAGACAGACAGACAGACAACAAGGTGATGGATCAGGCGAGGGAAAGAGAAATATGTATCTGTCGAGCACAATCCAAGTTCGATAGAGATACCTAAATAAACATCACGATCTCAGTCATATTTTATTCTCCTGCTACCCAAAAAGAACGCCACCCAATATCCGCCTGTCCACGAAGAACTCGTTAGACCTAGAGCTTGATTCTAATGCCTAGGTATCTAAAGGCATCGAAACATGTCCCGCTCATCAAGATTCGATTCCACTAGGCCCTGGACGTTTACGTGGCAAGCCCAGACCGGGGCCGTTAAAAATGTTCATCCCTTATTCTATCGTCATCACCCAAAGTCTATTCATCACCCCATCAATCAATCAGCCATTCACAAAATGCTACAAGCACAAGGCGGAAATGCTTGAGACGCCAACGCTATGACCTGGAAAATTGCCGTTCAAGTAAAACCCAAATAGTAGCCCATGTCTATGCCTCGTCATCCGTATCTGGAGGGTGAGGTGTTCCTTTGGGGCTATTGAGCCATTCGATGCTGCAGAAGTTGGGTCAGTAAGGTGAAATTGGGGAATGGGAATAAAAGATAAGAACTTACTGTCGTAATCTTCGTCGCACATCTCTCTCCTTGATTTGTGCTCTGGTCAACTTCTTCTTCTTCTTTGCTCTGAATTTCATTTCACTGTTGTCTTCCGCACCCGAGTTGACAGCTGAAGCAGTAGCACTCGAGACCACGGAGCTAACATTACTAGATCCTGGTCTTGAGTCTTCGAACCTATTAAGATCGATGGCGAGAAGACCTTTGTGAGTGACGCGGCCATCAGCCACGTGCCATTGTTCGGGACACAGTGCCCCAACAAATTCTTCGTTGTGACTGATCATCACGACACCACCCTTGTAGTCACGAATGGCAACAGCAAGACCGCCCAAAGAATCTCGATCCAAAAAGTTGGTGGGTTCGTCGAGAACGAGTAGATGAGGGTTGTTCCACATGGCACCAGCCAACACCACCTTGACTTTCTGTCCACCACTGAGACCCGAAATCTCATTGTGATTGGCGATTTCAGGATCTAGGCCCACGTCCTCGAAATGTTTCGAAATGACCTTGGGTTCCAAGATCCGATAACCCAGACCTTCGCGAGATGCTTCATGATCGTCAAACTCTTGCAAAAGCTTGACGAAACCCCATTCCACAAGTGTTTCTCTTGAAACTTGGCTGTTGAATTTGGGGATCATGTTACGCCACTTGACTTCGTACTGGAAAGTCTTCTTGTACTTTTGTCGACCCATCAAGTTCTCCAGTTGTCTTGCTCCTTTACCATCGCCAAGATCAATCCACTTCTCCATTTGAGCCTTGTCTTCATCGGTAAGAATACGAGTAGCCTTCATCAAAACTTCTCGATCATCACCGTTGGCATATCGCCACTGCAGATATTGATTGGGAGTCTTCTCCATGTGCATTTCAACGTGTTCAAGAGCGTGCTGTTTGATATATCCAATTCTGAGATTGGGATGTTTCTCGACCTTGCCGGTCTGAGGAATGGTTTCACCTGTCAGCAGTTTGATCAGTGTAGATTTGCCGGCACCATTGGCACCAATGATAGCCACACGAGAAGACAAGCTCAATTGACATGAAACGTCTTGCAAACTTGGTTTCGAGCCACCTGGATATGTATAACTGCAGTTGGTCATTCGAATGATCGATCGGGTGTTAGATTTGACACCACTGAGGATACCTGGTGGAGGAAATTTGAACTGGATCTGAGATGCAGAAAGAGTGTAGTAACTTTTACCCTCTGGCTTGACTTTGACGAAGGCGGCCAGATTTCCAACATAGTGAACAAGTTTCTTCTGTTCGTAGTGATAGATGTCGGTGCAGACAGCATCAAGGAAGCCAGAATCGTGAGACACAATCAAGGAAGTGATTTCCGTGTGGGTTTGGAGGTATTGCTCTAACCATTTGACGTTGGCGACATCGAGATGGTTGGTCGGCTCGTCCAACAAGAGGACGTCTGCTCTCATCAACATGGCACGAGCCAAGGCAAGCTTCATTTTCCAACCACCCGAGAGAGAGCCAACTTTGTGTGATTGACGTCCTTCGGGACCGGCTGTGAATCCGACCTCGCTGAGAACTTCTGAGATTCTTTCTTGTCCTTCCTTGGCAATTTCGGGATCCTTGGCCACGAATTCGAGGATGCTGATGTCGGCATCTTCACCTTGGTTGTGCTCGACAAAACAAGTCTTGAGCACGTCTCGGGACGGGAATCCTTCCAACTTTCCATCTGCAATACTGCGCATAAGGGTCGATTTACCAGCTCCATTGCGACCGCAGAGACCATAACGATGACCCTTAACGAGTCGTAGGTTTGTGTGAGAAAGGAGCAACATACCACCATAGGCAAGAGAAAACTCGGCGTTGACAATTTCGATCTCATCCGGGTTGATCACCACTGGTGCACCGTACTTCTTGTGGTCTTCTTCAACAAAATGCTTTTGTACACCTTCGGCAATGGCAGTCCGGTTCTCATCAGGTAGTAGAAACTTGAGATAAGGTCCAACTCTGCTGGGAATACGGCTGAATACTCTGCCGTTAACATCCTCACGAACCATCTCAGAGACATATGTTTGCCCGAATTTCCATAAAGCGGCATCTCCCTTTTGGATACCTCCTTGAGCGCGAAGTTGGCTATCAAGCACTTTAAGGACATCGTCTGTCGTGGTGGCTGCAATTTGGCCATTGGTGATGCCATCTTTGTCATCACCCATAGCCTTTTTCATGACAGTTACTGCTCTGTCTGCCAATTCTCTGACCTCGGGTAGAGAAGCGTTATCTCTGACCTTTTGTACACCGGGTTGCAACTTTGGCAAGAAAGTTCTTGCCTCGACAGGGTCATGGACCAGTTTGGTCAGATTTTCCACTACCACCACAGTTTGCCGTAGAACTTCTTGCGATGTTGAAGGGTTATTTAGAGCTCTCTCGAGGAGTGGGGTAAGGAGAGCCAGAACTGGAGAGGTGACAATTGCCACAAAAGTTGTCTGCGAGAGGGCATGAATAGCCTTTTGTAGGGTCTGTATTGAAGGGTTCTTCATAGTATCAATCAAAAGTGGTATGCGGGGGGCCACATCGTCGTTTTGTAGCAAAGTAGTAAGCGAATTCATGGTCTTTGTGGCAGCCTTGACGACCTCGGCCTTGAGGTCGTGAATTCCGGCTTCGACAATAGGGATGAGTTCTTTCAGTGTCTTGCCCATGGATTCCCGGAGGACATCTTTGGCTAGTTCCTCCTCTTTCGTGCCCTCGCCCATCTTCGCTTTATCTGCCATCTTTCCCAACAGAGTGAAAGCACCGACAGTGCCTTGCCACTTGCCGGTAGGCTTGGAGAGATATTGCTGCAAAGCAGGGAGAAGGCCTACTACCATAGATTCGGGTTCGAGATTCTTGAATAATTCATCGACTGCAAATTGGGCCGACTCCCGGACGGAGGGACCCTTGTCGGCTAAGCCATCGAGAGCGAGGTTTAGGACACCGCCGTCCTGTACAAGGAAGACGACTTCGCTGAGGGGTTGTTCTCGAGGGAAGCGCTCGAACATGGCGCCAAGTACAAACATGGCACTCTCACGTTTGGCACCATTTTTCTTGTCGGAAGCGGCCTTTTTAATTTCTGGGATGAGGTTATATGAAAGGAGGCCGCGCACACCCACGGACTGGATCAATAGATTTGTCAGAGCGTATGAGGCATCTAGAGAGACCTGGGCAGCGTCCGAGTCGAAGATTGTAGCGAGAAGGCTGCTTATCTCTTCTGGGGTAGGTGCAACACCGGAGAAGGTCGACTTGGAAGCGACAACGGAAGTGGCCATGACTGGTGCCAATCGAGGGGATTCACGATGGGGCATGCTCTGGTAAAAAGCTGGCGCCAGGCCGTGAGGACGAGAAGCCCGGGATTGACTCTCACGATGGAGGACCAGGCAATTATGAAAGGCTGAAAACAAGAACGGCGCCCTCACTCACAATCACCGTGCTGAAAAGGAAGAGTGGAGAGTGTTGTTAAACTGGGAAAAAAGAGGGAAGAGACAAAGAGAATTTCCAGATGAAAGCAAGGTAGTATGTAAGTAACTAGAGGGGTGATTATTTTTTGAAATCTGAATCAGCCTGCGGGCAATGGCGGTAGGCTGGGTGGCCGTGCTTCACGCTGGTGGTAGTAGTTAGTACTGCCGCCCGAGTTGCGACTTGCAGGGGGCCCCTCGGCCATTCACCCCAGGCACGTTTTTTTTTCGCCCTCGGTGGAGCGTTGGAGGTCCTTAAAAGAAAATTTGGGACGGAGGGGCCATTCGATAAGCGATAAGGGCCGGGACTTGCAAGTTTTTCCCAGCCACTGACGTGGAACTCGAGGGTCATCCTAGGGAGCCCTAACCGGCGCTAAACACCCTGTTAACCACAGCCTAACGGGACCCTAGAGACAGACCCCTCGGGCTTCGGAACAACTCACAATTGGGCCCTCCACCATAGCCTTGCTGACTTATCCAAACTTTTTTCACTGACGTCTTCAAGTTGACTCCGAGGCAGGAGGAGGTGCTCCTGCGAACATACGGCATTAACTACCAGACCGAAAATTCAACCCACTTCACTCCTCGTCGGTCCAGCGATCCTTGTTGATAGTATCAACATCAAGGACTCCCGACTCCATGCGTGTAGATCTCAACCATCCATACTCACAGTTCATCCCCGTCACACCTCCACAACAATGAGCACCCAAACCACCAACTCTGAACAAGCCGACAACACCACCACCACCACCATGAAAATCCCCATCTCCCCAGCCCGCGCCTCAACCCTCACAGCAAACCTAACCTCGATTCAAAAACGTATAACCACCGCCTCAACATCCACATCCACTTCCAGCCCCAACTCGCATCCCCCACGCCTCGTCGCCGTCTCGAAACTAAAACCCGCCAGCGACATCCTCGCGCTCCACCAACCACCTGTCTCACAACAACATTTCGGAGAAAATTACGTGCAAGAACTGCTGGAAAAAGCGCGCCTTCTACCACAAACCGTGCGCTGGCACTTCATTGGCGGGCTGCAGAGCAACAAAGCGGCGCAGCTAGCGCGCGAGGTCGAGAGCCTATGGGCCGTCGAGAGCGTGGACACGGTCAAGAAAGCGGGCCTGCTGGAGCGGGGGAGGAAGGAGCGGGACGAGCGGTTAACCGAGACCGAAGGAGGAGGAGGAGGAGAACCGCTCCGGGTGTTCGTGCAGGTTAACACGTCGGGCGAGGACTCGAAATCGGGGGTCGAGCCCAAGTCGGACACGCTGCGGGAGTTGGGAAAGTATATCCGCGACGAGTGCCCGCATCTGCGGCTGCAGGGCCTGATGACGATCGGCGCGATAGCCAGGTCGAAGGCGACGACGGCGGAGACGGAGAACGAGGATTTCATCAGTCTGAGGGAGAATAGAGATTGGTTGGCCGCGGAGCTGGGTTCTAAGCCGGAGGACTTGGAATTGAGTATGGGCATGAGTGAGGATTTCGAGGGCGCGATACGGCAGGGCAGTAACGAGGTCAGAGTCGGGAGTACGATCTTCGGTGAACGGCCGCCGAAGAAGGACGCGAAGGTGCTGGAGGATACGGAAGGAGAGAAGAAATGATCTCCTTCGATGGAAATACTAAAGGGAGGTTTCCCAAAATCTATAATGGGTCTCATGCCGTGCTGGCCAGAGGAGAGGCCCGCCGCCGTTCTAACCAGAGTACAGTCATAAATCGTGTCAAGTACTATTATATTATCGTCAAGGACCCAAAAATATACGTCCTACACGAGGATAACGGACACGACCAATAGTTGCCTGATCAGACAGTCTTCAATGACCATGCTTCCGATGCAACACCCACTCGTGATGGACTTTTGGGCCTTTTTCCCTTCAAAAATCAATATAATAATAATGGTTGGGTGGCTTCTGAAGACCCGCCTTCTCAAGGACTTTTGGCCAGCCGTTCCTGCATCATGTTGAGCAGTATCCCTGGGATCGTGTCCTGTGTGGCTCGAATCGTCATCCGATACATCTGCCAAGAACGTCAGTATTGGTCTGGATATTCGCAATATCAAGAAATCATACCTTCTGTTGAGGATTGGGCTCCAATCTCAACAAACACCCTGTCTTGCCCTTTTCCAGCTGAAGTACTGCACAGCCAACAATATTTCGCGGATTGGGATCTACCGTGTCCAATATCTTCCATCGGAACCCAAGTACAACCTCCCGTGCATATTTATCACTCATGGCGGCCGAAGGTGATCGGAGACCAAACGTACTCTGTGCCTCCATAGGCCCTGCTCCAATTTGCCGCCAGCGCTTGAAGAAATCTTCAGCTGATAACTCGGAAGGATCCATAAAGCGGTGAGGAAGTATGGGTAACTTGAGTGTGTAGGCTTGAAGTGCGCCGGCAAGATATGAAATGCGGATGGTCGGTGCTTCAGAAAACGCTCCAACAGATGTACAAACAATCGTCTGTTGAACTTGAGATTCGGATTCTACCGACGGATCTGGAAGACTTTTCGTGTCGACCTTGAGATTGGGTGCAGATTTGTTGTCCAATGTGGTTGTGAATGATCCCACTGGGAATGACGCTTTGTTGGTGAAATACAGCTTGATCACACCTAGATGGCCCCGATACTCAGCTCGCACTCCCACCTGGATCTGAGGATCTTCGAAAAGAACCCCTTCATTTGCAAAATACATCTGCTCATACCCAATCTCCCAGTCTGGTGACAAGTGCGTTGTACTGGCGAGATTGGGCATCGAGTTAACGTTAGTGTGCCCATTCATGTCTAGTCCAGCTAGGTCATTTGCCGCAGAACCATTTTGTCCGGTCGCTTTAGGGGCTAGGCCGTTACTTCCTGAACCACCTTGGTTTCCATTGACAATTGTGGTGAAGGTTCGTTTCAAGCCAGTCTGCTGAGCGAGAATAATCTCTTGCTTGTCGGCATTTGCATCCTTTCCTCCCACCAGCCATGTTCGTCGTTCACTGGTCCCTGCACTTTTCTTGTGCAGCCTTTGAAGCAGAATTGAGGCTCTTTCAGAAAATGGTGGCATCTCATCACAGATTGTTCTCAGTAGGTCATCAGCTGGAAGAGTTGCGATAGCCAGGTATTCACAAGCTCTTTGTTGCAATTCCGAGTCGGGAGAGTGGCTGTAGAACTGGAACATTTGTAATAATTGTGGTTTGATCTCCGGGAAGAGGTTGACGAACTTGACAAAGGTGGACAAGAGTAATGCTCTCGTTGCATCTGGTGCTGAGATCATCTTGTTCTGTAAAGCCATCAATTGTTCGATCGGACTGCATCCCTTGTTATCTGCAATAAGATGTCCAAACTCCCCCAAAAGATAGCCACCAATTTTGACGAGTGTGTCATGGCTATTGTCGCTTTTGATGTAGTCAAAGATATGTTGTGCAGCATAAGCTTGCAATTCTTCATTATTAGTGACAATTTGCACCACTCGTTGCCACACTTCATCACTGACATGATCTCCAGCCATGGCTAGAAGTCGCATGGTAATTTCAATATACCACTGAGCATCACTTGCATATTTCTCTGTGAGAATGGCGATTTTCAATGTCATCTCCTCTCGAATCGAGTAGTCGGCTGACTGTAAGTATTTCAACAGTTCGTTCACGATAGGTTGTGCGTTGGAAGTGTCACACATGCTGTATAGTAAATCCAATCCTTTTCTTCGCACACTGATATCTCGATCACGTAGTGATCCAATAATGAGACTCTGATGGCGTTGAATAGGATCGAGGGTATCTGAACGTGCAGCCAGATGTGTCATAGCATCCAAGCCCAGATAGCGTACATTGGTCTCTCTTGATTGGATGAATTTGCCCAGCTTGCTGGATATTTGCACCATCAACCCATGCTCTGAATCAAGATGAATGAGTAGGTTGATCGCTTCGAAGAGAACTGCATTCTGTGCATTATTTTGTTGCACATTCTTGGGTGCTTCCGTGGCGTATTGGAGAATCGCCTGAAGAGAATCGCGTATAATTTCCCGTACATGGGTGTCTTCCGAAGGAGGATAATACTGTAGCAATTTCAGGAATTTGACCTGGATCCAGGGACATGGAACTTTATAATAGAAGTAATCCGGAGAGACATCATTTTCAAGGACGATTCTCCTCAATCGCTGGGCGGCCTTGACATAGCTGCCTTTGAAGGCCTCGGGATTGTCTTGAACCAAGGCCATAAGCAAGGATGTCACAGACAACACAACTCCCATGTCTGGGTCGTCCATCAATGAAATTATTCTTTCCGCCCATTCAGGTTGTATTATGCCTGGATATTTTCTGTACAGTCGCAGTAAAGTCAATGCCGCCTTCTTCTTGACGAAAGACTTCGAGGTTGGGGATATGAGGAGACGGTGGACATCGACGGCTAGGGCTTCACCCATTTCTTTTCCACCGACATTGGCCACAGCGTGAAGGGCCAGACAGTTGTTGAGCTCATTGTGATCAAGCAGGTCCTTGCGGATACTGTTGACAACGAGATGGAGGAGTTCGTGTTGCTCGTGAAGGAAGAGGGTAACTGCGAGGTAGCCAATCTGCTTTTCCGAATACTTTGTTGCGGAGATGAGGTTGACGGCCTCTAGATGACCAAAATCGACATTGTATCCTTGAATATAAATATAGAGTAACTTGCAGACGTATTTCTTCTTCTGGTATCCATCGAGTTTCTCGCTCTTGAACTTTTGTCGGATGTTGGCTAATTCCTTGTTTATTCGTTTCTCCTCAAGTTCTCGAGCTCGAGCGTTACGTAGATCGGCAATGAATTGGACAAGACCACGCATGGACGACATGTTGGTATGGCGAGGCGAAGCCGCATCTGCGTGCTGCAAACGCGGCGATGTTGGAAGGCGGTGGGGAGTGAATCAGGGGAGAAGGAGATGGGGTAATTCAGTCAGTCGTGCATTCCTTTGGCCACTTCACTTCTCACTTCTCACTGTCATCGCGGAATGGGATTAAATGAATGAGCGGTCATAGTCTGACAAGACACACGAATCAATGTTCGTATGCTGAGGCCCGCAAGCTGTGAGATGGAAGACGTGGTTAGCGAAATGGATGAGGTAGTACCACGGAACTTCTGTAGTTATGCATCCCGGGTCTACGATGATTCGGCTGCGCCCGCATATTGGAAAGAGGAAAGCGCCATCCCATTAGCCCTGTTTCGCTGAAATCTATTCTCAATTCGAGATAGCTCATGTGCTAAGTCTGGGCACCACGTAATGAGACAACCGTGTAATGTGACACACCTCGATATCGCCACCACGACGATTAAATCATAAATTGCCTATTCTACAGGTTCGTTTGCACTAAATTGATGCATGAATGGTGTCAGGGAGTCATTCAAGTGCCTATTCCTAGTAGTATTCCTAGTGGTTGAGCGCGTACTAGACCTCGCTGTCGCCTCTAATGCCTCCATACCCTGCCTAGCTTGTCTGATGGTCTTGATACTCGCAAATACCTTATTGCAGTCGATTGCGACTCGCGGTTGTCTCCTAGTAGCTAGCTCATCTAGCTGTTGACGTTGAGTAGCGAGTTGTTGCGATTTAGTGGTGATTTCCCACTGTAGCTGGTCGAATGCTTTAGCTGTTTTTTGGAGTAGACGACGTACTGGACGAGAAAGAGTTTCCTGAGCTGAAATCGACTCCGTTTCCTGTCGTATTTACTGTCGAGTAAGTGGCGTATGAATATCATTCGATATATACTGAGCTTGCTTGCGTGACGGTGGCGTAGTTAGTAGTATTCGCTCATTTTGGCTATTTTGAAGGACTTGACTTAATCGAATAACTTTGCGAGGATCCCATGGATATATACCAGCTGCATTCCACGCCGTACGAATATAATAAGTAGATAAAGCCTCATTGCTTACTTTTTCATAGGTTTTGAGAAATCTACTCTTCTTTACGGCCGAGGCGTCGTCGTATCTTACTAAGTTAGCAATCTCATCCCGATAACGGCATTTTAGGAGCGAAAAGCATGCAAGATCCAACGGCTAAAGAATATGGCTTAAATAAGGTATTAGATAGACTAATACTACTCGATTAATATGGCATTGCCACATAAATTCGTATATAGCGTGACTTTTATGCCCATCAAGTAGGAGGAGTCGATAGTGATCCGTTACTATCTAAGGGAGGAATAGTTGATATAACTAGGCTAATCCGATAGTATTTAAGATCCATCCATTAGGTGAAACCGTATAGGAATAGTCAGAAGTATTCGGATCCATAAACCACATCGATTGGAGCATATTTCCTTTAAATATAACGAGACACTATAGTCGACGGCTAGTCGCTGATATTGTCTCAATAATAGAGACCCATTCACGATTTTCTAGTATTACTTTATAGGATTAGGTAGTATCGATTCTACTAATCACTTATTGATTAGAACAGACGCCTAGGGCGATACCTATCTTATCTATATTGTAGATATACTCCCAGGGTATCGAATATCGCTCTCGGACAGTATTAAAATACTCAAACCAGCGATTTAAGGACTCGGGAGTAGTGCTCTATAATCGCAAGCCATGGATCTTTTTACCTACTTTAGAGCGAATCTCTAGATGACGTTGAATAAATCGTGATATCCAGTTTTGGCCAATGCTTAAATACTCCGTCGGAGTACCTCGAATAATAACGACGAGATCTCGTAGTTGAGTAAAGCTAGGAGGATGTCCTTGCATCTCAAGGTCGAGTATCCAGCGTACTAGTATTTGCTCTTGTTGGTTCGATAGGAGTTGCTGTGATTCACGAGCAATTGCTCGTAAATTGCCACCTCGTAGTCGACGGCCGAGAGTTATATGGTTAACGTCATTTGCCGCCGTCGCAGCGCGGATACTGGTATATCGGCGAGTTTGGTAGTCGGATATCGCTTGGAGCATCCTAGTCTCTCGATTTGATGCCATTTAATCGTACATCTAAATGAATTGGTTGAGTGGTTAGGTGTAGAAGAGGAGGAGTGGGATTGAGACGCGCGTAAAAACGCGTGTCACATTACACGGTTGTCTCATTACGTGGTGCCCAGACTTAGCTAGACTAGTCTCACTAGTGCCTCAAGAAGAGCAGATTTCAACTTGACCATGTTTTCTTCCACCATCTCTAACCTGGGAGCATCGAGTTGCTTTGTTGTTGGTGGCCGTCTGCATCGCAATGCCACCTCTTCCGATATTTTTCTCTATGATTTATGAAGCTGAATGATTTCATCCAACAAAGCAACAGTTTCTACCGGACTTGCAATCCATGCGCAACAACAAGCACTGCGGGCCTTGAAGTCATTGCCTCCACCACTTAGAAATTGATCGCCAACATGGAGCGTGTTTGATGGTGGAATCCCTCCAAACCATTTCTGACACGCTTGCACACCCAGTGATTTGTCTCCAATATCCAGAAAAACATCCGCGCCTCCATTGAAAACCGTAAAAGGAATATCGGCATGTGCCGCTTTGTTTCCATGGCCCGGTTCATTGAAAGAGGCTTCCAGTACCTGCTGCACGACAAGAACCGTCTCCTCCAATTGTTCCCGGGTCAATTTCTGAGATTGGTCTGCTGCGTAAATACCAACTGCTCGCTCTTTCCTCAAGACCTTTGCTTGGAGATGAAGAGTTCGGATGCAGGAGTGAAATGCAGATTCAGCAACATCGAGTAAGGCTTGGATCGCAGGCTCATTCCAACCTTTCATTGCGTCTAGGATCCATTCTCGTCGATGGATGTAGCGTAGACAGTGTTCTGCACTCTCGTCAAACACCAAGAGGAAGTTCGACTCGCCACCCATGATGATGAGATTCTCCTTTTGCTCTCGTTTCAATTCCTGTGACGATTTAACGGCAAGCAGCAAGCCAGATAACCGATTGAAGTAATGTTCAGGCTGCGTGTATCCAGCAGCTGTCACAATTCCGATCCGAACTCCACGAGATAAGAAGTAAAGAAGTCTGGTAATGACAGGATCGGATTCAGGTGAGTGCAAAGACGCCCCATCCTCGTAGAGTGTCACATCACCATCGAATGTCAACAGGTCAAGTCCAGGTTGCAGCTTTGTCTTGAGAGTGCGATAGGGTTTGGGTTGGACAATAGCCAAGATTTGAGCGGTGTTCAATATCAGACGGATGTCGTTGAAGGATGGGGCAACGAATCGGCGTGACGAAATGGCGCGAATGGAATCCTGATGTCTGAAAGCATCTTCGAGCGCGAGAGGAGTGAAGAAAGTTGAAATAGTGGGAACAAGCATGCTGAGTTTTGATCTGGTTGACGTTTCCTGGTGATTGACTGGGTTTGTTCAGTGAGCGCGTGGCTAGATCGTTGAGATCTGATATGACCTACTCTGGTCCAGTATCAAGTCCTCAACATCTCTGAATATCTCGGCATATCGTTGTCGGGCAGAGCGTGCCATAGTATCAAGACTATGGGCGTTCTTGTCATCGTGCTCGACTGCTGGCTGCGAATTGAGCACAAAGGGCACAGCTAAAAGACCCTGGTTGTCATCAGAATGGTGTCCAAAGCCTCACTATCTCGTCCTACCTTGATCCATTCGATCTAGATCCACGCTTAGTATCTAATATATAACGATAGCGAGGAAAGGGTCAACTTACCAATTGATCACGGCGGTGCGTCTTTAGATACATTATCAATGTCAGTATGGAAACATCGAGAGCGGCCGCTGTGTTTGCTTGCCTTCAATGCATCTAGAGAGTGTTAGTCGTGAGTGAAGTTAAGATCGCGACAGTGAATACTTACATTCAACCCTGTATCTCGTCGTCATATTGTTTGGGTTAAACGTGATACGGTTTAATATGTTTGTAGTGAACGTTACCTACAAAGTCAAACATTGTCGATGTGTAAGGTTGCTCGCAGAGTAGTAGGAGGAGTCGATGTGACACACGTGACCGCTGGTTCTGGGCGTACCTGCGTAACAGCGGAAGCCTCCTGAACTTCAACAGCGCGACTGGGGTTGCTTTTGGCCTCCAAACAAACACCACCTCCGCCAACACAATGGGCTCTGGCTTGATCTTTGCATCTCAAACACACACTGTCGTAGTCTCAATAATACCATATGTACCCCGAAATTGACACTAATGAATCCAGATGAGACTCCATTGAATCATGTCCTCCTCGGACATCTCCTGAACACTGTGGTGAATTTAGAAGATTCCATTCACGTTACGGTGATGGGGATCTTCATCGTCAGAACTCTATATTAGCTAACTAAGTTGTTATCACGGGTGTACTCTTGATCGACTTGACAAAGAATGGTTACGTTGGTGGCATTAGTCAAATCAACGCGTCCTTCAACTGGCACACGCAGTGGGAGAATATGCTACACAACATACACTCACCAGGACAGCGTAGGGGTTCCATTTATGAAGGCTGATGAAAGACAGAAAGGAGAGAAGAAAACCCATCCAAATTGTGACCTGTGAGATATACACCAAGACAACGTTAATAATCTTCTACATTTCGAATAGCATAAAGTGATCAAGCGACTTATGCTAGGTAAGCATTTAGTTAAATCGTAGGGGACAGCTCTTAGAATTTTAGGCTCCAGATGAGGACGAGGGGACGTCGCTAAGGTCCCTCAGGCCAAGCTTCAGGCGGGTCTCAGGCCTTGGGGACCAGTTTAGCGCTGTTCCTGGACCTCTCTTCTCCTTCCTTGACCAACTCACATCACTATGGGAAGCCCATATGATACAGAAATCATCGCCGAGATCCAGTGCTCGACGATCTGGCCCACTCAAGCACCGGATAGGGCAGAGCACTTTAATGACCTTGTCACCTATTCACCTACCTTACTCCCTGGCCTGGATGGAGTCCTGGTGACAGCATCGAGAGGAAGCTAACGGACACGGAGCATTGTCGCCAGCGACCTTGTCTCATGGGTTCAATCCCAAAGCCAGAAAAACTCACTGGTTGACTAATCTTTATTTTATGCACTTCGCAAATGGGATCGCATGTCATGGAAAACTTTCAGCTGCATGCAAATTCTAGAATTGCCACCAACACGAGCCTCGGCCGGAGTGATAGTTCCTCCGGTTGGCCTCAGCTACAATCAACAGCCATGTACTACTTATGCACGATTGAGCGGCTCTTCTCAGATTCTATATAAATTCTATGATTGGGCTCGATATTTAATCCATCCCAGCGTCAGAATCGGATACATAGGCGCCAGGAATCGTCCAAAGAGACCTTTTGACCTTAGACCTTTGTCTCGCTTTCGGGCTGGAAGCTCGTATCAACGTTTGACTTGAATCTCTTACTTCGCCATGGCTTCAGACATGGTCAGTGTCAACATCACTTCATTTGCAGATCCTTCCAAGTACCAGTTGTCCAAGCTCCCGCGACCTGTGGTTTCGGAGCCGACAGACGTGGTCATCCAGGTCTACGCCGCAAGCATTAACCCCATAGATGTGAAGAAGGCATCTGGGGTATTCAAAGCCGGACTTTCAGAAGAGTATATGACTCCCTTCCCTTTGACTTGAACATCAGAGCTCATCAAATGGAAAAGATTCCCATATAAACTCGGGTACGACTGTGCAGGCGTGGTTGCAGAGACCGGTACTCAGGTATCGAGCTTTAAGGTTGGAGACGAAGTTTATGTACGTCTGCCTGAGCGTTCTCGAGGATCTTGGAGCGAGTACGCCAAATGTGCAGAATCTTTTGTTGCCCATAAGCCCAAGAATCTCTCCTTTGGTGACGCTGCATCTTTACCTTTGGCTGCCCTCACCACGTTACAAGCGCTGAGGAAGTATCGAGGCTCATTGGCTGGGAAGACGGTATTCGTTCCGGGCGGACGTGAGTGCACACCTCTTGTTCCTGGCTGTGTGCTAATAGTTGAAATCAGTAAGCGGCACTGGTGCATATGCTTGCCAACTAGCAAAGAATGTCTTCCATGCCGGTAATGTCATCACAACAGTTTCCACAGCAAAGGTGGCGAAAGTACCAGAGTTACTTGGCGAGGGTGTGGTGGACCAGAGTTAGTGCTCTCTACCTCGTGATGCAAGGCCCAGTCAGTTGATCTTTTCACAGTCATCGACTATACCAAGGAGGACGTGATGGCCCTCATCCCGCGAGGCTCTGTCGACTTTGTCCTCGATACGACTGGGCAAGCCATGCAGTTCTTGTCTCTTATGACACCATCAACCAGCACCATAATTTCCATTTCGACTCTCCCCTCCGGTACTCAACTCCAACAAGCCCCCATCATGAATCGCCCAGATAAACCACAGCTACCATTCGTCATGCGTGTTGCGCTGAATGCGCTGGACTCGATCAAGAAGCTCCGCGCCTCACGATGGGGTGTTCATTACGAGTATCTGTTCCTCGAGTCAAATGGGAAAGATCTGGCTAGTTTGACCAGCTATGTTGAGGGTGGGAAACTTGTACCTGTTGTGGGCTCGAGGGTAGACATCAGAGACATCGAAAAGGTACGAGAAGCTTGCGGTATTGTCTACAAAGGTAAAGGTGGCATTGGTAAGACAGTGATTGATATCATCAGATGAATCCGGGGAAACGTTGTAACTTTTTAAGTCTTTGCGGCTCATCATGGGGTACAGAACATTGATTATATGATACTGAAACTGAAGCAGAATTTGACGCCTTTAACGAGTCATGTTTATATACTTTCTTGAATGAACTTCAATATATCCTGGTTTACCTCTGGAGCACAGATCGTCGGTAAAGCATGGGGAGCTCCAGGATACTCCTTCAGGGTACCATGTTTACAAAACTGCACTGCCCGTCGTCCACTCGTTTCAATCGGCACGACCTGATCATCAGTTCCATGCAAAATCTACATTCGTCTCGTCAGTACGCCTCTGAGAAGCTCACGTCAACCAGAATTCCTTTGATCACTTACCAAAATAGGGATATCCGCACTTCGCAGATCTTCGGTGGTGTCGGTCTCGGAGAATGCCTTGATGCAATCGTACGTGGCCTTGAAATCGCATCGCATGCCCTGCTGCCACCAACTCCAGATCTTGCCTTGGCTCACCGTCGCATTTGGTCGATTGAATCCGAAGAACGGACCTGTGGGCACATCGATGAAAAATTGTGCTCGATCCTTGACCATAGCTTCCCGGAAAGAGTCGAATACTTCCAGCGGCACACCCGCGGGGTTGGCCTCCGTCTTGACCATCCCCGGTGTGACAGCCGATATCAGCACCGCTTTCGAGACACGGCTGGTGCCATGGCGACCCAAAAATCGGGCCACTTCTCCTCCACCGGTGGAATGGCCGACCATGATGGCATTCTTGAGGTCGAGCTTCTCGAACAGCTGATGGAGGTCGTCAGCGTAGGTGTCCATGTTATGACCTTCCCAGGGCTGGGATGAACGGCCATGACCTCGGCGATCGTGCGCGATCACGCGGTATCCTTTGCTGGCGAAGAAGAAGGTTTGGTTCTCCCAGTCGTCCGAGCTCAATGGCCATCCGTGGCTGAAAACAATGGGTTGAGCTGTCTTGGCTCCCAAGTCTTTGTAGTAGATCTCGGTGCCGTCTTGCGTGGTGATGGAGGGCATTGTGGGAGATGTGCGAATTCAAGTTGTTGGTGTTCCAGGAGATATCTTTGGTGCCCAAGACAGTAAAGAATTCTTAAATCTGGTATGAGTTTGTCCCAAGCTTCACTCTTATATCTCTGGACAAGCTAGGATTCATGGTTCAGGCTAAGTATATCGATTTTGATGTCATCCGGCCAGGTTCTAGTTTCCCTGCGGCTGATTTGTAGTGATGTTGTCTCCTTTCGGCCATTTGATCGCCCACTGAATTTGTCGACTCCACCGTCAACAGACATGGACACTGAAGCTGAAGCGGGATTTGCGCACTTCGCCAATCACATCGATGTTCTAAGATCTAAGCGAAGAGCCATGACCATCGTGCTTGAACTTTCCGATTCGGAAGGCAGAGCTGGCAAATCATCTGGGTTTGTCCGTGCACCGTCAAATCAGCTGGGGTATTCGTTTCTCCATCGAGCACCTAGTGGGAACGTTTACCATTTTACATATCCTCTACAAATAAGAATCTATGCCCTAGTTCGAGTTCATCGGAGCAAAGCCATTCAGTGTAATCAACATCTGCTGGCTACTTCTACCTGTAGAGTCATCAAGTTCATGCATTCCAAATGTGCACCGGACGAGCGCAATCCCAATCTCGATCTATTTTAAAGCGTGCCTTCCCGATACCGTTCATCCCTGTTGATGCATCTAAGTAACCCTGGATGTTATGTGCACTGATGCTCAGAGCGTGCACTGATATTAACGGCGAGATGAAGACGGCACCAGAGCCCTTATCGGGAGAAGCAACGGATTCCCTCAAGTAGGTATGTAGTTAAAGATAAGTGCCCCGGGCGCAATTGGCTCCCTTTCTTTCTGGCCCCCGCAAGGCTCAGTAACCTCTAAGCTTTAGCTAATGGCGCTTATCATTGAAATGTTATCGATACGCCATCGGATCGGGGCTCATCAGGGCCGGCGCTATCCAAAACCGGGCCGATGACGTTGTATTGTTTACATTTTGTAGAGGTGTAGATGAAGTTCTTTCGGTTTTGATCTTTCTTCCTTTTCCTTTCTCTGGCCACATCGGTAAGAATACCCTGCGCTCTGTTGTTGTACTAGAATCTCCCTTGCTAACGCGTGTATTAGATTAGTACAGATAGAGTCTTGTACGTATACTCATGCTCAAGGCGTTCGCCGGTCCATCTAGTCACCATTACTACCACTACCACCACCACCATCACCACCGAGCTTGATTTTTATGTTTTATTTTTTGTGAGTATATACATGCAGTGCCTTCTAGCGACAAAGAGCTCATACATTTATTAGCAAGATGCACAATACTACCGTGTAAGAGCTTTAAACCAGACCTACTACATCAGGTTAACACGTGAGTATAGTGGTGATATTGGTGTTGGCGGAGACGCTGGCCAGCAGGCCGTTATGTAAGTACCTTTAGTAGAGCTGAACCTTTCATGTTTAACGGTTAACCTTTCGTTAATAGTTTTCCGTAAGTCGAAAGTCGAAATGAAAACCGGAGTCTTCACTTAGACGCCCGCTATCTCCATCACAAGTAGTTACTAATAGCGTTCACCTACAGGTCCCATTCCTCATAGAAAGAGGAGTTGTGGTGGTTTGCGGGTGTGGTGGCCTGGGTGGCCATCGTGGTGCCGCCTGCTTGGGCAGGCTGGGATTTCGTGCGGCGCCATTGGCGCCATTGGCGCCATTGGCGGTTCGGCCGCCAGGCACCCCTCGCCTTGATCCGGGGTCCTCCTCCGCCTGCAGCGGCGCCGCCGCCAAGGGCTGCTGCCCCGATGAGGGTGAGAAATCTATAAGGGAGTTACTGTCTGCTTCGAGAGCTCGTTAGGCTGACTATAGTGTTAGGCATATCTATATCGCCTATCCTTAACCCTTACAGGTCGATAAAACAAAAAGAAAAAGCCGGCATGCCCCTCGCGTTCTCGTCGCGCTGGTGGGAACAGGACAGGGGTGCAACTACTCGTGCTCCATGCTCCCTGTTGCTGGCGAAGGGGAGCCACGATTTATTTGTGAAGCATGGAACACTGTACACCAGGTGAGAGACGGCTCGAAAATCCTACCTTCCCCACCCGGGGGGGGGGTGGAAACCACACTCCGGCCTGGAGCCTGCAAGTGACAAGAATATGCAGGTAGTAGAAACCCCAGAGTCGCATGGATGCACTAGCTCTGGCAGGATTATCTCGCTGGGCAGAGGGGGCGGCACCTCCAAAGATGGACGGAGCACCTTCTCAAAAATCCCGTGGTGAGGGCGGTCGGAGTAGGCGTGACAATTGAATAGTCTAACAAAGCAGTTGGAGTACGCATGCCAGTATTTCGCGGTTTCGAATCCAACAGCTCAGAGTGTCTCTAACTCCCCTTTGGTGACTTCTAGGGTATAACAAGCAGCCAGAGGAATATAATCATTACCACATACCTTTCGTAAGCTTAATACACAAAATAAGCAGACAATTGCCCAATTTGTTTACCGTCTGAGAACGCCCGAGTATAGCGACCAAAAGAATTTTGCGATTTCGTCATCCACTTCCTCCATAACCGACTAGGCTTCAACTTCAATCTATGTATACGTATCCGCTTTAAGTTCGACCTCGCTACTACGAAGCCTAATATTATACATTTCAAATCCGTAAAGTACATACATTGAAATCGTTGGTGACCGAGGTCACCTAGACTTAAGAATTGCGGTTGACCCAAGTTAGCTCGTAGAGGATGGACTTCCAAGGTAGCCAAGTCTCTCTCTACCTCTAGTCGAAGGGGAGAGGGAAAGCTGACCATCGTAGGATCGGGGATGGAACTTGAGTTGTTTGACTCAGAATTGGAGAGAATGGAGTGCGCAGTCGAAGAAACCAAGTTACCCAGCAAACACAAGAATATCCGCTGTACATTGCTAGAAAACCAAATGGCTAGTGTGATGAATTATCGGACCCTCAACTCGAGATGGTCCAGAGGAAGAAGCCGTCACGCAAGAACCCACGGTTGGTAGCACTCCGAGAATCTCGTCATCAGAAAAGAGAGTCAGGAAAATCACATATTGGGTTACAATCCAGTGCGCGGCATGTGGTATGTTTTTAGTTTGCTGAGAGTCACCAAGACCACAAAGCCATTGGAAGCAGGCTTATGGATCCGAAAGACAACTCCGAACCTAAAAATCGTCTCGAGCCTTGAATCTTACCTTGAAGTTCTTCTGTTTCACAAACCAGCGATTGATGTTTTTCATTTCCTGTGGTTCCACTTGCTCCAGGTCGAACCTTTGGACCAACTCCGGCAATAACTTCGAAATCTCCAAGAAACTGATATTCTTCCCAATACAAGTTCTGGCGCCCATACCGAATGGTATCCAGTATCTCTCCATGGCAGCAGCTTGTTCAGATGAAGCTTCCAGCCAACGCTCTGGTCGGAAGCTCTTCGCGTCAGGCCCGAATATGCTTTGATTGCGGTGCGCAACCCATGGGTTGATCCCAACTACTGTCTGTGTTTGTAAGTTTAAGGAACGGCAATATCACGGTGATGAACAGGCAACTTACTCCAGCTCGAAAGTATTGACCTGCGATGGTTGCTCCACCCTCTGGAACATTGCGCCACAATGGCAAAGCAGCCGATGGGTGTAGTCTCATACCTTCTTTGACTACTGCTTGCAAATACTTAAGCCCCTGGGCTTGAGCGAACGTAATGGGTCGTGATACAGCGCCTTTATCTCTGGCGTTTTTAATTTCTTGGCGCACCTTTTGCAGCACTGTCGGCGAATTCAAAAGGTTGGCGAGTATGGAGGAGAGGGCAATCGAAGTCGTCTCGGAGCCGGCTGCGATATTGGAACCCGCCCCAACGATAACGTGCAAAGGAGAAAATGTTTCGGGGCTCTTTTCATTAGCGACTGCGAACTTCGTGCAAAAGTCTAGAGTGTCTGGGAGAGGCTTGCCCTGCTCAAACGCTATTCGCCGTGCTTCCAGTTTGGAAACTGTGAAGTCGACGAGATAGTTGTTTGCTTGTTTAGGATTGAGTCGTGAAATGAGACGATGTATACAAGGATATACACCGGTGAGAGTGCTGTACAATCCAAAACTCTCAAGATTACTCATGATACTGCCAATGTCGTGACCAGCGTCAAGGAAACCAAAGCGCTCTCCAAACTGGTGGGGGTTAGTCAATGCGTTGAAGCTCACAGTGTTATTACACTACCGTGATTTTCGCGATGACATCAAAAGCATAGCACTGAAGCCAATGCCCAAAGTCTATAACGGTCGCTGCAGCTGCGTATTCTTCCAATTTGGCGCAGAAGACATCAGTGACATTATCGATGTAGTCTTCATATCCCACAACGCTGGACATGGCGAAGTAGGATGCATATTGACGTCGTACAGACGCATGCACCTTTGTGTCCTGTAAGGCAAAAAGGTTTACAGACGCTATGGCCGGAGACCCCCACACTGAGTACCAGTCGCTTTTCCAGAAGCGCGTCCCGGGTCCGTAGAGAATCTTCGTCGCCTCAGGATCGTCTATGCTGTACATGTTTGGTGCGAGTCTGACAATGTTCCCTGAGCAATGGTTAGCCAGAGTGCAACTTAATGTCAAGATTCGAGACCACGTGCCCCATTTTTCGTGGAGCTCAACATTCTCGTCATGAAATTGTCCCGAGTACAGTCGAGAGAAATACCACAGGCTCGAAAATCTTGCAACAAAAGGACCAGGAACTGCCCGAGTTGGTTCTTGTAGACTAGGCATCAAACGATACAAGAAGTAAAAGCAAGATGTTAGAAGCAGTAGCGCAATATACTGAGGCTCCATTATCGCAGATGATGATTGCTGAGGATTCATCGCACGGTTGGGCGATAAAGCTGCTCAGGTATAATCAACCGATTGAACCTACGTTATAAGTATTGGAGAAAGCTCATTCTTACGTGTAGTAACATATGTCGAAAGGATAGTACTCGGTGGGTAGGTCTCATAGACGATGCCCGAGTCTTTCACTAGGTGGAGAAGAGGCATTCTTTGCGCCATCAAAGGGCAGGTGGGTACGTCCTAAAAGTGGAGAAGCTAGATGCAAGATGTCTTGAACGCGGACGAGCGACGTGAGGAGGGTATTGATGTTGGAGATGAATTTAGTAGCATACCATGGTGTGATTTTAGTTCGTCCCTACGGCATTGTTCACTGGGTGTTCGATCTCCCGAGTGACCTTTGGCAAAGTAACGGGCTGTGCATTGGAGACTGTTTTGACAGGTCAAGACGATGACTTTGGAACACACGCGATCCTTGTTAACGAGTAGACCGTGGTGACTGGCCGGCTTGACTGTGGAGTTTGATGGATGAAAGTACATTCTATGAACACGAAGCCAAGCTATTCCCTTGGGTTCCAATCTCGCTCCGGCCTGATGCCATCAAGTACAGCTTTGACATCATCAAGAAGGTCTTCCGCAGGGAGGCCCAGCTTTTCAGTCCAATCATTCTCATCGCGTGGATCACCTAAGCCCTTGAACTTGCCTTTTCCATAGGTAATACATTGAATGATGTCTCTTTCAGCGAGTAGAATTTTCGGCTCGCCAGGTTTCACATTGTGAAACCTGCGGAGGCTATTATCGTAGAACGTGTCACTGCTCAGACGGTGTATCTTGAAAGGCTGTCCTGATGCCTTCTCTAAGGCTGCAAGGACCTCTTGCTGGGTAGTCATATGGGAATGGATGTTGATGTATCGATTTGCGGAATCGCCGAAATGCTTTGGGTCAGACAAAATCTTGAATAGCGCATGGCCAATGGTGTGTAGATTCGTAGTGCCGTAAGGGGTGTCTCCCTCATCGAGGAGATAGAATTCGTTGGGTGGCTGATAGCCATGGAAAGTGTTTTTCAAGGCCTAGATTTGCTTTTCAGCATACCATCTGGTCTCAAAATGAGTGGTCAAGCAATACTGACCTGATCGAAGAATGGCCCGCTGATAATCGCCGTCCAGCTAATTGAGCGGGCCTGTTGCTTCAGCCACTCGATGAAATCTCTTTTGGGTTGGAAGTATGGCATGAGAGACACGACTGTAGGATCATACGTCCTACAACCGAATTCAGACGGGAAAATCCTCCGTACCCCTACTTTGATCGCTGCTTCAACGATGGTTTTTTGAAGGTCGAAAGCATCATCCCCTAGCATGGAGATGATCACATCCCGGCCTTTCAAGACTTGTTCCAGTGAAGAAACTGAGTAGTCGGTGCGCAACACTTCGACATGCTCTGGGAATGTGGAGTTCGAGCCAACTCTCGACAAAGCCGCAATTTTAAGTCCCGAACCTTGACTATGCTTGAGCAAGGAGTTGAAGACGGGCTTCCCTGCCTCGCCCGCACCCTATGCGCAACTTTATTAGCGCCGTCTTCAGTTCTATCGCCCTCTTTGCGCGTTTCATCACTTCTTACCCCCAAAAAAATAATGTTGTTCACGGCTGCAACCATATCTATACTTCGTGTGGCGCGAGTCTGAAGCTGGTGAAGTCAATGCACTTTTGATCAAGGTCCGGTTCCTTGAATACTGTTTGATCGGGACGTTAATCAAACGATCTTATTCCTCGCCTGGAACGCTCGGTGGCTTCGACGCTAGAAGGCCTAGGTCTAAGGTTGGCATTCACGATCGATAAGTGGATAGTGTTCGCTGACAAAGACGGAGTGAGAAGATGCATGGGTCGTTGCGATTGTGCGCTAAACACTGTCTGGGTGTGGGGCGGGGGGGGCATATCAAGGTTCAACCCACCCCTAGCGGCCCTAAGTTAGTATCTGACTCTGTCGAGCCACCCAAGTCTGTGGGGTAGCGACCCATCGAGAGTGCGGGGAGAAGAAGAGTCGTCCACTGGTTCGATGCCACTCACCAACTTTTGAGATCCACCGAAGCGATCGGGCTGTTCTTGTAACCATAAACATTAAAAGGCCAAGAGAGGAGGTGGGAAATCCATGTTGTCTTTTGACGGTCGTGATATGTTGCTCCACCCCCAGAAGGTATCAGTTATAGCACTCAGTGGTGAAAGATCGACTCTGTACGCATGCCTTTCGCGCTCATCCTTGACGATGTGAGCCTGGCACATGTACCAGGCACAGTCATCCTTGATGACGCAAAAAGCACAAGTCAAGTTGTTCACCAACTCAAACACGGCACTGGGAGAAATCGCCATGTTGTGCTCGTTCCCCAGCCATCGGAGGACGTCAATGACCCTCTGAACTGGTCAACAGGGAAAAAATTAGCTGCTTATCTTGTCACCCTCTTCGGAACCTGCCTCTATGCTGGCTGCACCTCCCCACTTCTCAACGCTGGTCTTCTGGTCATTGCTGGCGAGTTCAAAGTCGGAATCATGGACGTCGCACTGCTCGCTGGAGAGCAGATGCTTGTGGTCGGGGTGACCTCTCCCTTCGTCTTGGCCCTAGCACGAAAGTATGGCAAACGCCCGATATACTTGTTCTCCTCCATCATGGCTGTGATCGGCACGGTTGTATGTCAGACTGCCAACGAATTTCCGACTCTGCGAGCTGGGCGAGTGGTGCAGGGATTCTCCGTCACTGCGTACGAGTCGATCGTGTTTGCGTCTGTGGGAGACCTGTTCTTCGTCCACGAACGTGGCTTGTACCTTGCGGCCACCAATTTCATGTTTGCGGGAATATCGAGCTTGGTTTCTGTCATCTCCGGGCCCATCGTCGACAATCTCGGATGGCGATATCAATTCCACATCTTCTTGGCCGCAGTTGTCTTACAAACAATCTTGCAGTTCTTTTTCGTCCCTGAAACGACTTATCGCCGGGATGTTCGATATAACATTGGCACTGTCGTGGAGGAGAACCTTGAAGAGCTTGCCGTCGTCCAAGCCCATAATATGGAGGACAAAGGGAGTATCGAGCATACAGAAGCTGTCCCTGCCACCAAAAAACGAACATTCAGGCAAGGGCTGGCTCTGTATCGCGGGAAGTACAGCGATGAGAACTTGCTGCAGCTCTGGATCGCTACTTTCGCTGTCAATCTCAACCTGGCCGTTTTTCTCATCGCCATCCTGCAGGCATTCTTCGCATCTCTCCTGGTTGCGGTCGCCATCTCGATCGCGCAGCTCTTCGGGCTACCACCATACAGCCTTACAACCGCTCAGATAGGTTATATGTATCTCGGTCCTTTCATTGGCGCCATAATTGGGCTGGTGTTCTTTGGGCTGGTACAAGATCCTTTGGCCAAGTACCTCTCACGGAAAAACAACGGTGTCTACGAGCCGGAATATCGTCTTCTCCTGTCTGTCCTATCGCTCTCCACTAGCGCAGGTCTCTTCGCTTTCGGATATCTCACAGGTAGCATGGGAACCACTTATGCCTGCTCCGCTGTGTACGGAATCGTCATTTTTGGCGTCATTGGCTGTCTCGCCACAACCAGCTCGTACATCATGGATGCTTTTCATGATATGAGCGCTGAAATCTTCATTGTCGGAAACTGCTTCAAGAACTTCGTTTTCTATGGTATGAGTCACTCTATCAATACCTGGCTTGCTCAGAAAGGGCCACAGAAGGTTTTCTTTACCTTGGGAGGGATAGCTTTAGGAATGATGGTCATTGTACCAATTATGTATGTGTTTGGCAAGAAATATCGTAGTTTCTGGGCACGACACAACTTGTTGAATAAATGGCACATTCGTACCCACGAGTACTAGTCGAGCTCTGTGGAGCAGCAACCTCTGGATGACGCATCGCCGGGAAAACACTCCAAACAAGTTATCTTGAGTATAGCTTGGTTTGCTCAAATAACGGCATGTTGAAATTTGTCTGCCAGCCAGAATTTGTATGAGAAGTTCAAATTAAAGGCATTAGTAGTTCCAAGGTACTGACCAAAAAGTTATGAGTCTTACTCGAACAGAAAAGGGCAATGAGATTGTGTTTGGTGGTCCTGTTGTTCTCTACCTTTTGTTGTAGCAAATGGATTTGACGTGATTGTGCAACATGGCCGGGACGTGATTGGGGCATTTACGTGAGTACTGAGCTGTTTACCTTCGCAATCAACCTTCTTATCCTGGCAGTCATGGTCGGAGGCCCTGGTAGAACGGAGAGTGAACACTTGTGGTAGAAATAATGACTGTGGATGAGCTTACATTGCCATACTGAGCTTTCCTGGAGTAGCTCTGCTGATACCACCAAAGGGAGGGTTGAGAACTGGTCTGGGCGCGTGACCTGAAGATTTTTCACTTCCGAGTTGACCTCGTTCAGTAACAGGTCCACCTCGACTATTTTGACCTGCTGAAAACGCAGATACCAGTATAAGAGTAAACCTGTCAGAGAGTCAGAAAAGGGGGCAGTTCGAGAAAGTGCCTCAGCTTGAAGAAGTGGAACTTACCGCCTTCGGCAACGGCAGTGGCTGACAGAGGGGCGAATCGATGTGGTGCTACTTTTTGGACATATCGAAGACCCAGCCGACAGTCAATTCTCAGGCTGGTGGCCGCACGGACCAGGGCCAATTCCAAAGTCTTGGTCTGGGCCAATGAGGACAAATGATGTAACTTTTGAGGATCGTCCAGCAGACCAGGGGACTTGAGCAGCCGTGTCATGCTCACCAGTTGAGCGCTACCATACAGGTGATAACACGCAGAGTCTAGTAGCGACCGGGTACACTGTGTCAAAGGTGTCGGAAGGGAACCATTAGCCGGTCCATCGGTGACCTGCTCTTCCCACATTGTGTCGAGGAGCGCCAATGGAGTTGACATCTGGTCTATAAAAGTCGCATGAAGATCCGGATGTTTTGTGAGGGTCAAATTTTGGAAGGAACATATATGGCCAAGAGCAGCCGAAACCAGAGTCAGGAAGGCGTAATCGTCCGCTGCTATCTCGGGCCTAATGCCAGCGAAAATGCCAGTGACCAGGTCTGACGAGTACAAGGCAGGCGGTGGGCCTTCCCAGACTTGCTCGTCTCTTAGCCAATCGGCAGTCCTCGAAGGAAGTCGGATCTTGGTCTGGTAATCAGGAAGCTGGAAATTTTGATCTTCTGATGTCGAATTCATTGCAGCACCGAGAATGTTGACGCTTGCGACACATCTGTGTACAGGTAAGCTTGCAAGTTCAAAAGGAGTTCCACATTCAGCTCAGGAGTTACCTGCTTATGCTCTCTTGGCGGACCCAGCTCATGTAGTCGCTCGACTCGTCCGACTCAAGCTCATCAACAGCTTCTTGCGCAAGCTGCGGGATACATGTCAATGGGGTGATTTTTCAATTGTGTGAATTATAAGAGACTTACCCTAGTTGTGCGCGCGAAAGTGCTGTAAGCTTTCCGACGCATATGAGCTATTCCACTGTAAGCAGAAAAATAGCTGAGCAAGATAGACGTCTGCAACTCCCACAACTGAAAAGCACCGTCTTCGCTTGTGGAACTTATGTGGATCTCGTTCTGGCCATTTTGTTAGCTGCCATGAAGACCCTACACTTGAGACGCAGGATCGAGATCTAGTTTGGATCCAGTCAAGGCGACTCACCTCGGCCATAAGCTGGGCGGCGGCAGCATACAGTTGCAGGGCCGTCTCTTGCTCACTGGAGTAGATCGCGCCACACGCCATGGTACTTAATAGCAATTGGCCTATCTTCAATGAGTACCGAACACCTATAGGATCAAGCTGGACTTACTGGGGACTGTAGCAATGTCAAAAGAAGGGCGATGTATGATAGGTAGGTGAGGAGCCATGTGCTCGAAGAAGGCTTTCAGAAACCTTGCCACCGCATATTTCGAGGGCAGCTGGAAGTCGCCTAGCCGGTGAGAGTGGTCGAATCTCATCAGATTGCACTGCGCTTCCGCATACTGCTCGTCATCCACATGGAAGGGCTGTTCAGAGTGATTATCGCTCCCGCTAGGCGACGAGCGATTCTGAGGACGGCTTGCTGCAGGTCGGCCGTGACTTTGCTGTGGATCTGAGGGCGACTTCAGAAGAGCGCTGGGGCTGAACATCTCCCAGGGATTCGAATCGGAGCCTGGCTCGGTGGGGAAGAAGTTGACCATGTGGTCATTTGGCAGAATGACCTCATTGAGGAAGGTGAAGTCGGTAGTGTACAGATCCAGATCCGCGAGACCTCCTGTGCCATGTCCATCAGCCGGGATCTGATTGCTTGTCGGCGGTTGGCAAGGCAGAGAAAAGTCCGCGGCCGGGTGGTCTTTCTCTGGTTGGTGCTGAACTAGATCCGGGAAAGGGCGAGTGTTGGCAGAGACGTGTAAACTGTCAGGATGTAGCTTGTCTACCAGTCGGTCCGTCGGTTCGGTCTGAGGAAGTGTGTCCAAGCGGTCGTTGGCATTGTCGTCGTGAGGGCTCGTCATTGCCTCTGGGTGAAAATTTCGTATGTGCCGGACAATGACATCTTTGCGTGAAGACGAGACTGGACAGAAGTCACAGTTATAAGGTTTTTGATTAGTGTCTTGGTGATGGTGGGCGTCAGCTCAACGTCAACAGAATTGGCCCCCGCACCTAGGGAGCCATGGTGGCGTGAAGATACGTACGTGAAGTGAGATGTCGTTTCAGATGGGCCGACCGATTGAAGGTCGCGTTGCACTGAGAACAGGAAAAAGCACGCGGATTGGATTTTGAGACCCCCTTGTGCGCAGCGCGTATGGCTTCCTGGCGTAATGACGGTCCTAGTGCAGCCATAGTAGATTGTTATCAAGAATCCAAAACGATTAGCAGCACGTCTCTGAGCGTGGTGGGACACATGAGCAACTCACTAGTGCTCAAAATTGTGCAAATCTTGCGTGAGAAAATGAAGTTGAAAGAGAGTCACAGACTAGTTAGACGCCGAGTAGGTAGCCAGCTCGTCGCCTTGACTAAGCTCGGATCCCCCCATGGGGAGGGGCCAATATGACGGTTAAGGGCTCAGACCCTCTTCCGTCTCGTCACCCCTCGAGCCCTGACCAGTCTTTGGCGCCGGGCGTCTGGGGCGACGCCGGAACGGCTCCGTAGTCACGTGACTTTACAGTGTGCGGGGTATTTGGCAAGGGCACGCCTTTTAATCGGAGCCTGTTGCTGCCAAGACCTTTCTACTCCGCCGTAATGATTCGCCGTAACGCAATTTACCACTAGTGCAGTTATCAGCTCGACAAGGACCAAAAACCTCAGCTAGACAGGGTCAATAACCAGTTATTATAGCTCAACGAGGGTCTCAGGAGATGCGGAAAAGGCCATTCTAGATCGTCACCACGCGTAATTTATATAGAAAGAAGAACAGCCTCCATAAGTAGAGAAAACAGAGACAATTGGACAATTCCTGAAGTGCATTTCCTACTGCCAAGCCTCCAACAGAGCCTTAGTGTCACGTGGCAATGGCCTGGGGCCTTGGCATTCCTCTCGTAGATTAGACATTCATCCTCTTCCAGTTGTTGTAGCCAACAACCACTTAGCTTACAATCCATGAATTGCTTTGAATCACGCTACACCAAGGCGCCTAGCTGGCAGGCCAAGTGCCTGGGGGGTTGGGAGTCCAGCAGAGCCAAATATCGGGTGCAACTGTAGTGACCCTGGCGGGTCCTGTCATCCTCGTCCATGTGCAACATATAATACATATCAGAACTGCGTAGGAGCAGGCTTGTTGGGGCATCGTACAGCAAGCAACACCTCACTTCATGCCAACCTGCAAGTAACGACAAACTAGGTCCAGTTCTAGTCCGGGCACCCTAACCTGATCTGCAGACATGATCTGGAAAGACGGGCAGAGGACGGGGGAGCCTCTTTTGCTTCTGGAGTTGGGCCATGCCACCTCTGAGGCATCAGTAAAATACGGCTGAGCATCAATATGTCAGCGGCAATAGCATAGTTCAGGACGAGGACTAGGATGAATGCGGGCAATTGGCACTTTGCATCTCAGGGCAAGAACGCCTCTCAACGCCGTCCCATGACCATTCTCGTTTTACGCATGGGACAGAGGGCATCAGGTGGACGATCCAGAGATTCAACGCAGTGGCCTCAATTGTGCTGTGGCAGGAAATCCTCGCAACGGGGCAGACCCTCGTTAGGTATGTTTGCTTAAACACTGTGGCATGGAGCCGTGGCACGCTTTGTCATGGCCCAAACCATCGCGTCTTCACCTTCACGACAACACGATGTGCCGTTGCCCCCATCCCGACGCTTAGTTCATCGTGCTTCCTCCTCCGACCGGCAGGTAAATTCCGTTGATCCAACCTGCTCCTTCCTCACAAAGCATTGCCGTGGCCCACGCAATCTCCTCTGGTCTAGCAACACGAGGTGCGATTGGTGTTTCGTCGATCATTGGCTTCAACAACTCCCTCACAGTTGCCGGTGCCGCGTAGTACGCCTCTGTTCCCACGACTCCAGGTGCGACCGCATTGACCGTGCAGCCATATCGCCGCGGCAGCTCTTTTGCCCATGATCGCGTAAAGGACTCAATCATACCCTTGGTACCGGCGTACATGCTTACACCCACCCCTGGAGTCCGCGACGAGCCGCTCGTGATGTTGACGATGCGAGAGTTTTGGTTCGACAGGTGTTTCAAGACCGCTCGAGTCAGAAGATATGTGCCACGGCCGTTGAGATCCATCATTTTATTGATCAGTCCGATGACCTTTGCGTCGTCAGGATCATCGAGGCTATGGCCTAGCATCAGTCCTGCATTGTTCACCAGAATGTCGATCCTGCCAAACACGGCTACAACTTGTTGTACCAAGGCCTCGGGCCCTGTGGTGGTGGAAAGGTCCGCTTCTATTGCCACCGATTTGGATTCGGCAGGAAGCGTCGAAAGAACCTTGTCGGCATCTTCTTTCTCTGCACTCCGCGGGAAATTGATTACCACAGACGCCCCGCGCTTCGCCAATTCCTGGGCTATGGCAGCTCCTATGCCTGTGGAAGAACCGCTGACAAGGGCCACTTTGCCACGAAGAGTCAAAGGTGTCGAAGTCGAGGTGGAAGACATGAGACGAACACAATCCTGGTAGATCTTGAGACAACTAGAAGACGGCAACAACCAAGCGAACTGGAGGGGCGTATGGCCAACGGTGTCTCATCAGGTCGACTCGAGCTGTATTAAAAAGACAGAATCCTCGCTGGTGGTCCCACGCTTGATCAGTGACGCTCTCAAGAATGGACCAGATCAAACCAGCATGGTTGGCTTCCACGCTGAACTTCGTAGACCACTAACAGGTCGACCTTCCAAAAATACTAGCCTCCCGCTTTGAGGTGGAAAATGCCACAGAAGCTTGGCCGCCCTTCCTCATTGTAGCCACCCGAGGCGTGTCCTTACCCACCCACGTGAGTGGGTACGCGCCACGCGTATTTTGCCCGGCCAGATCCGAAGCATGTCACCTTGATGTCCACCCGGATCACAGCATTTCGAGCATGAATGCTTCGTACCACACTGCTCAGCCTTTTTGTGGCGTTTAGCCTGAACCGGACGCTCTTGGCGTCTTGTGTCTATTTATTAATCATACGAGACATTGCCTTTTCCCGCTTTGGAAACTGGGCAGACTACATGGCGATTCGTATCTTAGAATTTCATAATGACGTGCCGAGATTGCTACAGCGGCCATGAACGGCGGGGTGAAGTGAAAGGGCACGAGGTGGAAAGCCATGGCTTGCACGTCTACGTTACAGACCCACTGCCTCGTGAGTACAGCACGAATGCTTGTATTATCGTGATTTCGGATATTTTTGGTTGGAAGACAAACAACATACGGTTGCTTGCCGACGAATATGCTGCAGTCTCTGGGTGTCGCGTGCTAGTTCCCGATTTCATGATCGGTAAGATAAACCTCACAATGCATTCCCATCAACGAGACAGTCACTAGACCTGCGCTGATCTTGAAAACACCCCTCTGTAGGCGCAGCAGCTCCCCAATGGGTGATGAAATACACCGATCGAATCCTCTCAGGGACAGGCCTTTGGGAATGGCTTTTAAAGCCGTAAGCTCTTCAACCTCACCTTTTTTGATACCCATGAGATGGCGCTAACCAGAACGTCAATCTGACCGTAGATATTTGGGAGTCCAGGTCATGTGGTCAATACTTCCGTTCATGCAGAAAAACGCTCCCAATCGCTCCCACGGTCGCGTGAGGAAGTGGATGCAGGAGTTTCGTTCTGTGGAAGGCGCGAATCTCAAAATCGGGGCTATCGGCTTCTGCTGGGGAGGCTATCACGTTACCAAGCTTGCTCGTGGGGACCCTACGAGCAATGGCAGACCGGTCGTTGACGTGGCCTATACCGCTCATCCTAGTGAGTTGAAGCTACCCGAGGATATTGAGCAGATTGCGATACCATACAGCGTTGTCATCGGCGATGTCGACTTTGCCATGCCTCTCAAACAGGTGGAAGAGATGAGACAAATTCTATCCAAGGCTGGAAAGCCAGAAAGTGAAGTTGTTGTGATCTCGAATGCAAAACACGGATTTGCAGTGCGCGCAGACCCTGAGGACGAACAAGCCATGGTGATGGCCCACCAAGCCTTCCACCAAGCAATAAATTGGTTTAAAGAGCATTTAGATTCAAATTAGAATCGCCATTCAGCATGAGCCAGCTTCGGTATAAGTCCTTCGAACGATAGGCTGTCTACTAGATTGATTTCTTGCTCCTACAGCTCCACAAGACGGATTAGAGCCTATTGCGTGTGGTTGCTCAAGGATAGTCCAAGCTGTCACACCTTCCTTGACGTTCATGTCTTCTTAGGCCAAATTCCTTGTTTCCCAGGTGCTATTATTCCGTTCGGATCAAGTGTAGCCTGCGGCATCCGCGGTTAGTAACGAAAGTCGGCAGAACCGGTGATTAGCGAACCTTGATATCTGTGACCAGCCTCTTGTAAATCTGTCCGTTAAAGTCATACAGATCTTGGATGGCATCTATTGCCGTCAGCATGAAACTGAAGCAGGTAAGTAGGAGAATCGCACCCATGTGATCTAAATGGGACCTGTAGTTCGCAAAGCCGGCTTCTTTCGCTGCTGCCATGACGGATGCCAGAACCTTCTGTCCACGTTCACGGTGTGACTGCTGCGTTTTATCGAAGACGTACTCCTGAACAAAGAGAATATGCCTGTTGAATACGTGACACCCAATGAAAGGATCGGCTCCAAGATCCTCCATCAGCTTTCTCATCTTGACAAACCAGTCTAAAGTAACTTTTCCGATACATGGTAAGATCAAAGTAGCGTCGATGTGCGCCCCTGCTCCGGTGCCGTCGGCCGGTAGGTTGTAATCCGCCAGGGCGGCTCCCATCATATTTGGAAAGCCAGCACCTATTGTCCCAACCTCCTTGTTGTCCACAGGCTTTCCATCCTTACCCAAGAATAACTTGTGATCAAGCCACGCTCCAGACAAGCGTTTCGCAAAAACTTCTTTGATTCTCTCAAATCGTACGGCTATCATTGCTTCGGAGCCATAGAGATCGAAGGCGCCTCTCCAGTATCCAGTTTTATACTTCTTCCGCATTCTGTCGAGAGTGTCTTCTCCAAGAGGTCCTTCGCGCTGTTGTTGCATGTGTTTCCGGGAGTCCCGTGAAGCGAAGTGATTAATATTCACAATGTGGATATGATTTTGGAGGATCTCCTCCCTAAATAGTTGTTGTAGCGTATCAATAAGTGGCGAAAGCTGCTCCACTTCGGGGCAGTTGACGACTATGCTCATGTAAGCAGGGGGAGCCACATCGACGTACACTGCGAGTTTCGTAACAATTCCTAGATTGCTTTGAAGGAACAGACCATCGATCTGAGGGCCAAAATTGTTACTACACGCATGTGCGCTTGGTGATCTGGATACCCCCCATTGGCCTGTTCGAAGAAGCTCCCCAGAAGGGAGGACAACCTCCATGCTGCCTATACCATGTTGACGGTCGCCAGAAGGTGTATAGCCGTGACCACGATCTAGAGTCTGGATGAAGATAGGGAGTGTTAGTCATAACAATGCATGGACTTCTGAGGTGGCCATATGGCTGATTCCGGAGCACTGAATACGCACGTTTCCCACGATGCTACCCCAGCCCAGAGCTGGAGTACCTATCCAAAGATTGAAGTCATGCTCCTTGAAATACTTGTCCAAATCGAAGAACGTGACACCGGGCTCCACAACAACATATGTCAAAGTTTCATTCACCTCGAGGATGCTCTTCATGCGATGAAGAGAGAGTACGACCGTCCCTGTTTCCCTTGGGGCAGGGCCACCATATCTAAGAGAATCAGCAGCTTTTCAACGAAAAATCCTACTTTGTTACCCGAAATTCTTCCCTCTAGATACTACCCACAAGGGAATACGGTATGCGTTTGCAATGCGAACAATTGCTTGAATTTCTTCTGTAAATTGTGGGCTGGCGCAAGAGTCAGAAGACATTTCTTGTTAATATGTGTGCTTACCATAAGGCAGCAGAAGCTTGATGTGCTGTCTGATCTAGAGGATAGGGGTCGTTGAAATTGATTAGATTCCCCCCCGTGATTACATGCTCCAATCCGATGACTTTTCCGAACTCAATTATCGCAGCTGCAAAATCCGTCTTGGTAGTGCCAGGAGGCAGGACTTTTTGTGGGAAGAGACAGCTTTCGTAGACATCATCATGCTTCTCCTGGAGAGCACTTTCGTTGTAGAACTCCATTGTCGTCGATTTCTCTAGCAGGGGCTGAATGTTGCGTCGCAGCGTGTCAACAGGCGTGCTTAGTAGGACGGCATTTAAGACTAAGTACCAAGCAAGGGGTAGAATCTAGTTCTCTGCTGGGCCTTCCACATGTTACCCACCCACTCCTCTCTCCACTGTTGACACTCCGCATCTGGTGTGATCAGTGATTGGTGGACAAGTACTACGACAAGTGGAGTTTAGAGCTGATATTGCCACGACCAGTGAGCCACTTACCACTAGACCACCCCCCAAAATCAGAAAAAAAATTTGCCTGGAAAACGAACGTGGACATCTAGAGAACCGTGCTGAACCAGCTGCTCGATGTGGTTAGGTAATTGTTAGATGGCACATGAACTATAGCGGGACTCAGGTGGCTACTATGGGGATGGTATAGGTAGATTGACTATGGGTTTTAAAACACATTTGGGGCTGGACAGAATTGACTCGGGACTGTCGCGTTGCTTGGTCACTCTTGATTCCGTCTGCCTAGACAATTCCTTTTCACGAGTCCTGATAGCTGGCTGAAATATCATTTCCCAAATCTGTGGATCACTGGTCGTTCGGTGTCACAAATGTGTAGTTTTTGTATCCACCATGCTTCAATGCATATTCTACAGCCTCATGATGCTGGTCTAGAGGAAAGAATGCAGTTTTGGCTCCTGCCATTCTCCCCATTTTCAAAAATCCTGACTCCACCATTCTGATGGTACTCTCAATACCTTCCCTTTCAACCATGATCTTGCCTATGATCCTGAGATTCTTGTGCATAGCGTACGCGTAGGGGAACGTTACATTTCCTGACGGGGCTCCACTAAGTATGATTCTTCCCTCTGATTTCAAAGTCTTGAACGCTGCTGTGAAAAAAGGCGGCGTTTTGAGCCCCCCCGAAGTCCAATCATTGAACACCTCGGCGCCTTGCCCATTGGGGGTAGCCGCAAGGATTGCGTCCGAGTCGACTTCCTCATCGCCGGTCATAACAACAACTTGCAGTCGATTGGGATCTCCCAACTGCTGACGCAGTTCCTCTAGCTTCGACTCGCTCCTGCCAAGGGCAATTACATTTGCTCCTAAAAGCAATGCTAATTCGACAGAGGCAGGGCCGAAAGTGCCCGTGGCAGGCCCAATTACTATGGTTTCTCCAGCCTGTAGGCGAGCAGCCTCGCATAGTGCCCCAACCACCATGGTCTGCAGGGCAAATTCCTGTAGTTCAGCTGCCTTGTATCCCAAGACTCCACAAAGCCGTGGTTCATTCAGCTTGAATACTTTTTCGAGCGGGACCTTTTGGTATTGTTGCATAGAGCCGTCTCTCCATTCTCCTTGCATAAGTTTCGCCCCACCTGGGCCTTCTCCTCCATGATGACCCTGGATAATGTTGATGTCTGGATCGTCTCGAGCCTTAATCCAAGGATTGTAGTAAACAAGATCACCAGCTTTCAGCTTTACAGCATCTGGACCTACTGCATGGATATAACCGATGTTGCTGGGGTTTGGGACAAGGGGAAGATGCAAATTGAAGACTTTCAGGGATCCATCATGAATAAATTTTGTATAAGGCGGAACCCATGTAGACAGCACTCGAATGACAGCTGAGCCGGGTCCAGGTTGTGGCACGGGGAGTGTTGTCACTTCAGGAGGTGATGAGTACGTCGTCAGCCATATGGCTCGATTGGTGTCAGCTGCTTCGCCCATTGTATCACGTTGGTAATTACACTGAATGTTCTGGGTCAAAGAGTTTCAGTACTTTCGATAAATGTAAGAACTTCCAGCGAGAAAGCCCGCAGCGCCATGGTAGTACCCACCGAGGCCGCTTTCGGAGGTTGTCAGGTGGCTCGTTACACTACTTGCGCCATTCAATTAAGGGTGGGTCATGGAGTTGGAGTCAGAAATTGTGTGACCGGTCCAGAGTAGAGCGAAAGCGACGGGTTATAACGCGATCAGCATTGGTCTAGTCAGGACTGGAGTCTCGGCCAAGCATCTCATACCACCTGCATCACTACGATTCTTTCACTGTCTCGATCGTGGAGATGTTCAAAATCTATTCATGCTTGACCACCTGGTCAATAAATGATGATTGAAAAGCGTAGTCCTTTCTCCAGTCCTTTGGCTTGTCATTATATTGTTTCGTGACAGCCAATCAGGATTATCACTTGTAATATCCATGCAAAACCAAATTGTCACGCATATCAATTTTTCCATGTGATGACCTTAGTCTGGACCCACTCCCTCAAGCCGTCGAGACCATTGAATCTTCCAAAACCAGAATTCTTGAAGCCTCCGTGCGGTAACATGCTTTCGTCATGGACAGTCATGGCATTGATATGGACGGCACCACTTTGTATCTGCCTTGCAATGTGTAGACCACGACGCAGGTCTTCAGTGAAAACGGCTGAGGACAATCCGTACTCGGTGTCGTTAGCAACTGCCACAGCTTCATCATCAGAATCAACGACAATGACCGAGACGGTAGGCCCAAAAGACTCCTTGTAGTATATATCCATAGAAGAGTCAACAAATTCAAGGGCAACCGGGCGCATTTTTGTCGAACTAGTTTCGACATGAGTAGGGTCTCCGTAGAGAGCAGATCCGCCTTTCGAAATAGCATCATCGATAAGTTTCTTGTTGTTTTGCACCGAAAATGACGAGAAAAGTTGACCAGATGTCCCCTGGCCCTGCTCTGAGTAAATTTTACTTGTCGCTGTCTTGAAAGCTGCCCGGAAAGAGTCGACCACTTTCGCGTTCACGATAATCCTCTCGGTCGACATGCAGATTTGTCCTGCGTGGAGGAAAGCTCCTACCGCGCACTGTAGTGCTGCATTTTCAATGTTCGCATCGTCGCAGATAATAGCTGATGCTTTCCCACCAAGTTCCAAGACCACTGGTTTAAGATACCTTCCTGCAAGGGAGCCAAGAATGCCCCCTACACGGGTGGACCCAGTAAAATTGATCTTCCTAATCGCAGGGTGCGCAATTAAAGTCGAAGTAATGATGGAAGCATCGGAGGGCCGGTGATAAATAGTGTTGAGACATCCTGCTGGCAAGCCTGCCTTATGCAAAACATCTGCAATAGCCCATGAAGTTGCTGGTGCGGCTTCGGGGCCTTTGAAGATGACGGTGTTTCCCCTATTTACTGTAAGAACCTTCATGATTAAGAATAGGCGGGACCAATCTCTTACATGGCAAGTGGTGTTAAGACGGCTCGTAAACCAAGGACATATGGTGCATTCCATGGTGAAATAGCTAGAACAACACCATAAGGCTCTTTGACGAGCAGTGCGCTGCCATCGTTTATCACAGGGGAGGCTGATTCAGAAGCTGGCTGGATCAATCCTGCTATACTCTCACATATGTCTACAGTAGCTCCGTATTCAAAGTTGTGGAAGTCTGAAGCTTGACCTGTCTCACGGAAACTATATCCCTTAAGCTCACTCTGTCGCTGCCTGAATAGCTCTGCTGCTCGAAGAAAGATCGCTCTCCGAGCAGCGGGTCTGGTTGATGACCACAGTGGGAAAGCTTGTCGAGCAGACTCAATCGCAGCCTCTACGTATTCTTGATCAGCTGCTGATGCTTTATACAGAAATTCATTATCCAGTGGGGAAAGAACGTCAAACGTCAAGGGGCTCGTTTGTTGTTGGCCGTCTCGCCAAAAGGGGATTGTTGAAGTCGAGTCAAATTGGGCCGTCGAAGTACCATTGACTGCCATTTTGAGCGCGAAAGGGGTTTGGTTGCTGGAAGCAAGCGAGGACATTAGGTCCTGGTTCTCGTTACCGCAGACTTGTCTGCAAGATAATCGAAAGGGGAAGTCAAATAATTGATAAGAAGTAGTCCTGGACTTACAACAAGCCTAGTGACGATGGTTCATTATGCTGCACAACACCGGGGGCATCTTATTAAACACAGAACGAGGATGTTCGTGACTTGGCGGAGGGTGGCAGGTGGGACGTATTAAGCATCCACCTGCGTTACCAGAGGTGGCGCTCACTGCTCCCAGGATGTCATCACACTCATTTCAATCAACCCAAGTCCGGGATTCGTTTCGATACTCCACGATCCATTATACCGGTTTAAATGTGCTTTGATACTGCTGCTGAATGACGCTAATATATTGATCTAGATATGTTGACTACATTATGTGGACATTCAAGATATTGCGTGAAAACGGAAGCTGGACGTGGCGCACGATACCACAGACAGATATCGTTGAGTTCAGTGTACTTTTTCTCACATCATGACTACTCAAGCTTGAAGCATAATTTTTAGTAAACCTCTTCCACTACCGCCGACGAAAGCTCACCTCTGCGAAGACATCATAGCCGTAAACGTAGGACTGTATTTTTGGGTCGATCCTCGAAAACAAATCAGTTTAAAGTGTCTTACAAGCACGGATTTAGAATCATGTGACTGACCAGTAAAAGGGATATCCAGGCTGAGGATCATCCATCTCGTCCAGGCATAACTGGTCTCGAGCTACCTGCTCTGGCCCATTTCGTAGGTGATTCACATGGCGCTATCACACCGTCAGCAGTAATTTATTTGGAAGTGCCACCTCGATCACACTTGTTTCAAGCTGCCTTGCTGAAGAGCAAGGCTTCGAGACTTTCGGACTCTTTCGAATTTCTTCAGGGCTTCAAGTAGATCCGCTCGACCGTCGATCTTCGCCAAGATGAGCCCAAGTGCGGCTCCGTCTTCCAAAGATGAGCCTGCCCCTTGAGCCATATACGGAAGCATGGGATGGCATGCGTCGCCGAGGAAAACGACGGTGGCTGTGTCATTGTGCCATTTGTCCATTTCATCGACTGGAGCCACAGGTTAGGCTTTCCGATCATGACGAAAGCAGCTTCTTACTTACGGTGCATCAATTTCCACTTATCGACCTTATCCACCAATCCTAACAACTTTTGAAGTCTGAAAATTAGCTCATTCCTCCCAGCACGAGTATATTGGCATACCGAGGGTCCCAGTCCTTGAAAATTTCATGCATTTCTTGCAGACTTCCAGGAGCTTTCGCAACTGAGTCTGGAAGGTTGTCAGGTACCAAAAGGACAATGTTCAACATGGTGTTTCCTTTCAGAGGGTAGTATATAGCATGACACTCGGGGCCTACCCAGAGGCAAACACGGGGTATCGACGCAAATATGCGTAAGTCTTCGTCGTAGATGTCCTTAGTTTCTAGCAAAATCCGATATGCTAGATCTCCGGTCGGCAATGGCGGGCTTGGCCTTCCTAAAAAGCTAGATCTTGTTTTGGACCAGAGTCCTGCATTGGTCAGTTTGTGCCCTGGAGAGAATGATGCTCCTTCTTACCATCTGCAGCGACTATGAGATCCCCACGTATGGCTTCACCCGTGGACAATAACACTTCAGGGATGACAAAGTCATGCCCTTCTACTGAAACACCGAAACGGAACTTGACCCCTAGTCTCTCCGCGTGGTGGTAAAGAGCAAGCTGCAAATCGGCTCGATGGATATCCCAGAAGTTGGACTTGTACTTAGAAAGCATTTCTTCTCCGTAATTCTCTCGCTTGCCAAGGAGCAGGCCGTCACTGTATCGATGTATACTGAATGTCTGGGGCTTTGAAATTACATTTGCGAGAATATCGCTCAAACCCCATCTCTCGAGTATCCTGGTTGCATTTGGAGTGAGTTGAAGTCCAGCTCCGATCTGATATTCAATTAGCTGGTGGTCTTTCAGAACGACGAAGTCGCTTACCTCCGCCAGTTGCGGGGCTGACTCTAAGACAAGAACGTTATGATGCGCACACTCGCTCTTGATTGACACAGCTGCGGCCAACCCGCCTAAGCCAGCTCCGATGATGATGATGCTCAGAGACATTGTGTATGGGAACGTTGGAGCGTTCAACTGGGTAAGTCTAGTCTACATAATTGCCGGCGACGACAACCTGCGTAAAGCTCGAACCTTTTGTTAATTCAGGTGGCACATCGCTGTGAATTCCGAAATGAGCCTGGTGGGAGCAACCCAAAGCACTTAGTGGATTCAATTCAAAACATACTAGATGATGCCGAGATCTTCCCTCGCAAAACTGCGGTCACCGGTTTACGCGACGAGCTTGGTGGCTATCCACCCCAAACCCCACCCCTTCAGAACTATCAAGGTCTTAGAGTGGGTGATTCCAGTGCTTGCGATTCCCCTAACCATAGGAACAAGCAGATTTTTTCTGAATTGGAAGGGTAAGATAGGTCACACAATTATGAAAACGAGAACCGCGACACACCATTGGTGGTATCTGCAGTGCACTATCACCGACCGTGTCGACGGAGAAACATTAATTTTAAATCTTGCCTTAACATTGCGCACTTGCACATGAGATTGAAATCCGCAGGCCCCGTTGATTTATCTCATATTCACATTGGTCTTGATTGAATGGCGGGAGCAATCCACCCCGCCAATTGGCCATTAGAACAAGCCGTTAGAATGTTGGAGTTTATCATCCTCAGGAACGTCCATAACCGACTCCCAATGTTCTGCAAACTTGCCGTCCTTAATTCTGTAGATGTCGATAACATGATGACCCTGGTCTCCCTCCCATCGAGTTGTGTGGTGTTGCACTATAACAAAAGGTTCATTCACAAAAACCCTCTTCAGATCCATAGTCACACGCGCCTCACCTACGCCCGTCCATTTTGGCGATGCCCAACTTTTCACTAATTTGGCGACGTCGACAAGCGATCCTGGTCCGTCTCCGACCAAGGGACTATGCTGCTTGTATTCAGAGTGGACGAGCTCACTTATTTTGTCGAAGTCGTAATGCTTGAAGACGACCAAGTGAAGCTCGATGACTTTTTTTACCAACGAAATTTGAATCCTTGTTTGTTGTGGCTGATCCTGCAAGTTATTGTACACCTTATCGACCTCGGCATTCAATTGATCTCTGTCGATACCCATCTTGAGCAATTGTCTTAATTCGTTGCTAAAATCGTGGATCTAAAATCCCAAAGATACATTGGTATGCATACATCGAGGAAGACGCTCGTCATATACTGTGGTAACCTACAAATAACCGATGGATGCGACTTTGGACTCAAGTGAGGCTGGTACGGTGGAACACTGCATAAACGAACCCACCAGCTCAAAGTGGTGTGATTAAGAGTCGATGGTACCTCTCATATCCTCCCTACGCGAGGTGGGGCGGGTGGCCCTATTGAAGTATCTTGAAAAACTCAGGGTACAGGGGTCACAACAACCGTGCTCACCGAACTAGCATGGTATAGGCCTCACTAGAAGTAGCACCTGGGGGCTCACGGCCGGATTGTTTGCAGGCCTATTCCCTGAGTTCCACCACTGCTTGCAATCCTTTCGGTTTGACAAACCAGCGGTTTAGTTCTTTGATGTCTGCCCATGTAGATGCTGGGAGAACATTAAACTGCTGGAACAACTGAGGTACCAACTTGGAAATCTCAAGCATGCTGATATGGCGTCCAATACAGGTACGCGAGCCGGCACCGAAGGATAAGAAATAATGCTCCATAGCTGCTGCCTGCTCTCGATCAACAAGCCATCTTTCAGGTCGGAAAAGTTCTGGGTTTGATCCAAAGACATCTTCGTTCCGGTGAGCCACCCAAGCGTTTATGCCTACCTCAGTCTGTATACGAAAGATGCTGTTAGTGAACGTAATCCCTTGAACACTTTGCCAGCACTTACACCTGATGGAAAGTGTCGACCTGCAATTATTACTCCTCCCTCGGGGACGACGCGCCACATAGGCAAGCCTGCGGCAGGGTGCACCCGTAAAGACTCTTTTATCACAGCCTGGAAGTAAGTCAAACCCTGTGACTCCTGGAACGTGATTGGGTCAGATATTTTGCCGGCTGCCTTTGCATCCTGTATTTCTGCTCGCAGCTTTGTGAGAACATCCGGATGTGTGGCTAACTGGCGAACAATCGATGATAGAGAGATAGCAGTTGTGTCGGTTCCCGCTACAACATTGGTGGCTGCGCCACCGAAAATGTGCAACATCGTGAAACCTTCAGGATCCTTTTCGTTATTGACAAAAAACTTGGAGACGAAGTCAGGCACGGTGGAAAGATCTAGACCTTGAGCCTTCGCTTGACGGCGTTCTCCCAACGCCTGGTTCACATAGCCAATGATATACTTTAGTCCAACTAAAGGCCCGAAGACTGAAAGCCTGGCATGCAACCAAGGAAACACCCCCATCAAGGTTGCGTAAAGATTGAAGTTGTCAATGGACTGAATCACACCTCCAACATCCTCGCCGTTTTCAAGGAAACCAAATCTACGGTCAAACTGTACGGGTTAGAAGAGCTTGATTTTCAAGAAGTTGCCCAGAGTCTCACCGTGATCTTTGTAATAACATCAAAGGCGTAACACTGCAGCCAATGAGCGATGTCAATGTGCTCCTTGCTTTCAGAAAACTCTTTCAGCTTCTCAGAAAAGCGAGAAATGCACTCGTTGACATGAGATTCATATTGGACTAGCGTGGACATTGCATAGAAATTGTTGAATCTTCGACGAAGTTCGGCATGCTTCTTTTGATCTTGCTGTGCGAACAGATTCGTCGGAAGTGTTTGTGGCGCTGCAGATGCCAAATACCAGTCTCCCTTAGTGAACCTCGTGGTATGCCCGTAAATGACTTTGACAGCCTCCGGATCATCGATACTGTACTGGTTGGGTGCTGTGCGGACTATTTTGCCTGTGTGAAAGATTAGACATTTCTCGGTCTTCCGTTGATTGCTCCATACCGTATTTCTTGTGCAGCTGAATATTGGTATTTTGGAAGTCGCCCCGCCATAATTGCCAGAGATACCACAATCGTGTATATCTCGCTCCAAACGCCGCATCGGGAACTGATTTTAATGGGTCACTTGATATCTGATAAGCCCGAATCGTGACGTAGACTCCAAGTGCCACGAGCACAATGTGTGTGGGTGCCCAGCTTTTTGACCATGTTTCGGTCATTAGAGCAGCAAAGTGAACCACTGCCATCTTGTGCCTAGATGTATAGCATTTACTATAGCAAGGTTGCACCGTCACTGTTATGATAGCCGTGTTGTCTCAGTGTCGAAGGGTCTGGGCTTGGGTGTCAAAAGACCAAGGCTTGGTGGTTCACTTTACGATAACGTCAACTTAGCGAGCCTCCAGTTGATCCCACACAAAGCGTTACTTCACCACCACCTCAGTTTTTAACGCCACCCCAAGGGTGGGACTCCATGAGTGAGAAGTGATCTCAGCCGAAAACCGCATAGGATGCAACTTGTGGGGATCGCGGAGAAGAATTCGCGGCATTATTTACACAAGCACGGTTATCCTTGTGATTGCTTGATATATCTTGGTGGGTAATGCCATTGCATACGTGTTGGGAATGGCACCTAAACTTTCTTTGAGGACGGGAGTATCGGTGGGCGCACCTACGAAGCCATCGTTGGACAGATGAGGACATTCCTGGGTCTTCAGGTGGTCCGTACCTGCAACCCCGCTCCCCAGCTTCGTAATTCTACAAGTAGAAAGACAAACTCAATTCTTGAGCTTTGAATTCCATCGTAGGACTCCTGTCAAGTAGATAAAGAGACAAAAATGGCGCTCCATTTTCCCGCGGTGGGCACTAGAGGACTCCATACGAGGGAAGATCTGAACACATATCTCGACGCGTTCAATCATGACGACTACGATACATATACACGATATTATCACGAAAACTTCAGGGTGAGCTTTGAGAACTTTATGTTTGTGCTAACATTACGCTACTGTTTACATCATTACGTTGTTTGCAGCAACTAATCAGATTATAGATGAACATTGAGGCTATTCAAGAACGTGACATTAATGGTTTTGTCAAGTGGGCAACGCATACTCACCAACACGAGGTCGCAGAAGAGGTTGTTCCTCGCAAAATAATCTTCGACAAAACTGAAAAATTTGTGGTCATTGATTCTGTGGTCAAATTCCGGGGTCGGAAGAGCTACGTTAACGAGAATTGGAATGGTCTAGGACCAATACAGGAGGGAACAGGCCCAGATGTGCGTATGGTCATCTTTTATCGTCTCGATGATCAAGCCCGTGTACTGGAAATTGAAGCTGCGATAGCTGGGCCAGTCCCTAAGTGACGATAGAGATAGCATAAACTCACTTCGACGGAGATAGCGATTCATAAGCAAAACCCACAAATGTTACGCTTCGTAGGTAATGTCCGAAGAAATTTGTTCAATATGCCGGACGTAAACACAGGTGCTGCACCCGACAGTGCTTTGCGTCGAACAAGCTGCGATGCTGAAACGCTAGCTAATTTCACATGATTTTAAACGATCAGTCGATAAAGGCGTCAGTGGCGATCAGTAGGCAAACACACATTCACGTACGAAAGCAGGTTTTGTTCTGACAAGGTAATCGTACTTAGAATGGCGGAGTAAGGGCTGCCACGAGGCTGAGAGTGGAAGTGGTGGCTATGATTTTTGACACTGCCCACCCTAGTAATCTCAAGCTGGTAGTGCATATCTTCATGGACATTTGGCTTGTTTCCGACCGTCAAGTTCCTCCTAGAGCACAGACACCTTCATAGTGATAGTTTCAATTCTCAAATTGCAGTGGCAGTGTGGCGTGCCGAAAGACTGTCCAAGAAATCTACCAGGGTTGCGAACTTGCAAGTGAGCATGAGCGATGGTCTGTGGCCCAATTTACCCACCCAGAGGAGCGAAGTCAGATGGGAATCAGGACCCCGCATGAAGGTTGTGCGACATTGTTTAAAACAACTTCATTTTCTTGTGTTAACATCACTTCCCGCTGCATTAATAGATTTCATGTCACTCTTCCCTCCTCTGGCAGCTTGCGGCAAGTGTCTTGTCCTTGCTTATCAATGTCTGACACGGTACAAATCCTCCACCCGGCCGATGATGGCTATGAAAACATCCGGAACAGATGCTTCAATGCTCGCGTTCCGAATCGTCGACCTGCAGAAATTGTTTTACCTTGGACCACTGCGGAAGTAGCATATGCAATCAAAAGGGCCAACGCACAGGGTCTTAAAGTAGGGGTTCGTTCTGGTGGACACCATTTTCCATGCTCGCCATTGCGAGATAGTGGAATGCTGCTTGATCTGAAAGACCTCAATAAGGCCTTTGACTACAATAAGGATACGAAGATAATCAGCTTCAGCCCTGCTCACACCGTACAAGACATATCAACCACTCTCAGGCCTCACAAGCGATTTTTTCCGCATGGCCATTCCAGAACCGTCGGCATGGGTGGCTTTTATCTTGCAGGCGGTCAAGGCTGTTTTGTTCGAGGATGGGGTTACACTTGTGATGGATGGGTCACCCAGCTGGAGGTCGTCACAGCGAATGGCGACATTGTAATCGCAAATGCGACAGAAAATCAAGACCTGTTCTGGGCAGCTCCGGGCAGCGGTGTAGGGTTCTTCGGAGTCATAACAAGGATGTGGGGGAAAACTATTCCATCGAAAAAATTGTACGACGTATCATATATCGTGGACTCGACAGATATCTTTAAGCCTCTACTAAAATGGTCACTCCAGACAGCGGAGAGGGTTCCAAGATACGGGAGCGACTTATTTATCTGCACTTTCTATGCTGATGCCGAAGAAAAGACCACGGAGGACGAGTCAAAAGCGAAACGAGTGTTCATGTTACTCAACCAGACGGTGCACTGTGATTCTATGGAGGAAGCCTTGGTCCTAGCGAGCCCATGGCAAAGTTTTCCAGACGCCTTTCGGAAACATCTAGTCGCCGAAATCCCCATGACTGAGCGACAATGGGAAGAGCTGTGGGATCTTCAAGAACGGTTCCAACCCCACGGGGCGGGAGAGCGATGGAAGGTCGACAGCGTGATAAGCGATGCTACTGTTTCGCTAGACGAAGTACAGTCACTTCACGTGCGGTAACCTGATCATGACTAACTGCGTTCACAGTTTGTTGACAAGATAACACCTGCTCTTTTTGACCTTCCAACACGTCGTGCTACAGGGGCGATCATTCCGCTGGACTATATACCTGACGAGGCTGACCATGCTTTGAGTTTGCCGCAGAAGTCTACTGTCTCAACCTTGGTCTGCTATTCAGATCCGGCACTTGACGCCAAGGTAGACACCTGGATGAAGAAAACCTATACCGAATTAGAAAAAGTCGCTGTTGGTATCTATGTTGCAGATCATGACAAGGATCAACGCCTATCACGAGTATGGATCTATCCCAGTCCTGAACTCTATAACTGACAAAACACAGGTGATGACAGACTCAGCTCTTCGAAAGTGGCTCAAGATCAGAGCGAAATACGATCCATATGAGTTGTTTACAGGGCATCATGGATTTGATAACGTTCTCCCGGAGAATCAAGCAAATGGACGCACGTAACTGTGCACCCTTTCTTTGCAGCGGCACTGCGGAGATTTGAGCCATTGCCGTAAGAAGCATAACGGTGGTTTGCTGCTGGAATAATCAAGAGTTGAACTTTGTTAGGATCATGGTTGGTCGCTCTTCGTGGCAGCTCGTGATAAATTCGAAAGGCTGAACTGAAGGCATTGATTTCTTGTTAGAAAGCGTCAGGTCAAGCTCAAGTACTTACCTGTATACAGAATGCTGTAAATGATAAGTTGGAGATGTGTCCTGACCGTCTTGTTCATGTCTCCGCCAATCTGTCGTACTCACTGTGAGCTGAATACTCTAGTGCACCGAAATCCAGGTCATATTCGCATTCACTTCCACATGAGCAATAACAATCATAAAAAATGACTGCCTGGAAAGGCTGCTGTTGAAAAGGCCACATTCCTAGAAGACGCCGCTCAATTTGTGAGCATCCATCTTCTGGTGTCCAATGACTTGATACAACAAGGGCGCTGTCGATATCGGACTCGCACTCCACCGCGAGTGGATCATGTCTTCCAATTGGAACTAGGCCTGACACCGGGATATCTGAGCTGATAGCCCAGATCAGGTCTCAATGCATTCGATTATCCAACCGGATAGTAAATCATCCAAATGAAATGAGAAGATGTATAATCAGAATTTGAGTGAGACATAACGTAGGCTGCATCGTCAGCTAGTGATGAGAGGCTTAACGTCATAACCACTCACCCAATTCTACCTCGAGTGGGGCAATTCAGGTGGGAATGCCTCCCCACCTTGCTATCAAGACCCATCCGAGAACATTTGTTGCACATTTTGTCTTCCAGCCAGACGTTTCCGTGGCTGATATAGACACTAAATCAACTTCGGAGTTAATTGAACAAAAGTGTACAATTCTGCTTTCTACAACACCAGTTCCGCCTCTTTCGCTCGCAGAGTTCAAAGAGGTGTTGGATTCAGGGCGGATAGACCTACTCGAAAATGGGCGCCCACGTTGTACCTAGCACGATCTTCCCGAAAACATACGTGATGAGCGCGTGGAATCATGCTCATACACGTTTCGAGGCTGAAGTTGTGTCTCTCGAGATGGAAGGCAACTTGCCACACGATCTACACGGAGCATTTTACAGAATTCAACCAGATACAATGTTTCCACCAATTTTCGATGATGATGCACCAATCAATGGGGATGGGAATGTCTGCTGCTTTTATATCAAAGACGGCACTGTGGATTTCAAATCTCGCTATGTCCGGACTGAAAAGTACATTGTCGAACGGGCCGCTCGTAGAGCGCTGTTCGGGCGATATAGAAATAAATATACCGATGATCCGCGTGTGCGAAATGTGATCAGCAGAACCACGTCCAACACGCACGTTGTTTATCACGCTGGCAAGATCATGACGCTAAAAGAAGATGGGCCGCCTTACGAGATCGATGCTTCGACACTTGAGACTATCGGGTTTGTCGACTACAACGGTACGTTCAAGGCACCAACTCACACTGCTCATCCCAAGGCAGACTCTGAGACCAGAGAACTTGTTGGCTACAGCTATGAGGCGAAAGGCGATGCTACTCCGGACATCTGCTCGTTCACTGTGGATCGAAATGGCTATATTACCGAGGAAGTTTGGTTCCAAGCTCCGTGGGCATGTATGATTCACGATTTCTGGGCGACCAAAAATTGGGTGGTCTTCCCAATTAATGGGCTCAAGGCTAGTGAAGAGCTTATGATTTCCGGCGGTGAGCATTTCTATTGGGATGAGACCCTAGACTATCAGTTACTTGGCGTTGTGCCACGGCGAGGAGCTAAACCCGAGGATGTGAGATGGTTTAAAACTGGCCAAGGCTGTTATTCCCATACAATTAACGGTTTCGAGGATCAAGATGGCAAGCTCGTCCTGGACGCCAATGTCTGGACTGATCTACACTTCCCGTTCTTTCCAAATTCAAAGGGGGAGAAGTTTACAACAGACCGTACCAAGACTCGGGCACCAATCCTGAGATACCGCTTTGATCCCAAAGGAAATACGGACGTCGTCATTCATCCAGAACGTGTCGTCCTGGATGGCGTTTATGAATTTGGCCGTGTCGACGATCGCCAATTAGGGAAGCCATACGAGCGCGTTTGGACACTCCATGTTGACCCTACGAAGTTCTCGTCTGCCGAATCTGCAGAGCAAGGTTTCAACACTTTACTCATGCATAACTTTAGGACCGGAGAGACCCAGAAATACTTCCACGGTGATGACATTACATTCCAGGAGCCAGTCTTTGTCCCAAGACATGAAGGCGCCCCACCTGAGGATGGCTACGTTCTTGTCGTGGTCGATCTGTTCCGAGAGAACCTCACGAATCTACTGGTGTTCGAAGCTCAGGATATTAAATCAGGTCCTATCACTACCATCAAACTGCCACTGAAACTGCTTGATGGCTTGCACGGTAGTTGGGTTGATGGAAAGGATGTGGATGCAGCGTCAAAAGTGCCATTCCGAGATGCTTGGGCCAAGCATTAGATAGATACTTGCTTGCCACTTTTACTAGAGGCAAACCACGCGCATCGGCACCACACGATGCAGTACGATCACATACATCAAAGACACAGGAACATATGCTAGCAACAATGTCAAGTGCGACTTTGTAGCGTATTGCAGGGTAATTCCTTGATTGTAAGCTAATTTGGTTGTTTTGAAGAACCGAGAGAGAGGAATGGGATGGCCTAATCTAAAATGCGTGCCAAGGCCCTAGGCCACACGTGATAGACTTCTTCTCATATTGCGATTTCATATGTCTTTTCATTTCTAATAACGCAGGACTTCTACGTACTCCGAATGCGGGCGAATCCACACCTTGGCGGTTCGGTCGCCGCCAAGGCCTGTACTGCCTAGTATATATAGAATACGACTCTCTCCGTAGGACTTAGAATGACAACTTATTCCTTCGCAACACTTCGCGGATACAGATCACAATATCACGCAGTAACTAGCTACCGTGCCAAGAGTGATCAGGTATGTCAGCGTGTCTATCCTTCGGGTCATAAGGAACTTACCATAGAAGGAAGAAGTTTGGTGGGTTGCAGTTGTGCGTGGTGTTGTGTACGCAGGGGCGAGAGCAGGCGCAGCAACGAGACCTACTGGAATAGGAGGTGAAATCCCGGACAACACCTCTGACTTATACCGGACTCTCCAGGGTCTAGTATTAGGGCTTAGGAACCTGCACCAACAATAGCGGCTTGAGCTTCCCTACCGATCGCTAGATATCGTGAATAATGGTGTGAGAAGCAATGCCATTTCTTTGGAAATCCATGGAGGGGATTCGAGATGCCAGGGTTGAGCCCGGTGATGCAGTCTGGATCCTTTCATGCCGAAGCCTGGCTGGACAGGGCTGTAGAAGCAGAGAAAGCTCCGGCACCGTCATCAGGAATCTACCTCAAGCGAACAGCGAGGACGAGCAGTGGCTTCGTCACTTGCATTTCGGGCGGACGATAGTGGGAATGAGTTAACTTGCTTGTTGATATCCTTGAGATAGATTGATTTCCGTGGGCATAAGCGGGGATTTTATATTTGAGGTGCCTGCTGGCAGAAACGAGGTTTGGTGCTTGTCTTGTTTTTTTGTTTTTTTTTTGGATCTACTGGTGGATGTTCCCTTGTGTCTATCTAGCTAGCTAGTCGAAGGAGTTTTCCGTATGAAAGGCCGATATATCCAGTGGCCTGGTGTCCAGCTCCAGCAACGGACGTGGAAACAATCACTTAAATATCCCCATCTAAAGCCATCAAGATCATGCCTCCTCACGAAGGCCCCAAGACCTCGCCGACCACAGCGTCAAAATTCCTCTCTGCATCACCCGATATTCCCGTACTGTCGGCTTTGGACGAGCCCCGCGCTGTCCACGACCACACAACATGCTTTGCCGAGCCCGTCTCCTGGGTCGAATTCGGTATGGTGGCGAGTTTGACACTTACTGATTGAGCATGCACGGCGACTTGGAGTTTCTTCACTGCTTCGCCGGAGCTCCAAAGCGTCAGTTCGCCGCTGTACGGGCTCGAGATCTTCCACTGCTGCTTGGAGTCGTTGCGGTGCCCGGTATCTGATTCAGATGCGCCCGAGACTTTAGCAGCTAGGGACGCGATATGGGACACGAGATCGAGTAGAAGGATGTGGCGGAGGAAATATGAAACGGCCTCGAATGTCTCGTGCTGGAAGAAGGGCACCGAAGCGAACTCGAAATCGAGCTTTGAGGTTTCGAAGCGCGTGCCGTACAGGGGAGGGCCGAGATAGGTGGCAATGCCGATTTGGAGGCGTCGCTCGCTCGTCAGACTTACCTCGAGTGCTGTCTTGGCTGGGAGCATCAGCTCGGCGAAAGGGGTGTTGGAGGCCTCCATTTTCAGGGATTTGAATGTTTCGGAGGTAGATGGCAGAGTTTTCATGGAGACTGGTAAACCGGCTTTTGTGAAGGGCTGGACCAGAGCATTACAGTAAGCTCTCAGGGCCGTCAATTGCGTTTGATGGCGAAGTTGTGCCAAAAGTGGGCGGATGAGAGCATATTCAGGGATCGGTCGAGGCTTGAGTGTCATGGCTGGTGGCCGCTGTGATCTTCTGGCAAGACCTTGTTCATGCATTGCACTGAGCAGTAGGTGTAGAGCGGTCCCGACGAATTCTGTCGTTTCGTTGTCTTCTGGGGTCAAGGAACTCTCGTCCAGACTTTCATCGCCAAAGAGTAGAGAAAGCTTGGAGTGCTTATCAAGGTTGATTTCGATGTGCTGACCTCGAGTTATGATTCCTTGGTTCGCTATCAATCGTGCTTCTCTGCTGATCTCGTAGAACAATTCTTCTTCGAATAAGGAATCTCGGGCCTCAATGATTTGTTCGTCAATCGTCTGAGTTTCATCTTTTCGGGTCGTGCGAAAGTGGAACAATCCTGTCGTCTTATTGTTACGGCTGATTGACACTCCTAGACGTCTCCGTCTCCGTGGATGATCCAGAATCACTGTCCCATCTTCTGATTGGCGCAGTAAAGCAAAGCCTCGGTCCCTGAACTGCGGTGCGGCTTCCGGGAAGCCAAAATGGACGCCGATAGCTTTGGAATCACGTGGTAATCTGCTCACCGGCCAACCACGAGCGGTCAGGTCTGCTATCTGTGCCCAATAAGTGGACTCCTTTTCGGCTTCGGCTTGCAGTTTGGTGGAAGCAACCTGAATTTTTTCAGATGCTGCTTTGAAGCTATTTGCTCTCCAGCCCTGAGAGGCCAGATTCAATTGTTTTCGCTGAGCAGGAGGTGGAAGTTTGTGCTGCAAAACATGAGTTGTGAGGGATCCTATTGGCACAGCCTCCTTCAAGGCTGGAGACATTGAGCTCTGCGCTGGAATAGACTGCTTGGATATGAGTAATGAGACAAAATCGAGTGCACAGAGAATTTCATTCTGAGTGTAGCTACTGAGATTAGCAGTGATTTCGAAACAAGAGATACTTCTGAGAGACATACCTGAGTCTCTCAAGCATCTCTTCTCGACGCTTCCAGAGGCGCTCCTGGCGTTTCTGTGGGGTTTCATCTTCATCGACATCTTCCTCGGGAGCCGGGTCATCTGTGGTCAATGGGTCATTTACCGCCTTTTGGCCTTGCTTTTCAGCACGAAGAGACTGCTCTGTCACATATCGAAAGTGGCCCTTTTGAGAAACAATCTGTTGTATCTGAGCTTGCAGATTTTGTTGTTGAGAAGATGCCTCGGGAGGGACGAGAAGTCTGGTTGTTTTTAACTCAGGCATGAAGCGCAGAGATTGAGCGTGCTTTCTTTTGTTCGGTGTTGTAGATGCGGAATGCGTCGAGTTGGAATTTGTTTTGCGCAAATAACCAATCGATTCACCAAGGATTCTTTACCTGAACTGCATGACCGTGAGTTTCTGGTCGCGTCTGTGGTTCTTTCGATGCCTTTACACGCGTAAATGAGAATTTATCTATCGTAAAGTCGCCAGTCCGAATGATTGAAATGGATGATGTGAGGTGTTAGTGGCCTTGTTCACCTTAACAAGGCGGTGAAAAATGCTAGGTCACAAGTAGTAGTTTAGCCGAGAAAAGTTGAAGTTCTGCCAGTGGTTTCTTCTGCCCACTGCTGCAGGTGAGCTGCAGCTGAGGCTTTAAGCAGATTAATGGCATGTCGTGTCACCCAGCGCCCACTAAAAGAGCTGGAGTGGCCTTTCGGCCCCATCGGCCCTGGCACCCACCTGGCTAAGCACGCCTAGCCTGCTTGAGCTCCCCCCCCCGTGCCCCTCTATCACAAAAATCCCAAGCCTGATGCGGGCACCGATATGCCTATTCCTCCAATGACGTGGGATCTTCCTCACCACCTGCTCGCTTCATCCTGCTCCTCCACCTATCGCTTTTTATCTTGCAGACTTACTTCTTGTCAAGCAATCTTCCTACTCTTCTGGTTGTGAAGTTGTGCTCTCTACAGATTCCTTTTGATCTCTTATGATAGCTTTCTTCTTCTGTCCCTCATTTTCTAACCACCTATAAATCCTTTTCTCTACCCCTCTAGAGAACCCTTGGTCCACCCAGACTGCTCAACTCTTTTCCTCGAGTCCAAGTCTCCACCGTCTCACCACTTTTGTCCCACCTTCACCGAACTGCGTTGCTGGTCCCCAATCTCCTAGCCAACATGGCCAGCAACTTTCCCCCTGCTAAGAAACGCCGCATTGGTGTCATGACCAGTGGAGGTGATTCTCCTGGCATGAATGGAGCGGTCAGAGCTGTGGTCCGCATGTCGATCTATATGGGGTGTGAAGCATATGCAATCTATGAAGGCTACGAAGGCCTGGTACAAGGTGGAGATCTGATCAAAGAGATGAAATGGGAGGACGTTCGTGGCTACCTATCTCGTGGAGGAACATTGATTGGAACAGCAAGATGTATGGCCTTCATGGAACGTTGGGGCCGTTTGAAGGCTGCCAAGAACATGATTCACACAGGGATCGATGCTCTGGTCATCTGTGGTGGTGACGGTAGCTTGACTGGTGCTGACAAGTTCAGGTCCGAATGGCCAGGACTACTGAAAGAGCTTGTTGACAATGGAGAGCTGACACAAGCCGAGATTGAGCCATACAAACACCTCAACATTGTTGGTCTTGTCGGCTCTATCGATAATGACATGTCAGGCACGGATGCCACAATCGGCTGCTATTCTTCTTTGGAACGTATTTGCTCAGCTGTGGACGATGTCTTCGACACTGCAGCATCCCACCAGCGTGGCTTTGTGATTGAAGTCATGGGTCGGCACTGCGGGTGGTTGGCCTTGATGGCTTCTATTGCAACGGGAGCGGATTTCGTTTTCATTCCCGAAAAACCACCCAGGGTTGGCTGGGAAGGTCAAATGTGTGATATCATTACGAAGCACAGATCACGAGGCAAGAGGAGATCTATTGTTATTATTGCTGAGGGCGCCCATGATATGGAGCTGAAGAAGATCACTGCAAATCAGGTCAAGGACCTTCTATCAGACCGACTCAAGTTGGATACCAGAGTGACTGTTCTGGGTCACACACAACGTGGAGGAACAGCATGTTCTTTTGATCGTTGGCTATCCACCCTCCAGGGTGTCGAAGCTGTGAATGCGGTTTTGGAAGCCACACCTGAAACCCCCACTCCAGTCATTACTATCCGTGAGAACAAGATTGAGCGATCAAACCTTATGGAAGCAGTTGCGTTGACCAAGTCAGTGACTGCGGCGATCAAGGCCAAGGACTTTGACAAGGCAATGGAACTGCGTGACGTTGAGTTCAAGGAATATTACACCAGCTACATGATCACCACCTCAACTGACCACCCGAAATTGCGACTTCCAGAAGAACAGAGGCTCAGAGTTGCCATTGTTCATGTCGGCGCTCCAGCAGGTGGTATGAATCCAGCAACTCGAGCAGCAGTTGCATATTGCTTGACCAGAGGACATACACCAATTGCCATTCACAACGGCTTCCCGGGTCTTCAGCGACACCACGATGACAAGCCGGTTGGATCTGTCCGTGTTTGCAAGTGGATTGATGTTGATCCCTGGGTCAATGAGGGTGGTTCAGAAATTGGTACTAACCGAGGACTCCCAAGTGCAGACATGAAGAAGACGGCCGAATGCTTTGAGTTATACAAATTCGACGCGTTGCTATTGATTGGTGGATTCGAGGCATTCACAGCTGCAAGTGAACTCCGAAAAGCCCGGGCTCAATATGAGGCATTCAAAATCCCGTTGGTCGTCTTGCCGGCAACTGTCTCCAATAACGTTCCTGGCACTGAATATTCTCTCGGCAGCGATACTTGCCTGAACACGTTGATCTCTTTCTGTGATGCCATCAGACAGTCAGCTTCGTCGTCAAGAAGGCGAGTCTTCGTCATTGAAACACAGGGTGGACGTTCTGGTTACCTGGCAACGATGGCGGGACTTTCGGTTGGTGCACTCGCAGTCTATATCCCAGAGGAGGGCATAAACATCCACATGCTGGCACGAGATATTGAATTCTTGCGTGAAAACTTTGCCAATGATCAGGGCGCCTCAAGAGCCGGTAAGATCATTCTTCGGAATGAGCGGGCTAGTACGACATATACTACGCAAGTCATTGCGGACATGATCAAGGAAGAAGCTCGTGGAAGATTTGAATCTCGGTCAGCTGTACCCGGACACTACCAACAAGGTGGCAAACCATCACCTATGGATCGGATAAGAGCCCTTCGACAGGCGATCAAGTGTATGCAGCATATTGAAGACCGCTTCATCGGAAAGTCACCGAATGAAATCGACAGTGATCCATTGTCCGCTGCAGTCATTGGTATTCAAGGGTCAGAAGTGGTTTTCACTGCTCTCGGAGGACCGACCGGTTTGGAGGAGACAGGGACTGATTGGGCAGACAGACGACCCAAGGATGAATTCTGGATGTCTATGAAGAATACCGTTGACATTCTCAGTGGTCGGCCAAAGACATCGGATTGCTGTGACGACTGTGGCAAATTGCTTTCTGGTGAACCTCTTCAAAAGCGACTATCCAAGCAGTTGGGATGAAGTTTGCAAGGCAATCATCGACGACGAATTCCAAGATCTCAAATTAGACAGGGTGGAGTCGAGGTCGGGTTCTTGTGATAGAGCTGTTGTGTCGCGTCGACAACGATATAGGCGGTTATTCAAGGGGCCGGGTTGTGACTTTCGGCTTGGTGCTTTGGAGACTCGATGGGTGTAGCACGTAGACCCTGGTCACCTGGTGAAGTATACCTACCTATAGACGTTGTGGAGCATGTGGATGACTAGCGACGCCAGCATGATAATGATGAATATTAAACTCCAATGTTGAGCCACCCACCAGCCACTCCTGTTATACAAACCCCCCTTGACATTCAGTTGCTCCACATGTGTCAGATCTATGCTCAGCTACTAACGATGGACATCTAGACCTTGAAGGACAATCAGTATCCATACAGAGTATCACTATCAGTTTGCCCTTCCACTTGAACCGCCTTGGGTCGGTCATGCCACCCACAAGCGAAGCCAATAGCCGATGAGACAAAAAGCCGCAATTGCAAATGCAAGTATTCTCATTGAATAGCATGAGTCAGGCACAGGAATCGATAGCCAATAGTGGTCAAGTAGATTGTCATGCTACGTCATTCAAGAATATACTTAAACCGCGGCGTTGGCTTCCCATTGTATTGTTTGGAAGCCACCACCACTTTCGACTCCCTCTCAACGAACATAAACCAATATCTCAACCAGAGCAATACCAAGGCTATCACTCCAGATACACTTAAAAACTTTACCAACAAACTCTCAAAAACCCCTCCAAAAATGGTCAAACCAACCACCTGCTGCGGCCGCTCCGAAGAGTGCGTCTGCGCCCAGAAAGCGACATGTTCTTGCGGCAAGCAATCAGCCATGAACTGCTCCTGCGAGAAGAAGGCCACCGAGAATACCGTACAGGGTGCTCGTTGCTCATGTCGTATGTGATCTACTTACCCTACCACAAGCCACCACCTCCTGTCTTCCATCCCCTCTCCTCTGATCCATCACTAACATTTGTTTCAACCGCACAGGCGCCCGTCCCGCCGGCGAATGTACCTGCGACCGAGCCTCGACTGAAAACACCAAGCCCGCGGGCTCGACATGTGCGTGTGGACAACGCAGTGCGGGAAGCTGTACATGCGAGAAAGCGGCGGATGGTGGTCTGTTGCCCGGTGAGGTCGACTTCACTACCAAGGCTTGAGAGAGGCTGAGGATGAGATCATGACGACTCTTTCTCTCTTGCTTGTGACGAAGCCATATTTGAATATGGGAGGCGGTGGTATGACATTATGAAAATTGCTTGCATTTGGTTTGCGTGGATTGGGTGGAGTTGTGAAACGGCGCTGAGATTGCCTTTCGACATGGCTGCGTCAGCCCGAACGGGATGGGCGTTCAAGGCTATTGCTTCCCCGACTACTTTTTGTGAGGTCTTTGGCGATGCCTTCCATGCATCCGAAGGCAAAGACATCCTTGTTCCCATGCATCAACGCCGCCACTTTCTTTGGTGGACTTGATCACCTTGTATTGCTACTATACCAATGAGAAATATTGCAAAATAAGAAAGTTAAGAAAAGTCTTGCGTGAGCGTATCTATCATCAGTTGTCGTTGGGATTGTGAGAACGCCCTCTTCGCGTTGACTTCAGATCCAAGGGCATATCATAATCACATTCTGGATCCGGCTTGACGGGTATCGAGAAAATTTCCTTCCAAGACGCCTGGCAGAACGAGTTCATCTCAGACCCTCGGTAACCTTCTTCGACTTTTTAACAACACTCGAAATCCCCGGGGGAGGGGAGTTAGAGGACAGTCGGCTGGAATTGAACGGCATTGACTGCATGGCTTGTGCGACAAGGTATCGATACATCCCTTGGAATGGCTTTGGTGGTCCATCTCAGCAAGCACTCAGAAAAGCGGTTAGACCTCAGAGAGTCCCGTAAGCGCTCATCCCAGCATCCCAGCTATTGCGCTACCAGTGTAATACTGATCTGAGAACATCGAGTACCGGGAGGGTACATTCGAGCCGCACTGGAAGGCCCAAGAGAATGCAAGCGCGTCAATTAAAATCGTGCCATTGGCTCCCACTCTTCTCCCAAGGTAAGATCGTCCACAGCCACCAGGCGTCGTCCATGACCGATTAGTTTTAAACAGTGGTTTTGATACTAAGGTAAGGATTGCCACTGCATTTCTCCTCGATCAGAAAATTTCAGGATGCATGTAGGAATTTATTTATTCATCCACATGTGAGGCAATGATGCACATATGTATAGTATGTATATGCCACCCTGCCATCTGAAACACGACCTGATACTCGGGCCGGTTTCGCATCCAATTTATAGCGATCGATCAGAGCTACGTAGCAGATAAACATAAGGAGAACCAAATCAATAACCAACTAATCAATAACTTTCGTGTGTATGGTACTTTTCACCTTTTCCGTTTTCATTTCTTACATCCGCGTTCAGAGGCGCAGTCAAACCATTGTCATCGGCGCCCGAAGATTCTAGCAACGATCCCTTTCTTCTGCGCCGGTTGCTGCACCTCGTCGGCGGACGACGTTACAGAGGCATCGCTATTGACCTGAGTGCCATCGGGGCCGAAGCCGATGATGCTGAGACGGCCCCTGACGCGTTCGGCGAGAGGTTTCCTGGCCGGCTTCGGCTTGGTCTTTTCGTACAGCGCCTTGTGTTCCTCGAAGACGTCGTGCTCAAAGTCGTAGTCGACGTGGACGAAAGCGCGCTCCACGTCGGCGAGACCCTCGAGCTTGCGCTGGAGAGTCTGCGCGACGTCGTGAGTCACCTTCAAAGGCTCCGTCTCGCTCATGATGATGTCGACTTCGGCGTAGAATTTGTCGCCAGCGTGATAGGCGCGCACGGTGTCGATTTTCTCAATGCGTTCGTCATGCGTGATGCTCATGTAGACGACTTTGTTGAGGAAGTCTTGTGGTGCGGATTTTCCCACGAGGTACCATACGTGCTCGAAGGCGGTGGACGCCCATGACCACAGGATCAACAGGGCGATGCAGATGGCACCTGTGGGATCGAGGAACCAGACTTTGAGGAACCGGGATCCTACGATAGACATGATCAGACCGAACAGATTAACGGCGATGTCGTTACGGTGGTCGATCATGAAGATCCGTGCTGCTGGGTACCGTCGTAGCAGGAAGCAGTACACGAAGAGAGAGCCTTTGGCGAATATCGCCGTCGACACGAAGACGATGGGGATGATCTCGAGCTGTTTAGAATCGGGAGGTCCGTGGCCCAATGCTCGTCCTGACTCGATGATCAGTTGTACCGCCACGGTTGTCATCAAGGCACAGAACAAGATGATTCCAACGGTCTCAACACGCTTGCGGCCAACGGGATATTTGTGCACTTTCGGCGTTGCCGCCATTCGTGATGTAACCAGCATAACAATGGAGCTGACTAAATCCATCTATTGGAGAGACGAGGAATTAGTGCGTTGTCTTTACGTGAGAGAGGAGCGAGACCCACAAAGGCGTCGGCGGCCGTAGCAAAGAGTGCCAGTGACCCAGTCGAAATGGCGGCGTAGAGTTGAATGATGAACAAGCAGAAATTGCACACAAAGCTTGCATTGACGGCAAAGCGAACCTTCCCTCCATTTTTGAGATTGTCTTCCACTTCGAGAGCTTCTTCATCGGCGCTATTGAGGTAGGCATCAATCAAAGCATTCTGGCGGTTATAGTACTTCTTGACTTTCTTGTGCCTCCGCTGTGATAGACCACTATCCTCTTTGCGGTAGGTATCTTTGTCACGTTTCTGCCCACGAAGGGCATATGGATCAGTCACATCGACCTCATCGGCCGGTAATGAAGGTTGGGCAGTACCATTCTTGGGACTGCTAGAAATTTGAACTTCAACTGGAAAGGCTGAAAGGGTTGCTGTAGATCCAAGAGGAGATATAGGATCTGAATTTATCTCGGCTGGTCCTGCCGCCGTTGTTATTGCTGTTCCATTCTGGCCCTTTCCCTTGTCAAGTGACGAGGTCATGCTTGTAAGCAGAGGTTCCTGGTACAGAGACAGAAGCGAATGGTCAAGGCTTCTTCGGATGGTATGTGATGAAACGAATTAAACGAATAATCCCCGAGTAGGAACCTGGGTACACAAATACTCTTGACAGGGAGCAATATGATAAATGAAGACGACAAGAGTAGGGAAGGTGATGGGGGATGGATCTGATGAAATTCGCCAGAAAAGCTGGGACCAGTCTTTCACGAAGCACTTATACATTGAAGATGGCACTTCTGGTGTGGAAAACTCGCTCCTCGCTATCTTTTGCCACTGACCTACCTACTGTGCAAGAGGGTGGCTTGGTGCTCCCCTAGCGGACCATGGCTGGGATGGCTAACACTTTCCCTGTTTGATGGTGGAGTATAGGGACAATTGAAAATGTAATCTTGAAGCATCAATAGCATTATGAATTGGTGTTTATTTCTTGGCTATGGATGGAAGCTGTTTACCGAGTAGCAGATAAGTGGAATAGGAGTTTGAGCAGCCTTGTCTGAGCCTCTTATGATGTGATCTGGCCTCGGAAAATCTCTTGGCCGCTACGTGCCAAGGCGGATCCTCTTGGCATTGTTACAGCAGTGAAATCGTTTTGCAAATCCTGGAGAAGCGAGCCTAGCAATCTTGTCTAGAGCGGAACATCAGTGGAACCAACCCCCTCACCTTCCGCTGCTTACCCAGGTAGGCTTGCAGAGCTTGTTGTGGCACAAGCATCCCTTCAAATGTCGTATCGAAAGAAGAAAGATAAGCCTAAGTAAGTGGGTTAGTTGATCCGCACCACCGCTGCATTGAGGTGCGGAGGTCGATCCCCATGGTATGTTTCATTTCATCCTGGTACGGATACACGAAAACTCCATCCCCGTTCACCTAATGATACCCTATGATTCTCCGAAGTGGATGAGCCCACGATGGGGCAGACTCTCACTGTTCCTGTATGGAGTCAAGAGGCCAATCAACATAGTGAGAAATCAGCATCAAAGCGCAACCCCTTGATTGGCCCCACGAAATCGCCGAGCTGTTTCTCAATGACTTCGATACTCGCTACGCTCAAGTTACTCCGTGCGAGTACATTGCTACATTCAACACCTCACCGTGACGAACATACTGTGGGTTCTGTTGACAGCGCCTGAATGTCAAATAAGGCAGCCCTGGTATCAATGTCCCACTCTTGGCACAGGCACAAGAGTATCCGGGTACAGAGGTACGTAACAGCTATCCATTGCTCGTGCTTGGGTTCCAATGAAGCCTGTGATCGACCTGCTATTCATAGATGAAGAGCAGCAGCAGTCAGTGAAGACTGTAGGCTCGAGAGGAGGGAATATTATCATGATGAAGAGAGAAATGCTCATCAGCAACATGGCTCGTCGGCGGCTATATCCAAGTGAAGCAGCGAAAGGAATTCACTGTCCCGAACGGGTCTGGAGGATCTACATCCAGGTCTGAATCCGGCGAAGGGGATCCACTTGAGACAAAGACTTTTGTCAACATGTCCAGACAAGGCTTGTATCATACTGATTTGAACAGGCCTAGACGACTACGGATCAACCTGTTTGTGGACATTGTGGGATTCCAGAAGTGCATGCGTATATCGACATTGAAGCTGTCTACGAAACACCACCGAAAAATAACATTGTCAGGAGAGGTTTCAATCATGGAGTTGGCTGGGTTCAGGTCGATTAAACGAAGATACAGGATGCCTATAGAAGCTTGAATTCCTTGGGATTTGGAAGACTTCCTCTCCTCAGGCTCTGGCAGCACTTTCACGACCATCATCCACTTGCGAGGCTGTGCTTTGCTTTTTGTTTTCACTCTTGTTTGACTTTTTCTGCTTTTGTTCAATACACTCTCTGGGCCGGTTCCCTTTTTCAAACATGTCAGACAAACCTCAATGCGGTGGCGGTGCTGCCAACCTCGATGATTATGACCTTCCACTTCATGTCGCGGCCGTCTGTGAGTTGATTCCGAGATGGCAAGCAGTGAATACAACGTTAATCTAATATTTCATACCAGTCTTGGTCTTTCTTTTCAGTATTGCAGGTACGATTCACAAGGGGATTTATGCTAGTTGTAGTACTGATTGATCTCGACAGGAGCTGGTCTTCCAGTTGTGGGAAAAAGAGTACGATGGATGAATATCCCTCAGCCAGTCATTTTCTTCTGCAAGCATTTCGGAACTGGAGTTTTGATAGCTACTGCGTTCGTTCATGTGAGTTTGAAGCCAAAATCCTACAATATCGATGCTAATTCATTCCATCTAGCTCATTCCGACAGCATTTGCATCACTCAGCGACCCATGTCTTCCATCACTTCTCATTGATGACTACCCAGCCATGCCCGGTGTGATCATGATGTTTGCCCTATTTGCCCTCTTCACCATTGAGATGTGGCTCAAGGCCAAAACCGGAGGCCACTCTCACGGAGGACCTATGGGAAGTGGAGCTACCACAACCCACGGAACCGTCGGACTAGCTACTCAAGGAGCACGACCAGGTGTGAGTACAGCTCAGAGCCTTCCACCATATGGCCACTCAAGAGATCCATCCAGCTATGACTTTGAAAAGCCTCATGCATATACACAGTAAGTTAGTCAATATGGGAACTGCGAATCTTGATTACTGATTTTGAGAAGTACCTATGAGGTGAACGCAAGTCCCCGTGAGGAAATGGAACAATACAACAATATGTCAGACATGCCACCATGGTTTCAAGTGTTCTATGCTCAATATGTTCGTCAGCGAGAAGAGTTGAAGTCGGCAATCATGGCGCTCACACCACCACTTGTCAGCGAGACTTCGTCCTTTGACGATGGCTCTTCAATCAATCTTGCTGACCCTGAAGCCTCGGCGGTGGATGCTATGACATTGAAGAGAATGAACCTTAACATCACCTTACTCGAAGGTGGTATTCTCTTCCATTCCATCTTTGTCGGCATGACCATTTCAATCACCACTGACGGATTCTTGATCTTGCTGATTGCTATCCTTTTCCATCAATTTTTCGAAGGTCTTGGTCTCGGGTCACGTATTGCTGAAGTCCCATACCCCAAAAAGGCTATCCGTCCTTGGGTTTTGGTAGTGGCATTTGGAACAACATGCCCTATTGGCCAAGCAATTGGCTTGATGACACGCAACTCATACGATCCAAACAGCGCTTTTGCCCTGATTCTTGTCGGAGCATTCAACGCGTTTTCGTCCGGTCTCCTTGTCTATGCAGCCTTGGTAGACCTCCTTGCAGAAGACTTCTTATCCGAGGAAGCCCAGCACCTCATGACAAAGAAGAATAAGATCGTCGCCTTCTGCTATGTGCTCCTCGGAGCTGCTGGCATGTCAGTTGTCGGCGCGTTTGCCTAAACTCAATATGATGTCGCCACAACGCCTGCATTGCTGTCTGAAACGTGTTGAGTAAGGAGCTGCAAGCTCGATCTCACAACTCTGAAGTCTTTCGTTTCCGATATGACAAGCAGGAGACACCACAACCCTTACCTTCCATTTGCCGACCGCTCCATTCCATCGTATATCACCTCCAGCGACCAACCAACCCCACCTTCCTTAACACAGAATCTCTTTACCGTCCGATATCCTTCAAGTCTCCTTCCGCTGTCGAAACCGTTACCAGCCACGCAAGTTGACCACGACACTCTCTTATAGCAACATCTACCACTCCATTTTTCATGTCTTCGGACAAGAAAAAGAAAACAAAACACCGAAACGCAATGCAGACGCAAAGCGAACCATTCAACGCGTCGCTGGACGAAGTTCCTCATGGCCATCCTTTGACAGGGAGCCAGAATTGGAGCCGAGTTGCCGTCTTGCACATTACTGACCGAGTTTTTCTACCCTTTCACTAGACGTGGGATCTCGTCACAAAGCCGTTTATATATGATCACAGAAATCTGATGCCCCGTGATGTCCTTCCGATTAACGAAATCAGGAAGACGGGGAATCGATTATTTTCTGTATTTAGCGCCCTCGGCATCACAGCTTTGAGAGGTGCACAACAAACGATGTACATAGACACGACAATGTTTATTCAAAAGCAGACATAAATAATGAAGTTATTGATTACACGAATATCTCCCGAAATTGTGCACCGACTTACTTTCGCCCCTCTTAGCAGGGAGTGGTGAGACAAGGCTGATGCACAGCCTAGTTGACTCATTCGTCTCCAGTTGCCCACCAGAGCTACTTCCCAGATAGTCCTTGCCTTAAACTTTCATGTGTGGACTCCTCTTTCACAGATAGTCATTATCAGAAGGCGCCACAAGATACCTAACTTCCATCCACATGCAAAATCAGTGTCACTTAACTATATGACTCAACCGCGTAACAGTGAATAGTGAATAAAAGTGTCATTGTTTTGAGGTCAGGGACTATCACCAAGCTAATAACCATGCTGCTTCTGTTTAGTTCATGAGCCCTTCATGGTTGACTTGGGCTACTTTCTCATTGCGGGCTTCTCATTGCTTTTCTTCTCCTGATGCCGCTAACCTTGTGCTCACAAGACACTGCAATCTCCCGAGTCTTGCACCATTTTCATCATGGGTGGCCACGCTTTCCCCTCCGCTCACACGCCACGCATGCCTGAGAATGTCTATCGCAGCGTGCTTGAGCACGTTGAGTCTAGACTCAAGGAGCACTTTGAGCATGTAGGACATGCCATTGAAGGCCCAGAAAAATTCACTCACGGTGACATCGATGTATTTGTTGCCACTCCTATCAATCCCAGCCATCTCTTGAAACCACCAGGTGGTCAATTTCTTGCCGATATCATACAAGGCAAGCAGTTCAGCAAACCTTCAGGGGGCTCGAGCGTCAGTATTCTGATCGATTGGCCCGAGGAGTTTGCTTCTGAGATCCCGACATTGAATGATGATGAAGAGCCACAAGACTCGACGGGTAACACGAAATCTGCTCACATTCAAGTTGATCTGACAATCTGCTCCAACTCTACCGGCTTGGAATGGCTGCTCTTTCTACATGCACACGGCGATTTGTGGGCCATGCTTGGTGGAATCATTCGTCGACTTGGCCTCACCAATTCTCACAAGGGACTTGCCATCCGCATCGAAGAAACAGAGGGATACAACAAAGAACGAAGTCGCGTTACTATGACCAATGATCCCTACCAAGTATTGCGATTCCTCGGCCTGAACATTGAGCGCTACTTCAAGCCTTTCAGCACCTTGGATGAAATGATGTCCTATGTTACTACATGCCGCTTTCACGACCCCAGGCGAGGGGCTGGGAAACCGCGCGAGGGCCTTAAATCCAACGAAAGACAACGAGCCAACAAACGTGCTGCTTACACTTACTGGGTCGACGAGTATCTCCCGGCACATCAGAATGACCCTTGCCGGCGCGACGCACACAAGACTCGTGACGAAGTCATCGAAATAGCCACCCGATTCTTCGACCTCGAATTCACAACTCGGTACGACGAGCAGAAGAAGAAAATCGTCCACGAATTCCGCGCTAGCAACATGTGGTCCGAGATTCGCAAATCTATCCCCACAACTGGCAACGAGTTAGGCCGTGCAATGAAAGGTCTCAAAGCCGTGATCCTCGCCACTAACAGTGAAGTTTCCCCGGGCGGCGACGACGAGCTGCAGAAGGAGCTGTATGAAGTTCGCATCGCGTTTCTGGAAGGTCGGTTCGACGAGGTCCAGGCGTGGAGCAGCAAGAACTGGCGACTGGTTGGGGGGAAGCAGACCACTCTGGAAGGAATTGTCCCGCGGACAAGCCTGAAGAATGCGCATGTGGAATTGAAGACCCATGGCTTGCCTATCGGAGGAGATGTCATGCGGGCTGCTGCATGATAAGCCTGTCAGAGATCAGAGACTTGCTGGCAATAAACGACAGCAACAACGCCTGGATAGGCGCAAAGATCTCCTCACATCGCTTTGACCACCAACATGCATGCTTTGGGCAAAGCTTCGCCTAGGCGTTCGAAATCATCTGCAACAGTCCGCCTGATGCGATTTCGCTTCGTGCCGCAAAACACATCACATCACATCACAGCATAGCACAGCACCTTTCCCTAGCCTAAAAAGCGTTCCAGTCCATCACTACGTGATCCAACCAGTAAAGCAGCCCTGAGTCTTGCGGATTGTGGCCCGTAAGCGAGCGAAAGAGAAAGAAAAAAGCACAGTTTCGAGAAGGGAAGTCATCAGGACCCATGTTATGCCGTCGATACCCGAGAGAGACGGAGAGTATTCGAGACTAGATACGGTAGTCATTGGTATTGATGGTCAGTCTGCGATGCATGGTATGGAAAAGAAAGACAGAATACCATCAAAATCAAGCTTATGAAAAGTCCATTTTCTTCAATCACACCGTCATGAGCATCGTGTATGTATGCATTCTACCTACCTATTCATACGGCCGTCTCGTGCAGTGGATCTTCCTCTTGTGGCTCTTCATCCACATGTCCATCCCCTTCATCTTCATTTTCAATATCATCTCCGTCATTTGTCGCCCGCCCACCAAGATCCTTCAATTTCGCCTGGGTCATCTCGTAGACATACTGCCCCAAGTGCTCGACACCCTCCATCTCGCTCGTGTTGTCTGGATCGTCTTCGAGCCCACGCTGGCTTGGGAACATCTCGCCCGTTGTCAGTACCAACTTGCTCGACCTTTGTAGCAGGAGGTCCATGGCGGGCTTCATCTCGAAGCAGCTTTCGAATAAGTCTTTGCGTCCGAAGATGTAGAGCCCTAATCTACCCCGAGATAGTGCCACTGTCAATCTTCGGATATCTCGTAGGTATCCAACGGTCTTTGTTCGTGTCATCGATACAATAACATAGTCATTCTGTTCGCCCTGGTACTTATCGACGGTCGTGACGATTCTGGGAGATCCGAAGAGGCGCTTGTCTTTGCATCTATGTGCAAGGACATCTTGAATAAGCGCACGCTGTCCAGCATAGGTAGCAAGGATAGAAATACTCTGTGCAGGATAACCCAACAAACGCATGTACTGGTATAATGCGACCGCATATTCTGCCTCGCCAAGATTCTGAATAAAATGTGGCGTTGGCTCACGTTCACCATGACCTTGATAGTCTGGAACATCGATAAATTGGAAGTCCCAACGGAAGCCAGCATTTGCACTTGCGAATTCTGGAAGGTGCAAAAGGTGTGGAAGATTTCCCAAGTTCTCGTAGCGCCACTTGAATAGATTTGCGATAGAAGGGCGGCAGCGTCCTTGCTGATCAAGATGTATAGTAGGAACACCAAGCCGGACAAGGCGTAAGAACAGAGATTGTTCGAAGTTCGCATACTGACGAAGCGCCATGTTTTGAACAATTGGAGAATTTTGCAAGTGGTCACCGACCAAAACAATGCGTTTGAGTGGGAGCTCTCCTGTTTTTGGATTCGGGTTCTGCATGGCACAAGGAATGAAGGATTCTATTTCTGTGACTTGCGCAGCCTCTTCCATGATCAAGGTATCGTAATGAAAGCCGGAGTCAGCAATTTCTGACCGTCTCATAGCTGCGTGTGTAGATGTCATGGCAATGATCCTAGCCTCCTTGACCAAAAGATGATTTGCTTGATCTCGATTGTTCCGTAAGATCTCAAAGGGTCTAATGGCCTCGAGCTCAGAGAAAATTTTGTCGATATGATATTGGCATCCTGAGGCAGTATCCTTCAACTCCTCCAAAGAAGTATTCAGGGGAAAGAGTGTTACAACAGGTGCATCGCCAAAGAATTTGTAGAACGGAAAAGCTGCAAGAGAGGATTCGACGGTGGCTTCATCTGCATTGACAGTGTCCCAGAATCGAGACCAAGCAGGCTTGACGAAAACTTGATTGAAATAATCAGCCGTTTCACATGAGCTTCCATGAGCACCTTCCGCGTTTATTGAAGCCGCAAGTCTGTTGACTTCTGTCAGATAGGGCTGTCGATTTTCTAGGAAGGACTCCACCCGGCCATATTTGCTGTAGGATACCTCTGTATCAAGATCCTCTTCGCCATGACCCAAGCGCAGTAAGTGGCGAGGATCTATATCAAGGGCGATGATTTTTTGAAATAATTGATTCAGGGCCTGATTACTGTGAGCAACCAGTAGGATGCGTTCGTTGGGAAAATTGTGGTAGAGAAGATTTATGATCTGCGTGGCCACATCTGTCTTTCCAGTACCTGGTGGGCCTACAACCACAGTTAGACCTGGTTGTGTTCCGGAAACAACGGCTTCGACCTGCTTTGGAGTGAATCGAATAGTATTCTTTTTTCGCGCATCAACCGGATAAGGCCCGGTGTTCTTGGGCTTATAAGTTGAAACATTGAGGGAAAAGGAATCTTGTTCCATCTCCTCGCGTCGACGCTTCTTAGGGTTTTTGGGTGGTTCATCAGTGATTTGAGTAGCCATTTTGAGAACAAAAGGGGGCTCCATGGTTACATCCTTTTCGGAAACCGATTCGATGGTCTTGTGAGGAAAGCTCTCTGTAAGGTGTTGCCAATCGAGGAAAGTATCGAGGTAGTCAACAGTTTCGAGCCGATCAGGCAGAGACGGGAACGAGGCACTTGACGGGTCACCATATCCTAAAAACACTTCTTGGAGCCATGATGGTAGTGAGGTGTTTGAGGAGACTAATCTCTGTAGAGTGTGCAAGACGGGTTTGAAGTTATTCTCCCGACTCTGTCTGCGTACGATCAAGTTTATTGACGCATAGATGTCGGCTTTGCCCTTGGCTGTCGATTCCTTGTCTGATTGATAGGCCTTAGGGTCGAGGTCAAGAAGCAGGCGACGCTTTCGTGGTCGCGGGGCATGACCATTTGTTTGAGCATCTCTCAATGATCTGCTGTTTTCATCCAACACCTGAACGACCTCCGCTGTCCTTAGCACAGCGAAACTTTGGGTGGTTTCTGGTGCTCCCTCACCATGACCATTGGTGAGCTGGCGAGAAGCTTCTGGCGCTTGGACGGCAAGCAGGAAGACAGTGTCTTTTGGTCTTAAATTATCCCAGTCTTTTCGAATGTTATCATTCAAACGGCTTACATCCAGGATTACCTCTGCTCGAACAAAGCTTGGTATTGTAGAACCCACTTTCGGAACACCAACCTCGATGATAGCAGGTTTATCAATGGACAAAGCCATTCTGGAGAAACCGTCAAACGAGGTAGCACGACCACGGCTAGAATTTGGTTTCAATCTTCTCACTACACTCTCCATGTCTTTCCTGATGCTGTAGAAGGCTTCAGCTTGATAGAGCTGGAACGATCTCCACATGAAATCACTGAGAGTTAGATAGTGTAGGTTGAGTTTGGGAATGCCCAAAGGTCGAGAACCATCGTAGACTTCGTTGCGAAGAAGGGCTGGGTCGTACAGAGCAGAGTCTGTGGGGACCACAGAGAGCTGAGAGACGGCATCTTGGAAGCTTCGTGGTTGTGAAAACGAAGACAAGAGCGTTTCTAGCAAAACAGCTCTATTTGTGTTCAACCCGCTCGAGGCAGGATAAGAGGTACGGATTCCCAGTAGGGAGCACAACTGTTGTAGCTCGGCATCAGTCAGAGGTGTGAAATGGGATTGCAATTCACTACGCTTGTTAATGGAGCCGTAGTTGGAAAACGCTAGAACCTTCAACTTGGACTCGAAATGCTGAAAGGCGACTTTTTGCAGACGAGCGAGTGCATTATAATGAGCTTTGCGTGTGCCTTCTGAACCGGACTTTGCATTTCCGAGATCATCGATATCAAAGTTCTGGAAATGTTCCAACAGGTTGGTGAGATCGCGCAGTAGCGCACCTTCTGGCCTGGAGTGGAAGGCCGACGTGCGAAGGACGGGAAGGATGTTGAGATCTTGCAACAGTGGATTGGTATAGCGCCTAGTGGGAAGCTGGCTGATCAGGTCAATGAGAAACTCTGTGAACCGCTCACAATAGACCATTTCCTGGGACGTTGCTAATTTGGGGGTATTGACTCTGGACAGAAAATCGAGCAGCATAGTGTACAGCCAGGCACGATCGAATTTTAGCCGTGCCTGGGCAGTCTGATCTGCGGCATCGTATCTCCTTTGTGCAGCACGCCATGCCTTCCTCCTCGCTGGTTGGGCATCAAGCAAAGCATCTCTTGCGGCCTCGCTCAAAAGGTTGTGCCAAATGGCGATGGAGACGAGAGGGGCGGCTTCTTTACGGACATGATCATTCTCCAAGGATTGGAATGCGCCGACAACGAAATTGAGGAGGGCGAGGCGGGAGAAGATAGGTAGAGAGGAATCGAGGTTGAGGGAGAGTATTCGACGGAAAAGAGCCGAGAAGTGCTCAGGGCGATGTGTGAAGACGGACCAGTCTTGAAGATGTGCTCGCTGTTTGACATTGAAGAAGATGGCGATGAGAAGGACATGATGGTTGGAGGCGTCGTCCGAGAAGGTAGGCCAGAGAAAGCGCTCCAAGATCTGTAGATTCTCTAGCTGATTCAAGGTATAGAAAGAGAAGGAGTCTTGCTCAAGATGGTCCCAAATGGCTGATTTGATCAGGTCTGGTTTGACCTTTGATGGGATTGACTGAAGCCAATGTTTTGCGGCCAGTTCCTCCCAATAGCTGGAAGGCGCATTGGAGCCTGGGACATCCAGAGCAGGAGCCAGAGCAGGGCGAAGTTGAAGGCCCATGACGGTGATTTGCGCAATTTACATGGCAGAAGCAGGAGTGAGCACGCCGGAGCTCAGCAGACGTGATGGCGGTGTTTAGGTCGCGATAAAAATTGCGGCGAGCGCAGGCAGATCTCCAAATCGGAGAAACTCTTGCATCTCCGCAGATGACGGCTAAAAGCTGCTTTCTTTCAAGGTACCTGAGCAGGATCTCCTGTCCAGTTATGATGGTACCAGAATATATCGGCATTCATCAAGATGCCTCCCGTTCATTATTTATCATTTAGGATATGCTAGTTTTTACTAGTAGGCAACATATACACCTAAACTCACGTCCACTGCTCAAATCACCACCTCTCTTTAAAGGCACACTCTATCGCCCATACAGTAAGTGCTGGTTGACCCACAGCGAGTCCTTCAGCTTACGCCGTTCCAAAATCCCAGCGGCACATATCCCTAACCTAGTACGGCCTTTTCACGTGCCCTCTGTGGAAAATGAAGGAGGAAGAATCAAATGTATACCTTCTATACGCATATGGGCAGTATACTCCGCCCCACTAAGTCGCTCTTCTACGGTGGAGCATGCAAGAATGTCACATGATGAAACTCCCTCAGATGACCAATCACACCCACCTGCCTTATCAACGTCAACTGCCAGGTTCCACCTGCCCTCAGCCATTCTAAGCATGTAGACAAGGCTGTCGACATCTGGTGTGAATCACTTCCAGCACGCCAACCATGATAGCGCGTCGAAATACTTAGAGACTGAGAACTCACGGGCATCTGTCATAAATTAAATGGAATACCTCTTCTTTGATGCTTTAAGAATACATGTCTTTTAACAGCAGTATGGTATCCCAAAATATAGTGACCACTCTCATCTTTCAGCTCAATTCTTAAATCTACTGATAATGCCGCGAAAGACTACCGGCTGCTGGACTTGCCGAGCTCGCAAGAAAAGGTGCGATGGTGCCCACCCGGCCTGCTCATCATGTACTTTTCGATCAATCATATGCTATGGATACGATACTAAACCCTCGTGGATGGATGGCGCTTCAGCTGAGCGACAAATGATGGACCTCATTCAAACACAGATCAAAGAAAGCTATCGGCGAAGACGAATCCGACGTCATAGGAGCTCGCCTATCAGTCAGGTCTCTCCTTATGGCCAGGATAACACTTCATACGTTTCCACCAGTACATCTCTCGAATATGCAATCCCATCGTCATCACGCCAACGACGATTATCTTCTCAGTGGTCTCCCCAAGAGATGGCAAATACCACCCCTGAAGATGGTCAGCACAGTTCTACAATCGATAGCTCTCATGAATTCCCAAATGGTGCAACAGTATATGCATCTCTCAACTGCAACATCGGATCTGAGGCTACAACCACGTCCATTGCACTGAGCGAAACTGAAGTCAACCTAGTTATGTACTACTTTGACCACGTGTTCTCACGCTTTGCACCATGGTTCAAATATTCCGCAGCACACGATGGCCGAGGGTGGCTCCTCAATCTATTTTTGCGCTCTCGACCACTTCTCATGGCCGCCATCTGCATCAGTGCTTGCGATAAAGCACAATTCCTCCTAGGCCCACTTAGTCATGTGCCTCAGCCCTATCATGCCCTGGAGATGCAGAATCTGCAGGCTGTTGCCAGTGTACGCGACCATCTTGACCAGTTGACCCTGAGATCTGGCCTTGGTCAAATGGCAGCTGCTGTCGAAGCTCTGGCGTGTATCATACACCTGATGTTCTTTGAGGTTTGTGGATTTCGTAACCTTTCTCGTTGTTTTCATCTTCAATTTGTCCTCGTTTCACTACTCTTTGCTGCCTGTTTGCTTACCTCCCTGCACCTTTCACCACTGGCCAACAAGTAACCATGTCATTTTCTTTAGCTATGGATTCCTAGAAAAGGATTGGACCCCCAGAATGATTGGTCAATGCATCTAGACGCTGCCAGTGCTCTCTTAAGTACCCTCGATATGGCTGTAGTGCCATCCGCCACCGAAAATGGCAATGACGCCCCTCCCAATAGCCATGCCACGGGAGCCAATATTCCTGTTCACTTGCTTTCCGATGGTCAACGGTCTGCTTTCGAGTTTTTCCTTGGCTTTTACGCGTTCACATTTGTGAATGCGACAGCTACTTTTGGTTTAACTCCACAGACTGCGAACATGATCCATCGGATTCCTTTCATGTTTCCACCTCACGGGAATAAACTCAAGTTTCTCCGCGGTTGCGAAGACTGGACAATGCTCATCATTCTCGACATTGTTATTCTCAGGGATTGGAAGGAGAAAGCGCTACAAGCTGGTAGGCTCAGCATCCGAGAATTGAATTCTCGTGCTGCTCTTATTGAGGAGAAGCTCCAGGAAGGAATTACACGCAGCAGTCTCTCTAAAACCTCCGCCACGGCCGCTGATGACAATAACAGGCGGAGGTCTACGACGCCCTCTACTCCACCGACTCCTTCATTGCCCTCTGAAATATTCGAGGAGGAAGTTCGCATGATGACCAGCTCTTTTATTCACGGAGCATTGGTATTTCTCAACGTTGTGGTCTCCGGATTCTACCCCAACATTACTGAGATTAAATCCTCCGTACTCGAAACCCTCACGGCACTAGAGTACATGCGCGCTCGCTCAGTGGTCAATATTCCTTCTTGGCCATATTTTGTTGCAGGATGCTTAGCACAGGAGACAGAATATCCTCGATTCCGTGCACTCGTCACACCATTCGTGCCAGGAAAAGTTCCTTTGGTAATGACTATGTGGTCATTGGAGGTTTTGGAAGAATGCTGGAAGGTTAGAGCATCTCAACCAGAAGAACAAGAGACCTGCAGCTGGGTCACTGCTATGAAAAATCGGGGCACCCGATATTTATTGTTGTGACACAGTCGTCGAACAATCGATATCAATTTGGCTGGTGCCTTTGCAAGCCATAGATTCAACTTTATGATCTTATTACTTGGTGGCTAGAGCTCCAGAGATTAACTCTACTAGACAAATGATTCTTTCTTCTTGGAATCGACGCCCAACAAGTTGCATCCCAACTGGAGTTCCGTGCTCCAATTCTGGGTCATCTACAAAGAATACGATTAGCCATTTGAGATCTGGTCCCACTTTCCAAGAAATAGACTCACATTGCTCCCAGCGCTCCTTATCCTCATCACTTATCGGTTGATAGTTGGTGTCACGAACATCAATGTCTTTGTCAACTTTGGTGACGGGGAACACGCCCGACGTATAGTCTAGTGTGTTTACCCAAGGCGTATATCCTACTCGATATGTCAGATTGTCGGGGCGATCATGACCTGTAACCGCGAGACCTACCGATGGGAATCTGCTTGTCGAATGTGAATGCCGCTACTGCTGACACTGGGGTCAGAATAGCATCAACCGGTCTACCTGACTTGGTCAGCTTTGCGGTTCTGTTCCAATAGTCCATATATTCCTTCTGATACTGTCGAAGCCTGACGTTGGTGTCCCAGATCTGATCGACTGTCTTTGGCGCTTTCGTCTTCCCATCGTCGCCGTAGTATAATTCTCCGACGAATGGTGGGGGCGGTTCTCCTGAAAGTCCGGTGTGATGCCAGATATCCAGGCCTCCGTCGGCAGTATACGATTCAAACTTTGGACAGAGTAAGCAGGTATCTTCGAACATTATTTGGTATCAAGCTTACAGCAAATGCCACGGCAGTCTTATGAGAAGGAGGATCCCACTCTATTAGTTCATGGCCCATTGAAGTGATGACTTGAACCACTTTTTCAAACGCCCGCTTGACGGCAGGCTGAGGGTTGACAACCCCGTCACTGAAGAGCAGGCCAAACGTGAGCTTGCCATCGGCGGGGACCTGGGCAAACTCTGCCTCTCGCCACGGCATGTTGACAACCGCTGGGTCGTGGAGCCATGGTTGCTGACTTAGTATGGATTGCATCATTAATCTTAAACTCCCAATTGATGTTGCCATGGGCCCGCAAACCGAAGGGATGCTGTTCTGGCCTGGCATACTGTTGGCCGCGCCCACATAGGGGAGGCGCCCAAATGAAGGTCGAATACCATACAGTCCGTTTAATCCCGAAGGAATTCTTTGTCACACCTAATCAGCCTTGCCAGATACGATAACGATGTATGATCAAAGAGGACTGCAGCTTACCTGATACTGCCACCTATGTCTGTACCGAACCCAATTGGGCTGCCACGCATGCTGATGAGGGCCCCTTCTCCTCCCGAACTCCCACCACAACTCACCAGGCGATTGCTAGGGTTAAGGGTTAACCCAACGATATTGTTGCCTGTCACCCCACTCATAACAGTGTGTGGAAGGCTAGTTTTGCAAAATGGTATTCCCCCGAGCGCTTTGGCTTCGCGCACTAACTCGCTCTCGACGTTCTTCTCCTTTCCAGTGCCCTTGACGCCCTCGAATGTGTTGATCCATCCCACATAGCCCATGGTTGTCTCGACGCCTTTGACGTGAAATTGATCCTTGAAACTCACGGGAAGTCCATGGAGTGGGCCGGTAGGACCATTGCCAGCGGCGAATGCCGAGTCAAGATTCTTCGCATGTTCGATGGCCTGGTCGAAGAATATTTCGTGCAGGCAATTAGTCTGTGTAAATAGAGACCACAAGTTAGCAAAGGCGCGTTGTATGGTGCTGCAATGCCGCAAATACTCACCAACTGGTGAGCCAGTGCGGCTCGATGGCAGAAGGCTGTGACGACTTCTGTTGCTGTCCATTTGCCAGTCGTGGTGTTTTCCGTGATTTTGACGGCGTCACTTTCGGTGATTTCAATCTCTCGTGCAGACAGGAACTGCTGGACGTACGGCCCAGTAACGTCCTTTTGAGCCTCCGCCGACGGTATCGGCTCAGGTAGTCGCCATTCTATTGGGATCTTCGCAAGAGTGGATTCCCTCTTCTTGAGCCCTCGTTCTTGCCAGGTTAAAGCCATGTCTAGTTGTCCTAACACTTGTGTGATCGAGGCAATACTTGTGAATTCGTCCCTTCCTGTTCTTTTATGCTCTTGAATAGGTTGCAAAATGGCCAAAATTGACAACCGCGGCTACCAGAGTACGATTGCCTATTGAGGGAGTGCTAAAGACATCTGTGGCATGCATTGCAGTTCTGTCTTATCGATGTAATCATGCCAGCTGGGGATCCAGACCCAATCCCTTATCATAGTATACCCATGTAAATCGTAAGCTTTAGGATGTGTGACAGATTGAAGTGTACCGTGGAACGGGAAATCGCATATCAGTAGCACATGGTATATCAACTCTGAACAGGCATACGTCCTATGAGATGATATAGGCTTCGGTTGGTAGGAGCAAATATCAACCGCGGCTACGATGTCTGGTCCAATGAAGTCACGCCCTTGAGCGCCGTTATCAACGGCGGGTACAATTAGCGTAGCCTCGATTGATAGTCAACCGCGGCTACCTCGTTCAGAACTCGTTATCAGGTCCGGTAAGAGACAAGGTCTGCAGACCACAGGTGTCCCTTATCTTGGATCACACATCGAGACAGATCCTATCTCGAGCAAATGTCGAGCCCTATACTATATAAACATGGCCGAGACCAGGACCAGGGAGACGGCACATCAAGCAAACGACTGTATCAGAATCAATTCTTTGGAGCCGCGAGCACATCAAAACTATGTCTAGTTACTCTGTTGGCCCTGAGCTGCAGGTCCTCAGCCCTGGGGTGGGCTATGGCATCATTGCGGGAATAGGCGCGGTCTTCAGTCTGGTCATGATTCTAACCTCACGCTTCCAGAACCGATACTTTGCCTTTTCGACAAAACAATCGGAAGAATTCAATACAGCTTCACGAAGTGTCAAGCCTGGCCTTATAGTTGCAGGGATCGTCTCTGCGTGGACTTGGTCGGCCACGCTATTAACCAGCTCCACGTTCGCCTACGCCTTCGGGATTTCGGGCCCAATGTGGTACGCGGCACTTGGTTCGTCCCAGGTGATTCTGTTTGCTATGCTCTCACTTCGAGTCAAGAGAGACGTTCCCGGTGCACATACGTTCCCAGAAATTGTGCTTGCCCGTCACGGTCATGGTACGTTGTGCCGTCGGGGGGTGTGCTAGCATAAGGAAGATACTTACATAACTTTAGTGGCGCATGGAATTTTCACATTCTTTGGCTGGGTGGTAAATATGTGTAAGTGTCCCGTCACCTGAAGAGGTGAAAGCACGAAAAGATCTTTGGCTGATTTCACCGCCAACAGTCGTTGGTGCATCGTTGATCCTTGGTGGATCACAAGTTCTGGCAGGACTATCTGGGGTCAACGTCTATGCCGCTTGCTTCATCGTGGGCATCTATAGCTTCTAAAGGAGCTGAAAGATAGGCTAACTTGTCGTTTCACACAGATTCCCATCGCTGTGGCGGCATATGTCATCCAAGGAGGTCTTCGCAGTACCTTCGTTGCCGACTATCTCCACACCGTGATACTTTTTGTGGCTATCTTCATATTTGCCTTCACTCTCTACACTTCAGACGACTATGCTGGCAGTCCAGGTCGAGTCTATGATCTATTAGTCGAGGCATCCAAGGCAACTCCGCTCCCGGGAAACCGTCACGGCTCGTGGCTGACGTTTCAATCGGACACGGGCCTCAAATTCGCAGCCTTGATCTTCTTGGGCAGTTTCTCTGTCGTATGGTTGGATCAAGCTTACTGGCAACGCGCTATTGCTTCGAAGCCGGAGACGAGCGTCAAGGCATATCTGTTGGGCGGTGTAAGTACAAACTAGCTGCTCAAAGCTATTGACATTATTCGTCCTATCAACCCCATGCTGACAATAATCTAGCTTGCCTGGTATGGTATACCCTATGCCTTTGCTACTGCCATGGGACTAGGTGCCGTTGCATTGACAAGTTCGCCATCGTTCCCTACGTATCCCAACCCCCTTACACCTGCGCAGGTTGGAGGTGGATTCTCAGCCCCTGCGACAGCGATTGCCTTAATGGGCAAGAATGGCGCCGCCTTGATGCTTTTGTCGCTCTTCATGGCAGTTACATCTGCAACCTCGGCTGAGCTCATCGCCGTCTCGTCTTTGTGGACATTCGACGTCTACAAACTCTACATCAATCCTTCGGCATCGTCTTCGCAATTGGTTGCTCAATCGCATTACGGCATCGTAGTATATTCCTTGACATTGGCAGCCTTCTGCTGCGGACTGAGTGCCAGTGGGATCGACATCACATGGCTGATGACTGTAGGTGGAGTGATTTGTGGTGGAGGCGGTATACCGTTGGGTCTCCTAGTTCTTTTTCCCGAATGGGTTTCGACCACAGCCGCCATTGGAGCTCCTCTGGTTGCAACACCTTCAGGATTGATCGCCTGGTTTGTTACTACACACATCAGATCAGGATCAATCACTGCTGTCACAACTGGTGATCTGACCAACTCTTTAGTCGGAAGTGCCACCGCCTGTGGCACAGGTGCAGTTGTGGTCCTCGTTCTGACCATCCTCCTCCCATACAAGTACACTTCGACAGATCCCGCACATATAGCCCGTGTCCAAAAGATTCGAGGAACCGTGCCTCTGCAAGGACAGGAACCTATCAACGAAGCAGGTCTGACTGTGAGTGAGACAATCATTGAGACGAAACCTGGAAAATCTGGCGAGCCCGATACCGAGAAAGCAGCGAAAAGCGCTTCGCCCGTCGAAGCAGGGGCTCCGACAGGTAATGAGATTGTTGACTTTCTGACTGCCAACCACATCGAGCCTCTGGACTTCAACGCTTATCGTCGAGCCCGACGTCTGGCTTACTGGAGTTGTGCGGTATTCTTCGTTGTTGCCATTGTGTTGTTCCCATTCACATTCTATGGCACTGGGTATATTTTTACCAAAGCCGCATTCACAGGCTGGGTGGTCGTGAGTTTGATCTGGGTGTTTCTCAGCGCCTTAGCCTGCATTGTTTGGCCGCTTGTGGAAAGCTACCCAACTTTGAGGGATATGACCAAAATGCTTATCCACGACGTGTCGTCGAGGAAGCCGAACACAGCCACTACAGCCAATAATACTCCAGCGGAACTCTAGGATCATGGAACAGATCTCGGAGAAAAGATGTTGGACGGACGAGGACCCTAATGTTGTATTTGAAAGAATATCGTCGAAATACCTTCTGACCGCGCTGGTCTCCCTAAGTTTGAGCGAGAAAAGATCGAGAGGGGGGGGGGAAAGTGTACTCTTGTATTTAGGCATAAAGCTATCGCGTGTTCAACGGGATTTTAAGATAGCTGTCCAAAATGCTGAGATTTTGGCGGATTGTGGTGGTTTCTGATAGCTCTTAGGTATATTCTAGGGCAACAGTAACTGAGAAGCGAAAAGTACCTGTGGATAAGTACATCTCGGTGACTATGCGAACGTACATACGGCGCATGAACGGACGTTACGCCCTTATCGCAATCTCGACGGCACACTGGTTTGGAAAGGTGATCACCTTGCGGTGCAAGAAGCACCTTTAGGAAGCACTGTACAGTCAGGGGGAACACGTTGTAGTGGAGCATCCTGACACTCTGATCAGTATGGCTAACCTGACCAGCATACCAAAAGATCATGCTCACAGTAATCCACGCGGTTGATGACTTGTGCATGGAAGCAATCCAAGTACTCGGTCCTTTGCACCCCGACATCCGGAACGCAATTAGGATCTTGATGACATGGCTGAGCGCAAACAACGACACCGAACCAGATGAGGAGCTCCACGAGCTTGCTTTGAATTCATAGGCCTACGGCAACTTGCCATAGGAAAGAGATTCTTCAATGCAAAGATTCCAAGAAGAGAGATCAGATGTCCTTGTAAGCGGTGGAACTAGCCACGAGACTAAGGCTCTCTTTAGAATTATTGAAGTCGGATACTAGCTCAGCATGGCAACCAGAACAATCCCGCAGGAGCCTCATCAAGTTCGTAAGCGTCAGTGCATTGAATCAAAATCGTGGCGATCAAAGAACTCCGAGTCTTTCGATTGCCCCATCAATTGAGCTGCTGAAATGAAAGTGGTCAAAATTGTGGCCAAGGCTCTGAAGCAAAAGGCATCAAGCTTGAATGCAAACTCGCCTGACAAGAGCGAGCATCAATATCAAAGACAATACACCCAACTCTACCATTCCCTACGGTTTTTGTCATCAATTCACGGGCGGCGGACGTTGGCATGGCGGCTGGCAAAAATGTCTCAAATCACTTTGAGGGGCGTTTCATTGCAGAGAAGTTGATGGCCAATCCAGATCGTAAAGCATACAGAATCCGCAGGTGGCTTAGAGTGGCCGCTTTCATTTCAGCACCGACCCAGGTCTCACCCAAGTATTCTCATTTGCTTGATGACGCATCGTTTATCCAAGATGACAGTCAGTGATTCCCCACGTGTCTTCTGAACAAGCGTCCCGGGAAAGTTGATCCGCGAAATGCTCGATGACCCAGGAATCCCTCTACCTACTTTATTCCTACCTGGTAGAGACCTGGTACAAGAAGTCGTTCCGGTCAACGACTTTGCCATGATCGGCTGTGGAGATGTCGCAAATTTTGTCGCTCCAGTAGTGGTAATGCTCGCTGCAGTCCATAACGACACCGAGCTGCTGCTAGGTGAGATAGTAGAACTGATCGAGGAACTTGAGCTGGAGGGCGACGTGCTCAAACATGCCGCATCGTCTGGTTATAGCTTACTCGAACTATAAGCGTCGCAAGTTTTGCTTAGAGCATGGCTGGCAATGTATTTAACCCAACGAGGTGGTATGGTCGCGAGCGATGAAAAGAACTGAGCGCAGGCAGATTTCCGAGTCGGAGAAACTTGCATCTCCGCAGATCGCGACTTCCTCCGCAAACAATCACATCTTCTTCAACGTAACTTCCTCCAAGTTCAATTTCTCCTACTGATGGGCAAAAGGCAGGCGCCTTCAATAATCTGACTGCACCTTCCTGATGATACCGCCGGCTGCACCGATAGAGACCGTGCTCTCTCCTCTTTGTCAGCCTTCGATCTCTCTTTCTTTGATCAGGCCTTGACTTGACATCTCTCATTTCTGCATCTCCCACCCTCTCTGCTCTCTTCAACCACCATGTCTCTCTCCGACATTCATCTCTTTAACCTCTACAAACCCCTGGTTGACTCCGCTATCCTTGAGTTGGCCGATACCCATCCCGATATTCTCAACGATAATCCTATCCTCGAAAGCGACTGTACCGATCTCCTTTCCCAAGTCCGCACTCTCCGAACCCAGCCTACGGAGTCCAATGACGAACCCTTTCTTCACAACGCTGCTATCGAAGCTGCTTGTCGCGACATCTTCCTCCATACCACGGCCACCGTCGAGATCTTGGAGCCCGCCTTTTGTGTGATTTGGGTACTTTTGGATATCATAACCGTCCTGTCTGATAATGACTTGTGTGAACCTGGCTTGACCACTTACCTCATCGAAGATCTTCTTGATACCCAGACCATTGAGGGATGCAGGAGGGTCTTTGACTATCTAGAGTCCCGTCGGGAGAGGCTGATTGCGAAACATTTCAAAGCCAAGCACCTCATCCTTCTGAGATTATGCAATGACCTCCTTCGACGCCTCTCAAGGGCTGAGGACACTGTCTTCTGCGGTCGCGTCTTCATTTTCTTGTTCCAGAGCTTTCCGCTGGGTGACAAGAGCTCTGTCAATCTGCGCGGCGAATTTCACGTCGAAAATGCAACCACGTTCGACCCCTCCCCAAAGAAGTCGGAACATGCCATCAAACCGATGGAGCTCGATTCTACCGATGCTCAATCTCACACACCGCAAGCCACGTCAGGAGCTCAGACGCCTGCATCTCAATCTCAATCACAGGATCCCGACCAGAAGAGTACCACCGCCCGAGGTACACCGGTCCCTAGACTCGCAAAGTCTTCCGATCCCAAGGACAGCCTCGATGCTGCGCTGCCACCCCCAGATCTTGACAGCTTGTATCCCAAGTTCTGGACCTTACAATCCTTCTTCTCATCTCCTACACGACTATTTGAACCTAGTAATATGTCCACTTTCAAGGATGGGATCGAGCAGACGATAGCATGCTTCAAGAGTGTTGCACAATCATCCACTTCGACGAGCAATCCTTCCGACATCAAGCGTGGTCTCAAGCGCAAGAGAACAAGTGAGATGGATATCACCAGTTCGACCATTCCCTCCACAACCTTCAACCCCAAATATCTTACCAATCGTGACCTGTTCGATCTTGAGGTTCATGACACAGCCTTTCGTCGTCATGTCTTGGTGCAAGCACTGATCATGCTCGATTTTCTTCTGAGCTTGACTACCGGCGCCAAGGAGAAATTTGAGGGATTGACCAACAAATCAGTGCTATATGTGTACACGCTATCAGAAGAGGACACAAAGTGGGTTCACACAACTCGAGCAGCAATCGCGTCATATCTCCAGCAAGGCAGTGGAAACGAAGGCAAATTCTACTATCGTATGGTCGATACTGTGTTGTCGCGTGACAAAAATTGGGTGCGGTGGAAGGCAGAGAGTTGTCCGACCATTTCCCGTGACAGTGTGACATGGCAAGCCCATGTCGAGGCGAAGGTTACGTTGACCAAACTCACCAGTGCACACAAAGCGCCTCTTCCAGCGCCGCCGGGAGCCAGAGATCTTGCCTTTCTTTCGCGAGTGGAGCCACTAGAGGCTCTGAAGCATCCAAGCAAAAGACGCAGGGCTCCGACAATGGAAGACTACTATAATGGCATTCAATCGGACGAGCTTGACTTGGATTTTCCCAATGACGAAGAGACGAATAATGAGATCAAAGAGCGCAAGGCTGGAAGAGTGTGGCGTGCGCTAAGAGCCAGTGGTCGAAGATACGTTCTTTGCGACAACATCGCCAACGGAACCAATCTCAAGGCATTGATTGAAAAAGGAGGTGAAGATGGAGACAAGACTGGGGATGAGCATCTCAAGCAGGATGAGCACGAGGATGAGAACATGGAGACGGAGGAGAAAGGGCACACGAATGCAGAAGGAGTTGTCAATGGGAACGTGAATGGAAGGACGGTGGAGGGTGATGTCCAAGTGACCGAGTCCAATGACGAAGCTGAGGGTAACAGAGATGATGAGGGACCCGATGGTCCTTCAGATTCGAATGCAATACAAGCTAGCGATCCGATAGATGCTGAGATGAAGGACGTTGATTCGCAAGTGTCGGCAGTTGGGGGTGGTGCGAGCCTACCGAGAGACGAATCTCAAGAATCTGGCGAAGCAGACGGCTAGTCATAAAGTAAAATCTCAGTCCATGATCAATAATAAGAATAAGGAGTCTGTAGTCTACAAATCCATCATCGCCAGAATGCAGTAATAAATGTGGTTCCGAGCCACTATCATTGTAGAAAATGAAAGGAAGTGGAGTGAAGGAAGAAGGTACTTGGTACCTCACCTACAGGTGGACCCAAGGGTGTGATGTTGGAGCCCAGAGGGGGTACATTCTACATTCTCACAGCCTCGGGCTTGACATACTCCGGGGGGTGGAAGACAGCAAGTGTCCAGGTACCGGGTACCTGACCTACGAAATCTCTACGCTTTCGATGTTGTCATGCCATTATCAGGGTGTCTGAAGGGTCACTGGGTATCCTCGGTACTTTCAGACCGCAGTGGTGGCAAAAACATGTGAGATGCAGTTGCAGTGCGGCGCTGTCAGAGCGAGGTGGAGAATCACCTGCAAGGTTTTTGGACAAAAAACTTCCATCATCATCATGAAAACTTCAAAACCTCCGTCCGTCTGCTTGCAACACTGGAGGTTGAAAGGAGTGGCCAGCGGCGCCTGGGGGAGAGTGCGGGGTAAGGCTAGGCTAATGGGTTTAGTTGGGCAGTGGTTAGGCTAGGTGGGCTAACTGGGACAGGAAGGCCACCACCGAAAGGGTTTTTGCTCTACAGTCACGGTGGGCTGGAAGGTTAGAACTTAACTACGACTGGAAGACAACTAAAAAGGTGGAGACGGCGCAATAATAAGAATAATAATAATAATAATGCGGTCCTGTATGGCCCGAGGTTGGAGCGGGAATTTCAGCGTGAGCACAGACAGATACCGAGTAGATTTGGGGGAATGGATAATAAAATGGTGAGTAGGTACGAAGTACGGAGTGCCGATAGTGCTTACTTGTCAGTGTGGTTAGAATCGGGATGGGAGAATCGATGGAAAAGTATCGGTTGCTTGCCGGGTCGCCGTATCGTATCGGTGACAATCGAGGGAGGTGGAGAATGAGAGATGGATCATTTATCCAACACTTGAAGGGAAGGTGGCATTGGGTCAACCCCGGGTGGTAACCATGTGGCTTGAATCCCAAAGCGAGGCTAAGATTGATCGATTCCCTGTACGGATATGGATACGGAGTATTGATTGAAGATACAAGTCTCATACGGATAGCTGGATCAGGCTGCTGTTGAGCCTTCTGAGTCCTGATGCAGACTTGTCTGAAGGTGAGGCTGTTTGGGAGACTTGGCCGTGCACTGGCAACCAGCTGAGTTTCAAAGCCAAAGGTTAATGGGAGGATAACTCTCGTGGGTATCCCCCAGTTTCGATTACGCGGCCGGTTGACACTCTGGTCGATTTGCTACACATGTCACGCCAGAATTGGACGGTTTGACCACCAGGTCAGGTCAGCCTGGAATTTCCATGGTTGTTTGGGCCGCAATGCGAGGCTCAGGCTTCCGAAGCCTTGTGACTTGGGAGGGTTGACCAGAAAAGAGTCGGTCAGGCCAGGCTGGGCAGATAGCGGCCGTTGGGACTGCGCTGTACCTCGTCTGTGCAAGGACAGTTAACTCATCTCGGGTACACAACCGCATGAGTAGTGCACCCCCAAATGATCGGTACTTGATTGAGGGTGTGCAGCGTGCCACTGCTATGAACCTTTTACGAGGTGTCCGTACTGCCTGAACAGACTTGAAGACGCGATTGCACCGAAAAGTGGATTGGGGTATCCAGACACCAAGTCTGATTTGATTGATGAGACGGAGGTCAGTACCGAGGAAGGAATAGAATCCATGCCTGGAAGACGAGTGGAAGCAGTTCAAGTTGAAAGGAAAAACTGAAAGAGGGGCAATCGCCAACCACTGCACTTGCACCAAAGAGCTTTCCCCGATGCAGGTCGGTCGGTGGGCGAGCTCGAACCTGCCACGACTGACCCTTGACTAAAGCCTCGTGCATGCCTAGAATCCATCGCCTATTGGCTCTGGAAAACGCCCAAACTCTCCTCCTTCCACCGACCACCTTGCCCACCACCCTTTTGCAGCCTCGGCAGATCTTAACTGTTTTGGGCCAGGCCTCCTCCTCTTTTTTCTAGGCTTCGATTGGGGTCAGGCTCTCGGGGCCTCGGGCTAGTCACCCAAGAGCTAAGAGCTAAGGCTCGAAGCCTCAGGGCCTCGGGGGAAGCTGGTAGCTGGTAGCAGGCTGTCCCCTCGCCTTGCCAGTTCCAGTTGCCACCTGTCACCACCACGCTACAAAGTCACCGTCACCCACATTCTCTTCTTGACCGATAAGTGGAAATATGGATGACTCTGAAAGCCCTAGTCTTGCTCTTGATAAATTCAGATTTGGCTGGAAACCAAAATCGTGGCCGTAGTAGACGAGTCGTGATAAGAATTCCTCTATCATTTCGCGGAGCCTGGTCAGTGGTCAGAGCTCTGCCGAAATCAATGATGCTGGAGAAAGCTGATAGCTACGGAATAAGCTCCACTAGGAAAGCAATCAGTCCTCGAATTGTGGGTGTGTATGGGCCTTGAATGCATCATTCCGGTCTGGCTTCAGAGTTCTGGAGAAACAAAACCACAACCTCGCAGCCTTACAGGCTAAAAGCCTCGTCAACCACAAACACGTCCCGGTTCCCCCTCCTCTTTTGTTTTTTCCCCCCAATAATCTATCGAGTCCACCCGTATTTTTGCCCTCAGGCTCATGCTCAGGCTCAGGCTGCTTCTCACATTCTCGCATGCTCGCCCTTCCCTCTCATCAATCTTATCACCACCTCTCAACCCGACTGAACAAGTTAGCAACCGTGGAGGTGAACAGACTTGAGCTACTAGTAGAACCTCGCAAGCTTAAGCCTTTTCATCCCACCTCCGCCTTCACCATTATTACTCGGTACGGACTCTCCATCTCAACCACCGCGACTGCCACACTCGACCTTCTCCTCTTTCCTTCTCTTTTCGACTTCTCAAAGTCGCTCCTTCCCTCAACCAGCAACCACCGTCTTGGCAATTTCGCCATCTGCCAGAAAGCTCTCGCCAGCAAGCTTATCTCTTCCTTTTTCCAACCATTCTCTTCAACTGATTGCCAGCCTTCCTCAACTTCAACTACAATTCCAAAAACAATGACTGATCATCTCTGAATTTTCCTCGACAGCCTGCCCGCACTTTGCAAGCCTTGCCTTGCCTTGCCTCGCCACGCCTTGTCTCGCCACGCCTTGCCCTGCCTTGCCCTTGGGTTCGAGGTTTCTTCGGTGGTTCTTTTTCGCTCAACTCCGCTTCTTAACCCGACACCCACTTTCATATTATCCTCACCCAGCACAGCCATCTAGACCTACACCACACTTTATTTTATCTCGTCGACTCCAAATATCCAACATGGCGACTGATTCAAATATTAATATCACTTCCGCATCTCTACGAGGCAGTCCTTCTGATCGCATCATCAAACCTCGACCTCGGAAAGATTCGCTGCAATCTATCTCCGGTTCCGACACCCATCCGGGTCGGGTCGTGAAGCCTCGTGCTCGAAAATCTCCCGGCTCTGGGGCAAAACGGTCAGAACCTGCTAAGCGCAAGTTTATTTGTTCTTTTTCCCACTATGGGTGTGACGTTGCTCTCAGTTCCAAAAATGAATGGAAGAGACATGTCTCCATTCAGCATTTGCAACTCGGCTTTTATCGCTGTGATGTTGGTTCATGTAACCCTGACTTGAACCCCAACGTTCCCGGTCATAAACGCGTCTACAATGACTTCAACCGAAAGGATTTGTTCACTCAACATCATCGACGAATGCACAAACCCGAGTCCGGCCCTGGCTCGGTACCATTCCCTGCCAGTAATGCAGATGCCAAGGATTGGAGAGCCTTCGAGGACAGCCTTGAAGATGTCAGAAGTCGTTGCTGGGTTGAAAAGCGCAAACCTCCACAGCGAAGCACTTGCGGTTTCTGCGGCAGAGTCTTTGAAGGTGATGGCAGTTGGAATGAACGCATGGAACATGTTGGTGGTCATTTTTCACGTGACATTGTTGAAGCCAAGGAAGAACGAGAGGATGAAGACTTGACTAACTGGGCCGTTGCTGAAGGTATCATCAAGGACGGTGGCAGCGGTCGTCATGTTCTCATTGATCAACCTCCAACCGCTGGCGAGAGACCTTACATGTCCAGAGATCGAGATGTCACCATGACAGATGTCCCCAGCTCCGACACTGCTTCACGCGATCCTGAACAATCTCCCTCGTTGAGTGCTTCATCTCGGAACAAAGACTCTGAATTCTACAAAAGTGATAGTCCCCGTGACTCTCGTCGTCTCAGCAGTGCTTTGAGCTCTGATGGCACTCCACGACCTACCTCTGCCGTTCCTCTGCTACAACCTTCTCCCAATCTGAACTCGGGCACTCAGACCGCTACTGCTCAATATGGCCCTGTCACTGCTCCTGTCCTTGCACCTGCACCATCTCCAAGATCTGGTCAGCCTCCTGCAACGCCACCAAGCCGAGGGTATAATCTGGCTCCACCACCACTCGGCGCTGCCAAGGCACCAGGCTCTCCAACTTCCGCAACCGTCCCAGCAGATGGAGGTAGTGGCGATAGACTCGAGGATCTGATCAATCAATTGATCAGACCTAAACCACCAAAATCTCATCGACGATTGACCTGGAAATGTGTTTGTCTCTTCCGATCCTTATTGCTTGAGTTTGACTGACCTGAATGTTTTAGGACTGTGCTTTGGAAATGTCGGTTGACATCGATGATGCTGATAGACAAGTCATCGAGAACCTCCAAGATATCAGCATTGTTTGCAGCAAGACACCCAGTCCATATCTCAAAACCAACAAGAATGGAAAATATCATGTTGTTGCCTGTGATGAATTGGCCACTTACATATCAAATCAATCAGTTGAGCAACACAATCGCCCAAATGACGTCACTGTATCTTGAACGCAGAGAAATGAACAGAATTTGCTGCAACCACAAGAGCTATGCGATTATCTTCTACATTCGAAAAGTCCCAGAGGGCAAGGAGGTCATGGATCCGTTGTCAATATGTGGGCAAATCTGGAGAGAACTCATATGCAGAAGCAAGGCACGGATCGTTCCACCATGAACGCCCACATTTGTCAGACAATATCAATTCACACGGCACAGAATGCTTAGTGTGGGAAGTTATGAAATTGGGGGGGAGGGACTATGAAACGAAGAGAGATTTGCCTCGGGGCACGAGTACATCCAAAGACCAACAGATTTTACGCGACAGAACTTGAATGCAAAATTGCTGGGGAGGTCATACTATACATTTGTTGAAGCCTGAATGTGATTGCGAATGCTAGCTGGGAGGCTCGACTTCTCAAAGCGAATAGCAATTAACAATTCTTGCTCATCGTGAATCAAGTAGTATGTATGCCATAGCTCAGAGAAAATGAAAAGCTTAGCATCCCATGTCTTGCGATCCAAAGCAATGAGTCCATCATCTGCTCCCCCTGACTGATCACGGCCTCAGCCTCGCGCGCAGAACGCCTAATGGATCGCCTATCCATGCTTGGTCTGGGGCTACAGGCTCAGTTGATATGATATCCAGGTTCACACCCTGCAAGCCCGTCGAATTCCAAGCTCAGATGACTTCCAGACGTCCGACCTGCTATTTTCTGGTGAGCCTTTTATTTAACCTCGGTATTGTCGCCATCATTGTCGCCATCGCCAATAGCGTCGATTCGTTCGCCACTGGTCTGGTCTGATTCACCCTCTCCATCCTCTCCGGTTCCGGGTTCGGTGCGAGGTCGGCCACGTGAGTCGAAGAACGTGACGGCCGTCGCAACGTCTTCTCGAGTGATTTCGGCCCGACCTGCACGCGCGGCAATGCCAATCGACACTGGGGAGATTTTCGTTCCCGTCAGCAATTTTGTTTTTCGGCTTCGGAATGATGAATGGAATGAAGGACATGAAGTGATTTGGTGCGAGTTCATTGGGAGTGAGTGAGGGAGGGGGGATGGATTGATATACTGTACTTACCATCGAGAAGGTTCTTGACGACGGACTCGAAGGTGCCTCGCGCAGCCACGACGGCAGGACATTCCATGCCGCCGTCCAGGTCACAGTCTTCGTGGAGCTTGTTGAGGACCGGTCGCATCCGCTCTCTTCTCTCAGAGGGGCTTTCGTTGGTGGTGGCGGCCGGCGGGATGTTGGAGATGTCATGCTTGCTGCATCCCAATTGGAGTTGAAGAAGGGCCATGTTGATAGCAGATGATGCAGCGGTAGTGGTGGTGGGCTGTTCCTGGTCGTGTTGCTCGTTGCTTGCCATTTTTGGGTAGCTTCAAGGTTGTTGGTGGTGTGGATTGGTGTTGAGTTGAGTTGAGAAAATTGTAAATGGTATATGGGAGAATCTGTATGAGAAGAGGAGGATGATGGAAGAATAGAAGAGGAGGAGAGTGGAAGAGTGGGAGGTTTATAGAGGGTAGTATTGCAATGGTACAGACGCATGTGACAAGAGAGAGAGACAGGGTGAGTGACAGGGTGAGTGGGAGCTGATTAAACCTCAAGTCGTAGGTTTAAGTAGAGTTATAAAAGTATAAAAGTACATAATAAGAGAAAGATAATAAAGGCTTACAAGGAGAGTAGAGTGGAAGAGTAGAAGGGAAGTGGTAGGCTTAAATAAAATACCTGATGAGGTCTTTAGTTGGAAGTGAGAGGAAGACCTTTTCTAATGTGAGACTTGAAACCTTAAGCTAAGGATAAGAAGTAAGGTAAAACTGACTGGCTTAACTAGATGACAACCTGAGCATCATGATTAGTTACAAGTCATTCTCTGAGATGAAAGGACTGTTTCCGAAGCTGCGCCGTCCTGGCAGAATCGAGCTCAAGATGTAGATGGAGGCCACCTGGTACCCAAGTGCTGAGGTTGAAAATTTGAAATTCCATCATGGGGATTATGTGGCGATATACTAGTTCGATAGAATAGGATTGTGTATTAGTCTCAGGATTTGACAGACAGCCTTGCGAGGTCAATACCACATAGGAGGAGGTACTAAAACAGGGGAAGGACAGTTGATGAGCAAAATTGGTTTATTATTACACGGATTCCTAAATGGGAAACGGACCTGCGAAATTAGTGTATTGACGTGTAGACCGTCAGATTCCTCCGTAGTCCACTGATGTGATTTAGCCTCACCAATATTTATGTACCGCGTGTGCCTTGTTAGCCGCACGAGGCACAAGAGGGTACTCACTAGGCTAAATTTGCAAGTGGAGGTCTTCCCTCGTGGGGGATGGGACGAATGCCTGTTCGGCTTTGCAGAGGCGAGAAATGGTGAGATACCCAGAGTGAACAGTATCCGTACAATGTGCCCACGTGCTCTAGCTTCCAATCGACCATTCTGCTCATCGCCATCAGACAGTATGGTGCCTTCAACGATAACACAACGCCTTCCAGAGAGCATCTGTCATTCTTGCCTTGCCATCTAGCAACTTCTGATATTGAATTCGCATTCCTTCGAAGGCTATAGATGATATGTGCTGTTGCTGCCTATGAGTACCTCTTGAATAGCAGTAACCGCTGCTATCAACTACCTCCAGACCGATAAGCGGCACAACCCTAACTAGCCCGGTTGGCCTTTCGGTGATACGGGCGGTCTATTGGCATTGGTCGATCAATGGCGATGACTTCACAGTCCAGTTTTCTAGACACTGTCGATTGGCCTTTGAGGAACTCCTATCGAACACCCAGCTTGGACTCAGCGTCGCTCAGTCCTGCCTCAGAGACTGCAAGCATTCATTTCTCACATTATCCACTTCCGCCAACTCCGATCTCTTCCAGACCCGCGAGCGAGAAAACAAGAGTCTCCAGTGTTGGAACAACAGACCTCGTTATTCGCGTCCCTCTACAGCGGCCTGTACATATGTATGTGGACCATAAGCCGGGTGTGATCACGGTGGTCAACTCGTTTTGTTCATGTCTGACTATTGATACTTGTGGCTCAGCGCATTCAGCAAAAGTTCTAGCTTATTCAAGCTCAGATTTACCACCATCGACATCCGAAAGGATGCGGCGGGAGGTCTGAAACGCATTGAGTTAAGTGAGCAGACAGGAGTAACATCGACATTGATTCACTCATGTCCGTACTATTCCGCTGCCATGAAGCAAGCTTTTGGGCAAAAACTGACAATGCCCCAGTTCCCGGTACCAAGAGCCCTATACCTCATCTCGAACAACCAGTAACATCGAGTACACCACATGCCTCGCGCGTTTCATTTCTTGAGGAACAGACGGTTCAATCTGCAACAACGCTTTTCCAGGCACAGCCCCAGTATACTTTCGAAACGTGGGAAGGTTAGTAAATGCCACCTGCGGCCTTTCGCCGTTGTTCTCCCGGCGTCCACCAATCCTAACTTCTCCCAGATTGTGTCCATTTCCAAGAAAAGCTGCTAGACCAGCAAATCATCTTTACAGCTGGAATAGCTGAGGCCAAGTCCAAGGGCCGTGGTGAAGAATGCATCAGTCAGAATTTACGGATTCTTCGGGCACGCAACGGCCGCCAGATTGTGATATTCTTTTGCAACTCCCAACGAAAGGAGAAGAAAAGATACATCTCCATCCCCCGTAAGCATTTCTTCAAATTATGAACGCTGAATTCTAACACACCGTGTAGTAGATTGTATTGATCATATTGAACAAAGCAAAAAATCCGGCCGTCCACTCAACTTGACCCTTCGACCTAATTTCGACCTACTGGCCCAGTTGAAGAGCTTGTCGATACATTTCCTTGATAATGATGGTAAGTAGTCTACTCCGAATTCGTTTTGATGATGAGAAATTTCGTTTCCTATTCAAGAGGTGCATGCGTGGCTGACCTGTCATAGACCAAAAGAGATTCTTCGGTCTTCTATGTCAAGGCATCGGTTTTCAAGGCTGAGAATATAATTGTAGCAACTCATGACGAGCATAACGATATGCATCTTCTTGCCTTGGGATTGTATGAGCGTTGAACGGTTAGCAATAGCGCTGGACTGCGTCGGTGTTACATTAATTTGCGAAAGACCAAGAACTTCAAGAGTCAGGAGTCACCTAGATTGGCATTGGCAGGGCATGTCTTGGGTTCCATTTGTTATGAAGACCGAGGGAATTTCGGCATGCAACCAAGCAAAGTATTCCTAGAATGTATCACTGTATCAGTCCACTTCAGATCAGTGATCGAAACCCATGGGGTCAAACATAGCTTTGGCTCCCGAGCATACAGAGTACTCCATGTGCAGTGCTCTATTCGGAGAAAGGGCAAGGCTCATTGATTGCGAGAATTTGGAACATGCTCTCCCATGAGACAATATAGTTGGTTGAACAAGCTGTAAGCCATTGGCAAGAAGCGATCTGGGCTGGGCTTGTTTTTTATGTGGAAACGCTCCAAGCCAAGAGGTTTAGACAAAGCGCCTTCAACGCCAAGCGGAGGACTAAGTTACTGCCCGGGACTTCAGTATCCGTACCTTTCTCTAATTCATTCTTCTTCTTTGTGCTCTTACGTCCACACCTTATAACTTCAGGCCTTATGTCTTTGTGAGAAAATTGGTCTCTTCAAACTACGGATGCATATCTAGTGATGATCGACTTGGAGTTTCAGATAGGTGATAGGGGGTCGGATAGGCCGCGTGCGTGGCGTGCCAATCCAGTGCTGGGCTAGAAGGAAAAGTACAAGGTGTACAAGGTACAAGTACCGAAGAAGCCGTTGCATAATGCAGACTAGGATCATCCCACGCCTAACCCTATTCTAACTCCTAACCAGTCGAGGGTTTAACACGTGCGACAGCCTCGACATTCCAATGGTCGATATTTTGATTGCGAAATATATTTCAGATAAATCGGGTTTTCAGTTGTGATTGTATTCGTCCCATGTTTCGCCACACTCACGACCCGGGCATGGCAATGCTAACACATTTGTGCTCGTGAATCGTCACATCGTCACATCGTCACGTTCTTCACGCCACAAGCTTGACGATAGAACGGATGTCTCGCGCCTTCTCAAGGCAAGGCCCGGTGCTGAAGCATCTGACCTTCTGGGCTGCATGGATCCCCTCGGATCGAGTTCTGTCGCAATATCTCGGAACTATCGACGTGCTACTGATTAGTGCGGTGGGACATCCTTGCGCTCTTTTACCCCCCGTGCTTGAATCTAATAAGGACGATGCTGCTGTTGATGGTGTACCGAATGAATCGCACATGGCTGGGCGTTTTCTCCCTTCAACTGATCTGACCCTAGTTGTGCCTGGCTAGTTAAGCTAGTCAGTCACCTATCAAAAGGAACTCTCTGCGACGTTTTTATGGACTCTTTTCGCCCTGTCTGGACCTACCTTGAATTTATTCGCCCTCCATAATAATACAAACGTCAGCCTGCTTCTCATCGATCTCAGAATTCGTTTGCTGGAAGACTGATATCATCAAACGGCACCAGTCGACTGACTTGATATTCAGTGTCGAATTCCAGATTGCAGTTTTTGGGCTATGGATCATTGAACGATCGGTTGCCCCTCCACTTTGGCCCCCGAATTCGTTGAACCAACATCAAGATGGCCCGCTGGCGAGGAAAATTATACGCCACTGATCGTGCGGCTGACTTTGATCATGAACGGGTACGAGAGTTGCTGGAACTCCAAAGTATCTCTTCACTGATGCTGATCACATTGGACATAGGATCGCCATGTTCGAGTCCGACAGATCTATGAGACCATCGATCGGCAACCATTTCAGTGGGTCGTCGTTCTGGTTGCCGGTGTTGGTTTCTTGCTCGATGGTTTCTCTGTATGCTGGAGACCTGTCCCTAACCCTTGATTCAGGATCGCTGACGCTCGGCAGCTTTTCGCCGGCAATATCGCCTTGCCGATGATCGCATACGTATACTGGAAAGACGAAACCTCATCCTTTCGCCTCACGTGCATTAATATGGCGACCCTTGGAGGAACCGCATTGGGCCAGGTCCTTTTTGGCTTTCTAGCGGACAAGAAAGGTCGTAAAAAGATGTATGGTATCGAATTAATAATGCTCATTGGAGCTACGCTTGGCGTCGTTATGAGCTCCCGCGGCTACAATGGATCCATGAGCATATATGGGTGGCTGATCTTCTGGAGAATCATCGTTGGCATCGGGGTCGGCGCAGATTATCCTTTGAGTGCCGTGATAACAGCTGAGTATGTTCCCTCAAGTTGTACCATTGTTGTTTGTTCGCTAACATCATGGTCTGAGATTTGCTCCCACAAAGCATCGTGCGCGTATGATGGCATCAGTATTTTTCAGTTAGTGGCCTCATACCATCTACTGACCAACGTCTGTGTGCTCACGTTCTCTCTAGTGCAGCCACTCGGACAGATCTTCGGGAACGTTGTTTCACTGGTTGTCGTGACCATTTCTCGTAAGAGCAACCATGAAGATATGCAGAGATCAGTCGACATCATGTGGCGTTGGATTATTGGCCTAGGAGTCATCCCTGGAGTGGTGGCTCTTTTGTTTCGTTTCGCCATACCCGAAAGCCCAAGATTCAAGCTAGATGTCGAGGACGACCCTATCAAGGCTGAGTTTGATGCCACTCAATTATTCGGAGAAACAGCAATGGGAAGCGAGCTCGAATCAGGTATGTGGTGTGAATCTCCCGGTGCTTCCCATGCCTCGAGCCGATCGATGGAAATCCCAGTGGACACGACGCCGAATTGGGTGATCACGTCTGCCCCACCTACAACATTGAACTCTTCTTGGAAATTGTCAAAGGCGGACATCATCCAATACTTCTGGACAGAAGGCAATTGGCGCACCCTATTTGCAACATCCATGTGTTGGTTACTACTGGATTTTGGCTTCTATGGAATAGGCCTCAGCTCCCCTGCCTTTCTCAGTAAGACATGGGGCAACCTACGCATCACCGGACCCTCGCCACCCTGGCAGACTGATCCAAATAAAGATCCTTACACCATGTTTTTGGAGACTTCGGTTCAGGCACTCGTGATCTTGAATACTGGGAGTTTTGTCGGTGGAGTCCTCTGGATAACGTGCGCAAACCGCTTGAACAGAGTCAGCCTTCAGAAGTATGGCTTCTTGGTCCTGGCCGCACTTTTCATTGCTCTGGGAACAGTCTTCATCACCATTCAGCGAGAGGGTCCTCTGGCAATTTGTCTGTACATTATCGGACAAGTCGCATTCAATTTCGGACCCAATTCGACAACTTACATTATCCCAGCTGAACTTTTTCCAACCCGATATCGCGCAACCTGCCACGGTATCAGTGCCGCAGCCGGGAAACTTGGCTCCATCCTCGTCCAAGTGTTTTCCGCGTACTATAAATTCGGCTCCTCCTCACCTGGAAACGATCAGACCAAGAGATATGGTACAATCCTGGTAGTATTCAGCGTCTGTATGATCCTCGGTGCGGTCATCACGCACTTCTGGATCCCTGAAGTCCAGGAGAAGGCTCAGCGTGGCGAGATCTGGGCTGGTAAGGCCAAGAGTTTGGAAGAGCTGGCATTAGGAAGATGGGGGCTCAAGAGCCAGTCAGTCGTCCGAAGTCAACCGACTCGGAGCATTGATGGTTTGTGAATGAGCTTGTTTGGCTCGAACGGACGATGTTCATGGCGTTCTATGAATATATTTGATATTATATCTGTACTTTTCAAGCATCCAAATATCATGTTTCATGCATTCTTTGTCTCGGTAGGGGAATGGTGGTCGACAGCCTTGTGCAAGCTGCACGAAAGGCTGAACTTCAGGGGTAGGAATAGGCTCACCAAGAAAGTCCGTTCCGGCTTGGCGCACGGGCCTCCCGCCCAACCGCGACCCTGTTTTCAGGTCCTGCAACGTTCTTCATTCTGCAGTGGTATCAACGGCAGTGCTCGATCCTATCTGTTCTGCTTGTTCCTGAACGCGACACCTCCGCAGTCATGCATCCTCAACTTGACAATAAGGGGATGGTAAATAGACTGGCTTCAGTCCCGCGAATTCTCACGCGAATAATCATGCGTTCACCGAGATCGACTTTAGACAATGGGTAGTCGCTGTTCCACATCTGCAATCTTGGCCCAGGATGTCGTGGGACAATATGAAGATGTTATGAGTAGCTGTATTGTGGTGAACTGATTCAGGCCTGTTCTAGGCCATAGATCATGCGCTACTTTCTCATGTGCTGGTTGTCGTCTTCACCTGGTTCTGCAATCGGAGGAAATTCACATGACCCTCACTTACTGTTACTCGATATAGGCCTCCATATGTGAGCCTAGCTTTCTTGTTCTATCTGCTACAATATCACTTGCGCTGCTACACACTTCCGCCCTCTTCCACGAGAATCTCCACAGATCTGTGGTGATTGACTTCCCACCTCATCTAACCCATTACACACATCTTCTTAGAATTGCTCGCAATTCCCTCTTGAGTTTGAAAGTCATGTGAGGACGTCATCGGTGGACTTGCTTTGAACTCAAGGTCTTCTCCATTCTTTTGGTTCTGGACTGTACGGGCCCTGAGAGCTCCATTCATCAGCGCTGGTTTCAAGTTTGAGAGCTCGTTCAACCTCTCATCAAGTTAAACTCTCAACCTTCTACGCAACCTCACCTACCTTGAGAGCTTACCTCACATTAAGCTTGTGCATGAATTGGCATGTGGACTTCTTGGCATTGCTGCTTGCAAAAACATAACTAATGATCAATCACTTTCCAGGTTCAACCCACTTTATTCCGCAACCATAACAACTCCTCCTCCACAACTTCAACTTCCCTGAATCTGCCTTCAGGACCAGTCATTACTCCTGCTCCTCCCGCTTCTTTGCTCGGTTTGTCTGCCGATCCCCTCGTCATCGATATCAAAACTGCGCAGACAAACTCAGTCTTCTCAGCGGTCAGTCCCGGTAGCTCAAGCTCAATCTGAAAGGTTTTCAGATTGGGGCATCTGAATTTGGGAGTCTCCAACCCTCTTCAAGCTTGAATCAGCTTGAAAATCAAGATCAGTTGTTTGTTCTCCAACACATTACGGAAACACCTTCTTCTCTTTGGTCAGTATGGCTGAAGTTCCCGTCAAATCCGAGGAAGACGAAAGCCTCACAATGGTCAATTCGGAGGATCCATGGAATGATCCCTGTTTTCTGAGTGCTCAAAAGGTAGAGGTTGACATCTTGAGGCAAATTGAGGTGGCCATCGAGAGACTTCCATCCAACACGAAAAAAGGACTGTGGAAGAAGAAATTGGCAAAAGCCCAGTCGCACAACCATCGAACCTTGCGAAAAAGAGTTGCCCTTATTGGGATGAGCGGGCACGGAAAGAGCAGCGTTTTGGGCGAAACCCTCGGTGATAGTGGGGTTGCGCGGACAAGTGGTATCGGTCGAGCTGTGACATACACGGCCCAAGAATACGTCCAGCGGCGCACAGGCCAGACACAGAAATACACTCTCGTATGTTCGTTCTTAACACGGCAGGAGCGCAAGTCCCGGATGGAAACCCTTCTAGAAGACTGGCGACGCATTGAGGTAGAAGGCATATCTCCCTCCGATCGAGAATTCACAGTGATGAAGGACAACGAGAAGACTGCTTTGGCAACTATCAGAGCTGCTCTCAAAAATGTACGCGGTTTCGACCTACGAAAACTTGAGTATGGCAAGAATGGCATAACCCAAGAGGCAGCAGTCGAACAGCTTCACCAATGGGTTGACGAGATGCCTTTACCAAATGGTGCCACGGAGGGTGGTAGATATGAGCAGACTTTTACCGATGCTAAGGTTCTCCAGAAATCAATTCACGACTTCCAAAGAACTGGATTGTGGCCTTTTATTGCAAGCTCTCGAATCTTTCTTGATTCGGGAGTCCTCAAAGACGGCCTCATTCTGGTCGATCTTCCAGGCTGCTTCGATTCCAACCACATCCGAGCTACGGTTGCCGACGCATATCTCCCTCGAGCTCAAGAGGTGTGGATTGTGGCAAACATCTCTCGTGCTGCTGATTCCCCCGTGATTGAGAATCTAGCTGAACGCTACTTCCGAGAAACTGAAGGAGTTGGTGATCTACACCGACCAGCTGTGAATATTATCTGCACTTTCGCCGGAGACATTCCAGATGACATTGACTGGGAAGACGAAGAATTCGCTGACGAAGAAACATCTCGGGCCATCCGAAAAGCCGAGGAATATTGTGAGATGGCCGAGGACCAATCGCCTCAAGGCTACGAACAAGCAAAATATGATCGGCGAATTCTCAAGATGAAGGCGCGCAACTCTTTTGTCACACGGGAGATAGAGGGAACCTGGTCGAGTGTTTTCGCATCAGGAAAGTCACCGTTAAAAGTATTCTGCGTTGACAATAAGTTGCATAGAGAAGATTCTAAGAGGGAGAAGACTGACAGTGGTATACCGGAGTTACGAAAATATGCTTCAGGCATAATGTCGCAGATACTCTTCAAGAATGCCATGGATTCTCTCTGCGTCGAGACACCAGCCTTGATTCGTTCGGTCGAGACATACATAGATGTCTTGAAGCATCCACCAGCAGTCTCGCAAGCCGAGATCGCTATTGGGTCTGTCGAAATTGAGGAGGCTCATATTCACTGGGAACAATGGGAGAAAACTGTGTCAGAAGCATGCCATCACATAACACAGAGTGCCAAAGCGAAAAGAAAGACTATCATTGCCTCTGCAAGCGTCCATCTCGATGACTGGGAAACCCTCGCGTGGCAAACCCTAGGGGCATTCTTTCGCCGGGGCGGAGCTTACAGAATACCCAAAACAAAAGTTCAGGTCTCATGGTCGGCCCAGCTTATGGGATGCATTCTTACGGTCGTCAAGTCGCTCTGGAGAAGACTCGACCGCCAGGCTGTGTCGGCTTGGGACCTGCTGATCTCAAGTATCATGGACCGATTCAAAATCCACGAGTCCAAATACGGGAGTGGAGAGGGGCCTGAAACCATGCTTCGTCTGCTTGAAAGCCGGAAGAATTATCTAAAGTCACTCTTGAATGCAGAGAGAGCTGAATTCAAGAAGAACATGCTGGAGGTCAAGCTCAAAGCTGTTACATCGGATACTCAATCCTACATGTTCAGCGTCATGCAACCCGTCTTCCGAGAATCTGCCTCAGATCGTGGGGTCGGAGTCAAGGCTCGAAGCATTCAGCGTCTTAAAACCATAATCGAGAGTGGCGATTTTCTCACTGATTATGCAGATACCGTGGACGATGCATGCGACGACCTGATTAGTGCGACCAAGCGAGGATTCGACAAAGTCATTGCGGAAGTTGCTGGGGATATCAATGCAGACTTGGAACCCGTGATCGCAGCTGAGTTGTCTGACAGCTTCTCCCGGCAGCAGCATTCCATTATCAGCGAATTGGACGAACACATGTTTAACATTGCTCTGAAAGAAAGTCAAATGAATGCGAACATCGAGAAAGCAAAGGCGATGGCAGAACGTGTCTGGGGCCTCGAAGCTAATCTCGACCTCGATGCAGCCACGAGTTCTGATGGCGAGTAGGTAAATGGAAATGACAAAGTGACGAGTAGTGCAGAGTCCTCCTTTGGTGGGGTGGAGGAACAAGTGCGTCGGTACCAGAGCAATGCCAGGATTTCCATGGTGCATTGTGAGGAATGGCTCGAGATCTTGGGCATGAAATATCGAGGATGAAAGGATCGCAGCTACACTTGGGCCGTCAGAGCAGGAAATTAAAATGCAGAATGAGCAAGTCTTTGAGAGCTCGCTTACTTGGACGAGAAAACACGATGGATGGGCGAGAGAGAAGCGGCTCGTGAGAAAGTCCTTATCATCATAGTCGAGGAAGTTCACCTGACTTTACATGCACCGCAATGAGCTCTCAGGTTTCCGGAGATGATTGGAATCTGGTCTTCACGGTTTTGATGCAGGACCCAGAGTAGCCCTGTCTCCGTAACCTTGCGAGAATCAGATCAAATTCCTTGCTTCAAGATTCTACTTATGCTCAACTCGGGTTGTTGTCATCCCCTAGTTCCGGAGGTAACTCGATTGTCAGATCATGTCGCTTCGCAAGGAAAAGAAACGCGACATTCTACAAAGGTACCGACATGGTAAATCGAATACTTAATGTTCAATCGTGGCAAAGTAGAAGCAGGCGAAGCGAAGCCACCATGACCTCAAAGAGATTGTGCAAATACACCCACATGATCAATCTGCTCTTCAAGATCTTCAGCTACAATCCTCCCATTTCGTTCTCGATCCTTAGTGGCAAGTTCTCATACTGCCTCCGTTTCTCCAGTAACTATAATGTGCTTCGACATGATGTTCATTTCAGGATATGCTTGCAAGCAGGGAAAACGGATTCACAGCAGCAACATTTCGGACACCTGAGAGATGTGCAAACTATGTGACTGATATGTACGTCACAGCACAGGACTAGTCACCCCAGCCATACTCGATTATGTGCGATTCACCCCTCGAATTGTCAGCTTGTTCCAGCTTGCGTCACCTCTTCAGTGGCCACCCTCGCACAGCCGCTTGATTCAAGATGTCCACCGTTGAAATGCCTCATAATGAAACGACAGGTGGGCTCATGCACCGTGAATCTGCCGCGGGCATCAGGACTATTCGGGACTACTCAGGTATGTTGCTACCAATCTGGGGCCAATGTGGTCCGGACTCTTCAGAGTCAGGCATCCAGAAGTGAAAAGCCAGACTTGTCAATCTTCATGAATCCCAAACCCGCCGTTATAGGCCCATCATGAAACTGTGAGCCAACGTCGGAGGCTGGGCATGGAGAACAAACCGGGGCGGTGGATCCGCATTGTGAATGCTTCAACGTTTCGTTGCATAACAGAGCAGTGAAGTACCAAACGGTCTTCCTGGCTACATATATCGCTCTTTTCCACCTTCCAACCTTCTTTCTTCTTGCTCTCATCATCTTCTTGTCATCTCCCCCTCTGTCCATTCCATCGTCCTATACCCCTCTCCTCAGCATCTGCTCTGCCTTCGTTTCATCTCTCTGAACATCCTTGCGACTTCTCCTCTTGGGGTGGCTGATCCACCTCATCGATGACGGGACTACCTTTCCTGCAGCTCGTGAGGGTTGATTGAGTCACAGAAGCGCCCCACGAAGTTTTGATCAGGTTCTTAAGAACACCCTCCCCCTTGACAGCCTCCACCTGATACAACATTTCGCTGTCCTCAAGAAACCTACCCGTGGGACAAGCTTTGAGATGAGTGGAATGCCAATGGGCTCCCAAAGACCTTCGGGCATCCGAGCCCACTATATAAATCTAAGCTATAGCAACAGTCGCCTTGTGCAGATCAAACGGACGACCCTGAGGCTCTCAGCCTTCTCACTTCTGACGCCACACCTGCGATGTGTATGGCGGGCGCCCTGTCGCTCTGCGGTGCCCAAATTTGTGCAGCCAAGGATCTAAAGTTTCATGCCCACCATGTAAGGTGCTGAAGATTCAGCACCCACAATATGCATTTCGCAGATGGCGTATATGGAACACAATATTCAGCCACAAACTTGTCAACCCTACTTGCAGGGAACGTCCCTGATTACGTGACTATAATGGTGGCTTCAAACTTTGTCAAAGAGAAGTCAGTGTCGAACAACGGGCCTGTCGTATTCTTCTTCTCCTGTTGACGATGAACATGTGGGGTGTGTCCCTCGCGGAGTTCTGGGCTCGGCTCCTACCTATCTTTCCTTACATGATTTGGCTGGACTGAGAGGATCAGCTTTCAGCAGGCCAAAAACACCAGCGAGAAAGCGATCCTGTTCCATGTGCCACCAGTCTACCCCCTTCTGATGCAGTTGATGGACACGTGTAGGAACAGTCCGCTATCCTGCAATAGTTGCTTGATCTCCGCTGCAGTCAGTATGCCAATCATCGTGTACGTCTCGTCTGGCCTGTCGCTCGTCCCGGTACACAAACAGGCAGAATTGGATCAAGAGGTTGCCACTACGCATTCATTGCACCAGGTTGCCCTGTCGAGGACCTCGAGACTTTCGCAACAAACAACAAGCCCCATGTCTTGTTTGTCCCTTCGGCACACAAGATCGTCATGCCAATGGTGTTGGAGAAGCAACTCGAGTGGGTAAAGGTGGATGCACGAGTCAAGAAAGATGGAGTTCCACGTCTGTCAACTGTGACACAATCTGCCATCAAGAATTCTGGCAAGGAAATGGTTCGCAGACTGCAGTCTGTACTAGAATCGACAACAGGAGTTGCAAATTGGAAGGCTGATATCAAGGAAGTGCCACAAGCTGAGGCAGAAACGGTCGACCACGCCCTAGTGGCACTCAATTGGTGCGAGAAGACTGCATGCCACAACGACAATACCAGATCGCCTTCCATCGGCTTCGTTGATCCATCCAGCGTCAGCATCCATCTCGCTCAGCGAACACTCGGAGCGGCATGTACATCATGGTTGAAGATTTTCGGAAACACGATGAACTATGTGGTGGACGGGCGGAGATTTATTGAGGCATGGTTGGGACTGGACGGCTCCTGCTATCAAATGGACATTAGAATTACTTGCTGTTCGAGTTTGCATGGTGTGCCTACCACGTTGTCGCAGATGCGTCGGAAATCCCAAGACTTGGCCCTCTTCCCACCCTTTTCTGCTACATACCAACCTCTCCTCCATGCACTTCTGCACGACCATTCTGCTGGTCGACGAGCGAATCTGCAGTCTCACGAGTAAGTCAAATGATGCTACACTTTGCTGATACTGTACTCCTGTATGCTAAAGAATGATGTGCTAGTGGCCTCTGAGGCAGAGGACCGTGCTTACGAAGAGTCCACTGGAGAGCAAGATCCTCATTCCAGCGAGAACAACGACGACAGTATGTACGAAGATTCTCACGTTACGTGCGATTTGGGCGAAGAGGACCTCGCAATTCTCGGTGACGTGGCGGAGGAGGAGCTTTCCGCTGCCAGGAATGTCAACAAACAGGTAGCACGAAGTCCTCTGGCTGTCAAAGCTTTGGAAGATCTGAGAAGATTCGTGCAACGCAAGATCCGGCCTTCTCTACTTGACAGAATAGCCAGCGTCACGCACTGCATCGAGTCTGCGCATCTGCCGGCATCCACAACTTCCGCCAGCAGATTTCAACTAGGCTTTACCAACATACTTGACAATATCTTCGCCCATGCCATCAGCGACATTTAGTCAGGCATGAGCCTACTCGACGGAGACTTGATCATGTGTGACTCATGGAACGTGACATTATGACCAGTCCTGATGCAACCAGACCTCAGAACAAAGCTCACCCACATTCTCTTTCATTGCATCCCGGATCAAGTTCAAGACATGCTGGGCAAGTATGACAATGTGGCCAATATTGCCAAAAAGATTGCCGACCTCCAGACTGCAGTCGATCTCCGAAAATTAAGAAGGATATATGGCATCGATAAGCGGAAGAGGGAGAAAGGCTTTCACAACTTCTACGTTGGCCAGACGCAGGTGAACTTCAATGCGCGGTGGCAGGGACACAATAGTGGCTACAAATATGCGGCCAAGTCTGCGAACGGTGTCCCACATCCAAGACAACTGATTCAAGCTGTTCACAAGAATGCGGTGGGCAGATTCAGTGCCGAGCAGCGCACTTTCATCATGCTCGCATTGAGCCCCACCGAAAACCCAGGGTTTCATGAGTTTGCATAGTTTTGCAGACCACTCACCGTTCTCTCTGAACTTGCATTCATGGCACATTTCGGTACTTTCAAAACCTGGAGTCGATCAATTGAGACGATCGTTGAACCAATGCGACCCAAGGATATACCACAAACTTGGACCGGACAGAGTCATTCGTTGCCTCTCAGCGAGACTAAGGAGGGCCAATGGATATCGCACGAAGATTTCCTCCTTGAGCAGGCTATCGAAGCCTGCCCGACTTGGTTCAACGCCGACGACCTGTCACGCTCATTGTCGGCGTGATCCTTTATGGTCTGTTGTAGTCTGAATGGTATCATCGATGGATGAGTTGTAGGAAGGATATTCGCCAAAATAGAGCTAATCCACTATAGATCCTACGACGTAGCTCTTGCTCCCAATACGATCTCAACAACGCAATTCAAAACGCATTGACCAATGAACGAAAGGCTAGAAATAACAGCGGATCTAGGAACACGTCGCAAGGCCACTGCAGACAAAGCTGCTACTGACAAGGGAGCTGCTGAAATTCAGAGTACGACAAGCTTACTACTAAGTACCAGAGATGGCATGTCGAGATGCCCGCCACCGGCTTTCGTCGCGGAACGTGATGATATGGAGCTATCTGGTCTCTAGATTCAACTAAGCCGAACGCGTGTGGGAACGTGAAGGGACCAACTATATGGCCTAGAAAGCGGCGGAGAAGGCGGCGGAGAAGGCGGAGGGGGAACAGAGGAGGAGATTGCAAGACCGACACCACAACGTCAGGTCTTAAAACCACGGACTCGTAAACAAAACGAGGGCATACGAGGTTTGACCTTTCACTTACAGCTGGCGGACTCCTGAGATTCAATTGAATCGGAGGTGTTAAACATCGAACTGGTCACTCTCACCGCGGCTGATACCTCATGGTGGCGAGCTTTTATGGGTCTGCTCATCGATAGCCTACCATCTTCGTCTCAAACTGCAGAAGTAAAGAAACCCGGACAAACATCCTGGCGCGTGTTGAGGCAGTGCATTAATCGGACCTCACAAGATACAGCATAAACGTTCCGACACGTCTGCATTAGAAGATACAAGAACCAACGCCGGGTTTTTGAATACCTTATGAGGTATGGGCGAATTTGAATAGACTCGTGTGTTGCTGATCATCAGCTGAGATAGTCAGACGCTTTGTGCAGAAAGAAAATACCTCTCGAATCTTCTACTCTGAATACTGTAACTTTCGGTGATTTGCCTTGTTTGATATGTCCACGCTTATTTTTGGTAGGAGACTACCGTTTCTGACGATTTGGCGGCACCAATTTGCCGTTGAATATCTTTTTACAGCTGGCGAGCTCCTGGGAGGTATTGCACATCGCATGTCTGAGACCGCCATGTTTGAAAATGCTTCACAGTCGGACTGATCACTTAACGGCACAAATTTGCCGTCAAATATTGCTTTACAGCTGATGGGGCCCCGGGACTTCCTGGAAGGCTCATATCTTAGACCGCCATGTCTGAGAAGAATCTCAATCAAGCTGATTTTAACGGCGTATATTTACCGTCAAACAATGGTTTGTGGCTGGCGGATTCCAGGGAGCTATTGTATAGATGCCACACAGTAATGGGATCACCTCACCACCAGGAGATTTATCGTACTTGATTCACCTTGAAGCTGTGCCTATTGTGGTAACGACAAGGATATAGCTATCATGGATATCGACAGTTACCTTATATTGATACTCGTGATAGATTTCTCCTGGCGTTGGAGACATTTCAAGTGTTTCGAATTTTCCGATATGCTAATAAGTTGATACAATATTCAACATGGTTCAGAGTACAACAGCATCGCAATCTGGTACTGACGCCCGCCTGAGGTACATCAATACCCCTACTGTAGATCGTTGGATATTCCCCCAATAGTTACCGACTTGATGACCGTGTACTCTTCGATGCCATACTTGCTTCCCTCGCGCCCAAAGCCAGATTCTTTCACTCCGCCGAACGGACTTGCAGCATCGCTGATGAGACCAGTATTGACACCGACCATTCCGACCTCCAAGGCTTCGGCAATCCGATAGATGCGCCCTACGTCTCGAGAGAAAAAATATCCTGCGAGGCCAACTTCGGCGGCATTCGCAGCCTCGACGACTTCCTTCTCGGTGTCGAATGCGAAGATCCCAGCAACAGGGCCGAATGTTTCTTCTGTCGCGATAGCCATGTCTGCCGTGACATCGCGGAGCACCGTTGGGGCGTAGAAGTTCGAACCCAGGTCGGGCAGGCGCTGGCCTCCAACCAGCAGTTTAGCGCCCTTCTTTGTGGCGTCCTGGACGTGCTGCTCCACCTTCGTGACAGCCCGATCGTGAATCACCGGACCATGAGTCACACCATCGTCAAAACCATAGCCCACTTTGAAATCTTTGACTTTCTCGGCGAATTTGGTCACGAATTCGTCATAGATCCCTCGTTGGACGTAAATGCGATTTGCACACACACAAGTCTGACCCGAGGAGCGGAATTTGCATGCAATGGCGCCTGCTACCGCAGCGTCAAGGTCCGGCGCATCATCGAAGACAATGAACGGGGCATTGCCCCCTAGTTCGAACGAGAGCTTCTTGATCGTACCACTGGCTTGTTTCATCAACAATTTTCCTACATTGGTGGAGCCAGTAAAGGAGACTTTCTTGATGCGTGAATCCGTAGTTAAGATTTCGCCCACCTCGGCCGTGTTCTTCAGTGCCGTAACGATGTTGACAACGCCGTTGGGAATTCCAGCGCGACGGGCAAGCTCTGCCAGTGCATTCGCTGTGAAGGGTGTCTCGCCCGGAGATTTGGCCACAACAGTGCAGCCAGCTGCTAAAGCGGGACCAATTTTGCGAGTGATCATAGCAGCAGGGAAGTTCCAGGGCGTGATTAATCCAGCTACACCGACTGGCTGTCTCCAGGTCATTATGCGATTTCCCGGAACGGTTGCGGCAATGGTGTCACCATATATGCGAGGAGCCTATAGATCAGTCTTAGTAAATTCGCCGAGATGGTCTATGGTGTAGATTGTAAACAAACTTCTTCGCTGAACCAAAGAAAGAAATTCGCTGCATACGCCACTTCGCCACGGGCATCGGCGATAGGTTTGCCATTTTCCATACACACAAGAGTTGCTTTGCTTCATGTTAGCAAGGGTTTTTGACATGAAACCTGGAGAAAGTCCAACAATTGAAAGATCTATCATGATGCTGACAATATGACACCGGAGATGAGAGAGCTCTTACCTAGGTCTTCCGCGTTCGCAAGCATGAGATCGTACCATTTCCGGAGCATCACAGCTCTTTCGCGAGCAGTCGTCTTACGGAAAGTCTTGAATGCTTCGGTAGCGGCGGCAATGGCCTTGTCGGTGTCATCTTTGTTGAACTCGGGAGCTGAGCCGATCTTTTTTCCAGTGGCGGGGTCGTGTACGTCGAAAGTCTCAGAGGAGGCCGCGGAGACGAACTCTCCGTTGACAAAAGCCTTCTCAATGAAGAGGGACGGATCCTTGAGCTTGGGGACTGTGTGAACCATGGCGACTGATTGAATGCGATATGTTACGTGAGCGCGAGACCTGGTGATGGAAGATGGAAATCGAAGTGCAGAGGAAGAAAGGGTGCGATATATGTATGATGTAGTGGCAGTAGCCATGTTAGTTAATAGTTGTGAAAGGTGCGATTGGAGCAACAGCCAGCATCCGGGGATAGATTAATTGGAGGGACCAGGGACCAAGACAATTTTCGTGGGATCTCGGGCTACAACATTATCGTGAATGGATGGAGGGGGAAAGACAGAGGCACAGAATAAGGATTTAGCCCTGATGTTGAAAATGTCGTGTTCGGAGTACCGTGCTCAGAGGAGGAAGCTCCAAAGCATCGATCAAATATTGGAGAAGTCCGGAATCTGACGTCAAAACGGGAAGCTGTCAAGAGCAGGGATCTTAAACCCGGGGATAGAGGGATGAGAAATGACAAAATGAGGATTTGGTGGCAATCGATATCAGTGGGGGAGCCGGGATCTTCTGTGTGGCACTCTTGAAGAAACAAAGCAATTCAAACCGGTGTCGATACAGATGCGCATGCAGCTTCGGTTCTCTTCAATCGCACTGGCTCCCGAACTTCCGATTATTTGAATTCGCAAATGATGGCCGAATACACGGAAACAGAATGAGGTTGGAGGCGGCATATAAGCGAGCCTGGCGATATAACCGTTGTGGTTCCCGGGCCGGGTGTCCGGCTAACGTGTGCTCCTCCACATAACCACCCACGCGTGTTCGAGGCGTCAAACATTGGCCGCACCGAAGCCATGGCGGATTCAGGTGACTCAAACAATAATACTAATCAAACATCACGCCGGCTGAGGAGCAAGGCACAGGAGAAGGCCATCACCCAAGGCAAACTCGTCGAGACCACCAACTCATTGACTTGTGTGGAATTCTTCGATAAGTTTGCACTTGAATTACCCTTGACACCCCAAGTCAAAAATACTGGCAATGCCTTGATCGTGGACAGAGCATTCGAGGATGCTTCTACAATTTCCAAGCATGTCCATGAGAAATGTCTTGATCTCATTGAACAGACCAGTGCCCATGACTACCGAAACTCGGAAACCGGGTGGTCGCGTTCCAAAAAGAAAAAGGAAATGAAATTGCCCGATATGAAGTACATCATCTTTAAAGACGAGCGTTCCGAAGATGTCGCTGGCTTTGTTTCCTTCATGGTCACCTACGAAGACGGCTTTGAGGTCATCTATGTCTATGAAATCCACCTAGCTGCCGAATGGCAAGCCCAAGGACTGGGTAAAAGTCTCATGCTTGCCATGGAAGCCATCAGCAAGAATGTTGGCGTGGAGAAGGTCATGCTCACGGTCTTCAAATCCAACCATCGCGCCGTGGATTGGTATCGCAAGCTGGGTTATGTTGAGGATGAGTTCTCTCCACAAGCTCGCAAGCTGAGGAATGGCACTGTGAAGGAATCCACATATATCATTCTCTCCAAGGCGCTGAAGAAATAAACCCGTGCCCGGAATATTTCAACCAGAGAAAAGCCACGTCAACTAACCTGCATGACCTCTTCTTCCAGGCGGATGCCAGTACCAATTAGCCAGCTGTCACAAACGACCCCAAATCATGGCCGATATCATACCGAAGTCTTTTAATCTACGATCCGAGATCCTAATCCCTCGACTATGGCCAGTGGATTCTTGAGATCTCGTTGCTGATCGCAGAATCACATCACTTCTGCTGTTACTACGCAGCTCACTCCAACCTCATGTTCAAATGCTATGGTGCCTCGACCTACGGGCGTATTTGATCCCATCGCCTAGTTCTAACTCTTCCTCTTCCTTCTCTGCTCTTATTCCTCTCCTCTCATTTCACTATACTCCTACAGAAACCACAGATCTTGCCCTACCAATAACTCATAATCAACAATGACCTCCAAATCTTCAGCCGTAGAGCCTGATGCCATGAAAGAACCCCACAAGTCTGATCCTCAAGGTTCGGGGCTTGCTCGCTACTCAAAGGAAGAGGTTGAGTGAGTCAGATGATCAAGTTTTTATGAGAGGATGCTAACCTATGAAGGGATGCCTTGCGCGGCAGAAAGCGTGGTCCGAAGCCCGGGGCGACAGCTGGCGTCAAACGAAAGGCCAGCGATGAATATTCCAATGATCCAAGCGCCGTGAAAACACGAAAAAGAAAGGCCGGCATGAGTGACATCGAGCGTCAAATTGAGCTCGCCAAGAGCAGAGATTATATGGCAGTCCGACGAAGGAAGGCAAAGATCGTGGCCTCTCCGCAATATCAGAAGTTGTCGGCAGAGGAAAAGGAGGCTAAGTTGAAGGATGCGACGACTGAGTTGATGTCACAAAGGTATGCTGTATTGTAGCCATCGCTGTGGCCATGCGTACTAAAGCACGACCTAGATTCAGAGATGAAACATCAGTCGCGGCAGTGGCACTGGGCTTTCTCGAACCTGACAAGCGTCAAGCTATCATAGCTGCTGCTGCTACTACGACCAGAGGTGTACAGATCGAGAAGTGCCTTCAAGCAGGTATAGATGGCTTGAAAGCGCTTTTACAACCGGATCAGGGAACCCGAGAATCAACCGACTTGGAAGGCCGACCCCAATGAAGCTTTATATTTGACGAACACTCTTCCCCTTCATCTCGGGCCGTTCCAGCTCCCACTCGTCGCGCATTACGGCGAAAAGTGTATCACCAACCAGAATGGCCAATCCTAAGCTCCATACCAGAGTGATGGCATAGAAGAAATTGGCATTACCAGATCCGGCATAGATCCATAAATGGTGGAATGCTGGGCCAAGAAGGGTGGAATACAGCAATACCGAAGCGGAAATGAAGGTATATCTGGTCACTATCATTGAAGTCAGCTGCTGGGAGCTATTGGGAAGATCGCGAGGGCACTTACATGGGAGAACGTGCTGGTACAAGGGAAGAAGACCGAGATACAGGGAAATATCCGCAATGCTGGGGTATGGCTTGAAGACGGCGAACAAACCAACAAGGCTGGTGATGACAAAAAGCGGCTGGGTCTGAAGTCGAAAGGTCATGGCTCCAACATATCCCACCAGCTGTAGCCAGAAAACTCCAATGAAAAAGTCTCGGAAGGAGTCGAAGATCTCAATAAAGAAATACCACCAAAGCCCGATGTTTGGCGTGAGGTCTGTCACCGTGATTTGTGCTCCGTAGCACGAGGAAAGAAAGTCCCAGAATCCGGAGGTGAGGGTTGGTGTGATTCCAAGTAATGCTCCCGAGAGGCCGAAATGGGTGGCAACAAGTGCGACGATCCCGGACGAGGACTGAGGGCTGCTCTTGTGTACCATCAGTAGTACCGGTGGGATGAGTAGCGCCGGATACATTGATAGATAGCTACCCACAGCGATGCCAAACATGGCTCGAATGCCATTGCCCGACTGGGCACTGAGAACAGCTTGAATGATGGCCGTATTGGTGAAAATCGAAGTGCTCTTTCCCAAGCAAGACAAGATCGTCAACGGGTTGAACAAGTATGCAGCCGCTATAAGCGAACCATTCAGTTTCTTGAAACGTGGCGTCGGAATGCTGAGTTTCTCGGCGATCGTGTGCAGAGCGAGTCCATTGGCGATGTCGAGAGCAGTGAAAACCAAAGCGGCAGGCAGAATGTCAAAAATGACCAGCAATAATGGGGCCTGATGGAAGACCCCGCCGTCGTAAGGTGACAGGCCATGCCGGTAGAGGAAGAGACCTTCCTGCAACCGCTTGAAGCTGGAGATGGGTGTCGAAATCTCCACCTGTGCTGTGAGGAAGTCGGATAGGGTAGGGAAGGCAATGAAAGCAGAGAGACGCAGTACGATGGCTCCCACGTACACCAAGATGGTATTCCGATCCACCGACACTGCCATTATGCTTTGCTGCTCACTATAATAACTTCTTGTTGTACATTGTTGGATGAATGATGAACGATCGATGGCCCCTAATTTGGCAATCTATCAAACGTGGCTTGTATGTAAGTCTTGGCATCATAAGGCAACGGTCACGTGGAGATTTTGGCTTTGGAGGCTCGCGCTGCTTTTGACCGACTTTCCTCAGCTTCATCCTCCGAGGCTCAAATCTCCACCTCTGCTCGCGACTCATCCTCTAGGCCGAAGATGTGTCCAGGTGTTATGACTTTCCTGGTATTATTAAGTCTAGCTACACCAAAAGCTCTCCTTATCTATTCTGCAGGACTTTACCCCTGAGGACCATTGATCGTGCTCAATAAAAGTGCTATGTTGAGGTTGCATTATGGCAGACACGGCAAAGACCGCTTGTCAACGCTGCCGTGACCAAAAGGTAGGTCATCTTAACGCGGTGCAGCACAAAGCTCTATATCATATATTCAAGTCCAAGAGTTCTAAGTCTAGGACAGCTCCGATGCTCCCGTGAACTACCTGAATGTTCACGATGTGGGAGGTTCGGCGTGGGCGCGTCGTGCGTCTACCCACCACCACCAGACCGCAAGGCCCTCGCTAAACAGCGAAATCCACCAAAAAAGAGGTCTACAGTACGTACATCCACCAGACGAAGAACTAATATATCACCATCCGAGACCTTGGACCCGAATTGCCCGGCAGGATCCCCGACCAAAACGCTCAACATCTCTCCATTCCACAATGTCCAGAAGCAGGAGTCAATCATTCAACTGCCTCCCGCCGTCCAGGAGCTTCTTCAAGAAACCTACTTCAAGTGCCAATTCCACGCATCGTTGTTGTTCCATCGTCCTACCTTCCAAACTCATCTTATGGCTGGGCTCGTCCCCCAGCACACCTTACTGGCTTTGTACGCTAGTGCCTTCATGTGAGCACTTCCTTACTTACCTCATCGTTTCATCGTTTTGAGATACTCTAGTTTTATACACCCAGAATCTTCCATTTTCACAAAAAATGTGGATCTGATTCATCCACTGGGTGATCTGAAGATTCTTGGTCACAAATATGCCATCTCGGCTGGCCAGCAAGTTCTGCACGAGATCGATCGACCCATCTATGAGAGTGTCAGGACATGCGAGATGCTTTCGCTTTATTGGTTCTCTCGAGGTGACTTGCACAGACATGTGATGTTCTTGAGTACGCCGTTTCCACTCTGTGTAAGTTGACCAACTTATCATGTGATAGGTATAGCTTACAAGGCTTCCGCTTTGATCGGGTTGAATACCGAGAACGCCGATTCTTGCTTTGATGGCACCGAATCGCCATATATTACTCTGCCGCGATCGTTGAAATCCGAGATGGCCCGCCGCTGCTTTTGGGCCATCTGGTATACTCAATGCATCAGTTCCGACCATTCTCTGGCCGACGTATCTTTCAGTCCAAAGATACTTGATCTCAGCTTACCGGTGAGTGAGGCTGCGTACCTGGTAAGGGACTATGAGCAAGTCGGAAACCTCGCGACAATAGCGAAAATAGCTGGCTCAGACGTGCCACACATATTGCGAGACTCTATTTTAGCTGAACTCATGGTGGCAATGCATTTCTGGTATTACCCTTCTACTCATACTGAGACAAAGCTTACTATCGGCTAGGGCCAAGGTACGTATGCTACTTGACTCACGACTGGCGACCGCCATGTCAGCATGGATACCCAAGCTCTACGAGTTGGATGCACAATTGACTTCATGGTACTCGAGCATCCCGGATAGCTTCGCATACACGAAAAGAAACCTCTTTGAGCAGCGGGTGCAAGGGCCACCATCTCTGTTCCCCTTTCTTCACACGGTCTATCATCAGTGTCGTCTCGTTCTCCATTCGTCCTTGGTCCCTCAATTTAGTGGACTCCATCTTGACAAATCCGTACTTCCTGACTTCATACATGTCGGAGCACAACGAGCGATTCGGAGTGCGCAGGACCTTTCAATTATGGGTGCTGATCTGGTTGCACTCAATTGGGATCCTGCTCAATTGCCCGCTTTCTTCGGGTACGCCATGTACAGTGCAGCTTCAATCCATATTGCAATGCTGGGTTCCGCCGATGAAGGGATTAAGAAATCCACGAAGACAGCTCTCAAAACAAGCCTGAGATGGCTGAGGGCTTTGAAAGTTCACTGGTCAAATCTCGATAAATTGGTAAGCGACTGACCTGAAGCCCTCCCTAATGCTAAGTCGTATGTCTTCTAGTGGATACGAATCAATGTATTGTACGAAGTTCAGATAGTTCGGCTCCGCGGACCGTCGACGACGATGGGGACTACATCAACTCCAGGACAATCAAATCTAAAAGAACTCGACCAGTTGGCTGGTGAGGTTCGCGACGCCAGCCAACTGGCTGAACCACTGGCCGATTCGGTATTATCATATTCACTACAACAACTGAGACCTTCACCCGCCTTTACTTCTGAAGCCATGCGAGAATTAGAGGCAAAGTTGGACTTTGAACTGATGGAGCTTTTCATTGAGGAAGCCTCGCCGAGCGATCCCCAACCTCTGTTGAGCAGTAGTAATGACATAATGCAAAGCTTTGGCATGGCATCCACCTCAGCTGTTCCGGAACTCGACGGGGCATTAAGATTCGATCAGCCGAATCTTATGGGGGACTGGATATCAGGACCTGGGTTTTCAGGCGACCTGCAGCAACCCTGGGATTGGTGGGGTGTGGGGATGGATCTGCTTGAGCCGATCTTGCCTTATGACAATCTTCTAGGATTCGGGTAGCTCAAGAGACAAGGAACAGTTCAGTGCTGGACAGAGACCTGCCCTCTTGAGGAAGAACCCATTTTCTCTCGTCGAGATCAAGACCAGGTAAACACCCTCGTACTTGCTAATTATTCCACCGATATCCCTTCGTGTCGGATTAAGCTCAAAATGCGGGGCCCCTCATGCGCACTCCAAACTCGGTACGTACGAAGAAGCATTCGTACAGAAGGCTCGAAACAACCTTCGAGGCCGTCGAGTGCACCAGCAGAATTCGTCCCGATCTTCTTCAACTCCTTGATCGGCCCGATCAATTAAAGTTTTGTTAACCTTTCGTACAAGGTTTGCATCATTCAGCGTCGAACATCGCCAGGTCTTAAGGACTATCGGACACAGAACAGCGTCCTAAACGCCGAAAGGGTTGTTCTGAGATCTACTCAATGAAGATACGACCAGCAGAGATCAAGCTACATAAGACTGGGCACTTTTCGACTACTTCTGCACCACCTCAATTGCATATCAGGCCAAACCCCAAGCGCCCAAGGAACAAGACACATATTGCCATTTCACGAAGTAGCCATGGCAGACGCTGCTAACGCTCACAAAATGATCATCGAGCGAGATGTCGCCATTCCAATGGGCGACGGTAATATCTTGCGAGGTGATATTTTCCGACCTATCAATTCCAACAACAACCCCTGCCCCGTTCTAGTGACTTACGGACCATATGGCAAGGGTGTTCCGTGGCGCGATGGCTACAAGATCCAATGGAAACACATGACAACAGCCCATCCGGATTTCCTCCCTGGATCGTCGCGGGAATACATGGTCTGGGAAGTACCTGACCCGGAGATCTGGACCGCCTGGGGATATGCCTGTCTGCGTGTGGATTCACGTGGATGTGGCCGTTCTCCTGGATTTTTAGACATATACTCTCCTCAAGAATCTCGCGACTACTACGACTGTATTGAGTGGGTGGCGAAGCTGCCGTGGTGTTCAGGCAACGTCGGCACCAGTGGAATTTCGTACTTTGCGACGTCCCAATGGTTGGTTGCTGGATTGAAGCCGCCGTCACTGAAGGCTATGATCCCTTGGGAGGGTTCGGCGGACTGGTACCGCGATGTTTGCCATCATGGTGGGATTCACAGTAATGCATTTAAGGCCAATTGGTACGAGCGTCAGGTTCTGTCTATACAAAACGGGAATCCCAGGACCATGGATGATCCTTGGCTAGGTGAGAGAGCGAGTGGACCAGCTACTTTGAGTGAAGCTCAATTGTTGGCAAATCAGAACTCTCCTCTCGAAAATGAATTCAACCGACCTCTAGATGGTGCATGGTATAGGGACAGGTCGGCGAAGTGGGATCAGGTGGAGGTGCCGTTTCTCAGCTGTGCAAACTGGGCAGGTCATGGGCTGCATCCTCGAGGAAATTTCGAGGCCTTCGTGAATGCGAAGAGCAAACAGAAATGGCTGAGTGGTCACCCTGGTAAACACGAGGAATGGTACTATCTTGATGAGGGAATGGCATTGCAACGGCAATTCCTTGATTATTTTTTGATGGGAAAGGACAACGGTTGGAATCAGATACCGCCTGTTATCATGAGAGAGAGGAGACCTTTCAACACAAAATTCGAAACTGTCAGGTACGAAACTACATGGCCATTACCAAAGACCAAGTGGATAAAGATATACTTTAACGCTGAGCAACAAGATAAACCCGCGTTCAGCTGGGATCCGGTTCTCAACGAGGCGACCATCAGCTTCAATGCGCTGAAAGGGTCCGTGACGTTTTACTCGGCCCCGCTGGAGCAAGAAATCGAGATCACAGGACCCATGGCGGCAAAGCTTTTCGCCGCATCGTCCACAACAGACATGGATTTGTTTGTCACTCTACAGGCATTCTCACCCGATGGCAGGGAAGTCGATTTCGTGGGTACAGTCGATCCCCATACACCGCTCTCGCAAGGCTGGCTTAGAGCATCGCACCGCAAGCTCGACCCGGAGAAATCCCTCCCCTACCGACCGTACCTGGCACATGACGAGCAGCAGCCTCTAACGCCAGGTCAAACCTACGAGCTTGACGTGGAAGTCCTACCCACTCACATCATCCTCCCTAAGGGATATCGCCTGGCGCTTCAAATTGGAGGAAAGGATTTTGAGCGCCCTGACCCTGAGCCCTCAGGCGTGGTGCCCGAGCTGGCATGGCGCTCACGCGGCAGCGGTCCCTTCTTGCATACCAACGAGCTCGATCGTCCAAAGGATATTTTCGGTGGCAAGACGACGATCGCGACTGGTGGACAGACCGGGTCATACCTGTTGCTGCCTATCATCGAGAAGTGAAATGCGCCTTTTGAGATGCCTGAGTACCTGAGCAGGGAGCTTGTGCATATCGATAGTGTCGATAGCTAAGTATTTAGCACGAAAGTCTTTATTATACTCCGCAGTGCCCTAGTAGGTAGGTCTGAATTTGTATGAGAAATGAGTCACTTAGGTAGTAATCCTAGGTCGGTACCTACCTAAGGTAGTTAACCCTCCACCACTGACTTGGCACTCTGGGGAGATGCTGGTAACAGGCATCCCTGAAGTATATAAAAACCGGTGTGCCGCGAACGATCCTCGGTCCTTTTTTCCTCTCCCAAAAGATATTCACCAATCTGCACTGCAGGGAGTATCTGTAGTCGTAGCTAACAATGGACTGTGATGACAAGAAGCTTCAGATCGATGCGCGTGCAAGCCATTGTATGCAGTAGGCCTTCTGGCTCTTTTGAAGATTTATATTACTGATGGGCTGCTGAAAGAAAGCCTTTCAAAGTTCTGAGTCCGCATAATTGTTACAGTCACTTGGATGATAAGGTATCCATCGTGAACTATACTAATGAGGATATCTCGGTTGAGGCATGCAAGTCATCGCACCCTTCTGAAAAATTTCCATCACCCATGAATGAGAAAAGTATATTCCAGTCTGAGCCCACGTCATCAAGAAGCCGTTCATAATTCCGACAGGGCATAAAGAGTCAGTTGTCATTACGTCTGAGGTGACCAACAGGGATTTCGGTAAATGTAATATGGACATTCATCGATTGTGCAATGTGTTTTCTTCCCCCTGAGTCGGCAGCCTCGTGTGGATGAGATGGTCGATATAACATAGTACCCTGCTCAGTCATGTCTACGCAGGAGAAAAACCAGTCAGAAAATGTACAGCCCTGCGATTGCTTGAACCACACACCCATGTGTTCTATTCCCGGACCCTAAATATCTCTTTAGATGATATATCGGAAAGAGGGATGCTTCGAGCTCAATTCCCTCTCTTCAGCAGCAGACAAGCCCTCCAGAATATGATCTCTCTTTCCCTCGTCACGCTGGCGATTCTCCCACTGGCAGTAGAATCTCAGTGAGAGGGCAGTGATCCAAGTCCCGAAGACCATGCCGATCATGATGCCATTCCCAACTCTATATCCTCGAGCGTCATTGGTGAGGTAGACCCAGGGAGCGATGAGCCCACTGAGACTTCCAATTGCGAAAAGAACACCAGCAGCGCTTGCACGAACGGTTGCCGTTGCACAGTTATTGAGACACCAGCTCATGTAGATCGGCAAGCAGGAGAACAGCCCAGGCAGTCCGAGATAGATGGCACCATATTTTGTCCATGGATGGCTGCTTGGTACAAATTCGAGCATGAAGAAGCCAATGATTGATAGGGGAGCACAGCAGATTATGACAATGGACCGGCTTTGATATTTGTCGGACAGGTAGCCGCATATTATAGAGAGTACACATGCAACCGCCTGATTATGTTAGCGCACAGTCGTGAAGGCGGAAAATAAAGGGGCACTTACGTAGGGACCGACCGAGAGCAATTGTGATGTCTCTGGGGAGTACCCAAAGCTCCTTATGATGGACGGCAAGAATACAGCGAGGGCATTCTGTGCCACACTAGATTCTGATTAACCCAGTAGTCTCATGTGTTTCGTTTAGGTTGACTCACTTTCCCAACAGAAAGCCAATGCTGCATCCTAGTACATGTGGGCTTTTGAATGCCTGTTTAATATGCACCCACTTCGTTTTACCGCCCTCATCCGTACCTGCAGCATCAACCCTGAGACGAGCGACCGCAGTCTCCCGTTCTGGCTGATTGAGAAACCTTGCATCTTGTGGTCCATTAGGAATGAAGAAGAATGCAATGACCCCAAGGCACAGGGAGATCAATCCCTACAGTACTTTTAGTTATGGTGTGTTCATCTCATCTTCCACATATGACTGACCTCAAAAAAATAGATGTTTCTCCAGGTGTGAATTAGTCCCCAACGAGGGATTCTGCTTAACCCGATGGCGAGAAGCCCACCGAATGCGCCACTGGACCCAGCCGCGGATATATAGACACTGATGCGTAGGCCGAGCTCCGATCGACGGTAAAACAAGCTCAGCGCGTATATTATGCTTGGCGAGACGGAGCCCTCGAACACCCCCAAGAAGAATCTTGCAGCATACAACCCACCAGGGGTTTCGACTAATGCTGTACAAATCGTGATGATGCTGAATATAACCACAATGGCAGAAATCCAGACCCTGGGTCCAATCAATTTGCAAGCAATATTTCCAGGTATTTCGATAGCTGCAGCACTGATAAAGGTGCACATGACAGCGATGTTGTATTTAACACCGGTCAATTTGAGATCGTGTTGCATACCCAAGATTCGAGCATTACCAATGTTGGACCGATCGATGAAGTTGAAAATGTTGATCGCCACACATAGGGTGAGGAGATGAAGGTCTGTCCTTTTTACTATGCGCCCCACCAATGACTTGTCCACAGTCACAGTCTCATGGGCAGCGGCAAGTACTTCTTGATTCGAATTCTCACCCATTTCTGTAGACTTCTCGACGTGGTCGATGTCCGAGTCGGAAGCAATCCACGCTTTCAGGTCACTGTTCTGTTGAATTGGCGTGTGGGAGGCCATTATCATTCTCTGGAATGGTCGATATGTTCAGAGATAGCAGATCAAGCGAGGTAATCTATGAGTCGTTTCTTTTGAGTTATTAGTGACTCTGCTTTGACTGGCTTCGAGGGCCTGTTGAGGTACTTGGGTGGAAGTATTTTATCCCCATGGAGATTGTGAGCGATCGGACCGAACAAGATCGGGCCGAGTTGATGTTAGCCATGGTTTGTGCTAGAACTCGAACAGATTTCAGAGTCCGGGAGCTCGGAGAAGAGAATCAATATGATGAGTCAATGATTTTACGAAGCAAGTAGCTTTGCTTGGTGGGCGATTTGATCGCTCCGATCATTTACCTTCTGTTGAGTTCTGGCCGTTGCAAACTTCAGAAAGCCCAAATCGCTGGGAAAGCGACTCAACCACTGGCGCTACATTTTGCATATTCGACACCGTCCAATAGCTTCAGAGAAAGAGCTCTGAAGCGTTGTCGTTGTCGTTCTCCTGGTTTAGAAACAGGTACGACACGACTCACAAGCACGAATGCTTCTCGGGTGGGCTTCAACGACAGAGCTCCTCGGCGTGATGAAGCAAGCTACCGGGACACGGTTCAACCGCAGACTTTGGGTCATCCAAGTAGACTAGGAGGACCTAGATTTCTGTTGTCCAGGTGCACGCCCTGAGCAAAGGCAGATGAACAGAAGTTTCGCAGAGAGGGTACTGTATGTAGTTGACATTAGTAGCCACATTGGCACTAGTGTCACGCTAAGATAAGATCTTCGGCAGACCTGCCACTTCCCGGCAGAACCGCGGGTTTGGTTCAAATAATTTTTTCGATCGCATCTCGAAGTTTCAAACCATTGAGTGACATTGCCCAGAGTCCACTTATCCTCACACCGTGCAACATGGGTAAATTAAAGAAGAAAGGAAAGGCCGGCCAGGCGAAGAACTACATCACAAGAACCCAGGCTGTCCGAAAACTTCAGATCTCCTTGCCTGATTTCCGTCGCCTGTGCATCTTCAAGGGCATCTACCCACGAGAGCCCCGAAACCTCAAGAAAGCCAACAAGTCGGCCACTCACTCGACCACCTTTTACTACACAAAGGACATTCAATATCTGTTACACGAGCCTCTCCTGGGCAAGTTTCGAGAACAAAAGACACTTGACAAGAAGATCGCCCGGTCATTAGGTCGCAATGAGGTGCAGGATGCGGTGCGACTTGAGAAACATGCTATGCCCAAGATCAAACTCGATCATATTGTTAAAGAAAGATATCCCACTTTTGTGGATGCGCTGAGAGACCTTGACGACGCTCTATCATTGTTATTCCTGTTTGCCAACCTACCTTCCACGACCACCGTCCCCCACAAAGTCATTGCACGTTGCCAACGCCTGTGCCATGAGTTCGAACACTATTTGATTGCCACAAACTCGTTACGGAAGTCCTTCTTGTCGATAAAAGGTATTTATTATCAGGCAACCATCCAAGGTCAAGATATCATGTGGCTAGTCCCCTACAAGTTTGTGCAGCGAGTCACTCAAGACGTGGACTATCGTATAATGGGCACATTTGTCGAGTTTTACTGTACACTACTAGGATTTGTGAACTTCCGCCTCTACACATCTATCGGTCTTGTTTACCCTCCCAAATATGACGCCGCAAGCGATGAGAGGGGTGCCGAGTTGGCGGCATTCACTCTCGAGGGCCGTGGTATTACTGGTCCCCAAGAATCCGAGAACGACCAAAAGACTCTGACCAACGGTCATGCACAAAATAGTAATTCCGAGGCTCTTCAGGCACAGATTGACAAGATTTCCAAGGACGATATCGTGGAAGACGACATCAAGGAAGCTGAGGACGTGGATGAGCCGGGAGACGAGGGTGCTATTGACGAGTTCAAAATCGCAGCTCCAGAAGGAGATGTTCTTCCCCAACCAGATCTTACCAGCGACCAAGCTGCGTCTTTATTTTCCAACCTAACTGTCTTCATCTCCAGAGAAGCTCCCAGACACCCGGTCGAGTTCCTGCTGCGGGCTTTTGGCTGTAAAAGAATTGCTTGGGATGCAGTTCTTGGTGATGGAGCTTTCACAAATGATGAAACTGACCCTCGAATCACTCATCAGGTGGTAGATAGACCAATGCCCGCACAGACATTCTCTATTGCACAAGTTGGAGAGGCTTCAGGTGATCAGAACCTCCAAGTTGTCATGCCGGGTCACATTGTACCTGGACGTACCTACATCCAACCGCAATGGATCTGGGATTGTATCAATGAAGGCAAGATACTTCGGACTGATGTCTACTCCCCAGGAGCAACATTGCCACCTCATCTCAGTCCGTGGATGAAACCCACCAGTGGTCAATACGATCCTAGAGCTACCTTGGAAGAGCAACAGCCAGAAGGTGAAGCTGATGAGGAAGTGGAGGATGACGACGATGACGACGAAGATGTCGCGGCTGACGACATCGAAGGACAAGAAGATGAGGAATCAGAGGCAGATGAGATAGATGCGGGAGACATGGATGTTGCCTCTTCTGGAGAAGACGATACATCTTCCGAGGACGACAATGACGAACATGAAGAGGGCTTCGGCGGGTTTGAAGATGGAGCTGATGTTGACGATGCATCCGACGACTTTGACGATGAAGCACAGCACCAGAAGGAGCTCGAAGCCGAGGCACTTGGTCGGCCGATTTCTGCGTCCAAGCAGAACCCCGTGGCTACACAAAAGGCCAAGGCCAAGAAAGAACGACAGACTAAGAAAAGCAAAAAGGATGAAGAAGTCGAACGCCAGAAGATGATGATGAGCAACAAGAAGAGAAAGTTGTACGAGAAGATGCAATTTGGCAACAATAAGAAGGATGTCGAGGCCGAAAAGCTCCGGGGCAAGAGAAGGAAGTTAGAGAAGGCTGGCAAGGCTGGACGATAAAGTCCAGCATTGTTAAAACTTAACGGGCATCATAAACAGCTTGAGGTTGGGCGTTTTAATTCGCATGATTCGACTATACCATGAAGAACCTCATTCATAATGATACTTTGCATGCTAGCGATGAGCAGCTGTAGCCTGTAGCCCACTTGATAATGCTTCCTAATTATTTCCAGATCTGCCATGCCTACCTAACCTGCCCATCGGAGAAATGGTGAGCTTGCCGCTTTAACACTTGGGTATTGTCACGGGAGTGCTCACTAAAGCAGCCGTCACAATTGTTCGGAAAGAGATCCCTCTACCTACGAAGCTTGCGGAAACTCAAGCTCTGAAATTGTCGAATTCTCAACAACACGTTCACCCTTCTCTCCAGCTTGCAAATACCTCTCATAAATCCACACGAGGCCTGAAAATGGCTGCGCAGCCCATCATGCTGCGTCTCGCCAGGCCTGTGGCCGCATCGATGCGCCGACAACTCCTCGTTCAAGCTCAGTCTTCACAGGTACTGCCCCAAAATGTTTCCCCTGCCCGCCAGACCTCACACGACTCACTAATTATCTTTCCAGCGGAGGTCGTTTGCCGAGAGGAAGGATACCATGTTAAGCTCCGACCCGAGTTTTTCACCGTCATCCACCGCTCCTCCTAAAATCGAGATACCCTTGGGCCCTGGAGGTCCCGGAAGTCCTGCACCCACCCCAGCAACCCCGTCATCCAGCTCTATCATTCCTCCGGAGAATGTTCCCAAGGCACCACCTACTCCTGCTCAAGTTCATTCAACTCCTCCTACGTCTCCGTCATCTGTGAGCCCGGCGGAGGCTCCACCTCCACCACCTCCAGCTCCCAAAGCAGCCCCTCCAGCTCGTCGCCGTTTTCGAGGGCTTAGATTTCTGCTATATCTCATTCTCTTCAGCGCATTGGGTTATGGAGGAGCTGTTTTTTACGCACTGAGAAATGACAACTTCCACGACTTTTTCACCGAGTATGTTCCATTTGGCGAGGACGCCGTTTTATACTTTGAGGAGCAGTCCTTCAAGAAGAGATTTCCCAATGCCCGACACAATGTTTCGCGGATCGCACGTCCTGAGAAGCCTGACGACAAGAGAGTGACAATCCCCTCCAAATCAGGCTTATCATGGAAGGTTGCGGATCAAGAAGGCAAAGGCAGTGATTTGACCCAAAAGGGTAAACACAACAGCGCTCTAGAAGCCAATAAACCCCCGACCAAGAAGGATATCTCCGATGCACGCCAGGATCCTAGTGGTGCATCCGGAAAAGAGAAGTCGGCTGCTGTTCAGGCTGTGAAGAAAGACGCTCCAGCCGCACCAAAACCAGCAACTACAGAGGCTTCAACAGCACCCCCAAGTCCTGCCACCCCTAGTCCTAAATCCGATCCTCGGCCACCAGCTATTGCGCCAGTCACACAGATCTCCAACCTGACAGTCCCTAATGCAGACGAACCTGTTGTCCAAGAACTCGTCAAAATCGTCAATGATCTTATCACAGTGGTCAACGCTGATAGTGCAGATGCAGCGAACAAATATTCCGCACCCATGAATAAGGCTAAAGAATCATTACAATCCGTTGCCAGCAAGATAAGCCTTCTTCGGGATGCAGAGCGAAAAGCTGCCGAAGAACAGATTCAAGCAGCCCACCGTGAATTTGATGAAGGTGCGAAGCAGTTGTTGAAACGAATTGAGACTGCCCAACTCGAGGATGAAGCTCGATACCGTGACGAATTTGAAGCAGAGCGTACCCGATTGTCGCAAAGCTATGAAGAGAAGCTCAAGACCGAAGTCGAGCGGAGCACACAAGTTGCCGAACAACGTCTCCGAAATCAGCTTAGCGAGCAGGCCATCGAACTGAAGCGTGAATTCTCCAAGCAGATCCAAGACCTCGTCGAATCGGAGCGTGGCGGACGGCTATCCAAGCTCTCCGATCTCAGCACAAATGTCGACAGCCTCACAGAATTGACTTCCGAATGGAACGGCGTGATCGACACCAACTTGGCGACCCAAAAACTCCAAGTCGCCGTCGACGCCGTTCGATCTGCACTGGCACGCTCCGCCGCGTCGGACGCTAAACCCCGGGCCTTCGTCCGCGAAATGGCCGCCTTGAAGCTCGTGGCTGAAGGCGACGCCGTTGTCGACGCAGCCATCGCCTCCATCAACCCCGCCGCCTACCAACGTGGCATACCCTCACAACCACAACTGATCGACCGCTTCCGCCGCGTAGCAAGCGAGGTCCGCAAAGCATCCCTTCTGCCCGAAGATGCAGGCGTCGCCTCACACGCCGCATCATTCGTCCTGTCGAAAGTCCTCTTCAAGAAACACGGTCAGCCCACCGGCACCGACGTCGAGAGCATCCTCACCCGCACCGAAACGCTGCTCGAGGAAGGCAACCTAGACGCGGCAGCGCGCGAAATGAACTCCCTCACTGGCTGGGCCAAGGTCCTCAGTCGCGACTGGCTCGGTGATGTCAGGAAGGTGCTCGAGGTCCGCCAGGCCCTCGATGTCGTCGAGACAGAGGCCCATCTGCAGTGTCTCCGCATCGAGGATGCCGCTACCAAGAAATAAAGACCATGGAAGCAGAGAAGAAAAACAAAGATTCTTGTACTTACTACTACTAGTTTTAGACGCAGAAAAAATTGAAGGGCTCTGATCGTTGAGCTCATGCTATTGACAACTTTTTCTTTGATTCTCCTAAATGACTAGGTGAATTTCTCTATATTGCCATCCAGTGTCGACTCGTTCCATCTGTGTACATATACTGCAGTGCTCCCTCATCTTGCACCTGACCAGCGCAGCTGGAGCCTAGCAGTGGATACTCTCGCTCGATTGATTGAGCCTCGTCTTAGAAGGGACATGCACCAGCAGAGCTCTTGGCATCTTAACAGCAGGAGCGGGAGCAGGAGATGGAGTTGCTTTCTCTTCGATTCAATCGGCTCCGATCTCTGGACCCACTGAGACGGACGCTGCGCTTACAAGCAACGAGAGACTCTTAGGAGCGGTGCTTTATCTTGAATCTTGGTTTCATGTGATTTCCACTGCCTGTCTGGTGGAATTGCAATCAACCCGTATGAAATCTTCGTGTAGTGGGGACCTCATTAGGAGGGTTGTGCACAAGTCGCGAGTCTGGTCAGGAGGGTATATGTGTGTATTAATTACTGTAAGATATGTATAGATAATAACAAACGCTTATGTGACAGAGAAAGAAACTGAGAGAAAGAAGGGGAGGGCGGCGAAGTACAATGAATTGGCTTCGCAGAGCACCTGAGCAGTGGTGATAGCCTCAACGCCGACGCTTTCAGACGATATCCATTACATTGCTTGCTCACAAGCACAAAACGACTGATACTCTCGAGTCTCCGGGTGTATCGAGGGTCTCGCATAGCCTAAACATGGTTCCCATCACAAACAGGCACCACTTCTTGACTCAAGAAACATGAACGCGATGCTAGAATCTGCATTTCACTCCGAGGTTCAAGTCTGCTGATTTGAATTGGCGAAACTTAATCAATCCAAAGCAACCATCTTGTCGTGTTGCCGAGAAATCTGAATGTGGCAAGGATCGCCTGGAGAAAGCTGACAATGGCCCAGATGAACCACAATAACCCAACAACGCCCCATTCAATCATGGCAAACCAGATCTTTCTCACCACTTTGAAAGGACCTCGTTTGCGTCTCCGAAATGCAGCATCAATTGAATCGTTCAAGCTTTTTACTGCCAATGTGCTTGCCGTAGTTAGCTTGATACTCAGCTCTCCTGCCGCATCTGCAGTAATGCGGACTTGAGGAGTGAGGGTATTCTCGACGCTGTCTTCTAACATTTGAAGTTGTCTATGTAAGGTCGGAGCCAATGCTGCTGTAAAAGAATGCAACTTATAATTGAACGACTTCGAATGTTTCTCCAGAGTGTCCGTGATGTTCTTAGCGGCCACAACATGTTCTTCACGGCGCTTAACTCGTTTGACAGAATGCAAGTCCAGATTCTCGGGAGCAAAAGAATCCAACAAGAACTTTGGCGTATGTGTGTGAGGATCCTCAGCACGGCGACCAATTTCCCGTGCTTTCACAGTCGAACTATATAATAGAGCTTCTGCACGTCGAATATCCCTCCATGTCACATGGGTGGGTTCGAATTGTTCTTGTCCTTGGTCGTTCTGGTCTCCCAAAGCCAGTTCGCTGGCAGATCGAGTGGGATGAAGATGTGGCAGGCCATTGGCAGGCCCAATGGCATTGTTCAGGAGATTCGAGGCATCACGAGACCTGCTTAGATCCAAAGCCTGTGAAAATCCATAGCTTTTTCGTCTAGCAGGGTCGAGAGGAGCAGTAGCTTTGGATGTGTCAATTTTCGGTAATGCTAGACGTAGTCTAGGAGAACGAGAGGATGCACGAATGTCTTCTCTCGTATTATCGGGTGAAGCTTGACCTATTGTTGAACCTGGTGTCAAGAGAGCTTTCTTCTCTTGTTCTTCTCTGTCTCTTTGAAATGGAGATGTGAAGCTAGGCAAATTCGGGTTGTTATACTTCGGTCGGTCGTTGGACGGTGGACTGGTTCGAGTGTGCACGAGCGTAGGTCTATCACTCTTTGTGCTCGAAATCGTAGAAGATCTTGACCTGGGTCCAGGAGCAGGTGGTAGATGAATTGCAGTCCCATTCTCGTGGGGCTCTTTTTCATCATCAGAGTCATAGGATCGCAAACTAGCGTCCGACGTCGAAATTCTAGGCCTGTGGTGGCCAGGGTGATCACGTTTCCAAATGTAATCTCCAACCCGAGAGACTTCATTCCCTACCAATTCAGCAATACGTCCGCCCTTGAAGATACCACGAAGTTTGTGGTGTTCGTTCCCACCGTGAGCAGTAGACCTGGTGCTAACCTTACTAGCGGTACTAAGTCTATGCTCATTCGAGGAATGTGGTGCCAAATCATCTGGTTGGGTTCGATTCTTTGACAGAGGACTTAAGCCTCGGGACATGGGACTTGCACCTCGAGAATCTTGGGAAGGTTCAGAATGCTTCTCAGCATCACTGCCTGGTTGGCTGGGTACGACGTGAGCAAAATCAGTGGTGCTGATGTTTTCGTGATCTTTGTGTTTCTTGTTGAATGGATGCAACAATGAAGACCTTTGCTTCCGCACCGGTGACGTACTTCTGCTCGGAGGTGGAGAGAGGTTGATTGCTATACTTGGCCATTCAACCACTGCGGGGGAGCTGGGTGCCGTAGTGGTATCATATTCAGTCGAGGCACGAGGAGGACGCTCGTTATCGACGCTCGATCGAAAAATCCCCATTTTCGGCCCCGCTGCAGGCGATCCATTTCGAATTCGTGAGCCTGGACGAGAGGATATCTTCTTGAAGTTATCACGCAACAGCAACTTATTCAACGCGGAATGGTCAACTGAAGATCTTTTTGAATTTGGAACCGAGGATCCGGGACTGGAATCCGCTCGCGCGTGTGATCCTGCCTTAATCGTTTGCTTGGTTTTCGTGGGTGAAAGATCATCTGAATCGTGTGGCTTTTGTCTCCGCCGACGCAGGCGCCTTCGACCACGTTCAGGGGCACCATCATCAGAGGAAGAGGAAGTGTCAGAGAAGTCAGTGTCACTGCTGTCCGGGAACAATTTCCGTTTAATTTTAGACCGCTCTCGAGAGCTACTTCCGTCTTTCAACTGAAGAGTGTCTTTCAGTCGATCTCTTCGACGACTATGACGGCCAGGATCGTTTTTTGATTGCGCAGATTTGAACGTGGGCAACTCTGGAAGGGCTGAGGGAGGTTGTGACTCTGGTTCGTGATGCTCAGAAGCCGGAGGTGAAGGCTGTTGCAATGTCTCTGGAATATGGACGGGCGTTTTATTGCGCCAGCCAGAAAATTTGAAATGAGTATTTGGTGGATATATCAAATTGTTATCCCGATCCTGGATCTTAGATTTGTTCATCCCTTGTTCCAACCAATATGCATCAGCGAGTAAGTCGGCAGGATGAGTGACCCAATCCGACCGAGGTCGTATTGGTCTGGGATGGAATTGATCGGCCAGGCGAGGGGAAGTGGCTTTTTTCATATCGTCAGGAACATCATCTTGATCATCAGGTTCAGGGTCTTCTGATTGTTGATCCAGCGGAGGTAAGCGTAGACACTCATCCGGGTCATGTTGGGTGACTGTATTGCTTGAAACTACTGCGTCAACCCATGAGCGAACTTTGTGAATATCATGCCAGCCATCTGTTTCCACGTCAATGGGTGTCTTCTCCCATATGCGCAACTTTCTGTTTCGTACATATTGCAGTGGATTGTAAGACTTCTGCAAAGCTTCAGGGCGGTGGGAAACGAGGTAGCTGCCAGGACGACGGAGGGGTGGCAAGTGCGACAGGAGTCGACGGTGCTCATGGGCAAGCTCAAAGAATATTTTGGCCTTCTCCACGCGGGCGGCTGTGGCAGGAGATAGTTTGTGAGTCAAGTCCATATCACCATCCGAGAGATCATCCAAAGTGGCGGGATCATTCTCGGGTCCTTTTATCGACGCACCGGGATCAACATATGAGGCGGAGAAACTCGGTTTTGGCGAACGATTGCGAGACCCTTGACGATTGGAAGCTAGGAATGGTGCAATGCTTCTCTTTCTCACCGTGTCCCTTGCTGAATTTGTAGTAGCAGTAGAGACGACACGGCGTTCGCCCTGTTCGGTGGAGACATATCTCCGTCCAGAAGCAAGTCGTCTTCGACCCTCGCTCAGGGTCAAGGCCATATTTACAATCTGAGCAGGGTCATGGTCATACCCAACATTGGCCAATGGCGATCGGTTGATCTCCACCACCTGGGAGCTTGAGGCTGGGCTCCCTGTGGAGCGATAGCCACGCTTGGATGATGAAAGTGAGCGACGGACATCAGTGCCTGGAAGCAGTTGGTCGAGCCTGGAGTCGTGGTGGATGACAGGGTCCCGCTTAACCTCCGTGGCAAGAGGGGAGCTCCGAAATGTTGACAGATGGGTGTCATTGTGCCTTCTCTTGGGAACGGACAGCTCCGAATCCTCATTCTCTCGTTTTGACCGAGTGTTTTGACGGGAAGGTGTTGTTGAAGCTCTGGCATGACGGGTCGAGTTGGAAACGGATTCGAGAAGGAAGCCACCCGAAGAGCGATTGAAGGAACGGCGGGACTCATTTTCCTTGCCTCGTCCAACTTCCTTGTCCTTCTCTTTGCCCTTTGAGCCGCGGTCGCTGGTAATGCTAGAGGCGGCGAAAGACAAACGGTCCAGGAGATGAGGACTCTCTGGACTCTCGCTTTTTCGATTACCATTCGATTGTGATCTTGGCAGGGAGCCAATGAATTGAAACTCGGGGAGGGCGAGACGAGCACGATCAGGTGCCGGTGCAGGTGCAGGTGCGGAATCGGAATCGCTGGCGACCGTGCCGTTGGGAGGAGTAAAAGTCGACATTCAGCCACCTGCCATTGGCGCAGGTGTATGAGAAGACTATCGCAGCTCGCTGCGCAAAGACAAGACCGAGATCATTTCAACTGAGCCAGAGGGAAACACGACTCTGTAGGTTGAAGTTGGGTGAAAGTTGAAGATGGTGGAGTCGATGGCTAACTCAGCAAAAGACTAGTGTTTGTCTTGTGTCCAGAGAGGGTATCCAAATGTAGGGCGGATGAATTAGTGAAGGATGATGATGGGCCGAATAAGCGGACCAGTGGTCAAGACAGACGAGGTGACTGGATGAAGTTTCGGTTAGATGTGTAGAACTGATGATCCTGGGATCTTTCAGGTCCATGGATCATGACTACGAGGTGCCTAGGTAACTCCAAAAGGGTTTTAACTAATTGGGCACTGATCGGGCAAAGGATAATCCCGTTCCAGTGGGTCTTGCCTAGTATGTTGAAGTCCCGGGTCGTGCCTGCCACGCCTAACTTATAGCTGCATGACGTGGCTTTGACTGAACTGGAACATTATTGTACTTCTTATTCTTGTCCACCTAAATGACTCTGCCTGAGACGGGGCACGCACCACAACACTGGACAATCTTCAACACCAAAGGTGTACTATCAGACTCATGTAGAACTTGGCTAGGAAGAGGCTGGCAGATATTATGTCTTCCAATAATAAATCATCTAGTCTAGCAACGAAGTCAGCCTGAGAAGCTTCGGTAGTCTACAAGATAGTCCTTGTTCTATAGATATTGAACTACTCAAACATGGTTACATGCATCTTTCCATAACTGTATCATTCCGTTTCCCTGGTCGGACACTTTGATAAAACAACCTCTAGGATCTACTGCTCAAGCAGCCTCATAATAGCAAGTCTGGCATGCTCGCTCGTCGGGATCCTGTTATGACCACCATGGCTCACTCTTTGCCAACGTAGCTTCTTCCTCCCATCCACACTCGCCCATATCTCAAGATCCCTGTCACGGGAAAACTCAATCTCTACACCGGCCGAAGATGTCGCCGCCTCAAGCACTCGTTCCCAGCTCTTGCGTCCTTCATTCCACGGGATTTCCCAGTCGTCTCGAGCATGAATCATTGTGAGGTCCAGTTCAATGCCAGGGTTGCTAACGAGCTCCACCAGTCGTAGGTTTGTGTCCCATTTGTCAACGAGTTTGGAGAGGAAGTATTTCTGGATTTTGGGGTAGGCGAGTAGTGGTGATAAAAGCGGTGGAGTGAGACCCTTGATGGAGTAAGAGTCTAAAAGATTCGTAAGGGACGTGAAGCTGGCAAACAAAACAAGGGCTCTAAATGGAGCACGGCCCAGCGTGATGGCCCATTCGTGATAGAGTGCGGAAGAGATGAATGTGCCGAGGGACTGTCCAACAAGAATAATCTGAGATGCTTTCAACGAAGACGGCGAAACGGAAACATCTGAAGAAGTGGAAGCGTGACCGGTCAAGGCAGATAAGAGAGACACCGAGTCCTGAATCACTCCATCTTCCGTAGGGCTACCAGTACTCCAGCCGAAACCGCGGTAGTCGAATGCAATCACATGGACTGGTCTTTCAGAACTTGATGTCCCTAGAAACTGCTGATATGTCGCTGGTCGGTGACTTGAAGCCAGATGTGCAGCATTGCCATGGAAGCTGACAACCACAGTAGCCTTGGGGTCTTCTAACAACAAGCGCAAGCCGACAGTCTCTGCAGCCTGAGCATATGGCTTCTGGCCAAAGTCGCCCTGTGCCTTCAAGGCTTCTTCGTGCTGCATATACAAGTGTGTGGGCAGGATATGCCATGCAAACAGCGTCACATTGTCTGGAGTTGTGACAGTGAATGGCTGTACCTGATGATGCAGAAACCCAAATTGCTCCACGTTGCTTAGGTTTTGCCAATAGGATGGGTTCACATTATGGGCATATGTGGCATTGCGTTGCAACACTGGGTATGTCAACGCCCCGATGGCCAGTGCATAAATCAAACCTGCGCCCGCAAGGCCCCAGTATGCTTTGCGGAGGAACCCGCCGGATGCCATCTGCTGCGGCGATGGATGTCTGACGAACAATACCTCTCGTTCATCCAGCTGTAGAGATACTGTAGGCAGACGTGCAAAAATAGCGTGAAGGCGGCATCTTCGGCAGCTTGGCCCTCAGCCTTCCACGTGATCTAAAGCCTTGTTCGGCTAACTTGCTTTCATCTCGGTGCACTCCATGTCGCCTGCAATTCTTAGATGTGAATGTCTCATGGCTTGGGTCATTATGACAGTATCATCCTTCACTTCTGTGACACGCGAACAACATCATCACTTGATGTTGCTCTCCGAATGACATCCGCGCTCCCAAATATGCGGCACAGTTTACATCTTTAATTCTCACTCTTACTGGTGCGCGAACAATCATGTCTGACGAGACTGCGGTGAAGAGGAGGGTGTCAGGACGAGATCGACGCGAATCTACTGCGAAAAGAAGAGCGTCGACCCCAGCACAACCTGTCGCTCCGTCCACACCATCAATCTCCAGGAAAGCCTCCACTCCGGCTGCCAATGTAGCCTCAGAACCTCGTCAAAAGCGGTCGTATACCAAAAGAGCGAATCAGGTTCGAGTGCAGACCCCGGCTTCTCGAGATTCACCACCAGCCTCTGTTGAAGAGGATGTGTTGCCCACCAAGATTGCCCCCGATCAAGCGCTTCATACAACCAAGGAAAAACAGGCGACCGATTTGTCTCTGAAAGACTATCAGTCGATCTCTGACAGTGCCATTCTGGCCGCGTCTCTACACCGGTCTCGAATGCAATGGCTATACGATGGAGTGTTCGAGAAATACTGGGTAAAGCCATTCAAGAGGAAGGGCGTTGTTCAACAGCCACCCAATAACCCTGATGTGAAGACCATGTCTAAACTAGGTCTTGCGACCATCACCATCGAGCCTCATACCTTTGATGCGATCTTTTATGTTGTCCGCGATCCGACGGTACTCCAACCAGCTTATCCACGCCATGCCAACCAGCACACACCAAAAGCGATGCTACCCCAATTGAACGCCTCTCCTCGACCGACTGGTATGTATCCTCCTCCAATACCGTACCAGAGCCACCCATCCAGTCCAGCTCTCATTTCCAAACCTCCCCAAGTGACATATCAAAGTCAACCCGCCACCCCGCCTACTGGTTCAGCACCTCCTCCCTCCGTCAATACATCTTTACCTCCTGCACCTGTTGTGCCTCCGACTCCGCCACCAACACAACAGCAAACTTCAAATGGTCCATCAAACACCCCAACACCAGCCAAGCCGGAGTCGACTGTGACACCTACCACCGCCGTCACGCCGGACATGGCTGCGCCGCCACCAATTGCATCTAATCCACCCCCAAAACAAAGTCCTACCCCGACATCTAGCGATAAGTCGAACGCACCAGCTAGTACAAAGGGTGGTACGACAGATCCAGTGATTCAAATGCTTGCCGCACGGGCAGCTACAGACACCCGACTAAAGGAGTTGATGAAGATAGTCGCCACGTCCAAGGCCTCGCCGGAACAGTTGAAGGAATTTCAGGCACATATCGACGAGTTCAATCAGGTGATTAGGAAGCAAGAGGCGGAAAGATCTGCCAAAGCAGGTAATAATCCAACGGCCAAGCCTCCAGCGACCAATGTTGGTCCTTTACAGCCAGGCCAAGGTCCAGATTCGAGACCCGGGGTGCAGCCTCCTACTCCTAAAGCAGCTACAGCCAATCCTCCCACAACAGCACAAAGCCCGTCTGGCCCACCTGCTGTTGGTGCATCTCATCCACCTCCGTACAAGGCCCAGGCTCCGCCACCCGCGCCACCCCGACCGCCAATGCCTCCACCAGGACCAAGCACGAATACTCTGCCAGGGGTGATGCATAGGTACCCTCCAGCACCTTCTAGTGGACCAACAAGACCTATGACGGGATATATGGGATATCCTCCAGCGCCGGCACCACCACCACCTCGGCCAGAACCAATCATCAGACATGTTGTAATGGAACTCACCAGCACCCCTTCTGCGACCCAGTCTGCTTTATCGGATCGATGGCTTTTCCCCGAGCATGCTGTTCTTGAGATCCGGCCATCAGGGTTGGAAATGCTCTGTTCATTTCTTGTGGAGAAGAAAGGCAAAAACATGGGGACTCCCATTGGGGGAGGTGATTCAGCAGCAACGGAGGAAGTAAGTGGAAGTGGAAATGGCAGTGAGAGTCAGGGCAAGTTTTCAGCAGAGAAGGAATATTATCAACCGGTGACCATGACGATCAAGGTGACGCAGCACAAAACAATAGCGACGATAGCTCAGGCAGCGAAACCATTGGCCACAGTGCAGGAGTACATGAAGGAAGTGATGGCGAAGAAGGAACGCGCACCGACCGAGTATTTGGTGCATCAGCTTCCACGTGAGAAGGGGACTGAAGGAATTGATCAAAGCTTTGTCGACAGCGGCGTGGAGATTGGCAGTGGCTCTGATATGGAGGACGAGGAATTGCAGGATGTGTATGGAATATGAGGGGCCAGGAGCAAGCCGGTCTCGTGGGATGTGTATGTTGGAGTAGTGCTGGTGGATGATAAAAGGCAACTACGGTCGGGCTTCGAATGACTCAGGCATGGAGATAGGTCTACGTTGTTAGGCAGCCACTGCTGATCACCTTCAAATGGAGGTTCTTGCCTGGGGGAGGGAACCACCACTGGGTAGGTAACTAGTACAGTATTATCAAAGTCGTGCCTTCCTCAAGACTTCGACTTGGACACTGCACGTGCTCCCTAACTGAGCGGAGAATAATAAGCCCGTGAATGGCTCCTACCTTTTTTTTCAGAGCACATGCTTCCGCCCAACTTCCCTGTTTGACTCACTGCACCATGAGCATAGTTGATCACTGCCCAGCTCAGATCCATCATTGTTCTGTGCGGACTCGTCTAACACTCCGAGCCAGCCTTTGATTAAACTAGCAATTAAATCCACCTTTAGACTTTTGGTCATGGCCCCAACAGAGTTTGGTGAGCGGACCGATTAAAGGCAAGCCACCAGATGGAGCTATCTATCGGAAGTTGTATCCAGAACTAATAGAGGCCTTGTCTAACGGTTCTTTGGCCCACTGGCTCCCACATTCACTGCCATCCACCAACAATCTTCATCATGTCTATCAACCTTGGTGGCGCCAGTCCTTTTGCCTATTGGTTTGTCTATTGAACCCTGTCTCTACTCCCGTTAATCCGCATCACATTTCGTCAAGTCTTTTCCCCCCTCCATGTCTCTCTGGGCACCTCTCTCACCAATTTCTACCTCATCATCTTTACAACCCCTACCAGGCCCACCACCTCCGAGTACCTGGATATCCGTGCTCTCAGGCACCGAAGAGAACCTTCAAGCAGGGTTGACATCCTGGACGCCACTGGCACGCTATCTGGCCTTCACACTCTGGGACGGGACCGTACCTGACTGTGTGCACATCCATGTTGAACTTGTCGCATTATGATCGTCCACACTGTCTGATGCCATCATCTTCCACATGTCGTCCTCAACTCTTACCGTTTCTTCCTTCCCTCCTCCCTCTCCGTCCCCTTCATCCGCGCCCGTACCCGCGCCATTGCCAAAGCCAACACAGGTCAAATTTTACCGTGCTGCACAGATGGCTCTCTTCGCACATATTGCTGTCTTCCCTCCCCTTGGCCAGGTCACAGTCGCTTCGCCTAGCCGGGATCCGGTAAGTTCCTATTCCCCAGCTTGTATACTCCTAACCTTGACCCTCCCCTTGAACCTATCGTGGCCATTTACCCCACTATGCGTGGCATGCCCGGTTTTTCTTTTTCCCCAGTCTTCATATACATGCATCTGAAAGCTAACCACCAAACAGTTCAACTTCACTGTCGTTCTCGAGTCTGACAAATCCCTGCCAGAAGTTCCCTGGGAGGTTTCGATTTGGTATGATCATGGCGCTTACTCGGGAGCAAAGGCTGCGTCTTCATGGCAAGCTCTTGATCTTGATTTAGTGCATCATACTCCGGCGGTACTCTATGATGACTCTCAGAAGTCGGGCTATCGTTACACTTTTTCTGGAAATCTCCAAAGTCCATACACTGTCGAAGACAAAATCTACAAGGGCCGTCGGATACCTTTCACCATTCGCTACCGCATTAATTCTCACTCAGAATGGTCTTGGGTTTTCCACAACTATGGCCTTCAGGACGGAGAATTTATTTTACAGCCACCCGTTGACCCCAACTTTCTAGGTGCAACCCCCTTTGATATCGATGAAGGTTGGATTGCTCGGAAAACACCTAGCGAAGCACCCGATGCCCGGCTGTATAGTATCGAGTCTGCTCACCCCATCTATGTACCCGAAAATGGCAACGCTGGATTCGAGCGACAAGTACTCGGTCGGGTCACTCAAACTTGCAGATACATGGCTCTGGTGAGGATATGGGAACCGTGGCTGGCCCCCCGACATGGAGGCAGCCACTTCCGTCTCGAAGAACCAGCTATTCTTATGTCTTTCCTTCGTTCGGATGGTCTTCATGTTGTTCTGTTCGCCATTAATGGTATTGATGAAGTCCTTACACAATTTCGGTCTACTGAGAATGGCGACATTGTGGTCGAGGCCCGAAACGATTCGGGGAAAGACCGAAAGTTTCGTATTTTGGCTGCTACTTCATGGAATTTCGAGATCGCAAATTGCGCCGTCATGTATGAAGCTCGCAAGTTGGTGCGTGAGTCTTCCGCATACCAGCAAGCGGCTGCCAAGTTTCCTCAACATGTGAAAACAGAATCCGTTGAGTCAGATACTGTGCTTGTTTCTCAAGCTCGCGGAACACAATCCCCAGACGGAGTACAGCCTCAATGGCTAGAATCATGGTACGACAACCTTGCTTACTGCACGTGGAACTCTCTTGGTCAGGACCTCAACGCCGAAAAGATCATGAATGGACTAGATTCATTGGCTAACAACAATATAAACATCGCCACACTCATCATTGACGACAATTGGCAGTCTCTTGACGGCAAACAGGGTGAGACCTCTCAATTCAACCGTGGTTGGAAGGCGTTTGAGGCCAACCCTCTTGGTTTTCCTGAGGGTCTCAAGACAGCAGTGGCCAAAATCCGAAAGGCCCATCCTAAGATTCATGATATTGCAGTTTGGCACGCATTGATGGGCTATTGGGGCGGCATCTCTCCCGATGGTCAACTTGCCAAAGATTACAAGACTCAATGGACCCACTTTCGTGACGGCACTCCTATGGCTGGAAAGAAGCTTGTCATTCACCCAGATGATATTCATCGACTTTATGATGACTTTTACCGCTTCCTATCAGACGCTGGAGTGACTGGTGTGAAGACAGATGTACAATTTGCACTTGATCTCCTTGCCGATACTCCTGATCGTCAGGCTTTCACCAATACATATCAGTCTGCTTGGACTCAAGCACATCTGCGACACTTATCGGGCAAGGCCATATCTTGCATGTCGATGATACCTCAAATTCTGTGTCACAGCTTTCTTCCAACCAATTTCTCGAGGATATTATTGCGGAACAGCGACGATTTCTTTCCCGAAGTTCCTACTTCTCACGCCTGGCACGTGTTTGCAAATGCTCACAACGCTTTGTTTGTTCAGCATCTTAACGCTCTTCCTGATTGGGATATGTTTCAATCAAGCCATCCTTACAGTGGATTTCATGCAGCTGCTCGAAGTCTATCTGGAGGACCGATCTACATCACCGATACCCCTGGTGAGCATGATGTTGAGCTGATCCATCAAATGACCGCCCTAAACCCTAGAGGTCAGACCGTCATCTTGCGGCCCAGTGGTATTGGCAAGACAATGGGCGTGTATGACAAGTACGACGAGAAAGCAGTCCTCAAGATCGGAGTCTACCATGGCAAATCTGATGTTGGAAGCGGTATGCTCGGTGTCTTCAATATTGCTGAATCGGAGAGTAGGTTCATTCTCCCAATCACCAAATTCCCAGGTGTGAATGCCTCTACAACAGATAAACCAGAGTCAGCTAAAAGATGGATTGTCCGCTCTCACATATCAAAGCGCATCACACAACCCATCCAGCCAACCGACCCTATTCGACCAGACAATCTTCTCCAAGGAAGACTTCCCATACGAGGCTATGACGTCTGGTCTGCCCTACCTGTGGACACCTTCCGGCTCCCCTGGTCACCAGAATCGACCCTCGACCTCTCGGTGATTGGTCTGCTCGGAAAATTTACTGGTGCTGCGGCGATCGTTGACCTGTATTTCAATTTTAATGACGTCCAGGAGGGTACGGCAACAGCTTCATTCTCAGGCTCTCCACTCGGCCACCGTCTTAAAATCCACATTCAGCTGAAGGCTCTTGGCGTCTTGGGCATTTGGCTATCAGACGCTCAGTCTCGCAGCATCGACGACATGATGGTCATTATACAGAGCCGGGCGGTTCCTAAACATGTCGTGTCGCTTAACTTGGATAATGTGCCGGACGGTTCTTCGGCCGGTGTACTTGAAATCGATGTCGCTACAGCATGGAAAGAGAACGAACTCGAGCACGGCTGGAGTAATGAAGTAGGTGTCGATGTTTTCTTACGATGATAGCAGAAACGATTCATTGGACGTTACCTACGAACACGGCATGAACAGGTGCATTGAACGGAGTATTCACTGAGGGTAAAAGCTAAGCATTCTCAGGCTTCTTTTAGATGAAGCCCCTACAGAACTTACTCTACCTAATATTCTTCCTCAAACGTTAAAACCTCCAATTTGTTCTCCATGATTTTACCAAATGTGAACACAACGATGCCCTTTCACAACAAGCCTGTTGTTGTAGGCACGAGAAAGGTGTCATTTCCCCCTGTTGGAGGAGTTGAACATGGTTAAAATTTCTCGTTCGTTCGGCCTGACCTGAAAATGGAGCGCCATAGACCTAAAGCATACATCGGCCGCATGGTCCACGAGTCGTGATCCGATGTAGATACATCCTGTTATCCTTGGAGGCATCCCGTTGCTGGACTAACCCCCCGACTGAATGTGGTGTTCGCTTTGACTTGTCTTGTCCCTCCCTCCGCGACACTAACAGGTGGTATGGTCTCTGATGGGGTAAGTAGTCCCCATGAGGGCGGCCATGCGCCCTGAATATTGAATATTCTGTCGGTAGTAGTGACCAGTGCTACCAAAGTCCTATCCTTCCTTTGACTCATACATGCCGACCTCTCCTTCCTCATTCCCTTGGGGTTTTACTACTTATCCTACCTATGTGTCGAGAAACTTCCTAGTACTAACCCCATCATCCATAAATCTTTGTTATTCTCTTCATCTCACCCAGGGGCCAGTACATCCAGGAATCCAGCTCGCGGCCACAACAGACGCGTTTCAGGATAACCATTCTTCTATCATAACTGCGGTTCCTAGAGGTTCAGTTCTTGAAGAAATCGGTGGCTCAAGATGAATATTCTGAAGTCCAATATGGGCTTGAGCATGAGCATGAGCAGGAATATCTATATCTCCATTAAACTATCATCACTAATGCGCTATCTCCACCAGTCTACAGACGACCCAGTCTCTCTCTCTCTCTCACACACATCTTTCACCAATCAATACGATCATCACAGACCAACTCGACGGCCGCGCGCTCATCGCCCCTCCACACGCGCGCCCCGTCATTACACGCCGCAACGGCCGTGCGCAGATCCGAGACCAAGCCCCCAGGCCCGGAAGCGAAGACGCTCGTCGGGCCGTGTGCGGTGGCCGCGACGAAGTCTCGCACCATGGCGCCGACGTCTGGGTGGCGGCGGGCGCGCGAGTTTTCGGGGTTGTTGTTTGATGATGGCGACGCGGAGGAGGAGGAAGTGTTGTGGTATGTTATTGAGAAGCGGCGGCCGTGATGGCGAGGGGCGGATTTCTCGTTTGCGCCGGATGACGAGGACGAGGAGGAGCCGCCACGGTGGATCTCGTCGTCCCTGGATGTGAGGGACGTGGAGGAGCCAGTTTCCCTGCCCGTTCGGATATCTGTCGTGGTGTGCTTGTCCGCCGGTGTGTGGTCTGTGTCGGTGAGGGTGTCTCGGGTTACGTAGACTCGTATTTGGAGGTTCAGGCGGTCGCTGGCGGCCCTGAGGGTGTCCAGCTCGCGTTGGACCCAGCGGACGTCGCTGCGGCGGCGGACGATCCAGACGAATTCGATCTTGCGGGTTACGGGGTCGTCGGAGGCGTTGAGAACTGGTGCTGTGATGATATACTGTAGGATTGGGAGCACGAAGGTGACGCCGCTGCCGCCGGCGATGGCGAGGATGTTGATGTCGTTCGTGTTGGCGATGTGGTCCACGTGGGATGTGCCGTAGGGGCCTTGCAAGATTACTGGGATGGTGGGCTTGAGCGACCTGGTGCTGGAGCGAGGCGCGGACTGCAATGCTGCTGGGAGAATGCTGGTGTTGGGCTCGTGAGTTTTGAGATCTTTGCCGTCGTTGGATGTAGCACTACCAGGGGCTGCAGCCTCGAGGGTCTTGGCACGTGCGATTTCGGCAATTTGACGAGTTTGGCCACCCTGTGCACGATATACATAGGTGTGGGTGTTGGAGATCTTGCCGCTGCCGACACCTGCTAGGCTGGCGGGTGTGAAGGGATGAGATTGCCAGATACTGCTATCCGGGAAGCAGAGATAAAAGTGCTGACCTGGCGCCCAGGCATTATGGTTATGTTCAAAGTCCAGGCGCACAACATCTCCGTTCTGCTCGTCTTCAAAGAAGCTGATTTGAGCTTGCGCACTCCGGAAACCCATCGAGGAAGTCGATTCCGGAAGATATTGGTAATGAAGGAGAAAGGCCCGGACGAGTCGGATGATGCGGTCGAGACCCCAGACGGCCAGGCTGGCGATCATGAAGCAGCCGAGAGGAGCCCAGTGGCCGTAGCATCCTCCGATGAAGATCATAGCCATGACGTAGTGGACCTTGCGGAAGACTTCATAGCCCGTGAAGCGAATCGAGCATGGGAGGGAGAGCACGAAAATGAGCGCGATGAAGATCATCGCGACTATGCCCCAGATCGCGTATGTCTCGGCCATAAACGCATTCCAGACTTGAGGTTGGGGTTGGTATAAGCGAAGTTCGATGATCAGCCAGCCGATGGTGTGGATGGTGGATTGAAGGAAGATGATGTAGCCAAGCCAGCGGTGCAAGAATTGGAAATTTTGATATGGGATACCCGTCAGAAGAGAAAGCAGAGACTCGCGGTTGGCGAGTAATATGGAGAGCGGCATTAGAGCATAAGCGAGGACTCCAACACGGTTTGACCACGGCCCTAAGGTCGTGCGAGTGCGGAAGACGCCTTCCATATTCTTGACAGGCGTCATCCATAGTCCATAGGTGAGTCCTGCGAAACTGACGATGGTCACATAGCTAGTGAGGGCGAGCAATATCACGACCTGGAGACGAGTCGTACGACCGAATATTGACCGAATAGACTCGGGCAGGAGGTAGTGACGGATGCTTGCTCGGAGGGCCATGGTGAGCCTGGTGACGGGGTGCTGGCGGATGGAGAATGTTTCTCCTTCTTTGCCGGATTCGAGATTTCGTCGACTTGGTATCAAGCGCCTTCCGATGGCATAGAGAAAGAGGAGCCCGCCAAAGATGGCCCACATGATACCGATAAAGAGGACGCTGTAGTCATGACCATCGTAAACAACCTCCAGGTATGCGCCTGAATAGAAGTGTCAGTGTTGTTTCATCCATTGCGAAAGATAGAAGCCGTACAGCTGGGGACATCATTTGCACATGGTACAACTTGATCTGCATATCCCCAATGTGGTTTGAGTGACTCTGCCGAAGCATGATCTTGCATATGCTGCCGTCGCAGCAGCGAGGGTAGATGTTGTGTGAGTGATGCCATCGGTTTGATATTCGGTGTCGTTCAGGCCCACCCCAGCAACTCCAAGGCAGAGCCAGTATTCACACCAGCGAACATTTTCATTCATATAGCATGACACGGCAATGGCCCCGATCCCATGTGGCAGAACGCATGAAGCAGCGGATAAGGCTCGTTGCGAAGTGGGGTGCATAGACTGAAATTCTCTCCTGGTGCTTGGCGTGAGCAAGTTTCTCTGCTTGGGACCTGCCTCAGAGACTTCGAATGTTCATCTCGATATCATATCACTGGCCAGCTTATTCTCGATACGGGGCGTCCTCCGTATGATTCAATCCATGGTGGATTGAGACCGCCGAGCCAAGTGGTCGGGACGAGCGTGGGATTCTCTCTAATGGTGTCTCTCGGTATTTCTGGCGGAGTTGAGCAGGTTCGCGAGATCTGCTTTCCATGGCATGTAATATCGAGGTATTCATTGCGAGCGAATTCATTGGTGCTCGTAGGTTCAAGCGCGCTTTTTGCATCGGTGCTGGCGTCTCAGCCTTTCATGCTCACACACAACCAAGACTTTGGCATTGCTGATACCAAGCAAAGTGAAATATGGCCATGACCGGCCCGGTATGCACATGGCGAGCAAATTTTGGCCTACCAGATTCGTCTCACCTTGGGCAACTCTGCGCGAGCCTGCTTTGCACCCGATGCTGTCAGTTTTGTAGTTATCGATGGCAGAGACGAACGTGGAAGCTCCAGTGGAATTAGGGGAAGATAGATGTGCCAAGCTTCACCGAAGACCCTGCGGTTCATGTTTTAGCCACCTTGGATGCGATGCAAACGCTGTCCAACCATAAAAATGTACATCTAGGGTTCTGTTTCACAGGTAGAGGTCGTCAATGGACTACCGAACAGTCACCTAGTTAGGTTTCGTAGGATCGTCATAACCACTTTAGTAGCAGACATTATTTCCGAAACCAACTTGAAGCTCAGAACCAGTCCGATGAATCGAGCAGAGGAACGTGAAGGACACGGGAGGAAGAGTTTAGCTCAAAGTGGCCACTCTTTCCCTTATATAGTTCAAGGCCGAATTGAAGAATTGGTTCAATTCTCTTCTCGTCATTGACATGAGTCTGGTTACAGCGGACTCCCGGTGAGGGAAGAGGTCTTCCACCTTGCAAGCGTCACATTTGGCAGAAATCACGAACCGCCAGGTAGGGACGACGCTGTAATCTCTCAGAAATTCGAGTCATTGATAAGGTATGGTATGTACAGTCAATTCCGGTCTTGAGCAGACCGTAGATCTACAGAACCAGTGGCCTAATGGGCCACTCACGCCCACCCTGCGCGAGTTCTTTCTTCAGTCGATGCCCATTTCTCCGCGGGAAAACGTAAAGGAATTCAGCAGGCCCGCAAGGTAAAGGACGATGATAAACCGGAAAAAGATTCGGATTCTTCCTCAACAAAAGCAGATGGCGGTCGTGATGGGAACTTGGGCTGTCCGGGCCTTCATAACAGACTCAGTCTTCAGTAGCCCATTGTAAAGGAAAGCCTGGAACAAGCAAAAGATCCCAAATATATGGTGGTGTCTGGATCTATTTTGATTCGTCATAGAAGCCCTCGTCCTCAAGTCGTCGCCGTGCCTCCTCTAATGCCCACGTTTGTATCCTGTAGCATAAACCATTAGCGAAACCAAACCTCTCTCTGACAGCACAAGTGCAAAGGAAATAAGAAAGAAAAAACTCACGAAGTATCTGGCTTCATAGTATAAGCGGCGACAGCAACAACCCACGCACCGATGAAGATGTAAGCGAATGGCTCCCAGCCCTCCTTCTCCGCCTTCTCGCCGGGTCGGATACCCCAGAGCCAGCCGCCTGGCGGGTCATAGTGGTCCTCGTGGCCGCCATGATGGCCATGGTCTGCCTCGTGCCCGCCGTCGGAACCCTTTAGCTCGTGGGCTGCGCTGTGTGAGCTGGCTAGTCGGAGGGGTGTGGCGGATCGCGTTCGAGCTTGGAGTGCCGAGTTCTGTCGGAGCGGGGTGAGCAGCGGCTGTGTTGACCGCGCCGCCGCTGCAAGCCGGGGGATCTTGGGGAGCATCGCTGCGTGTGTATCTTGTGTTGTGTTTTTAGGTGGATTGAGATGGAGCGAGGGAGAGCCGTGAGAGGCGGACGGATGTTGAATGTTGGTGTCGTCGACGTGTTGCGAGCCTGGGGGGGACCGAGATGAGCTCCTGAAGCTGACTGTGCTATGGAGCTAGCTGAAGGAGTTGAATTCTCCTCAGGAAAAGGTGTTGTTGTGGTTCAATCATAAGTTGAACCTCAATCTACGGCCAGATGGATGACTGCGGTGAGGTTGAGGTTGAGTTGAGATGGCCCATGCCAAGACTCTCGGAGAAGCGGCAAGGAGGGATTGATAAAGCGGCATTCCGTCTTTCCCGAAGCGAGTTCTTGACGATTTTCAAGCTCCCCGTGCGGCGTGTATTAAATCAAGAACAAGACATGACTCAAAGCGATGAAGGGTTTGTTAGACGTGGAAAATCACCCTAATGGTGTGTGTTTTCGTTCCTCAATCTTCTATCATGATTGCATCACTAAACAGGGATATTACAGTCGAATGCATCTGAACAAACGATACCCGTTTTAACACCGCTCACTCCTGACCTGCTTTCGGACCAATCCAGCCCAAACAATCCAGCCCAAGTCGTTCATCTGAGCATACATGAGCCAAAGCGTGGTCCTATGCTAGAATAATTGTGTACATTGCTTTTTTTGCTGCCTTTTGCCTATCGTGAACGTGTGTGTTGTTGTATGTTGCGCCTCTTTCTCCCCACGTTAACCGTGTGAATCATATCACCCAAAGGCTTTGAAAAAGTTCCTCCGTGAGAATCGTAAGCGTCTCGAAATGCTCTGCCAGAAATCTGGCAATACCGCAAGCTTTTATCGCTCGCTGTTTTGGTTAACCTTGCTCAAGCCATCCTTGAATCCTAAAAAAAATGCCAATGAGGACTCCGCCCAATGCCATGACCAACGCTCATAATGACCCGAGCCGAACTTTTCCCATAACGCCATTCCATCGTACTGTACAACACTGACATAAGGAAATTTCCACGCCATAGTCTCACAATCAATTTGCCTCCACGACAGTAGTGTATTTCAGTGATTGTGTAATATCATGCTCTTTGCCAGGACTTACCCCATCGAGATAGCTGTGAGCACTTCTACTCTTTGGTAGACCTGCAGGCTTCTTTAGTGATGGACTAGGAGATGAATCTGGTGGATCAAAGATTTGCCGGAAAATAGGATCGTGCGAAAATCGGGGGACGGAAGCGCGTTCAGGGCTCAATGAGACACCCTCTGCTTTTCGTACGATCTCTTTCAACGCACGTGTGATGACTCCTGCTCGAACCACCAGGTCTCGTAGGTCTTGAGTATCAAAAGGAAGCTTATCCCGTTGCTGAACGGGGACCTCTGCAGGTGACTCTTCTGGTACCGTACGGTGCTGGTGAATGGTCTGAAGAAATGTCTTGGTTTGTATGCTTTCACCACGTGGCCTCCCATAAGGCGGTGTCCCTGGACTGGAGATTGACCGTCGATTAGGTGGTCTTCCTGGCTCATGTGCCTTATCTCCCTCCTCTTCGATCTGTCGTTTGGAAGGCGGAGTTTCATCTCCGAAGATGTCCGATGATACGGGTGAGGGTGGACGAGCAAAGTTTTCTTCGTCTTCATTGACCGTGGCAAGGTCAATGATACTCTCTGCATCCTCCCATAGCTGTCTTGAGTGACTGTTCAGCAAACCCAGGTGCGTTCCTCTTTGACGAAGTCGTTTAAGCTCCTCGACCAACAGCATGAACTCTCGGACTTGGCCAAATTGTATGTGAACACTCTGTTGTCTGTCCATGATTGACTGCGGGACTTTGACACTGCGAATAGATTCACGCTTCCAAGCCTTGTCATCACTGACAGGCTCCGACAACTCGATGTGTTCATCCATATCGTCAAATTCAAAGTCATCGCTCCATTCTTCGCTGACAGGTTTGCTACCAAGGGCCCAAGTGCCAAACTTAGTGGCTGATGATGGCAGATCAGCTTCAGTCAAACTGTCACGATTGGTAGGGACGCTCTGGCTACGTAGATGCATGGCAGCATTACTTTTACGCCCTGAAGCTCGACTGCGTCCATTTTTCATGCCCTGTTTACCGTGTACCGTCTTTGGCCGGGGACTTACACCCTTTGATTGATCACTACCAAGTTTTTGGTGCTCTGACCAATCAAAGATGGAAGATCGTTTCGTTGATCGTTGTTCATCGAAGTCGTCATCCGAGAGTTGATCGAAGCGAATTGCTAGCTGGTTAGACAAGTTCACTCTCACATGACCCTCCTGGCTGTGATCATCAACTTTAGGAGACCAATCAATGTCTTCTTCACCGTGATCAGAGTCCAGGTCCATCATCCTCGGCAGTTCAGGTTCATCCTGCGGATTCTTGTTGAATGTTCTTATAGATGGAGGGGACGAGTTGAAGATGGGACCCGTGTTGCGTCGTCTTTTAGGCACTGGGGTTGAAACAGCATCCTCGGTATCCACATGGGGGCCTTTTACAGGGGTGGAGGCCTGATCAGGGCTGATGTCTCGTGTTGAACGGTCCTGGTCCCTGTCAAGACCATGAATGCCGAAACCCACAGCTGTGGCCCGAGGACTTAGGCCACTGAAGCCTGGACCTGGTTCATTCAATGTGGTTCGTTGCATTAAATCTTCCAAGCCAGGTGTTTGAGGGGAGTCAGCTTCTTGATGATCCGTGGATAATTCGTCAAATATCGTCTCTATCTTTGGCTGACGAAAACCGGAATGGCTGCTAGCAGTGGCTCTTGTGGTCAATGAATCGTAAGCTGTATCACTCTGGAAGTCCATAGAGTCATCGTCTGTAAATACTCTTATGTCGTTATCAGAGCTAGCCGTGGTGGGATCTGAAGGGGCAGCCGAACTCCGTTTGGGAAGAATAAATCGATGATGGGACGAACCATAAAGTGGTGGACTTGATGTGAAGATGGGTGTGCCATGAGGCAGTTGAACCTCGAAGGCTGAAACATCAGATACTGGTGAGAGATGATTCAGCCCTCCTGGCGGAACAATACTCCCGTATGCCTCATCCTTATTCACTCGGACGATGGGATCAGTGAAGTGGCGTTGAGGGATACCTCTCCGTACAGAACTGAGAGTTCGACGGATCTTATGTCGTCGACCAGTGGCGGGTACCGCGGGGTCAGACTGAATCAGAAGTTGGTCCTCTGCGTCATTCGTTGTCTCCCGAGGCTCGATGACGCTCGCTGACAGTAATGTAGGTGGCATTCCCGGGGTGGGAGATATTAGGCGAGTTGATAAATCACGAGTTGGTCCAGCTGAATGCCGCTTCCTAGAATAACTTGGCTCGAAGAAAGGTCTCCATGTGGATATTCGTGATGACTGAACTGGTTGTTCAGCAAGGAGGCCAGATTCGGTGGTGAGTGGCCGGGTGTATGGTAACCCGGAGAACGTTGCTGATCTTTGGTGGCTTGTTGCTGGGCGGCGTAAAAGAGCAGGTGTTTCTCGAGCCTCGGTGAGAAGCCTCTTGGAAGTCGAGCGTTTAACAAGCTTGTTTGGCTGGCCCATGTCCCCAAGTGATGGTCTTGAATTATTAGGTGAATCATCTAATCTGGTTGAGGACGATGCGGGACTGCTATGGTTACCGCGTGAAATGCTAGAAATGCGTCGTAACCAGAAGGAACCCGGTCTGCTATTCTCTTTTCTCTCCGTCGAAGGTTCTCTGTCCGATGTCCATGGGCGAAGGATGCCGTGTCTGCTGACCGAGCTCTCGCGGGACTCGGTACCATTGCTCGTAGTTGTGGAGGGTGTAACTGCTCGAATCGTTTTTCTTCTCAAGATCGACGTGGACATGCGGCGTTCGGTCCTGTCTGGCATGGCAGGGGGTGAAGAGACGGGCTGCGACGTGGCAGGACGCGCAGAGAAAGAGAGGGAGGGAGAAACAGGAGACTGCGTGGTAGCATTGGACCCAGGAGACTTCCTCTTGCCAGGCTTGATCAAAAATGAGTCCCCATTGGAAGTGCCCAGTGCCAAACCAGTCGCTGCGATGCCAATAGTGCCGATGGCACAAAGCTGAAGACACTTGATGTTAGAAGCAGAGAGCAGCGAGCAGGGAGGACGTGGGGTGGTATTTACCGTGGCAATATGTTGTTGACTGTTTTCCATTGTGATCTAATAGAGAGATTGGCCTCGAGGCAGCCCAGCCCAGAGTTGCGGGTGTACGTTCACATGGAACGAACTCATGACGGGTTCACCATCAGTTACAGGACCTGTCGAGAGTGAAGAGGAGTCTGTATCTTGGACCGTGGGCGTTATGTGTTGAATAGGTGCAGTGCAGGAAGGAAGGATATGTCCTCCGAGTACAACGCGGAAGGGGGAAACAGGGCGAAACACGCGACGAAGAATTAGCGAGAGAGGGTGAAATTAGAGATGCAGCGAGTAAACAAGACACACGAGGGCAATGCAAACAACGACAGACGGGAAGAGGAATTCGATGGTTTGTCGAGGTGAGGTGTGGAAGGAGGTTTGTAAGGGAAGGATCGAAAGAAGAAGACAAGGTGAATTAGTTGGCAGTGAATTGCAAGCAGTAGCGAGAAGAAGTGTGGTAGTGGTGGTGGTGGTGGAAGTTGAAGTTGGTGCTGGTGAGTTTCCGTGTATGGATACAATGGCAGTACAAGAGCGAATGTTTGTCAATGCACTGCAGATTGAGTGGGTAAAGGACGGGGATCTTCAGTTGGCATGTTGTAGGTACGAGATGGCTCGACGGTGTACAGCCCAGGACCTGCATTTGCAGTCGCAACCAACAATAGTGATACCTAGGACCGCCCAAAGCCCGGTCACCGTCCGAGGTTCCTGAAGGGAGGTCCCGTTATACCTAGGCGTGACTTTACCTGGAGTTCCCACTATAAGGATCACTGAGAAGCTCCAACGGCTAAAGTCGTGCCTGGATCACAACACCTAATCTACCACTCATCCCGGTAATTAACCCCCCTCTCCGGCTCCCATTTACCTGTATCATGCTCAACCATCAATTCGTGCTCGTACGAGTGAATCCCTCTACACCGTCTCAACCAGCTCGACCCGCTCCTGTCATTGAAATAAGTTTCGACTCGTACCGTGCTAGTTAGCTGGGCCAATGTCAAAACACTCTTTGGTCGTCCTGTCAAATCGCTAGAACCGGGTTCTGGCTTTGGGAAAAATCCCCTCCAGGCTCCAACCCCGTCAAGGCTCAAACCACATCGAGCACAGGGCAGCACCTGGGTTCACCACCATTGCGTCAAAACGCTTGACCGGCGGCGTTGGAGTGGGACCGACCTCATCCTCGATGCCGTGTGCCGCTCTTGAACTCAGTCTTGCAGCCTCCGATGTACACAATCCAGGTGAGATGGAAGGTTACTGCATATCAATCATCTACTTGTACCAGCCTCACATGCCCTCAACATTTCACCAGAACCTCCTGTAGTACTACATAGACCCATTCAACGGTCAGATACCTTTGATATGTCTCGTCACCAAACTCTCCACGCAAGCGAGGTGATTGTTTGATTCAAGGCAACTTACATACATTGGAGTATTGCACCACGACGGCAAGGGCCTACACAAGGGCTATTCCCCTCAGGTGGCGGGTTAGCATGAATTGTGCTTTCATAGTTTCTATTCTAGGTTCAAGATCCAGGGACCATATCAGCTGCAACGGAAATGCGTTCGACTTGATTGTGGAGTAGCCATGTCCCATTCTTCCATTTTTGTGGCTCGTGTATCGCTTCACGTCTTGTGGTTCCTCTGCACGCTTATCAGAAAAAGGGATCGTCCATGGGAAGAAAAGAGCAAGTCGCTTGAGAACAGATACGCAATTGGCAAGGAGGAACAAGGTGCTGCCATGCCTGGTTCTTTACTTTTCAATTGCCTTTCGGAAAACAGGTGATCCCAGAGTAAACGTGCTGGCATGACCCTGGTTGGGACTTCTGCCTTCGATTCGTATTGTTGGAAGGGAGGATGGCCTACTGTTTTGGTGCTACCCTTGTGCATTGTGCCCCACCAATCTTGTGTCAATCTTTGCAGACGATGTCAGGATGAGGAATAGTGATTGACAAAACAGTACGGATTGGGGGAGTGTGAGCATTGAGGACGAGGCAGATGGCCCAGTTGAATGGCCATGCAGAGGGCACAGTAGCGAGAATACTAGAGCATGAAACGCGAGCATAATCTTGGAAAGAGCGGCAGGGATGTACGTAAATGGGACGTTCAATCGGATCTGCGAGGCGTGTGTTTGATTCAAAGCCGAGCGACGCCAGCCACCACAAGACGCCTTTGATAAAAGTAAAGTCGTGCAGGGAGGAAGCGCAGGATGCAAGTTGGTCTTCCTACCATACGAGTACGGTATCATTCAGGTCGTCCGTTACAATCATGAACCATAAGCTCGTTCCACCTTCAAAGGTCGATAAACAACAATGCCTTGTGCAGCTCCAATAATGAGCCAGGAGCAAGAAAAGATCCGTCATTGAGTCTCGGTTGAGCAGTGGAGCCATTGTCGTCTGTTATGACCGAAACCCTGGCAAGGAATAAGGCACGACGATGGAGTGGATCGATATTCCCAACTAGAGAGCCAGCTCGGATGGGGTGGAGGCCGTTTTCCTTCGTAAACAAGATGATTGTGCGCCACCATTCGCTGGCAGGCCGGATGACGAGATTCAAACATGATACGCTTAAAGTCAGATCTCTCGCGTCGCGTGCTGACCGAGTGCCTTTAAGGCGTCAAACTGCAGGGTTGTGGCGCTTGGGACGGAGACCCCGTTGGTGTTTTCCCCCACGAACTTGCCATGTCAGGAATCAGGATCTTTTACCTCAGATTTGTGTTTGTGTTCATATCAACGAGGGAGCCAGCAACTGCGTTGTTCAAAAGGTCATCTCAAACACATCAATCTGCAGGTCTGTTGTGACACTTGTCCAACAGGACCTCGTTGGTCTTCTGGAAGTACCTGTGGCCTCTCAGTCACTGGCTTGTTTTGGATGTGCTCAGTGCTCATGTCGTGCAGGGTTGTTGTTGCATGGATATCGCGTCCACACTGACTGGGAAGCGGCTCGACAAAACTGCCAGTAGCCACTCCGGCGGTACTGAACTCATCCAATCATCCGCGGATCGTCTTTCCCTTATACCGAACGCCCAGTTCATGTTCGAGGACGCCGAGTCTGGTATCTCGACGGAGTAAACCTGGGCAACACATATTCCGTACCAACTTTGTATATTAGAGGCTAGAACCTTGTTCTGTTCAGGTACTCCGGACTCTTTTCAGATTCCAACGATTCCCTTTGTAGTGGAATACAACCTAATTTGTAAACGAGGCGGTAGTGATAAGTCGGATTTGTAGCAGCCACTGGCACCACCACCAGCAATGCGGGGAAGAGAAAACTTAGTTACCTGGTCAAAGGTTCAGGTTACTTTTAAAGCCGGCCTCTTTAGTGAGAGCTGAGGAGGCAGGCGGACTTCCTCCTCTGTCCAAATACCTGTTGCTGCACGCAAGAAGCAACACTAGGAAATGCACCTGAGGATATGGAGGAGTCTGGTCTTCTCTGGATTCCATGAACCTTGACCAGTCTGGATTGGGAGGCATGGAATTCCGATGAAGCTGCCACTGCCAGTGAAGTCGATCCCAGACCATCAAAGCTCTGACCACCCACGAACCCAATATCACGAGCTGAAAGTCTGACACACAACGGCTACTGGAATTTGACACCTTGAAAAGTCTTTCAACCTCAGCTTCCGAGACCTTGAAAGGTGGGTCACTCTATTGCAATGCGGATACTATACCTTCTACTTCTGCTTCTGCTCGATACATGAAGAACGGCCTGATTCACAAGTCTCAGGTCTCAACTTTCAATTCTCCTCTCCCGCGGCATGCGTGCATGCATGCACTATTGCACTTGTCCCGTGCCCTCCAGAGCGGAATGAGAATTCGTGGACTGGACACGCTGTATCGGCATCTGCATCAACGTGACTTCCACTGCCCGTCATCCACCCATTGAACTACTGCAGCTGTAGCATCTGATAAGCGACTTCATTCCCTGTATTTGACCCTGTCACGATGTCACTGATCCACCACTCCGGAAAACGCCTAGGCCCTTGGAAGTCCCGCTTCTTTCGCTTACAAGGATATGACGCGTTTTGAAGACAATAGCTTCGGATTTCTTCTCGACGCGTCCTAGTCTTGGGCAACCCGCGTCAATTTGATTCATGACTGTGGCTAGGGTCTCGGATTTAGGAACCGTGGGTTTCGCACGCAAGCCTCAAAATATGGTGGCACACCAGGCTTGGCGTGTTGAAGATCTTACTCGTCCGGAGTGTATCCGTACTCACCTTCTCTTTGTCTCTGATGGCAGGGACTGTACGAAGTGTCTCATGCACATAATGAACTACTTCCTACTTCCTAATTCACCGACGACGAACCAATGGAGCTCTGATTTGAACTTCAACCGGAAAGCTCGGAGGAAGCTCAAGAGGATGCTGTCTCGGTTCAACTCGACATGTTCCAGTTTCCATGCCGGTCGTAGACTCGTAGGTACTGCTGTACTCGTATGTCGTCTGGAGATAGGTACTCAGTCCTCCGCACTCGAAATCTCCAATTCGGATTATGTCATCACGCTAGTCCCTTTTCGAGATTTCTAACCCACTAGTTCTGGGAAAGCCTCACCAGTTACAAACGTGCAACATCAAAATTAGAATGATAGAGATCTCACGAAATAGACTCTGCTCTCAACTGACCTCGCTGCTCGTATAACCAATCCTTTCAAATCGGGAGTCAAAAATCTACCGAAAGTCTAGGAAACAGCTTGCCTGTGTGGGCTTGCCGCTTGACCACAACTAGCACGAGAATTGCCACATCCTTCCGCCCTGCCAATTTCAAATTTTGCGTCAACTCCGCTTCAGCTGTACGGGTTTCAAGCACAGTTGGCCAATCCGCAACAGAAGTTCATTTTGCCCGACGCCCTCTTCCTCGGTCTGGAAACTGGAAACTCTGGGCTCGGTCAGCAGATTGTGTCACCCGAAATCCCTCTACCAGACGCCCGAGGGGTTCTGTCCGGCACTGCAAACTTGTAACCTGTTGAGAAACCTCGGTCGATTACTGATTTCTCAATATGGAAGCGGAAATACAAGCCCGAATTCCAAACATAGATAATGTCTTGTCCGAGTACTCCGTGGTATGTAGATGTTTCAGTGTTGGCGTTTCACCAAGCATGGAGATTGTGTCTGTTGCCAATGCTCAGCCTTGTCATCAGAACTGCCATGACCCACCCTGGAAGAAGTTGCTGACCATCTTCAGGGCTATCTGAATCATGCCTCCAAATTATACGTATCTGAAGAGGATCCTTCTGCCGAATCACCCTTGAGTGAAGCTCTTGAGACAGTGACTTCATTGCTCGTTTCAGCATCAGGGGATTTCTCGGAGCAGAATGAAGCTGCAATTCGGAGTCTTGTTGAGAAATTCGTTTCAAAGTTCAGCGAGGCAAATGGCATCAATTCAGAGTCTCGACAGATTCCTTTTGCTGCTAAACGCCTCGAGCAGACCATTCAAGTCAGCTCCCAACGCAATGTCTCCTCTACTCTAGGGTTGACAAGCGCTGCCGTGGATCTCGAGGCTGCAAATGCCCGCAAAGTTGAATCAAAAGTCGACAAGAAGAAACTCGAGAAAGCCGAGCGGAAGATTCGAGCCAAACAGGACAAGAAAGTCATGAAAAATGTCGAATATGAAGCCTCCAGACTCATCGATCAGCCAGACAGCACACAGTCGTATGAGGAATTCTTCATGGCGGTCAACCCTCTGCAACTCGGTGCTGATGCTCAAACCAAGAGCAAGGATATCAAAGTCGACGGAATTGATGTCTCCATCTCCGGTAAACGAATTCTCACCGACACCAATCTCACACTGGCATATAGCCGGAGATACGGTTTGGTTGGTCAGAACGGTATTGGTAAATCTACTTTACTGCGAGCTCTGAGTCGTCGTGAAATTGCCATTCCTACACATATTTCTATTCTTCACGTGGAACAGGAGATCACTGGAGATGATACTCCAGCTCTTCAAGCCGTCTTAGATGCAGACGTATGGCGTAAGCATTTACTACAAGAGCAGGAGAAGATTACCAAACAGCTCGCTCAGCTCGAGGCGGAACGTTCTACACTGGCCGACACATCCAAGGATGCAGGCCGTCTCGACAAGGAGAAAGATGGACTTGATATCACCTTGGGAGATATTCAAGCCAAGCTGAGTGAAATGGAATCTGACAAGGCTGAGTCTCGAGCAGCCAGTATCTTAGCAGGCTTGGGTTTCTCAACAGAACGACAACAATTCGCAACCAAGACATTCTCTGGAGGTTGGCGTATGAGATTGGCCCTCGCACGAGCATTGTTCTGTGAACCTGACTTACTCTTGCTCGATGAACCTTCCAACATGTTGGACGTGCCTTCCATCACCTTCTTGTCGAACTACCTACAGACCTACCCAAGTACAGTGCTGGTGGTTTCCCACGATCGAGCGTTCCTCAACGAAGTCGCGACAGACATCATCCATCAACACTCTGAAAGACTTGACTACTACAAAGGAGCCAACTTTGACTCTTTCTACGCCACAAAGGAAGAGCGCAGAAAGACGGCAAAGCGCGAATACGAAAACCAAATGGCCCAACGCGCGCATCTGCAAGCTTTCATCGACAAGTTCCGCTACAACGCCGCCAAATCATCCGAAGCACAATCGCGCATCAAGAAACTCGAGAAAATGCCCGTGCTCGAACCCCCAGAGGCCGAATACCTCGTCCACTTCAAGTTCCCAGACGTGGAGAAGATGTCTCCACCCATCATCCAAATGACCGATGTCTCATTCGGCTACACGCCCGACAAGCCACTGGTCCGCAATGTCGACCTAGACGTCCAGCTCGATTCGCGTATCGGCATCGTAGGTCCCAACGGCGCCGGCAAAACCACGGTCCTCAAGCTCCTGATCGGCCAGCTCCAGCCCACCGGCGGCCTGATCTCACAGAACCCACGTCTCCGCATCGGATTCTTCGCCCAGCACCACGTCGACGCCCTGGACATGAACACCTCCGCCGTCGGCTTCATGCAGAAAACATACCCCGGAAAGACCGACGAAGAATACCGCAGACACCTCGGCGCCTTCGGCATCACGGGCATGACCGGCCTACAGAAACTCGAACTCCTCTCCGGAGGTCAGAAATCACGCGTCGCATTCGCCTGTATCTCGCTCACGAATCCGCATATTCTGGTCCTCGACGAACCGTCCAATCATCTCGATATCGAGGCCATGGACGCCTTGTCGACCGCGTTGCAGAACTTCCAGGGTGGAGTGCTCATGGTCAGCCACGACGTTACCATGCTGCAGAATGTGTGTACGAGTCTGTGGGTCTGTGACAAGGGCTCGGTCGAGAAGTTCCCCGGCGACGTCAATGCGTATAAGAAGAAGATCTCGGCGCAGGCCAATGAGGCGGGTGTCGTGCAGGCGCATTGAGAGGGTCGGTGATCTCGATCATGATGATCACGGTGGAGCCATTATGTACTACAAAGATGTTGACAAATGTAGAATACCTCTAGCTGCGTTAGATGATAAATACAGTGAGCTCGACTTTTTTCCCTGACCGATGGCTCGACTGGGTGCTGACCCGACACTGCAAGCGTCTTCAGCATCGCTTTCCGCTGTGGGCACATCGGTGTACTGGTCTAGACTGAGTCCATCACTGCCAGATAAATGGCCTTTTACCTCCTATCGCAACCGTTGCTTCAACACGCTCAGCACGCACGATTTGTCATAGCCGCAAGGAGTGAGGATGTCCTTATTATAGTGACAGTCGTATGAAAGCTGGCGAAATTCCGACAGCTTGCGTCGCGGAGACCACTCAATGGCCACAGACTTCGGTCTTCCAACCAATCTTCCAACAGTGAAAGCCGGCTTGTTTGTGAGCAGACGTACTTAGTACAGTTCAGAATCAATAGATTGGCAGTTGCCGCATTTCTTGGTTTCCAGAGGCTTACTACGGCCACAGTCCGCACATGTCTTGTCTCGTGTGCCGCTGTGCCGGTCATCGGAATCGCTTGTGACTTGATCGAATGTGGTTTCGATGCTATGCTGGATATTCCACCTGAGAGTCTCGCAAAGCGTCCTCATATCGTCTAGTTATGTGATAATCAATAACGTAGAGTTCAGTAAAAGGCCTACTCAGGGTGTTAAATACTAGCCGTCCAGATCCCCAGGCATGGGGTGCACTTCCCGGTACCCCCAATCCCTAGGCGTCAATGTCTCTGCAACGTTGGCACTAACCGCAGTGAATTCATCAGGCAGAGAGAAGACAAAAGTCACCTATAGTACTTAGTATCTTCTGGAGATCATTGCTTCCCAGCGTGGATATATCCCAAGTGCCTATCCAAGCTCAGGCATGATAAGACAAGGCTAGGGCACAACTATAATCTATACTCGCGAAGTATTGCGAAGGAATAAGTTATCATTCTAAGTCCTACAGAGAGTATCATAAACATGTATATACCAGATAGCACTAGCCTTAGCGATTAGATGACCGCTAAGGTATTAAGGCCTTGTTCGAAAAATAACAAAGCCTTACGTTATTAGAAGAAAAGATAAAAGAAAATTATACTCTCCCCTAGTGGCTTCGAACATTCTTGTTAACGCTCGAGATATAAGCCTTGATATAGGTCGAGTTGGGTCGAATTCTAGGCAGTTAGGGCTCGCTCAGGCTGAAATCCCTGAAACTCCATACTGCGCTACAGCTCTATAAATTAGATGGAAGCGAACGTCAAAGCTACGGCAAGCATCTACGCAGCGTAGTAAATAGTATTGTGTGGCCGACGAGTAGCTTCTATGCGTCATTGTTGGGTGTTATCTAATGACTACAAGAGTATAGTTCGCTCAGACAAAGTTCTAGATAGGGCCCTGTCGTCCTTACCTGTGACCTTAGTCTGTCGTCATTCAGTAAGTAAAACGAAGAGAAGGGAGCCTTTCTTCCGACATGATATGCTATCGATATTAGTTATCTATCAGACAGATCAGCCTCCTTGCGCGCACCTGATTGATCGCAGCCTCACCCTTTTCATGCGGCCTTCCCCTGCCCCTGCTCATTTCAGCTCTCCCAACCATGTTGATCTGGCATACTATGAGAGATATTTAACAGCACAGACAGCTGGGCTCATTGCATACATAATCAGGGCCAGTTTCTCGCGGCCGGCAACGGACCTTGGCCGCCCAATGCAGGCATAAGGGAATCTTTTACTTGACAGTAGAGCTCGAGCATGACGAATGCACAATCTCCTAGGACATGTTGCGGACGAGCGGCTTCAACACGAGCACACACTACAGGGTGAATATGTCCCTGTGTCCGCGGGAACTTTGCGCCGTATACTGTGCTGCCGACATGATCCACTATTGGAAGTCAGAAAGAGGTCGAAAACTTGTGTGACACTGTGCTAGATCTAGGGTGTAGAGAGCCCCTGATATAGGCATATTTGGCAGCTTCATAAATAAGCGATATTCCCAGTCCAACATCCACTGTATCAAAACCTTGCCAGTAGCCTGTGCTTCCGCGTCTTTGATATGCTCGGTGTCGGCCATGCACACCTGTGCATCGTTGCATCTAGGAAGAGTTTGATCTCCAGTATGCACTTTCATCTGTCATTGACCAATACTTTGACTTGAGGGATGCCCCATGTGAGGGTTATAGAGCCGCGGACGAGAACCCAGAGGCAGTTCGTGCATGTCGGCCTGGAAGACGTGGACTATCCCACCGATCGACATGACTACATCAAAGGAGGGGTACTGACCGGTGCCAATAAAACATTTCGCGCTTGTGCTGAAGAGAGCCCGCGGTATCCGAATACTCAAGGACGAACAACCCATCAAGGAACAATACCCCCCAAGGATGTCCTCTGAGATCTGTGATTGTGGCCAATCAAGGCACCACCGTTGACACCTGGATGATGATGTAACTCGCGATGCTGTATGTGGCAACCTCACAGGACAAATTGATTTCGTGCTTGTCCAAAGAAGTGTTGTAATGGAAAGTTGTTCGTCGTGTTTTCTCCCGCGGGTGACTGGGACGTCCCGAATTACCCGTTTGACCGTGACTGGCGATACATGACTCTTTCTGAAACATAACCTTCCTCGGAAGCAAGTCTACAGAGATCGCTGCAGGTTGCCGAACCCCTGCAAAGAACGCACCTTGGTAACGACGAATTCCAGGCGTAACATGCTCTACCTGGACTCACATACTGGGATGTCATCTACTGTCGTTTGCGTTGGAATGACCCCTGTATTCGAGATCTTAAGCCTCTTTAAAACAAGATGTTATAGCTTGGCAGTAAGGTATCCTTTGGCACGGGCCAGTGCGTCAACCGTTTCCCTGAATAATTCGTCCACAATATTTTGAGCACTCTGCCTTTTCGTGATCAACCCAGCAACTTTACCCATAAGGAAAGGGCTTAGGTTATCAGTGAACTCATCGTCGTCCGCACGCTGTTCAGCATCATGATCTATAGGTAACACCCCGTTGGAAGTCAGTTCCTTCAATTCTTTTTGGCGATTCGTTTCCCAGTCAAGAACGTAGGGAGTCTTCTTGACCCGCAATGGCCGACCCTGATAGGGAAATATTAGCCTCGAAGCAGATAGGCACTGTTTGATGTGATGAGTACGATACTGACCGTATAAATTGTCGTCCGCACGGTTGCATCGAAGTCGGCGCTCAACACTGCTTCCTTGTGCGCACTAGAACAATTGGCCTCATGTGCGACGAGGAATCTGGTTCCTACCCATACACCGGTTGCGCCCATCATCAAAGCCGCTGCTATTGTCGTTCCATTTGAGATTCCTCCTGCAGCAACAACTTGGACATCATGGCCAGTAAACTTGCTTTTGTGACCCATAACATTTTGCACAATAGCTGGAATGAGAATCGAGAACGGTATGTTCCCGGTATGTCCACCCCCCTCACCTCCTTGGGCGCACAGAATATCCACATCATTGTTGAGACATTTCTGAACGTGCTTTGGGTGTCCGATCATATTCATGTATAGTACCCCATGTTGGTGAAGTCTATCGACCACATGCTTCGGTGGAATTCCTACCGCACAAACAAAAACAGTTGCACCATACTCGATTATAATGGTGATCAATTCGTCAAGTTTCCCTTTTGTGTAATCATAACTGGTTGCACACGTCAGCGCAACACCGATAAGCCAAAGCATTTCGTAGACAGCAGACTTTTCGCACTTACTTTGTCTTCCTAGCCTGTCCACCAACTTGGGGTATCAAAAGATCTACGCCCCACGCCGCATCTGGAGCATGAAGATACGACTTCAGCTCTTTGATCTGCTCACGGAGCTGGTCCGGGGTATATCCATAGCCACCTATCACGCCAATTCCACCAGCATTCGTAACTTCTGCTGCGAGCTTGGGGCTTGAAACGGGGCCCATTCCCGCAAGCATGATGGGATGACGGATCCTGAATAGGTCCGTAAGAGGGGTCTGAATCTGCTCTGAAAATGTAGTCAGTACTCGCCAAGTCACAGCTGCTCACATTCTTATCAGTGCGACTAGCACTGACTGTGTTGACCGCTCTTACGTTGGAGTGCCATGTTTCTTTGCTGCTGATTTTTCGCCCCGCTAAAATGCCCCAACTGCTCCGAGATTGTCTCGTGATCGATCGAGGGCTGATGTTGTGGTAGTGAATGTACAACTAGCGTAGTCTTTGTTGCTTTCGTGCAACGAAGCACATTCATACGGGTTTCTTATTCCGACTATAAAGGTCCGACAGGAAAGTGATTACTTAAAAGGAAATGAGTTTGCCATGGCCCGAGGTTCTCGGACGTCCCTCCAATCGAACAAAATAATGTGAGGAGGCCTCGCCTCACTATGTTAGGAACGGCGACAACCATCTTGGTGTATCCCTTCTTACTGCTTGGACCTCGGTCAATATAATTTGAGTCTCCAACACGAGCACAAGCTAATCACCATGTCGCAGTACGCCTCACGTTATGTAAGTAACAATGGGCCTGGCGATCAGCGTCCCACTGCCATGGAGATCGTCCAAGATGAGAACCTTATCGGCAAGCCCTCTGATAAAGTCTTCTTCCTCACTGGTATCAGTTCAGGAATTGGCATCGAAACAGTGCGAGTTCTTCACGCTACTACTGCGACGGTCTATGGCAGCGTTTGCAATCTGCGCAAAGGCCGAAAGGCCGTCGATGAGGTCATCGCGGCAAGTCCGAGTACCAAAGCCAAAGTTGAGCTAGTCGAGATAAATCTAATCTCGACTCTTTCGATTCGATCAGGAAAAGTGCAAAGGAGCTCTTAAGCAAGGCGAACATGCTGAATACTCTGGTCAACCACGCTGGTGTTAGTTCAATTTGACTCAAAGCTGTTCTATCGTGCAAATGATGGTGCCAGGTCATGTGCACCCCAGAGGGCCGCACTAGGGACGGCTGGGAGACACAGTTTGGTACCAACCATCTTGGTCACTTCCTCCTTTTCCAACCTCTCAATGACAAACCTCTCGAATAATCAACTCCAGAGTTCCCAAGCAGGGTTGTCTCCGTCTCATCTGTTGGTCACCGCCTGAACGGGATCAGTTTTGACAATATCAACCTTGAAGGCAAGGACCACCCATTTGCAGCCTACAGCCAGTTACAGCCAATCCAAGACCGTCACTATCTGGCTTGCCAGCGAGATTGAGCGGCGATGGGTCGGGAAATTTGCACTGTACTTCTCTTCACCTTTGCAAAATCCGCGCTGATCTAGGCGCCTACATGGCCGATGCTGTGAAGAAATCCCTGAAGGACCCGGTCACCTACAAGTATTTGAAGAGCGTGAAACAGGGCGCAGCTACAACTGTTTACGCGGTACTAAGCAAGGAGTGGAAGGTCAAAGGTGGCAGATTCTTATCTGACTGCCTTGAACAAAAACCACTCCCTGATGATAAACCCTGGAAGTCAACGGCACATGGTGACGGTTATACGCCGAGGGCTTTCAGCTTAGAGGCTGTGGATATGGAGGATGACCTGGAGGGAGGGAAGTTATAGATGATGTAAGACAGGAGTGAGTTCAGTAGTTACAAGAGGACATTCATTGCTTACGGTTCTAACAACCATACCTATGTAACGGTCTTTCACCTTTAAGCCGGCAATGAGCAACTCTTGTGAGGATACTCGGCGACGTCGCATAAGCTGATAGAGAGCTCCCTTTCTGCATATCAGCATCTGTATGTTGATTGTTGTAGTACACCACCATCAGTCTATTTGTTTTCGGAGATACAACAGCAGAACAAGCTCCACATGATCGGTGAACTACTTTTATCTCCTCGCGACGTCAGGACGACAATCTATTTTTTCAAAGGGCGCAGTTGCAGCACCATAAACACCATAGTGAGATACCAGCAATACATGCTGGGAAATACTGGAATGATGAAGTAGATAAACATACTGTTCGCTTGGGAAAGTCATAGGAGGACCATGGAGCTTTTGCAAGGCACATTATTAATCGCTTGCGTTGAAAGTGTGGTATGTGCTATAACCTCCCTCTTGTGCTTTACTAATGGCATGCATGATGTCTGGTAGGTAGTCAACTGTCACACCAGTGTAGGGACGTGTCTGCGACTTGCCAAACAACCCTAGAGGATGAAAGGTTGCAAGGGCAATCCCAGTGGCTGTTAGTCTCACAACTAATCTTGTAAACATACCTGGTGCATTGAACCTTGTAGTGGCTATAGTGGAGAATCATATCACTTTGGAAGACACTAGTTGACGAATTGTGATCATCGTATGCGTTCCGCACCAGAATTTCGCCGACCCATTTACTGAGCCTGTAACCATTTGCATATGTCTTTCCGATTGATTGTTCTTGGAGAGCATCCCTGACATCCACTCCCCCGCCAATGGCGCTGGACTTGCCATTACTAGCAACACCCATTGTTGAAAAATAGGCGAACCGCTTGCGACGAGTGGTCAAGGCGGGGCGGTTCTCGAACAGGAAACACTTCTTATGATAGACATCGGACATTCTCTGTGTACAAGAGACTAATAACTTCGCGAAGTCACATAATCGAACAGGTTCCTCCAATCTAAATCTCCTCAGTTCCTCGGTTTACATTAGGGCTGGCTCTAGAAGCCTCTAGTATCCTATAAGCGGTCGGCATAAGACGTTTAATGTCTTAGCAATACCCCAGCTAAATCGCGAACTCGTACACTAAGTAAATAAAGCATTTGAAGACAAAGTAACTAATGCGTTTTAGTAGGATTTCTACATGGAATGAATACTATATAAAGGATAAGAATCGGGATCGTTGCCTTACTCTTCCTTGAAATATAAAAAACTTATAGAGAAAGATATAGTAGTACTACTAAGACGCGCTATAAGCCTAGATATACTTCTAAATGAGTAAATATAAAGAAGAAAAAGTAGGGTGAAGGTAGCTAAGATAGTGTCACGGGACGCTATGCCAATTACCACTAACCCCTAACTGATAGAATCCTATAAATGCCCTGCTTATCAGGTGCGATCATCTGACCCAGCAGGAATTTATATAAATAAGGAGGACCGCACTACTACGGAAAGCAAGTAATATTAATTTAATAATTTATTAAACAACACTACTAGATTAACAGGCTCACCCGCCTCGACGAGGGTTACGGAGGGTAGGGTAGTGGAGATCCGTTATCTTCTCAGACTCCATAGTAAAACTAGTGCGACAACCGACAGGGAAGAGGCCTTTGGGATATTCCAAAATCATCCTATCCGTATGTACCTTAGACTACGGTCAAGTATAAGATCTCGTAAGCACCAAAAATACACGTTTTAAAAGGCCACAACCCGCCCGTCAAAGTATTCCACACGTCTATAATCCTCCGTCGTGAATCCTAACATTTATTGGTGCACCGATTCGGCACACTTTTCAATATGGTTAAACTACCATACTTCGAACTGACACCAGTAAGTATATAATGGGGTGTGAATACCAGCGGTGATGGCTAATAGCACTCAAAGTGGATTGAAGACCATAAGCTAAAATGCAAGCACTATCTTGCTGGCAGCGCCACTCCTTTCTTGTCGATTGAAGACCTGATATCGTTGTCGTCTGATCCTCAGGCCACTGAAATGGCTCTTAATTTCCGGAGTCTTAAGTTAGGTGGTGATTTCCTCCGCGGTAATCTAAGTGTACGCTCCGCTATTGCTGCGTTGTATGGTTCGAAACAAGGCATCAAGCCCGAACACGTCATTACTACCGTCGCGACCACAGCCGCCAATTTGACCGTCCTCCAGGGCCTGTTGACTGCGGGAGACCATGTTATCTGCATGTACCCAACATATGGGCAGCTCAGCAGACTCCCTAAAACCTGGGGTTGCGAGGTCTCGCCATGGAAGCTTGATGCAACCAAGGCATGGGCAGTGGACCTTGAAGTTCTTCAAGAGCTGATCAAACCCAATACCGTGATGGTCATCTTGTGCAACCCTGCGAACCCAACTGGTTCGTATGTTGATGCAGAGATACAGACGCGAATTATAGACATTGCCCGGAAACACAACCTCATAATTATGACCGACGAGATATTCCGGCCCCTCTTTCATCAATCTCTGGATCAGAATGTCCCTTCATTTGTCGAGCATGACTACGAAAAAGTAGTCGTCACAGGGTCCTTGAGTAAGGTCTGGGGTCTAACTGGAGTGAGAGTCGGATGGATAGTCACTAAAGATCAGTCACTGCTCAAACGGCTTCTCAATGCACGTCAATATACTTATCAGATAGGTAGCATGATTGACGAAACCATTGCAGCCGAAGTTTTGAGTGAAAGATGTCGACCTGCCATCTTGGCCCGACATCTTGGATATGCCCAAGAAAATCTTCAAGCTCTACAAGCCTTTGTGGATAAGAATTCAGACATGTGTTCGTGGACGAAGCCGACTGCCGGCTCAACTGCATTCATTAAGCTATCTTTAAATGGTCAACCGATTGACGATGTCGAATTCTGTAACAGAATCCTCGACGAAGATGGTGTTCTACTGATGCCAGGCAGTCTTTGCTTTCGCGAAGGGGAGGAGACCGATATGGGGGGTTATGTGAGGGTTCACTTTACCCATTTCCCAGACAAGACGCGCAAGGCCCTGGATGCGTGGGACAGATTCCTGGCTAACCAACGGAAATAGAAACTGAAGTTATGTCATCAGATCTGATTAGAATAAACATGCCACTGCGTGCCGTCGTATGACTATGGAGGGCTGTGACTTATCGAAGCAACACTTATCTGCAGCTCGATCATTGATCCAGCAAAACTAAAATCGTATTCGACCGTTCACTCTTGGGCATTGAGACCTTAGTCGTTCATGACTGACCATCTCTAGTTTGGTGTTGCGTGATCCGTTCTAGGCTACTCTACCACACTCTCTTTGCTGATTGCCTTATCTAACACTTATCTGCAAGGACGTCGAACTGGAATGTACTTAGGATTGGCCACCCCACCCAGGGGTCTGTACCCCAGTTTCTCCCACCCGCCTCGTGGGAACTAGGGTTATAAACTTTAAGACCTTTGTAAGTTGGATGGTTAGGAAGATGACTTCTGCCTCCATCCGGTCTCCACTGCGGGTCATCTGATGGTTTTGCGGGTGCTGAGATGCAAGAATGGGGAGGGGAGGCAAGCTAGAAGAGTGGAGGCGAGTTTGCCGTGCTCAGGTGCCATTTGACTTGGGGCTGCAATGATGGACCTTTGTGTACGCGAACTGTCAAATTCGAGAATCAGTCCCAAGCCAACACCGACGCTGTAGTAATAACAAGTTCGACGAGTTTAGTGAATGTGTCAACTCCATGTCCCCTTTATCAACAATTCAATCTACCCAGGACCTCACCTACTCGGCTGCGCGCACGGACCAATTGCCTTGCCTTGCGAATGACCCGATTGATTTCGAGGCTTTTCTGAAACCTGTACAGCCGTTATGAGCGACCCAACAGCACAAGTTTTCCAGTGTTGCGTTGATGCGATTGACGCAAGCAATAGTGATCTACGGGCGTTGAATAAGAGGGTTCATCAGAACCCCGAGCTAGCATTCAAGGAATTCTCTGCAGTCGGAAATATCTCCTCCGTTTTACGGGATCGAGGAATTCACGTCAACGAGAAGACCTATGGGATAGAAACCTCGTTCATAGCCCAAGTAGGCACAGGAGGCCACCTGGTCGTGATTTGCGCCGAGTATGACGCTTTACCCGGAATCGGCCATGCCTGTGGCCACAATTTGATCATGACCTCATCAGTTGCAGCATTTTTGGGAGTGGCTAAAGCTATCCAAACCCATGGCTTTCCAGGTAGAGTGCGGTTACTAGGCACACCTGCCGAAGAGGCTGGGGGAGGGAAAAATAAGCTACTCGAAGCGGGTGCATTCAAAGAAGATATTGCGGCGGCGATCATGGCCCATCCCATGAGCCTTCACCATCTAGAAGACAACAGCAAAGGTGTAGCGGGTATGAGATCAACCGCTTCTCACACTTTTCGGGTCGAGTTCAGGGGCAGGACCTCCCATGCAGCTAGCGAACCTTGGAAGGGACTCAACGCTTTGGACGCAGCTGTGGCGACCTACGATAATATCGCAAGGTTACGCCAACATATCCAACCGGATGAACGGATTCATGGCGTTATTGAGGATGGAGGGAAGTCTCCCGGTGTGGTGCCCGAATACACACGCATGAACTATTTCGTCCGAAGCCCCACGATCAAGCGTGCGAATGAACTGCGCGACCGGGTAAAGAAGTGTTGCGATGCTGGAGCGCTCAGTGCAGGTTGTGAGGTCACTTACGATGAGTAAAGACTTCCCTCCTTTGTGGGCAGTCCGAAGTTGTTACTAATTCATTCATCAAGGTACATCCCTTACAAAGATCTCAGGGTCAACCAGCCCCTGTGCCATGCGTTTGCCGAAGCCATGCAGTCTATGGGTGAACAGTTCTCTGTTAAGATGGATAGCAGTTCCGGCGGCTCGACCGACATGGGTGAGCATATCGCCTGACCCTTCTTTGGGCGAGGAAGCAGAAGCTAATAAGAGGAATTGTAGGCAATGTTTCGTATGAGGTTCCCAGTTTGCACGCCTGTTTTGGTATCCCCACGGAACCTGGCGTAGCAATACACAACCCATCATTTACTACCCATGCAGGAACTGACGAGGCACACGATGTCTCTATTCAAGTAGGAAAAGGTTTAGCGAAGCTGGCTATCCAAATATTGACGGATGGAAAACTAGTCGAAGATGCTAGGAAAGACTTTGAGGATATGAGTGACGTTTTGTGAAAGTATATAGAATTCGTAACCCTACCTCTTCGTCCGCAACAAGAGTTTGAATACCAGCCTTCTTGCTACTAAGTCCACTCATTGACCAAACGCATTTATACAAGAACCCTTTCGCAAGTCTACGAGAGTCTCTTGAGGATAGCTAGCTATCCCTACTATATTATATCACCAGCTTCTCGACAACCCTTGACGGACTGGACGGCCCCGCGCCACCGTGTCAACAACAAAGTCCAAAATAGTGCTCACTAAGGGTCAGTACAGGCTTAGGCGAGTCAGATGCATCATAATTTAGATAACTAAGCTCATGCATATCAGGCTTATGCCTTGCAAAGAGAGGGGTGTTTGGTAATGGCCATAGTAGGAGCACAGACTGCACACTTCCGTCTTAGTTTGGCACTCCGTCAATTTTGATGGCAGTAATGTGGCCCATTACGCCTTCAGCGTTGTTGTTCTAGGATGTGATCATCACCCTGTTCCCCCGTTCTAGTGGCCATCACGGCAGCAGCTGGCGCTAAATAGGTTGTAGGCTTTCCCGGCCTTCGTCAACGGTACACTTTTGCCAATCTCACTCTGAATACCTCTGATATGTGCCCCCTTCTGCCCCCTTCAACCTCTTCAGCGTGCTTGCCCGTCATGCTTAGATGCATCTTTTATCATCTCAGTGGAGATCAAAATTTCATTGTCTTTGCCAGAGACTTCCTTCAGATTAGGCACATCTGAATGCTTAACCCCGTCAAACAACTCGTCTATTTCCTCTAGGGTCAAGCCCTTGGTTTCGACCCAGTACAAGATGACCCCAATAACCATCAGGATGTTCAGACCTCCATTCCACATGAAGGTCTTCCAGCCGATCCCCTTGAACGAGAATGGCCAGACCATTACGGTCACCAAGCCCAGGGCTTTAGTGGTAAAGGTATACAAGGCCATACCGGAAGCTATTGTGTATGCGTTAGCTTTGCATCTCTTGACAGTCCGACTGCTCACAGCCTTCTTTTGTTCAACATACCTCTGATTTCGTAAGATAGGATTTCAGGTGGGTAGAGCACCGTGAGGGGGGTGACTCCAATAACATGGATAGCTTGAAAGAGAAAAAGCATAGCAATGGCGGCATAGATACCAGAGTTGTTGTTTGATGTGCCGAATTTTCCAACAAGCCCACCGAAGATGAATAGAAACACGGTTTGCCCGCCCAGACTAACGACGCAAAGGGGTTTTCGGCCAACACGACCAGCGAGCCAGGAGCCAAAAATGGCGAAGCTAAGGGCCCAACAACTCAAGCTGAGACTGATTTTTAGCTGAGTCTTGTAGTCCTTAATTCCAGCCTGACTCATCATGGATCCAAAATAGAAGACCATGACATTGCTGCCACCGCACATGACGATAAAGGAGAAGGTAGATGCCAAAGTGAGTCGCTTCCGGTTTCCTTTTGTGGACCAGGACTGCACCAAGTTCAAATTTCGACTCTTCTCAAAAGCCAGAGTATCGGTGATCTCGCGATATTGAAGCTGGATTTCGGGAGCTTCTGTATCTCCTTGGGCACCGACGATTGCTAGAACTTCTAGTGCTTCCTCATGACGATCCTGGTAAACAAGCCAACGGGGCGACTCGGGCAAAAACATCACGATGGCCATGCAAATTACACCTGGGAGAACCTGTATCAAGCTGGGAATTCTCCACTGCCAGTTTGAGGTATAATTCCGAACCTAAAGTCGATGTAAAGTCAGGGCACTGTAGAAAATAGGTCAGAGAATGATTCTCGCTCTTACTCCGAAAGAAGTGGAACTGGCTAATATGGTTCCAAGGTTCCAGCATGCATAGTAGAGGCCAAGTGCGAATGGCCGATGCTTAAGAGGGACCGTTTCTGCGACGTAGATAGGACATGCCGTTTGCGCAATGGCCATGCCGAACCCTGGCACTAATGTCAGATCATTTATTTTCTTCCACATTTCTCTAGAGGGATGGCTTACCGATGATAAAGCGTCCAACAATGAACATGGCAACATTCTGCGCGGCACCTTGCAAGATTGCACCAACGATGGTGATGACACAGGAGAGGGTAATGGACCGTCTTCGTCCAAGCCAGTCCGCCAGGTAGCCGGCGAAGGGAGTGGCAACTACTCCACCCACGTACTGGACCGCTGAATTGAAAGAAAAGAGAGTGGTGTTGAGGTTGAAGTAGGCTTTGTAAGTAGGCATAACATTCAAAGATCCCATGATGGAGCTGTCATAGCCGACCAGTAGTGAATCGGACACAGACACTGCAATAATTAGAATCAGCAGGGTCGTCTGATTAAGCGGCACACGTTTAGAAATGTGCTTTCGAGAGGGGGGTTTGAGTCGCCATGGTGATGTCGAATTAATGGAGGATGTTGTAAGGACGAAAAAGGTAGGGAGCTCGAGGACGTCCTTGTAGTCTGCTGTATATAAACTAAATATGAGGAAGTCTAGAGTACGTACATACAAAAGGGAACGACTACTTTAGGTAACTTCGGCTAAGCGATAGGCCAGACACAAGAACGGGGAGCATGCCACCGGCCCATAGATCAGTTACCCTTATCAAACAAAAATGGGGGTAGATGTACATTATCGTGTAATTACTGTCGTTATGGGTCTCTTTAACTTCAGGCCTCGAGACGGGCACCCAACAGGTCAGAAATAATGGGACTGCTCCGATTAGCCCCATTCCTGTCTGCGTGAGGAGATAAGCGGCTCGCTATGATAACTGACACGGCTCAAGTAAACGTCACATGAGATTTATGATCGAATGGTAGCACGGAGGACTTCACAAGGAGAGTTGCGAGGCAGTGCGTACCCGATAGGCGAGTGCGCACGGGCTTCAGTCACGTGACAAAAGCCTGGCACCTCAGGCACTCTAGTTCTGTAACAATGATAGAGGACTAGAGTACTGTAGGTATAGTCAGGTTCATGTGGAACAGACACCATAAGTATTGCATCAGATTAAGAGTATAGTGGTTAGTTAGTTGGTTCGCAAGACATAGTAGTAGGGAATCTAGGGATGAGTGATTTACTACGGTCTGCTAGGTAGGTAAGTGAGTATCCTCTTTTGGAATTTCGTAAGATAGTAAAAGTAAATACTGAAAACGCTTTCTTCTTTCGACCTTTTTCACTTATTTTCACTTATTTGCGTAATATTTAAGGTTTATTCGATTAGTAATAGATTAATAAGCGAAAAGGTGTAGTTTTCTGTAGCTTAATGAATTAATTATAATATATTCAAGTGACTCGCTATAAAGAGTCGATTTCTATGGCGCAAAAATACCCTATTTATAGAGAAAAAGACTCTCTTCTAAGAGATGATAAGATTAGTGGTTAAGAGAATAATTTGAACCAAATTCGATCTAACTCGACATTCTTTAGGTATAAGTTAAGCCGAGTTTGGGTTAAGCCTTTCCAATCCTGTACTGGTGGATACCTCCATGATGATATGATTTCTTTTGATAGAAAGAATTCTGAGGAGAACATGACTACTTAGCCTTTGAAATGAATGGGGCAGGATAATGCCTCGCCTGATAATGACACCTAGTATGTACTTAGTGCCTATCGCCGGCGCCCAAGCATTGAGATAGCGCCATACCTTGGGTTCTAGAATCTACCTTGTAAAGCACTTGGAGAAGAAGAACTCAAGCACGTACACATCCGAAAGACGACAATCATCTCACGATTGTCATGTTCAGATCGTAGCATAATCAGAACTTGGATCAATGCTTTGATTCTCCAACACCACTTTCGAAACGAACAAGAGAAGGCTTTACGTGGCCTCTGTTGGAGTTACAGAAGAACAGATCACCGCACCGCCCAATGGGGGCATAGCTTTGTTTACATTTAGATAAATACCCTTACTCGATTCCAGGTTTTTCCTGGAGAATAGTCAATCAAGTCATACCAAGTTCATACCCTGTTCTCGCAAACCAGGCCCTGACACTCTCGGAGTATCAAGGTTCAAGACATTCTACCCATATATTCAGAAGCGTCACTTGACAAGCAAGGGTGCTTGGCTAGGTGATATGGTGCAGTCCGTCACCCTCAAGGCTAGTAGCGATTCTTGCAGAAGGAGGCCCCGATTTTTTCATTTTAGAAAGATTTCCTGAAGGGTGTTTGCAGCTTCAGCTGCAAATATCCAACCTCGTTGGTGGATCCTTTGAGAAAGTGGCGGCTGTTACCCGTTCCGTCAAGACTGTCCCAGCGAAAGGCCTCACATAATTTTTTAACTTCTTTATCATCATGATCTGGGTAGAAATTCGAGCTCGCACGAGACGCAGAGCTGCTTTCTATGCTGAAATTCATAGCTGGACAAATACCTTCAAAGTCGACGGAGGACTCTCTGACCGCTGAGCGAATTTCGCACGGCGAAATATGGACGTTTAGCCCTCCGATCACTGGTTACTATCAAACATATTTTATGGTAACCTGCAGCCTAGTCAACGACCAAGACCAGGCTCTGGACTTACCCTGGGATTACCGAGGGAGAGATATGTCATCTAGAGGGAGCTTGCAGCCATATTGTTGGCAGTATTCGGATGGGCACACAAAGAGGGCTGATCTTGGGTGAATCACCGCCTTAACGACAGAAAGGTACTTAAGAGAACATGCAGTCTTCTGGATGAGATTACAGCACCGCATGCTTGTGCCCTGCCCCATTTTGAGACTTACTCTTTCGATTTCTGCGCTTTGAGCACTCCTCCCACCACCAGCCTGCCGACAGACTCATCCTCTGCCTTACCAGATGGAGAACATGGACGAGGTCTTCCAAGCAGCTCTGGAAACAGCTGTGGGCCTAGAACCAGATGCCGCCGGTGAGATTGAGGGAACTGAAGAGGCAGCTTTGCAGTCTGCGACTGAGAAAGAAGGAAGGATAAAAGGACTTAGTAGCCTCAGCGCTTGAGAGTGAGATGGAAGGAGCCTTGGTGCATATCTCAAGGTCTACCCCAGAGCCTCTGCGTGAGATGGAAAAGCTGGATCCGAAAGGTGATTTGATACTGGCAGGTGGAAACGTCCGCCTTCTGGTCTCATCGAAAGTACTGCAGCTCTCCTGTCCTTTCTTCCGAACAATGTTGCAACCAGATCGCTTCATGGAAGGTGTTGAACAGCCCAACTCTGAGCAACCACCAACCAAAGAGCTGCAGGAAGAGCATCCCCAATGTTTACGAGCAATGTGCCAGGCACTCCACCACCTTCCGGTCCAGCCAGTCAAGTCGATTGAAGAATTGCATGTATTTGCAGATGTATGCAATTTCTATGGTTGTGTTCGGGCTTTATCGTTTCAAATTCAGAGCTGGACAGAACGCTGGGACTTTTCCACACTGGCAAGTAGTCAGCTGCAGAGATTACTTTGGGTATCCTTCATTTTCCACCTGCGCAGCACATTCAAGCAGGCGAGCAGCAGATTGGCACAGTCATTGACACCCGCCCAGTGGAAAGCCTGGGATGTTCATCCTATGCCTGCTAAGCTGAAAGGTATTGATTACTCCCTCCTAAGTGCGGATGAAAGACTTCTGACGTTGATATCTCCCCAGAGGACGTGAGAACGATGTGCGAGGATTTGAAGTGGGATATGCAAATGCCAATCGAAAACGCCTTCGGTGAGGTCATTAATAACGAGCATGAGCATGACAGGAATGATGGGGATAAGAAATGTTCAGATTGTGGTCTCAACAAGCCTCGGCAGACCAGGAAATGTGGTAACTGCCGGTCTACCAACTTCGAGGACTATGTCTGCACCAATGCAACGCGGTTGCTCTCACTCGAGGGGTGGCTGCATCGCGAAGACCTTTGGCCATTGAGCGACCATCGTGGGAAGAGTTGCCACAATCTGAACCAGCATCGCCAGATGGCTTCCTTCCATGTCCAATATCGCGATCCTTGTGCTGATGAAAAGGCATGTCCACTACTCCAGTCAAAGGAGAAATTGCGCGGACGAATGGAGGAGGCATTCGACAAGAGCCCTGGACTGAGCCTCGACAATTACGACGACGAGAACGAGGTGCCCGAATAGATCAGTCGAGGAAGTAGTGTGAATTAGCATGACTTACGAAGCTCTCGAGGTCCATTGTTGTTGTCCAGCAGGTGATCCTGGCATGAAAATGCAAATGTCACATCGCCAATATAGAACTCAGAAAAAAGTTGTATCCGAGTACGAACCATGAGTTGATTCAAGCCTGTAATTGAGAAGTAGCAAGTGTGACAGCTCTTCTGTGGTGACCTCGAAACCAACAAGAAAAGGCTTTACGCGGCCTCTCGGCGGAGTACGGAGTATCAGCGTCCAAGAAATACTAAAGTGCCATGGTGACGAGGACCCAGAGTGACCTCAGTCTTGGACTGGACCAACGCCTCTCTTGAAAAGCCGGGGAAGAGATCCGGATATGTCGGCTATGATGGTCATAGGCCGAGACTGGCGGGCACTTGGCGGGATGAAATACGTGGATCCTTGGATGAGATCATGACCATCGTCCAGTTTCTCCAAGACTCTTGCTATCCATGCTTCCCACTTTTTTGGTGACATCCACAGATCTCGCTTGCTCATTTGGACAGCGCTTGGTTCATTCAAAACCATCGACATGGAACCTGCCTCGTTCCTGCTTCCTGAGGGCTCTCTACCTCTCCACATCTGCAGCACGCGACCTCCCTGAATTCAACTGTCTGCAGTCACAAAAATGAGGCCGATCACAACCTCCCTCGTAGGCCTGAGCGCCCTCGTCTCAGGTCTCGTCTCTGCGCAATCCTCATCCTGTGGCCCTGCTCCTTCAAATGGCATTCGCCCATCAATTGCCTCTGGGTACACCTACCAAGTTGTTGCCACTGGCCTTGCGAAACCCCGCGGCCTCATACTCGATCAGCAGGGGAATCTGTTGGTCGTGGAAGCTGACCGCGGTGTCATATCCAGTCACGAAATCGTGGAACAAAATGGCTGCGTATCCATAGGACGATCTTCCGATATTACAGACCAACTAGAAGTGAGTATACCTGCTATCGTTCACCTTTGACCACTTCTGACATACCGTACTAGCTCAACCATGGCATAGAGCTCTCGGCCGACGGGAGAACTCTTTATGGTTCTTCCGCAGACAACCTATATTCATGGACATATGACGGTGCCGCCAGGTCCACCTCTGATCAAACGATTCATATCAATAACATGACTGGAACTGATCACTCGACACGAACACTCCTGTTATCCCAACAAGAGCCGGGCATGATTGTCGTCTCGAAAGGCAGTCTGAGCAACATAGATATTCTCGCCACAGATATAACTAGCGGGAGTTCTCAAGTCAAGGCTTTCAACTTGACCAACTCAACGTCACCCTATGACTACAATGCTGAAGGCTTGGTCTTAGGTTGGGGACTTCGAAATGAGGTTGGAATTGGAGAGCATCCCAATAGTGGTGGCATATGGGGCGTGGAGAACTCTGCCGATCAGATGAACCGTATGGGGGTAGATATCCACGAAGACAATCCTGCCGAGAAACTCAACTTTCTGGGCTATTTGAACGGAACTGCGTCCGAGAACCAAGGAGGCAACTTCGGTTATCCATGGTGTTTTGCAGCCTGGGAAGTGGAAGACCTTCCCGACAATGGTAATCTCTCCGTTGGAAGTCAATTCGCCATTGACGCCAGTTCTGCTTCCAACAACGAGAACCGCACGGACGAATTCTGCGCCGAGCAAGTTGCTCCTCGCTTAGTCTTCCAAGCACACATGGCCCCCATGGATATCAAATTCAACAATAGCGGTCGCGAGGCTTGGGTAACGTTCCGTGGGAGCTGGAATCGAGATGAGCCTGTTGGCTACAAAATGTCGGTGGTCGCCTTCACTGAGGGCGGAGAGCCCGTGGCCGACCGCGATAGCATGACCGCTGCCACTGATATTTTTGCCAACGAGGACCTTTCCAGATGTCCTGGAAATTGTATGCGACTTGTTGGAATGGCCATTGATCCTCAGGGCCGCATCTATGTTGCTTCAGACGCCTCGGGCGAAATTTATTTGGTTTCCAGAACCGACAATTCAGGGACTCCTGCTGGATCACCAACATCGTCTGCGTCTGCATCTGCATCTGCTACTGGCAATGCAGGTCACAGTCTTCACCCTCCAACTTCAGGAGACTCTTTGGGCTTATTTGCATCACTGCTGGGTTTGTTACTTTGCTGGTTATGATACCCAGCTGCCTGGTAGCTAGCGACTTCGTCCATTAGCCAAGGGCCAACAGTCCCCATTGTCCAACATTGCCTGGCGTCCACCAGCCATTTTTAGGCCAGTTCTCACGAATTATCACATGTACATAGCCGGAAGCGGGAGCGCGTCGATTTCATTTCAATACGACGACATTCACTGGCAAACGAACTTTCTATTCAAGCCATTCAAGTCACATCCATCCCTGTCCTCTACTGTTCGCGCCCTTCACTCCTTTGCCTAGCGTTTGCTTTGACGACTGGATCTACTGGAATTTCCTGCCTCTTCACACATATAATCTTCAACAGTAAGTCTTCTATCGCTGGCAGATTCCTTTCAGCTACACAACCAACAGCGTATGGGCAATTATCGTAACTGTTGATTTCGCCCCTGCTGTCGTCCACCATGGCCTCAAAACCATTTTCTTACACAAATCAACTCTTCCGCGCCCTCACTCCCTTTATCCCAACTGATGAGTCGGAACTTAGTGATCCACCGTCTGATTTTGACGACCATGACTTTGACCTAGGTGCCAACTTTTCTAATATGGCAATCAAGAGTCCTCCCTACACAAAGACTATCAACCGCTTTCCCTCTTCACGTACCATCAAGACTCCTCCCCCTGCACAGACTATCAGAATGGGGAACGCACAGTCTACGCCATCTTCCAGGAAGCGTCAGCGTCCAGTTTATGCGGACAAGGATAGCGATGCTTCAGCATCCCATACCGACAGCAGCAATGATGACATCGAAGACAACAAATTTCCTGTGCGGAAGAGGGTCAAGTTCTGCAGAACTCTTTACAGTCCACTGGAGCTCATCCCCAACGAGGTGAATAGATACCATCATTATCTCGAATCACTCTCACCATCGTCTGACACTCTGACAGATTCTCAACAAAATCGCTTTCTATGTGAAAGATGATCGAGACTTTATCAGCCTTGCTTCTTCCTGCACCACCCTATCACGCGCTCTTGTTCCACCAGAATCGGCGGTCTGGAAGAAGCGCTTTCTGTCCTTGTATGACTTCCCGTTGTTAGAGAATCAAGAAGAATATGCCTTCGCATACCAGGCTCGGCGTTTTGTCTTGTCTCAATTCGTCGCCTTTACCAAACCTGATGATGAGAGACTGAAGATTCAGATGGATGTACTGAGGGATATGGTCGTTGGTAAGCATCATCAGCCTCAATCCTTGATCACTCACCTCTTCGCATTTTTGGAGGGTGCGTAGATGACTTATTTCTCACTTCTCAGAATCATATCTACCACCACAAAGGCACCTCCCAACACCATTGACTTCACGAAATCTTGCAGCATTTGAATCCCCACAGAACTCACCATGGATGCTTACATTTCTTTCAACTGCTCTGTTTCCCAGCGATCGTCGCAACAAGTTTGGTCAACCGCACCCCCTTTTCGATGCCCTCCAGGTCTGTCTCTCGCATCTATTGCTCTCGCCGGCCTCGAAAATGGCACATACCGTAGACTCCTCAAGAACAAACTATAATCTTCTCCGAGTCTACAATTGGAACCAAATATTCAACACGCTATACCGACGCATTGAGCCAGCGAAAGAGGACAAAAAGCATTCCGACCCATGGTTGAAACGGAAAAAATTCCCAAATCTCAAAGACCGAGTTCCAGAAACCCCCGAGTCTCAATTCGAGCTCGACATGCACGCTCTTCTACATATCCGAAACTTCTGGCATCGTCATTTCATTGATGACACTCGTGGTTTCTCCCAGCTGACTTCACGCTGGATTGGTGAAGATACCTATGCCAAAATGGTGAAGTCGCTCACTACAATGGGCATCACACCCAAGAAATGGGAGATACCATTAAACAGCGAGCATTTCCCCATTAGCTCGGAGTGGTATGGTCATTATAGCTGTCTCAATCCGTGGCCAAAGACAATCCGTGATATGGAGGAGAGACAAACTTGTGCTGAAGATTGGACTTCCGTGGATCCGATGGTGGGTTTATTCTGAGGAAAGATCCCATACCCAATGTTCAGTGAAGCTAACACAACATGCTGCTCTACAGAAACTCGACTTCTCTACCAGTCAGAACAACCTCGCCGACGGCTTCTGGCCACCGATTTTCAGCTGCATACCCGCATTTGATAGCACGATACCAAATGTCGACGATCCAAAGAACAAATGCACCGTGATCCAAGGTTTTGCGAACTTTATCGACTTAGAGGCGATCAACAACAGGATGGGTGGGTTTCAACCGACACTTACAGTTCCCAAGCTACCTAAATACCATCCATTCCTGTCCCTCCGACTTCGTGGTGTCATCCATCCTATCGAAAGCCAGCCTACGAAACTACAGCGAGAGCAGAAGGGCGCTGATGGAGATGGATCCGAAGACTCATCGATCCCAGGCTGGAATAGAATCGTCATGGTCATGTACAAACCTACCAAGCGCTACCTCATCCAGGTGCTCGAATATGCAGAGGAGAACTACGGAGACCCCTTTGGCCCACTAATCTCAATGCAACTGAACTTGCACGGAGGCGCTCAGCCTGCAGTACCCAACTCGACCAGCGGCAATAACCAAGTTACCAACAACCCAAACGGAACAAACACCAGCGCCAATCCAACCACGGCTCCAAATAGCACGACAAACACTGTGGCTTCCAACACCAATCCCACCAATCCCACCATCCAGCAACCCGGGCCCTCCACCGCTCCAGCATTCGACCCCGTTGAAGCCGACCGCCAACTACAAGCGCACCTACACGAGAAACTCCTGTCCAATCCAAGCTGGCGCTGCAGCACGCCGCAAAACAGCATGACACGGGCCAGCATCGAAGCCATGGAAGACAAATTCCGGTCCAACTACGCACTGGATTGGAACGACATGGAGTACGCGTACGCGTACGAGGGCGTGCTGCTCCCCGGTGGCAAGATCATGATGGGCCGCTGGTGGCGCTGTGGCATGCATGGTGTTGGGCCCGGCAAGGAGCTGGATTGTGAGGGCTTTCCCGTCGATGTTGTGGAGCATGCTGTCGCTGTCACTGTCGATGCTGCCGCTGCTGGTGGTGGGGATGGGACTAGCGGTGGGATTGCGCATAGTGGTGGTGGAGATGAGGGCGATGCGATGGTTGTCGATGGCGAGAATGGTGCTGGTGCGGCAGGGGATGGAAATGGTGATGGGGTGGTGGCTGCTCAGCAACAGGAACAGCACCAGGCGGATGTGGCGGGTGACAACAGCAATAAAGGGCTCGAGAGGGGTCCGTTTGTCTTTTGGTGCTAGGTGGACGGGTTGACCGATGCGACTTGCCATGGAAGGGCTACTGGAGGTGGTTGTGCTCGCCTACAGCACTTTGGTGATCTCAATTTGGAGTTGGATGGAATGGGATCAATGATGAGCTGGCTGGCTGGCACACTCGTTCGAGAGATAGGACATTGGATCATTGCAGATGAATGAGGCGAGTGGAAGAACCCAGGCACAGGTTGCTCATCGATGGGGGCGAAGTAACAACTACTTGCTGATCATCAAACCTCAGGCTGGTAGCGCGAGTGCTAACTAGACATCGCAAATGAGAACAGATATCAATCACTGTGGTCATGTCATTCATTTCTCCTGATTTATCATGATATCCCACACAGACAGAAATACAGACACAGCAGTGCCCGATAGCATGTCTGTTCTCATTCGAGTTTTTTTGGTCCCTGTCCCTCTCCCTAGAATATACTAATAATATCAGCATCATGGTCCCTTGTCGTATGCTCCCCCCTGTCCAAATAAGCAGCTCATGCACAGTGAGCGTCCTCCAAAGCCTAGTCTGGATGCAAAGGGTTTCTAGAACAACACCAACGACCCCACGCTCGCTTGCTGAGATCACCGCACGTAGAATTCCAGTCTCTAGCCAAATCATCGCGGGAGCAGGTGAATCCCAGCCGTGGATGTATTTGAGTCAAGCATAGTAAAGCAATCTATCGAAAGCGCCTGGCGAGATTGCCGCTCTCATCGACATAATCGAAGTCACTCGCGCTGATCCCACCACTCATCTCCGGCGTCGCGCGTGGAAGACTCGGGCTCTGGTCGGGGTAGTATTTGCCACCTGGATGGAGAGGCTGCTGCTGCTGCTGGTCCTCGTCGAAACTGTATGTCGTGTATGGTGCGTGAGTGTGTTGTTGGCCAGTGGCCCAATACGCCGGTGGTTGTTGTTGCTGTCGTTCTTCCGTGGATGCTTCTAGATCGTCGGCAGCGGGAGCATACACGACGTCCATGTCCGGGAACGCGAAGTGTGATGAGGAAGCGTTGTTTTGTGCTGCATTATCGTTGGAAGCGTGCTGTTGCTGAGAACTCCCTGGAATTTGAGACGATGTGAAGGTCCCATTCACGAAGAGTCCGTTTGGTTCGGTGTCGCCATTGTGGACTGCAGCGGCTTCGCCCGTAGAGACGTTCATCAGGTCGTTGTTCTGCACTTCCACTTCACGGTCACGGATGCGGCGCATTAATTCGAGGAAATTCGAGTTTTGGAACTTGTCACTGGTGTCGTGTTGCACTGAGGTCAAGAGTTGCCCGGCCGTTCGGGCCAGTTCATCCGCATCACGCGTATCCTGATCCACAGACCGATCCTTCCATTCTCGGTACTGAATAGAATCTGCGCCGATTTTAGAGCTCTCCACCGGCACAATCAAATCTTCTTGTTGCTGGAGGGCTGGGGTTTCGGCCGCGGTGACTTTCAATTTCTCCTCCTGATCTAGCTTTTCGAGTTGAGAGAACGCGTCGGCGAATGCAGCTTCCATGGCCGCATTGGTTTGTTGCGGTTGCTGCTCCATTGTCGCCATTGGAGGTTGATAGTGCTGTTGGAACGCTGCGCCTTGATACATTCCATTAAATTGTCCGTACGTTGGTTGCGAGAGCCCACCCATGGACATAGGTGACGCCATCTGGAAATTGTTCATCTGTGGTTGTTGTACTGCTTGCTTTCCCTGAGAAATTGGTGTGCTTGCACTCGACCGCTGGCGCATGAACTCGGTATGCCATTCTCCTGCCATAGATCTGACCAAGGGAGCCTCCTGACGGAACTGTTGCGCAGGCACTGGTTGTTCATGCATACTCAATTTCTGAAATTCTGATGCCCAACCATTCATGTTCAGGTTAGGCTGATTCGTCGGGCGGAAAGTAGGAAAGGCATTGGCGAATTCAGGAGGCTGCTGGAATTGGAATTGGTTTGGGATGCCATTTTCGAAAGCGTGAAAGTCAGCATCAAGCGAACCAGCGCGGGGGTCTGCTGTGCGGAAACTCTGCCCGAATGTCAGTCACGTTGTTGTAGTCGGTCAATTGAGAAGCCCTTACCTGATTGAACTGTTGTCGCGCACCGACTAAGCGGTCTTGCTGAAGGGTGCGATCGACCTGTGTATGTTTCTGAAGGTTCTGGAGCGGGTTCGACGGACCACACAGGGCGTCCGCCATTGTGATGGTTGTGACGGCACTTGGAAGAATGAGAGACAAAGATGCAAGTACGAAAACGGTGCTGAAGAAGGTCGGAACGTGTGTTTAAATCAGCAATCAAGTCTGAGATTCCGTAGAAAAGAATGAGGTGTCACAGAGATTCATGAGAATTGGATGCGTGCTTGATGAGATATCAATATCGGCATTGCGAAAAGGTCAGACGTGAACAGAAAGAAGCCGAGGCCCGGAAAAACCACGGCTGGCCGGCTGAATTGCCTTTTCACCTTGGCCGTCTCGCCGCCTTTGGGTTCAGTCTTACAGAGTCGCGGGCTCTTGTTTGCTGGCTGAAAACAGTTCCTCCTGGAGAGAATTCCGACGTGCAATTCCGGACCTCCTCAGCTCAATATCTGGAAGTACATAAGGCCACAAAAATGATGTTCAAAACATCTCAGTAAACTTCACCCAACACGCTGCAGTTTTATAGACACGATGACGGCAATACGTTCTGCCGAGTAGGTGGCCAGAGTCACGTGGGGGTAGCTTTCTCAGTTCAAAATTCAGCACATGGAAATGCAGCCTCGAACGTGGCCAAGGCCCCCTTTTAAAGCATCAATTCAGTGCTCCCTACACCTCGATGGTTTTTTTTAAACAAAAGGACCACACAGGCACGGTGACCTTCTATCTATTATTTCTTCCTTGAATTAATGCTGCCCATGATTCAGATGATCACTGGCTGGACACGGGATGGGTCCCGATATCCCCAAATCGAATTTCGCCATTGCAAGAGTTCGCGATAGGCTCTTCAAAGCACGCCATTGTCTACTTATGGATGTCTCCTGATATGTGGCCCTTACCCAGAAGATATGGCTAATACAAGTATCTGCGGCTTGATAAGCATATATATAAAGTTCTGAACTTCTAGATTTTTGGCATTTCTCGGTACAGAATAAAAATGGTCGCCCAGAAACTCCCTCCCGAGCCTAAGGCCCTTCGTGTTGCCATCATAGGCGGTGGCCCGGCGGGCCTTGGTGCTGCAATCGCTTTATCTGCCCTTCCAAATGTGCAAGTTGACATCTATGAGAAGGCTCAGGTGCTTCGAGAGGTCGGCGCAGGTATTAGAATAGGATATAATGGCTGGAAAGTCCTTGAGCTCTTGGGCGCTGCCGACAAGATCACGGGGCACTTGAAGAATTCTGTCACTCATCGGTAGGTTTTGTCAGCGCGGCTCTTGAGGCCATCTTGCCACTAAATTCAATCCCTCGATTCCTGCTTAACCTTATGACAGAAATGGATTGAACGGCAACGTCGTGGGTGGTACTGGCGAATCCTCGTTTCCTCTCCAATACCAGCCTCGTCGAGTTCGAAGAACACGACTTCAATCAGGGCTGGTGTCGACTGTACCTGAAGGAGTCATCCATCTGAACAAGGGGGTTGCATCTATTGAAGATATCTTCAATGGAGGCGTGAAGGTCAACTTTCAGGATGGTACATATACAACAGTGGATCTTGTTGTTGGCGCAGATGGCATACGCTCTGTAGGTCCACGACTTCCGTGGTCCAAGGTCGTCACCGTCCTGATACTGTTATAGGTTGTTAGAGACAGCATTTTTCCCGATCACACAATCAAATTCACAGGTGGGTTGCAAGTTCAATGGACATCAGCATCGAACTGACATTATTGGATTTTGCAGGCACAACAATATGGCGCACGCTCATTCCCATAACTAGCGTCAAGGATATTGGGCCCGAGGTCTATGCAGGAACTTCTTGGTGGTTTGGAACTGCAGGTCACGTCTACTTCTCTCCTGTTGACGACAAAAACGAACTTGGTGAAGAGGAACGACAATTCGAGATCTCCTGCCGAAATTTAGTTGACCCAGCCACTGATACTACCAAGCGCTTCAGTTGGGGAGTACCGGCCACCAATGAGAGAGTAGTTTCACATTTCACTGTGAGTACTCGCAGCACAAGATGTGCTTTGAATGCATGCTGACTGTGGCGAAGGACTATGACCCGAGAGTGCGAGAAGCACTTTCCAGAGTCCCTGAGGGAAACTGGAAGGAGTTTGCGGCATTCGCCGGACCTCGTTTAGAAACCCTTCATGGTTGGGACAAAGTCGTCCTTCTTGGAGATGCCAGTCATCCCCTATCAGGTCGGTGGAATCACATTCGGGCGATGTTCCTCGACTAACCGACACCAGGTGCATTTGGATCTGGTGCTGCTTTTGCGTTGGAAGATGGTTGGGTCCTGGCTCGAGCCATTGAGCATACCCGCGGTGCCCCCAAGGGGCTTGCAAAGGCTCTCCAGGTCTTTGATGCGATTCGATCGCCCTATTACCTGAGGATGTGAGTGATGCATCTGGACTTCTTGTTGTTCACGAGACTAAACCGGGTTTAGGTACGAATACCTTGATGGTCAGAAAGACAAAACGCAATCGGCACAGCAAAGTAGTGAGGATCAAAGCTTCGAGGCCAAATTGAAGATCAGAGTCTCCTCGTTTGGTGGAGAGAAATTCCTTCCCTGGATTTACCACAACGATATTGAAAAGGTGTGGGACGAGTATCTGATAGGTGAAACCAGCACGAATGGTGTTCACTGATCGCATCGCGAAATAGACTTGATAGACCGCCGAATATTCTATAGAAAACTATGTACCTCTACGAATGCAGAAGCATGCCCTTCCCGCCCTATCTCCATAATTGCACTTGGGTTCTAATTTGCTAGTATTATTAAGCCTTCTGATGGAAATTAAATTGTTCCGGCTACTTCGTTGCCAAGCGCGAGGGCCGAGCACCGAGTCCTATGTGTCAGCGTCAGAGGGCGCCGGACAAACTCCAACCTCAGGCAGACAACATAAACATTTTCCATTTCCTCACCGTCCTTCTCCATCTCCTTCCCACCTTTCACCCTCTACATACTGTCTATAGTCCTCGACGCGCATATCATTACCATTACTGTAATTGTCGTTAGGGTCTTCTTAGCAGATGACAATTGTCGACTCAAAAGCTCCACTGGAGCTCGATGTCATTGGTCCTAGCTCCCAGATAGCCCAAGATGTTGACATTGAAGGCATCAAAGATGTCACTATGGCGGGAGAAACCATGCAGGAAGAACAGAGCCGACCTCGGAGTAAATTTCGCACGGCGATGATATTGACTGCTCTCTACCTTTCACTCTTTGTTGCCGCCCTAGATGCCACCATCGTCGCAACAGCTGTACCGATCATCACCGCCGATTTGAAATCTGCCGCTGGCTACATCTGGATCGGTGGTGCATATCTTATTGCCAATGCTGCCGCTGCGCCGATATGGGTCAAGTTATCCGACATTTGGGGCCGAAAGCCGATCTTCCTTGTTGCAATCGCTGTCTTTTTTGCCAGCTCAGTGGTTTGTGCTGCAGCGGTGAATATGCAGATGCTGATTGTCGGTCGTGCAATTCAAGGTGCTGCCGGAGGTGGCTTGATCTGTATGGTTAGTGTTGCCATATCTGATCTTTTCAGTGTGCGCGAACGAAGCCTTTGGCTCGGATTTTGTGAAGGTGTCTGGGCTCTCAGTGGAGCTGTTGGGCCACTGCTCGGCGGCGCTTTCGCGACTTTCAATTGGCGTTGGTGCTTTTGGTGCAACCTGCCCATTGCCGGAACCGCATTTGTCTTGATCTTCTTCTTTCTTAATGTTCACAATCCTCGAACACCTGTATATGAGGGTGTTAAGGCGATTGACTGGTTTGGATGTATCTCGATCGTGGGAATCGTGGTCATGCTACTACTAGGACTTGACTTGGGTGGCGCCATCTATCCTTGGGGCTCGGCCAAGGTTATTTGCCTGCTCGTTTTCGGCTCTCTCATGATCTTCGTTTTCATCTATAGCGAACGCAAACTTGCGAAATACCCTGTCATTCCGCTGTCGCTGTTTGGATCGAGGAACATTGCAACTCTTATTGTTACCTTCTTCCATGGGCTGGTAAGTGATTTTCCGATCCTCGTTCTGGTCATTATCTGACTTTTTCAAGGTCTTTATTGCCGCAGAATACTATTTACCCCTCTACTTCCAGAGCGTGAAAGAGGCTTCACCACTTCGCTCAGGTGTATTACTCGTGCCATTAATTGTGGCCACAGCAGGTACCGGTGTTTTGAACGGGATCTTCATACATCGAACCGGACAATATCGGCCACCTATGTGGTTAGGCACCGTTCTCATGACCCTTGGAAATGGTCTCTACATCATGCTTAACCCTGATACATCGATCGGGGCTATCATTGCCTTTGAGATCATCGAAGGTATCGGGTCCGGCCTCCTATTTGAACCACCTCTACTTGCGATTCAACAGGGCGTTTCACAGAACGACGTTGGAACTGCCACTTCCACACAGAGCTTTGTTCGAAGCATGGCACTTTCACTTGGTGTCATAGTTGGTGGCATTGTCTTCCAGCAAAGCATGGACCTACGCCAGCCTTTCTTAAGAGACGCAGGTCTTTCAGGAACTGTATTGGAAGAACTCTCCGGGAAGAATGCAGGTGCGAACGTCATGGTTGGTCAAACCCTACCAGCAGCTCAAGAACTCGCGGTCAAATTGGCCTTCTCGTGGAGTATCAGAAACATGTTCATCATGTTTACGGCTCTCAGTTTCCTCAGCATCGTGGCGAGCATTTTCATTCGAACTCACAAGCTCTCGGAAACCCACACTGAGACTGTGACCGGACTTAGAAAGGAAGAACATTCTCAAAACGCCTAAAATCGGCACCAAAGTACAGGCGAGCTCCCACGAAGCTGGCTTCAACAACAGTCCCTTCGCTTGGGCCCCCATGAACCAAAGTAAGGCCGAAGGGCTCCGTCAGCAATTCTTCGAACATCTATCCCTCGGGACTTCAGACCGGCAGATTTCCCAGATAACATGCATTCGTGATCATCACGGACATGCATCGTACACAATTTGGTGATGCTCTAGCACCGTTAACAACAGCACTCAATCCCTTTTGACGACGTACTTGGTTCATGTACGTTGCGTACATTAACACGGTGAGCTTCCGCACCGTCCAAAAACCAGCAAGTCTTGTCATATAGTTCCCAGCAGTGCGAGCATCCTCTAATGAGGTGACCGTACCTCGGTGAGCTCCCCACCGTTAACAACAGCACCCCATCTTTTATTTTGACTACGTACTCGCTTCATGTACATTACGTACATTGACACGGTGAGCTTCTCCACCGTCAAAAAACCAGCAAGTCTTGTCATATAGTTCCCAGCAGTGCGAGCATCCTCTAATGAGGTGACTGTACCTCGGTGAGCTTCGCACCGTTATCAACAGCATTTTATCACCTACATGGGGATATTAATGAAAGTCCTGTTTTGGATAACCCTCTTCTGGTGAGCCGAATATTTCATTGATATTTGTATGATCATGTATGACCACTTCATTGATACCACGCGGTATGCGTTGACTTCTTGACTTCCAAAACCCACTACAATCCGCTGTAGTGGTGAGGGGGCGCTGAACCTTGCTCGGGCTCGATGGCAAGCGACTGGCTGACAATGGCCTCGTCGTTGGTCAGATGTCAAAGGTAAGGTAATCAGGGGAGGTTTATCAAATGGACAATACCATTGAAAACTGTGGGAATTCTCACTTCCGACTCAGGGTTTGTTCGAAGACATGAATGTGGGCTTGCTATCCATATGGACTCGTGAAGTTCGACGATCTTATTCCTAGGTACATACACCATAAAAGCATGAGCATAGACAAATCTGGGCACGCACAACATCGACCTACCAGGAAGCAAATAGGCAACGTGAACACTAGAAAAGGCGTCGTGGTAGATAATAATGATGTATAAAATCGATGTTCAATCGTGGTACTAGGTCACCAGTTGAGACATCAAAGATAGCTCGGTTTCTGCCAACTTTGCTCTTCAATGAGCCTTTACCATTTGAACCAGTTCTTAATAGGATCGTCCGCTAGTTAGGGAGAGGCTGCGCCCGAGACAGCGCTGGAGGCTAACGACGGTACCCATCTATTAGATGGCTATAGAAGGAAGTTAGGAGGACTCGCAGGCATTAGAACCGCCGAGACTTAACCAGACTTGGGGCTACGGGTTGCTCTATTGATCACCCAAAATGGCGGGCCGAACCCGAAAGTGCTTGGATTGATGCCCATGACACAACCATTGGAGCACGCGATCCTGCTACTCCCGGGCACAACCGCCCGCTGAAGATCCACGCTATTCTCTCGAGCACAAGTGCGAAAATCATACGGTGCTAGATATTGACTCATCGTCCTTTGACGCGACCCCACACTGCTGGGACAATGTATCAAGAATCTTAACTTCTCATTCCGCCGTCCCTTGTTATCATTATCCTCCAGTCTATGATAGCTGGCTGCATGACATCGAGATAGCCATTCCCTCAATCGGTCCGGACTCTCCAATTTTCCAGCAGTACAGTCAGCTTCGCCAAGAGCAGTGAGTAGAATTAGTCCTGGCAACAATGAGTAAAAATGAGATCATACAGGAAGGCAAGTCATTGACGATCAGTAAATCGTTCCTTTTTCCTTCTAATGCAGCAGCAGTACCGCAGCCACAGCCGACGGGACCGCCAGTTTCTCCAGAGCCAGCTCCTAGGCCCTTGCACGCGGTGTTGTCTGGAAGCAGTGTGACGCTTGTTCCTCTGGGTCACGATCACGCTGCGGATCTGTTTGATGCTGTTGGCGGCGAGGAAAAGCGTTCGCTCTGGACGTATATGGGAGATGGGCCCTATGTGTCCAGAGCAGAGTTCGAGGAAGCTATACTCGCCAAGTCGAAGTCTGATGATCCTTTGTTCTTCGCCATCATCAATACCGAGACACAAAAGGCCATTGGTTACGCGACATTAATGCGTATAGATACGAAATCTCGATCCGTCGAAGTTGGAAACATCATGTTCTCGCCCTTACTGCAGCGCACCAAAGCAGCCACAGAGGCCATGTATCTGTTGGCGAAACATGTTTTCGTTGACTTGGGTTATCGTCGATATGAATGGAAGTGCGACAATCTCAATGGTCCTTCGAAACGAGCTGCATTGCGATTTGGTTTCACGTTCGAAGGGATATTCAGACAGCATATGATCTACAAAAGTCGCAGCCGTGATACTGCGTGGTTTTCTATTATTGATACAGAGTGGCCGGTGGTGCGTCGTGCATTTGAGGCATGGTTAGCGGATACAAATTTCGATGAGCATGGACGACAAAAACAGAGATTGGACGACCTTAGAGAAGAGCTACAGGGTCAAGGAGGACCAGTTGTCTTACAGACTGATTGAGCGTCAGCAGATCACAGGTGCACTCGATACTCGAGTTGAGTTTGGGTCGAGTATGGCGAGTAGAGGAGAATTTCTCAATAGACAATAGAGATGCAATGAGACTTGTGCTGGTTGCCGGCGGAGCACAAGTGTAGTATAGTCAGATACGGATAGACAACCTGCACGAGTACAGAAATACATCAATTGATGTGGCACTTTCCTTCGTCTATTGTATTGGTGGCCGTAATGAAGCTCTGGCAGCTCTACCCTTCCTACTGAAAAGTCATGAATAGCGTCGGCCAGATTTATCTTCACTACAGCAATACAATCATAGCCAGTCGAAGCGACACGTCTCTATCTACTAACAGCATGAGATGAGCTGTCTTTGTTGACTTCTTTGTTCATTTGTAATTGCGAGACGCAGCTTACTTTGAAGCAAACTCTTTGTTCAGCCTGCAGCTGCGACCGAATGGAGACGCTTGGAGAGAAAGCCCAAATATACAGAGGCATGTATAGAGTGTAATGATTGATCTTTGGTTCTGGATGATGTGTTTTGATGGCAATGCAGGTCTGACATTCTTCCACCGTGAAAGTCCAAGCGAAAAGCCCAGGGTTAAGAGGAGGAAGAGAACAAGGGTGGCGAGGCAAAGCAAAAAGTGGATGGGGCACTAACCGTTTTCGGAAGCCCACATCGCCTGTCCGCTTTTCGTTGGCAAGAAGCTGTTAACAACACTCTCCACCTCATCAGACTGAACATCAGCAGTGTTATCCAGCTCTTCGGCGGTTGACACTGTCTTTTGTTTACGTCGATTACCTCGTTTTCGACGTGTTGGTGAATCGAACTGCTGGCCAAACGGCTATGTCATTGAGATCCTTCCTTCAGCTTCCGGGAACGCCTTCCATGCGGCTCACCACTGCTCGCGACCTGTTGAAGGTGCCCTCAACTTTAGTTTCGACAATCAATTCGACTCACAGTTCTGCAACTCCATCTCCAACCTTGTCGACTCAAGAGAGTCGTATCTCTACCGGGTTTTCGACCTCAGTCAGTGACCCGGATGATTACGTGGACATGGCCTTGCCCCAAACCGTGACACCCGCCCCAATCAAGGCCAGATCAACCACCTCAAGCAAACCAAGCCCCGAGCCTGGAAAGCGACGAGCATCTGGTCGTTTGAGAAAACCAACTGCAAAGGCTCAAGCTATTTCTGAGGAATCTACCTCGCCATCTCAACTGCTTGACACTATCGTCATTGGAGGTTCACCGCCTAGGAAGCCTGAGGATCAAGAAGATGCTCAACCTAGCACTCCTCCATCGCCTCGAACTGCTATCATCAACACTGTGGAGCCAGATCTCGAGATCGAAATCCCGGAAACTCCAGCACATCCGATGAATGATAATCCGACGACATTTATCAATGGTGAGGGAGCGGATGGTGGTCCACTCACCACTCCAACTGCCCAATCACCTTCGCGAAGGCATTCTCGTCGTGAGAGGAAACCCACAGCCAAGATTCTTGAGACATCACCAACCACTACCAAACGCCCTGCATCCGATGTTCATGATGTTCATGAGGAACCTCCTCGCAAATCAGCCAGAGTATCTTACTCTGGAGCAAAAGTGCCATCCAAACTACGTTATTCGGTATCTTCCACCAGCACTGATTCGGCGAGCCCTAAGAACAAAGAAATTGGAGATCCGCCGTCAGCGAAGCAATCGTTGATAGTCATTTTGAAAGTTCCTCGTCTCGCAAAAAGTGGCAAAGGAAAGACGGCCAACGCTAGCAGAAACTCGAAGCTGGCGAAACATTCTCCTCGGCGAACTCGAAACTCTACCCATCAGCAGAAAGTCAGTCCTACCAAATCAAAGACGCAAGTTCCTATCATCACTACCGCGCTGGCCAAAGAACTTCCACCATCCTGCTTATTATCGTGTCTTTCGCCATCATCTCGCTTGTTAGCAATGGCACAAATAGCTCTTATGATGCCAGACTCCAATGACGATGATGATGCAGAGATCTTACCTGGTAGTGATCAAGATTGGCGAACATACGTGCCTCAAGTGTGTCAGTGTCACAACAATCAGGATGCACTAAGCAGTCGAACCAATTCGGTTGACCTTCAACGTGCTCTAGAACCAAATCCACTATCTGATGGTACGCAATTCGCACCTATTCAATTGCCCTCCTCGCCAACGCCAGAATTGGACTTTCTTGCAGCCCCAGTCAACACAATTCTCAAGGTTGGAGAAGCAGAACGAGTGAAAGAGTTTTTCTCAAACAACGCCACAATGTCAATGTCGAATTCATTCTCTACACCAGAGAACGCGGCATTCAAACGGAAGCGATCATCTATGCCTCTCTCAGCTCACTTGAATGGAAATACTTTAGCAGCGCATAGTCCTGTATCAGGGTTCTTGTCGGTACCTGCAAAGTCGAGCTATGAGGATCGATTGCGAAAAGATCACCTCGCACTGAGCGATATACGCAAGAGAGCAGGGATGATGGGCATCAGATGGAGTTTTAACATGACTTTTGATCAGATTCATGATCTGGTTATGGAGGTTGAGTCTCAACAAGAAGAAGCGCACATGCACAGTCAAGCGAGAAGTTTTGGCCGCAGGATGACCACGTCATCGTACGAAAATGAAGAAGCGCCTCGTTCTCGCCATGGCTTTGGCATGTTATTGCCGTCCCAAACATCAACCAACGGACTAGGCAATGGCGAGAGCTCACGTCAAGGGCAAGGGCGTGCATCAATTGGAGGAAAGGGATCACGGCCACGCATTGATCTCAGAGGGCTCTTGGGAGAGTCTCCTGGGCCAGGAACCATTATCAACATTGAAGACAGAAGACGCGGTGGAAGCAGAGCATCGAAGAAATCTCGGATCAACTGATCTTCTCGGAGAAGAGTGGAACAACATTTCCTTACTACTTGCCTTGTATTCTAGAATGAACAAGCATAGCGATGTGTGCGCAGCAGGCAAAGCAGAACAATCTGCGAATGACTGGAAAAGCATGACGGGGGTTGCATATGTATACTAACTACTACCTTTATGCATTCGGTCAATTGGGGCACGAGGGCGGTTTGGTTATGCATAGAAGGGCCTGTCTAGGCCTTGCTTTCGGTGCGCGATTAAAACCTAACTTAGGTAGTTGAGAATATCCGGTAATGGGCATTAGCGAGGCCCTGGGTGAATAATCGTCGTTGATAGAGTAATATTCCTCTGTTTGACATCTCCATACATGTATCGTAGACATTAATTGTATCAACCCTTGATAACAGTGTCCTCACGATTGGGCCAGGGTCGCCCATCGCTCATCAACAGCATCGTCATGCCACAGGGACAACGTATTTAGCACGTCTCGAGTCCTTCTCGACGAGTGGCTTGATTTCCCAAGAACCATCAAAGATGACCCCTGAAAAAAACACAGCAAGACCGGAAACCCTGGCGTGCCCTGGATCGCCCCACATGCGTGAAATTGGACCTCGATCAATTGATTTTTTTGAGGTGTGCCTGTTTCTCTGTTTGGGTGTCAGTATTTTCTCCAAATTCGTGGTCGCCCCCTCATCATCTCCGACGCGTCGATCATCCAACAAACTGAACAGGTTAAGTTTAGATGACACCACGAGACGTGAGAATTGGACGCGTTTTTTGGTGACCACGACTTTTTGCAAGATTAAGCCACAATCGCCACATTTGATATAACGAAAAGTTGTCGACGACGACGACGGTCAAAGAAGAAATGTCCGCAGTTGAAGCAGTGACCGTCAAGAAACGGGGTCGGCCGGCTAAGAAAGCCGTGTTGTCGTCTACCGACAATAGTAGCAATGTCATTGTGGAGGTTGACCCCGTGGCCGCGAGTCCCTTGCAACAGCAGGAGAAGACTCGGAGGAAGTCTGCTGCTCTTAGTGGTGAGGATGCAGCTATACCTGCGGCCAAGAAGTCGTCAACGTCTACGGCGACTGCGAGTAAGAAATTGAACGATGAGACCGGGAAGAGTGCAGCTGTGAGTGCGAGTAAACCAGCAGTGGCCGCGTCGACTACGACGAGAAAGAGGGTCTTGAAAAGTTCAACGCCCGCCACTGCTGCTGCTGCTGCTGCTGCTGCTATAGTTGAGGAGAGATTACAATCCTCAAGTTCGCGGACAAAGTCACCCAAGGTTGAGCCTGTGGAAGAGCCGAATGTTCAAGCCGTTGCGACAAAATCAAAATCCACTGCTGTCAATAAGGCTGCATCTCCAGCTAAAGCCACAGCAGCATCATCAACCACGAAGCTGGTGATACAGGCCAAGAAGCAACAGCCACAGCGAATTTCAACTGCGCCGGAAAGTCAATCTGCTACGAGTCTCCCACCGTCGGAGTCGAAGACAGAGCCAGTTTCAGAAATCCTGCAGCAAGCTCGCGCTTTCGCGAAGACTTCCCCCGGAGGGCTGAAGAAGAGTGCGACTACTTTACAACAAGCATCGGGTAGAAAGGCTGAACAGGGTGAAATCAGCCCCGAATCCTTAGAGCCGACCATAACAGCACAACAAATATTAGATTCGATACTAGCTGAAGCCGAGCTCAAGCAGCCGCCAAGTACGTCCGAGACGAACTCACCACGAGAGGCATCCAGGATCGAAACAAAATCTGCAGCACCCTCGTCATCTTTCCCAAGCAAGCTTCTCACCACCAACCCACTCTTCACAGCAACCCGCCCAAAATACACACTCCCATACAGCACGACCGCGGCACTGGCTTCCCGACACCAACAGCAGCAAGAACAGCAACAGCAATCCACGCAGCGAGCCGCCAGAAGCACCGGCCCAGGAGGCATTCGACGAAGCAGGCCTCCGCCGACCGACCCGTCCTTACGGGGCGATCCAAACAAGGCACCACCAATGTCCCATGACGAAATCAGAAAGACACCGCTGTATCGCAAGACGAACGCCAAAGTGCGACGTGTGATAGTCGCGCTGCCGATCGCGATCGTCACGAGCTATTATCTCTATCAGCGGCGGGACGAGCAGCGGATTTATGAAGAGGGTTTGCTGGCGTTGGGGAGGGGCAGCTCGGGGTCGTCGGTGCGGAGTTTGACCACGAATAGTGAGGAAGGTGCTGCTCCTGCTGTTGGGCAGAGTGAGCAGCAACGGTGATGAGCACGAGCTTGAGACCATCTCCTGACCATGTACTCGCTCATACCTCCTGGGCTCTTCTGGTACCATCCATGCCCACCGACGTGTATGACGCAGCACATGGAAATCGAGATCACGACAGCATCTCGCCTCACTTTTCCTCACTCGCTCGAGGCTCAGTCCAAATCAGCTCGGCTCAACTCAGCTCACGTATGTCGGCCATGACGGCTCAGTGGCCTCGGAGCCTCCTCAGTGGCCTCGGAGCCTCCTCAGTGCCCAAAGGTCAGCTTCGAGTCGCTCAAGCTCACGAAGCCCTACATCGCCCCATCGTCGAACGTGCACTGAGCACTACAGAAACTCCCACACGGCTCATTACACAATAATCACCACAGGAACCGAACGCTCTCGACGCTTTGGCTACCACGACTCGATCGTGTCCGCGCGAGTCGTCCTGTTATTCCGCCCTGTCCCTTTCTCATCAACCCCCCTTCCACACATAGTACGGCCCCTGCATGCACATAATGTTACAATAATGAAGCCCACGTTATTCACTTTCAAGCGAAATGCTACTGTGTGTATTTACATTTGTTCATAGTCGTGTTGGAAACAAGACACGAAAATGGATAGAAAGGATTCTCAACTCTGCGATTGATAATTGTGTTCTATCTGTGGTCACATTTTTGGCCTTTTTGAATGCTTGGTTCAGTCTGACTTCGTCGCTTGCTAGTTAGCGTAGCATATCTGGCCCACAGCCATGTGTCTGAAGGGTTCGACTCATCCCGTGGCATATATCGAGTCCGCCAATTCCTGGCTGCTTTTCTCTCCATGATTTCCTCTCGAACCTTCCGATAACCCCCAGCCGTCCCATGCTCATGTCATCATGCTTCAAGTAAATTCCCGAAAACCTGCTTCAACACACCTCCAATATGCATTGCTCGGCTTCTCTCATGTCACCGCGGAGGTAAAGTCCTTACAACTTACTCTCCCACGTAGCACCGCCCTGCCAAGCATCGCCGGCCTCGAGTTTTGTCCACGAACTGACCGTACCAGGCTCTATGCACAAGTATCGCTGCCAGCCGTCTTTGGGTTCGAAGTCACCCATGCCTTTGATCTTGTCCTCCCAGCCGTTCCACACCGTCACGTCTGGCAACGCTTCACGAGAGACGAGGAAGCTGTCTGCGCCATCTTCGGTGACTACAAGTGGTACCAGACCGGCATCGTCCTTGCTGGTTGGTGGTGTGTAGACGCGGTCGGTCTCTCCGGTGAAGGCTAGGGAGGAGGAGGATTCGGTGAAGGTCTCCGCATTGCGAACTTTGTCGACGTACGGGGATTCGTCAAGTCCTCTCACGGCGGTTTTGCTGATGTCCTGTGATATTTAGAAGGATCAGTTTTGTGGTCTCGTTCGTGGAGTCCGATGAGAAATCATGGGACTCGCTTCAACAACTCTTTGGCAACTAACCTTGACAGCCAGATATGTGTGGAAAAGTGCCTGGAATTCAAATGCCTGGTTTCCTTTGTTCTGGACATGCAGCGATGTCTCCAACTTGCCCTTCTCCAGTGTGACACTGTAGACAAGTCCGAAATCATAAGGCCACTTCTTCTTGGTTGCCTCATCAAGGAAATCACTGCTGAGGCCAAAGTCCAACTTGACACTGTCATCAGACTTGCCGCCCAGACTCTCGCTGCTGCTCTTTCCTAAGAACTCCCAATAGCTGTTCCGGGCGAAGCCGTGCTGCGGAAGGTTTCCTGTAGCGTGGGATTTGGGAGGAGGGCCGAAGACGGGGAAAACCAGTGGGATGCCACCTCGAATAGGCTTGGAGCCGTCCAGGACAGCGGCACTGGAGAGGAACAGCTGCTCTTGGCCGTTGTTCGTCTTCCACGAGGTGACGGTGGCGCCATAGAGGTAGACCGTCACTGAGTCGCCCGTGGGGAGTCGTGCGGTGAGGACATTGTCGCTCAGGTCGACAACAGGTTGGGCGAGAGAAGGGGAGAGGGGAATCGCAGAGGGTTTGTTCTTACGATCCACAGACATGGTGGGGGTGGGATAAATTTCGGGGATTTTCTGAAGAGTTCTCTAGGGGTAATGTAAGACTTTTGGATGTTACTGTGATTCAATCTGGGTTTTTGGAATGAACAAAGGACAGAGAAAGTGTTAGAAATCGATGGGTCTTATGGTGAATGGAGGGGGAATGTGAAGCTCTCACCGCGCAACAATTGTTTCATACCAGAAGGAAGTCACCAAACAGCCTTAGTCCACTATGACGAACTATGCCAAGACTCTAAAGCAATATTAGTGGATATACTAGTCTCAATCGGTGTTAAGGATCACTATTGTCCTCAATGCGAGTATCGAAGGGCAAGTCTATGAGGTCGACGCCAAATGTCTGAATCCCAGTTCAATCTTCCGACAAACAATCTCGACAATTTCCCTCTCGTCTTCACCGGCATCAAATCCCAAAGCCCCAAGCTGCCAACTTACAGCTATGCTGAGTGGGCCATTAGCCACGCTCACCACATTGAAACTCAATGGTGCACCTGTCACACTGGCAGGTTGGCAGAATACCATCTTGACAATCGTAGCCCTTCCTCCAGGAGAGACGGGCCTGAAGCTGGTGAGGTTGCTAACTTCATAGGAACAGTCCCGACTTCCACCGACTTTAGACAGGGTCCACGATCGCATATCACTCACGTATGGAAGTAAGCCGATGGGGTGGTTGCGAAGGTCTTTGGAAACAGCCGCCAATCGTTCTGTAATTGCTTTTGCTGATGACCAGTTGACCTTTGCTTCTGCTTCGCATCTCATCTTGTTGTTTTTGGGCAATGTCGCTGTGTCTGCAGAAATGAAGTTTCCTATCTTGTCTCCTGAGATGTTGAGAGCTCCACGAAGACTCAAGGATGTTTGTGCTACAAACTGGCTTATGTCGGCTGATTGAGGCAGGAACTCAGACAACGCACCGACGATGAGTTGGTGCAGAAGTCCTGTAAGCTTGACACCGTGACTTCGAGAGACTCGCAAAACCCGACTAACAATCGTTCCGTCAATCGTTATCGTCCGTACACCAGTTGTATGCTTCTCAGCATTGTAAAATACTGGCGATCCGGTCCAGGTGGCACTCGTCACAGCGTTATTCAAAGCTTCAAGACCCAGGATTGATAGAAGCGGTTTCGGAAGGAAAATGCCCAACAGCGTCCTCAGAAAGAACGGCCATGTGATTGGCAAATTCCTGGGCGTGTCTGAAGCTGGACCTATATCTTTGGATCTAGTACTGGGAGGTAATTCGTTCTCGATATGGGATACCTCGAGACCACTCAACAGGGTTTGGTGGAAAGCCAAACCTGACATGCCATCGCCCAGGGTATGGGAATAAAAGAACGCAATGAAGCATCTTTTCTCAGACAGAGGGAGTATGAAGACTTTCCATGCAGGGATGCTAGGCAGCAACTTGGTATCAAGGATACCTGGCAAAGCATTTTGGATCGCTTTATCTTCATCTCCATCTTTCTTGCACTTATCCAGATGTTGCAGATGCTGCTCGAGATCAACCTTGGGGTAATGTTCAAAATATGGCGAATTGCTTTCCGCGTTGATTGTGACGACACTCAATTGCGGATGTCTTTCGATGCACTTCTGAAGGCCACGAGTGTATGTAGAGGGGCATGACAGATTTGATCCGTCGCTGAAGTCATAGGTGCCACCCACAGCTAGGCCGCGATAGAAGTCAAGATAGTCGCGTGCGATGCAACGACGCTCATTTGGGCCTGACAGAAGGTTATGTTAGCTGACTGGTCCTAGAATTTGCGAATAAGAGCATGATGGACTGACTTGCGGCACGTAGATAGTTCTCAGTGTCATCCCGCACGGCTTTACCAAACATTTTCTTCATATTCTCCTTTATGCTTTACTGATCGTGATCTAGGCAGAAGATCGATCCAGGTCCGACCATGCTTTGAGACTGAGACATCTCTAGAACACAGAGCCCATAGACGCGGATTTATTCCAATTGCTTCGGCAGGCCGGTGTCTTTCGAGAGGCGCCTTGAGCTTGGGCAGGATAAAATGAGGAGTCTCCGGCCCAGTGAGCGCGATCAATATGATCATGTTGCCGCTTCATTTAGCCCCTTCCTGGATGAATTAACGGCATGTCTTGCAGCCGGACAGATCATTCCAGTCTGGGTCAACGCCATCTTAGATGACGCACGCAGGGGCAGAATGGATGATTTTGCAGATTGAATCTACGTCAAGTCCCGCACCTACCACTTTGGATATCTACAGCCTTGTGGAGATGCCTCTCATGTACTATACCGGGCAGATTGATTTTTGTAGATTTTCAGAAACATTTTGAGTTCTGCGCTGGGCGACTTCTGCACAATTCGGCATGATCGTGGCTTATCTAAAAGCTTTAGTTGGATGTTGGGAATAACTTGAGAATGATCATGAAACCGCTCTGCACCAGGAAATTGGAACCCACTCTCCGCGCTCCCGGCTCGGCACCAGCACCGGTGATTTAATGCCTATTTTGGAACAGCTCAGTGGTCGATACCTAATCCCAGATCCAACTAACTCCTAACATTGGGGCTATGGATATTTGTTGCATGGCACACGACTGACTCACTGCAATGACGGGAGGTTTACAACAGACTACCATGATAGGAAGTTCGCAAGCCCCTGCGCCTTTGCGCGCACATACTAGAGCTGCAAGTATCGAGAACAATACTGGCTCCGAGTGTGCTGCATGGCTTCTGGAATTTCATTCTTTCAGCTCGAATGCGGCAATAAATGTCCGAATATTCTGTCAAAGGTCAGGCGAGTCAGCTGGTCTAAAAAGTGGTATAATATAAAAGGTGAAATTGAGAATGCTAATTCAATGAGTTCTGATGAAAGAAGCCTGTTCGAAGGAGATTCTGCAAATTCTAGTTGTTCCTTAGGTTTTCAATCGTGATTCTGCTACACTACTACACAAACATCGCGAACTGTGGCAGTCTTGATCGTTGATGGTCCAGCATGGGGGAAAACTCGGCAACCATCGATTCTCGTGCACCTGCCGAATTTGACTTTCGCAGTAGGTTCCTTTCCGTACCAATGCTGTTAGCACCACGCATTACTGAGCACACACTGCACAAAGGTGATATAGTGACGGTCCCCACCCAAGAGATGCTTGAAGCGGTCTTGAAAACGACTTTCAAGGACGATGTATATCGAGAAGATAGCACGACCGAAAGCTTTCAAGCTGAGATGGCAACCTTGACAGGGCATGAGGACGCCATTTTCATGCTCTCCGGAACAATGAGCAATCAGCTTGGGCTCAGAGCTCTTCTCATGCAACCGCCGTATTCAGTTCTGACTGACTCGCGTGGGCATATCATCCATTATGAAGCTGGAGGTGTAGCCAGTTTGACTGGCGCGAGCTTACAGCCCGTGGTGGCGAGCAATGGCAAGTATCTGACTCTCGAAGATATACAGGGCAAAGCTGTGTTGGATGAATATGTCCAGTACTCCCCTACTAGGGTCATCTCTCTCGAGAACACTCTTAATGGACTGATCATGCCTCTCGAGGAGGTGCGCAGAATCTCGACCTGGGCTCACCAAAAAGGTCTCAAGATGCATCTTGACGGTGCTCGACTTTGGGATGCTGTGGTCGCTGGAGCTGGCAGCTTACTCGAGTATGCTCGGGAATTCGACACTGTAAATCTGTGTTTCTCGAAGGGTCTGGGGGCCCCGCTAGGAAGTATTTTGGTCGGAAGCAAAAAAACAATTGCTGTCGCAAGAAAGATCCGACAAAGCATCGGAGGCGGTATGCACCAGGCAGGCGTGCTCACAGCCATGGCTCGAGTCTCTTTAAATGCTACCTTTGGGACAGGCGTCAATGGAAAAGGTTCCTTGCTGGCCCAATCCCACAAGAATGCTAAGTATATTGCAGATCTTTGGGTAAGACTTGGTGGAAAATTGCTCGGCCCCACGGAGACTTGCATGGTCTTTCTAGATATCAAAGCTGCTGGCATCTCCCGAATCAGGCTCGAAGAATTGTCGGCTCAAAACGGATTAGTGATAAAGAATGAGAGGCTTGTTGTCCATTATCGTAAGTCATGTCAAGCCGATTTTGAGCGGGATGGATGACAGATGTGACAGAAATCTCCGACGAGGCAATCCGCAGAATTGACAATATATTCGTTGCTATCTTCAAAGGGCCGGAGACAACGGTGGTGAAATTGTGAGAAGGAGTTAGGCAGCTGCTGCTAGCTGGAGCCCATTTTTATAGTTGGATGTAGTAGATTGTCGGGCTGATGGTTAACAGGCACCAAAGGTGTCCTTCTCAGATTAAGTCGAATCAATGTTTACCGTCCAGTTCAGGCGTATACACCAAGTCCGCTTCCTGTCTGGAGTAAAGGCGACGTTGCAAGAAGAGCAGCTCGTGGGTCTCACGGTATAACAACAAAGTCCGGGCCTCCGTCAACCAAATCAAGCATGTAACCATTGTAGCCATGCCGTCTTTTCGTCCACACATAGTCGATGGCAGTTTTGAGTTTGATAAGAGCCTGTGGTGCTGCATTGAATAAGGGTATAGAATCCCATATCTCATCTGGAAATTCTGCGAGCTCCAGTGCGGCAATGAGGATCGGGAACCCAACTTGCTGCAGTTGCACAACATTTCCAGCAAGTGCCTGATAGGTCAAGAACTCGAGAGTAATGCTATTTGCGTATTCCCACGCCGTGTCATCCTGTGTACCAATCGGGTTCAACATGCGATGTGCTATCAAAAGCGCCACATTCTGGTACATCAGGACTTGTGTTTTCATACCCAAGATTTCCTCCTTTGAAAAGCTCTTGGCGAGGTCATCAGGCTCAGTCGCCGTCCATGCAAGAATGCGTTGTTTAATTCGTTCGATGGCCACGATGAAACTTTGTCGTTCAGCGTATTTCTTGTGTTTTATTTTGTGACCAATAACACACAAATCATACAATATTGGCAAAAGAGTCGTACACAATCCTGCTAAGCGGTCGACAATTGGAAGTTTTGGAGGACAAAATTTGATGACAGGATACTCACGTCGCAGCAAAGACCACGATGTATCCCAGAAAATGGAGGCAACAGCAAACAGGTCGATGAATTGGTGCTTCGAAAGTTCTTGATACCACGGCTGGATCGAGGATAGAGAATATCTCAGGATCAGAGAGGTGTCGACACACTTAGTGAGAAGGTCGAAGGCTGCCAGACTTTGTCCGAGTGCTAAAATGGCAAGTGCATCAGTGGTTCCCATGATTTTGGTGGTTCGAAGCTGTTGGAGGGATACGGCCCCCTGAGCGAAATCTGGATGAAGAGTGTCGTTTCCAGTCCTAGAACGGTCGACTGCGGTAAACATGGCCATGTAGATGCCTTCCAAAATAGCAGGTGACCTCAAGTAACTTTGCTGCACTGCTTTCCGAAATATAGGGGCGAAGGAAGGACCGATCATGAAAATATGGTACTTTGAGTAGAATTTGGCAACTAGATACGGTGAGGTCTCTCGTAACTCTTGAGCATCCGTTAGACGAATCATATATGAGTCGCATGTCACGACGCCGCGCTTCAGAGAAAGCTTTAAGAGTTCGAGTCCTGAAGATAGGAAGAGAGGTTCCATTTCTGAACACGTGGGCGAACGTGGATCTTCAACTGTGTCATCTGAGGTAGACAGAGTCGACTCTACCTCCCAGACCTGCACAGAGCCGGCTAGTCCTAGTTGTTTACACCTTGGACGCCTTCCCTGGCGAGGCTTTGATCTCAACGTTGTACATGTCGACCTTGTTCGTTCGCATCGATCACACCCGCTGGAACCATATTCGAAGCTACACTTTTCTTTGAGCTTATAGCATCTGTCGCACGATCTGTATTTGATGTTGCGCATGATTATGGGTGGCATACATGTCAAACACTAAATTAAATCGGACTGTTGAAATGAGAGAAGAGAATGGCATGGGTGACACGAATGAGGATTGAATTGACGTGGACATTGCCTCGGCTATCCCTGTTTTGGGTCCGTTTCCACTATCATTAGGACTGAAGGATCCAAAGGGACCTGGGCGCTAGTTAACTAGTTAACCAATTGACCGGGCTGATCGGCATCACGGAGTCGCTAATCCAGGGGCTAATTAATGATCCGAAGTACTTCGTATGCTTCCAAGGGACGATTGCATAACTATGAAGTAAAGTAAGAGGGTTAGGTACTTGGCTAAGTATACAGCTAAGTGCTCTACACTTACTGGAGTGCTGAAGAGGACATTGCATTTGCCCTTGTTTAGATCGGAAATGGCTACCAATATATTGTTATACGCAATCTCAAATTGTTTCTTTCGATGCATAATTTGAGGCTCGATTACCTTTGGCTTGCTTCTCGAATCACAAAGCCCTAAGAACAAAACCGTTGTCTTCAGCTTTCTCTCATGTACCGCCAGAAACCACTCTCAGTTATGCTTCCCATTCACGATTTCTCATCGATTCTGCTCGCTCACCTCATTCATGATCCATCATACCCGATCAGGTGGAGGGGACGTCCTTTTTCCGAATAAAGGTGTCGACACCGCTAAACAATCCATGCCCAGACCTATTGGACATATTAGGCACAGTCGAGTGCAATTGAAGCTTTGAACCTACCTTCTCCAGAAAATTCTGAGGTTCCGATTGGGGCCAAACCTCAGCATCGATTGCGGCTTTACCCGTCCACAAATCGGCCTCGGCGGGATCGACAATTTTCGTTTTCTTGAACACTTTCCAGAAGACGAGCAGGCTAATAAAGATCGGGATGCCGATGTATGTGGTCAAGAATGTTTCCACATTCCAAGGCATGAAAGAGTAGAAGCCATTGAAAATGGTGAGGATGCTGAAGAATGTGAGTGTCGACCAAGCAAGATATGGTTGAAATGGCGATCTGAATGGTAGGTGGCTGCGGTCTACACCTTGGACCTTTAAAGCGGCATAGAACCGTATGTAGGTAACACATATGGCCATCCAAGACGTCAATGCAACGAGAGTTCCAAGGTTTGCAAGCCAGATAAAGACCTTCGCCGGCCCAGTTGCGCAACTCAGGTAAGTCAAAGGGGCAAAAAGCGCTGTCAGACCTACACTGTAGTAGGGTATACCTCTATAAGTCACGTTAGCCTTGCAAATGTGGCACAACCTCAAGACTCACCTCTTGGAGCAGCGCATAAAGACACTTGGAGCCAAACCAAGCTGAGCAAGGGACATCAAATAACGACTGCCATTGTAGAGGAATGCATTTCCTGCAGAGCATGCAGAGCTCAGAATGACTGCGTTGATAATCGAGGGTAAAACAGGTATACCGGCACGTTTGATAGCAATAACCCAAGGAGAGCTGGCGGCTCCCGGAGCACTGGTTGCGAGGGCTATCAGGAGGGCAGTGTCGTTATATGGCACCAGGACTCCAACGGCGAGGGATCCAAAGATGTAAAAGAACAAAAGACGCCAAAACACTCGGCGAACCGCCTTAGGCAGATTCTTTCTCGGATTCTCGGCCTCCCCAGCAGCAACAACAACTGACTCGACGCCAGCATAGGTATAAGCAGCCATAATCATGGCAAACACTACGCCAAGAAAGCGTCCTGTGTTACCATCGACGATGAATGTATTCATGGCCCCTGGATTTTTCCAATATCGAAATCCGATCCGATCATGACTTGGAGCCCCTCCTAAGTCAATGATAAGCGCCAGTATGAGAAGTCCCACAATAGTGATTAATTTCAAGCTTGCAAACCAAAACTCGGCCTCACCATAGATCGAAACTGCAAGAACGTTGAGAAGGATAAGAATAGCGATGATAATCGATATCCACACCGCGACCTAGAGATTGGACCAAGTTAGTTTGAGACTGACGGGCACCATTGCTGGTATCACGATGGTCGACCCACGTTGATATCGTCATTCCAATAGCCTATTATTACTGCAGCAGCCGCAATCTCGATGCAAACCCCGATCACGTAGCCGTACCAACCCTGAAACATGATTCAGTCCTTTTCGTCAATGGTTCAATCCTCATCCAGATGTGACCAGTGGCTTTCTACTCACATTCCAGCCCACAGCAAAGCCGAGCGCCTTGTCTACGTAGCGGCTCGCAAAGACAGGAAGTGCCCCCGAGACCGGCAGCCAGGTAGTCATCTCACCAAGACACTGCATCTGTGGAGATATTAAATTCACACTCTCCTCTTCGTGAGGCTTGAAACTCACCATTCCCCAGATAGCCGCGCCTGTAATTAGAAAGCCTAGGAACATACTGAGGGGCCCAGTAGCTGCTAGTGCCCTCCCAATACCCAAGAAAAGGGCGGTGCCAATTGACCCACCAAGGCCCATGAACTGAACATGACGTGCTTTGAGCCTTTCGATGAATGAGAAATGATATACATAGTCCTTAGGAAGACCCCATTCGACTAGCCGTACGGTAATCACCAGGACTTACTCACCCTCTAGCAACATAGCCATAAGATTCGGCAATTTCAGCGTTGCCATAGATTTCAGTTGCTTCCTGTATGTTGATTGTTGTACTTTCGACTGGTCTCGTCGTTTCGATTACCGAGACCTGCTCCAAGTCTGGAGTGGTTTTGCCTGACATTTTGCTGTGCCTAACTATTGAAGACCGATGACTGGAACGAGCCAAATCTCGATTGAATACTCGATCCACTTAGCGAGGAAAGTGGACATCCCATCGAAATCAGATCAAAAGGATAGGGGCAGTGGGATATATATATATGGCCAAATTTCCATCCATGCTTGACCCGTTTTGTTCAATAAATTAGCGCTGATAAGAGCTCTGCTCCATAGTCTTGAGCCTTTGTCATATTAGAACTTCTCTATCACCTGGCATCCAAAACAGCTGCGTGTCTTCACATAGAAAGAAACTCGAAGACATGACTGTAGCTGTAAACACAACCCGCCAGAGTGGGCAGCGGTTGGGATGGTGAGCTAGACCAAATTAGGTAGTAAGTCACCGGTGCCTACCTGCGAAGTATCAGGTAGATATCTCTCCAGGCCGCCTCTTTGTAAAACCCCACAAGAATTCAGTCAGGAACTTTCGCCTGCCTGGAGACGTTAGGCGGGGTTGATAGCCGAGGAATTTTGCTTCCCTCTATCATCGCAGGCTCTGTTAATCTGCATTTTCAGGCTGACGAGCCGTCCATCTTCTCCATAGGTCCTCCGCAAAGACTGATGTGCTATTTTTCTCTCGCATGTTCGCAGTCTGCACCGGGCATATATGTCCTTTGTCGGAAGCTCGACCTGGAATCGTAAGGTTTAGCTTACATGACCATGCCCATCAGGATACTGTACCGTAACCCATTGGCGTAAGTAGCCCAGCCAGAGAAGATCAGTGCCGCATATATGGGCACTAGGTTGTGCGTTATCTCAAGAAAACGTGCGGAAACCGGGCAATTGATACCAGACTGAGACCATATTGTGATATGCCGTGGGCAGGATGCCTCTTGGGAGACATATTCCGCCAAGTCTTGGACATGTCCCTTATCGCAAGGCAGTCTCGTATGTCCGAGATTGTTGGTTGAACGTGAACAGCAGACTATACTAAGTTTCAAATTGGCGTTAGAAGGGCTTGACTTAGTATGTGTTTCACCTGTAAGGCTTTGAGCAGCTCCCAGCGAATAGTTATTTGATTTACCACTTCACTTGGTCTGCCGCAAATTCTTACTCACCATCTCGTTTCTGCTTCGTGAGGGAGACCAGCGATATATTTGTCCGCTTAGCCTCATAGAGAGGATCCATAGTATTGGTGTCCAACTCTTCCTCCAGTTAACCGAAGCTTGAAGAGGTTCAAGGTCGTCTCGTCTCATAGAAAGCGAGTTACGCAACAGTTTACGCGACGTAAAAGCAGCATGATGTAGCACGTGATGACATCGTTGACACAGCCTTGCCTTCCACTACTGAACTTCAACTTTTGCTGTGTTCATCGATAAAGAGTCAACTCACCTTTTTTTTTTTAAACTGTAATCGATTCTGCAATTATGGGTGCCTCATCATCCAAGGTAGCAAGCAAAGCTGCTGGAGCGGCCAGCCGTCGACAGTATCCATCTACATCTTCCATTCTCAATTCCACACCATCGACAACGCAGTCACCCTCACAACCTGTGGTCCTTCAAACAGCAGTGAAACCAGCCACAGCAGCTCAGGTTCATCCAAATCCCGTATCGCACCCTCCTTCAGAACAGAAATCGGAGCACATAGATCTCGATGGCCGTGATCCGCATTTTGGTTCTGCATTACGAAAGATCGGTGTCGCCAAACCTGTCTCTGAAACGAAACCTCATGAAGATGCTTTTCCTACCTCAAGTCGACCTATGAACTCTGGACAGAATATCTTCCCTTCCACGAAGAACAACCCTGCCATCTTGCTCGTGCAGGCACGTGAGAAGTTTGGAAAACAGTTTGAAGTTGAGGTTGACAGCAGAGGTAGAGCTGGTTTTGCTGGGAGGACACTGTTGAGTGCCAAAGAAATTAAAGAAGTCTTTACGTTGAGAGATGATGGAGCAAAACTTCCACAACAGGTTGAGAAGGAGTTGAGACTGAAACCCGGTATCCTGGAGCAGTTAGCACCACAAGGTGTGGTTGCCAATGCTTGATATCATCCTTACAACGATGTGGCAACAATGAGGTATTTTGGCGAGACGCGACAGCTGGTGCAGTGGCCTTGCTGAGCCCCTTCGGTACAGATCAGCTGCGAGTATCGTCGGTGCTTTGAGCTTCATGCGTACACTGTCATTGATCGAAGATTACATCAACACCTGAAGACCATGCACAATCATGCAATGGCCCAAATCGACATCCTTCGGAAGAAGCATGTCTCGACGTTTATATATATATTCATATGCGCCAGCCTTTGGTACTACCGGAACCACTGATTCTTTCTGAACGGGAGCTCCATTGTTGGCTCAACGGCTCACTCAGTCTGTGAGTACCCATTTCTTTGGTCCTCCAACACCGCTCCTGCCATGCTACGATGAGTGTATCCTGTACCCTATGGATAGAGTACACTTCAAGGTGGTTATCTGGCGCACACAGACCCGAGCGATTGCGCTACGGGCTTCTTTGTTCACGAAAGGAGTATTGCGCGAATAATGAAGAAATGCTACTGCTTTGTGCTTTATGCTTGGATGTTTTAATGTTTCATTTTCACATGCTGTCACATGCTATTATCAGATATTCGTGTACTAATCTGCTGTATTATTAGGTGCATCTACCCGCTGACAACAGCCAGACTGGGCTTTCTCTCCGCTATACTAGATTCAGAGATGTTAGACCACTTCTACGAGTCATCTGCAAGTCACCGATCCCAGTGAACTGCTTTTGACTTTTCTTCTCCTCCATGTCTGCTTTCACGTACTAGGCACTTGGCAGGTAGTAGTGGTCGAAGTCGCGGCACGGGTCAGGGTTTGGCACGTAGTCCTTGTCAAGGCTTCTGTCCAACTCCCATCGATAACCCAAGTCACTTGCAGGGAGGCACACAAGCCACTCGGGATATGACGATACGACCTTCGAGTTCACCCATGGGTGGGAAAAAACTTCCTCCATACCAATGCGATCTGCAGGCTTGTGTTTCATCATGTTCCTCAGCAGATCTTGGAAAACCTCGGACTCGACCGAACCGATAGGTGTGGCGGATAACCAGCCCTTGACTTTGCCAACTGCAGCAACTTGTTGCGCCAGAGATTCTTTGCGGTAAATTGCCTTGACTCTTTCCGCGCGCGAAGGTTCCAATTTAGAGGGTCCCTTGGCGCGATTCCACGCTTCCAATCTGTTATTCATTAAAGCTACCCACTCTTCTGGAAATGGCCCTAGAGTTTCTCGAATATTTGCAGCCACATACTGTGCGCCGCCGATCGGGGTCTTGAAAAGAGGTTTGCCAGTTCTCAACGCGAAAATCACGCTTGCAAGCCCGAATGTATCAACCGCAACAGTAGGGCGTGCTTCGAAATTCACCTCGGGGCCTGGAGAAGCATTGTTGACGCGCAGCTTCTTGAAAAGGGGTGGACGATTGATGAGGAACCCTTCGCCCAGGTCGATGAATTCCAACTCTGGTTTCAAGAACTTAGCGATCCCGGGAGCCTTAAAGAAGTCGATGCTTTCATAGACCAACTTCGGGGCGTGCTTCAGAATATAGGCTACGGAATCTGGTGAGCGAGTTTCGCGTCGGAGAAGCAAAGGTTCCACCTCGGTGCCAACAGGCGCGCCGAAGGTTGCATAAACCTGTTCATCTGACCATGAAGCGATTTCGACGATTCCGAAAATGACATTGCCGGGACTGATATCAGCGGCGCAGACTCCAAGCTTATGCAAATGCAACAAACCTTCAATGAGTGGTTTTGTGAGTGCTTGATGCATTTCTGGATTGAGCATGTGGTTCGACGCATTGAACTGACGAAGTGTTGGGCCCATGAGCCTGAAGACCAGACAGAAATGGAATCCGTTCGGTCCCTGAATTAGAAAAGAATGCTGAGGTAACAAGAAATTTGTGAAGCACGGGTTTACCTCATTTTGGTCGTACATGAACTCGTAAACACCGCGTTCTCGGTTCCGGAAAGTGCTGCTCCCTGTGAGGATCTTCAGCGCCATCAGACGATCAACTTGAGCATCGCGAACGAGCCAAACAGTCCCGTTGGAACCTTTACCAAGTTTGTGCACCACAGAATAGCGCCCGTTACTGAAGGTGTCGCCGATTGTGACAGGATGGTACCCACTATTGCTGTTTCTTTCAAGCCACTCCCACTGAGGTGAGTGATTGGCAAACTTGAGCTTCTCTTCCTCCTTCCATTCGAATGCAGAATCGAAGCGTTCTTGAGACTGTGCCATTCTGCCTGGACTTGGATGTTGCGGTGTGTTGCGGTGTGTTGTATGTGAATTTTTGAGTTATTTTGAGACTGAATTTTCTGGTGCCTTGGTCGATGTTGTTGTCCTTACAGAGATAATGGCAATGATGGAGATGGTTATGGACAAGAACAGGGTGAGTACGAGGATGCGAAGCTTCTTATATGTGTTCTTGAGCACGGTCGGGTCCACTCGTGGCTTGCATACTCTATTCTTTGAGTCTCTGGGACAGACAAAAGGTCCTTCGAGGATGAACTGTATTGTTCTCGATATTGTGTCTGCCAAATCCTTCCACGCATTATCCTTCGCTGAGATAAAGGGAGAACAAGACTGGGTTGACTAGGAGTCTTTCATCCCCATTCCCCTTTGACCTGTTCATTGAACTTTCGTTCCTTACACTTTACCAGCACAAAGCTCAGGATGTTCTGTGGCCATGCATAAAACCATCTCGGCTCATGCAGATTCAGAGCACACCTACCAACAATTTCATCGAATACACTACCTAGTCTGACTTTCAGAAGCTAACGGTAAACCAATTTCTCACACATTTTTTCTAAGCGACGAAGCAATACGACAATCAGCAAGAGGAGATATGCAAGAAACAGGTGAGTCTGGAGCCCAGCTCCTTCCCCTTACATACGGAGTGGAGCTTGAATATTTGTTCGTTGTTGACAAAAAGAAGGTAGTAAATGACCAAAAGTACCACTTTCTTTTGCCCAAGCACTTCGTGCTTGACAAAGATGACCAGGTTGGCAATGCACACGATTTTGATCCAAAGGGTGCCGAACATCGGGGCTTGTGCCAGGCAGCTATGCTCCTTCGACGCTCTCGCGTTGATCTTGCAATGAAACTCTTTCCAAAGAATGACGACAGTATCTTCTCCCGCTGGAGCCTAACCACGGAAAGTGCAGTCGTCCATCCAGGTGGAAGCAAGGAAAAGGCTGCCCTCGCCACTCAGATGAATGTGGCACCAGGGAGCTTAAAACAATGCGAGCTCACCGGAATCGAGTTGATCTCACCAATCCTACTGGCTCCAGATATGAGAGCCCAACAGTATCTGTCAGGTGGAAGCTTTGACGAACTTGATCATGTACTCATGGCCACCAATCAAAAAGGTCTTCCTTGTACTTTTATTGCGGGACCCAAAACGACAAGCGTTCATGTACACGTTGGCTTGCAGCCTGATCGTGATGGGGTCCCCAGAGACATTCCACTTGATGTGTGCCAGCATTTAGCGTGGTTGATTGTAGCATTTGAGGACTTGATCACGCTACTTCACCACCCCGAACGTCATGCTTACGTTGGCACAAAATCGTACAGCATGTGCAAATCAAGCAGGCATGCAATGGGCGATATTATAGGCCACACATGTGATAAAGTACCAGCATTCGACCCTTGGAAGGCCTTTGATAGTATTTTCAGAGCAGAGAGCCATCTAGAATTGCGCAAGGTCATGGGCAATGACCCTTCATGGGGGAGTCGTTATACAACGGTGAACTTTCTTCACATTGCCGCCTCCCCCGGGTATGGCGACGAAATCAAAACCATTGAGTTTCGTCAGCACTGCGGTACGGGCAATGCAATTGAGATTAAGGAGTGGGTGTACTTTCTGAGTAGCCTTTTCCATGCGGCGGAGCGGAAGGCGAACGAATCGATTGAGTTCGACTCTTACGAGCTGGACAACTATCTCGTCGCATGGCCTGATATTGAAAGGGCCAAGTACGACAGTATCTTCTCAATTCCGAAAAGAACCATGAGAGAACTCTTCGATCTCATGGAACTCCCCGTTGCGCGGCGCGAGTATTGGTATGAAAGAGCCAAATTCTTTCGTTCCGAAAAGTTTGCCCATTACTATGCGGGTAACACATGTGAGCCAGAATGTACTGGCACCATGCCACGAGACGCTCAAGGTTGGGCGGAAGACGAGGTAATTGAGCAACCATGGGGTCCCCCCCGCCGCCCTCCTTCCCCCATCACGGACACATCGTCATGGTCCGAGACCAGCAACACGACCCCCTCAAGCGATGGACAATCATGTTAAATATGGCAAAGCTGATGGTGTCTGTGACAAGCTCTAAGAGGTCTTTCGTTTGTCGGAGGGTTCCAAACTGCATATTAGGAAGAAAATCGTACATGCGCCTGATCGCCAAAACAATCAATATTCGACAACACCAACATCGCCCAGATAATTTATCTCACACTAAATCAAGCATTAGTCGCTCACCTATAGAGCCCAGAGATCAGGCCGACAAATGGCAAATGATTTCATTGACAAATTGAACAGAAATTTTTCCCATCTTGTTTCCCAGTCCCCTTCCTCTCCCGACCCGAGCAGGTAGCGGCTCTGCCGTTTACTCTTCCACCAAGCGAAGAAAATCAAAGCGTCCCTACGAATTTAGATCAATCATACTAACATCAGGCACCTCCAAGTATGCAGCTTATACCCAAGTCTTTATTTCGGACAAGGGTAATCTATGGTTAACATCACCACACTCCTCCTGTTCATTCCAGAGTTAAGTGCTAAGATTTATAAGTCCAATGGAGAAGCAATCTACATGATGTACATCGGACAATCTATTGCCGTCCATGCCCGAAGTTTTGGGCTAGATACTGTCCTCCCATTGTCGCCAGATGAGCCCATTCTTCTGTGATAACCCCCAACAGACCAATAGCGCACCGACTTCTATAGAAAAAGGGGAACCGATAACGGCAGGTCACTTCTACCCGGTACCTCTTGACGATTATGGGGACGAGTTTTTGGGTGAAGCCAGTCGCCAGCTGCAGATGGTGGAACGTCACAGCGGCCTGTTCAATGACCCAAGGGTCGAACTTAGAAAGGAAGCCTGAAATGTTCTCAGCTTGATGCCAGATCGTTAATATGTCGTTATCGGGCGTCGGCTCGAGGAGGGAAATGCAGACCGCACCAATAAGCCAGAACAGTCCCAGACATATGAAAAACGCTATGGCTGCCAAAATAGAATACAGTGCAGTGGCCAGGCACTTGGTAAAGAGCGCATTAAAGATTTTGTCAACCCTGTTGAGCCGCTCCCAGAACGCATCAATGTCAAATTCAATGCGTCTGGTGTCGGTATTGATATGGTAGATGCCTTTCATACGCCGCTCTGGCGCAGCTGTACGCGGAGGAGTGCAGTGGAGAGCTTCATCTTCGTTAACTACATTTGAGAATCTGGTGCTTCGTCGTGCGACTCTGGTCTTTGAGTAATAGCTTCCGCCACTGCATTCGCCCTCAGGGATGCGATGTGGCTTCAGCATCCCTAATCTGCGAGGCGGAACGCTCATAGCTGTATCCATGCCGTCGTATCCGGAAATATTCTGTTAAATTTCCTTCGGTTCCCTGAGAAGTGTGTTGTGAGGGACGAGTCGAGTAACTTTGGGATAACGTGCGTAGACTAATTTTCAGATGGAAGTTAGAAGTACTGCAGAGACATGGGTAGAATGAAGAAGTTGCGGTGCTACATTCCCTTTTTGGTTCATATAACAAGGATGCTCCGTTCCCGTCGAAACGCAGTCAATTGCCTCAACGACCGAGACAAAGAAGAAGATGGTCTGGACCGCGCTGGTCAGTGTGCTCACTTTCGAGAAAACATATCCAGTAGCATTGACCGAACCGACTAATGTATTGAAGGTTTTGCAAAGACATTAGACGTTGACCAGGCAATCTAGCGTTGTATGAATACTACAAAGACCCGGTCTAGCACCTGCTCCGGGAGCTCTCGAGTTTTCGAATCGTACATACCCAACACACCTGATCTAGGGTGATAATGACAATGGTTTCGAAGGAAGAGGGCTACAAAAATGCTCGAGGAGTAGAAGAGCATCGATACTTCTCCCTACCCGTGCGGTGTAGCTTGGCGGTCATTAACGGGTAGGTTACTTTGTCTTGATTTTGGCAAAGGGACTCTTTCAATTTTTCTATGATGCTGGGTAGTTCTCGTACGAATAAATATTCAAAACGTCTTCTTCTGCTCTGTGATCAACCCCTTGCAAACTCTTTGTGGTGTATCTGAGACCTTGGTTGTGAAATGAGGGTTTCCCACCAAATCACCAGGTTGGCTGCCAGGTTAGTATGAAATAAGCATTAGAAGTGCGTTGTTGCATGGATCGAGGATACCCTATATCCCAGGTGGTTTCAATATCAAACGGCCCGAAGAGAATGAGACCTATGATTTCGGTGACCCAGGCAAACAGGAAGAAGGAGAACCAAAATACTGCAGTCCACTTCATGACCTTCCACACAAGCTTCAAAATTCCTTTGAACGTACGAACAAGGAGCATGAAAAGGCTCCAGAGACCTACGATGACCCGACCGATGAAGAGTTCCCAATCTGTAGGATTAGCAGGGTTTCTACCGGTGAAATCCTGGTGAGTTGCGCCGTTCACGGTTTCAGATGGGACGGTATAGTCGTAAGTCATTGTGGGCTGTTGATTCAATTGCTGGAGAAGAGTAATGCTGCATTGTTGGTGCTTAGATGTTGGACTGATGAGCGTTTGAGAGTTGGAAATGAAAAATCACGATCTTGATTGATGGAGATCATAAGGCGCTTATATTTGGACTGGGATGGCTAGACAGTAGGGCATCTCTCGTTTGACTCAAGCAATAATGAGGTATTCGATTCCCAGCACCGAAGTATTATTAGCAGGCCCACAACTTGCAACCGAGACAAAGAACGAATTGGTTTTGTTGTTGCGTTTCTTAGTGCCTGGATTTTTTAAGGTTTGGGACGCATTGTGCGGATGTAAGTTAGATATGTATCGTTGTTCTGGGATGCTAAGCCATTGTGATATATTTAGGAGTTGAGTAATGCAAAGAGAATGCACCCAACTCGACGGCGCAACTGACTGCTGGGGCCTCCCACAACGAGCTCTCGAGCTCAGCTATAACGCCATTGTTGTGTTTGGCGTTGTTTGAGAACTTGAGTATAGAATAATATCATTGAAATGCTGGATGATGCAGTTACGCGGATTGTCAATAATGATAGAAGTGGCAATGGAAAGACGTAATACTCATAGTCATTTCTTGACAACACTTCATGCTTCAAGATTGTTTCTCACTAAAGGAATCTACGGTGTCGCTTAACCATACCTGAAGTCAGGTCAGCTACTGACGAACGAGTTGAATTCGTCATCCTCAGATATGATCATCCACATCCTCTTCAAGCATTGATTCAACACTATAGCTTAGCTGTTGCTTGCCCTTTCACCACATTTTCCAATTCAATCTCACTTGTAGCCAGAATGAAAGTATCCGCGAGACTGGGCACGCGGTACTTGAGATTGACCGCCTGATAGTCCTCACTGGCAAGCATGTCCGCAAAATGCGTGATGCTCGGGTAATGGGCGAGGGCGAACTCATCCCACTTGCCACCAGAGACACTCTGGTCCTGCTGGGCCGTAACGTTACCCACGAGCTTCGCGTTGCCACCGCGCTTGGCACCAATGGTCTCTGCGAACGCCTTTCCGTACTGAAGATAGTCGGCTTTCTTGCCTGGTTTGAAAGCGAGGAGATTTAGCATTGACATGGCGTTCTGGCCGGCGTGGGTCTGGGAGAATGACTCAACCCATTGGTTAAGGCCAGCAGAGAGCTCGAGTGTCTGGGACGAGCTTCCCATGCGTGGTTTCGAGAGGGAGCCTGTCAGTGCGGGTATTGATTTGGGATCTGGGTGTAGCAATCGAGTGTTGGTTTGGTCAAAATTGTTCGTGAGACGGGATGGTACGCCCGCGGTGACGGACCAGTGGAGCTCGATCTTGCTCTTTACGCTATCTGGGAGGGGATCGTTGCCCAAGACTATCAGCAACAGATCCCATGGCTTCTTGGGTTGCAGTAGTTCTTGTGCTGAGATCGTGCCCGGAGTGATGATCCACCGGATGACCTTAGAAATGACGAGGGTTTTGATCTCGGATGCCGATCTCACTGTCTTGACGAAAGATGGAATCGTGGTGTTGGAAGTCAGTGAGATTAGATGAACTGTTGCGAGTGGCATGGTCGCGGTAACCTTTGAACTACGTAAGTGATCTTGTGCTGCGTGTTCGCTCAGTCGGCTTCAAATGTATTGACGATGGAGAAGTGCCACTGGAGCTCAATTCTCTTGAAGAATAAGTTGCACCTTCAATCAATCGAATGTTCGGTTATTAATCACCTCTCCCAAAAATGTATTCTCCCAACTGAAGTCACCTTCACCATCGTAATTATGCGAAGAGCGAGGGCCGATGGAGTGAGCAACCTCGGTTCATACCTTTTTGAGTCTAGATAGCCACTACTATTTCGTCATAGCCGGCTAGTCAGCTATACGATAGCCTTGTTAGCTCCAAAGTCTCCGACAAGGCTGAGTCCGAAAAAAGCTAGTGCGGATCTTATCTTATCGGTTTCCCTGAGACAACTTTTTTCCCTCTCAGAGAGAGCGAACTCACCTACCTGGTCATTAAGTTCATTGCGGTAGTTCAACCCTACTTCTCCTTTCCCCGGATCAGCGGTACTAGCTGACCGTACTGTACGCTCCTCACAACAAGTACAAACACAGCCTCATATCTAGTAGGCAGGAGCTCGCAGAAGGCCATTCTTCTCTCGACATCTTCTTCGACACTTCCCACAATCCAGCAACAATGGCTGGCCTGACGCCCCTCCCTCCGTCAATAACACACACAACAACACGTCTCACGCATTTAGAAGCCCACACATTTCTAAACACATTCCTCAACCGCGCCGAAATTGACGCCGCCTACCGACCAGACAGCACACTGGCGGAGCGCGGGCCCCAGGCGCTGAGCACAGGAAGCAGTCCGAACCTCACGCTCCATCATCTTAAGCGGATCTTGCTGGGCATGGAGGGAAAGAGGGTCGGGAAGCAGGCGTTTGAGGAAGAAGCAGAGGGACAAGAGACCGGAGCGTTTGGGGAGAAGGCCACGAAAAGGACGCGGGGTGACGATGAGGCCCAGGGCGGACGGCGCTCGAAGCCCTACACCACGGTTCTGGACGTAGAAGGCGATGCAGAAGACAGTGATGGACCCGCACTGGTCGTGCATCCCGAAGATTCATCCCCGCCGACCCGGGGCGGAATAAACGGCACCGGCGATGACGGAGACGACTGGCAGGAGAAAGACACGTACGACCTCGCGCAGTCGTCGGCGGGGTTGGAACTCACGAACGAAGACCGCCACCCAGGTGCCGATCTCGAGCAGCCCGTGGACGATGCAGAGGAACAAGATCTCGTGGCTGTCGAGGATGAACGGACGGGCGAACGTGTCGATCCTAGGGAGTTTGGACACAGGAGCTCCGCTGGGAAAGGCAAGTCGAATGTGGATAAAGAGGAGCGGAAGAGGCTGAAAAAGTTGAATGCCAAACTGGAGAAGTCGAAAAGGGAGGAGAACCGGAAGAAGGGAAAAGGGAAGGGGGCGTGAACCTGGACGCGACGAGGCATATGGGACGCCTTGAAGATTGATTTCCCGGAAGATACCTTCAGTTTTCGACTATCGAGCAGCGGAGGATTCTCAGCCACAAGACGTCAAACAGGCCAGGGGGTTCAATGTCTCTATATTCATCTTACATCTATGAAAATGGTTGGCATTGAAGCCATATTGGCACACGAAGTATCTTCACCGACTTCGACACTCATCGCATAGCAGGCATCGTCTCCTTGCTTGCAGGAGAGGCCAGAGGATCAGCAGTTTCCACGCCTCAGCAATATCTTCTGACTTTTCCCGAAAGGTTCCAGAAAATACGTGAATCAGCTCAGCTCAGCTCAGCTTTCTCCGAATCATCACAGCTCTCTCTGAGTGGCTGTGACCACCTCAGCATCGACCACCTTATCATCAAGCTCAATCACCTTTCCATTCGAATCAGGCTTGGAACTCTTCCAACCCAGAGCCGCCAACCTCTCAGCCAAAATGGGATGGCTGTAATGATAACTGGCATACATCCAATCCGCATCCATGGTGCTCAGATTCTGCACTTGTAGTTTGATCAGACTGCGAGCCAACTCTTTCTGGAATCCAAGATTTGTGGCGAATGCATCGGCTTCGAATTCGAATTTGCGGGAGAGAATGTTCATGAGAAGTTTGACCACCGCATCAGCTGGAGCAAGAGCATCAGAGAAGAGAATGAAGCCAATGATGATTGGATGCGTTTTGTGGAAGCCGAAGGAGGAATACAGGGAGCGGTTGTTGATGAATACGCTGAACAAGGAGAAGATGTAAAACATGTGGAACTGTTCAGCTGGTTAGTGTTGGTCAACATGGGAACTAGTGGGTTAGAGACATACCTGAGCAATAGCAAACAGTTTGGTGGTATGCGACAGACTCCAATGCCCCAATTCATGCCCGAGCACTGCCACGACCTCTTGAGGCTCGCTCTTTTCAATCAAAGTGTCGTAGATGACAATGTGTTTCTTCCATGGTAGACCGAAAAAGTAGGCGTTGCTATGTGCACTTCTCTTGCTTCCATCGATAACATAAAGAGACTTGAGAGGGAAGTTAAGTCTGCTTGCCAATGATTCGACGCCGGACTTGAGCTCCCCAGGTTCCAGTGGGGATAGTTTGTTGAATAGCGGAAGAATAAAGACCGGGTAGACAGTGATTGCGAGCATCTGAATACCAATTCCAAACAGCCACAGATAATAAAAGAATTGAGTGCCAGTGACTTGGATGATCTTCAAGAAAGCGCTCAACAGAGGGACTCCGAGAACAAATGTCAACGCCTCACTCTTGAGCAAATCTGTTACCCAAAGTTTGAGAGTCTGTTTATTGAAACCGAATTTCTCCTCGAGGACAAAGGTGCCATAATAAGATAGAGGAAGCGACAGGATCTGGGAGATGGTGGTAAACGTGAGGAAGAAGACGACCGAGTGGGAAATCTCGCCGGAGAATCGAGCGGGCAGAAAGCGGGCAACAAGGACACCTGTCAGCGCCCACAGCTTCGGTAGGATATCGTATTGTATGAATAGAACATTCTGAATCTGGGAGATGAGACCGGAGACGAAGCCAAACTTTGCCTTTTCACGACCATAAGCCTGACTCTTGTCGAAGACGTCCTGAGAGATTTCATCTTCGAGTGTCTTAGGCGGCTTCGTCTTTTGCAAGACCTGATACTGTCGAAGTGATAGGAAACTTTCAAAGACAAATTGGCCTATTGAGAAACCTAGGATGAGTTTTTTCCATGGGAAGCCAGGACGGTCGAGGAACACAGCCAGGCGCTGTGGGATTTGTGTCTTGGTCAGTTTCATGTATTTTGCGGCTTATGATGGCTGGCTCGTCAGAGCGCATGACGGAGAACTTACACGAGGAAAGTCGCCTAGGGCTCTCAGAAGTGAAGCCATCTCTCGCGATGAAATGGATCAATTCTAAATGCGGGGGGGTTGATTGATAGACGGAGTGAAGGAACTGATGCAGAGAGACAATACATACGCCGTATGCACAGACGATCTAGGGCGCAGCCCCTCGACGCGTTAGTGATGAGCTAAAAATTACTAGAGACGCGCTAATGGACTTTCCATGTGCTAGTATTCTGAGTCAGGAAGGTTCGGCGAGTTATTATCCCGACTTCACAGAGAGGAAAGTGCATTCCGCATTTGAAAGGTCGACTCCAAGAGTCTTTGTTCTTTCTGCCTCCACGTATTGAAACTTACCACTCTTCTGGTTCTGAGTACAACATGTGTCGCATCTGTGGCCGCGTGGTCAAATGCATCTTCGACAGCATGCCGTCCAGGGCACATAGCGTGCCCAGCCGAAGGTAAGTCGCTTCGGACCACACGACCTTCACATTCTCGAGACTCACTATGCTGTGTGAATAGGGCGTTCAGCACCATCCGGCGAATCACGAACCGCTCTAGCACCCGGTTGGCCATGCAGAAACCCCTCACATCTATCTGTTCGTCGGCATCAGCATCTTCACCGTCACAGCTCATCCGCGCCTTTAGTGGCCTCTCTCTCCGAGCCAGCACTGGGAGCCGGACGACAAGACCAAATCCTTCATCACTTCTCATGAGCAGTACGACGTTACGTCCCTCCACACAGATCACGATAGGTCTGGGGCCGTCATCGCCTCTAGAGACGATATCTAGCTCTCGACTCTTTTCAACCACTTCAGCTCTGATGGGGAAACAGCGGCGGATGGACACTTTCAGCCCTTCGAGGCGGATTCAGAAACGGAGGCATGGCTATCTCTCGAGGATCAGGACCAAGAGTGGTCAGGCGACCCTGAAGAGGAGAGCACTTCAAGGGCGAAAGTATTTGAGTTGGTGAACATGAGTGTTGAATGACCGACTGTGGGACGAGAACGCCATGATGCTTGGTGCGTCAGTTGTTATAACAGAAGAATTGTATAGAACAATACCCTATTCATGTTCGGATCTATGTACTTTTCCGGGTCCCAAGTACCGGTCTATGTTGGAGAGTCACTCATGCCGCGGTCTGTTCTGCCGTGTGACTCTGGTGTCTCATTTCATCAAAACTTCGAGCCTCGAACTTAGGTTCCTCCACAACCTTGCTGGCTTCAGTCTGCATAGGGGTCAACCCCCATCTCTCAAACATGGCCTTGTCTTCATCCCAACCATTACACTCAGTGGTCAACATTCTCTCACCCGTGAAGATGGCATTGGCGCCTGCCGAAAAACAAAGCATCTGTTCACTCTCGGGCATGCTGACTCTTCCTGCAGCTATTCGAATAATCGTCTTGGGCATGACCAATCGGGCGGTAGCAATCACTCGGACCATATCCTCCAATTTGACCGGCTCCTGGCCAAACATGGGTGTCCCTTTAATTGGCACGAGTTTGTTGACAGGGAATGACTCGGGGTGTCCAGGGAGAGTCGCTAACGTGTGAATTAATCCAACATGGTCGGTCTGGGGTGTTTCGCCCAGTCCTAGGATCCCACCACTGCATACATGAATGCCTGCTTCCCGTACGTTTTTGATTGTCTGTAGTCGCTCGTCATAGCTCCGCGTTGAGATAATGTTGGGGTAGTGCTCTCGAGAAGTATCCAAGTTGTGGTTATAGGCGGTCAAACCGGCTTCTTTCAGTTCCAAAGCCTGTTGCTTGTCCACCATTCCAAGAGTTACACAAGCTTCCATGCCTAATGAACGTACGCCTTTGACCATTTCAACAATATTCTTGAGACCTCGTTTTCTTCCACGCATGTCACGCCACGCGGCACCCATACAGAATCGGTTGGAGCCATTGGCTTTAGCGATCTTTGCAGCTTCCAGCACGGAATCCACCGTGGAAAGCTTGGTGGCTTCGAGATTGGTCTTGTAGCGAGAGGATTGAGCGCAGTATGAGCAGTCTTCTGTACATCCTCCAGTCTTGATATTCATGAGGGTACACAATTGGACTGCGGATGGCTTATGGAAGCGTCTGTGGACAGTGCCCTGCAGTTCAATGTTTAGATGCTGTCTCCATATCACGCTGACCGACAACTTACTGCGGCGAAAGCCAGCTCCATCAGGGGCCTCTGATGGATCTGAGAAATCTCCTCCTTTGTCCAGTCATGACGAGGACCAGAGGCATTCAGTGCCCGGTCAAAAACAGATTGGGATTGAGGTTGCGTTGGAGGGGCATTCTGGCCCAAGCTCGCTGCCACCGGAGGAACATCATGAACGATACTGTAGTAGCGAACGGATCGAGCTTGTCTTGAAGCCCGAAGAGCGATAGACCGACTCATGATAGCCAGATCCATGCTGCAAAGAAGGCTGTCGATATGCTGTGAGCTGTACCAGGGTGAACTGGAAGTAAACAGGTGAGAAATATTGGTGGGGTAGGTACAAGTTGACAACTGCTGTGGGCTCAACAAGCGGAGCTGGCAAAGGGGCCAGCCTACCAATTCGGTTGGCTCGGTTGAACATGACATGGCTCAGGACGGGTTGATGGGCACGGCTAGCCCCCCGGACTGACGGGATCAGTTCGTTAGGGCTTTGCGCATTTCCTTTCTTAGCTGATCTTCCCGCCTATTTCTCGGGTTGTAGGCAGTGGACACCACCCCGAAGCTTAGCTAAAAGTCCCGAAATCCAGGCTCCGTGGCCTCGGCCTCGGCCTTCCGTCCTTGGGGCCACCCAAGCCTGCAATCACATCACTCGGATTGATAATGTAACGAGCCGTCTTCCAGCCATGGATGGACTCGAGGCAGGCAAGCTCGTCTAAGCCAGGATGTATTTCAATGAGATATGATCCTAACACTTACTTATTAGGTAGGTCGTTAAGGCACCTTCGCTTGCTCAATTTCTAGACAAGCTGGATCGTGTTGTAGCGTGTGACCAATCTCAGGCACCCATTTTTCGAGCGAGATAGCTCGATTGTTTATCTCTGGTTGCCTACAATGTTGGTCGATCAGTTCTAAGATGGGTCAGATGAACGACGTTGCATCGCGTGAGTCACGAGCAGGTATCTATGCTCGCTACCCAGAAATCTACCTGGATACCTAGTATCTCAGGCATGTACAAAAGTACGATACCACCACTTTTGCCGTCAACATCTTCCTCTTCCTGCATTATATATCAGTAGCCATGCATATTCGACCACCGCAACCCCGTGATTTCAGTGATATGGCCACACTGGCCAACAAGGCCTTGTTTCATGATCCCCTGACTGTATGGGTTGCTCCTCATCGACACCAGCATCCAGAGTGCATGCGTCAGGGATATCTCAGAAGGGCGAAAAGGCGATTTTATGGTGGCAAGTATATGATGGTAGCGGTCACGGACCAGCATGACCCTGATTGGGATGGTGTTGAGAGAGTCGTGGGCTATCTTTCGGCCAATTCAACCAGGAGACAAACGGAACAGGCTCGTCAATCCTGGTTTTCATGGAACAGTAAGGTGCATTTCATCTCTTACTGTGTTTTTGCTGATAGATGTGCCCAGACTGGGAGCTTGCTTTTCTTTCACTCGAGACACAGTTCGTCAATCTCGTGGGTGGAGACAAAGCATTGTCCTACAAGAACTATTATACATTTCACCGAATACTAGCGACTCTCAACAGCACTGGTCCCTTCGCCGAATTAGACCTTCACGATTGCTGGGATGTTGACTTTCTTGCAGTCGATCCGGCATATCATCGACGTGGAATCGGCGCCACACTCATGGAGCATATCAAAACCCTCGCTACTGAAGAACGCATTCCAGTGACACTAGTCGCATCCTCCATGGGAATACACCTATATAGGAAGCTCGGATTTACCGAAGTTGGTGAGGTCAAAACTGACGCCTTGCTTCTCGGTACTGCTATGGTTTGGTATCCCGAAAAATCAATCGAGCCTGACGTGAAGGCACCGGAGGGCTCTGCCGGCATCAGCCTCGACACACTAGTGCCACCCAATCTATAGACTCTCACCTTTATGCACGGCAGAATCTAGAAAGCGAATATACCACAGTTCATACATCTTGGTATACACTTCTTCATCAGTACTTGTTTCATCATCCTTGACCTCGCCACTCATCTTCATTGCTGAGATGAGACTCGCTGTTACCCACAATATCTTCTCGTGCAGATTCTCTTGGAAAACATATCCACAGCAAGAAGGTAATTGCCAAAAGGACAAATATTATCAACTGGAAGATCTGAATCCCCAGTGCTTGTGTAAGTGCGCCTGATGCGAATGGAATCAGAGAGGCTCCGATTTGACCAACCGATGCCACAAACGCAACAGCCGCAACATGCAGATGGCGTGGGAGCAAACGAGTAAGCAGAACTATTGCATTCGGAAAGAGTGGGCCCAAAAAGAATCCGAGGAGGGTGACTGTGAGTATTGAGACCCACTGGTTCGGGACGAGACTGAATAATACTTGGAATCCTATCGCTGTCGTGATGTAAATCACAGTCCCAATTCGTAGTCCGATCCTGTCCGTGACTATGCCCAGTGACAATCGCCCAATCGCCATTCCGATCCAGAACCCAGAAGAGCACAAACTAGAGAAGTATAATGATGCATGGCGAGCGCGTGCCATGAATGAGACGATCCAACCGGAAATAGATGCTGAAATATTGTCAATGGTCATTGGGTCGACAAGGGTAGAGTTTGACACGAACCTTCAGTGCCAACGTAGGCGAGGAAGTAGGCTGCACAGACCCAAGTTACCCGATACCGGATAACATCGATGAGTTGAGCCTTGTCTTGCTTTGCTGTGTCATGCTTTTCGCGCCTATATCTTTTGCCGCCCTCATGTCGAAAGAGCAGCGGTAGCACGATAGCTTCGATGAGACATAAGCCAGTCTGAGATCATATTCGTCATCAGAAAAGTATTGAGACTTCGATCAGCATGGACTACTTACGAGCACATAGTACCAGTAATACCATGGATAGTTGCCCTTAGAGAGCATGGAGCCTGCGAGAAAAGGACCCAGTGCCGCACCGACTGAGTACGAACCATGCAGAAACCCCGATACGGTGTTCGCATTATCCATCGCTCCAGCCCAGGCGCACCAGGCACCATCAAACAATCCAGTTCCGAATCCTGCAAAAGCGTACGAAGCCACGAGTAAGTAGAAATTTGGATGTGAGGAAGCGACACATGTGAAGACGAGATGTCCGATCGGCGCAATCAATGCAACTCCTCTCTGACCGAACCTGAGATGTATCGAATTATTCAGCGCTGCCGCGCTGAGGTATCCAATTGGAAAAATGAGAAAAATCAGCGAGACTTTAATGTCTGTGAGTTGATAATCTGCTTGAAGCTTTGGAATCATCACACCGATTGTCGAAGCCAGTATTCCTAGGACCAGAAATGAATACATGGCTGCCGCCACCCTGAGATGGACATGTGTGCGGTGTTCAGCATCATTGAAGTTCGTGTTCCTTGATGCCGACAATAACGGTTCGCTTTCGGATCCCTGAGGACTTATCTGTGGGCTAGACACGCTTGCTAATGTCATTGCTTATTAAAGCCTGTGGAGTCTCGGGGATGGAGGTCAAATATCGGATGATGTGCTGTTAGACAGCGATAATGATGCTCTTCTATTGACGAACATGAGGATGTGAAGCGAGCCTGACGTTGACTTCAGGCCCCCAATTCTAAGCCTTGCGAGCCTTTCCGAGGTCGGCACAATCCGCCAAGACCTCAAATCCCATCACCCACTGCACTGACCTGCTTCAACCACGATCCTGCTCCCATTGCCTAAAAGTAAGGCACTAACTTCCCTCATGACTCTGAAGATGCCACCTTGAACATCAAACGATGGCCTGAGCGTCATGTTTCTCACATCTCTGAAGGGAGTCTCCATATGTCGAGTGCTGTACGGGTCTCGTCCGGAGCTCCGAAGAGCTGGCCCACCTGATGGTGGTGGTTCCGCCTTGCATTTTCGAAGGTGATACTCCATACTGACTTGCCAGTTGCGTTATCTAGGCCCACTGGCTTTGACACTCACCACTCTCGTGCCTCAGGTATAACTTTATTTGCCTTTTCCACTGAGTCATCGATGTGGTCCTCATTTTTGCAGCAATAATGTTTACTCTGGTCGGTCACCCTATTGGCAAAGCTCGGACCTCCAGGATGGCCGCAAACGTCGAAAGGCTTGCTCTTGCGAACAATGCAATGATCAGGTGGGTCGCTTTCAGCACAGGATCTGGCAGCCTTGTCTTCAGGGTCGGAGAACATTTGCGTGCGAAGCCGGTCTACTATATATTGTCGAGTGATCCCGCCATAACCGGGAAGATGCTGTTCCATCCAGCATTGCTTGCTCAACATTTACCACCACACTCGCTTTCAATATAGAATACTTGAACCTTTGTACAACATGACGATATTTACCCCTAAGCAGGGAGCTGCATCCAACCACAACGTGGCGTCCAACCATACTCAAAAACGCCGCGCAACATCTTCGAGCCCTCCCCAATCGATGGAAAGCAAGAAAACAACAACCCTCGACGTTACTAGTCTCAACGCAGACCAGAAGCGGCCTATCTGTGCGACAACATTCGGCATCGAATTTGAGCTGATACTCGCCTTTCACGAAGATATGTTGAAAACAACTCTGTCCGATTACAACATTGAAGCCAAAATCCGGAAGACTTTTGAATACGAAAAACACGCAGAACTACTTGGACAATACGGAAATCTATTCCTTTCAAATCACTCCCACAATTTTGATCGCCAGTACCCATCATGGGCCTTGCAAGTACCCAAGACGGACGCCATCCTCGAAACAAACCACTATCACCTGAAATACCCCACCAGTCTCCAGAAAAGTGATGTTCTTCGCCGATACGTAATGGAACCGCTCCTCATCGCCAAACGCGGTCTTGACATTAATGCTTTACCCTGCAATGCTGTCGGATGGGCCCAATCCAATGGTCAAACCTCTGTCGAAGTCTACCCCAACCAACTTGAGAATATTTTGATTCGAAATACTTCTCTTGATTACACCAAGTGGACGCTCACTAACGATGACACGCTCATTGGTGCTTTGAAGAGTCAGATTACATCATATCTATCGAAAAAGAACATAAATAAAGACTCCTGGTCTTCTTGGGACAGCCACGGAATCGAATTGATTTCGCCGATATTTACACTTACCAAAAAAGACGAAGCCTTGGAACAGATCGGAAAGTATCTCAAAGCCCTGGACAGCACTCAATTGACAATTCTCCCTTCGGTATGGGCGAGTACTCATGTTCATATTGGCTTCGATTACAGCAGTGCAAGCCACATTTCCACTCCTCTCTTTCAACATCTCGCCTATATCCTTCTTTTACACGAGGATCTGATATCGAAGTGCTTCCCTAAAAGCCGCTCTGGAATCATCGCCAAGGAACCAAAAACCCCCACAGAACCAATCACACCATTCGACTCAGAGGATGCAACAGCGAATGATGAACAGCGTGTTCTTTCCATGGAAGCAAAATATACTGGAATCGATAATGTCGAATCCAATCTAGAACACTTCTGTGATCAAACGGGCGTCGACCTGAACAGCACCGAGCAACAAGATAACACAATGGAGGACCACATATTCCAAGAGCAGTGCAGCATTTTCAGCTTGATCAGACTACTACAGAAGTGCGACCCACACAAGAGTCAAGAATTTGGGGAGTGGGACGCTCCACGTTTCCGTGGATACATCTATAATTTCGCCAACCTCTGGGCATTCGCGGAGGGTGGGACAAACGACAAGCCAGCGAAACCCACTGTTGAATTCCGACAACACGACTGCACGACAGAACCTGGCGTCATCAAACACTGGATTATCTTTCTTGAGGCTCTCATAAGAGTCGCGGAGGAGAAATCACTTGAAACGACAAAATTTTACAGCAAGACGCAACTCGACATGACCAAGCCATATTCTGCACAGCAGAGGGACAAATATCCGACTAGGGAGGGGAGCAGCTATTCATGGGCTTACGACAACATGTATCAATTTTGTGCTCGGTTTTTGGGATTGGATAAGGAAGAGGCCACTTATTGGCAAGGACGGTTTGATCTACACAAGGACGATAGACCAATGAGGAACAGTGAATGAAGAGGTTGTACATCAGGGTGGAAATACATGGATAGAAGAATTTTGGGAGAGGATAATTGAAGAAGATGACAGAAAAAAATGCAAACCCCATTTAACTAGAGCCATTTCCTTCCATCTTCAGCCTTCCTTAGCCGCGGATCATGTCGATCGCCAGCCTCGCGGGCAAATACTTTGCCTTACCGGCACGCTGTGCCGATCAATTCCTGCCCAACGAACTTTGTCCGATCTCGCAAGACCTTCCACCATCGTATGAAATTTATTTTAAGTAAACGAAATTCACGTAATGTACCTTTCATTGCATGTGTTTCAAGTATCATACGTCGTTTGTTCTGTCCTTCACCTAGGTACTTTGTCTCCGAGATCACTTCGGAGGCTGAGTAGCCGGCGAGAATAACTTCCGCGGATGTCCTCGTCATCTTCCACCAAGCTTGGAAGTCACTATGTAGAACGACCTGGAGCTAAGTCTGAGGCCGATCTCATTGAGCCTCTTATGCAGGGAGATCCAAACGAGGCGGCATCCAAGTCTGATACTTCTCGTGAACACAGTGCAAATGAGGGATTCATACAACAAGATGCAAAATTCACTTCCCAGTCGCCACCTCGAAGTCCTTCTCCGGACAACCAGCAAGAGCTGTCAGTCATCGAGGATGTTGAGATTGAGGCCAAACGAGAAGCGCCTGTTACTTGGATGTCTCTACCCAAGAAGGACCAACTAGCTGTGCTCACAATCGCACGACTTTCCGAACCACTTGCAGAACGTTCATTCTCCGCATATCTATTTTACCAACTCCGCTCGTTTGACCCAAGTCTTTCTGATAAGACGATATCGGGTCAGGGAGGAATGCTGACTGCCGCATTTGCGGCCGCGCAGTTCGTCACTGCTGTTTGGTGGGGACGGGCTGCTGATTCGCCCCGAGTAGGTCGTAAGCGGGTTATCCTCATTGGCCTGGTTGGCACGACTATCAGTTGTGTCGGCGTCGGTTTCTCAACTTCATTCACTCAAGCACTTTTCTTCCGAATCTGTGCAGGGTGCCTCAATGGTAATATCGGCGTCATGAGGACTATGATCAGCGAAATCATCAAGGAGAAGAAGTAAGTCACCCTTTTCAGGAAGCCTGACATATTAGCTAACTACTGTCAGGTTTCAATCTCGCGCGTTTCTTCTCCTTCCCATGTGTTTCAACGTCGGTAGGTCACTCCAGTGCCATATCAAGTCTGCCAACTGCTAACACTCACAGGTGTTGTTATCGGGCCTATCCTCGGTGGATTTCTGGCAGATCCCATAGCATCCTTCCCAAATGTGTTTGGACCAGGATCAGCCATTGGTGGGAAAGACGGTGTCGAGTGGATGACCTCATTTCCTTATGCTCTGCCAAACCTCGTGAGTGCCTTTTTCATCCTGGTCGGTGCACTCTGCGTCATCTTTGGATTAGATGAGACCCATCAGGCGATAAGAGGCCGACCGGACTATGGTCGCAAACTTGGTCGTTGGATGTGGCGACATATCTTTCGCCGAGACCGAGGCGGTGGCTATGGATACCACCATCTTCAAAACCAAGATGATCTTCAAGACGCCTCTCCTCTGCTCAATCAAAGCGAGGAACCCCATCATCCGCCTCCTACGTCGATGCAAATGTCAACCATGGCACCGGCAGCATCCGACACTTTCAAGACGAGGCCACCGTTTCGGCAAATCCTCACAAAGAACGTCATACTTACACTATTGTGCCATCATCTCATGGCGATGCACGTCAGCGCATTCAATGCTGTGATATTTCTCTATCTCCCCGCCCCACGGTCAGACAACAAGAATGCACATCTGCCATTCCTCTTCAGCGGCGGACTCGGTCTGTCTAGCAAAAATGTAGGCCTTGCAACCGCCATCATCGGAATCATTGGGTTTCCACTCCAACTTCTGATTTACCCACGGATGCAGTCAAAACTAGGAACACTTCCCAGCTACAAAATGTTCCTACCATTCTCCATTCTTGCTTACCTGAGTGCCCCCTACCTGTCCCTGCTTCCCAACCAGCCATTGCTGATCTGGCCTATCTTGACTGTGGTCTTGAGTCTGCAAACAGTCTCACGCACGTTCTCTCTACCCGGGCAAACGCTTCTTGCCAACAACTGCACGCCTCATCCCGGTGTTCTCGGGTTGATTCACGGCCTCGCACAGAGTGCTTCTTCAGGAGCGAGAACTATTGGGCCTACGGTTGGTGGATGGGGCTTGGGACTAGGTCTTGCAGGAAATTGTGTGGGAGCTATCTGGTGGGCTATGGCCTGTGTGGCTGCTGCGAATTGGTGTCTATTGTGGGTTATCTACGAGGGTGATGCGGGACAGAGTGTGGTGTCACGACACTGATGTGGACGGACTAGGAAAGGAATGATACCGTGCGCATTTTGACCTAGAAGGGATGGCATTACATACCCAGCGTGCAACATAGATATTAACAACAAGTTGTTGAAAAATCGAATTCAGACACTTCTCGAAAATCGTCTCCTCCCACTGCAGCTTGAGCGCCACACAAGGCTGCAGAAGACTGCCGAGCCTCTAAGCCAGAGGGTATGGAGGACGTCATCCTTTTGTCCTCCCAATCTGAAGGGCAGGTTAAGCGAGTTGCACGTGACTTGGCGTTTTCCTTATCGACGTGCATCGCGGGGAAGGCACAGGCGGTGTGTTTATCGCCCCCGGCAGTATCCGCAGGGGACATGATCTGCGGGTTGCCGCCTGCGCTTTTCTTGACTCGGAGTTAATTCATCAGAGAGGCGTCGGGTTGCCTGTTCCTCCAAAGTCTTTCACTCGTTCAATTAATTAATCATTTTTTTCTTTCGCAGATGCATCCCTCTCATGTGCATGTCTCATCCAGATATCCTGCCTGACATCAACCTCACAGACATCAAACACCTCAATCAGCCACACTACGAGAAGCTAGTCAGTTGTTCATCGAGTCCCAACCATGGATGTGGACGGTTGGCCTCCGCCAAAGCGGCGCAAAGTTGAAGAGCCTCGCACCCCTCGCAGAACAGCATTGAACCGGGAAGACGATTCGGACTCTTCTTTATACAGATGCACCTCGCCCAGACAGTTCATAGGGAACTACCTCTCCATCGTCCAACGCCAATTCGAGGTTACCAATTGTGATCCCAATATTGAGTTCCGCAACGACCAGGAGGATATGCCTAAGTACAAGGAGCAATGGGATCCAGCTTCTAATCAAGGCTTGATTGAAGTTGTCATTCAAAGCATAGATAGCGCCCTGCCGTCCGAGATGGTCGTCAAGCGCGTTCAAGGCTCACAGACCCCGTTTACGCTCAAAATCCGAGCCGACTCGAGTACCGATTTACAATTACTTGAGGATATCCAATACCTTGACACTTCAAAGAAGGCAGAGAAAAGGTTTCGTGATCAGAGAGAATATCTCCACTATTCGAAAACTCCAGAGGCAGCTCTTGCATGCGTAATGTCCCGGTTGCTAAAATCTCCCCTCGGGACCTTCCTTGAGATCTCCATTCTATGGAATAAGAGCAGCGCGATTAAGGACCGGGTTGATCCAACTCTGGTGACTATTTTGGATCATTGGCTGCCGGGCGAACTGGAGCGTTCAGATTCCCCTGAGCCCTGGAATCCTCGAGAGTTCTATGACAATGTCCATGTCCCTGAGAAGACCGAGGCGAACTCGGCGGAACTACAAATTATGGCGCTCGAGTCCAATCTATTCCCCTTTCAGAGACGCGCAGTGCGCTGGCTTTTGGCTAGGGAGGGTGTTTGTCTTGGAGACAATGGTAGACCTGCACCGCTGAGTATGTCTGAGGACGATTTGCCAGAAGGATTTCAGATTTCCCATACCGAACTCGGCAGAAAATGTATCACGAACAAGGCAGTGGGATTGGTTACAGAGGATGTCAAGGCTGTGAAAAACTTCTACGGAAATCTCAAGGGGGGACTACTCGCGGAGGAGATGGGTCTTGGGAAAACCCTCGAGATTATATCCCTTATCTGTTTGCATCCAATGCCCCATACGCTGTCTACCGACCCCTCCAGCGATCTGAAAACTTCACCCGCAACGTTGATCATAACACCACCAACAATCGTCGAACAGTGGAAGCAGGAACTTGAAGGCCATGCCCCCACTTTAAGGGTCTTCCGCTACAACGGGATTTCGAGTTACAAAAAGAATCAGGAAGAAGTGATGAAACGACTTCTGGAGAGTGATGTAGTTCTCACAACCTACAATGTTATTGCCAAGGAGGTTCACTATGTCAGTGAGAAACCGGACCGTAAACTCCGAGGTCGACCACGCGCTGATCCTCCAAAGAGCCCTTTGGTCCAACTCTCGTGGTGGCGCGTCTGTCTGGATGAAGCACAAATGGTGGAAAGTGGTGTGTCGTCGGCAGCCACCGTAGCGCTGCGCATTCCACGCGAAAATGCTTGGGCCGTTACTGGAACTCCACTGAAAAAAGACCACAAGGATCTTTTCGGATTATTCCTCTTTCTGCGTTATGAGCCCTTTTGCCAATCGCTCAGGATATGGGATCATCTGGTCAATTTTCATCGCCCTTTGCTCCGTAGTGCACTGAGCAAGATCGCCATGAGACATACTAAGGATTTTGTGCGTGAAGATTTACGTCTACCGCCGCAGAGTCGTCATACCATCACGATACCCTTCACCACGATTGAAGAACAACATTACTCACAGCTCTTCGCTGAATTGTGTGAAGAATGTGGCTTGGATGATTCTGGTGCTCCTCTGTCAGGAGATTGGGATCCAAATTCTCCATCCGTCATCGAAAAGATGCGTAATTGGCTAACTCGTCTTCGTCAGACGTGTCTTCACCCAGAAATTGGTGTTGTCAATAGCAGAGCATTACGCCGTACTGATGGAGTCCTCCGAACTGTGGAGCAGGTACTAGATGCCATGACCGATCAGGCTCTGGGTCAACTGCGCACAGCTCAACGTACTTGGCTCATGGGGTTACTACGTAGAGGTCAAATGAAACAGAACGCATCAGAGACCCAGGATGCTTTGGACATTTGGAAGCACGCCTACGAAGAGTTGTGCGCACTGGTTCGCGACTGTCGCAAGCAGTACAACGAGGAGCTGGCTCTCAGAGGCAATGATGACAACATCAGCGTTGAGGGCCTAGAGGAAGAAATTGCTGAAGAGGAATCCCCACAATTCAATGCTTCTAAGGCTCGTCTGCGCTCTGCACTTGAATTGCAGCATATGTGCATCTTCTTTATCGGCGATGCGTACTTCCAGCTGAAATCGCCTGAGGAGCCAGGATCTGACAAGTACTCTGAGCTGGAGAGGCAAGAGACACAAGCGTATGAAGAGGCGAAATCCATTCGTTCAGAGCTCCTGTCAGAATTTCTGAAGATTGCCAAGAAGTTGATAGCTGGTATTGCATCCAAAATTGTTGATGCGCGTACACAGATCCCTCAGATGATTGCGCCTGACGGATATCAAGGTATCGAGAGTCGAAAGATCTTTGAACGCCTTGAGATTTTCTGTGACGCCATGAATATTCAGGCTGCACAATTCGGTGAACTTCAGAACTCTATGGTTGGGCTTTTACGCCAAGCATTGCTCGATCAAGATGATGGGGTTGAGTTACAGGGAGACGAATATGAGAACTCGACGATACAGCAAGATCAAATGTACGCATATATGGAGGCACTTCGCGCTCTTTTTGCCGATCGGAACGAGGCTCTTAGTGGATATTCGAACAACCTGATCCGGATGGAGATGCAGCAATTTTTAAACGCAGCAAAATCGGATGATCCAAACGTGCAGAAACCGCCTGCGCCAGAATTAATGATCAAACTTCTCACAGAAAGATTAACCAAACGTGTGAACTGGGAGAAGATTGGTAGTTTACGAGGCATCATTGCTGAAATAAGAGCCTTGATTCAGTCTCTCGAGTGGCAAGCGGGTCTTGGATCGGCCCGAGCTTCGCATGAACTCACTATCATAAATCCTGTCCTTCAAAGTGCGATTGACCTCAATTCCGTGCAAGTCAAGTGCATGAGTAGTTTGGAACAGCTTGTCAACCATTTTCGAGATACCATGAATAGCCGCCTCGAGTTCTACCGAGCACTGCAGAGGATCTCCGACATGGTCGCACCTTGGATGGAAGAAACTATTGGAAAGCCACTGAACAAAGCGCACTATAAAGCCAGCACAGAACAAGATGCGAAGATGAAGAACAAGGTGGATTCATTATCGACTCGACTGCGATATCTTGTACACTTGAAGACTGATTCCCAATCATCAGCTCCAAGGATTTGTATCATTTGCCAATGTGACTTCGAGATTGGGACGCTGACTGTTTGCGGCCATCAGTTCTGCAAGGAATGTATCCTGTTATGGTTGGAGGCGCACCACAATTGCCCGGTTTGTAAGAGACGATTACAACGCAACGACTTTTTCGACATCACCTACAAACCAGCAGAAGTAGTTGTTCAAGCCGAACAATCTGTAATTGATGACCCAGCTCAAGGCAGCAATGCTGCTCATTCGCCAAAGCAGTCCATTTATTCTGATATCAGTGCTTCTATGCTGAACCAGATCAAAGCTATCGACATTCAGGGGCCGAGCTTTGGGAGCAAGGTGGATTTCTTGTGTCGACATCTTCTGTGGCTTCGCCGCCACGATCCCAGCTCCAAAGCAATCGTCTTCAGTCAATATCGAGAATTCCTGGAAGTTCTTGCTCAGGCACTCAGAGAATACAAAATCTCTTTCACCAGCATCAATGAAAAGAACGGAATCGAGAAATTCAAGTCAGATCCCACTATGGGTTGCTTTCTGCTTCCTGGGAAAGCCCACTCAACAGGCTTGAATCTGGTAGTTGCGAATCACGTCTTCCTCTGTGAGCCGCTCATCAACACAGCAATCGAGCTCCAAGCCATCGCACGAGTCCACCGTATCGGCCAAAAACGCCCAACAACCGTCTGGATGTATCTCATCGCCGACACCGTCGAAGAGTCAATCTACGACATCTCCGTTAGCAAGCGCCTGGCCCATATGCGCTCCAAGCGAACCGCAAATACATCTGGAAGCAACAGTGGCACCGCCACCCCCACCACAGCGTCAGCGCAGCAACAGGAAGCGGCGATTGAAATGGCCAACTCGCTGGAGTTGCAGACCGCAGATCTCAGCAGACTTTTCGTCACTGGCCGCACAGGTGGCGAAATGGTCGAGAATGCCGACCTATGGCCCTGCCTCTTCAGCCGCGTCAAGAAACGCGAACGCGTCCTCGCGGGCGTCGCTGGCATGGCCGCAAACCAAGGGAGCAGCAGCGCTGTCGAACAGGAGGCGAATCGCTTCCTCAGAGCTGAGGCGGCTGACGCGCGAAGGAGCTGAGTCGTCGTATTCGTTGATTTATTGGTTCATCTGAATGCTGCGATGATTGGGAGCGCATGAGGATTGACCCCGAACGAAGTGGTGAATTGTTTCAATGCGAACGAACTAGTCAAGTGGCCATGACATGACGTGGAATATGCTTTTGCATATGCTCTCATACCCTACATACCAACACGGAAGCGATAAATTCGACTAGCTACATAGCTGTGGTTAGATGCCTAGATCTCTGCGTTTCAAGTTTAATTCTCGTCTGTGTGAATGGAGAACATTTAGTAATTAAATTCATTTCTACCACAGTCACTTGCGACGGATGTGGCCGTGATATGATGGCTGAAGCCCTCTTCGAATAAGCATCAGGTCGGGAGCAGTCGTGGGTAACTGGGCATCATAGTGTAAGGGCACATGCATTGGAACATGGCTTTACATTGTATCGATGTTCATTCCATGAAGCATACTTTTCAGAATTCGACATGTTGATTAAAGCTAAGACGTGTCTATGTGAAGATATCACAAGCCAGTGGAAAAACTCAGCTCATCCGGAGCGGAACTATCCGTTATCAAATACAATTGACCGCGTTGCTCGAGGTGCAGTTCCTCATCATTAGTTGGATGGTATTACATACGATTTATCAAGTGTCGTAGATCATTTGAGGCGTTGCAGGTGATGGTTCGTGTGAGATTGCCCTCTGAGACCTCAATTTTGACAACATTTTGCGATGACATTCGGAAGAGGTCTTTTGACCGAAGCTCACTCCATTTCGATGTCGCTCTCCTCGCGGCCATTCTCGTGATCGCCTTCGCCGTCAACATCATCTGCGGAAGCATCGTTTTCTCCATCCATGTCTTCGTCGCTCCGTTCGGCAAGTAAATCTTGTGTGATTTCATCGTTCAGGTCACGCCCACTCCGAAGTTCAGGTGATTTCACAGTTATTGTTCCCTTCATAGTGCTCCCAACAGGAGTCGCAGTGGGTGCACCAACGTCAACAGAGCGCTCACGTCTCCTGTTAGTTGATTTTCGTGTGCTACCGTTAGTGGTCGGCCGAGGCGGCGGTGCTCGAACAATATCGTCTGCAATAGGTTGTGGCATTCTCGGAGGTCTAGCGGAATACACCGTTATGTCTCGGTCACCACCCCACAGTTGAAGGCGACGGGCTGTCCTCTTGGTCAACCTCGTCCAGACATCTGCCTCTTCTCCGTAATCTTCAGGTTCGTAGCCGGCAGGGATCCCACCTGGCTCACCTTCAACACGCTGGTCATCGTTCCATCGACGAGCAAGAACACCAGCCAAGCCAATACCTCCATTTTCTTCTTCTTCCTCACTATCGTATGTCGGAGGTAGCTCGGAAATCCGCCGCGCTGCTTTCAGAAGCCATCTTTCACCTTCGCGGGTATGCTCCAGAGTTTTGTAGGCATCTCGTCGACGGCGTCGTAGAGCCCACTCAACTCGGCGCATTCTGTGCTCTTCCAGTTCGCGTTGATACCCAGTCCGCGCCCGAGACTTGATCAGGATTCCGCCAGAAGGAGTTTCGTTGAAACGACCTGTCGATATGTTAACTTCGAAAGATAATCTCAACCTGTAAAACTTACCTGATTGTAGTGGTTGTGGTGTGCCCCTGTATTGATCAACAGTATCAGGGGTACCAACTCTGCGACTCGACTTCAGCAGGCTTCGAGGACCATCACTATGTCTTCCCACACCCCGCCTTGTTGGTGTGTTCTTCCCTCGCACACGCTTGTAACGACCTCGTCCAGGATGTGGGTCAACAACGTCCCAGTCATCGTCAAGACTGTCAGCTTGCACACCCATGGCACTCATTATGTGGCCATGTGCGCTGATGTCGGCAGCTGGTGATCTTCCAATACCTGGACTCGCTCTAGAGTCGGCATCTGACATCAACGAGTCTTCATCACCGTACAGTGCACCTTTCTTCAGCCGCTTCAGGAGTTTATGATCTGGGTTGCCTGGATCTGCCATTATCAACGGTGGCTCGTTAGCAACCTCTTCCATGATGCGCTTTCTTTCTTTGGTCATCTTTTCTGCAAACCTGATCTCTTCTTCAGGGTCTTCGTTCTCTGCATCACCCTCCTCGGGCGTGATATTAACCAATTGTGGGACCAGCTGAGGAACCGTATCCGGGTCGTCCGGATCCTCATCCTCTTTGTACGTTCCAGGTCCAAAAGGGTTGTTGAGACCATCTTCTTTGCTGAAGTTAGATTCAAGATACCACCACATTAGCCACAAGAAAGCCCGTGCTCTGCTGGCTGAAGAAATGGTGTGGCGCATAGCCATATCGAAGAAATCGACCTTGTCTGTAAAATGCGTTTCGCTAACCTTGGGGGCAAATTGAGAAAGTACGAATATCAAATTGACAGGATTTGTGCGGGGGACTGCCTTGGCTCTGATAGCGGGAATGGTTCGTGGTTCATCGGTATCTTCGCTGGCACCTTTGAGGATGCTCTTGAGTCTTGGTGCATCTTGGAGTGACTTATAATCCCGCTGGCTCTTGTATGCCTGTAATGAAGGAATGGAATGATATGTTCTCAATTGCGCCCTCATTTCCGGAAAGAAATTCAATGTTGTGTTCATCCGACCGACGTTGACTAGGAGACAGATCATTGCCATGTTCTGTGCAGCTTGCCGGTCAATCTGAAGTCTATCCTTGAGAATCTTGCTTGTTTTGGAGCTTCTGGCCATGCAGTCGACATAGATATCGGCAAACGTGCACTGGGTTTTGCCATCGCTGATTCTGGTGAAAACAGGTTGCGTATCTTCAATAACGATACGGAGAAACTCAAATTGAATTTCCTTCCGCCACAATGGTGTGCCATCTGGTTTCTTGATATGTCTGATCTTACTGCCTGAATACACGGACCCAACCGTCCCGTTGGCTTGTCTTCGTGTCCCAACCGCAGTACCGATGGTTCTAGGTTCGGATTCGGGGCTGGCTTCGGATTTCTTGGTTCGCGAGTATGAAGTAGAGATAACACTTCCCTCATCTTCAGTGGCATCGTTTGGTTGTTCTTGGATCCAAATCGCACTAGCACCCTTTCTCGGTTTTGATTTCCGGCCACTTGCGGTCTTTAAACGGGCACCTCGGCGGAGGGAACCCGGGGTGCGAGCTTGTGGGTGATCGTCAGTGAGGTGCGATTGATCAGGATCTACCTCTCCGTCTTGGTCGAGATCGGCGGGATCTTGCTTGAGATCCTCGTTGTGATCCTCGATCGTGTCACCCTCAGAAGGCGCAGGAGAAGGTTCGCGAGATGCCATTTCAGATTGCCTGGATCCTGCGCTCTGAGTGGGCTTATCTCAGAGATGAATTGTGATTAACATGGGAAATGATGAGTGGTAGAGTAAAGATGGGCTGCAGTAGAGTTGTGATTGTGATTGTGGAAAAACTAGAAATCGATGAAAGGACGGAAAAGTCATGAATGTGAAGCATCACAATATTGAGACCAGGGTGTGGAGATGAAGGGGAAGCCGCAATCATGGCCAACTGCAGGTGGCATTCATTCCCCAAACACGCGCACTGGCAACAGGAAAGGCCCCGGTTCGCGATTCGGAGGAACTTATGCGCGATTAAGGAAATACGGTTGATCACAGGCGCAGATATGTAGTTCAGCACGTGATTGTCGAGCCCAGATATTCTGGGTCAGCCTCAGAATCTCCCGCCCCTGATCACCGTGCATCAATGCTCTTTACGCCAGCAATCTTGGACATCGAATTGGTGTGCCCTGGCCAGTCTTGTTCGAATCGCCAATCACCTCTCTGAAATCATCAATAATCTCGTAAATTTAAAAATAACAGGACGAAAAAGGTGTTGGACTGATTTATCAACGGAACAACGAAGGTTAGAGTCCGAGTTGAGGCAAGTGGTGGGTGGTAGCGGGAGTTCCAAACCGGGACCTGAACTCACCGGCTTCCGGCACTGAGTGGACAGATATTGGGTCGAGGCTGACAACGGCTAAATGCGACATATTCGTTCTCAAAACTTCGGTCGGTATAAGTATCCTTGCTTTGACACATTCGACGAGGTGGCTGTTCCAATCTCAGTTACACATTGTTGAGACTCTATTGACCCTTTCACTTTTCGCTAAATCGGTTTATTCGGGGGAGTTCAGCGTTTACTCTAACCCTGGATTCTACCGCATAACTCAATCCAAAGCATTTCACTGCGTTTCTCTGCATATCAGCAAAAATGACCAACTGGATCCTAGGAGAAAAGTTCACCGAAAAGTATTCCCACTTGAGCGGCGTGAAGGCACTCTGGGAAACAAAATGGAAATTCCCAGCTACAAAGGGTGTCTATCCTTTCCATGACGGCAAATACGAAGACTTTGCTCCCATCTTCGAAAAGCTTATTGCCGACAACGTCAACGACGGCTACTCAGACAAATACACTGAATACTTCCTTCCAACTGCTGAGAGACTCACCGACGAAGCGCTTTCTGCTCAGGGCTCAGACCGTGCCAAGGCTGCTGACCTCTTCAAGCGAGCTTGTGCTGTGTATCGAATTTCTCGTTTCCCATCGGTCGATGCCGGGTCTGGTCTCAAGCGAAAGATATATGAAACGCAGAAACAGGTCTACCTTAGGGGAGCAAGTCTTTGGGATACACCATTGAAGGAAGTCATCATCCCGCACACGGCGGCAGAAGGGGAAGATGAGAAGGAAATTCCTTTGTATGTCAGGCTTCCAGCTGGAGCCAGTAAAGACAAGAAGGTACCAGTAGTCTTGCTCATTACTGGCCTTGACGGTCACCGGCCTGACAACTCTGCGGTAAGTCATGCTCTACTACTAGAGTACATTGTTTGCTGACCTTCAAGATAGCGAACCGACGAGTTCACAGCTCGTGGCTGGGCAACTGTGATTACCGAAATCCCCGGTACTGCAGACTGCCCTGCTGCACGAAGAGACCCCAAATCTCCCGACCGGTTGTTCACTGCTATCTTGGACTGGATCAATCGGCAGCCCAATTTCGATTCTCAAAAGATATTGGCGTGGGGTCTGTCGGCTGGTGGCTACTATGCAATTCGGGTTGCGCATACTCACCACACAAGACTTCTAGGAAGTATTGGTCAAGGTGCCGGAACGCATCTATTTCTGTCTAGGGAATGGCTCGACCAAGTCGATAACCATGAATATCCTTTCATCCTCAGCCACGCTTACGTTCTGAAGTATGGCTACAAAGACTGGGAAGACCTCAAGCAAAACGCGCAAAAGGATTTCAGCCTGGTTGAAAGTGGCATTGTAGATGGACCTTCTTGCCGGCTACTCCTGGTAAACGGCACTTGGGACGGTCTGATGCCGATTGAGGACAGCATTCTTTTGTTTAGCCATGGTCGACCGAAGGAGGCTCGGTTCTACGAAAAGATGCTCCACATGGGTTATCCACCGGCCAATGAAAGTATCTATCCTTGGATGGAGTCGGTCATGGCAACAGCCTCTTGAAGTGGATTATCCCGCAGCATGATTCTTACCCAGCATACTTGATATCTTTGCTCTGATAAACATAGCGATCACTATATCACTTTCTCATTCTTGTGGATCTAAAATCCCTCCGAATGAAGTAATTCCCAACCCCTGGCAATGAATACCTTGCTTCCCTGGATGTGTTTCACCGACCATGGCGTGGTGTTGGCAGCTGCAGATTCCTCACTGAAAGAAGCTGCATGGAGATCATCAAGCTCGTGCAAGGCCAAGAACCTGCCAGGCTCTCCCAAAGTGATCGGGGTCTTTGGACCGAGAACATAGCGCGATGACCGACGGTACCCAGGCATCTTACTCAACATCTCAAGGTGTTCTTCTTGATACCACTTATCCAAGTCCGCTTCATCGACTGGCTCCATCTCGACTGTTACGAGAAATGGCGGGGCACCTATCAAGGCTTAGTCAATTTGTAGAACTTTACTTCTCCGCGCAACTCACTCTCCCCTGTTTTCTTCGGATCATAGTCCATGATCAACTTATAGTTCCGTGCGTCAAAATCTCCATTCTCGGTGGTTTCTCTCTTTGTTGGAAACAGGTCGCTTCCGTGGCGAACATTGTTGGCAAACTCGCTGCTGCTCAAAGCGTCTTCGAAGTCTGTCTGGTAGACAGCCAGGTATGCTCGTGGGGATCTCTCCTCAGGAGCCAGCGGGAAGTCAAAGGTTTCTCGGTAGAACGCAGCTCGCTTTGTCGTTCCACTGTTGACCAGATCTGGCAACTGGTCGTCCTCAGTTAGGAAACTTGAGATGCCTCAATACTGACTCCGACAGCCACGCCAGTAACATACATGCTCGGTGATGTACCACTTTTCCCAGAGTTTGTTGTCCACCCCGGAATCTGGCTTTGGTCGTGAATTAACGTGAAGAAAATAAGGGAGTGGCATATTGAACTTCCTTGAATGAGACGAACGAAGAAAGTGGTTGAGTATTAGGAAGATTGCTATTTGACAGCCCAGGTCCTTAAAAATAGTTCTATGAGTTGAGATGCCTCCTGCTCCATGCGGAGAAAGACCATTTGATATATCCATGGGCACGAACATGCTTCCGGTTCCCCACACTGGGGAATGTCTACAAAAAGCAGATAGCCTCGGATAAAGCGCCACTATGTCAGAAGAATTTTCTTTATGTCGCAGGACTCACGGCAACCAGTTGTCTGGTGTCACAAGCCGAAGATCGGCTACATGCAGGAATACTAGACGAATCAACAGTCTGTGCGCCACAAACCGTGTGTAATGGTCGGCCTCCTCATGGCGATTTCGAACGACCTTCATGTATTGATCGCCGAAGTGGCTGCGAAGTCAGTGCGAATAGTCAACAGTTAGTGGGCTCGGTTTGAAGGGCCCAGACTAAGACAGACCACCCACGAAGGATACTCTGCGTTTCTAGTAATCAAATTGCCATATTCGGGCTCTGCAACTCTCTGCCCGCCAGATCCTCCGGCCAGATCCGGCCAATAACCTCACATCCCGCGTAACTTGAAGTTGACCTCACTAGGAGCCGGATCGACACGATAGGCCAAGTGTGTAGCAGTTAGAAGAGTCTAGTCTGTTCGATGTACTGTAAATCAGTTCGAGCGAACACTTCCGCCCCTCCATCTCTCTAATAACTCCCCATTGAAAGTCATGTCCAGCATGGCCGTGCCGAATTCATCAACGTCTGCCGGTTCTGCATCATCGAAGAGCTTCGTGCTTCCGAAGCGGTGCAAGAATTCTACCTGTTTCCCCGAACAATGCTTCTCCCACTCGGTGGCGCTTGCGGCATTCCAAAGACCGCTACGATGAGTGTACATGATTCCGCCGGGGCAGGTGCCCCACCCCCGTTGCAGTGCGGAAAAAATGCTTGACAAGCTAACGGCGACGAGCCAGACGCGGCGGATGCTCTCAGACAAGATCCACAGGTACCATTGTTGTTGCGAGTAGTTTGATGCAATTGATAAGAAGCCCACAAGTTGCGTATCCACGCTGTGGGCATTGGACAACACCGTGCCGGCAGACTGGAAGAGTTTCCGAGCCCAGCTGGTTTGGACAGCTAAACGACCTTCGGCAACGTGGCGGGAGCGAAGGTCACTTTCGAGGAGGCCAATGATCTGGTAGACCAGAAGCGCATGAAGCCTTGTCAATTGCACGAAAAGTTCAACATCTTGATGCTCTTCGTCAGCCCACTTGTCGTCGCCAACCCTATCCAAGGTAGCACCATTGTCCCGAAGCAAATCATTTGATCTATCCTCGACAATCTGGAGTATGGTTTCTGTGTTCGCTGATGTTCGGTAGATATAGCTAGAAAGCGTGGCATATGCGACTTGGACACATGCCGGTGAGTTCGTACTGTACAGACAGTGATGAAACAGTGGACTACTGCCGGTGGTGACCCAACGCTCAAACCACGACTGCAATATCTTCATGTAGTTCTTCATCGTTGTTTTTCCAACTGGTAGCGCCGACGAAGGCTCAACTCCATGCGAGATCTTCCAAGTCTCGGGCGCAAGGAACCAATCTGCCTTCATCGTCGGCACATTGCTCGCTTGGACGAGAGATGTTGGAGTCGATATTTCCCTGTCAAAGAGTTGAAATGTCAAATCAAGCATTAGACCATCATCAAGGATCAACTCCGCGGTGCTGGGTGATATGTGGCCGGCAATTCCGGTTTGCGATTGATGCCCATCTCTCACCATCGAGCTTCTTCTCAAAGCACTCGAAAGCAATGGCCGAGAGGTGGGAGGCACTTTGTTCCCTGATGGAGGATAGAGACAGTGTTTGCCCATATCCACGCATCGTGAGCAAGACGGCAGTTCCCGACCACATTTCCGCTTCGACCTTGCACAGTGGTGGCAGGCATTCGATTTTGCGTGCTTGGGCATATTCAAGGGTTAAATTTCTTGAAGAACTTCTACTAGGCCAGAGCCGGCTCACCGTCCTGTCTCAGGTGAAGACGAAGGAAATGCTCCAGCCCCCATTTGTCATCCGCTGGGCGCCTGTACACGCCTATTGGGTGGTCGCCCGCACGCGATGCCGACCTGCGGGGGCCTAGCCAACCAAGACTGTAACTCATAACTGGAGCTTCCAATGATCACGCACAAAGTTTGACAATAGGAGGTATATCTCAATCTGCTATATAGTGTGCGTCGAACAAGCACAAAAACGTCAGTGCTACCACTCCAAGCTGTAAGTTTAGAGGATACAACATATCTACCGTGGAAAACGGCCGAAGTACACGCCTGTCAGTACGGAGCGATTCTTCTGAAGGTTATGGTGGACAAGGCTCTGCAGACATACAATGAAACGGACTCGAACTATGCGCGGTCTAGCTCGTGGAATCCCGCAAGGACAGTGCGGGAGCTTGGAGTATAAGAAGACTGCGACACAGGCTCAAAACCCAGACTGTCGTTCGATACTCTTCCTCGTATCCTCCACCAAGCGCAACTCAATCCAAGATGTCCGTTTACGTTATCACTGGAGTGTCAAAGGGAATCGGGGTGAGTGCATGTTCCAAAGTATTATGAGTGGCCCGTACTGAACCCATTACAGTTCGAACTGGTCAAGCAGATCTCTAGTGATCCGAATAACCTGGTCATTGGTCTGGTCCGCGACAAGGCTGCGACTGAGAAGAAAGTGGCAACAGAACTGGGCAAACGTCCCAATGTCCACATTCTCCATGCGGATCTCATCAGCTATGCCAGCCTAAAGAAAGCAGCTACCGAGACTGGCAAGATTCTTGGGGATCGTGGGGTTGACTATCTGGTTGCAAATGGAGCTTTTCCATCCCACTTCGACGCTTATGATCCCATCGGTGCATTGTATGGCCCCTTCTTTTTGTCTGCCCAATCCTTGTACTGGCCAGTTTGTGGTTAATACCATGTCTTGAATAGGCGTGACAAGGTTGAGGAACTTGAGGATGTCTCATCGAAACTATTCCAGACGAACGTCGTTGGGAATATCCACCTGTTCAACCTCTTCCTCCCTTTCGTCTTGAAGGCTAAGACCAAGAAAGTCATCGCTATCTCCAGTGGCCATGCTGACCTCGATCTGATCAACAATTTCGAGATCGAGACAAGTACTCTATACGCTGCCTCCAAGGCGGCCATGAACGTCATTGTTGCCAAATTCAATGCGCAGTATAAGAAGGACGGTGTGCTCTTCGTCAGTATGAGCCCAGGAGTGGTCGAGGTGGGCCAATTCGCGAACTGTGAGTATTCTCGTCTTCAACATTCAATTGTTTGGGCACTTTCTCATCCAGGTCCACAGCAACTCCAGAACAGATCCAGAGTTTGATGGGGTTCATGACCAAGATTGCGGCATATGCTCCTGACTTCAAGGGTGCAACTCCAGTAGAAGAAGCCATCCCAATCATGCGATCAACCTGGGAGAAAATCACTATCGAAGATGGTTATGGTGGTGCATTCATTTCGCAATTCGGAAACAAGCAGTGGATATAAGTCAGAGTATAGTCCAATCGCAGCAAGTACAATTTGTGATGTAGACACCTCACGTCCATGTTCTTCAGGCATTTCATCACATTATGCATTCAATGACTCTCCAAAGATCAACCGATCCGCCACATAGCCCGTGGTCGCCGCAAAGATAGCCTTATGAGCCAGATCGACAATTTGCTCACCCACTGGCCAAGTCCTAAGGATCCCTGATTAGCGAACAAGACGCAAAAAGACTCCCAAACACCACGCACCACGGTAATGAGCCCACTCCAGTCCAATTTTCCAAAGTCTGATCGATGAGCAGTCTGACGCCCATGAACAAATAGCTTCCAAAAGGCCCGACAATGCCATAGTAGCTCATGGCGCCTCGAATGCCTGCGGCGAGTATGCCCTGGCCCCAGTGCATGCTCCAGTTGTATTTCTCCGGAGACGAGTGGAAGTCAAACTTCAGCAACCGAGCCAATGTCTTCCCGGGGACATAGGAGTTTGGTCGGTGGCTTATGGACTGTTCGGTTTTTTCTGCTATCGTCATGCTGTTGCTCATTGATCAGAATCTGATGTTTTCATTTCATGGACGCGTTCTTCCACGCACAACGCTACACCAACGACACCCGCGCCGAAGCCGATTGCAATACACTCCAGTAACGAGAACCGAATCTTGGGCCGTGCCGGGTTAATGTAAGTTTCTGGCATGATGTATGGGCAACCTGTGAGCCTTTCAATGGTCTCGATACCACAAAAGCTATGTTGGCAAAGTTTGTAAGTTGTGGTGAAATAACAGAAATGATAACCACGTGAGCTCTGCAGCCAACTTCATTACCACCGAGTTACCTGGGTGGTTAGTGATGGCCTTTAGTTAGGCTTTGCTACATGACGTGCATGTACCCGGAAACTCCACCCGATCCTCGCCCCCTTTGCCCCGCAAATTGTCTCGCGGGGGAAACATTCCCTCGTAGCGTACCGTTGTTCTTACGTATAAATGCCGTGGCAGCTGCCTTGCTTATGAGTTAATGAATATTCACACCTAACGTAGGGCTATGATTAGGAGGAGATTACTCAATTCTTGGGAACATTTCCTTACATGGTAATTCTCCAACTTAAATGGGCATCGCAGCACTCCTGTGGTCCAAGAACGATTGATTTCTCTTGAGGTTTCCTTTTGATCGACTACCTAAATACTGGACTGTCATTTTTCCCCTGATGGTTGCCTCTGCCAGCAGCAACTCGCCGAGATAGACTTCATGCCGCATCCTTTGGTGGAGACGTCTGCGAACTCCGCTTACGAAGCTGGCTGTCCACGCGCCCTGCATTGAGGGAAGAAGCTCTTCAATCAGAGATGTCGCACTTCCAGCGTGACCTCGAGAAGCACCCAAGCCTCAGGGGGCAGATACTGTGAGTAACATCTAACAGTCAAGACAAGGTCCGTACCTAGTAGATGGATATTGCAGCCGGAAGAATTGATCGTCAGGGCAAGGAATATACATCCGGTCGCTGAAACGATGACGTGGAGACATTAATGATGCATAACCGATCAATAACAGCTTGGATCGTGGAATGGCTTCTATCTATCCCACACTTCCATATTCGACTACCGAAAATTCAAGATCAATAAAGACGCTCTAGTCAAGGAATAACCATCAAATTACAGATATCCTATATTCAAAAATGCTGTCAATAAACCGATCCCCGCCGGTCATGACGGCGTTCTTCCGACACACATCAGTGACTAGGATACCGATCATTAGAAACTGGAAGCCCGCCAAAAGATACAGCTCTTCCAACGTTGTCGGCTCAGTGAAAGTCGACCAGACCAAAAAATCTAACAATCCCTCTAGAGCCCACGAGACAGACCACACAGAGCAGGCACAAAGAACCGGCAGCAGCAAAGGAAGAGATCATCCGGCTAAGCAACCAGATCCGCAGGAGAGTCCGAGCAAGGCAACTGGAATCCAGTCGGAGGGACCTGATTCCAAAGCAGGGGCGAAGGAGGACAAAGGGGTCACCACTGATCGTGGTGCCGGGCCATTCATGAAGCAGTGAACAAACTGTTTCATTTGCATTGTTAATTTCCCCAGGGTATCTCTCGAATGCGGCTATCCATAATTGAGATCTGGAGATATTTATAGCAAGCAAGCTTGCCATATCAGAGGGCTTCTTTTCTAGCTTAAGCAATTGGTGCTCCTCGATTCGACTTATGGGACCTTCAAATGAAAGACATTCCAGCTGTAACGTGACCCGCTGAAGCATTTGCAGTTTTTGTGTGATAAATCAAAGTGTATTCGATCTTGAAATCAGGGTCTCATAGAATGAAGAGCGAGACCGACGTGGGTGATATAAAAGGGAGGTAAAGCTGAGAATTCATGAGTCAGCTGATGATCGATCAAACTGGAGTGTTACTCGGCCGGGAGACGGCAGGCACGTTCACCCACCCCCAACCTTGTATACTTACTCGTACAGGCAGCTTCCCACCCACTCGACAGGCGTGCCAAACTCCCATCTCGATTCCCCGTTTTTTGGGCAAAAAACCTCGGCTAATCCACAACCAGGTGGTAAACTAAGCCCCACAAATCGGGCTTGTGGAGTGACTGCGGTGTCAAGCATGCTCCGTGAGACCTTAAAGCTTCAAGGTTAAGAAGACGGTGTTCTTGAAAGGGCCGAGATGCCGTACAAATATCAACGTCGATTCGTCGTGGTGGTGAAGAAAACTCTCAAGACAATTTGCCTCCTTCAAGTAATTCAGTGTTGTTAAGGTAGCAAGGCTGGTTTTCAGAGATGACTGATACGTTAAAGGTCGTTGCCCTCACTATCAATGTATGGGTATTGATCAAACAGCAGGTTCTGACGTTAATCCTGGTGTTCTTGATTGGGCGCCTCATTTACCGGCGATATTTCTCTCCTCTATCCCCATACCCTGGCCCATTCCTCGCCTCACTGACCAGGCTGTGGAAGGTTTGGATTGTATCCAAAGGGCAGCTCCAGGAGGATTTCATTCAGATACACCGCAAGTACGGTAAGCATCCCAGTTCTGCGGAACGTAAATGTCATATCTTGTAGTCTTGAGTAGACTAACGGACGCCTTCATATCCAGGCCCAATTGTTCGTGTAGGCCCCAATGAACTCTCTTTTGCTTCACCGGAAGCGGCGCGAGATATTCTCGCTCCAGGAAATGGATTCACAAAGACGGAGTTTTATAACGTCTTTCCTCCAAAGGATTTCCCCGATATTTTCACAGAGACCAGGGAGTGGAAACATGCAGCAATGAAACGCGTTGCAGTTGTCCCATACAGCCTTGCTAGCGTCCAAAAAATGAGCACTTGGATTGAAGATGTCCAGAGGCAAATGGTGGAAAAGCTCAGGCAATACGCTGATGGCGGGAAAATCTGCGACCTAGGAGACCTACTGCACTGGTTTGCATTCGATGTGAGGCATCCTCTCTCCATTTTGATTTGTTATTGATCAGTGCAGGTCGTGGGAGAGTTCGCGTTCTCTCAACGGTATGGATTTTTGGAACAGGAAAAGGATGTCGGAGGAACCATTGCATTTATCGACAGTATTCAGTGGTACCATGGGTTGTGTGGCCAAGTGCCAGAACTTCGCCATATCTTACTCTTCAATCCACTATTGCAGTACATTATCAATAAAATCGGTATGCCTAAGCTGACAGAGATGGCCATGGGGGAAGTACGAAAGAGGAGACAGAGTGGTGCTGCTTTCCTAAGTCCCGACAGAAAAGATCTGCTTGGTCAATTGATCCAAGGAGGAGACAAAAGTCCAACCAGTTTTTCTGAGATGGATATCTTCGCTATCTCGCATGGCGCTATGTGAGTGATTCTTCTTTAACGGGTCAACTACCCTTATTGACTATGCAACAGTGGTGCAGGCGCTGACTCAACTGCTTCAACGATGCAATCTTTCTGCCATTTTGTCTTGTCAAATCCAGACGTATATTCGCGGCTGGCGGCGGAGGTGAGAGGGGCGGGTCTCTCCTCACAAGTCAGCTGGCAAGAAGCACAAGACTTACCGTATTTCCAAGCATGCCTGATGGAAACGATGAGAATGAGACCAGCTGTTGGCCTAAGTATTCCTAGATATGTTCCGTCCATAGGCGCCACCATCGACGGCAAGCGATATCCAGGGGGCATGGTTGCATCGACAAATGCTTGGGTGGTCCATCGTGATGAAACGTTGTATGGAGAATATCCCGACAAGTTTTGGCCAGAGCGGTGGCTGAAGAATGATGTCAAGGAGATGAAGAAGCACATGTATCAGGTATGTAACGCTAAAAATTCGACCGAAGGACTCTAACTTAATGCGCGGGTAGTTTGGTGGAGGAGGTCATCTTTGCATTGGTCGAAATCTTGCTCAATTTGAGATGAACAAGATTCTACCACAGCTCATCATGAACTTCGACTTCGAATTGGTAAGACCTGGAGAGCCGCTCCATTCGCACACGACATTTTTTGTTGTCCAGAATGGCCTTAAAGTGCATGTAAAGAGAGTTGGAGCTTGACATGAAGCACAGCATCTGGAGCTTCCAGCCCCTTAGTCAAGTCTCGTCAAACATTGATTTGATATGCTTCGCTGAAGCATTAAGTATACCATCCAGTCCTCTAGGGAACGAACCCGAAGCCCAGCGCTGAACATTCGAATATAATCAATTTCTATCAGCAGCAGCATTGGAAAGTTAATTACCTAAGAGAGCACTCAAGGCTGAGCTGTTGTAGGCGGACCAAGAAAGTAGTTTATAATGCATAGGTACTTCTCAGATCCTTCTTCCAAACGAGGAGTGAGACTACAAACCAAACGATATGTCCGAGAGAAAGTATCGGGAATTTTGATGCGGCGAGACACAAATCCACAAAGCGTCATTTCACTTTGCTCTTAAACATTCGCCGTAGAAGAGTACTTCAGCTCTTGCCAACTATTTGTTATCTCCCACTTCGTTAACAGTAACAAGATCGTACTTAACAAAGATTGTCAAGGTTCTGGTGCTCGGCAGGCTAGTTACTTGGTGTTTAGATGGATACGTTGGTGACGATCTACCAGAAAGATGGTCTGGCGATACGTGTGACTTCAAAAGGGTCACTTGGATGACGTAGACAGTCTGGTGAACTTTTGGGAGGAGTGCTGCAAACACGGCACGGTCGGCCGTTAGCTCTGACTCTGCCGACCATCGTCCTGCCATAATTGGTATCCCGTTTGAACATCATTACGAGTTGGAGGTTCAAGATCAAGGATACCAAGACCTCAATCCGCGGGGCAAAGTCAGGGACTTGCAAGCTTAACTCGACATGGCAAACTGTTCTGAGGTTTCCGTCATGGACAGAGCTGGCAATGTGCGAGGTACACGAATACCACGTCCTCACGTCAACTTCGAGAACTCATGTACCAACGAGTTGCTTGACGAGCGAAATTCACACACATCAGCCATGGCTTTTGGTAACATCTCTAAATCATTATACTACTTGTTGTGTGACTGCTGTGGTCTTCAAGCGCCTATTGAGATCTGATATCAGCGGATCATGACTTCAAATTCGACATCTTCCTCAAGTTCGCCGAGTTCTGCCGGTCTTGGGATAACAGGAGGCTATGAGGGCGATAGCCTGGCACTGAAAGTCATCATTGCTTTCTTCCTCGGCCTCTCCATGTACAACGTTGTTGAACTTCTCATCCTCATCTTCGGCACCTTCACAAAGTTCAAGGGCTTGTACTTCTGGAGCTTAGTGATATCAAGCCTTGGGATAATCCCATATTCGCTTGGATTTATCTTCAAGTACTTTTCAATCCTGACGGGGGGAGGGAAATGGTTCTCGGTTTTTCTGCTCTCAATTGGCTGGTACCCTATGGTCACAGGCCAAGCGATTGTTCTCTGGTCACGCTTACATCTCATTGTGACGGGTGAAACTGGCGACAAAATTCTGTTGTATACGAAATGGATGATTATCACGAATGCTATAGTGTTGCACATTCCGACAACTGTGCTTACCTGTGGGTCAAATAGCGACACGAGCACGGAAGTCTTTGTTCGCGGATACAACGTCATGGAAAAGATTCAAATGTGTGGATTTTTTCTACAAGAGATAATCCTATCCTCAATTTACATTCTCGAGACGATTCGAATACTTCGGAGTTCGGTCAAAGGCAATACCCATCGTCTCATGTATCAATTAATGGCCATTAATATCCTCATCATCATTATGGATCTGGCGTTACTTGGCTTAGAGTGCGCATCATTGTACATCCTCGAAACAACCACCAAACCCGTCTTCTACTCCATCAAGCTCAAACTCGAATTTGCTATCCTTGGGAAACTGGTTCATTTCGTCGGCGGGCCTCGAAGTAATGGCCGCGCTTCCACCGCCCTGTCGGAGCCGGAAAAACGAAATGGTTCAAATACCCATCGGCGCAAGAGTACTGCCAGTAAAGCTGATGAGAACGACATTTCAGAATTCGTGGACTTAACGAAGATTAAAACTGATGTTACACGCACTTCACACCCTGGGAGGAACAGCAGCGCTGTAAGGCCGGATCCAAACGATCTCAACATTGACCTCGAAATTGCGAGGATGGAACACTGGGATACTCTTCCCTCAAGTGTACAGGGCTCAAACGGCGAGATTCATTCGACACGAAAGCTTGAATCACTCAAGAGGTATTACTCAGGAGCATCATGATGGAGATTCTAACCCACTAATCGAATCGATCACCTTGATCGTCAACTACGCAGTACGGTGAATGCAAACCAGGCCAAAATTGGACGAAGTGAAGTATATTTCGAACATGCGACCAGTAAGCCAACCGATACATTATTGTGCTCCTAGTATACACTGTAAACCTCCCAGACTTTCAACGCTAATGCCATCAAGCTAAACACTCGACCGTCCAACTGCTCTAGTCAACGATCAATTGGAGTAAGCCATGGCCGACGAGCTACTCCTTCGACCCATCAGAAAATCCTTCATCGAGTCCGCTATGCTTCCTCTAGAAGTGCTCTCGTCTCGCCCCGCCTTCGTCGAACTTGACAATCGTCCCCGGCTCTCGGACTCAATTGGATCAGGCTCATGTATGTTTGCATAACCTCCTAAGAAAATGAAAACAGTCAGCCCGAAACTTCTGCCATTCCCCGGCCAACAACGACTTGGGGTGGGAGGCGCAAGTCCCTACCGATACCAGTGTGATGCCGTCTCTGGAATAGCACAGTCTGCGGCACTCGGAGTTCTTCATGGAGCAATCGAACCAATCTTTCATCGGCAGATTGACTGGCTTTCTGTGCCATCACGATATTCCCTCGCCCGCCAATACCGGTGCTGAATTTGTGGTGGCGTGCCTCTCGTGAAGTCTGCAGAACACGGCCCTGCTCAATGCTTTGGGGTTCCGTTGCGTGTGCTCTTGCGGTATTCCCTAGGAGTTTTGAAAAGTGAGCCGACGACATCATGCGACAAGAGGGGCATCTCAACCGATGAACAAGGGAGGGCGTGCGTGGGGGATTTCTTTCATGACTAACCTGCACCGCCGACACCATAGTGGTGTTTATTATCGATAGATTCAGCGACCATGATTGTTGATGCTGGGTGGGTTTTACTATTTTTGGAGTGAGGTCGACCAGATCCCGAGCTGGATAGAGATGGAGCACGCCAGGCAATACCTCAACGAGGATGGAAAGTGTGTGAACGATGCAAATGAGGTCTAAAAGCTTCGACAAGAACATTCCCAGATCCACGCAGTACGGCCTCACGAGTATTTATCCTCGAAAAATCTTCGAATTATTTTGCAGCACTCCGTAAGGAGCTCCCATGCAAGACAAGCCAAGCCAATGGGTCTCATGGCGGCCGCAGCATGGTACACCCAGCAATGCAATGCACGCATCACAAATCCAGATGCAGGGTGTCCGCCAGGTGATAACACCGTCCTATCAGCCTTGACGCCGCTGCATCGGGTCGATGTCAGAAAATATCGGACATAGGCATGCTGCTTACACTGTCCTCAATAGAGAGAGGGGGGGGCTGTGAACGACAACGGTAGTCATGGCCAGAGCTTGCGTGGTGGCTGCGACCACGTTTTGTCACTCTTTCGTCTCAGCCTCGTTCTGTACTACTGCAGAGATCGCGGTGAGGGTAATCTGTCAGATGAACGAAAAACCCAGCTTGTTGTTGTAACCATACTGCTGACGACAGACGGGATAAATCCCAAGCACTACCAGTAATGGAAGTTATTGACTGGCTTTTCAGGGTGCTGAGGGCATTTCTGCCATCAAAACAATACACCATTTCAGGAAGTGAAATCATTCTCGGATGACTAAGAGTTCGCTTAATGGCTGGTTGGGTCTACTTTACTCGTAGGTGTTACAACAAATCGTTCGGGTAGTATTTTTAGCACGACTGTCAGCAGTCGCATCACTCGAGGTTGGTTGAACAGCCAAGGCCAAGACTGGCTCACTCTTTGAGTGCTATGGCAAATTACCTCAGCGTGAAAGCGATTCAATCGGGTTTGCGAAAAGAACGAAACAGGAATTTCGGGTCGCGTCGACTAGTTAGGTCTGAACGTTACTTAAGGATGATTATCACAACAGTTGAGGCGGCCGCGAACCCCGACTATATCATGACGCACTGCTGCTCTTGATTGTGCGACAGGGAGTTCATAGGTTGGGACTATATTACAATCGGGGTCAGCTTAATGAGGCACCCTGGATGGTGCACCAACTTGATGCCAATACGAAATGAAGGTCCTGTTCCTGATATCAGGAGCAATTTTTCACGTCTTAAAGTACATGCATCAATGTCTTTTGTACATACCTTCCAATGCCAATTGGATGTTTTCACCGATCTGTATCTGAGCACGCTTGGGCTGTTGAATATAGCTTCGCCACAGACCACCTCGCTTGTTTACCACATTGTTGAAGACTTCCGTATTGCGAAGCCCTTGTGGTCAGTGTCTGCTATAAAGCAAGTTCGTAAGGTGGAAGGGGCCATTTCGGGCGATGTCCAGTAATTAACAAGGAGTCTACACGACTGGTGCCAGAGTCAACTTGACTTGCCATCCGTGATAGCACTGCTATGATTCGAGGCTGGGCACAAAGCGTGAAAGGCCGGGTGATTTTCAATCCGTGCAGAGAACGATGACCGTATCAGCCTCCAAAGAAAATTGAGGTCTGCAAGGGTCAAAATGTGACTATCGACAGTGAGGAGATTTGATGGTGGTTAATCAGCATGGATAGTGTACCCGGAGCGCCTGTTGTTGGATACCTGTCGTATCCACAGAGCATGGATAGAAACGGCCCCGGGCACAACCGCAGGGTTTATTAGGGGCCGCCGAGGGGCGCTGGGTGTTGCAGGCCCACCTTAGCCATGAGACCTTGCGGGGAAGGTACTTTCGATCTCCAATCGGTGGTCTCTTATCCGTGTGAGAATTGCGAATCGGGGATGAAGCGGTCTACCTAAATCTCAACTCCTGCATGGAATAATAATCGAACAAATGCAGGGGAAGATGCCACGTTTAGCAATTATCGAGTAGCGCAGATGGAATAAAGTGTTCATTTCATCTTTGGCACCGAGAGGTTGCATTCGGTGCTCGACGGGACAATCTTGTGATGCGCGCAATCCTTGTCCCCCCCAACCAGTAGAAGAAGAGGTAGGCACCAACCTTAGCTCTCAGCTTTTGGCTTTGTAATTCTGGAAGAGCGTGTTAAAAACGTCAATAAACCGCAGCACGATTGCCAGATAGGGACATAGCCCAGCGTTTCATGGCTGCGGCATGGTTGAGGGTTGTCATTTCCGGGAGGAAATCGGCCAACTTCTTGTTGGGAGTATCGCCTAATCTTCATCAAAGGCCAAGTAACCTTACCTAAATGCATCGTACCTCGTACCAGGTACTTGATTGCGCTGCAGAACCCCCTTTGGAGAGAGGAATACCGACACGATGGGCCGCCAAGGGGCGTTTTTGGACGCAAAGGATTCACGTAAAGAACCAGGCACCGAAGTAGAACCGTGTAGATGCGCAGACGTCAATATCCGTACTCCCTAAAGAGTACACCGTGAACAAGTACAACACGGAGCTCGCTCAGCGGTGAAGCTGGGATTCCTGCATCCTGTACCCTGCTTTCCGTGATGGTTTCAAGCACGACTCAATTTGGTTGTGATTGTCGTTATTAGGCCATGTTTAATGTCCATGCATTGAGTTACAATGCGGCTGAAGCACCCTTGCCTAGAATGTTGCTCGAGCACCAAAATCCGATCTCTTGGGGGAAACTCTGATGGCAGGACATGACTAAAGGATCTTCTTGCCATGTCGTCAAATACACGTCAAAGACGAGCCTGGGTACCGAGTAGTGGCATGACATGTAACTAGTCAGTGAAAATCCGAGCTGCTGGTAAATGCTAGCGTTTCAGAGCCGAATCAGAGTGACAAGGTAAAAGCCCGGCAAGACATTCAGCTCCTTGGCTCACCTCCAGTTGAGGAAATGAGAAATACGAATACGTTTCTTGTGGTTGGAGATGCAGTTCCCGTCAGCGTGACATTGTTCCGTCTCAAAATTCCTTGGGCGGCAAGAACGAGCAAGACACACCAAACGGGCAAGCACGCGTCACACCCCCGACCAGGGGCGGGCCGGCCGTCCACGACAGGAAACTACATCGGACTATCAATTATTCCAGGATCCTTTCAGGCATTCTCCCGCCCTTCTCGTCTCGACGTCTCACCAACAGAAGGAAGTTCAGTAATCACTACAACAGCATATGCTGACTACTGTACCTCGCGAAGTACGTATCACACAAAGGAACCCGGGATATTTGAGTCAAGGCTGTGGGAGGGTAGGATCCCATTGTCCCTCGGTCATTCGCCTAGGTAAGCGAGGCTGGCCTTCTGATTTCTGCTCGTACTTTTGGCATAGGGGGGTGGTCAGCGATGGAATTGAGAAGCGATAGATTGCTGATTAGTTAGCTCGATAGGACCTAGTTAGACGCCCGGATATATCGGGTGCACCTAAAGCAAGGCCACCCCCGACGAGGTGCCATCTTCGCTCAGGCCGTTATGGTACTACGAATGGGGAGGAGTTTCCACCCCGAACCATTCAACCATGTAAAGTCGAGACGATTTGCAAGTGTGCTGATCAGCCCTATAAGGAGTATTTGTTCCAGAGGGGAAGCATCTCGTCCAGCCGGAGCCTTGCGACTTCGGTCTCAAGCTACTTAGTTACTGTTGCAGGTATGATCCACTGTGGCACACTATCAACATCACATCACACTTACACAGAGGTAACAAGTAGTTCGGAGGTCACAATTCGCCTAAATGCAAGTCGCAAAGGAGACATTGAGCAGAGATAAGATGAATGCCTATTGCTGGAGATATCCTTGCCGTCTCGTCCTACTGACGAATTGATAAGTACATGAGAGTTTTGCATGTGTCCCCGTAAGATGCAGCCACTCAAAGATCTTTCGTCCAAGTAATATAAACCCTTGAAAATAAATCTTCCTATCATCACTCGCCAAGAAGCTATGTACCAGTTCATAAAGTAAATAGCCCATGTATACCCACCAGCGCCATCGCTCGTAAAAGATCAATCATTGAATAAAATGTAATTAGTTGAGACTCCTATCACGTTCGGCATATGGAAGAGTATATCCATTCCCATTTCCCATCACTGCCGAGTCCCTGAAGAAAAGAAATTGACGACGTTGTGTCTTGGCGGTACTGTGAACCCGCAGATGTCATGCAATTGAGTCGCCGACCATGATGAGAAGCAAGGCTTTCCCATGTTGAGAATAACCAGCCTGTCCTGCAAATTTGGATGAGCCATCGTGTGGCCTTGACTTGAAATTCAGATGACATGATACGCGTATCATGGTAGCCTCGCCCAACCACGACAAGTATAAATCACCAAGAATTTAGCTTACAACTCTTGTATATTGATGTGAAAAGGACAGAAGTAGGTGCGCTTCCGTCTCAGCGTTTTGTGCCTCGTAGGCAGGACGCTTGCGGTGTTGAGGTAAGGTTATCCTTACTGGCGAAGGCCGTCTCATTCGTGGTTCTCTATGAGTCCTAGGCAACCTTGGAATGGAGGATCTTGATGCTCGGATATAATCCAAACTTCGAGGGAGAAGTTTCTCGTTCTCAATATCGAAAACTTCATCTGCCGAATCGACATCGACAACCGGCGGACTATGATCACCAGCGTACTTGCGTTTTAAAGGTTTAACATCGACGACGGGTTCTGGGTTCATGAGATCTATAAGTGCAAGAGGTGATCTTGGTGAGGTTTCCACCGTCAGAGTTGGCGGTGGCGCACGTGTTGCTGTTAAAGTGGTGGTCGACTGCTCAGAGTCAAATGGTGGGAGAGGTTCAAAGCTGGTCGAAACCCTCGAGGAGCTGAAGTCCGCCAGATGTTCCCAATGTGGTGATGTTGGCTGAAGTCGGGTTTCGTTGTCTTGATGACCGGTATAGTAGTCGAGGAGGGTGTGTATTGCATGCTCTATGCGTGCGGTATGTTCGATCTCAAATCCAGCGCTGACCAGGCCGAGTTGGGAAATTGCAAATTGGCGTTCGTGTGCTTGTTCAAGCATATTCGAGTCCAGACCTCGTGTCAGCTGTGTTGGGCCACGCTCTACATAGTGGAAGAGGTTGTATTCATTCAGCTCGATACGCCAATCAGGATCATATTCGGTGGACCCAAAGGTAGTCCATGGTATCATGATTCGTAGACGTTCAGAACATTGGATGATTGGAGAGAAAGACCGTTATTGAGAACAAAAAATTGCGAACTGTCCTTCCTAAGGTGGCCCCTAGTTGAGAGTCGAATGAGCTTCTATGGCACACTTATAAGTGTATGTGGTCGCAAGCAGGGCGCGTAGGTAGTGACCGGGACCAGAACCAGAAGGAGCAGGGTCGAAGATATATGAGCACGGGAAGTAGCCTGTCAGCCCTATTGAGACTGGACGGGTCGAGTGTTTTGGCTAGTCGAATGCCAGAGTGGTGCTCAAAACCAGGATGAGCTGACACAAAAGATGTGCTTAGATGGTAGGCGAGTAATGATTGATGGTGTTTGCATGAATAGATGTCCTCCTGTCGTAGCAGCTGTCGAGGTCAAGATGATCAAAAGTGGACTTGAGACATGGCGGGACGCGGCGGGAATACCGGGCCACGATTTCCGGCGTCAGTGCGTGTTCTAGTCCAAGGTGAGGTTTGGTTGACGCGTGCCAGACTGGCAATAAGAAATATACTGTGGAGTGTCGATATGAGAAGCGGATTCTTCAGTGATGATGATGGGAAAGGATTCCTGGGCCAGAGACAAACAGCGAAGTAGATGATGTGGAGTAATTGCCAGTACAAAGCTCAGCAAAGTCTCCAGATAGGAGTAGTCGTAAGTTGCCGTGAATTGGGGCGGAGTAAGCTTGGACGGGCGAACTGATGAGTGAAATGGAGAACAAGGAATCAAGTGGTGGGCACGGGCGGAGAATAAAAGAATGAGCCTGAGGACGAGTTTGCTGTTGTAGCTGTCGCTAGCAGTTGGCAGCTCAAGCCGTGGTGAAAGCAGAGCAGGGAAGATACGACGGGGTGTAAGAATGGATACTAGGGCGCCAAGAGCCGTGCTTCTGATTGTTCGAGAGTTGGGAACTAACGGGTAGGCAAGCGAAAGCGAGGGGTTTGGAAAGGCGAAGTGTGAGATGACCAGGCCTACCGAGAATGACTAGTACGAGTAAGAGGGTGTTGAAGGGAGGAGGAACGTCAAGGAAGTGGCTTGAGCTGGTCGATCCGCCTCTGGTGGACTGTGGATGTCTGGCTCCGGAAGAAGCAATGCAGCAAGGTCCGAGAGAAGTGGACTCTGGGTTGAAGAAGGGGAGAGGGGAAGATGGAGCACTGGGTATCAGAGGGCAAAAGCTAGAGGATGAAGCACTCGGTCGAGCAGGCCAGGGAGTGAGGGCGTTGCACTTGTCAAGGATTATTGTATTTTGTTTCTGGGGCTTCAGCCAAAGGGGGCTTTTGGGAGAAGCGCGTCGACAGGGCAAAAAGCGTGGTTGACAGCGGGGGAGTCAGAAGAGACAAGTGGACTGGACACACAGCACACTGACAGGTTTGACAGCGGAAGACCACGAGCGTCACAACTCAGAAGAGAAGAGTATCGTATGGAGTACCAGATTGCAGGCCTGCACACCACCTGCACTTCCTTTCCAAATGGGCAAGCTACATGAACTAACAGCGACTACGATTGCCATGAACCTGGGATCCCAAATGAATGCCCCTTCAAATCGAGCCTGGAGATCTTCAGTCGAACCTTGTCTGCAGTAGTGGTGCATTGCATGTTACTAGCACGGTTGGCCCTCCGTACTCCGGGCGGAAGCCATGCACTTGAGGTTAGCCAGCATCCCTGGATGGTTCACCCGGATGACTAGCCTGGAAAGATCTGACTCTAAGCGTCGTAGACTCCTAGATCTGACCAGGGTGCAGCAGGATGGCTTATTTCTTTTGGGGTTGATGCAGGGCCACCAGCTCAGCCAGACCCAAACATCCACACATCCGTGGCGGTTTAATCTTCAGATGCAACAGCTTGCCCGGGAGTTGTACGAGGCCGCTCTCGAGACTCAGCCGTTCAAGAATCAACACAGTGGACAAAGGGAAAAAAAAGCAAAGCGACACCCAGTCCCTCGTTATTTAGGGGCGAACTCCCTGACAAATCTGACCCTCGATCGGGTCTTAGCTAGTTGCAGTGGAGGTGGCTACCTCACTAACTCAGTTGGCTCTTAGCTAGGCACGGAGGGCACGAGGCACGAGCCTAGGATGGCTTTTGAGTTCACACGGAGGCCCAGCAAGACACAACCCGCCTGGAGCCTCGCAATGCTAAGCCCATTCTTACTGAGCCCTTTATTGGCGCGGGGAAGTCGACCATGCCGCTGCACAGTCCATCTCATCACCAAAGTCTCTGGAGTACGGAGGCGCCAGCTGCAAGATCGTCATCCCCGACCGCCAGACATGGGATCGTCCTGACTGGAGGAACCACATCGATGAGACTGTGACCTGTGCTTGACCATCAATCTCCACCTCTCAGGCTCAAGAAACAGGAGACTCTCTGGAGGCGATAGTCCTGCTTGAACCTTCTAAAGATGATAGACCACTTGTTCTTGCCGAGTCCAACCCTCAGCCTGAGTGCTAGGTAGCTATTACCCCGTAAGGTACGGTACCGAGTCCTTCGTACATTATTGGGCATAGAAGCCGGGGTCGCCCTAGCATACTGTTCTCCTCCCTCTATGAACGAGAACCAGGGCCCTACCTCCCTTGAGCAGGATCTTGCTTCAGTGCGAAAGTAGAGTTCCAGAAGGCTTCTTCAAACGATAATGAGCGATCATGATGGAAACAGTGTAGTTGTCTATTTGCTATCGAGTTCTTCCACGTTGTGGATCGTACGACTACATACCTAAATTGTACGGAAGATCCCTCGGCCCATGATCAACTCCCATCCCGTCATGTAAATCTATTCTCGCTTGCGGGAACGGAAAGAGCAGCAAACGAGCGACTCGCGAACGCATAATCCATGAGTATCCATACTGGGCACGAATAATCATCGTGACACAGTACGTAGGCAGGCATCTTATTCCGTAACATTTACCTTCGCGGACCTCTGGACTCTATCTCTGGAGACTTCGATACGGTAGGTAGGAATCCTCCCATCTTCTCTTCCAGTCCGAGTTCTCTGTGGCCTGGAGCGCTTTGGAATTGGTGAGGAAATCTGAGGGTTCCTCCGTCTCGGAAACCACTAGGTAGCTCTATCACATCAACCACAGCCCCCGCAATTGCTGCAAGCCACAAACGGTAGCTTCGTACCAGGAATTGTTTACAAATGGCAGGAATACTCCCTTTGAGGACACAGTCGCCACTGCGCCATCCGCTATACAAGCCCTCCGTGGACAGAAAAGTGACACATCCGATTATTATTATTTTTTTCGCCAGCCGAATCGGTTACCACTTTTGGGGACGCAGCAGTCAGAACATATCGCCCGACCAATGGCTTTACTCAATCAATACCGCTCTTTTATTGCTCGGCATGTGCGATTGCTGATCTAATGTTATGTGGCTGACGCTTGATGCGCTTATGGCAAGGCCAACTCAACCGTTAAATTTCACCCTTACTCCTAACAAGGTTACAGGTTACAGGTTACATGTTACAGCTTAAAGAAATCACATGGGCGCCAACTAGATACATGCTAAGCACGACCTCAGACTCTCCGCCCTGTTTCCGGCTGCTGAGATTTGATGCGAAAGGCCAAGTTTGTGCTTCATGATTGAGAAAGACATTACCTAATATCCGCGTAGTATTTGCCTCCCAATGCACCCAAGGTACTGGTAACGAAAACGTTCAGGAGTATTCGATGAGTGGCCCAGTTTCGGATTGCAATTTTCTACCACCCGTAGGCTCTGCATGTTTCGGCAGGGACGAATAGTCACTCCAGTCCACTTACAGGTAGCATTTACTTTGTGGTTTTGAGATATCGTTTCTTGTCTGAGATATCTCTTTACCATCTCACGCCATGAAGGTGGGGAAATGCAAAGGTCTTGTGGCCTGACTTTATGGGATTTTTTTTCGGCCCGGACTCTAGGGCTTTGCAAGCTATGAGGTTTCCACTGTCGATCGATCGAGAACCATAGGTGGAAGGACAAGCTTGTTTCATTGAGAATGAAGGCTTCTCATAATTGTTGATGGTAAAAGCGAAACTCCTCCCCAAATCCTTGTCTACGTGGGCGAACGTACAAACTCTCAAAGACTGGCTCAACATCTTTGAAGGACACGGATGAGATTGATGCCCAACAACTTCGGGCCACTTCCAGGAGTGGCCGCTCCCGATTCGTAGACTTCATCTCACAACTTCACAAGCAATTGCCTGTGGGAACCACACTGTATCCACAAGGATAATGTGGTGAACCGTCACAGCGGCATCCTATCAACGCGACTTCACCAGGTCACAGCCAGGGGCCAGTGACTCTTTGTAAGGATCATGGTTGTTGTAGCATATCGGCACTTGAGCTTCGACTAGGAACCTCAACTACGGATAAAGGAGCAGATGATGCTTGGAATACGAAGAGCCAGGATTCTGACCTGAGATTGACATTGTTGGTTAGTGATGGTGCGGATATATCTTGGGTGGAAAATTGCTACATCAAATAATTTTACCTGGGTTCCCCTTCCTGTTGACTGCAGAAAGAGTCACACTCAAACATTCTCTTCTCTGGCTAATGCACGAGTGAGTCTCTCTCAAACATTGATCACCACTATACCTCGTAACATCAAGCGCAAGCTTAAAGGCTCGTATTGGGGGATGACTACTATTTAGTATCCGTAGTTCGATGGGCCAAAATAAGCAATGTTTCCAGACTTCTCTGTGAAGCTTTGGTGCCGACAGGGGCTTGCGTGATAAGTTGTGGTGGCATTGTGGAGCCTGAGTCCTAAGTACTTCGTATAAGAGACCAGTTGGAGCCATCTGAATTGCTTTTGGTCGTCACTTACTCGTCTGGAGCAGGTTATGGAGTTTGGGGGCTTCAAGAATTTTTCCACAAGCAGGCCGGGAGTCGGGAGCCGGGAGTCGCCAGTATGATCGACAGCTATCTTCGATATTTGTGGTGCTGGTCAGGCAATCCTAACCCTGTCATTATTTGGTGGGAAATCAGTCCACCCGTAGATTACCCACAACAAGTCGGATGCTGAAAATATTCCCGAAGTCACCAAGATGCATTCAATCGTCGACGACTACCACCGGGTCTATGTAGGTACCTACTAAGTACCTTTACCCCCTAGACTAGCACTCCTGCTGGCATTGGAAACTCTAGGTACCACGTACCGAGTAACCTTTAAGCTGAGCCTGAGGCCGAAACGCCAAGCCTTTAACTAGAGGTCTGCTGGTACCTAAATTCTGGGGGAGGCAGGCACCTTTTCAGCGCCCTGATCTTGGGAGGCCGCCTCGATAACTCGTTACAGCTCTTCTCATTCTTACGTTCAGAAACGACGGAAGTTCGAAATCCACTTTGCGCTCGTGATATTGGATACCTCTGGTGTCTAAATACACACTTCTTACTTCGTATTTCCTACCATCTGGACCCCGTCTGCCCACTTGTGTCAGTGGGAGTATCCGTTACCGTGCCGTCGGAATTCTCAAGCATCAATTCCGTTGATGGATCGTCTCCATCTTCGTCTCCATCTCCTGAGCCACAGCCGGTAGCCACAGTTCCTGGAATTCCCGAACCTTTTCGTGGCGTGTGTGTTTCATACCTACTCGTAAGTATCATTCTTGCCGATCCACTCATTTCTGCCTGGTCGAATCTTGTCTTCGTCAAGAGGAGACATGGTCCTTCGCGTGGAGTGCATCTTCCGTTCCCAATCGACTCGCCAGGTCATTCCCGTCTGTCAGCAGATTTCTGGAAGAGCTAGTAAAACCTTCCGGTTCCTCCATCAAAGATTCGAACGCCCGGTATCATGGTTCACAGGGATGCTCTACAAACCCTGCAGCAAACGGTCTGGGATGCTCGACTGCCGCTAGAAATAAGACTAGCAGCATCAGAGTGTCGAAGATTCGACATCGCTGACCCTTACTTGGTAAGTCTTCGGCACTTGGAGTTGGGCTGCGATGCGTCAATTCCTCTTCATCGATCGGCCCAGACAGGAAATGATAGGGCTGATACAAACCGTGGTGCCAGGTCGCGTCTCCACGTCTGTCATACTTACCTCTTTTGCTTCCACGACTGCATAAATTTTTCTCGGCGGATCTGATTGCGGATCCTGAAACAGTGTCTCCATATCATGGCTATTTCACATTCGAAGGTGTCCCGCTCAAATGGCACTTACCACTGGGTCTGCTATACGATGTCTATGTTCTATCCACATCAGATGCCGGCCCCGAAGACTCAGATTCGGCCCCTCTTCCCTTCCAGTTGACGTTGCATTTCACACAAGGTTCCTCAGAGAAGCCTAGTCTCCCGGATGCAACTCCCGTTGTGCTTCACGACTCATTTATCAATTCCGTCAAGGAGGCAGACTTCTTACGGTCCGGCACCGCCAAACCTATCATGACGCTGTCAACTCAGGAGAGCAAGGCGTTGTGGAAATCTGCTCAAGAAAACGATTTGATGACTTTTTCGAAAATCCACAATTCCCTGGTGCCTTCATCAGGACAACTCAGAAACATCCCATTACGTGTCTATCTGCCGTCCTCTCCGGGCCATGACCCAAGCAAGGCTCAGATCAAGGTCGTTCAATCTCATGTCTCACCCACTATCAACGCGACGCTCCAAGGTACTCCCGCGACGCTGCGAGCTCCTTCTGCGGGACAGCCTCAAACGTTAGGAAACGCGCTGCATAATGTCTTGCCTAGCATTTTCCCTTCGAGAAGAACGACCATGCTTGGAACTCCCCTCCTGCACGGAGCCCCTGTTCCGATGAATGCCCATCTGGAAGAATTATACCGTTCCGCTTGTTATGCGGATGGGTGGCTTTCTATTGTAGTCGCAATGCGTGGCTAGTCTGACTTAATGGCCCCGACCTGAAGTGTTAATACTCCCGGGTGGACTTGAGCATAGGGTGTGGTCTTCGGCAAAGCTACTCTGGTCAGGGATTCAAGAAAGATGACTGCCATGCCATGCGACTTGGGACGCTTACCGCACCTCACATACCAAAGCGACTAAAAGGGTTACGAAGGCAATCATTTTCCTCATGGCAGTGCTGGAATCATTGGGTACTCCGAGGTGGAGAGTGGTCTATGTTACGTTGGGCGCAGAGCCTGTTCAGACAGCTACGAACATGAGAAGGAATATCTCATTCAGCGGCAAGACCAAAACACATCAGTTCAGCTATTCTCCATTTCTGACCATGACAAACGTTGAAAACATTGGCAGGTCAAAACCCTCTTGCGGCTTTCAGGTTCACGACCCAGCGAACTCGGCGGGCCGACGAGAAGGTCGGATACCCTTGAATCTGCATATTAAGAAGTCATTCTTGCCGACGGCGGCTTGAGGACTGTACTGCCGACTACCTGCTTGTTACATGACAATGGGAAGACTATGGGCGTTACGAGGTTAGATAGGCAGATGGATGACGTAGGAGACGGCCACTCGCGATACCTTCCCGAAATTATTGAGGGGCTGAGCACAAGGCGGCGGCATCCACTTCCCCAAAACAAGGAATCATTCACTTGCTGCCCTGTTCGCTGGCCCAACGTCAGCCCTGCGTAGACGCACAGTTTCATTCAAAGGCATACGCAACAGATAGCCGCCAGAAAAGCATCTGGAATCTGATCTATTCGTACGGTGTCGCGATCCACCAAGATGTCTCCTTGTAGTCTTGTCTAACACACCAACACCCTTCGATGTTGAGGCTGCGTTTACGAACTCTTTTTGCGTGACACCTCATTGGAAATCCCCCACCGACACCATGCCACCTTTCCCTGGCGAGGAGACATTAGCTACAGTGTGAGGATCTTCCTTCTTTCACAGCCTTGTACGGTTTTAACAAACGGCATCTGATCATTCTTAGGTTTGTGGATGTGCACAGCTACTTCGCTGCCCCCAGTCCGCGACCCTTCCTCCATCGCTTCGACAAGTCTTCCTACTTCTATATCTACTATAACTCCACGCGACACACGAGTCGCATTGAGCTAGCTCTTCATCCTGGCACTCCGGATCAGGCAGCATTCAATGGCTTCCTTGACACTGTCAAGATCTCCAATACCCTGCGTTTCCCCACAAAGGTAACGCTGGAGGTTGATGGGACTTCGCAGCCGGATTCCTCTCCGTCATCTGCCCGTGGCAGAGACCCAGATGAATGGCGGCTTGCTAGTGCGGATCCGAGAGACCCCGGTACTACGAAATATAGAATCCACACAATCGAACTTTATTTTTGGATGCAAGAGGATGCCAAGTTGATTTTGGATATCTTTAAGAGGCTCCTGGATCGCCATCAGTTGGACCTTGATGAGGTCGATCAAGAACCAGAGGCTGATCATCATGATATGGTTAGCCCAGTGGTTCAAAATCTGGAAAACGTTGCTATCTCGGATCCCGCGTACCATAAAGCAAAAACCCAACAACCCATTGCAGCTCAGCCTCCGCTGGGACATATACCTCCTCCGCCACCCCCACCGACTCTTCAGGCACCGTCCCTTGCACAGGAACCTGCTGCTATTCCGTCAAAGACCACAGAGGATGCCAGGAACCCAGCCAGGGCTTCACAACCAGACCACAATTATACTCCATTAGCATACAATCCTGCTGCTCCTGCTGCCCCCGAGCCAATCGCTCATCGTGAGGACACCCCGCCTCCGGTGGATGGGGCCGACGGAACTGGACTTTCGGCTGCAGTACATGACAATCCATATATGCATCAGCAGCACCACCAACAGCAGCAGCAATATGGTGTACCACCAGGCGCGCATCCGAACCCTTATGGACATTATGGATCACCTCCTCCCCAGAACCTTGGCCATCCAACTACCAGCCCACCACCTCCATCATTTGGTCCCAATGCTGGCGGAACTCCAATATCATTTGGAAGTCAAGCAGCCACTTCTCCGCGCACTTCAATTGGCACTGGCTTTTCGAACCAACCCCCAAGTGCGACCAGTCCGGATGGCCATCGGCATCCCTCGATTGCCGCCCAGACTTATGCACCCAACAACGGTGATCCGAATGCCCATATCTTCGGTCAGCCACCACCTGTACAGACACCTGGTTCGCAATTCTATCAAAGCATAAGCCAACCTCACAAACCTCTCCAGCACGTCCAACCTCAGTATCCAGACTACTTGGCGGTCGCCGGGCAAGCAACTCAGCCAGCACCCGCGGGTGGTTTCTCGAATTATCAGTATGGTCAAGCTGCCCAGCAACCGCCGCCCGCAACGGCAGGTAATCCTTACGATGTGCATAGTCAGTTCTACCGACCTACCGAGGCTGAGCATAACACGCATCATCATTCTCGACCATCCAAGTCATCGGGCAGTTCTCAGCAGAGGCCAAGTAATGCGGAAAAGATCGAGAAGGGAGTGGGCAGATTTCTGAAAAAGATTGAGAAGAAGATGGGCTGACCAGATGTTTATGTTCGTACGATTTGATGATTTATACCCTTTCCCATGGTGATGTCAGGCTTAGCAAGCGTATTTCAATTGCATTCAAGAGACTACAGCGCTATACAAGCCATGTTGTGCATCTCCTATTTTCCATCCAAGCTATTTTTTCCCGCCGATGTTCAATGATGCGGTTCTTAACACGTTGCTCTGCCAACAAGCGACCAATTGTTGCAAAATACAGCTGACGATGAGACTTCACAGCTCGAATTTTACCGTGGGCACCTCAAAGTCGAGCTTGCGAATCTGACACGCCCTCTGGGACTAGGGCAATCCTGCTCTTGATCTTGCCGGCATGTAGATCAGCCAGGACCTTCGGAAAGTCCTCTAAGCGACCTGTCTCCACCTGTGGCTTGATGATACCTTTCGCAACGAGATCCAGCGACGCCCGTAAATCGACATGAGTCCCTCCATAGCTGCATAGAATGTTCAGCTGTTTGCGGACGGCCTCCACCGAGTGGAAGGATAGGTTAGGGTTGAGCAGGCCAATAAGAACAACGGTTCCTGCAAGACGGACTGTTTCAACGCAAGCGTCAGTTTCTGGGGCTCTATGCAGCCTGGGAAATCTCGAGTAAGGGGACACAGAACTTACCAGCAGAAATCGCCGCTTGGAAGGAATCCGGCGCGCCCACAAAGTCAATCACTGTATCAATCACCAAGTGTTTCTCCCGGACCCATTTCGCCACATCAGTGGTCGAAGCAGGAACGACGTCCTCAGGCTTGACCCCAAACTTCACAGCGTCATCCAGAACCGCTTGCCGTTTGTCTACCACGATCACTCTAGCCCCGATATTCAGCAGGATCTGCAACGCATTGAATCCGAGCCCGCCGAGCCCATACAGAAGAACCGTATCGCTCTTCTGCGCTTGTGCCCGCCCAACAACAGCATGATACGCCGTCATGACGGCATCTGTGGCTACCGCGCCAGCGGCCACACTCACTCCCTCTGGCAGTCGCACCGCCGCTCGCGCCTTAATGGCGATATATGGCGCGAAGGATCCATCGTGCCCGATGCCGTAGCGCTCGCCACGAATACAGATTTGCGCCACATCCTTGGTGCACTCGGGGCAGCTGGCTTCACCACAGCCTGCCACGGCTAGCACCGAGACCATGTCGCCGACTTGGTATTCCGTGACTTCGGACCCGACGACCACGACTTCGCCGCACCCTTCGTGGCCCTATCAATAAGTTTCGAGCATCAGCAAAATCTATGACAACTCCGTTCGTAGGCTGATCATCAGACAGTCTGTTCGACATACCAACGTGTATTTGTCCTGATATCCACTGGGTCTGACCTCCGCGTTGAGAAGACTGACGTCGCTGTGGCATACTACGCGCAGATCTTGTTAGCCCTGATCCAAATGATCCTGTCCGGCCGTCGGAATCGTTTTATGACGATGCATCGATAGCAGAGGGTGGATTACCTCCAGCTGCATGAAGTTTGACCAAAAGACCATCTTTGGCTGGCGAGGGAACGGGCACCTCCACTCGAATCTAGCATTTCCGAAAGAAAACATCAGTCCCACATTCTCTCCTCTCCATATTCTGTCGCGCATGAAACTTTGCTTCCTCCGTCGAGTTCTGCAATATCAAATACGTTCTCAAGACTCACTGGTTCTGTGCTGCCGAAGTGCTTTTGCCATGCGAGCATCGTCTTCGGGAGGCTTGAAGTTGACATTCTCGGAGACTTTGTTTTCATTCAACGGCCCAATGTGCTTGAGGTGTGTTTCGACAGTAATACTCGTCCAGGCCTCGTAGGTAAGAAAATATATGTATTCCCTCGGGAACACGAATCCTGAGTCAGCACTACAGAGTCGGAGGTATGGATTCGTTCTGACCACGAGACGAAAGCGGAGATACAGGGGACAGCGGCGCAGATCTAGGCCTGGACTCTACTTCCTTCGTCGTTGTTGCAGCCTCAAGGTCCACAGATGAACCGGAGAGGAGGATGCGAGAGGACTGTCAGTAATCGTTTCGGAGTTTTTGTCTCTTTGTCGCCCAGTCAGAAGCATGAGCAGACCACGTACAGAACGTCTAATCGACCACACGCCCACCCCACACTGGCGATGTCCTAACAGGGTCCCCAGATGTGCCGTCACCAGAAACTGGGTGAGGAGAGGGTATGTATGTTACCGAGGTCAAAGGACTTGGGGTTGGGAGTCTGGTGACGTAATAATTAAGATGCTCCCACTCAGGAGGGCAGCCTTGTGCACTTCTCAGGAATGGTGGTATGCAAGTTTCTGCCGCACCAACCAACAAGGTCTCACGATTGCTAACTTGTACATATATATGCTGTTTATTCAAACCCTCCTCACAGGCCGTAAGTAAAGGTGTACTTCCGATCAGCATATCTCAGCGACGTTGTTCTCTCTTGCTCGACCTCTTCCGGCGTCATGGCATCTAATTTCTGCCGCCTCCTCCTGTTCACAGCTGCAAGGGTGAATCTGTAAGCGACATAGCCGGCCAATGCGACCGCGATGAATACGAGCGTAGCATAGAATGGTCTGTTGCAGTACGGTCAGTAACCCTGACTACCACGTGAAAATCCATGTGTCACTTACATCAAATATTCTGGCGCATAAGATTTGCGAAATAATTGCGAGCCGATGACTCCAGATAGGTTGCCGAAGCCGTTCACACCGAGGACCAGAGCTCGCTTCCCAGGCTCTGATGCAGAGTTAGTATCGTGAAAGAGGTTGTGGTTGTGCGATCGGATGGTCTTCCTCACCAGGAGTATTGCCGCTCAGCCAGGCGACCGTCAGCGGAGCGGAGACGTAGCTTCCAAAAAGGAGGATGCAAAGTCCTGCATACTTGCCACCGTGTCCCTTGACGGTGACTGTGATGATCAGTCCCACAAGTGCGATGAGAAGACCGCACACAATGTGGTAACCTCTCTCCTTTCTGCCAGAGTAAGAATGGGACATGATGACTAGGGCGCCGAGGTACCTACCTTCGATCGGAGCTCAATGCGAACATATACAGACCAGCAGCACCACAAACATATGGCGGCACAGACATCTATAGAGTCAGCTCTGTGTGACGGCTGTGTCATGGAGTCATCTTACTAGATTTGCTTGAATAGAGGAGTATCCGAGGCCCTTGACGACTAAGGGCAGGAAGACCGAAAAGGCCTGGCCAGGTACACTGGCGAGGATGTTGAAGAAGAGTACATACCATAGCTTCCAATCTTTTGCCGTCTCCACGACATCTCGCTTGGTCAGTCGATCTTCCTCGACACCGCTTTCGCCATACCTGTGCTGGATGTACATAACATTATCAAGTCTTATGCGTTCGGCGGCATAAGCTCGGTCTTCCTTAGTCAAGAACCAAGCGCTGCCAGGACCTTGGGGTAGCCAGAACAACGCAATGATTGCGACGACACAGGTTGCAACCCCCTCGATGATGAACAGGTATTGCCAGTTCTTGAGGCTGCTGTGCTTTATATGGAAGACTCCATATGCTAGCATTTTGTCAGCTAGGAAGGAAAACGTTGCAGTCATAGCTTTGTACCGATTGAGCCGGAGAACGCGCCAGCAATAGCGTATTGGCCGTAGAACAACCCAATGCGCACTGCAAGATCGAATCGTGTGTAGAATGTCGACAGATATGCTACCGCGGTTGGATAAAACCCTGCTTCGAACAACCCGATGAGGAGCCGAGTGGCGATAAGGGCACCTGGAGATCATGAGATTGGAGCAGCATATGCTATGAGCTAAAACTCACTTCGACCTTTGATGAAGGCTTGTGCGATTGTAAGGATCCCCCAACATACCTAGTGAGCGTCAGATACCACCGTCGCGAGATTGAGTAGCTTTGGACTCACCATGATGATGGGTATCCAATATCTGGCACCCATCCACCTTCCAGCAGCTGCTGAGGGAGGCTGAAATAGGACAAAGGTGATGAAGAACAGGCTCACTGCTAAGTTGAGGTCGTCGGGATGAGCTCCAATGTCCTTGGTGAAGCCTGGGACTGTGGTTAGCTTTACTTGGTAACCAACTTCCTGCGGGCTGGGATCACCTTGTGTCTCTGCGTTGCCGACATTGCCTCTGTCGAGTCCATTGAAGAGGTACAATAATGATAGGAATGGGAGCAACCAGACGTCAAGTTTCCGGTTCAAACCTCGGCTCAGCATCTTTTCCTCGCTCGTTAAGGGGATATGTCCAGCTGGAGCATTCTCTTTGCCTTGTGGCTCGGTCTGAAGCATCGAAGAGCCAGACTCGATATGGTCTGGGCTCATCTTTTCCCTGTTGGTAGCCATGACAATCTCTCGGACTGAAATAGGAGGAATCTTCAAGATGTGAGGTTTTTCAATGAGGCCTTTTGAGATCTGGTTGGCAGCCTGGGACCTTCTGAGAAACAACCCGTCTTTTATGTTGATGCCATGGTCTATCTTGGAGAAGCATTCAAGAAATATCACGGGTACTGTAACCGCAGGGCTTCGGCTTGTCGCCCGCATTCAAATGGAGTAGTATCTGACGTCGCTTCGCCAATCCGTACCGAGCTAGACCACAGACTTTGAGATAGCTGATCAAACGGTTCGACTCTCTGGGGGCCGATTGCGGGGTTTCTTTCCCGCCCCTCGGTCCAATTGAGGTGGATCACCACAATTCATGAGCCAAGAAACTGGATCGAAAGTGGTATTAGTGATTCGGGTACCCTACCCGCGACATTTCATGAACGCGTGTTCGTGCATTCGGATCTAGTAACGCAATCACCGAGAGGATGGAAGTGATACGTCTTCATGGGCAGGTAAACTTTCCATCCTGATGAGATAAACGTTCTGCTTGCCCCCAGGCGGCCAGAGAAGTATGAAAGAATATCACGACAATGCATTTCACCCAGGACCAAATGGTCTCCAAAACGATTGATATTGGATATCAAGGCGTTTCCCTTTCGACTGATAATCGAGGCACAGTATTGAACGAATGCCCCCCGAAAATGTTGTGTGGCTAACAATCAAATGAGATTCTCCAAATCAGTACATTCCATCCCAAACATGGCATTGTGGTCGCCGAGCCATATGAGCAGTTCGACGGAACCAGATTCTATGACACGCCATATGTTCGGAATCACCGGGCTCGAATGCTCCGGTCGGTCCAGTCCGGGAGCGCTGGGTTTGGATTGCGCTTCGATACCGAGATGAAGTCGCTCTCAGTCAAAGAACATGGACTTGGACAAGCCATCATTGTCTTACATACCACATCTGGCCTTGAGATCACGACGTCGTTAATAGTACGAGGAGATGGCAAAGTCATCCAATGCTCACAGATCAAGTCCAATATAAGTCAATCCGTTGAGATTTCGTACTCCTTGGATTTTGGTGTCAGCGTCAATCGTGCTTCGTACGGGCAGTTGACTGAAGGTGGTCCCATTCCAATTCCAGCTTCCGAGAATAGGATTCAAGCTGTCGACCGAGGCCGCACGGTAACTGTCTCAAATATCAATTTGGGTGCCTATCTATATGGTCAGCTTGAATGCAATGGAGAAATAGCATTCCTGGGACAACAAATCGAGAATGGGACTTTCTTCCAGTCTCCTGCGAACGGTAGCTTCTCTGGTTCATTTGTCTCCGTACCTGGGTCGGTCACAGAGCTGATGGCTACTTTTGAACTCCGTCCTGGACAATACCCAAGCTCAATCCACGCAAAGCGTGTTATATTGGAAAGGGTTGGTCCTGGTTCCATCTGGACGAGCCCGGAAACACCAGGCCGCTTTATTGTTCGCAGAAATCTTGAGTATATCCTTGGAAATTGTGCCATACAGCTCTCTACCGCGGCGAACGCGGTGTGTATTCTTACAGACCATGTGGCCTTGCCTCTGGGTTGGATGAGGGATAATTAGTGAGTTGCCTGGGCCCCTTTTCACTGAACGAGACTGACTCTGGGCAGTTGGCAGGTTCGTTTCCTCATGGATGTTCATCAAAATTTGGGTGGCTTGAGGGGCATAGATAAGCAGACACCATATCATCAGCTGATCAAAGATACCGCAAAGGGTCATTTGAACTGGATATTCCGTCATGCTCAGCGATCGAAAGGTTTTTGGCATCGGTCATATCTAACAACTGGTGTACCAAAGGATGGACCAGTGTTTCAGTTGGATCAGCAGTGCTACCCGTTGCTAGAGCTTTGTGACTTCTGGCACACTTTCCCAGATGAGAGAGATCATGTCAAAGCGATAATGGATGAGGAGGTGGTTTCTGAAATACTGGACCTGATCGAATCAAAGGAAGACTTTTCGACAGGACTATTTTCGACCGAGGAAACTCCAGGAGACGATGCAGTTGAATTTCCATTCCACTTCTCAAGTCACATCCTGCTGTGGCACACCACCTCCAGGCTGTCTAAAGTCGCGTCACAGCTGCCGGGAGGTTCAGCATTATCAGCCAGATCGAACGCTCTTGCGAAGCGCGTCCACACTTCGACGATGAAATACTTCTTGAATATAGCGCCTGAACGGAACATGTGCTTGTTCTCATACCTAGTCGACGGCAGAGGTGGGAGAACCTTCTATCACGACGCAAATGACATTCCGACACTATTTGCTGCCGAGTGGGGGTTTGTTCAAACAACTCTCGAAAAACAAGCCTGGCACAACACAATGGCATTTGGGTTCTCGTCAGCGAATGAAGGTGGTTACTATCCGGTAGGGCCTTTTGGTGGGCTAGGAAGTGTTCATACTCGTGGGCCATGGACACTTGGGTATTTCCAAAGATGGAGATATGCCCAAATGGTGGGAGATGCTCAAGAGGAATCCGCTGCCTGGCAAAAGATTCTAGGTGTGATGCTCTGGGACGGTACATTCTCCGAAGCTGTCGATGGGCAAACGGGCGAATGCACAAGCAAAGCATGGTTTAGTTGGCCTGGTTCCATGATTGGCGCTGGTCTATTGCAACTAGGGAACAAAGAACGCTATCTTTGAAAGGAAAGATAATTGCAGCAAGGAAGCGCCTCAGTCTGTTGGATGAAAGCTTCTGTGAGTGCGTCTCATTACCTGCAGGGTTACCACAATAACAACAGGGAGCAGGGAGTCAATTAAATATAGAAGGTGCGGGGGAGTAGTTACTCGGTAGTTGCCAGAAGTGTGTTTTAGGGGCAGAAACCATGGATCTTCGGCTGAGCTGCTAAATTGGGCACAAGCTCTGCCTAATCTCCCGCTTAGCTGATTTCCCACTTATCAATTTCACTAACTAGTTACTTACGCGAGCGAGCCTCTCCACGTACCGAACTCCACGCGACTCTTCACATCACAAATTGAAGCTTGCTACAGATATAATCATATATTTCCAGGATTAAGACATGACACTGAGACGCCGGTCGAATGCCGTCTAGTCTCACGCTATCAATGCGGTTTCGTTGGGACTGTAATTTCAGACCATAGAACCTCGCTCTCATTCCACAGCTTGAATGGAGCGACTGCCCGTTAACCCTCGAAGGCACCGCATTGCTCCTGAATCTAGGAAGCGAATAGTACAAGCGTGAGTTTGGATTGTATTGTGTGCCTGGACAGTCGTGACTGATATCTCTATTTCAACTATCAAGTTGTAACAGCTGCAATGTCCGTCGCGCCAAGTGCTCCGGGGGGCAGCCATGCGAGAGATGTAAGAAATCCTCGCGGGAATGTCGATACCCGGTGGCGGAAGAGATGGTGACCATCACGCGAAGGCAAAAGGATGCCCTGACTTCTAGGTGTGCTTTGCTTGAGCGGGCGCTTGCTGAAGCCATCCCGTCCGATCGCGAAAGAACAAAGCTTCTCGACCACTTGACGCTTACTGAAAATCCCCAGGGAAATGCCTTGGAACTCGAGAGCCAGGAGGTCCCTGAGGAGGAGCAGAATCTTCGGGAAGGTCGTATTCTACAGGATCCAGATGGCATCGTACGTTACCTTGGAGAGTCTTCTGGCGCTACATTTCTTAATCATCTACGCGAATACATGGCAACAGTCATTCCCTTGACATTTGAGTCCACCGACTCGGTGTTTCCAACCCTGACACAGCGTTTATATCCGCCCTGGGGCGGTATCAGACGCATGATAGCAGGCCTCTTCTGACCTCGGGAGTCGATCCTCTGCTACTGCCCACGAAAGAAGAGGCAGTCTATATGTTGACTGAGCTCCGCTACTGCGCACAAGATGGCGTTGAGACTTTCCCATCTGGTGGTATCTACTATTGGCTCAACCCAGAAAGTCTAATGTTGGAATATCAAGCTTATCTTGATGCGAATGGTGCACTCGACATCAGCCCGAATATGGTCACCGCAAATGCGGCCTTCGCAGTCGCATGCCAATTCAATCCTCAATGTGCACCACATTGGGAATCTGCATCTGGTCAAACTTTTTTTGCCAGAGCCAAAACCTCGCTCGGAAACCCCCTAGACATGTCTGTTGTCAATGATGCGAATGTACTTGCTCTGCTCAGTTTCTATCTCTTGAATAACAATAGGCGTGATGCTGCTTATATCTATGTCAGCGTTGCCATGCACATTTTGATTGTTCACGGTGTTCACCGAGCTTGGATGGTTGATGAACAAGGCAAGAGGCTCTTCTGGACCGTCTATACTCTCGACAGGTAAAGCGAACCACCCTGATGGACGCACTGAAGACTGACATATGCAGATGGTTGAGCTGTCTCATGGGAAGGCCAGCCCTGATTTCTGATGATGCGATAAAGTTGGATCTTCCTCGGGATGCGAGGTAACAGATTCTTTTCTCAGGCACTAATGTTTTCAGGCTGACTGTGTTACAGTGGTTTGCCACCTGCAGATGGTCTTTGCGCTCACGTGGAACTCGCGAGAATATCTAATTATGTCGTTGCGAATGTTTATGATATCTCACGCCAATGCGATGCACCTGCCAAGACTACTCTGTGCATCCATAAAGCATTAGGATATCTTCGAGTTTGGTGTCAAAGGCTCGAACCAGTCCTGCAGGCTACGGATGAAAATCTGAACCGCGATCGTGGTGTCTGTGAGCTGCATATGGCACATAACCAAGTCAGTGTTCTCATGTCTGTCCCATTTGAAATGCATTTCTGATGAAACCAGTTGGTGATCCTCACTGTTCGACCTCTCTTGTTTATCGCCGTAAAGAAAGAGACAGCCAATGTGCTCCTCAATGGGCGAGCTAAAAACCAGGAAATTTCATACCAGACCGAGCTCGACCTTTGCGCAGAAGTTGCAAAAAGGAATGTACATCTGTGGAATAGCCTCCTAAATTTGCCGAGACCCGCAAGACTATCACATACCAGCATTCATTACTTATTCAACGCTGCTCTGACACTCCAACTCTATCAAATACTTGTGGAAGGCCAAGCAGAGGCCGACTATGAAGAAGTCGGCTTTGTGATCTCTGTCTTGGATGCGGATGAGAGTACAAACAAGGAATATGCGAGAGACTGCTCAACCGTTCTAAGGGATCTTGGGTCGCTGATGGGAAGATTGAGAAGTGTTGATGTGTTCACAGCTGCGCCCGATGGAGAGGTGTCTCGCGGCAAGGCTGTTGCCCTTCATCCATTTACACCAGGCATGTCATCCTCAAGTGAGGATACCGGCACCACAAGTGCTGCTGGTTCTCTCAAGCAGTATGCCCACTCCCATGAGACTATTGATGAACTACGTTCTGCTCAAATAGCAAGCTCAAAGGTCGAATCCAGGGAAAGCGCATATCATGAACTGCTCTCATGGCTCCATACGGATGAGCTGCAGCAAAAGTTCGATTTCCCTCACCGCCTAGGATGATTCCCGACTGGGGCATCAATATTGTGTCGACACAAAAAAGGCTTATTGTGGCAAACCATGCAGGAACAAACGTTCATGCATGCCTGATCTGAGACATATCAGCCATATCATTACTCCACCGTTGTGACCGACCATCAAGGCGTCAGCCGGACCAATTGCTGGCTCCTGACAGAAGCCGACTGAGCAGGTAGTATGGGCCAGATTTGTCCGAACCGAGCTCGGATGAGTTGGATTATTTCTTCACGTGACCTCAGCCAACTTTGCCCAAAACTCATAAGTGAGCACATGCTCTGATTGGCTATCAATCGGATAGTTAAGAGTGGTATGATATAAGCTAAGGTTGTGGTGAAACCAGTCGCTCGTCGTCTATGAGCATATATATCACTAGAGATTCCATGACTTAGGCTATCTCGACACCAAGCACAGACCCAGAAACGTCAACAGAAGGGCTTTCAGCACTTGGACACGAATAGGAACAGAAGCTCTCAACATGGCTGTTCAAACCATGCCAGATGACCCGGTAGAGAGATATGTCCGTGGCATCAACTCGGCAGACCTCCAGCTCGCCCTGGGCGCATTCTCGAGCACTGCAGAACTAATCGACGATGGCAAGACTTTCAAAGACGACGGCATCAAGCAGTTTCTCGAGCATGGAATCATAGCCCATCATGGCAGTGTGAAAGTCATTACACGGGACGTCCTACCTGATGGTAATGTCTACCTTCATGTCATGATGGATGGAGATTTTGCTGAGGAGTTCGGCATCACAGAGCCTTTCTCCCTCTTTCTTGTTTTCAGAATCAGAGAAAATAAGATCCAGCATCTGGATATGGGCGATGTCGATCCTAAGAAAGGATCGATCCGGACGGTATATGCGGCTAGTGCCAATTTGAATGATCCGTTGTCATCGATCCGTATTCGGAAGCGCAACATACTCGAACCAAAAGAAGGATATGTTCGAGTTAAGATGCAGGCCGCTGGTCTCAATTTCCATGATATCTTTACCCTACGCGGGCTGAGCATGCAAAAGATGCAATATCCTATGATCTTGGGCAATGAGGGTGCAGGTGTGCTCGATGATGGAACCGAAGTCGCCCTTTATCCTGGTCTCGGTGATCCAGATTTCAAAGGCGACGAAACAATCGACCCGAGGAGACACGTCCTGGGAGAGATTGAGCAGGGCACATTGGCCGAATATACATGGGTGCCGAAACGCAATGTAATCACTCGGCCCAGTGGCATGGACGCTCAAACGGCGAGCGTGATGGGAATCGCGTGGTTGACAGCATATCGGATGATGTTCGTTAATGCGAAATTGCGCCCAGGGCAGACTGTGCTCGTTCAAGGGTCATCTGGTGGTAAGTTCAGCAAATCCGTTCTCGTGATGTACATACTGATTCTGACCTTCAGGTGTTACCACTGCGTTGATACAACTTGGTTCTGCTGCCGGTCTTCGCATTTGGACAACTGGGCGTACGGAGGCGAAACGAAAGCTTGCCGAATCATTAGGTGCAGACCGGACCTTTGAGCCACTTTCGACATTGCCATGTCTCGTCGATGCCGTCTTTGATGCCTCGGGACCCGCGACCATCAACCACTCAATCCAATCGACGAAGCCTGGAGGAACAGTTGTGCTCTGTGGTATCCATTCCGGAACTGGACCCAGCACGGCCGAGGTCGACTTGTTATCACTCATGGTCAACCAGATCACATTGACCGGTGTCTATATTGGCACGAGGGAGGAGTTCGTAGATCTGCTGAATTTTGTAGACAGTAAGGGGATCAAACCATACATTGGCAAGGTGTTGCCTCTCGAGAAAGCCGACGAAGGGCTCAGGGACATCTATGAGGGAAGAACGCAAGGGAAGATCGTAGTTGCGATATCCTGAGATACTTTTTGAATATTGTATGACTCTTGTCAAACTGTACGTACGATTGACTACCCATGTGAGCATGTATGTAAATGCGGCACGTTGGAGGGTTTTGAAATTTTGAAGCAAGCGTATGCTATAAGCTCAGCGTCCCACTCGCGATTGGGTCGTAAATTCGTGAAGCCTTCAGCCTTGACATAATTGTGCGGCAAGGGGTAGGAGAAACGTACACCGACTTCATGAGACGCGTCAAAGAATATTTAGATGTGGTATCCACATCTGGTGGTGATGTGAGTCATTTATCCCTCATCATATCTGTGCGTGGAAGCGTAGGTTCGTTGGCAGATATCTTTGGTGGTCAGAGCAAATAGGCGGAGATTGGATCAAGCAATCAAGAGGAAAACTTGGGAAGATGCCATCCATGCACTACTGGTACCCTGTTGATGGTGGTTTGATGTTCGGGAAAGCGTCGGCGATGGAGAAAAGATAGGGCCGGCAGTGCCCATGCGCTAAGCCGCGAAAGGACTAACGGGTTCTGTCACCGGATCGAAGGTATTCGTACCTGACCGTCGATGACCTAATGCAGTCCTTATCTTTAATCCATGTCCACCGCGACCGCTTCTCCTAGACTTCATCCTTCTTCCGGTTTACTCCTGTGGATATGAGGTTCCACACTGTCGGGGCTGCATAGACCGATATTTCGTGACATAGAGTCCGTATTTCTCTCATAGGAGAAAAATTTGGGTTTGTTTATGCTAAGTACTTCATGATTCATATCCGTTCGACGTCTTGGACACTAGATACTCTGAACCTTTTCAACTCGAACAAAACGTCATTATAATGTCTCTTTGGACTGGATTTCCAGCGGGCATTGGTCAAGGCCAAATGATACAGCCATACACACAGCCTCGTCGCCCTCTCAAATGCCAGGCGAAGGCTTGCGACTTCGAAAGAAAGCTCGGCCACAAGTTTGTGGTCAATGAAGAGGTATGCAATCAAAATCCCATCACGAACAACCTTATTGACGAAGGTAGCTCCTCCAAAACATAGAAGAAGACAATACAAATGAGGATGCAGTCCTGCTTGACATGCCATATGAGATCCTTCTCACGATCTTCGATAGCTTGGCTCATTCTCCATCTCAGGTTGCACTCGCACTGACTTGCAAGCGCATGGCAATGGTCGCTAGAGATGTCCATCTCCATCTTTCAGCATTCTCTGCCAAATATGCCGGCTTCTTGCCCAAGACAGTCTTCGACGTCCCGGAATTGATGACTCAATTGAAGCCATGGATGCCAGCCGAGCTACGGCTCTGCAACCACTGCCTGACCAATCGTCCGCGTGCCGAAGAATACTGGGCTACTATCATTGGCTGCGAAGTGAGCAATTTCTGGATCCAGAAGACCGGGTGGAATTTCCACAATGCCAGTTGGCATAAACAGGTCCATGATATCTGCCCTGCTTGCCATGCCTCATGTTCCTTGAGCGATTACGTCGAATGTAATGGTTGCCGAGCTCTTGGTAGACTCGGTGATGTCGATTGGACAAGAGTGTCTGGGAACGCTGGTCGCTTTGCAACATGAAACTACCAGCTTTAAGATTTTAAAGGGCAGATCTAGGCCTTCAATCGAAGCCTTTGTTATGATCTCGGTCTAGCGTCCATCAAGACCCATCATTGGGCCGTGGCGATTGACACGACTCACCTTCCATCCAGCCTTGTGCGACTGTTTGTTCGACGGCTTAGAGGGACGTGTTGTTGATTGACCTTTTCAATATCGGTGTACACAAGCTTGCATGAATGTAATTATTTCCGGAGTTCAGTTTTGTGAGACCAGGTGGCAGTCGCGACTGCAGATGTCCGTGCAGCATGGGTCCCACCAACGTCAAAGGGTAGAACACCTTGTATGAGATCTCAGGGATAGCCTCGTGGAGGCGTGTTGCCGCTGGAATGCGCAAATCTGCGCAAATCTGGAGATTTTAAGATGAATTGTTGTTTTCCTCTTCGCGGCCTGCACTTACTACGTTCAACCATGTATTCATCATTTTTTCCTGGGTATATGAGGTTGGTGATGCCCAGGCTGGATACTTGAGGTATTGATTTCTCGGCCAACAGGACAGTGAACCTGGCAGCGGCTACCAGTAGGCTCTTGGGTCTATGGGTCGTGAGACACAACAACGAAGAACACGAATATACAATCTGTTTTATTTCGTGCTCGTTGTGCGAAGGCTGACTTTGTGCTTACTGGAGAGTATCTATCAGAAGGCCTCTCGCTATCTGACCGTTTCCGTCAAGCCACCCAAAAAATTCCCAGCTTCGCTATCCTAGTTAATTCAGATACCTAAGTTAGCTGCCTCTTAGGGTACATCGGTACCTACCGAGCTTCGGCAAACCCTTAGGCGCGGCGGGTAGTTTTCCCGACTCCGACGGAGAATGATTATGCCTCCTCGATTCAGGGTCATGGCTGACACGAGTTTCTGGCCGCTGTCCGCAATCCTCCGTCTCAAATATCAGCAACCTTCCAGGTATTGTTTTAGCATCATTGTGGATTAATGTCTGCCTCCGAAAGTCACCTGAAAAATGCACCAGGCAATATTCATCAACTATAGGAATGGGGTATATCAAAATAACCCAGAGCAACAGCGTCGGATCGTGTCGCACGCTTCGAAACAAAAGCGAACTGGCAAGAAAACCTCCTTGACAAACCCGCATCATATAGTGATCCGTAATGCCTCACTTAATCAGACGAATGATGTACGGCCCAGTGATGGTAAACTCAATGATCAGGATGATCGCACCTTACACGACAACGATGCACCTCTCATGGGCCAGTTGGTGGCTAGCCCGACCTCTGATAATTCTCTTTCCGGCCTCGACCCGTTTGGGGCTTTGCCAATCCGAACAACGACGGCGGGTGTCCATGAAATCTTACAATACTGTATGTCTCAGGCTTGTTATACTCCCACTGCAACTAACTTAGGACGTTTCGTCCTTTTCAAGTACTACATTCATATTCTGCAACGCTCCTACCGTTCAGACGAGTTCAAGGAAGCCTCCAGGCCTCGACAGGAAGTTATTTATCAGCAGCTCTAGCCAACCCCGAATTTTTCAATGCGATAGTTTCTATGACTTCGAGTGCATACGAAGCTCAGACCAGTATGACGTACGCGAAAGAACCATCGGCTCGCGTACTATATTTCCGTGGTCAGGCATTGAAGCTATTGTGGAAGAAGTTAGCAAGTGGAAGCGCCGCAATTGAAGTCGGAACAGTGATGGCGATAATCTTACTGATGGCAATGGACGTTTGTACTCCCAAGTGCCGCTCGGAGTATCATTACTGATTTTTATTGACCAGATTGCATATTTTGAAGCAGGACCCGTGCTAATGCATCGACTTGCTCTGCGCCAGATAATGAAGAACCCACCTGGACCGGAGAGGTAGGCGACCCTCCCTCATTGGGCTCGATGAGCTTATATCCTCGTAGTCAACTTGAACACAGCTGGCGATTACACAACCCCAAAATGCAAAGCACGCTGCGGGATTACTTGTCAGAGTGAGCAATCCTCAATGATGTCCCGGATGAGACTAAACTCAGTGTAGCAAGAAGCCTTCATGGAGTCTTGAGGCCGGGGAAACTTTACTTACACCGTATCCTCTTGATCGCCTCAAGCCTCTAACTTATATGTACCCAAGTGCATATGCAGAACTGAAGATATATGAGAAGCTCCCGAGCGGGTTTCAGGCCTTAGCAAGCCAAGGCGACCTCAGTGTTGAAGTACTTCGAATTGTGCACCGCATTGCTAAGGTTGTCGAAATCCTCGAAAAGACCCGAATGAATAGGAGTTCTGCTGATGAAATGGAATTCGCCGAAACCTACAAACCTGAGCACGAATTCCACGAATGTATTGATTGCATACGGCGCATACCGTCATTGCAGCCAAACTATGCGAACCCCGACACATCCGCGGATGCAACAATCGAGCATGTCATCTGCTTAGCCCTCTTGACCTTCGTTGAATCCATCTTCGGTTGTGTGACGTATGGTCCACTCTTCGGATCTGTACAAGCTCACCTACGCAAGACTTTGCAAACCTGCGAGATAAGCGATCATCACGAAGAGTGCATTACCTGGGCCCAAATGGTAGCCGTCTGGGCTCAAACTCGGATATTAGGGAGTACCACTGGCGTGTCCTTCGGAACCATTTTGACTGGTTATACCCTGAGTCAAGGATGGAGCGAGATACAAGATATTCTCGAGACATTCTTGCTCACCGAAGAGATGGCTATTGCATGTGAGCAAGCATGGGGAAAGATGAACCATGACTGATGTCCGAAGCTCAATTACGCGTGACCTCCCCGCGATCTGGGTAATGTCGTCTATCCAAGTTCTCAGAAGGGGCTCTTGTCAGTCTGAGGTGGTGGCAGACGGACGGCAATGATCTCGCCTTCTCCCTACCATGATTGTCATGCTGAGTTTGCCCGTCTTTCATGTTCCATGCCAAGAACGGGCTCGTTCAGAAGCACACGGATCATGATCAAGTCGAAAGAACGAGAAACATCAGATCAATCTACGCCCTTGACAAATCGTCTTTATCGAATCTCTCAATACCAAGGGATCGTAAGGCTCAAGATGGCGTTAACCTGATCCCCGATCCCTGCAGGTTGGTTGGCAGCATAAACAACACTCACGATACCATCGTTTAGCAGCATTCATCGATCTTTCGTCAATCTAGGCGCATTCCCCCTGGGATTACTTAGCCTTAATACTCTCAGCCGCATTGCCGATCCGGAAAGTTTCTAGCGTAAGGCATCCTGTGGGATCTTGCCGTCCTGACGTGTTCCGCGATACGATTGGTCATGCCAAGCGATTCCCTTCCACTCGAGGTATGTGTTCACCCAACTGGCTTCATGGTTTGTATTGTCACAATACTGTATTCACATTGTTGCAACAGAGCGAGGAGCAAAGCTTTTAGGACCCTATCGGACCAAGCTTAACTAGTCATGTCAATAAATCCCTGTGACAAGCAGATTGGTCATGGTTAATTTCTGCAATATTCGAATTGCCTCGACTCCAGATTCATTATGGCAGTTAGCCCAATATTGCAGCTTCTCCTGTAGGCTACAATCTACCTGAGCCACAGAATGACAAGCACGCCTTCCTACAAGGTATACAATCCTTCAGCAGGGATTTGAATTCAGCTCGAATATCTCTCTGTCGGTGGAGCCAACTGCATCGACAGCCTCAATGTGTCTCGCAGCAGCTGGAGGGTCGAAGTGTTTGGATATAAATTCTGTTGAAAATCTCCATTCACAAGATCCTATGCCTCAAGTATCACCCCAAAAGCAAAAAAAAAATTGATGGCTCGCAACATGCGCACCTTTATGCTGATCGGCACCCTTTATTGGTCTGCAGTCTGTGCAAAACCAGCTCCGCTCGTTTCAGATCTGCACCGGCGACAAAGCAACAATGTAGCCTCCTTGGATTATTTGAATCTCTTTGTAAGTTCGACTGCGCAAAGCTAGTCGGTCCCCAGTGCTGACCACGTCAAGAGTGGCTTCCTCTACACGGTGAATATCAGCATTGGTACACCTCCACAGCAACTGATGGCGGCTCTTGACACTGGCAGCCCTTATCTTATCTTGAGCAATCCAGGATCAGAATTCTGTCAGCAAGTGGGTCAGCCATGCTCAACATTTGGATCTTATGATCCTTCGCTCTCAAGCAGTGCCATCTGGATCTCTGATGATATGGACGTCATATATGAGCTATCAAAGGACTCGGGATCTTGGCTCAACGACTCCCTGACGATTGGAGACCTCACGATTGCGAGCTTCCCCGTGGGGACTGCTAATGGCAGCTCGACCGCTGATCCACAAAATTGGTTCGGTCTCAATGGCCCAGGATCCGAGGGTCCGGCGTCTCAAGCTTCTTCTCTGCAAATCATGGCCCAGGCAGGAGTTCTCGAGTCTGCGTCGGTGGGGATATTCTCTGGTCCACTTAGTGATTCTGTTGGGCAGGTAGTGTTCGGTGGCCTTGATACATCAAAGTGGCAAGGAGATGTTCAGGTGCTGCCCATTGTGAAGAACGATGGAGGTCAAATCCTTGTCAGCTTGACTTCTATCGCGGTAGCAGACAGTAATGTCGCATCACCAGGACTCCCAGTTGATGTCATGATTGATACAGGCAATTTTGATATCAAGCTTCCACAAGACATCGTGGATGGCGTTTGGGCTCAAGTCGATGGCCTCCAAACCTTTAACGTCACAGTCGGAGACACCACCTTGCCGTATGGAGTCTGCGATTGCAACCTGGCACAGAGTTCTAAGACCTTCATCTTCGGCTTCGACGGAATAAGTATCGAGGTTCCGATATCTGACATGGTTGTCTTACCATCTGCACTTCTTCTTCAGAACCTCGGAGTCTCCGACTTCCCTGAAGACACCTGCGTTTTCATGATCAACGGATGGGGACCAACTCCTCCGGTTTATCACTCATATATATTAGGAGATGCTTTCTTGAGAAGTGCATACTTCATCCTTGACTGGGACAGTAACGAAGTCGGGCTTGGTCAGGCGAACAATGCAGACAGTTCGCCAAACATCATACCTATTGCCGCGGGCACATCGGGTCTAAGGGATGCCATTTCAGGAACGTCGAAGGCAATGACTCAACCATCGGCCCAACCGTCGGCATCGAGTTCGGACCCTTCGCCAGCTGCATCTGTTTCAACTGCTCCAAGCACAGAGCCAACCTCTAACTCTGCGTCCTTGATCTTAGTGAGCAATGCGTATTTTGTCAGCGCCATCCTTATGGGTATTCTGGACTTCTTTATGTAGACAAAATATTGTGTTGCAGGAGCATAAGGAAGTGGTTAAAAAATAGGAAACTTAGTTCGTGTCCGAGACAAGCTGGCTTAGGTGGGTAAGAAGCCAAACTGGTTTTTACGTGGACGAGTTATCTAAGTAGGTATCTACCGAGGTACCCAGGTAGTAGGTACCTAAGCAACAAAGAAGTCGTATCACCTGAACTTAACCAAAATATCCAGTTAAAGAGTGTCTCCAGTTTAGGATAAGCCGATCATGCCTAAAGCCTTCTTAGCGCGCCTCTTTGGTGTCAGGCTGCATGACAACTGCTGGTTAATTCCTAACTCATCTTCTCGACCCCCCAACAACATACTTAAAGCCTGATGAAGATTCCATCAAGTGTTCAATCGTGGGATGCCACTTTCGTTGTAGATTTCAGAGAGGCAGACCAGATGGGATGTGTTCAATGCTTTCTGACCATACGCTTGTACTAATTATCATCTCCATGATTCCTGACAAATTCCCCTCTTTCATCTCTAAAGCTAGCTGTGTTCTCAGGCATAGAAACCCGTCCAGACCTTACGGTCATCAGGACCTATATACTGCTTATCGGAGCAGTAAGCTCGTTGATGACGGCAATCACGAGACTACCAGTATCCTTCTCACCCGACTTTGAGCTGGCAGCGTTCGGATTTGGTGGTTCAGTAAATTCATTCTCTGGCGTGGCGATACTGCTGGAGTCGGTGGCACTTGAATCATCGCTGTGCTCAGTCATGGGGTTGCTGAGTTTGCTGTCTTCGATCTCGACTTTAACAGTCACATCTTCAGTGGAGGATTGTTGCGAAGCCTGCTGCAAGCTTTGACGCATCAGCTCCGTGAGAGCACACTTCAAATCCTCTTCTGGAGTTTCGCTAAGCCGAGGCGTACGCCATGCCACAAAGTTATCAGGTCGAACAAGGACGGCTCCGCCTGATTCAACACCCTTGAGCTGGACCCATGAGTCCGAATGGTCGAGATAAAGTCCCTTGGGCTTCGTCACATCACGAGCTCTGATCTGAGCTGTCGCCACCTTGACGTTGGTATCCTGGGCAAGCTTCTCTGCCGCCTCGACCCACTTGTCGCCGTCTTCATCCGTGAGAAGGACAAAGTCTGCACCATCAGACTTGATGAGATCATGGGTTGAGACCATGGACCCATTTTGTACGACCCAGGCATGCGGAAGGCGGTGTCCTGGCCGGGTTGTGGGGTTGTATATTTGGCCTTCGGGATCCGAAAGAGGTGCAGTGGTGCCATCCGAAACCAGAACACCGTCGTTGTAGCTGAACCCAAGTTCAATATCATGGGCACTGTATTCAACATTCTGTGTTCGAAGTACACGTCGAAGGTGATGAAGTGCTGATCGGCCGCGCTCACTGTCTTCGAAAAGCTGCGCGAATCGCTGCTGGTTGAACTCCTTCGCACCTGGGATTGCACCAACCCCTGCGCTAAGCACGTTCATATTGCTGAAACTGAAGAAAGCCCAGTCACTGTTCCGGATGCCAACAGGACGTCTCTCCAACTCGTAAGTATCAAGGAGTGATGCATCGGCCTTATTGTGCAAGACAAAGGCCAGCTTCCACGCGATATTCTTGGCGTCTTCGATGCCGGTGTTCAATCCTAGTCCAGAAGCTGGCGGTCGTCGATGAGCTGCATCACCTGCAATGAAAACCCGACCAACTCGGTATTTGTCTGCGACCACTCGGTCGAGAACCCAGTGGTTGACATGCATGACTTCCATCTCCAAATCAGGAAGCTTGAGTAGCTGACGCACCCGTTCTGGAAGAGCATCTGTCTCAAAGCGTTTGCTGTCATTCATTGGAAAGCCAAAGGTAAGAACCCATTCTTCAGAATTGCGACCCCATGTTGGACCCATCTGGATCAGAGCACCACAGTCGAGGTGTGCCATAGATCCGCCCTCGGGGTTGATAAAGTGTGTAATGAGTGTTCTGTCTGCAGGCTCAAGATTAGCACTACTGAGAAACGGCTTGATGGGAAGATGTTCTTAGGTGCCTTACCATCCCAGTAATCTGACAAGTCAGCTTTGAAATGGGTGCTCACAAAGTCTATAATTGCCGCAGGACCCTCCATGTTGATTCCAAGTTTCTGCGTGGACATTTTGCCGCCATCGCAGGCGACAACATATTGAGCACGATATTTGACAACAGACCCATCGCCCTTGCGGACAGTGACTAGGACAGAACCGTTCACCTCTTCGAAGTCATCAACAGCAGCACTGAAAAAGATTCCGTCGGGGTTACGTTCTTCGGCGATAGAACGAAGGATCGGTTCAAGTCTCAGTAGAGGAATGTTTGATGCAGAGACTGGAGAGTCACGTCTGTGAATGATGTCAGCATACGGAGCAAAGCAAAATTTTCACGCTTTCAGACCAGATCCGAACTCACTTATAGGCTTCTGACATAGAGGAATGAGGACCTCCTCCAGCAGCGTTCATCGTGCTGATCAGCCGGCGGTCGAATGGCCCATCTCCTCCAAGAGTCGTACGCCATTCGACACGACTCATGTTGTGGAGAGGCGCAGACTGAGCCGTGACCGCATCCCACATACCATGCTGGCGGAACGTCTCAAGGGTACGTTGGTTTAGATAGTGGGCTTTTGGGAGGATAGATGTAGAAGGGTGTTTCTCGAAGAGTACATGCTTGACCTTGTAGTCGGACAAGAAGCAAGACAGGTTGAGCCCGACTCCTCCGCCGCCGATGATCACGACAGGAACGTCGATGACTTCAGTGGCCATCTTGGATTTTAATGCTTTATCTTGAAGCTCTATGTATCAATAGCTGATTGGTAGTCTTGTTTATTGCAAAGGTGTCTATGCTGCGTCTTTACATCAAGATAATATAAGACTTCGCCAGGACGATGACCAGTCATTGAAAGGGCGAGTTCTTGGCCGGACTTCATTATTGAAATGGGTCAAATGCATACCGAATGCGAAATCACGCTACGTATGGAATACTGTACACATGTTCTCTAAGGTCACTCCATCATCGACATATTTCTTCAGCGTAGAAATGGTTGATGATACCGGTTGAGCCGCTTAGGCACATGCAAAACGTGGTTCCGGGCAATATTTGTTCGCCGGTGCCCACGAATAATCCTGGCCCGGCGGTTTTCTGATCTCGGGTGAGACACACAACCTCGATGATATTTATTGTCCGATAAAACTGGCTTTGTGAGAACTGCTTTGGGATGCAGTACGCTTTGAGATCAAGGAAACTTGATCTTGGTGACTTAACTCATTGCCATGAATGATCAGCTCACGAAAATCGCAATTGCACAGCAAGGCTACCAAGAAATCTGGTAGCTGATATGCTCCACACTTGTGCCATTCTATGGCCTTGAAAGGGTCTGGACTTGCAAATTTTTCCATCAGACCATGAACGAGAAATCATCATTGTGCCATGAGTTGTGATAGAAAGCCTCTCATATTGATCAATTAGCTCGTGTGCGAACAACGATAGATTGCGTAGCACTATTCGAAGCTCGAAATTTCACATAGCACGGTGGCAGGTTTGCTACGTATAGCGTCATATGCTATAGTGAGTGAGGGGTTTGTGGCTAGGATTCCTCTGAAATGCGTGGTGTCTAGCAATGGGCAGCAGTTTCGTATGATGTGGAAGAGCAAATCATCAACGCCAACCAGCCATCCGTTGAACTAAACTGGTCATTCTAAGACTCTCGCAATGAAAGACATCTACTCCGTGCCATAGCCCTCATCTAGCAGTTCCCGCAAGACTGAACTTTGGGTCAGCCGGTACGCCTCCTGAATATACTGTCTGTCCAACGAAAACCTCTCCGCCATAACATTTGGAACGAATTTCCCTATCAACTTCTCCGGTTGTATGTTGCTCGCATGAATGCGCTTCTGCAAGAACTTGCGGTATGAGTGTACGCCAGATCGCAAGTGTGATGAGTGGAAAGGTACATCGATGCCCTTGAGCGGGATGGTTGCAGTACCACGTTCCAGTTGAAGTGGCTTTGGCAAGGTTCGAACCTTGGCGACGCAATTGGAGATATAGGCTTTGAGCTCTTCCGCTGTCGTGTCATCTGCTCGCAGAGCCTCAGCAACTAAGGGTTGAGTACCGGACGATGTGGCGAGGTGACTCAGAACCGTTGAAAGAACTTGGAGGTTTTTGTCCTGAAGACAGAATGATTAGTGACTGATCAGTCAACATAGTGTGACAAAACGTACAGTGCCGGCACAGACGTATTGCTCGCCTTCCACATTGTAGTTGACTATTTCCAGTAGTTCGTTGCTGGTAGATGAGATGGTGCGGACAACAAAGTTCAAAGCGGTCTCGTTGAAATCTGTGCAAATGTGAGTAGGCAATGGAATGAAGAGATAGGAGCAGTATTATTACCTTTACCCACCCGTTTGGGGTTCGCAGCGACCATGGAGTAGCCAGTACCACCGTCTTCTTCTCTATCCATGGCTAACTGCATACTGAGACCACGGTAGAATACCACGTCCATGAGATCAGTCATGGACAAGAAACCTGAGAATGCTGAGAGGGATCCGTATTCTCCCAGAGAATGGCCCGCATATGTTGCACCGTCTTGAATAAACCCTTTTGCTCGCAGATCTTCAAAGCTGGCTTTCTGCTGCACCAAGATTGCACATTGAGCAAATTGTGTAGAGAAAAGGAGACCTCGAGGCTCAGAAAATGTGAAAGACCGCGTCGTAGAATTCAAGCCTGGCAAGATGGGTTTCGTAGTTGTGTGTCCATCTGGCAGAATAGTCTCAACTTGCATACCCATATAGTTCTCCCGAATCTTGCGGCCTCGCTTGCCTCCAAAATGGATTGTCAAGTTCTTAGGATTATGTCGTATCACGTCAAGTACAGACCATCCTAGCAAATAGGTTAGCATACTCGCTTCCGGTTTCCCATAGATTTTGCTCGACTTACCATAGGAATCCATGAGATATCTATCTGCAGAATCCCACACCGCTTGCGCGGTGGTACTGCTACTGTAGAGATCCATTCCCATGCCTTTCGCTTGACTGCCCTGGCCAGTGAAAATATAAGCCGTTCTACCTTGCTCAACCTCCGCTTCTGCCTCGAGCACGATCTGGTCTGTGCCCTTTTTGTATGCAGTCACTTCAATACACATATTACCCTCCTTCATGCCAACATGCTTAACCTTCACGGTGAGTCTGTCTTTGGGAAGGACCATGCCTGTGAACGTCGCCGAATATCGCCGTAGACGTTCTGAATTTCCATTTGCGGTGAGATTCTCTAGAATGCTAGCAGCAAGAGCAGATGTATACATGCCATGAGTGATGGTACCCGGCAACTCTGCAAATTCCGCGAATAGTGGTGAGACATGAATAGGATTGTAGTCCTTCGAGATTCTGGCGTATTTTTCATTGCTGTTGGGTGTCTGTACTTCAATGATTCTATCATTAGACCATCCGGGGTGTGCAAGGCTGCTTTGTGCACTCGATGAGATCGCCTTGCGAGTCAGGAAGTCCATAACAGGATTTCCCACGCAATCAATACCATGAAAATCCACACTACCGATCTCCACCATTTCGGTCTCGGATCTTCGAGCAATCACCGTACCTGTGACGGCGAGCTTTTCGAATACATTATGTTCCTTCCACGTAACAAGTGATTCCAACTTGAAGAGCAAATTCTGTCCAATAAAGGAGCAGCTCGGCTCGTGCGGATGAAACCAGTCTCGATCGAGAAGGATTGCTTCCTCTTGTCGAGATACAATTTTGACTTCCTGAATTGGCTCCTTTTGCTTGCGGAATGTGGAGGCGAAATCGGTGTATCGTCCCTTGAACAAGAACTTCGACCTCACAGTCATCACGGTCTCGCCTACGCGAATAATTTCTGCTTCAACCTCAACGTACTTGCCAGCATCTTCAATGTACACAGCCTCTACTTTCGACTTGGCAGACACAACATCGCCGATATGAAGTGGTGTTGCTCTGTTGCAGTAGTCAAAGGTATTTGAATGGTGGACAAGACAGAGAAGGTCGCCGTCGATATCTGTGGCCACAAGAGGTCTGGAGATAACATCCCATACCACGACAATACCAAAGCCGATAGGGAAGATCTCGGAATTTCCGCACATCATCGTATCGTTGGCATATGATTGAGCAATCGTGGAAAGGTAGTCTTGATGCATCTCTTTCGTGAGAACCATGTCGTTTCCCCTAAAAGTAGAGGCCGAGGTAGCACTCATGTCAAGGTCTTCATCGAACCACAGTTTGCTGTAAAATGCCTTGATCCGAATGTTTCTGTCCTCCATATTTTCGCTGAAAGTGAATGGACCCGTTGCTGATTGAAGAGAATATTCAAACGGTAGTGCAAGGAAGCCACCGTTATGTGAGCTTGGTAGAACGAGGTCGACTGTCAATCTGAGATTGTCGTGGCAGGAGATCTCAGCTAGCACTTCACCACCAGATCGCCCATCTTTCTCAAGTATAACCTTTCCAGCTTCCCTATCAATTGACAACGAAGTTCCCTCGCGAGGTTCGAGGATTCGATGAAGAGGACTGTTTTTGTGATGTCCGTCCCGAATAACATGATCAGGATGGAATAATGCACGGATTAGTGTTGATGAATCACTGCATCTCCCTGCTAAGAAGGAGGGGGGGAAATAGCTGATGGCATCCATAGAAGGTTGTAGATCGTGCAGAGGCGCTGGACTCTTGCAGGAAAACGGACTATTCTCCATGGACGTGGCCAGACTTGGAGGTGTTGCATTTGTCCAGGAGTCTGGTGTCAGGCTACCACTCTGGCTTGCACTTTCTTGATCAGACAGCATAATGATCGAGGGCGTATAGTTACCATATTGCTCGGATAACAACATATCTATATGAGAGTACGCAATAGTATCGAGGATTTGCTTGGCAGGCTCATCGCATTCTTGAGAAAATTGTGCCGCAACAGGTCCATGTAGGATACAGACTCTGCCTGCATCCATATCAACCACCGCCTCAACATCTTCAGATTGCCATAAGGAGTCTTTCTTGAAGTAGTATTCAAAATTTTCATCTAGTATCGGGATAAAATTGACAGGCTTCTGTCCGCGTGCTTTGCATCGATGGAGGAAGAAGGTGTAGTCTTCAGGGTTCAGAATAGTTGTGGATGCCCTAGGGCATGATAGACGTAATCTGTCCAGAAATTTGAACGGCTCGCGCAGAATCATATCTGACACATCGATATCACTGGCTTGTGTGAGGCGTTGTGTAGCTCGACCAGCAAAATCGTAGACAAAGCTGGCGTATGATGTATGAATCCACCGAGACTGATGTTTAACATACATCAGACTGATCATTCTCTCTAGGACTTCCATGTACGTCATGGCTGATAGGTCTGTGGCCTCTCCATTTGATGTTTGGCCAAACCATGGCTTGGCGAAATCTGCATTGAGCTTTCGGATGATGCTGTCCTTGTTTTTAAGTAATTTTGGAACGCGATCGCTTCGAGGTAGGCTGAATATCGTTCGATCCAGCTCGCTCCATAGCAATACTGCCCTATTGGCAATTTTGTGGATGGGCTGTCCCATCTCCGACTGAACAGTGATGATGCCACCCGCAGGGCCTTTATATGTCTTTTCCCAGTTGGCATCTGAGACGCCTGGGGTTTGACAGATAAGTTCCCGCGTAGCGGCCGACGTATGGGCCTCTCTTGCAACCATCATGCGACTACCAAGCAACACTCCGTCGAATGGCATCATAGCATAACCAAATCGAGATGACCATGCTCCTGTCAGGTATGGAAACGTATCGTCACCGGCTCCAAAACCGCTGCCGGCGACCAAGATGATATTGCTCTGGCTTCGTATTATCCCATAGAGCTTTAGGATAGGTGAATAGAAGTCTTCATAAGAGTGATGACCACCTCCACGACCTCCAGTCCACTGTAGAATGACTGGATAATGAGGATGAGCCTTGGCAATCTCGATTACTTCCTTTATCCCCGCCGCGGAGCCAGGTTTGAATGCAATATGTTTGATGCCAAGGGTCCGAATATAATCTGCGACGATCTCTGCAGATGGAATGCCAGCTCCGATAGTCAGACCATGGACAGCAACTCCTCTTCTGACTAGCTTCTGTAAGGTCGCGAGCTGCCAAGCCATGGTCTGAGGACTCGCATAGATCAGATTACAGGTTATACCCCTGCCTTGGGGGAGAGATTCTGCGAGTTGCTTGATAGCCGATGTCATTGCATCCTGATCGTAGAAGCCGCCGGCTGCTAACTCTGCATGATATCCGGCATTCATGATGGTGGATACAAAGTCCCAGTGGCTTGTTGTTGGCGTCATGCCTGCAACCACCACCGGTGGACAGCCAAGCAGCTGGGTGAGCTTAGTCTGAATAGACCACTTGCCTGCAGGAGAACGAACAAGCCGGGGTTGGAATTTTTGCCCCCAAGAGACGACTGCTGCACACGATCCAAGTAACGTTGGGGAATAGAGGTCAATGGCCGTACCGACTTCTTTTTCGGAAAATCCAAGGCTGGTCATGTCGATAACTCGGACGCCTTCGCCGTCCTTGACTCTCATAACTAAGTCGCTTATACCACCATCAAATGTCAGGATATGTGTGGTGCCTGGGATCTTCAAAGCGGTAGGCCATCGGCATTCCGAACAAGCTACCGCGTCGATCAACGTCTCCAGAAGCTTTGGAATTTCGACACTCCGGAGATCTTGTGCGGTCTTGCTGTGGTAGACAGGCAAAGCTAAATTTGCGTTCCAAGTCAGCTTGCCGGCAAGACGAAGTTTGACCATTTCTGCAGCAGTACTCAAGTAGTTTGTGTGAAACGGCACACTGGTGGGCAAAAACTGGTGCTGGATGACTGGTTTCCGGCTACTGAACGGTGTCCGAGTCTGATCCATTTCATCGTTTGTCTTGAGTGCTCGTAGATGCGAGTTTAAATGAACGAGCGGTTTCACGGGACCGGCCACGACGAAATTATCCCTAGTGTTCTCCAGTGCTAGATATACCTGCTCTTGGCAAGCCAAATTCTTGTTACAATTTGCAAGGACAGTCTCGATACGTGGGCGATCCAAGCCGCGTACACTCAACATGAAAGATGGTTGACCTTCATTATTCTCAAGGCATTCCTTCACAAGAGGTCCAGGCACTGATGAGTGAGGCCTTGCTTGATGGCAGTAGAAGCCCATCCAAAATAAGAGTTCAACTGTGAGTTTCGCAATATGATAGAAGGAATCCCAAGAATCTGCCATAGAGATCGCCGCTGCAATCACTAGACCTTGTGAATGTCCGGTTGTGCCTTTGAAACGCGAACGTAGTTCACCAGGTGTCATTCCGAGTGTTTTGCAGGTAACACAATAATGAGCTAAACTTAGAAGACCCACTAGAGGCATGCTGACTGGTGCTTGTGAGATGAATTCCATGTCGGGTGCACTTCCAAGGTCTTGTAACCAGGTCGTTAGATCGATGGATCGTCCACAATAATGGTCGTCTGTCTCAGGTAAGCGACAAAGCCCAGACAGTAGTGGTGCCACGTGGTCATTGATGAGTTCCGATAAGAAGGGTTTATACGTTGAGTAAAGTCCTGCCAATGACGAAAAGCATTTAGGGTTGTTGGTGCTTTGTCCTCCAAAGACTGCGATCAGTGTTGCCTGATTCTGTTGTGCCAGATGCAGTAAGGCACTGTGTGGGTTCTTTATCGTTTCACATCGGGATAAGGCCATGAAATAAGTGCTGAGAAGCTCTCTATGCACAGCTGAACTAACAGGAAGGGCACAAATCATTGAGTGGGGGTCAGTGGCCTTTAGAAATTCTTCTTCGAATGTCCAGACTAACGACTGAACGATGGATGAGCGAGCATTGTTGTCGATCAGAAATCCGAGAAATCTAAGAACGAGCTCCCCAGCGGTTGTTGGCTCAAGTACAGTTGATATCGATTGATGAGATAGAGCATGGAGAAACAAATCTCTCTGCCATCTAATTTCCCCAATGTATGCCACGTCAATTGACAGTACATGTCTCAAGTCCTTGAATAGCAGCGGTAATTGTACCACGTCCATCGCGGCAAGCACCTTTTTCTGTGGAGAAAGTGGTGGATCTTGGATCTGGATCATCGTATCGGTAGACGAAACATTGATACCAAGCGTCGTGATTCACCACTAAGGAGTTCAGTGGAAGAACTTTGGTAACAAGAAGAGGACGGGGTGGTTTGTCAGAGTACTTTGGTACAAGACAGCTCTTCAGCGAAGTTTTGTACACATGCCAATCAGGAGGGAAGTGCTCAGTCAGTAAGGAATCCGCTATTGCAGGGACAGATATGAGAGCAGTTTTGGCTTATTCTTGGTCGGCACTTTGCGTTGAATCACGAGCCATGCCCCAACACTCAGCATATCGCCGTATCAACGCCGAAATCCCTCTTGTGGCACGGTGCATTTCCATAGCATAGGGGCATACCGCCGAGCCAGCCCATTTGTGGCCCTTTGCCAGTGTACCCTATGCAGGATAGTCACCTTTTCTTGGACGCTCTTCTCGAGCCCAAGACCACCGAGCAGCATTGAGCTCGTGCATGTGCTGGCACGTCCGAGATACAGGTAGTAGTAGACCAGGTTGGGCCTTGAGTAAGCTTTCCCGGGTCCTGTGGAACCATGCTCTAATCTCCAGAGCAGGGCGGTGATTTATGTGAGTATTGCCCCCTTGTTAGTGGGTTTGATCATCATACTGGGGCATCATGACACAGAGCTTCAGACAGCGGTGAACACTCGACGTCGGCACTGTAGATGGCTTAGGGTCAACCCGTTCTCGAATTGGCTTGCTACCACGCAAGAGATGTAAGCTCAAAGGATGGGAAGCTTATTTGTTGAGGTTGGGAACTGGATGCGAATACATTACAAGGCAGTCTCGAAGCAATCTGTGGTTGTTGCCCTTCTAAGTTGCCCAGCAGGGTTAGTGTATATTAACGAGTTTGCAATAGATAGGTATTGAACTACTTTGGCGGCTGTGTGTTTCTACGTACCTGGTACCCCTGTAGGAGGTGGGAAGAGTAGTAGATAGTTCCAAGTAAGAATAGGAAAAGATGGAAATTAGAGCTATTTGGCACCAGGACGACTAAGTTCTTTCTTGGCATACCAGCTATTCACATTTACCTACCTAGCTAGTTAACATTAGGTAGGTAGCTTTCTAGCTACCACAAGCCATCTACTGTTTCATCAACCACATCTCAACATGTTGGCAAATCCAAGGCCACAGAGCAAAATCATGCTCTCAGGTAGACGCTCCTCTTCTTCGGACTTCATACGGAGCAGGACAACACTAGGCACACTGACTGCCCAGTCCAACTGTCAGCCGGGGCATTTCTAGGGGCCACCACGGCTAAACTTGCTCAGAATCTAACTAAGTCCCCGAGCACCATCGCCGACGAAAAAATGCTCACATCGCGCTCGGCGCCAGCCTTGCTTGATGTTGTCAGTCGGGCGATTGAGCTCAAATCAATGTGAGAAGGCGCTCTAAGCTGCCTCAATCGGCCCTGACCCATATGAAAGAAACATCAGTGCCACAAGCATCGAAAAACTAAAATTGCCGTGATTTATGTTCAAATCTCCTGAGTGCAGACCACGCTATGTTGAAGTGCTTTCTGCTAGTGATTCTGGGATTCTTGTTAAAGAACCAACGAGGACCAGCCAAGAAATCTGAGCGGTGAAACGCCAAAGGTATCTATCATGGCTCAAGTCATTGGTGTTAGAGCCACCACAGATCTTGATCTCCATGCGACCAAGAGAGAAAATCAGGCTTTAGCCTGCAAGATTTTGATTGAGCTTCTCTCGTGGGTTTCAGTATGTCCATTCATATAACGTCTCTGACGGAACTGCTTCTCTAGGTATCAGTTTGCTTCTCCAGTCCGTTGGTACGTGTGTCTCCTTGCTCTCATAAATGTTTGATGATAACTTTAGCAAAGGATCGAAACCCAGAAGGAGTTCCTACGTGAACGCAATGGCATCGAACGTTATATCGAGATTGGCCCGGCTAAAATCCTGGCTACCATGATTGAAAAGAGTGCTTCAAAATGCTACGCGCCCCATACAAGATCTCGGTGGTCTCATTTCAAGTTTCTATCCTCTGCAGAAAATAAAAATGACGTGTACTACGAGTATCAAGAACGGGTAGAAGATACCATTGCAGCAAATTCTGCCAATGAAACCATCGATAAAGACACAGTCAACGTTACCCTCAAGGTAGAGGTCAAGACCTCCCCCACAAAAGTTGCTGAGGCCCATCTCGGCGAAATTTCCTCCGTAGCTGGGTCAATAGCTGTGGCAGATGCTTCACTAACTGCGGCACACGTGGTGCTTGCAATAACAGCACAGAAGTTGAAACGTGCATTTGACCAAGTCTCATCACAAAAGACAATTCGAGAGTTATCAGGAGGTGCGTCCGAACAAAAATTGTGGCCATTAGTATCAAATTAACAAGTCAAACTTAGGCAAATCAACTCTCCAGAATGAGCTCATTGGCGATCTAGGCGCAGAATTCGGCAATATTCCAGACGGCTCAGAAGACCTGACCTTGGAATCTCTTGGTGATGCACTCCAATCTACTTTCTCGGGAAAGCCTGGAAAACAACTCTCGGCCCTTGTCTCTAAGTTTATATCTGGGAGGATGCCTGCTGGCTTCACACAAGCTGCCATGTTGGCACATTTGCAAGACACTTGGGGACTCAGCAAGACTCACGCGCTCATTCCCATGGTCTTGAGTGTTACAGCAGAACCACCAAGTCGCCTGCCTGATATTGCTTCTGCAAAAGAATTTTTAGATTCTCAAACTCTCCGTTGGGCGGCCTTTTCAGGCATATCGATCTCCCCATTGAGTGCAGCTGTGTCTGTTCAGGTTCCTGTCACCATCGATTCAGCAGGTCTTGACCTCGTACGTAACGAACAGAAAGATTACCATCTCAAACAATACAAACTTTTGGCGAAGTTCTTGCAGATCAATCCTGATTTGGAGCATGAGAAAATACAAGAGCTGTTGGCTTCGGAGAAAGTACTCAAAGAGCGTTTGGACCAGTGGACGAACGAATTCGATGATCAATTCTTTGACGGTATCCAGCCTCTTTTCGATAGCCGCAGGATCCGGACTTATGATTCGTGGTGGAATTGGGCACGGGAAGACTTACTCAGGTTACTGAGTGATTCTTCTCTGAAACAGACCGATATACAGAGTCTTATTCACCTCGAAAGCGTTCAAGTACTGCTGAGTAGATTTGAGCCTAGTTGCTTGGACATCCTTCAGCATACGTGTGGTCCCCTCAATCTACATGGGCCTCGCCGAATCGCGAAGGAGATCGCTAGGCTTGGTCTCCGAGCAATGGAATTAGAACCTGTCTTCAAATACAACCAGCAAGCTATGGCTCCTAAGACACTCATAAGCAAGACAGGTGAGGTTGAATACCGCGAGATACCACGAGAGATCGCCAACTACAGTGCTTTGGTGGAACATGGGCGCCTGACACCAGATGGGGAGCACATACCATTCGTCCATCTGCGCAGTCGTCATCTTGAGCAGGGTTGGAAGTACAATCCCGAATCTACCAATATCTTGCTGTCGGCCTTACGTACCGGTACAACTTCAGGTATCACTTTTGCTGGCAAGACAGTCTTGGTCATTGGTGCAGGGCCAAATTCAATCGGTGCAGAAGTTGTCCAAGGGCTCCTGTGTGGCGGTGCTCAAGTCATCGTGACCACGAGCCGCGCTGTCTCAAATTCAGCGAAGTACTACCAAGATGTCTATCGCAAACATGGTGCCCGAGGATCTACTTTGTCAATCTTTCCGTTCAATCAAGCCAGCAAGAAAGACTGTGAAGCCTTGATTGACCATATCTACAGTTCTGATTCAAGAAATGCAGAAAATCTCGATTTTATCATCCCATTCGCTGCAATCCCAGAAAGTGGTGCAATTGACGCCCTGGACAGTAAATCAGAGCTTGCACATCGTGCGATGCTTACCAATGTGCTTCGAGTTCTTGGCCATCTGTGCAAGCAGAAGGAAGCACGTTCACTCGATACTCAGCCAACCACTGTGATCTTGCCACTCTCCCCGAATCATGGAACCTTTGGAGGGGACGGCATGTATGCTGAGTCCAAATTGGGGCTGGAAACGTTGTTCAACCGCTTTTATTCGGAGAATTGGTCAACGTACCTCAATATCTGTGGTACTGTTATTGGCTGGACTAGGGGCACAGGCTTGATGTCCAATAACAACATTGTTGCCGATGCCATTGAAAGTCATGGTGTGATCACATTTTCGCAGGCGGAGATGGCTTTCAATATTCTCGCATTGATGACTCCAGGTATCGCGACACTCTGTGAAGATCATCCTGTCTACGCCGATCTCAATGGTGGCTTACAATTTGTGAAGACCCTCAAGCAAGATATCGTTGTCGCCAGAAAAACCATATCTGACAACAGCCAACTCCAAAAGGCATTGCTTGCTGAGCGCCACCGACACCAGATGATTCTGATAGGCTCTGAACAGTACATAGCCGAACCCGCCACCCATGATCGCGCTACTAAACTCGCAAATATTAGCGTCGGCTTTCCCAATCTCCTTGATTATCGAGATCTGACTAGAGACGTCCAAAATCTCAATGGCATGCTTGATCTCTCGAGAGTTGTCGTTGTCGTTGGTTTTTCAGAGCTCGGCCCTTGGGGCAGCGCTAGAACTCGGTGGGAGATGGAACATCAGACCGAACTTTCGTTGGAAGGTTATGTCGAACTTGCTTGGATTATGGGCCTGATCGTGCATAAGGACGGCGACCTGAAGGGCCAACCTTACACTGGCTGGGTTGACAAGCAAAGCCAGGAGCCAGTGAAAGATGTTGATATCAAGGCAAGATATCACGACGATATCATGAATCATACAGGACTTCGGTTCATCGAGTCCGATGCCTTGGGAGGTTACGACCCGTCCAAGAAGGAGTTTCTCCATGAGGTTGTTGTTGATGATGACCTTCCGCCCTTCGAAGCATCCAAAGCTACAGCTGAAGCTTTTAAGCTCAGATTTCAAGATAAAGTTCGAATCGAATCCATTCCTGGAACTGATGATTACAGAGTGCAAGTTAAGAAAAGTGCACATTTCCTCGTCCCGAAAGCAACTCCATTTGATCGTGAGATCGCTGGACAACTGCCGAAGGGTTGGGATGCAAAGGCCTATGGTATACCTGAAGATATCATCCAACAGACAGATCCAACTACGCTTTATGCTCTCTGTTGTGTCTCTGAAGCTCTGCTGTCTGCTGGTATCCAGGATCCTTACGAGTTTTACAAGTATATTCATGTCTCCGAACTGGCTAATTGTATTGGCACTGGTGCTGGGCCACTACTGGCAATGAGAGGAGTATATCGAGACAGATATCTCGATCGGCCTGTTCAAAGCGACATTCTCCAGGAATCCTTCTTGAACACAATTGGGGCTTGGATCAACATGCTCATCCTATCTTCCACTGGCCCGATCAAGTCACCCGTCGGAGCCTGCGCTACCGCCATTGAATCACTCGATATTGGATGCGAAGCTATTCAAGGAGGTAAGTGCAAAGTGGCGCTCGTTGGTGGATGCGACGACTTTCAGGAGGAGATGTCTTTCGAGTTTGCCAAGATGAAAGCCACTGCCAGCAGCAACGATGAGTTCGAGCGCGGTCGAACGCCAAAGGAGATGTCTAGACCAAGTGCTGCCTCTCGCGGCGGCTTTGTCGAGTCAGCGGGATGCGGAGTGCAAATATTGATGAGCGCAGAGCAGGCCCTTAGAATGGGGCTTCCAATCTACGCAGTTGTGGCATATACACAGATGGCTGGCGACAAAATCGGGCGTTCTGTTCCTGCCCCCGGAAAAGGAATCTTGACTGCTGCCAGGGAGGTGTCGAGTCATGGGGAGTCGCACTTACTTGATCTGGATTTTCGCCGACAGCAACTTGAGCAGAGCTTCGAGCTCATCAAGGTTTGGAGAGACTCTCAGATCGAAAAAGCTAAAGGCCTTCCAGATTGGTCTGAACAAATGGTACAGGAAATCGAGACGGCCGCCGCCACCAAGGCCAGATCCGCCAAACGAACATGGGGGAATGACATTCGCCTGCAAGATCCTAAAATAGCGCCGATCAAAGCCGCCTTAGCTACATGGGGTCTAGGCATCAACGATATTGCCGTTGCGTCCATGCATGGCACATCCACCAAAGCAAATGACACGAACGAGGCCGATGTCATTAGCACTCAGCTCGCACATCTTGGACGTACGAAAGGCAATCCAATACTCGCTGTTTGTCAAAAATCACTGACAGGACATCCGAAAGGAGCAGCTGGTGCGTGGCAATTGAATGGCTGCATGCAAATGCTACAGACAGGAATCGTCCCCGGAAACAGAAACCTTGATAATGTTGAACGCAACTTGCGACAGTACGAACATATTGTGTATCCCATGGAATCAATTCGGCCAAGAGATGTCAAAGCTACCATGCTCACTTCCTTCGGTTTTGGTCAGAAAAGCGGCCTTGCAATTTGCGTTGCACCAAAGTATATTTTCTCAGCTATTGATAAAGAGTCATACGATAACTACAGATCTCTGGTCACCCTGCGGCAGCGCTCTGGCAATGTCGCTTTCCAGAAAGCGTTGATGACGAATTCCATCTTCAAGGCCAAAGAGCGCTCGCCGTGGGAGACTTCAGAAGGGACACTCAAGGAAGTGCTTTTGAATCCCAAGGCACGCGTCTCGAGCGATGCAGCCTCAGAGACCTTAGCATTCCATCGCTCGGAGACAACCTCTCATGGTTCCTCTCGAGCAGGAACTCCTCGTGACGAAGTAGAGCAGGAGATGCTGCTATTCAACTCAGTGCGTTCAATGTTGGGCACATCAGCCCTGTCGGATCAAACATCGGTCGGCATTGACGTTGAAAACATTTGCGATGTGCCTGTCGACAACGAGAACTTCATCAACCGCAATTACACCGCCATGGAACGTCAAAGTTGCCATTCAAAGCCGGATTCCAAGGCCTCATTCGCAGGGGTTTGGTGTGCCAAAGAGGCGGTCTTCAAAAGTCTTCAAATTCCTTCCCTCGGTGCTGGGGCTGCCATGGACGAGATTGAGATTTTACGTGATGAAAACGGGGTTCCGAAAGTCGAAGTAAGTCCATGATCATGACCTAACGTGATTTCGACTAACAACAGACTTCTACAGCTTCATGGAAGAATTAAGCAGGTGGCAGATGCAAAAGGTATATCGAAAATACACGTCAGCATCACCCATTCTGGGGGCACGGCAACTGCGATTGCACTTGCATCGTCATCTCCCTGATTGAGGTGCCGATATATTTCTTTTCCAGGAAGGGAGGTGGCCATAGCGAAATGGTTCGGGCTAGCATTGATTGCACTTCGAGAACAGCTCACAGCGTTTCCTTTGTTCAGCTGCCATGTATGGAGATGTGCTTTCGATCCAACTTCCTGTCCATCCTACGAAACAATTGAACTGGGCTAGGACGAGGCGCCACTAATTGTAGGGGTTTCCAGGCACTTACGCAGTTAGGATAGTCCATATAAATTCCACCCCAAACAAAGATCCATAGGCGGAGCCTACGCCTGGACTCGGAATCCAAAAACCATTTAACGGTCTTTAAAATCAGCCTGTTAGGCACCTGTGAAGTTAAAAGTTCTACAATGTTTAGGGCCTATTTTCAACCTCACTCTTCACCAGATCAATGGTACTCTAGTTAGGTAGTACCATGGTTAAATTCTCAATCTGCCTTCTTCCCCTTTGCCTTAGGTACGTATCAAAGTTCATTCATGCCCAAAACTTTCCACACCCCCCTAAGTTTAGTTGGCTGTCCAATTCGTGGCTACCGGCCACCAAGTGCCACGCAAAGTAAAACCCGCCGAAACGACAACCCGCCGCGTTTTCAGCCTTTATTCTAGGCGTAAATTAAATGTTTGGCATTCCCTCGACTGTTTGCCGCCTTCCAGAGAATCTACTCGGCATTCAGCCTTGCTACGCAAAATGTCTCGAGATCTCAAAGATACGAAAGGTTGTTGTAGCTGTAGTTACAAGGCTCCCAAAGGATGAGCATGAATGCCTGTTGAGAATAGAGGGAAAGTTGTCTCAATTGCTTAAGGAAACAGGAAGCAATAAGGACAGTTTTGTTCATGCATCCATTCCGTTGTTTGAATATTGATTTTACTAGAATGCCCATGTCAGGCACAAACGCAGGTATATCGATTTCTTCTTAGGAGCACAAAAAGCTCAAGTACCTAAATCTACTAAGTTGGCAAAGCTCTATCCTATGCAAGTCTCTCACTATCTGGGTGAGTATCAATGGTACAATCTATCCGGTGCGCCAGAAATCAGACCTGTTATTTTTCGTCCTGATTTTCGGCTTCTTTCTCAGCGACTGGCTCCGTCCAATACTCGGCTTTAAGCTTCGAACCTCTTTGTGCATTTCCCTTCTTCTCTGATGTCACATCGGCGTTTCGATCGTGAACTGCAGATCTCATGACCTGCTCATTTAACCTTGTAACCTCGATATCTTTTGCTGATTTCTTATCGGCTTCTTCTTTAATATTTCTCCATTCCATGATCAAGGCAGGTAGTAGTGTCGCAGCGCTTAACGCAACGGATACAAAGATGCATTGAGTCACACTCTTGTTGAACGCTGACTGAACCTGCGGGATGTAGATTTGCGGAACAACGTCTTTCAGTTCAAGAACACCCGTTGCATCTATGTTTGTGCCATTCATCCCTGGAATTGCGGAGAGCTTCTTCTGTAGCACACTCTCAAATATAGCTTGTGCAACGGGGACGAAAATGGCGCCACCAAGGTTCTGTCCGAAGAAATTGAGTGCCATGCCTGTGCTAATGTCGCTCCTGTCTAGTACAGTTTGGGCCGCCATGTTGGTCGTTTGCATGGCCATGCCTGTGCCAAAACCATACAAAGCCTGATAGCCTATCCAACTAGAGCTGCTAGTGGTAGTCCTCAACTCTGTCAGCAGTGCGGCTCCCACTGTGGTCAACACTGGAGAGAAGAGGATGGGTGGCATGTAGTAGCCCACACGTTGAGTAAAGCCACCCGCAATGATACTCATTACCACTAGACTGATGACTAGTGGCAACAAGCTCACCCCGGCGTGCGTAGGGGTGTCAAATCTGACGGCCTCAAACCAGATGGGTAGAAAATATACGATCGTAAAGAGACTACCGTTCAGTAAAAACAAAAACATGACACCACCGAGGACCGATCGTTGTGTAGCGATGCGCATGGGAATGGTGGCGGTGCGAGGTTGAAAGACTTGGAGTACCCAAAATGCCACAAAGAGGACTCCGCTGGTCACTAGAAGCCCAATAATCTTCGGGTTTGACCAAGGATAGCGTGAACCACCCCATTGGAGTCCTAGCACCAAGCATACGATACTGGGTACGAAGATGACTGTCCCGACGGGGTCAAGTCGAATGATGTGCTGAAAAACAGTGAGTCTCTCTCTAGACTGTCGTTCGACCTGAAGGAAGAATACGATTGCTAGGACCGTGACTGCCCCAATCGGGAGGTTGATGTAAAAACACCACCTCCAGGTGATGGTGGTGAGCACTCCTAGAGATCATTACGTGGTAAGTAATTGAGTTTCAGGTCGTGGAAGGAACAGCTCGCCTTACCACCGAGCAGTGGACCGAGCACAGAGGCGATGCCAAATACTGCGCCGAACAAGCCGTAGAAGATCGGGCGCTTGCGAAGTGGGATCAGCGGAACGATCACCATCATTCCACCGGTAAAGATACCCGACGATCCAAGCCCAGCGATGGCGCGCCCAATGATCAGTGCAGCAGATGTAGGAGCGGCACCACAGATAGCTGATCCTACTTCGAAGATAACCACTGATCCTAGAAACGCTGTCTTGATGGGATAATGTTTATAAATTTTGCCAAACATCAGGCTAAAGGCAGCCCCCGTCATCATGTAGGCACTGCCGTACCAACCAATATCGTCCACGGAGTCGAATGTATCAGTGATCTCAGGTATTGCCACGGAAATAATCGTACGGTCCTTTAGAGCGACCACGATGTTAGTTATACTCCATAATCTGTAGCACAATAAGATTGAACTCACCAAGGCTACGAGGAAGACTGCGAGGTACAGGCCTAGCATAACTAGATTGAACTTGACCGTCTTCGGTTGATAGTTGGCTTCAGAATCGGCATCCAGAGCTGCGAATGCTCTCGTTCCTGCTTCATCATGTAAAGGGGGAAAGTCGACTTTCGCGCGGTCCTGTCGCGGCAGCGAACCTGTACTTGTTTCTGAAGTTGGTGTGGCAGGGGAGTTTCCCTGGGAAGCATTTTCATATGCCATTGCGTAAAGCTGATTCGGATTCGACATGGCCACTAACACTATTACTAGGCTTGTCTTGTGTGACTATAATGAAGAGGAAATGGGAAAACTTGGTGGGAAGATGTCGAGCTCTCAAGTAGGTACGTTGCTTAAATCGTGAAGCTTTCTGTGCATTGGGTAGTTCAGGCGACGGACAGGCGAATGTGCCACAGTATCGATAGAAGCATGTATTCTCAATACTCATCCGGCAGCATGATGGCATGCAGAAACGTAACCATTCCTTCTTGGACGTGCTTCGTACCCACCTAGGTACTATCCTGGGAAATCCACGCCGACGATGGTATGAATTAGCATTGCGTCGGCCATGCGCCATGAAATTAATTGAAGCCCGAAACGGAGACGAGGAGTATTGATTAGGATCCTCCTGCAAGTGCTTTTAGGGTCCCAGATGTATCACATGTGAAAAACCAACGATTGCCAATGGGAGGTAGCGATGCGTGCACAGATTGACCGGGTAAATCGCGTCGTTGATGTCAAGGAACAAGCATTCGCACAAGCCCCCTTTAGGAGGCTTAATCGACCTTGGCTCGGTCGGCTGCTTACGAGCGAACCCCGCTGTGGACCGTCCTCGCGGTCTCGCCCGACACCATGAACGGGTGATCGCTGTGCGGGCTCATCAAGGTAAGTGGGCTGAATGCCCCTCGGCTCGGGGTTGGATGTCGAGACACTTCGGCGATCAAAAACCCCTGGTTAGTCAAAGAGTTGGCCAGCACTGATCAGGCCTCGCTCATGCAGCTGGTCACTAGCATCGGCGCATTCTTTGAAACAGGTGGGACCTCTACTTACTCGTATTGAAATGATGCTGCCTGCAGGTTGTCTGCATGTCAGGGTCCCAACCCTGGTTTCTTTCGCGCGAGACTCAACGGCTTTTGGCTTTGAGCCGACCACTGGTGACACAGACTATTGCCAAACATCTAGCATATGAACAACACCTTGCCATGAACCATTATTATTGAGGCAGGGAACATTACTCAATACTTCAGACGGCCACCAACAAGTCCGAGAGCTTTCTTTGCACAAATCCAACAATTTTATCCTACTTGCACCTCTACTTGAATCAATTACCTTCATAGCTGAAAAGTCCCAAAGATACCTCTCGCTTAACATCTCGGACTTGCACGTTAAAGCGTGCATAACCTATACGACACCGAAAGACCCTCGGATCATATCGACAATGGCAAAGGGTATTGCAAGAATCGCCGTGGTCGTATGCTCCAACAGGAAGCCTCGTGCCAATCCGCAGATTGCCAATTTCGTCCTAGAGACGATCGAGTCAACATTTCAAGATAGATGGGATCTCACACCAGAGCTGAAGGTCATTGACTTGGGTGAGAAGAATCTCCCCTTCTTCGACGAACCTGGTGTTCCATCACAAATCCACGATTATACCAAATATGCTCACGAACACACCCGCGCATGGAGTCAAGAAGTACAGAGTTACGACGCTTTCATCTTCGTCACACCCCAATACAACTGGGGCTATCCAGCCGTCCTCAAGAACGCTATTGATTATCTTTATAACGAGTGGAAGGGCAAGGCAGCGATGATAGTTAGCTATGGTGGTCATGGTGGCGGCAGAGCTGGTGTGCAATTGAGACAAGTTCTCTGCGGCGTCCACATGGTACCCACCAAAAAGCCCGTTGAGCTTGCTTTCCCAAATCGAAAGATCCTACTCGAAGCCGCTACTGGCAAAGACCTTGGCCTAGATGGCTTCTCTGACAAAGGTGTGTGGAGTGGCGCAACCAGAAAGCAGATCGCTGAGACATTTGCGGAGATGATGGATATCTTGTGCAGCAATGTAGGTCTATGAGCATCATTGATATCTGCCGCTTGCTAATGAATATTTCAGAAACTCAAAAAAGGTCTCAAGTCAGCTGCCGTTACGTTTGGCTTCGCGAAGGAAGAAATCCGCAGGAAATTCAAGAAATCATCTGTCGACCATTCAAATGGCACAGAAGAATCAAAGCGGGAATAGTGCGGCTCATTCCAGGGCTCTGTCGCTACATATAGCTTTCAAAGGTTCTCAAAAGGCTCGATGGCGGCAATCCATTAGTATGAAGCCTGGGGCTGTATGGCTTGACATTGGCGTTGTCGGGGCGTTACAAGTATTCTAGAGTAAAGCAACAGCATCGTTTGAGATAGTCGCTATCATCTGGGTTGAGTAGTATGCTATCTCCGCTTACAAAATGGAACATGTCTCGTAGATCAATGCTTTTTTTTTCGACGAACGGCCCTGCAGCGAAGCCGGAATGCTAGATCTTACGCTTGGCACCTGGGGAACAGATTAGAACTAATGTACAGAACTGTTGCTGTACTCAACTACGATCAATGGGAACGAGTGCTTGGTTGAGGGTTTCGACTCGCTACTAGCCCCAAGCGCCCATGAAACTCAACTGTCACATCGTATTGTTTTGTTGGCTCATCGAGGCTGCGAGCCTCTAACTTGGTACCTAATTACTTCGTAATTGAGTTACCCCCGTCGCTGCATTCAGACTCCTTAGAAGACCCCCTCGCCGACCGCTGTGGCTTTGGCCCGGGCGTAGAGCTCTGAGCTTTCACATGCCAGACCTGTGAACTCATTTCTCTTCCGTTTTACGCTTTAGAGCCTCCCTATTGGCTTTGCTAGAATCATGCAGGGAAACTGCAGAGCGTCCTCAGAGCGTTATTATCTTCCGCCAGTGTGGGGATCCCAGCATGGCAGCCGAGTCATGCAAAGATTGCAGCATTGCAAATCGCCAGAAAAATCCACCGACCTTAAGTCTTGATGTAGGCAAGCCTCCACCCTTTCACTTGCGGCGCGTGATAGTACTTCTCATCAACAACGCAGCCGAAATCCGTTATACGTCATTCTTGAGATCTGGAAAGTGACCGACAGAAATGCCTAGCCGTTCCACTTATGGAAGGATCATAATCTGTCGTAGATGATCACTCTCATTGAGAGATCTTTAACTCTAGGCAAACCGAGATGATCATACAACAACCATATCGACTTACAGGCAGTCTTGATCATGAGGCCATGAAAATACCATTGACTCGATGAAATTTGCTCAAGAGGATTGTGCTACATCCAGCTATCATGTCCTACCAGATTCAATATGAAGATAGTTGCCAAGCACCAATCCTGAGTGGCTCGTCGGCGTCGACCACAACCACCCCAACACAGGCGACATCAACGTCCACGTCATCAAGTTTGTTGTCAGCCGTTGTGCCAGCATTCACAGTTGCACCTGTGCCGTCGTTACCACCTGGACATCATGCCGAGCAGTCCAGTCCACCCTACCTGCCTCAAACAGCAATCTTAGGAGAGATACCATCGAAGTCAGTGGATATTCCAATAACGACAGTGTTTCTGATCCTCTTCATCGTGGGTGCTGCGAGCAACATGATAATTTTCAGGCAAAACAAAGCTAAAGGGCATCTATTCATACCCTCATTACTTTTGTATGTGTTCTGCATGGCACGGGTAGTGAGTTGCATCATGAGGATAGCATGGTCGTGCTATCCCGAGAATGCTCGACTGTCCATCGCCGCGTTTATATTTGTGTCAGCCGGAGTGTTGATCATGTTTGTGGCCAACCTCACCTTTGCACAACGAATGATCAGAGCCTCGCAACCGGCACTGGGGTGGCACCCTGGTTTTGCAAAGTTCTTCAAAGTCCTGTATGCCCTGACTGTTATGCTGTTGATCACGGCAGTCTACGCAATCATTCACTCTCATTATACCTTGGATCGCGATAAACTTGCGACCGACTTGGCGTTAGAGCTGGCCGCAATGACATACTTCATGTTTTTGGCAGCTCTCCCAATAATTCTGCTTTATCTCGCCCGTGCCATTCCAAGGACCAGAACGATTGAGAAATTTGGCTCCGGGCGATGGAAGACTAAAGTGCGAATATTGATTCTTGGGTCCTTACTCTGTTTGTTCGGTGCTGCCTTCCGAACCGGTTCTCAATTTCTACATCCCCGGCGCCCAGATGATCCTGCCTGGTATCACAGCAAGGCATGTTTCTACATATTCAACTTCACAATCGAGGTCATGGTCGTCTACCTGTATCTCATTACGAGAGTCGATCGGCGCTTTCATATCCCCAATGGAAGTCGTAAATACGGTGACTACTCCGACCACAAGACAGTGTCGGAGGCTTCAAGCGAAACCGATGGATCCCAGAACCGGAATTCTAGCTTCGGCAGCTACGCACGCATCTTCGACGGCAGCTCTTCTATCTACTCTTGGGGGGACGAGAAAGATTTGGATGAAAAGGTACATTCACCAAATACATGGTCCCAGTTTTCAGACGACAAGGTGGAGGATGAATGGACATCGCCGGACTCGACCATCCAGCTACCACCAGCCGTGAGACAGAGTAGAATAAGAGTAGTGACGATGGATCAGGCGCCGTTTGTGGATATAGGGTTTCTCCACGAGGAACACGATGGGTATGACTACTGGTTTGAGCTACCGCCGCCCGTGGTGTTGAGGTCTTTTGGGCTTTGAGTACTCGAGTAGAGGGTATGGGTGGCATATTTTCATGGGTTGGCAGTTAGAGATCATATCTTGAAGGGCGGTTATGGGTTTGTTGTGTCTCGTGGCCAATCTCTGGCTAGGATGTGAATAGTAATGAGATCCTCAACGATCCCTAAATGAAAAGTCCCTTAGTTCGATTCGCCGTATAACCTGAGGCCACAACTTCGAGTTCTAGGAGGGTGTGAAAGAGTGTTGGAGACCACCCTCCTCTCGACCACCACAGTCGACCACCAAAGCTCAATCCCACTCAAGTAATTTCGGCCACTTTTATTTGCCGATAACAACTGACATTCCCACAGTTCGGTGTCAGGGGCTCAGCTGATGACTACTGAACGTACGACTGCTCCAATCCCAGCTACAGAACCGGATCGATATGTGGTCGAAAGAGATTTGGAACGCCGACGCTGGATAATGTCCAACAACATGCTCGGTGCGCTCATAAGCGGCCTTAAGCTTCGCATATCAACGAACGTACAGGACATACGGCACTCGGCTAGCTTAAAGACTGCTTATACCTATCACCAAAATCATTGCACCTGGTTGGGATCACAAAAGCAGATATCTTTTACAGAAAAACTAAATTCCGGTTGCGTGTGAGACGATGGGATTGAAAATCATTGTTGTCGGAGCTGGTATCGCTGGTTTGACTACTGCCTTAGCTTTGAGGCAAGTAGGACATTCCGTAGAGGTAGGCTGATTTCTGGTTTCTTGCGGTGGGCCGCGCTTGTATCGAAATCAATCCTCATCTCTATTATTATTGCTGACTTGTCCGTCCGCATAGATATTCGAGAAGTCGAAATTTGCGAAAGAAGTCGGTGCGGCCTTGGGCCTCACCCCTAATGGATCCCGGGTACTCGCGACTTTAGGCTTCTCTTTCGAAAGTGCTCGGGCCAGAGAAGTCAGCAGCTGGGATGTTGTCGATGGTGTCACTCTGCAAACGCTTAAGAGCATGGACTTCACCACGGCGCGGGCGCAGTTCGGATTCCCAGCGTATTCAGTCCATCGTGTTGATTTTCATGGTGAATTGCTCCGTTTGGCGCAGAAGTCTGGCGTTGCAGGTGAAGAGCCTGTGACGTTACATCTTGCCTCACCTGTGGTCAGCGCGGATGCACAAGAGGGCCTCGTTGTACTCCAAGATGGATCCCACCATCACGCAGATTTGATAATTGGTGCGGATGGCATTCATTCTGTGCTCAGACCTGTTGTGACCGGCTCCCTGGAGAAGCCACGCTTCACCGACCTTAGTGCCTTCAGGTTCCTCATCCCTACCAATAAGATGCGTGACGATCCTGCTCTAGATGGTTTGATGAAGTGGAAGGGAACAGGAGCTGCGACGCTTGCGAACCCGAATGACCCATTTCCAAAACGGCATATGATGTGGTATGACTGCCAGGAGTAAGTGGCCACTCCTTGTTCGTGCGAAAATTGAATACTCAGACAGGTGCTAGTGGTGAGGTGCAGAATTTCGTAGGCATTAGCCATGCTAGAGATGAGCCTCACGAGGATTCCGCAAATCCGGGTGCGTACCGATGTCTCACTCCTAGGTGAAGAGGTCTTGATGTTGATATCCCTTGTACAGACTTCACTGCCCCAATGCTTGAAGATTTTCAGGCCTATCATCCTGATCTCAGGCATGTGATCAAGATTGCTGAAGATATCTCTTGTTGGCCTCTCATGGCCCGTGATCCACTGCCATCATGGACGAAGGGGAAGATTATTTTAGTGGGTGATGCTGCTCATCCTGTAAGTTGCTTCAATTCTGTAAGATCTGAGAAAGAGTGGCAGGTGTATAAGTGTTATATCTAACGATAAAACAAAAGATGCTTCCCTTCGGTGGACAAGGCTCGAACCAGGCTATCGAAGACGCTGGCGCATTAGGAATTGTCCTCGCAGGAGCTGAAAATGTCACAGATATACCTGGACGGCTGAAGGTTTTTGAGGATGTGAGAATCAACCGAGCGTCCACCATTCAAATTTTATCCACGACCCGGGCTGGCACCGAGAAGAGTGTCGAAGAAGCTCTCAAGCAATACGTAGCCCCTGGAACCAAAGTCCCTGGTTCTCTAGCGGAGCGGAACTGGGATGCCTACAGGTAAGTAGCTCGCTGTTCTCCTCCGGGCACACATCAACTCATTGTGATATAGCCACAACGTCCTGCAAGCGGCTGCAGAGGCTTTGGCCGCTGCCAAAATGTTGCCAGACACGTCCGCAAATCACGAAGATCTGTTCGATCTGGATCAAGGTCACTCCTTACTCCTACCAGCAAAGAAAGACTTTCCAGGTATTCAGGAGGTGGCACCAAGGGCACAGAGTGCGGTCTAGGAAACGATGGCTTGTAGCATACTAACTAATGACCTACATAGTCACTGAAATACAGGAATAAGTGGTTTTCCATCAGGGTGATCCAGGTAGCGTAAAAGGCTACACATTCAACAACAACGCCTCAAAGTATTGGTTCAATAAGCTCGGAGGAGAGCAGTTATTCGGTCAACTAAGTGATATGGTGATGATGAAAAAGCCGAAGTAGTAAAACATGAAAGCTTGTGCCTGTACGGAGTATGGTTCACCGGCTCTAGTTAGTTACCTAATTAGCAATCGCTATGCTCAATCTCCTTGTGGTTGAGGGCTGCGTAGGCCGAGGCTAACTAACTAGTACGGTGGGGGTTTAGCACAGACATCAATAAGCATGCATTATGTGGCTACTACACCTAAGATAAATCAGGTCCCTAGGTACCGAGTACAGTACCTAACTTGCCTACCTAACTAGTTAGGTACCTAGGTAGGTAATTGTACACCCCCCTTGAGAATCTTAGGGTATGGGTGTCTGGGCGGGTGTCGAGGTTAGGAACTGATAGGTGATAACTTAGATACCTACCTAGGTATGTAGTTAACTAAACAACAACTTGGCCAGATACCTCTCGGCCCCCTATCGTGCTCCCCACTTTAGGCGTATTAACCACACACTCCCGTTTATCCCCCGCACTGGCTAAAAACACATTCTACCTAGGTAGGTGTTGGGTGTCTGGTGTCTATCAAAATGCTTGGCGTCGCAAGCTGTCATCCAGCTTCGAACTTTCAGTTCTATTGCGTGCTCTTTTTCTGCAAACTTGATCTCGTACGGACACCCCTTCTCACAGTCACTAGGACACCGGCTCCCGACCTTGCTTGAAGATGGAACCACCTGATGAACGGACAATCCTAGACGAGTATTCATCGTTTCGAGTTCCCGACGTGGGGCTCAAGTAAACCACTCCGTACCTAAGTCAGGACCAACATGAACGCCGGTCGGACCATTGCACACCAGGCCACTTGGATATGAGCCACTAAGACCAGCTTCAATGCACCGGTCAAAACAAATACTAGTGATTGTCGGTACTTTTCAAGGTTTAGCAGCCATGCCCGAGGAGCCACCACACCCCTTATGGTCAATTGTGATGCCCTTCGTGTAAGAATGATATCCTATATACCAGAAGAAGTCCTGTCACTAGGGACCAAGCCTTGAAATAGGATACGCCAGTACCCGCCATCTTCCCCATTTTCCACAAAGGAAGGAAGAGGGAAGGTGTGACCATGGCTGGACAGATATCTTTCTTTGGAGATGGCTCTCTTCCATTGCATCCCTCCTATTCCCAGATTCTCCAGGCTCGAGGTCCTCGTTCGCTTCTCTCTGTGTTCTTGCACAAGGCGAGACTTACTATCCAAGATGAAATATCGAAGATTCCTGTGTCGGATCGGAAGGGTATGCCCGATATCCCAGAGCTCGAGCGGCTAGTCCAGCCATCCAGTGAGAAACTACCGCTCGACAATCAATGCCTGGCACCGGCAATGCTTGTCATTATTCAATTGGGACAATTCATCAGGTTGGATTTACGATGTAATTTGAAATTAGGCATGCTTACCATAGTGTGGCAGTTGGCACGAGTCTCATCCAGAGGAACCTTATCCGAACACACCTTCATCCTTCGTTGTTGGCCTCTGTGTGGGTCAGCTATCAGCGGTCGCCGTCAGCGTTTCGCGCAACCTGAATGAACTCCTTCCGTTGGCTATAGAGTCGGTCCGCTTGGCTTTCCGCACAGGACTGCTGGCAACCACGGTTAGAGATGATTTAGAGCTTGGTGATAAATCGGAGACGTGGGCAATGCAAGTCCCTCGTGCCACGGGGCTAGGTGAAACCGAAGCACTGAATACTTTTCATCGAGAGGAAGTAAGGAATGCTCCATCAATTTTGTCTTCCAAATCATTGCTCCGTCGTCTGATGATGATCTTAGGGAGTAGCTGCGCGCAAACGAAGCTACATTAGCGCTGCATTCGGGAAGGGTCTCACAATTCAAGGGCCACCCTCGACACTCGACAGGCTCGGGGAGCGACTGAGCACTAATGGAAGACTTGCACCACCTAGCTCCTACCAAAGGCTTCCTATTTACACTCCTTATCATGCACCGCACCTCTACTCAGATGAAGACATCGACCATATCCTGAATCTCTCCGGCTCTGTTTTGAGTCCTTATCACAAACCACTGCCGCTCGGTACGAACCTGCGATTGCTTTCACCCGTGACAGGAGCATACTACTCTGCCACGAACGGTCGTGACTTGCTGAAGGCAATTATTCACGATGTCCTGAAGGCTCCTATCCAATGGAGCAATGTTGTTGCAGGATGCATGGACAATGTATCTAAGCAATCCACTTCGGACTGGAATTTGCGTGCTTATGGCCCGACACTTGCTGCTGCCAGCCTAGTCTCATCCCTGAAGAGGGGTGCACAAGTGAATGCCCTATTTGATGGAACTTTTGCTTCCATAAACCCTGATCAAAAGGGGCTGACCGCAAACGAGCCTATCGCGATAGTGGGCATGGCTGGTAGATTTCCGGAAGCTACCAGTCACGAGGAGTTGTGGAATTTACTTGAAGCTGGTATAGATACGGTAAAAGTGGTATGGAATTTGACAGCCACTAAGACAGGAGCTTGCAGTTGACCTATTCACAGATCCCTTCAGACCGATTTGACCCAGAAGTCTATGTAAGCAAGGACGGGAATGCCAAAAACCCTACGGGATCTCCTTATGGGTGTTTCATCAAGGAGCCGGGCCTATTTGATGCACGCTTCTTCAACATGTCTCCAAGGGAAGCCGAGCAGACCGATCCTCAGCAACGCTTTGCTTTGACTACTGCGTTTGAAGCACTCGAGATGTCCGGTTTTGTACCAAATCGGACACCTTCTACGCAACTTGAACGTATCGGTACGTACTATGGGCAGACAGGTGATGATTACCGCGAATGGAATGCTTCTCAAGATGTTCAGACTTATTATATTTCTGGAAATGATCGTGCCTTTGGACCGGTATGTGTTACAGGTGTGCCCGTATGAACCGAAATTTTGACTGATCAATATCGCTAGGGTCGCATCAATCACCATTTCAAATTTGGGGGCCCCAGTATGAGTATTGACACTGCTTGTTCGTCCAGTGCCGTTGCTCTGAACGTGGCGTGTACGGCGTTATGGGCAAACGATTGCGACACTGCTGTTGTTGGCGGCATGACTCTCTTCACGAGCGCAGATACCTTCTGTGGTCTCAGCCGCGGTCACTTTCTGAACCACACAGGCAATTGCAAAACATTCGATGATGCAGCGGACGGCTACTGCCGGGGAGAAGCAATTGCAACAGTCGTGATCAAGCGTCTATCTGACGCGAAAGCCGACAATGACAATGTCCTGGCAGTCATCCTGGCTGCAGGTACTAACTACTCTGCCGCCTCGACTTCTATCACTCATCCACATGGGCCTACGCAAGAAGTTCTCTATAGAAAATTGCTCAACGATGCTGGCCTTCAACCCTTTGATATCGACTATGTTGAAATGCATGGCACCGGAACCCAGGCTGGAGACGCTGCGGAGATGAGTTCTGTGAGCAATGTCTTCGCTCCTGATTCACCAAGGCGGCTAAAGGAAAACCCTCTCCTCTTGGGCGCGGTCAAATCCAACGTTGGACACTCTGAATCAGCTTCCGGTTTAGTGGCTTTGATCAAGACCCTGCTCGTATTACGAGAGCAGAAAATTCCTCCACATGTCGGGATCAAAAGTGGCATCATTAATCATACATTTCCGAACCTGAAAGAACGACAAATCCAAATAGCGCTGGACGGTCCTATCGAGTTTCCTCGCCGAACTGGCCGCAAACGGCGCCTCATGGTCAATAACTTTGGTGCTGCAGGTGGAAACACCGCCATACTATTAGAAGAAGCTCCCACCGCGATACGCAACGGCAAGGCTGACGAAAGGTCTGAGCATATAATTGCTATATCTGCGAAAACCTCGAAATCAGCGAACGAGAATGTCCAGAACTTATTAAGATATCTTCGAGACCATCCGGACACTCAGCTGTCAGACCTCTCCTATACCACGACCGCCCGCCGTATGCATTTCTCGACAAGATTTGCGTTGACAGCATCATCAATGTCACAACTGGAAAGCCGTCTTAGCGCAGTCCAGGATCATGATTTGAAGAGGAAATCTAAGTCAGCAAGTCTCATATTCACATTCACTGGACAAGGCTCTTTGTACGCCCCTCTTGCGAAGGAGCTTTTTGAGATGTCACAACAGTTCAGGTCTGATATTATTCGGTTCAATCGAATTTGTCTCGATTATGGATTTCCCAGCTTTATGCCAATTCTCGAACGTTGCGATAGTGACTTGAGTGATCTGACCCCAACTCAAACACAGCTTGCGATCACCTGTGTGCAAATCAGTCTCTACCGCTTGTGGATCGCTTGGGGCATAGCTCCTACAGCCGTCATTGGCCACAGCCTAGGAGAGTATGCAGCACTATTCGCATCAGGGATACTCTCTGCAAGCGATACAATCTATCTCGTTGGTCAACGGGCCCGACTCCTGGAAAATCAGTGCACGCAGGGCACTCACTGCATGCTCTCGATTCAAGCTGACTTGGAGACATTGAGATATCACCTCGGTAAGCTGATCGACGACACTGAGATTGCGTGCTTGAATGGTCCAACAGACACGGTACTCAGCGGTCGTAACGAAGTTCTTGAAAAGGCTCGGGAACTGTTGAAGAGTTCAGGTATCAAGAGTGTCATCCTCAACACGCCGTTCGCGTTTCACTCTGCCCAGGTTGACCCAATTCTTGCAGAATTAGAGGCTGTAGCGGGTACTGTGAGGTATATGACACCCCAGATACCCCTCCTGTCTCCCCTGCTCGGCACCGTTGTCCATGAAGATGGGCAGATTGGACCTGCTTACATCCGGAGGCATGCTCGAGACTCTGTGAACTTTGTCGCTGCTTTGAAAATTGCCGAAACTAAAGGGCTGGCTAATGAAAACACTGCTTGGGTTGAAGTTGGACCAAAGCCAATATGCTTGGGCATGATTCAAAAAACCCTGGGTCATTCTCGACTGATTCATTCACTTCGCCCCAACGAAAGCCCGTGGGTTAGTGCGGCCAGAGGTCTAACCTCGTTGTACAACTACGGCTTTGACATTGAATGGAACGAGTATCATCGGGACTTCGAGCACTCACTGAATTTACTACATACTCCCGTATACTCTTTCGACGAGAAGAATTATTGGCTTCCTTACAAGCATGACTGGGCATTAAGAAAAGGTGATGGCATGTCAATTCAGTCTACGAACCACAGTACACCAAATGCACCTTCCATCATCACTACCACTCTGCATACGTTGGTGTCCAAAGAAAGTCATGGCTCTGATGTTGTCTTGACTTTTGAGACAGATCTATCGGAACCAATACTCCACAAGCTCATCTCCGGCCATAAGATACACGGCAGTGCACTTTGTCCTGCCGGTGTTTACGCCGATATGGCACTCTCTGTGGCTGACTTTGTTCGAAAGAACTACGAACTCAAAGTTTCAACAACAGGGATTAATGTGACGAACATGACAATATTAGGCTCCGTTACGGCCGCATTGGACCATGTCTCTACGCCGCAACTCCTTCGCATTAGTGCAACGACGAATCTGGAAAGAGGAATAATTAGCATTGACTTCAATTCAGAAAGTCCTCAAACGAGAAAGTTTACTCCCATAGCCAAATGCACGATCGAGTACGGTAACGACAAGACTTGGCTACATGGCTGGTCTAGGTCGGCATACTTGGTACGCAAAAGAATTGAAGATCTTGAACGCGGGGTTGGCAGTGGTACGACGAACAAGATGTTAAACAAGATGGCCTACCATCTGTTTTCTCAACTGGTTGATTACAGCCCCATCTACCAAGGCATGCAAGAGGTCTTGGTTGATACGGATGAGCTAGAGGCCAGTGCTATCGTCAAGTTCCGTGAAAACATGGACATTGGCGATAACTTCGTCGTATCCCCAGTCTGGATCGATAACCTGGCTCAAGTGGCAGGATTCGTTATGAACGGTATCGGTACTACCGATTTGAGCTCAGATGTCTATATCTCCCATGGCTGGGGCTCACTACAACTGGTCGGTCCTTTCGATAGCACTCAGCCATTCAAGGTACACGTCAAAATGCAGAAATTTGACAAGACAGTGATGGCTGGCAATGTGTCCGTCTTCCAGGAGAACATCATGATTGGCCTGTTTGGAGATGTTATGTTCCAGAAGGTCCCAAGTTCTTTACTCCAAACGATGCTGGCTCCACACTTGCAGCCGTCCACTACCAGTAAATCACCAACGATCACAGCGAAAATCAGTTGCAAGGCATCGACCAGCGCTTTGAGACCACAAGCTCATGCGAAAGGGCAACAGAAACAATCTATCACTTCTCCCGCACCTCCTGCCGACAAAGAAACAGAATTTGCTCGGGTGATAAGAATTATGGCCCAGGAAATCGGAATCGAGGTTGGGGAACTTAATGACGACAACAATTTTTCGGATCTAGGCGTCGATTCTCTTTTGTCTCTGACTATTCTTTCCAAGGTGCGGGAGTCGACTGGTATTGACTTGCCACAGTCAACGTTCGCAGACTGTGGTACAGTTGGTGATCTCAAAACATTCCTCAATGACACCGCGAGCCAAGATGCAACTTCTGAGTCATCATTAGGGACCTCTCCTAATTCTGGTCAACATAGTCCAATAGTGGACTTTGACCCATTGACAGCAAACAAGACTGCAGACATGGTTGAGATCCTTCACGCCACTCTCGCGGAGCAAATTGGAGTCGACGTGGACGAACTTTTATCGGCAGATGACCTCTCTACGCTGGGTGTCGACTCGTTGATGAGTCTAAGTATTGTTGCAGCCTTGAGGGAGAAGTTGGGAATTGAGATTCCTTCGGACGTGTTAGCCGAAAATCCCTCACTGAAAGGCATCAAAGGAGCTCTGAATCTCTTGCCTCTCCCTGATCTGAAGCCGCTGGCACCAGCCGTAGAGTCACACCAATCCAAGCCTTCCTCTACCATGAGGACCAAAAGGAGTGCGAAATCATTCTTGCTCCAAGGAAATCCAAAAACTGCTTCCAAAACCATCTTCCTCTTCCCAGATGGAAGTGGCTCGGCCACATCATACAGGGAGCTGCCAGACATCGCGTCGAATACTTGTGTCTATGCCATTGACAGTCCATTTCTCAGATATCCCGCAGAATACACTTGCTCGCTCGAGGAAGCCGCGTTAATAATGACCTCCGAAGTTCAATCACGCCTGCCCAAGGGTCCTTACATCCTTGCAGGCTGGTCTGCTGGTGGTATGTATGCGTACGAAGCCGCCAAGCACCTCATTTCTGCCGGAGAAGTGGTCTCTAAGCTCATTCTCATCGACTCGCCATGCCGCCTGGACTACGGTCCCATGCCACAAGACGTCCTGGACTACGTCTGCAAGTCTGGTGTGATCGCTGGCGAAGGAAAATCGAGTTCTGCTCCTGAATGGCTTGTCCAGCATTTCCAAGGCACTATTCGTGCAGTGATGCAGTACTCGCCGCAACCGCTTCCAGCCGGTCGCTCTCCACTGACTTCTGTGATATGGGCCGGTCGGGGTGTTTTCGAAGATTTCCCGGGAGCAGAAGTCGCCGGGCTGGACCTCTCTGACCCCGTTGCGTCTTGGTTGCTGAAGCCAAAAGCTAATCCAGGAGCTAACGGGTGGGACAAACTGTTGGCAAGTTCAAAGATGCAGTGTTGTTCAGTTGATGGAAACCATTTTAGTATGGTTCATCCTCCTCACGTGAGTCTTTAAATTTTGCTAGTCAGACCCTACCCTGAAATTGTCAACTGACTGAGGTTACAGTGCTCATCGCTCAGCCGCGCTATCGCTGGCGCCGTTGACGAAGCTGTCGGTATCGATTGGAAGACGGCCGCATGAACCTACAGAATGGTGGGTTTTTTGGGCGTGGTCTTCTGGGTTCAAAGAAACGGTGGAGTACTTAGACGGGTTTTGGTTTGATAGATAGCTGGCATGAGAAAGTCGCAGAACAGGCAACTAAGTGTAGCAGCGGTGTTGTAGCATCCCGAGATTTGTGCTTGAAGAAAGTCATACCATGGATAAGAATGAATTTGTTAGCAGAGAGGGGCCTCGTGCTTTCGATACAGCGTCCACGCGCGGTTTGAGTTGATTTGATAAACACCATAGTTTCAGCCATAACTTCATCAATCGACTCTTAGTACTACACAGCCCTGATCACCAGCTCATCATTGTTTTCTTGGACACAATCGGCATTAACAACGCTGATCACGACCTCTTGAGATTGTCGGAGTATTTTGACCACCACCACCACCACCATCATCACCAAGTTTCAAATATCAGACCTTTCATGTTTCAGGGTGATGCTCGTCTTAAGCTCAGGCATCCGAGAACAAATGCAGTCAAAATCTTCACTTCTCGACTCTGGGAGCTGATTTCCATCGCAAGCTCCTGCCAGATAGGGACAATCGTCGCTTCTGCATTCCATTCATGGTCTTGAGTAACCAAAAACTAAGATCGCCAGAGTAGATCCACATCGTTGGTTAGACCAAAGGGTCAGTATACATGTCGTAGCAGCGGCGCCACAATGCACAACCTTGGGTGGAGACCACTGCATGCGCAGGAACCGATCATGGCTTCGGGCTACCCGGCACTGAAGTGACCTGAAAGCCTCAAGCCCTGCACCTTGAAATCAACCGACGTAGATAACTGAAGTGACCGAGGTACACTGGCCGACACCAGAGCAGGGGTCCACGTGTGCAGGGTGATGTCAACGGCCACGCTGCCAGTGATCCACGCCTTCTCACTGGTGAGGAGCGACCTCGCTGGGGCGTGCATTGACTGGGGTGTCCTCCCCTCGTTCCAATGAGGCTGCACAGTAGAAGTGCTGTATTGATGCTTTCAGATGTCAAATACAGCTACTTTAGCTCATGTCCAGATGCCTCTGCCAATGAGTCCTGGTCGATGGAGGGAGCTTAGACGCTCGGATCGAGCGCTTGCTTAACTGCTCTGCAAGCAGCGCCGTTGTCTAGCTGGTATCCATGGCCTGTCGGGTGCTCTCTAGAAGCACGCATCTTCAATGGAGGCCAATTTTGCTCCCTGGTGGAATAGCTGCTTGCAAACCTGTTTTATCTTTGTCAGAGCCTGATTGTGCTTGATGTCATTTTGGAGGTTGAGTTGTCAGCCGACTTGTCCTCTGAACTCACGTTGATTGATCTACGGTCAGGATGTCACAACTTACTGACTTCAGAGCTTTGTGCATCAGATCACAGAAGATGGCGTTGATAGCAGCTGTTGGGTGATGAGGGAAATGTGAAAATTTGCAGATGCCGTGCAAGAGGAGTCAATTTCAAGTGGGGGCGAACATCGAAATCATGCGTAGCCTTGCATCGGGGTCGATTTGCACCACATAACCACACCTATTTTTTTTAGTGAGGAATTGTTCTTATATTTCCCATCCCTTTACGACTCATTCACAGTCATTATAATGACTTCTGTATGCCCAAAACAGTATTTCCAATTGTATGCATGCACCTCTGACAAGAGGCTGGCAAGAGTGCAACGATCACGATCGACATTTCTCATAGGCGCCTTGCTGCCTCTGTTCTCAAATACTGAACCTATATGCCAGCATCTTCTTGCATATAAACCTCATCATTGTTCCAGTAAGTCCTCCAAGTATCACAAGTGTTTCTTAGCGCGAAAGGATCTGTAAAAGTTGCCATGATCTCATCTTGTCGCTCGACAAACTGCAAGCCTAGTCCTTCACTTGAATGAGCAGCAATGTGACAATGCATCAGCCAGGCACCAGGGTTATCTGTCTTGAAAGCCATGACCATGTAACCGTTCAGCGGAACGGTTGCCACATCTCTACGAGGTGGATTCGATAAAGTCAGATTTACGGTGTTATTCAGGGGCCCAAAGCCTTGCGCAAGTACGAAGTAGTCGTGTCCGTGTAGATGCATGGGATGAGATCTATTTCGATGGGAGATGTCTTGGATCCCAAAGTAGACCCATTCGTCAGCGATTGCAAGAGGTATGGCATCGTAATTAGTAAATCCTTTCTGGGGAGTGTAGCCTGTGTTAGGCCAGCTTGTGTTCTGCTCTGAGATCATCAAATCGGTTGGTGCGGAGAAGTTGACCCATATGTAGGAATTGTTCAATGTGAAGAGGAATCCGGCCGGCATAGGGACAAAGCTGTAGTTCAGATTCAACAATGAGACTGAGTCCGGGGCCGGTACATCTAGAGCAACGTATGGGACAAGTTTCTCAAATGGCTCGTCTTCGCACTGTGACTTGTACTCAGTTGCCGGATTTGTTGTAGTTGGCAAAGCGGTGGAATTGGTGTCATAGCGTACAATCCCAAGAGTGTTGTTCCAGGCATCATTGTCACAACATGAACGCTGCCAGATTGGACGGATCCAGTACTCGCTGGGAGGTGCATTCGCTTCGACGATGACATCGTACCGCTGTCCCATTGAGATAATCAAGCTGTCTGTCGTGTATGGTTGGATAGGGACAAGGTCATTTGCGATGACGGTCAGGTTGTGTCCGTCGATGGCAAACCTGAAGTGGGAATACAGACCCGTGTTGACGAGTCGGAGACGGTACCTTTTTCCAGATTCAAAGTTCATCTCGAAACGCTGACCGACCTCGCCTTTGCCCTGGCACTGTGTGGTGTTATCCTGGTGGCAGTCAAATACGTTGCTACCATTGATAAGCGAGTTGGCTTGCGCAGGTGGGCCTGTCTTTGGACGATCCCACCACCATTCGTTGAAGGTTGAGATATGCGCCCAGTCCATAAGCATGAGCGCGCCGAGATCTTCGTCGTAGTTGGCCGTGGCGGGACCATTTATGATGATCGGACCGAACAGACCAGCCGAATATTGGAAGCTGAAATGTGAGTGGTACCATGTCTTTTGGCCATATTAGTACTGGAGCCGTCATTTGGCTAGGCCATAGAGTTTGTCCCCAGAAGTACTTACCGTACCATATTGAGTGGCTCGCCACTTGTAAGTGTAAGTCTGACCTGGGGACTATGATTGTCAGCAACAACTTATAGAACCGAGGCTAAGAATTCCGAGGTCAGTCAAGGGAACATACAATTGGACATTGCGTAACTCCTGGTACCCCATCGAACTCATTATTATTGAGTTGTCTCAAGCCATGCCAATGGATGGCTGTCCCATTGTCCAGCATCGCATTGGTCACGTGGATGACGACTGTAGGAGCCTTATATTCAGCCTTGCACACCCCTTTTCGACCCCTGGGACGGAGTTCCAGGGGTTAGGGAAATCCCGCAACTTACCATCGTCACCCCAGTCTGCAAAAATTGTTGGCCCAGGAATACTGCCGTTGAATACTAACACTTGTTGTTCGTATCCCTATAAACGATTTACCATTTGTGTTAGAACCATCTAAGTCGAGTTACTGTCCGGATGCCGAATGTTACTTACATCAGGGGCCATCGTAATGTTCTCCGCAATCAACCAGTACTCTCTCGTCACCCCAGTGTACGGCGTATCATCGTACCAATTTGTGTCAATGGAATAATCACCCCAGCACTGCCTGGAAGTTGGGGAATGTGCGCATCCTCCTTGCGATTGTATGTCACTAGGAGTCAAATTCCAGCATGGCGATGTGCTGTTTGCTAATTGGAGGCCTCGAGGCTGCACCGAGTATCTTGGCAGTGATGCAGCGTCAACCAATGCCAGGAAAAGCAGAACAACGGTAGGACCTAGCATTGTGAAGACAAAATTATTGATGTTGTGGGAAGCTGGACTTTGGCGTCAAACTTCGTAACTCTTGCTAGGGAATATGTGCTTATAACTCAGGACTTTCTCTTAGTTTTCCGGAGTTCTTCATGGCCCATTTGAAGTCCTCATGAGTGTATCTACGCGATAAGCACCAATATTACAATATTCTCCATTATCACGCTCTGAATAGCTCCACAACTACCGTGAAATCTTGACCTTGAAGAAGTTACTAGCGTGCATCCTCTGCTTGACCACATCGTGATCTTGAATATGGCCGTTGAAAAGAAATGCACCGCGGTCAAAGCTAGTACCCATTAGAGCTGGTAATGTTGAGTTTTATACTTCGGAGGATTTTTGCAGTTGCTGATTACCTTGGGAATGGTCCCGGGATTGATGGAGCAACATGTGAAATAGACCGGAATGATAGCCTTTATGGAACTGTATCTTGAGACTGCCAAGATGAAACAAATGGTCCACATGTGAAGTCCATTGCGGCGATAACTGTTGAGGAAGCGGGTATTGCGAAGCGGATGAACATGGACAACCTGCGAACTGCGAACTGCACAGGGATCAAGGCAGGAGGAGCGCTATCACAAGCACATGTTTCATCATGTGGGCGGTAGTGTTCCAATCAGGTAAACTCTAGTAGGTGACCGAAGGATTTGTTGTCAGGGAGAGATGTCCATCCTCATGGTGGACTTGCCATTTGTTGCTAGAAGAAATCAATGATCGGTGGATTATCGGTTTCTCGCTTAATTTCTGCAGGGTAAGGTCTTCCAAAGTGACGAGAGAGGCCTCCGGCAGTGGCTTGTGGATCAACAATGGCTTGCAGAGAATAGAGCCTGCTTTTAACCCCATGGACGCTGGGATTGCCCCAACCAATCCTCTATCAGAGATCATCGACTAGCTTCAATGTTACACCATGGCTTCATGTAGGACAAGCCATTACAAGCTCACTTGGAAATGCTTGTCCATCGCAGGGTATCCTTGGCAATTGCGCATCATTAGCAGCGGTGCGATCTTGACTTAGGGCAAAATTACAACGGCGGGGCATCATGCCATCTCGCCGTCAAGCTACGAATTCATGTGAAGCCTGTTCACCTACCCAATCAAACTGTACCGAGATACCACCTGTATCCTCAGTCCTGCTTGTTAGTGCTCACACACTGAGTTTCATTGGTGATCAACTTCTCTGACACGGCTGATGCACAAGCTCAAGCAAGACCGCATAAGCTTCCCAAGCACTCGTTTGATTGCTTGTGTTGATCCCCTTCATAAAACTTCCGGCCTTGGCCTGCTTGCAAGGTGGCATGGAGATATATCTTAACCAGGGTGTTTGTTGTCTGTTATCGGTAGAGTTTACCTATTCGCGATCAGCGGCACGTGAACGCGAGACAGGCTCAAGCGAGCTCCATAGATTTTGAATGATCCCAAGATCTCATATCTAAGCGGAAGAAGCTGTCGAAGACGAAACCACATCTCCATTCATCTCACTCTCCACTCCTGGAATCATGGTCGCTTTCACTTCACTTGGGGAAGACTCCTCTCAAAATTCGAGCTCCACGAAAAAGCTTCGTCTAGCTTGTGACGTTTGTCATGCCGCGAAGACTAGGTGTTGTGGCAACAGCCCATGTGCACGATGTATCCGTTGTGGCACTCGGTGCGTATACAGTCAGTCAAATCGGGCTGGCCGGCCAAAGGGAACACGCAACAAGAAGAGTGTCGATAGCTCGAAACCCCACGGGGATCAGTGCGATTCGACCGGTTCACCGCAACAAGAACAACAGCCGTCAGCATCTGGCAACGTCCTCAATCGAAGTAGTAGCTACTGCTCAGAAAGTGGCAACACATTGTCCAAAGCCACGTCTTCCATGGCATCCTTCACAGGGCCCTCATTCTCACCACCACTAGAACACTCACAACAGCACTCACAACAGCAGAAATATGTCAACAATATGGCATTTGACTTCAACCCGACACACGACTTTTCTGACCATTCCAACGGCATGTACTCATCATTGTCCACTCAAGGTCACATGATTTTCCCCTTGGGTCCAGATGACATGAATCTCGATCCGATGGATATCCAAGCAGTCTTTGACCTTGACTTCAGTCTTGATGATCTGCAACGTGGCTGCAATATGCCCAATTCGGTCGATGCATCTGGAAACGCCATGTCCGACGCGCTAAGAGATTACATCCCACCATTATCCGAGCACGACGATATGGCTTATTCCAATTCACTCCAAGCCTATTCCGAGCCATTGTCGAAGACCTCCACCAATAGCCATAGCAACAGCGACAGCCGCGGAGGGAGTGGAAGCCCTGCGATGCCCCAATCACGAGATTCTTATGACTCTGCCATCTCTATGGGAGCTACAAAGAGCACTCAGGGCATGTCAGCCTCTCCTCCGCTTTTCCTCCCCGACAATATTTCACTGGCTGAACTGAGATGCCACTGCCTTCAGCGCCACGTCCAATTCCTTTCCCATCTGCAAGAGCTGCTGCAAGGGTTTGATCAATTGACCCTCGATATGGTTCTGAATGGAGTGGACCAAGGACTGAAAGTATGGGACCTTTGTGTCCAATGCCGAATGTGTCAACAGGATCGAAATCGAGAGGTGCTGTTGTTATCTGTCACGAGTATCAGGACCGTTGCTCGAATTTTGCAGAAAGCTTCACAGCGTATATCCAACAAGCAATCACACCTCGACAACGACGAGCAACGTATTAGCACCACCAAGTCATGTGCAGACGGAGAAAGCCACTCAAACAACGCAAGGTTCACATTCGGCAGCTATGAAATCAAGGGCGAAGAAAGTTGGTTAGTGCTCGGCGTGATACTGACGAGAATGCTGGCCAAGATCCAGGGTGTGCTGGTATCCTTCAAAAAATCGTTGAATTCGCCAAACTGTCGTAAAGGCGACGGCCATGCAGGGGACAATTCCGCGGACTATTTGCACAGGCTGTTGGAAGGCTTACAAGCGAACATACATGCACTTTCTGCGAGTTTGATGGGTGGTATCTGATAGCAGTAGTTAGATGGACACGGGTCGTCGTTGAGCTTAGCTCGGAACCCCACCGTTCTGAACTTCCGTTGATAGCAAATGCAGGGAAACCCCCTAGGACTCCTTCTAAAGCCAGCCACTGGCAAGCCGCCTACTTGTGCCAAGAGTGTCAAAAGGATGCAGGGCGTGCCACGACACCTTGCAGCACGGGTCCGCCATGAGTAACCACGTAGATTGTCCCAAAAGAACACACCGAAAAGGCACGTCGTTGGGGATCGTGCCCTGCCTCGCGTAGCGAATGGGTGCGGCACCCGGGGTGTATGCTGACTTGATTCGCAGCCAGGACGATATCGAGTGTAGATCCCTCATCTTGCTAATCTTACCCTGCATTTGGGTGCGATAGGTTTACCTTTCGCATTCGGAAAGCAGTAATTGTACTAGAGTACGAGTGCGTTCCACCAATGCAACTGTGGCCTCACAATTCTCCGATCCATCAATCCGAGGTTCTGATTCCCTAGTTCATTGTTTCCAAACCCCTGTTAGATTTCCCTTCCTGAATCCTGAATACTGCATGAAGTAGGATGGTGGGGGTTGGAGGGGGCCGCACGGGGGCCACCTAGGGGCTAAATATGCCAAGTGGCATTAGATAAAGCTTCAAAGTTCAACACTCTTTTTCTTAGGAAGCCGACCCGGCTTGCGACTCGCATGACTAGCATTTGGCTACGCCCGGCCACCGAGCAATATATGACACTGATTAGGTGACTCAGCCAAAGGAAAATGCGGGTCATTATACCGTTATAGTCAGGTCTGGTTAGAGTCAACTAACCCAGATATTTCGGGGTATTCATTGGAGTGACTGCTTTGGGGATGGTGCTCTTTGTTGCCTTCGATATTGCGTGACTGATTGATTTGTACTCGTGTTCCGTATTGGGGGGTATATGCCAGGTGGGAATGACATCGTATCGAGGTTCCTATATCACAACTTAGATGTTAAAGGCACAAAACGCCGAGTCCCACGGACTTGCTCTGTTTCCGAAAGAAGGTTCTTCGTCTGCGACAAGCATCTGGCCAGCTGTGTCGATGAAGAATGGAATTTGTCTAAGCCCGCGTGGTTGCGAGAGTAGTTAGAATGCGATATCCAGTTGTTGAAGCCCTCGTCTAACCCAACGTCGCAGTACGTATTCGCCAAAGAGAGGGGTTAATTGCACACTCAGCCCATTCGTAGTTGCCATGAGCCGTTCGATAGACTAGTTATGCTCGCAAGCCATCGGGCTCGACTTGTCGCTCAGACTTTTCCATACTGACTGACTTCTGATAGGATTCTCTGCGTGGGTAGAATTGAGTGATCCCACGCGCCCGTCATGGTTTGATGCACAGTGCTCCCGTACGCTGAGACAGTACCCAGAATATGTATCTGTCAATTGATACCTATGTCGGAAGATGCAGATAGCTGGTACGGTGCGCTTCGGTTCCAGGTGTCGGCCTTAAAAGTCTGGGTTTGGGGAAACTTGTATACAGACATTAAGGAAGCAAAAGGGCAAAGGAAAATGCCACAACAACAACAACAACAATAATAACCGCCAAACTATACCCTAGCTTAATCTATACCTCGGTCAGTCCTGGGATGATGTGGACTCTGGCCATTCTCTTGCGCTGTTCGACAAGCCTCTCAGACGTTTTAAGCCCCGTGCTTTCGGCCGAGGTCCCTTTGATCCACTTGTACACTTCACGAGTTACTGGGCATCCAATTTCGAGCAGTCCTCCGCACAAATAAGCCTGCGCGCGAGTTGCGTGTTCCCTTCGTGCTGAGAAAAATGGATTAGCGAGGCTTTGCAGTGCCGATTGGCACCCAGTGACGCAACCAAGATGCCAATATGTAAAGCAGCCTTATGATCCTCGGTACCTCGTACGGGACTCAGGCCCAGACGCGTCTCTGTTCAACTAGCGCGTCAACACCTCCACTGCCAATCTTAAAAAAAGAATACCAAGAACATCAAGCTCAATTTGATGGTTGAACTTTTCCATGTCGGTATAAGTTTGCGACTCGAATGGGCGCCTGATTGACGATCCAACTTTAGGCCAAGGCCATTGTACCATGGATCTGCCCCATGCGAAAGCTCCTGCGCTCTCGCAATCTTGAAGAACGCAGGCAAAGCCCAGAAAAATCACTGAGTTGAATCATACTCGCGGAGAGAATAATTAAGATCGTGGCTTCCTGAGTCTCCCTTGCTGCTTCGAAATCTCAGACAGACTAGTTCAACATGAAGTATTCCTACGGATATGCCCTTTCCGCGATCGTTGCCGCCGTCAATGCACAAGCTGCACCAGATTTCCCTGTCGAGGTCGACACCAGATTCAGCGTCATTTGGGCCAACAGCTCTACCAGATTTGCTGCTGGGGATCTCCTTCCACGGGACAGTAAGACTGCACGTATTCCAGTATTGGCCCGGACGCTAACTTCCCTAACTTCCCAGACATTCTAGAAGCCCCTTCAGTCTTCACTTCTGACAACTCAACCTCCTCGACCGGAAAATACCTAGTATTCCTCATCGATCAAGATGTTCTGCCAGAGGGACAGACAGAAAAAGTCGAATTCTTGCACTGGTTCCAACCGGATTTGGCCGAATCCGATGAACTGTTGGCTGGGCTCCTAGCGGTGCAGAATTCGTCCGATTCCATAAATGCGACAACTTCGGCGCTTCCCAGTGCCCCTTATCTCGCGCCTACACCCCCTGAGGGTAGCGGTCCGCACAGGTATACATTCCTGTTATATGCGCAGCCGGACGACTTCAGTGTTCCCGCATCATATGCAAGCTTTTTCGTTGATGTGCCAGACCTCTCTAATCGACTACCCTTTAACATTAAGCAATTTGCCGAAGATTCGGATCTAGGAGAGCCACTGGCTGCCAACTGGTTTCGCGTTCTGAATGGTAGTGCCGAAGAGACCAGTGCTGCCTTGACAAGCACGGTCGGTCCATCGTCAACTGCATCGGGTTCTGCAAACACAGCAACCGCGACAACTACCTCCGCCTCGAGCGGTTCACAGACTGGAACTGCCACAAGCTCAAGTTCGAGTGCAACTGCGACAGGCTCAGGCAATGGAGCGGGCCTGTTGGACGCTCGCGACAGTCTGAGGGAACTCGGCGTTGGTCTTGCTGTAGGCTTGGCTGGTATGGGCCTGTGGTTGTAGTCAAACCCATCTTGTTCTTGTCGTCAAACTTCATGTACATTGCTTCCCTCTGATGAGGGCTTTAATGATGGAAAATATAATGGTAATTTATTCTTTTAGACCGGCCAATACACAACACTGAGTGCCCTACGTCGAGACATCCTGAACAAATACTCCACCAATCAGATCTTACAGAATACGGGACTTTCCACTTCGGGAAGACCGATACGTGCCCAGGGAAAGTCTAAGCTCTTCGCAACCTCATCTTCCAACAACCATTATTCTGGAGCCTAGCACAGAAGAGGTAGATATCGTATTTCAGTCGTCCCGCTTCTTCTGTCCAGCTTCAAATACCTCAATTAACTGTGGGAACACTGACTTTCTTGAGACTAGGGTTGGCATTTGAACCATGGCAAAGCCACGAGCGACTCATCGTCATGGACTCCCAGACGAACAAAAGGAGATGCAAAGGGTCTTCAAAGTATCCCTCTCCTCAAGCCACCATTCCAAGCCTATCAAAGTGATCGATAATGTCTTTCGCGGACGAAGATCGCATCGGAAGTCGCGGCTTGGTTGTCGCCAATGCAAACTCAGGCGCATCAAGGTAGGTTCACAGGCTGCTCGCAAGTGAAGACGCTGTGCTAAGCCGTATCGGTGTGCCAGTGTGATGAAGAAAGAGAAGGTGGCTGTCTCAAATGCCGCTCTCGGGGCGTTGAGTGCGATTTCAATCCAAGCCCATTCCAGCAGACCACTTATTTACTACTCCCAAAGGAACGAGCAGGGGTAGATGTGTCCGTGCAGTGTACCAACCCACTGAGAGGTTCTGGCAGTGGACAATCATACAGACCGCGTGCCAGCTCACCTCATCCAACGCTGTCCATGACGCTAATCTTTCCGATTGCGACTGAGTTGCCAAACTCCATGACGCCGATTCTACAAACGTTGCACCATTTTGATAGCACTACGTATCGCTCCATGGGCTCTGAAATGGGTCAGAAGATCGTTAGAGCTTGCATTTATACAATCGCCCTTGAAACGCCTCACCTAATGCATGCTTTACATGGTGTTGCAGCGACACATCTATGCCATCTGATTCCCGTCTCTCAGGATCCTGTTCAACACAAGCGGAGCAAGGTTGCCGCAGCCTATCACTGGCAGAAATGCCTCCAGTTATTTCGGGAAGAACTGGAAGCTGGTCCCACCAGGCAGAATATGGACGCCCTGATATCGACAGTCATGTTGATATCCACCCATCAATTCATGTTGCCTGAATCGGAATCAGAGCCGAGCAAGAGTTTTGTGTATGCCCCTGCTCACCAGCGAGAGACTTGTATCTCTTGGCTATTCATCAATTCCGGCTTTACGGCCCTGTGGCGAACATTGGGCGAGAACGTTGCGCAGTCCTCATGGATGCCAGTGCTTCAGGATGCTGATATTCAGACGTTGAGATCTCCAGCTCACATGTGGACGCCGAAAGACGAGACTCACAGGAGTTTTCTTGAAGTCTGCGAAATCGAAACTTTCAGTACCCCCGATGCAAACCCGTATTACACTCCACTGGAAAGCCTATTACTTCTGCGCCGATTGAGGTCCGATGGGAACTTTTTCAACAAGGCGATCAATTTCCTGGGCAACATTGACTCAAGGTATCATCGACTCTTGATTGCAAGAGACAAACGAGCACTCATCATCCTGGCACATTGGCTGGCCCTCATGGCCGAAATGCAGCAGTGGTGGCTCAGTGGAAGATGTAAGGCTGAGTGCCTGGCCATCACCACATTTCTAATGCATGATCGGGATGTCCGTGTGTTGAGACTGTTGGATTATCCTGCCAGAATTGCCGGTATGACAGTTTCTGAGATTTCATCCACAGTACTGGAGGAGGCACTTTACGATCCAGGCAAATCTTGAGAAGTGTTCCACGAACATGAACACCTTGAAAACACTCCTAACTCACAGTTCACGTCTAATTTATCACGCATCATTAACCTGACTATTGTAAGAGTACATACGAGGTCGGATAGGTGCTGATTTGGACTTGGGAGAATAGCACCAGTCGGGCCTCCGTAGGCTCCCCGAACGTGAGAGTTTCGGAGTATATTTGCCCTGAACGGGTCTTACGAGTAATCGGTGCCTATCTATACCTAGGTAAGGAAAAGTGGGAGCTTGCAACAGGTTTAGTTAGGTCCGGGAAGCGCCTAGTTGCCAGAGGATATGCACCCGTTTTGGGCGTGGCCGATACGGAAAGTAGTTAGGGACAAACAAGGCTGCAACTGCCTCGGATTCTTTGTCAGGATTCTTCCAGTCACATGATGAGCAAGTCACCGTGACCTCTGCCTGCGCCCTGCAAATCAACCCTCACCACATCACATCACACATCATCACCACCACCACCACCATTTACACGGCCTTGACAGCCTCATGTATCTGCATGGCTGAGACAGCCAACGAGTATCTTACGTTCATGTTTATCCCTTCGTTCAAACTTGGCAATTGAATTATGTGGTCTCAGACAGTCTCGATATCATCCACCGGCCATATTTCAGCAGAATCCACATCATGGCCTCGCTGCCCAGCACCTCTCCTTCCCCCTCAAGCCCGATGGCTACATCGATTCCAACGGAGTTACCAAGCGATCTTTCGCCCTTTGAAATGTTAATCACCTGTAATCCGCCCATCCTTGACTCCCTTCTCGCCCAACTACCGACTACGTCCATTTTCTATCTCTACCAAACCTCGGCCTTCTTGAGAGACTTCTTATCTAAATCTCCAACTTCCTGGCGGTACATCTCATGGCGTCTGTATCAGCCGTCGATTTCCACTGCGGCCGTCACGAATAATGCCGTTGGGCAGCGTCAGTCCAGTAACTATGCACTCGACCAGATCCTTCTCAATGTCATCAATCCATTCAGTACCAGATTATTCAGCCTGGAGCTGGACAATACGGCAGTCAGCGGAGCCACATTAACCTCTACCGTGCTTGTATTGAGAAGGGATACATTGACCCATGTTTCGGTTCGCGGATGTAAGAACGTCTCGCTGAAATATCACATCAACCCTTACCTCCAACTTCATGCACTAGCCCGCGCACATGACACTCCGACGAGTCATGGTTCAACTCCTTTCGGACAACTTGCTCTGAAAAGCTTGTATACATACAGATGTCGTCACCACAGGAGGAGGCCGTACCTTCCCAGCAGCCTGGCGCGCAAAGAAAGCGACAGCGAACCCACCCACGAACTGGTGTTGACGTGTCATAAACTTGGTATATGGACCGATACAGCTTGGTGCACCACTCCCGGTGCACGCTGTTATCGTCGCCGAGGCTATGTCAAGATGCGAATGCCTCAAGATCCACGAGAAGTGTGGGTGGTTTATGATCGGTTATGGCGCAGCAGGAACTGGCTCGGTCCTACCGACTCTACAAGGGATCCTACTACTACTCCTGGTAGAAAACGAAAGCGTGATGTTCGAAGCTGGGAATTTGATGAAGAAGCCATGAATGGCGAACCTATTGGTACAGGACCAGAAGCAAAACCCACGCCCGCGCACGAGCGCCTGTCGCATAGGAAGTTCATTGAGAATATCACCTGCCATAATTGCTCAGCCGAGATCCTTGAAAGATGTGAGCAATGCTCGGTCATGATGCATTGTGCTGGTTGTCGCAAAACATTGTGTGCCAGTTGTGCTTTTGACAGACCTTATTTACGCAACAAAATGGCTCCAGAGGAGGACAAAAACAAATTTTGGTGGGCACCTGGCTGTGCAGTATCTCCCTGCTCGATGCAGGATCAGGATTTGCCACCTCCTGGTGCCGTCAATGGAGTCCCTGTCGCCAATACAAACACCCTTCCTAATATCAAGTTCAAGTGGTGTTGTACTGAGCCTGTCTTCTCCGGAGGTGGGGGGATAACTTTTGGAGGTATCTCCCATCGCGAAACCGACCAAATCCGTGCCGCACCGTTACCACCAGGCCATGGGTGGGAAGACCCAGAGTTCAGCACTGATCGAACAGATATGGAGGTGACTGAACCTCGATTTCCGACCTTTTCTCCCCAAAACAGCACGGGCGAGGCCATTGGTGGACGGTGGTGTTCCATCGATGGTCTTTTCCGGACCGCAGGCTCATTGAGCTCTGGAGATCATCACTCAGTCTCTGTTCCACGAATACTCTGTGATGAATGTTATACTTCGGATCATTGGAAATTAAAGTGTCAAGCCTGTTTTACGTCATTGTGTCTCAAACACGACATCGGAGACCGCGTTAAGGCCCGGATCTGTGGCTTCAAAGATCTTGCCGTTGAAAAACAGGAATACAAGTCTCGTCAGAAGGCTATCAAAATATTGGCAGCTTTGATGCGTCAACGAAAAGAGAAAGCCTTGGCGAAGGGACGCTCCGCAGAAAAACTATCAGGTTCTGATAACAATCGGGTGTTACCATCAATTATTGCAACCACCGAGCCAAGCTCAAGTACCAATGCGCCACCTCTCACTGCAGAACAGCCTACCGTTGTGTTTTCAGAGACAGCCGCCATTGAGGCCGGGATGGAAAATCTGCTGAGAAACCTCCGTGCCCCTATGCCTGAATCAGAATTTCCCCTGCGGCCAAGTTCTCCAGCATCCAATAGTTCTGGTGCTATTTCCAGGTCCACTTCACCCACACCATCGACTCACTCGAACTCACCCACTCCAGAACCAAGCTCGGCTCCCCGGCGACCAACACGACCTGCCATGCAACCCATACCACGTTGGCAAGGCTGTTTATCCGTTTTCTGCACACTAATCCGGGCTCCTGGTGATCATCGGCGACGGTGTACCGCAGTGATGCGTCAATGCGTTGAATGTAAGACACACATCTGTGGTGGCTGTGCAGATTCATTTGAGCCTCCGTGTCCGTGCAAGGGTTGCCGTGCTCCACAATCGCAAGCCATACCTTCTCCGCAGTTGGCACCAGCACCCGACAACGCGTCCGAAACTCCATATTTTTTCTGTCCCAACTGTAGGTGGCATCGAATGGAGAATGGGAAATGCAAGAAAAGGTCAGAAGCGTTTCTTTCGGCACAGCAGTCGGCCTCACTGAAGAAGTCAAAAAAGAAGAGGGGTAAATTGCGAAAACCTGTCGAGGAACGGCGACTGGCTAGCAATACGGTGGGCGGCTCTTCAAGTGAGGAGGAAGCCATTGATGGACTGGTGGAATTCTTCAATTGCCTCAATGCACAACTCCACGGTATACAAGTTCATGAGAGTGGTGCAGCTGGTGCTCCCAGTTCCGCCTACGACGACCCTCTCGGATACGCCAACCAAAATGACATTCAAGAGCTGGAAGACATGGGCGCCTTGGCTCGAGATCTGATATTTAGGATTCAACGCCTAAGAGATCAGTTTGTTCCCGGCTCACTGGCGGCACGTGCCTTACCAGATATCCGACTTCAGGATGTGGCCGAGTCGGCCGATGCTATGAATGTTATTGCTACTCTAACTGAGAATGAAGCCAATGATGCAAGACCAGACATGACAGGCGCGAATGCGATTGAGCCTGACGAGCCCCTAGAAGAGGAAGCAGGAGAGCAAATATCGAGCGCAGATTGAGATTGGTGAGACAAGTCGGGGTGGGGCGAAAGGTGCGGAGACAAAGATCAAAATTTGCTTTTACTTGAGCGTGGCTATTCGAGACAGAGTTCAGCCAGCATTGCATGATGATATGTGAACCACGATACGCATCTATCACGACGGTGTTCTCATTGAATGGAGCCATGCCACGCGTCGGCTCGGAGTGGTTTCCGAACAAGTATTGATGGCGATGCAAGAAGACTGGCTTCGTTTTGCATTGACTGCTGGTGCCTGAGCTTGAAGAATTTTGGTAATATTTACTTATGTATGAATGACAAGGAATATCTTTCCATCTCAACGTTTCTGTTTCAGAGCACGGATGTATCCGTACTGAATCGCATCAAATCTAACCATGCCGCCCAGGTGAGATCGCAACCGTAACCAAAAGTCCGAGTATTATTTTTGCTCCTGCTTGATCGAAACAGGACTGATGCCTGCACATTATTGTGCATTGATAAAATACTAGTTCACCGGTTTCGAAGTTCCTCATCTGTATCGATATGTTCAGACAATCTTCCCCCCCGCCTGCCATCAGGTTCTCATTCGAGCGTTCGCCATTTTCATGCGCCCAACGAACTGGACTGGCCCTGGGAGCAACCAACAGAAAACATGCCTGTTTGTCTTTCGGTCTCGCACTGCCTCGTACTGAGGAGGACCTCGGGGCGGTTATCGATTTGGCCGAGGCGGCTTCCAGGGGTGTGCAGAAGTCCAGTGGCGGGAATAGGCTCGGGGTGGCTTTAATGAAGCCTCGTGTTGCCAATCATGGCAATGTCCTATCAGGCTGGCCGGCCTTAGTTGTCAATTTACGGCTGTTCCTCCTTGGCACCACACCTTTTAGGGATGAAAGGTTACACACTGCCGGTCGAGTTCGTATTCAGTCGTCTCAGGAACGTGTCCTTGTTGGTGTCTACTCGAAACAAAACTATCGCCGTGGCTGAGGACACCTCGTGTGTCGCCTGACCAGTGGCATTCCGGCTCTACCAACGTATTGGCTGTCTTCACCTCGTGTTTATGCACTCTGCAGGGAAAGCTTGTGTTCCGTACCTGAGGCTCATCCAAAAAGGGGGCGCATGTTCGTATACGAACTACAAACTACCTTTCCAATCCCCCCGTCACACCAGTCAAGCTACTCGTAACAGCCACGCGAACCTTGTTGTGGTCAACTTAGGATGGAAGGCATTATAATATGGCTCTCCAGAGCCCCAAGCGATCAGTATGATCGCCCAACGTGGGACTTTTGTTATTATTCTTGGTTACGCTCTTTTGCCTTTCTTTTCCACGGCCTGTCATGCTTGCCAAACGGCTGAACCGTGCCATTGTTCGGTAACGCCGAGTCATTCTTTTGCTTGTTGTGAAAGCGCCTTTTCCTTCTTTTCAGTATGCCAGCGGTATTTCAGCGGTTGGAGGACCGGCAAAGCATGTCTCGGGATGGGAGGAAGACGAAGGGCAAGAAGCCGTACAAACCTGTTATGACCACGGCTCCCATTATGCTGATCTTCATTGTCGTTGCGGTTGCTTGTGTGGTCCTTCTCCAGAACATTGTCGAGAGTGGTACTCCTTTGCACGATCGCTACGATGAGGATTCACAAAAGCAACAGCGCATCAAGCGAGAGGGCGCTATCCCGCCCAGCGAACCTTCCTTTGCCCTCCAACCAAGACAAGCTGGATCATCAACGGCAGCAGCCACAACTAGTCCGCCTGCACCTTCTTCGAGTTCTTCATTCTTTACAACTACGACTAGCACCATACCTGATGTTGAGGTGGAAGGCAATACCTTGAGCTCTACCACGACCAGTACTACCCCTGAGGTTGAGGTCGATACTTTCTCTACTACAACCAGTACGATTCCGGAGGTTGAGTTCGAGCCTTCCTCGTCTACTACGACGAGTACTATTCCGGACGTTGAGATCGATACTTTCTCTCCTTCTATTACCACAAGTTCTTCGGAAATTGAACTTGACACTTCCTCTACTACCACTACTGCGATCAGCAGCGACGGTGAGAATGGTTCGGCCTCCATTCCACCATCCACGCTCTCTACCACTACGACACATAGTACGTTGACGACAACAACACTCACGACAACGAGCCCAGCCCTGACGAGCTCCCTCACCACCACCACCACAACCACTACCACGACGATCGCTTCCACCACGAGTTCAGCTACAAATCCCTCCACTACAACCTCTTTTTCATCTGCCAGCTCTGACTCCACAACGACCTCGGACTTTCCAACTACGACATCTCCCACTTCCACCCCAGGTCCAGGACTTGTTTGCGGCCTTGAGGTTGATGCCTACTATATCGATTCTGCTGAAACCCTCATATCGACTTTGCTTGGTACTGAACAGACTTTGGATACCGCCAGTTGTTTAGATTTCTGCATCAACAACATGGATGAGGGTGTTTGTCAATCAGTTATCTTTGAAGACCCTGAGAACAAATGCTACTTCTTCATGGACACGTTCCAAGATTTCAATCTGGGAGGCATCTACGATCCAGAAGAACGTACTGATCCCGACAATCACTATTTTTTCTCTGATGCTGCTTGCTGGAATAGTACCCTTCCCGATCCAATAGATCCCGTTACCACCACTACGACAGAGTCTTCCACAACTTCTGCAACTAGTTCAACGACCACGTCAACGATAAATTCAACATCTAGTTTGAATGCGACGACGACCACTTCATTCACAACCAACAGCACGACTTCCATTTCAACGAATACTACGACGATATTCACTACAACAACCAATATAATAACAACCACCAGCACTACCAGCCTTACGACAACAACACTGACACCGACTGCGACGTTGCCGACCACAAATTTCACTGTCCCGAGTACAACTTTGACACCGACAACAACATCAACACTCACTATAACCTCCAACTTAACGACATCAACACTTACGCCAACCACCACAACCACCACTGCTTCCTTTTCTATATCCACTTCACCTTCGTTCACATCATCCTCCACCCCAACGACGTCGCCTCCTACGCTGACGACGACCACTACAGTGATAATTGTTGGACCTAATCCTCCAACATCATCTCTGACAACTCCGAATGCTGCGACTACGCAGACTTCGGAAACATCGAGTGACTCGCCATCTACGTCGACTCTGTCTGCTACAAGTGCCACTTCTAGCCAAGAAACGATATCTCCCACCATGTCTGTCTCTAGCAGCGCATCGCTAGATCCAATAACATCACCAACTACTTCAACACCTGATCCAACCACGACTCCAGACCCTGTAGTCATCCCAAATACTGATCCAACCACAGAAATCACAACTTCGGCTACAGTTTTTGTTGGTACTGGAGATCCTGGTCCATCAACAACACCAAGCGAATCTACACCACAGACAGCCGCCACCGTTACGAATGCCCCGACCAGCCCAGCATCACAATCTGGTGATGCTGTTTCGAATATTGCCACAGATTCCATCGTTACTGGGTCATCTAACACAGCGGAAGGAGCCGGTGGCTCTCAAGCAACGAAGACGAGCCAAACTGCATCCCAATCGGAATCTGCTGCTGCTACAGCTGTTCCCACACAAGCATCCCAAGATTCTGCCACGGCAAGCAACGCTGATACATCACAGCAGACAGATTCTGCTACAAACCAGCCATCAGCCCCAACCGCAGCCCAGGCTACAAATCCTGCCACAACTGTTCCAGCATCAAATGCAGTAACTCAACCGCAAGCAGCGAATAGTGCAACTCAGGCTCCGGGTGTTTCTGCTTCGAATGCCAATTCACTTTCTGATCAGGGCCTTGATACGAACTCTTTGAGCGGTAGCAATACTGTCACAACTGGAACACAGCCAACCGAAACGGGCAGTGTGTCAATTGTTGCTGTTGCTTTATCAAACGACCCAACAGCACTTGCCACAGCATCTATCTCCGGTTCAACGGCTGGTACCAACGGGACTGGCTCCGGCTCAGATTCTGGTTCTGGAGCTGGGGGCGGCGGCAGTGGAGGGGGCGGAGGTGGTTCAGGTGCAAGTGGGGACACTGTGCACCCTATCACCGATAGCAGCCCATTTATTCTCACACTGCCAGTCCCAATTACCGACACTACCTTGTATGCAGCAATATTTGTAACGGTAACCATGTCTGTCTTGTTCAAGAGTTTTTGGTGCGTCGTCTTTGCTTCGGCGAAAATGATGGAACCATTCTATCAGTTATCAAAAGAAGCTACCATGGTAACGGCAGAGTCGTCAGTCCTTCGTCAGTACCTACAGGCTGGCATTGAGTGGCGAGATCTAAATCCCAAGAACAAGCATTGGGTCATGTTCTTAACTACTGTTGTCAGCATCCTACTCAGTGTTCAGGCTTCGATAGCCTCTGAAGCAATGACTGTTCAAGCCGGTGCCACCTGCGATACTCACAATGGTACTAAGCTTTGCGATCCTGTGTGGGTTATCAATTACGCTGTTGTTCGCGGACTACAAACAACTCTTTGCATTGCTGCAGTGGCCATCGCAATACTGGTGTACTTAAATTGGAATCGACCAAGCGCTCTATTCTCTTACCCTTGCAGTATTGCTTCTATGGCTTCGTTACTGAGTAACTCCGAGGATGACATGGTTGAGATTTTGCGAAATATTCATCCCGATGCTAAAGAATGGGCCGTCAAGAAGGTGATGAAAGGGAAGTCTTTCACCTTTAGACGAACTCACGCGCGAGCAGGATCTGATATCCTCGGTGTTTCGGTTCAAGTCGATGAAGTCCAACCCATCGAGCGAGCTACACACCCAGCGGCGACCTCCCGCTCCCTGGGTGACGGCGTTGATATAGCTGGTCTTGCAAGTGGTTCGCACATTCCGTCATCTTGGCTTGACCGGCTTCCTTGGAGCAAGGGTTACATCACCATAATCACTCTGCTTCACATGGCACTGTTCGGCGTTATTCTTTCCTTTGTCCTTGCTGGGAACGACATCTATGAGGTCAATCTAGTCGGGACTGACGGCAAGCAACACTTGACCGCTGTAAGATGGCAGTTCCTGGATGGAACAAAATTTGGACCTCGATTTTTCATGACATTACTCGTCTCATTTCTCTTTACTCCTTTCTGGGAACAGTTTGAGCTAGCCGTCCGAGTTATGGTGCCATATCGGCGTCTCCATAAGGGGAATAAGGAGGGTCGCCATCTCCTTACCATGTACCTTCATGGTGTGCCCTTCACGTCGTTCTTCAAGGCACTCAGACACAAGAACTGGTATCACGCTTTCATCGCACTTACGACCATGCTGTCATACGTGCTCTTGATCCTGATTGCTGGTGTTCCTTACAATTATGGCCAAATCAAGAATGTGTCATACTACAGTTCAGTCGTGAGCGTGGCCATACTCGGCTTCATGCTTGTAGCCATGGTATCTCTCATTTTCTGGCAAATGGGCAACCCCCGCATGCCGAGAAAACCCGATACTCTTATCAACACCTGGCTATTGATGTGCGGCAGTGGATTCGTGGATGAGCTTAAGGGTCGTCCATTATACGAGATTAAGGAAGATCTTGACAGCGGCAATGGGCGGTACTGGTTCCGTAAAGCGACGGGTATTGATGGCGCACAGAGGTGGATGGTTGACACGGAAGGTGACGATAATTGGCAGATAAGGCGACAGGCGAGCACGCATTTGTTGGATCATACTACAAAGCCAGAGCAGAATAGATATTTCTAGTTATTTAGCGTTGGTTGAATTGTGATACCCCCATGATGAGAGGCATGGTTACTGTTAGAGCGACGTGTTAGGTTTTACGAGGTTACAGATTGTCTTTAGGTTTTCGCCAATTTTGTTGCATGATGTTGATAGATTCCACTAGCCAGGCCGGATTTTTTTTGATATTATGCGTCAAGTTTTCGCTCATGCTTTTCAGGAATCACCAACGAGACTTGTAGCAACGGAGCAAATCATTACTTCGTTCGGACATTATACTTCCTAATTGGGATGATTACTCCGATAGGTCTAGTGCTTTCCTATCCTCTTAGATGTGCTGAACCTGGAGGGCCCTATGTCTCGTTTCATTGGATAGCGAAGTTGGAATGGACCTACTCGTACTTTCAGTGGATATGCTAGCTACTTTCTCAGGTTGGTGTGCGACAGATGTGCGTAGACGTGGGCCACATAACCCGAAAAACTTCCTCTGCTAACCCGAGTGGGTAATATAATTCTGCACCTGAGAGTTCGATGGGGTAGGGTGGGTCAATGAAAGGACAGGCACGTCGGACGTTTTGCCTGTTTCATTTACTTGCCTCTTCTGGGTTGTTGAATGGTCGATTTGGCAAGGCGAGGTCGTGGATGCTGGTGACGTTCGCCGGGTCTGGTGGTTGTTCTCTCATAGCATGTTCTGAGACATCGGGTCTGGGAGTTTACATAGTATTTAAACATTGCAAGACGCTCCCCCTTTACAATGGGATTTTCCTTCGTCGATCTCAACCCTTTCAGCAGAGAGAAAGTGAAGTAGGATTATGGCGAGCCAGAGTATATTCTCCACGGACAAGCCAGCATTTGCAGCTCCTCGGCACGATCCGAATGTCCAAGATGTAGATGTGGTGGTGGTGGGCGCCGGATTGAGCGGCCTCCAAGCGGCAACGGATGTGCAGGACGCCGGGTTTTCGTGCGTCGTGCTCGAAGCAAAGGATCGTGTGGGTGGCAAGACACTCTCGACCACGGTCGAGAACGGCCGTGGAGTGGTTGATCTTGGAGCGGCCTGGATCAATGACACCACACACTATAAAATGTATGCGCTATTCAGGAAGTTTGGGTGCGAGCCGATCGTCCAGAAGATGGCTGGGCACGAAGTCTTTCGCATGAGTGCTCAAGATCCTTCGTTCAAGACTCAATGGCCTGGTCTGCCGGCTGTGGATGAGGTGGAAAGACGGATGTTTGAGAAGATTGCTGCTGATATGGATGTGGATTGCCAGTCTATTGACCTTCATGACTCTGTCGCAAATGGTCACGTCGAAGATATTCCGCTCGGAGAATATTTTCGACGCAAAGTTGGGGATGGCTTCGCCCGGCGGTTGTGGACGGCTTGGATCCATGACTTGACGGGAACAGACCCTGATGATATCGGACTGGTATATTGGTTGGACTTCGTGAAGAGCGCTGGTGGAGTTGAAAGTCTTCTGAGCGATGGACCTGCAGGTGCTCAGTATATGACCAACAGACATGGTATCATCCATTACTTCCTAGCTGAGCATCGGGGCTGATCATGTGAACCATAGGGAATCAAACCATTTCTCAGCGACTAGCAGAAAACCTTGCCCTTGGAAGCGTGTATCTAAGTCGTCCAGTCAACGGCATTACTCAGACGAACACTGGAACTCTGGTCGAAACCCTGTCTGGAGAGTCCTTTCGGGCACGCAAAGTCCTAGTCTCTATTCCCACCCCTTTATACCGGCACATCAGATTCTCACCTTCTTTGCCATCGGACAAGCAAGAGTATGTGGACTCCGTATACCTCGGGCCGTACTGTAAGTGTCTCTTGTTATACTCGAGTCCTTGGTGGCGAGATGCGGGCTTCAATGGCTCGTTTGTCGATTTGTCGGGACCCGTCGTGTTTTCTCGAGACGTGTCATCGGATAAGGACAAGATGTACGCTATCTCATGTCTCATTGGCGGTCAGTATGCACTCAAGTGGTCGCGTCTGCCTAAATCCCGCAGGGTGAACGCAATCAAAGACCAACTAGCCTCAATGATGGGTGCCGAGCATGGAGAGAAGGTTTATAGCACAATCCAGACGATCGAGAAAGCATGGGCTAATGAGCCCTTCATTGAGGGCGTGCCTTGCCCTATGCCTGCCCCTGGTGGTATCTGGCCACGTCTTGGAAATGCACTGCGAAGGTCATTCGGGAACGTACATTTCATAGGCACGGAAACTGCCATCGAATGGAAAGGGTACATGGAGGGAGCAGTTCGTGCTGGGGAGCGAGGGGCTGCTGAGGTTGTTGCAGGTCTCAAGGCGGCAAAGAGATAGAGTCCTAGATAAAGTGAATCGTAAGGAATGTTTGTGTTGTAATTGATATTGTTACCCACGATGTTCTGGCTATCCGCGTGTATGTCTGTGCCACCTTTATATCGTGGTCCTATTGCTCAGCCAAAACAAATGCTTACTTGGAGCGAGTCCTGGGATCTAGCTGAAACTCTTCGATCTACAATCTGTCCCCACCAGACGTTGCTGAGACCATCGAGGTCTTGTGATGCCCAGATCTCTTCCAATAGTGGAACCATTGCGCCGAACATGTGATATCGAGTCCGTTCGTTCCACGACAAACATAATGTCTTGATCTTCGTCCTGGCAAACGGATCTGTCATTTCGCATCCAGCGAAGAACAGAGGTAGAAGAGCTTGCCTCGCAAGAAACTGATCATCTCGACAGGAGCAAGTATGGTCTAAAATAGCCCTGGCGTGGGTCATTATCTTCCTTGGAGGGTATTCAGTAGACTTCCACCTAAAAACACGGTAGATGTAGAGGAGAAGTCCATTCCGCCACGCCTCAGAGCAGTGCATGCGATCCACATCTTGATGTATGCTTTCTTCGTCCTCGTGGCCTTTTTCTGAAGGATGATGGTGCCATGATTCGAGTGTCTGCTCGATACCTAAGATTGGGCCATCATCGAAGACACTCCCATGCATCGACGCCAATTTATGCTTTTCTGATGCTAAGTGCGCCAATTGGAGTAGCGGAACAACAAGACTTTGCGGGCAACCACATAAGCCGAAAAATGTCCACATTCGGCTGTTGCCAGAGGTTAGGACTGACTCAAAATATTCGTATGGGAAGACGCAAGGGGTTCTGTTGACCAATGCTACCACAGCATCCCACCTGTATGTGTTGTCAGTGTCTTACCAGATGTAAGTCTGTGAATCTCATATTAATCCAGAACGCACCAGATGAGTAGTGCAACCTGTACCACTGTTCTGGGATTCTGGGTCCATGTCATAATACCTCCAGAAAGCTCTAGAATATTGTATGCCCCGGCTAGATGTGTCGTCCAATTGCCAAAGAGGGAGTCTGCTTCCTTGAGTGAGTTTCTTAGCATATTTCTGAATGCCACGAAAGCAGTAGCTCACATCCAATGAAAAAAGAATGATTATTGTGTCAAGCAAGTAAGTACTTGCCTGAACAAGGCTGTTGTTCTTTAGGGCCCTCTGAAATAGTTGTAGCGCGGTCCGACTGTGGTTAAGAACTGTTTCCGAGAGCTGGCCTCCACCATTTGCCAAGGATGAAATCTCGGTATGGTGACAGGAAAGAGCAAGAACAGCATGCAGGAGATATTCGGCTCCTTGAAATGCGCTTTTGCGACAGCGAAACGGATTCAAGGGCAAGTTCAGAGTCAATGGTATTACACAGAACTCGTCGTTATCTCGGTCTTGTTAGTAGAGAGTCCCAAGCCGGTCGTTTTTCCCACTAGACCTACATCTGTCAAAAAGAGATTCAAACTGTTCAATCTTTCCGTTGTACAAAACGCTTGCAGGAATGTGAAATTTGGAGTGGTGATATACTGCGAGTTCCCTTGAGACTGAACAATGCTGGATCGCAGCTCTCGAGGGATACTCTTCGATGAACACCAGCTGTCGTGCGCCGATCGGTTCGGAAGACAAATCGCGAAGAGATCTGCGCGCTATGGATCGCCTGGTGGGTTTTCTATATGTTGAGAATCCAGGTACCCAAGACAGCTGAATTGTGAAACCGCCACAGACAATCCCTAAGTTTTGACAATTTTGGCAGCAGGGCCGAGCTCCATCACATTTACGCCGCTGCTCAATGCATGTATGACAATCAGAGCCGCGGAACTTGGGTGGACGACCTTTGCGGCGTGTTGAGTTCTTATGCTCCATGGTTGTGGGAGGTACAATATAACTCCTGATGAATGTACGAAAAGAGTGGATTGGGTTAACTTGAGTTGCGAATGTAAGCTTGCCAACGTCATGCCAGGGGAGCCGCCTCGGCCTTTGGCGCTGGCTGAGGCCCTCGGCCTTGAGAGGGGCTCGGGCTCACAATGGGATTTAGGGTGCTCCATCCCGCCCCTGGCACCACGATGGCGCCCATAGGTGCTCGAATACTAACTCCCTATGTCCTTACAACAATGGGCCATAGCCCGCTAAATACCATACAAGCAGACAACTGTACCACGATAGGGTCTGACAGTACAGCATTCTAGTCCAGGTAGGCACCCAGGCATCATTTTTCGGAAGCCCTCAAGCGCCGCAAGAGAATCCCCCTCTTTTATGCTCTGGGTGTTTCAGGCGTTGGCGTTGTAAATAGTGAGTGTCGTTAGTACGGGCAACAATCAATCTTGAGGGCTGACTTCCTCTTTTGTAGCCCTTTCTATCTCCAGGGAAGTCACAGGGGAAGTCGACCGCGCATTTGCATTCCAAATATCACGACGAAGCCGTTCATAGATCTCAGCAGACTGTCTCCCACAAGTTTTCAGTCCAAGGTTAAAGACTCCTGCCCAACATTCAGACCAAGTTTTTTCAAGGAGAACTCTGGAACTGAAATCTGATGTTGCAGCCCAGGCCGACGTCAGACAAACCGGTATCATGCCGGCGCCCAGGGGTTTTAACCCCTGTGCAGCATAAGACAACCAGACGATTTCTTGACAGATCTCAAAGTTCCGCGATTGAAGCGTGGCATCTTCAGGATGATACGCTTGAAGAATAGCGTTGAGCATCACCTCCAAACTTAGGAAGAGTCCATATATCTTCTGGTAGAAGTCATGTAACCGTTTTACTGTCACCTCCATTCTCGGATGTTTTGGCAGATCGAGGAAGGTTTTCTCATCAGAGCCATCGAGAGTCTCATACATCTTCTCTCGCAATTTGACGCACGTTCTCTGCATGTCTCGATGAAGATGGGCAATTTCATCGATCTTGGTGGGGTCATAGCGCATGAAATCGGCAATGGCCAGTACGGAAGAAAAGATTAGCCCAACCTGAGATCGACGAGGCTGATTTGGTAAGTCACCAATGCCTTCCCCATCGTCGTCATCGGGGATGACCGGCGTTTCTGTAGCGATCAAGAGCTTCAGCAGCCAGGAATTCAGCTGAATAGTCGGATCCACAAGGCGTTCAAAAATCTACGACTAGGAATCAACAAGATTGGACTGTGCACAACATGCAGAAATGCTTACCACGGGTGCTGCTATGGTCATGTGCACCATGTGATCAAATTCATCCACAGACTTCCTCTGAGATACTCGACTGAGCAATTTTATTATTCCCGATGAATGTCCAGTAAATACCATATCTTCATCATTACTGACCCAAGCCTAGGGCGATCTTAGTAAACACCACTCATCAAGAAACGGGGTCTTCAAACCTGGCAAATCCAAATGAGGTATATGGCACAGAGAGTACTAGAAGATTGCACAGCAATCGGGTCATGCAGGCATGTTTTGAGCGACACCAACGCCTTCCCATATGCAGAGAATACTTCTGGTGACCTGGGTTTATCTCCGAGGTGTGAGACGATGGTTACCATAGCCGAGACCGAAGCATCGAGAGCAGCATTGGTACCCAACCGTCTGGGGAGTTCATTGAGAAGCCCGCCGTAGGCCCAGCAGAGATCATACCGAGGATCCCTCACCTGGAGCTTTTCAATCAAAGCATTGGCCAAAGCGGTCGTCGCACTATTTGGATCCCGGATGATTGCCCCAGAAGCGATCACGCCCTTTCTCGGCTGGAAATGTTTCGACTCTACTGTTGTCTGTGGCTCTCCAATGACGACTTGCTTGAATTTGAATCTCTGAACACCAGCTCCAGTGCACGGGAGCCGTAATCGAATGCATCTCGAGCATACAGGCTTGAGTTGATCGCACTATGACAGGATTAGCAATGTTTCACATAAACAGATCTGGAGAGTCGTACCTTCTTCTTAGAACTCATGCAAGAGTTGCAACCTTTCCCAGATGGAACTCCTGGCATCCTCAGCGGCGGGTTTTGCCTCTATCAGCGAGAGCCGTCGACCACTCCGATGCACGACGCTTAGATCAATCATGGTGTCATTAGAAGGTACTTGTGAAAGAAAGATATCATCTATTCACAGCGCTGCCTGGGACAGATGATCGCCCAGGAAAGATTGGCCGTCGGGAAGCAGGTCGTCTCTATCGCATCGTCAAGTGGGGCCGTAAGGCCTGACAAGCTTGGGGCTCCAGCGGCGCATATACATCCTTTTGGGACTAAATCATCAAGGAGGCAAGCTGACTAATTGCTTTAAGGGTCTAGTTTGCCTGCGCCTACACCTTGGCCGAGGCGCAAGGCTGCCACAAAGCCTTTGGTGGGATGGATGGATCCCTGGCCTGTGTCGTACTTGAACTAGTTGAGTACGACTTGGCGATAGGCTGTCGAGTGTAAACGTGGCTGTGATTAAGATTGGGAGGAGGGCCGGCTTTTGAAATAAGTTAAACAAAGCCTACCCTCTGTGAACGAGTTTAGCAAGCTCAGCAAATCCATACTCAAAGCGCCAGTCACCTACTGGTCCATACTCGCTCGGATTCTGAAGAGTAGCGCACGAGGAAGATCAATCTGGGCATCGAAAAATTCTCATTATTCGTTGTGAGCCACATGATGGCGACTTGAGAGGTATCGACTTTCATTCATAAGCCGCGTGAAACCGTGGATGAAGTCCCTGGGCTCACAGGTTTTGACACGACGCAGAGTAAAGCTGGGCTGAAAATTTCATGACTCGTCCTCTCCACAGCCTTGCGCGGAACGAAGGGACAGCCTCGTCTTGTGGGGGCCGCCCACTGGCACTGCATGTCAAACAACCAAGTTCCATGGCATAAGGTACGATCCCGGGTTGGCCATTAGACATGATGCACTATGATTGAAGCTTGATACTATGGGGCGCCACGAGAATTGAAATACTCTTCAATCTTTCTCACTCTTGCCCTCTCCTGCTCGTTCTGGAGGAGATGAGGTTCGTCCCTTCCAGCTCAACGGAAGGGTTCCGCTAAAATCGTGCTGTGACGGAATTTCAGCCCCGCGACGGGAAGCATCCTTGAACTCTCCCATGTCGGGAGTACCCCGCGTGCAAAATATTGACGTCGTTATAAAACCATTGATAGGGACTTCTTTCAGAAATCAGCTCAGTCAATATATCCTTCTTGAAGTGCCCTAACTCTTCTCCCTGTTCACTACGAAATCAATCCGAAGAAATCTGATCTACGTACAACGACAGTTTGACTTTCCACCAGGAAGCAGGCCGAAGAACCAATCGCTGAGGGCTTTTACTTTCGTTTTTACAAATTAGGAAGTAAAGCAGCAGAACATGTCCGCCAGAGTCGCCCTCGTCACCGCGTCCAGCGCCGGCCTCGGTGCCGCCGCCGTGAAAGCCCTGGCATCACACTTCCGCGTTGTGGTGAACTACCACTCACGTCGCGAAAAGGCCGAGCAAGTAATCGAAGAAGCATCCAAAATCCCAGCCACATACGCGACAAGCGAGAACGACGCCTCACAACCCCGCTTCCACGCCATCCAAGCAGACGTACAGCAGAAGTCCGAGATCCAGCGCCTTGTGTCTGAGACGGTCGAGAAGTTCGGCCGGCTGGATGTCGTCGTCTCCAACGCGGGCTGGACGCGGCTGACGAATTTCTTCGATCTGGAGCAGCAGGTCAACGATGACGACTGGGACAAGTGCTTCAGTGTGAATGTCAAGAGTCATCTGTGGTTGCTCTATGCGGCGAAGCCGTATTTGGAGAAATCCGAGGGTGGGGGTTCGTTCGTTACCGTCGCGAGTCTTGCAGGTGTGCGGCCGAGTGGCAGTTCGTTGCCGTACTCTGTCACGAAGGCGGCAGAGATCCATCTTATGAAGGGTTTGGCCATCATCTGTGGGAAGAGTATAAGGTGCAATAGTGTCAGTCCTGGTCTTATGATGACTGAATGGTGAGTTTGCTGCGTCCACTATCTTTCTTGAATCTCCATACTCACAAGGTTTCAGGGGCAATCAATTCCCGGAATCAAAAGTCAAAGCGACAACTGAAAAATCGGCGTTGAAGTCGACTGCTACGCCCGAGGACGTGGCCGAGCAAATCAAGACACTGGTCCTCAGCAAATCGATCACGGGACAGAACATCGTCATTGATTGCGGAATCGCCATCTAAGAAGATCTCAATGGGAAAGAGACCAAGACCTCTCCTGCACCTTGAACACTGTGATATCTTCTAAAACACCAATTTCTATGACTTTCGTCGCGGGCAATGAGGCTGTTGAGCGGGGTTTTTACGCACGGCTTGCAGTGTCGCAAGTACCCATGGATTTTACCTTGCGAGCCGCTTGAACCCAATGATATTTGCGCAACAGTCGCGAGGCTGAACACGGCGGGGTGTCCAGATTGGCAGTCGTTCAATTGTGCAAAGTTCGCCGATCCCACCAAGCACCTGTGCCCTCTCATCTGCCGAATGAGACAGCAAGCCATCGATGCGAGCGACCCAGGCGGTCTTTCTGCCGTCAAACCACTTCCCGCGCTCGCTTGATGGGTCAACAGCAAGATATACGAGACCCATCGATACGCAAGACTAGGCTAGGGATGAACCTCAGGTACGCGAAAGTAGACCTGAGAATCGACAGCAACGACAGGCTAGTAATTTGCCGCACACTTGTACTCACCATAGAATCTGTGAGAGACAAGAATGGATGATATGATCACAGACGACGAGGCAGATAGAGCTTGACTGACTAGAGCATGTATATGTAGCAAACTCCACAAAACAGGGGACTCTCATTAGTTGGACCTAACCGTATTCTGGTATCTACATAGACAAAATGCCGTTCCCCAAGCAGCCTATTGTAAAGCAACCGATCATAAAGCTCGTAAATCGTCATCTCAAACTGCCTAGCTCAATCCAAGTCATTCTCACCATCGAGATCCGGAACAGGTCCACCCGAACCGGCCGTCGCGGCCCGCTTCAACACCTTGAGGGCAGCACGACACCCCTTCTTCACAGCCTCGCGATCCCGCTTCTCCACGAGGTCGGAGTCCTTCACGTTCCGCTTGATGAAGAACTGCAATCTCTTCACGATCTGAGGTGTCTCTACGGCTCCACGTTCGAAGGTGCGGCTGATCGTTGTTTCCGGAAGAAGACTCGCATGGGGAGCAGAGGTCGTGGTGGAGTGTTTCCTCGCATTTGTATGAGCTTCCGTGAAAATCAGGACTAGCAGGAGTTCGACGAACATGCTTGTGCGCTCCTTGACATATGCTAGGTCAAGGACTTTGAGGATGCCAAGGGATTGGGAGCCATCGAGGATCAAGTTCGCGAAGAGGCGTGACAGATTGGCGATCTCGCTCATTTTGACTGGGTCGTTGATGGCTAGGCTGTCTTCCTCGTCATCACTTTCTTCGCCTTCAGCGTCCATTTTCTCACCTAGCCGGGTTCGCAGCCATCCCCATAATGCAAATTGGAAGGCCTTTTTCATCCTCGTTTGCATGCACAGGCGTTTCGCGACAAGGGCGTAGTAGGGATTGTAGGGGTCTTCGCCAGCGGCACAGCGTAAGAGGACATGGGGGATTTCGTGCTCTTGAGAGCGTTTCAAGCGCAATTTGAGTAAGCGGGTATGGGCGTCAACGGAATCGAGGGAGGAGAGAAGTGTGATGAAGATCGATCGGCGTACAGAGGTGTTCATTCCATACACACGGGCGAGTTCAGATAGGTCTATTTGATCAGGATCCTCATTTTCGTGGTTGTCGGGCAAAGCGGCTGCCAGGTCGTCTTCGTCGAGATGGCGATTAGTGGCCGGAGTGGCATCAAGATTGCCTTTCCAGCTTGCGCCTACAAGCCACCATTTACCCTTTCGGTCACTGTTCTTGATATCGTCTCGACTTACACGAAGTGGTTCATTGGCGCGTAAAGAGGGTCGGTTGTTGAGAGAACCCAGGGTCTTTCGCATCTGTGTGATGTGTTCGCTCGATAACCCGGAATTGCTGGTGGCTGCCTTCATTTTATTGTTCTTGAGGTCTGTGATCGTCTCAATCATGAATTTCGTACGAACCGACATATGTTCACCCTGGGTTGTCATTCTAGCGGATTCCTTCTGCATAAGCTGAACAATTGACTTCATTGAAGAAGGGTCATCTTGACGAAGCTGTGGCCCACAGTCCCGAATCAATCTCAGAAGGAGCTCGGTGTTGTTTTCAGTGAGTTTGGACAAAAGGATGCGAACATAGTCGAAGATAATGGCGCTAGAAACGACGTGGAAGGTGAAAAGGTTGGAAAGAAGACTGATGAGGTTTAGTGATTCTTTGCCCTGAGAGTCGGCTGTATGATATTGCTCAAAGCGGTCAATGGTCTGGGAAAGAAGATCGGCTCCGAAGTCAACTCCGATAACTTTGTATATAGCTGCTGCAAAAGCAGCATGGAGAATGACAAAGGTGTTCTGCAAAGACGACTTATTGCAGAAAAGAGTAAGTAGCAAGTCGATAAGCACGGTGGTGACATCTTGTCTGGGATTTGACTGATAGACTTTCTCAACCTCGCCCAGTATCGATATCAGATTTGCTTCGGATAACTTGTTGAGGTGACCCTGAATCTGCCGTTTTAGTCGTTCCAGGGATTGACTCTCGGATGCTTGGGCTTTCCTCAGCGAGGGAGGCACATATTTCGTCGTGGTTACTGTGTCCGCTGTGACAGGAGCCACATACGGGTTCTCCCGTATTTTCTTTATAGGCGGAGGCGTGGGCTCGTCTTCAGCCTCGAAACCTTCGAAATCTTCCTCGTCATCATTGGGATCATTCTCAGCATCAAGATCCGAAGCATCAAAATCTTCCTCGTCGTCATTCCCATCTTCGAGGTCAAACTCATCGCTCTGGTCACTGGTGCTTTCCACATCTTCCTCATTCTCATCTTCAACATCCAGGTCCATAGCCTTCCTCCTCTTCCTTTCCAACCATTCCCGCGCCTCACTTTTCCTCGCTGGCGCACCATCCTCTTCATCGCTATCCAGGCCACCAAGGATATCGTCCAATCCATCGTCCACGGCAGATCTCTTCCTCTTTTTCAGTCCCAGTCTCTTCTCCAACGTTGATATCTCTGCATCATCCTGCGCCGCTCGATCTTTGAAGGCCTTTGAGGAAGAGTCCAGGACCAAGGCGGGGGATGAGGAGCGGGAACTCGACGGCGAAGAGTCTGTGTGTGATGTCGTTTCTTCTGGTCTTGCTTTCGCTTGTTCTAGGATTGACTTGGGTTGCGGTTGCGGTTGAGAGTCTCGCTTTGATGCTGTTGCAGCTGGCTGCTTCTTGACAGAATGTCCGTGATCAGAGGACTCGTCGCTCTGATCAAAATCCCCACCATCTTCGTCCTCGTCGTCGTCCTCCACGTCGGCCGCCTGCCTCGAGAGATGTCTTGGCCCTCTCCCGATTCCTCTCTTCTCTTGTCTCTCCACCTTGCGCTGCTCTTTGCGCCCTCTCACTGCTCCATGCGCTCCTCGGGTTTGCCGCCCACCGTGATGCTGTCGCCCATGTTCCTCGATGCCTAGTTCCTGCCGTAGAGTGAATGGTAGTTTGATACCTTTCCGCTGCTTTTGAGCGTTGCGTGACATCGAGTTTGCGCTTCTGCGGCGCCGCTTGGTTGGATGGTCCGAGGGGAATGTATGTTGCTGGGGTCTACGATGCGGCGAAGACAAAAAAGTTTTGGACTGCATTGGAGTTAATTTGAATTTTCGGAGATAAGACCACTTAGTAGTCTAGTTCAGGGGCTAGGATGATAGAATCTGATTTGATTGGCTTGGTGGCTCTTAGCCTTTAGCTCAGCTAGCGACAACCAAATTCCCCCACCAAACGTGCCGAATATTGGCTCTCCCCATGCCTCTTCACATCGACGAGTAAATACCCTAACGACAACGCAGTGACTTCTCAACTCACTGTTAAAGTTCCACCAGTGATTCAGGACCGTCCGCACCAACGAATGCAGACCCTCCAATATGTCACAGCAAGAACGGCTCAGCAATGACGAGGTAAGATCACTGCCTTCCAAAACGTCCACAGTGGTCATAGACTAACCACACCCACCCTATACAGTTCTTAACCCGGCTGACGACACTCCTCGCCGAAACTCACAACACAGCACATGGCTCAATATACCTCACACAAAAGCCCGCCCCAGGCGCACAGCCCACAGACGCCGCAGTAGACACCGACTCGCCCACATCAAGTCAAATCCTGATCCGCGTGACGAACGGCCTGTCGAAAGACCACCGAGCACCAGTCTCAAAGCCCAGCGCCGGCAACAAATCCCGATCGAAAGTCGCAGCAACGCAAGGGAAACCCGATGGGCGGCCGAAAGTGAAGCTTGCGACAGTGGTGGATGCAGTGGAGTTGGATGCATTCTTTGCCCGATATGCGGAGGTGTGCAAGAAGGGGATGGAAGGTTTGAGGAAGCGGGATAAGAAGAAGGCGAAGGTCAAGGCGAAGGCGAAGAAGAAGGGGAAGGGTGGGGCTGGTGTCGGGAAGGCTACTGGGTGAGAGGGACGGTCAAGGCCTCGATGGGAGTGTTGAACCTATTGGATTCAATGTGGTGCTGCTGGATGGTGATCAAGTGATTGAATGGGCTGCAAGAAACGTCGAAAGACCACGATGTTTGTGGATCACGACATACTATTCTGTCTATGCCTGCTCTACGCATGCCATCTACACAAAGAGGGATGCGGGATCATATGATTGGAAGCATTGTGGCCTTGCTCAAATGCCCCGCTGTTGAAGGGTTGGCTACATGCTTCGAGAGCTTCCAGAAGATCTTATCATACCGATTGATCAAGTCATTTCTCGACAAGCACTCGCACTTTGACTGGTGGCATGAAGAGGTCCAAGAACTTAAAGCTGCATCTTCAGCTCAACAGAAAGGATGAATCATATTCTGTTCTGTTCGTCTGTATAGAGGTTGCTGTCATAGCTGGTATCAAAGTCAAATCATAGGTCCAGCTCTTGGCATGGTGTTACTCTGATATCACAAAATCCATCCACTATCTGGTATCAATCCCAAACGCCTTGCTTAAATACAACCCCCCCCGAATATCACATCCGAAATAGGGCTTCGTCCGTTTAATCGAGATCAAACATGGAGTCAGTGTCGGTGTCCCGTGTTGAAGCTGCGTTCGCCTTGGATCCAACACTGCGGGTCCGTCCACGAAGAGGCACCCCAAAGTCATCCTCATCGTCCGTATCATCGCGCGAAGGGCTCCGTTGATCAGGGAAGCTAGATCTTCGGCGATGTTGTTGAGGTGGTCGGAAAAGATTGCCACTGAGAAGATCGTTGAATGTGGCACCACCTGCAATCCGTGCCAGGATATGGACCAATAATACCACAGCCTCCATGGGCTTCACCAAAGCCACGTTACAGGCCTTCTGGAGGATTTCTGCTGTGAAATGATTTCCGTGGGTAGGGGAGCCAGGGGAGTAGAGAGTTGTGGATGGTGGTAGCGGGGAAAAAGATCGCTGGGTCTTCAGTCGTCTTCTGAGCCCTTCATCCCTTAGCGGCAAAGATGGTGTTTGAATATCTGGCCAGGACGAATCCGATACTGTGGATCTAGCGAGAGCTGGCGTTGCCGGATTATCTGTCGAATCCCGAGTGGATGGTCGCAAATCAGCCTGGGGATCGAGATACGAATCCACAGTCGAAGCGGTGATTGTCATTTCGGACAGTCCCCTCTGATGTCCTCGAGATCGTGTTGAAAACGGATCAAACCTCTCGGCGTGAGGTGTTTTCTCAGAATCGAAAGTATCCACGTGGGTTGCCAGTGACTGTTCGGTCAAAGAATGTGTGGTGTGGAACGATGCCACGCTGGATACACGACTTAAGCTGGTATCTTCTGTCAAACTTTCAGTGTCGTCCTCAATCTTCTCGACTGGGTCTGGCTTGCTCTCCAAGACTGGCTCGCCAACGCCAGGAATTACATGAGTAATTGATCCGGTATATAGATCTGCGCTTTTGATTTCCTCTTCAGGTAAACGCTCGGTGTTATCGACATCAAGCTCTGGGCTGGGATCTTCAACATTGTGCGCCAGGTCTTCTATTACTTTGACCTCTGGGATTTCAACATGTTCTTCTGTGGCATCCTCGTTGGGAAGAGAATCCACTTGGTTCATCTCATCGGTTTCCTGTTGGAGGTTCTCCGTCTCCTCGGAAGTATTTACAATTGGTTCTGATTCTTTCAAAGTTGGAGCATCAGGATCTGTGTGTTCGATTCCAGCCGAGATGGATGCATTCTCCGTCACCAAATTTTTCTCTTCAACATCAGGCTCACGAATAGACTTCGCATCGAGATCTGAGGCGGATTCAAGTGCGGATGCATTATCCGACAGAGCGCCGTCTGATGGGGGAAGATGAATCGAGCCGTCCGAAGGATGTGCTCGCTCAGAGTCGGAGTCGGCAGCCCGTAAATGGTCTTGACTGGTTTGCTCATCTTGTGGCGCATCGTTGCTCACACCATCTTCACTTGAAGTGTCTGCGTGCGCATGATCTCCAGGATCCTCACTAGAAGCAAGGCTAGAAGGGGTAGTAGAGCGGTAGCCATCTCCTGCTAAGGGGGGCCTCGGGGATGAACTGCGACTTGTGTCGAATCCATAGTCCGAACCTCGCCGTCCATATCGCTGAAGAGGGGTTCCAGAATCTTCACCCTGTAGACTCCAAGCACGTGTCGTCTTTGACCTTCTTAAAGGCAGCGGATCAGTGTTAGGGGTGGCTGCTTGTGGCGGTTGTTTCCTCTTCCAAGTACCTTTCCGTCTTGGGGTAATGGCATCATCCGGAAGGTCGACATGGAAAGCTCTTTTGAAAGGGCAGGGAGTCCTCTCGTAGCGAAGTACCTTGGGCCAAGCCTGTTTTAGGTCTTCAATCTTCTTCTTGTCATCTTCCGTCTCTGTTGGTAACTCAATCCTGTAGTATCGGAACTGGCCAATGCGTAGGACAAACCTGGATTCACCATCGACGCACCAACATTGAGAGTTACGCATGATGGCGTGCATGACTTTCTGGTCGGCAGACTTTAAGAAGTAGGTAGAACCTCGGACCTTTTCGATCATCAACTGACCGGTGGACAGTAAGTTTTCGGTACGGGAGCGCCATGGTAAGGTTTCGACAGCATCAACAGGGTAATCTGCATCGGGGAGGGTTTCTTTGCTCTTCGCCGGGATGGAATCGGTTGGAGGAGAGAACTGTATTACACGAGCTGAAGGGTGGGAGAAGAGGAGATTCGAATCGGCGTCCGCGGTCTCGAGGCCGGCCCTTTCATGAACAGATAGAGCGCGTGTTGGAAGAGTGAAGGATCTTCGATAGCCTTGAAGTGGGGGACGGTCGCCGTAGGAAGATGGGGGGTAAGCCATGCTGCATCTTCAGAGATCTAAGTAGCACCACAAGGCATTCTATGACTTGAACAAGCCAATCGAAGGTGTAAACATTCAAGTGAGATGCGTTGGGTTTGAATTCTGGAGCGAGTCACGGTTGATGGTTGTTGGCGCCAGTTAGTTTACGAATGCGGATGGTTGTGGAGTGTTGGCGGCAAGTGCAGCTGATTTGGTGTTGAGGGAAGCGCAGTGCAGTGGTCCGGAAAGCCACCACTAAAGATGGAGTTCGCCATAGTACTTCGTAAACAGGCAGGAGCGACTTTGGAGCCACAACAAGAAAAGCGCATGCCATGACAACCAGTCTTGGCATTGACGTCCGCCTCCATTTCAGTGCCTAGGTAGGTACCTCTAGTCTACTAGGAATACTGTATCACTCATGGCAGAGGGAGCAATTGCCATGGTAGATTGGTTATCTACTCCGAGTTCTCTGGCAGCATCTAACCACACGACTCTGACTGTAGATTTCAGTTAGAGACTTGATTATACAGCTCACGTGACGTGTGTTTTTGTCGAAAAGGAAATCGTATACCCTTCTCTTTCCTTCCTAGCAGATTGAAATTTAACGAGGAAGAAGGGTCTAAATATAGTATTGAATTAGAATAATTCCACTTTCCTGTTCTTCCCTGTTTAATCCCACCCATTGAAGTACACATCACAGCCTTACGGTCCGCGTAAAGATCATTTTCACCACCAATGACGTCACTATCAACTCCCACGTCTCCAGCCTTTCGTTCATGTCCACGTAACCACTCGGACACCCTTCGTTTGATCTTACCACCAATTTGAGATATAGGTGGAATTCGGAATACAATCAAAGACTCGCCGAGCTCGACTAGGACATCTGCTGCTCGCAAAGTGCGAATCTTCGCACACGGTGCCACCCAGCTTGTCAAGATGTCGAACTTCGACCCCAATGCCATCCTTCGCGGGGCTCAACTAACCTTCGTGGGTGCTCATCGAGCCCTACAAAACCCGGATCTGTTCACGACATCCCACTATCAACAAGCTGCCATCGCCGTGTGCGCAGGACTAGCCATTCGAATCATCATCAACATCCCGATCTACCTGGTCAAATTCTTACTCCTCCTGATATCCGTCTTCGTCAATCTCGACCATGAGACCTGGGACGACAAATTGGTGGGCGGGCTAGATTTCATTTCCAAATCCGTGCTTCAGGCTCCGTTTTTCCTCATGATGGTCATGTCCTCCGTAACACCGACACTGGACAATCTGTTCATGGACAGCCTCGCATGGGTCGATCGGACGTATATTCAAAAGCACCAGTCCGAAGACCCTACTACACTACGAGCCATGTACTATCCGACACTCAAGATGTATTCAACACACGGCGAGAAGGAGAAGAAGGAAAAGCGCTCCCTTCTTGACGGAGTCCTGCTCTTCGCAGCAAAATATGGTCGACGCGCCGCCATCTCTCTGGGTGTCTACGTCCTCACATTTCTCCCCGTGGTCGGACCGCTAGTACTCCCTGCCGCCAGCTTCTACACCTTCAACAAATCCGTCGGACCCGTTCCGGCAGGCATAATCTTCGGCTGTGGTCTGCTCCTCCCAAAGCACTACATGGTCTCATTCCTCCAGACATACTTCTCCAGCCGCAGTCTGATGTCGCGCCTGCTGGAGCCATATTTCCACCGCGTGCGCTTCACCAAAGCACAGAAGAAGATCTGGTTCCTCGACCGCAGCGGCGTGCTCTTCGGCTTCAGCGTCGCCTTCGCTGTAATGGTCAAAATTCCACTTCTCGGTGTCTTGATCTACGGCATCGCCGAAGCGAGCACCGCCTATCTGATTACGAAAATCACAGAGCCACCTCCGCCACCAATGGCTGGCGGGGAGGGCGATAAGGAATTCATCGAGAGTGAAGTTCGATGGAAGAATAAACATCTCTTCCTCGATCTGCCGCTGGGGCGTCTTGATGAGTTTAATGCGAAGTTGAGTGGTGCTGAGGATGTGAAGAAGCAACGTCTTCCTGAGGCTCCAAGGAGAAAGTTCACTTGAAGACGTCTGAGATTTTTTTGATCCACAGTCTTGAGATGCCGGGAGCGTTCTGTCAGGTGATATACATTCTCCAGCAACACCAAGTCCAAGTCGGCACAGGAGAAGCGTCAAATGTTGGGAGCCAACCTGGGCTACCTGAGTCATGAAAACAACCGAGCACCAAAACCCACTGTGAGATATATAGAAACCAGATGAGTGTATGAGTTGGTAGTTTTAATGATATTTTCCACGTTCCCGTGCGAAGCATCCGGAGTTTCAACCATAGTTTTCTATAGTCGCAAAACTTCTATGAATGCTTTTAGGCATGCAAGTGCTGCTACGGTAGCTCATGTAGAGTGAGTCAAGACTGCGCATTCGAAACCGACCCTTTGCTCGATCTCCTGGCCGAAAAGGAGGTCCATATCCGAGCTCAATTTTATGAACACTTATATCCGACAAACTCTTTCTATATGTTTTCATCCGTCGTAAGTCAACGGATTAGCAAATTGCATAACAACGTGGGTTGGTACAAACGGGCGGGAATTATTCCGTGCCCGGTAGACAGGCTTGGTGATGCTCGAAGTTTCGTCAAACCGTGTTCTTACGTTTGGTCTCCTCGACACCTTGCTCACTTGTAGTCGTAGAATCCTTTGCCGCTCTTCTTCCCTAGCCAGCCTGCATCAACGTATTGTCTCAAGAGCACAGCCGGTCGATACTTGCTGTCTCCAAGACCAGCGTGGAGAGTCTCCATGATGGAGAGGCATGTGTCGAGACCAATAAAATCAGCCAAGACCAATGGACCCATGGGGACATTGGTTCCGTTTTTCATGATGCTGTCAATGTCTTCCTTTGTACCGATACCCTGTTCCAAGCAGATGATGGCCTCGTTGATGTACGGCATCAGGATTCGGTTGGCCAGGAAGCCTGGAACGTCAGCTGAGACGGAGGGGATCTTGCCCATTTTCTCGCAGAATGCCACGGCGGCCTTGAGAGTTTCGGGCGAAGTCTGCAGACCGGAAATGATCTCCACGCCTTTCTGGATGGGAACGGGGTTCATGAAATGGGTGGAAACTACCCGGGAGGATGCAGATGTGTCGGTGGGGTCTTTGGACGTCGCGCGGGCGATCTTGGTGATGCTGATACTCGAGGTGTTGGTGGCCAGGATCGCATGTTTGGGTGCTATTTCAGCTATTTGTGCGAATATCTTTTCTTTGAGTGCAGGGATTTCGGGGACGGCTTCGATAATCATGTCGACATCGGAGAGATCCTCCATCCTCGTCGTGCCCGTCAATCGTTCTCTTGTGGACTTGGCGATTTCCTCTGTGATCTTTTGTTTCGAGACATCTTTCGCAAGGAGCTTGTCTGCAAATGCGAGACCTTTGTCGAGTGCCTGCTGCGAGGTATCCACTAACGTAACGGGGACTTGTGCTCGCTGTGCTGCTACGAGGGCTATTCCGAGACCCTGTTCAATCGGTTAACTTCTATCTTGTTCGTAGTTATGGTCCTGATTCTCTTACCATCTGCCCGGCGCCAATTACACCCAGCTTCTTGATCTCTGCACCTACTACCGGCGTCGAGGAAAATTGGCGAGAGATGGCTGCAAGCCTCTGCGAGGCACCATTGGGTTTAGAGGACGCCATGATCCTGGGCGACAGACGTGCCAGAGATGCCATGGGAAAGAGAGTAGGAACGACGGTTGATAAGAGTGTGGAAGATCCGGTGGAAATGGTCAGAAACGAGACAAGTAAACTATTTTATGATCGGTTTCCAATGAGCGACCACGAAAACCACAACGGGCTGGACGGGTTTTACACAGATCGAGCTTAGGATCATGTCGCCGCAGATAACCGCCAGATTGGAAGCCTCGGTCCCTCACTTAAAGAATCGGGGCGTTTTCGGACTTGGGGTGGCATCACGTGAAAAGGTGGGGCTAATCGCGTCCCAACGCGTGAAAGTGCTTCAGACGCGTCGACCACCAAATCGAACTGTAGTCTCGTGCAATTCACACTCTGAAGAAATTCGTGTAGATCGCCAACTACAACTAAACAACAATGGTCGATTAAATCCAATACAACATGGAAGGAAACAATCCCTTCGAAAAGTCCCAAACTGTTCATCCAGAAGTCAGGGCCTATGTCTACAGCCTGGTCAACGCAGTAAGCCATGCTCACCGTCTCCCACTCTTCCAGCGCCCTGACAGATTCTAGCTTGGTGGTTCCAGCACCGACGATAATGGACGCTACATCTTAGGTGATGATGCACTGGCTTGTCTGCGTGATCTGAAGAGATGGTTAAAGTTATACGATGAGAAGAACAATCGATTGGATGTTGCGAGATGTTTGGCGGAGGCGAAGCTGGTGGGAGGAGATCTGGTACCCATTCTCGCGTCCTGGCCTGAAGATGGTAAAGAGAACAGAGTCAAAGCAAGAGTTGCGCTTGCTTGTCTGGAAGTTCTCGTGCCATTGACATGGCCATTGGAAATTGGAGGAGAGATGACACTCAACCACCACAGACATACCCCCTACCTCCAGCAATCCCAGGTGCTCTATAAGGCAGCCGTACTCGGATGTGATACGAGCAGTATCCTGCGCCAGGTGGTACGAATCGGTTTACCTGCAGTTGCCGCAGCAAAAGATGCAAGAACAAGCCGAGAGGAAGGCATTCTCAAGCTAATGCTGTACTTCTTTCGAAACATTGCTATCATTCAACAGGTGCCTAATCTACCAAGCCAGGGCCTGGATTCCGAAGTATCGAGATCAGCGACCATCGACGCTTTCCGAGATCAAGACGTTTTTGCACTGCTACTCACGATCAGCTCGAATATGGGCGAAGACTTCAATCTACAAGATGTTATTGTACTGGACATTATCTTCAACCTGATTAAAGGCGTCGAACCAAAGAAGTTATGGATGACCGAGGACCAGACAAAAAGACATGGTTTTTCCGAGTTGAGCGCAGCGCTTGCCAACGAGGCTGCGACGACTCATGAAGCCAGGAAGAATGAATCAACTCGACACGGGCGGTTTGGTACTATGCTTTGGGTGAAGCGACAGGGTCAGAACATGGTTGCAGTTTCCGGCCAAGACAACCTCAAGGATGACGACAAAGCATTCTTCAATATGGACAAATCCAAGAAGTGGAACAAGCCTCAGCAGAGACGTAGAGATCTCGATCACACTATCCACGACTTCGATCGCTCCACTCGGCTCACCGTATCAGCCACCGAGAAATTAAGAAATTTTGTTGAAGAGTTCCTTGACTCCGGCTTCAACCCACTGTTCACCCATCTCCGCAAGGCCATTGAGCGGGAAGCCGAACGCCTGACTGATGTCAACTACAGACAATTCTTCTACGTGGTAGCTTGGTTCCTCGAAGCTGAAAGAGCACGAAGGGAGACGCAGAAGAAAGAGCTCAAGCCAACCAAGGTCCGTTCCGATTTTGAAGACGAAAGCTACTCACTCGTGGCGGCCGTTTTGAATCAAGAAACGTTCATCATGCTCAATCGATTTATGCAAGTCTCAGTGGATAACAAAGAGTGGCAGGACCTGAATGCATCAATGCGATGCTTTACTCAGATCTTACTAACTGTCCAAGAAATGGCACAGAGCTCTCTCGAAGACGATCAGGAGATTGCAGACAACATCCAGAACCGCATATTCTACGAAGAAACAACACATGACAGGGTAACAAATATTCTAAAGGGCTACAAAGACCAAGGCTTCGGCTATCTCGATGCCTGTACCGAGCTATCCCACGTCTTTCTGCGCATGCTTGAGCGTTACTCGAAAGAAAATGTCGACTTACAAATACGCTCGCGGAGAAAAGCCAAAAAGAAACGCCAGGAAGCCGCCAAACAAGCAGTAGCCAATGAAGAGAAACCTGCAGAGGATGAGGATGAAGAGTCCGAGAACGAGGACATTGCGGATGTAGTCCAAGTCTCCAAAGAACGCAAATTTGATTTTAATCGCTTTGCGGCGAAGTTTTCGACCCAAGCGTCAGTTGATACTTTTGTGTCTTTGCTCAAGTTCTATCGAGATTTATCATCCGAACAACTCAAGCGAGCGCATCGATTTTTCCATCGAGTTGCCTTCAAGCAGGACCTGGCAGTGCTGTTGTACCGAGTTGACATTGTGGCACTTTTCTACAAGATGATCAATGGTCCCGAGGGCATGGACACAAAGAACCCGCTTTACAAGGAATGGTCAGAGTTCACTCGCCAAGTTTTCAAAAAGATGTTCAAGAAGATTGAGCAGAGGCCAGAGTTAATCGTTGAACTTTTGTTCAGCAAGATCAATTCCACCTTGTACTACCTTGAGTTTGGACAAGAGAAGCAGACCATTGCTGCGACTCGCACTCCGGCTGAGCTCGAACTTCGCCCAGCACCAGGCAGAGACATTAATGAACAGATTGGCATTGTTGTTACAATACTACTCAAGGATGACAAGGGAAACTTGGTGCATTGGGTGAAAAACATGCTCGGTAAAGGATCGGATGAGAGGCATGGTTGGGAAGCCGAAGCAGAATCACGCCGAGCCATTGCTCGTGAGGCTGCCGAGCAAAACGGTGAGGCTGCAGCTCCAGAAATTGAAGTCGGCCAGCCCAACCATATTACAGTTTGGCCCACCTCAGACGATATCAGGACGGCTATGTTCAAAAATGCTCGGCTGAAACTATTGATGACTTTAGTCGGCTTCGAATTACTTGGTGAAGAAGATGCTCTTGGAGCGCCATGGATTATACCAGGCAGCTTATCGTCGGAGAGTCTTACCATATTCAAGTCCGTGATCGAGCAGTACGAGCAAACGTCTTGGCAGAGTGATGTTCCAGATGAGGATCCAGAAGACCTTCTCCGCCGTAGCAGGAACAAAGCCAAGAACCAGAACGGCGACGCGGACGAGGATGAGGAGCCACAACATGCCGGTTTCTTGGATGATTCCGAGGGTGAAGAGGAATTCATGTTCCCTGACAATCCAAGAAAGAAGAGAATGAAGAATGTTCTAGATGAGCTGAAAGCACAGCGGCGGAAGCGGAAGCGCGGCAACGATAATGAAGGTGAAGAGGTGGACGAGGAAGCAGCTGCCCGAAGGAGAGCCGCAAGAGAAGCTGCCCTTCGAGATAGAAGACGAAAGATCAAAAGTGAGGCCTATATCAGGGACAGCGATGACGAATCCGATGAGGAGAGAGACCGCCTCTTCTTCGAGAAAGAGGACCAATTGCGACAAAAGCAAGAGGATTACATCCAAAAGCAGATAACGTTAGGCGGCAACAAACCAACGAAAGACACAGATAAATCGAAGAAGAAGAGAAAATCGGCGCCAGCGACTCAACCAACTGGGTTCGACGATGAGGATGACGATCTCCTCATGCGTGGTTTCGACGATCCTCCTAATGATACTGCCTCTTCACAACCTCGACCGATATCGACGTCTGATGAAGAGTCGGAAGAAGAAGACGAAAGCACGCCCATGTCTTCCCAGATCTCAGCGACGGGTAAGAAGGTGCAAAGTATAGACGGTGTACTCAGACCAGTGTCGCAGGGTAGAAGCCTACCAGCAGCATCGTTAATGGATTTACTGGATGACTCAGATCCGGAAGATGAGAATGATGCTGGGAAGGACATTACGCCTGTGGCGCGATGGCGCCAGATGAGGGCTGGATTTATAGTCGATAGCAGTGACGACGATGACGAATAATGTTGGGTTCAGTTGAACTTGCCAAAGCTGACTTTATTGCACGACTTTCTTCTGCCATGAGCTCTGATAAAGACGGACTAGATTAGGTATTGTCCCTGGACTGCAACTTCTTGGTTTTGGAGATGGGAACGGTAAGCAACTTCAACAACGATTAATTAATCTGGCAAGCTCAAACACATCCGCATTCCAGAGGTGGTTGCTTCGTTACATTGAACAAGCTGTAGGACTCCACAATTGCTAAGTCACCCAGGCAATGCCATCTCTCGCCTCCACGAAGATCTTGCAGCAGAGGCGGCGTCCGCCGATGCCCTAATTGCAGCAACAATCCACCCCAATGGCCACCTCCGATTGGACTGTGTGACCTCCAAAGTTTGTTTTATTCGTGTTCTGATAAGAGATCCATCTCAAGCATTTTGATCTCAGATTACTGGTAGCGATGTTTGCTGTCTTTTTGTTAGAACGAAGAACGGGTGAGCTTGTTTCCTCCTCATAACATACCCCGCGGATTTATCTTTGCGAATGGTCGTTTCTACTCTTTTGGTCATCGCAACATTAGCCAAAACCCCTTGAGCTCAACATCATTATGGCGGCGAGGACGATTTACTTCGGACGCTTCATATCGGCGCCGAAGCCCGATGAGCTACTGATACAGACTGGTGCTGTGCTTGTGTCAAGTAGAGACGGCAGAGGAGTCATTGAGAAGGTGGATTGGACTGTCAACGGACCCAACGATGCACTCAGCAAGTTCGGGATCGAGGCGCCGGTCGTTACTGCCCATGATAACGGATTTTTCTTCCCTGGTTTCATTGGTAAGTCGTCCATCTGGCTTTTAGCAATGCTCGTTCACAGCGTTGACGGCATTGCACCTTAGATACACACATTCATGCATCGCAATATCCGAATGCAGGGATTTTTGGAAAATCAACGCTGCTGGACTGGCTGACAACTTACACATTCCCACTGGAATCTTCTTTCGGCAACGTCAAATCTCCCATGTACAAGAACGCGTCGGAGACACCGAATCCACTGGCGCGAGCGAAAGCCGCATATAGCCGGGTGGTGTCACGGACATTGGCACATGGAACAACGACTGCATCATACTACGCCACCATCCACGTCGAAGCGACGAATCTACTGGCTGACATTGCCTTCGACAAAGGTCAGAGAGCATACATCGGGCGAGTGTGCATGGATCGGCCAGAAATGTGCCCAGATTATTACCGTGACGAAAGCACCGAGGAGTCAATAACGAACACGAAAGCTAGTATCGAATATTGCAAATCTCTGGATCCAAGTGGCGAGCTGTTGGCACATATCGTAACACCGCGGTTCGCCCCGAGTTGTTTACCTGAGACATTAACTCAGCTGGCGACTTTGGCAAAGGAAGAAGATCTTCGAATACAGACGCACATCTCAGAGAATCTGAACGAAGTCAAGCTGGTCAAAGAGCTCTTCCCGGATCGAGAAAGCTACACTGATGTCTATAACCATCATGGGCTGTTGACGCCGCGGACTATTCTTGCGCATGCGGTACACATAAGCCGTGAAGAGATGCAGGTGATCAAACAGCGAAAAGCAAAAGTCAGCCATTGTCCCGCCAGCAACAGTGCCCTGGGCAGTGGATTCTGTCCTGTGCGGGTAATGCTCGATGAGGGTATTGACGTTGGGCTAGGCACGGACGTCAGTGGAGGCTACAGCACGAGTATCTTAGACGCAGTCAGGAACGCCTGCATGGTCAGTCGTCATGTGGGATTTCTCAACGGTGGCGACAGTCGGTTCAACCTTGGCATTACAGAAGCACTGTGGCTGGGAACCGTTGGTGGAGCAAAAGTAGTTGGTTTGGAGGGTCGGTTGGGTGGTTTTGAACAGGGAATGCTATGGGATGTGCAGGAGGTTGTGCTGGGTGAGGTCAAAAAGGATGGAGAGGGTGACGATACGGATGTCGATATCTTTGGCTGGGAGGATTGGGAGAATCGGGTCGCCAAGTGGGTGTGGAATGGTGATGATAGAAATGTGCGGAGGGTGTGGGTGGGTGGTAGAATGGTTCACGAACGGAAGTGAGATTACAAGGGGACATGTTTTCTGGCCGGCTGGGTTTATAATCACGAGAAGAAGACTACTAGATTCACGGATACCCATCATATGAAGCATGGGTCTTTTCTTCGCAAGACAATGGTCGATCAAAACTTGGGCCTGATGTATATCTGGATTATGTAATCACGGATATGAATTCCACCATCACTCCGAGAATCCAGGAATTCGGCATGTCACTTTTTCACGTGCGCCCTTCATTGCTCGACAATGGTCCAACGGCACCAGGTCGAACAAACCGCCTCTACTATGCTGTTGCCTTCATTCGTTCGGCAACCAGCAAGAGAAATGCATATCCCTTGTGACCTGCACAGGACTCAATCATGGATGCACCAGGGTCAACTGCGACGCCATCAATCGCGGGCGAATACCTTCCCCTCTCCTCCAGTCTCTCTGCGATCGCCTCATCGATGGATGTTACAATAGAGCAGGTGCAGGCACAAGCACAGACGCGCACCTCGTCAGGTTTTGGCTATGCTCTTCTCTCAGTGTTGAGCTTCCTGCCTGGTGCTCTGCTATGGCTCATCACCTTCACCACTATTACCCTGCCAACATGGTTGTTTACGCTGTTCTCCATGAGTCTGACCTTTACCATGAACTTTACCACTCTGTGAGTAGATTCAACGAGGCTTTGGGGACTTGGCTAATGGACCATAGGCTGTTGATAGCTCTAGCCATCGTCTCGACTATCAGCTGGGTTATCCGGTACCGGTACCTCAATGTCTATACTCGTCTACCACAAGAACCGCAGCGGAAAGAGCCTCAGTTGGATCTGTTCCCAGATACTCAAGATGGGGATCTCAAACCCGGATTGGCCAACTATCTCGATGAATTCCTTAGTGCGATCAAAGTCTTTGGGTATCTCGAGCGACCGGTCTTCCACGAATTGACCAGAACAATGCAAACCAAGAAGTTAATCGCTGGCGAAACATTGCTGCTTGAGGAAGAGAAAGGCTTTTGTCTCGTAGTGGACGGGCTTGTACAGATTTTCGTTAAGTCGTTGCAAGATTCGGTTGACGATACTCTCAACCGTGTGGATTTGTTCAACGATGAAGAAGGATATCATGAGGGTAACCAAGGATATCAATTACTGACTGAAGTCAAGAATGGCGCTTCCATGTCTTCGCTCTTTTCGATTTTATCTCTCTTCACCGAGGATGTAAAACTACGACATGGTGACTCTGATACCTCAGATTCTCGATTTCCCAATCATGCGGTTCATACACCAGAGTCCGGGTTTGCGAGCCCAGTAACTCAACCTTCCACTCCAGCTATGCGACTGTCTGATGTTGCGGAAGCTACGGACAGGCCAAAACTACCCAGAGTACCTCCACTAGCTTTAGAGCCTGCGTTCGAGGAAAAACAATCTGGACCGAGGCGTACAAAATCGGGGACAGAGCCATCAGCCCATCCAGATATTGTCGCCCGAGCTGTCGTGGACACCACCATTGCGATCATTCCAGCAAGTGCCTTCCGACGACTCACGAGAGTGTACCCAAAAGCTACTGCACATATTGTTCAGGTGATATTGTCGAGATTACATCGAGTCACTTTATCTACCGCTCATCAATACCTCGGCTTAACCTCAGAGGTCCTGCAGATCGAGAAATCGATGAACAAGTTTACCAATTACGACCTGCCAAGTCATCTTCGTGGCGATGCATTAAACAGACTGAGAGACAAGTTCACGAAGGAAAGGGATCGAATTGGACCTGAGGAAGGGACAAAAGGAATCGCTTTACATAACCCAACTTCCCTACACCGGCACAGATCTTCGAGTGGACTCCGCAGAGAGGCAGCCACGACAGCCAGACTGGCCACTATGAGAGGTGCTCCAAACCCCGGCCCACAGCAGTCCGCGCTGCCCAAGATTGACACCACAAATGTCCATTCCGGTGATCTTCATACGGCTTCCAAGATATCCCAGCGCCCTGTCAGTCTACACCTGAGAAATTCGTCGAGTTGGAACAACATGAACATGAGCATGTCTCCTGACCCATCGAAGCCTCCGCTCGGAAGCCCAATGGCAGTACGAGAACAGCCTTTGTTTCTACCGTCTTTGGATAACAATGTTCTCCATCGACAAGATTCTTTAAATGAAGACAGCCTGTTTCGAGAGTCTGTGCTGGCGTGCATGGCGAAAGCTCTTGGGCTCAGTGATGATGGTAATCAACCTCTGAAGCGTGGAGCCGGGTCTGTAGAGCAGTCTCCCAGAATGGTGTCATATGACTCGAAGCGACAGACTGCCATTTTCAACAATGCGTTTGGATTCATCGACCCCTACGACGATTCTGCTGACGGTGACTCTGAGTCAATGGCAACCTCAGTCGCAAGCTTTGGTCCTGCGAGATCTCTAAACGAGGAGCTAATCGACGATGTGGAAATCGTCTTCTTCCCGAAAGGATCTGTGTTGGTTGAGCAGGGTGAGAGAAACCCTGGGCTTTACTATGTGATCGATGGCTTCCTGGACGTCAGCATTCCCATTGAAGAAAAGGAGGACAAGAATCTAGCCCAGCACCCAAAAGTTCGTGACAAATCTCGTGAAGGTGGTCCCCCTCGACTTCGAAGAACCAAGACCGCATCTTCGCGTGCATCTTCAGTACCTGGGCAGCCTAAGGATGCTAAACGACTGGTATCAAAATCTTTGTTCTTGGTGAAACCTGGAGGCATCGCTGGGTATATTGGGACTTTGTCCTCGTATAGATCCTTCACCGATGTTACAGCAAAGACAGATGTCTATGTTGGATTCCTCCCTCGTTCCTCGTTGGAAAGAGTGGCCGAGAAATATCCAATTGTCTTACTCACGATGGCGAAACGACTGACAAGTCTCTTGCCGCGCCTGATATTACATATTGATTTTGCTTTGGAGTGGTTGCAGGTCAATGCCGGACAGGTGATTCACCATCAAGGTGATGACAGCGACGCTATCTACATCGTTCTTAATGGTCGACTTCGAGCTGTTCGTGAACTTGAAGGCGGAACCATGCGCGTTGTTGGAGAATATGGTCAGGGCGAGAGTATTGGTGAGTTGGAAGTCATGACCGATGGGTCAAGGCCTGCTACTCTCCATGCTATTCGAGATACTGAGATGGCTAAATTTCCGAGAACACTCTTCAACAGCTTGGCTCAGGAACATCCGAGTATCACTATTCAAGTCTCCAAACTGATAGCCCAACGAATGCGAACGCTGGTCGACGCACCATTCACAGAGCATGGAGTGAGCAGAAAATCTGCTGCACTGTCTGACTCTAGTACCTCGACTTTGAATTTGAGAACGGTTGCAATTCTACCTGTAACCATTGGAGTTCCAGTGGTTGAGTTCAGTAATCGACTGACCGCCGCATTGAGTCAGATTGGCGTCCCAAATGGGGTTTCACTTCTGAATCAAGCCATTATCTTGAATCACCTTGGTCGACATGCTTTCAGTCGCATGGGCCGCCTGAAACTCTCTCAGTATCTCGCCGATCTCGAGGAAAAGTATGGCATGCTCCTCTACGTCGCTGACACGAATGTGAATGCACCATGGACACAGACATGTATCGCGCAGGCAGATTGTATTCTACTCGTTGGGCTTGCCGAGAGCTCACCAAACATCGGCGAATACGAAAGATTCCTCCTCGGCATGAAGAGCACAGCTCGAAAAGATCTCGTTCTTCTCCATGCTGATCGGTTCCTCCAACCAGGATTGACCAGAAAATGGCTACGGAATAGGATGTGGATCAATGGAGGCCATCATCACATCCAGATGGCATTCAGAATCAGTTCGGAAGCCACGCCACATGCTCAACCGCGGCGGTTAGGCATTGCTATCAAGCACCGTGTCCAGGTTCTACAAGCGGAGATACAGAAATACACCTCTAGACGAGTCCGCCCGGCGCCACTGTACTCCACAGACTCTCCCTTTAAAGGCGATCTCCACCGTCTTGCAAGAAGGTTGTGTGGCAAGTCGGTAGGTCTCGTTCTTGGTGGAGGTGGCGCTCGCGGAATCGCCCATGTCGGTGTCATACGTGCTTTGGAGGAGGCCGGAATCCCCATCGATGTTATTGGCGGAACCTCGATTGGCGCGTTCATTGGCGCCTTGTACGCTCGCGATGCAGATGTTGTACCCATGTATGGCCGGGCAAAGAAATTCGCTGGCCGCATGGGCAGTATGTGGAGGTTCGCCCTAGATCTCACTTATCCGTCTGCTTCGTACACGACAGGTCACGAATTCAACCGTGGCATCTTCAAAACCTTTGGCGATAGTCAGATCGAAGACTTCTGGCTATCCTTCTACTGCAACACTACGAACATCAGTAAGTCCCGTGCTGAGATTCATACGTCAGGCTATGCGTGGCGGTACGTGCGAGCAAGCATGTCTCTCGCAGGTCTAATACCACCGATCTGCGACGAAGGCTCCATGCTCCTCGACGGTGGCTACATCGACAACTTAACGGTTGCGCACATGAAGAGCCTGGGTACCGACCTTGTCTTCGCCGTCGACGTAGGAAGTCTCGACGATGACACACCTCAACAGTATGGTGACACCCTATCTGGTTTCTGGGCACTACTCAACCGGTGGAACCCGTTTTCATCCATTCCCAACCCTCCCTCGCTCTCCGACATCCAAGCCCGCCTAGCATACGTTAGCTCCGTCGATGCGCTTGAGCGAGCAAAAAACACGCCTGGCTGTCTTTACATGCGCCCGCCCATTGACGCATATGGAACGCTAGAATTCGCAAAATTCGACGAGATCTATCAGGTTGGCTATGTGTATGCTAAAGAATATCTCGCTAGGCTGAAGAGTCAGGGCGAGTTCGAGGGTGTTATTGATGCATGGGGTGGTGGCAGTGATGCCAAAGGCAACAAATTGCTCAGGGCCATGGCTCCTCGGAGAGCGAGTATCTGACCACCTATATACCTTGGTAGACATGACGAAGATCTAGATGTCAATGCACTGAGATAAGTGTTGACTCGCCGTCAATCTTTAATAAGGGGCGTGCTCCCCCACGTGACAACGCACGCGCGACGCGTTCGTGCCGGCCATCATACGTCATTGCACAAGTTCCCCGAACGCGACTTTCAATGGCTCGGAACTCCTATCTGTCTCAGACTCACTGGATGATTGAGCAGTAAAGTTCACGCATAGGGGTAAACAACAACTTACCGTTTTCTTCAAGACATAAACGTTCTTGCGCGACCCTCTCACATCTTCAGCCATGCCGAAAGTCCAGAAGCCCGCCACCAAGTCGCGCGGAAGGGGACCGATTGAGAAACCGACTTCCTCGAAAAATGCGACTGTGCCGAAGAAATCCACTATGACAAAGAAACCATCGACAGCAAAGAAACCGGATGCAGCACTCGTGGATTCCAGTGATTCGGACAGTGATGACAGCATACAGGGCGGCGAGCATCCCCCGAACTATCTCTTTCACTGTGCGATGACATGTAGCGACGATCCGACGATTACTAGAGTTCTATCGATTCCATCGAATTTCACTTTTGCGAAAGTCCATGAGGTCATGCAGGTCGCATTCGGGTGGGCATTCTGCCACATGTACACCTTTGAAGTCTCGGGCCTTCCTGGTACAGGACTGGTTCTGTCAACCCTCCCCTATTCAAAGCAAAGACTGGCAGACTGACCAATCACTTTGCTGTTGCGAATTTGTGTGCTGACAAAGGGGCTCCAGGATGAACATCCTTGCGTGCTCTCAATACAAGAACGTGTTGAGGACTTCATGGAAGTGGTACCGGAGATAGCAGACAGGGCGAGAGATGCCGGAAAGTTGAAGCTCAGCGATGTGTTCGAGAACGACGAGTATCGTGGTAAAGTATACATATTCTACGAGTACGACATGGGCGATAGCTGGGGCCACCACATTACCTTTTTGGGTGTGGAGGCACCTGGGCTGAGGGATTCCATGACTGAAGGGGGAGCAAAGTTCAGCAGGGCAATGTGCCTGGCAGGCGAGGTGAGTTCTCCATTAGACATGCTAAGGCATACAACATCTTTATGAGCAAAGTAAAAAGACTAAACGTCGCTGATATCTCGTTTGCCGCAAAGGGTCATCCATGTGCCGAGGACTGCGGCGGTGCAGGTGGTTGGGAAGATCTGAAAGAACTTTTCGCCAAACCTCGAATGCGAGATGAAGACGATAGGAGACAGTGGTACAAGGAGTACTGCGCCAATGGTGATCCCAAAGGTCTCAATCCTTATTCCTGGAGTATTCTTGACGTCAACCAGGAATTGGAGGCGGTTAAAATGTAAGCAATCAACCTGCTTGGAGTACTTATCTTGATTCCCTGGACGAGACCGGATGTTCTATCACTGTATGTTTTACAATATCAAGAGAACCGATCTCGGAGCTCAAACTGGGTATCTAGAATTACCTAAATGTACAATATATAAATAGGTTGGGATAGGAAACCATGCTTAGATTTGGAGAGTATATTCTATTTGGAGTCAGTCTCAAAACATGGAAAAGTAACAACGCTTCACGGACTCTCCTGTTCTTCCAGACAAGACCATACTCTCATTCTCTGGTTAGTTTGGAGGCAGTCAAAATCATTCCAAAGATCTAAATCTTGATGCATACGACAGAGGCGGCCCGATCATTCCAGCCCACTGAACGAAGGTCTGAAACGCTCGCACGTTGGTTGTCCAGGACCCCGAGGTTGGCATTGCATTTGTTGTTACTGAGGAAACACATATCAACTTCATCCTCTGGTCGACGTGGTACAAGGATTCAGACTTACTCGTAAAATCTACACGCCCTTGGATGGGTCAAGAACTCGTTGGCAAGGATGAAAGAAGACATTTTGTCTTTGACATTGTTGTTGAGATTGACTATCGCCAAACGATTGTTAGTAATGTCTCGAGTGAGTCTGCTGCAGTGGGAAAGAGACTATTCCGGCCGCGTGAGATGTCATAATCGAAAGGGGGGGTTCACTTACTGCACTCGCCGTCGCTGTCTGAGGAGATCCCCTGGCTCTTGCCCTTGAAGCCAACGTCATCATACACTATTAGTAGTTAGGAATTAGCACACAGTCGAAACTCTATCGTGGATGTCGCTCTCAGGCTACATACTGACAAGCCAAGTGAAAGCTTGCCGTTCCTCCAAGGTTGAGTTCGCCTGTGGTTCATCTATTGGAGCAGCGTTGGCCATCAGAGCGAAGATGCTCATGGTTGCCAGGGTTGAAGCGACGATCTTCATGTTTGGGTAGAGGTTATTGAGGAGTGAGTTCCACAGAGTATGCTGTCAGACTCTTGGTTAATTCTATAAAGCAAGCCAAAGGAATGAACGACTAGAGGTCAGGATAAATGAGTGACTGAGGCGAGTAGAGCACGAGGAAGGTCATCTTCCAGGCGGACAGTCATGATATATAACTTCCTGGTGAAACGTTGGCGAGGCTCAATCTCGTGAACGACAATCGTCGCTAGACCGGCACCACTTCCTTAGGCAACACCCACTTTCGATTAAACAGGGTGGTATCACATACTACCACTCAGTCAACGGCAAGATATTGATTTCAAGACATTGCCACAGTAAGTTCAAAATAGGTCTTAGTCATATCTGGGTACACCATAGCGAGCAGTGACACGGCATTTAGTCCTTGGTCGGCGTAAGCAAATTTCAAGAACCAGTCGAAGAGATCGCCGCGACACAGAGTATCGGCACCGGATGGAGCATATGCACAGAGAACGTAGTGAATTTGGTAGCTTCTCCATCAAGAAAGGGGCAAAGTCTGGTGCAGGCCGTCACGCGGACCGAAGTAAAAGTGCTAAGCAGGTAATCAAAAACCAAGCTGTTTCCAGTAACCAGGTCCCACGTTGCTATGACGGCAGTACGATTGTCATGTCGGGTGAATAAGAAGGCCTTATTCACCCAAGCATGTAGTACCGAGTTTGGTTTTCAAAAATCTTATTCTCTCAAACAAAAAGAACCTCTTCTTATGACGCTCATAAGGCTGTGACGGAGATGCACCTGCCCCCACTCCACCCCGCACTTGTAAGGACGAGGGTAGAAGAGCGGTTGCCTAAGTTGAATGACGATAGGTCAGGCTTCTACTTCCCGTTCTTCTGATTCTCCCTCTTCAGACGCATTACTATCAATCTCCACAGCTTTAACATCGAAAATGAATGTGCTGTGACAGGCGTTAAGTGCTATTCAAAGTAGACATGGATAATCGAGTAGCAACGGTAAGTTCTGACAAAGGCATGGGACTGCTGCTGAACAGAGGCAGCGCAAAGCGAGTGGCGATCAGTACTTTAGCCTCACGACTCGAGCTCGTTCAAGGTGAGAAGCTTGCTCAAGTCATCTACAGTATTGAGATAAAGGGAATCTGCCTTGCCGCAGAATCCTGGTCACAAAGCACAGCTACTTTCTATCTGACTTCAATTGCAGCATGGTTGTTGGTCACTCAGCCTCGGCCCGTTCCAGGCTAATGCGAACTATCATCATCTCGAGACGTCATACTTATGAACCTTCATTGATCTTCCAACTACTCTCCGCGTTCTACCTACGATAACTGGAGCTAGAAGCGCCTTTGAAAGCCTGCATAAACTAACGCAGAAACTGGCCATTGGAAACAGTTCTTACACTAATGTCACCCTCCTCTTCGCAAGCACTGCCTTGATAGCTGGTTGCCTGCCGCTCATCAAATGTTTTATGATGGGAGGAGAAGATGGCCAGCCTCGAACGATGGCTTTCCTCAAGTATTACTTCTTGTTGAGACGCGCTACTTATCTTGTGTCAGGCGAGCGCGCTCATACCAACTGCTGTTCTGCATGAGTGATCACTCAAGCCGTAGTCTTTTGTCAGCCACACAGGATGCTATCAGACTGGACAGGTGACCAGATTAACCCAGTGTTCGACAAGGACACATTCTCGAACGAGTTTGAAACGTTTGGCGTCCAAGCTTCGCCAACAACTGCACCCGAGATCGAGCGTTTGAATGGAGACGTTATGGTAAAGAAGTTCGTGGACGGGGTAAGTTTCTCGGAGTTCATAGCTTCCTGCGACAAGACACACATATGTTGATAACAATCATTGCTAGACTCAAGGCTTACCAGACGGTTTTGGACGGATACGTATCTTGTAGGATACCAGGCCTAAGTCATGCCCTCAACGAAGCTGACATAGAGTTTGCTTTTATCTAGATGTACACGCCACCGCGACTATCTACGCCGAGAAATCAAGCCTGCTCATGCAGCCTTTCGAGGCGTCATATTTGCACATGTACTCGAGGAATTCCATCTACCATCGACATACCAGCAGATCCGTACCCACGCAAATGCTTCCGGTGCATTCTTCAAATTTACGGAGCGAGGCTCTGATGGGTCAGTGCAACGCATCGGTAAGTATTCACAAGGTTTGTATGCAGACTTGGCAAGTAACATGGGTTTCTTGAAGGGCTGGTGATTCGCGTACCTTACTCTCCGCGCGATGTGAAGTCGATCTGGTCAATGGCGATATCATGGAATGCAAGAACTGGCGAAACAACTGCATTATTTGATGGTGTATCTGACGATTGCATCCGAATCTTGGTTAGCTATTTGAAAAAGCGACAGCCGCAACTTGGCCATCCAATGGTGCTGCCGATTATGGTAATGGAAGTGTTGTGTCACTACTCCGTGGGCTTCAGAAACGAATTGCAACGATCACTGTATGAATTGGAGGTCCGATTAGGAGTGACTCGTGGTCGGCCACAAATCCTTCCTGCACGCAGAGCCCAGGACACAATCTTGCTCTTGGAGGCCAACACTATGAATTGCAATCACATCGTCACAAGTTTGGTCTATTTGGAGAGGAGGTTGAGTTTCGCCAAATCGGCGGCCGAAAGGATCACGAAATTGATGCCATTGTTCTTGGACACAGAGATCTCACTGACCAAGGGTGACAATCTCACATATGCAAGTCTGGATTTCGAAGAGATTGTTGGCAATGGATTGTCCCTTGTTGACAACCAAACTAATTTAACGCTTTGCCTTCTCAAGCGAGCTTTTGCACTTCGAGATGTGGTGAGTGACGGAGCTTTTGGAGCTAGCAATGCCGGGAAGATGATCAGTATCGCTTACAACTATATAGATATTCCTCTTGATCGCACAGCAGGACAGTCGAACCACGAAGGAGCTCACCCGAGCTGCAAAGATAGACAGCTCTGCCATGACAGCTATCGCAGCCCTAACGATGTTATTTCTACCAGCCACATTTGTCGCAGTAAGCTCGAATCTCTTGTGCATGGAATGGAGTACATAGAAAGAGCATGACTGACACCGCGATTAACACAGACATTCTTCGGGATGAATTTCTTCCAGTTCGACGAAAGTCAGAACCTGCTGACCACTTCTCATAACGCCTGGATCTTCGGCGCCATCGCCATCCCCTTGACAATCGCAGTTTTCGGAGTCTGGATCGCATGGGTAATAGTGCAGAACAAGCGAATCATGCCAAAGGACAAGACATCAGCAGCATCGGAGCATCGCCCTAGCCGTCCATCTGATCTTCAACGAGTCAAGCCGGGAGTGGCGAGATACGCGACGTTTAGCCTGCAGAACTGGGAGGAGGAAATGGCTGCGGGACCTTGCTATCCCATCAAGAAGTCTTGGGAGCAGCTGGAGGTCGCGGTGCCGGATCCGGGCTAGAGGAATTTACAATGATGATTCAATAACTGTGCAAAAGGGACGTCGTGGGAAGACGTTGCGGAGTTTGGGTTATTAGCGAACCAAATGTGAAGATTAATGAACCAGACCAGACCACATAAAACTCAAGAGATCGCGTGGTGCATCATGTAACCAGAATAGATGGTGCTGAGTTACCGGTTTCTATTCAAGTAAAGTAGTTCTATAAAATACAATTTGCTCATACATCGTTTACTCGCGCGGGAAAACAACGGGACTAATTAACTACTCCATATGGACCTCGCACTCGGTGCCTACAATCAAGCCCTTTTGTAAGGGCGATGGCCTGATCGCAGAAGCGAGAATGATGGCCCCCACGGGGCTGCTGAGCGAGTAACTATGCGTACCGTCGTACGATGTAGTATCCCTACCGAACATGGATGGATACTGTAGGTGCACCCTAAAATCTGGGATATTGATCCCGCGCCCCCTGAGGCCTTTCGCGAGGACGATGAACTATCGGCTTTAGTGCTCACTATGGAGAATGTCGTACTTCGTAGCATTTTAAGGGCCGTTCGGCGCTAAGCAGAAGTTGGGTGGAGGGGAAGCGAGTGTGAAATGCACGTTTAGTACGGAGTTGTCTTGTTATTCTTATTGACTTGATCTGATCATGCCACGCGCTCAGATAGGCGGATTGGTTTTAGGGGAGGCATGACACTCCACTACTGTGCTGTGTTACTATCTGAATTGAATCGGGACATCACCTAGACCACTGGAGGTTCTCTCGGATTGTTAAGTATCGTTTGTGTTCTATACAAGACATTATTGGAATGTTGTGGTATCTGATATGATATTGGTATGTATTGAATTTTGACCGTGCACATTGAGAACTGGATACCCCAACGAGACATGACTTTTCGATAGGTACATAGCTGGTCGAGAGTACCGAATGTTCCACCAAAAGTAGACAGGAAATGTAATTATAGCCGGGCAGTACAATGCCCAGCTTTCGGAATTGGGGATATCAATATACATGAAAAAACAACTCGAAACCCATAGTGTTTCCACACCGTCGACCGCCTGAAATCGAACTCGTGACGCCTGATGCTGCTTGCCGTCCTAACCACAGGTGATTGTGTGAAAGGGGGTGGTTTGTTTCTGATGAAAAGCATTTGCTCATATGCATATTTGGCCCTGGCCGCCGTATAGAGGTATGGCGGGAAGGGGGTTATATTGAAAGATTCAAGGGACGTGATCTAGAAACCCAAGAGCAGACCAGCGGCGACTGCAGCAGCAACAACGCCTCCCTTGCTGAGAACAAGGGCACCAGCATCGTTACCTGAAGAACCTGTCTTGGTGGCGGCTCCTGAGGATGTGGTGGCGGTAGAGCTTGAGCTTGAGGATGAGCCGTCGTCTAAGAATTCAGCACCACCATCACCAGTGCAGGTGTTACCGGTGGGGCAGCAGCCATATACACCATTTCCGCCCTTCTGGCACTCAGTGTTGGCAGCACATCCACCTTCCAGATCGGGACAGCAAGTGTAGGTGCTGGGAATACAGAACTCGCCGCAGACTGCATCGCCAGAGGCACACTGAGTTGCATTTCCGCTGGTAGCACGGCCTAGCAGGACATTCTCATTCCAGGCAGAGACGAGAAGCGGGAGAGCCGCAAGGAAGAAGAATGAGCGCATTTTGAATGGGTGGGTAGAACGAGGTCGATTTGAGACGATTATGGATTGGAGTCGAGGATTAGCTCTTAAGCGTCGAAGACCGGCTTTGATTAATCGAAGATGAGTGTATTCAAAGAGAGGACGCCCAGGTTAATGAGTGGGCAGGCTCAAAAAATTGACGGTGAGTCGTGTGTGTAAAGAGGGACTGTTGAAGGTTTCACGGGGCAGGAAAAATCAAAAAGAACGAGTCGCGCTGGGGATTGGGGATGGGGAGACGATATAAACCTCGTGTTAGAATAGCCAACGGTTTAAGCTGGCGACCATCCAGATTGCAATCTGGGCTGTCTGTCAGGCATGCCGAGCTGTACCAAGCTGTCTCTGGAGCAGCGGCGTGCATCCAGAGTGTAGCGAAAATGGTCCGCTTCTTTTCCAGACTGGTCGCTGCCAAAGGTGGCTTGACGGTCCGGCGCAGGAACAAAGCAGGAACCAATCCCTGCGTCGAGAAGCGGGCCAGAGATTGCGGCGTCAAGGGTCAGCTCACGAGACACATGGCGCACTCACAGCGTTGACTCAATGGTGAGTGGTTAGATTTGATGGGTTGACAAGGCTGGGCCAGTCAAAACAGCAGGAAGACTATTTGGTGTAACCCCTCAAGGACCAGATGATTGGGGGAACCATGAGCATCAAAGACCGATCCAGACAGCAGACCAGGGGGAGGCGAAAGACGGCGAGGCAACGGTCTGCAGATGGTCGTGAGTAGCATGAGCGCCAGACAGGGGGTTGGGAAGTGGTTCCAGGAGAAAAGCCAACAGAGAAGAGTGGTGTTGATTGCCAAGACCGACTGAGCCAAATTCAGGAAATTGGACGCTGGCAGAGCAGGTGCGCTTGGGCTGGAAAGGGGCGTCACAGCCGCACCTTCTTTTGATAGCCCTCACCAAACCTTCCTTCCTTCTCGGTTGCGCTACGACCAGTGGCGTTATCCTGAGCTGTCTCATCGATCAAATTTAAGATGCTTGGTTTCTGTTGGTAGGGCCATGTGGATCTCCGTCCTACGAGTAGTCGATGGTCTGTCCTGTTTTTATCTTACGAGTAGGCTGCAAGACATCAAGAACAGCGGGGTCTGTGACCTGGGATTCTCGATGCCATGTCGCAAGAAATCGTCCACGGGAGAGCCACCACGACTATCATCTGAGCCTCCATCCGAAATATATGGTCATTGACCAAAGGGTCTTGGGGCGGTAATGGTCACAACGTTGTTTTAAGGATCTAGTCACCTGAACGGGTGACAACAAATAAAGAAATGCTCTATCAAAATTTACCACGGGCTGGCCGGGGGCACTGGGGAAGTCGAACATTCCCTCCCTCCCTCCCCCCCGGCAAGTTCCTGGAATACAACTGATAGCTATTCGTGGATTCAAACCTGGAGAACCCCATAGACGTCTTTGACAAGACATACTCAGTACGTGGATATCGAAGTCAACGCCATTCCGATAACGTCTATCACGATACTCTTTTATCAGTTGCCAAAACAATACCAAATCAGCCATCTGCAAGTACATGTGATTAGTCCCTAGTGGGAAAATGCCTACAGACGGTCGCAAGTCTCGTCGTGACCGACCATCGACTGGCTACCTGCACCTCGAATTGAACATAACACTGAGTTGATAATACAGCAACAGAATTCTAACACAAGCCCCGTTGGCCAGGACGCAGGCGACAGCATCCACCACCCTCGACGATCAAGACCCTCCATAGCCACTGTCAGCAGCATCGTCCAGTGCCTGGTTCACTAACGCATCTGCTTCTCGGTTCCATTCCCTTCCTACTCTCCAGAAGCGAATTGCCATATCCTTCTCCAAGGACTTGAGTGTCTCGTTCATCTCTCGAATCACGGCGCCGTGTTCCACAGGGGTTCCCTTTCTGGTCATGAAACCGTTCCTCTCCCAGCTCCAGATCCATTCACCCATGGCTCTGGCAACGTAGTCTGAATCCAACTTGATGATGATCTCTCGCCAGCCGTCTAGCTCACCTTCAGCTCTCATGCTCTGGATTATGCCGAGTGCCTTGCGGACCGCTTCGAGCTCAGCACGAGAACTAGTCTGGGGGGCTTCCTGTTCGAGCAGGCCTTGCTGATTGCGTCGACAGTCTGGTCCAAAGAAAACACCCCAAGCAGCTCGAGATTTGCTGTCGGATCGATTGTTGCCACGAGAGCCACCATCGACTGACAGAACAAGAGATCGCATGCGAGGTTGCCAATGGGATCCTGGGAATGGAAAATTATACAATCGGCCATACTGCCATTTTGGGCTGTACTTGACTAGTTGGTCAGGCTCAAAGGTTTGTCGGCCATAACGTCTGGTCTTCTTCGGGTTAAAATTTCGCCGGGGTCGGTCCTATCGTGATCTGTGTCAGCAGAGGAAGTATACAAAAATATGTCTTGGCTCTTCTTAGGGAAATCACTAACGAGTAGGTCTGCTTGATCTGCCTGGTCTGCCTCCATTACAAAAGAAAATCTAAATGAGCGACTGTGATAAAGATTGAAAATGGGGACTACCGAAGATTGGACAAAGCTCAGAATGGTGACATGTTTGAACACCTTTGACCTTTATGTCTACTCATAGTCTGTAGATGTCGTCGTGTCTTCATCCTGCCCGGATCTTGGCATCAAAAACATCCGAGAGATCAAACATTCGCCAAACGTGGTTGTCAGTGGGGATTTCAAACACCATAGTAGTGTGTAAAGGGCGATTACGGTCAAGTCACGGTCGAATGCAGACAATTCATCATAATTTGTTTCGTGTTGGTAGGATGATGCCACGGAAAGGTGGTTTTCCGAAGTCGAATGGCTCAAGGGGGTTTCGTGTTTGAACATGATTCACTGAGTTGGCGACCTCGGAAGCTACCGCCAGTAAGCGAATATTCGTGTCACCTACCTGGGTACCTTTGTGGCCGGAAAGGGACTGTTGCTTAATTGAAAGGGCATTTTCAGGACCGTCTAGTAGGTCACATCTCACGAAAGTTGTTTGATAGCCAATGCAGGAGGGCAGAGACGGTCGATTTTACACAATTTAAAAAACTGGTGGTTGGATGACACAGCCCACGAGCCAATACTGTGATCTTTATTAGCACGTAAACCATCACGTGTTGGCTGAAACGCAAACCCAGCAAATTCGCCAAGACATATCTTCGAGCGCCTTGGCAAGATTTGGAGATATCTTTCCTCTTTCCACCGCCTCATCATCTTGACGATTTCTTTTTCCTTCATACTTGTCCGTCCACCCTCAATTGACCCCTATAGCTTGAGTACCTAGCTAACATGAATATAGACCTTGTGGGAGTGGCTCAGCTCAAGTATTGGGTCTACTATAGCGGTGTCCCTGCATTGCACATCGCGGAGGATGTCGTTATTAAGTGTCCTTCGGGGCTCTTATCCGCGTATTTTTTGGCCATTCAATTCACTTTTTCATCAGTATCTTTGCCTTGTGCAGAGTCCTGGAGAAGGAACACTCTTTCCATCGAGCAGCCGAACATAGATCTTGTTGTAATTGTCGTAATAGCTATCCCATGCCATTGATGGAAGCTCAGTGATGCTCTCTCACTTGCATCACGTGTCCGGGTGGACTAGCGCCAAATCGAAGTCGGAGCCACCCCTGCACCTTGACTTTGAGCTTTTGAGAGAAGTTCTACTCTCTTCAAGTCCGAAGATATCAATGCATCATGAGAGCTAGAGGCCAGCTGCAATCATGATACTAAGACAGTTCTGCGTCCGGCATGGTAAGTACACGGTTTTGATTTCGTTTAGCAACAGAACACCCAATTAATTTCCCCAGGACGAACTGTACTCTCTCAGCCATCCCGGACGTGCCTTCGATCTGCATCCAGCAACAATCATGTGGACAATTCCATGTTCCAGCAGTCGAATCAAGACCTAAAACGAAGAGACTTCATACAAGGCCATCCCGATGACCCTTCAAGTATCCTTGACACCACACAGAAACCACCAACAGCAGCGACGAGGCGACTTGACGGTGCAGTCGAATCAAGTGCAAATTCCCTGAAGGGTCTACAATCCGAAGCCAGTGGTCTGTCCCACGCAGAGCGGATCATGAAGCTAGACGACCTGACCACCTTGCACCAGCGAGAGAGGCCATCGACCGAAGTTGAGGGCGAAGACCAACCCACAACTCGCCTTGATCCCAAAAACCTCAAACCCACCCGGTGGCCACGAGATCCCGGCTTTGTCGACCACTGGCCTGAGCACGGCAAGAATCTACACGAGCTGGACAGATACTTTGCAGGCTACATGGCACGGAAACACCGGGGCACAGACAACGTGAATCGTTATGACCCTGCAAAGAACATCACAAACCCACCTACACCCGACGAACTCACTCTCCCAATGCTCCTGGCGAACCAAACACACTTGGGCCACGCTACATCGCTATGGAATCCCGCCAACAGCAGCTACATCACAGGGGTACGAGACGGCATACACATCATTTCGCTGGACATCACATACGCATACCTGAAACGGGCGGCGAAAGTAGTTGAGCAAGTCGCGAAACGCGGCGGCATCATCCTGTTTGTCGGCACACGGGACGGGATGCGAGATATCATCGTGCGCGCCGCGAAGGAAGCAAAAGGCTACCACATCTTCGACCGATGGGTGCCGGGCACACTGACCAACGGCCAACAAATCCTGGGCCAGTGCGCGGTGCAGGTCGTGGACCGACACGACAAGAAGATCGACGAGTACGACGACATGCTGTCGCAGGGGCGCCACCAAGTCGCGCGGCCAGACCTCGTCGTGTGCATGAACCCGCTGGAGAACGAGGTGCTGCTGCACGAGTGCGGGCTCTTCACGATCCCGACCATCGGCGTCATCGACACGGACGCGAATCCCGCCTGGGTCACATACCCCATCCCCGCCAACGACGACTCGCTGCGCTCTATCGCGTTGATCTCGGGGCTGCTCGCTCACGCCGCCAAGGAAGGACAGCGCCAGCGTATCGAAGCCGCCGAGAGTGGAAAGACTACGTACCAGCCCGAACTCGTCCAGCGCGCGTTGGAGAGAGCTCAGACCCTGGTTGACCTCGACGTGCAGGAGAGCTCGAGTAACGAGCAGAGCAAGGAGGGTGCGACTGCCTAGTCCCCAGGCGTGCTGTGCTGGCCTTGTCATATGTATTACGGCCATGTGGAGTGAGAGTCATGCATCAATCACTTTGAGCGTCAAAAAACCCACATGTAGTCATCGGGGCAATGGATTAGACGTGGACAATGGCGGTCGAAATCTGTACGATATATAGCTGGATGTATGTCGCAAACATACTTGCGAATAGACACATAATTCGTGGGCATCCAACGTGAAAGATCTCTAAGCATGCCATCAGTGACCCAGTTGTCCCATAGACAATTGACACATCTGCGATCCTACTGTTGAGCCGTTCTTTCCACCTATCCTTTTTGAGGCGACGAGCGACTGGAGACTGGAAGGGGCGAAAGCCAAACCTTCCACCAAGATAAAGTTATTAAGAGAGTACGAGTCGCGACTTGAGACGAGGCACTTTAAGAATTGTGAACACGATTGTCTAAAAAGAAGAAACTAGTTGCCCCAGGGAATTATGCTGTCTTTGAATGACTAGGCAACATGGTATTTCTCCTGTTGTCCCCAAACACGCCGGAAGCTACTTGAAAAATAGTGATCCCATGGTCGAAAATAGAAACCCTGGATGTTTGCTGCTTCGACAATCAGTCGTTGTCGCCGCAATCTTTGTGGGGCGAAAGGAGCTGGAATCCACATTTGAAGGTGCCCTCCTCTGAGAAACGCTCCCCAATCATGGTCAAACGGTCAGCTCATAGCAAGGAGTCAAGGCGGGTGAATACACTGAGGCAAGCGGCCACAACCTGTTTCCACGAGTCAGCTTGTTACACAGAGATCGAAATCATATCGGCTTACCTCAAGCTGTAATTCCTTATCCTTGTTCTTCTCCACTTCATCGGCAATCACCTGGCCTATGTTAGCACCGATGCCCTGGCCTCCACCGGCTCTCTTGGCAAATGGCCACTGGCTGTATTCCGCAAGTAGTTCGTCAACCTGTGCAAATGCTCTTTCCCGTGCCTCATGACTCATCGTGACAAGTGCATTCTCCAGAACATTGGCCGCGTAGGAAGCGCAGACCATGCTGACTGTCCGTAGCATTCGGAAGTCTAGTTCTGCAGGAAGAAACTGGGATGGGGGGAGAACGACGGTACGATTTGAGCAGACGTTCCGAACTCGCTTGCGGATCTCGTCCTTTGCAGCAGCATCAACCACGGGATGAGTGGCCATGTCGAATAGCAGGAAGTTACGCTTTTCGGTTCGAAGAATGCCTTTGTCGACCAGACCCTTTGCAAGTCGCTCTCGGACTTGTTTCAATTGATAACCGATTTTCATCAAGTTCCACGTCTCGCCTGTATACCAAAAAGTTAGCTTAGGCTGAAGCTCGAAGGCGTGGTAGGGGGAACTGCTCACCACTCATAAGGTCAATCCAGGAGCTCACACTCATCTTCTCACTTGATTTCATCATTTTGAGGGCTTCGTCGAGTAGAACTTCTCCAGTAAGGGTGTCATCGATGACTTCAATTATGCGATCGGCCAAAGGAAACCGTCGTCTGGCTGAGTCGTTCTGCATACTGATTCGACCACGAAAGGCAAGCTCAATCACGATGCAGCCTCGTAGAGCATATGAAATGTTATCGTTCCAAAAGGACAAGTATCCCTGCGATCGAGAAGGTGTCAAAACAGTCCACATGTCTTTGAGCTGCACTCTCGTACCTGTTTGTCCTTCAGACCAAGTAGCAGTATGTCCTCCATCAAGGTCAATTTTGGCTGTTTACTCCGCTCTTCACTCTCACTAATATCTCTGGGGTCGTAGGCAATTTTGTGGCCATTCTCACCACTCTCATACGCGGTCTCGGGAGACCGATCATTATAGGCTTTAGGCGCAGGGGAAGTAACACGGCTTGAGGATGATTCGTCTTCGGCATTGGGGCCGTTTGCACCACCACCACCACCACCACCACCACGCCGCCGCGTGAGGCCTCCTTGGGAGGCCATCAGAGTGAAGTCAGTGCCTCACTGAAAAAGGGTGATGTAGATGAGGACCGGGTGTCGAGAAGGGGTAAGGAGAATGGATGTCTCGTGCGCTTTCGAGGAGGGCTGACCGGGGATGGTGCAGGGTGGCAGCTGCAACTGCGGGCCGTTTGGCAGTATTCCTGGCAGAGATAATGGTGACAATAGAAGGGCCAACGAGTGGTGGGGAGGAAGGATATTGTTAAGTTTGGACTTTCATGTCTGTTCTCACGAACCTGTTGATTTGGCGACGACTTTATTGCAGGCTACGTCTCTTTTAGGACATTCGGGCGACTGTAGACGCGCCAAGGCCGGTTTGGAGGAAGGAGGCACAGGCATGAGAAGTCGACTTTTGTACTTGGGGCCTGCCAGCCCCTAACGAACCCCCTAAAGACACTGAGTGGGTACCTCTGTCGCCTAAAGGAGATCTGGCCATCCATCTGTATATCAACCTTATCTACCTACGAGTAAGTATCAACACATCAACCAAAGTTCTGATCGATGTCAACCTGGTTGTAGTCTCATCAAAAGAACAAGATCCTCTTCAGGGTGACCTACGCGTCAGTACCCAGGTGAGAGCATTTAAGCCGACAGCTGCCGGCCCTCCTCAGAACGTAAGCCAGACTCACCCCTCCGTGCCATAAGGTCATGCTATTCTACCAATCGCCTGGATCTTCAGCAGCAGGCATGGGTTTCTCGTATCATACCACATCCGAGCCACACTGCTTCCGGCCTCGCCACCTCCGCAGTTGATGGAATCAAGAGTGAGTTATGTGCGAAGCCCCTCGCTGCCCGGGCTTTTTGAGCATGTCGTCACACCCATTCTGCCGTTTCATTGGATCCGGAACGCTTGCGGGATGCAGGTGGTTGGAAACCGTTGACCCCATTCAGCTGTATACACAACCTGGTCTTCTCATCCCACCAGAAGATTGTGTTGCTTACTGTAATCACAATCAAAGAGGCAAAAGTCATTTTATATAACTAGGCATCTCAAAACTTTCAGGGTCACGCACCGACAGGGTTCCTAGTAAATATCCTCGAATTACCCCTTACTGGCGAAAGTGTTCATCTCAACCGGATAGACATATCCGAAAATCAAGATAAACCAACGACACACCTGGACCGCTCCGACAACATGGCCACCAAGATTCCGCTCATAACACTTGAAGAGCATTTTGTTTCCAAAACCATCACGGATTACTATGTTTCCCAGGGCCAGGAACAAGTCATACCTGAAAAAGTCATGGACATTATGTCGAAATTACTCGAACTCGGCCCTAAGCGACTGGCATCAATGAATAATGGCAAAGTGAGCATCCAAGTCATCTCGCACAGGCCAAATACTCTTGCAATTCCACCCGAGATCTGTACCGCCACAAATAATGAACTGTACGATGCCATTCAAAATTCTCCTGACCCAACCCGCTTTGCTGCCTTCGCAATGCTACCAACAGCGTACCCAGACGCCGCGGCCAAAGAATTGAAGCGATGTGTTGAAGACCTCCATTTCGTTGGCTCGCTAATTGACAACACAACCAACGATAAATACTACGACGACGAGTTCTTCTGGCCTATTTTTGCGGCCCACGAGCAACTCGGTGTACCCGTGTATCTCCATGGCGCACCACATGTGCTGGACCAGTCCTCCGCATACCATGGGAACTATCCACCTGCGGTGTCCGATTTCCTTGCGAACTTCGGTTTTGGCTGGCACTCCGAAGTCGCCCTACACGTGTTGAAGCTGTTCGCCTCAGGTCTCTTCGATAAGCATCCGCGACTGAAACTCATTCTAGGTCACATGGGCGAGCACCTCCCATACACTCTGGAACGCCAACACCGACTGATCCAAAAGACTTGGCCAGCGGCCACGCGTCCTCAGAGGCATCTTTTACAGGTCTGGCATGAGAACATCTACGTAACAACGAGCGGAATGTTCAGTATGGCCCCAATGTCGTGCTTGATACACATGTGCTGTGCAGATAAGGTACTCTATAGTGTCGACTATCCTTTCTGCAGCAATCAGGAAGGTCTTCGCTTCATTTCTGCCCTACGGGAAAGCGGCATGATCAATGATGAAGATTTCGCCAGTATTGCATACAAAAACGCCGAAAGGTTGTTGGGGCTTCGTGTTCCTGACAGCAACAAAATCGGACTAGAGATGGGCAAGGACGAGACCCGACTGAGACCCTGGTTGAGCGAGGACAGTGCGAACGGCGATCCATTCCCGCATAGTCCACTGGATACTGTTAGAGAATAGGGGAAGGCACTTTTACTATAGGGATTTGTGTTTGGGCCAATGTTTCAGGCTTAACTTGCAGCACAAAAGTTTGACATCAAGGAATTCATTGTTCGATAAGAAATACTGCTGACCATTATTGTCGACACAGCTCAAGTCTCTCTCGAGAGCTGACGACGACGACGCCGCCGTAAAGCATATCAGCTAGTAACTTGTCAGGTTGTTATGTTACCGGAAAAACTTATATCCAAACTTGAGTGCCATAGTATTACCGAGGCAGGTCGACTGTGATCTGCCAGTAAGCCGAAGGCATGCTTATCATGGCGAGGCAGTATTTTTGACCCTCGCATTTTCTAGTCTTAAATGGCTAGTGGTTTGCAGACCGTTAGCCTTGCAGAACACGCGACCATGCAGACTCGGATATTGGGGTACCTGCGTCTCGAGGCTTCGAATAAGCGGTATGACGAATCACAAATCTCGTCTACTTTGTGGATGAACTTGAGAACCCTCGGGCGTCCTTGGAAGTGGAATAGGAATGACGAATTCTGGGGTTGATGAATGGTCATGCAACTGCCAACACAGCCTTGCTGCGCCTCACCGCGCCACATAAATGCCAAGCCACCAATCAGCATCGCTAGCTGCTGCCACAATCCCCTTCGCTAATCCAACTTTCCACGAACTTCGACTGTTTGTTTCCACATAATGATCGAGTATCTTGGTCGTATTTGCGGCAAACATGGAATTAGTGCGGATGGTTAATGTCGTTGACTCCGTACTCAGCTGTCATGTTCCTCAAAGTCACTGGGCTGTGGAATACTCCCTATCGGAACGCCACACTTCCAGTACGCGGCATTTGATGCTCTGGGATAGGCACCCCTCAAAGACAGGTAAACCCCCAAGTATATATACTCCCGTTCCTTCTCTTCAGTGAGTCATACTTCCATATTCATCATCAACCATCATTGGTCAAGGACAAGGCTCGAATATACACAATCCTCACACAAAACGACCAATTCTCATCTTTCCCAAACCACCATCTTAACCAATTCGAACGACAATGTCTGGCCCCTACGATTCTCACTACCCTTCCAACAACTACGGCAACGGCTACGGCAACAGCCAATACCAATCCACATACCCATCATCCGGCTTCTCTCAGCCACAACAGCTCTACAACGCGAATAATTCGTATGGCGCATACCAACAAACAGACCAAAGTTACAACTCTTATCAATACCAACAACAACCACCCGCATCATCATCCTACTATCAATCACAAATACCTGCCAATGACTCGTACTACAACCAGTCCGGCACCCCTGTCAACGCGGATGGCACAACAACCGACCGCGGCCTCCTGGGCGCGGTGACTGGTGGTGCCGCGGGTGCTTATGCTGGGCACAAGGCCCGCGGCCACGGCGTGTTGGGCGCCTTGGGCGGTGCAATTCTCGGATCCTTGACCGAAGACTATGCGAAGAAAGGCAGGAAGAACAAGAACAAGACCCAATCCGGCGCCGGCGGCAGCGGTATCTTCAACCAGGTCTCCTCCATGATGAAGAAGTAAAGTTTCGTTTCATTCAATTTCCACGAGAGGGGTTTTTTTCGACGTGTGCCCTTCCTCGACGATTATTTCGAGAGGAAGGAAACAAGGGAAAAATTCCAATGGGGTTTGTGTGTGTTGGCTGAGCAGGCGTTGGGTACGAAGCGAAGCTGAAATTATCTTTTTTGTTATCATCCTCCTTATCCCCTCCTCCCTTTCCTTTAGGTCACCCGATCTCTCTCCAGAGACTCTTCGCCTCATAGATGGGCTTGCTTGAAAGCGCCCCGCTGTGTTGAACATGCGATTGAGAGGGACCTGGATTGGAGATACGATGCTGCTGCCTGAGTTGAGCCCTTGAGACGGTGAAAAATGTCTCGGGGCCGGAGAATCAAGGAGAGGACGAAATGGAGACAATTCAATGGGCCTTGAGCCACTGGGCCAGCTCATACGACATGAGATGTGTGGCATTTTCATCGGCGTAGAATTGGATTTTGGGAAGCATATGGGACGAAGCGATGCATCTGGCGTTCTGGTGCCTATCACCATTGCCCTTTAAGCTGTTACTGCATATTAGCCTTCTCACAGAGAACCTCATAACTTTGAATATTAAATCATTATACTATAAAACTACTGAGCTCTCTTTCTAACTGTATCCTAAACTGCGCAACTTCTCCTCCAACGAATTTTCCTGCAAGTACATCAGCTCTGATCATCGATCGTCTAACTGAATAATCAAGTGCATTCGTGATACGCAACAAAAATTCCAATCCTGTGAGAGAGCATCACCAGGGATCCCTAATGCAGAGCCTGGTAGACACCACCGCGCCAACAATTTCTCTTCCACGCAACAGCAGGACGCAGTTTAGGGCTAGGAATATGGAGGATCCTGATTGTTTGGGCGATGGGGGAGGGTTGGACGTCGGACGATCCTATGTTATACGCTGTCAGGAGTTCGCTCTTGTTTGCTGACTGCAGATGATGAACGGCGTGTATACAGAAAGGACGGTTCTGTCACGTCCCACCTCTGATGTGGATGGTTTTTGAGTAGACGGCGTCATCCTCACGTTTATGATTTCCAAATGAGGTTGCATTCCGATGTCATTGGCATTGTCACCCGACTTGGAAGGCTGTTTGTCAATAGGGACGATCATGGCCTCAGTAGAGATGGCGTTGGATTAGTACAGAGCCTCAAGCAAGAGAACTTGGTTTTGGCGATGTTGAAGGGATTGAAAACTCATCAGAGACACATATATCAAGTCACTACGAGAGCGCCTCTCTAGCACAAGACGAAATCTTGAAGTCTGGAGAACTAGCCGGCCTTGCGAAACCTAGACATTGGGCAGACTAGTGGATGATGAAGCATGAGGGTCGCCCATGTGGAGTTGAATCTGCGGTGTGCCACAAGGAAAAAGCGTATCATGATATTCAACCAAATATCTTTCATTGATGTGAGCAATCTGGCTAGATAGTAATAACACAAACATGAGAAGACCCCTTTGACATTCCTGGAGTGGTAGATTTGCGGTGCTTTGCCAGTCACATCTCAAGGCGAGCCGGGTATCAACCTTACAAGAGTAAATTTACAAGAGAGTCTGGAGGTGGAGCCCAACTCAGCTCGGTCGATCTATTCGAAATGCGAAACTTCCCGCGACCGATCAGCTGATTCAATATCGCGTCTCGATGGAGTGCGGGTGTCTTGTTTCGACAACTCTGTGATCCGCACTGTGCTGCTTGTTTCGTTTTCACTTGCCGAGTCCGACTTGTTGGCAGCCTCAGCCGGTGTGCTTTGTTGATGCCAGAAGCTTTGATAGCTCCACTTTGAGGCACGAAGGAACCACGGGGCGTTCTTGCCACGGAGTTTATCTAAGTTGGAAATAGTTTTGTTAGCATGTGCTGATGTAGAAGAGAGAAGAGGGGAAAAGGGCAATCTCACAGGTCCAATATTCACGCTGCTCGTAATCACCAGGGACCAGTCTTCCTCCGGTGGCTAGCTTCACAAGGGATGTGACCCCATTGAGGACAACGTATGTCATGACACCACTGCGAAGAGTCAATTTGTGATGCATCAAAACGCAAGGTTGTTATGGGGACTTACGCGATTAAACCATATGCGACTGAATAACTGAATGGGATGAAGAGCAGTGTGACTGCGGCAGGAAGAGCATCTCCAGCATATGCCCAGTTCACTTCAACCATGGAACGAAGCATGAGACAGCCAATCTACGTTCTCCTATTAGCATGAAAGTGGTCGTGATGATGTGATCGGAGGATACTTACCAAAACCAATGCACAGCCTGTAGCCCATGTAGGGATGTTGGAAAAGATGGGAGCAAAGAACAATGAGATGAAGAAGAACAAGCCTGTTGTCATGGCAGTCAAGCCAGTTCGGCCACCCTCAGCTATGCCTGCACCAGACTCAACGAACGTGGTTACAGGTGAGCTTCCAAACAAAGATCCGATCGAGATGCATATGGCGTCAGTGCAGAACGCAACTGTCGAGCGAGGGAAAGAACCGTCGGTAGGATCCACAACCCCTGCGAAGCGAGCCATGGAGTATAGTGTGCCAGTTGCATCCAAGATGTCAACATATCTGCATGCATTGTGTTAAGAATACTGCTTCCCATCGTAGACTGACAATGGATGATCACTTACAGGAATGTGAATAGTGCAAGTGCGAAATGGGCGCCAGTAGTGCCTGAAAGATCCCACTCTTGGGCGACGAGAGTATCCTTGATCGCATGGAAACCGACGACATTCTTGAAGAAGTTGAAGCGATCATCTCCTTCAGGTGTATGAGGGAAGTAAGTGAAGGAAGAATTCCGAGGCCATGACATGATTGAAACAATTGCAATGCCATAGAAGATAGCTCCCCGGACCTGGTTTCTGATTAGTTCCAAAGTATTGGTATGAGACATAATTGCAACATACCTTGTACATCATCAACAGAGCGCTGACGAATCCACCACAGCAGATACCAATCCAAACCTGGATGTTGTCAGTGATGAGTACAACATCACTTGAAGCTGGAAGTGAGAGGGGACTCACAGTTGGGCTGAGCATCTTGTGACTTGTACATGCTCCGAATTCATCCATATACTGAGCAGGGCAGCCACCCAAGTCTGTAGGATGATTTGCTGAGCCTGTGATGAGGCCAACACCCCCGGTAGAAGATAGGCCGATTAGCGCGAGGAAGAGTCCGATGCCAGATGTGGCAGCTATCTTCAGGGATGATGGAACCAGCTTAACGAGCCATTGACGCATGCCCGTCAAGGCGAGGAACACAAAGATGAGTCCTTCGACGAAGACTGCCGTCAGTGCAAGTCTGTAGGGGACGGTGCCAGAGCCATGGAAGCCAACAACTTGGTATGTGAAATAGGCATTCAAGCCCATGCCAGGTCTGTGAAAATAGCTATCAGTAATGGGATATCTACCACTTGGGATAGGACTCCTACGCAAGACAAACTGGCATATTGGTCAAGAAACCAAAGACGAACGACGAGAGCGCTGCAATAGCTGCTGTGGCCGTGACCAAGTCACGCTGAATGCCTGGGACGATATCAGTATTTTCATCACGTAAGCCAAGAATAAAACTGAGCCCTTCTTACCTTGAACGCAGACAGTGTATTCCAAGTTTTCTTTGCAAATAGGATCTGCCTCGCCTCCGTTACATACACAAGTGCCACCAGTCTGTGACAAGATTGAGGCGTTGACACTGATAATGTAACACATGGTCATGAACGTGGTAAAGCCAGCACCAAGTTCGACTGTGAACTTGGCTCCCTTGATTTCTTTCGCCTATGAGACAGGATGTGAGCATTGAGGGCATCGTTGGGAGAATTGAAGATCCGCTCAACTTACATGACCGCTCCCCTCAAGCCGGAAGACCCTTCCGAAGGTAGTCCTGGCAATGGAACGGTTGAGGTTCTCAATGATAGCTGAGATACCCATCTTGGAAGAAAGGGTTGGTGTTGATGTTCAAGGCCAGTAAGAGACACTGTGTTGTATCACCGAGCAGTGAAAGATTGAGCAACACTTGCAATAACAATGGCATTTTGAACTATTCAACGACAACAGATATACTTAAGCGAGGGACTTTTGGGAGGGGCCTCCCCTCGCTCGAATCCATTTCCCTCGTGCAGCTTCTCCGGCCTGAAGTCCCTGGACGCGCGAAATCTCCACCACATGCTTAGTGAGTCAAGCATCAATGAGATGCATGTTTCGGAGGAAATTTTCTTCCCAAAACTTTACGCAGGGCTTTTGCACGCTTTGATTGAAGACAAGAAACGCCAGGGCCCGCCGTCATAGTCCGTAGAGTTCGGTTCCTGAATATCGTGTCGTGTTTAGTCGGCATGTTCGTGCATGTTCGTGCCTGACAGCTGTCATAATCGTTGGACCGTGCGAACAGTGGATCGAAGAGGTGGCTGAGGTCTAGACTCGAGCACAAGCGATTACGAACATGCCCCAATCAAAACGGGCAAGGTTCCAATGATTGCAAACATGGGGAAGCCAGGGGTTGTCATATCAAAGTTCCCGTTGGACGCCACACACATGGTTTGACATAATTCATGCATCTCCGGTTCCTGAGCCAGAGTGTTGGGCGCAGCTGAAAATGGACGTTGACCTGGTTTGGAATTCGGTCGTCCTGACTTCATCCTTGACCATGAAGGTCGGAAATAGCCTATGATGGACTTTCTGTCTCGAAAGCACCACCTAACGAGTCAACCTGTAAGTTGGCGGCTTCTTTTCTCGCCTCGAGAATCTAGCCGAGCTTGAACGAAATCCAATCGGATCATCTTCCAACTCGAAGAACTTTGCCATGTGGCTTGTTCTCTCATCACTATCGTCAAGCCTTCAGACGAATCTAGCCCTTTGCATGGTTGATGAAATGAAAACACGAGAACATGCCTAATCTTCAGCTTCAGTGGTGTGAGTCGTCCGTTGAACTTTGCGTCTGAACGCATCCATGCCCATGCGAGGCACGACTTCCGAGTTCAGGAGTCATTCAGCATTTCATTCAACTATCAAGAAGGTGCCCTGAAAGGTCCCTGAGTCGTAATTCTTCGCCGAACTTTGTCGCTCAGCATGTTCAACGTTTCCTGCAAAGACCCTCTAGATGCCGAGAAGGTAGGAGAGCGACGTGCTCGGAAGAACAAGGAAGCGAAAGAGGTCGTTGATAGTGTCAATGATACTCTCAGCAATATCTCGATATCGGGGCACACCCCAGATACTCATTCATTTGCCTTTAGTCCCCCACTATCTGGCAGGTCGTCGAGAACATCTGTGATCAGTCCCAGCTCTCAGAGATCAGCGGACAGTCCAGAAAACAAGAACGGCAGTGTACGTGACTATTTCAGCTTCAAGAGTGGCCCATCATCGTCTAGGTAAGCTCTGTGTTCATACGTAGGAGATTTTGGTAATTGATGACCGAATAGCAACAGACCAAAGACAAGGGAGAGAAGGCTGCAGGAATCGGCCATCGAGTCTGCTGTCAACCCATTCGCGAGCCACTCGGGCCATTCAAAGGCTTCGGATGTTGCCTCTAGATCAACTGGAGAATGGAATTATATCGTCTCAGCGAGTAGCAGCAGACCACCGGCGCCCTCTCATACCTCAGTCGCATCTTCCCGCCCGACTTCTCTGCCAGTCTTAGATGTCGAAAGACCAGTGTCGGTTCACACGGGTATAACAAATACTTCGAGCGGTCCAAACCCATGGAAGCGCTTCCAACGCTCTCTCAAGAAGATTGAGAAGGCAACTGATGAGACTGCTTGCATCAGGCTCGCCGAGCGTTGGCCAGCAGACGACGACGATGAGGAAATGATGCACGAGTTCGACTATGAGACGACGATCTGGGCGCTGGTGCGGGCCCAGAAGCTTTCCAATCGACAACTGCCCACCGAAGGTATCTTTCCAGTTCCTGCCGGGTTAAACAGTGCAGATAAGGAGACTTTTCATGGAGCCAATATTCTGCATCTGGGTACGGTCAGAGGTAAGTACAACCGACGCTTTGTCTTCAGGGACATGGTGCTGATTTTTGGTCCATACAGGCTGCCCTGAAAGCTGGTATCTCGGCACCAAGTACACCGACACTGTTGTTCACAGTGTAGGCTTTCGAGATCTCCCCTTTGACCTAGCGTCATCGAGCTGGGGACTACCTCCGAACGTCTTGCTAGAACAATGGTCTGAGTTTCCTCGCCTGGATTACGTCGATGCCATCTTCGACAACGTCGTCATCGCACATCATCTGTTCGAATCAATCAAATGCACATTATGGCCTGTCCTCATCGAGGAAATCTCCCGGGTACTCGCACCAGGGGGACTGCTCATCGTCTCCATCATGGACGCTCTACCTCAACGTGCAGGTCCACTGTTGGACTACTGGACACATCAAAACCTGAACATGAATGTCCTGCGAAAATTCATGGTTCACCAACCAAGTTTGTTGCTGCCTTCATGGGTGGACGAAGACGGACGCTTCTGCCAGGAACTGATCGAGCGCATTGAATTCCCATGCATGCCTGCACTGGGCAACGCAAATAAAAAGGCTGAATCAGCAGTCAGCACCAGGGGCCACACTCACAAGAGACGACCATCATACACTTCAGCCTTGCCAACCGACCGTCCCGGCCTCGGTCGAATCACCGAAGTCTCCGAGATTCGCACAGCGGGTGCCACGACGAGTGCAGAGCCACACCACCTGGCGGCATCTCGAGCCGGCTGGAACTTCTATGAACGCTTGTACTCTTCGTTCTTGTCGGAGCCGACGCGCAAACAGAGTGTTACCTCATTCGCCGAGTCGCAGCTCGAAGGACTCAAGCGAGACTGGTGGACTAAGATTGATGATGTGCGGAAGGAATGTTATACCCAGCAGCCGTATTTTGAGATGGCGACCTTTGTATATCGGCGTGTGCCGACAGCTGAGTTGGAGTTGGATGACCAGAGAGCTTAGCAAGCCCACGGGGAAGTGGCGATTGGTTCCTAATACACATGCTTCATGATTTCAAACCAGGTGCTGAATCTCTTAAGATACCCTTAATTTTAATATACATATCTGTACAATGTCAGTAACGTCAAGTGTAGACTGCACGGCAATGATGTAATGGAGATAAGTGTCCGATCATAAATAGAATGATTCATTTCTGAGTACGAAACACATCACGCCTCGTGTTGCAAGTTCGGGTCGTGCCAGGCAGTCAGTCTATTGATCGCTAAAACTTCAAGAGAGGTAAGAAAGACCGTCACCAGGATACAACTGTATTATTACAGTGCATCAGAGTGTCAATGAATAAGGACCGTAAGATGCGAGGTGGTAAGATCACTTGAAGACCTTTAGGTCTGCCTCCTTCAACTTGCCGGCACCAACCAAAGCACCAGCACTGGCGCTGAAAGTCTGCTTGACTTTGGAAGCGTCCTTGCCCGCGACGTTCAACTTCGCGACCATATCCGCTAACTCGTCGGCATCGATGTTACCCAAGACCTTGTCGACATCGTCCAGAACCTCGTCGATCTGCTTGGGGCTGGCTTCAGCACCGTCCGCAAAGTAATTGACGTCCTTGACACTGCCCTTGACGACACGCTTGTTCTTCTTCACAGCATTCTTTGCGGCCTCCTTGGCCTTCTTACCTTGCTCCTTCTCGGCCTTGGAGCGCTCCTCGTCCTCCTTCTTCTTGCGTTCTGCCTCCTCGGCAGCCTTGGCTTTCTCCTCGGCCTCGCGCTTCGCGGCGGCTTCCTTCTCCAGCCGCTTCTTATTCTTATTTGCGTTCGCCGCCTGTCGGAACTTCTTGATCCGGTCGTCCATGCCGAGACAGTCGTCGACGAGTTTGCGCAGGCGCGCGATGTCCTCGGACTTGCGCTTTCGACGAGCGTTGGCGTTCTTCTTCTCGATATGTCGTTTGTGGTCGCGACCCTCGTTGTCGTCGGGGACGTCTTCATCGAGGTACTCGAATGTGCGCCACGAGTCGAAGTTATACCAGAAGTCGTAGAACTCTTCGACGTCTTCTTTTGTGCTGTTGTCGTCGCCGATGACTGGGACAGGGGTTTTCTTGCTGAAGCGTGCTTCGCTCTGGAAGACTGCATTCCACTTCTTGTAGAAAGCGCTGGGCTTTGTGATGTCCTTCTTTGTCGGGGGTGCAACGTCGGCTTCTTCATCCACCGAGTCGAACTGTCTGCGTTTCACGGGGTCGGTGAGAATCTCGTGGGCGCGCTGGATGCACTTGAAGAAAGAGTCGTTCTCGTCGGCATGGCCGGCGGCTGCTTTCTTGTCAGGGTGATGCTTCAGGACCTTCTTGCGGTGGGCCTTCTTGATCTGTTCGTCGGTGGCTTTGTATCGGTATTTCGATAGACCAAGCACGGCATAGTGATCTTGTCCCTTATGAAATTGTCAGTCATGGGATTGTGGGGATGAAGAGTAGAGTGAGGACAAACCTTCCAGTCTTTGGCATCTCGAGCCAGCATCATAGGATCTTCAGGCTCACTGATCTCCCCATCGTCGTCATCCTCTGACTTCTTGACCTTGGAGAGAGCCTGAATACGGTCATCTTCAGAGAAAGTGCGACCATGGCGCTTGCGGCGTGCATAGGCCAGAAATTGTGCACCGTAAGGCTCGATTTTTCGATTGATTGGAGATGAAAGTTTTCCTAGAGACTTGAAGTGAGGGTTGGCTTCACTGTCTCCTTTCCAGTCCGCAGACGGAGGAGGAATAGTCGCTGCTATGGCCATCTTGGCAATAGTGTGGTTAGATGATTGAGGATTTGACAATACTGTCAGCGAGGGGTGCAGGTGAAATCGAGTTTCCCAAAAAATAAAATATCTCGCCGGGAAAAATTCCCCAGCCTTACGTGCGCTGATTGGCTCGCTGTACTTTCTCCATTCATCTATCCCTCGAACATCAAACTGGGCAGGAACGATGAGCAGCTTTGTGAGTCGGGCATATCAATTCTACAGACTATTCCTTCGATAGATCCAGATTCCCTAGAACCAACGACTGCATACGATACCCATACTCTCCGGATCACTAGCAACATGGCCCTCGCCGCATACAGACATCTCCTCCGCGCCACGCGAATCGCTTTCCAAGGTGATTCTATGCTCCTCCATTCTGCAAGGACACAAGCACGGACAGGCTTTGACAAGCTAAGCTCTCTCGACCCGACTTCCGAAGAGGCCACCAAGGGAATCGACCATGCCGAAGGTGTTGCGCAAATGCTCAGGCAGAACGTTGTTCAAGGAGAGCGGCAGGGCGACTCCGATGTCTTAAGTATGGGCACGGCGAAGAAGTGACATTGATCTGATGCTGACGGTGTGCCAGAACTGAACATACACAAAGATACCGAGCTTGGTGACAACGACACGATTAAAAACCCATTGGGAAAAGGTGGAAAAGTCAAAGTGTCAGGTGGTGATGGCTTATGAAAAGGCCACTCATGCACAGACTGGATACACTATCATCTCGAGATATACCCGCCTGAACGCCTCGCTCAAACTGTACAACAATTGTTCCCACTGCCAGCCTTTCAATCCCCAGCCAGACTGGCATAGGTGACATCTCCCTGCCCCGGCGGAGGTGCTACAATGGTGCTGGCACTGTCTTCATCTCCAGTTCCCTCTATCTGGGCCGCAGCACCAGCTGTAATGCCCGCTCTTCCACCTGGGGCATTCTTGACAGCAGTAGCTGTCTGTCTACCTTCTCGAGCCCACTCCATGCGTTGATCACGATCGGCATTGTCGAGGGGCTTGGGCTTGCCCCATCGGACACGCAGGGGACATCCTTGTATAACAGCTTTTCCTTGACAGTGGGCTGCGGCAGCCTCTGCTCCTTCTCTTGTGGCGTAATTGACAAATGCGCAATGTGCTCTGTGAGAACAGACCAAGGATCGAATCTGGCCAAATGGAGTGAAGAAGGTCCGAAGGGCATGTTCAGGAAGATCGTCTTCAACGCCGGTGACGAAAAGGGAGGTGATGTTGGGATCGACCGGAGGTAGATAGTCTTCTGGTTGTGGTGGTCTTGCAGTTCCTGGTACTGCTCTGGCACCACCAGGACCTGCACGGGAACCACGTTGTGAGTTTCCACCTCTTCTCGAATCAGATGTCCTGACTGGGCCTGGACCAGCTGTAACCTGCTTCTGCTCATTCGACTGCTCGGGGTTTTCTGCCTCTAAACGTCGTTGTTTTTTGTAGTAGGGTTCACTGTTTGCTAGCCTTCTCAGCAGATCGCGCGCTTTCTCGTCCGTCTTCTCATATGCCTCCACGGCACCACGACCCTCCTCGAGTTCCTTTTCGTGCTCTTGGGCGTAATATTCTCGATTGATCGTGGACTGTGGGCCAGGTGCGACCATTTTCAAGGCAGCATCTCGAACAGTGATAGGTAGACCGAACGATAAATCAAGCATGCAGCATTGACAGCAGTTTTTCAGACGAGCGCAGGTGAGGCATATATTGGTCCGTTTGGTTCGAGCGGTTCGATCGGCTTTCCATCGAAAGACAGTGAAAGGTCTGGTGCAGATTTTGCATTCGGCGCCATGTTCTTCCTTCAACATCTGGACATAAGGATTGTCGGGGAGGCAGTTTTCGCAGCTGGAGGGGAAGTCGGTCGTTTCCCAACCAGAACGATTCAAGTCCTGTTTGATCTGTGGTGGCGCCATGATGGGTAGAGGTGAGGTGTATAAGGAGAAGGGAACGGAGGAGAGCGGACAGCGGGTGAAGAGGGACTCTGAGGGTCCTTACAAATGGGATTTGAGTGGGCAAGCCAAACTGAATTGTCAGCCTCGTTCGAGTTGCTCACAAAATTCTGTCGACGTCAGGCTGAGTTGCCACCTCCCTGATGAAGAAGGTTAGCCGGAGGAATCATGTGACTGCACGTGCTGTTGGCGGTGTGATTCTGCTCCTTGCGCTTTCCCAACACCCTTGCCATTGCACCTGCACTTTTGGAGATGCACCCCTGCCAAGACCTGGTTTTGTAAATTGCGATTGGTTGGTGGGGCAATCTAGCTTGGACAGGATCGCGTTCTCCGGATCGTGCCATAATTTTTTTGGTGGGCAGGTACGGCAATACGGGAGAATTGGAGTTCTCAATCGTACGAATTTCTGCTGGTCGGCAGCGGAACTCGTAGATTTCACTTTCGCTTTGGCTTCTCGTTCGCCGCCGCTTGGAATCTTGACCGGACCAACCTGGGCTTTCCTCCTGCAGTCCTCCACGCCGCTCTTTTGCAATCCTGCACTTATATTTCATTCTTTCGGATCCTTGACAACCCGTTCCTGAGTCTTGACCGCCCAGTCGCCCTTCGAGTTCCTACTTCAACCTTCTCGAGCAGCCTCAACGCCGCTTCTTCAACTTGTTTACTATTCATAGTACTCCATCCCACAACTCCTATCCTCAACATGGCCCCAGCAGCAGTTCTCCCCGCTCAATCTCTTGAGAAAGAAGACCACGCTCGTGATGCTGCCTTCTTCAAGGCGCTTCATGGCAACACCACCGAAGCCCGTGGAGGTCTCGCTGCCATGCGTGGCAAAGACAAGGCCGCCCAAAAAGCTGCAATTGACGAATACTTCAAGCACTGGGACAACAAGGCCGCCGATGTTGAGACCGAGGAGGTCAGAAAGGCTCGGAGAGACGAATATGCCACCCTGACCAGACAGTACGTTCCCCTGGTCGGAATCATTTACAATTCAATGTACTGACACCCCTTTCACAGTTACTACAACCTTGCCACCGATTTCTACGAGTACGGTTGGGGGACTTCATTCCATTTCTGCCGATTCGCCTATGGCGAAGGATTTTACAAGGCCATTGCCCGCCACGAGCATTACCTGGCACTAAAGATGGGTATTCAGGAGAATGCCCGTGTATTGGATGTTGGCTGTGGTGTTGGTGGTCCTGGCCGCGAAATGATCAAGTTCACCGGTGCCAACGTTGTGGGCTTGAACAACAATGATTACCAGATCGCCCGTTCAATGCGATATGCACAGAAAGAGGGTATTGCACACAAATGGGATGCTGTCAAGGGCGATTTCATGCAAATGTCATTCCCCGAAAACAGCTTTGACGCAGTCTATGCTATTGAAGCAACAGTCCACGCTCCCAAACTTCAGGGCGTGTATGAGCAGATATTCAAAGTTCTCAAGCCCGGTGGTGTGTTTGGTGTTTATGAGTGGCTGATGACCGATAACTATGACAACGACAACCCCGAACACCGAAGAATCAGACTCGGCATCGAACAAGGTGATGGTATCTCCAACATGGTCAAGGTCTCCGAAGGTCTGGCTGCCATCAAGGCTGCTGGATTCGAACTTGAGCACCACGAGGATCTTGCAGAACGACCAGATGCCATCCCATGGTACTATCCTCTAGCGGGTGAACTCAAACATGTTTCATCTCTTGGTGATCTCTTCACAGTTGGACGAATGACCTGGTGGGGCCGTGGACTCGTACACAGACTTCTCGGCGTTGGTGAGACATTGAGAGTGATGCCAGCTGGTACACAAAAGACAGGTGACAGCCTCGCATTAGCGGCTGATTGCCTGGTGGCTGGAGGCAAGCAAAAGCTGTTTACACCTATGTATTTGATGGTGGGACGCAAGCCTTTGGACGCTTGAGGGTGAGCCTAGGTCCTCGGAGAGTCATTGCAATTTTCCGGCGCAGGCGTTCTGATTGGGACAAAAGAGTGCGGGCTCTTCGAAGCAACTATTAGTGATCGATTAATTGAGAGACTGTATATATTAGATGTCATGCCAGGATAGACAGACGGATGACAGCATCGAGTGGGGAGTCAGCTTGTGTGTGTAACGATTATGCAGGGCAGGTGGGAATCGAATAGCTTTGAGCGACAAAGAAAATGTACAGCCTTGAGTCCGGTTTCTCAGATTATAGCACTAGAAAGATGATGAATTTTAGTTATCATAATCTTGTCCAAACCACCGCTCGGTGGTACCGAGCCGTGGTTAATATGGTCAACAAATCTTTCGAGGCTGTCCAAGTGGTCAAGCAAAGCAAAAGAAGCGATTGAATTAATTTACTACCTACGTTACCTCGTACGCTCTGTCGTAAATGGTCAAGTGAAACCAGACCTGCATGTTCGGCCACTGACTTGGGAGGCGAGAAACAAGCATGACGAAGCTTTCGACAGTTAGCTGGCACCTGCAGGCTGTTAGGTGCAACCTCCCGGGCGGCTTCAGCTGGGTGGGTGCCTCGTATGGTGTCATCCAGAGGGCCGAAACAGCCAAAAGGTTCTAGCAGACCACCAAACAAGGTGTTCATGGAGCCCCTTGGCGTAGCTTGGTGCCTATTAAGACTTCGTTAGAGGGGCCCTCCCGCCAGAAGGATTGGATGAGGCTCCCCCAGGCGAACATCGTAGACCCACAGACAGCCAAGCAGGGCTCTAACTTGTCGAGTCACTGCCACCTCCACGTACCTCTTCGTCATCACTTCGACTTTCGGTCACATCCTGAGAGCTGGTCAACGCGTTTCAATGGCGGCTGCTCGTCCAAAGACTAAAACCAGCCTGGTAAACTGGGAAACACTAAGTCACTCACTCTTGCCAAACCTGCGCCTTCTTTTTACCTGATTCCATTTCTTGAGAACTCAAACACTGCCTCAAACCAGGCCTTATCCTGAAGGTCTCCTTCATAATTGCAGGCAGGTGCTTTTACTTCAACCCGTTCTCTTCTTCCATTGCTTCTGCTTGACTCTATTCCGTGTTGTCTGTACTCGTAGCAACAAGAACCTCGACAAAGATGCCTCCCATCACCAAGCTTCTGCTTGCGACAGCCGCTCTCCTCACCTCATTTTCATCTGTCACAGCCTCTCCCAACCCAGGCACTGTTGGGTTCAACTTCGAACGACGTCGTGTCAATGCTGAAGAAGCACCCCATCTCAGCAGACGTCAGTCCAAAACCGTTCTCGCCGGCCTGACCAACGAGTACATCCTCTACTTCATCAATGTCACTGTGGGAACTCCTGGCCAATCCTTCTCTCTACAACTCGATACAGGCTCTTCAGATATTTGGTTTCCCTCTGTCAATGCCGACATTTGCAGGCAGGATATACGGCAGTGTCCTGTTGGTACCTACGATTCATCAGCCTCATCTACATATGCTCAGCTCAACCTTCCTGAATTTCAAATTCAGTATGTCGACGGATCAGAAATTACTGGGGCATATATCTCAGATGTCTTGAATATTGGTAGTACAAAACTCACAAACATGACCATGGCAGAAGCTTTGACAGCCAGTAAGTCTCCCCAGGTGTGGTAATGGACCATGAATGTTTGCTCACCCGCGACGCTACAGATACTAGAGGTATTGGCATCATGGGCATTGGTTTTCAGTCTGGAGAAGCAGCTGCATCCCAGAACGGTTTCACGTATCCCAATGTCATTGATGTCTTGAAGTCCGAAGGCTTTATCAATACACGCGCCTACTCCCTGTGGTTGGATGATCTCGACTCCTCAACCGGGTCTATTCTCTTTGGTGGAGTCGACACCAGCAAATATCAGGGTGATCTAGTCTCCCTACCAATTCAACTCGACACCCAAAGTGGCTCCATCACTTCCTTTACCGTTGCGTGGACTGGCTTGACCGCTTTTGGGGGTGGACAGACTCATAACTTCGACCCCTCGTCGGCTCAACCAGCCATTCTAGACTCGGGAACCACTGACACCCTTTTGCCCGACGACATCGCCAATGCCATCTTCAATGGTGTGGGTGTCCTTACCGACCCAGATTTTGGCAATGTGGTGCGGTGTTCGCTTGCTAACGATGACCTGACTTTCTCCTTCAAATTCGGCGGATCTACGGGTCCTGTCGTGAACGTAAGCCTGGCGGAGTTCGTCACACCTCTGCTTACCACCAGCGGTCGTCAAGTGACCTTCCAAAATGGGGACACTGCTTGTTCTTTTGCAATCGAAGCCGCTGGCAGCAATCCAATACTATTTGGCGATTCCTTCCTGCGCAGCGCCTATGTCGTGTACGATCTTGAGAATGAGCAGATTGCGATTGCTCAGACGAATTTCAATGCCGACCCACAGAATCAAGATGTCCAGGCCTTCCAGGTCAGCAGTGGCATCCCCGGTGTTGTATCGACCGCCACTGCAGCAAGCGTCGTACAGACTTTCTCTGGAAATCCACGCATCAGCGAGGCGACCGCTACCGCTACTGGAGATCTGTCTGGTGGTGAGGTTACGAGATCAGCTACTTTCAACCTAACTCCTACAGGAAGCTCGGGGGCTAGTAGCACTGGTGGCAGTGGAAGCTCAAGTAGCAGCAACGCCGCCAATCCTCACTTACGGCCCAGATCCGTCCAAAGCAATAGTGTCATTGCGGTGGCAGCAGTTGTCATGGGTAGCTTTCTTTTCGGTACTGGACTGATGCTCTTATAGAATTACGATGTGGACATAGCCTGGGAAGGAAGCTGAAGGCAATTTACGACAATCTTAAGCATATTTTAAGGCTCAGGTTGTGTATCAACATAGCTGCTACAAGTCTGGTCCCGATTACATATGCACGAATTGATGAATATAATTTTGATTCTCTTATCTGCTCGCACTGACGCTCTTCCCAAATGCTCAAGTGGATATCTACAAATTGCTTCTTCGGAGCTCGAATGTCAGACAACCTACTCATACTCTAGTAGGACTTCGGCAATCCCAAAACCCTCTGTCCAATGTAATTCATGATCATCTCACGACTAACAGGCGCAATCCTCGGGATCATAACCTCCCGAAAATATCTCTCAACATGATACTCCTTCGCATACCCCATACCCCCATGGGCCAACACCGCGCGCTCACAGGCTTTATACGCCGCCTCGGCGGCCAAGAACTTCGCGGCGTTGGCGTACTCACCGGCCTCATACCCTTCATCATACAGCCTGGCAGCCTGATAGATCATGAGCCTGGCGGCCTCAAGCTCCATCCAACTTGTCGCCAGGGGATGCTGCACGCCCTGATTCTGACCAATGGGCCTGCCGAAAACATGGCGCTCGCCAGCATACAGCGCGGCGCGCCTCAATGCGGCGTATCCGATGCCGATGGCCTCGGCGGCAATGAGGATGCGCTCGGCGTTCATGCCGTGCATGATCATTTTGAAGCCGTGGTTTTCCTGGCCGATGAGGTCCGCCGCGGGCACCTTCCAGTCGTCGAAGAACAGGCTGTTCGAGTCGACCGCCGCCCGGCCCATCTTGGGGATCTCGGTGATCTGCACCTGCGACCGGTCCAGGTCCGTGTAGAACAGGCTGAGGCCCTGGCTGGGCTTGGTGACGCCCTCGAGCGGCGTCGTGCGCGTCAGGATCAGGATCTTCTCCGCGACCTGCGCCGTCGAAATCCATATCTTCTGCCCGCTGAGGAGATAGTGGTCGCCCTCGCCCTCGGAGCCAGACTCATCACCGACCTTGACCTTGACGGCCTTGGACTGCAACTTCAAGGTGTCCAGCCCCGTGTTCGGCTCCGTGACGCCAAAGCAAGCGCGATGCTCGCCGGCGATGAGCGGCACCAGCATGCGGCGTTTCTGCTCGTCGGTGCCGAACTTCCTCACGGGCTCGAGCCCGAAGATGTTCATGTGCACGGCGCTGGCGCCCGCGTAGGCCGCCCCGCTCTCCGCGATCGTCTGCACCATCACCGCCGCCTCGGCGATCCCCAGCTCGCTGCCCCCGTACTCCGCCGGCATGCAGATGCCCAGCCAGCCGTCTCCCGCGATCGCCTGGTGGAATTCGACTGGGAACCGGTGCTCCTTTTCCGCCGTCGCCCAGTAGCTGTCCGGGAACTTGCTGCATATTTTGCTGATGGCTTCGCGGACCGTGCGTTGTGAGTCGGTCAGGTCGGGGTCATGTAGTTGTAGGTATTCGGTTGCGCGGACGGAAATGCTTCGTGTATGTCTGGGCAGTGGTGGGGTGGTTGTTGATTTGAAGTGGTTGCATGATATTGAAGGCCGTGATCGTGGCCGTGTGAAGTATTGGCTTAAGGTGGCGAAGCTGCCATTTGGTCTTTTGGAACCCATGATCTCAAGTAAGAATGCTCAGACCTCTCCTCCAACTCGTCGCTGACAGCAATGCGCGTTAAATCTGTGCAACACCAAGCAGGACGCCGGAAATGCCACCAGATTTATATATATATTTGGGCGCTTGCAGAGAGAACGGTGGTGGTATGTTGACCGTCCTGAGGAGATTCCCACTACTGCTAGAAAGATACCACCTTCGAAGAATGGAGCTGGTTCTCACATCTACCATGAATCACTTATCACAGGAGTAAGGGCAAATACTCCAACAGAAGGCTTCTCTTTGGGCAAAGAAGTTGGGGTATGATGATCGAGAACTTCCAAAAAAGGAGCCGAGGCTGAGCCCCGGAGGCGGGGAAAAGGGAGCAAGGCTGGCATCAAGTGCGGAGAAGCACCCTACTATCGGTCTACGATTCCTGCTATGTGATGTCAAATATCGCCTCGAAATGGCCGTGATTCTTCCGTCTACTATGGAGTAATGGTAGTGTAGAGTGCGTACGTACATACTGTGGCTACGTAGTACTCGATCACTTTGCATCATCGAGACTGCGCCAGGACCCCTCAGCTGAGTTTCGTGGTCAATATTCCGCTAACGAAAGCCATATCCGCGGAAGGTGATTCCAATAGTTCCGCGGTATCGACTGCCCTTCAGTTCCCCAGGATCTTGTGCGGAGTTTGATCGGGGATTGTTTTTATCCCTACTTGATTTCTGGGGTGGAGTGGTATATTTTCCTCTATAGATGAGACATTGAAATCAATGACCGAATATTGATCCAAATTGACGAGAGACGAGTGGCTGTTCTGAGAACGAATGAAGACGCACCCAGCACATCGGACTTATATATCGCGATTACCACAATGAAGCGAGCAGTCCCACAACTGGGGAGGAGCTTCAATGAGAGTTTCTGCTCTCAGAAGACGTCGACGATTACGAAGAGACCATGTCTTGTAAACTACAAAATCAGATATGACGGGGCAGCTCAGCGGCGGCACAAGTCAAACCTCAACACCTCGCCACCATCCACTGCTACAGATAGTCTCCCACTATCGGGTCTAAGAGTATTGGACCTGTCTCGCGTGCTAGCAGGGCCATTCTGCACACAGATCCTGGCCGACTACGGCGCCGAAGTGCTCAAGGTTGAGCAGCCTGGCGTCGGAGACGAGACTCGACAGTGGCGCACGGCCAATGAATCTCCCATGTGGAAAGACGAGTATCCCCTGATGAGCCTGTATTTCGCAGCTGTGAATCGGAACAAAAGATCTGTGACGCTCAATCTGAAGTCCCCAGAGGGTGTTGAGATTGTGAAGAAACTCGCTAGAGAGAGTGATGTCGTGGTGAATAATTTTGTGCCGGGGAAGATGAATGCCATGGGTTTGGGGTATCAAGATCTCCGGAAGGAGAATGAGCGCATTATCTACGCGAGCGTTAGTGGCTATGGCTCTACTGGACCGAGTAAGGATCGTGCTGGGTATGATGCTCTCGCGCTCGCTGAGGCTGGTTTGCTGCATATTACGGGAGAAGGTTCAAGGCCGCCTTCAAAACCTGGTGTCGCGATTGCGGATCTCTGTACCGGGCTGTACTCCCATGGCGCAATTCTGGCAGCTATTGCACAGAGAGAGCGTACAGGAGTTGGCTGTAATATCGAGGGAAGTCTGTTCGAGAGCTCCCTGACACTATTGATCAATGTTGGACTGGCGAGTATGAATCTTGACCGGGACAAGGAGCCAAAGGCCAGGAGACGAGGAAAGAGGTTGGGACTTGAACACCCAAATCTAGTACCTTATGGTGGTTTTGAGACCAAAGACAAGAAGATGGTGTATGTTGCAGCGAACAACAGACGACAATGGGACGGTTTCTGCAAACGACTGCAAGTCCAAGGGCTTGGTGAAAATACACGTTTTCATTCCAATGACGGTAGGGTAGCAAATCGGGAAGAGATCAATGCTATCCTGCAGAAGAGATTCAAGGAGAAGACCAAAGATGAATGGATGCAGGTGTTCGAGGGCAGTGGTTTGCCATATGGAGCTATCAATGATGTGGTTGAGGCAGTTGAACATCCACAAGCACTGGCTCGAAACATGATCATGGAAGTCGAGGATTTTGAAGCGGCTAGGGATGGGGTTCTGAGAATGATCGGACCAGCGATGAAGTTCGAAGGTGCCAAAATGGGCGTTCGCATAAAACCACCACTGTTGGGTGAGCATACTGATGATGTTCTTTCCGAGTTGGGATATGCTGCTTCAGATATCACAGGACTTCGCGAGACTGGAGTCATATAGTCATATAGTCATATAGCAGAAAGGTAGAGGACGAAAATAGAGAATCAAGCGAATCAAACATTCCAGCCCGATCGAGACGAGAGAGAATGAAAGAGCCCAAAGGTTGGACTTGGGAATGTGGATCAGAGATGGTTAGGGAGACCCAATGATCTAACAATGTAGGTGATAGTACAAGTTCAATGGATTTCCCTTCAAAGAGAAAAATGTACAGAGCTGTTGTTTTTTTCTGTCCACGGCCCATTTACTCCCAATCTCCCTATCATCACTCAGTGAGCATCAGGTTGAGCGACAATGTATGTGACTGCCTGGTCGACTATTGGAAACTCGTTAGAAGAGGTCTGGAATGTAAGCCTAAGGTCAACAAACCGCTGTGGATGGCATCGGCCTCCTTGTCGGGAATCTCAATGCTGAATTCTTCTTCAATGGCCATGACGACCTCGACAGTGTCCAAGCTGTCCAAACCCAAATCGTTCTGGAAGTGCGACGTTCCGCTGATCTAGTGACGGGTGTTAGTAACGAGTCTATGTCCATAGACCTGCTCAAGGTACCTTTGATGCGTCTGTGACCTGGAAAACGAGTTAGAAAGTTGCTTGTCCCAGAGATCCTTTTATTCTATAGCGCACCTTGTCAAAGTTCTTCAACAAATCCATTATCCGTCCCTGAACCTCAGGTTTTGTGAGACCCGCAGAGGCCGAGTAGCATCTTATGCTTGAGATGGCGAATGCGGGAGTGACCTGGGAGGATTGCAGATATGAAGATGTGATTTGAGAGCGGAAAGCAGGTAACTGTCGGGGAACCTGGGTTCTTGTGATAGCTTGAAGCGCTTTTACGGCACCGGTGCGGAGCATCTTGACGGAGATGAAAGGATTAGATGGTTGATCGGCGCGAAGGAGAGGGTTGCACTGTGGTGGACCGGTGAAGGAGTGAACTTTGGTGATGGGTTGGGAACTTTGGGAGTCTGAATTCTGATGTCAAGCAAAGCACTGCAGGAAGGAGCAAGCAAGACTCGCAGTCGCAGCTGCCACTGTTTTTTGAGTGGTGATCACGTGCACAACCATCATTACATAATGCAAGATAGCTCTTGTCCCCAATCATCTTGCCCCGAAATTGAATGACAAGTCTCCACTTCCAAAGTCCATTCTCTCATACTAATTCCCGTTGACGTCCTCCATTGCCTCATGCCCACGGATTCCCTTCGCGACCGCCACCCATTGTCTATCTCAGTCTGGAACTTGTAAGGACGATGGCGTCTACAATTCGTCCAGCATCGCGGCTGGTCGCGAGACCTTCCACAGCTTCTGCCCTCATCTCAAGACAACTACAAGCAGACCGATCCCCATTCCTCCGCGCCGCCACCACAGCTCAATTTCACACCTCCAGTCCTCGAAATGCCCTCCCTTCTGGCCCTCCCCCTCAAGGCTATCGGTTACCTAGACCAAAGCGATTCGACGAAGGAGAACATGTCCTCGACAAAGCCAGTAATTACTTTCTTTTGACTGAGATGTTTCGCGGCATGTATGTCGTGCTCGAACAATTCTTCAGACCACCGTATGTCTATATTCCATACCTATACACGAGGTAAAAAGAGGAAAGCTGACATATTCCTTTTTTATAGCTACACAATCTTTTACCCATTCGAAAAGGGTCCAATTTCCCCACGATTCAGAGGCGAACATGCACTCCGAAGATACCCCTCAGGCGAAGAGCGTTGTATCGCCTGCAAGCTCTGCGAAGCTATCTGCCCTGCTCTGGCCATCACCATTGAGGCCGAAGAGCGAGAGGACGGCTCAAGGAGAACCACCCGCTATGACATCGACATGACCAAGTGCATTTACTGCGGACTTTGCCAGGAGAGCTGTCCCGTGGACGCCATTGTTGAAACCCCCAACGCAGAATACGCCACCGAGTACCGAGAAGAGCTGTTATACAACAAGGAGAAGCTGCTGGCCAATGGAGATAAATGGGAACCAGAGCTGGCTGCCGTCGCCAGAGCTGATGCTCCCTACAGATAAAACAGAAAAGGGAAAAAAAGGGCATGCTGTTCTGTTTTTTGCCCCCGCAAATATTGACATGGCCAGGGTTTATGGTTGGCATTTTTCGTCCTCAGCGTGTACCTAACTATGCCAGAGCTTCTGAATGAAGGACAGACCCGCCAAAACGGAAGAAATTCAAAAGGCTTTTCGTTAGCGTTCAATTATATCTCCTTTGGAGAGTATGAATGTATTCTGGCACGTTCAGAGTCCCGCAGTGAGAGCCTCACTATCAAGAGAGAGCTCGACATAACAAATGCAGCATCGTATTCAGTATTATTCATAGGATATCAAAGATGCTAATCACAACAGAAGTCGACAACTTGAGTGTTTCAAAGTCCAGGTCATTTTCCACTCCCCCAGCTTTCGGTGATTCATTACGTTGATAGGCCGAATATAAGCCATTCAAGAACAGCAAAACTTGCATTCTAAAGTCCAAGGCCTTCACACTTTACTCGGAGCTTGAGTCGTGCCGTGATCCGGAATTTCTTCAACGAGCTCCGTCTGGCCGCCTTGAGCACGCTTGGTATCCAAAGTGACCGCGTCGACATCGTCATCGTGGATGACTTTCTCAACGGCCATGACGGCCTGCTCGGCAAGAGCCTTGTCCTCAAACACTGCAGAAAAATAAGTCAGTAATCGTCCGACGACCAGAAGGCCGGTAATGAAGCACGAATCTAGGCAGGCGAAGACAGGAAAAAGAGGGGAACGTACAGAAAGCAAGCTCCTCGAGAGTGCGGTTCGAGGTCTCGGGGAAGAAGAACCACACAAACACGATTTCAAAGGCTAGCCAGCAGCAATACGTGATGAGCCATTTCCAGCCGATGTTGTCCAGGCCGATCGGGTTGACGAACGTGGTGAAGAAATTCGCCATGCGTCCGAAGAATTGGAAGAGGGCGAGGCCGCGGGATCGCTCGGCGTATGGCCAGATTTCGACCATGTAGGTATATGTCAGGGCGTTGTAGCCGAGATTATAGGCTGGGGAATAGACTGGAGATGTAGTTAGAGGACTGTTCCCGAGATAGGAGATTCGATCGCTCGTTCGAGATCGAGAAAGAGTTGGGCTTACGGAAAATGAAAAAGATAGTGGCGATACCGGCAGATCCGTTCTTGCGCTTTTCGGCTTTAGCCTGCATTGCCTGTTGCATGGAGATGGTCCACGAAATGTAGACGAGCAAAAGACTGATCGTGCAAGCCAGATACATAGTTCGTCGTCTGAACCTAGTAACTAGAAGAGAAGCAGTCACACCACACACGAGACTCCAGCAGGAGTTACCAAGGTTGATCTTCTGCTTGAACACCGAGTCGGTATGGCCAATCATGGCGAGAAGGTCACCCAAGTAGTACGAGATCAAAGTATTGCCAGACCATTGGGTGAAGAGACCAAGGAAGGTAGATACCAGAGCACGACGACGCATTCCAGCGGTCGCGAACAGATCAAACCATGACTTGCGAGAGTTTTCCATCTCAAGGTGGATGGTCGTTTGGATCTGGGCCATTTCTGCCCGAACAAATTCTGAGTCTCGGTCCCCCTCCGCGTGGTATTTGGTCAGGATCTCAAAGGCCTCCTCGCTGCGGTCTTTGGAAACGAGCCAGCGAGGACTTTCCGGTAGGAAGAAGACGAAGGAAAGCTGAAGGAGAGACGGTGCCATCTGGAGTAAAGAGGGAATTCTCCAGCCCCAGTTGGAAGCAATGCTGTTAGTACCGAAAGTGATGCCAGCCGCAGTAATTTGCCCTGAACACATCCGTTAGTATCATAGAGAACGCCCATGGGCAGATGTTTTCTAGGGCACGAGTTGAAAAATTTAGGGACATACCAACGAAATAAGAGACATTGAAGAGGGATGTAAGAACTGGACGTTCCTTGGGGTAACCCAGTTCACCTATCAAGGATGATCCAGCTACAATGCACATTGGTATACCGAATCCAAGGATTAGCCGTGCAGCAATATACATGCCAACTGTAGGACAAGTTAGCATACCAAGTAAAACTTTCTTTGGATTACTTACCACTTTGGGCGCATCCTTGGATGATAGCACCAATCAACATGATGACGGATCCGAGCGCTATGGCCCATCGTCTTCCAAATCGTTCATTGGCGATGGGCACGAAAGGAAGAGATAAGATAGCTCCAAGAGAATATGCTGCACCAATGATTCCCTTCAAGGATCCTTGTGGATTATCGAAATCTTTCACAATCTAGTCAGCACATTGGTCTCAAAGATGAAAATGGTGGCAGACATTTGATCCATGATGGGACGATCTGAAGTGCATTGATCAATTGGGAGTCAAACCCGGAGGTCAGCTCAACTCCCATGCATGTTGGAAAGAGCATGAAATAAAGGAATCGTAAGTTTGGCTTCTTATACCAACGAACCTTGTCCTCTCTGACAATCCGAGTGAGGATAGGTTCTGCCGCTCCTGTCTCACCAGTGGTAGGCTTGGTGATCTTCGTCATATTCTGGACTTAGTTGGTTGTGTACTGGATATTCAGAGGAAAAAGCCGTGCTGCGAAGACACAGGGCCTGGAGAAATGACCCCATTCTTATTCTTTTTCCTCCCACATGGGCCATGGAGATGCCAGCTACCTAGCGTAACATCCACAAAGAGGGAGACTGATAGTCCCATCACGAATTTAGCCTTGCGCCCGGGATACCGAATTCGAGAAGAGCTATCAGGCGTGGCCCGGACAATCCGAGGTAGTAATCACGCCGATCAACTCGTATGACTCTGTACGAGCATGGTGGGGCTCCACATGAGTATTCAGAGGCATCTGGGGCCTCTCTTCATATGGTGGGTGAAGTTGTGGAGTCTCCAATTCGAGGAGAGGCAGTGTGATAGTATCTCGTACGTGTACGAGTACTTCATAGGTGTATTCCCGAATCACCAAGCTTCCACCTACCTGGATGTGGCGGGAGTCAAGAACGGGACAAGGCCTTAGCGAATTGCTTCACCCGGACGGCTACAGGCTTTGACCCTTTTGCTTTCTAGCGAAAAGTCTTTCTCCAATCGTGGAATTTACTGCGGTCACAAATGGGTTCGTAACGAGGCAATTCGCTCATTGTTTACGGATGATGTTGCCACATCCTGGGATTTAGCCGCAATTAAAGGAGGAAGGAGACTAACCGCCAAGGATAATACCCGGACCTTTATTGGCAAGGGCATGCTGGTTGTGGTTGTAGTCAAGGCTGACCACTCAGCATTTCTAACCAAAACACTTGCTCTGAGGTCAAATTGAACTTCTGTCACTATTGATTTCCCGGGTTTGTGAGCCCTTCTAAACAAATGCCTGGGGACTCTCCCCGAAAAGCTGTTGTGAAGCTCCCGATGCCGTCTCTTCAGGGAGACTATCACGTTAAGCTTCGGCAGTTTGAAGCTTAACGAAACCTCCACGGACTTTGACGAGTTGCTTCTCGCAGTTGACCGGAAATGATATGGACCTCCCTACTTTACGCTCCGTGCATTAAGAGCAACATGCCGTCCGTATAACCTTTGTTCTGGCTTTGCCGAATACGAAGTTATGTATCTGGCTTCCTCCGCAAGCCGTGTCTGAGCTAGGGCATGTTTGTGCAGGAAGGAACAAGATACAATCAGCCCACCGGCTTAGGCTGTGTTGTTTTGAAGACTGATATCTACAGTCTCAGTTCGCTTGACATTATATTTAGTAAAGAATTCCCGTACTTTTGTTGGTCGGTCAGACTGAGGTGTTCCGCATCTAAAGGCAATATCTGTTTCAACATAAGCCGCCCTGTCGAGAACGGCAATTCCATGATCCTATCCACGCAGAGACGGGATGCTTACGTTCGAATGACGCAAAGTTTGGGGAACATCTGGTGAGACAGGTGGGCACAAGTCCATTGTTTGTGAATAAAGCCGAGTCTTCGAGGCGTTAAGATGAAATCTTCCTATCAACGACCAAAAAAAGAATTCAACACGTCCGAAGAAGAATTCGAACCCAAGAAGAGCAAAAAAATCGTAGTTGGCATCTACGTCTACAATGCCTTGCATTTTTCCGCATGTGAGAACTTGGGGTCCCAAGTGCCACAGAGGCGAGATACGAGAACCTGCATTAACCACCCGTATCCTGCAATGGCCCTCCTGCCAACCACATACACCAAACCTCCGTCGAGCAGATATTCGGATGGACGCATCATCAGTTTGGTGACAGAAAATTCTTTAACTCAAGAATATATGGTTACCAGACTGGGAGTGAATGACAACACCTCACGGGGAAGGTTAGGAAGGTGAGCCTAGAAGTGCTATGACTAGGTGCAGTGTCAACTAGGGCTCACCAGACTTCATTTTACTTCGCTCATTCAGAAGGATGAGCTCGGAACTGCAGGTTACTCTGCATGCCCAGTCAAAGGTGACCGGGTATCAACTAGAGGCCGAAATCAATATTTGGAGATCTCGATAAACAAATATCCAGAACTCAGAAACATGAGTCCAAGCACCGGGCTGCGTCAGCGTGCACAGACCGGAATGGTGTCTATTCAACTACCACAACGATCAACAGTCCATGCGCCAATACGATACGTTCGCCGATCGTCAATAGCCGGGAGGCTGGTATCGTATTATTGAAAAACATTCTTTCACAAAGTTATCAGTCCTGAGGATCTGGCAGTATATAAGGAATGGAGTTGTCTCGATGACTCGCCAAAGCCCCTGACCATTGACCTTATCCAACATCCCCTTGCGACCAGACTGGCCCCAATTTTCATCACTCGAAGAAGAAGCCCATTTATATATCAAGATGCAATTCAACATCCAATGCCTGCTGCTGACGCTGCTGGTTCTACTCATTTCAATCGTGCAGGGAGCACCTTTTCGTACGTACTCAACCACGTTGTTACAGAGATCTGGTCGAGAAGCTCAAGCTAACCATGGGTAGCCATAGCAACGACGAGCACTGACGTCCCCAGTACCTACCAGACCAACTCAGCAGAACGTCCTCCCATCCTGTTTGCGAAAAGAGACATAACTGCCAGCAGACTCGCATGCTTGAACCAATTAGACACCAAGTACCAACTATGCCTGGGACCAAACCTTGGAAATGTCTTGCCAGATGAAGCAGATATCAGTCGTTGCAGTTACCTTCTTGACCAAATGAGGATGATTTGTATCTAAAGGTATTGCAGTCATTCACGTTGACCCAGCCTCAATGAAATTATCTGGCCCAACCTTGCCTTGCTTGTCGACCCGAACACGAAACACTCAGTGCTATCTCCCCTTTTGGCTGTGGATGAGCAAAAGTACTCGCCAATCAGAGTGAACCGAAAATAATTACCGCGATCCATCATTCGAGGCCAGGACCGACATACAACCAAGGAAACCAACCGGCGTTGGCACCAGATCCGGAGAGTCAAATCTATGCTTCTGAGAAAGAGACATTTCTTCCACCGCTGCAAGATCTCCAGTTTGACAACTACCGTGGTCGACTAATCCCCCTGCCTTGGTCAATTCCGCGGCGAGCTGAGGCTGGTGCGCGCGCCCACAATTACAAGAAGCAGGTCCTTTTCGAAAGAGCAAGGGAATGTTGCGTCCGAGACCGACACTATACGTACAGCATTATTACGAAGCGTAGTGGATCATCGGTACACCGAAGCGAATTATCCTCCGATCAACTCCACGTTTATCTGAGCAATTTCTTCTTAGAAAGCTTTGGGGAGAAATACTACGGTGTGAGCATTGCTGGAGGGAGATCTTTCAGGCTTGTAGGAGTGCTGGACATGCTATGCACTACTCCCTGAAAACATGGGTGAAGGTGTGAGCACCCTGGACGATAAATTTTCTACGGACGGCTCCGTGGGGAAGGAAGTGATGAGCAAAACTGAAGAAGATGCACGCACCAGGCACCAATGTTTGACACTGCTGTAGGTAGTTCAGAATGGTGAACGACGAGATTCATGATCAACTCCGCTTGCGTCTGTGGGATCTCGGACTCTGTACGATGCTCGCCACTTCCTTCATCATGCACCCAGCCATCACAGACCGCAGCTGGCTGAATATCACACCTGTTACTTATTTCTAGACCTACTAGTCGTGTGTTTCGCGGAAGCCGGGTGTAGGAACGGATGCGGCCTCACAGCCTTGGGGCCTCAAGTTTGGCTTAGGCCGCAATTCTTAGCCAGTCATTTCTCCCCGCTGCCATCTCTCGTTTTTAATTCCTGACGGTACAATAACTTTCCAATTGAGGCGATATGGTTGGATGCACATTGCCTGCCGGTGAATGTGGTGTCCCTGGGCCGCCAAGATGGTGCCAACCACTGAGAGGAAGTTTCTACTTACTCGTAGCCCTATGGCCCCTGCCTGCTGTGGCGAGGCACAGGAGAAGTGTTGCGCTTGGATCATCCCTGACGCCCTCGAACCATCCTTTGGGTACCGGGCGAGTCGCTGCGAAATGAAGTCGATTGCGTGCACGCTACCCGAAGGCAGACGGCCACATGTTATCGCCCCTTTCTAGGTCTTCCCAGCTCGAGAAAGACACTGTAAACCACCTCGTTGTCATTGGTGTAGACATAACCCATGACGGAGGAAACCACTTTCGGATTCAAGTTGATATTACATTGCAATTATTTGCGATGGTGGTGTAGAAACGAATGCTTCTCGCGAAACTGAGATGCGTTGGATGAGACACGTGAGGATAGGAGTGACGGGCTTTATCTTCGGTGACATACTCCGCATGCGCGATGAGCATGGCTGTTGAAATGTTCGAATAGAAGAAACCTTCAAAGAACCAGTATGACTTTAGACACAACACTAGTAACAACTCCGAAATGAGCCTCGAGTGTAAGACTTGTGCGCCCGGGCAGGCACCCCAGGCTCTGGCCTCGTCGCACGAAGTGGAAGCATAGACTTTCTTCAGAGTGCAGGGATCGAGGTACATATGTGGGTCCTCCAGCCTCTACCTGCCCAGTTAGAGGCCTGTGTGGCTGTCGCCTTTGTCGGAGGCCCGAGGCGCCTCACACCAACTGGTGGGGAACAGAGTTACGATGTACTCCGTACCACTAGGCACTTCCTGCCTCCTGTTCGTCATCCTCAAACCCTATCAGTCAATGCACCCTCCAACTTGGACGTGCCCGTAAACATCACATTAGAAAATCCTGGAATTGAATGCAGGTATTCCGTTATCCAATCTTTCAACCAGAAGGGCCATTCAAATCTACAAAGGTCGTTGAATACAAAGCAATTCGGATGCTGAACATTGTCGTATCCCGTGGTTCAGTTTGGCAGCATCATGGGCTGGCATGCACATCTACAACTTCCCCAAGGCCTTCGTGCTTTTTGGGGCGACGTTTTCTTTCCGAAGATGATCATGGCCCACATGAAGCATTTCATCCCTGCAGTCTTCGAATTTGATGGGCCGAGGGGGCCCGGCCGCCCGACCCCTGCAACAATGAACGCTGCAGCAACGATATCTCCACTAAGATCCCTGCAACATTGAGAGCACTCGTGATGCCTCCTGCAACCATTTGAAGAACGTCTTCCAGTCGTAGTCTCATGGCATCTGGCGAGGAATTCAGAGTGCTCTGAGAAGCAAGAGTTGAGGTGGCGTTTCGTGTCCAATACCAATGGTTGAAAACACCAGGTAGAACATGGGTGGCTGAACTACAAGTCGAAGCGTGCGCCGTGTACACGAACCATACCTAGGGAATTGGCAGGGCGGCTTTCGGACAGGTGAGGGAAGAATGGGTAGATCGTACAGAATGCTCAATACGTAGTATATCTCCTTGAGCGCGCAAGGCGGCGGGCATATTGCTCGACCATAAATATGTAGACTTGCCTCCTCTTGATCTTGCGGTTCTCATCTTTCATTTCCAACTTCTCATTTTCCAGTATCGTTATCCGCAGTGAAGAACTCCACAAACACTAGCCACATCCCATCACCTCATAGCAACGAACATACCTCCTTCAACCGTGTGGTCGACCAACATGACCCGCACCTTGAACAAGACACCCCAACCTCACCGCCGTCCTGAAGGCATGCCCTCCCCTTCCCAGTCCCAAGGACCTACAAGAGCACAAGGTGATGCCGCTCCGAAGCCTGCAAGCAAGACACACAGCAGTCATATCAACATCAACATCCACGTCCATACCACTACTCAACCCTCTCGCAACAAGGACGCTAAGTCAGGTCCGAGGTCTGCAACATCTGCCGTCACTGGCATGCAATCCCTTCACATGGGGGAGTGGCTGAACCAGGACCATAAGGCCGAGCCATGGCATCATCTCATCGTCGACCACAGGGAGGACACGGCTGTCAAGAAAAGTTCAGACCATCCACCTTCCGGGAGACATGGTGAAGACCTCGTCGGGGTTGGGCACTGGGCCGAAGGGGCGCTGGGAGAGTCGAAGTGACTCGACAGGGGAAAAGATAATGGACATGGGAATCAAGAAGGGTGGGAAAGCGTTGGCGTATGGGTGCTTCAGGGACGGGATGCTGGAACGGGACCAGTGGTAAAAGGATAGTATGGAAAAGGAGTTGTGGATAAAGGGGCCTTGGGGGAGCCTTGGACATGAGTAGCATTTGTGTCATGCTAGATATTGGTTTTGGTTATAGTTATTCCCTTCCTTCAGTCGATATGCCATCATCCTTTCCATAACCTTGTGCTGTTTGAAAGTCTTCATAGCTTACCATCAGTAATGCATTCAATCATGTTGTCCTGCTTGTGTTGTCATTGAGTAATCGTGCACAAATACTTCGTAACCGCCGCAAGCTCCACAACACCTTACTGCATACCGGCATAGTATGCGTGCTTTTAGAACGAATAGAACCGTACCAAGCCGAAATCCATCAGACATGTCGCCATGCATTCGAAGAGAAACGTTGGAGAGGAGCGAAACAAGGGTATAGAACATGCATCATCAGTCCGTGACGACACCAGCGCTGCCCACCCAATTTCTGAACACTTGAAAATGGCTTTTATAAGATGCGACCGGTTGTGTTCACCATATTGGTCGCTCGAGAATTCCTCTGAATCAGTCGTTCAAGGTGCAATTGGAATATCAGTTGTCGACCTTGATGCTGACATTCTTCTCTCCCTCTGGGAGGACCTCCTTCTCCTTCTCTCCCTTCAGTGTTGGCAACTCGGTGACTGCCTCACCAATGATTGCCAAAGCCGTCTTGATCTCATCATCTGTGATGACCAGCGGAGGTGCCAAGCGGATAATATTCTGGTGAGTTGGTTTGGCCTTTGGATGTGGTTGTCAGCGTATGGATCACGAATGTAATTGCAAGACACGGGTGCTCAACTTACCAATAGACCTTTAGACTTCATGAGCATGCACAGATCCCATGCGCTGTGGCCATTTGTCTTGGCCTCATCGATGACGATAGCATTCAGTAAACCTTTACCACGGATGGTGGTGATCAGAGGGCTGTTGAGGTCGCGAAGGCCGTCACGGAATATTTGTCCCAACTTTTCGGCCCGTTCGACCATCTTCTCTTCGCGCACCAGCTCAAGAGCTCGGATGGCAACAGCACAGCCAAGTGGGTTTCCACCATATGTGGAACCGTGAGTACCAGGCTCAATAGTCAACATGACATCTTTCCTGCCCAATACACAGGACACGGGGTACATGCCCCCTGAAATTGCCTTGCCAAGAAGTACGAGGTCGGGTTTGATACCAGCCCATTCGTGGCAGAGAAGTTTTCCTGTACGAGCAATGCCAGTCTGGATCTCGTCGCAGATAAGTAGAACGTTGTGCTTGTCGCAAAGAGCGCGGACATCGGAGAGATAGTTGTCAGATGGAACCACGATACCGGCTTCACCTTGGATAGGCTCGACCAAGAAGCCGGCAATCTTGTCTCCATGAGACTCGAAAACGCTGCGGACAGCCTCGACGTCGTTGTAGGGAATCACCTCACCTGTACCGGGATTTACACTACCAACACCTGGAAGATAGGGTCCGTAGTTGTCTCTCGATTCAGGATCTGTTGACATGGAGATGGCCGAGAACTACAGAGGGTGTAAGTATGAGGTTCGAACACCTGACGAAAATTTATGCAACACTTACTGTGCGACCGTGGAAGTTCTCTGCGACACTGAGGACTAATGCTTCGCCTTGGGGAATACCTTTGGACTTGTAACCCCACTTTCTGGCGATTTTGATAGCGGTCTCAACTGCTTCAGCACCAGTGTTCATGGGCAGAACCATGTCGAAGTCGAAGTATTTGGTGACGAACTCTGCAAAGCGGGGAAAGACATCATTGTAAAATGCCCTCGAACTTAGAGTCAGAGTTGACGCCTGCTCAACCAGCGCCTTGACGAGTTCAGGATGGCAATGGCCTTGATTGACAGCGGAATATGCAGACAGAAAGTCTAGATATTCGCGACCTTCGGGATCCCATACTTTGGTGCCCAGTGCTCTGGCGAAAACAATGGGCAAAGGATGGTAGTTGTGAGCAGCATATTCGTGCTCAGCGTGAATGGCTTCATCGGAAGACGAAGCGTGGTATTTTGATCGATCCGGTGTTCCTGAGGGATGGAATGATGGGGCAGTCGCCTTCAACTGAGTTCCGATACTATGACCGTTCAATTGAGTGACTCCATTGACGCCATCGCCATTGACTGCTGACGGTGACATGGTTGTTGAAATTATGGGAGATGGCGAATAAGCCGGTTGTGATTGGCCACCAACTTTCAGATATTGGGCAAGATTGTTATTAAGTTGGGGTAGCGAAGGAATGTGTGTGTCCTTGCTAGCGAAGTGTTGGACGTATGTGTGGTCTTCTTCTTGAAAGAGAGAAAGTGCGAACGACCTGGATCTTACTTATATCAACTTTATCGATCCACCGGGAGGGTCATGTGCAAAGATTTTTCTGGCAAACTTGAACTCAAGAAAACGGTATCTATGCCTCTAAGTGCAGGTGTATCCCAGATGAATCCCTAATGGAAGGAGGATTCGAGGAAGAATCGCTAAAAGCAAGCTTAAGCGCAGCGGATATCCGCCCGTGACATCCAAGAGCCACGACTGGTTGTCCATGCAACATCTGACGCAAGGGCAACGAGGGGCTAATTAGTAGCAGTGACTAAAATTTAGGATATCGATAGGCTCTGCGTGGGCTCCAAAGTGCGTGAGGGATCAAGTGCCAGTCTGGGCGCCCCAAAGGCCCAAGGCCTCCAGTGCCTATCGCGCCCTTAAGCCGCCCTCTACCGCCACCCCTGCGCCTGAGGTTTTGACGAGGGGCACTTCCTCTTTCCTGCGGCTAACAACGGCTTTTCTTCGTGCTACCCCAGACCACGGCACTACTCACCACAACCACACAACACCCACACTGTCACAAGGCGCCTGCTGATCCATCTACGTAACAAACACCCGGGGACCCTTTTTACCACGACATCACCCGTATCCCAGAATGGCTTCCCTCAAAGGTCCTGGCGCTGCCCAGAAGCACGATGGCTCCGGTCTTCGAGTGGCCATCGTCCATGCTCGATGGAACACCACCATGATTGAAGCCCTGGTCAGCGGTGCAAAGAAGACATTGCTCGCCTCGGGTGTGAAAGAGGAGAACATCGTCCTTGAGTCGGTTCCTGGATCCTACGAGCTACCCTTGGCGGTGCAGAGAATATACGCTGCCTCTCAGATACAAAGTGCGACAAGCACAGTGGCAGGTGGAGTGGGCAGTTTGGCCAGTGGCATTGGTGACTTGCTTGGTGGAAGTAACTCTACCACAGATCTACAGGGGAGCTTACAGCCAGCGGCACCAAAGGAAGAACCAAAGGGTTTGAGACATGCTTTTGATGCCATCATCGCCGTTGGAGTCCTCATCAAAGGGGAGAGCATGCATTTTGAATATATTGCTGATGCTGTCAGCCATGGTTTGATGAAGGTTCAGCTGGACACTGGTGTACCTGTCATCTTTGGACTTTTGACCATTCTCAATGAAGGTCAGGGCTTGGCTAGAGCAGGTCTCGAAGGTGGTACGGGTAAGGAAGCCAAGGGACACAATCACGGTGAAGACTGGGGTAATGCTGCGGTCGAGTTGGGTGTCAAGCGGAGAGCTTGGTCGGAAGGGAAAATTGCAGAAATCTGATGAGTTTCAGATGATTCACGACCCCGCTTGAAGAACAACCTGCAAAACATGAAAAGCAAGGCTTGGACAGTACTATTTCTGCTGAGTACCGATCCATCAAAAGGATACCATAGAATTTCGGTGGACCATCTGAGACGCCGGGATAATGCTACAATGCTCGTTGGAAAACTGGCAATTACTCCTGCATCGCATCATCCTCTTCCTCGTCATCTTCATCGTCGTCACCCTCCAGACTCTTCTTCGCGGCCTTCTCTGCCTCTTCCAACAGCTCTTGGGGCACATGTTCATGTCGTCCTTTGGTGGGACCATCAAGAGCCGAAATCCATGTGATTTCCAGCTCAAACTCTTTGTCCTTTGAGTCTTCATGTGCGACGTAGATGATTCTGGCTGCCTCAACAACAGCATCTTTCAGGGTCAGAGCACAAGTCGGAGAGGCCAGATCGAGCTTTTCAAGTTCGGCTTTGGCAGCTTGTCGACCTTTTCCTGTGGCAGCACCATAGTAGCCCTGATTTATGATTAGTAAATGTTGCGCCCATGGGAATGAAAACCTACCCAGTACAAACCGCTTGGTTCAATCATATATAGACCTGGTCCACCTCTCTTGATGGTCCCGTCTTCGGACTTTCCGCTTGTTCCAACCTTTGGACCAGTGCCGACTTGTCCATCCACACCAGCTTCGGCCTCTGAATCCCAACCTCCAAGAATCGCAGTCACACCAAATGGTCGGACACTCGAGTATAGTGTGTATGCTTGTACATAGCCTCCTACTCTTGAAGCGAGGGCGGCTATGGGGATGGGGCCTTTGTATGTTCCTCTCCAACTGCTGGCTTCATCTCGTGCCCTGCTGGTAAGATGACGGCCGTCTGGTACTAGACCGGAGGTGACAATACCCGCATTTCGATCGACCGTGGCTATCCGCTTGTTGGCGCCAGGTTTCAGTAGCTTGGATGAGATGATCTTTTCGCAAGCTAGTACCACTCCATACTGTGTTCGAATACCAATGGCAGTGCCACCATTTTCGACTGCCTTCACCGCATATTCGACCTGGAAGTTGCGACCGTCGGGAGAGAATACCGAATTGGAAAGATCGTAGCCTGTGCCTATTGACGTCTGGAGGAGAGAGAAGTTAGAAGATCGGATGGGTTGATGACAAAATGGGAATATACCATGGCAATTGGAGATCTAGAATAGCTGTCCCGAGACTAATCGATGGGTGGCAGTGATGGAGATGGGATGATTGATAACTCTAGATGAATAGCGAGATTGATTGACACAGTTTGAGACTGTTGTAAAAAGCTGGAAGTGATCTTTCAACTCATCAACACCACATCGAAGTTTGGACTGTCTACTTCAAGATCAAGTTGCAGGCGACCACAGCCGCGTCTCAACTTTCCATGATTGCAGGCGCAGGTACTAGCCTCGCTCACGACCAAATCTGGACTAGTGCAGTGTATAGTCTTGGCGCTGGGACTAAGGGCTCACGTGCCGTTGTTACTGGTAGTCGCCTGAAGCTAAAGTCGACATACGTGTCACCGGCCCAAAACCCCCTTCAAACCACCAAGTTCCCACATCCAAGTTCCGACTCTCTCCTGAACCTCGTCACCGCTTTAAAAGTTGAAGACAATTCAACCTTTTATCTTGTCCCTATATCTCTGATCAACCGACTCGAACCTTCACCTCGATTTCGCAAAGCACTCGCTCTTGCTTTTAATGTTGAGCTGAGCACTGTTCTGCGGCATCACCAATCTCATTTCACATCCTTCATACCCCGCTCCTCTCTTCTTGTCTCTCTCCCTCTCCCAGACTCACCTCTCTTCACAAATCTACAGCCCCAAGTTGTCCATTCCAGGAGCCACTGGCATCTCGTCTTCCGTGAAAACTTCCCAGGATCTGGATCTCCGGGCTTGGCCACCTCTTTGTTCTGGACCTTTGGAACCTTGGACCTCCTCAGGACACTCCGGATCCGGACTACTGGAGCTTTTGATAGCACTTTTTGATCGTTAGTTTAATACAATACGATTTTGAAGCCTAAATCTCGAATTTTTGCTTCGTATCCCTCTTCCTACTACTGGTTTCTTGCTGCACTTAAGGAACTCTAACGTCGGGTGTTTTTCAATCTCAAGTCTCTTCATGATGACATCGGCATTCCACCGATGCCAGTATTGTGGCTATGAGACGGATCTTTCTACCAACATGGCAGTCTTTGAAGAAAACCCCCATTGCAGACAGGTTTGTTCCAAATCCAATCCCAGTTCATGACCTTCTGATTCTCGAAACTAGTGCGGACTGTCGGCCTCCGAAAGCGATTCGAAAATGCAAGACGACTTGATCAGTATGATGTCTCGAAACCTTCAACTGAGTCCACTCCAACATCACCAGGACATGTCGATGCCTCCGACGCCACAAGTTGTCCCACAAGCCGCCCCTATCACTTACATCACCCAACATTACCACCATTCCAACCATCAAGTCCCGGCCACCGATGTCCCGGTCTCGACGACCCTCGAGCAAATGGGGATCAATGCGTCGGCGTTGCTTCCTTCTCAGTTGCAGTTGTTCAAGAATGCAGATGGAGAGCAAAGGCAAAGATTGATTGAATTGTGGCAGATAGCCCCTCCAACCTATGGAAATCAAATGCATCCCGACAGTGTGGGAAACTGGCCACAAACCAGTATGGAGAAGGAAGAGGAGGCAGCACAGTATCGATTACACTTGACAGAGCAAGAAAGATTGAAGATTTTGAGCATCTTACCAGGGCCTGATGTGCGCGGTGCAGAGCCTTACATTGTGAGCGGATACAGTACTCTGCCTAACATCAACGGTGTGACAGCTCCGACGGAGCATGGATCTGGGGTTCAGAGAGAACAGCAATATCAAGCATCAACGGACCCAGTCTACAACAGCCGGGAATGGTGGCAGCTGGGGGAAGAGGAGCCAATGGAACATCAATATGGTATGCTTCAAGCATATGCGTTCCAAGTGGACTATACGGCAGCTAGACGGAATGATGGAGACGCAGAAATGTCCTAGTGAGGATCCAAGTGAATACTGAAGGGGGTTGTTGGAGCTTGACTATGTTGGGGGGTTTTCCTTTTTTGCATACGGATATGAATTTGCATAGATTGGATTTGTAGAAGAACCAGGTCGCAGGCGTGCTGTTGAATAGCAATGAGACATAACAAGATTATGGATAAGAATCAATGATGATCTACTGTTCTAAAGCCATCAAGAATGCACTTGTAATTTGGGGCGAGACTAGAATTGTTTCTTGTTTGGGGTTTTAAATAAATTGGACTGACGGTTGGTGGCAAGCTGAACAAGGGGGCCCGATGACACTATCTTTCCCACTGCTGGTTAACCGAAATGGGGTTTGGCCGTCCTCCGTCTTCCTGCCGAGTATGATTGTAACCTCGTGCTCTGCTCTGCACCGCATATTATTAACGAACCAAATCATATGGGCAGATAGTTTACTCGGGTCTTTGTGTACACGAGCATAGCAAATCTTTGCAGGACTCAACAGCAGAATGACAAAGACATAGCATTTCAACACTCTCTCCCGATCTTCTCATCGATCGCTCCTGCCTTTTCTTGCGATTGCGACGGCATTTGAAGTTGCGACTTCCCAATTGCACCGCACTGCACTACGAACCGGTTTCTCGACGTCCACCCTGCCATCGTAATACCGTGGACACTGCGAACACTCACAACTAGCAGTACGCAACTCACCATGGCTTCTATGAGTAAACGACAACAGGCGCGTAATGAGCGGGAGCTTCATGATCTCCTCAGCGCTCCTGGAAACTCACAATGCGCCGACTGCAGTGCAAAGAACCCTTCATGGGCCAGTTGGAATTTGGGCATCTTTCTCTGCATGCGCTGTGCCTCAATCCATCGCAAACTGGGCACTCACATCTCCAAAGTCAAGTCTTTGAGTATGGATACATGGACTGCGGATCAGGTCGAGGTAAGTGCTTTCACTCTCTCTCGCCACTCATTTTCCATTTCCATGCTGACCCCAACCAGAATATGAAGCAGACCGGAAACATAGCCTCGAACCAGATTTTTAACCCCAAGAATAAAAAACCCGACATGCCGCTCGATGCTGATGAGGTGGATTCTGCAATGGAGAGATTCATTCGCAAAAAGTATCAAGAAAAAAGTCTCTTGGACGGTCGTCCAGTAGTCCCCAGTCGAGATAACACAGCTGCTATATCCCCCACATCTTATTCACGACCACAAGACGAATACGAGTCTTCTCCTCCTCCACCTCTACCACCAAAAAAAGGTAAATTCTTTGGGTTCGGCCTCCGAGCATCATCCTCTTCTTTGCAACAATCCAAGCATGATAAGAAGAAGCTGCCTAAAGAGCCTCGCGTGGGGAGTACGTTTCATATCCCCAATGACGATTATAATTCCATGTCAAGAATGGCTGATGCTCGATTCGAGATGACTGAAGCCGACTTACAGCAAAAATTAGCTACTCTGCGAGACATGGGTTTTACGGAAACGGAACGGAATACTGATCTGTTACGAAGATTGAATGGCAACGTGGAACGAACCATAGAGAGACTCGTTCAACTCGGTCCTAGCAAGGAGACCCAGCCTGCAAGGAGAACAGAACAGTCTTCGGCTGCCGTTGTGAACCAGAAGCATTCAACCGCATTTCCCGATGCCCCGGCTCCTGCACCACAGGCATCAGAACCGTCCTACAATCCATTCACACAAGCCACCAATCCACCACCAATTGGTCTTTCCTTGTCCAAACCGCACGCCGCCTCGTCGCCTAGCACTCAAACATATGCTAGTAATAATCCTTTCGGACAGGTGGTTCAATCTCAGCCTCAGCCTCAGCTTCAGGTTCAGGTTCAACAACAACCTCAACCTCAATCCCAAACTGGACTGGAACAGTCTTTTCAATCAATGCAGTTGGCTCAGCCTCTCTTCCCTCACAGCACCGGAGGCTATCCCACCCAGCCTCCTACCCTTCAGGACCCACGATTCCAGTACTCCATGACCCCTCCGGCTCTATCTACCCAATACCAGCAGAGCTTTGTTGCCTCTCCCTCGGCCCTGCCCTCAAATTCTAATCCGTTCTTCCAACCTTCACCAGCTTCGGCGCATTCAACAGGAAGCAACCCATTCCACAACCAATCATCTCAAAATAATGCAGCTCCAGCGCCTTCCTCACCTTCGACAAACCCGTTTTTTAGTCTTCAGACAGCGAGTTCTGGCGCCATCCAGCAACAAACTGCCAACACAATCAGCTACAACCCTTTTGGAATTCCACCACAGCAGTCTACGATGCAATCTGTGCCACAGCCTGCCTATCAAAACCAACCTCAAGATGTTTTCGGGCCGAATCCAGCACAGCAATTTGCGCAACCATCGCAACCTATGAATCCATTCCAAACACAACCCACGCAACAGTCAAATATCACTCAGCACCAGTACACTAGCAATCCGACTTCTCAATCGTACCCTAATACTCAATACGGACAACCTCAATCCCAACCTCAATTTCAGCCCCAGCCTCAACTTCAACAACAATCCTCTTTCCAATCACCGACATCTTCTTTTCAGCAGCCATATGGCCAGCAGCCGCTGTCGCAGTCGCAACAACCTTCATTCCAGCAATCTTATGGTCAACAGCCACAGTCTCTTGCTCCTCAGCAAACCGGAAGACACGACAAGACTTCTATTATGGCCTTGTTCAATCAGCCACTTGCCTCAATACCCGAACCATCCCCGGAAAGCGCACCATCGCAGCAGTATTATGCCCCTCAGCAACAACAAATATCTCCCGCCCCAGTGGGCGATATCTTTGGAGCACCTAATAGTATAAATGGAGCAAAACGTAGTGCTACTATGCCTATATCACTTCAGAGTATGCACTCTGCTGGAGGCGGAGGAAATCGCAACCCCTTTTTGGTGAACAATACAAATGCCGCTGCGAATGCGGGTATCAACCCAGGGTATTATGCTGGCAATTTTGCACCAGCACCTCAAGGGCAGACAATCGCGGCTCGCCATGCCAGTCAGGAGAGCATGAGCATAAACAATTTCGAAAGTGGTCGCCATAGTCCTGATGCCTTCGCCAGTCTGAGTGCTCGACAGATGAGATAGATCTTGTCTCAAGTGTATTCGTTTCACTAACCAAAATCTTTTGGGCAGAAGAGATGCTTAGATATCATGACACCTGGATACGACCCTGAAGCTTTTGCGCATCTCTAATGACGGATTGCTAGTGAGGATTCCGAAACTTTGGTCAAGAGGACATGGGATAAAGGCATACCATTGAAATCTACAACTTCTCAAGATCAATATCTTCCACCTCTATTTGTGAAACGAAAGGAAGTTTTGACTACCCGCATCAATGAGCACAAGCTTTAATAGAAACGTGCAGCACAAGCGATGTCAAGCGACTTTTCAATCACAGGCTCATGACGCTATGAAGATAGATGAGATAGCCAAGGAGACCCTCAGATGGGCAGGACATGATGTGTCAGGTTTTCAATGATGACCTGCGGTATGCTTGACTTGGGAATAATGTTTGTTGGGTAGCACATCCTTGGGCGACCTTTCAATTCGTGCTGGTGGCGTAGACAAGGACCAGAAAAGGAGGATCATTGGTCGTTGAATCATATACACCTCTTGGGGAGTTGAACATATTGCCTTAGTATAAGATACCAAAATAATGAACACATCTGAAAATGACCCCACTAGCCATTCCAATGGTGTTCATTATGACGAGACTTTGACGATACCAGTGCTGGCTAAACGTATGCTCTCCAGTCTCGACGTTGAATGTACTGGCACCAAATATAAAGTGCGGAGTTTGAGAGCTCTAGTAAAACATCCTTTATAAACGACACGCTTCTGCTTTACCATAGACTGCTGCATAACCCTCCTCATTTCCAAACTCGATGAGGGCTAGAACATCCGACCTGTCCGCCCTCACGTCCAGAGCCTCCCGCACGCATCCGAATCTCAATCTCGATCTCGATCTCTAGCCTTCCAGAACGGCTTCTCGACGACTCTCTCCAGCGTTGGTCGCGCCGTACTCTCACTCTCGGCCTTACCCACATCGGCACTCCCACTTTCACCGCCACCAACATCACCCTGTTCCACACGCTGCTCTACATCCTCAGCGGCACCGTCGACACCAGCACCAGCATCAAGCACCCTCCGATAATCACGGCACCAAACGACGACATCGCCAGTCCTACGCCAGTCATCATGCCAGTGACTGTTGAAGATGCGCTTGCACTGCACGTAGCCACTGCCGCGCAACGCGGCCTGCAGGGTCGGCTCCAGCTGCGCGAAGAAGGCCAGATACATGGGCCAGGGCCGGCGGCCGCGGTGCGTAGTGTACCATTCGTCGAGGTCGTGGTCTTCAAGTTCACTGGACACGAAGGCGTCGCCTTGCGGGTGTTTGCGAACGTCGAAGAGATTGCGCTTGGCGCGGAAGTCGGGCGCGAAGAAGCCTGGGCTGAGGGATGAGGCTGGTCCGGTGGTCCCGTCGTGCCGTGTAATCAGCGGAGGGGACCGTGACATGTGTTGTTTGAGCCACGCGGAGGGGTCGTCGTAGAAGGCGTCGGCTTCGTCCCTGTATTTTGCTTTCTCGGCGGCGGGGACGTGGAGTGGTGGTTCACAGGTTAGGGCCCAGCCTTTGATGCCGGGCTTGGACAGAGATGGGTTCGCCGCGTGCTGTAGGTGTGAGCGCCAGGGCGTTGAGTGGCAGGGCATGAGCATGCCGAGTGTGAGGTTGCGCTGTGGGGAGGATGTGGTGTTTGGGGAGTTGTTGATGGAGGTGGACTCGGAGCGGAGGTAGCTCGTGAGTTCTATTACTCCTGAGTTGTGGATTTGCGTCGTGTAGTATGCTATTCCGAGGTTGACGTTCAGGAAGAGGAAGAGTAGCAGGCGATTGATAGTCGTTGTAGATGGACTGTTCCTTTCCTGGGCTAACGATGAGTTGGTATTAGGAGAAGTCTGAACAATGCGAAGAAGCGGTTCGAAGAACGGAGCGATTGTCTGCCCTGAGACGATATGCAGAGCCGGTAGGAGAGGAGAGATGAAGCGGACTTCCTTGTGTGCGATGTTGGAGAACGCTGCTGGTACTAGGGTGCTGATGATGGAGAGTAGGTACAAGGTGTTTTTGGCGACTGGTGTTAATTTCTCATAGGAGCGTGCCTCGGATCCCCCAAATGACCTGTACATGCCAACAAGGGTGAACGGCAATGCCGTGGTCATAAGCAGTGGATATCCCTGGGAGATATAGTAGTGCCAATCATTGCTGCCGTAGAAGGTCGCCAACGACTGAACGACATTGACTAGCAGAAAATTATATGGTGGTAACACCCAAGCCTGATAGAAGAGTCGATCGACGACTGTCGACAAGAGTAGGACGGTACTTCCACAGAGAACTGCTTCTCTCAAGAATGTGGTCAACTCAGATATTGTCGGCGACAGCCTTGTCAGACGTCGCACGAATGCGAAATAGCTCAGGCTCGCCCAAACGAGGAGGTTGGTTGGGCGGAGGACGGTAGCAAGAGCTGCACAGAGCAGAGCCTTCCTCAATCGAGTCACTTCATCCGCTTTCTCATGAGCAGGTAACCCGTCATCGCGGACTCGAAGATCAGTAGTCAGCTTGGCACCTCGAGAAGGCTCTTCAACCACTTCTGCCGACCAGTGCCACGGCCAGTTGTACAGCCCAATGACCGTCAAGGTAGTTTCCAGCGAGTTCGAAAATGTCCGGGTAGAAGTAAACCATTGCCAGGGACTGACAACAGTCAAGACTAAGACGGCTGTGGAAGACGCCGATCTACGTCCATAGATATAACCCGCTAGCTTCCAGGTGTAGAAGTCGCCCAGAGCAGCAAAGCATGCCTGTAGCGTTTTAGGAGCCGCGAGAAGCACCTCAGCTCTTGTGGCATCGCTCAATTTGAGCAAGCCAGCCAAAGAATCCGCGGTTCTGTATGCTAGAGCAAACAGCGCTGGATGCACGGCGGATCGTAGATGCTCTCTCCATTCCTACGTCCTCTTATGTGAGTTCTCTTGATTCTTGGTATTGGAAAGGGGGCACCACAAATAGGAATGAGAGATGGTTCAAACTTACCCAAGTGATCCAGGCGCCTGAATCTGCTCCAAAGGCTAACTGCCAGGCTGGTTCCAACGCCTGAAAATACTCATCTGGCTGGAAGAAGGTACGAATGGTCAGTGCATTGAAGAGTCTAAGCGCCAGGAGGAACAGCAACGCATTTTGTGAGGTGAAGATGAACTCGTTTGAAGCTTTGTCCTGACTTGTTGACTTCGAGCTGTTCGCTTTTGTGTCAGGCTTCGAACTACGTATTCTGGCGGATGCCATCTTGATCCATGCTTCTGTCACGCACGGTGATGTCGTTCCTTTGTGAAAGCTGGAGACTTGATACTCCTTTTCAAAGCTGTGGCCGAAATAGTGTTAATTGTTGTTGGGTGGTCACTATTTTATTTTATTTTGCTGAACTGTCCTCAACTCATCTCCAGCTCCACTCTCTCCAAATCAGAACACTGGTGATGCACTTTCACTCAGGTAACAGGCTCAATACCATCATGACTTTTGGGCACAGGATTTGAGTGGACATAGATAGTAAAGAACAAAGTCATAAGCAATCATATCAATTGGTATTCAACCTAAATTAATACGCCTTTATACCACTCCATCCTAGAGTTATTCATCCATTGAGTGTGAGCTTAGACTTTCTACACGCTGCGTTGTGGCACATAACCATCTTTTTGAATCCCATACATATCATATGATACATGATACCCCTATCACAGCGAATAGACTTCAACACGTGTTGTAAAAGATGTCTATTCGACGGTGACAGACTTGGCCAAGTTACGGGGGAAATCAACGTTCAATCCTTCGGCAACGGCAAGCCAGTACGCGATTAACTGCAATGGAATAACATTCAGGAGACCTTGCAGAGCGTCCACCGTCTGAGGAACCTCGATTCGTTCGGTCTTGGAAGGTGGGAATTCAGGATCATCCTTGTTGCAAATAACAATAGGGCGACCACTGCGAGCAATGACTGGAATAAGTTAGTACACAGTCAAATCGAACTTGGAATGGCCAACTTACCTTGTTGATATGCGTTCAGAGACTTCGCGAAGATATCATCACGTGTCAAGATCATAATGATTGGAAGATTTTCGTCCACTAATGCCAAAACTCCATGCTTGAGCTCTCCAGACATGACGGCTTCACAGTGGAGATAAGAGATTTCCTTGATCTTCAAGGCACCTTCGAGAGCGGTTGAGTACTGGCTTCCACGTCCCAGCAGCAACAGTGATTTCTGATTTTGCAGGAACTTGGCGCACATTTCCTTGATCGAGTCGTTGAGTTTGAGGATCTCTCGGAACTGCTCGCTGACCTTTCCAAGGCCTTCGATGATTTGATGACGGCGTTGAGCCTTGGATGCTCGGTCCTCACTAAGAGACAGGGCAAACATGACCATGGCCACAAATTGAGAAGTATATGCCTTTGTGGATGCGACACCAATTTCAGGGCCAGCGTTGATATGAACACCACAGTGCGTGAGCATGGAGATGGACGAGCCAACCACGTTGACGATACCAACCGTCAGGGCACCACGCTCCAAGCAGTAACGAAGCGCCATCAGAGAATCAGCAGTCTCACCAGACTGTGATACGAAGACGCAGGTATCATCTCTGAATACGGGTGCCTGTCGGTCGAGGAAATCCGATGCAAGTTCGACAGCAATTGGAATCTCCGTCAGCTCTTCAAACACGCCGCGAACAGCCATGCAAGAATGGTAGCTAGTACCGCAAGCGATGAAGATCAGTCTTCTGCATCTTCGAATGGTGCTGATGTACTGCTTCAGACCACCCAAAGTGACGGTCTTGTTGGCAACGTCCAAACGACCTCGCATGGTATTGACAACGGATTCGGGCTGTTCGAAAATCTCTTTTTGCATGAAGTGATCAAACTTGCCCTTCATGATTTCCTGAAGCTCCAATTCAATCGTCTGAATGGCACGGACATTGCTGGTACCATCATCCTTGGAAAGACGGTGGATGTTGAGCTGACCCTCATGAATGTGTGCAATATCATCATCTTCCAGGTACAGAACTTTCTTGGTATGCTCAACCAGAGCAGAGGCATCGGACGATAGGAAGAATTCGGCTGGCTGGGGCATACCATCATCAGACAAGAATGCTCGGGATTGAGATCTGTGGAGAAGAGACTTGTCTGGAGGAGCGAGAAGGCCTGAGCCAGGAGCCAAGAGACCTGCTGCTGATTTCTTGACGGCAACATTGTGGTTGGCTTGTTCAGCGGAGAGAGCACCACCGCTTTCGGAATACTCAACATCAACGAAATCAACCTTCATCTTCTTGGCTGTCTTGACACCCACAACCAAGGGGGAACCCTTTCGGGCTGCAACGACTTCATGAGGGTAATGGACAGATTTAAGGAGGAGACCGAAAGCGCCCTGGAGCTCTTTGATGACGGCCTTTGCGAGGGTGGTAAAGTCGATATCAGGGTGGGAGTCATAGAGGAACTTTGCGAGCTTGGCGATACATTCGGTATCCGTGTCGGTTTCAAACTGGAAGCCCTTGCCTTCGAGAAGGGCCTTGAGTTCTTTGTAGTTTGTGATGATGCCGTTATGGACGACGGAGAACTCCCACTTGGGATCAGATCTAGAACATGTCAGCTGGCAGATTCGTAGCACCATGTTCTGCTTAGCCTACCTGTGTGGATGGCAGTTTAATCTTGAAGGCTTGCCATGGGTAGCCCATCGGGTGTGTGCAATACCAGCATGAGAGTCAAAGGTCTTTGTCATGTCGACACCGGAGGCGGCAACCAACTCTCGGAGCTTGACCACCTTGCCCACCTCTTTGAAGGCAAAGACCTCATTCTTCTTGTCGCCGTCGACTGCGAAACCGGCGGAGTCGTAACCTCTGTATTCCAGCCGAGAGAGGCCTGTGTAGGACGGAAGGTCAGCATTGAGGTTGGTAGATTTGCGAGGAATTGACACATACCATTCATCAATGTGTCAATGATGTACTGTCGGTCCTTCTCGACGAGGTAGTTGATATAACCGAAAATGCCACTGTTGGTGTTTAGCATGTGCTCGTGTTCCGGACACTTTCCGAAAAACCTACCACATCTTGACGGTGTTGTTGGTCTTGCTCTCTGCGGCCGGGCTGAAAGATGTGAAGAGGGAAACGAGGTCAGCCTGCCTTAAAAGAGTGAGAGTGAGAGTGTTCGGTGGGTGGGCTGACGCCTCGAACAAAGGAAGGTGGAGTTGCCGTTCAGGGAATGAACAAGGAATTGGGCTTTCCCGAGTTGAAGAGTGTACTGGAGGCAAGAAGAGAGAGGAGGAGAGAGGGAAGTGAGAGTTGAGTAGTAGCAGTGACAAGCTGAGAACGATGGGTAGTTGTAGTAATGCTGCTGACAAGAAAGATTCCAAAAAGGACGGCCAGGTGGTATGTACAGGTCTCAGCGGCGGCTGAGGGAAACTCCAAAAAGTTGATGCTTATTTCGTACCAGTGCAGCTGGTTAGACCAGCACCGTGCCCCAAGCACCAAGCACCAAGCACCAGCGTAAACAAGTCCCCATTACGAGGCACCCGCACCCGCACAGTATCATGGCCACTGCAGCTGCAAAGTTGCGGGTGCAGCAGCTGGAGTGCAGCCCACTACGCCGCACGCCGCACACCGCACCGAGCCCAAGGAGCTGAGCCCTGACTGGCGCCACGGACAGGGGTTCGTCGTTAGGCTTGAACTTCGTCCCCCACCAGTGCATCATCCACCGACCACCACTGCATCAATCCACACCTGATGACCTATTCTGCTCAGCAACCGCCCGTATATTTTGAAACCAGCTGTGTCTTGGCAGGTACCAGTGCTGTTCCAGAGGCACCTTCACCACCTATTCGTATACGCTTCAGCTACGAGTAGAGCTCAGTCCCTCCGCCCTCCGGACATTTGTGCACGACAAACTCGCAATGCGGACTTGGAGCTTCATCATCGGTTCCAAAACGTCCAAGCGGCCAGGCTACGGTCACCGTTCTACCCTTCTTTGATCTTTTCCTTTACCGATCCAATCGCAAGCATTGACAGCTGATGCTTGCCCAAACCCCTGCCTTTCGCTAGTGAAACACGCCCTGACGCTTGTGCCACATTGCCACATTGCGTGGCTCAACTGTACAAATATAGATAACCATCGAGACATTAATCAGGCCTTTATCAGGTTACTGCTCATACAGAGTCGTTGGGTCTCTGTGACTATCTGAACAAGATGGCGAATCTTGTTGACTCCAACGACACGATTTCACCCTGTCCCTGTTTCTACTCGTCAACTCCGAGACTGAGACCATAATTCAGGTTCGATAGTGGCTGAGCCTGTTTATACCAGTATTTGCCGCCCCTGCCAGGATTCTGAAATTTGTTCGACGTCACTGTCCTTCACCAGTGACCGCAGTCGCTTTATGAGACAACCAGGTTCCACCGATCATCCATGAGCCAGTCGCAAGCATCGGCCCACCTTCCATGTGCGCCCGATGGTCCAATGCTTGGTCAAGACTAAGTCCAACACAATTTATTCCAGGGGCAACGATCCATCAAAGAATCTGCCAATGAAGATTCCACACAAGGCTGATGATGGTTGGGAGACGCTTCTGTCTATAACCACTCTCTATATGCTTGTTTACCGACCAACCAATTCTATCGCCCCCCTTTCTCACGATGGCATCGATTCCAGCATTTGTTGGAAGATCTCCTGCCGCTTAAGTTCAAACGCTTCAAAGGCATCCTTGGACCTGCCTACTGGGATCTGCTCGGCACCATGTGCTAAGCCAGCGAATGCCTAATCATGATATCAGACTCAATGGCCACTTCAACATCGAAAGATACGTGAAGAAGACTTACCTCGTTTGTGAATTCATCGAGAGGCATTCCAAACGATCGACCGTTCTTGATATCAGGCTGGTGCTTTTCATCATGCAGCTCGGTCTGCACGGCTGGGGGATAGATCTCAATGACTTTGATGTTAGAGTCCTTCAATTGAGCACGCAGACAGAGAATGAATTGATGCAACGCTGCTTTGGAAGCACAATAGTTGGAGCATCGAGTTATTGGTACCAAGGCCAAACCAGAAGTCACATAGACCAATGCTGACGCGGTGGACGCCTTCTGCAGGAACGGTAAGAAAGCTTTGGTCAAAGCTAACTGAGAGAGGTAGTTTGTGGTGAACTCGAGATTCAGCACATCAACATCGATCGACTCCGGGTCACTAAAGTCCGTTCTCCTTTGGATTCCAGCATTCAAGATGACACAGTCTAGATCCGTGTGGGTGCTGGTGACATTGGTGACAAAGTGAGGGATCGATTCCACCTGAGTGATGTCAAATGGAACAGCTTGAACTTTGTCGTGGCCATGCTTGTGCACTAGAGACTCGAGATTGCCTTTACGCCGGCCAACCGCAATGACAAAGGCACCTTCTTGAACCAATCGATTGGCGAGTGCTTCCCCTATACCTGTACGAACTGAGTAAGTTGGCATTTGTGTCTGGACGGGTCGTCACCTACCACTTGTTGCTCCGAAGACTAGGACTTTTTTGTAGGAGAATGGCATGTTTGCTGGTCAGTAATGGAATCGATGCTTGTCACTGTCCTTTGGTAACTTTGTCGATGGCTGGGCAAAAGGCAGATATTGTCATGGGGATGGTTTGATAGTATTAGTACTTTATCCAGGCCATTAGCGCATAGGTCCTACTCTTGACATCACCACAACCGCAACTACCGAAGCCCAAATCCGGCAGATAAAGAAGACCTGAATTGCATCAGGCAATATTATGTAATAATGGACATGGAAGCAAAATTGAACATCACCGATAGTGCAAATGGTATTCCATGACTTCATTGACTTGCTTTTCCTACCTATTTATAGATTTACACTTTGTAGATACTGTATTACTGGTAGTGATATCAAAAAAAATATAACATTTCGAGGGTAGAGAGAGAGAGAGAGCACACTGATTACTTTGAAATTAGCTTGGGGAAAAGCTCTTGCAATTAAACTATCGGCTCAGTATCTTTGAAAAGCAGGTAGGTACACAGATCAGTGCTCAACTTCCTGGTAACCGCTTCGCGGATCGACGGGCGCCATTCACTCCGCCCAGTGTTCTCGTTTGGATTCTTAGCGCTTTCATATCTCGTCCATATGGGATTTTGATCATGCTCGCTGCGGTCATGAATTCATACGTGCCCTGCTCTCCCGTGGAAACCGTGACATGCAATATATTGTAGCGGGCAGCGACCGAACTTTGTCAACTCACCTGGTCATACATCCAAATCGACAACGACTTTTTTGAAGTCCCTTGCCCTCACGTCTTTTTCGAAGAGAATGTCGATCTCCTCATACGTGCGCCCCTTGAGTTCCGGCAAACGGAAATAGGCCCAGACCATCCACAGAAAGACGACTCCTGCCCAGAAGAACCCCACTTTGCCTTTCCAGTTGAGATTCTGCGGATTGATAAAATAGGGACTGGCAACCCCCACGACAATCCCGCTCACAGCATTCACATTCTTCGCCAGGGCGATAGTTCTTCCACGCAATCTGGTCGAAGAGACTTCGCTGAAGATGGTGAACGCTAATGTACCAACGGAGAGGTTGTAGAACACATTGAACACCAGTGCGAGCGCCCCTTGCACCCAAGGAATTGTATGGCTCGAACTTGGACCGAGGCCCAGAAAGCCAATTGTTAAGAGTACGACCACCATGCCAGCCATACCGCTGAGAAGCATCCTGCGTCTCCCTGTCAATCCAATGACGACCCAGGCCAAGATCGATACGCAAAAGGCCACGGCAGTGGCACCTAAACCCATCCCAAAAGATTCTCGCACCGACAGCCCTATCTGTTGGAAGAAGTACGATCCTGGAATCTGCCCACCTCCTGTCATAGGTTGCATGGCGTACACAGCACAAGCGATTTCGGTCCGTCGAAGGTTCGACCCCTTGAAGCAGTCGAGTATTGATGTTCCAGATTCCCGCTCCTTTTCGAAATTGTCCGTGTGCAACATCATCGCCACCATCTGCTTTGTGTTGATTGCGGCCGAATCTTGCGACAACCTCTGCAGAGAACGCTCGGCGTCTTCCAGACGACCTTTGCGGACATACCACCACGGAGATTCAGGAGCCAGGAAAATCAGACAGAATAGTGGGAGTACCCACACCCATTGAATCGCAAAGGGAATTCGGTAAGACCATTGGCCTGGGTAATCTTGGAGGCCATACACAACACCGGCATTGATGAGCTGCCCAATCACCCAGCATGTGTTGAGATACGCGGTCAAGTAACCGCGGAGAACGACCGGACAAACTTCCGAAGCGTAGGCGGGAGCAAGCACCGCAAAGGTGCCCCATGGGATACCACACAGCAGCTCCCCGACCAGTAACACAGGCAAACTCGGTGCGAAGAATGTAACAAAAATAGCACCGCCCATGAGCACCAGGGCTGCTAGCAATAGTGGTCGGTAGCCATATCGCTGCGACAGGGAGCCGGCTGCCTGTGCCGCAATAATGTTTGTGATCATCTGCAGATAGGACAGCATGTTCATCCATGGTGATGAGATCTGATAGGAACCTTGGTATAGTGAACCATATTCTTCCCTAAAGGCAGGAAGCGCATAAAAGTTCCCGAGGAGAGCCGTGTCATAGCCTTCCATAATAATGGTCATGGAAACAATGAATGACCAAAACGCAGCTTTGCGATACACTTTGATTCCCTGCCAGAATGTCGTCTCGTGCTCCGCAGCAGTGGCCTCCTTCGCATCCTGGGTGACCTGACTCCAGTCTTTGGACATTGGCGAGGATTGATTTTGAGGGCTCCCAACAGTTGTTTCCTCCAGATGATCAGCAGGCTTGGTGTCCATGTTGTTCCTCAACACCTAGGTATGGTGTTAGACTTAGGTACTGACCTCCTTTCGAAAGGAATACCATGCCATTAAATATCACATGGTGATGTTGAAACTTTAGCCCAGAATAGTATCGTCTTGTAGCTGAGCAAGAGCGTCGTGCGTCGGTCCGGTCACCCCCACTACTCGCCATGGATCTTACCTAAATGAGCATCGCAAATATTCATCGCGCCGAGCTTCCCCGACGCCGGACAGTCAGCCTGGGAGCGGGTTAGCGATCCAAGAACCTTATGGCTTTGCTCGTCACTCATGTGATGATGGAACAGGCCGAACAGGCTACAGCTAAGATTTTCTAGACATACTGCCCCGCAATTGTCCCCGTGGGTTGGGACTTTCTAAAACCACCTGCATCAAGTACCAAACTGAGGCGGGATATTTACGCGGGGACCAATCGGTCAACCGGTCCGAAAGAAGTCGCAAGGAGACTTTATTGGCGTCACATTGGGTTGTGCAGAACACTAGCGCAACATTTTTAGGGACGGTCACGCTGCTGTCTGCATTTCAGAAAGTACGCCGCACATTATTTGGTATCAGGGACACCTTTCGTTTCGACTGCCATTTGGCTTACAAGCCCCGCTTGTTTGTATAGTCGTCTGACGATCGGGGGCTATCGGAGCATGTGGAAGATGGCTACCTACAACAAGAACCGGAGCAAGATGGCCTGCTCAGTATGCCGAGCAAGAAAGACGAGATGCGATGGAGCTCAGCCCAAGTGCTCTTTCTGTCAGGAGAACGGTTGTCTCTGCAAATATGAAACCCCGCACGTTTCTACAGTGGAGACCAACATCGAGGCCATTCTCACGAAGATTTCAGCTATCGAGAATCGCCTTAGTATAGGGGCACAGTCGCCGTTGATCATTGCACCTGAGTCTACACGTGAAAAGGGTCGTTCAGGGTTTGTTTCTCTTACCATCAAAGAAAACCATTTCGCGGCAATCGTGTTTCACACTGACATCAACTTGTCATCACATGCTCGTTCTCTCGAGTTACACCATGCAATGGAGTATGAGAACAGCGGGTCGGTTGCGATTTTTCGTCACAGCCCGCATGAGTTAGGGCAATTGTTTTTCCGTCACTCATACAACTGGTACCCAATTTTGAACAAGAGAGAAATTTTCGAAAAACTCCCTCTGATTCAGAATACCGTGTGCAAGGGAAGCCCGGACTTGTTTCTACTACTCATGGTCCTAGCTATTGGCGGTCTGAATGCGAATGATTCGGTAGGAATATTTCAGGCAGAAGAACTTCACACACAAGCTTTGTCAATGCTCAGTTGTGTATTGGAGGAGGTATCATTACGATCGGTACAATGCGTCATATTGCTCACCATATTCTACGGACTCAAAGTCATGCCTACGAAAGCGCAAGAATACCTTTCGATAGGCTCCATCAAAATGCAAAACCTGATGGAGATACGACCGGTCAACAAGACAGTGGATGAATCAGGAGACCTAATTTATGATCTAGAAGAATACGAAACACGGGCGTTTTGGGCCTTATTCATATTAGAAAGTGAATATGCCGGTACGCTACATTTTGCCAAAACAGGATTGTCTTCCTATGCGAGCAACATGAGATTTCCCTCCCTCAGAGAAGAGCCGTATCATTGGCAAGGATCTCCAGAATCAGAATCATCTGGCATTGATGAGCCAGACCCTCACTTCCTGGCGGAAATAGGGGTGAGAAAGATAATCGACAGGACATGCTACACGTTCAACAACTCAGATTCGCCCACTACTAATCGCACACCGTTTGCGCCCATTGTTGCAAAAGAATTGCAATCTCAGCTCGACGAATGGTATCTTTGTTTGCCAGATTCCATCAAATTTGACAAGTCGAAATGGCCAGCGACCAACACAAGACACAGCACTCGAGCACTCATCAGAGCACAATATTTCGCCACGGTCATACTGATGTATTGGCCGTGTATTATGGAAATAATCATGACTGGGGAGTGCCAGACTCAGGAGCACCGAGATGCATTTAAAACAGCCATTGACTCATACATCCAACTAGTCTTGTGTGGAACAAGTGTTCGACTTTCAGAGTTGCCAACGGCATGGCCCCATGCTATAAGCATATTTGCCATGTCAGCAACAATTATGCGCATGACTCAGAGGACTACGCTCGCTTACGACAAACCCGATGAACTGGAATCTAGTATTCAACATGCTTTTGCTTTTCTTGAATCAATGATTCAGTGCAGTCCTAGCATTAGGTACTTCACAATGATCTTACATGACTTGCACGATTCTCGAAGTCACTCGAATTAGTCGTGTGATCCCTGTCAATAAATAGTTTACTGAAATCTATGGTAACGGTCGTCCCTGTGTCATGAGTTTCTGAATAATTTGCCATGCAAAACCAGTCGTTATGGAAGCGCCTAGATAGACCACATAAGACAGCACCATAAAGAATGATCAATATCACCAACGTAATTCTGATAGCAGGTCTTTTATCGAGGGCTTATGGCAATAGGTGTGATACCAAGAAGCGTCAAAATTGTTGCCTACCCACCTACGTAAGCCCTGATCAAGATGCGTGCCTACCACAATGCCGTCTCATGGTGGACTTCGAGGTCCTAAAATAGAGCATATGCCTGCTTCCTGCTTTTTGTCTTCCTCAAAAAGATTCATCAGTCACCTTTTTATCTTCAGTGTCTGTAACCTACGTCAAAGTGAATGGACGCCGTTTGTACCGCTTTGCATTGCTTCCGTAAGAGCCAGCGCACGTCTTATGACCTTCATTTAGGCTTGCAGGACTACAGTGGCCCTAGCTTTTCCGCGTTGCCAGCATCGCCCTAAACGTGACGACTCCATCTTCGACGTAAGGCTTTGCGGTGAACGGCCGATCGAAATATTGACGATACGTAAGTGCGACCTGTCTATCGACGAATATCTCGAGCACGTTGCCTCGCAAATACAAGTCGAATCGGAGCTTTCCACTTGAACGACCTTTGATTTGATTCGTTACGAACGGCACAGGCAGACGGTCGTCCTCTTGTCCCCCCGTAGGTCCACCCAAGCTGATAACCCCAGTGCTGGCGTCGAAGAAGAGCAGCAAACCCTCTGTAAGCCTGGTGTTCGTGTAGAGTGCCAGGCCCACGCCGCCAGCGAGATCCTGGAGATCAGCTTCAACCGTAAGCCGAGTCAAACTGCGCTGCAGAGCGCCAATCTCGATCTCGGCTATCGAGAAGGCACCAGGCACGCTGGCTTCCCATTCGGTCGTCGTGTCACCGGATGCCTGTCGAATTAGGAGTGCCCGTTGGGACATCAGTTGGCCCTCGATTTCGCGCGGTATACGTACGCACAGACGATCATCTTCGCCAACGAAGATTTCGCGCGGAAGACACATGTCCCCGCCCCACAGCCACTCGCCTCCCTCTGTGAAGCCACGCCGATCGTGGACCCAGCCGAACGCGATACGGCGTCCATGAACATCTTCTAGAGACTTTGCCGCATACCAGTGAGCGCCATCCAATGCTGGCTGTCTCGGGGTGCGCCATGGGCCGGCCAGATCCTCCGCCTCTCGGTAGACGGTCGCGGCATACTCGGTGAAGCGAGAAAAAACCAGACGCCACTTGTCCCCAAGGCGAAACACCTCGGGACATTCCATCGAATATGTGTTGCCTGGTGCGTAGAAAGGTTCGCGAACGGTGGCCCAGGATACGAGATCATCAGAAGTGCTCAACGCGACCACACCTCTGCGGCCGGCAGGTCCCTCACTCGCACGCGCGGTAATTAGCATCCAGTACTGCTCATGCTCTCCATTCCAGAACACGAATGGATCGCGCCAGTCGCGTTGCTCGAACCACATTCTGTGCGGGAAATGAATCGGGTTCGAGGGACTCTTCTCGAAGAGCACTCCGTCCGTGCTCGTCGCATGACAGATTGTTTGCGGGATGCTCGCCATACGCCGGCCACCGGTGTAGAAAACGTGTAGCACGCCATCAACTGCAATGATGGAGCCTGTCCAAATCCCGTCAACATCGGGATCATCACCTTCACCAAGTGGCAACGCAATTCCCAGATCGTGCCAGTCGATCAGGTTGTCGCTGACGATATGCCGCCAAGGCGTGCGCCCGCGGTCAGGCTGGTCGTCCTTGCCTGCCGGCGCCTCCAGATAGAAGAGATGGTACCTGCCCTCGTGGAAGAATGGGATGGCATCTCCCTGCGGGCCGTCGAATTTTGGATCCCGCAGCCCCAGCGGGTTCATTGACACCGCCAAGACAGGCTGTGCCATACCTACTTAGGAATCTGTGGTTGACAAAATCCGAGCAAGGCTCTCCGGTGTCTATAACGTGTATGGTTTTATCCTAAAGGTGACCCCGACCGGCTGGTAAATAATGACTTTTCAACTTATAGCTGGTGTTTTCCCTGTTCTCGAGAACATGTACCTGTAAGGTTAGACGACATGTCCCGACGGCCCCCGAGGCTAAGCAGGCAAGCTCCCAGAAGGTCGAACCTTGATTGCAACACTGACCATTCTGTACACGTTGCAACTTACTCCACTAAAAGATGACTTCTTGTTCAAAGCTTAGTTTTAAAGTCCCCGGCTACATAAAATTCTTGAGTGAACGGGGCGCTATGCATTGTACTAAGAACTGGAGCAACTGCTCGGAGTCAACCATTGAACGGGTGAATGCCCATCTGCAAACTACACTTGGCCTCCCGAAGAGCCCCGAGTCGGCAGGGCCAAGGACGGACGTGGATCTATCTTGGTGTCTCCCTAAATGCTCTGATGCAACAGCGTGACACGTGCGATGGTGAGAGGCACGGTCGGTAAGGTTCATATGAGATAGAAATGCTTTTCCCGAGGTGCCCTGAATCCAAGTTCACAGTGCCATGTCAACTAGGTCTTTAGCTCTCGCAACTAGGAGTAAAGTCCCACAGCGCATCCCACCCGCCCCCGAAGAGCTATATTCGTAGAAATTTCCACTGATCCTCTAATCGATTATCTTCCTCGCTTGAGGAACACTTCGTCACTTCCGTTGTCAACTTGGTACATGAATTCGCTCTATACCATTCCTGCTTTCTCTGGTCAGTGTCGAGACCTCGATAGTTTGTCCCCACCGAGACCGAACTCTTGGATCAATATCTGTACACAGGAACAATTCATAGCAGCGGACGGAATATGGCTGTTATTGCTCAGAGACAAGGCGACCATCGGCCAGCTCTCCACTTCACGCCGAGGACAGGGTTCATGAACGATCCTAATGGGCTGGTGTATACCAAAGGAGTTTGGCATTTATATTACCAACTGGACGACCAACAACTTGTGGCCGGCCGTCCAGAATGGGGCCATGCCACGTCGACAGATCTCTTGCACTGGAAGCGGCATGAGAAAGCCATCAAAGCGCCATCGGAGCATGAGTCAATATGGTCCGGATGCTGTGTGCTTGATTGTAACAACACGTCGGGTCAATTCGACGAGTCAACTGGCCCAGATGACCGTATTGTTGCCATATTTACACTCCACACCCAAGGGCACCAAACGCAAAATGTAGCATTCAGCTCCGATGGAGGATATACATTCACTGGGCACAAACATAACCCAGTACTTGATATAGGCTGGGCAGATTTCCGCGATCCAAAGGTGTTATGGCATGCTCCTTCAAACCAGTGGGTGATGGTTGTTGCAAAGTGTCATCAATTCAAGATTGGCTTCTACAGCAGCCCGGATCTCATACATTGGCATCATTTGTCCGACTTTGAAGGCTCCGGTGTCCGCGGGTACCAGTATGAGATGCCCAACTTGGTGCAGGTGCCATTTGATGACGACAATCAACGTAAGAAATGGGTACTTTTCTTGAGTGTTGGCCCTGGTGCACCATTGGGAGGAAGCTTTACCCAGTATTTTCTTGGTGAATTTGACGGCACCATCTTTACTAGCGATGACCACTATTTGCGGACGGCAGATTTGGGCAAAGATTGGTATGCAGCACAGACGTGGTTCAATTCTCCAGACGGTCAGGCATATGGTATTGGATGGGCAAGCAACTGGCAGTACTGCAATCGCGTCCCTGCTGAGCGTTATCGGTCAGCTATGTCACTTCCTCGCAAGTTCTCTATTCGCGAGGTTCCTTTGAACGAAGCCACAAAGTCTTTGTCGCTCATATCGCGGCCTGTAGACCTCAATATCGTTCGAATGGCTAGCGATGATATGCCGATAGCTTTTACCCACGGTTCGGCAAATGTCAAACCTTCCACAGAAGTCATATACCAGAGGCATATGCGGGGCTCCGGTTCGTTTGAGTTCAAACTCAAGATCAAGTCTGGAACGTCCTCTGCAGGGGTGCTTGTGGACATTGCAAACCCCAGCGGCCACTCGGTCCGGCTTGATTTCGTAGTCGAGAGGGAAGGAATGTTCATTTCTATGGATCGAGGGGGAATCCGTACCGGCTCTTCATGGCACCATCCTCTGTTTGATGACAAGGTCTGTATGTGGGTTCCAAACACTCAAAGCATTTACGACGTCCACGTCATAGTAGATGCCTACGTGTGCGAGCTGTTTGCCATGGACGGTGCTTATGCATTCACCAATACTTTCTTCTTGCAAGACGGCGTCGCATCGATTTTAAGTGTGTCACAAGACACCGCTGGTACAGAGGTATTTGATGTTCATGAACTCTGTCCGCTGCAGAGAGACCGCTAGAATTCTTTTGACGAGTCCATAACAATAGACAATAGAACGTCCCTTGGTCAAAGAAACCTTGGAAGGAGAGGAAATATAATGGCCTAATGACGTCTACTGAGATGCTCACAGTAATAATTCCGGGAGGAGCAAGCGCAATAACGGGAACTTTGATAGTTTCGTCCACTGCAGTTATGCTGCTTGGACATGTTATGGATTTTGGCGAGTTTCTGGAATGGGTCCAAGAGGACGGAGTAGTGGATGTAGGAACTTGGGAAAAACTTGCAGCCCGCGCCCCTCGCTTGCAGTGTACGAATTAAGTGCTACTGCAAAAGGATTAGGGGCGCGTCTGTGAGATGCCAAGGCTCTAAGGGGCAGATGTGGAAGACGCAAGTGCGATCCGGATGATGAATGGCAACTTAAGCGACAGCCGCAGACGCAGCCGCAGCCGCAAGCAAATCCAGATTCGCCCTCACCATGGCCACCGGGGACTTTGCACTGACACCTAAACTGCAACTCTGGTTCACCAGTTGGCACGACAAAGCAGACTGCACTCACTTTGACCTCAAACTGGACAGGATAATCCTCAAATCTCTACCTCCAATCTGTCCCTGCTTTCTCACTGTCCTTCTACTCTCAGACACACCTTCCAATACCTCCAATAATCCTCCGACAACACCTCTCGCATTTAGGCCTGCCTGCGCCTTTTTTTCCAGGGCTACCCCTTCCCTGTTCGCAGCCCATCTGCCTCTCTTCGTCACCGACGCGTTAATTTCAAGTTCTGCCCAGCCGCAGGCCTGCGTCGGCCACCACTCATTCTTGCGCTTCATGCTTTGATCCTTCTTGTCTTTCTCCATCGCACCCTAAGAACCAAACATCAATCTCATCTCGGCCCGTGATGATGATTCTCGCTTCAGATTGGTGATCACAGGGATATGTCGCGCCCGCTGGGCAGTAACTTTGCTGATTTCTTCCCGAGCGCTCCCAGCGTCATTCAGCAACGAAAATCTTCAAAGCTTCTCGACAACGACAAACTCAGGCTCAATCACTCCACTGAACGCGTTGAAGATGCGCCATACAAAGACACTCCTGTTCGCGCCTCATTGACCTCGCCTGCTATCGCCAGTGCTACAAAGTCCTCCGCCAAACTCGATCGTTCGCCCAAACTCAATAACTCTCCCCTTAACCAAGAAAACACCGAAACCTTTGCTGGCGATCTTCTCAATGGTGTCGGTTCTGCCAGTTCGTCAAGCACCGCCTCATCGGTTTTCAGTGCATCCCTTGCAAACGCAAACATGGCCAGCTCGAATCATCTCGCCTTCACGACTCTAACCCCTCTCACCACCTCCGACTCCCCTCCAAACATGAAGTTAATGAGTCCTACAACCGAAGCGGCCTCAAGACCACTTACTAATGGCAATCATGCGAATTCGAATTCTCACCCTGGTTCCATGACTCCCTTATACACTCCTCCAACCCACCGACCCAGTGCGCGCGACCTCAGTCTCACTATCAAGGGCTCAAAATGTTCTTACGACCCGGAACTCGACAAAAATCTACCTACAAAGGATAAGAGGAGGCTCAAAGCCCAGTTTGCGGATTTCATATCACGAACCGAAGACAATGTGCAGCTTCTCGACCCTCGATTAGCCATTCCCTATTATCTCAAGGGTGGAATAGGGAAGGGAAAGTCCAAGTTTCGGCCTGCGCCATACAATCTAAGATCGTGGGTGCCTGATGTTGCGACCGCTGTTGCTTCCAGTTCTCCTCCTACCACCATAGTTGTCACCGGCTTTGATCCTATGGCGCCTCTGTCCCAAATTAGCGCTTTGTTCTCAAGTTTCGGTGAGATTGAAGATATCGATAACAAGACCGACCCAGTCACTGGTCGCTTTCTAGGGATATGCAATATAAAGTATCAAGACTGCGCATCATTCCAAGGTGGAGGACCTATTTCGGCAGTTTTAGCCGCCAAAACTGCTTACCTGGAGGGCAAGAGAGGTCAAAGGATCGGACTCAAAACTGTTCAAGTGGTAGTTGATCGAGATGGTTCCATCACGGCAAAGTTGGTGGAAAGGGCTATCGCGGTTCATCGTAAGGAAAGTGGTTTTACAAACCAACCACGAGTGCAACCTTCACCTTCGCCGTCCATACCTTCCGCGCCCCAGCTACCAAGCTTTGCAAAGAGTTCGGGCCCACCACCTACTGCTCCGAAAGGCCCAGCAGGAAAACCTTCTCTTCGACCACAGTCTACTTTCCATTCTCCTTACGCACCTCCTCCCCCTCCTCCAACCTCGATGGGCACATTACCTCTAACGGCTGCCATACCTCCCAAACCAGAGAAGACCGTTTCACCCTCTAAGCCTTCCGGACCCCATGTGGTCGAGTCCGAATTAATTGCCGAGACATTAAAAGTACCATACATCTTTGTGGCGCATTGCTATGTTCCTGTTATGCCAACCACCATACCACATCTCAAGAAACGAATGCGTATGTACGATTGGCGCGAAATTCGATGTGATGAGACGGGTTACTTTGTTACCTTTGAGCAGTCACGTACTGGACAAATGGAAGCAAAGAAAGTGTTTCACGGGTGTCATATGCAACCACTATTCACATATATTATGAACCTTGAGCTTCATTTGAATGGTAATCCGAAAGCGGCTGCCTCAAACCCTATTCCTCTGACCGAGGCTCAACCTACTGCCCCGGTAGATTTTGTTTATTCGAAGCAAGCGTATAGATTACGCAAGGAACATGATCTCGACCTTGAGGAGGAAAAGAGGCAGCGGGCTCGCGACCTGGATCCCTCTCGTGCTGTGGTACAGTTAGTCATACAAGAGCTTAGGGACAAACTGCTCGAGGATATCAAATCTCGAATCGCCGCTCCGGTCCTGTTTGACTACCTGGATCCCAGTAATCACATAGAGAGGCGCAGAGCACTTGGTATTGAAGATCCTGAGGGCCCTCGAAGGTTTGGACGTCCCCAACACGATGAGGGTTCCCAAACTCCTGATTCGAGATTTGGTTCAGCGTCGAACAAAAGGTCCAGCAAGAGTCTAAACATTCTATCCCTACCAAAGATCAATAAACGTGCTGGGACGGATCGAGGCATGGTTGGTTTTCGTGACGAAAGGAGAAAACCACCACCAGCTAGACACTTTGTTCGTCCACTATTTCACCAACTTTCTCAGTTCCAAGACGAGGATGATTCTGACGATGAGCGACGGACTACACTTACCCGAGACACTGAAGATCTGGAGAGTCGCCCTGCAAGTCGAATGAGCATGACATCTGTATCAGAGGACGATGACGATAAACCACTCCTTCGCAAGGCAACTAAGCAACGGTTTCAAGTTCGCGAAGACTCAGAAATGCCAGATGCCCCTGTTAAGGATGAGGTGGATCATACACGGACAAGTGCTGAAGATCTTATTATTGCGAAGCTTGAGCGCAACATATACGAGATGTCTCCGTCCTCGAGGAAACGCAAGAGGTTAGTCAAGGAATTGGAGGTCCGAAAACGTCAAAAAGCCGACGAAGAATTGTTTGGTATTGGTCAACGTGACGAGTCAGAAGATCCCCAGCCACAGGAAGTGATAACACCGATTGAAGCAACTCCTGATGTTGATTCCGACGCCCCGAAGACGCAAATCAAGAAGCCCAAACCCAAACCGAGAACGAAGAAGCAGAAACTCGAAGAGCAAGAGGCACTTCGACGAGCACAAGCTGAAGCTGAAGCCGCCGAAGTTGTTGAGAATGTGCTTGAACTTGCGGAAGAGGAAGAGGCTTTGGCCGAGGCTGCAGAATGGCGACCAGAAGTCGAGTGGGGTGTATCTGCAGAAAAGCCTCAACCTACTGTGGATGACGATGAGGATATTATTCCGGATCTTCGAGGTTGGCAAGCCAGCTTGTTCGATGAGGAAGATCTTTCATATCTTGCAGCAGTCATGACTTTGAAGAAACCGATGAATATTGGAGACCCTATGGCATGGGCTTGGAAACAAGAAAAGATCCGCAATCTCAAACATGGTGTCCAGCCTGGAAATCTACGGACAGAACCACCTATCGAAGGTTATTACGTCCCTAATGCATCTGGCTCGGCAAGAACGGAACCTATCAAGAGAATTCTCGAGTCAGAAAAATCCAAATACCTGCCTCACCGAATCAAAGTCCAGAAAGCACGAGAGAAACGAGAGGCCGAAGCTAAGAGTGATCAACCTAGCAAACCTACGATGGCTCTGCCGAAGGCATCATCTCGTGGGAAACGTGCCGATGACCGTCGTACCATCAAAGATCTCGATCGGCAACGCGAGATGCTCTCAGCTACGGGTGACGATGCTGATGTTTTACGCTTTAATCAACTTCAAAAGCGCAAGAAACCTGTGAAATTTGCTCGATCAGCCATCCACAACTGGGGACTTTACTCCCTGGAGCGAATAACAGCAAGTGAGATGATCATAGAGTACGTGGGAGAGAAAATCAGACAGGAAATTGCCGACCTTCGTGAAATCAAGTACGAGGAAATGGGGGTTGGCAGCAGTTATCTTTTCCGAATTGATGAGGGAACTGTTGTGGACGCTACGAAGAAGGGAGGCATTGCTCGCTTCATCAATCACAGCTGCGCTCCGAATTGTACCGCCAAGATCATTCGTGTCGGTGGCACCAAACGTATTGTCATCTATGCTTTGCGAGATATCGAAAAAGGTATGATCGATCCAGTATCGCGATATTAATGACCATGTACTAACTGTTTCTAGATGAGGAGTTGACATACGATTACAAGTTTGAGCGGGAGATGGACAGCGATGATCGAATTCCATGTCTCTGCGGCACGACGGTTTGCAAAGGATTTCTCAACTAATTATATCCTCATCTCAAGCGTACATTTCAATACGGGCTGGTGGCTGCGATCCGGGCGTTTACGAGATTCTGTCTGGTGTATTGTGGGTATCTTCTTTACTACTTTTGTATGGCATGTGCAACCAAGACGAGCATTTGGACGGCGTTTTTCCCTTCCCTGTTCAAATCGGAATTTTGCATGCCACGGCTAGGAGGCTTAGCTATGATGAGAAATGCATCGGGAGCATACACGGCCATTGGAGCGAATGGTCATCTACATTGTCGCCATCATTGGTCTTTGACGAGGCTCTGCCATGTTGGTCATCGAAAAGGCAGTACAGAACGCAATGATGAAAGCACGAATATCCTCGATTCTTCAACACACAAACAAGTCGACACGTCGGAAGAAGGTAATGAGCATGTATGTTCTCTGGCACTTCACCAGAGGACAACATTCACTAGGTTTCCGAGAGAGCTCTTTAGTACTTCACCCGTTTTTCGACGCTCGGTCCTCTCAACCACGACCTCCCTACCTCTGCCGCCTTACTACTTCCCTTCCTCTCCTCATTCCCACCCTTCTGTACTTGTATTGCAGGATTCATTCTCAGGTTGTGTAACGCAGTGTGGGCTGACTCCGATCAATGGCTCTGGAGACGACGAAAGCAAAGCCTCGCCTGCAAGTTTTTACTTTGTTGAGAATATGGAGACTTGAGTACTCCAATCCACACGACGCTTAGGTACAGTCCATAGATCAAAGTACCTAAAGCTAGATACCTAGTTAGTGCTAATTTGGTCTTAACCCTGGTCCCATAATCTTGAGAGACAGGGCAGGATTTGATGATATCTTTGATTTTGATGAGTTGGGTATTCGCGTTTGAGTGTGTGTGTAATAATGTTATGGACGTTCCTGAGTCGAGCCTACACACATTGCCAGGAACAATAACTTCAAATGGCCAAAATCCTTTCGGCTCATCGACGGTGACAAGGTGAACATGTCCCCTGTGATCGAAGCTCCGTATTCGGGCCTGCCACTGCCACCCAGGTGCCGCTCCGGCTTCGGTGATCAAGGGCATTTCATCATGGTCGTCCTTCCATTCACCCACTGGCGATCTCCAACAGCACATGGAGGATGAGATCTGTTCATGTCGATGTAGCGCCATGGCAGGCTGGGTGAAATCTTCGTCTGTTCTCGCTAGATGTGGATGTCTGCTAGCCAGCCAGCTCATGTGGTTGTCGAAAAGTACGCTCAAGCTTGAGCATCGGCCTCTGTTCTGGTGATCGTAGCGTAGGTGGCGAGAGTCGCATATCATGCATGGGGCATGCCCTGACATGACATATAGCCCATTGCAGCGGACCTTTCCCTCCCTCCTTGCCTTCTTTCTTCATAGCACGGCATCTTTCTCGGAGAGACCGCCTCCGAGTGAGCGAACATGCCGTGCGCAACGATATGGGGGAGAGCGGTGGACTTGCTCAACTCAGTCTATTCTCTCCCTCGGTATCCCGCACTTGATCTCATTATTCTTCTTCGCCTTCTTGACCCGCCTCTCACCTGTATGTAGCCTCTCACACCAAATGCGCGGGCAGCAAGAAATTTCCCACGCCCTCTTTGATCGGATATTCGAACCCGCAGTTCCCACAAACCAGCTTCCCCTCCGTCACCGCCGTCTCAAGTAACAGACCGTGCAATTTTTTTAACACCTCTTCCACCTCTGCACTCTTCTCCTCGGTCTGCTGCGGCTGATGCTCGACGTCCATTCCTTCGCTTCCGCCGTCGTGCTCCTTCTCTCCGACGCCGTCGCCCTCACCCTCTTCAGCCACGACATCCACGGGGTTCCGCTCGGGCACCAGAGCTTGCAGGCCCAGTTCCGTCGCTGTCGTCGTCAGGGCATCCCAGTTCACGCGGGGGAGCACGTTGCGCAGGAATAGTGGGTTGTATTCGATCTCGGTGCGTTCGAGGGTCGCGTCTTTGAAGTGTAGTGGGAAGGACGCCGGGGAGGTCTTGCAGGTCTTGACCGCGCAGGTCAGGAAGTTGGTTGTCAAAATTTTCATTTTTTCTGGAGGAGGAGGAGGAGGAGGGCGTAGTTGTGGTTGTGATTGCTCAGAGGTAAAAATGGTGTGTGGTGGGATGAGGTGGGGGTTGTGGATGGGTTGACCACGACACTTGTGCCCTCTTCTGAGGCTGAGAGAATGTTGTGGTTTATTGGCATTCACTGGAGGAGATTGCAGTGGAGCATAAGGCACTGAAATTGTTTCCAATTGAGGTGCGAGATCTCTATGTGCTTTGGATGTGAGTTGGTATGAATGGCACAGAAGGCAGGGAAAAAAAGTTGGTGCGGAGAAAATCAGTCAGAATGCTTTAGTTGGAGTTCTATGGGAGTTGCATCTCTGCCATTCAGTTTATTATGAGTATCAATAGTTTCTTTATGGTCTGGTTGTCACAATCGTCGCTGTCTCGCACAGCTTTTTTCTTTGTCTTGCTACCTCCCACTACTCCCTTGCGAACCGACCGCAATGGTATCTACCTCATGGATGGGTACTCAACTTTCATCAACGCCTTCTCCGTCCGTCCCAGTCAAGTCGCCCAAGTACTCTTAGGTGGGAAGCTCCGAAGGCGGCGCGGGAGGCGTCTTGTCCTTCCAGGCCTGGTTCTCTCTCGCAAGGTCTCTCCAGGCCTTCTCCGCCTTCACATGATCCAAAAGTAAATCCAGGTCCTTATCAGCCAATTGCTTCGCATTGTAAAATGGCCGGTCTTTGCGTCGCTCCTCAACAATAGCCCCTTCCATCATTCTGAGTACTTGGACGATGACCAAAAAGAAGGCGAACGCAACCAAGCAAAGGTTGAAGACCAAACAATTTGGAAGCGTGAGGTATTGGAACAGTCCGCCCGATGTGTTGAGACAGAAGAGGTTGGCAATGTTGCGAATGGCTGTGAGAGTATGGTTGTCCCCTTGGCGAAGGTGCCTATGACGATTCTGGGATCGATTCCTTGTCTTGAGATGGATGGTATTCTTTTTTCGACAGTCTGCAATCTTGCTGTTCGCAAAGTAGAAACGCGTCCTCTAGATATATGCTGAAGGCAGGGGTACATTCCAAGATGAAAACTTGCACAATAGATGGGATGGTCGGACCAGACAAATAGTTTTCGTTGCTAGAGACCATGCAAGGCAATCCCCGGAACATGCCCGCAATTTTGATGGCCCCTGTAGGTCCTCAAGAACATGTTTTCAGTAGCGGAGGCATATTCGCATGCAGAAGGCAACGAACCCACCTTGCAACCCAAAAGATGAAGTCAAAACGATAGATCTGGAGGGCTCCGATGTTAGACAAGAATATACACTCACGTTGTTGACAATTCTCTTTCTATTCTACTGTATGTGGACAATCCAAGTGTTCATACTCATTGTGGGTGCCGATGAAGACTGTATGGGGTGTGTAGGATATTTCTTCAAGTCCATCTCATAGTTTCGGAACAACACTTGTGTAGATAGGGACAAACAACCCGAGACGACGCAGAAGAAATGAAACGGAATGGTTGTGACATAGTTCCGATGTAATACAAATTTCTCAAAGAAGATAAGAATGTATGGCACGCAGGTGACTTTTAGTCCATGATGAACCTCTCGGGAAAGAGACTGATTGTGAGGAAAGAAAAGCCTTAAAGTGCCTCGAAAGGGTCGGTCTAGTACCCAATATGACCTACCAGCCTATTATCAGTCATGCCCACAAAGATGGCCATGCTGGAGGACGTGGCGGTTGATTTATGGGTGCAAATCTGTTTTTATAAAAAGTGTAAAGAACGAGAAAAGCCGTCGGCCAGAGCGGTGGGCGGTTTTGAAGCTGTCTCTTCGATCTAGTTCGATTCGGGACTAGTCGGCAATGTCTTGGCATGTTTCCATCCGACCTCATTTCTTTCTTGCTGCTTCGAATTTTTCGACCTTGTCACATCACATGAGTCGTGAACAATCGATGATCTCCTGCCTGGATATCTTTACAACTTATTTGGCCCCTCGAGAAGTCTCTAGATGGACGAGATTCTCGAGTCTGGATGGGGCAATATGCCACGCAGGTAGGTTGGTACAATGCAGTATCAAAACTCTCTCGAAGGCCGTGAAAAACTCCAGCCTCCCAAGGATCAACACCAAGAATTCATACCACACTCGGAAGCATCTTGAACCATCTCTCCCATGATCAAGACGTGGATCCAGAGGTCTTCCAACACCTCAATCGCAAAGTGGAAGAGCAACATTTGGCTTTTAGCAGGGCCTTGTCTACTCCACCCTACTTCTTCTGATCCTTTGTGGAGATGTAGGACTATTTATATGACAGACAATCGTTCAATATATCAAGCTTACCTACTGCATGTTCCTGTCGTGTCAAGGTGCGTAGTTATTACGACTTGCTATCAAGTTTCCTCGGTCGTTTTGGCTGTTCCAACCTTTCCCAACTCAGAGGTGCCAATGGAAAGCCGCTTCATACCCTTCGTCTGCGCGTCTAGTTCAGCAATGAGCATGAGCAACCAGAAGGATAAAGTACGGTCATTCATGGTCACGAGCCCAAGCTTGAGTTCGAGGCGCGACGAGCGGTACCAATTCGAATATACTCCCTCCAAGCGGGGACATCTGTCTCGATCAATAAAGTTTATCTTAATCACCAATGCTCTAGTCCCTGGGTACATGATGCCTCCCAGATATCTTACATGTTTATGGCTTTCCACAACTTTCATACGGCTGACGACGAGATTCACGTCTCGAAAGGTGATTTTCCTTCTGCAACTTCCAAAGTGAATAAATCCTCTGTTCGGGCTTCTTCTCCTCTATTCACTTTCTCGATGGCATTCACTTCCAATGGTAAGATTGGGTTACTTGTTACCAACTCTCCCTTCGTATCAGTTCTCACCTCACCTCATCTCACTTTCGTGCTCCATTGCTTGAGCCAGTCTGCGATCATCCGTCTATATTTTCCTGCAGTTTCCTCGCGGTAGACACTCACACATGCAGACTACCTTGTCATGAGCTTTTCAATGGTCACCATCGTCTTCAGGTCTTAAAATCAATCACCGTTGAGAACATGTGAGTACTGAGGTCGCTGAAGGCTTGCGATCTCTCGACCCCGAACTCAACTCACATCACTTTCAGAGCGGTACAACCATGTCGAAACTGCCGGCCTTCATCATCACGGACGGAACGGGACCTGGCGTCCTGTACCTCGGCCAACAAGTTGGAGCTGGACCTGAGATCGATTGGGATAAAGCTACAGTCACGCTCGATCAAGTTGCCGAGGATACTGAACGGACCAAGCATCGAATTTCGATCTACCGTCTTGATCAACTCGAGATGGCATCAAAGGAGTCTATATCGATCACCGTGTGAACATGCGCTCTATCTTACAAGTAACAAACAGCACTCCTAGGTATTGGTTCCGAGCATATTCCAGCCGAAGTGGAGGTTTCAATTCCATTGGTCTGTTCAAAAGTCAGGCAGCCAAGAATGGCCGTACTCTCAATGTGGAGTCTTTGACGGAAGCTCAAATGGCGGATCAGCTTCGACGTCATGTCAATCGCACCGTCTTTGAAAGCCATCTCATCTCCTTTACCGTTTCATTCATGTGGGCATTTCATAGAGCGCTTGCTCTGAGAGAAGCTGGCCATGAACACGTTCGCATTGCTATCATAGATAGCTGGGACATTCCGAAGCGGACCTGGGTGAGACACGGTCATTCAATGCTCAAAGGATATGGCATTGAACGTGAGTTGATGTTAGAGAACCTCGGTCAAGGAGAACTCTTCGTGTGGGATCAACTCCGTGTTCCTATGGACGGCGTAAGGCTTGACGACATGCTGAAGGCCGGAGTGTTGACATTGCTGCCATTCTATCGGAAGCCTGACTGCGACCTTTTGTCCAGTAAGTCTGAAGACACTTTGCCCTTACCACTGGTGATGCCCCGACCATCTCAGAGGGCAGCCGATATCTCGTACATTGGCAGCTGACATGCGATAACAGGTTCTCCTGCAAAACACCCGAAGCGCAAGCCGAAGCAACTCTCCAAATGGAAGAAGCCTTATGTTATCAGGAATCAGATTTTCAAACACTTGACTGATGTGAGGGCATTTGTCCGAAAAATCAACGAAGAAATGGCACCAAAGACTTTCAGGGAGAAGCATGTTGCAGGTTGTTCGTTCTACAAGAAGAAGCTTAGTGTTTGGTGGCTCCAGAACAGTTACATTCCCCTTTCTCATCAGCAAAGGGATGCTTTTGTGACATTTGTGGAGGCCTTGTTTTCCGCTAAGTATCAATTTCCGATGCTTATCACTTTGTTCTCCTTGCGCCTGGACGATATCGAGCATGTCGACATCATCGACTGCATGGACACCCTCAGAGGTTAGTTCACATGGAGACAAACCAGTGAGAAAGTACTGATATATTTCCAGATCATCCAATGATGTCGGAAGTCAAACAATGCTTCAAGGGGAAATTCCGAAGAGGTTCAAAGGAGCTAGACTCGTTCGAATGGCTTCTCGAACAGTGTGCAGATCGACTGGGAGTGCCATGCAGGATATTTCAAGAATGGCACCAACCTCGTTTCACAATGCCACGAGCACAGCATCTTCACACTATGCTTCCATTTCTCACATGGAGAGCGCGAAAGAATTTTGAGAGTCGGTTAAAGCAAGAGCTTGAGAGGAAGAGAGGCGTTCAGATTAACCAAGGTGTAGAGAGGCAAACTGGTCGAGGCACCAAGCAAACAATTGCAACTTCTCCCAAATGTGCTATTCCATTCATTGTTACGGGAAAGCGCAAGGCAGATATTGAGCTCGATCGAGCGGCAGTTAAGAAGAGCAGGAGCATTCGAGCCGACGACGCCTCAGTGAATGCCTTCGTGCAGAACATTGCCAACAAGATGGGAACAGTCGACATCTAGGGCTGTGCAATTGGCTGTTTGGCTCCTTTAGAAGCTGGGCTTGGATGTTTGATCGACTGGGCACGGGATTTGGGTCAGTCAGATGTCACTGTTCATCCACTGGAATACGTGCGTTGAAAGAATGGAGCAGGAGCAAAGGAATACGGTGGTCTCGTGTGAAACCAACAGAGGGTTGTCACAATGACCGAGCAGTATGCTGCTGAAGAGAAGGCAGATATATCAGGGGCATATCCCGTGTGGGTAGGCAGAATGGTCCTCGCAGACAACATTGATTTGATGGGTTCAGAGAATCAGAATATGGAAATAGAGCATCCACCTTCGTAAACTTCTCAGTTCGTCAGGTGAGTAGGCGAAGAGACGCTGTGCGCCGAATGGCTCTTCCAACAAGCCCTCAGGATAAGCCGTCTTCCTAAAGTGACGAGTGTTCATGTTGACAAGAGCGATCATCCGGTGATACATCGAAGCCAGGGGTTGCCTTGAGATACTCATGATAGATGCCTAGCTTTGTGAACGGATTGCCTATGAAGCACCCAAACCCGTGGCAAAGAATTGGAGCCAAGCTGATGGCATATTGTAACGATGCTGGAACTCTAGATCCGTGTTCACGACATGTGACAACAAGTTACCACACGAACAGTACGTAGTAGACCGACGTCGAGAAAGTATGTCCAGATTGGAGGAGATGTCAGCCACCAACCTCCTCGTCCTGGTGTGGCGAGAAGAATCAATGCGCCAGTTGCTGGAGCTCTACTTTGGGATGCCACGCCAGATCACAGCCATCATGCTAACGAGACGACCAATAACACCACGGCGGAACCGCAAGGTCTGTTCAAAGTTGGATAGACTAGCTGCACAGTGTGAGCCAGAGGGCATGGCGACAGGTGATATGTGGAGAAATAATTAGGTTGATCAAGGCCGTAGTTAGATGACAGGAAGCAGAATCGAAGAGCGTCCAATTGCACGGAACGACCTAGGTACTTTACTACACACTAGGCTGCCAATATCGTGGAATAAGTTTGCAGCCCCGTCTCGGATACACGTTAATTCGTACCAGTTTGTCCTTGGGTGTTGGCAGCAGTCCCGGGGCCAAACGTGAGGAACTTCTGTTTCAACCCCTGTAAGGTATGTGGGCCCTCTGTAATCTAACCCCGGGATATGGAATGGGTGGGCATCACAACTTCCAGAACGTTTTCTTGGGCTCAGAGGCCTAAAATCGTTTTCTATGAACTCCATGTACGCACATGACGAATGTAATATTGTTAGGGGATCGTCTATGTACTCCGTAGCTTTTCTCTGTGATCTGATTTGGTATGAGATCCAATGCCCGGTGCTTCATGGGGTGCCCAATGCAAAGCCCCTGCAACCCGACCAACTCCTCTCCTATCAGATCTTAGGCTCAAGGCAAGCGACACTCAGAGAATTTTGTGATGCTTCTGTCTCTTTCGCCTGTTCGATGATATGTAGGAAAAAAGCGGACAGCTTTCAGCCACCTACCCAGGGAGGTAAGCGATACTCATACCCTTTTGTGACGCCTCTGTGTTTTTCGCCTTTTCTGATCTTTTGAGTTTCCTGGATCCGAAGAGCTGCTCCCTTGCAAACTCGTGCCGTACCACCCTCATTTCTTGCTCACGGTTATGCACTATCACACCCTATAGTATCGCTGAGACCAGCGATAGGTGCCCTCGTTGGAGTCTCCAAATCCCAGTGGTCACACCTGCTCCGAGTCTGCCATCGTTACGGACTGCTCTCAGGTATAAAGCCATCGGGCCTTGTCCTCAGACAGCTTTCAACTTCTTCTTCTCTTCCTATCTCTCCTAGTATTTGATTTCGAAGCATCTATTCTTGCAGCTCCCTGGCTTGTGAGGTACCATACCTTGTTCGTTCCATACGATCGACAACATGTCAGCAGCATCAGGACCGACCACCATCGAAGCAACCAGTAAGTCCGGGGAGAAGGACATCTTGCCGCCTTCTTTTGGATGTGCTCAGTCGCACTCAGAGTCCTTGTTCTGAGTTCTGGAGTTGCTGATTCGGACTCTGCAGCGCGTGCCTCGCTCGCAACCTCTCCCACCAACTCCCCTGGTCTGAAGGCTCAGATGCTTCGCTTCCTTGCCACTCCAGCTTGCGAAGAATCTTATGTCGCTGGCATGCGAAGTAAAGATAGGCTCAATGGCCTTTATTCAATCCTCGATCTGCACATGACTCGATTCTCCCGTGGGCCTGGTGGACATGATTCGGCCAAGGATAGTTTGTAGCACAACCTACCACCCCTTGGCGGTAAGTTCTTCACAAACTTCACCAATTCTTACCTTTCGTCGCGATTATTATTGTAAAATAATTATTGACGATCTTGCAGCCAAGGAACCTGTTCTGATTCTGACGGCGGGTTTCCAGATTCGCAACTCGGCGTTTTTCGGCCACAACTCGCTGACACCAGCTCCAAATCTTGCGATTTGCGGACCAAACCTTACACAGAGACGGTAGCTCTAATAATTCCTGAGACAGTATTGAAAACGATTACCTGGGTTAGTTGATCATGATAGAGATGGTGGATTTTGTTGGCTTGCTGTATGTTGGCACCAGGTCTGTGGTTCTCGGTTGATGTGAAGGAAGCACGTGGGGGAACCACCCCCAAGAAAGTCGAAGCGCGTCTCCGAATTTCACGGGTGCCAAGCCTCCCGCGATAAAGTCACGTGGCAGTTCATGGTGTTGATGGATTTTTGGAGCGGCACTCCTGGCGAAAGGAAGTGATGGAATTTATCTTAAGGCCTGCACGAAAGAGTGGTGAATAATAAAATGCGCTTTTTTCGTCTTCAATTTGAGGTTGGGTGGCCACCACGCAAGGTTTTGCACCCATCTGGGATCGTAAGTCTGTATGCTCTCCTAACCCCTGTGACCGGTGAATTGACGTGTAAGCCAATCAAATCTTGTACGTAGAGCCTCAACGCTGATCCCAAGATCTCCATGGTTCGCCGTACTTTCTACGGTGGGCGGGTAGTTTTTGGAAATGTTGAAGCGCAATTCTGAATAGATGGACTTCCCACAGCCCCTATGTGCTTTGACTACTAGAGTAGCTCTTTAATGTCAGAAGCCGATGCCAATAGTTACTACCCGATACACTGGCATTGAAGATTAGACAAAAGGCTCAAAATCGCTTATGGTAGCACACATCTATTCCACACAGAATCTGCCTGCAACTTTGTTGCTGCACTCGACCTAATTTTGTCCATCTCTGCTTGTACATATCCAACTCTTCGTTTAAAACCCTCCGTGGAATCTTTTGACTCTGCCTAGTTTTGGGGGCAGAGATACTTTGCCGTCGAGGACACTCGACTCCGTTGAATTTAAGCACTGATGGAGTGCAGATGAAGAATGGGATGTCCAATAGCCAACGAAATGCCGAGGGACTCTATGATGCAAGATTGAGTATGTTGTATCCGTCTCAAATTCCACATTCCAAGGCTTTTACTAGTTTCCAAACTTAGCTTCGTTGGGTCGATAGTGACGTTCGAGCACATGCATGGTCCATCATACATTTTGACGCTATGCAATGCTGATATCAATATTTGACAAACCAGCAGCTAACTACTCAGGCAGAAAGTCTACGTGACAAGCATGATGTGTGACTGGCGCCATGAAGTGGACCAAAGGCCTTTAGTCTACTCCACATGGCTCGCTTGTCTCTTCTCGAGCTATGCAGTCGCAAAATATTGGAAAAATCTGTTTATATGGCGCTGGAGTGTTGCACATCGATGCTTAGTCAAAACTACTATAAGCTAGGCTAGCCACTGAACGAGCTGCGCAGAAGTGCTCTTCAGCCAGTCAGGATGGTTCAAGACCACGAGGTCAGACAGAGCGCTGATAGCAGTGTCCCCTGCTAGACTTCCCAAATGAGCTTTGATTCATCTGAAGGGGAAGAACAAGTCTCGGGTCCTTTTTGATAGCTCAACATGTTGATGCTCAAGTTGCGCACATCACTGGACCTTACAAGGTCTTTGGAAATGTCATATCGTCGCCCGCAATTCGTCCATCACGACAAGCCAATTCTGAACTTAACGGCAGCTGAGAACGGTAGATATGCCACATGCTAGGGCTTGGAAAGAGTATATATTGCTTCTTATCGTCCGGACGGCCAGGTAAGCAAGCTCGGGACACCGTCGTCAAATCCGCACTCACCGTCTTGAACAAATGTTGAGTTTCGCATACGAGGTGACGTATGGTGTAAAAGTCCACGCAACCAGTAGGCATACATAGAGTATGAGTGTCGCACAGCGGCCACAGTTTCCGAAACCTGGGGTCAAGACGTTGAGTGGATGGGATTTTAGCGTGGTATTGCTTCTCGTGGTAGTGGCATTCAAATCGGGGATGACGAGGCTGATCTTCCGGGCACGCGTCGAAGTGACAGACGAATAAAAGGACTAACTGTGTCACATTTTCTGAGGTTCAATGTTGGCCTCTTGGCTCCTGTCATCATAGTTCCGAACGTACTCTTCTTTGCGCTGTCGGGGTCAAGGAAAAGCAATGTGACCTGTGGTTACGCTTGCAATTTGTGCGGTGTTGACTCCCGGCAGTGTTAGATGAAATGGGTAGCAAGCTGTAGTTAAGATGATGAGCGGAAATTAGTAGATCCATTCGTATGATGGCAGAGCTTCTTTCTCTAGTGAACAAGTTAGCCTACGAAGTTGACTCCCATAAATGCTCCATCTCTTAAGTTACCTACATCGCTACGGGCTGAGACTCCAGAGGGCATCGAATCCCTACCTAGGTGCTTTTGGTTGGGGTATGGAGATTCCGCGGGGCTCCTTAGGATGGGCCAGTAGAGAGCCTGGGGCGCCATCCATGCTTAGATGGACATAAAAAGCAACTCCTCCAGCACAGGTGTCCACTCCTCTGGATCCCTCCATGGACTCCTGCTTCCACCACACCGCCCGCACAGGCACACCGGCGATGAGCGTTGTCCTTCTTTCTCGAATTCATCATAGCGTACCGTCTTTGACTCTCAACGCATGGATCATAGCCGTGTGCCCCTAGGCCTCTCATCAGGAGAACAGGTGACTGGCACTCTATTGGCAACGGCTTCATAAGCAGATGCCTTGTCCTCTGAAGTCGTTGTCCTGCCGTCTGTCGCGGGTAGGTATAAAATGTGTGCTTGTCTCTCCAAGATAGAATCTGATTCCTCTTTCTCTTTTACGTCTTCTGTTGTGTGAAAGGTTGCTTTCCCCCTTAGGCACATCATTATTCCATCCAAGTCCATTCGTCATAATATCAAACTTCAAAAGCATGGCAGGATCAGGTCCTAGTACCGTCCAAGCACCGGGTAAGCATCTGCTGAGCAGCATCATGCCCTTTCGTTATTCTTGTTGTCTCTGACACTTATATCTTTGCGTTGCGCACTTGCACAATACTTATTTTGATTCTGTAGGTCATTCCATCAAGCCCACTATCCTGAAGAATCAGATGGTCCGCTTTCTTACCACTCCGACATGCGAGGAGCCCTATGTCGCTGGCAGGGCAAGTCAAGACAGGCTCAAACCCATCATTACAACTCTAGATCTGTATCTGAGTCGTTTCTCCTGTGTAGATAGCGAGGGTGGGTTGAGTAAGGAGAGGCCATAAAGTGGCTTGGTCATGTCTTGTTGCTGGCTTCAGACCGCCGGCTTTCCATGCGTTAGATCCCACTGTCTTCTTTCTCACCATCTGCTTGTTCACTTTCGGATTGTGGCCAAGTAATAATCGAGGTTGTCATAGCCAAGTAATTGTGTATCGTGCTTCTGGTGCACTACCATACCTGCAACCTCATTGTTTTCGACCACAATTCAACCATATGACCGCGAAACTTGACGGTTTGCTCGGAAAACCATGGGCATATATCACAACTCGCATAATGATATTTCTTTGATTGATGATGTACGATTGCTTGAATTAATCGTGTTGGAACCGTTCAGTATATGCTGACATGAAATTTTATTATTTATTGTGGGTGTTGTGTTTGGGTTGAACTTATGTTATGATGAAAAATTAAAAACGACGTAGAGTGGGAACCTCAGTTGAGGAAAGCCGCACCCCGCCCGTTCATTATTGAAGCACCAAAATGGCAGTCAGCCTAACTCAGCTCGCAAGGCATTCAGCCCCAATGGATCACAACGGTGAACTGTAACGCCGTCAGTAACTTAAGTAGAATTACACCACACTTGGTAAGACTTGATCTGAGGGTTTTTCAATCGTCGTGAGCACTGACCAAAGTATGCTTATCGTGCGCGGCCTCATGAAGGCAAATCTGACATCTATAACCGACCTCAATAGAAAATTTCGGCTCTAAATAGGAAGATCTGTAGACTGTGGCAGCAAACAGAATCACGGTACGCGTGCATTGCAACCTGCTACCATCCTTGTACGGAGGCACTTCCTACAGTTCTCTACAGATTTTCCTGGCCAAGTTGTGGCAGTATATACTTAAGCGCAGGGTGATTCCGCCTCATCCCTTACTGTAGGCTTGCAGATATGTCATGGACGATTCATCGACCGGTGGGATCGGGGGAGGATCCTGCCTGATCGGTCTTGTCTCAAAATTCCCATCGAGCTCTTCCTGCGAACGCTTGAGGGAGGACGGATCAGAATATTGGTAAACTATCACTTTAGGACAATTGTTGTTGATTCAGACACTCGATTACTGCCTGGTCTGCAGAGTCGATAATTACTCATTGGAGACCAGTTCGGGGATATTAGTCTCTTGCCGCCCTTAAGCATATCAGGAAACCCAAGAGACAAGCTCTCTGGCTTGCCCCGGAGGCAAAGGCAGAGCATCTTCATTCAGCTTGATCATTCGAAGGACCAAGTTCTTGACCGAGAGAATTTCATCACACGATGGTAATTGGCCCAGTCATCCTCGAAGAGACAACAAATGATGGGTCAAGAGCAAATGAATGACACGTCAAATTTGGTTGCAGAGCTTCGACCTAGATCGTCATTCAGAACCTTGTGCTAAGGGGCTTTCTTGCTTATGGATCCAAGCTGTGATATGGCCTCTTGTGAATTGCGAAACCCGAGCTGACAAGAAGTGCCTTTTACTCAGCCTATGCTGAACGTACGAAACGATGCTTTGACAGCACTCAAACTAATCAACCGATCGATGCATTGTGCAATGCAAATTTACACGAGTCCGACGAACGCATCCTTTCAAACCCCCATATAGGAGGCTTCGTCGTGAATAAGGGGTACCCCCTGGATCGGCAAAGCCTCCACAATCTCGCGGTCGAAGGAATCTAGAAGTATAGTGAGAGTATAGCGGTGAAGAATATTTTCGGAGGACATTTCGAGACAGTATCAGAGGCTCATAACCACCTACTACCCCCAGGATGGACTCAAGAATCGCTGTAGTCGGTCAGTATCAATTGAAGCACATCAGCTGGTAAGATCATCTCAATTGTGCATCTCTTACACCATCTTCAATGTCTTTCGACAAGGTTGGAAAGATTGTGTCAGCGATTACCTGGCCGCAGGAGCACAAGGCTCAGGAGTCGAAAATACGGAAGAATATGAATTTCGCCCCGACGCAACGTCGAAGAATCAAGCCTCATGGAATGCCAATGTCCCAACAAAACCAGTTCGACGAGGGTATCTTGCCTGGGGCAGGAAACTTCCGTGAGTAATTGCGCGTTTGCGAAGACCTAATCAGGTAATTTGAGTCTTTCATAGTATGTTTCTCGGAACTGGTTGCTTGTTGCTTCTTGAGAATCTAAGAATATTCATCGATATTCGGGCCGCATCGCTGCTTTGAAATTAGCAATTCAGGGAGGACTGCACGTGGCGTGACTGCGAATCGGCAGTCTTGGATGGTAGATGATTTCGTGCATGAACCATGGGCATGGCAAGCAATCTGATACCATTCCACTCCGTAGAAGCTGCAGTTGAATGGTTCGGAGAAGTGGAAGTCGGGCGAGAATCATATCTTATGGCATCAAATATTACGATAAGCCCTTACTTTACTAGCATGATCGCTGTTCGTCGCATGGAAGAACACGGGGGCCGTGGAAGGCTGACGGGAGAGAAACCGAGGCACCGAATTTGAACCCTGGAATATCCTGGGGCATTACCGGCGCGTTGTTCTAGAACAAAAGTTATGTTCCATGCACGAGTTGACTTGGTATGGTGACCTCAAGAGATGTCGGGGTTTATTGGATGGTGACCGGATGAGTCCGGATGCCGGTGCCGCTGGGTGCCTGTGAGGATTGATTCACCTTTCCGCTGTGGAGTCCAATTGTCAAGGCCAATCTCATGATCCGTGACAAATCTGGTGTGACAGCTGCTGGGGTCGTTGAGATGGATGCACCTACTGAATCGCTGAAATGTGGCTTGAAGACGAGCAGCACCTACTTGTGCATGTGAGTAGTTTGTATGTGGAAGCACCGGGAGGGGTTTTCACAGAGCCTTCTTGGCCCAAGGCTCAACCCAAGAAATTATGACGAGCTTCTACCGTTGCCCAGAAATCGCTTAAGACTGAAGTGTGTAATGAAGACTGCTTTGACGAGAAGCAGGGATGACGCACGAAAGACGTTTTGGTATTGGCGTTTGGAAGCCAAGGATGAATCTCAACAGCAGAGAGTCAAAACAGACTACCATGTTCATCCACATTGAAGTGTATAGCAAAGTTTGAAACTGGTAAATGATATGAAATAGTGTTCTCGTAGACAGTGGGGACCTGTCATTCAGGCTCTAAGAGTACAGGAGCTCCCGTGGGGAATATTGAACGTGAAGGATGGGTCAGCCAGCAGTGGTTCCCTGGGATCTGCGGGAAAATGACCCAAATCGAAAGAGGAATCCCATGTCAGTTCAGTGACGAGTGACGAGTGACGAGCAGGGCTTTGAAGCTGGCCGCGATTCCCGTTCCCATTCGAGGCTCCAGTTAATTGAGTCAATAATGGGTGCCCATCTCTAGAGAATGCGTCTCCTCTTTTCCCACGCCATCCGAAGAAGAGCCACTCGGCCACTGGTGATCCTCTCTTGCTCCATCTCTCTTGGTGCTCTACCCCTGCCTGGCTACGGCTAAAATCTAAACGAAGAAGCAAGGTGCTGTTGAGAGGTATGTACCAGCGGTCTTGAGACGGTCGTTATGTTTGTACACTTGACCACCAGATTTCAAGATATGAAAGCCGTCTTTTCGCGTGATGCGATATTTTCCATTTCGCTTGTCATGGTTACGTCAGGCTGTGAGGCACGCCGAGGCACTTGTGGCGTGACGATGAGTTTTGCGGCGTCGTCTTGGAAGGTCTTGGTGTTCTTGGTCCTCAGCAAAAACACTGCGTGGTGGCCGCGCGAAAAAGCTTTTCCTCCGCTCGCCCGTCTCTAGCGCCAACGCAAACTTGCCACCCCGGTCATCGTTCGATCTCAGAAACTCTGAGGCATCAATGGACCCCGGTCATCCACTATGACACACAAAACACCTTAGTAACAAGTTCGTTTTTAGTCGTCCTTCTAATTCGCTCTGCCTATTATCAGGCTAAAACGGCAGCAGCGATTGTGCTGATGTTGTGACGCTCCATCTTTAGTTGACGGGCGCGTATCCATGGGGGGGCATCCCCTTTGATGGAGTTCCCCAGGCTCTCACTCTCGACTCAGGCAGATGACCCCGTCATGGCTCGTCGCATACCCCGTAGCTGCAAATGGTGAGCACTCCATTCCACTACCCAACCATTTTCGTAAGTGGTCCGATGCTCGACTTGCCCGGCTTACCTGGTTTGATCGTGACTCTCGGAGATCAACCACCTGTATTGCCTCCGCCAAAGTTTGTTGCAAATCAAACCCGGCATGGACCACCTTTCTCCAGACGAGGATGCCCCGTGGGCTTGGATGTGACCTCAGAGGTACATAAGCCATGCTTTTCCCATCTCCGCTCCTTCTCTTCTCCCTTCCAGTGGCCAGTCGAATACTTGACACGCGACAAAAGCACCTGAAGCATTGCAAGTTCCTCCCCGTGCGACCATCGCGAATAGATCATCATGTCGACCAACGAGCAGCATAACGCTGTCAACAACACTGCCAATCAATCTGTAAATGGCAACCATAATACCAATGGCACTACTACCCACGACTTTGAAAAGGCCACACGGGGCATGAGCAATGAAGAAAGGCAGGCAGCTACTCATGCTGCTCGCTTCGGCTACGGGCCTCTGGCTCATTTCCGCACCAACGATGATGGTGGTGCTCTGCCAGGTGTGATATACTCTACCACATGGATCTTGAAGGCAAGCACTGACTGAAATCCTCTCAAAGCTTTTGGTGGTGAATTCCAACCCGGTCTTTACAAGGGAGTCGAGAACCGCAAATTCGCCAATCCTGCTCCCCTGGGTCTTTCAGCTTTCGCCTTGACTACCTTTGTCCTCAGTCTGGTCAATCTGGGAACAAGAGGACTCGCACAGAACAATCTTGTCCTGGCCTTGGCCTTTGGCTATGGTGGTCTAGTGCAGCTTCTCGCAGGCATGTGGTACGTGTGGACTGTGGATATTCTGGTTTTGTACCATGACTAATAACCCACAACAGGGAAATGGCCGTTGGCAACACTTTTGGTGCTACTGCTCTCTCCTCCTACGGTGGTTTCTGGATCTCCTTCGCAATCATCTTGACACCAGGAGGCTTCAACATTGAAGAGGGCATCCTCTCCACAGGTGGTGAAAAGGCTCTCCTTGACTCCCTAGGTTTCTACCTCATGGTAAGCGAATTGTGTCCAAATTTTTCCAACTAGACCTAATCTTTGAAATTAGGGATGGTTCATCTTCACCACTATTCTCCTGTTCTGCACTTTCAAATCCACCGTCGCCTTCTTTTTCTTGTTCTTTACGCTCGACATGGCATTCCTCCTCTTGGCCATTGGATATCTTCAACCATCAGGTGGACACCCCAACACTGGCTGTATCCGAGCAGGAGGCGCGTTCGGTATCCTCGCAGCCTTCGCGGCTTGGTACAATGCCTTGGCTGGTATTGCAGATACTTCCAACAGCTTCTTCATCATTCCCGTCGCTCATTTCCCTTGGTCTGAGAAGGGCCGAGCTCAACGTCGACCAGACAAGACGGAACATACCGCATAGAGAACCACAGTACTGTCTCTACCTATGCAGAGCATCAAGAGATTGGCATGTTGAGCATGCTACATGTGGTGGTGCCGACTATGAGAGGAAGAAAACCTTACAGTCTAGGGTGATGCAGCGTAATAGTTGCGCACGAAGAGAGCGAGAATTGGAAAACATATTTGTTCAATGATTTCATGCTACGTTCTTTGGATACCCCCATATGCCTTCCGTGGTTATGGTCATTGTTGGAAAGCCATGAAATTGCATGCAAAAATCTGTAATATACCTAATACAACGACTTGAAATTATCTTTCATGCTCGCTATTCTCGATTGTTCATCCGCAAATCTCCACCACAGCCAAGATTTCAGCATGCTTGTAACCATGCACAGAAACACCTCACATCAATCCTGCCCCAAAAGCAATAAGTCTTGGTAATGTAAACAAGACGACCGTTCTACGCATGTTTGGGATGACCTGTGATGGTTTACGTGAGAAGAGCAATGAGACTTTGGCAAGCCCAGTCCCAGCCCTACAGAGTTCGAGCCGTTAAGCCAACAAAGTATGATTCTCACCCAAAAACAGCAAATCACGCATTTCCACGCCCTGGTTCGTGTATGGGGAGTGCAGACAGCTCGTCCAAATGCTCTCCAACCATGGCCCAAAAGAAAAACGCCTCTGAGTTCTCGCGACCCGTCCAGTAATGCATAATAACGAACGAGAACTTGTACAAATCCAGCACGGGCGACCCAGCTTGGTTCACAGCCCTCCCTCCCTCGCTTAGAGCATTTCGCACTAAAGATGGATAGGGAATTTCTTTGTGCTCACAAGACGCCAGGGTTTGCGGGGAAGTCTGGACGCCGAGAGCTTCATTATTTGAACTAACTACCCAAGTACCTATCTTCTTTGTGGGGGGGGGAGGGGCATGGAAATGCCGGATGCATCGGTATGAGCGCGGTTGGTACACCACCACCTCTCCTGTCCTAGTTAGAAGCCGATCTACTGTAATTACTGACCCCATGGCGAGAGGGCTTAGAGATAGACCACTGGAGTACGAACAATAACTTGGACAGCGGAAATGTCTTACGGAGCGCGAACGATGCAAGCAAGCATGGACATCATCATCACCAGGGCCAAGCACTCGCAGGTCCCAAGACAAGTGATAGACCGACCCAAGAAGCCGGTCTGGGGTTTGTGACATGGCAATCATGGGCAATTCTCCATCGCAAATGCTCTGTTGAAAGTCCATTATCCGAAAACCGCAAAGAGTCGAAGGATTGAAGACCGATGATGGCATTCTCTTTCTTGGGGGATGACGTCGGATCTACAATGGGCTCATGAAGTAAATATGTTCAAGAGCACACTTTATTGGTCGAGATGATCCTTGTCTGCCCAGAACCGCTAGATCACAGGGATGCGGGGCTCCAGCTAGAGGTGATCGACTAGTCAGACGGATATGAAATCATGGAGGGTTCGGATATTATATCCTGGACTGCTTGGGTATGAAGGGGTAATCTATTACATCAGGAGTTGAAATGCTGATTCCTTTGGCATTTGTGATTTGACGATCGTCGGAAGTATGAATACGGATAGTGATATTTTGGTCGCGTATAGTCCTGCCTGAGGCTGGTTGTCATGATGAACTTGACTTTCTCGGCAAGGCTCTCACATCTTTAAGCTCCCTTTTGATTGGAAACTATATTCCGAAGCTGTACCCATGATGTAAGGCTGGTATGACTGACACACCTGGATCTCTCATGGTGCAATCAATACACGACAAGTGGTTGACCTTCAGGTTGACCTCTGGTTGCCTCGGGATTACCCCTTCATGTCTGAAGCACAGGGACCATCCAAATCTCCTTCAATACGGCGACTGCCACGCCTCAAACTTTCAGGGAGTACGACCCAGTGCTCACAAAATGCTGATGCATTTCGAAAAGCATCACAGTACAGCGAAAGCGCTGACATAGCTGACACTGCTGTCCTTGACACTTTCAGCATCACTACTCCTCTCATACCTTGTGAATTGAAACCGTCCCTGCGTCGATTTATTCTCGTCAGTGCTTTTTGCTGCATTCTGCCTCTCGACTTCCTCCACTCCAGCCATGAATACTCCAATCGGATGTCTTCCACAAACCGTATTGCCCGTCTCACGTAGCACCCGCAGAAATTCTGAATGTTGGCCTGTCGCAATCGCACACATGCATGCTCGATCAGCATGTGCGATACTCTCAAATATCTGCGGACCAGATCTTGGGATTTTGGTGTTTGAGCGAAGTTCCTGACCTTGGCCGAGTGTAGGCGTCTTGTGGATGTCCTCGTTCACTGTTTCCTTTGCGGTGGTGAATTCCCCTCTCACCCCGTTGGGAAGCATTAGTGGTGACAAAGCCGGACTCGGAGCATCTGGTAGGTAATACGTGTAACCAAACCTGCTTCCCCAGTGACAGAAGTCGGAAGAGATGACGAAGGCACAGGTCTCATCGGCGATGTATGGGGCCAACAGCTTGCCTAATGCGGCTTCCGTGGCTGGGTTGGTGCCGCCGACCATGATCGGAACAAGAGGCGGGTAGGAAGACTCCGGTTGATCGGGATATAGCTTCTGGAGCAGTCGGTGGATATACGGGAGCTGCATTTCTGCACTGTGTTCAGCTTCGTCAACGGATTGAGACATGGTGGTGAATTTGATGGTCCGGCCTTGGACCTCCACCGATAGTTTGGAGAGCTCTCGAATGGTGTCATGATCGAGTGGAAGCGGAGTTTCGGACAGAGGTGTCTCATATGAATCTACGACAGGCAATGCCGCAGTGCTCAGGTGATGGTGATGAGATGGATGCAGAATGAAGATTCGCTTGGCTTTAGACAGGTCAAGACATTTGTAAGCCCAGGCGGCAGCAGGACCGGAATATGCATAGCCAGCATGAGGAGATATGACCACTCTGGCACCTGGTAAAGGCAGCTTCTCAACACCGGGAATGATGTCCTTTTCTGGGACTTTTGATAGCCACTGGTCAAGTTGAGTGCTCAGTTGTCGGCCGTTGCCTGAGTACCACGACCCCGCATGGGAAGCCTCTCTCACGGCCATAGCATTGACCGTCAGATATGAGTTTGAGGGAGGAAGGAAGTTGTATAGACCGACCAATACTTAGGTAGTCAGCAATCAGATCGCTGATCTTTTGAGAACTTGAGATGTAGATCTTATGCCTTTGAGATTTGATGTGATGCCTGGGGGTCAACAACCATGAAGTCAGTTGGTGTTTGCCGATAAGGATAAGCTTGCATTAGTTTCATGGTGGCTTTTAGCTTTTGGGCCGGATACAATGCCCCGCTTTCGCTTTCGGGTGACGCGGTTGCTCGCACGAGTAGCTGAACAAGGCGCGACGGTTTCAAGCTTACTTGTACGCCTGAGGCAGATTCTCTTTCATCACTGTTAGCAGCATCAATAGCTATATCGCAACCAACACCTCCTACAATCACGAGCGATCGACAGCATAGATATCGGCCTCTGCCAGTGCTAGCACCATCAGCCATTTCAATTCTAGTGGCGTTCCCCTTAACGCGTAACGCGAAACACGCACCGCCACACGCGTCGCACTTTAGTCCATTTCCCTCACTTGCAACACACGAGTACCTTCCAACTTGATTGACTCAGACCCTCAACACTGTACAACAATGGGACTCAAACGCAAAGCATCCGCTCTCGAAGAGCCCATCACAATCAACCAATTCACCAACAGAAGTCCCTTTGGAGCAGTTTCCAACACCACCTCTCCAACCAGCTCAACCACGAGCTCCATCTCCTCAGCCTCCCACGAATACTCCCAATACCGCGACACGTGGAACGCCGGCTTCGTGCCATATATGAACTCTCGCACAATGAAGAGATACCGTGACAATCGGCCCGATCCAGGCCAGATCCACGACCATACCCTGAAGAAGCTGTATGAAGCGCAGCGACTGCATCTCGACGAGGCGATGCCCATGTCTGAGGTTCTATCGGACGAAGCAGAAGAAGGACTGGGAGGACAGGAGCAGTCGATGTTCGACGACATCGACATGGCTGATACAGTTCCTCTCACTTATGCGTCGGGAATGGAACCCCTGAAGCAGAAGACACTGGAGAGCTTCTTCAGTGTTCGGCAGAGTGACGCTGCCAGTCACTCGTCTTTGCAGCGGACCACACTGCCTTCATGAATGCTTGCAATTGGGGACGAACTCTAAGGCTTGAGTAGCATACTCTCCTGACCAGATCCTCGATTTGCCCATCAGTGACGACCAAGGCACAAGGATATGGCGAGATCCTTGCTCTGCCCCAGGTCAAACGCCATCTGTCAATAGATCGAGCGAGAATCTCCTGGACACCCTCCGTGTACCACAAAACAAGGTCGGGATTCAGATCATTCCACCCCAACTAGTCCGCCAAGGAATAAGCCGAACCATCCGACGTGATGATGACATGTGGAATTTGAGATGGCTCACCGCAAGTACATATTTTTCATCACTCCTGTAAGAACGACAGGACTAGCAACGCCAGCACAAACGATGGGCCGCGGCTGTGGCCGCCAGGCGAATGTGGTCATGGAAACCTTGAACGTGTTTGACGATCCGCTTGAAGCGTCCATGACTCCCCAAGGAGAGGACCTTAAAGCATGGCCAGCCAGCCATCAAAGTTGCGGCTTGGGGAGGAGAATTGGATTCGGGCTGCCGTGGGAATACGTGCGTTGGTTTGAGAGATGGGATAGAGTATTCACTTTGAGGGTTTTTCGCAGTGGACGGATGATTGATGATGATCAATGAGCCGAAGAATTTGACAGGCACCGAGACGCAATCACCGTGTCAGTGGTCTCAGATCGAGATGGATGACTTTGTTTCGTGTTGTGTCAGTCCCATAGTTTGCGCAGCCGCGATTGACACTGTGAGATATTCGTGCTTCAACGCTGTTAGCCTCGTTTGAGCCCTGTGTAGCAGGCTTTAGTTGTTGGATTGGTGTGAAAAGACATCGCCACGTCTCTTCCTCGGGCTGTCAACGAGTTCCATCCTCCTCATGGCTTGCATCTACCTTTAGTCACTCGTGTACACCACGGGTAAATCTAGTGCTGAACGAGAACCAGATCATAGCATACTATAGCATATCATATGAAATGCTCATGTGTATCTGACTGTCTGCAGGAGTAAAGACTACCTGATCGGCGGTATGTACATGTGCAAAGCCAGCTAAGAATTGAGGGAAAGGGAAAACTTGAGGGGGGAGCGCAATTCAGCGCAAGCATGCAAAGTCCCCATCCATGCGATGCAGACCGAAGAATCTCATCTCGAATCACACTGGGCCTGCCCCGTTATTAGCTTTCTCCGAACCCCCTCATGTAAATAAAGCTCCCTGTCCAAAATCAACCAATCGAATCCTGACTCCCTTGAAAGACTTACTGAGTGGAGGTCCACGGTAACAGGTCGAATATCATGTTGCTGCGAAATATAGTACTTGTCAACACACCTTCTCGGCTGCACTGGCCGTGAAGCAAACGTGTGCCATAATAGTCGTCTGAAAAAAAATGGAAGAGAAGAAAAGAACGCCGTCGTAAAGCTGTAAGCCAACTGAACGCCCCATCGGTACAGCATTAGTGCGTAAAAAGGTATTGTCATGTGTCGTAATCGAAAACGCCGAAAGGCTAGGCAACGAGAATGGTTGATCCTTAGCGTCCTTGAATCATAGCAAGATCGACCGCCCTTTGTTTCTCTTCGCCCATGCCATGAAACTTGTCTGGTACAAGATAATGAGCAAAACCGCATGTTTGGGTCAAGACGCCAGTGATTCTCGATCATGTTTAACTTCCATCGGAAGAAAAAAGAGTAGACCACTACTTCCTAAAGCACACAGGCACATGTTGTGTCAGTTTCAAGGATGCTATCCATGACGATCGAGAAATCCCCTCAATTACTCTGACGATGATGATTGCGATGATGAAGTGGAAATGGAGCCTGATTCATCAACTTCGTGAGGGGCGGTTCGGATGCTTGCAGCAGTATCACGCGGTAGATTTCCCATTGCGGTTTCAACAAGTGCCATCACTCTTCGTTCATGGAATCTTGGCAGATTTTCGAGAGTCTTTTGTAAAGCACGAGTTTCCTGAACACATTTCTCCTTAGTTGCCCTCAGTTCACTGCACTTTCGAACCAAAGCATCAAGATTGTCTGCCGGATTTCCGGGTGCAGATTGCCGAGCTTCTGCAAGATGTCTTCTAGATAGATCCTCTTCTGCTGAAGCTCGATTAGACTGAGACATTATCATGCGGAGTCGCCGTCTCATGGATTCGAATTCGGCTGCTGAGTCTTGCTGTACTTGAGCGATGAGGCGTTTGGTTTCGGCAGGTAGATTTTCTGGTAGATGCACAGAAGTGAAACTAGGTCTGGAACTTGTGTATCCATGGCTTGAATATGCGTGACTCGGGATCGTGTTTCTCACATGGCGACGCACTCGATCTGGACGAGCACTCACAATGACTTCAATCTTATGATCGCCTTTGACTGCTTCTGGGGCATTGAGGTCCGCACCGTCGTCCCAGTTCTGGTCGGATACAGGAGGAACAACACTGTTCAGAGGTCGTCTCGCATCAATGGCTCGGCGGCATTTCATACATGTTTTGCTTTTGGCGTAGGTTTGGGAATTGACCCACGCAGAGAGGCATGTGGCATGCATTGCTGTATCACAGCAGCTGATAATGGCCATGAAGTTGTCAGGTTCAAAGTCCAATTGGCAGGCAGGGCACTCTCGTTTGTGCTCGACCAACGCATCGATGCTGTCCTGGGTCGCTCGGCTGAGGATCAGTTTAATTTGATTTGCATTTGGAATGGCTTTGGGTTTGGGCGCCTCGTTTGAAAGATATGGTAGTGGTGGAGGACGCAAATTGGCCGTCAAGTTCACAAGGCGTGACATCTCACGGGCGTCATATGTGTAAGAGCCTGCATCGGGACCTGGGCGAACATGAACGTGATATGGGGGGGTGTGAAACGCAGGATCAGGCATCTGCTGGAATGTTCCAAGAGCAAGTGGACGTAGACCACTCGTTATCGGAGTGATGTTGGGGACAGGTCGTGGAGGACCACCATTTGGGAGACTTGATGGTGCCTGGTAGAGTGGTTGACCCGTGGCGGTAGGCCCATGTTGAACTTGATATCGGATGGGGGGAGGTGGCCCAACAGCAAGTCGCATGTCTTGGACGAAGCCATTCCCAGACGACAGATACTCTAATGCGGCTTCCTCGTCCCAGTATTGAATTGGTGGAGTGGGAGACACAACATAGTGGCCAAAGTGGTTGGGGTTAGCCATGTAGGAAGTGGTCGAGTATTGGCGAGGACTGACTGTCGGAACTGGAGCATTTGTTGCACGGGTTGCTTCAGTGAAGCTGTGATTGCTAGAGTCTGAAAAATCCAATCTTCGACGCTTGAATTTCTGATCAGGAGTGGTTGGCTCTCTTTCAGATCGGTTTTGAGAGGTTGGGCTGTAGTCATCATATATAGGCGGGGATGAGCCGCCAGGGCTAAGATGATAGTCCATGATTTGAGATTCGACGGCAACTTACGTAGACGAACCGTCGACGATCGACGAGAGCGTTGCTCTTTATTAGCAACGGAACACCTCGATAGAGATAGAGACTTTGGAGCAGAGATAAGTCCCGAGTGCAGTGGGGGAGGAAGGTGGATGTAGTGGCGGGTCTTGGTACTGTAGGAAGTCAAGTTTAAGTTGATGCCAGTGGCGGGATATATGAAAGTGCTGGCTTGATTTCGACTGCCCAAAACATTGAGGCAGTCAATTGTGCATTCACTTCCAGACCATCAAAAGTGATGAGATGGAAAGGAATCATGGAGGGATTTCATGAAAAGCGTCGTGAAAGTAAGGTTGGGCTTAGGTCATGCGTGGTTGACCTGAAGGTGCTCAAACCGGAAGGTATGCTTGGTTGGACCGTGACTGTGAGGGTCGGAGAGGGTCACCTTGACCTTGCTTTGAATTCCGTGACCGGGTGACCGACACGACACGACACCGTGACTGTGACCTTGCTTGACGAGGTGGGAGCCGGATCAAGGTTATCCTGAGTTGGAAGGGCGTTTCGCCGTCGGACACCTCTCGGGATGGAGCAGGTGTTGGCCACTGGTAGCCTGTAAGAGGTGGACAGTGGGCGCCTGGGCAGCTGAGCGGCAAGCTAGTTAGGCAGTCGGAGGAAGCCTAGGAGGGGAGTGAGCCAGCGAGTCTAGGTGCGTGGCAGGTAAATAAATGGGCTTCATGCCTTGGAGCGGGGCTGAGGGGGCGAGGCGACGAGGGGAGCGAGCTGTAGCCCGTAGGCTTGAATGTCGGAAACTCAGGTGACACCTTCACTCCAAGCCGTGGTTAGAGCACCGCCAAATACAGGGGAGGGTTACATACAATAAAACTTGAACTGGCATCCGTCGGAAATAGAAAGAGGGGGAACTGGAATGTTGTGCACCGAGTCTTCGCACGGTGGAATTATTTCATCTTCAACCAAGTAATCTCGTAAAAGGAAAGACGAGTCCTATTCAGCCTGGTTGTTGCATGTCTCCTGCCTTCTCTAAGTACCTTGGGCTATGTCTAGGCGCCAGTAGCCACTGCACCTGGTCTATGAAGTCAAGGTATGAATCGGACACCGGTTGGTTGCCTTCTCTAACTTCGACGGCCCTGACGCAACGCCTCATGGACTTGCAAAGACGCTAAAAGACGGTTCCTCCCTCGATGATAATGACCTCTGATGATCGTGAAATCGCTACTCAGCACGGACTGGGGCGGGATCCAAGTCCCGGCCAAGCTGCCGCGATCTCCAGAGACAAGTTTGCCTTCAGATAAGATTCAAGGTGAATCGGTTTCCGTGCGTGCCTTGATGCACAAGCACCACAGCTTCTTTGTTTCGCTCGATGATTAGTGCTCTGACGCCGCGGGTTTTACGCCACCACATTGACTGTTCGTGTGGGTTCTTCATTTGTGCATACGGCACTTCAGGCTTTACAACTGCAACTTCATCATTTGAATAGACCAAGATTACAATACACTGCGGCCTCATCATCGTGCTGAAGAGCAAACCATCGCCACAGGATTCGCGAAGATAATTTGACACCAGACAGACCACCGAGACAGTCGAACATGGCCCCAGAATTGAAGGCCAGTAGCAGTGGTCCTTTATGCTCTGCTCAGTGCTCATGCTACTTAGTCTTTGTGCCTGTACTGTCTGTCAATTCAGTGGAAGTATGCGGAACAAAGAACGATAAACGTTGATCAAGTCACAATCTCCTGATGGTCAAAAATTGTGGTATCATCCCTTTCTACCATCCAAGTCGGCGAGGATTCCGAGTTATGACACGAGATCTTGATTCTTGAGGCATGTCGTTCCATGCGGTCCGGAACTGCAACCAGCGAGTTGGGGTCCTAATCTCCTGTTTCAAGGAGTTTCTCGAGTCCTCGGCTCGAGACCAGGTAGTGTTGACCTTCGCATTCCGTTACGCATACCAAGTAGTGTCTACCCTGTCCGATGTCGATAAATTGTAGTCCTTGAGAGGCTGACACAATGTTGCTAGTGTTGATAGCTTTCCGTTAGAAAGTCTGCCTTGCTGTAGCCTGGGAAGGCTAGTTCAAAGCCATGTGGTTTGTCAGAAACCTCAGGATCATCGACTTGATTTCGGTCCCTCCAGAAAGATCAATTCTGTTTGGAGGGGTTGTCCTTGATGCTAAGTTATGCAGGCATTCATCTGCAAGACCACCGCCGACATTCAGGATGAAAAAAAGGGGTCGATAGTGACATCGGCGAGCAGATCCGACGGTTCAGCCTTATGGTGGACACTTCCCCCGCACTTCACAGCCTTGCTGCCCTCAGTCAGCCTTGCCTCCAGTTTTCAAATGACACATAAATCTTCCCAAAGTCCGTGTCATTTCATTGATCGGATGGACGTCGACTGCGATACGGACCGGAGTCAACTCGTCAAGTATTAATCAGACACCTTCAACATCTCATCCCGACCCTCGGAACTTACTGAAGATACCGCAATTTCTGTGTACTATCCAAAATGATCTAGATTTCATCCATCTCCGCCTCCAGCAATAGAGCTATGATCTTACAAAGTTCGACGCCACCACTTTCCTCAGATTACATTCTCTTGTCACTCCTAATCTAAATGGGCTGGCTGGCTACTGGCTGCTGCACTCTAATCGCTGGTTATGTTCTATACAACTTTTACATTCGAGGCACCTCACACCGGCCCGTAATATCGTTACTCGGAGTTCACACTGCGCCCTCCCCTGTCCGCGCGAAAGAACCTGCACCCCCATTGTCAGCGCCACCAGTCGACCTCAACGCTCCTACAGTTGAGACAGACGAACCCAAAACAAGAGACGTTGTGCTGCCAGAGATATCTGTGGACATGAGAGGACAGAAACCCCCCAATGCTCCGCCTGCAATGGTAATCAGATCTTCGAGTCCATCTCGTCTGAAACCACCATCTTTTGGGGGCATGCCTGCACCACCTCGACCAGGAAATGGACTGATGCGTCCTCCACCTTCTGCTGCGGCTTCACTGAGAGTGCCTCCCCAGAAAGTACTGCCAAACACGTCGATGGCGCCAACCTCATCCATCATGCCACCCGGGAAACAGGTTTCACGAAAAGTCATCCTGGAGCCTGGCCACTCACCACTTGACTGGGCTGCGCTCACAGCCGATCCTAATGCACGACTACGTGGGAAGGACGTGCCAGATAACCTGATCAGAGTTACATCCGAGCAGCTCAAGAAACAGAATGGCAGAAAAGGCAAAGATGCATGGACTGTGTACAATGGCAAGGTGTACAATATTTCTCCATATGTTCCCTTCCATCCTGGTGGTGCTGGAGAGATCTTGCGAGGCGCAGGCAAAGACTCAGTCAAGTTGTTCATGGAGGTCCATCCTTGGGTCAATTGGGACGGCATGCTAAGCGAATGTCTTGTTGGAATCTTGGTCGGAAGTGAGGATGAAGCTTCCAGCAAGTCCAACAGTTTAGATGACATGGATTGAGTGTGTTCCATGCTTCAAAAGAGAAGTATACAAATGGGAGGATAAACTGGATATGATACCCCCTTTTGCTAGAACGATCTTACGATAGAATGATAGAGAGTGGGCTTCATTGAGGCTTGAGCCCCGGCAAATGATTGTATTCCAAAGGCATTTTCAAGTCGTCCGATTTGCTCCTTGATGATTGCCACCCTTTTTCTGTCTAGCCATGGATTTGTACATCCTGGAATCTCGCCTGCCATTCTTCCCAAAAGAGGCTTTTTTCTAGTCCCACGTTGTCTCATCTCATCTCGTCTCACTTGATCTCATCTCATCGTATCTGAACAGGATCACACCGAGGTCAAGCAAGCAAAGCACCGAAAGGACCCCAGAAAACGTGTTATTCTTGCGTTCGTTGCTGTATGCCACTCAAAGCTCATCCTTCTTGACACCCTTGATGCCCATCAACTCGGTCTCAAAGACCAACACACTATTCGGCGGGATCGGTCCCACCGACTGCTTGCCATAGGCTAACTCCGGAGGAATCGTCAACCGGCGCTTCTCGCCGATGCACATGTCGAGGAGGCCTTCATCCCACCTGCCAGAGATCAACCCAGTCAATAACTCCACGGTCCACACGCATAAGAAATAGGAATCTCAGAGGGAGGGATGGAAAGTAGTTGCAACAGCTAAGCCAGGGACGCGACGCAAATGCTCTGCTCAACTCACTCACCCCTTGATGACGCGCCCCGCGCCGAGCTGGAACGTCAACGGCGTGCCGCGCCCGAAGCTCGAGTCGAATTCCACGCCCGTGGTCTGCAGTGTGCCCGCGTAGTGCACGTCGATGGTGTCGCCCTTCTTGGTCTTGCGCTCGCATTCCACCGCCGGCGTCAGGTATTCGATCTCCAGGCCTTCGGCGGCGCTGAGCCCGGCGAGCGCCAGGGCGGCTGTGAGCAGGGTGTTGAGGAGTTTCATGCTTGTGGTTCGGAGGTTTCGTGGATCTGAAGGCAGGGTCGAGTAAGGTCGGTGTGGTTGTCGTTGGAATGTTCAAGATAAGATGTATTTTAGGACTGGAGGACAGTTTGGGTGTTGGGGTTGCAAGGTTGGAGGGTGAATGTGGGGGAGCTGGCGGAATGCCATACACCGCTGCGGTGTGGCTTCGGGAACGGCATTCCAAGGGTCCCAGGGGTCGTCGTCATCATCCACCTTCTGACCTTGGTGTCATCTTGACCTCTTCGTAGATGTTCCCTGAAATCATTGTGACACTAATAGGTGGTATTATTAGAGCTACGTGTGACGGAAAATTCACCATAAGATGAAAATTTAACTTGATGTTTGGTTTTTGATCAATTGTCCATGGCAAACTGAATGGCTAATCGACTCGCTATAGAAATGGGGTATCTCTCGCTCAATAATGACCAGGTATCTCGACTTCCGATCAGTTATTCAGTTCGTACTTAGCTGGAGAGCCAATGTGGCTGCCAACCCGACTGACTGAAGAAGCTCGCAATGAATTCTGCTGATGGACAAGGGGAAACAATAAAGAACTGAACAAGGAAATCGAGAAAGAAAAGAACAGTGAAGCATATTCTTGCCTTTCCCTCCAGGCATCGTGTCTGACACAGTCGACACATGCCTATGCGCACACTGAACTGATGAGACCACACTTTCCTCCCTTAGTGCATTGATGGTGATGACATCGTGGATAAAAACCTCCACTTGACTGTGTCACACATTGAAGGACACGTTTCGAGTTTGCCTAGGAGGCGAAGAATGATTGTGACCGCGCTCTTTCTGAGCTGCAGTTGAGCTGATAGATTTTTGATATATCTGATATTTTGGTGACATTGGATTTGGGGGCCTGCGCTTTTTCAAGCAGCAGTGAGATCGCAAGAGTCTTGTGTGAAATCTGAGGGCGTTTGAGAAACTGATGGATTGCGCTCTGTCAAGCTGCAGTGCGATTGGTATGGATTTTTGGGATTTCACGATGGTGCAGAGCTAGACGCGAAGATGGTGAGCTCCTGCTGATTGAAACATGCTGTGCTGGGAGTGAGAACTGACCGGTGATGGCTATGAAGAGGCTATGATAACCAATAGGAATGCCGACTTGCTGAAGATGACAGTCTTGTTGAGCATCTTCAACACGTTCGAATCGCGGATGACTCAGTTCCACTCATCTTCGAGATCGTATGCTTCGAATGCCTGACTGGGAGTCCTCAATGTCGAAGGGCGAAAGATGCGCTTGGGCCGAGGGGAAGCAACATATGGCTTGCGCAGAAGTTGAATCAGTGGAGGACTGTTCATGGGTCTTCCTGAAAGGTTCAATCTCAGCCAGTCAAACTGAGATACGCCAGGAGGTGGACCAGACGTCAGATCCGATTCAGCTCATCCTTAGTCAGGGCAGGCCGAGGCATTGAGGGCGATGCACCACCTGCACTGGCAGCGCTCTTTGTGATTTGCAGCTTCTGACTTGGCTTGAATGGTACTGCTATCTTCCGAGCGGTCTCCGTTGGAGCTGCGCCGTTGTTCTGTTTCAGACTTGATGAAGTTGCAGAAGCCTTAGCATGAGAACCATGTGCTCGGATAGTGCGACGTTCAGAGTTCTCCTTGTCAGACTCTGATCTGACGATCGCAAAGTCTTGTCGTCGACGCTTGGGTGAGGACTCATCATCATCAGCGTCCACCTCATCCTGGATAGCAGTCAGTTCCATTACTTCTGCCGCGTCGCTGGACGAGAACTCACAATTGAGCGTTTGGTAGCGCTGTCTTTCTTGGTGGCAATGCCTTTCTTGACTCGGCGCTGACCAGATGTTAGCGAGGAAGACTTGATGGTGGCGGGGGAGGTCACGGGAGCATTACTTACCTCCTCGGTATCAGTGGTAGAGGCGGCGGTAGCAGCTACGCGTGCTCTCGTCTTGTTCGACAGTGCTCTTCGCTCCCCCAGAGTTCTGCGGGGGACGGTAGGGCGACGAGGAGTAACGCCGTTGGCAGATCCTTGAATCATGGCATGTTTTTCAGGGGTTTTCTTCACCCAGTTCCTTAGCGCCTCGGCCTCCAAAGCTGCTTCATATGCTTTTGTCCAGAGCTGAATGCCCTGGTCACTGTTGGCTACCACTCCGGTGGGAAGGGTTGGTGCCGTTCCGTTGAGCTTGTTGATATGACGGACATAGTGTCCGAGTTCTTGCATTTTGGCCTGCTCAAGTGTTGTCTGGTTGGTGACCGCACCAGAGTAGGCTCTCGCCTCCTTGAGCGTGTATTTTCGTGACGTTGGGGCCATTGTGTTTCTCAGTTATGTGGGTGAAGATTGAAGATGAAAAGTGGGGGTTGTTGCAAGGCTGAGCAGATGATATTGTTGTCTGGGACTGATGAATTGCAGATGTTGAGGGAAGGCGGAAGAAGTAGAGAAGTTACTATGCTAAGCAGATGATGTTGTTTTCTGGGACTGAGCAATTGCTGATCTTGATGAATTGGACTGTTGGGTAGTGGGAAGGTAGAGGGTAGAGGAGAAAAGAAAGAAAGAAAAAGCGAAGAAGAGATGGAAAATATGTGCTGGGTGGAGGGTGGTGGGAGTTACTTAGGCAGCGTCGTCTTCACTTCACGTGCAGTACTGTCTTCATAGGCAGTGTTCTCCTCAGAGGCAGTTACTGTTGACGTTATTCAACTTCACTCGCTATTGAGAGCATATGTCACAGGCAGTGGGAACAATATCGACACGTGACGGTGAAGTCGACCGCAAGGTACTGCGAGGTGCAGTGGCGGCATCTACGTGAAGGACCTCAGGGCTCAGGAGGGCTTCGACAGGCAAGGCTTTACGAGGTACGAGGGTGGATGGCTTCATTGACGGCGGCGAATACACGGCAAGGACTAACGATCATGAACAGTGAGTGGGATTGAGATTTTTCTCCCATTGTTGACTATCTACAGGGGTTGGCTGGTCTTCCTAGTATCCCATCACCTCCATATCCACAAAAAATTTGCCAAAAGCCTGAGGTTCCAACACTGTCCACCCACTCCATCAACTCCACCCTTCAGTTCCCCAATGCCTTCTTGCGCCTGGCCAACTGGGCCTCCTTCTCCTTCTGCTTCCTCGCCCTCCTCTCTTCCGGGGACTCAGCTAACCCCGCCTCCCTGGCCTCCTTCTCAGCCTTCCCCTCGGCCATGAGCTTGTCCCAGGCCTCCTCGTCTGTGATTGCCGAAGTCCTCTCCAGCACGGGTTCATATACCACTTTGGGCATTTGAACTTTTCTGGTGATTGTCACCGCTTTGGATGACCTGTTCCCACTCGCCCCGGAAGTTTGCGGCCGGTGCCTCTCTGTTGTCTTGTAGGGGGCCGTCCTGATCGCCTGGACAGCCTTCATGCCAATTTCTTGGCTCGTTGTGAAGAGTGGCTTTTTGGTGACTCGGTTGGCACCCTTGAAAAAAGCCGATGGTTGTTTGCGGGCGGCTTTAGTGTTGTTTGCTGGTGTGGTGGCCGCCATTTCGAATTTGTTTTTTGTTTTTTGTTGTTGTTGTTGTTGTTGCTGGAACTGTTGCTGTTGCTGTTGCTGTTGCTGTTATCGCTGGTGGTGTTACTTGTGGTGTCGCTGGTGCTTTTTTGTGTTGAGGACGCTGCTGCTGTTACTCTTATTGTTGTTGGTGTGTTGGTGTGTTGGTGGTGAGTGTTGGTGTAGTAGAGAGTGCTGGTGGTTGAGTATGAAGTGTGTGTTGTGTTCAAGTGTACTGTTTGTTGATGAAAGATTGTGGGAAGAAAGAGCGAGAGAGCATCATTCTTATAGACTTGGGATCTGGGCTCTCTCGTCTCAAGGTTTGAAGAAACTCTTCTTTCTCATCCGTATGACTGTTCAAAGTATTCTACACAGACAAAAGGCGTCCTCAATGGGACCAAAGTGGAACAAAAAGACTCGGTTTCCTCCATGCCAGTCTTTGAATTACTTAATCGAGAACAATTTCGCTAGAAGGGGACACTCTACATGTATGAGTGACTCTTCAAAAATGTTCGGTCTCTACAGCTCATCGATCAAAGTAACGCTCGGTGGATTACCCCATCGTCGTCTGAGTTTTGACCAATCGACCAGGCATAGGCGAAGAACGACATGAGTCGTGGACGGTTTCCAGGCATTTTTCATCAAGCTCGAACATTTTGATCAGAGAATTGGAAGCTCGTATAGAATACTCAGGTCTCATTTGTTATTTACAAAGTATATGGATATCGATCTTGATTGGAGTACACATGCTGCACGAACGCCAACCACTGTAACGAGTTCGTGTTGGGATATTCTGACGAATCTGGCGAAAAGACAGGGCTCTCGTCGACAGGGGGGATCTTCTCACACCCAAGTGCGAGGCTTAACTGGCTGTGAAGGCTCTTTCATGCGGTTCCGCAAGGCTGAAGTTAAAGGAAGTAATGGAGACCCACATCATTACCAGCCAGGCCTCGAAAACGGTCTCGGTGGCGAATTCCGGCGAAGACCTCGATCAGGCGTCCAATGATTCACCACAATACTCCGCAAGGCTTCGTTCTCAGAATGAACCCCACTGCAGGAAACATCTTTGGCGAGCAATCTGCTACCATGGAGGAGACGCGAGGCCCTAGGTAGTTGTTTCCAGACCTCAAGTATCGACCACGAGGCGGTGAGACTGTACACAGTCCTATAATGAGACTCAAACAGATACTGGAACTATTACCTGCATAGAACCAGACAAAGATTTGCACATTTGCACATTTGAAGACCTCAACATGGAGGGGGTTGGACGTATGAAGTTACCCAATTAGGGTGTTCGATTAGGTATCCGATCGAAAAGCTTATTCGGACAGGAATTCCGAAGGTGACACTCCAAAACGGGCAAGTTCCATACCTGTCCAGGCAGGGCCGGTAGTACTTGCCAATCTTGCCAAATCATGTGACCCCGTGCTGCTAGCGTGCTTCCATGTTCTACGCGTCCCTGCTTGACGCGTTCCCAACCTTTCCTCGAAGCATGTGACAACAGAGATGCAATGGAGACAGTCCTTCTACAGGGACTGAATGTTGCTCAGAAGGCCGCTGTTACTTCAGAGGCTTCGGTTTTGCAAGTCCTCGCACCCCCTGGGTCCGGCAAAACAACAACCCTGACAGCTCGTGTGGGCCATCTCATCACCCACCATGGATACAACCCACAAAATGTCATCTGCTGCACCTTCACGGTCAAAGCAAGCAGAGAGATGCGTGAAAGACTCCGGGGTCTGATCGGGCCCGAACTTGAGACAAAATTGGTCATGGGTACTTTTCATTCCATATGCAGACGATTATTGGCCGTCTATGGTCACCTGATTGGAGTTCCAAAAGGCTTTGGCATTGCGGACAGCTCGGATAGCGCTAGCATCGTCAAGCGTATTATCAAGAGGTTGCACCTTAGCCTCGAACCAAGGGCGGCAAGGTCAAAAATCTCCTCCCAGAAGTCCAAGGGGAAAACCCCTGAAGATCTTAGGAAATCTCATCAGAAACAGGTAGAGAAGCAGGAGTTTGTCACCGTCTTTCAGGAGTATGAGAGCGATTTGGCTGCATCGCAACTATTGGATTATGATGATCTTCTCCTCCGTTGTGTGGACCTTCTGCGGGCATACCCTGCCTGCGTCTCCAATGTCGAAGCATTATTGATTGATGAATTTCAAGACACCAACATCGTCCAATTCGAATTAATGAAGCTTCTTGCTGCCAAGCACAAAAGAATAACCATCGTTGGCGATCCTGATCAAAGCATCTATGGTTTTCGTTCTGCAGAGATTGAGAACCTTCGGCGGATGAAAGCCACTTATCCGCATACAGTGGTCATCAATTTGGAAGAGAATTATCGTTCAGCATCGGCTATTCTCAAGCTTGCTCAGCAACTAATAGAGCAAGACAATGGCCGACCTCCAAAGAAATTGAAGGCTACTCGTTGTTATGGGACGAAACCTGTACTCCGGCGCCTTCCAAACCCGAACGAGGAAGCTCTATGGATTGCCAACGAGATCAAACGAATCAATATAATGACTGGCCCTCTTTTGGTCCACTCCGACTTTGCCATATTACTTCGCTCCGCTTATCTTTCATTGCTTATTGAAAAGGCTCTGACAAGCCAGGGCATACCATATCGCATGGTTGGGGGTCAGCGATTTTTCGATCGAGTAGAGATCAGGATTCTTATCGAGTACCTTCGCACCATTTCACATCCAGACAACAACCAATCCTTTCTAGCTATCATAAACAATCCTTCACGGAAGATCGGAGAGACTATCATCGCAGAAATGGTGCGGCTAGGTGAAGAACGAAAGATTTCCGTGTGGACGGTCGCACAAAAGGTCCTGGTAGGAGACATTGCTTTCGACAAAAGATTTCCGACAGCTGCCGAGCAAGCCTTAGCACGCCTAGTAGCCATGATCAAAAGTGCGAGACAAAAGGTGTCGACCACACTACCAGCAAATGTCCCAAGCATGTTGATTGATTTAGTTGTGAAATCAATTGGGTTTGAGGATTACCTGAAAACCAAGTATAAGGAGGATCACGAGGAACGACTAGAAAACGTCAAAGAGCTAATTACACATGCTTCGGAGGTTATCGTTGGTTCTACAGATGACCAGTCGTTACCAGTAATTGATGGTGTCGATCAAGAGCCCTTGGATGGGGGTCAAGAGGTTCTAGCGCAATTCTTGTCGAATATTGTTCTGTCAAGTGAGGTTGAGAAAGGTGACTCGGGCGACGAAAAGCCTCGTGTGACAATATCCACTATTCATTCCGCCAAGGGTCTTGAATGGCCAGTCGTCTTCATTCCAGCGCTGTATGAGGGCTCAATACCTCATTCACGAGCAGAGGACACAGACGAGGAACGCCGCTTGCTGTATGTCGCAATGACTCGAGCACAAGCTCTACTGACTATGACGTTTCCCATGGTCCAATCCCGGGAAGAGACTCCTTCAACACTTTCACAATTTCTCCCACCTGAACTTCATCGCCTTGTAGCTTCTACTGGTCCGATTTTCGGGGACAAGGTCATTGAGGATGTCGCCACCATCCTGCGAAGGCCTGTACCAAGCCAAGAAGACCTTGTCAAGAGTCTCGAAACAATGACCGCTGATGGTAGCCAGGTCGACAACCTATGGCCAGTTGATGGGAGCCGCAGGCCGTTCGCCATGCCATTTTCTGGAACGAAACTGGAGAGCGACTTTGCTAGGCCATTGGGCGAGGCACTGGCTGGTGGCTCAAAAACTCAACACTCCAAATACCCTGGTACGGGTAAGGGTGAGTTCTCGAGATCGCTCTCAAGTAATGGAGTATCAACAACTATGCGAGATGTCAGCACTTTCTCGACATCGAACATGACCATAGGATTTACTACGGCAAGCTATCAGATGAAGACTGCTCCCATCCCCGACTTGAAAAGATCATCTTCTGATCCTCTCTCGCCAAAGAAGAAATCTAAGCTCTCCAAATCATCATCAGGCAATGGTAATATAGCAACATTTTTCGCGAAGCCCGCGACTCAATCACCACTCCCAGTACCAATTGCATCCTTTGGGGCGCCGTCTCCCACCAAAGTAAGACCAGAACTAATTCGTCCAACGCCACCTAGACCTGTTCAGGCTACCTCGACGAACACTATTCCTGCTGAGTTATCCTTACATAGACTTCAGTACGGCAGTGGGGTGATAAACAATCGACCACTCGTCTCGAACGCCAGCAGCACTAACAAGGGACGTTATGGGCTAATATACAGCTCACCTCCACCAGAATCAGCCACTATCAGTGAGGTGAGCAATTCTGAGGGTACGCCGTCTGCTGAAAACAACGAAAACACGAGACAGTCGAACGAAAAGTTAACCTCGTCGAAAGAACAACCAACCAAATCCAGCACTGTCCCATTCAAGAACCATCTTCTCTCTCGTCCAGTCAACACCATGCACAGCACCACTATGTCCTCACTGGGCCAGGCCGGTGGATTTAATACCACATCTGGTTATGGGAAGAAGACACTAGGAGTACGGCGCCAGATGAATGGGTGGGAGGCTAGGAAAAACAAATGAAATGGGCAATCTGATAGACACGGCTGTACCTGTTCTTCTGATTTGGAACTGGTCTAGACCTTGGAAGGTATTTACGAAAGTATGATTATGGAGTTCGGGGGATCCAGCATAGACGTCCATGCCCGAGCCACCATTGGATCAAAACATCCATAACATTGGTATTGTCGACACCTCGGTAAGAGGACCTTGGTAGCTTACTCTTTTTTCAGGTTTAGTCTGAAGTCATTAGGGTCATTATAGGCAGTATGACAAAAGTTCAAACAGAGACGTGGTCCTGAGGCTCCCTCTCGAACCCGTCCTGCCGCAAGGAGATTTCATATTAAGATACACTGTCTATGTAGCCCTGCGATTGGCCCAACAACTCAAGTGTTGAGATGGTTTAAAATGGCTGCAGCAATCGAAGGCGGCACAGAGTACCTGTCGAATGTCGTGACTTTGCTGCAATCATGCTTTCGAATATATATCTCTAGAGTCAACACCTGGGTACTATATACCTTTGTGTCCTTGGTTTCTTTCACTGGCTACCCAAGGATTCACACAAGTCCAAGAGACCCGGTTCGTCAGAACCCTAAGATATCAAAGACGCTCCGATCTGGTACACAATATGGTTGGTAGTTTGTGCAGCAAGCCAATTGTATCATTGTCTCCAACGCTAGGACAAAGACTTTCTAGTTTGAGCAACGCTTAATCAGTTTAACGATGCAGACACCTAGCCGAGGTACAGCATAGATGGTCCCCGCCTAAGATTCTCTCCTGGGACGCCTATCGGAATATTTAGTGAAGGGGCATGGACAAAAGTGAGGCCGGGACCGAGGACTGACGTAGGCGATCAACAAGGAACCCACCAAGGCTCACTCAGGCTGTCGGTCAGTCTCACAAACCTGCGTTTCAGACAGTTCCTGATTGAAGTCTTCAACCAAAAGAGGGGTGACCTTTTCCTCGTAGTTCCCATTGAATATGCATACCTGATCACATCTCCTATCCCCTTGCGAGCACTTTCCACATACCTTCCAGGAAATTCTGAGCGATCCCTGCTGTCCATCATGGCAGAATCCCACCCAGTTGATGCCCCACTACAGGCACAAGATGCGCAATTAGAATCCGAGTCTGAAAATGAAGAACAAGTTCAAGATCAACAAGCAGATGCCGGCGAAGGCTCAACTACCTCCAAACCCAAGAAAAAAAAGAAGAAGTCCAAGAAGTCTAAAATCGTCAATGCGCTCACAGGCAAACAGGAGGACAAATCTTCTGAACCCGCCGAGAGTTCCACCTCCAAATCTGGTCCCAAGTTGGATGAGGCTACCATGAAGACATTGTTGGACGTGAACCCTGCACTGAAGGGTGAATTGGCCGGTCTACCACCTGAGAAAGCACAGGAAGTGTTGAAGAAGTTAAATGTGTCTGATCTTCTCACTGGTCTCACAATCAATGGCAAGAATCAGAAAGACATGGCTTCCTACAAGTTTTGGTCGACACAACCTGTGCTTCGCTTTGATGAAAAGCCCGACGCCGAGAAACCAGACGGTCCCATCAAGCCTGTTATTCCCGAATTGGTCCCCAAAGACGCTGCACCTCTCCCAGAGGGATATGAATGGGTGGAGATAGATTTGAACAATGAGGTCGAAGTCAAAGAAGTCTACAATCTTCTCTCCCAACACTACGTCGAGGACGATCATGCCATGTTCCGCTTCAACTATTCTGCTGTCTTTTTAGATTGGGCTTTGAAATCTCCTGAGTACAAGAAGAGCTGGCATATTGGTGTCCGTGCAAAGGGAGCCAGCCGAGTACTTGTGGCTACCATCTTCGGTATACCTATCAAGTTGAAGATACGTGAGAATGTCTTGGATGTTGTTGAAATCAACTTCATGTGTGTTCACAAAAAGTTGAGGTCGAAACGATTGGCACCTGTTCTCATCAAGGAAGTCACCAGGAGATGTCATTTGGTCGGTGTTTACCAAGCGATCTACACTGGTGGTGCGATCCTACCCACTCCAGTAGGAAGTGCTCGATATTATCATCGAAGTCTTGACTGGTTGAAACTGTACGAGGTTGGATTCTCTCCCTTACCACCAAACAGCACACAGGCGAAAATGGTCGTTCGAAATCAATTACCGACAACCACCAGCACGCCAGGACTTCGAGTCATGCAGGAAAAGGATATTGACGGCGTCCACGACCTTCTCACACGATATCTCCAACGGTTTGAACTTACGCAAGAGTTTTCCAAAGATGAAATCAAGCATTGGTTTCTCAACACCCAGAAACCTGAGGATCAAGTGGTCTGGTCATTTGTGGTTGAAGGAGAAGGTGGTAAGATCACGGATTTCGGTAGCTTCTACTGTTTGGAGAGCAGCGTCATTGGAGACATGAGCAAGAAACACCCCAACATCCGCGCCGCCTACCTCTACTACTACGCAACGGAACACGCCATGAATCCCAAGGAAAAAGGCTTGAAGGAGAGGCTGCTGGTACTGATCAATGATTTACTCATCGAGGCGAAGAAGGTAAGTCCACCCAAGAAGTTGGGGACGCGAGTTGCTACACGTTCTAACCGTTTCGATTTCACAGGCCAAATTCGACGTCTTCAATGCTCTAACCCTCCACGACAACCCGTTATTCCTGGAACAGTTGAAATTTGGCGCAGGAGACGGCTCGCTCCATCACTACCTGTACAATTGGCGCACGAAGCCCATCAACGCTGGGGTGGATGCGAAGAATCGGCCGGACGAGTCCAAGAGAGGTGGCATTGGCATCGTCCTCCTGTGAACAACAGCATGGATTCTAAGGATCAAAATAGGATGGTTATCCTGTGTGGTGCCTTACAGGCCAGAAAAGTGTTCGAGGTAAAATATGTCTGAGTGAACGGTTCCTCGCCTATTTTCAGGCCAAAAGACAAGAGGGAAAGAATGATTGAATGAAACGAAAATTCACGATTGCATGCATAGTGGTTGTATGAGTCCCAAAGACGTAGCGCCACAACGAGAAATGGCAAATTGCAGAGACAGGACAGAAGTATCTCACTTCGTCGAAGTCGCAATTCCAAGACTTGTTCCCAGTTTGAAAACTGAGTCACTTTTGTGTGAAAGGTAGAACGTGCCCAATACTTTCGGGTCGGTTGATATAGTATATCTACTAACGCCATCGCTATGCATTCCTGGAGCGGATGTTGATTTCGTACTGTACAAGAATATCCCCTCCGCGGGATGGTCTTCCAAAATGTCTCCCACCACACATTTTGCGACACGGAGACCGGCTGCATCGTACTCTGTTGCCTGAGTCCAGTCGTTGGCCGGAATGCGAACGGTGACCAGTGCCCAGCTAGAGCATGCTGGCATGCTCTCAAAGGCTCTGCGCACGGGCAGGCCCCAGGAGAGATTCGATGGCAGATAGAGCCGTGGCATCAGTCGGTCGAGGTAAGGAAAAGCCAACCCCGTCGGCCGGCATCTGAACTTCCAACACCTCAGACCACAACACCACAGCTTGTGTCCTCTATTTCCCCTGTCGCTGCTTGTGCCTCGGGCTCTTACTGCAGATGATGTAGACACGATTCTTGCGACGAACGGGCTAACGATTCGTCACTGCATTAGCATAACCAGAACGATATCTCAAGCACTTCTCAATTTGCGAGGAAAGGGGCAAAACATACCTTGCACCCATCACACAGTCTCTTGACCGACGACCGGGTCTTCATGCCCCGGACCTGTGTTATCTGACTGGACAGCGTCGACGTTGGAATCGCAGGCATCTGTGTGCGGAGACTCGTCGCGCGGCGGAATAGGGAGCTAAATGGAAGAGTCCGTGAGGGTAAAGATGTGCTGATGAAGCGTGTCTGCGGGAGGAGCGAGCGGAAGAACGTCAGGCGCCGCGAGAGCGCTGCGAGGGGGAGCATGGTTGCTGGAGACAAGCAAGAAACTGGTGGATTTGGATTTGGTTCAGAGTTGCAGTCTTAGACGCACAGAGAGAGAAAAGGGTTCTCAGGTAAGCCGGGATACCGGTAGATGAGCTGCGGTGCTCCGGTCGTCGTCTTGGATCTGGGGACGGGGTTGAGAAGAGCGTGCTTGGTTGGCAATCTGGTGATGGTCTGCAGGACTTTGTCGATTCCGAATCAGATGTCCACTTTACTTGAAGCTGCGGTGCCAAGATATGGAGCCTCGAAAGCAGCGTCAAATATTCCGTCCAAAGTTAGACTCAGAGCTAAGGCGGCAGCAGGATCCCGCAGCCTTGTGCTGATCCCCCTCTTTGAATCCCGAGCAAGGCTCTGCAGGTTCAGGGATAATTTTAAGTCGACCAATCTTCTTGATGCAAAGGTGTCGACTAGCAAAAGAAAGTAGGACTCGAATAACCGTAGGTACAGTTTTCATGAGTCAAAACGTCGCTATAAACTACGATATCGTACTGACAAAGAGAAAACCACCAACTCCATATTCTGAGATTTCTAGCTATGTCCAAGGAGAGATGCTAAACAAAATTTCGTGTGCTATGCTTGTATTCTTATATTCTCAATAAATGCTCTCTCACACCCTCGCAGATTCTAACGGCGTACTTTTCGGGTGTGAACGAATCCTCTTTTTCTAGTCCATATGCCAATGGGTTTGCATCCAGGAACCAAACACTGGGCTCGAAATCAAAAGTTCGATTGGTATAGTAAGGGAATAGGGTGTTCATTTTCTGGAGCACCCTCGACAGTGACTGCGTCTTTCGTGCCATCTTGGGATTCCGTGTGGCATGGAAATAAAGTGAGGTAAGGCATAGGGGAAGGCGTTGAGCCATGAAATCGTGCATGTAAAATATGATGTTTCGTTGGCCCAGGTATTTCAAGCATGGTCTTCGGGATTTACCTGGGGCTTGGGCTCTGTGGATGCGTTCAAAATACCGGGTTACCGTTGATGCGAGCATCTCGATCTTCAAGCCACGCTTGACGCCAGCCACAGAGTGAACGATAGAGCAACAACTTGGTGAAACAATGGTGTCGCCACTGCTCGTATCACTCCACCGTGATTGATGAAAAGATATGAGTTGTACTTCACGGATGATGTCATTGGCCACCACATCCACGGGTACGACGTCCAGGATGGATTCGTTCTTGCCATCAACCACTCTTAGGTAACCCATACCCATCAAAGCAACGAAACCAGCAACAGCCGCCTTGCTATCAATCCAACCTGGACAAGGATATCTCCAAGCACAAGAGATAATGCTGGGCCGGACAATGGTCAGAGGTAAATCCTTCTGTGAGAGGTAGATATGCTCAGCCAGACATTTGGTGAGGGTGTAGGTGTTTGGATAATGGGTTTGTTTTAGGATCGTTGCCTCATCGATCTTCCCGTCCAATATATCTTGATACAGAGCTGCCGGTGAGTATGGAAGGGGTGCCAGGGTGGCTGGGATTGGAGACTCAGTGAAAGGGGCGACATAAGAGGTTGAAGTAGTGACCATCGCCAGTAAGTTGAAGCATGATCTGGCAAGACTCATCAGATTGAGGGCACTGCCAACATTTGCAATAGCAGCATTAGCAAGTGGAAGGTCAAAGGCCACGCAAGCCGCACAGTTGATAATGTGCGTGACTTCTCTACATATCCTCTGCAGGGTTTCCGGGCTGAGACCACAGTTGGTTTGTGTTAAATCGCCTTGAACAACCTCGACTTTTTCTTGCCACTGAGAATGAAGCATACTAAAACATGGTGAAGAAGCGACTTCGGAATAGAACCGATCTTGTGCGCAGAGAGTATTTGATGGACGAAGGAGAACAATGATCTTCTGGAGATGGTAGTCCTCACGACGTCGGATGAGCTCCTCGAGGACCACTTTCCCAAGAAAGCCAGTGGTCCCAGTCAAGAAGATAGTTGATGGCTGAGGTGTGAACATGTTTAGTATTTCTCGTCTTGTCAATGGCATTCACTGGTATATGTTGAATATTGCTTCCGTGGCTTTTAGTATGTGCTTCGAGGGATGTAAGGTCTGTATTCGTTCTGCTTCGAATGGACTTCTGATCAAAGAAAGAGAGAGACGAGATGTATTTCAAATGATCTCTGCAAGTGTGTGGTGCACTAGAGGTCTGATCGAATAAAGGAGCTGAACTCTCCCAAACTGTTGTCAAGTACCGATAGATACGTGCAAGAGAGGAGCACATCCACTTTCAACAAAGAAAAGACGAGAAGCAAAACTGATATGTTCGATTACTCGAGCTGGAAAAGAGTTACAAGGAGCCAGCCAAGAATATCATGTCAATATTGATATTCAACAAAGAAACAGAACTTACACAGTGTAGGTAGGCCATGATATCCCATGGCGGGCACATGTGGCTTGGTGGTTGCTGTAAGTCAACGACCCAAAATACCTACTCAAGATAGGGCTGCACGGACAAGAACTTACACTGCCATACGTTGAAACTGGGGATGAGGCTGAGGAGATCCATCTTGGACAGCGAAAGCATAGGCCAGAAGTCAACCATACAAGTGAGCTCGCCATCTCGGTCTGGACTTGCCCGCTACTACTCGCAGTGAATGATTGGACGTAGAGTCCAATTCAATGCCAGACAAAGATAGGACTTTCCAAGTTGGAACCTACAGAACAGAAGGATGGAAGTACGGTCAACAAATTAGGAGACCACAAGAAGTCACAGACGGCAGCCACCTACCTAGGTAGCCAATTTGGGGTCTGGATGCCGACAGATTTAGGCAAGTGGTAGGGATCATACCAATCAACCGAGCGCTAAAGGAAGCTGAGGAATTACGCATGCTCGGGCTTGCCGCCACCTGACAGCTTTGAGCGAACAACAAGCCTCGCTGGGTCAGCTCAATCCATCAACGCCCAGAGACAAAGAATCTCCGGTTGTTATTCAGTATAATTGGATTCGTCATGGTATTTTAGTCGCCCAAGTTGGGACTAGGTTATCAAGATCAGAGTTTCCATATTCATGACATGTATCTGCGGCTGTAAGCACTTCCGACGTGTCGACACCCAGCCTGTGTTCAAACGAATGGTGAGTCATGTGCAATCTGGAACAAAGAAGCTTGAAAAGGTTCCTTATGGCGACCGTCAGAGTTCCCGGCTACGGTCTGCCCGAGGATGGGCGCGAGAGACCAGGTCTTTTACCATGTCGACCATCCCTACGCTTCAAGTGTCTTACAAGAGATCAGTATTGGGATGTGTGCCTAAGGGTCGAAGACACTCATGAACTCGACAGTCCACTTGTTGCTCCGATCCATCGTTTTCACATGCTTTGTTGGTGTCATTTGATGTATGCGTGCTCTTTTGAACACCCTCGCACTCTATCGTTTCTTTGTTCTTCAATTCGCACCCTGGATGCCATGGAACACCCACCGTCGGTTTCCATTTTCTGATGGAAACCTCGAGTGTGATCTGAATGACCCCATCTCCCTGCTTCGTACCTATCGGGAAGTCTACAACCTTTGAACTTGAACAAAGAAAATGTAAGTTGAGGAATCATGGATAGAGTACTTCGATCGAAGACCGCAGATGAGCCCAAGAGTTCCACGGTTCAAGTATGGGTGAAGCGTATTCTATATATTCTCCTCTCGAGCCATACATTGGCCACAAGATATCTTCGCCATAGTCAACGAGAATATTCACCTCACCTCACTGAACAGTGAACATGAATGGTGTATACTTCAACAGCACCAACCCACCGCCACCGGGGCTAGCCTACGGGCCAAGTGCAGCATGCACGTTGGAGACATGCAGTTTGGTATGGTCCGTCCTGGGATACCGACCGTCTCTCCCAGCCAATGCATTGTTCATGACCCTATTCACCGTCGCATTGCTGGTCCACGCCTACCAAGGCTGGCGATACAAGACGTGGTTCTTCGCCGAGGCCGTCATATCCGGCTGCATCTGCGAGATCATCGGCTACGGCGGGAGGCTGATCCTGTACCACAGTCCATTCAACTTCAAAGGCTTCATCGTGCAGATTGGTTAGCAGACGCGATATCATCCATACCTCAAATCCTAGACTTCTGTTTACCCAACCTCCACAGCTAACCATCTTCCAACAATGACAGTGACAATCACACTCGGCCCAGCATTCATCAGCGGCGCGATCTACGTGCTCCTCAGCCAGGTCATCCAGCACCTGTCCACGACATGCTCACGCTTCTCACCGCGCGTCTTCTACCTCCTCTTCATCCCCTGCGACCTGGTCTCGCTGATCCTGCAAGCCGCAGGGGGCGCCGTGTCGAGCGTATCCGTCGGGCAAAACCCCGTCGGCATCGCATGCACGCTCGCCGGCCTGGCCTTCCAGGTCTTCACACTGACGCTATTCATCGCCCTGTCGCTCGACTATGCACTACGGTACGCGCGATTTCGCAATACGACCATCGTCAAGCCCTCAACGAAGCAGCAGGAGGAAAGTCTCGAAAGCAACAGTGAACACTCCAATGCCGGAACGGCAACGAGAGAGATGGACACAGACCCCCTCACCCGGCGATTCAAAGTCTTCGTCCTCCTCCTCGCACTCGCCGTGCTCTGTATCCTCGTGCGGTGCTGTTACCGCATCGCCGAGCTGAAGGACGGATACCAGGGGTTGTTATTCCACGATGAAGCGACGTTCATCGGGCTCGAGAGCTTGTATGTATTGGCATCCCCGCTCTAGATATAGTACAATTCTCCCTCCCTCTCCGTCTCAGGGCTAGGGAAAAGACCATCGACATTGCTCGGGCTAAACTTTTGACAGCATGATCCTAATCGCCACTATATCGCTGAATTTCGCCCAGCCGGGCCCTGGCTTATCTCACGCTGTATGGGGATGATGGGTTGATAACGCCAATTCATGAGGTCCAGATTGAGGGCTGAGTCAGCCGCTGCAGTCACACTCATGGCAATACAGTGGGAACAATGTAGCAAGCAATCAGCGAGGATGCTATCGAGTGGTTGCGAGGATCATTCCAGTCACGGTGCTCGGCGGGACAAAATAGGTAGACATGCTTGAGTTCAACTGGTTAACCAATAAGTGAATGGATTTCAACTCGACTAATCCACTGTATGCTATTCAATGAATGTAAGACTATTAAAGTCGCGAGTGCACAACACATATATGTGCCTGATTTATGCTAGCCTTCCCTGCCCCCTTGCTGTCATATAAAGCTACTGGCAGGCCTGTGAGACTGGTCGAAAGACTAGCCACCGAGAATCGTGATTCTGGCGAGAAATCCTGTGGTTTGTCGAACGATAAAACGCATGTGTAGAATGAATGGACGCTGACTCGGCCCGTCGTATATTGGCGAGGTCGCAGGAGGCAATGTTGCTCCGAAAGAAAAAAGAAATGGTAAACTCAATCTCGTACCCTCGCCCGGCAACAGCTAACTGTGGATGTCGTGGTGCGAACCACTGATCCACAAAGAAGTACTGTGGCTGCCACGTACCAGACACCTTCTGCATTTAGGAATCACTGAACCGTGATGCAAGACTCCAATTGAAGAGGACAATACGCCCGGAGAAACTCGTAGTTCAGAACTGTGAATCTCGCAAACTTGTGGTGGACATGGTTGGTGGGTGCCGAAATGGCGAAGACTGTCTCGTCAGACGGTACAGTTGTATCACCCTGAGGATCGGTTACACCCAGATGGGTCGAGATCATCAAATGCCTATTGAGATCATGGGATTGTTCAAGAAAGTCACAAGCCGTGTCAAGGCTGCGACGGACCATATCGATCATGGGACGAAGAGTCGACCTTTTCCACGAGCTGCTCCACGTTCGACACCACGGGCGGCGCCCCGTGAATGATTACCTCCGCGTCCACGGTATCCCGAGCCACGACTGTTGTTGTTGTTGGTCTGGTTGTGGGTGCCAACATTAACCAGGGGAGTACTGCCGCGTCCAAAACTGCCTCTATCAAAGGAGTCTGGATCAATCTCCTCAATGGGAATCTGAGGTTTGAGTGGTCCGGCAGACTGGTTCGGAGTGCTGAAAGAGGTGCGCGGTGATCGAGTGTCTCTACCCCTTCCTCGGGCTCTGCCTGGGGCAGGATTTCTGGGAGTTGTGTTGGTTTGAACGGTAGCGAGGCGCTTCCCTCGAGGTTTGAACACAACCTCTTCTTCTTCCTCTTCGCTTTCCACATCGTCATAGCTAAATAAAGTCTTGGACTCCAGACGCGGGGAAGGTTTAGGGGTTTCTTTCTTCACTTTGTCTTCACGCTTCACGTCCTTGTTGGTTTCGACTGGTTCTTCCAGGCCCAAAGCACTTCTCAATTGATGAATGTTCTTCGTAGGAACTCCAAAGTCACGAGCAAGGTGGATGGTGTCGGCAGAATTTGTGAGAAGGAAGAAGTGGCCACCGGCAGCAGCCTTGTTTTCATGCATGTACCAAACAACGGGATTGAGTAACGGTTTGAGAGAAGGTGGGACGGGTGCTTGATCGGGCCTAACCATACTTGCAGACTTGACTTCCGGGCTTGTCTTCGAGCTCTGAGGGCCAGAGGAGGAAGGTGACAACGGAGGAGTGGAAGTAGGAGAGGCAACGTTTGGATGCTTTGCAAAGTTGAGTTTGTCGAGCAACAATTGAGAGAGAGTGCCGCCGGCAGTAGTATTTTCTTTCAATTGTAGCTCGGCGTCCTTTTGTTGGACTGCCTTTGTAGCGCAGATGGAGTCATGTTCAACAGTACCATTGGTCTTCAGATTATCACTGATGTAGTGCGCCTCGACTTCGGCCCAGGTCGGATATTGATCGTCGGGACCTTGTAGGATCACAGGTTCATGAGGCAAATCACCGGGGGATGAGGTGGTTTTGTCGAGAAACTTAACGGCCTTACGGGCATTTTGACCGATTTGGGAAGAGTCTTTCTTCAGAACATGTAGTCGTTCGAGGGCTGAGGTCAAGGGCGGGAAGGTTAGCTAGGGCTGAGAGGGGGAGATTGGAGATTGAAGTGACGAGGTCATACTGTAGAGGGGAATCACGAGTATGAGGGCGCCCTGCGCGACCCATGATTCAATCTCGGCGATGTTTCTGGTCAAGATGGTGTCATCAACCAGACATCGAATGGCTGGTTGTGGCGACATGGTCGGTCGCATAACAGTTCAGGCTGTATTTCTTGGGAGTGGAGAGGTTTGTTGAATGAAAGCTTCTGGAGATTCTAGAGACTCATGTGCGCGAACAAGAGATTGCGCGAGGTCTAAGAGGCGTGACTGGAGAAGTTGGTGACATGTCAGCATGCGCGACTCACAAAGAACCAGAGACAGAGGCAGTGAAAGCAAGTGAAATCGTGTGCAGTGACGTGAAGTGAAGCAAAAGCAAAGCACAGTCAGTTCGCCGTACCCGAGTTGTTTGAATCGGTACACGGACGCAGGATAGTGAGCATTTTCGCTAGGCCGAGTATTGGCTCCAGACCGGGCTATGGATGAGAGGCAACATTGACGGTGAGTTTGAAAGAAATCATGGAAAAAGATGAGTCTTGTCCCGCATGTGCAACGTGATAAGAAGATGTGAGGTAAAGTTCAAGTTTGGTTGTGTGCGGGTGGGATGGTGGAGGCAGTGAGTAACAACTTTGAAGCGCAGGTGCAGTGGAGGTGCCACAGTTCAAGTTGGTGCAGGTGCGGGCGTAGCATTCACGGATGAGAGGCTGGTAGAGGTTGGAGGGGGCATGCCCAACTCACAGCCTGAGGCCTAAACTTACGGGTGCAGAGCGCCCAGGGAGAGGTGACGGTCATTCGGACTTGGAGACCAAACAAAAAGGCGGGCAGGGACGGGGCAGCCCTCGTACGAAAAGGATGGGCAGGGGTCTGGCTGAGGTGGCGGATTGGGCAGTCCCTCCAATTTCATCATCCGAGTCATGTTCGTGCCTTCCCCAGTACGGAGGCTTCATCCTGCCGTTCACGGCTAGCTGCTGCAATGGTACGGAGAATCGTGGAAGTTCGCCGGTGGTCCTCATTATTCATTCTCTCAGTACGAGGTATTGGACTGCAGTGACATTGAATTGGCTGATGCTTCCGACTTCCGCCTTCCATGCTTCCATGCTTTAAATCCAACATCTATCACTACCCAAACTCCACACAACCTTGAGAAAATCAATCGCCATCTCTCAAAACACTGTCAAACAACTGATAGTGTCGTTTTTGAGAACTTCGAAAAGCAATCCTGGAAACCCGAATAGCTCTGTGTTGTTCAACCCACCAGCGCCATCTAACATGCCCCTGTCATCACCCGTGTCTGGAGCACTGACTTCCTCAAAGTCCCCTAGAAGCTCGATCGAACTCTCTGGACTCTCTGCCCACCCTCGGTTCAACACCATTCCCCGTTGCATTTGTCTCTCCTGCTCCGCATCCTGGTACGTCTCGTGCCAAACTTCACGAAGGGCAGTAGATATCTCGGGAAATCCCATTTCTGATGTCAAACTTACCCCTCGGTTTTCACCACTTGTTTTGATCACCCACCGACTTCTCCTATGTCGATTGAACGAAAACGACCCTGGAATATTGCCATGAAGAAATACCTTGCTGACTACCAGCTGAGAGCTCGATGATATAGGCAACTCGACATTGGCGGATCCGGGAAATGGTGGTGATTTAGTCTGAGGTAGAGATATTAATATGTCGAGTCCGTGGTGGAAATAGTTGTAGAAACATTCATCGCTTCGATCCTCCACTCGACCTTCTTGTGCCTCTGTGTCCATATCGGAATCCTCGGTGTAGCTTTGGATCGATGATTGATCGGTATCCAAGGACTGCGGATCGAGACCTGGAGAAATACTCGGCCTCCGCCTGTTGGTGGTATTGCCAGTCGCGTGAATCGAGATCCGTCTGTCATGCTTGCGATAAATCGCATCGGGCGGACCCAATTCTGCCACTAGATCTTGCGGTGTGGTCTCGTTCAGTACCATTGTAAAGGCCGAAGTGCTTCTTCGTACAAATTCTAGTCGGCCTGCACCAAACACTCTGACTTCCTCAACCTCATCAGGGACGGTTTCGATGGATTTCGCCGAGAGAGCAGGAGAGCGAGGCAGAGTTGGAGTCTTTGTATACAGATTCGACCGTGTCTCTGTCCAAGAATTGCCCGAGAATATCGCCATGGAGGTAGCAGGACCAGTAGCAGTTGAAGACAGAATAGAGACAAAGTCGATTTTGTCGGACCATGATTTATGCTTGATTGGGAATGTAAATGCTATACCAGGATATGAAAGAACATAGGTGCCGTTCGATTGGCCTGAAACTGGCGGAAGATACTCTCCTGCGTACGTGGGTCCAAACAGTCGATTGTAGATGTGTTTGAATGTTGGTCCACTGATTGGAATCTCGTTCTGTTGAGTCTCATCCGAGGGCTTGTTGCGGCGAATAAGATCGATGTTTTTGTAGGCAACTCCGATCAATGGGAAGTCGAGTATCTCGATCAACCGAAGCCGCTGATCTGGCCCATCGAATCGCAATCTCAAGCCATTGTGAGCAAGACTAACAATGATAGGATTGGTGATTGGGGCAGAGGGCGTATATGCTATATCAAGTCCAGGAAACTGCTCTGGCGACGCCTTTAGCCTCGAGACAATGCTATGAAGTGATGACCCCAAATCTATTGAGCTCCTGTCAGCCGTGGTCAAGTCAACGTAACGAAAGCCTCACTGATCCATCCTAGTCCCCTCTCTGGTTGAATTTGGAGTGGCATTGCAGGCCGGGAATGTGCATCGACCATGCTGCATTTGATTCTGGTCTACCATGAAGAGGCAATACGACGGCTCGTAAGACTCTGATGAGTACAGATGCAAGTCAAGAGCATCCCACATGACTGACAAGAGTCACAAGGGATGATGTAGTCTGGGTCAGCCAATCAGAGCCGTATTGAATTTGGCGCTTATGGCCTCGATGACCCGCCGTACCATATCCATCGGCATTTCTTGGCATTGTTTACTTCCGTCTGTTTTGGGCACATCCGATCCATCTCCGCAGCCACATACCCTGCTGCATATGGACAACCCTGGCATTAAACTTCTTAGACATCTCACCCACGAGCGCAGTTGACTGCTTTCTCTAGATACTTCATATCTCAACCACAAACCAAATAAATTCTGTGCGACCTCCCACCATGGCTAGCTGGCAACGCGCCACCGCTTCCTCCGGGCGCAATTCAATGCGCCCGCCTCCGAGACCGACCCACAGTCATCATGGCTCTATGACGGGTCGCGCACCCTCTCCAGCGCTATCCACCACTTCAGTTGCCACAGTCAGCGCAGGAACAAAAAGGAAAGAACGAGAATACGAACAGGATCATGGCGAAGAGACCAACATCAATGTCGTTGTTAGATGCCGTGGGCGTAGTGATCGAGAAGTACGGGAGAACAGCGGTGTGGTTGTGTCTACAAATGGTGTCAAAGGACAAACTGTCGAGTTATCAATGGGACCAAATGCTATCAATAATAAGACCTACCACTTCGACAGGGTTTTCTCACCAGCGGCAGACCAAGCCATCATCTTTGAAGATGTGGTTGCACCAACGCTTACCGAAATGCTCTCCGGATACAATTGCACCATTTTCGCCTATGGACAGACTGGTACTGGAAAGACATACACCATGTCTGGAGACATGACTGATACTCTCGGTCTGCTTTCGGATGCGGCAGGAATCATCCCTCGGGTTCTATATTCGTTGTTTCAAAAACTGGAATCAGACGAAATCGAATGTTCGGTGAAATGTTCATTTATTGAGCTTTACAATGAGGAGTTACGGGATCTACTATCTGTCGATGACTCAGTCAAGCTGAAGATTTATGATGACACAAGCAGAAAAAATCATATCGCGACTACCGTGCAAGGCATGGAAGAGTCTCACATTAAATCCGCTGCAGCCGGTATCAAACTTCTGCAGGCGGGCAGCCATCGGCGCCAAGTTGCGGCTACAAAATGCAACGATCTCAGTTCGCGAAGCCACACCGTCTTTACAATCACCACACATTTAAAGAAAGTCAACGAGGCAGGCGAAGACTACATCTGCTCTGGAAAACTGAATCTGGTCGACCTGGCGGGTAGCGAAAACATTCAACGTAGTGGTGCCGAAAACAAGAGAGCTGCCGAAGCCGGGCTGATCAATAAAAGTTTACTGACTCTTGGCCGTGTGATTAACGCTCTAGTCGACCGGAGCTCACATATCCCATATCGCGAGTCCAAACTGACGAGGTTATTGCAAGATTCTCTTGGTGGGAGGACCAAAACATGCATCATCGCCACAGTCTCTCCAGCTAAAAGCAATCTTGAGGAAACGATCTCTACACTTGACTATGCTTTCCGAGCGAAAAACATCCGGAACAAACCACAGGTCAATTCTTTGATCTCCAAGAAGACACTCTTGAGAGAATATACAACGGAGATTGAGAAATTGAAGAGCGAGTTGATCGCCACACGACAGCGAAATGGTGTCTATCTCACAAACGAGCAATATGAAGAGATCACAGTAGAGAGCGAATCTCGCAGAATCCTCAGTGATGAACAGAAAGCGAGAATCGAAACCATGGAGGTCAGCCTTCGAAACAAGGTCCAGGAACTGTTCAGTCTTACGAATAATTTCACTTTGCTGAGAAGAGACACTGAATCGACACGAACAACTTTGGAAAGTACCAAGGACGTCCTTATCAAGACAGAGGCTGTGCTCGCCAATACAAGGGACCTATTGGCAGATGAGCATGCTCTCCGTGAGGCTCATCAAGCTACGGAGGAAGAGCTCTTTGGTCAAGGGACTGAATTGGTCTCCACCATTAGCCAATCACTGAGTGACATCAACGGACTGCAGGCAAAACTACGGCGCCGCTCAGACCTTCACACTCAAAATCGTGAGACTTGGAAGACTTCTGCTGGTTTGGTAACCGACGTTTCTGGCATGATCGATGCTCGTATCGAACACTTCCAGGCTTCTCACGCGCATATAATTACTACTAGCTCTAGTTTCATCGAAAAATTCTTGTCGTCAGAGACAGCGCGACTTGAGACATCAGCTGATGTCATGCTCACCAAGATTTCTCAACTAGAACAGAACAGCCAGAGTTTTCAGAGTCAGTCAGGTGATGATCGAGATGCAATGAACAATGTTCTCGAAGAAATCAAAGACCTTCGCGAAGAGGTCAAAGAAAAGGTGAGTGAGGGATTGCAAGGCCTTTCTGCTGCAGCGGCAAAAATATCAGCAGAGGTCATCTCAGAGCTGGATCAATTTCATGCTCAGCTTCATACATCGTACAGCGGCTTGGGCAAAGACTTCAAGAACTTGTTCGATGATTTGACCCAACAACTAGCAGCACAGCGTCGTGAGGCTGATGAGCTGAGATCGGCACTCGAGGCATCCAACCGAGCAAATCTTGAGGCAACATTGACAGCATCCTCACAATTGCAAACAGTCTTGGAAGAAGAGAGAAAGAACTCGATAGAAGAACGAGAGAAATTGAAGGATCAGATCTTCAAACTATTGGATTCGTCAGCAGCTCAACAGCAAGAAAGACTATCTGACAGGTTGATTAATACTCAAACCAGTCTGGTTGGCGCTAGCGAGAGCTTTGAAACTGCGGACAAGGCTTACAAAGAAGGCATGGATCAGTGGAGCGCCCGGGATGCAGAGTTGATGGCCACAGTTGTCAGGTCGAAGGATGAATTGAAAAACAAGATGAAGGGAGACTGGACGGTAAGCTTTCTTACGCATCAGCACTATGCAGCATTAACTAATCACTCACAGGCTATCAATTCTCGAAACACGGCGATTCAAAAGTCTACCAAAGCTGTACACGAAGAAACAGTCAAAATTGTTGATGCTCAGCTTGCAGACATGGCAACTCAGATGGCTGCTCTTGACGAGTTTGTGACAAGGGCACGATCTCAAAATGACAATCATCACGCTGCACGGGTTGTCAGCTTGAAACATCTAGCCACGAGTGCACAAGATGGGCTCTCTCTTGCCATTAAAGATTCAGATGAAAGCAAAATAACATTTGCCGAACTTGGTATCAGCCATGCAGCACAAATGACCGAGATTGAGCAGCTGGTGAACACGCTTCAGGACGAAACCCGGGAGCCCTTGCAAGGGCTCAAGGCAGATATTTCAGAATACACCATGGTGGATTATATCCCAACTGGACAAACACCACAAAAACGAGACTGGACATACCCTACTCAACTTTCACGAACAGAGAATCACGAATCTCTCATTGCAAGACGCCGAGGACTGCCGGACCCTAACATGGCCATGGCCAAGACACCTGGAAAGTCACCTCGAAAACCGCAAGTCTCACCTCGAAAGGGGCATTCTTCACCTATCAAAGGCCCAAGCCCAAGCAAGACAAAAGTTTTCACGGATGTCATGAAGCCGGAGAAGAGTCACTTCTCCAAATCATTTCATGACCACGGCCACACAATCTCCATCCCAATCGACCAGATGAAATCCAGCTTGAAGGAGATCGACATCAACGTGGTGCCACGACCGACTTCATCATCAGCATCAGCAATGGGTGACGACCGACCGGTGCTGATCGACTTCAGCAAAAGCATCGGCAGCGGGAGTGTTGGAGCTAACGGCGCACCTCCATTGAAGAGACACGCAACAACCAACGCCGTCGTCGAGAGCAAATTACCTATGAAGCTGGCAAGAGCCAAGAGTAGCGTCGCCGCCATGGCTGCAGGAAGCGGTGTGGAAAATTTCAGCCAGAGCGTTGGTCCACCACCCGTGCTCGCGTCTGGGAGACGTTTGAGGAGTAGTCCTCCTGAATAAGTGTAAGGGCTGCGGATAGCCAGATAGAGTCAGGTCAGACTGGAAAGAAGTTTTCCTTTTTCATGTTACTACACCAGGAAAGTAATTCGGTTGTTTTTGTTTGCCTCAGAATGAACTAGTCAGCCCTGCAGCGTTGGTGTTGGCGGAGTCAGGTCATCGGGAGGGCTAGTGATTGTTGGACTTGGCCTTTGTTTCGTCCTCGTTGGACATCGATTCACTTCATGGATAAGAATTGGATCGATCAGGAGGCAAAGGCTATGTACCGGTCTGTGGGGCTTCTAGATGAGTCCATTTTCCTTCCCTTCGTATCGGCTCTCATCGTTTTCGCCGAACAGCATTATACCCCCGAGAGTTATGCACAGAACAGATAGATAGTACATGGATAATCAGAGTGATGATCTTGCCTGTGAAATGTCAAGCCCGACCCCTTTAGTTCATGCTAGTAGTGATACAGGCAGTCCCCCGTTAGTCAAATCACCCTTCACCTTGCACTCCTCCACTAAATTCCCAAGTCCCTGAAACATTAGTATCGAGCATCGGAAGATGTCCCTTCAAAGACTCTACTGCGTCATGGTCAAATGGTCTAAAGTGGTCAGTTGGTGGGCCTCTCAGGAGAAGATGACTAGGATGACTGAAATAGTAGATCAGTCTGTATCCTGCCTTCAATGTGCACTACATAGGAGGTGTTTAGAATGGGAGGTTTACCCAGACGATTTGTCTGGCTGTTTTTTGGTTGGTTAGTAGGTAAAAAGGGTTGTAGTTTCGTTTTTTGTCTCTATACAATGGGTTTGCAATCTGGTTCGCGCATCGCTCGCAGGCTTCGGCGTTTGCTGGGTCGATGTGTAGTGTCCAGTGCCCACAATAGCCTGGTTACTTTGAGTATAGACAGAGGATAATTCTCCACTACCTGAGCGACGGGAGCAATCGACATGGGTGCCAGTTGTCTATGGAAATCCTGGCTAGAATAGCGAAAGACAACGGACATGTCACGATGCTGCATCTGCCTTCCTGGAAAAGAGGGAGAGAGAAAGACAAAGAAGGAAATTTGGTTCCTTGAACCAGTTAACCAAAGGGCAGGCTTCATTCCTCAAGAAGGCATCAAAACTGCTGGTTATGGCCTAGCCAACAACGCATCGCCAATCGCTCTGTATCAAAAGGAGTAGTAACAACGATGCTAATGATAATGATGATGAAAGTAACCACTACTCCTCGGCGACCATCGCACCCGTTTCCAAAACCTGCCGTATCTCATCCATGCGCCGCTGAAACCGTTCGATCATTTCCTCCATGGATTCCTTCTCCCTTTCCTTCCCTACACCGGCCTCACCGCCAACACCGACCCCACCCGGTGTATTTCCCCGGCCCTCGATACGCAGCATCCAGCCTTCGTCATCGTCGGCGTCGTCGTTCCCATCGCCGATCGTCGGCGCCGCACCCACTTTCGTCTGCAGGACCTGCCATTCCGCACTTAGGCTGTGCGCGGAGGTCACGTGGAAGGGAATCTGCGGCGTCGCAGTGCTGGGAGAGGAGCCTGGTATGATTGGGGTTGGATGGGTGGGAAGTTGCTGTTGCTGTTGCTGATGGGAGGCTAGTGGGTGTTGGTGGAGGGTGCCTCGCGGGTGAATATCGAGGATGAGATAGTGTTCGTGAACACCTGGAAGAGGGACGGGGAGGCGTGATTGTGTGTCTTGATCGTGGCCGTGCCCCACTTCGCCGGCGTGTGACTGGGACATCTCAGACGGGTCATCATGCTCCTGTCGTTGTTGAGATGGATCTAGGATTTCGAGACTCCGACAAGCTGCTTCGGCGATGACGTCGGAATCGTCGTCCTCGAAGATATAGTGCACGGTCGGGTGGTAGTGTTCGTTGCTCACGCTATCTTCGATCAGGGTGAAGAAAGGCTGGAACGAGGTAGGAAGAACAGGTATTTCACGGTGATGGCCATGCGTATCGCCGGCCTCGTCGGTGTATTGGAGCAGTGACTCGTCTTCTTCTTCATTGGGGTCGTCCTCTCCAAGTGCATGTTCTGAGTAGTTTATTCCAACATCTTCAGAGTAGACTGCGGCCCGCGTTGGACGCGGATTCTGGTGTGCTGCGACTATGGGGTCGTCCTCGAAATGTGGTGATGGGAGGAGAGTCCGAATTTGGGGTTGGGTTTGAAGTAGTTGTTGGGGATGGGATTGAGGTTGAGACTGAGGTTGAGGCGGACCACCAATGCTACCAGGTCGCCTGAGGGAGGACTTGGTGGGCGATGATGAATGTGGATGTACTTTTCGAGGCTGGAACATGACCTGATCGATGTGGGGATGGAGTAGAGGCTACATTTTGCTAGCCTGGTGATGAAGAGGAGGTGGTGAGTTATATGCGGACGGGAATGTCGATGGCCAGGCAAACGGACTGGACTCCTGGGGAAGCACATGATGGGATCGGATGTGCAGGGATGAGATGCCAGGCTCACCCATGGCTATCTCGGAGATTTAATTAGATAACATCTGACTCATCAAGACCGGGATCTATTTACAAGGCTGAAGTTCAGATGGCCCAGTGAATTACTCGTACTTATGGGAAAGCTTCGTACTTCTAGACACGTATCTTCGTCGCCCTCTATTCATGCTTTTGCTTTTCTCCTTTTCGTCACGGTTTTCTTCTTCGGAGCAACTTTGGCTCGGCGTCTGGAGATCCGCCCTTCCTCATCATTATCCTCCTCATCAACCCCCTCGATGGAAGCCTCCCGTTCGTCTTCTGCCGTCAAGTCGTGATCATCAGGTTCATCATTGTCCGCCTCTTCCGCAGCCCGTCTACCTCTCTTTGGCCGGGATGCTCCTTTGCCCTTTCCGCGTCCCAACTCATTGCTAACTGGAGTAGCATCACTTTCATCAAGTTGCTCCTCCACGAAAGCAGGGTCAGCCAACCCAGCGACCTCGTCTGGATCGTCAACTTCGTCGTACTCCTCGTCGTCCAGACCTTTCCGCCGCTTCTCGGCCTCGCCTCTGAGCCTCTTGAAAGCATTCCTCATCCGTCCAGACTCCTTGCCCGTGCGATTCCGAGGTGCTGTTGGCTCCTGCAGGGTTCTACCATTGGTGGGAATGTTTTCACCTCCTATCGCCAGCCCCGAGCTCCTGCCACCGATGCCTCTTCCGCCTGCGCCGACACCACCAGAGAAGAATCTCGTGATATTACTTTGGGTCCCCTCCGTCTCTCTTTTGTTCATGTCTCTGATGACAGGAACGAGTACTTCATCAGTACGTTCTGGACTCCATCCGATAGTCGCCATGAGAAATCCTCTCAACTTATCCAAATCTGGCAATCCCCACTGGAACGGCTCTGGGCTGGAGTCGACCTCCGGGTTCAAGTACGCATCATCCACACGCGGATCGGGAAAGCCAGGTGGCAAGAAAATGCGCTTCTGAACGGTGTTGCGAAACTTGCGCCGAAACGGGGTCGTCAATTGGCCTTCGAGATCCTTCGGACGACCCAGTTGAACTTTGGAACACCACTCCTTGAAATCTGTCAGGGTGTCAAACTCTGTCAAGATTTCGAGTGCGGTAACAGGTCCCACGCCAGGAATACCCTCGGTATAATCACTTCCCAAGAGGTGAGCAAACCGAATGAGTCGTCTACGGTCCAGTAGGAACTCCTTCTCAAGCTCGGTAGCAATATAGCATTCGACAAACTTTGCGGCATTGAACATGTTCTTGTAGATTCTTGTGCCACCAAAGAGGAAAATGTCCGAGTCATCAGTCACGATACCATCCACAAGACCAAGGTGTACAAGCTCCGCACATTGCGCTTCCGCCTCCATAGGTGCAGTAATATATGGAAGTCCAAAGTGCCGCAAAAGAGCCTGGCATTCTTGTACCATGACCTGCGTGACCTCATCTGCATCACGACGGTCTTTCTTCTGCTGTGAGCGTAATTGCTTTAGTTCCATCTCGTAGTCACGTACAGCTTGAGCTGTCGTCCTCTGATTGTTGAGTGACGATGCAAACCGTGCGTGTTCATTCGCTTCGATCTCTAGTTGTCGGATCAACTCTTCTTCAGACTCAGACATGTCTTCGAATTCAATCTCATCCTGGCCAGATGCGACTTGACGGGTCGAAGCTGCAGGGGCAGTCGGAGATTCTGCGTCCTCGACCAGGGCAGAGGGAAAATTTTCATCAGCATCATCGTCATCTTCCGCTTGCTGACTTTGACGCACCATGAAGCTGTCTTCCTGCCGAAGGGTGGTCGGAGCTTGCACATCCACGTCCTCGAATGCTTCGTCTCCATCCTCGTCTTCGCGGGTTGGCTCAGTCGTAAGTTGTGCAGGCTTACTCGTGGATGGCTCATCTTCAATTGTCCCTAGCGAGCCAGGACTTCCAACATCGCCAGGGTCAGACTCACTCCATTCTATACCTCCATGATCGCTTTCTTCGAGGCCAAGCGCATCGATGCGAGGTGGCGAGGGTGGTGCGTCTGGGACGAAGTTCGCAATCTCCGATGGTTTTGGTGGCTCCGCCTGAACCTTTTCGGCCACATCAGACATTGAAATTTCTTGGGAGGTGTTTTCCGCGGCGATTGCTCTTCCCAGTGCATACCGCTGCTCGCGTTCTTCGTCTCTCTTGCGTTGTTCTGGATCTTTGATCTCAATGAGAGCGTCAGTTGGCTGTTCTGGCTGGGTAGGTGGGAAGGTGTCTGTGGCTTGAGATAGTTGAGTCAGATCTTGAAATTCTTCCTCGACTTCTACCTCATCGTCTTCGCCCAGGGTAATTGGAGCTTGACTTGTGCCTTCACCATCCTCTGCCTCCAAATCAATGACCTCCTTTGTGGCATGGCGACGAATCGTCGCTCGTCTATCCACATCCTCCCGACCATAGGTGACATGATCGTCCTCATCACCCTCATCCGCAATCGTATTATGCTTCAAATCTCTCGTTGATGGAGCGGCGTTAAACCAATCGGGAAGAGGTTGTGGAGATCGTTCCTTGCGGAATGTGTCGCCACCGAGGTCTCGATCAAAGCCTCCTGCTAAGTCTTCTTCGACTTTCTTCGACTTCTTCTTGCCTAGGAGTGATTGTCCAAGATTTAATGACTCAAATGGCAAAGGACCATCAAACTTGGGTGTTGGAAGTGATGCCTTCTGCTCTTGCCGTTTGGGTCGCACATCGGTCTTCGCGGTATGCTCTGATTGCCTTGATTCAGCAAGGGCGGCCTGTAGGTCGAATCCGTCGTCATCGTCCATGTCAGAAAAGGGTCCTTTCGAAGAATCCTCGGCAACAAACCCACCAGCAGCTTCATCTTGCTCGGTCTGCTCCAGAGACATGGCAATTGCTCGCTGAAGAGCATCATCCTCTTCTTCCTGCTCAGGCACGATGGGAAGAACATCCTCGAACAACTCATTGTCATCATCCTCGTCTCCAGCATTTTCCTCAGGTACAAATAAAGATTCTCCAGCTGCAACTGCTGGCTTTGGCTCCGGAGCTGGACGCACAGCCGGTCGAGACGCCGCAGCATCTTTCCTCGCCTCGTACACTGCTCTTCGTTTACGTGCAATCTGTTCCGCAGCCTCCTCGTAGGACATATCGTAATCCACAGCTTTGCGCTTACGCTGCAAGTTCTTCGGCAGTCGATTGAGGCCTTCAATAGCAATATCCTCGAACTCTTCCTCCTCGTCTGAATCTTTGACCAGATCATCAGAATTCTCGTCCTCTTCTTCAAGATCAATGGCATTCTCTCTACGACTGCCTTTCTTGTTCGAGACCACACCCAGAGCCCAGCCACCGTCAACACCATCATTTTTGACCAAGATGTATTCTTTGCCCTTCTCACCAGCAATCCTGCCGCCTTGGTTCAGAAAATCCTCCGCCATTCCGTTGATGTGCATGAGTCGCTGAGTCAGTTCGTTCCGCTCCTTCACACGCTCGATCTGGAACTTGGAGAAAGCCATGCGATCGGGAAACATCCCATCGAGCTGGTCCTTGGTATACCCCATTCTCAATCTCGACCTCAACCGTGCCGCATTGAGAATGTTGTACCGATCGCCCGGCGGTAGAGACATGAAGAACGGACTCTCAAAGTCGATCTTGCTGAAATCATAAACGTTGATATCCTCACCACTGTGAAACTGACGAGCATACTCCTCAAGCTCTGCCTGAGACATGATCCGCGGATCGTTGGGGGCGCCCATTGTCTCGATACTGACATCAAGATCCGGCAGGTGATATTGATCTTTACGCTTGAACCCTCTGCCCGCCTGCCTCTCCTTAGCCGTCATGCCAATCTCCTCGACATAGACAAGCTCCTGATCGGCGGGTATTTCCTCTTCGAGGGGTGTGTGTTCTCTCGCGGCGCGCCTCCTCTTTTCCTCCTCCTCGGCCGCCCGCGCGACCTGCACGGCGAGTAGCTTGCCCGCCGTGCGCGCGGCATCTTCCCTCCGACCTTCCCGTCTCCTCGCTCGCCTCCGAACGGTTTCACGTTTGAGGATGGGAGCGCCGCCGTCAAAGACAAAGACGGGTTTGATGCCGAAGTACAGGAGTTTGCATATGCGTCGGAAGAAGCCGACGACATGGCTGTTGCGTAGGGCGTTTCCTTCTTTGTCACGCACCGCTTTCAGGAACTGGTATATCCATATCGAGGCATCGACGGCCAGGCGTTTCCGATTCAGAGACGCAAGTTGGGTCGGTCGCGCTGTCGGTGCGACTACGGTCCAAAGGCCTGTCACACCCATGACTGCAGATTCCGTAGATCAAAAGAGGGTGCGTCCGTCGACCTCAGATACAGATGGCTCATCCCGGTGACGAATCCAGACGTGTCTTAGTCCTGGCCATCTCTAGCCGTGGATTGACGAAATTTGACAATCCGAATCGTGACGGAGAATTCCTCTAAATGTGGTTGACTGCCTAGTTCTACTGTTGCAACTATGCAGTGACTAAAGAGCGATGACGCCACACACCAACGCGATGTCACATGACCAAAATTTGCTCTCCCTTCTGCATGTGCTTGCTCCTGACGATATACGATATAAACTGCCTGTGGCTAAGATGACACTGAAAAGCTGCGTCTCTCAATAAGAAGGGCGGATATAAGTGAGCCACGCCGCTATTATTCTACAGCTACAAGCCGCCCCTAACCCTTTGTGCCCAACGCCATGCTAGAGCATCAATGAATCCCTGATGTGCTTGGGCTCTCCGAAAAGTCGAAAACCCCAGGGACCAGACAAATATGAAAACAGCGAACCCTCAGAATGAGCTGTGGCTCACCCTTGTGTAGAATCACTCGCCCCAGCAGGTCCTACCAGGGTGGGCGCAATCCTCCTCCGCTTGGATTTCCCCTCCTCCTTGTCACTTTCACTGGCTGCTCCAACATCTCTCTTGCCCAAAACACTTCCACTTACAGAACTGGTTGCCGAGTGATGTCCACCATGGGTACTCGCTGGTGTTTGAGGTGGTGTTGACATCGGGGGAATGATGAGAGGGGCACCTGCATTCGATGCAGTGACGAGTGGAACGTGACCCATAGTGGGTGTAGGGTTGTTCTGAAGACTCTGTGTCTGTAAAGATGACATGGTGGCAATCGACGACTGAGAGTTGGATCTAGTGGGACTACCTTGGCGAAAAGTAAAAGGCGCTGGTGAGGGGTGAGAAGGGGGAACAATAACAGGGGAAGCTTTGGTAAGAGACGGAGATGCAGTCGCGGTTGGTGTTGGAACGGGAGTTGAATTGGATGATGTGGTAGGCAACGCTATCGAAGTTGAAACGATGGGATGGATATACGTTGGATGTGCACCGGTATAGATCTGACCAAGCTCGCCAGGGGTGAAGGCCAGCGTTGAGCAGTACCCATCTGTGGATGACATGAGGAGAGTGAGACCATCGTTTGACCTTCCTACTGTCAGTACCGATAGATTAGGGGATAGCCCTCAGACTTACCATGTGAGATCAGAGAAGGTTGCATAGTGCAGGTTGCTAACCACGCAAAGCGGGGTGGTCTGCTGCGTATCATAGACAAAAACTGCATCCTGAGTGGCTACAGCATAGACCATGCGATAAGGCAAAGAAAATGCAGGGGTTGGGCCGGGGCTGGCAGGTTCTCCTTCGATGCCTGGTTTAGGTGACGGTGCTGACATTGACTCGGGAATTGAAGTTGCAGTCATTAATGGTGGGGGTTCCATAAAGGTTGAAGAACTCTGTGGAACTATTGGATCTGGTAATAGTGGGATCTCTTCACAGCCAGAAGAGGTATCAATCGTGATATGATTGGTTGGTTTGCTCGTCGATCTCAGTGTGTATAGAATGGGTGAGCATCGTACTGCAACCGAGGGCTTCTTGTGGCCTGGGAGGTGAGCCACTGGCGGTTTGTTGAATCCGGCTCGCGTATAGATATAGACAGTATTTGAAACCTCCTCGGTGATTTTGGACGGATCGGAGCCCATGGGGAAGTTCGTCTTGTAGTGTCCGGCGGGTGTGAAGAGTAGACTACCATCGGGGGAGAAAGTGAGTCGTCGGAAGAAAGAGGTCATAGTTTCATTGTGATATAGATTGGTGTTTCTGACTGCAAGACCCATGGCAGCGTTGAGACTTGGGGAGGAAATTTCGGGTCGGATAGCCGGCAAGGGTAGAGAAGGAGCTGGAGAAGCTGATCGGCGAAATGAGGGAGATGATCCAAATGAAGAACGTCTACTCGACGCAATAATGGGAGGATCCATTGGCAGAGGAGTCGTGAGAGGAGTTCCAGGGTTGGAGGGGGCGGGAGAAGCAATAGCTAAATTGGTTTGACTGGCATTCGACGCACGATGGGGCATCTCTGCTGGCGCCGGGCTGTTGGAAGAGATACGGCGTCCAGGCAAGTCCATCTTGTTAAACTTGCCATGTGTAGAAAGAGTTGGTGTGCCGTCCTTGAGCTTCAGAGCATATATATGAACCGACCGGTCAGAAGATTGAGTTGCAACAAATTCGTTGAGAGGGTCCCAAGCAACGCCTTGGACAAAATGGCTGTGTTCTGCTATTTGTCTGATCATGCCACCTGGACCAAATCAGTTTCGAGTTTCGAGTTTCGGGAGAGTCTGGTCAACATACCTGTGTGTGCGTTGAATATGCGGGCCGTATTGTCAACACCTCCAGTGATAAAATATTGGCCATCAGGGGACCAGGCCAGATCGTAGATTTCAGCTCCACTGGGTGTGCGACACATATGTTTGGTTCTCCATGTTTCTTTATCATCTGCGTTGTCCTCGGTCATGGGAGCCATTGAAGATTCAGAACGAACCCAAAGCAAGATATTCCCATCATCCCCAGCCGAAGCCAGCATTTCACCTTTCTCCGAATTAGATGGACGTATCCAAGGTATTGCCAAAGCGCTCACCTTTGGGACAGAAACGGACAACATTGACGGGTTGGGTATGTCTTGTCAACGTCGATAGGTATGTGACTTTTCTCTCTTCACCTTGAGCTTCAACGCTCCACAACTATGCTGTGCATCAGCCTAGGAATCAGGAGGAGGGTTGTATGGGGAACGCATACTCGCACGTTATTGTCACTGGTATGGTTAGTCTCAGTTCACAAGCGGAGTGTAGATGGCACTTACTTTCCAGCTGTTGCAAGTCTCCCTTTCCCATGGGGATCAAAGTGAACAGAGTAGATAGGCTGGCTTTCGTTGTGCCATGTGATGAGAAGTGGTCCGGCTTTCATGTTGGCATTGATTGACGGCCTCTATAGGCCAGTTGAGGGGAAAGGCAAAATAGCAGTGGAATCTGACAGAAAGTTGGAAAAAGAGGTTGTCCAAGATCTCATGGAAGGCAGGTGAGGTCGTGGAGCTGGAGTAGGAGCAACGATCGACGAGGACTGGCGCGGGTGAATGTATGCTGAGTCAAAGTACGGAGTATGCTTGCAGCAGTAGTGATGGACGAGGAGATATACGGGCCAAAGTGAACTTGAACTTGAAGGGTGCACTGGCATGGGGGCACTTGATGTGGGCCCGGCTAGATAGAAACGGAAGAGGACCACAAGTTACGTGTATCCGGAGATGCTTAGGGACTGTAGGGTGTAGCTATCTACTCGTACAGTACCAAACAGCAGCTAACTCTAAGAGCCACGGGTGCCAGTGTTGGTCAGATTCGAGGAGGCATGGCATGGTATGCCAGTGGGTTACAGGTAAGGAAAGTTAAGCTGCCTGCTAGCAGTCGCACATACTTCGGACAAAGAACCTTCAAGGACGCTGCGGTTACGAGGCGTCGCAAGCAAGCGCAACTGGGATCATGCATGCCAGAATGAGCGGTGGGATTGGCATGGAAGTAGGGATGATACGACCACTGACTGGATCCCTACAGTCTGAGAGAGCTTCGTGACACACTCACTGGCAGTCAACATGCACTGCAGGCCTTCAGACAGACACCCTCTGTGCCCGCTCCCTACCAAACCCCAGGCGGCTCAAGTATTCTTTTAAAGGTAAGCTGGAGTGGAGCAGGATAAAGTCTGATAGGCCCTAGAACAAGGTCACCAAAGACAGGGTAAAGGGCAATTGACGGAAGGAAACAAGAAAAACCGCGAGACATGGCAAATGATATGCAATCGATTAGTCGTCGCCCTCCAACGAGTTTGAACGCGACGCGCCCGCTCTTGTTTCGCGTGTTGCCTTTCAGCCCATTAAATACCACAACCACCATCAACCATCAACCATCAATCACACCCTCGCCAAGTTAGATTCCCGGTCGCATGCATTGGGCTCAGCTATAATGGGACATCTGATTTGACTGACTGACAATTTCTGCCATCTCTATGGCGTCTTTGCTTTGCATCATGATTGTACTGAACTAGATCATTTCGAAAGACCAAAGTGCGCTTAGCAATAATAAAACTTCTGCGTGCTATCATACACTTTCCACCGCTACCAAAGTTATAGTATAGTCATTGAGTCATCAAGTGTCTTCCTCCTTCAAGTTACTCGGCAGATCTCCTAGCCGCATCAACTTCCTGTTGAAGTGCTGCAAGGTCGGCTAGGAGGTCCCTGCGGTCAATGTTATCACTTCTGGGCGTCACATCACCACCTTCTGGCTCCGAAATACCCAGTGTTGCCATAGATGGTCTTTGTGTCTCCACACTACTTCGACTAGAGCCTCTCCCTCGTCGCGGCGGCGGGACTGGCGGAGGAGTTCCCAAGCTCATTCTTTTCAGGTACGAGGGTGTTTGGGGTAAGCCGGGTCTGCCCTCTGTGCCTGGTGGTTCAAGGCTGCCAGAACTGCCATCAAATGCGGCATTTTCGGGAACACTCTGGACATCAAACGAAGGCCGCCTTTCGCTGGAGGTGGTTGTCCGCCGGGCGGCAGGTGGTGGTGGCGGAATTTTGAATCCAGCATTGATATGTGACGGACTTTCAGGGGCATCATATTCACTCAACACAGAGTATCGTGAGGAACTACTCCTTGTCAGTATCGGTTTGCTGGGTGCTTGCTGGCTCTTCCTCCTTGCTAGCGGAGGCGCTGGGGGGACTTTTCTCTGCGAATTCTCCGGTATATCAACATTCCCCGGTTTCTCTATAGTTGGGCTTTGTTCGGTTGTTGGCGATTTCAAGCCTGGTATTTCTGAACTGATACTTCGGCTGCTAGGTAGCGAAAGGGAATTGATGAAATTATCGAAATTCTGCTTCGATTCCTGCTCCCCTCCAGAGTCTCGAAGTGGCTTTCCACGTCGACTCTTGGGCGGCGGAGGTTTCTTCTTGCCTTCTGTGACGGTCTGTAGATTCGGCGGCTGTTCTCTCAAGGTGTCCTTCGATTCACCTTCAAAAGACGATCGAGGGCTTTCTTCATGCGCTAAAGGCGCGGTCTCAAAAATGGAATGCTGTGAGACTGACGCTGTGTCCGCACTGGAACTGCTCTCACTTACAGGTTGACCATTATTTGCTTGGACACTCTGCACAGCTTGATCTCTCGGCCCGGGTGCTCCCCTCTCACCCGTAAGCAGTAACTTTGTGAATGCTGCAACATCCAGAGCTTGCCGACCTGGCCCTGACGATTCCTGACTCACAGGGCTCTTTCGGGGGCCGCTGGCAAAGCGTCCAAGTGTGTCTTGGACAGAAGTATTCTTCAAAATCGGTTCAGGGACCGCCGCAGCTGGGACATGGATCGTAGTGTTGACTCTTGTATTGTACAAAGCTTGTTCGAGAGCAATGTCATCGTCTCCTTCGGAAGCCTCGGCCGCAAACGGGTTGCTTGCCAACGCCTCACTGTAATCGGTAGGTTGCGGTAGAGATGTTGCCAGGCTCGGGAAGGTAGATAGGGAATCCTGTCGTGTAGATTCTGGCGAAGGGGGGTATGAGACAGGCGAAATGGGTATGCCCGGCGGTGAGGCGAAGTTCACATGTTTTTGCGACGTCGAGGTCACTGGAACAATTCAATCACCATCAGTTGAGGCCTTGTGGAATGAAGCATCACTGAGACTTGACTTGCCTTTGGTATCAACAGACAGCGGGCCAGGGCTTGAGCCGTGCGCATCCGCCGAAACGGTATTGAGGGGGGTGCTACTGCTGCTGCTCTGACCTTTAAATGAACTACGGCGGAAAGGATTTGTGGACATTGGGTTTCGAAAGCCATGTATAGCACATGTAGTGCTCGTAAAGATCCAAAAGACGCGTTCACGGTCTGGATGGCCTTCGGGTTACCAATATTGAAGGATGTTGAAAAGATAAGCACATGATTTATGCGAGTCAAGTGGTGGTGGTTCTGCCCACTTGCAGCCCGGATTCGGCTTCAGGTTCTCCGTTCAGTTCAGCACATCTTGAAAGCCACGATTTTCTCATCGTCTCTCACACAACACAAGGCAGGTATCTACTGAACTCGACTTCATACATCACAAAGAGTTCCAACCAAACCCTAGCTATATGCTACAGGGTATCAAATCAGTCGCGCGTTATTACGCGCTGTTCTCCGAGATGATGATCTTCCCGTACCTAGGAATGCCGTTCAGAAGGTCAATTAGTGCAAGTATTTGATTTCCCCTCTTATCAGCACATAATCACAGTGCAGACTTTCCTACTTGATAAGTCTTGAACTTCCTCATTTGACTCCAAAGTCATCTTGAACACAGTAGCACCCGGAATAAAGATGACCAGTGTTGATTCCAGTACCTTTCTCTCCGATGGTGGATATCTACAAAAAGGGATAGAGAAGAATATCAAGCCAGAAGACCTCGGCAATATTGCCCAATTTTTACCTCCATCAAGATGGTATCGTGACGAGAAGGTCTTCCAGTTGGAGAAGCGCGCATTGTTTTCGACGGTGAGTGACGCATGCCCGCTGTCAAGCTCCCGCTATTTGCATCTCCATATGTTGGAATATGGATGAAGTTTGTCGCAACTGGCGCGTACAGACAAGAGTTCCACATATACTTACTCGAAATAGCTATGGCATGCAGCAAGTTTCATTGGCAGATTCAAAAAGGCTGGAGATTACTTGTCAGTGCAGGTGAGTTGTGAGAGCTGCATGGCTGCGGTCACAATCCTCTACTTGCTTTCGATATTTACGAGTCTGGATGGTTTGCCTCAGAGGCCGTGCCAAAACGCCATTCAAGTGTTGCAAGTTGAAACGTTCGCCCGCCATCGTCTGTTTGGCGCATTTACTGACAACGTAGATGTTTGGATGGGACCTGTTCTTAATTCGAGATAAGGATGGTAACATCAGTGCATTCCATAACATCTGTCGACATCGAGGCTACCCGGTCGTGACAAAAGAGAGTGGATCGAGTACAGTTTTGGCATGTCGATTCCACGGCTGGTAGGAATCTAGACCTTTCACCCAATTTCGTGATGCTGAGATGGTATACCAAGGTCGTACTTACCAAGCGGTCAATTGCATAAAGCAAAAGAATATAATGCGTTGGAGGACTTTGACCCGAAGGAGCACTCCCTGTTCAAGATCCACACACATGTCACCGCTCAGGGCTTCATCTTTGTGAATTTCGATGCGCGAGAAACACCCGCAGTGAAGTTCGAGGATCAGTTTGGTGACGATTTCGATCCTGCTCCAACTCGGAAGACTGGAAAAGAGGTCGGCGATGAGTTCAGCCTGTTCCCACCTTCATCGAGCTGGGAATACGATCATACCTGGGATAGCTCTATAGCTGGCACGGCTTTCAACTGGAAGACGTTTGTGGACGGTTTTCAGGTCCGTTGTGCTATATCTCCGGAGAGTAGTTTCACTGACTAGGTTCTCCAGGAATGCTACCACTGCCGTACTGGACATCCAGACACCCTCCCCAAAGACTTCAAACTTGATCAGTACTATCTTCGACAGGGCTATGGGGCTTCGCGACATTTCCTTCCACCCAAGAAAGATGATATATCTGAGGCATATATCACCTGGTTATTTCCACTCTCTGCCATCACCTTCAGCAATAATCTCCTGTAAGTGTAGGACTGTTTTCGTGGCTGTGACGCCCATCTCTCGGGCTGAGGCAATATCAAAGCGCATTCGAGGGAAACTCTCCTCTCTAGGATGTACATTCTTGGCTGCAAGACTTACAATTCATGCACAGTTTTATTGTCCGTTTCACGGCGAATGGAGCTCTTGATACTTCATATCAAAGCGAGACATATAGAAGAGCCAGCATCCCCAAGCCGAGTGCCGAATATGACCAGTGGATGGACGAGGAGATAGCTTATTGTAAGTTCCCATGACGCTGATGGTACTTTGAAATTGGATGATGGCTGACAAGCTAACACTGTTGAATGACAGGGCGGTATGTGGAGAAAGAAGACGTCGAATTAGCTATCAATGCACAGAAGGGATTCAAAAATGGGGTCTTGGGGTTGGGTCGCCTTCATCCTGTCGAAGAGCATGCAGTTATATGGCACATTGGTAAGATCAAGGCTATTCTCGAGAAACATGCCGAGCTGGAGAAGAAAGAGGGTAGGAACATTGACTATGCGATTCCCAAAGCGCAAAGCGATGCAGTGGAATCGGATCATCTTTGTCACCTTCTCGGACCAGAGTTTGATTGGTGAATGGAAAAGAGAAAGTTCTCGAGGATTTATCGTGTTGGCGCGATGGATGCGATGCCTGGAGAGACGAGGCGTCCTCCCAAGCGAGGGATACCATTCTTGTACCTCCGACATAAATGGACAGGCATGGGAGATACACCACTCCACATCTGTTGTGATCATAAACGAGGTCGAATGCGAATGTGACTCAAGTAGCTGGTCGTTATTGGTGGCAGGGGCATGCCAATGACTTGGGCAATGCCCCCAGATCAATTCTACGAAGTTCTCCCACAAACTTGCTCTCTGGCAGAATGCTTCCAAGAAACATCCGTCAATCTGCGCAAGACGGCCCTCACCCTTGCTTCGTACGCCTGGTAGATACATCCGTTGCTCACCTCCTACGTACAGGCTATGGCTTTTACCGCAGGACTCGGCACCAGATATGATAAAAGGTCAGATTTTAGGCATTCCGGGTCTATAATGCGAGAGAGACGGGAGCAGCCCAGGAGAGTACGGGAGGGGCATCCCGTCTGCTTACGTGTCAAGGGTGCTTTAGGTATCCGTACTCGCTACTTGATATGATGAGGGGTTGGGTTGGGGGAGGGGAGGCAGGCTGGTCAATCAAGGAATAAAACACGGTGCCCTCCGAGTGCAAGCTAGATAGACACCCACCCTGCGCGGTAGGATGAACGCCACGGTGTACTAGTATTGCCTACATCTACATACCGAGTTCCCTGGCTAGGATAGTGGGATATCTACGGGTACCTTGCTAACTTGTGTGCCGTCCTTCCTGGTTGAATGCATCCAAATCAGTCGATTGCACTGATAACGGCCGGGTGACTGGCCTTGGCCCTTGAGTTGGGGGTATTGGTGCTTATCTTGCACGCTACGGAGAAGTCGGGCATCTCGCCTAGTGATAAAGGAGAAGGTTCAAGTCCGGTATGTTTGTAGGCAAAAACTTGGTATTATCGCTAGGATGTCGTGCTACTCAGAGGTACGTCCAGAAGACAAGACCGTACGCTGCAAAAGCGTCAAAGCGTCAAAGATTCAATATGAGAGGTGATCACCTAGATCAAATCGAAGTCGTGTTGTTTAAATAGAGATCGCCTTTGTACAGTCTCTCCTGAAAACTGTCCACTCAGATTCAAATTTGATGGTGGTGGAGTCAGACCAAGATCAACAGAGAACTTGAAGCCCGAGCCCATGCCCATGCCCCATGCCCCCATGTCTGTGAAACTCGATCTTCGCCTTACAGTGGGGAAGCTACGCGGTTCTACGTCATTGCCCCAACAAGAAATCGCTTGCGTGGCTATTGGCTTGGTATTAACGGAAATAGGTGGAATTCTCGATGTGTTCCCGCCAGTCTTCATGTTCTCGACACGCATTGATCTGAAGTCGCACGGGCGGACGATAAGACCAGAAAGAAATGACATGACACCCATCTCGATCCAGGACCCGGACAAAACTTATCAACCTGCCGTAAGGGGCCATTTCTAACACTCATAGCACAGTGTCAGATCATTCAGTGAATCATCGAATGTCGCCATTCTTCCGGCTGGAAGTAAGCGTGGGGCAAGTGCTCCGTAGCCTGAGCCTGAGCCTGAGCCTGGGATGTCTCGGTTGCATTATGGAGCACGACCAGGTCTTTCAGTTTGCTTGTCTGAACTTCCTCCGCCCGCTTATTGCCTCCGGTGCGCTACAGCCATACAAGTTCCCAGCCCTTCGCTTTTTGCTCGACCGCCACACGGTTCGAAGATTAAGCGCTATTCCAACAATCTGGACTAGAGTTTTGCTTAGTTCCATGTGGCCTCTCACTAGACGAAAGGGCACGAGTACTCTCTTTCTTCGGCCAGTGGCTATTCGAGATGTTAACCTGCATTAACGTGGATGGCAACACCTTTCACAGCTACAGGCGTCAAGCCCGAAAGCTTGGTAGCTGACCGCCAGTGTTGATAGGCTGGCAATGGTCTGAATCCTGGGAGGTGCATATTGCATCAGCTTCTGCCCTGGCCATGTCAATGCGGATCTCCAGGCTAAATCTCCGTTGAGTTCCCTCTCGGAAGGTTTGTCCTTCGCGTCCCTACAATATTGGTACCCATTGAGAAGGCCGGTAACTGAAAAGAGCCTACCTTTGTAGAGAAACCTGGTTCATGGACATTGGCCTGACGCACTCGAAGACCTGCTTTCGGCCTCTGGTTGGTCCTCCTCGCCACCATCCTTCCACGGGATCCCACCGTGAACCCATTGTGGATATGGCTTGCTCTGGCATGCGATTTTTCTGAGAGCTTCCCATGCGGATCTTCTGTTTCTCGTCTTGGAGATGGTTTTTCGACGCTGTGCATTTCCGGCATGTTGTTGTTTGATATCTTTGGCGACTCGCCTCAACTCCTCCGTCTCTATACAATCCTTGCGATCTGAAACTGCTTCTCGACACATTCGCTTTAGTCGAGCTGTGCTTGCTCTTCATGCCTTGTCCTCACTGATCGCTACTGTCTATGTTTACTTGCTTATTTTGGTTCACATGATTGTCAATGGTTGTCCTCAGTCCACCACTACTAACACACCTGTATCATCCTTGCCACCATCAGTTTGGCGCCAGCAGCACATCAACGAGGCATCTTACTCTCAGTCCATCGCTTAAGTCTATCGTCACATCTACTCACGCATGTCTCTGGCTAGCACTCCCCGAAACAGTGGCAGCCGCACTATAATGGGTTTCCTAGATGAACCTTTCGAACCTGGAACCCCTCCCCCAAGTTGGTCACCAGCGAGGCCAGATTTTTGGAAAAAACCGTCTAAATGGCAGATCTGTATGCCGCGCTTGACGATTCTAGTCAAGCTCCTCGCAACATTCTTTGGCTTTGTCCTGTTGGTCAAATTGATAGGCCAGAAAGCGGAGCCTTCACCTAGATCACTACCCGAACCACCCAAAGCCCCCTCCGAGGGCGACATGAAGGCAGCTGCGGACAAGATCCCCTGGATATGGAAGGATTTTACAACGTAGGTTGAGTACGAAAACCCCTGTTTCGATCGGCATTAACCTTTCATCTTCGCAGACACGATGGTCTGACGCGGGGGACCTCGCATCTACGAACCTGCCAGACGGGGGAAGTGGACTGCAAGAACAAACACCCTCGCCAGATCCGATACGACGGCCTGGCCCACTCCCAAGAGGATCCATCTCACATTTTATCATGCCTCGGTCCTAGAGGGCTGCCTTTGAATGAAAGCGATGGAGATGCTATCTGGGCCTATCCAGGTCGCGCAGTCGGTAAGGAGTGACGTTGGAAGCTGTTGAAGAGCTAGCTGACCCATAAAGGTGCCGTTGATCCCATCCTCGGTTCATACGAAGCTGCTGGTCTTGATGGCGATGTGTCTTTTGATCGCCTAGGTCGTCTACAGGCTTATGGTCTCGAGCAATTCGATGCTACCGACCTGGAAGATCTAAAGAAATCGAGCGACGTCGACTGGGACTCTGTTGAATGGGGGGAATTACAGGATGGTTGTGTGCTACTCAATAAACAACGCTTCAAAACCGTCAAAGAGAGACCACAAAACTCCATTCAATACTCGAACCTTCGCCACAAGCACGACGGAGCAAGGCCGAACGCTCCACCTACCAGCCTGGAACCCGCTCTCGTAAACAAAGTGAAGCGAACCGCCATTCTCATCAGGGTGTGGACCGGCGCAAAATGGACCGCTGATGCAGTCATGAACATACGAGCAATGATTGCCGAAGCATCTCTCGCCAGTGGGGGGAAGTATCAAGTCTTCCTTTTACTCCATGTCAAAGATGAGGGTGTGCCACTATTCGTGGGAGAAGATGAGCCCCAGGCGACGATCAACAAGCATATTCCACCCGAGTTCCGATCCATTACCGAAGTGTGGAACCATGCACAGATTCGCAGTCTGTACTCGAATCTGGCACAGCATGCCTTTGTCGGCCGGTCACCATGGATGATTGTCCAATGGTTTGCCCGCAACCATCCAGAGTTCGATTTCTTCTATCAATGGGAATTCGACGTCAGATACACTGGCCATTACCTGGATTTTTTCGAGGGTGTTTCCAATTTTGGCAGGAAGCAGCCAAGGAAAGGGATTTGGGAACGTGCTGGCAGAGTCTACATCCCTTCCGTACACGGCGACTTTGAAACCCAATTCAGACAGTCCACTCTGGAAGCCGACCCTCATCATGTATGGGGGCCTGTGTCCGTCGAGGGTGTCAAACCGCGTGGTCCGAAACCACCGGTGAAGGAGATCGAGGACAACTACGAGTGGGGAGTTGGTGAAGACGCCGACTGGATCGGTTTCCTTCCCAGTTTCAATGTCACTGCGACTAACTGGTGGTTTCGTGATTACCTTTGGGGCTACGCTCAAGGTAAATCGACTCCGAGGAGAGCTACCTTGATCGCCCAAGGACGAATCAGTCGACGAGTGCTGGAGATCATGAATTACGAAAATGCAGAGAATGGTCATCATATGGATGCCGAAATGTTTCCGCAGTCCATGTGCCTTCATCACGGGCTCAAGTCGACCACATTCCCCCATCCAATCTTTGCTGATCGTCACTGGCCTGCGGAAGCACTCCAGTCGACGTTCAACGGCGGTCCATTTGGACAAGCTGGTGGGCACTGGAATAGCAGTTTCAGTAAATGGAACGAGCACGCGTGGACTAACATGACATGGTATTACAGTTCTGCCCAAGCTATGCCTATTTACCAAAGGCTGTTGGGCATCACCGCCCTTGAGAGTGGTGGGTCAGAATGGGAAGACGCATACGGACGAACCGTGGTTCGACCTATGCTACTGCACCCTGTGAAGGGGGCAAAGTCATGGTTATGGACGGAGGGCGAATGGTTGCAAACCAAAGGTGGCAAGTAACTGTTGGCTGATCTCAGCGCATCTTTGTTTGGAAAGGGAGGAAAGCTCCTCTCGAAGTCGCAATTACATTAGCAACGGTGTTTGGAGTTCTTGGAGTACGGTTTGTTACAGGTCGACAGTGGAATTTTGACGATCAGAAGCTCGAGGCGCTCTGTACATATCATGACCCGAGTGAGCAGGTCAGAAATTTGGACCATCGCGGCGCTGATGGGGATATACGCAGCATGTGAGGATAATGCGGAGATGATATAGGGCAATTTGCTCATGGATACGTACACGACGAGAATCAGGAACCGAACAGCAGGGTATTTGTTTGCGACCTGAAATGGATATATGACGCTACGCAGGCGACAATTTGCAGAGAAATAGATAGAGTATAGTTGAGCGAGATGTTCGACGATAATCATAATGATCCATCTGTTGATCTACGGAGTATTTGAAGTAATTAAGATATGGAAAAGACTTGCTCGAATACGAAGATTCGATGGTGGTGGACTATATGTTGGTTTCCTTGTGGGCGCAGAGCGACACGGTACTAGCTTACATAGGTACCTAGGAAGGTGAGGGATTTTGACCCGACGTCACTCCAAGCTCTAGGTCATGGCCACCCAATGGCTAAACCCCAAGCGGGCGTGGGCTGGTTAGGATTGGCGGCGATGTCGGCACGGGCGACTGCCTCTGAGCAGCAATGCCACTGCCACTGCCGCGGATAGTATCTACGACACTGCATGTGGAGCTTCACTTTTGCTGCACCTGCAAAGCTCCTCTATCCGATAAACTCGACTTCTTGGATCTTTACTGCATTGTCCCTCCCTCATGCAACTGCAGCCTGACTTTCAAATCTACGTCTGAGTTTCTTTCCACAATCGCCGCAATGTCTCTGGCAAGGTCATCGCGCAGCGCTCAGGTATGTTGATGCATTTCTCGGATCTTGCCCTTGTGTCCTGCATGCAAATCTACAGATATGCTAACTTGCTTTTTCCCAAGTCGTTGTTCCGCGCAGCTCAAAGAACAAGCAGACAACCCATCACCTCTCCTTTTCTTGCACGATGTGAGCTCCCTGAAGTTCACCGCCGTCTCGGCCATAGCTAATCCACCGTTCCAGCCTACGCTACCGTCGAGTCCGACATTTTCAAGCCTACAAAGTATGGAGGGAAATATACAGTGACACTGATTCCAGGTACGACTAGCCCCCCAATTCGCTCTGAGACTCTTCGGTGGTCAATTTTGCTCACAAAACAATTGTGCAGGTGACGGTATTGGTGCGGAGGTGGCTGAAGCTGTCAAGACTATCTTCAAAGCCGACAATGTTCCCATCGAATGGGAGCAGGTTGATGTCACTGGTGTCGATACCGGAGACAAGCACTCGGAGGACCTTTTCAAGGAGTCGATAGCCTCTTTGAAGAGAAACAAGCTCGGCCTCAAAGGTATCCTACATACTCCTATCGAACGATCCGGCCATCAGTCTTTCAACGTGGCTCTACGACAAGAGCTCGACATCTATGCATCTGTGGTACTTATCAAGAACATTCCCGGCCTTGAGACACGACACAAGAATGTGGATCTTTGCATTGTGCGTGAGAATACTGAGGGAGAATACTCTGGGCTTGAGCATCAATCTGTTTCGGGCGTGGTTGAATCCTTGAAGATTATTACTCGCGCAAAGTCGGAACGTATCGCCAAATTCGCCTTCTCCTTCGCTCTAGCCAACAACCGCAAGAAGGTAACTTGCATTCACAAAGCCAACATCATGAAGCTTGCGGACGGCCTATTCCGTAACACTGTCAAGAAGATTGGCGAGGATTACCCAACTCTGGAAGTCAATGACATGATTGTGGACAATGCTTCTATGCAAGCTGTATCTAGACCACAACAGTTCGACGTGATGGTGATGCCAAATCTTTACGGAGGTATCCTTACGAACATTGCAGCTGCACTGGTTGGTGGTCCCGGCGTCGTTCCTGGATGCAACATGGGTCGCGATGTTGCCGTTTTCGAGCCCGGATGTCGACATGTCGGTCTCGATATCCAAGGCAAAGATCAGGCCAACCCCACTGCTCTCCTACTCTCTGGGACCATGCTTCTGAGACATCTCGGCCTCGACGACCACGCCAATCGCATCTCTAAGGCGGTCTATGATGTGATCGCAGACGGGTAAGTGCAACGATTCTCCCTTTAGATCATACAAATGTATACTGACAACGAATCTAGCAAGGTCCGCACTCGCGATATGGGAGGAAACAGCACTACTCACGAATTCGTACGAACGATTCTGGACAAGTTGGAGGCTGCAGCATAAATGCCCGATGATGAAGGGCTCGAGAGCCGAACCTTGGATTTGACTGGCGGTGTTTGTTGGCTTGATGGACCTGGAGCGGCTTCTGCAGTCAAAGGATCAAGACAGCCATAGCGATGGCTTTGGAAGTGACCGTATCTGTAAATATCACTTTTGCTAGATGTTTGCATTCGGCATGAATTCATGTATTTCTTTGAGTGCCCAGGTCCTTCGTTTCATAAAAGTAACCCTGGAAGAGCCTGTCGGAAGCGATGCTCGGTTGGTCCGCCGGCGCCGCGTCATTCTGCACGTCAAGCTGCAATTGGCATGGGGGTTGTGACCAAGTGGCATTCACCCTGCGTACCCGTACAAAGTCCTCACATCTGTCGCATGTGAACGTTCTTTCGAATTCTCAACAATCCGCAGCCATTATGGCTATGTTATCCACGGCCACACCGGTATCACTTCCCCCCTTCTCCGATCCACCATGAACGAAAGAGACTTGCAATAATCCGACCACACACATACCAAGTTCCTCATCTCAGCCCAAGAGGCCTCACGCCATTTCGGTTGTTCCGTCTCCCCCCAGATGACTTCCCCAAGTTCCTCAAGCCATGGGAACAGCAGATCCAGCTCCCAGGACATCCATAATCAGTCCAACTTGACATTTACTCGTACACCTCAGCCCTATCACCGAAGAGGCGGAAGCTTGAGTATAACGAAACTGCATGCCACCGACAATGGCTCAGAAAAGAGCAGCCCGAGTGAAAATACTCCTCCACCACCCAGCCGTTCAGACTCCAGCGAGAGTGGAACAGAAGCAGATGATGAGAAAGGGCCATTCCTGAAAGGATTGCCTGCCCCGCCTCTGCGGAATCACAAAGGTCTTCGAGGCACATCTCCAGCTCGGTTGACACCCATCCCCAGTCCACCATCGACCCCTCCTGCATATGTCCAGGCAGAAGTCTATGAGTATTTCAAGGGGAGTCGGAAAGCCGACAAGCCATCACAGCAGGTAGTCCAGCAGAAGGAATACGAGATATACAAGACGAGGAAGCGGAAAGAAATCGTCCGCAGGTGTACAGAACTCTCGTTGCTTTGGAGCATCGGCGCCCTTGTCTGGACGAGCAGAGGCGGCTCCAAGGCTTTCGTGGACTGGCTCAACGAGCTCCTCTCATTCCTCATCATTCCACCTTGCGTTTACCTTGTCTACCCATTGCGACTAGCCCTTCGGGCGCGCACCCGGGGTCGAACAATTCTTCAATCACTTCAACTGGGGTTTCATATCCCATCTCGGTTCGACCCTGGCCCTCTCTTATATCCCGTTGTGCTCCCGCTCTGGATCGCGATATCACTCTTCAACCGGACGTCTGCATTTCTACCCTCTGCGATTGTTTGTGGAATATCTTCGATTCCGTCTACCATTCTAAGTACACCCAAAGTCCCATCATTCGGACACCACCTACATTGGTTTGCTTCGATAGTCCCACTTCATACCTCGCAGTTACCATTTCTACGCTCAATGGGCGCAATACCGCCCTCCCTAAAGCTCAGTCCCGGAAGCTTGCTCTCCATGGAGGACTTGGTGGTACTGTTTCCGCTACATCAGAGTTTACTGGATGTGCTGGGTTACTTGACCACCTCAAGTCTCGATATTGCCGAACTTCATCTCCTCTCTACCGGTCTCATCAATCTCCTTCTCTTTGCAAAATCACCTCAAGCCGAGATCCTCAAAGCTCTGTTGTGGATAGGAGGGTTATGTCTATTCATCTCGTGCAGAGACCTTATGATTTGGGAGGTGGCTCTTGCACGTGTGCCTACTTGGAAGTTGCTGAAAAAACGAAAACATTCAGGCTGGCTCCCTCGCTTAGATCAGGCCATCTGCTCCGTTCTCACAGGTAGCAGATCTCGGCGTGAACGACACGATTCTTCCGACAGCCTGAGTGATGATGACAATCACGTGAGGCGTCTCCGGTCGACCAAGCGACCGCACTTGAAATTGCAAATGAATGGCAGGTCGCCAACAATGCCTGTTGCAGAGCCTGCATCTGCATTGGAGATACCAAAGCTCCATATGTTCACAGATGATTTGCCGACGTTCTCAATGCCGCTCCGACGAAACACGTTTACCGGATTTGATCTCCGACGAAAAAAGGAAAGCTCTGTTGCGCCCAAAAGAACAAGAGCGACGCCCAGTTTCCTTTCGTCCTCATTCCTGACGCTCAGTATCGAACAGGCCAAGGTACGGAAATGGGCATATGCAGGAGCTGCATACCTGCTAGTTGCTGCCACGATTCTTGGACCAGTGGAACTCTATGTTAGCAAACGTGCTTTGGAATCACATGAACCATTTGGTTGGGCCTTGGGCTACTTGTTTGGAAACATACCCGAATTCCGCTTCTTTGTGGTCAGTAATCACCTGGAGCGATGGATCTGTCTTCCTGCTCGAATGGAGGTCTTAGCATCACACAAGGGCTTTTCTTTTGAAGGATTACGACAGAACATACTTGGACCAGCAAACACACGTCTTTGCATCTGTTTATATTGCACTGCTGTGTTACTAGTGGGGATTTTTGCTGTTTTGCGATTGACCGCAGTTGTCGAAGTTGATACCAGGCGCAAGGTTTTCCATGGGATCATGGTCGTGATGCTACTCCCCTCCATTTTCGTCGACCCATGTTTCATTGCAATGGCGCTCAGTCTCATCCTTGCGATCTTCCTATTGCTGGATCTTTTCCGAGCCTCGCAACTACCACCCGTATCCAAGCCGTTGACGAGATTTTTAGCTCCTTATGTGGATGGCAGAGATCACCGAGGCCCTATTATTGTCTCGCATATTTTCTTGCTCATAGGGTGTGCAATACCGCTTTGGCTTTCACTGGCAGCAGCGCCGCGGCATGGGAAAGATCCCTGGGCCGGGTGGGAAACCAGCACGCGAGATTTGAGCATGGTCAGTGGTGTCATCTGTGTGGGAATGGGTGATGCAGCAGCCAGCTTAATCGGGCGCCGTTACGGAAAGACCAAATGGTATTGGGCAGGAGGCAAGAGCTTGGAGGGAAGCCTTGCCTTTGCCTGTGCGGTGACCTGTGGACTTGTGGCTTGTTGGGCCTGGCTTAGACTAGGCGGATGGAGTTCCTGGCAGGAGGAGGAGTCATTTTGGTGGGCGTTAGCGAAAAGTGGAATTGCTGGACTGGGGGCCAGTCTGCTGGAAAGCACTTTGACGGCTGCTAACGATAATGTGGTGGTGCCTATTGGGTTGTGGCTTCTGGTGCGAGGCCTCAAAATATAGAACGACGACAGGCAGACGAGGTGTTGAGTACAGATATGATAATACTAGTATTTAATGAACGAGCACACCAGGCTGACAACAGACCAAGGGTCTTGGATCCGACCATGTCTACCTAGTTAGTCCCTCCCGGTACCTAATTCCAGAGATGTTGATTCCACATCCGAGTCCCCATGTCTGGGGAAGGGACCAGCTTGAAGGGGTCGTGGATAGGTGCCTGAGATGCCGCCTAGCCTAATGCGAGGGGCTTGGACAGTGGCCTATTGTTCAAGAGCGACGATCTCCGGAATTCAAAGCCGTAAGATGGAAGGTGAGCAACGAGGGCTGTTGGTGACTATCAGGCGGGGTGGGCTGGAAAAGGAAGGGGTGATTGGTCATATGCAGCACGTTATCAACAAAGTCGTATCTTAGGTTCGCCGCTTAGCGTCTGGCTAACTCCGAGTGGTATTCCTTGCCACTGCTACCGTCTTTAGGCCCTAGAGATAGACTGCACCGGGCTTTGGTCATGGCCTCACTCATGCCAGTGGTGGTCACTCATGGATGGTCATGATTGTGTACACTACGGACTATCAAATCCTGCAGCTGTATGACTCAATCAGTCACGACCACAGAAGTCACTAATTCAAGGTCACTAAATGCACATCCCATGATCCTGTTCCATCCCCCACGGACCACATTCGACCCTTCTTCCTGCATAACTTACCTCCGCCTACTACTAGGAACCTATCCTATCTTACCGTACCTTGGACCTACCCAGACTTGACCTGTCTGCACAATCGACCACGACCATTTTGTTAACGTTGCCTGATCTCCTGCCTTCTTCTTCTAAGCCACCTGGTATTGTCATTGTTATCATTACCTTCTTTTTGTCTTTCTACCTGCCAGTTGTCTGTTGTTCTCATCGCCGAGACTTAATCCGATTGTTGGCTCAATCCCGCCTCGCGACTCGCCGCGTTTTGTTACACTGCGTCACTCATCTCCATCTCTCTCGTCCAACCGCATCCTCAACTCATCTGGTGCCCCGATAACCTGACATCCGCGTCCACACCGTGAAGACGTGCATCTGAGCTACCGGTTCATCTCTTTCAATTCACTCTGATCTCTTATCGGCCGTCACATCCCTCGAATCTTCCCTTTTGCGGTGTTGCACGACATTTCCGTTGCGCAGCCTGGCCACTCAATTGCGCCATCTCCACACTTCTGACTTGACGCCTATTCCATCAGCCATCAGCCATCCACCATTCATTCTTTGGCTTCCGACACTCTTTCCTGTGTGTGCCTCGAGCATTCCATGTCCAACAATCTCCCCACAATCTTCCACCCGTACTTGAAGAGGTAGAATCTTCATTCCACATCCCCTTGGTCTGCTTCCGCACCCACCAACATCCACCCCAGCGGTGGAGGTGGGAATCATGGCCACAACCACCCCCCAGACCTCTGCTCCGAGGAGATCGAAGGATTCCGACAAAATTGGTAGTTTCCAACGACAAGAGGAGATTGGACGGGGCAGTTTTGCAACCGTTTACAAAGCCCTCCATACGGTGAGTCAATCTTCATCGAACAACCCTCTCCTCTCGACCACTGATCGACTTCTGGAACCCCAGCTAACAATCCCTCAGTCCTCATCCGGTACCCCAAGTATTGTAGCCATCAAGTCCGTCAATCTAGCCAAGCTGAACAAGAAACTAAAGGACAACCTCACATCGGAGATCTCCATCCTCAAAGGCCTCCATCATCCTCACATTGTCGCTCTGATTGACTGCAAGGAATCCAGCTCACACATCCATCTGGTGATGGAATATGTCGCTCTCGGTGACCTCTCATACTTTATCAAGAAGCGAGACACTATCAAGAATAGTGAAATGGTTGGAAACATGATGGTCAAATATCCGAACCCCAGAGCTGGCGGACTTCATGAAGTCGTCGTTCGGCATTTCCTGCAACAACTCGCCAGCGCTCTCAAATTCCTCCGAGCCAGAAATCTCATTCACCGCGATGTCAAACCCCAGAATCTCCTTCTGAACCCCTCTCCAGTATATTTTGAGACCCACAAACCTCATCCCATGCCCTACCTAACGGCGGACGACTGCTTGGAACCGGTCTGCGGTATCAAATCTCTCCCCATGCTCAAGATAGCAGATTTCGGTTTCGCCCGGTCTCTGCCATCGACGGCGCTGGCGGAAACCCTGTGCGGTTCTCCGTTGTATATGGCCCCTGAGATCTTGAGATATGAGAAATATGGCCCAGAAGCGGATCTCTGGTCGGTGGGAACGGTACTGTACGAAATGATCACATCCAAACCTCCATTCCGGGCCTCAAATCATGTTGAATTGCTCAGACGGATCGAAAAGGGGGATGACAGGATCAAATTTGGTGATGAAATTGTTGTATCTGAAGAAATGAAGAAGCTCATCCGATCGTTACTTAAGAGGGACCCGAAGGAGAGGCTGTCTTTTCCAAGTTTCTTCAGCAACGAAATCATTACTTCTGAGATTCCAGGTCTTCACCCCGAGGACATGCCTCAAGAGGCCAAGGAGGCTCAACCAACAGAATCCGACCGTCGTCGCAATAGCCGAACAGATCCTACGGGGGTGGCAAGACCGAGGTCCATCAAGGAACCGGAAAGCCCATACTCGGATCCTTCCAAGACCGCCTCAGACGACAATGTCCAACGAAGATATTCCATCAATCGGCGATTGTCGAGCGCCCGGGACCAACAAGTCCATCAAAGACGGCCTTCGGATGATCGTACTGCGGCTTTGGAGCGACCTACCAGTCCAATAACAGCTCGTCCTGCTTTGCATCCCCATGCCACGGCTCCTGGCCGACAGGAACTAGTACACCGACCAAGCTCAACTCCAATGGCAAGACAAGGGAGTGGAGGGTCACATAAACTGCCGCCCTCGTCATTGCGTGGCCAGGTATATGACGAGGAACAAGAAGCAGCCCTAATCCGCAAACGCCAGGATGAGAAGGAACGGGAACGAGCAGCTCAAGACATAGCCTTCGAGCGTGATTACGTCTTGGTGGAGAAGAAAGCGGTCGAGGTCAACGCGCTAGCCGATGAGCTTGACGCAAGCCCACGCCTAGAACGAGAATCATCACAGAATGCCATATCTCCCAAATCCGGTGCGATGGTCCGACGGGCTACCACACAGGGTCATCCTGCTTCAACCACAGGTGCGCAAACAAGCGCTTCGCGGGCGGTTCAAATTGCTTCTGGGAGGCGTCCGGATGCTGTTCATGCTCGCCAAAACTCGTACGAACGACGATACGGTCCGAGTCCAAGCTCAGCAACATCAGCTATTTCCAAGGCTTTGAACATGGCAAGCGGTCGACTGTTTGGTGTTGGTTTCTCCCCGCCTGTTAATCTCATGCGGCCCGGCAGATCTCCACCAGTCAATTACAATCCATTCCCTGCATATCCAGGTGCACAAAGCAGCTTGGTCATCCTCGGTGATACAGCCAAACCACAAGCAGCAGATGAGGACACTAAATATGTTCAAACTGTTGAAGAGGTTGCGACCCGAAGTGATGTCGTGTATGGATTTGCGGAGGTCAAGTACAAACAGCTCACACCGGCAGCACCATCACATCCTGGACTCGGATTAAGGAACGCTCCCAGTGATAACGGAGCCGAGAGTCCCCTCGGTCCAACAAATGAAGACCTGACTATCGAGGCGACTGTGATTGTGGCGGAAGAAGCGCTGGTATTGTATGTCAAAGCTTTGGCGCTGCTCGCTAAAGCCATGGATATTGCCGCTCGTTGGTGGACTCGCAAGAATCGTGGCGAAACCACCGACGAGAAAGGCTATCGATTTAGCACAGGTCCTGTTGGGCACAGAATGAACAATGTTGTTCAATGGACGCGGAATCGATTCAATGAAGTCTTGGAAAAGGCGGAGTTGGTTCGATTGAAGTTGATTGACAGCCAACGCCGTCTCCCTGAAGATCATCCCAGCCATCCCAACAATATTTCCACAGCCACTGCGTCCAGTGCTGGGCTGGGAACATCTGCTGAACATGTTGTTGTGAGCTCCGGCATCACAGCGGAGAAACTCATGTACGATCGAGCTCTGGAGATGAGTCGAGCTGCAGCGATTAATGAGTTGACCAACGAAGACTTGCCCGGTTGTGAAATATCCTATGTTACGGCTATTCGCATGCTTGAGGCAATTTTGGAGAGCGATGACGAAAATATTTCCAGACAAGGGAGCGGCACCAGCGATCTGGATGAGAAGGATGACTTGGCTCCCATCAATGGTTTGGAGGCTGAGGACAGGCACACTCTGAAGAACTGTAAGTGATATCTACTGGAAGCGGCAAGCATTCTCTAATGTGAAACAGTGGTCACCAGCATCCGTGGCAGACTATCGGTCATTCGACGGAAACTGCAAGTAATCCAGAAGCGTGCGTCGGCACCAGCCATGGCTTCGCCACCAATTCCACATCGTGGCAGCAACGCCACAGCTGTAACGCCGCCTCGGTCGTGATGTATGAAATTCATGACAGCCTCGAATTTCTGTGCTTGGATGGGAGTTTGCGTTGGGTGAAGCATGTTCGTCTATTGCACTCTCTAACGACCCAAGGCGTTCATCGATGTTGACTAAAGTTCTCCGTCAATGGTTGGATCATCATCACATGATGACAACAATTCTTGACTTGTAATTACTCCTCCATATTTCATCCTTTTCGCCATTCATGGCTGGGCGATGTGGGATTTCTCTTCCTGGCGTTTATCTTGTATAGCGATGACATGAGACCCGAACTTGAAGGCGGCATGTCGTCTCGGCGTTTCGAGCTTTTTTCTTTCTTTTTTCTCCCCTCCATGTTTCCATGCAAGAGCATTGGAGACCACGGGCATGGGCACGATTATGACCAACAACAACAAACCACGAAGAAACGGCTAAGTTAACTACTCTTGTTTTCAAGACAAAGGGGTGGTGTGCATGGGTGTGAGGCATTTGGATTCACAAACGGCAAATGATACCCGTCAAGACAGACATACAGACAGAACAAACAGTAAGACAATGGTGGGGTGGCAAATGGAAACCCTGGGCGGAGCTGGTGGCGGTACTTCCTACCTAAAGTTGAGGGTGCTTCCTACCCAACGCTGAGGTATGGTCAAGATTCTTTAAGTCTCGAGCCTTGCATTTTATTCATGCGAATTGGCATTCTTGTTGGATGGCATGGGATGGGATGGCAAGGCGTGAAGAGCGATATGACTTGGGTTCTTGAATTGTGATCCTTTTTGTTTCCTGGGTATCTATCTCCCTTGAGTGGAAAGAAAGGGGGCCCAGCTGCTCTTCGAGCTGCCAGACGAACTGGAAGAGAAAGTATGGAGGCTTCTGTGCGTGGGAAACAAAGTAGATACACACACAGTCTTGAGACCCGTACCATATAAGCCGACCCAGTCCATGGGGTTTAAATGGCCAGTGACAGATTGAAGAATGACGAAAGAGCAGGATATCTCTCAACATCAATAGAAATCTCATTCATACATCTACATCTGGGGATTCATACATATATGTCTACATATATGGTACGGTAACACCCCTTTTAAACTGGGGCAGGGAATACGGCCGCTTTAATCCGTCGTACTTATGAGAGAGCGAACATTCGAGCGAGCTAGCCAGTCGGTCGAGATTAAGGTAAGTATAATGTCATTCCAAGCTCTCAATCTGCCTCGTATCGACTTCAAGGTTTAGTATCCGAAAGTTATGGAAGCTAGGAATCAGTAAGTGGGTAGCCATCTCCCGAACCTAGGAGATTTCAGAACACATTTTGACTCACTTTTTTCCCCAATACATCTCTCCACCTCCGTTGATCTTTGATGTCGCCCATCGCACACCACGCAGTGAGGCTGGTGATCGCACTCCGTCGAAGGAAGATCTGATCAGAGTGGACCCCCGGTTGATTGAGATTGGGGGGAAGATTGCAGCGGAGAGTCGAGAACTCGACTGGCAACTGAAGCACTTCGCCCCAGCCTGTCGATTTGGGAATGAAGCTGATGAAATCGGCATGGTGGCAGACATCCCGATAGAATGGCTCAATATGAGCTCTCTTGGTTAGGTCAACGGAGGCTGCTGCTCGTTTGCTTGTTTGGTTTAGAGAACGAATCACAGCACTACGCAATGCTGTGCCGGATGGTCACTCTTTCAGCGTAGATGGAAGACTCGTTCCAGACTCGCGTCGCTCCGCCGCTCCTTGATTGCCGCCCCGTGCATGAACCCGTGCACGTACGCCTCCTCGACCAATTGGTAGTGGTCGTCCCGCTTGCGAAGCAGAAATGGCACGTTTCCCCCGTCAAGCACGACGACAACGTCGCCCTCCCGCAGGTTTGCAGGTGCCAATCCGAAGAGCCCGCGTCCAGTGGTGAAGAAGCGATTCCGCAGCACGGTGCGGTGCAGCGCGCCCAGCCAGCCGGGGACGTATGATCGGGTCGGCGCAGTGAGAGCGCCGCCTCCCATTCGCTTCAGCACCTCGCCGTGGAAAATGTCTTCGACCAGCTCTTGGGGCTTGATGCGGCGGTCAGCGTCCATCTTGGTGCCGGGCCGCTTGTTGACCAGAAGCGTGCGCCAGTACGCCTCGCCGAGGGACTCGCCGGTCGGTTCGTACACTGTCTTCGCCAGGAGGCCCTGCCCAGGGTCCGATCGACTGTTCTTAATATCGCGGAGGTAGATGGTGCCGTAATAGTCTGTCACAGCACGCTGCCAATTCTGCAGGTTGTCGTCGACTTTGTCCTCGTGTGCAGCATCCTCAAGAGCATCTATGGTCGCATCTCGATAGACTGTTGAAACGGTGTCGACAAAGGTCCCGCGCAGTGACATCTGACGATTGGTGGGATCATATGTCACATCGACGGTCGTATTGCCAGCTGCATCGTAAATGTAGCTGGAGAGCTCATAAGAGTTGCTCGTGTCGGACCAATCTGCCACCCACGAAGGCAGTTCGGGGTGCCTTCCTTTCTTCCTTGGATTGCACGCCTGCAGAGCGCGGAGGTCTCTCATGTCCTGTATATGGTACCTGGCAAATTCGGTGTAGAGTCTGGGAACGGTGGCGACCTTTTCACCGTACCTGATCATGCCTGAGAAGTTCGAGAACTCTTGGTAGCGGGCGATCCTCGCATTGATATGGCTGCTGCTCGAGTCAGCCTCCTGTTGAACAGCTCCGAGTAAACCAAAGATCTTGTCAGCAGGATCGCGGCATTCTCGATGCCTGATGTTGATAGCCATGTCCAGAAATGTAGGCGAATTCCGCTCGATGCTAATGTTGTCCACTATATGCAAGTACCGTCGGTTGGGCATGAGCTGGTCTTTCTGTCCGCGACCGTGCGCCTGGTCGTGGGCCATGACAAGAAGCATGGCGAATCTCAGTTTCCGCCACGAAAGTTCGAGGTCGCCCAAATAAATCTTGATACTGCGAGCAAGCTCTTTCTCCTGCCAGGTCCAAGCTCTGTCCCACCATGTGCGCGAGAGTAGGTCGTCAAGAGCCTTCCAGGCGGGCGAGAATGCCGTACCGAGGTGCAGGTGTAGATCATCGCGCTGGACCCATTGGCGGGCATTCTTCTCATGGAGCCACTCCCAAAACATCCTTTGGTCGATCGAATCGCACGTCAGAAGAGCCTTCTCGCTGGTCTCTCCCCAGCGTTTCTCGAACTTCTCTGTGCCGTACCAGTGCTTGAAAGAATCGAGAATGCCTTCGATGAGAGCCATGGCTGGTCTCGAGGGGAGGTCATTGAGTCCTTCACCGAGCCAGACGCAGACCAGCTCGGCCTGTTGGTAGATTCTACCCATGTACCGGACCTGCAGCCCCCTTTCCTCTTGATCTTGCTGATTGATACAGAGAGCGTCGACCCACAATGCTCGCTGTTCAGTGGCATGTCGGAGGCGCCTCAAGCCTTCGGCCAAGTTCCGACCCACTGGGAATTCTATCCCATTCAAATCAATCAAATAGTGGTGTCGATCGTTCTCGTAGGAAGCCATGGTCTCGTCGTCAACCGGAGCATCTGATGCGAAAGGGGTACCCCACGTGTAAGACAAAGCCGCATATTTCATGCCCGAGGTGAGGGACGTCCTCTCCAGCTTGGCCACGATTGGCGTATCGGGATTTGCCGCTGGTTGAAGAAGCAGCAGCCGGATCTCTTGCGGCCATAGTTGCTGGCCATACAGTGAAGTGGTGGAACATGCACTTTGGGTGGCTTCATGATGCCTCTGGCTACGGATTGGGTGCGTTAGGCTGAAGCGTCTTCGAGAGGGTCTGGCGAAACGATTGTTTAGGCTGGGCGGCACGACGCGCTTGACGGCACGCATCGCCCAAATGACCCGGTGCCCCATCGCTGCCATCTACTGTGTGAGCATCCCTAGCCATACTGGTGAGTCAGATGGTCAGAGAGTCAGCTGATAAAGTGAGCATCCGCCTTCATAGGGCTACGGAGTGCACGATTACTCAGCCAGGGCTCTGAAATGCACGGTCACGTGCCAAATAAAAGCGGCCTCGCTCTCTCAAGAGATATAGCACAGTTCGGGGATTATATATATATACAGGCGTCCGAAATCTACGTGTCCCAGACTTTCTATGGAGAATCACCCACTTGGATCCAAGTGATTTCCTCAAACTCGCTGGTCTACTTCTGGCAAGAATCTGAGACCAGAGACGCATGTGCTGGTAGGCACTTTTGCCTCTGGCTTTGGACAATATCGAGAATGGGCATGGAGGTGCGGCTGGCATTCTGATGTCGATTTCTTGCGTGGGTTTACGGGCTTCTTGGGATTGAAATCGAAATTGAGGGATGAAGTTAAAAGGGTTGTGACCGTCTTACCTGGTATAGAGACCATATGGACATGACGGCCTACAGAGTACTCGTGGTGCATTGTGCACTGAGAAGGTGTCTAAAGAGGCACAGTATCTCGAGAGAAGAAATCGTTTTGAAACTGTAAGCCGGGCAAACTGCCTCTTAGGGCAGCTTGGGAAACGCACTAACTGTACCGGGTAAGTATTTACTAAATGCCATGCTTGATACTAGGAGCTCTTCACAGTGTCTGTCGGGCGAGGAGGAATGCTTCATTCTGCAACTCCGCCTTGAAAGTTGCCTTTTCTTTTCTCGCTCATTACTCTGCTGTAGGATTCGCATTCCATTGCCTTCCCTTGTTGTCCTTCCTTTTCCTTTCCGGGGGGTTGAGTCTGCAGGTGCGATCGATGACGCTGTTTACACGATCGCTGTCCAGGCTTCCAGTTGCTGCATCACTGGCACGGCTGCAGGCGCGGGTTTATCTTCAAGTTCCCCAATCATCTCCAACGTCGACTGTTTGCTACCCTTTTAGTCTCACACATTCATTCCACTCTCATACACCTTCACCTGCCCCTCCACGGCACTCCTCCTCGACCACTTTCACCAGCACCCGTTTTAGACAACTCCCACCCTCACTTTCTCGGTTCACAAGACCATCTGCCCTACCTTCCTTTCAGCGTCTCTCCAACAACATGTGTCGCTTCATGTCGGACTCGCCAGGCGCTGTGAGTACCCAAGGCAGAGTGGTCCTGCCCACCAATGTGGTCCCCAAGCACTACGATGTGACGCTGGAGGTGGATTTCGACAAGTTCACCTTTGACGGCACCGTCATTATCGACCTCGATGTTGCCAAAGACTCCTCCACCATCTCCTTGAACACCGTCGAACTTGAGATTCACTCCACCGAAGTCCATGCCGATGGCGCCCTCATCACTTCCTCCCCTTCCCTTACCTACGATGCAGACACTCAGACCACGACCATTGCCCTGGGGAAATCAATCACAAAGGGCCAAAAGGTGCAGCTCAAGCATACATACACCGGCCAGTTGAATGACAAAATGGCGGGGTTCTATAGATCTAAGCGAAGAGATGGAAAGTATTTGGCCGTTACCCAATTCGAGGCAACCGATGCTCGACGTGCATTGCCTTGTTTCGATGAGCCAGCGCTCAAGGCTGAGTTCACCGTCACTCTCATTGCAGACGAGGACAAGACGGTTCTATCCAATATGGATGAAGCGTCCACCACAACAGTCGACTCCAAGATCACTGGTGGAAAACGCAAGGCTGTCAAGTTCAACCGGTCACCAAAGATGTCCACATATTTACTCGCCTTCATCGTGGCAGAGCTCAAATCCATTTCGACCGACAAGTTCCGCCTGCCCATCAAGGTGTGGATGACGCCGGAGCAGAATGAAGAGGATGGCAAATTCGCTCTAGAAGTTGCGGCCAAGACTCTTGCATTCTACGAAAAGGCTTTCCAGGCTCCTTATCCATTACCCAAGATGGACATGGTCGCCATTCCCGACTTTGCTGCTGGTGCCATGGAAAACTGGGGTCTAGTCACCTACAGAGTGGTTGATTTGTTGTTCGACCAGAAATCAGCTGGTGCCGCTACCAAAGAACGGGTTGCAGAAGTGGTGCAGCATGAACTGGCACATCAATGGTTCGGAAATCTCGTCACCATGGACTTCTGGGATGGTCTATGGCTCAATGAAGGTTTTGCCACATGGATGAGTTGGTACAGCTGTAATGAATTCTACCCGGAATGGAAAGTCTGGGAGACCTTTGTCATCGACACTCTACAAGGTGCCATGGGATTGGATGGGCTGCGAAGTTCCCACCCTATCGAGGTCCCTGTTCACCGTGCCGAGGACATCAATCAGATCTTTGATGCTATCTCATATTCCAAGGGATCTGCCGTACTGAGAATGATTTCCAAGTATATTGGTGAGGATGTCTTTATTGAGGGAGTCAGGAGATATATCAAGAAGCACGCCTGGGGAAATACCCAGACCAGTGATCTATGGGACGCCCTTGCAGACGCAAGTGGTAAGGATGTTGCACATGTGATGGACGTTTGGACCAAGAATATTGGTTATCCCGTGGTCACAGTCACCGAGAACGAAAAAGATTCGAGTATTACTGTGAAGCAGAATCGATTCTTGCGAACCGGTGATGTGAAGCCTGAAGAAGACAGGGTCATCTATCCTGTCATTCTTGGACTGAAGACGAAAGATGGCGTCGATGAGAGTCTCCTTTTGGAGAAGCGAGAACAAACGTTCAAGCTCAAGGATGGGCTTGACTTCTATAAGTTGAATGCTGATCATTCGGCACTTTACCGGACAAGTTATACACCCGAACGATTGACCAAGCTTGGAGAGGCGGCTAGTCAAGGTCTTCTTTCAGTGGAAGATCGAGCTGGCATGATTGCCGATGCAGGTGCACTGGCGGCAAGTGGATATGGCAAGACGTCTGGTATCCTCAGTTTGCTGCAATCATTCAACACCGAGACTCAATTTGTGGTATGGAACGAGATTCTTACTCGCATTAATGCTGTGAGAAATACATGGATCTTCGAAGATGAGTCTACCAAGGATGCCCTGAAGGCGTTCCAGTTGAGTCTCACTTCAACCAAGGCCCACGAGCTCGGATGGGAGTTTTCTGAAGACGAAGACCACGTTCAGAGTCAGTTCAAGAGTATGATGTTCGGCTCGGCTGGTCTCGCTGGAGATGAAAAGATCCAAGCAGCTGCAAAGGCCATGTTCGATAAGTTCTTGGCCGGAGACTACGCGGCTGTGCACCCCAACCTGAGAGCATCGGTATTTGCCATGGCATTACGTGATGGAGGAGAGAAGGAATGGGACGCCCTTCTTGCACGTTATCACTCGGCACCAACTGCTGACGAGAAGAATACTTGCCTGCGCAGTTTGGGTCGGGCTAAGAGTCCGGAACTGATCAAGAAGACCCTCGACTTGGCACTTAGCGGAGTTGTCAAGATGCAAGACGTTTACATGCCAATTGGTGGATTGGGAACAACGTCGGAAGGCATCGAGCGACGGTACGAGTGGTTGGAAAGCAACTGGGATGAATTGGTGGAGAAATTGCCACCTAGCATGACCATGTTGAGTAGTGTGGTCAGCATCTGTGCATCTGGATTCACACGTTCCGATCAATTGGTCAAGGTCGAGACGTTCTTCAAGAACAAGGACAAGAAGGGATTCGACCGCAGTCTACAACAAAGCCTGGATAGCATTCGAGCCAAAGCAAATTGGCTGGAACGAGACAGTGAGGATGTCTTGTCCTGGCTGAAGGAGAACGGATACTCGGGAAAGGGAAAGGTGGGCAGTGGGAAGTTGTAGACGAGGATACCCAAGGTAAATCGATGCAACAAGGTCATGAAGTGTATAGGAAAACCTAGACGAGACCTGGAATCTTCGGGAGAAGCTATGAACTATGCTGTATTAGTAGCTTATGAATCTTAGAATTCTGTTAGGGGAGACAGACGAATTGAGAGAAACTATAATTTCACGCTCCACGACTACCTTTTTCTAGGGATATATTTGTTGGTGTTGCAATGAAATCAACGTCATGTGACACCATTATGTTGTGCACTTTGATACAAGCACAACCAAATGGTGGTGCCATGGTTGGAGAAAGTTGGAGTTGCAGGTGGACTGACAACCATCATCGTACCACCTGCAGTGGTGACTCTGACACAGACTCGCATGCCCTGCAGTTTAGCCCCTCGGCTTGTGATCCAACTGTGCCGGGTAGGACCACGCCGTCCACGCAGCCCGCGCAGCGCCCGGGACCCCCATGCCAGTGCCTGACGTGCAGTGGTACCATTCGGAATCAAGTTCAACCCTTCAAAGCCAAGCCAGATCTGTTGCCTCCAGTTGCCAATCACATCGCCTGCGTACCTGGAATCCCTGGCCCTCCCAGAGATTTCGGTGCTTGTTTGCCCCCCTGCAAAAAAGTTGAACTGCAGTGATGCTCAGTGGTGGTCACCGCTTTCTGGAAGAAACATACAGCACCGTGACCCTCGTACTCGTGGGCCACTTCGCATGGTCCTATCGCGCGTGTCCCAATTTATTGTTAATCTACCTTTAAAAGTTATTCTTCCCCTTCCAATTCCATGCTGGCCCAAGTCTTTTGAGCAAACAAGACATTCATTCGTTTCCAACCGTCTCTTGTTCCTTGTTGCAGCCATTACATCTGCAATAGGATACTCGAGCCAATAAATCATGGGCCTCCTCACCACCGTTGCCGTGCCCATCGAGCACTTGTTCAACACTCTCCCTGTCTACCAACTCGTCCTCCTCGGCTTCACCGCACTCATCACCCTCGTCATCTCTCTCAATGTCGCTCGTCAATTACTTTTCAAGGATAAAAACGCCCCGCCTGTCGTCTTCCACCTCATCCCAGGCTTGGGAAGCACGTATGTTTCTTCAAACCCCCTTGTCCCTTCGAATCACATGCTAATGCGACATCAAACAGGATATGGTATGGCATGGACCCCTTCGATTTCTTCTTCTCCTGCCGCGAAAAATACGGCGACGTCTTCACCTTCATCCTTCTCGGTCGCAAAGTCACCGTCTGCCTGGGCACCACTGGCAACGAGTTCATTCTCAATGGGAAACTAAAGGATGTGAATGCCGAGGAAGTGTACACCCCCCTGACCACACCCGTCTTCGGCACTGGCGTTGTCTACGACTGTGAAAACTCCAAACTCATGGAGCAGAAGAAATTCGTCAAATTCGGTTTGACCCTCGAGGCTTTCCGATCCTACGTCGATTTGATCTCAAATGAAACCAAACTCTTCGTGCAGGAGGGAGCACCTTTTCGAGGACCAGCCGGCACAGTGGACATTGTCCCCGCCATGGCTGAGTTGACCATCTATACGGCCTCCAGATCTCTCCAGGGGAAAGAAGTCCGAGCCAAATTCGACTCGAGTTTCGCAGACTTGTACCACGATCTGGATATGGGTTTCAGCCCCATTAACTTCATGCTGCCTTGGGCTCCTCTCCCGCATAACCGGAAACGTGATATTGCCAACAAGAAGATGACTGAGACTTATATGGAGATCATCAAGGCTCGACGTGCTCAAGGTGGGAAAAAGGAAGGTGATGAGAATGACATGATCTGGAACTTGATGAACTGCGTATACAAGAACGGCACACCAGTCCCCGACGATGAGGTGGCTCACATGATGATTGCACTGCTTATGGCCGGTCAACACTCGAGCTCAAGCACCTCAAGTTGGATTCTGTTGAGATTGGCCACCAGACCCGACATTCAAGAAGACTTACTCGAGGAGCAAAAGAGAGTGCTCGGAGAAGACCTACCACCTCTGACATACGAATCGATACAGAAACTAAAACTCAACTCACAGGTCGTCAAGGAGACACTAAGGCTCCATGCCCCCATTCACAGCATAATGCGCAAAGTCAAATCTCCCATGGCCATCGTAGCCAACACACCAACGACCACCAAGACCTACCAAATCCCCACAACGCACACACTGATGTCTGCCCCTGGCGTCACCTCACGCGAAAGCGAATTCTTCCCGGAGCCTATGCTTTGGGAACCGCACCGTTGGGACGACGGGCACGAACTCGCCTACACGCGCGATGGGCTCGACAAGGAAGAATTCGAGGACTACGGCTACGGCCTCATCAGCAAGGGCGCCTCATCGCCGTATCTCCCCTTCGGCGCCGGCAGACATCGCTGCATTGGCGAACAGTTCGCATACGTTCAGCTCGGCACCGTGCTCGCCCAGATGGTGCGTGAGATTAAGCTCACGAGTCCCCCTGGTAGCAAACTTGTCGAAACCGATTATTCCAGTCTTTTTAGCAGACCGCTTAATCCCGCTATTGCGGAGTTTGAGAAGAGGGGTTTGAAGACGTCGGAGAAGTCGTGATCATCTATTATCTGAGCGAGAGCGAAGGTGTGGATAATGACGCTTTTTGTGGCCGGTGTTGTCGGGGCAAGCGCGGTGTTCGTCGGCGGTCTTAATAAAGCATAACATCAATGACGTGTCGCAGTATTGTACATACTCGGTTTTAGAGGAAATTAAGAATTATTTGAAGATAAAGGATACAGAACATTAATGGTGATGAGTTAGTGCGAGTAAGCAATCTTCATTGCGACTCTGGCTTAGGCTAATGCAGTTAGTATCTACAATTGGCCTACTGCATGCACACTCGGCTGTTGCAGGGTGGTCCGTGTGAAGACAGCCAGGGCACCTACCTAGCGACACACTCTGTGCTTTCTGTAGGCACTTACTACACGTCGGGCACTCTGATCGAGTATGCGTTGGCAGCTCTGACTTTGCGTTGGCACTTAGCACACTGCCCTGCAGTGCTCTGCAGTAGGTCAGGTTGCCCAAGGCAGCCTTTTTGACCTTTGGGATTCTCAACGATTGGCTCTTCCTACATGTGCTCGGGTCAGCCTCGATAGCAGGCTGTGCCGCTGTGTAACGGCCATGCATCTTCCCATGCATTCTGAAGCGCAGGTGAGTTGGGGCTGGCACAGTGACAAAGGTCTCCGGACCTCTTCGATCAATCGCTACGGGGTTTCTTCCTCTTTGCGACGTCTAAAGCAGAGAAAATAGGCCTCGTTTTCTGAAGAGCGACAACTCGATCGAGTCCAAGAATGAACGAGACACAACAGACCACAAGAACTTCGTCCCTCATGGGCGTCGATCCGCTCTTTGGCCCTGGTACCGTGGCAGCATGGTATCTGACGCTCCTGACCTGTGTCTTGCCGTGGATGTTCGATGCAGCAGGGCGAAAGCGCGGCACAATCGAAGCTGATCTTGCCGTCTCGTTGATATTTCCTGTTGTAGCAGTCGCGAATCTTCTGTCACAAATTGTTCATCTCGACCCAGACGATGCGGATACGACTTATGCCATCGACGCGCCACTGGTCATCGTCAAGGCATTCGTGCCCATTGCCGGCTACATGTGCCTGCTGAACTTGGATTCCGGAATCAACCGGAGAGTCTTGCTCGTAGGTGTCGTCGGGCTACTCTGTAACGGCGGCGAGACCTACGCATATAGCTCCGGATTCCGTCACGAAGATCACTCTGCCGACGTTGTCCGCCGCGTTGTCTTGGGTCCATGGGGGATTTTGTCGATGCTCGCTTTGTTGTGGGGCAACGCAACGGTACTCGAATTCAGCTGGCAGGTCTTCAGGGCCATGTTTTCGAGGCTAACGACCAGGTATTTCAGTCGGCCCGAGGCGGTCCACTCATTGTCGGGGCCATACACATGGCCGTGGCCATTGCCGTGCCGATACACATTGCTGTGCCCATACACATCGCTGTGGACATGCTTGTTGCTACTCCGAAGCATACAGGCTTTCGGTATCGAGGATCCGGAGTCACACATGCTATTAACGATCGCATGGATGAGTCAGCACCTCTGCTTCACGTTCAGCACTGTAGCACTTATGGCGGTTCTCGAGAATGCCATTGGCAGGTCAGCGGAGAACGGATTTCGCCTACTACTGGAACATCTATTTCCGAAATCACCAGCCTCTTTAACAGACCTCGACCAACTGGCCGCCTTATTGGGGGGCGTCGTCATGTTGTCAGTTCGCGTCTACGATGCCACTGGCCCCTATCGCAAAAAGTGGAGCAAGGCGAAGCGACGTCAACGCGAGTTACGAGAGCAGGAGAACATCAGACTTGGTAACATTATTGCACCTAGGATCGACAGAGATGTCGAGCGAAACTGACCGTCAGAAGGTCCAAGGGATGTGCAGGCTGGATGACGGCAAATGCGTAAATGACGAAGAAAAGAAATGAGAGATACATGGGGTAGCACACAACAGTTGATCTAGTTAGCATGTATGTTGTTTTACGGGAGTTGGGTATTCTATCGTAGCCTGCTATCGTCACAGGAAATAGACAGTGACCAGCCGACCAATGCGACGTCAAGCCTGTCATCATCCTAAATGGACATGAGCCAAATCAACAGTGTCCTGCGCCACCCTTCAGATGCGAGATTTCCATCTCTATATCCAGAGTACATTGTAAACTCCTTGCGCGATGCTTGCATTAGAAGCTTCCAACCCCTGTGCCCTGAATGGTTAGGCACAGATGTCCATCGAGACAAGTGGCAGGGTCCAGAGAGCCATCCTTCCTTCTTGATAATTCAAATCCTGCTCCGACAAGACGACGACGGCCGTACAATGTTTTTGGAGGGCCAAGACTTGCATTCGAACTGATATGATCGTCTTCGGCGGTTTCAGTAGGTCGAGATTTAGAGCGTATTCGAGGAAGCTGTGAAAGTGCACGGCTAGGTGCCGTCGTCGATTAAAAAAGTATAGAAATACAATGAATGAGCAAGACTCCGGCCCAATGCTGTTGGAGAGTGGTGTGTCAATCAATAACTGGAATGACGTTTTTGAGTAAGAATCATATATGTCTTCTCAACGCCCGCAAGCGCGGCTTAAGCAGGCGGTGCAGTTTCAGTGTCTTCAGGCTTCTTGGCCTTGATGGACTTCCACTCGATAAAAACCGCAGCGAAGATCATGAGACAGGCCATGGCCACCGCAATGTAGAAGGTCTCGGTCAATGCCGTATTGTATGCTTCTTTGACACCGGCCAGAAGGTTCGCGGGGAGACTGGTCGCCAGACTGGTGGCGCCGGTGTGCAGGATGATCTCGGGGTTGACCCCGGGAGCTTGCTTGGGCAATTCGCTGATGAGGCGGTTGTTGAAGATGTTCTGGGCGACTGAGACGAACAAAGCACCGCCGAATGTTTGGACGAACATGACCAACGCAGTCCCAGTGGGAATGTCCTTGAGTGGTAACACGGTTTGAATGGTGATGAGTGGTTGTTGCATGCCGAAACCAATGCCGAATCCGTAGATGACCTGGTATCCGATCCACTTCTCATGGCCGGTCGCAGTGTCCATCGTGCTGAGGAGCCCCGCGCCAATCGAGGAGAACACGAGTCCTGCGAAGTAGAATGGGGCGTAGTAGCCGACGACGGTGGTGCCGATCCCCGAGATCACATTCGCAATAACGAGAGACAGCACCATTGGAATACACATGATTCCAGACTTGAATGCCGATGCACCTTTGATGGCTTGAAACCAGATTGGTAGCCAGTATACCAAGACGAAGAAAGCTCCCCCGAGACAAAATGCAAACCAACACGCCGCGGCAACGTTGCGACGGCTAATGATGTGGAAAGGGATAGTGGCGTGTTCTTTCATGAAATATTGAGTTATCACGAACACGATGGTCAATACACCGAAGAGCGTTAGAAGTAAAATGATTCGCCAGTTCGACCAAGGATACTTGGAGCCTCCCCACTGAAGGGCAAGGAGACAGACCACGATGTCAACTATGAAGAGACTGGTTCCGCCGAGGTCGAGTTGATGTGCTCGCTCCTTGAGAGGGACCTTGGTTTCAGCCTTGCGAGCGGGTGAATGGAAGAAGAAGATGATGACAGCTACCGTGACAGCTCCGATGGGAAGGTTGATGTAGACTAGCAGTTGTGTTAGTGCGAAAGGAGGAAACAGATATTGTCTCAGAAAAACCTACAGCACCAGCGCCAGCTGACCTTATCTGTGAAAACACCACCGAGGAGAGGACCGGCAATAGAGGCAATTCCGTACATGGCCCCTACTACTCCGGTATAGATTGGACGCTTGATGAGAGGGACCGTATAGGCGATGATGATAAGACCGCCAGAAAAGATACCAGCTGAGCCGACTCCAGCGATGGCACGACCAACAATTAGGGCAGCGGACGTAGGAGCAGCTCCGCAAATGGCAGAGCCAACTTCGAAAACCCCAATGGAGGCTAGAAACACAGTCTTGATGGGGTAGAAGGTGTACAATCTAGTCAAAGTTAATGAGGGCAATTCAGGACATGCGACCAGGATTAATTTGGTGGCACTTACTTTCCAAAAAAGAGTTGTAAAGCGCACGTGGTGAGCAGATAAGAGGAGCCATACCATCCAACATCACCCAAAGAGTTGAAACGATCTGTGATTTTGGGGATGGCGGTCGCAATGATGGTGTTGTCGAGAGCAACAAGAAAGACGGCCAAGCACAGCGCGAGTGTGATCAAAGCCAACTTGAGCCCGCTTGGATACACGATTTCATCCTCGTCAGGGGCGGCAGGGTTCGCGCGAACCTCTTCATTTTTGATTTCCACAATGGATGATGCTTTGCTACCTGAGATGGCGGAGATGGCGGGCGGTGCGTTGATTAGGGTGGTTCCTAACTTCTCGTCCATTGATTTAGAAGGCTGATCTGTCTGGAGGGATTTCTCTCCGTCTGTCGACGCCGTCGATGAGTCCTTTTCTTCTTTGGTGTCTCCCAATTGTGAATGCTTCTCCAGATCTGTACTGGAGACATTCTGGCTTGGGACGACGGTGGTTGTGCCAGACTTGAGGTTCGTATTCATTTCAGGCGCGCCCAGGGTATCGATCGACTTCTTATCGAACAATCCCATGGCGGTGGTCCAGGGGTGGGAGGACCTTCCGATGAACCAGCGTATATGGTGAGACGGAGAATTTATTGCGCAACGGGAGTCCTTAAAGTATCAGGGTTACAGGGTAGATCTGAATGTTGAGCTCGTATTTCTGATGGACGGATACAAGTCAGCCGGGGGGTGGGTAGGTATTGATGTCCAGGAATGTAATGTTGTTGCCGTAGAAAGAAGAAGAATGTTTTGCAACAATCAGCTTGATTATGTGTACAGAAAGCGACTGTAAAATATCAATGAGAGAAGCAGTTGGATTGAAGTAAGGAGCAGACGACAGAGACGAACAACTCTACGTATAAAAAAGGTCGAAAGAGTGAAAAGATACGATAACAAGAGAATAACGGGGACGAAAGGAGCAAAGAAAGAGCAGTTTTTGCCGAGTCGCGACAAACTCCACCAAGCCCGGAACTCTTGTAATTGGATACAAGACCCTTTTCGGACTTAAGAAAGAGAGTGGTTCCAACTCCAGGTGTTCCAGTTGCTCGAGGTGCGCCGTTGAATGTCGCGTGTTAGTATGACTTTCAGAGTGTGGCACTCTCCACCATCTCCATCGTGATCTCTGGGAAGCACCCACTTCCCGCACTGCACCTTTATTCTCCCGTATATTCGCCATGCCAGAAACGAACAACTTGCCTGTTTTGGGAAGACCAAGACCAAGAATCAGGCAGCAATATATTTCCATACGACGGGTAGATATTTGACCGAACTCCCGGTGTGCAGAAGTCCATCAATGCTGAGGAACATGTTGTTCAAGAATCGTGCTCAACCAGTCCAATCGGCCCTAAGATTGGAAACTTTTGGATGGCGTCCCAAGAATGGCACCTTCAAGACTCGTATTCGGGATATCCCTGGGCTGGACTCCTGAGGCTGTCAATGGCCGAGCAAACTGTCGCAATTCCCCGAGTTCGCTACGTCGGATCGCGGAATGTCGTGGTTCCGAGAGATCACGTGCCACGAGCCGCTAAATTATCATGGCAAATGACAAGTCCCATTTCTACCAGAGTGTATCGAAGCCTTTGTTGAAGATTCATCTCCACGTCTTGTTCAGTATATTAACAACCCAATGAGACAAACTCACATTTGCCTAGTATATTTGTCAATCTACTAACGTGAAATCGAAAAGGCAATGAATGTTGTCGCAAGCTGTTACATGTGCGAGCAGCTTGAGAGACCTCACCACTGTCATAGACCATGAAGTTGTATCGAATTAAATGCTCACATATGTTGAGGCAAGGGGTGGGTTTCATCATGCATATGCAGGGCAGTTACCTAACAGCAAGTCACGGGTCGTCACAACCAAGCTGGGTCTTATTGTGACTTGGACTCGGCGGTATCCTGGGAGAACTGGTCTTGGTTCAGCCTTGCTTGACCCTGGCAAGGCTGCCACCATGTCTCCTGCTGCTCAAGGTGACTGATTGCCAGGTGACTGGCCATGGAGAAAAGATATCCCACAGGAAGTGAAAAATCATTTACAATTGCGCGGTTCAAGTGGTTAAGCCTCTCTGTATTTCTTTTCAAAGACATCTCTTCAATCATTGGTGTCATCATCCATCCTCTTCTTCATTCTCCTTCCTCGTCCTTCGCTCACACTTTCAAACGATCGATTTCTCACCCGAATTCTTCTCTTTATCCACAATCATTCACACACTCATTACCACCGTACTCGCACTCGCAATGGCAGGCTTCAAAGTCTTCCTTCTCGCTTTGCTCTTCATCGTTGGTTCCAGTGTGTCGGCCGCCAGTGAACTTCACGTTCCAGATTGGGAAGACCTTGGTGACTGCGCTGTGAGTTTTTCTTCAAGATCCTGATGACCACAGCACCACTGACCTCGCCCATAGCGAACCTGCCTTAGCAACTCCCTCCATGCTGTTCTGGATGACCCTGGCAAGAATTTCCAGAATGCCATTTGCGCTGCTCCTTTCCCTGGTGCTCCCCCATGCCACGACTTCTGCGATGATCCTACCTATAACTCGTCCTTGGACCGTTGTCTCAAGATCAATTGCCCCAAATGGGTTGTAGGAGAGATTCAGCTTCTCAGCAACCACCTCATCTGCAACATCTCCGAGCGTCAGAATGTCAACTTCAACCGCACTACTGGCAACTGGGAGGTTCACTGGCCCAAGACCTTGAACGCCACTGGCACCGAGACTATTGTTGTGGACACTCCTCACAAGACTGGCTTCGGTCATCCTTGGGCTTTTACTGCAGTGAGTCTCCCTCGACCACACAATCCTTGCAAGTCTCCTAGCTGACCAGAAATTCAGGCTCGTCGTGGTGTTCAGGATGGATTCCCCGGCTACCACTTCGCCACCGAATCAACAACCACCCAAGCTGCGCAAGAAGTAAGATTATCATTCAACGTCTGACCAATGCTCCCACTGACCTCATTGCCTCAGCCTGCCTCGACCTTTGCCTCTGGTCTCAACGCAACCACCAGTGCAACCTGTCGCTCAATTGGTAAGCCATTCTTGACCTGTCCCAACTTTGTTCCACCAAACTCTTCTGAAAATGTTCAACAGCTACAGCTACCACCTTTGTGTTTATCACTATCACCCCTGTTCCAAGCACTAACATCTCTGCCACCACCATCGTCCCATCAACCTCTTGCAGTTGTAACAGCACTAGCACATTGACCACTCGTGTGTTCACCACAGTGTTGACAACTTCTCATCCATTGATGTCCACACACGTGCCCTCTCACAATTCAACTCGGGTCAGCACTACGCACTCCACCGCAACCGTTTCCCTTCCACCTTTACACACTGAAACCAACGCAGCAGCAGCTGTCGATGTTGCAAAGCTGATGGCTTTTGGTGCTGGGGGTGCAGGTCTGCTGGTGCTTGGACTGTTGTGATGAACCAGCTCGGAACAACCGCAGATGGTGTGATGTTTGACAAGTCATAACGTCATACACAAAAACATGAGATGACGAGTGACATGGAAAGGGGACGGTTCTAATGGCTTGGAATACTTACCTCCGGGCAGCGCGACCAGTTTCTCGATGATGTCGACAGTAACGATGGATCTTTCAGTGAAAAAATGACCAATAATGGGCGGGATTAGCATTTCTCGACACGGTCTTTTCTCCTTTTCTTGAAATTTGGTCCACAGCTTCGACACATCAGAGTGAGATGGCCGGAAATTGCCTTGGGGTGTTTATCGTAGACAATGTCTCTACCAAACAAAATGAAATTCGATAAATGTAACTCTTCTTCTTTCTTGGTTTTCTGTCTCCGTAGACGTCAATACATTGTCGATGTTAATCACTGTGTAAGCTGACACATCAGAGAGTATGATCGCCCTTCATCTGCAAAACGATTCCAGTGTCGAAAAGGCGCAATCGTGAGGCTGCTGATTAATATGCCGATCAACATCGGCGACTTCACCGTTCCCATTTGGATCCAACATAACTTGACTGGCCCATGATCTCAGCGATGTTTCCCAATTTCAGGCACGCAGATATTCGGAATGAGCAACGAAAGCGGCATTGATACGAAAAGAGAAATATCCTCGACAGTCAACTGCAATTAGCTGAGAGACACCCTGATCGGAACAACCCAATCCGCCGATACCACCCAGGAGCTATAGAGTTAAGGCCTACACAATGGAGCAAATGGAATTCCACGACGCCGAGTCCCGACCAGGGACGGCTTGGAAAGCAAGCGAACCGGGGATCGACGAGCTGGTCCTGAATCACGATCCTGCCACCGGTCGAAAAACACTACTGCAGCGGTGGCAGCCCGGAGCGGCGAATGTGCAGCACGAGGTCTTTGTGCACGAGTACATTGAAGAGATCTATATCGTGGAGGGAGACTTGATGGATACTAGATTGAACCACTCCTGGAACAAAGGGGCTTACGCGTATCGCAAGCCCCGGATGGGACATGGTCCGTTTGCGTCGGAGGGTGGCTGTTTGATGTTTATCACTTGTACTCCGGTGGGGTGATGCGCGGGGGAAAGTGTTCTCTCTAGATTGTATGTTGCTCAGGTCTTGGAACTGAAGCTGTGGATAAGGAGTGGTTGTTAGAAAGGATGTTCAATAGCATACCTAGGTATTTAAGAACCTCAGCCTGGGCCAACACGGCTGAGACTCTTGGCGAGGAAATCCTCAACTTTGTCTTTGAACTCCAATCTGGCACCTGCGAGCCACTTACATGATGATCAGATAATGCGCCTCAAGCCTCGCAGCTAGCTGCTTCCGGTAGGATTGAAATTGTCCGTTAATGCGTCGAGGCAATGTCAAGACGCAGATCGATCAATCTACCGATATCAAATAAAACTACCACTTCAATGATTACGGAGGCAGTCTCTTTGACCGTCAACAGAAAACGGCGAATATTTCATTGCAGATAACACAGTCGCCCGGCAGCCGGAAGGGCTGCGAACCCATCAACCTCGATGGCCCAGAAAAGTCCGTCGACCGACAAGAGGGGAACGCTCCCTGTTGACGATAGCGCCGAACCTTCCTCGCACAGAGAATCCTATCGATGGCCAACACTCTACGATGCAGTGGCCGGAAAGCTAGGGACTGGGGGGTTTCTGTCCACCGAACAGGTCAGATCCAGCACTTATCTGCCCAGTGGGCCCGAGGACTACCTCTTGCGGCGAACAAACATACCTAGCGATCTGCTTGAGAAGTCGTATGCAACTGTGGCAGAGATTGTAACTAGCGGTAAATTGCCGGATTCAGAGATGCTCAAGGCGGTCCACACATACGCCTCCGACTTCTATTTCTCAGCAAATGGCAAGGGGAAATCTAAGATTGACATGCGTTCTCTCGATGAGACAGCATTGATTGCTGTTGGCATCTTACTCGAGGAGGCAGTAAGAGAAACTCTTGGAGAAAACGGGGACATGGCTTTTGTGGAACCAGAAGGACTGGAAAACGGGCTGGGTGAGAGCAAAATGACCAAACATCAGATCAAAGGGAGAGTCAAATCAACGACGGTCCTTTCGCCTGTTCAGTACGAGGATAGCCTGGTTAAAGATGCCTCTCCAGCGAAAAGACTCAAGCGGTAGACAAAGCGGGCATTTATCCAAGGTCGGAAGTGCCGATCCGACTCGAAACAAAGTCATGATAGGAATGCTTGATACAACCGTCCACAGAAGCAGACGAAGTATTGCTGAAAGATTAGCCATACATCTGTAAACCAGGCGTTGACATGTAACCGTGGTAGTGAGAATTGATAGCACATTGGTGCCCAGAGAGACTTCCGAACTCCGGGCCTGCAGGCCATGGCAAAGCTTGGTTGGAGAGAAGCTTTGGTCCATTCACCTTGTCACACGTGGGGAAAAATCAAGCAACCCAGCCAGGAATTTCGTGGTACGGCAAACGTCCAGATGACAAGCAGAGGATGATCGAATGATTCTGCTGCCATTTGTCGGGGTCACAAGTTCAGAATAGTAGAAGGCGCTTTGAATTGGCTGGTGGTGTGAAAATTTTCATCACGCACCGGGTTGCTCTTTCGTGCCCTGGAGTGAATGGATCGGGTTGTACTAGGACAAGCGGGGGGCCAATGTGATTGAGGGGCCAGAGCCAACGGGTGGCATGCAAGACGGCATGCAGACCATTCCCAAGGTCCCCTTCGGATATAAGCGAACATCCAATGGGAAAATGGATGCTGGAGAAGTCAGGATGTGATTCCTGGTGAGCGATTGCCACCTCTGGGATAGTGGAACAGCAGCTCACCTGTGTGAGGACGGTTATCTACTATTTTGATGGCCAAAGCCACATACGGGGACTAGTGTGCCCAGTGCCTTGGAGGTACCCAGGTGTTATTGATGGCGACTAGGTACGTAGCACAATAACAGCACGGAGTACCTCTTAAAGGAAGCAGTTGTGTCATTATTGATGAATTTTGTCAAATGATGACCCACGCCGCGGAGCTGGGTTTAGGCGTTCGTAAGGCATCACAAGCCGACCATGACAGGCAGGGCCCACGGGGACCAAAGACGTGGTCTCAAAATCCATTCTGTGTCACGTTGCAAGTAACCTTGTCGGAACGATGCAGGAATATGTCCCTCGTTTCGAGGAGCAGACTATCGAACTGCTCAGTGACCAAGTTTCGTCATGTACTGTAGATCCTGTCAAGGAGATATTGGATGCGTGGGGATGGATACATCATACAATGCGTGTTGATGATAGCCCCGGGGATGTCCCTGTGCTCGTGGGTAGACCACTAAACTACAAGCTTGAAGGACCCAGATGATCATCGATGCAGTGGGCACGGCCGTCGCTCGCTTCACGCCCGAGCTCGAGTAGTCCCTCATTGCTCGTTAACTTACCGAGTACTCGTAGTAACTAAGTCGCAGTGCCTGGACCCCCTAATAATCCCCAACTAGAACATCACCCTCCTAGCCCCCCAGGCCTCATCTTCTCACTCTTTCGAGTTTCGTAAACTTGTACTTGCCAAGCCGAAGCTTGAACTTCCAGACAAGCCTTCATCATCACTCAACCTGTGTCCTCCAAGTCCACCACTTTGGTTCTATCTCTTCTCATCAAAGCTTGGCCACCTGCCTTTCCACCTCCTTGGATCACGTCTATACGCCCTCTTCACTGGTATTCCTTGACCAACACGCATCTCGCCTGCACCCTGCGAACCCTCAGCCCAAGAGTCCACCGATACCTGCCACCAACACTCGTCTCAGCCTCCGCTCTTCGACCACGCCTACCACACACCCACGCGACGACAACATTGATCTGCGCCCCTCCTTCTAATCAGATAGTATGCGCCCTGCTTGAATCCTCTAGGCCCCCATTCCATCACATCTAGACACTATCCGGCGTGTCTTACGTGCGACGCCCTCGATCGATAACCTCGGATGACCAAGCTGACAGGCTCATATGCAGGCGCAGTGATCGCCGCTTGATGACCTCGAGCCCGCCTCAGCCACACTTCCAACTTATCAACCACCTTGGACCCTCTCGTACCGGCTCCTTACCTCTCCTGCCCTCTCTGCAACGCCTCACATATACCCCAACAAGCTGAGCTGAACAATGCTCTGGCTGAAGTCGCCCTTATAGCATTGAATGGCTCAGGTTTTAACGGCGATGCCTCTCGAGACACTGCTCACCAATCCCAATCAGCCAGTGCCTCGTTCACGATCGATCCTTTCATATTTCTCCAACCCGCTTGCGAATCATGCACGGAACATGTTCGATCTCGTCGTCGAACCCGATGACCCTTTTAAAGTGTATTCGCCGGGCCAGACTGTGAAGGGGCACATCACACTCACTGTACACAAGGGTTTCGACATTACACATCTGGTCATCGCGCTGCATGGTTACGCGAAAGTGTACAAACATCAAATCACGACTGGAGATGGGGTGACTTCGGCGGAAGCATTGATGATCGGGAGAGGCCCACGAGGGTTTGAATATCACGGCAATGGTCTCGCGTCGCTTTTCCAAAGTGAACAAGTTCTTTGCGGAAATGGGTTTCTCAAGAAACAAGTGTACAAGTTCGCCTTCGAGGTCTCCTTTCCCAACAAAAGCCTGCCTAGCACGATTGAGGTAAGTCCCTCGTCAGATATTCTGTCAGCGAGATGTTGACAACATGCAGTTCGAGCGAGGTAAGATCGCGTATATGTTGACCGCGACTCTCACCCGGCCGACCACTATAAGTCCAACGACAACACGAAGCACCAAATTAAAATTCCAGGATCACATTGACATTGAATCAATGTATACCCCGAAATCGAGAACCATCTCTCTCGAGCCCGTCCATAAGCGTGGCAAGGTCAAGGCAGTCAAACAGGCATCATCAATAACCACTCAAACCACTCAAACCACTCAAACCACTCAAACCACGTCAAGCGCTGGGCGTTTGACACGGAATAACACCCAGAACAGCACTGCCACCCGAAGCGATAACTCGGTGTGCAATCCGCCGCTCAGCCCCGCGCCTAGTGATGACACTGTTCATTCTAACACCACGGCTACGAGCACACAAAGTTTCCACGTTGTCGATGCAGGATCGCCTCCAACGAGAACAAGCCCTCAAACAAGCGATTCTCGAAGTAATACTACTTCTTCATCCACTCACACCATCACTGCCACCACCGAGCTCCCAAGGCATGGGGTCCTGCCAGGAGATACTGTCCCAATCCGAGTGTCCATCACACACACGAAAGCCGATGTCAGGGGCATGGTGATAGTGACCTTGTACCGACAAGGTAGGGTGGACATGCATCCAGCCATTCCTCTGGCAACGCGAGGGAAGGAGAAAAAGGCAGAGTATGAGGATGTGTATCCCAAGTCCCGTACTGGTCTTGGAGGATTGTATTTTGCCAATGGCTCACCAAGCAGCGTCTTCAGAAAAGATCTTGCTCAATCATCGACCATGATGGTTGTCCATCCTCAAACCATGACAGCTGACATAACGACCACAGTCAGGATCCCAGATACCGCATTTCCAACAATTGCCAACGTGATGGGAGGCATGATATCATTCACTTATCATATTGAAGTGGTAGTCGACCTTTTCGGGCGATTAAATGAAACACGGATCCTACCACGACTCACGTCCAGTGAACCGACTTTCACGCACAGTGTTGCCGGTGGGAATCAATTAACCTCGGATTGGTCGCATAATATTCTGGACACTACCCAACTTCGGAGAACCAAGAGTGTTATCACTTTTGAGATGTCTCTTGTTGTGGGCACGGTGGACAGTGGGAGGAAACAGCGTCAGGCCAAGCTGGCTGAGGCTCAGAATCCGACCCCAGACGTGCAGTGGGGTGAAGAGGATTGGGATGACAGACTTTATCATGAATATGATGGTCAGTATTATGATGAAAACGGGTATCAATATTATGACGAGTATGGCTATGATCCCAGTTACTATCAGGATCACCAAAACCAGATGGCGGAGGATCTCCCTCCTCCACCACCCCAAGAAACGCATGAAGAGGTGGATGAGAAGACCCGATTGCGTAGGCAAGAGCAATTGTTACTGCCCAGTCAACCCCCACAGGAAGGAGAATCGTCGAACAGCGCGCATTTGTACGCCCCAACCGCGCCTATCCTACAGCCTGATCACTTATCTGATGGCCTTCAAACCCATCATGATGGGTCTGCGACTCCATCGAGCGTTCATCCGGCTTCGGTGGCATCAGCAAGGTCAGGAGATACTATCAGACCATATTCGACCTCTCCTCCACCGGGGCCGCCACCATTCAGTGAGAATGAACCTACAGATGACAAGCATGAACTGGAACGACGCCGATTGCTGGCTCAAGCAAGTGCTCCACCCACGGAAGATGGTGGAGAGTCGAGCAGTTCGAATGCGGCAGCCTCGACAGCGACTGCACCCATGATTAATGAGGAGGATGAATATAATGTACAAACACTGCATCACGATCATACAGGAACCGACTTACCACAGTATGAGCGGTAGTGAAGGAAAGGGATTGGTCATTTTATGTTTTATTTGATTTGTGCAGCGACTATCGGTTCTGCTCTGCCAGCGAAGGCGCTGGATGGGAAATATCTGTATTTTGGAAAAATCAAGAGCAATGGAATGAAACAGTGAGCAGTCTTATCGAGCAGAGTCACAACCAGCTTGAGAGATGATGGATTATGACGACGGGCTTATAGGAGTCACCATTTGCGGGCCAATGTCCCCTGACATCCCAGCCGTGGCTTCAAAAGAGCTGCCACACCACTCCGAAATGGCAGATTTACCTGAATACAACGGCGGCGGTCGAGTGGATTTGTGTATGGACATTTTTGCACGTGAGAAGCACATCAGGGGACGACATTGAAGGGAACCAGGATTGCCCATACCATGAGGCCTATATGAGACCCAAGATCTAGAGGTCATCCATGACAAAAGCAAGTATCGTTGTAACGGACATACTTTCTATATATGACAATCTCAAGATCATCATCTATATGAATTGGTGCACTCCCAGTTGACAAGTAGACATGTCCGTTGCATTATGATGGACTGTGGAGGAATCTCGTCGTTGTAGGGCTTGGGTGGGTGCCATCCTCGTGCAAGCCTGATGGTCACTTCATAGCAACAAGAGATGCGCTGCTGAATCTGAGTACCTGCCCATTTTCAACAACAGCAGGTGTACTGGAGTCTGCTCTTCAACCCATCTTCTGCTGTCAAGGAATGTGGAGGAGCGATTCTTCATTTCGCACTGCCGGTGTCAGTCCTCCCCCTCGTCACATTTGCATTGATACCTCGTAAGTCTGCCCTCAACTTGCGTCGATCAATGGCAGATGCCAGCGCTTTCACGGTTTCCCAATGCATTGCAGTGCGGTGGCGTACGATGGCGTGATCACTTACTCCGTAGGTGCAATTCACTAACTACCTACTTAGCTTCTAAGTGACCAGTGCTTTAGTGTGTGGGGTATACGTCGTCCGTTGATGCGGACCTCGAGGAACTTCGTGTTCCAGGTGATATTGTGGCTATCATAGGAGTCGCATCCTTTGACGGATCCTATCTTTGCTTCTGCCACGCTCGCATCACACGGCTGTATCAGGAAACGCCTTACTCTACAAGCACGAAACATTGCGAATTCCGCCAAGTCTCCTTGCACCAGTCGACTCTTTGACACTCGTCTGGGAGATGAATGCTTTGTCAAGCGCCATCCCCACAAATTCCGACTTCGGCTACTAGAGCCTTATCCGTCCTTGAACCCTAGAGAAGTCAACTGTTCAGCAGCAGCCTCAGGTGAGAATAGTGCTCGGTAAGGGCGAACTGACAAGACACCCAAGGTGAGCCAAGGTGAAGTGCCTAGGCTAATCAAGATAAGACAAGCATTGTCCACCACCTCCCCTGCCAGACAAATTCCACCAAGACTCATTTCCATCAAGACGTGTCAGGCTGGTACGGTCGCTCGAAGTTGCTGGCCGTACTATCTGCTACTCAGCTAGATGATCACTGCAAATCAAGTAGGTTCTCACAGTCGAGTCTGCAACAAACCAATCCGTTGTAGATCTGAAGACACATTTTGAGAATCTCGGCTTCAGAGGCCTCAAGATCACTGGTTGGCCTGTGATTGGTCGGTTTTCGCCTCACTGGTTTCCCTTATCTTTCCATTCTCAAATATTAACCTCAAGATAGGCGACGCCGTGCAGGTCATTGTATGGAGTCAACGAAGCCACTGGTCGTATGAGTCTGCCCTTGAGTGGTGGCTGGATATGATCCCTTGCTGTTTCTCTGGACAAGCCCCCCACCCAACACGGCGATTTCCTTGAGTTCCCATGGATAATCGCTTCAGCTTGCTTGAATAGTCCTGATCGACTGCAGTCCGCGTGGTATTGACATGCACTAAGGAGTGATGGCGAGCTCCTCGCTCGGCGTTCAGGTTGCAACAGCATTGCTAGTCCAAGATAAGCACATGGATGCTGATGCTTCGGTCGGCTTGGGGTTGCTTGGTGTCTTTGCATCTCTTTAAAGCCCTGCACCTCTTCCTGCAACTTTCCTGCCTCCCATCTGGTTCTCTCACAGCCAGTGGCTATCATTCTTTATTCAACAATTCTTGCCCTATACTGTTCACCATGGCGGCCGAACCAGTTCTCGATGAAAAATCCGTCCAGGACACAAAGCAATCGCCCACCAATTCTGACCATGATATCGAAGCGGGAGAATCCCAGCCTGGGGAGCTCCACCGTGGGCTCCAGGGAAGGCACATGCAGATGATTGCTATTGGTAACAACCGTTTGACTTCTTCGAGTCAATACCGAGACTGACATGTTGTTTAGGTGGCTCAATCGGTGCAGGTCTCTTCGTCGGTTCTGGTGGTGCCCTGCAATCGGGTGGCCCAGCCTCCCTCGTCCTTGGATTCATCATCATCGGCATGATGTTACTCGCGACTGTAAATGCTTTGGGAGAACTTGCGGTGCTGTTTCCCGTAAATGGCGCGTTCTTTGCGTATTCTGTTCGTTTCATCGACAAGTCTTGGGGCTTTGCGATGGGCTGGCAGTACGCAATTGGCTGGCTGATCACTCTTCCTTTCGAAATCACCGCTGCAGGCATCACCATCAGCTATTGGCACGAGTACAACATTGGTATCTGGATAGCCGTCTTTCTTATTACCCTCATCATCGTCCAATTCTTTGGTGTGAAAGGTTATGGTGAAGGTCGGTTGAATCGCTCCACGTCTTGATGGAATGCTGATGGAAAATCTAGTCGAGTTCGTCCTGGGAATAATCAAGATCGTTGCCGTCATTGGCTTCATCATCTTCGGTATCATCGTCAACTGCGGTGGAGTGCCTACCGATGATCGAGGATACATAGGCTTTCGGTACTGGAATGGAAAGGACGGTAACCATGCTTTCCGCAACGGTAAGAATGAGACAATGTCTGTCACCAAGAATGATGCTGATAGAGGCGCCAGGCTTCAAAGGATTTTGCTCTGTCTTCGTGACTGCAGCCTTCGCCTTCGGTGGGACTGAGATGGTTGGTCTTGCTGCTGCCGAGGCTGCTGATCCAAGAAAATCATTGCCAAAGGCGACGAAGCAAGTCTTTTGGCGTATTGCTGGCTTTTACGTGGTCTCATTGCTCATTATGGGTATCATTGTGCCAAATAATTCCGAAGATTTGCTTGGCTCAAGTGGTGCCAATACCAAAGCTTCACCATTCGTATTGGCAATCAAGTATGCTGGTGTCAAGGGCTTGCCATCGGTTTTCAACGCTGTCATTACCATCTCAGTCATGTCTGTCGCCAACAGTTGCACGTACGGGTCCACTCGAACAATGCAAGCTCTTGCAGCAGCAGGAATGGGTCCTAAATGGTTAGGATATATCGACAAGAAAGGTCGCCCATTTTGGCCAGTCATTATTCAGATGGCATTTGGTCTCCTGGCATTTGTCAACGAGTCCGCAGATGGTGGCACCGTCTTTAACTGGCTCTTATCACTCACAGGTCTAAGCTCGTTCTTTGTCTGGGGCTCGATCTGCCTGAGTCACATTCGATTCCGACAAGGCTGGAAACACGCAGGACGTTCTCTCGATGACCTTCCATTCAAGTCGCCGCTCGGTGTCTATGGCTCATACTTTGGCCTCTTCCTGGTCGTCATCTGTCTCATGGCAACGTTCTATGTCGACCTCTTCCCCATCGGCGGCAGTCCCAACGCAGAGAACTTCTTCATGGGTTACATTGCGGCTCCCATTGCGTTGGCATTGTTTGCATTCTGGAAAGTCTATGCCAAGGATTGGCAATTCGGCGTTCGCGTGGAAGATATGGACCTTGACACCGGACGCAGAGACTATGCAGATCTGCCTCCGCCAGAGGCCGAGAGGAAGCAGAGTGTCGTGCGCAAGCTGAGCACCGCCATCTTCTAGTCGAAGGGATCGTGGTCCAATGAGGTTGTTTCGTTGTCTTTGTCGTTGACAGGAGCTGTCAAATGGTATGTCCGTAATAGTAGATGGTCAGAATGAATACATGTCTTCACATAATCCATTGCTTCGTTCGGAAGAGTTTTGTAAGAATGGAAACCTCAGAGATGAGCGTGTTGACAGATACTAGATCTCAAAGTAGGTACAAATAGCATCCGCCGATGAGAGAATCATGACCCTACGGTCCAGATTCAACGCGACGAACACCTGAGGCCGACCAGTACTCTCCCGCGAAGAAGCTGTAGCTCGTCGGACCGGACAAAGCGTTTTTCGACAAAGTGAACCCCATCCTCGACGTTGGAATCGAGAAATTGTTAGAGATGGGAAAATGGAATGGAATGGAATGGGTTTGTGAGCTTTGAGTAGCATCAAAGGAGTAGTTGAGTCACAGGGCGGGAAAGCATGGGGCTCGGGGCTCGGAGTGTCGTACAGTCCAGTCCAGCCTGTAAGGCTGCCAGTGTTCAGGGTTGAAAAAAGGGTAAAAGTGGAGTCTTTCGCTTTGAGTTCGACACATTGAAAATACTAATCACTGACTGACCTAGTTGTTAGTGGTACGGAGTGATTATGTCGAGATATCGTACTGGAGTGCTCATCTCTGGTATCATATGGTATCTTGCATAGAGGGAATGTTCGATTCGGAAGGCGTTGTTTCACGTCCGCTGTAGTCACATATAAAGTGCCCGGATCCGCCGGGGTGGTATTCCTGTGATTAGGTTGTTCTTCTCTTTAAGATATTATTCTCGGGGTGGTGTTTCTGTGTCTGCCGACTTTTAAGTATGATGGTTACCATGCCACTGGCTGGCTGCGGGCATCATTAAGGACTGAGGCGCTTACACTATCACTCCACGGAGAGTTTAGATGGGGTTAGACGATGAATGGTAGGATGCTCCAGCGTTCAAGCCATTTCTCATTGTTCTTTCCGTGTATCTCGACATTTCCAGCATCACTGGTGGACACTGGTGGGTCAAATATTTTCTCTAAACCTCTAACACTGCGAATTTTGAAGCACTTGTCATCCGATCTAAGTCGCTCATGGTCTGCTGTCGCCCGTTGCAAATATTGCATGTTTCTCATAAATTCATACCTGCTTCACGTCTCCCACCCGACGAAGCGGCCTCTCAGAGATGTGGAACGAGTCAAACATCGAACAGCTCCTTCAATTGTTTCATGGTGTCTTCGGGATCCTTGACAGCGTGGCCGATGGTTCGAGAGTCCTGGTAGATTTCCCAATCATTGCCACCAGGGAATGCCTTGTCGCCGAAGAAGTGAATCTGCTTGTACTGTACGCCAGATAATCCCTTCGAAGAATCGGCTTCAGCTTCAACATGTTTAAGACAGTAAGTTTTGTCCCATCCCGTGGGGAAAACGTCGAAGGAGATCTGGCCACCAATGGAGTAGCTAAAAGAGATGTTAGCCATCTGAATATGTTGTCTTGCACCCCAGGCTTACGTGAGTCCATAATCAGGGAATTGCTTCTTGATTGCTTCAATCAACTTCTTTCGAGTTTCGGTTTTGAGGTCCCACGTCTCATATTCCCCTCTCTCAGCCTGGCTTGCGTTACGGCCAACTGGACTGACGTTGATCATGCCATTTCTGAACTCAATGAAAGTTCCACGCATAGCTGGGAGACCCTCAAGCTCTGAAATGTATCTTAGGATGAACTTGACAAGCTTCTGGTATTTTTCTTCTCCTAGCCAGCCAATGAAAGAGGTGGAGTCGAGCTTTTTCCCGAGTCGATAGGCAGTAAGACCATTCTCGGCGAAGCAAAAGTCGAAGACATCGGTGACGGGGACTGAAGGGGAGCCGAGTTGTTCTTCCTGTTTGGAGAAATCGGAACCACCCACCTGGTGCAACAAGGTCAGTTAAACTCAACTCAAGAATGTGATCAGGGCAATACGCACATAACCGATGGCGACCTTCTGTCTCAGTCTTGCAAGGATATCCATCATCTCAGGAGTAGCATGTCGACGAGCCGGGGAGAGAGTGCCATCGACATCAAAGAGGCAAATTGTGTCCTTGATAGGACGGTCTTGGAGTGTGGGATATTGTGCAGCCATTTTGGGGGAGGAAGATGTTTGGAGAAAGAGTCGGGAACTGTGGGAAGGCAGACAAAGTTGTAGAAATCAGGAAAAGCAAGAATACAATGGAAGGGGGAAAAGACAGCTCACCGTAAGTTGTTGCTGAAATTACTTTTTGACAGGAGCCGTTAGTTACTGCGACCTACATTAGTAGCAGCCACAATGTTGCCATGGCTCAGGAACAGAAGGTGATCGAGACGCGCTCAATTTCTTGCACACCCCGCTGCTACCTGCCAGTGCATCTAGAACCAACAGATGGAACCCCGCAGGGGCACGTGGAGATAACGACTACACACCAGCTGTCTGACCACCGAGCGCAGCTGCATTTCGTGGTGGTGGTACAGTGTGCTATGAGCATCAGACGTAAATATTTTATCGGAAGACACCGGGAGGACTTCCATTTTGGGTTAACACCAATATGTAACCACTTATAAGCAGCCTGAGACCTCTCAAGGCTGGGTTGCTGTTACTATTCAATTGACCAAATTCATGTTGAGACCAGGATCATTTGGGACCATTCGACGAGGCTGAAATCCTCTGTTAAAGGTGAAGTGAAACAAGACCAAAAGGTCACCTAGTGCTGATAATCCTGGCGTCTCCAAGGGTCGGCGAAAAACAGGTGATTTCGGTGCTCGCCAGCCAACCAAGTTAGAACGAAGCCTTGGCCTTGCGAATTCCAACAGGCGCCTAACTCTCCGCTCATCTGAGATCCAACCACTTTTCGTTCTTGACATTCTCTCTAACCAATGCCTCATACGAGGCTCTGAGAGCTGTTGTGCACCTTTGATATGTTTCAATCCAAGAAAAATACATGTTTCAACGGATTCGCGTTGACTGAAAATACTTTACAGCCGCCCGTGGCAAGAAACAGCCATGTCACTTGGAAGCGCGTTGCTCACGCTCAGTACGCATTCAAAAGCTCGGTAAGGTCTATGCAGGTCATCGATTACTTCCTCAAAAGTTTTCATCAATTTCTCTCGTTATCACCAAAAGCAAGCACCCGCATATTCAATTCTAGCCCTCCTTGTCCATCTCTACCGCACGCAGGCGTGCGATCGCGACAAAGTCCATCATTTTCTGAACACTAATCAGCATATCAATTGGCATACTTTCCTTGTTCCGACTTTGCAATCTTGACCATGCGGATCATTCTATCCTCCTACGCCTTGCTTACATTGTTGGCTTTGACCTCGGCCAGTCCCCTCCATAGGCTTGTTCTCCACCTTGAATCACATCGTGCTGCTTCTAATTTCCTCTCAGGCATCGAAGTGGGGTGCGACATGCAAACGAGCCGCAGAAACGTTATGTTGTGAATGGACTTTTCCCCGAACCAGATTTGCCGCAGAAGCGACACGAAGACTCAGCAAATAACCAAGGCCAACAACAACAGCAAAGCCGGACCGTCTCCAGCATTGACCCGTTTGCTGTTCCTACAAGACAAGGAACTGAGGATGGAGCGGTTGGTGCTGTAGGAGTCGGCGGCTCGCGTACAAGTCTGCTGAGTCTCTTGACACAGAGTTTGACCGAGAGTGCAAGAGCTCAACCTTCCGCCAATCCACAAGGTGCTCAACAAAACGGAGCGTCTGGTGCGGCAGGAAGTGGAACAGCCATAAACCCTGCTGGTGCTGCTGCAGTATCCACAGTCACGGTGCAGCTGCAGACAACACTTCTCGAAACGGTGCAAGTGACTGTCCAAGCCACTGCAGCAGCCGCATCTTCTGTTCCAGCACCAGCCGGAGAGGCTCCAGAACCACAGCGACAACCAAGTGAAGCAGCCGCGCCGACCACTGTCACAGTGGTGTTTGTGACCGTAGATTCGACCGTTACTGGAGCTACTGCCGGACTCAGTACCTTGGAAACCGGGGCCAACACAGCCACCGCAAGTGACGTGATAGCTGCAGCCCCAACCACAACCTCCATCACATCTTCGGCGGTAGCGGCAGCGGCCAGCACTCAAGCTCCCCCTCCACCTCGACCAACGGCGGCTGATGCTCCTATCGCAAACTCTCAACTGCTAGGGGTCGGTGAGGGAAGGTCAGCAGCGGCCAGCACAACTACAGAAGTCGTTACTGCAACCGCTGCAGCAGTTGTGGAGAGCAGTTCTTCTACTGCGACCGCGAGCGCAAGTGCAAGTGCAGAAGTCGTTACTGCTGCCGCAGGAGCTGAGCCTTCCGACTCGGTCGTCATTCAGCCCGGGCTCAGCTCCATCCCAGCCTCGGAGGCTCGACCGGAAACCCTGAGCACTGCTTCAACTCCACCTCAACCAGAGACTACTGCTTCTACAGCGCCGAGCAGCTCTATTGCGGCGGATCCTGGGACTACAAGCGCTCCTGTAGCGCCTTCTGACTCTGTCACTCTAGCAGTGGTGCCGGTGACCATAGAGACGGCGCAACAAAATCAAAACCCTTTGACAGTAACCGAGACACAGACCGTGACAACCACGGTCACTGCGGTATGAGGATGAGTTCTAATGAGAATGGGATTTTCATGTTATCATTGTTTTAAACGGTGCATTGGGGCGGCCGGCGCGAGTCATTCTGATACCATATGTATAGCGGTTGTGCCAGACAAAATTTGTATAGGAAAAGCTGATGGAGAGCTTGGGTGCGATGTATTGTACGGTATAGGTAACCAGATTAGGTAAATATCTAAGTGTTTGAGAAAGGAGCTCTAATTACCTCAAATCACTCAATGTTGAAGACACCAACTTCGAAATACGATATACGCAAGGAACAATCTGGATCGATGTGCACCGGGCCGTGACGTAGTGATTCGTAGTGGATAGGTTGTCATGCCGGCCATGACGTTGGGGCTCCTGCACTCCGAGTAGTTAGTTGACACGAATGACTTCCTCAGCCACACTTGGGTTGCTGCTCCACAAACTTCATATTCGCTCTGCACAATCACGAGCAACATACTATCGCCTTGTAGCAACCTCGGAAACATCGACAATCTTCCCTTGACCAGCCTCGGTGTCGAAAGTCTGTCACAAGGGAAAGCCTCTTCCACGTGTAGGCTAGAGATTGCAGGCTTCCGAGCGAACAACGTCGCAACTACGAAATTCTGCCTGGCCCCTCCAACTCGACCCTCAGACACTACCAAGGCTCCTCTACGCCATGTCTACCGCCGTGATCAGTGGTGACGATGATGCTCTGGACCCCAATCTCCAGAATCTGATCGATCAAAAAACACTGCGATGGATCTTTGTTGGTGGAAAGGGCGGTGTTGGCAAAACCACGACCTCGTGCTCTCTGGCAATACAAATGGCAAAAGCTAGGAAATCTGTGCTTTTGATTTCCACTGATCCAGCGCACAATCTGAGTGATGCTTTCAGTCAGAAGTTTGGCAAAGATGCGCGACTAGTTGAGGGTTTCACAAATCTCAGTGCCATGGAGATTGACCCCAATGGCAGTATCAATGATCTTATCAGTGGCGCGGGTGACGATGCACAGGATGCTATGTCTGGACTTGGTGGTATGGGCAATATGATGCAGGACCTGGCGTTCAGCGTATGTTTTGTCTGATCTTTCATAATGAATCTTGCACTGACTGTCAACTACAGATCCCCGGTGTTGATGAGGCCATGTCTTTCGCCGAAGTTCTCAAACAGGTAAAGAGCCTTTCCTACGAGGTTATCATCTTCGATACCGCTCCAACTGGCCATACCCTTCGATTTCTCCAGTTCCCCACAGTCCTTGAGAAAGCGTTGGCCAAGATCTCCCAATTGTCGAGCCAGTTCGGACCCATGTTGCAGTCTGTGATTGGTGCTCGGGGAGGTCTACCTGGTGGTGCAAGCCTGGACGACCTCACTCAAAAGCTTGAAGCCTTACGAGAGACCATTGCCGAAGTCAATGGACAATTCAAGAATCCAGACATGACCACCTTCGTGTGTGTTTGCATTGCAGAGTTCTTGTCACTTTACGAGACAGAACGCATGATCCAGGAATTGGCCAGCTACAACATTGACACACATTGTATTGTTGTCAATCAATTGTTGTTCCCCGAGAAATCCAACGACTGCAAGCAATGCAACTCTCGCCGGAAGATGCAGAAGAAATATCTTGACCAAATCGAAGAACTGTACGATGAGTTCAACGTCGTCAAAATGCCTCTACTAACGGATGAAGTCCGCGGTGTAGAAAGTCTGAAGAGGTGAGTCTATTCATTTTGATCTAACGCGAGGAGACTACTAAGCCATCCATCCAGTTTCTCGGAAATGCTCATCCACCCATATCATCCTCCTTCGTAGCCTTGTCTGCCTTCGAAGGTGCACCTATTGGATGACCCGATTGAGGTCTTGTCAAGTTTTTAGGCTACAATATGCGCTCACGAACTGTTACGATGATGGCGACATGAAATGAGAACGACATATGCATAGCGAAGAAATCATATGTATATTGGGAGGTATTGGTATCCCGCATTTCGGATATCGGGCTACAACCACCGAGGCACATGAATAAGAACAGCGTGGAGAGCACATCCAGCCTTGTAGAGAGATTAGACAACTACCGAGTACCGTGGTACTGTAAACAAGGATTAGAACAACTTTCACATGGCTTTAGTCTATTGAACATCCCATCCAGTGCAGCGCTCTTTTGTCAGACTTTACGGAATTTTTCTCCCCGTTCTGGTTGGTGGCTATGGATAGCTCGTGCCTATGGGAAAAGCCATTCAGATTGGATTCCTTTATCGTGACCATAGCCTACTGAAGTTGCAAAACCGCTCGCGAAGACGCCCGGCAAGCTGGACAGCCACTAGCCGGCACACCCCGGGGCTCCCAAAGTACTCGTCCCGTAGCCCAAGACGCCTGGGTTATCCAGATCTAGCCACCTACTACCTCGCTTGGGAAGAAGTTGCCACGAGAAGAATAGCAGATAGTTAGACCTCGTATTACCAGTAGCCACCAACTGCCGCTGTTAGTGCTGGGAATCAAGGAGGCTAGTGGTACTGTACATTGAATCCTACCACGAGGGAAAAAGCCTTTTCGTACTAATTTCTGTAAGTGGTATACTTTACGACGACCTCAGGAGGCCGGTCAGTCTACATGCTGGTCACAATACGGATACAGTACCGCGAAAGACTCGGCCGCCGTGTCCCAGACCATTTCCTGCTTCGAGCGCGGCTGAGTAACATGAGAAGAGTTCGAAGCCAACTTTAACTACCCGTACCTCGTACTTAGTTTGGTGGGCACTACTAAGCATGCCGAGGCGAGGATAAGCCTCATGCTCTGGAATCTAGTTAACGACTTTACCTAGGCACTGTCTGGCCCACACGTGATGCTCCCTATGTGAGGCTCAACCATAGTTCTGAACGTATGCATCTACAGTGAGCTGTCTGAGCGACCATAGATAGTTACGCACTTCCACAGGAGGCATCAATTTTTCTGCGACCTACGAAGACGAGATCCAACACACGGACATGGAGGAATCCTTTTGTAATACTACTACTGAAGAAACGTACCGACGTTTTTTTTTGGGAGAGATAACTTCCCCCTGGAACTGCTCATGCCTGGGATAGTAGCGTGCTGACACCAAGAAGTACATAGGAGCAACGAAGTTCCTGCTTCCGCTCACGTGCTGACTCTGCTGTGAGATCATGGCGAAACAAGAGAAGCTTGATATGTATGTAGGATCCTAACGTTCATGTTCGGGGAGGACTCGGGGAGGAGATATTCTTGATGCGACAGACGCGCCCCGGGGGTCCTTGCAGGCTTCCATTCCCTGTGAGCCCTCAAGGTTTCTTAACTAGACTCCCCGGTGGAAGCACGATCAGATATGCCGTAGACTGAAAAATGAGTTACTGATTACATGGTACCTAGCGTTATAGCCGCCGAGGTATTCTAGACGATGGAGAGATTCGTATTATGTTGGGTATTCAGGTCCCCGGAGATGTTCTTGTTGTGAAGGCGTCCAGATCTTCCTACTGGGCCCACCCCAAGAGCGACTGGCTACTTAGTACCGAGTATTCAACTTAGTGTACCTACCAACCTAAGTACAGTACGAGGAGATGCTTGGATAACTCGCTAAGAATGGGATTTTCTGTAACGGTTGGCAGGTGTTGTCCCTGGCCAGGTGGGGGATGGGAGGAATCAAGGGAGTATTTAGTAGGACAAAAGCATGATTAGGTCATATCTGCAAGCACCCGTCACCCATCACCCATCACCGCCGTGCAGCAAACTGGAAACCGTGCTAACTCATTCCTTATAGTGCACCAGTGCAGAATAGGCTCCATCACCAGGAACACCAGCTTAATTGCGTCACCATTGTTTGTTTTTTACCAACTACTTTTTCTGGCTGGGGTTTGTGAAACCCTCTTTGAAGGTGGTGGGAATTCGGCTCCTAAAGCGAAAATATCAAATCCACAATTCTACCACGAGCGTGTCAACACGGAACCTGGGGATTTGGAAGTGCAATTGAAAAAAATGATTAATAGAACTCAAAGGTTCCAAACGTGCGGTGTCTTTCACCCGGTTCCATCATCATCTCTTCTCGCTCACCCACGTCGTCCCCTCGGATCCTAGACGTGCTTCGGCCGTAGAGATCCCGCTCGAACGCCGCGCTCGAACCGTAGCCTTGTAACTCACCTCTGCAAGTCGGCACTCCTCCCACTGCTGTGCTGCACTAAGCGAAGCGTGGGATTTTCTTGCTGCTCGTGTTTGGAGTGCGAGATTTTCCGGTGCCGGTGTCCCACGCGGTTTTGTGTTTTGTGCACGTCACAGCCTTGCTAGAACTTACAGAAGGCGCTTTTCTCGGCAACCTCCACACCGAATGCATACCGAAGTTTGAAGAATGTTCCTCTGACGACCTAACAATTGTGGCGCTGTTCTTGCTCGTGTTCGCACGCACTACTATTTCATTCCATCTGTCCGTTCGCAAGGGTTGTTTCTGGAAAGTCACAAGCATATGCATTCTGCCTCGTTGGTTATATGGCTATCGGCCGGTAATACCCAGTGTGACCAGTCGAGCATATGCAAATCGTATTCAACCCCTGACTACGGATATATACCACGGAGAGAGAAGCACTCGGTCGATCATGTAAGTCATGACACCACATACAATTGCCACTTTGACATACTCAGACAATCAAAGGAGTTTCCAACACTGGACATACATCCATGGCAGACCAGGAAGACAGAGGAGGTCCAGGCGGAAGTGAGCCTGGCCAACCACAACCATCTTCATCGTCTTCACCAAGACCACCAGCGTATACTGGACCATTTTTATTCGTCAACAAGAACGCCACAAACCTTCGTACTCGCCAAAGAGATGAAGTTTTCGCCGTGAGGAGCCATGCAATGCAAATTGCGCGACGCTCGAGGAAGCAGAATAAGGAGGATCCAGTTCAACCAATGCACGAGAACATGCCTGAAGAGGTTGATCAGGCTCAGCATGGAGAAATCGAGGGGCCCGAACAACGACCATCAACGCGGCGAACAGAACGGAGGGCGATTGGGCAGGGACAGTCTGTGTCGAGAACTCAGGCGTGGCGGTCACAGAGACCTTCAACCGCCCAGCCTCATCCCACCACTTCTCGCCGCACTTCGAGCCAGCTTCAACCGGGTGGCATCTCGTCGGCAACGCGAGACCAAGCTGATGCGACCGCTGCGACTTCGCTCTCACAAATTCTGGCATCTATAACGCGCCACGCCGTTGGGTCTGCTCCTTCCACACCACTGGGATCTGGTCCATCAGATCCATTCTCTGCGGCTGCTCTGCCGATCTCGGCTTTCTTCAATTCCCTCCTCCAATTCTGGCGACTCGGATACATGGCCAACTTATGGCCTGCGGCCGTTTATATGGACCCGAGCCATGAGGTTCCACAACTTGTTGACGGCTGGATCCGTGATGTCGTGACGCCAAACCCTGCAATGCTGCATGGGTTATTCGCCGGCACACTGAGCTTCATTACCAGTTACCTCCCGGCCTCAGAAGCCACGCCGGTGCTGTGGGCAAGAGGAATGCACCACCATGGCAAATGCCTGGAATTCACCAGGTCGCGCCTCACCATGCCGAATGTGAATGGCGAAGAAGCCCTGGGCATGATTCACCAGTCAACAACCTTCAGTTTCCACTGTGGAGATTTTGACGCCAGCAGTGTGCATCGTGTTGCAAGTGCTCGCATCCTCGATACATTGGAAAATGGCCTGGACAGTGTACATCCGGTCCTCAAGTCTCTTCTCATTATCTGTGACACACTCATAGCCATGCACAAGCCAAAACGCCCTTCGCTGGACATTGAGTCCTGGACGCCCGGATCCTGGCACGATGAGGACATGCTCAGACCGTATGACGATGAATTCGATTTCGATCCTTCTGACTACTCGCAGAGTGACCGACAAGTTTTACTCTTCAGGGAGCAAATCTACGATTCGGAGACGGGAGACATCGCCATCCAAGTGCAGGGAATGATCAATCTGCAACGGGAGGCTCTCTGTGCTTGCGAAATCGCGGCACGGCTAACCATAAGCGAAGGCGTCGCAAGTGCAGATCCCATCTACCACTGGCTTGCATTCCGACATTATGCTTTGGCAAGCCGTTGCGCCAATCTGTACATGGATATGGTGGAAAATGAGCCAGAGCCACACACAGCCCCGCTACCTGAGCACCTGCAAAGTGTGTTCCCCAGTTGCATCCTGCTCGCAACAAGTTATACTTTCCAATTGATCATGCGATGCAGTATGGGTGGTTGGTCGTTGTCATACATCCCATTCCATCACCTCCGCAATCGGTTGACGTTGATGATGACTCTTATGGGAGAAGGAAGAAGAATGCAACTTCAAGAGATGATGCACATTCCAACTGAAACGCTGCTTTTCCTCTTCTTTGGAGGCGCCGTTGCAGAGGAGATTATGGAGCAGCATGTGCGATCTTCACCTGTGGAGTCTGGCCAATATGCAGCAATATCCTCGACTGCAGCACCCGCAAATCTCTTGCACTTGAGATGGTTCAGTGTACATTTCTGTATGGTGCTGCAAAGACTCGGTATTACAGACTGGGAGGCAGCAAAACACATGTTGACCAAGTTCGTGTACGATGAGCGGACGATGGATGGACATGTGCAGGTTCTTGTCGCTAAACGGTCGGAGTTTCTCGGTGTGCTCTCGGTTGGAGGTCGTGGTAGAAGTGAAGTGCCTCAAAGTGCTAGCCAGGTTGGAGGGAGCCTTCTAGTATCGAGGAGAAATTCTTTAGGCCAACAAAGTGGTGGCGCGGTTGCCGATTCATCTCCGCAGCACTTCCCTCAACATTCACGTTCTGAGTCCCAGCAATCTGTGCCAGCGATTCCGCCAGTCTCTGCCCTGAGCCCAATCACCGGGCCAGATTTTGCGGCAGGATTTTGGGAACACATGGGCCTGGGAATGGACTTGGATGCGGATGAAGAGGAAAATGAAGATGGAGGCGAGCAGTGGTCGAACTTGATTAGAGAGACATGATAGCGTTTTCAATCAACAATTCTTTCGTTTGCGCCAGTAGTTCCGACTTCGGCTGAATTTTTTTAAGGGCAGAACAATTCATTATTTGCTCTGACCATATCTTCTGACTGCTGTTGTCCTGACCATCACCCTGGCGGTGGTTGGAATATGGCCGTCTTAGTGGTGCACCCGCTTCTTGCAGGCTGATCTGTTTTGACTCCAGTTTTCGACCCTCCTTTTCTATTTTTGGGATGATGTCCGAGGGTTTGCTGCCAGTTGTGCTCATTAGTATTGTCCACATTTTCAATTGATCAAGTACTCACAGTATTGGTGGACTCCCAAGTCCACTGCACAGCCACACAATATCGTACTGATGAACCTCAAACTCGGTGTCGTCCATCCGCAGCCTCGTCATCGTGTGAAGTTGCTAAAAGTGTGGCTTGCTATCTGTGGCAGACACGAGTGCCACGGAATCGGGTTTCTTCCGCGCCCCAGCGCGCGTGACCGTGTCCATGTTCTGGAAGCATAGCACGACGTGGATTACGTTCGTGATGGGCAGGCACATCGTTTTTGTCCTGCTGATCGAACATCCACTCTTCGCACGCTGGTCTTTTCCATTGAGTGGAGGCACGAGGGGACAAGAGATGCCAACCTTGCTAAGTTGGTGACATTGACAAGAGACTTGGGTTCCGTGCATTGGGATGAGCCAGCAGAGGGTTCATGATGCAGGTGGAGAAGTGCTACACGCATGAATCTCCGAAGAAGTATCAATTTGAGGATCACGATGGGGTTGTGGGACTAGTTAGAGATGGGGATGGGCGATCGGAGGAAAGTCTTGACGGCAAAGCTCTGTATTCTCGGCCGTTCCGACTTACAATGATGGATCAACTTGATGTTGGTAAAGGGCGTAAGGGTTTGACTGAATGACGGCGCCATCATCCTTGTAGTGCCTAAAAGGGCAGTGGCAGCTAGTTTGATAAGAGTAAGTGTGTGCACCAGAACACGTGAGGATAGGTTGTATCTCCGATACAATGGGGTGTGGCACACGATCATCATCGCCTGTCGGCGCGAGTCATACAAGTGCGGATGAGAAAGACAAGCCTTCAAGTTGAAGATGCATTGAAATCGTCAACCGGTGTTGGACTGTGGAAGAAAGGTGCATGAGGAAAGAGCTAACTAACATACGAGTTGTCAAAGTCGGGAAGGTGCCCAGGGGCCTCGTGCCACCTGCAGTGGGGGGAACACGGACGTAAAGCGGTGGTAACGCCCGCAAGGATGGAAATCCGTCGAATGGGGGACTATCAGTAGCACGTGAGGGACGAGGACAGAAGTACCAACTTGAACATACAGCCATGTGCCCAGGGCGGTCCGGGCTACATACGAGTACCTACAAAGTACGAAGGACTGACTACTTGGCTACTAGTTAGGGCTGTACACAAGGACAGCCACCGACAGAACACGAGGGCTGGCTCTCATTTCTCGATTGACGACGGGACGGGAAGATTCTCGTATTCGTGAACAACGGAAATGCTCATCGCTCAAAGATCCAAGACCGCATTGGATACCTGTTGACTCGAGCTTCCTCGTTCGTCCTCGCTTGTGGGTGGCTGAAACTTAGGTACTTGAAGCTTACTCGTACGGAACTTGAAGACGAGACAACTGCGTCTTGACGTTTCCGTGCGCATGCTTCCCGACCATTATCATCATGCCAAGTAAAGCAGTCATAATGTGACCAAGTCTATCCTATCCGTAAGCGATTGTTAGTGGGGAAGGGTCTATCTCGAGATTTGCTGCACGCGAGGCGATGCAGCGGAGAGAAGAGATCTGGGTGGACAACACGTGAACCATGCAGGTTCGACCATCTTCTCGCACCACGTCATCAGAACCTTTCAACCTCAATAATTCACGAGACCGTGACATGCAAACTCAAGAACCTGCCTCGTATGGTTCGTCCCGAGTGACCAGCCTAGTAACTAAAGTCCTTTGTGCTCTTTACGAGTGGCTGTGCGCACGATGGACCAAGTGACAACCAAGACCCCTCTAAGCCGGATAGAGGCTGAATGTCCAAAGTTCACTTTAACCGCGCCTTCAAGTAAATTGTTGGAGAGCTTAATTTTCAGAGACTTTCTCACAATTTGCCGATGCGCACGAGGACTGTTGACTCTACAAGGCAAGAAGTCGGACAGGATTGACGCCACGTTGAGAGTCAAAGGCGATCTGTAAACGGTTAGCACGAGTCAATCCGCAGAACGTGGCACGAGCACCATGCAGCAAGAGCATCCAAAAACGTTAAGCGATGGGACGATCGGCGACGCCGGAGGGTTAGCGCAGCACCCAAGAACAACCTGAATCCCCTATCCAGTACCATCCATTCAGATCCATTCTCGAAAAAGGTAATTTCTGACGTCGTTCACGGTTCTTTCCCAAATCTCAGCAGAGGGAGAGAGCGAGACTCCCAGAAGAAACCGGTACGGGTAGGACTACCCAGTCAATCAATCAAGAATCAGACAGTGAGAGCTAGGGCACAGTAAGTTTCAAGGCAGGCATCCCGCTTGATCTTGCCATTCATTCCATTATGCTTTTCCTATGTGGGCCGTGGTTCTGTGATCCTATGTTCCATCCATCATGTATCCCGATTTCCGAGTTCCCAGCCCTTCCCATGTCAATCCCATTTGCTTTCGTTTCTACCATCGGCAGTGCTCGCTTGGAAAGAAAATTCAAGATCCCAGACTTTCTCCAAACTCCATCATGCTCAAACAATTGCTCAGTAGTCGCACCACAGCCACTATGGTACCGTCGTTAGAAGAAGAAATTCCACGAGTATGTGCACCCCGCCCGCGGTAGCGCAGCATGCCCACCAAGTCTGCAAGTAATTACGCCATACTGAAAACTTTGATTCTTTGTGCTGAAGATCAATGCCACACCAAAGAGAAGAAAGTTGTGTTATGGCCCCAACCAGCAATCATGACCTTGTGACAAAGGAAAAACGACATGTAGTCTGGTGCCCAGAACACACGTGAAAATTCCTCTTTCACCTCTGCATCCTAATCCATGATAGCATACGCTCCAGAGTTGGGTCTTCATCAACCCAATAACCCTTTCGTCGATCAGCGTTCCGTAGGTCATTGACAACATGCTGGTCGGTAATCTGGTTCAATTCCTAGATCGGGTGTTTCTTTTAGCTTTCGCCCTCCTTGTTTTTGGGGTGCAATGATAATTACAACGCCGATCACTTCCTGGCTAGGCTTGATGTGCCACATGGCAGAAACCCCAATTGTGGGGGAAGTGTTGATCTGACTGAGTTCATCATAAACAGCTTACCTCATGAAGCCGGTTGTCAATTGCTCTCAGAGCATTTGCATGTCGCGGGCTCGGCGCCTCTCCTTTCAGAATTTGCGCCCGCATCTGTATCCAGCGCATCGCAGCCGATGCTCGTAGGTAGATCTTGTGTGCTTGGAGGCGTCTTGTCGAAGAGTCAAGAATAATTCTAAGAGAAAACACTTGAGCAAGTTGTTCAGAAATTTCAGTGCATATTGATGTACCTCTGTAGTGTGGCCTTTTGAACCTCAGTCTCTGGGATGTTGCCGGCCTGCAATCCAAGATTTCCAGGATTGTAGTGCGTTGCTAGAATGGCTTGGGACTCGGCTGCACCTTGCCTCAGCACCACGTAGCCGTCGAGGTAGTAGGAGTGCTGATCGGGAGGATGCGCCTCGTTTCGTGTAATGAGTGAAGATATATGTAGTTGCAGTGTCCGGAAGTCGTTCATAATCTCGAGTATCCGCAACGCGCGAGCCTCATTCTCTATAGAACTGTAGTCAGCGACCTGATGCCTAGAACACTGCTCACACTCTTCGAGGCAAGGAGTTACTGTTAGACGCACTTCCATCGGCCATGGTAGAAGAGATTCTGGCGAAAGTCGGTTGCGACTTGGTAGAGAAATGGCTCGATCGTCAGTGCAATGAGGATGCGTTGACCCGAAAAGAATCTCTTCGTTTCGCAAGACCTGGAAATGCTGTGGGTTATATGGCGGTCACAGACCGTAGGCTCAGCCTCGTAATTATGGTCAGATGATGTTGATGGTGAGTTCTGGAGGTTGAGTTGGTGGCTTGAGGCGATGAGGAAAGCATTCTTAAAGACAACTGATGACGAGCATTGAAGAGCTAACCGAGTGTCTTGTAAAATGGATGGACACCGGATGGTGACAATACTAGATGTGCTTTGAGAGGCTCAATCTCGTGGCTTTCTTGACATCTGACCATTCACACCAAGGGGATCGGTCTTACAATGTTGGGGACGGCCCGCAGCCGTAGAAGAATAGGAGCAGGTGTTCCAGCTTTCAAGGGTAGAGTCACTGAGTGAAAGGATGAAAGCAGAGCGACGTCGAAGCTGGAGGCAAGTTTTGCAACACTAAGACAGGCACGGTCCTTGGGAGACGAGAAAGATCAAGACGGCTGTGGACGGACACCAGAGGGCTTGGAGGCATCACGGCCAGCCATTGGGCTGTGTAATGGGATGTAGAGACCATCGGGATGTTTCTAGGCCTGTAGTATTGGCGACGGATGTTTCGAGGCTCTGCTGTAGCGTACCCAGTGCTGGAAAGCGATCAGCAGCCCGCGTGCAAGCCACCGTTTTGGCGTCGTGCAGGAGGGGGAATCTTGACTGGAGTATGGGAAATCAGACACGAGGCCACAGATGAACGCCGGTGTAAAAGGCCATGTGCGGGAAAACGCAATTGTGGCCCTGAAGCAGGTGTGACTGGATCCATTCTCACCATATCCAAGGTCATGGGTGATTAGTGCTGGATGGATATGGCAAGCGGTAGAGAAAGAGGCTTAGTAGGTCAAACCTAAGCCCGGGAAGGCGCGATGGCAGTCTGACAAGAATAAATCCAGAAAGCCGGTGCTTGATGTCGGGGGAAGGAGAGTCAGACGAGAAAGCCCACGGAGCTTGGGTGTTGTACCTGGTCCGGAATAGCTAGCGTACAAGACCATCCAACTCGAATGGATCATGGTTAAACCACTCAACCCAAATTTGAGGCTACACAGTTAAGCTTCGGCAGCCTCCAGGTTGTCAGTCTCAATCCGGACAGCTGAAGTGCCCCGAGGCCACAAGCATGCCAGTCTGCGGCAGGAACACACGCTGTGGGGACAGTTTTTGGCAACGGCGTCAGTTCGACAATGCAGCTGAACTTTCCACTGTATCCTCATTCGCTTACGCTATTTTCATTCACCTCGCTTCTGTTCTTTTGCAAGGATGTCTTCCTGCACCTAGTCTCTCCGTCATGTTGCATGGAGAACTGAATGTCAAGAGGTCCAGGGCTACTTCTCCTGTCTTGGTTGACAAGTCACAGCTAGGGAATAGATGCTTCTCGATCTACCTCATTCGCTACCCATCTTTCCAGCCTCAACAAGCCACTGAAAGCCACGGCACCTCAACCTCGATGTTCAGACTCGTCACGCCTGAGGCACGAATCTTTCGGAACCTTCAACGCCCTATCACTCCAGCACATTGAAAGACGGATTCTGGTGGATCTCATGCGTCACTCCTTAGATCCCACAATATCTTTTTGGGTATCCATACGCACGGCAAGTCAGCTCCCTCAGCCTGCACAACATCACCCATCCACTAGCCGTGGCCCCCATACTTCTTCGACAAAATGTTCTTCCGTTACCAGAGCTGAGCAGCAAAACATATCCTTGTCCAGCGTGGTTGTGAACAGGAAACCTCTCGGCTCTTCGTTTTAATGGTGAATGAAATTTCAGCGTTTTTCCTTCTCCAGCACGCTAGGCTCAATCACGCTCAGCAATGGCTTGAAGTCGCTCTTCAATCTCATCTTCAGTTAACGTCCGGAACTCTCGTTCTACCCCTTCGCTTCCATCAGCCTTGGGTCCACCCACAATGCCAATCTCCAGTTCACCCTTCTTGAAGTCAACGCTTAGCACCGTGCTAAGTGTGCCGATGCCTAATTCGACAACCTCCTCCCAGCTTCCAGGGGCAGCATCTTTGTTCTTCAGCTTCTTCTCGAGATGGTTGAGCGCCTCCTGTTGTTTAGGCCCGGAAGCTGTTGCTTTGTAGCCAACGTAGTAACCGGCAGGATCACACTTGTATAATTGGGGGCCAAACTCGTCGTCGACCGACACCAATGTTGTTGCCACACCCAGTGGTCTCATGTAGGCCTAGGACTGTGTCAGCAATGCTTCAACCCATCAGGTACTGTATGTGGGCCTACTCTTTGAGTGTAGACTTGGTTGATGTTTGCTAGACGTTTGGCCAGAACGTCACACGGCATCTCATAGCCATTCTTGTATCTGAATTCTGCAGCCTCGCCTCGAGCACGATCTACTGAGGCTCTTGCGTCTGCTATTGAACCAGTCATGACGCAGCCGACTGAAGATGAGATCTTGAAGACGTGGGAGACGGAGGAAGGATCGATGAGCTTGTCCTGTGAAATCTGACTTAGCCACGGTATGGTAAGCCGGCTTTGGAATGGGTGCAACTAACAGGCACTTTCTTTTGTGAGAGTACGACCGCACATGACTTGCCTCTCACTCCAACCGATGTAATGTTTGCAGCTGTGATGGCCTTGAAGGCATATTCTGTAATTGGACATTAGTATCTTGTATAAGGCTTTTATTTGGTGCTGGTTGTGGTTGGGATACCGAGACGAAGGTCGCAGTGGGAGCCGTCAACGACAGGAGGACCACCAAATCTTGGGGCTCGAGGAACATACCGACTTGATATAAACGACCTTGATCTGAAAAGATTGTGATGTGCCGATCATAACCCGCGCTCCCTGTATTGAGATCTGGTCAGCTCGGTGTTCCCGATCCAGCTGGGAAACGGAGGGCAAAAGTACGGACCAGACATCTTGGACCAACTTCAACCGAGGCACCTTGGACCAATTATGCACTGTAATGGATGATGATGAGACCTTGAAGGGATTATAGCTCGAAATCGAGAGACTTTTGTTGTCAGAGGATCCAGAGTGCAAGTGGGAGGATGGCTGATAGTTTATGATATTTGGAAAGGCCATTACGCGGTTCGCGATGCCTGCAGGTGCAGCACTGCAATTGCAAAAGTGCATTTGGGCACGCTGTACTTGGCCGAAATTGAAGCAAGCTAAGCCTCACGGGGAGAGACCTGCACCGCCACTTGTGGCACAACGAAATCTTTCCAATAATTTTTGTCAAATTGATTGGCATTGGTTGGTCGTCCTGAAACCTCAGCTTCGATGAATATCTTGTTCGCCAGTGCGAAACAAGGTTTGCCATCACGTCGGTAGCTTGCAATATTTTAGTGGACAAGCCAGGCAGTTGAAATTGATATCCAAGATGGCATCAGCATCTGTGCCAGCTTGGAAACGACTCGGTCTGAAACTCAAATACGCTGACCAGGATGCTCCAGTCAACAGTAAGCCCAGTGATCTGGTCAAAACTGCTTTAGTTCGTGGGAAGGAGACTACAAGCTCGCCTCTAGAGGCTCGAAGAGAACCTTCACAGCCATTGAAGAAAAAGCGAAAGACCGAAAAGCATGTCGCCCCAACCACCCAAGGCCAAGAGTCTGATATACTTTTGGACCAGAAGTCAGCTTCATCTGTAGCCCGTGACCATAAAAACGGCTCAAGGGTGAAGAAGCAAGTCTCCTTCTCATCCGATACGAAGGCATTAGATTCGCCAAAACCTCAGAGTCCCGCAGATAGTGCTGGCCTCCAAAAGCCAAAGTCAAAGCCAAAGTCCAAAATCAAGTCAAAGTCAAAGGTTGCGAAGCATCAGCCCGTACGGCATCAGACTCACCCGGCTCTAGAGTATCTAAACCAATATCACAGCGCACGATCATCATGGAAGTTCAGCAAAAACCGAGAGACCTGGCTCCTGAAGCATATCTTTTCAGTGAACGACGTTCCTCGTACATACGAGATTCCTCTAGCCAGATATATTCACGGCTTGCAGGGGGCAAATGCACGACAGAGATTGAGGTCTGAGAGCGAGAAGGAATTGAACAACGAAACTAGTTCTACGAATGGAGAGACTGGTACACAACGGGATACGAATAAAGATGAAGAATATCAAATGCGATTCCTTCAAGATCTGGAAGAAGACGATGGAAAGAGCGCAGTGGAAAGCATTGGCGAACATGGCGAATACACACGTTGGATTCAACGACAACCTCGGGCGAAGCTCGTCCTCTTGGCTCTGGGTTCGCCTATAGCAAGCACGACAACAAACCGACTGACCTCGTCTGCTTCGAACACCAAAGAGAAGAAGAGAAAGAACAGAACGAATGTCATCGAGTACGACAGCTCGAGCTCTAGTAGCAGTGACAGCGACAGCAATAGCGACGATGATGACACCAGCAGCGATGACACCAGCAGCGAGGAGGATGATACTAGCAGCAGCGGCGAAGATTCATCCGACGATTAAGTTGGTTTGAACAACTTACAGATGATATTACTTGCATGTCATCTGCACCTATTTTAGCAATGAAATTCACAAACTAAGAGGCTGGTAGTAAGCAACCACGGTGTTACATCGATCTTGTCCCTTTGAGGCTTTGTCCGAGGGACATCAGTATGCTCAAGATATGAGTTTCTCTTTGTTGCCAATGTGGAAATCTTGTGAGGTGTCGCCTAAGATATACATTGAGGAGCAAACATTCATTGGACAAGAATTGAGATGTGGACCCTTGGACCGACCAAAGTTATACTGAATCTCAGTATGAGGTACTCGGTATCCGTACGTGAGTATTTAATGATATTTGAACCTAGTTGCTTGCCGCCTCAGTTTCAAACCGTGAGACAGATCGAGTAGAGGTAATATTGGCAGGCTGTATGGCCAACCTGGAAGTTTCATATTGGGTGCCCAAAGCGCCTTGGTTGCTCCGCGACGAGAGCAGACACAACTTGAGTGTGGGACTTTTAAGAGGTAGAGACTTGGCAAGTGGGAGCCGGCGGGTGGAGTCGCCACCAACTTGAACAGGAACAGGAACAGGAACCTGGCCATGTGACTCGTGACCTGAGCCCACTCCTCCGTACCTACAGTTACGGCGGCAGCTGGTGGGTGGCTGGCACCCCAGAGCTTTCCCTTCGTCATCCCGTCATCCCTCTTACTCCGATAGTGGTTGCCTGCACCCCCAAACGTACTAACCTTCTCGTCTTCGTCAACACCCTTCCTCCTTCTTATCATCCTTCTCTCCATCATCCCAATTGCTGCATCTTCAAGCAGCCTGGTCTTGTATCTCCCCTTTCTTCTTATTACTACTCGGTGATTGTGACGATGAAGAACAACGTTGCCATCGCAGCAGCTGCGCTGCTCGGTGCCGCCAACGCAGGCATGCATCGGATGAAGCTGCAAAAGGTGCCTCTGGAGGAACAGCTCGTAAGTTGGCAATTTCAGGAGTATCAATTCTTCAAGGCGCTAATTAAGACCTGTCAGACCGCTGCCAACATTGGCGACCATATGAATGCTCTTCGCCATAAATACAGCCAACCCCAGACAGTAATGGGTGGTGCATCGGAAGATATCTTCAGACATACCTCAATTGATCTTGAGAAGGGGCCCCATGATGTTCCCGTTGAAAACTTCTTGAATGCACAATGTAAAGAATACTCCCTGCGGCTATCTGCACTATGATATTGATGATGATGATTAGACTTCAGCACGATCGCCATCGGAACGCCACCCCAAGAATTCAAGGTCGTCCTTGATACTGGCAGTTCCAACCTCTGGGTTCCAAGCTCAGAGTGTGGCTCAATCGCCTGCTACCTGCATCAGAAGTATGACTCATCTTCATCTTCAACCTACAAGAAGAATGGATCAGAATTTGGCATTCGCTATGGATCTGGTGAAGTGTCTGGTTTCATCTCCAAAGACGTTCTCCGTATTGGAGACTTGAAGATCAAGGACCAGCTTTTCGGAGAAACGACCAACGAACCTGGACTTGCCTTTGCCTTTGGTCGTTTTGACGGTATCCTTGGACTGGGTTATGATACCATTTCAGTCAATCATATCCCTCCCCCATTCTACAACATGGTCGATCAAGGACTCCTCGACGAACCAGTCTTTGCCTTCTACCTCGGAAACACCGATGACGGAACCGAGTCAGAGGCCACCTTTGGTGGAATTGACAGTTCCCACTACACTGGCAAGCTGGTCAAGATTCCCCTCCGTCGCAAGGCTTATTGGGAGGTAAATCTCGACTCAATCACCTTCGGCAAGGAAACCGCGGATCTCGATAACACCGGTGTGATCCTTGATACTGGCACCTCGTTAATTGCCCTTCCATCCACTCTAGCTGAGTTGCTCAACAAGGAAATTGGAGCCAAGAAGGGATTCAATGGCCAATACACAGTCGAATGTGACAAGCGTGACTCTCTTCCTGACATCAGCTTTTCTCTCAGCGGATACGACTTTGAGATCACAGCATATGACTATATTCTGGAGGTTCAAGGCTCATGCATTTCTAGCTTCATGGGCATGGATTTCCCAGCTCCCACAGGGCCCCTTGCTATCCTTGGTGATAGGTCAGTCTTTCTCCTTTGTATTTGTGAACGTTCTTCTTGCTAACCCGCACAAGCTTCTTGCGAAAATGGTACAGTGTCTATGACCTCGGCAGCAACTCTGTCGCTTTGGCCAAAGCCAAATAGAAGTTTACTCGGCTGTACTCAGGTTGAGGCAAATATGTCACAATAGCTCAAAGTTGTTTTTCGTAGCAAGGAAGTTCGTCATCGCCGCCCGCAGAGGAGTCTCTCCAAAAGCCAAAATGTCCGAACCGTTAGTTTTGAGTTGTGGCCCTTTTATGTACTTAAGCTCGCTTTGATTGCCCCTCGTTGGCACAATATATCTGAGCAGACTGCTCCCATTAGCAATGTAACAATTGCAAACTGAACCGGCGATGCATATCATTGTGAATTGGACTAGACGACCGTCTAATAGTGGCGTGGTTTTACCATGACCTTGCTCGCAATCTCGTCTCGTGACCACAAGACATGGCTCCAACAGAGGGAGCAACGACTAACAAATCGCTCCTCCCTTTCCTCGCTCCTGCCTCAGTGTTCTGCAGTGACGGCAACAAGCGGGGCTAATGCATCTGCCAAGCCGATTAGTGCCAGGACCTGTTAAGCATAAGAGCTTCCGTCTCCTCACTGCTCAGCTTGAGTGTTCCAGTTCGCCAGTTCGCTTGTCAAGAATTGGAGTGTGAATTCCATCCAAAGTCACGATCCTCTCACAGAACCAGAACCACTGCAATCCATACCTGTGTTTCCTTTCGGCCACATACCACTTCACCGTCCACGGCATACCCCTACGCATATTTACGCGTACCTCGCCCTTGGTTTACCTCCCCCAACCTACCCACACTAAAGCACCCATTGCTCGGAGTACGGATACTCCACGCCCACTCTGCACCCGTCGTGGTTGATCCCAAGAACCGACATCACTTATACTACAGCCCGCCGTGTGTATAGCATTTGCAGCCACAGTGCTTGCTTACTTCGATCCGGCATCATTGTCACAATTCGTACTTCTGGAATCCGATGCAAACACGTCTGATCCGGTCTAAACATCCTACCGGACCCATCTACTCCTAATTCCTTTCCTACCCAGCAGCTACTCGTTGGCCTTCTCTCCAACATTTATTTCCTCCTCGCTTCACGCTCACGTTTCTCCGACTCGCTTCCGTAACCACGACCGCAACACCCGCACAGCAGCGAAATAAACACCACCACTCCGGGAATCCTTGTTCTCTCTCTCTACATGATCCAGTCAATGTCCTTGACTGCCCCAACACGTTCGGAATGCTATTGCGATTACCCAAAAACCTTCACTATCCTCTCACCATCACAAAAATTGAGAAACATGTAGGAGATTCTGTTTCTCTCAATGACGACCTATTGCTCTACTCCTACACCACAAAGGTCACGGTTGGCACTCGGTATGGCGATGAGGAAACTGAAGTCGACAAGAAATTCGTCGCTCGCTTTCCTAGTACCCTCCAGGGCTCAATCAAGGGATGGAGAGTCTGGGAGGGAGATGTCTTGACACAACCGTGAGTCTATCATAATTTTGGCGCAGGCAGCACTAAAAACCTTCAGAGCAGATATCTGTGAAATCGAGGAGGAATGTCCTCATACCGTCCATTTCCTAGGCATGTGCACCAACTGCGGAAGAGATATGACGACGTAAGTTCTGCGATATGTCCAGTGTCCCTTCGCTAGTTGCTAATCCCCCTCGAGTGTCCAAGCAGGTAGCGAGACTACAGACGCCGATCGAGCACCCATTCGCATGGCACACGATACTCCCCATCTGACCATCAGCAAAGAAGAGGCCAACAGTGTTGACGAGGAAGCTAAACGCCGTCTTCTATCGTCGAGAAAGCTGTCTCTTGTCGTTGATCTGGATCAGACCATCATACATGCAGCTGTCGATCCGACGATAGCTGAATGGCAGAAGGACAAGGACAACCCGAATTATGAAGCTGTCAAAGATGTCCGCGCGTTCCAACTCATTGATGATGGTCCGGGAATGAGAGGTTGTTGGTACTACATCAAGCTGCGGCCAGGGCTCGCAGAGTTTCTTGAGAACGTCGCACAACTTTTTGAGCTTCACATCTACACCATGGGAACTCGACAGTATGCTCAGCAGATTGCCAACATTGTTGACCCAGACCGCAGATATTTTGGTGACCGGATACTGAGTCGTGATGAGAGTGGCAGCATGGTGGCCAAGAACCTCGAACGCCTCTTTCCTGTGGACACCAAAATGGTAGTCATCATTGACGATAGAGGTGATGTATGGAAGTGGACCTCGAATCTGATCAGGGTGACACCCTTTGATTTCTTCGTTGGTATTGGAGACATCAATTCGAGCTTCTTGCCAAAGAAACAAGAAATTCAAAGCACGCCCAAACTGGAAAGCGATGATGTCGTTACCAATGGAACAGATCAGATTGAAGAAGACTCCCACCAAACCTCCAATGGCGTTGGTGCTTCAACGGTCCTGGCTGAAGACGCTTCATCTGCTCTAGAACAATTAATGGCCATGAGTGGAAGCGATGATCCAGTTGTGCGCGAATTGCAGACGAAGGGCCAAGAGGAAATCATCACTTCGCAACTTTCGGACAAGCCACTGCTAAAGATGCAATTGGAGCAAGATGAGAAGGATCAAGCCGAGGCAGTCGCTAACGGAGATGCTCAGGCCTCCCAATCTACAGACTCTGATTCGAGTGACTCGTCAGAATCGTCTGAGACCACCCCTACAGCAAGGCCCAAGCCACGGCATAGCATTTTGAAGAACGACGATGAAGAACTGATCCATCTCGAATCAGCCTTGACAGCTGTACACTCTGCATTTTTTGCGGAATATGATCGAAAGAGACTAGGGGGCAAAGGCGGTCGGGTTGCAGAACTTATTGGGAAACGCAAGCCACCTCTACCCAACAATGATGAAGAAGATAGCACAGCTGTGGACCTCTTACTGGTACCCGACGTCAAAAAGCTGATGCCTCTAATGAAGCAACGTATCCTCTCAAGCGTCAAGATCGTATTCAGTGGGGTACTCCCCTTAGGAACCGATGTCCAAAATGCCGACATCAGTATCTGGGCGAAGAGCTTTGGTGCATCCATCACGGACAAAATCACCCGGGATGTGACGCATGTTATCGCAGTACGCCCAGGGACCGCCAAAGTTAAGCAAGCTGTGAAACGTGGAATCAAGGTTGTAGGTACTCCTTGGTTGATTGAATCGATGCAGCAGTGGCGCAAGCTAGACGAACGTCCCTACCTCCTGGAAGGTGTGGGTAAACAGAAGCTCGAACCGGCCAGTGAAATGGGGGATGACATGGAAAAGTCCAATGCATCTTCGCGTAACTTTCTCCTCAGCTCTTCTGACGGAGAGTCAACTGGACTTGAAACCGAAGATGATCAACCATCCAAAAAGAAACTCAAGTTAGACATCTCATCCTCGGCAAATGTCGAAAATGGTCAGGAAGACGAATTTGTTGATGACGGTAGCCCGCTGACCATTGACCGAGACGAATGGGCCGATATTGATGCCGAACTCAAGGAATTCATGGGAAGCGAAGTCGATAGTGAAAGCGATACAGACTCTGTAGGGTCAGCTCTGAGTTTTAGGGAAAGACGAGCTGCAAAGAGGAGAAGAGATGACTTCGAGGCCGAAGACAGCAATATCGATGATTCACCCAAGTCAAAGCGGAAGGTGACTGGCAGCGGACTCAAGTCAGTCCACAACATCGACAGCCAACGAAACTCCGAGGCAGGCAATACACCCAGTGAGCGCGAGACAGAAGAACAGATCAAGCGTGAACAGGCGAAAGTCGAGGCTGTCGAAGAAAACGAGCTTGCTGATGAAGAAGACTCAGATGACGAGCTAGCCAGAGAACTTGAACGAGAACTTGACGAGGCTGACGCCGAGTTGGAGACGTCGAGAATCCTGGGCTGACACACTGGTCTTTGTTGGCGAACTCAGGGGGTCATGTTGCTTGATTCGATTCTAGTTCTGTGTGTGTATTACGATCCATGCAGCAAGGCGTCGGCAGGTCAAGCAATTTTTGCATAGCGTATGAGTTGCTTTTTCAGCATGGCATGGCATCAACGACTCCAGGATATCAATCCAGAACCAGTCTTGGAGTATTTAAGCAATAGTTGGTATGACACAAAGACGGTTGAACCAAATTTGTCTCAAGGGTCAGTAATTCGCCAGTAACATGAATCGTTCGACTCATTTCCTACGAAGCGGGTAATATAGGAAGCATCATACTTACCTCCGGAGGAAATTTCGCGCAAGAGCTCGCACTCGGGCTACCTTTCCATGGGGTACTGATCATTGACTCTACCCATAAGTTCAAGTAAACAGGCTCGGAGTGCGGCGACAATGACAGTGCAACAACAAGGCAACAAGCACTTCTCAACGCTCAACCGTGACGAGGTTTAGAACTCAGTGAGCTACGTTAGCCCGCCTCCTGAGATGAGAGCGAGGTAGTATCTAATTGTTGAGGGACAGCTCTTGGTCATCACACCCTCCCTCTCCGGTCCATCAAATTTTCTAAACACTTTAGTCCTTCAATTGCCCTTCTGCCATGCCCAGTGCCTCGCAACTTCCACGCACTGAGAGGAGAAAGTTGTATACAACAACTGAACAGAAGAATCTGTCCAAAAGAAGATTTGGAGCTCCTGTCATGCGCTCTCCGTTGGGGGCCATTTCAAGCCATCCCACCGTTTATTCGTCTCACCGGCCAGTGCCCGGGTCGTGGAGGCTCTGGCTCCGTAAATCCACGGATCAGTCATCAAGGACACGAAATTTCTTTGCCTTAATGGTCTGTTCCGTGGCATCAGGACTTTGGAAAGAGCATGGGTTAACGCAAGACATGTCCAATTGTACCAATCTGGTTGTCCGGATTTCTGCCACCAACGGCTTCATGCCGCGCAGACCTTTCCAATCTCGCCCCTGAACACCTTCGCAATCGCAAGAGTGTTTTTAACAGAGCCTGTTGATTCGATGGCTTTGTCCGTAGAATTTAAGCTCTATTCGATCTCGCTTGAATGAACGCCCGAGAACTAACCATGGCTTTGCTGCACCTTTAGCTTGGGGTGAAATCTCGTTTCCTTTCCCTCATCTCTTCTCACAGTCTCGATGATTATCACCCAGATGAACTATCAACGCTGCATCGATGGCAACGTCATTCGGCGGGCCGATACACATAGACTCGAGACCATGGCTAGAGGTCAACAGACGGCGTCGTGATCACGGCGATCGCGACCACAACCGCAGACATGGTGTCTTAGATGAGCCAGAGAAGCTCACGGATCATCACCAGAGCGACAATGATATCTACCATGATCGACTTCAGCGTGACCATCGCTCGGACCCGACGCAGATCATTCAATCAAGTGCTTCCTCGGGTGTGAAACATGCCAGTGTCTTCATAGGATTCTCCCTACCAGTAATCATGCTCGTCGTGGTCATAAACTCTCCCCAACTTTACAATTTCCATTCAGAGTATTGGAACAGCATGTTCAATCACTGCAACTTCAACGGAGTCTTCACGCCGCTCGATAATCCCTCAATGAGCCAGTGGAACCCGTCTGGGCTATTCTATATTACCATGACATGGGGTCAAATGTCCTTTCCGATTGCGAAATTCATCGACGTTGTTTGGGACAACATAGCTGGCAGGGCAGTACAAGCGATCCTTGCGTGGATTACCTACAGGGTTTCATCACAGTATCTGTCGTTGGCAATGCAAGATGCCCCGGTCTCTTACTCCACCTACGAAGCATTGGCATTTGCACCGCCTACGTTCATTCGGACCATGGGATTGGCCAGAGATCTTCTGACCAGGCGCGGAGCACTGGCACGACTGATCAGTGTCTGGATTGTGTTGAGCTCGATGTTTGTCATCAGCTTCTCCTCTTGGGCCACGGCAATGACGGGCTACAGCAGTATCTACTATGCCGTGATGGAGACGTATGATGGTGAGCTCGTGAAGTGGGACAATTTCCAAGTTGTGCATTTTGCCATCGCCGATGCATGGAGAATAGGCGAACCATCCCAAGTTCTCATAACGACCGGGAGAGAGTGCGTTGCCCAAGGGTTTCTCCCTGAAGATGGTGAGGACGATGAAGGAAGCGTAAAAGATACCACCGATGATGATGGGCCTTGGGAGTACGTGCCTGGCAACTGTTCATTGTTCTGGCGGACTGTTCAATGTGAGATTACTAGCTGAAGACACTATCAGAGATGCTGACTACCAAACAGACGTGAACAACTATGGTCTTAGCGCGAAAAAAGTCCTCCCAAGCGTGTTCAACATGGATGATCTTCAACACAACTTGAGCTCTCCAACACTCAACATCACAACTTCTTATCCCAGTTCTTCACTTGGAATTTTAGCAGGATATCTTGAGGATATAACGAATGGCAAGCATACCTCCAAGCTGCATTATGTTCAAGATATACAACCGTCAACATTCTGGACGTATCGAAATGAAACATATTCTTGGGATTACATGCTCGATCATACGTCTTGTCGATATAGCGAACACCATAGTTGGGGCTTTTCATTCCTCATACTTTTCATCACGTCACTATTACTCTGTATATGGTCAATCGGAACATATGCTTTATGGCTTTATATCCAATTGTATGATCAAAAACAGAAGAGTCGACACAGTCAAAAAACGTTTGGAATTTACAGCGCAAGCGTGGACTTGGCACATGCCTTGAAAAACGATTTCGGCAACGAGGAAGTCCAGCCAGCCATGAGGGAGTCGGATATTCGATCTTTGATTCGACGCAGGGGGGAGGCGACACTCACTGGTGTCCAAAGCCCTCCGACAATGAACTCGGCAAACATGCAGGAGGCAGCCAAGACGTTGCAGTCTAGCGGACCGTATTTTGAAGGAAATAGTCACCCTATGGCTCCTGACAACAGGTATTCAAAGCGGCCCTGGAACAACATCAGGTCATTACTATGGCCAAAGCCACTCGCACTCTCGCATACTCTGCCCTACCAAACCACATCTTCCTCACAAGCGCATATTATCCACTCATCGGGTGCTGAACCACCATTCACGAAAGCATCAAGCCTCTCGTCGACCACGAATCCATCGACGAACTTCGATTTCAGCCCTACGATCCCATCTCCGGATGCTCCCGGAGCAACCTCTCGGACGAATGCGATTGCGAAGGGCATAAGAAACAGCGGCAGATCCTGGTCTCCTCTTCCTAATAACCAGGTCGGTGAAGGGGTGGAGTCAACTTTCTTCGAATTTAAACGCGATCTTGGTGACGACTGATTGAGTGAAGAGGCAGCCTCGCTTCTTTTCGCGCGATTAGATGTTCTCTGGGTATGCAGCCTGTCTTCTCTTTGTTTCCTGGACGATGTATTACTACCGATCGAGATTAAAGTGAGCTGGAAGTTTGGTGGTGACCTTTTCTTTCTGTTAGATGGTCGGCGATGCTTCAGTGGTGCCTCTTGGCTGTATCAGAATGACTTTTATGACTTGCAACGACGCGTAACTTCTTCCAGGAGAAATAACTCACATGAACAATCCGAGATGATTCGATTCTTGTTCAACATGTTTCAGGCGAACTGCCATGTTCCGGGGGAAAAGCATTGCAGGCGTAATTACTTCCAATTGTCTCCTTTCCGTGCTCGGACTGAGAATGCTGACGGTAGACTATTGCTTTCCTGACCGTGGAAGATCCGGCTGTTTGCCGGTCTTGGTTCCTCTGTTGTCTTGACTCGATCCAAGTCGACGGATGACCGCAGGGGCACAGTCGATGCTCGTCATAGAAAGACGGTCGCCCGTCGGTTGAGCCATTCTCTAGCTAGTGTTATGAACTTGTGATTGTCAAACAACAACGAAGAGATGAGAACATCACGTCAAGTTTGGATGGGGGCTTTGAGGAAATACACACTATGTATGTAGTGCTCGATTTCAAGTCATCGGCGTCATCATCATCATCATTATTATTGCTCTCATGCTTTGGTCGTGGAGCTATTTAGGTCTCTCTCCATTGACGTGTTCGCCTCGGACGAAGGGACCGTTGCCTCACGAGCTTTCCTCTCATGCTCGCGCTTCTCCCGAGCACGCCTTGCTTGGTGCCTCCTCACATTTACGGGCTGGTATACCTCGTTGAAGTTCATGACTACGCCTAAAAATCGCAGGTCGACATCTGGCTGGTGGGCCAAGTCGTACAGGAGCATGCTGAGGCGAGATCGGAATTCCGCCGAGAGATTGATCTGCCGTGAGCGTAGTGAGTTGAGATGTGATTCGTCATCTCCCAGACCGAGAGACAGGATCGGTTGGGCTGAAGGGGAGTCATTTGCTTCGGGAAGAAGGGGTCCTGACTTCAGCGCTTTGGTTGCTGTCGTTGAACTGGGTGTGCTAGCCCGAGAATCTCCGGCGAGATCTTTCTCCGTAATACCCCAACGTCCCTGCGCCGTCCGTTGCTCGATTTTGGCACTGAACTGCTGGCGTCGAGTATACTCAGCAACACTGTACGAGTATAGAGAATCAATGACCTCGCGATAATTGAGCATACATTTGAGGATATGATGCACCTGCACAACGAGGCTGTCTTCCTGTAGACCTGTCACTGGATGTCGTTGTTGGCCAATCAGTCCCTTTTTCGTGATATTGTTCAGGTAGGTGGTGTGCGCCTCGATCAAGTCGTCGAGGGTGGCTTCCGGCTTCTTGATAGCCTCCTCAAGCTTTTCCCAGCTAGCTTCGACTACCTCAAACAAGAGATAGTATTGAAGCTGGTTGACAAAATGTACCATCTCAGCAATTACACACCTCGAACGTTTCCAGTCGTTGCCCAGCTTGTCACTAACAGCAGCAAGTACACCTCGATCGCCTGTCATGCATCGCTTGCAGGTTGAACTCAGAGAGAACTCGACTCTTTTAATCCTCCACAGTAAGTTGAATATCTTCAAATACTGAGTATTGGCCCATTGTGTGATGACCACATCACAAGGTGCACTAATTTTGTACTCTAGCGTAAAGCAATCCCAACCGATCTCCCCACTGGACAATTCAAGCATGCGAGCATCGAGTCGCCTGAGAACCTCAGAGTCATCATACTGAGCATTGGAATGTCGAATGGCATGTTCAAGCTGTGAAGTGAGATTATGTCGATACATGGAATTGACAGGACGGTCTAGATGTTGAGCCAACGACTCGATGAGCAATTCGAAGAAGTCGCCCTGGGCAAATAACATGTACTTCCTAATGGCCGTCAGATGCGTGAACAAGCCGAATTTTGTTGACATCAAACTGGTCAATCGCGACATTGTGGTCCGGTAAGCCACATCAATGGAGAGCGACAGATTGGCGGTGTTTGTATCATCTAGAGATTTCGAGTTCGACTTTGAATACTGGATGACCCAATCAGAATCACCACAGTTATGTCGGATGAAATTCAGTGATTTCCCAATCAGAAAGACCTTTCTTGCAAAATCAGATGAGATGATGGAGGGAACCATAGCTGACTCAAGCTTATACTTCTCCTCCCACACCGATGTGGCAATATGCCGATGATCTACTAGTGGCTGGGAATTTGGATCTGGTTCGGTAATGAAGAACTCATGGTAAGGGTCGATCAACTCTCCATCATAAATCCAATGCTTCAACATCTCGTAAAAGGGCCGGGCGACGTTGGAGAGAAGCCTTTCTGCGAAAGATGCCACGAACGGGTCTCCGTGGGACGAAGACAAAGAATGTATAAGGGAGATCAGTTGACCTCCACGCTTGATTTTAGATTCCTCCACAATCAATTTCATCAATCTTAAACCCATGGTCGCATCCCGAGTCCATATGAGGCACCGCTTTAAGGTTACACCGGTTTTTTGAATGGTTATACGGTCCTTTCCACTGTCGATAGTAGCCAGGGCTTGTCTTATCTCCGTTTCTAAAGAAGCAACCAGACTCAGATATGATCTCAACTCATTGTTGATTGCAGAGCGAAGACTCTGGTCGATAAGGCCTCCGTCTCGTCCCCCCGCGTACTCGGCGAGGCCACGATACAAGAGACACGGCTCTGCCAATGCATGAAGCAGAGATAGTATGGGAATCGGCAAGGTTGCCGGAAGACTCAATGAAGTCGCACTGACAAATTCTAGATGAGCGGATGAGACCCCCTGTAGGTTGAAAGGGAGATCCCGTAGCAATTCGACTTCGGAGGGCGAGATGATTTGTGGTGGCTTGTTGGCAGTCAGAGGTTGCGATGTTATTCTTGTTTTGCTGGGCGTTGTCTGCTGTTGCTGTTGCTGTCTCTGGATGTCTTCATTCTCGTCCTTGGCGTGTTGTTTAGCATTTGGCTTCGGGTTGCCATCTCTTCTCGGCAATGGAAGAGGCGTTGCAGGCTCTGACCTTTGGCGTTGATCTTCTTGGGAAGGAAAAGGCGGCTCAGAGGAGAGGGTATGCCGGCGTGGTACGTTTCTGACTTCATCCGACTCTGCAATTGGAGAGCGCTCGTGTACGTCCAGGGTTGTATGATCTGACAGTTTGTAAAGCAGATAGAGGATTGCCCATTTTTGATTAAGAACCGGTATGGCTAGCAGCCTTGAATAGAGGTTGCTGAACCTTGCAGCCTTTTCTGGAGAAGCATTTTCACGTAGCAACTTTCTCTTGATCAAGTCGGAGGCTTGATTTGTGTCTGGAGGGAGACGAGCGTTCCCATTGTGCACCAATGCTTTGGCATTCTGGATAGCTCTTTCGATTTGGAACTCGGTGTCGGTATCGTCCTGTTCCGGACTTAGAGGTGGGATGAGGCTCTCGAACAGCGTGGTCAGAGTACCGTCAATGCGAGTCAATCTCGGATCAGCCATGGACAAGGCGAGGGTGTCGAGGGTATTAGTGGCATGACACAGTCGCGGCAAGAAGGCTGGAAGACTGGACAGGAATCTGAAACCAGGGTGATCATGAGCAGTGACACAGTTGTGGCATATAGCGGTGCTGTCCCCATCCGGAGGGTCAGGGTTGAATAGGGTGTAGATAGCCTGGTGCCGGTGTTGACTTCAGACGCGTTTCTCGTGACTTTCTGGCGTGGCGGTGGTGAGGGGAGGTGCTCAAAGGAGTTTAGTTAACGAGGGCCACGCCAAGGAAATCCAAACGGTGCCTGTGGTCACGGGTCGGACCTCGTATATAATTCGAGACACCAATTAAGGAAAGGGGTACCACCTGGGCAGTCGAAATGATGTACAGGTGGTTCTGCAGTTGCTGCATGTGATAGTAAAATTCTCAAAGATGGAATCTTTAGGCGTAGGCATGGGCAATTATTGACGAAATCATACCATTTCTTCCGGGTAACGCCCCCTCCGAGCCTCGCTTGTACCTGCGGATCATGAACCCCGTGGCGTGAATCTAGTCTCGGGGTTCTTGTGTTCCATGTTTCATTCTCTTCTCAAACCCTCTTTGAAACCGGTCTACGTGCTTCCAGGCGATCGTAGATGGTCTCTCAATCATCACTTACCACAATGTCCAATCACAGGCACCCCATTGTACAGTCAGCATCGGCAAGCAACCATCAGCCCTGTCGATTACTTGCATGAGAGGAAGGATGAGCCTAAGATGACCTTATCAAATAGCCATCACAGGAAACCATCGGGCATGTCTGTGTCAGATCGAGCGCCCTTGGACCTCAATGCGACATTTGGTTCGGCATCTGCGCGCTCCGATTGACTTTCCAATCTGGTCTCCATGCCTGAGCAATGTAGTTCAATACATCAGGGCAAGATAAGTACTACGATCTACGGCAACTACGAGCACGAATCGTAAGTCGTGATACCCAAATCCAAGACAATTCGTTGTGTGGCGGTCACGTTGCCGCCCAATACCAACTCGCAGTCACACGAGAATATCAATCGTCGTGGAACAGCTACCTAGGTACCTCGCAACGGTGGCTTCCCTGTCAGATTCGGTCTTGTGCCCGATCCTGTCCTTCGTACTTATATTCATCTACTCGCCAGTAGCCAGCTCATCACACTCCTCAAGCAAAGCTTTTCATTCATTTCCTATACAGGAACGACTACTCGTTGGCGTCGGGTCCTTACGAAATACCCTAAATCATGTCTGACTTTCTTTTCAACCTTTCTCTTCTTGCCTTTGGCATAATCATTCTTGGGGCTACCATTTACTACTTTAATGGAGGCGAGAAGCAGCCTCTCCCAGACTTACCATGGCTCAATACCAACGAGGACGAACGCTTCACTATATTGAGATCGCGATATCGGTCACTATTTAATTTCAAACAAACCATTGACGGTGCTTATGGAAAAGTATGCTACTCGAATGGTGGTCTTTCGTATACTGACACTGATTCACCCCAGTACTCCAAGCAAGAGTTATCGTGCATACTACCGAGTCTTGCTGATGCGACCATTCTGCTACCTGCGTCGCACGCTGCTTGGATCGTCAGCCAGCCAGAGACGATACTGAGTGCTACCGAACCCCACGTAGAACAGCTTCAGACACAATACACCTTTGTGCACTCCTGGATTGTTCAGAACCCTGTACATCACGATGTCATCAAAGGCGAGCTTACACGCCAGATAGGATCTCTCACGATGGAGCTCATGGACGAAATCTCAGTCGCATTTGATGAACTGTGGGGAACAAATACGGAGGAATGGAAAGAAATCTGTGTTTTCGACACAGTCATGCAGGTGGTCGCCCGCGCCAGCAACCGCGCTTTCGTTGGCCTTCCATCTTGCCGCAACAAGACCTTACTGGAACATGCCATGGGGTTCGCGTCGGCGGTTCCTCTTGCCGCCGCAATTCTCTCTCAATTACCGGAAGCATGTCGTCCACTCGCTGCTTTACTCATCGCCTATCCAAATCGAAAACACACCAAAGGTTTCGCTCAAATTCTGCGCTCTGAGATCGAACGACGGAAACAACTACTTGATGCACAGAATGGTGAAATCGAAAAGAAGATTGGTGACGCTGAGCCCAACGACTTTCTACAATGGTCACTACTTCGGGCCCGAAAAACCCCTCAAAGTGTCGAATACGAGTCGGATATCATAGCTGAGCGGCTGCTTTCACTCAATTTTGCGGCCATCCACACTTCGACCTTCAGCATTACCAACGTCATTTTTGATTTGTTGGCCGGTGAGTCATCTCGAAATTACCTCGATCAACTAAGACACGAAGCCACTGCAGTATTCAGCAGCAATGGTAACACCTGGACGAAAAAAGGACTGGCAAAAATGTACAAGATGGACTCAGCCTTGCGAGAATCAACACGTCTGGGCTCATTTCTTGGGAAAGGACTGCTACGCAAGGTCATGGCACCACAAGGTATCACCACACCCAATGGAACACATTGTCCCTATGGAAGTATGGTAGCAGTACCTAGCAACGGTGTTCATAACGACCCCGAATATTATCCAGATGCTGCTGTGTTCCGACCATTTCGATTTTCGTCTGAACGACAATCGAATGGGACTGACGATGATTTCAGTTCAGGGGACGAGAGGACAAAATCGGACGACTACATCCGGAAAGCTAATTTGAGCTTCGTGAGCACATCACCATCCTACCACCCCTTTGGCCACGGCCGACATGCCTGTCCCGGTCGCTTCTTCGCCGCAAACGAGCTGAAGCTAATCCTTTCGTTCATGTTAATGAACTACGAGTTTGAGCCACTCAGTCAGAGACCAGCAAGTAAATGGTTAGGCCAGAACCTAGTGCCTCCTACGACAGCAACGATCAAGATTCGAAGAAGGTCTGGAAACCCCACATAGTAGATAACGCATAACGAACAAAGCATGAATGGAGTCAACGATAGAACCATTATAATAACGAGAGAGATAGAGACTCATCGAGACAGACACTAGATTTTAGAATAGAAAGTCTACAACAGAACATAACTTTCAAAACTCGGGGCTGTAGATGGGAGAACACACCTGATTCCGCCAACCATTGCATACACACCAGCTCACTAGTCCCTGCGACTCATGTGCCCGGCTCATGAGTGTCAGCCTCTTGGGCAAGCTGGGCGTCATGCCATGGTTTTGCTGCACTGAACTCGTCCAAGCAGCCAAGTTCAGCACTGCAAGGTCTACTTCGCGGCTGTTCTGCTCCCTTCTGTCGTCAGCAATGATTTCATAACTTGGCGAGGCGACCTCCGTTTCTTGGATCCATCCATGTCTATTCTATGGCCCGTTGTCCATTATCCAGTCATCGTACACGCACGTAGTCAGTGGGAAAAGGCGGAGACAGTGCTAAGACCGGTATGCTTCGAGTGACTAGTACGCTGTCCAAGAACTTTCGGGTCCACGGCCTTGGACGCTTGGCTGTGGTGGATGAGAGTGGAGGTTGGGGGAAGGACGTGGACTCATGATGGAGATGGCGGATCAGTTGGTCTTTTGGTTGAAGTTTCGGCACTGGGTACGTGATGCTCAGAAGACGATTTGGGCTTGTGTTGCTATCTTGAACAGAGCATCTTGCTCTGTCAAGGGGGAGAGCTTCTGGATTGGATGGTGGTTCCTGTCCTGCCAGGAAGAGCATTTCTTGAGTAACTTGTTCGCAAGATAAGTCCGAGGACTGGGCAATATGCTGGTTTAGTGGGAATAACAACACCAACACTGTCTGGATACAGAGTACCACATTTAGGTATCTGGTTGGGGCGTGTGCTGTATCATTGCCAACAAAGGGATTCCGAATTCAGGCTTCACACCGACTCACTGGCTGGTAGAAGAAGGCTCCCAAGACTCGGTTGCCGGGTAGTCGGATGAAGATCTCCGATTTCAGGATTGATAGTGAGATACGGTGTGCAGGACTCTCCCCAGGCAGTTGTCATAAGTTCATAACAGGAATCAATTGGGTCATGCAGACTCACAAAGTATCGTGATCGGCAATATGATATTGCGGAAGAGTCCAAGGGAACAAAAGTGCTCCCTAACCTACTCGTACTGAGAGAGCAACATGCTAAGACGTCACTGGGCATTATCTGAGACTTGGATGGGCCAGCACAGGCGTGGCAGGATGTGTGGCATGATCCTTGGAAGGACAGACGGGTTGCTTAGCACCCTGAGTCCACACTATTTTGAGTCCTGTCGATTCTTCGGACTGCACCTACTCGTAGGGTCCGTGTTAGTGGGTTGTTGAGTACGGCGCTCTTACTTCGTATGCACCGAGTCTTTCTTCCCATGGGCGAGGAGTCTGTACTTCAGCATATATTCCAAAGAATCGAAAAGAGAAGCCCTTTAGCTCTATGGGCACTCACAAGACATGGCTCGAGGGGAGAATTGTCCGCGGCAAGGCTTAGCCGATGTTCGGAGCTCGATATTGTGCGTCCACATTTCGAAATTCGTCACCAGAGTTCTTGGTCCAGTCAAGCGAATTGATGGTCTCCTTGGCATTCAAATGTGTCCTATCCTTCTATTTGGAACCAAGAACTTGTCGCAAGTGGAGGTTCAACTTCGATTGGCATCTGTCACAATGCATTGCTAAGATATGTATTGGATATGCCATAAATTCGTCTCCATGGCATTCGAAATTTAGGGGCTGGCAATATGGCCCAACAACATGGTTAGGCAGGATCGTGTTGCATTGCACCAGGGCAAGGCTCCGCCTGAATGGACACACTTGGTGATTTCTGCCGTGCTTTATGAAGAGTACTCGTCCGGCCCATTCCCGGATAATCTCATTCACCTGTCCAAAATGGTGTTTCCTACCTGCTCCATCGTTCGCTCCCTTGAACCAAGTAATAGAGAGTAGCCTGACACGGTTCCAGTGGCATTGGCGTCCGTTTGCAAGCAACCGAGGTACAGAGTGCCTCGTCATGGTTTGTGTGAATCACAGGTGGGTCTTTAGCAGGATCGAAGCGAATTTTACAATCACAAAGGCACCCAGCCTCGACTCCTCAAGATTAAAGCAACACGTGGCCTGCTTGGCATGTAGGAGAAGCACAGACTTGGACATCATGAACAGCCGGAAGATGGGCACGGAACGGAAGATAATCCACTGTGAGGAAAGGCCAACTTGCCAAGTGGTTAAACGAGTCCACTTAATCCAGAGAGTTGATCCAAAAGCTCGGCTCCCACTTTCAATTCGGGGTGCACTCGGTTCGCCTAGACATTGGCAAGACTTGGCATGCACTGGAAATTGACTCTAGGTGGCTTGAATCATGCTTAACAACCTTGAGGTGGTTAAGCTCTAGCGTCAGGTCTCGCATGCCGTTTCAGCTCGCTAAAACGAGGCGCCACGGTGTGGTCTTGTCAAATCATGTTGATGTGAAGATGAAGGCTGGTGAGTGCAGATCAGTTTTTCATGACAGAAGTCTGTTCGATTTGATGGCAACTGATGCAACATGCCACTGGAAAAGGTGAATCCAGCCCACCGAAAAGCCAGGAATTCGCCAAGGCATGCCAAAAAGATGTGGCACTTTGCCCAGACCACTAAGATGGGACTGGATTGATGCAGAATCATAATACCAAGAACTACCAAGAACTACCAAGAGTCATGGCGCCTTGGCTTGCTTGAGCTAGGGACGCTTTGGGTTTCGAAAGGGCGATTTGTTCCGCACTGGAGGGATTCGGGGGCGATTTGCTTTGTGACACTGGACGGTCTTGGAAGGGTAAACGTAAGAGCTAAGACCGACTGCTGGAAAAGCACAGGTTGTGACCACCCTGTTGCGTGTTTGCCCGTACGAATACGGGTGTCGATTGGCGATGGTGGCAGCCTGGATGCAAACATTATTGCTTGCCGAGACGAAGGGAGGCTTTTGATTCATCTGTGGCAACAAGGGCGGTAAGGGTTGCGGTGCAAAGAATGCCAAGCATCAAGCAAATTGATGACACTCAGTAGTAGGACTTCGTCATATGAATCAGTTAGTGCAGTGGATGCTGGAGCTTAACTTGCTCATCTGGTCTGGTACTTGGTCGATTGCGAACACCTAATGAAAAGTCTGGCAAGTTCCATTCAATATTGTGCAAGGCAACCAGCAGTGGGAGTGGCAGACGAAGGATGGTCTTGGAAGCTTGATCCCAACATCAGAGTTTATTGAGCTCTCGAGCGGGGTGGGATGATCACTTAGAGACTATTTCTCTCCCTTGTCAAGATAAGGTCTGCAATGATGGATCCCTTGGACTTGGAGACACGGGAATTCGTCCTTGATCCTCAATATTTTATGCAACCGCAGGGATTGGGGGACCCTTGACTTGGCGGGTTCCAGTTGATGGCTCGCTTAGTCAAAAATTTCAAGGGCAAGACAGCGCCGAATGCCCAGCGCGACCCAAGCCGCACGGGCCAATCGATGGATGCTGCGGCATAGATTTAAGCATAAGCCCAAGCTTGGTGGTGGAACTTCGGTGCCTGCGGTTAACTTAAGTTTCTTGTCATGGGGGACGAGGCCCAAGCGCAACTGCCATCCGCCATCTGATCCAACGCGCAAGCCTGTCGATTTTGTCTGCTAACTACTCATACCTGATTTCTCTTCCTCCTACATACCTGACCTTCCACTTCACTTCCTCTTTCCACTCGATATCCGCCTCCGAGAGCACCTTTTCTCTCCCTTGGGACTCGTTTTATCACTCCTCCACACTCAGCATCTGGCGCAGCCCACTCGCTCTCTGAGCGTCGATCAGTCTCGACGCTTACTGGCTTTCTTGTCCTCTGTTTGAGTCAAGTCAGCCGATCCTCACCCTCAATCACCGTCCAGCTCTCGTTCCTGGTCCTCTTGCTCACAACTCAGAACTCAAGGCGACCATCAAACATACATCATCCGATTTCGTTGTGAAGGGGAGAGCGCAGACATTCTGGAGAGACAGCAGTAGTCCCTCGCCCAAGACTACAATCAACGCGCGCTACCCTTTTCTTGCGCGGATGCGGCGAGCTGGGGTGCTTCTCAATTAGCATTCGGCCCGCCGTTCCTTGCCCTCAAGGCCCAGTTGTCGCCCATTTTCCTTTCAAATCGACCACCAAGCACAAACAAAGTCCTTAAGTCGCAATGGAGACCTACAACGGCCATGTCCGTACACCAACAGACGCCATTATTCTCTTCGAAGCTTGTCGGTTAGGCATCCTACCCCGAGTGCAGCGTCGCCTTTCCGAGAAAGAGAGACAGTCAATTCGATCAGGTTCTGTTTTTGTCTGGGACGAGCGAGAAGCCGGCATGCGAAGATGGACCGACGGCAAGAGTTGGAGTGCTAGTCGTGTCTCGGGCAGCTTTCTCACCTATCGAGAAATGGAAGGCAAGCGTGGAGGAAATTCCTTCGTTGCACCCGCAAACCGAGTGTCCAAAACTCCTGACAGTGTGCCCGATGATCCCTTGGGGGGAGAAGGCGAGGAAGGACCCGACGGATATCGATATAAGCCGGATGGCCTTATGAAGCAATCCTTCAGTATCACGACTTCCCAGGGTCAACACCTCCACCTGATCAGCTATTACTCACGATCTCATCCCACAACCCAAGTTCTCCGACAACCCAGCACAGATCCCAATCTCGCCTCAATCCAACCAGCAAAGGGCATGTATCCCGAGTCAACCATCAATGATCAATCCACTGTCCCTGCTGTTACCCGATCGCCCATGGTCGGGGCACCAGGCTATGTCATGAGTCCAGGTGGCCCAGGCTATCACAGACCGCCGTCACATCCCCACGCCGCATATCTACCACCTGGCTATATCCCTCACCCAGCTTATATCTATCCTATCAGCCCGATGCACACTCCACCAGGTCATTACGGCTTGCAGCCATATGCCGCGCTGCCTCCAGGCCTCCCCCCACTTGCTTATTCAGCTCCTCCTTATCATACACCGCATCATCTCGTAAATCATTCAATACCACCACCCGGATTTGATCACCGACCATTAGGACATCACGATCCAAGAGCTTCAGTCCCTCCACATCTATCACGAGTCAGCCAGCCTCCTCCAAGTCCTTATGGCGCCAGTCAACCACCTCCACCCCCAAGTCCCGGCAGCCAGTCGTATGCTCTTTCTCAACCCCCACCTCCTGCCGCTTCATATCAGCCAACTCCGCCCTCTCCATCCGGCCCCGCGCCATCCCAAAGCACGGATACGGGTGCCGAGAAATCATCTGGTCCCTTCCAGATCGATCCACGGTTGACAGCTAGCGTCAATGGAACTGACTCACAAGCTGGAGGAGTCATTAGGAGGCCTGAGGAATCACAAAACGAAACCCGCTCGGCCGAATTACCGGCCGTGAGCGCCAGTCAGGCTCCAACCATCACTTCACTGGTTCACAGTATTAACACGAGCTTACCAGTCGAAAAGTCTCAAGGTGACCCCGAGACCGATCGTCAAGGCAGCACAAGTCCTGGAGGCACCAAGAACGGCGCTCCGCCTCAAGACATCCCTAGCGAGAAATTGGGCTTTCGGGAAGATAAACGGGCTCTGAGTAAACTTGATCGGGTGTTTGCTCGAGTCTGATCACTTGGTCAGCTATTCCTTCATCACATTTTCACGGAGTTTCGGGCATGGTAGATAGGTCAAATGCAAGCGACCGTCCCTTTCACTTTTGTCGACCTTGGATCTGGATCATGACTGGAGGTGGTCTGTGAGCACATGGTTCGGTGGATTTTTTTAGGCGTCGGGTTCAGATGGTGCTGGGATTGCAGTGGACAATGAGATCCATGAAGCTGATGAATATGTGTGATTTGAATTTTGTTCGTTCTCGGTGGCTGCACTACTTCTACGGAGCAAGACACTTCTGTGAGTCTGCTCGTGTGGTCGATCCTGCCACAATCCTGGTCATGCATGTCATTGCTGGCATGCCATCACTCGTAGTAGGCCTTCAACCAGGCCAGTGCTGCAGTTCGTCTGCAATACAATTCATATTTGGTGTCTAAACTCTCGGCCGTTCCCCTCAGTGTCTCGTCTACGGTTCTTTCAATCCAGATGCTCTCTCAAGAAAAGTGCTTGACTGTCTGCTACTAACTGGTACCTACCTAATCAATACCAAGGACACCTGGAGCTCTTCCGGATCCGAGAGCTTCGGGCCTTGGCGTCGACCTGGGCTCCTGCATTGCTCTTTCCAACATGTCTCCGAACGCAGTTAATGTCAACATTTATGTTACTTCAAGCTTGCATTGTCATTCTTTGCAATCGACCACCCCTCTCATGCATCGGCCTGTCTCCAGCTAAGTGGATCTCTAGTTCAAGAGGATTTTCTTCTAATTGTGATCTCAAATCAACCACCGGAGATTCTCTCGGCCTATGGACATAACACGGATATCACGACCACAAGTCTTGCTCTATGGCTCATTCACCAACCCATGTACCAGGCCCAGATGGTTAGTCATGTCTCATGCTACGGTCTCATCCTCAGGTGAGTTCCTTTGCAGTATGAACTTGAGCGACTGGAAGCAAGCCCCTCTGTGCGCCGCGGCTGTTAGAGTCGTTCAATCTCTCTTCCATGGTTTCTCGCCTGAGGTCGGTCCTATCCAACATCCTGTTCGGTATATTTTGCGAGATGTCCGTTGAGGCCGAAATTGAGTTATCACAGTCCCAGCTCTAAGGTAAGATATTAGTACAAATATACCTGGTCGAACGCTCGTCTTCGTTGTGCTTGACATCTTTCATTTTTCCAGTTTCAGTCCGAGAAGTCGTGCTCTTTCCAGCCTTTACAAATGATGAACTTATTAGATTCAACTATTCGACTACCCCACATTCCATAGAAGACTCTGGTAAACTAGGACGATATGCCTTCCTCACTTGCGAACGCTTATCTCAATGAACCCCACGACTCTGCTCTTCCGGGGGCGCCCATCGACCCATCGAGCGCCCAAGTTTCGGACACGGAGAAAACGTGTGCCGTCAGCACCCCAGAAGCAAAGAGACAACACTCCCTTGTACATGAACGATTGAGTGAACATAACTTCAATGATACAGACACTGTGGCCGATCCTGACGACGTCTTTTTGACTACCGACCCTGTATCCCCTTTCAACCCAGACAGTGAGAACTTCAATGCCCGGACATGGGCTAAAGCAGTAGCGAAAATCGCAGCCGGAAACGGTCAGGACTTTCGCCGTATAGGCTTATGCTTCCAAAACTTAAGCGTCTTCGGATACGGCACATCCGATGACTTCCAGAAGGATGTTGCGAATGTGTGGCTCGCGTTGCCGAACATGGTGTGCCGCATGTTCTCTGCTAAAGCTAACACAAGTCGTATCGACATCCTGCGCAGCTTCGATGGTATCATTCAGCCAGGGGAGATGTGTGTTGTCCTTGGGCCTCCTGGATCTGGTTGTTCCACTTTTCTGAAAGCCATCGCGGGAGAAACGAACGGCATATATGTCAACCAGACATCCTATTTCAACTATCATGGAATCTTAGCAGAGGAACTTCATTCTTCCCATCGGGGAGATGCTATTTATACTGCGGAAGTTGATGTTCATTTTCCCTCCCTGTCAGTGGGGGAGACATTGACATTCGCATCACGAGCACGATCCCAGAGAGTGCTACCTCATGGCATCACTCGCCGTCAGTATGTGCCTCAGCTATCTACTTCTGCTATAACTTCTTGACTAGACACTGACGAGCTTTCCATAGGTATTGTGATCGCTTTCGGGATGCAATCATGGCCATGTATGGCATAAGTCACACCATAGGCAGCAAGGTCGGAGATGATTTTGTGCGAGGCGTTTCAGGGGGAGAACGTAAGCGCGTGACAATCGCGGAGGCCACCCTGTCGGGCGCTCCATTCCAGTGCTGGGATAAGTAAATACAAACTCCATTCCTCGCGATAAAGTTGACTGGATACTGACCGTGCATGAAAGCTCAACTCGTGGTCTCGATTCAGCAAATGCGATTGAGTTTTGCAAGACCCTGAGACTTCAGTCCGAATTCTTTCGTCAGACTTGTGTTGTTTCCATGTATCAAGCTCCTCAGAGTGCCTATGATCTATTTGACAAGGCTTTGCTCATCTATGAGGGGCGCCAGATTTACTTTGGTCCAGCATCAAGGGCAAAAGAGTACTTTATCAATCTCGGATTCGATTGCGCTCCACGACAAACCACGCCTGACTTTCTTACATCCATGACTTTTCCTGCAGAGCGTAGTGCTCGCACCGGGTGCAGGCCGCCACAGACTCCTGATGAATTTGCAGCAGCATGGAACAGCAGTCCAGAGTACCGGTCTTTGCAGGTCGAAATCGAGGCTTACAAGGAACAACATCCGATTGGTGGTCAAGATGCGAACACCTATCGAGAGCTCAAAAGGTCTCACCAGGCTGAGGGACAGCGCCTAAAGTCCCCTTATACCTTGACCTATATGCAGCAGGTTCAACTTTGTGCCTGGCGGGGTTATCGAAGGCTCAAAGCAGACCCTACATTAACTCTTACCATGTCCATTGGCAATGTCATCATGGCGCTTATTATCTCGTCTTTGTTTTTTGACCTTGACCCAGATACAGATTCATTCTACGATCGATCAGTTGTCATTTTCGTGGCCATCTTGTTCAATGCTTTCTCTTCGATGCTCGAGCTTCTCACCCTGTACGCTCACCGACCTATCATCGAAAAACAATCTCGTTACACTTTTTACCACCCGTCTGCCGAGGCATATGCCTCTGTACTGGTCGACTTGCCAGTCAAGATAGCCAATACCCTTTCCTTCAACTCAGTCTTCTACTTCATGACAAATCTCAACCGCTCTCCTGGCCCATTTTTCTTCTACCTCCTGGTTGTGTTTTGTCTTGTGCTGGCTATGTCCGGCTTCTTCAGATCTGTGTGAGTTCTCTGATCGTCCACACGAGCATGAAGGTACTGACAAGCTATCCGAACAGTGGAGCAATATCGCGAAGCGAGCAGCAAGCCATGATCCCGGCTACATTGTTGATGCTTGCTCTGCTGATTTTTACTGGGTTTATTGTACCTATTGATTATATGCTGGGTTGGTGTCGGTGGATCCGTTATGTAGACCCAGTCGCATGGGGTTACGAGTCTTTGATGGTGAACGAGTTTCATGGCAGAGTGTTCCTGTGCTCAACTTACGTGCCCGACTACGCAAATATCGCCGATACCACAACCGCTTGTGGCGCCTTGGGAGCTGTACCCGGCCAGCTGTACGTGGACGGAGACGACTTCATCAAATCCGCATACAGCTATGAACATGCTCATAAGTGGCGAAATGTTGGCATTATTGTCGCCATTGCGGTTCTTACCCACCTCTTTTACTTTATTGCCAGCGAGTATGTTACAGCTAAGAAATCGAAAGGTGAGGTCCTTGTCTTCCGTCGAGGTGTCCTCATCCCTGCCGCAATGCAGAAAGATGATGTTGAGAAGTCACTCCAGCGTTCAAGACCACCCATGACAACATTCACTCAGCCTGACACGGTACCTATCCGGACCAAGAACGATAAACAGCATCTGGGAAGTATTTTTCATTGGAGGAATGTTTGCTATGACATCAAAATCAAAGGTAAGCCTCGGCGCATCCTGGAATCCGTCGATGGCTGGGTCAAGCCTGGTACTCTGACGGCATTAATGGGCGTATCTGGAGCTGGCAAAACCACTCTTCTGGATTGCCTGGCTGATCGTCGTGTGGGCGTGGGCATCCTCACTGGAAAAATGTTCGTCGACGGTGGTGTTCGCGATGAGAGTTTCCAACGCAATACAGGCTATGCTCAACAACAAGATCTGCATTTACAGACCAGTACGGTTCGAGAGGTAAGTCTCCAATCACCGGATACGATGCCCCTCAAACATAGTGGCAGCCTGGAAAGCGAACTGCCACTTAAGAATGAACCTTCCGCTAAAACTAATGTATAGGCCCTACAATTCTCAGCTCTCCTTCGCCAACCAGCCAGCACGTCGAAGGAAGACAAGCTAGCATACGTGGAGAAGGTCATGGATCTTCTAGATATGTTCAATTTCGCCGATGCTATTGTTGGTGTCCTAGGAGAGGGTCTGAATGTTGAGCAGCGCAAGCGTCTAACAATTGGCGTCGAGCTGGCAGCCAAACCGCCACTCCTACTCTTCGTGGACGAGCCAACTTCAGGTCTCGATTCTCAAACCAGTTGGGCTATCCTCGATCTGCTCCAAAAGCTCTCCGATGCCGGTCAGGCTATCCTATGTACTATCCATCAACCTTCTGCAGTGCTCTTTCAGCGATTTGATCGCCTACTTCTATTGGCCGAAGGAGGCCGCACTGTTTACTTTGGTGAGTTCTCATTCAAGCTCGGCTTGATTCTCGCAAGCATGCCAGGGCTAACGATATTGCTGGACATATAGGTGAAATTGGTGAAAACTCTAACTTACTTACGGGATATTTCGAGAGGAATGGTGCAGCACCTTGCCCACCAGGCGCGAACCCGGCCGAATGGATGCTCGAAGCAATCGGCGCTGCGCCTGGTAGTCATTCTGAAGTTGATTGGTACCAAACATGGCGCGACAGTCCAGAGTATCAGACTGTTCAAGGTGAATTAGCACGACTCGAATCCCCGAAATGTGATCAACCCTCCCCAAAAACTATAACGGATGTTTCTCGATATCAAGAGTTCGCAGCCCCACTTTGGCAGCAGTTCTCGATTGTCACAGTGCGGGCATTTCAAAACTTATACCGAACACCAAGCTACATTTACTCCAAGCTCTTGCTTTGTGCTGGAACTAGCCTGTTCATTGGTCTTGTTTTCCTCGACGCACCGTTGACTAAGCAGGGACTTCAAAACCAGATGTTCGCTGCTTTCGAAATTTGTAGTATATTATCAACGGTGGTGAATCAGCAAATCCCCTATTTCGTTGAGCAGCGCTCCCTTTATGAAGTCCGAGAACGACCTGCCAAGACGTATTCATGGAAGATCTTCATGCTCAGTCAAATCCTCTCCGAGCTTCCCTACACACTCTTCGCATCAATAATCATGTGGGCACTGGTGTACTATCCGGTCGGCTTCTCCAGGAACGCCGAAATCGCTGGACAGGCAGTTGAGCGTGGGGCACTGATGTGGCTTCTATTCTGGCAACTTCTCCTTTTCGCCTCGACCTTTGCACACTTGTGTATCAGTTGGAACTCCAATGCCGAAGCAGGTGGTAACGCCGCAAACTTCCTGTTCATCTTGGTGTTCTTCTTTTGCGGCGTGTTGAGCCCACCAGATGCAATGCCCAGATTCTGGATTTTTCTATACCGGGTGTCGCCTATAGGGTATTGGGTCTCGACCGTCTTGTCGACTGGACTTGCAAATGTCGATGTTCAATGCGCAAGTAATGAATGGACTGCAGTCACTCCGCCTCAAGGCAGCACATGTGGTGATTACATGGCTGACTACATTGCGCAAGTTGGTGGCTATGTCATGGATCCAGGATCGACGAGTACCTGCAGCTACTGTGCAATCAAGGATACGAATGTGTTCTTAGCGAGTATCAGCGCTCACTACGAGGATAGGTGGCGTAATTTCGGCATCTTGTGGGCATTCATCCTGTTCAATATCTTCGGTGCGATCGTTCTCTACTGGATTGCCAGGGTTCCGAAGGGGAAGAAGAAGATATTGTGATCCATGTCACAGTATATGAGCTAGCACGGAAGGTAGTATGGGATTCGCCTATCACATGACCGGCTCCCTCTGCTCTTTGCCATTCATATTCTTCGTCAGATCTACTACTCTCTGGTGGCTTGGGGTCTGATGAGCTTGACTGCTTGAAAAAGCGATATCTTTACAACGACTAACCTATCATCGGATTAAAGCTTTCGGAAATAAAATCTCCACTTATCATGTCAACCCCCCACCGATTATTCGCAGATATTTCCTGCTGTGGTACTTAATTCTTCTTGGGCATGAAACTCCCATTTCTTTCATGAGCATGAGCAGTGATCAGCAAGCGATGCAAGCCATTACACGGCAGGCCATATCATTAGTAAAAGGAACGATTAGTATTGAGTACCATTGTTCAGCAATGGTGGCCCCCAAAACTGCTGACACCGAGCTTCTACATTCTCAATGACCACAGTGCTCTCTGGCGGATAAACTTGTCATCAACATACTAGTCGAGTCTGCGGGGTGGTGGTCCACCTTCAAACACAGATCAAGAGTTCACCCCATGGATTGATAAGAAGTGCGTTAAGCGATAGAGAGGAACATGCTCGATCTCTTCTGGGGCGGCGACCTGAGAGAATGCTTGTGCGAGGCGTGTCATACCAGATCCGGTGGCTTGTGAGTTCATTGGATAGTACATTTCTAGTGTACCACACATGGTGACACCCCACCAGCCTCAGCCTCAAATCCTCAGCCTTGTGACCCAAACAGCGGATGCTTGAGTCCGAGTATCACAAAACCACGATGAAGACATGGATTGAAATTCCCAAACAAAAGACCTTTGAAACATCGAATGTCCGACCTGAAGCCATTATTCCCCTGGGAAACCACGGGTACCGGCGGAGTTTGGGGACAATAATGCAATTGCTGCTCGGTGAAAGTGTCCGCATCGGCGAAGCACCAGCCTGAGGCTTGGTGGCGTCTCGTACTGCTGAAATCCGCCCCCTCTTGGCTACTTAGTATCTTATTTCCTCGAGAGGGTGTGCCTCACTTGTATGCCTGGTGAGCTTCGCCCCTACCGGTGCCGGAGCCCTTGCACAGGATGCTAAGTACTTAGTATATTTGCGCTGATCCCGTCGAGCTGGTCCAACAGGGACTTTCTCATTGTTCAGTTGAATCAGTTCACATAACATTTACCAGAGAGAGAAAAAGCCATGCACTTCACAACTCATTTTCTCAAAGTCGGCTGCCTCCTGGCCTCGATTCTTACCCAGCACGCCGCAGCCTTGCAGCTCGCCCTAGACGGACCTGAGATCCTCCGCAACGACCGCCTGTCTGCGCGACATGCGCTCCTGAGTCTTCGCCAGAATGTGGTCTACTGTGCAGGTGAGTCAACTTGAGACATTTTCCCCCCTGTCCGATGCTTCTCTCCAACGAGAGAACAACAAGTACTACACGAGTGTAACTAACACCTGGTTCTTCCCTCCCTCCCAGCGACCTACTACTCAACCTACTGCGTCAACTCAGTCTGCTGCGGCACAGTAAACTGCATGCCAGCAGATGCATCCTGCTGCTCGAACGGGCAGTACTGCCTGGCAGGGACAGCCTGTATGTGGTCTTCGTCTGGCCTGATGACCTGCCAGTGCGTGGGGAGCAGCTGCACGGGCGTCGACGACGGCACACCGCAGTCTGACCCGGCGGAGTCGTCCCCTTCACCATCCCTGTCGCCTTTACCCTCACCGACTCCTTCACCGACCCCTTCACCCAACCCTGGGGGCGGGTCTGGCTTGAGCTCAGCTGCTCTGCCGGGTATAGGCAGTGTGGCTGCCATCGTGTCTGCTGTGATCGCTGTTTGGGGATGTGTTTGCTATAAGAGGCGGCGGTCCTAGTTGGCTGATTAGTGAAGGTCGGGTGGCTCAGGCAGGGCTTTAGGTGACTTGCTGGGTTATTGATCGTCCAGGGGTATGGCGTTGGAATCTTACACACTTGTTGTTGTTGACTAGGCAGTGAACGGTGTTTTTGTTCTGGTGCGTGGCGTCTCGGTGAAGATGCCGTCGGCACTGGAAAAGTAAGGGTTATGACAAGCGAAGTTTCTGCGACTATATGGTCTGGCGACGTTGGGTTTGTTGTGACCTTAGTACTTAGTACTACCATATATATACAGTATTCATAGTGCCTAACTCTCGCCTCAACTGAGAAGTTCAAACTCTCAGCCTCAGTCGACCTAGTATAAATTACCTACCTGAACCTGTCTTGAATCAATCTCAAAAGGTCAAAAGCGGCTCGCCCGCCCATGGGAGGCATTGTATTGTACTAGTAAGTCTCTCGTTCCCATCGTCGTGCCTCACAAACGACGTTGCAGGGCCTGTCTCTCCGAAGGTTGTCTGCAGGAAGACGGTGAGTGCTAGGCTTTTAGGACAGAGACCACCCTTGATGGCCCGGGCCTTGTGGTCTCTGTTGAAGAGAGGTTTGGGTTTGTCGTCCCTGGGAAAATGGCTTAGGTAAGATTCATTCTGATGGATGACTAACAATCTGGCAGTGTCACGTGGATAAGTCGCTTATCTAATGACTTGCTTAGCTACAAATGTACCACGATGGGAGACACAAATGCACCGAAGTTGTCAAGGTTGAATTTGCAGACCAGGTCGACTCGTGATATTTGTTTCGATATAGTCTGGAAGGTCAGAAGCTACTACCAGTGTGCTACATGTTTTTTAAATGGTAGTAGCGACAAAATGGTAATATCAATAGTGCTTGTCGTCAAAATTTCCTGCTTCACCGCAATTGCCATACAATGCAGCAGTTAAGGAAAAGCGACCAGATACTTAATTTTAGGCCTTCTCATCATCCAAGACCGATATCCCCGGTAAGTAGCTCTCAGGGTTTACCAACCATTCTTGAGCTCCCTACTCATAAATCAATGAAACTGATCCTCAGTCACACCCTTACCCATGGCACTCGTGGAGCTCACGCCACCAGTGACCATCTTGAGCAGGTTGTCCACGTAGTTGGCACCGCTCCACTTCTGATGCGTGACGACATCGACTTTCCCTTCCATCTCGGGCTCCTGGATCAACTCGCCGTAGGCACGCATGCCGCGCTGCGCAAACGCCTTGGCGAACTGGTCTGAGATCAATGCCGTCGAGTGCAGACCTGCCAGCGTGATGAATTGCCAGCAGTAGCCGAGCTCCGCGAGGCGTTGGATGTAGGTTTCTTGGTCTTTGGCCGCCATCGCGGACTTCCAGTTGAACGAGGGGGAGAGGTTGTATGCGAGTCTGTTGAGGAGAGATCAGGTTAGAAAAGAGCGTTATAGGTGGAGGGAGAAAGGGTGGAATGGGGGCTCACTTTTGCTCGGGCCACACAGAGTGGACACCGTCTGCGAATTCCTTGGCTTGCTCATAGTCGGGAAGCTTGCTCTCCATCCAGATCAGATCTGAGTATGGGGCGTAGGCAATGGCACGGTTGATGGCACTCGGGCAGCCGCCCTGGTAGCGGTAGTAGCCCTCACGGGTCCGTGGGGCATCCCAGTCCCAGTGGATGTCAACACCGGTGAGGCCCTTTGCGATGGCGCGGGCTTCACTGTTGGGCTTGCCAGCAGCGGCCTGCTTGTATTTGGCGATCAGTGCGCTCTTGTCGACGTGCACACCAGCATTGATGGCGTCGATGACGGCGTCGTCGAAGAGTTTCAGGCCCGCCTCCGCAGTCCATCGATCCTCGATGGACTGGAGCTCGTCGCCAGCTCTTCCGGATCGTTCGGCTGCCGTCATCAGATCATTGAGAGGTTGTAGGTTGGCGTTGGTTGAGCCCAGGATGAAACCGTGGTCTCGGTGGTCGATGTTGGAGCTGATGAGTGTGGCGGCCTCGGAATCCGTCCGTGCAATGGCAAGGAGATCGACACCCATAATGTCGGCCTGAGCACGGATGGCAACAAGACGGTTGATGTGTTCGGAGATGGGGACAAGCACTTTGCCGGCCATGTGGCCGCACTTTTTCGTGCCGGGAGCTTGATCTTCAATATGGATGCCGGCGGCACCTTTCTCGACGAAGAGCTTGGTGAGTTTCATGACGGCGGTCAAACCACCGTGACCGGTGTCTGCATCAGCCACGATCGGTCGGAGGTAGTCCACGTTGGCCACGGATCCTCTCTTCTCTTTGGGTGTCGTCAGACGCTCTTCTCTTTGTTTGCGATCGTGGAACAGTTGGGCCATGAACAAGTGTTGGACCTTGTTGGGGACAGTGTTCATGGGGTAATCGGCCAAATCTGGGGATGGCTCATCGGTCGACGATGCAGTAGATGAGGATTGCCATCCGGAGACGTAGACAGTGTCGAGGTATTTATTCATTTGAGTGAGCATAGTGGGTTCGAGACAACCATATGTGGCAGAGGCGGTTTTGGTCTGCGAGACGGGTCAGATCCGATGGCATACTGCAACGGTAAAACAAACCCCGGAGAACTTACAGCAAAGCGATTTTCAACAAGTCCCCATAGCTTCTTCGCCTGCGAGTTGCTAGGATATTGGATCTTGATGGTGCCTCGTTTCTGCACGATTTGCTCAGCCGTGAACGGTCGCTTGGTGTAACGCCATCTGGAGTCGGTCCACCATTGCTTGACGGCTTCGACGTCCTGGAGGTATTGTCTTTCTTCCTCGTCAATGGAACCCATTTTGAAAGTGTCGACGAGCTTGTTCAAGACTGATGTCATTAAATTTCGGGGAGGGGTATTGGTAACAGATATATACAGAACACACGCACGCGACTCACAGAGAGTAGCAAGTCAACGTAGCAGATGTCTCAGTCAGGAGAGGAGAGACTAGTATCACGATACAATACTGGTATACAGTTCAGGGAGCAGAACAGTCAGAGAAAAAGACCATCCACCGGAGCATGCGCGAGACTTAAGTAAAAAACGAGCACGAGCCGATTATGAGATGGGCCGAGCCTGAATGACTGTAGTCTGCCAGTTCCACGATGGGTTCAGCGCCGAGGGGCGGCAACAGACATGTCGATGACTCGAGACCAAGCTTTGGCTCCAGAGCCGGTCCAAGGGCAGGATTGGTCCAGAGGCAACATGGGAGGAACAGCGGAGAGTGGCAATTGGTGGAAAGGTAGGGGCTGGGGAAGAATCCGGACTGGAGGAGAGTTCCAAAGAAGGCGTACGAGGCACTGGGCGTATTGTCAGCTCCTACAGAAATGCTCTTCGGTTTAGGATCGGCCTTGTGGGGAAGGGAGGTCAGAGGTCAAAGGTCAGAGGTCCAAGCATGTCCAATTTGTGAGTGAATGCATGTGCGCCATGACGTTGGGTTTTTCCTCCGCTCATCCGCTCAGTCTCTTGGGTTTTGTATCATGTTTCCGGAGAAGAGAGCCTAACTCTTGGGACTTTGAAGATTCGAGCTTTCTGTCATGGTAATAAAGACACACTCTGTTCTTCTGGGGAGCCTTCAACTGTTTTTTTCTTGAGATCTAACATTCCGTGGGTCTGCAAAGTCTCCATGCAATTTTCACTAATTTACATCTGGTGCTGTCCCTTGGTCGGATCCGAACCTCGGCACAAGTCACGTGAACAGGGAACCTTCTAATCTAGGTTTCCCATGGCTTTCATTCGATGGCCATTACCGGCACTTGGTGCTCAATACCCCATTCCAGGAAATACCTAGGCACGTAGTATCCCATGGGTTGCGAAAATGAATCGGAACCAACAAAACCACGATAATAATGAGTCAAGCATGGTCAGCATCGTGGTGGAATCGATATTACAGATTCATGTTCGCCATAGCACCGCTTCTATCTACAATGTTCGACCGACCTGAGAACGCCCTGACTGCTTGACAATGAATACTCCCACGTTCAAGCACTAGAAACAGACTCCGTCAGCAATCGCTGTAAAGGTCTTTGATATCAATGGAGGACATTCCACGTTCCGCAACTTTCCGAACCCAGCATCCGCAAGGGGGAGATCATTTTTCCGCATCAGAACTAGAGACCGCTGCAGCCTCGTCGGCAGATCCCGGGATCGCTTCATCTAGACCCTCATCAATTGTTTCGTCTGCTCCAAGTTTGATCTCTGTAGCCCGCGCAAAGACTTCATAAGGCGTGATTGTTCCGAGCGCTCGTTTCATATGCATGGGAAGGAAAGACAATCCATACACATAGCTGGCATTGACCCAGCCAAACCTGATACGATTGTCAGCAAGCCATGTAATCTTCGTTCGAGTCAAAACTTACCCTTCACGAGGGACTCCTTTGAAGTCAGACCCTTGATTTCCATACTCAGCTTCGACCTTGTGTGGATCGAGCTCACGAGTTACATTGTACTTCTCCACAACAACACCATTGAAGTCAACGAATGCCTTGGTCACCATATACAGCCACTTGTAGGCAAGGCGTTGCGCCTCCTCAATGTAGCCATATTTGATAAAGCCACCCCATGCAAGCATCTGCTGTGGGGCCCAGCCAAATGGATAATCCCATTGGCGGTTGGGTCTGTCAATACCAATTTGGCCACGAGATTCTTCAGTGCCCGACACAAGTCCTCCAAAGCAATCAAACTTGGGCAACGCATTATGGACGAGGGCGGCTGCTTGTTTTGGTGAGGCACAGCCTGCCCACATGGCCCAGAACGTAGTGGCCGTTTCGTACGAAGTGCGCTTTTTGTTGACCGTGTCATAGTCGAAGTACATACCCTTGGCCTCGTTCCACATGTACTTGTCGATGCGGGCCTTTCGCAATTTGGCCCGTCGATCCCATGTCGCCGAAGTCTCGTAACCTTCTTTACGATTGGCATCCGTCTGGAACTCGGGTGGGATAACCAATCGGTCTTTGAAATATTGCCGAATGCACCATGCAATGTCGATTTCATATTTGTACAGCAATGAGTTGAGATCAATGGTTGCAAGATTGGCCGCACAACCCTCCAGGCGATACGAGGTGTCGTGTCCCGATTCACGAACTGCACGATCGTGAAGAAAATACTCATCCAGTTCTGGTTCATTAATCTTGTCACTGTTGTAGGCTTGCACAAATTCTTCGAAAGTCATGCCATGCTTTTCAGCATAAGGTGTCAGGATATGAAGAAAATGCGAGGATTCTGTCTCTGGCGGGACACCCAAGCCGTCAGGGCGGTAACGAGAAAGATTTGTGATGGGATCCAGGCGTGGAGCTGACATCCAGACATTATAGTACTCCTTGATTGCTGCCCGAATGGCCAATCGAAGGAAATCTAAAGCTCCAACTTCGTGCTTGATCTTCTCGTACACTTTGAGAGCCATGTCCGTCAAGAAGGGTGGCTGGGATCGTGAGAGGTAGTAAGAACGATTGGCGTTGAGAATCTTGCCATAATGCTCAATGCAAAAGGCGAAGTTGAAGACCATGGATTTGGCCATTTCAACCTTGCCATTCTCGATCAAACCGATGGACTCCATGTAACTGTCCCAGCCATACAATTCATTGAAGCGACCTCCAGGAACGATAAAGGGTTCTCCTTTGAGAGTCTCCTTTCCATCAATGATTGTTTTTCTCATGGCCAAGGCCAGAATTCCCGGAGCATTGTTGAGGGAGCGAACGTATTCTGCGGTGATGGGACCTTCTGGTAACCAGCAGACATCCAGTCGCATCTCTGGTTGATCCCGGACGATTTGAGTGTAGTACTCAAACTGTTCTGGGCAGGCACGGGGAATGTAGATACGTGGCCTCGGATCGTCTGTCCAGTCCTTTGGATCTCTCCCAGCCTTCTCGATTGTGTTACGGTCAAGTGCTCTGGTCAGGTTGTTCCAGAATTCATCTCTGATTCGACGCGACAGTCGATCGACAGGATTCTCGCTAAGGCGAGAACGATGTATCTTGACCACCTTCTTGTTCAGGTCTTGTGCCAGTGTCAACTCTTGCAGGAGGTTACTGATCATGTAATTTCCCCGGACTTCGGTCGTGCGATACCCTGCCGAGGCAAAGGTCCCCAGGGCAATGTGCTACGCTTAGGGTTAGTCTTCTGTATCTCCGGTCGAGGCCTTTAGATTCGCCTACCTTAGGGCCATTATCTTCGATGGTGATCTGCTGATTTCCGTCAATGTCCTCTCTTGTGATCAGGTCTTTCAGGGTGCGTTCAACATCCACCAAGAGTTCTTGATGGTGTTGGTAGTATTCATCTGTGTATCGGACGTCAGCAACGGGATCCGAGGTGTGCTGAACGAAGATGGAAAAGTACCGTGGCTGGTCCGACGAGTGGGATAAGCACCATTAGTGGCCTCGAAGAGAGTTGCCCGGGCAGGCTTGATGTACTATTGGGTAAGTCAGTGATGAGAACTGACAACCACACTGGTGGTACTGGTGCGAAAGGTCAACCATACCGACGAGACAGTTCTGTTGCGGGCACCCAGCAATTGGCGTCTTACGGCATCTTCATCGTAGTAGACAGAGGGTGACGAATAGGGATCTCGGCGCTCTAAGGAGGAGTTCCGTCTGTGGTGCTGTGCATCTGGCAAGCTCATGACCAGGATAAGTTGGGAGAATCTATCTATGAAGAAAGATAGAATTCAGGAGCGGTTCAGATGGAGGGCAAGCCCAAATATTCGACACACCAGAGATTGAATAGAGACTGATGTGGGCACGACGCAGACGACAGGGTCTATGATGTCGTTTCAGACCCGCAGGAACTTTGTTTTAGAGTGTGAGTGGGGGTTAGTCAACTGGAAGACCGGATTCAATATGCAGGCGAGTTGGAACACACGACAGGCAATCTGGGAGAATAAGACATTCAGGTCTCTGATGCTCGAGGTTAAGTAGATTGAGGGAGTAACGTCACTTGCCAACGAGGATCAGCGCTGTTTGGATGTCCAGGATTTGCGGTGAATGAATCTGGTTGTTGCAGCGGGCAGGTGCAGCCCAGGTGAGGGTGAGGAAATAAGGATTCTGGGGAAGGAGCAGCGCGTCCAAGTGGCAGGACCGGGTCAGGCGGACAAAGGAACCTCTGCAAAGATGGGATGAATTGACTCTTGGTGGACCGCTACGATCAATGCGCTTGGGTAAACTTCAACAATGATAAGAGCGACCAATCTGCCGAGCTGACTGTTGGTATCTTGAGAGATTGAAATTTTCACTCCTGAGCCTTTGGTCTTGACGTGGGATGGCCAGCGGTCATCGACTGTCACCCGACTCAATGCAACAGGCCAGATCTGCGAATTTGGAGATCGCACCGCAGGGAGCAAGGAGAGTAATCTCTCGGAGCCCGTCCAGGCTTGGTTGCGGGTATAGCAATGGACCAAACTCTTGAGCCAGGCCAAGGGCTTGCTACTGAGGTGGTCATGTCCATTATTGTTTTTATTGTGAGACAGAAGCAGGTTGGACTATGCAAGGCTCTGATGACTATTTTTGATAGCAGCTCTGGCGGTTGACATGAGTGCCTAACTTGAACTCTGGGGAAGCCCCCAATCAAGAGTGGTGTTTACACTGGTACCTCGTACGAGTACGAATAAGCAGCAGCTGGTCGGTAATCCCACACTTGGATTGACCCCGCTGCAAGGGCAAGGGCAAGGGCCTCGGGCCACTCAATTGTTCCCGAGATCTTGCCCACGCTATACCCCTTATCACAACCTACCCGCAGTAACCAATCCATCTCCAAACCGCTAACTTTGGCGATGACAGCCTCGTGGAGTCGTGATTCTCACCTGTAATTACTCCAGTCTGTCATGTGCGTATCAGATTACAGCCTGCACCTAGTACCTGTTAGACACATATTCATTGGCCTCATATCATCACCAACTGCTTGTCATCTCCCAGTTCATCCTCTTCGCCTGGTACAACTCGATTGCACCATCCACACCAACTTCGTAGTTTCCCACGCGACTCTCGTTCAAGGTATTTCCCGCTCGATCGTTCATCCTCAAACTCCCATACCGTCGCCCCGACCTTGACTCTCTTTTTCACCTTCTTCTTGACAACCCCACCTATCCCTTCTATTTCTTGCTGGAAATAACCTGGCTTGTTGGTGGGATAGTCTGCCATCCCTGCAGACGATATCAGACTACCGTGGTCTGAATCACGGCCTGCTTCCTGGCTGGCTCCCTCAGCACAGTCGATTTCGACCCAACAAACAGCCGTTACACTGCTATCGAGGCAGTATTCTCCTCGACCACACTTCTGCCCCTGATTACCCTGGCCTAGACCCGTTCCTAACCCTCCACCAATATGAGTGGAATAGCGAGAGCGCCAAGTCCATACTCGCTTGTAGGTAGTGTCAGCTGATCGAAGATTCTGCCCACAATCTGTGCACAAAAACGTCCCATGTGAGGCGCAAATGCAGGGTCCTCGCAAGACAGTCGACGAGCTGGGCGTGTCATGGTATTCTTGATCCGACAAAGCTTCCTCACACTTGTTACGGCTTGAGCTAGAGGAGGCGGAAAAAGAGCGTTCTGATTTGACAGAACTTGCACTGGAGTGAAGGTGCCCTTCGAGTCCATCTGATGTCATGCGAAGTGGCTGTAGATGTTCTCCAAAGGGAGCATCCAAACATGTTTTGCACAATCTCCGGTACCGATCTTGGAGCCAGGAACTAGGAGGGGCTTTGACAGTGCAATTGCGGCAAACCACAGTTGCACAACTGCGACATCCCGCAACTAAATCTCTCGCACAGGCACTGCTCTTACTCGGCAAACCTGGAGGAGAGTTATAGGGTGTGGGATATTCCCCTGCTCTTTCAGTCTGGTAGGGATTATATCCCCAATGTTGGGATGAAGCAATGGCGGACACAGACATTTCTATGAATGCCGCTCCATCATATGCATCACCGGGTGCTATCCGAGTCTCTTTGCTCAGTGTGGGATCTTGGCTACACCGCAGTGATCGAGCCTTGAGTTGCTGTGCATATTGTCGCAGACTTCGATGAACGATTCGACACGATGCTGCCAGCGCATGTAGATCGTTGAGATCGAGGTGTGCGGCGATGGATAAGGCGATCCTAGGCACGAGGGTTAGTGGGTAGACTTGGGTCAGACGACCATCGTCAGTAGTGCCTACGGATAGCAGGTAAGAGCTGCAGCCAATATGTTGATATCGTCCTGTTCTTGTTCAGAGTCAGGATCAATCATTACAGTGGTCCTGTCACAAGTCGGCACTGTGGCAGACTTGTCGAGAACCGGTTTTAGCCGGCCTGTGATGGCCATGGTAGAGCGAAGGTCTTGATTCCATTGACTGGCAGACTGCTGGTCGTCGCCATCCTCGAGATCATAAAACACAGCCATGATGGCGTTGCCATTTGAATGAAAGAACGATCACAGACACAAGTAGGCGGTATAAGAACAACAAGTTGAAGAGACAAAAGCGAAGCGAAGGGTGTTGGAATGCATGAATAGAAGGGAAGCAGGTCAATGTTGGTTTCGGACTGGAGAAGGTGAGGTAAAGCGGGCGGGACCTGAAGTTGGTGGTCAATGCCTGTGCATTGTTCGCAAACTGTAGTTCAATCAGGGAGGGGAAGGGCCAAGGCAGGTACTGTAACTTAGGGAGAGCAATGAGGGGCATGAGACCTGTAGTAGGGGGCTTTGTGCCCTCGGTTTGATGTTCCGGGCGGACCATCGTCATCACAATAGGCATCGGCTTGCGGCAGCCACACGTCACAAGAGACGCTCTTCTAGGAGATGTATGTCTTCGATATGGTATTTTCTCTGTATATATAGGTAACCACAAGTAGCAGTGTATATCTATATCATCGAAGTTCAAGTTGCGCAAGGTGTCATCGAAGCGGTTCGTCATATGACATGCATTGAGGTACCAACCTTCCTAGGACCAAGGTAGGAGAGGCACGGCGTTCAAGGCCTTCAACTTGGAGGCATCGGCTTTCAGCACGAGGCTGCTTATTTAGATCAAGAACGAGAACGACAACGAGTCAATAATAATCCTGGTTTACGAGTACATGGACAATGTGGTCAGATATGGAGTGTCAGTCGTTCCTCTAGGCTCTGGTTCCATCCTCCTTCTCGAACCGGATCAGGTCTGGCCCATGAGATACCATTAACCATATATTTTTTTTACCGAGGAACAAACCCTCGCACCCTGTGCTTTCCACGCTCAAAACCTTCCAATTTGAGATAAGACACCTTCATGCTGCATCGCTTGGTGTAACTTCTCCTCTTTCGCTTAGCCACGTATCTCGTAAGCGCTCGTATCATGTCGTTTATTGCTGATTACCATGAACGACAGCGGGCTTCAAATTTCTCGTCGAGCACCCTGAAGCCCTTGCCCGCAGTGTCGAACCGAGGCACGTCATGGATCCATGTGGCCATTGTTTGATGCACCGCAACCACACCGCGCCTACTCCTCCTGAATTTCTTGATTACAGTCCTCTCCCTCGAGTAACTTCTTTCGTGTCTGACTGTGTCCTTCGTTCCTTCTGTCGCAAGCTAATTGAGACTATATCTAGAACTGCGTATCGCTCTTGCTTTTGCAATTTCCAGACCTAATCCTCAAGTTGCTGCATCACGATCCAGGTTACATTATGGCATCAGTACAGCTTCCAGCATTCAACACCACACCGGTAGATGACATTCCATCAATTGTCGATCGAGCCCGTCAGACCTTTTACTCCCACAAAACTCGCTCACTCGAGTTCCGTCTGCAGCAACTGCGCAAGCTCTACTGGGCCATCACCGATAATCAGAAAGAGTTGATTGAAGCATGCCAACGAGACCTTGGAAAAGGTCTCTTCGATGCCACTGTCTCGGAGATAGATTGGGTGCGGAATGATATCATCTTCATAACCCAGAACTTGAAGAAATGGGCAAAGGACGAGAAACCTGCGGATATAGCTTTCTCAAACCGCTTGGTTAGTCCACGGATACGAAAGGATCCATTGGGCGTGGTTCTGGTCATTGGGTGAGACCCTCTCTGTGTGCAGGCTGAAGCAATCAAGACACTGACCTGCTGCTAGAGCATTCAACTTCCCCATCAATCTCTCCTTTGGACCAATGATTGGTGCGATTGCTGCCGGTAATACGGTCATCTTGAAGCCGTCGGAGTTGTCTTTCAACTGTGCTGCTGTGATGCAGAAGATAGTTCGGGAATCTCTCGATCCCGATGCATATGCCGTGGTACAAGGCGCCATCCCGGAAACTTCGTCCTTGCTGGCACAAAAGTGGGACAAAATTTTCTTCACGGGTTCTGTGCGCACTGCCAAAATCGTGTCTCAAGCAGCGGCGAAGAATTTGACGCCCGTAGCACTCGAGCTGGGTGGTCGAAATCCAGCTTTTGTAACCAAGAAAGCAGATGTGCGATTGGCCGCCAGGCGACTGCTGTGGTCCAAGACCATGAATGCTGGGCAAGTTTGTATATCCCAGAACCATACTCTTGTCGATCGGGAGGTTGTACCTGCATTTATCGCAGAGCTTAAAACCGCCCTCAATGAATTTTATCCAGACGGCGCAAGGAACAGCCCGGACTATGCCAGGATCATCAACGCAGCATCCTTCGAGCGGCTCAAGAAGATGTTGGATAACACCGAAGGGAAGATTGTGGTTGGTGGGACGATGGATGCCAAGGAACGATTTATTGAGCCGACGGTGGTGCAAGTATCGAGCACCACCGACTCATTACTGACCGAGGAATCCTTCGGACCATTGATACCGATTCTTCCAGTGGATGATCTCGACCAAGCAATCAAGATTGCCAATGAGCTGCATGAGACCCCGCTAGGTGTATATGCGTTTGGGTCCAAGGCGGAGACTGACAAGATCCTCGCGGAGACTCGTTCAGGCGGTGCGACAGTCAATGATGGCTTTTTCCATGGTATCGTTCCCAATCTGCCGTTTGGTGGAGTTGGTGACTCTGGCACCGGGGCATATCGTGGGAAGGCATCCTTTGATTGCTTCACCCACCAGAGGTCTATTGTTCGAACACCCAGCTGGATGGAAAGCTTGCTCGCAGTCAGGTACCCGCCCTACGCAGGTACTGGCAAGCTGAAGCAATTTTCCAAGATGGGTCAACTCAAGCCAGACTTTGATAGAAATGGGAAGGAGAAGCTGGGTCTGTTCTGGTACGTGATCACACTGGGTGCAGGAAGTGTGTCTGGAGGAGCAATCCGAGCCGCGCTCATGTCTGGGGTCTACGCCGTGTTGAGAGTTCTACTATTGGGAAAAGTGGTCAAGTTTGAGAAAAAGTAGACCAGTAAAGGGGAGAAGAGTTGGTGTGTATGATTGTGCGGGGATGGTTAGTTCTACTTGTATTTGTTGTGTGAATTTGTATCTTGCATGAGCCTTCCGCAGACCACGGTCTCGGTACGAGTAAGGCGCGGATAAGAGGTGTGTTGAGCATTATTCAGGATAAGCCTTTCAGCATTGCCCGCATTGAATCTTCAAGAACTGCACGATAAGGCACACTAAGGAGCGAGAGCCTAGGCAGTTGCCACCACTGATTCGCAATTGCCATGTATGTGCCTGCCTTGACCTGATGGTGGTCGGACTCCCAGACAGAGTTCCTGGGTAGTGGGTAGGTAGATACTGATTTATCGGGCGGCTTCAAGTAACCACAGGTGCCTGACTTCATCAGAGCCGTCGTTCCTCGACGATAGAAGTCATCGTTGGGTCGTAACTAGAGTGCCATGCTTGGTGGTGGTGGGAGTGGTGGGCAGTGTGGACGTCATGCGGGCAATCTCAGACTCCACTTACGAATCATGCGCCTAGTACCGATTCAAGGTGCTGGCACCGCAATCGCTTCAGTTCCAATGTTTCTCGTCTTGGTCCATCCCGCAGTTTGATACAACCACGACGACATTCTCCTGCCTCCGGTTGGACAACCTCTCCCCATTCACCTGGGATTCATTTCTGTCCCCGTCTATAATCATTTATACTTACTCTTCCACTTCCCCTTCCTCAGCCCGCTGCCAACCCTCCTCTACTGTTATTAGTCGTTCCACGTCCTCCTCTATTTGCTTGCCTCACCTGCTCTCCACTAACTCACCGCGTTCTCTGCCTGGCGCAGGTCCCGACCTTTCCTATCATGACATCGACTTCCAATACTCCCTTTGCGACACCAGCGCCCTCGACCCCCAACTCCAGGCCCGGAACTCCTAATCTATCCACTCCGCCGACCAGTGCTGCTGCAGACAGCCAGCTGCAAGATGACTCGTCCAAGCTCAAAATTATGTTGGGCCTGTTGAGAAAGTACGTCATTTTTCTTCCAATCTGGTGCCCTGGGACCTTCACGCCTGTACCTGGCTCTGTCGACATCTCCGCTGATCAGACATTCCTCACAGATTTATCGGCGTCGCAGATATCGCAAATGTTCGCTTTTCTTTGCCCTCTCAATTGATAGAGCCCATTCCGAACTTAGGTATATTCTCATGATACCACCTTATCCTCGAAGAGTTGGATCATAACGAAGCACAGAATACTGGCACTATCTCGACCGTCCCGAGACCTTTGCAAGGTACATCATACCCTATCCACACACACCCAAGGCACAGAGGCATTGACTTTTGCTCTACAGTATTGGGACATCAGATAGCGACCTGGGGCGCATGCTCGAAGTTCTCAGATTCTGGTTCACAAAAGATCTGGTGAGTCTGGACTCTCCGTCCACGGAAAAGTAGCAGAACAACTAACGAGACTGCAGAAATACGTCAAAGGGAAACCTTGTAAACCATACAACTCCACGCTTGGAGAGTTTTTTAGGGTTCGTGCTCAAAATCCCATCTGCCTCGGGATCTCTCTCAAAGATCATGCCTAACTCGATTTCTGCATGATATAGTGTAACTGGGAAATCAGTGATGCCGCCCCATCAATATCAAAACCATCCAAAGCGCCGGCACAGCCACCAGCGGACCCTCTCGCTCCCACCGACAAGGAGAAGAACCCCATCACAGTCTCCTTCCTGACGGAACAGACCTCTCATCATCCACCCGTCTCGGCATACTTTTACGACTGTCCGGAGCGAGGCGTTTCAGCACGAGGTTATGACCAAATCACGGCCAAGTTTACGGGCACCTCTGTGCGCGTCAATCCTGGCAACTACAATCGTGGTATCTTCATCACCCTCAAAAACCGGGGTGACGAGGAGTATCAACTCACGCATCCCACGGCCGCACTAGGCGGCCTTCTTAGAGGATCTCTGTACATCTCCGTCGCCGACACATGCACGATCACCTGTCCACAAACGAAATTAAAATGCATCTTGACTTACGTCGAGGAGAGCTGGTTCGGAAAGGCCCAGAACCGTGTTCACGGTGTCGTCTTCCGGTATGATCCCACAGACGACAAGTACGCACGGGTAAAAGACGTGCCGGACAAGGACGTGCTCGCGAAACTCGAAGGTTGTTGGCAGGAGCAGATCACATATACGATCCCCAAGAGTGACGCGGTCAAGGCGTCCAAAGACCTCGAACCTACGTCGGACAAACAGCTGTTGATCGACTTGGCACCGTTGATGCCGGTCCCAAAGATCGTACCCCCACCCGACGAGCAGCTCCCCAACGAGTCGCGCACCTTCTGGAAGGACGTCACGTCCGCGATCCTCGAGAAGCGCTTCGGCGATGCCACCCGAATCAAGCAGGATCTGGAACAGGCGCAGCGCGATAAGGCCACGAAGCGGAAAGACCTAAACGTCGATTTCCAGCCACGCTTCTTCAGCTCCGCTACCGAGGCCAGTGGGAAACCGACCCTAAATGAGGAGGGTAGACATGTTCTCGACGGCATGCAGAAAAAGACCTTCCACCTGGATCCGAAACCGGAGGAGGGTATAGACGGTGCAGCGCCTCCGATCGAGTCAGCCTCGGCAACCAAGGCCACGAACTCCTCTTGATCTTTTGCCCTGACATGGCGTTCATCCGTCAGGGCAGCGTATTATGCCCCCTGGTGGGACGGCCACTTTATAGATTCATCGTCGAGAGCTATGTTTCCCTGCAAAGGTGAGAATCGGAGATTTTCTCGCACTGCACATGTATATAACGCACCATACAACCACGATCGTCGATTGGATAGGTGTGGAGGAAGATGGGACTGGACTCGCACTGGAAACCCAATAGCATGTGGGAGTTGGAGTCTGGTAAAGCCACCATTTTCAGTCACTTTCGCGGACGACACTCAAATAGACTTGATATGAGCTTCTGGGTACACACAGACAGAGACACGGAAGAGCATTGCAGAATTTCTTTTCCCACGTGATGAAAGGCTCAAGACTTCAACTATTCAATTCAGTGTTCGGATTTTTTTCTGATAGTTGGTGATCACAAATACAACTGATGACGAAGAAGATATGCAGGCACAAGCATACGATATTCCATTGCGACCACTTACCTCTTTTCCCCCATCTAGGCCTATAACGACACTTACAGATCTAGTGCAGCAGCATGATGAGGCTAGGGCAACGTCGGGACTTGATACCATGGCTTTATCTTTACCTGGGGATCGAGTGCCGAAAGCGGCCTCAATGCTATAACTCCGACCATGTCGGCTATCTTATTCGTCTTGATGCCAGCCAGCATTTCTTTTCGGGACATCGGCCATGCACTGCGAGGAGTCAGTAAGGCTCGCTCGCAGTGGGTGGCGAAGGTTGTGAGTGCGAGTCAGCCCAGCGTAGTGGTCTTCCCTCAATGTCCCTAGAACTTCGATTCTGACCTGTCGTCCACCAGAGGGCATTGTCATCAGTCTTCACAATTACTCGCGAGTTTTGCCATAAGCAGCACGCAAAACCATGGATATCTGGTCGAGAACAGTGTCTCACTCACATCTTGGACCTCGAGAAAGTGTACACGAACACATATCCGCCGGTAGGTGTGAGCTGGATAAAACATGGTATGTCAGTCTTTACGAGGATGAACCAAATTCATTGGCAGAAAGGAGCAAGCCTCTGAAGTGGCTTGTCGTCATATCGCGACGAGTCGAGTTCGAGCCTCAACCTGTCGAGAGCCTGTCGAAAGCGATCATGGAAAGAATTGGGCATGCCCCGGAAATCATGAACCATCCACTTCTCTCCACGAAATTGCAGATCGTCTGGGATAGTCATATCTTGCGCGTGCGTGCGTTCATGGTCACAGAGCGGTTACCATCCGGCATTGGAGGATGGACTGATCATCACTTTCGTTTTGACCTCGTACCTGAACAGCCCCTCGCCGGACTCTGCCATCCCGAGTGGAAGGCAGTAAGTCGTACAGAGACAATTCCTCTGTGTCACCGATTAAGCGAGTTTTTTGGGGTCTCATGACGGCCCTTTCCCCATGGATTGGGTTGTGGATTGTGTACGACATCTTCCCAGACGCCAGTCCGGATATTATTGAATGATGGGGCATTCCTCTCATGGAAACATGGCAGCTAACTGGTTGGGATGGGAGAGCGAAGCCCGAATCTCTGGATCCGGTACACAAGTGGTGACACATGGTGATGGTGATGGTGGACTTGTTCTCTCTGAAAATTCGGTAATGCCGATTGTCATCAATTCCTCGCTTTTCCCTGGACTTTCAAGTAGGTTTTGATGGAAGGGTGCAAATACTGGGTGACGTGACGTTGCTCAAAGAGTTCGGTTCAATGATGGGTCAATCTCAACTTTCGTTGCGCAGTCGTGGTCTCGAAATAGAATTCTTTGGGTGTCTTTTTTAGGGTTGTACATTTAGCGAGACCCAATTCCCGAAATTAGTCTTGATATACCACCATACTCCCTGGAGGAGAAATCCTTGAATTCATGAATGCCATTGATTCGCCAGTGGAAAGATATCGGCATATCAGCAAACCCAGTCACTGGAGGAGTTCATGCTAAGTCTAGTCGTACTTGCAGAGTTCGGTTGGCCACATGATCGTTGCTCAAGATATTCACCTAGGACCAATATGCGCCGTCTTGAGAAACCTTAGCTGAGCACTGAATTGCTCAAATTTGCACACTGCCTATCTGTTCATAGCTTTGAGAAGAGGGGGCACGAAAAAGCTGCCATGCTCATGGAGTTCGGCTGGGTTTCAGGGTTGGAATGGGTAGACCTTGCAAATATGACCGAGTCTTGACAGTCTCGAACGTCCCGATTCGGCTGTTCCTGAATATGCATGCCATCAATGATTTCTTCTTTTCAAACATCTGTCTAAGGAGTCTTTCATGTCCCTTGTACCTAGTTCTCGGTGTGTAGATCAGCACGCTTGTGATGTTTTGTACCGAAGAGCCGAGCAGGGTACTAACTTCCGGTGAATTTGTTCATTTTTGAGCTTCGCGTGCCGAGGGGACGAACTCTGCATGTACTCCGTAATTTGCATCATTATCATAACCCATGCGCTACGAGCTCCTTCAGTCCGTGTTGAATGCAGATCTGAAACATGGACCAAGCTGAATACGGTAGTAGGCAATTGTTGACGGATTGGCCAAATGCATGACCACTAATTCAATTGTCTTGAAGTGGGGCACGGTAGTTGCTTGAGAACTTGTTGGAACTTGGAAGTGTTTTCATGCCGCGGTGCCAGATAAGTGGGTCTCAAGAACGGGGCTATTATTGATAAGAAATTCAAAACACTCATTCAGGGTGTAACGAATAACATAATTCTGAAACATCAACACGGGGAAGGGAGTTGTGTTTGGGAACATTGTCTGGACTTGAGCGATACATGCACGTGATCGAAGCCAGTCATTTTGAGTGGAACCACAGGGATATATGAATCTAAGACGAAAAGCAGAAGGTAGGGTGGATGTGATATGTCTCTGTATGAGCTTACCTTTACTCGAGAGGTCACCAGGGATGGTGAACATGAATGAATCTGGACATGAATGCAGGAGATAGGGGAGAATTGTTCAATATTAAACGGGCATGCAAAGCGAGGGTTGATAGGATGTGTTGGGAACAAGAAGTCCAGAATCATCCACCACAACCAACTGCCGAAAAGACAACCTAGTTGATGGGCGTCTTCTTTCTGGAAACCTGGGAATACCTGGTAGATGTGGAATGGTCGATCCCTCCAGCTGATCTAGACTCACAGATACTCCGTACTATGTGGAATCGGTGAATTCATAGACGCCCAGCGGGCCACAGCAGATCAGCCAGTCTCCATTTGGACAGATGAAGCAGGTGAGAAGGAGGTGACCGACTGCTTCTACCACGAATCACCAGTTGCAAGGAATATTTCTCGTTGCAGGCGCTAGCCTCGAAGAAAGTTAAAGGGAGAATATCCCGCAAGTAACCACAAGATTCAAGCAACCTGGCTCTTGGTCTCATTCTTTCGAGATGACAGGGTCTCAATCTCCTTCGAGGCCGCTGTCCATGGATTTAGCATATTCCTGAGTGCAGCCGCCACCACCCCGGAAACGGACCTGAATCCTCACCGTTGAGGTGTGGCGTTCGTCGTGATTATGGCTGTCAGTGAACTCGGCGGGCGAGAGGCGAGTATCGCATCAGATGGAACGGATGGCCGCCTAAAGGGTATTTTGGGTGAGGCCATGGGATGTCAGCCACACTCCAGCCACCAAAGGATTGAAGGATTCCGTTACTAGGATGAAATTGGACCTCACCAGCCACAGGTTTGGAAGATGGATGTGGCGTGCGACTTGGGACACTCTTTGGGCAGGTGTGAGTGAGTGAGAGACGTAGAAGTCAGCACCTTGAATAGAGTAACTCTCTTCTGGATCCACCGGACATAAGCAAGGGTTGATGCAAAAGAGCGAGCTGCTGATTGTAGAACACCATTAACTTTCGAAGGATTCAACGAGCATGAGTAGCTTGGCAGCTAATCAGATTAGTGCCCAATCCCCTGGTTCCTGCATGTGGCTGCTTCATCTTTGCAGAACACGACCACGATGGAAGAACTTGCGGACTTTAGAGAATTGGATTGGACCTCGTTATCAGAGAAGACCAGAATCAAAAGGACATGAAAGCTCGAGACGCTATACGACAGCAAAAAGGTTATGGGTAATTTCACAAAAGCTTTGGAGGAGTTGTGTGACTTGGCAGGGTGTCTGGTGCTGTGTTGTGTACTTGACCGAGATTCTATTTCGATAACCTTTTGATATTGCTCAGGACCAAGTGATGAGCCAATACAAACGTGTTCTATGACAGTCAAGCGATCTGTATGAACTGAATTCATACGGAGGACTGGTGGTGTGACAAGGCGAGCCACAAGATTGGTGGAGATAGACAGCTGTGTGGATTTTAGAGCTCCAAGGCTGTCGGTGGACGGTGCCGGAAAAACGCAAGAGCCATGCTGTGGAAACCATCAAGTGTGAAAGTACGCGAAAAGCGTCCGCGTTGAGGTAGCCTGTATCAAATGAGATCCTCGAATCGAAGAGGTTTGGGCGTGATGGCCACAGATGGATGGGATGAAAGTTGTCTAGTGCTCAGGTAAGGCAGACTCGCAGTTGTAGTTAGACAGATGAAGTCAAGTTAGATGGCTTCCCAATTCATTTTTAGTTGGCGGGGAGGCTTACGGTTTCACGCTTGGCTGATTTTGGTATAGAGGACTCTCCAAATAGCAGCAGGTCACCCGCCATCAGGCTTAGTGCGCTTTAGCTGTCGGCCTGCGCCGCAATTTCTGGATTGATAACTGGTTACTGGGGACGAGCCAGGCCATTCCCAGGCTAGCTAGCTCCGCTCCACTAAGCCCATTCCCTACTAATCAACCATTTTAGTCCCCGTCTTGCCGTTCCACAACCCACTCGCTCGGAGCTGTCTTGCCCTTGCTGTCCGACCTCTCGCATCTGTCCCTTTCCTCATCTTTACACCAAAAGTTCCCTCGTGGAAACACATCCCGGTCGGTTGATGGCAACAAAGGTGGCCACCCCCGACCAGGTCAGCAGGCGATTGACCCAATTACGCCGCCCATGTCCCTTGATCGTCGAGTCTATATTTTGATCCCCCCAAGGGCCACCCTAACCAGCCCATGCAGGCCTCAATCGAACACAGCCGCTACCGTCTGATTCGTCCACACGTACTATAGCGAGCATGTTCCTAACTTCCTATCGGTATGCTCCTCTGACAACCCGTCTCCCCAATTTCACCCTGGCTCCTGCGTTCATTTCCAGACGGAGTACCGTTCGTTTCTGTCCCCAATCTCGATAGCACATCCCATTCTTCTTTGGGACCAAGAATAGCTTTTCATTGTACCTCCACCACGTGCAGTGCGTCCGGCCTCCCAGTCACTAAGTCCCCGAGCCCGTAGAACGGTGGACACCTGCACTACTGGCAAGACTCAGCCCTGCCAATACCTTTCATCAACTCTCCAGACCTTAGTCTCCCTCGCCTCCTCTGCTTTCCACCATCAAGTCGTCATTTCCCTCATCACACTCCCGTACTCTCCCTCCACCCATGTTCCTTTCTCCATTTGCTCAAACAAGCTTAATCTTTCCTTGAGGCTCAGAAGGGGGCGGAGGCTTCCAAGCATTCACCCGACTCCACCGTGAAACGTTCTTGGTCTGTTCGTATACCTCTTATAACTTCTATACAATACCCTCACCATGGCCCCAAAGAAGCGTTCTCAAACTCCACGACATCAAGGCGTCAACGACACTCAACATCACCATCCCGAGCCAGTCCAGACCCACTACGCTCCTTCAACTCAACCTGACTCTACTCCCCCTTCCACCACCACTAGAGATCGTCGTCGCAAACCAAAGGACAATTCTATCGACCCCCCAATCGTATCTTCCAACCATTCGCCCACCATTCCCACCTCACCTCATTCACCAATCGAAGGCATTGCTTTTGGATCTCACTCTCGTCGAGAGAGCACTTCGACCATGAGGACCTCATCCATTTCGCTAGAGGGCCATCCCAGCTGTACTCCAACAGGCCGTATCAGCAAGGCAAAGAAAGGCAAGCGTGTGCACGCTTGTGAGTTTCCTGGTTGTGGAAAGGTAAGCCCCCTCCAGAAGGCAACCCCCAAATCTAGGCTCGCTATTTGGACCCAAAGGGAGACGCCTAACTAACATGATCGGCAGGTCTTCACTCGAGCTGAACATAGAAGGTGAGCTTTGCCACGGGTCCTTGTTGTAATCACTTCCCTCACGTCAGTTGTCTAATCCAATCGCAGACGACACGAGCTCAATCACAATCCTGAAGCGCTATTCCCTTGCACGCGTCCTGGATGTCGAAAGGCATTTCATCGCATTGATCTACTGCAGCGTCATCAGGAGCGACAGTAAGTCTTTTGGCCCGTTGCATTGCACGGTCCCCGCTAATCTGCCTTGCAGTGATCTTGAGAGCGCCCACGATGCCTCTTCTGGACATTTGGGCCGCATGTCGCAAGTACCAGTCTCTTCTGATCTTTCATCCGTTCTGGCTGCGACTTCTGTCCACAGCCCGTCGGTAGATCGAGGAGCTCCCAGATCATCTTCTGGAGGTCTTTCAATCGGTTCTCTTGTTCATCCACAGACAGATTATCGCTACTTGGGAACCCCAGCGTTCAGCAGCCACCCTCGACAATCAATGGCTCAATTTGTGCCTGGATTCCCTTCTTCTGACGACTCTGGCATGTTTTACACTCCAGAGAGCAGTCAATCTCCTGTTTCCGAGTACTATGGCAGATATCCACATCGTCAGAGTATCTCTTCATCTTCTTCTGTTGCTGCATTTGATCCCAGTGGAACTTCTCCCTTGATCAGTGGAAACATGCCCGGTACTTGGGTGCCCTCTTCTGCTCCTCCCAGCATGCTCCCATCAAATGTGACTGATGATGGTGCTTATCTTCCTGTATGCCTCCCTTGTCATTGGAATGGTATTTGTACTGAAGCTGATCAGTCTCCTGCAGACTCTTCCCTACCAATACCCCTCTCCGACCTGGATGGATACGAATGGTCTGTCATTCGACGAGAGTTATCAAGTGCCTCAGGAATACTACCAGGAAATCCCTCAGCCGGTATATCTGACACTATAAGGTGGGATTGTTTAGATCTTTACTGGCAGTATTTCCATCCGCACTTCCCGGTCGTACATCGCCCTACCTTTCTACCGACGAAACCGAGCCCTCTACTAGCCAGTGCCATGGCAGCCATCGGATCACAATATGACAGCCGTCCAGATGCAAAATTTTACTCTCTGACGCTTTTAGATATTGCTACGAAACTTCTTAGACGACGAGACAGCATCACCAGTCGATCTCGGCTGGCAGATTTACAGACTGTGTTTCTTCTGGAAGTTCTCAGCAAGTATTGCGCAAGAAGAGTAGAAGTGGAAATGTCGGCAAGATTCCGTTCTCTTTTTGCGAGTCTTGATCAGGCGCGTCGATCCCTTGCAACAGATCCTTTGGCAGTTTTCCGAACTCTTCGAAAAGATCGTACTTCAGAAGATATCCATCGAGCGCACAAGTTCTGGCTAGAGCATGAAACTCGAAGACGGATCCTTCAAGCTTCAATGGTCCTGGATTTACAACAAGTTATGCTTTTTGAGCAGCCCCCCACGATTGTTCAACATGGTCGACCATCACGAGCAACTGGGGTTCGCACTCCACTATCACTACCCTGTCCTGAAGGTCTTTGGGAAATCAGTTCAATTGAGACATGGGTGGAAATGGCCTCCAATCCCGACTTTTCTAAACCAAGGTCTACTCGGAATGATAGCTCTGCTCTTGGCATACCACTGGACTACTTTCAGGTGCAGGTCAGTCTAGCAAGCACTCAAGATACCTATTTGGACGACTTCCTCGCACCAAAAGATCAGCTGAGCCATTATGCCTCTCGATTGGAATTCACTTATCATGCTAGGGAGATGGCTAGAAATACGCCCATCCGGCAGTTGCTTGTTGTGAGTGGAGAATCATGGATCATGGGCAAAAAGCTCGAGAACGAATCTGAGTTCCAGAACGCAAAGAAAAACTTGAGAGTCTGGGTCGAGTCCAACATCGAAAGTCGCACAGCTGTCTGGCATGCCCTAAGATTGATTCGAGGCTGCGCAAAATTCATGCCCACTGATTCTACCCATACTGGATTGTTTGTTTCGTTACACGGTACTCAGATGCTACACGAGCCTTGGGTACTTTACGTTGCTGCTCTGGTCTGTTGGGCATATGGAGTCGGTGTCTGGAAATCCCTTGAGTGCGTTGGATCGCTCTCTGGAGCACCCTCGACCATCAGTGAACCTCTTTCCAACCTGTCCCGGACCTCCAGCTTGTCATCGGTCCATCCGGCGCTATTAGATTCACAAGAGGCTGCATACTCGATGCGGGAATTTTTGCACATTACGAATGTCGAAAAGGTGGAGGACCTCTCACAGCTAGACCCACATATATTCGGTCAGGTGCATGGTGTTTTGGAGATGATCCGGCTCAATAAAATTGGCAACTTTCTCGGAGGCCTCATGAACGACGCGGAACGAGTACTGTATCGACTCGTGGAGGGACGCAGTCGACTTTCACATTTCTAGGTGGAGTTTTTTCCTTGATTGAGGAGGTACCACGTCACGACATTGATGCGACATTATGATATTACGAACGTTCTTAGTTGTTGATACCACGCCATTTGGGGCATGTGACTATAGGGTTGAGATGAGTTCTGGCGTTTCAGGATCACTTTTAGCTTGTTTGTTTGAAATTTGCGCAAAACCACAGTCGCTACAGTGGGCACCGGGAACCCAAAGGGAAAAAGGCATTGGATTGGCATTAGCAGTTATGAGTAGCTAGCTCAGCCTTCAGCGGAGAGACACCGCAAGAACATTACGTTTTTTGGATCCAAAAGTATCCACTACTTCGATCAATCTTTTTACGAACTTGTACTCGAAGTTGGTGATACTCGTGGTCCATACTAGACTCGTAGTTTGCGTGAGATTACTCCGTGAGTTGAGGTCGGGTAGAGAACCATTTGAGAAATGGACCTCGCGTCGTCCTTCCGACCGGAAACCAAGGCCGACGCCTCTGCCGGCGAAGCGGGACTTGATGGGGTGGGTATCCTGGTGGAGAAGGAGCGAATGAAGAGGCTGGGACCAACGCTAGCTGCCGTTGCTAATTTTGGAAGAAAAACAACACTGCCAGTGATGGGAATTGGACTAAGCCTCGTGCGCAGCCACAATCTCTCCAGAAGTCACAAGCGTCCTTCGAGAAGTTTGGATTGCGGATTGTGAGAGTTTCTCTACGGATAGTCCAAGGCTCCAACGCTCCTCTGCTGCATGCCCTTGATCCAACTCACGAATAGCACTACAAACATGGAGGCGATCGGGCTTGCGTCATCTTCCATGCAAGGCCTCCTCGACAATACACAAATACTTAATAATAATAATAATGTTTCTATTAGCAGCAGACGGCCTCCCACATGCTACAGCGACGTGGTACAAGTTATTGCCTGACTACGACTCTACGAGTACTACCCCCAGCTACAGCATTTACCTGCACGATGTCGCTAAGATGGCCTCATCACTGGCGTGACTTCATTCATGTGAAACTCTGTTGTCAGCTCGGGTGGATCCTGGCCATTGACGATTGCAGCGACAACAAATACATTATACATTAGCTGGCCGACCTAGGAGACTCAATCTTCAAACGACCCGACCACTCCCATTGCAAGATTCAGGGCTGGCAACCCTGACCTGAAACAATCATAAGGACTTGCACAGACTACGAACTGACGATGGTGCTAACTGATTTTGATCTTCCGGGATTCCATATCTCCTCCACCTTTGAACTTCTGACATTACGAATACGAAAGAAAGGGATAGGCCTAGAACGCTAAGTTGTGGCACCATCACACCGGTTACCAACTATATCTCTTTTGAGTATCCCGTGCAAATCATCATGACGCCACATAATTCCACTCTCAACCTGTGCCGCTGTGGATGCGCCAAAGCCCTGCTAAAATTCCAGGTACAAGAATTAGGGACTGGATGGATAGCTTCTTGGTTCCTGCATCACGCATCATGCCAACTACGCACGCCAATTGATCGACAGGCACGTTATCAGACGAAGAACTCCCTTTAATCCAAGCTAGCACTGCAACTACACATTTTCCGTGATACCCGGGCAGGCTTCCCAAGTTCCATGAAACTTGCTCCATGCTAAGAGCTCCATCTCTAAAATCTTTCGTGTTCAAATCTCTTCCATTTCTCTTCGACGATTCCGCTGCTTCGGAATCTTCCATGGTCCACCAATGTGGATATCAACGGCCACCTTCACTGACAACAAGGGTCAGTTACAAGCGGTTCTGGGGTTTCCCTGGTTTCCACTTCTGTTCCCTGCTTGTTTCGAGAAGCGACCAAGGTGATCGGCGTTGAGGTGTTCCATCAACCGCGCCAAATACTCTCCAGAGACTCCACAGCGACAGCAAACCTAGGGGTCTCCACATGATTTGGCCTTTTTGGGTATGTGCAACCAGGGTCAAATTTCTTTGCGGGTTGTTTTGTGACTTGCAAATTAGCGCGCAACAGTTTGGACATCATCCTGAGAATTTTCCTACTTTGTTTGCTTCAATTCTCTTTGTCCTTTTCCGCCGAATACCGAGTGAGATGTTTTGGGACAGCCAAGTCACCACACCCATGTACAAATCGAATATGGGTGCATTGAGTGCAGCAGGTGTCGGCTCCTGATACAGTTTGGTAGGTTCGCTTCAGCTTTACACAGCTCGAACCGGTGTATCTTCACAGCAATATCGATTTGAAACACAATCCTCCTGGTTATGCCGCGTTTTCCTCGGCAGCCTCATCACAATGCGTTTACACCTAGTAATGCAAGGAATAAGTACTGTCCTAATCTCGACTACTGGGACAGCTGGTGAACGCCTGTCGTTGTAACGTGGAATCCATTATTTGGAGTACAAGTACAGACCTTTAGAGCGCCACGTTCTGGCTCCGAATAAGTTAGCAAGAGGACCACCCCCTTTGTCCCAATTTCTAATCGCAACAACAAGTATGTCGTACTCGAATTCTTGCGTGCCTACTTTCGTATCGGATTATGCATTGGAGAATGGGCAGTCAGATGTACCAATAACGTGAATGCCGCGAAGTGATCGTGTTCGTCCCGGCCATTCGCCGATGGAAGTATTGAACCAAGTATCATCTCTTGAAGCTTGCTTGACGCAGATTTCCACAATCCGGCCCTCTGATGCCCTTTAATCCGTTGGCGAACACGAGCAAGTCAGGGTTGATCATAGCTGTGGAAAGGCAAGGACACTTTGTAGCCTCCTGATTTAGTCTTGCCTGAGCATCAGCTATTCTCGACCTCAAATTCCGGACTCGCATGGACGCATTTGCACTGGAGGAACACTGGCATTCTCAAGTCCTGAACGTTCAAACAAGGTCAACTCTCGTTCTAGCCAAACTGCACGATTGCAGCACTCGCAGCGAAGCATGATCAGCTCGACATCCACAGGAACTGAGCAGGTAGGACAGCTCTTTGGAAATCGTGTATTCCTATCACCACATAGCTCCCTTGCCCGGGGAGTCACTTACAAAACTGAGCGCGGTACATTGTTATCTCCTAGCTCATGCTATCAGCTGTGTGGTTTGTTGCCATACCACTCTCAGTATGCCAGGTGTCGTGGAAATGACCAAGCTATGGCACGTCGTGCACGCTAATTTCAATAGGCTAAGATTATACACAAGTCTCGAGTGATGCAACTCTACTGGACAACTCAAAACGATCGAAATATGGTGTTAACTGACTAGTCGTGATGCACACATGTGAAGTACTTATGATCCGTTGTGAGGTGTGCACTACGGAGTTTCTAAAGGTGAATTCTGGAGCTCTCGGGCATGCTTCTAGACCCCCGCATTTCCATCAGTAAAACGTCTCCAAATCAGATGTCGATGCATTGCCTTCTCTTTCTTTGGAATACCACGAAAACGGGCGCAGCGCAATGTTTAACCACCACTCGACATACGATGATCACGAAAATACCTCGGATTGGAAAATTGGCAGCGAGGGCGGGGTTTACGCGGAAAGGGTCCTGCTCGTGCATCTCTCCACGCTCTTAACGCACGTTGGAGGCCCTGCAGCAACTTGAATGAGTCAGCATACAAAACTCGTCATCGACTTGGTCTTGACATCCATCCAATTATTGGAGCATCCTTTACGATAGCACTCGGCAATCCATGATGATCCGGTCCCGATCAGTGCCCACCGGTGGGAGCTAAATGTCCTGCACGTTTTGCAAACCTCGAAGCATCCACCAGCAAAGCCCAGACAGACACTGCCAGTAAGTACTGTACGTATCCAGCAACCACCATAATCAGTGAAGATTCGGATGAAAGCGGTTTGGGTTCGTGGGTATGTGCATACAGGTTGACTTTATGTCATGGTGCTGAGGTATATTGTCTGGTGGTTATCATCCCGAGGAGATTGTGGCTGTTTGCCGAGTCAGCCGAGCCTACCCCTTGGGTCTCCCAAATCAAATACCTAGAGGGATACTTCAGGCCAGGATGAAGACTGCAATGATTTGCACGCATCACATCATTGATGTACCGGTTCAGAGTTCCCTCACAACCTGCAATCCATGGGAGGGGTGTGCGGAGATGGCTGAAGATGGCAGGACCCAACGTGTTGCTGATACACTTAGTGCGTGCTGTGTCAGCAACGCCTAACGCTGTGCAGGGCGGCCGGCCAGCCCACCATCTGCATTCGTCCAAGTATCTCAGGTCGTTCACTCAATCACAGCCATTCACAGCTTCGCTTGCCCGACATCTTTCGACACCGGCGTTCGGACACGACAACCATCTATGACCCGTGAGTGGTGATTTTTCCGAGCCGTGCATCCTGAGGGAGGGGGCACAAGCTCTTAGCATACTCCGTACTTTGCTGGAAAATGCGCGATTATGAACAGAGGCAGGTGGCCGAGATCTTCTGCATCATTTAGCGGTCCAACATGAGAGAGGGACTGCACGATTTGGTAAGAAAGCTGTCAGCCCAGAGCAGAATGTTTTTTCTCTTCAAATACCACTCTGCCCCACGAGCCGGACCCTGAACGTCTCTGGTCAAGATTTCTCGAGGTAAAGACTACAATCATCCATCCCCAGGAACAATTTAGGGTTCCAGGATACAATACAACACCCAGTTACAGCGCACTTAATAGCAGTTGCCATCATCACGACTTCGAAGGCCACAATCTTACCCTTCGCTCCATAGCTCCCATCCCGGAGGCAGTGAATCCGGAGGGGTCATACGAGGCTTTGAGAGAGTTCGCAATCAAGCATCATACGTATAACCGGAGTCCACCAAAGCGCTATCAACTCCGAATTCAGCCTGTTCGAACTTCCGAAGTACATCTCAACAACGTCCACAATGGCATCCTCAACTTCGCCGACATCAGCATCATCGTCCTCGGACACACTCTCACTCTCCTCCTCGCGCTCATCAGCTCGCTCCAACATGCACATCGACATGCCGGCACCACAAAAAGACTTCACCAGTCCCCATGGCAGTAACACCAACAACGCGCCATTCATAATCGCCTCGATGCCCTCACCGTCACAAAACCCCCACAACGCAACATGGGCTTCATCGCCGTCAACACACCACCACCATCACATCCACATCCCGACGCCACACCCACTGGCCGCCACAGCATCATTCCTCGACAAACACGTCCCCCTGTTCGCGAAACATCACACCGAGTTCAGCGTCAACCACGAGGCGCGCGCCGCGAAGCGCGAAGCCCGCCGCAGCCTGGTCGATACCGCCATCCCCGAAGTCGACGCCGAGCATCTCCCGCCACCAACGACGGGCTCCGTCATCGCCACGGCAATCCACGCGGCGACAGCGACAGGCGCAGGCCCCGCGTTGGCCGACTCCCGTGCCGCGGACAACGCCGCATGGAGAGAAATTCTGGCCAAGAGAGACGCGGCCAGGCGGAGGTCTGGCTCGGATGGACTGAGAGGGCATGATTCGATCGCCGAGGAGGGCAGTGATTCCGATTCGCGCGAGTATAAAGGCTCGCCGGCTATAACGCCCTGATGGAGGGATGGGGAATCGTCCAACGTGAGTGGAATCGACAGATTATTGGGTCAGCGCAGCATTGTCTCCAAATATGATGGGTTTCGGCGAGCTGAATTCGCCCTGGGTTTGGACTGCGGTCGTTGGAAAGGCGTGGGAACAGTACATCACGGGCGTTGAGATGGACCAGTGAATCTCGCCATCGGTTAATCCATGCAACGAACCTTATCACGAATGCACACAGTTTAAATGACGGGAATTGATTCCATAGCCGCGATTTGCTAGTCAGCGACGCGCCACAGGTTGCCGTTGGGGCTTCTGAGTTTGTCCAAAGTCATTTCTGGATAGATAAGCACACAACAGCAAGAGACTTCTCATATGATAAATCATTATTGGACCAAGGCTCTTTCCTGACTGCACTAGTAACGAATACAATACTATGAAAGACCAGACGACAGGATCAACATAACATGAAAGGATTCGGGTCGTCAATGCGTAATCTCATACAGGCTCGAATGACTTGCCTTAGGCCTCGACCTCGACCATCTTATATCCCTCACTTATCATGCGAGTAATGTCGTCGTTCTTGTGTTGGAGTAGTGACAAAGCGTACGCGGTATCGTCCCATTGTCGTTTGTTGACGCAGCGACCAAGTCGAGCAGAGAGTTTCTCAGCAAGATTCTTGGCATGTTTGTCCTATTTGTGCACTTGAGTTAGCAAAAGTGCAGTAAATAGTCCCAAAAGATATGAGTTTCAGCTTGTTGTTTCGATTTGGTGTATTCTCGCACGCAAACCGTCAAAATCTCAGAAACCCGCAAAAATGGCAAAAGTTCAAAAACAATCGACAATCCGGATTCCCAAATGGTCACCCACTTTAGTACTAACGAATCGGCATGGAGCTTAAGTACGGCTGAGCGAACGGGAAGCCCTGTTTTCACCATCCTATGGTCGATTGCGGAAGATAATTCCACCAATGTTGACCATATTGCGTGTGAAGAGACCACCGAATCGAACAACAAGAACGAGTGACCAACTTGTGGCCCAGCTTTCTCAACCAACGGAATGGGGCAGCACAAACTTTTTCAATAAAACCACATAGGAATTTGAGGATCCTCTTCACCGCCTCATCTTCCATGACGCCTCCATCCAGAGGACCATCCTGGGTGAGAACACTGAACATGTCCACAAACTGGTTGTAAACTGCATTGTCCTTGGTGGCAAGCTCTGTGAAGAACATACGAGCGAGATCGGCAATCTTCTTGTCACCATCTTCGAGACATTTAGCCATCTCGCCCAATTGGCCTTTGACCTTGACTTGTCCGGCCAGAATCAGGAATGTCAGAGTCATGAGACAGGTACGCTTGACACTTTCATCGCCATCGTTCAATCGTCGATATAAGAAATCGGTGTTTTCGTCAATTAGATGATTGAAGCACACTGCCATGTCTCCCAATGCGATTACAGCATTGGATCGTACAATAGGGTCACTAGAGCGTTCGAGGATAGTGATGAGAAGCGGGAGGTTCTTTTCACAATACTCACTGCTGACACACATCAGCTTGGCCAGGCAGAGTGTAGCTTGCGCCTGAAGTTTTCGGTCCTTGTATGCTGTATTGTTCGCACAGATCTCGGTCACCAATGGCCCAAAGTTTGCAAGCAGTGAATTGGGTCCGTAAAGAAGCTCACGTTCCCGAATGTGGACAATTGCTTCGGTGAAGTCGTCTTCAGTTGTACCACCAATCAGATCGAGCTCGTCCTTTTCTTCTTCTTTCTGCTTCTCAGCCATGACTTCTTCTGCAGCTGTCTTCTTCCGACGAGCGGGTGTAGGGCCCGCAGATTTCTCTGGCGCTGGATTGGCATCGGACTTGCTCTTCTCTTGATCCTGTTTTCGTCGTTTGAAATCAAGCTCACAGAGTTCAAGGTGCACAATCTGTTTGATGGCAATGTGACCAACCGTGAACAGTAATTGCGACAGGGCGGTTGAAGGCTTATCATTCGGCTTTTCGAGTTCATCTTGTGGTGATTTGGGGTCGTCCTCATCACTTCCTGGGATTGGTACAGCCTCATCCTCATCGATATCCATAGCATCGGGCTCAGGTGACGAAGCTCTTGAAAGTGATTGAATGTTTTTAGTCTTTTGAAAGACAAGTCTGGTTTTTTGCCTGAGCACTTCTGAGCACAATACATCAGGATGATCGGATAAAATGTATATCGCACTGATAGCCTGTTCTGCCATTCCATACCAGTCTTTACTCGGCGACGTGGTGAGTAGAATTGAAGCGAGCATTCGGAGAACCTCATGATCGTTGGACATTTTGGCAAGACCGGCAGAGGCAGTCTTTTGCTGAGCCTTTTTGGCAGTGGGAATCATGCGACGGAGAGCCACACAGGTGAATTTGGCAAGGACAAAGTCCTTCCTGCCCAATTGTCCCAAGCCGACTCTCAGCATCGTATCAAGTTCTTTGACTAGGATTTCAGGATTTGCGAGAGCAATCATCCCAAGAACGATGATTGCTCCTCTCCTCTGTGATTTGGAGATTTCTTTGTTAACTCCATAAACCTGCCACAATTTAGAGATGACCAGGTCGGAAATATGACCAGCTTTGAACATGGTGCTAAGTAATTGTTCCAGTGATGTCAGCTCAGCTGGTGTCGAACCAAAGGTCAAACTGATCATATTTCGAGCCACAAAATTCGCAGCGTCATTCTGATTGAAAATCTCTGGTGCATCAAAGAACAGACCTTTGTAGCTGTCGATGAGATGGGTCTGAACACCTTTACCCTCGTCGTTGTTGCTTTTGGTCCAAATGAGTCGTAGCATGCGCCTGATGCCTTTTCTGGCTGTTTCCACCTTGAAAGCGTCGATAGTAACGAAGAAGTCCATGACCTCGATGACCTCGGTCTTGTTTGGTGAGGAGAGTAATTGGACAGCCGTTTCAGATGCTTCTTGGACGACTTCTATGAACCTGAGAGCCTCGAGATAGTATTTGCGTGTGAGTTGAAGTTTGCCAATTGCCTCTGATGTTGCTGCGTCCTCTTGGGCTTTTTTCACCGCTGCAATCTTCTCCTCCTCGGTCATTTCCTTTGGTTCCGAAGCGACTTGAGTGGCATTGTCCAACAACTCGTCATCAACTTTTTCCTCGCCATCAGCTGTTTCAGCGATGCCAGGGGAGTCTGGTGGAGGTTTCATTGCATCTAGTTGTGCTTCGACCGCTTCTAGTCTTTGAGTCCACTCTTTGTACGACAGTTGGCCTCCATGCATTAAGCTGAAAGGGTGAGAAGATACCAATTTCTTCAAGAGTTTGATGGCATTTCGCCGCACGTTACTACTTTTGTCTGTTAAGCTCTGCATTGCGAGCTCTGCAGCATGCTGTCTCCTCTTAGGAAACTTTTGCTCGAGCTCGCAAACTTTCATGAAGACTTGCATGGTCCGCACACGGCAAAAGGGAGCGGTATCCAGAAACCTCTGTTCGAGTGTGTCGAAAAAGGCGTTGATCTGGATTTTGGTGGTCTCACTTTTCTCTTCCTGTTTTGACAAGTCTGCAAGCAAGTTCCCGCAAACCTCAATGACAGCACATCGCAAAGTGTGTGCCTCGCTGTCAAGAAATTTGGCAAGGAGTCCCATTTCTTTGATCACCAGTCTGGGCTCGAGTTCGGAAAATTTGACGATGAAAGCAGAGACCGACTTGGGCCCTCTGGTGTCACTTTGGCTGAACTCTTTAGCAGCAAGCTCACGCAGGATCTCGGAAGACAACTGATGATGATCATATTGCTCCGACAAGATATGGAGGAACTCAGCCATTGGTTCTGAGAGATGTTCAAAGTAGGTCAAATTCTGAACGATGGAGGTTTGTGCACCAAGGGCATGACCATGATGTTTAACGGCCACGCACAAGACCTTGAAGCAAAACATTCTGACGGCAGTGATTTTGACCCTGGCTTCACTTTCCATGATCAAGTATATCGACCTTGTAAATAGATTGACAAATGTGTCACGGTCGGAAGTGGTCTGAAAGATACGATTGAGCTTGAGCTTCATGGCTCGACACATGACGTCCATAGCGCTTTGTATCTGAGCGGGCGAGTCCCAGGCATCGTCTTTGGCGACCGACTTTTTGGAGCCTTTGCCACCTCTTCTAGCTGGGGCGGCATTTGATTTTTCCAGAGCTTTGTTCTCCACGGCAGCAATGGTCCATTGGAGAAGGAAAGCATAGGCTTCAAGTAGAGTCTTGTGGTTTGATAAGGTGTCTTGTTCGTCATTTTCGATGTCATGGTGCGCAACATCTGCTGCCGCCGATAAGCCTGAAACGATGAGGTGGAGGATCTTGCTCAGCGACTGGGCTGACAGGAAGGACGATTGCCTACGCGAGAAACATTGTCAGTCTTTGGATCATCATAGGAAATGCAACCTCGAACGTACTTTAGCAGGAATTGTATGGTGTCGAATGAGATACTCCGTAGAATGCCTTCTGAGTTTTCTGCAACCGCATCCAGGACAGGATCGAGTACAGTGTCGACTAGAGATGGGGTTAAACTGTCTGGGTCATGCTCATAGTCGGCTAGGTCCGGATGTGCTTCTGGAGTTGGTATTGCGGTCGCATCACTGAGGTAGAGTTTGAGAGATTCATTGATATCGAAATCAACGTGATCTTCCATTATGAAGGAAGGGGGTGCTTGAGTTGGGAACAAGTCGGGGATCGTTGTTGCTGTCAGAATGGTGATGTTTTGTTGTTTTAGCTGCGGCCAGGCAGTGGCCACTGCAGTGACTTGTAGATGGCAGGCGCAAGTGCAGGTGCAGGTGCAGATGCAGGTGGTCGCCGCGACGATAAAAGGCTGACCGTGGTCGTGGTCGCGGTCGCGGTCGTGACTTCCCCACGACGACTGCAGTGTAAAAACAACTCTTTCGCTCCTTCTCTTTTTCGAAATTAGACGTCGCGTGGATTCACCTCAAGTTTGATCAGACTGAAGCACACTCACCATCCAAATCATCAATTGTTTGTCCTCGCCTTGGTAAGGGCAATTCTGCAGGCCCGCCGGTTTATTGACGGATTTCCCGAAGGGGCAAGTGGCAGCCTCCACATCCAAACAAAGGGAAAGGGAACTCGGCTTCGGGCGTTTGGCCTTGCATAAGGTACCCTGGCATTATTATTGATTGGCATCCTTCGGTTCAAGCCGCCCACCAACAACAGACGCCCACTGCCCACGGGCACTGAGTACTCACCGCCCCGCCGCCCGCGCGACCATGAAATTGCCCAAGCAAGCCCGCGGCGTCCTCAAGGCCTTGCGCTCAAAACAATCCGAAATCCCGAACTCGAAGGTCAAGTCTACCGACCCCCCTCCAGAGACTCTAGACAAGACGTTTGTAGTTCCTTCCATTCGCGAACCTCTTCTCCAGGAGCAGGAACAGTTGAAAGCATTCGAGTCTGTACCTGCATCCGCATCCGTATCACCTACGCGTCGTCTGAGTGAGCCACATGCACCGCGGCCCGTTGCATGGAAGTCTACTGGTACCATCCTAGGCAAAAGATCCAGACACGACATGGGTAACACGACTATCGCTGTACATGAGGATGAGGATGCCACTTCTCATGCCTCTGCTGCTCCTTCCAGAACAATGGCTCATTTAGAATCAGACGATGAAGGCTCCCTCGCAGACTCAGTTTCGGGCAATTCAGAAGATAGCGACGACGATATTGACGACACGGTCATGGAGGATATGCGCAAGCTTGAGGAGAACTTCAAAGGCATTTCTCAGAAATATCGACTTATCAATCGCATTGGTGAAGGTACTTGCCTGCCTAGCGCCTGCTTGCAGCTCCATCTTGACTAATTCTCCCAGGTACATTCTCTACCGTCTACAAAGCCGAACAACTCCAACAGCCCGATGAGATGGACCAAGATGAGGAAGACGTTGAAAGATATATCGATATAGAGCGACCTTCTAAGAGAGCAAAGACCACTTCTGCAAGGTCACGTTTCAGACCACGCATAGTTGCATTGAAAAAGATCTATGTCACTTCTTCGCCTCATCGCATCCTCAACGAGTTGGAACTACTCCACGAGCTTCGAGACTCACCCTACATCTGCCCACTGCTGACCGCCTTTCGACATCTCGACCAAGTCGTTGCTGTCTTACCCTACTTTAGGCATCTCGATTTTCGACTGTACTACCGTGAGTTTCTGGTCAATGATATGCGACACTACTTTCGAAGCCTCTTTCATGCATTGAGTCATGTTCATAGGGCAGGTATTCTCCACCGTGACATCAAACCTACCAATTTTCTTTATGATCATTCCCAGAGAAAAGGTGTCCTGGTCGACTTTGGCTTGGCTGAGAGACAAGGTACCGATTGGCAACCATGCTTATGCATGGAGTCCAGGGAGAAGCGGAAAGATAAATTCTTGAATTCTTATGCAGTTCAAGTTTTACAGTCACAGGCAGACTTGATTTCCACTGGCTATCCCAAATCAGATACTCGCCCATCGCGAAGAGCAAACCGAGCTGGCACACGAGGCTTCCGAGCTCCTGAGGTACTTTTGAAATGCACATCACAAACAACACGCATCGACATTTGGTCAGCGGGTGTCATTCTTCTCACGTTACTAGCACGGCGGTTCCCCTTTTTCAACAGCGCAGATGATGTCGATGCCATGATCGAAATGGCATCTATCTTCGGAAGGAAAAAGATGCAGGCGGCTGCGGCCATGCACGGGCAACTGTTCGAGACCAATATCGAGACCATTGGGGAGAGGGGCTTCACACTTGAAAAGATCATTATCTGGGCCAGTTGTCGAGAGAAGGAGAATGACACGTTAAGAGCAGGAGAAGCCCAAGCAGTCAATTTTCTACAAGGTCTGTTGGAGTTGGACGCTGGAAAGAGATGGAGCGCGAAAGAAGCACTTCAACACGAGTTCTTCACAGCACCTGTCGAGGATGAGGATGAAAGAGCAGAGAGAGAAGCTGTGGAGATGAATGAGGAAGCGCAGAGAGCAAGACGGTAATGCCCTCGATCCCACATTTGCACACAATCATCATATTCACAATCGACCATGCGCTCGATAAAAGGGAAACAGGCTTGCTCATATGTTTTGCCGCGTGCATGGGCCAATTGGAGCGGTCGAATTATTGTATTAATAGCATTTATACCCCCTCCACGTCTAGTCATGGTCATTTCCATCGGCCATAGAGCGTTTGGTGTTGGTGCTGAGTTTGATCAATGTGTGCAGGACCCGAGAAAGGAGACACAGATAAAGAAAAATAAACAGAACATAATTCTAAAAGCATAATTGACAAATGACGATCACTAAAACCATGGAATTTCCACTGTGACCTGATGAGAGATGTATGGTCTACATATTCAAGATCTCATTCCTGATCGACATAGTGAGCGCCTTACCACCCCAGAGGTCCAGATGTGGAGCTAGATAGGTAGCTATGTGCTATTGCCTGACTTAAATCGACTCGAGAGTTCTGGTCGATGGCAGTTTGAACCCAAGGGTTGTTGAACTCTAGTGGTCGATGTGTAGAACTGTGACGCTGATAACAGCGCGTGACGTGACGTTCAATGTCTAAAGCCTGGCCTCAAAGGATTCCGGGCTGTCAACATTCAAAGACATCTCCTGGAACTTGACGCGTTTCACCGATCAGCCCACCGCGAGAGAGATCGAGTGGTCGCGAAACAGGACTCGCTTTCTTAGGTGGCCACTTGTGTTCTGAGTTGCACTCTGATTCCCCAAAGGCCATACCCCGCGTAAGTTAGTAGAACGTCCGTATCGCATGATACTGGCCATCTCGCTGGGTCCTGCATGTGATGGCAGTGAAGCAGCCGCTGTAAGTAACTCGCTTCATGGTTGCAATTTGTTCCTAGCGGTCGCCTGGCTGAGAAGATGCCTTCAAATTCCAGGACTTGCACTTCGTGTCTTCAACCCGTCTCAACAGCGACAGTCGAGTCAGCAGCTGCTGAAGACGACAGAACCATAGCCTCAAGGCGCATCTCCGCCAACTGCTCAGGGGTGCGAAACTCGCCTTTCCAACCATATTCCGGCCACCCCTGAGGCAGAGTCGCTGACGGTGGGAAGTGCCACCTTTCCCGGCAACGATAGTCCTCCGGGCAGTCCAAATTACACAGACCGTAAGTCTTACAGTAGCACTCCTGTACATTTGGACAGTGGACGGGCGGGCGGCCGAATATCTGATGCCACGAATATTCCAAGACACGGCCGCTGATGCTGTCCTCCAGCGTCGTGTTGAGCACCCAGTCGCGATAGCGTTCGTAGTCTGCGCGCGGACGCTCGAGAACCTTTTCGCGTGACGCCGCGAATTGTGCGCAGCATGCCACTCCGACTGTATCAGGGACTGGTTCGCCTGGGAATAGTTCTTTGAACGCTTCGCCGTATACGACTTGCGTTTGCCCTGCCTGATCTCCTTCGGGTCGGGTGTTGGCTTGTTGAGGGCGGATCTCTGCGGGGCAACCCAGGGACCAGACACATCGCAGGTTGGCGTAGCCTTGTGACAGGATGTATTCGGGTTGTAAGGATTGCATCAGTGGTACTCCGTCTGAAAATAGTGCCGAATCAGTCAGACTCGGACCGGAGATTAGGGGACGACATTCTCATGCTGACTTACCAAAGAGTGGATCGTCATTGTGCCATTGGTATCTCAAGCTATGAAGGAACACCATAACATCGGGCAACTTGTCATAATTGTTTATGATATGTCTGGAAATAAAAGTGCCGAAGTCAGCAATGGAAAGCCTAGCACTCGCTTCAAAAGGGAGGCGAGATCAGGATTACTCACGTCAGGTAAACCATTGCCTCGCGACCCTTGTTCTTCGGCACCGTCAATGGTGCCGATGCATCGTCGACGACATAAACGTTTGCTTTCCAACGGGGGATGTATTTTTTAAACCAAGATGTATCGTCCCCTTTCATCGAGGCAACCACAAATTCGACATGAGGTCCTCCAGTTGTCGACTCTGGATTCGAGTCGTCTTGTCCTGTTGGCGCTATGCTTGTTCCAAGTTTCGAAGCAATAGGCATATCAAAAAAAAGATACGATAATAGCAATGTGAAGATGACCACCATTAACACAGCCGCTCGGACGACATATCGCGCACCGAACGGCGAGTGGACTTTGAGAAACGTCAACGACATCCAGCGAGTGAGCACAGCAACATCGAAACCGAGTTCCTTCCACAGATCCAAGAGCTCCTGTAAAGCGCCCGTAATCTAATAAGCCCAAAAGACAAATGTCGACAACTTGAACGCGGAATAATGTTGAAAGTATCTTTGTCGTCCCAAACAGTTTGAATAAGCATCAAATCGACCTGTGTCGAAAGCCACTTCAGTCCTAGTTAGGTAGTTAGCTCGTGGGTTGTCAAGGACTCAAGCCGACAGCTGGTGCGCTAGGCGAGTGTAGCAGTGGCACGGACACGCAGGCCGCGAATCAGTGCTGGGGGTTGTTGCGGCCCACGGGTAAGCTGCAGGTGCACACAGGTGTTATTTTTGGTGGGCGGGCGCCCCTCGGCCAAGTTGCTCGGGCATTTGCTCCAGGCAGCAAAAGGCAGCCTCAGGCAGTAATGACCATATTTTGCTTGGTTGTCCACTCCCCAGCCCCTCTGTCAACAACAAAACAAGAACCACTTTCGCCCTTTGTCGCCACTGGCACTGCCAAGTTGCTAACTGGATAACCCACATGTGCCTTTCTCAGCAGGTGTTGGTCACTTCATGTTGATAAACAATCCCGGCCGAAAAGCTGAGAGTTGAGGTATAGCATACGCTAATCCTTTATACAGTATGGAGGGAATACGAGAACACGAGGCTTAAGACATTATCATTTTTATCAGTCATTTTCACCATTTTCTTCATCACATTCTACCATCGACATTACCATCACGATATTTTTGGGATTCTAGTGAAAGGAAATGGACGCCTCGAAGAATGTCCGGAGAACTCTTCATGCTGGCCTTGCTAAGAAGGCACACTTAAGCGGGACGGCTAGGCGGTGCTTCTAAAAGTACCTTACGCATACTCGTCAGGCGTGCTCACCCAAAACTTAATCGCGGGCCTGGGATGGAGCATTTTCCATTTCTTCCCCCTCCCGACTTCAAGCAAAGGGAGATTGCACGCAGCACGACAAGCTCGAGAACCTTTGCCATGTTGCTAAGTGGATATTCATCCCGGCCTTTCAGCGAGTAACATACTTGATCTGATGTGGCTATCTCCCAAATGGTCCTCCCATCGGCCCCCATCTGCCACACTAAATAATGGGCTACTTGCAAACCCTGTTTGATCTGGCTCACGCTGTTGCCGCACTGTAACGACGCCGATCCGCCATGGTTAGAGTGCGACCGGTTGGTCTGGACACGCTAATTACCTGATCAAGCTAATTGAAACGCGGGCCAGTTGAGGCTGAGGAGACCATGCACGATAAGCCGAAGTTCGTACGGTTTGTCGCTCGTCTCCTCAATTCCTCCCAGTTTTCTACGTTCGTGACCTTCCGGTGCCACTTGTCTGTCGCTCATTCCTGTTTCCATCGCATACTCCCCTTTCTGGCACTGTTGAATGCGAAGATCGATAATTGAATTATCGTTCTCACTGGCGGATCAATTCTCAAGGACTGACTGGTCTGGCTGCTATCACTTCAATACTCCGCAAGGGAGCAGGATTGGAAAGGACGGACCACGTACACGACCCACGATCGAGCGAGGATCTTTTTACACATATATAAAATCCAGATGTTGCTACGTTGGACCCTCCTTCTTTCTGTGCTGAGCTATTCAGCGGCGCAATCATGCTATTATCCTAACGGTGACCTCTCAACCTCGGATGCGCCATGCTCGGATGGCAGCGGTCAAGCTTCTTGTTGCAGTAGCTCATACTACTGCTTGTCAAACCATCTCTGTCAATATCAAGACGGAAGACTCTATCGTGGATCTTGTACGGATGAAGCCTGGAACAGTGGCAATTGTCCTCAGTTCTGTCAAGACAGTGAGTTGCACTCATCATCTAAAGCAAATGACCGTCATACTAAGTCGATGTAGATAACCCAGGAAACGGAATACAGGTTTTCCAGTGTAGCATTGATCTGAACACATACTGCTGCAGTACCAACAACAGTGACCCTAATTCCTGTTGCAGTAAGGCCGATGTCGAACTATTTACGCTCGCTCCGATCTCAACAATTGGTCAAATCATTAGCACAACCTTCTCGAATTTCCAGGCCAGTCCTACTACGGCCCCCACAACGTCCAGGTCCTCTACTACTACCTCTTCCACTTCCACTCCGTCCATTTCCACGACGACTGGGTCCACATCTGAGGGAAACACCAGCTCTTCTCCAACAACATCTTCCAGAACGATTTCGGACACCTCATCCTCGACTGGCACCGGGACAGCCGCCGGAGCTTCGGCGACAGGATCTGGCGAGTCTGGAGGTGGAGGTGGATCGAACACCGGTGCGATTGCCGGGGGTGTTGTGGGAGGACTTGCGGTTCTGGGCGCTATCGGCCTTGGAGCATGGTGGTTGTTCGTGCGCAAGCGCAACGATAAATCTGGGGCGGCTGCTGTTGCACCTACGTCCCCGAACGACAACAAAGAGCATTATCAGTACTACGGAGGTCCTCAGGGAGGATACTATCAGAGCGCTCCACAACACGAACCGCGCGAGATGGATGGTGGTCAGACAATGATCCCGCATGAGATGGATTCCACACCTCAAAGACAACAACCCAACGCTTGGCATGAACTACCAGCCGAATCAATGCCTCGCCGATGACCCTTCTTTGTGCCCCGAGGTCGCCGCGACCTTGACGAGATGTCGAGAACGACGAAAATGATCTTCCCAGTTGATCTTCACTCAAGAGCCAAAGCAGCATACCAATTCGAAATGGCTGATCTGTGAGAGCTTATCTTGGTCCGAAGTGCACGACTGGGACGTCGCTTTCTATGTGGTAACACCTCATCAAGAATTCGTACTTCTATCTTATTTCCGAGCGCTTTCACACTGCATATATCACAGGCGCATTCAAGGCGGACAGATCAGACTAATGACATATATTTTGCGCATTCACACTGCTTTTTTCCCCTCTGCATTATATCCACTGCGTACCGAGCATGCGTCCACAGAATACTGGTGTTCAAGGCAAGGGAAATTCAAAGCGACCCAGTATTGGTAGTCTAGATAAATCAACATTCCTGAATTTGCGATTGTTCTCAAGTCGAAATGGAGCATTCTACCTTGACAACCACATATCTGCATTCGGTTTCAACGGCCACGCACGATAAGATGCCTTGACACCATTTGTGTATATGGACATCATGTACCAAATACACAAACAGCAAATGCATACTCGCGATAGACGTCCCATCACGCTCAAGCCATGAGATAAACGATCCTGAAGGATTGATGTGGATCCCCGTGCCAGTGGTGTTAGCGTTGAGGCTTGCGAGGAATGCTTGGCATCAAAATCACGGCGTCACGAGTCACGACTCATCGAGTAAGAGTAATTGGTCTCGGAATATATTCGTCTGCACGATTTCCATACAAGATCAAAGATTCAGAAATCTTAGCCTTGATCGGTTGAGCTTCGGATGTTCCTGCAGCGTAACGGTCTCGCCAAGTGTCTCGCAACAAATTGTCCCGCGGTTGGTGGTAGCTCGGGACAAATTTCACCTCTATCGATACAGACACGATCATTGTTGAGGACTCGATCTCTGGGTGTTGTTTCACGGCGTGCATTGGTGTCAACAGTATATGTGGCATTGATGGCGACTAGCAGCACGCCGGGACAGAACCGAAGATGTTTTGCGCCTCTGGACCCTGAACTAAAAGAAGGCCGCCAACGGCCACAATTGAAGGGGATTGTTTTTGATGTTGATGGGACGCTATGGTACGATTGTTTACTTTGATTTTCCGCCATTCCCTTGATCAATTACATTATCATATCATGTTTGCCACTCCAAGCAGTGCATGCTTATATGTTATATGCCATCCTAGTCTACCACAGAATTACATGTTCAAAGAGATGCGAGCAGCGCTCGACATTCCGAAATCAGTTGATATACTTGACCACATCCGCGATCTGTCCAACGTTCCAGATTCAGATTCTGGGTTGCAGACAGAGTCGCAATCGTCACTCAACTCCTCGAGTCAGCCAGTCGAAGCGGCGCTGTCCCACACTGCATCGCCACCAGACCCGGCGCCAACGTCGCCTCAAGCACGAGCGGTGGCCAAGATACGGCACATCGAGCGGACGGCCATGAGCTCGCAGAAACCTCAGCCAGGGCTCAATCAACTCATGGCTTACCTCAGCAGTCGCAGCATTCCCAAAGCTTTGTGCACGCGGAATTTCCCGGCGCCTGTGCACCACCTGCTGGACAAGTTTCTGCAAGGAGAAGTATTCGAGCCGATCATCACGCGAGACACGGAGGGCATTGCCCCGAAGCCGAGTCCTGAGGGATTGTGGTCGATTGCACAGGCCTGGGGACTGGATCGAGACGCCGACGATGGAGCCATACAACAGCTGCAGGCAGGTAGTGAGCTAGCCGGGGCTGACCCACTAGAACTGGCAAAACGCTACCTGGGCTCTGGTTTGATCATGGTTGGCGACAGTGTTGATGACATAACTGCAGGGCGGAGAGCTGGTGCAGCAACTGTATTGTTAGCGAACGATGAGAATGAGCATCTGGTGGAGCACGAGTGCACGGACTTGAGCATTAGACGCCTAGACGAGCTCATAGATATTCTGGAAAGGGGGTTTGAGGCGCATAAGTAGACTTGTGAGAGATAATGTGGTTTACATCTCAGCTGATATCGCTGGTGACTTTTAGAATGTTTGCTACCTCTGCGAGACGCAGCAGGCCCATGGGGATGATTTATGAGAATCAACGGGCTGACTATCAGCATGATGTATCACTTACCAGTTCAGTGGGGTGTTATAAGCATCAGGCTGAAGATTGTCGAAAGCACGCTTGTCACGCCTAGGTCGATACCGAGCTAACCTGATTGTCGTCCAGACACTTTACGAGTCTTGACTACTCACAGTCGTCTTGAAGATGTACTGTTGTCGATAGCCTTGAACGGAGCCTGGTAGCTCATGGAATTGCAAGTAACCCACGAAGTACGCCTGAGACGTGGTCTGCACCCCACGTGCAAATTCAAGTAGCAAAAGAAAGGCTGAGATAGGATGCTGGGCATCTGACTCCAACCAACGGGAGAATCAAAAAGGTTGGAGGATTGATGTGTTGGCATCGATTACTGCGGCTTACCAGGAGGCGCGTGTGGGAGGACAAATAGAGTGGGCGCAAAAGATGTGATGTCGTCCACCTCTGCTGTGTGTAACCATGCCTAACAAAGACTTGGCTCAACGTGAGCTGGAGAGTGGAAGTTAGTGGTTACGCCCCCTCCCCGGAACGCGGCTTAACGGCAATGGGCCGAACTTAAGCTCGAGAATTGGCCAGCCAACCGTTCACTTGGAACGACTAGCGCACTACAACTCTCATGCTCACGGCCTCAGGCTCATCGTATCAGAAAGATCAAACACATGTATCGGGCACGAAGCTCGGAAGAAGCAGAGCGGTCAAGGTTCCAGTGCGAACGAAAATCCCGCTGAGGCGGAGCTTTGGAGTTGCTAGCAGGTGACCCTACAGATCTGCATCCGCAAAGCCTGCAAGGGAGAACCAATGAGGCATGCAAGGGAGGCAAGCATGTCAACAGAAAATCCTGATGTTCCTGGAGACAAACAAGACTGCCACAGTTATTACTGACTCGGAGGTGTGGCCTAGATTCCCCTCGGTACACCTAAGAAGAGAGGTAGGTGCTCGTCCGTGCTATTCTCCTCCGCAAAAGCTCAGGCTTCCTGTCGCGTTGATAACGATGATAAGGATTGATGGTATGTGCGTATGCAAGTGCCATCTATGGACAGGATTCGTATTCTCGAGCCTTAATTCACCATCATTCACAATGCAAAGGTGGGATACCGAGTAGATCTGGTAGAAGTTGCAATCAGGATTGACCGAGGATCGTGGAGTTCTTCTTCACTCTTTAGTGGCGTAAGCGAGCATGGACCCCCCCAAGCATGCCAAAATCCGAGCCCCCCCGGCGCCTAGAACCAAATCCCTAGGTACCCAGGGAGCAGGTGGCGGGCGCGAGGTGCCCTCTACGGATGTCACCATCTCACCACCATCTCCTCCACAGCTGCTACTAACTTACTGTTCCCGCTACCGACCGCCTCGCTTCATCTCTTCCTGTTCTCCATCTCCTTGCATCTGTGTTTACCTCTTGGACAGTTACCAAACTAGTAATTGCTGTCTGCTCACTCGTACATCGACATTCAAGTCCGCAAGCGTTGTCTATTTACTTTACCTGCTATCACGGCGTCCTCCTCAACCTCGCACTGCTTCCTCTAAACCAGCTGTATCCGCAGTCCTCGTTTTTCGTCATCCAGCCTCCCCATTAATTAATTCCTCCACACCGCAGTCCATTCTATTCCAGACACCATCACAGACTCCTTCTCAACTCAGCAAGAATTATCACACCACGGGCGTGAAAAATTACCTTTACCTTGACTGTCTGAAAACCCGACCGAGATCCCCTCTCACTCAACCCGCTGAATCTCGTCACATTTGTTTACAACTGCACACAGCCAGCGCACATACAACTTTCACCATTGCCATGACACATGCCACTACAGAATAAGCTCAATCGCCTTCAAAAGCGCATGCGTGTTTCGCAGCGCATGCCACTCATGAATCCACAGGCTTGAGTCCATTTCGACATGGGATTTATCTCTCGGCGTCCACTTCTGCCTGCACCCACCGACTCATTGCTTGGGTCGGCTGATGAGACTGGACTTGGTACAGATCTTGGAACAGATCTTTCGCGGAGAACCGATAAGACTTGGGAAGAGATACCTGGCGACGGAACTCCCATCACTATTTCTCCCGCCCCAAAACACAACCATCTCGGCAAACTGCCAAAATCTGGCCAACAGTCTCAAACCTCACTCCTCATAGAATTGTTTGAAAGCAACAACACCTCAGAATCCGGACAGAGACGGCCTAGTCTGCGTGTACGATACACTCCTTCAAAGTCGAGAAAGAAAGGCCAAAAGGCAGAAAGCCACATTCTTGTGACCGAATCAAAGTCGACCAGGAAACCCTCAAAAACACATCGCATCGCTCTTGGAGGTAACGAAACACTCGCTCACAACGTCATTGAAGGGAGCATCAGTTCCCTCGATTCTGCTGGCAGCCTCCATCCCGCTGCCCCGGTCGAAATCGACGTTCACCAAGACGAGGCTTCTGAATTCTCCTCGCTAAGTGCCTCCCCGGAGCTCAGGTACGCAATTCCCGAGTCAGATATCTCTTCTATGCCACCAGAGAGCTCGTTGGGTATCGTCAATCCAGTCACCATGTCTCAATCAGAGCAAAGCGGAAGCCTTCCAAGAGCTCCTGGTTATGGCGGGACTACCTTGAAACCACCCGTCATACTTACGGATCGGAATGCAAGTAATGAAAGAATCACTCAAAAGGTGATCGAGAAATTGAGCAATAAGCCACGGGTCTCCGCAAGTGGCAAACGCCGGCGCAGTAGCCAGCACACAAGTCACAGCAGTGTCAGCCGTGAAGTCGAAACCGACGATCCAGTCGAGGCGCGAACGTACACTACAAAAAAGATCGACGACGATTGGAATCCAAGTGCCACAGGTTCCAGTCTATTGAGCAGCACACATTTGTCGGCCGAACCTAGAGCTGGTGATCAACGATCGGTACGATCTGGAGCATCAAATGTCTCCATCACCAACAATCCTAAACTACTACAGACAGTCGAGGATGCGATCAGACGGCTCATTCTGCCGGAACTAAATGAATTGAGAAGAGATCAACGACATCATCGGTCTCGCCACGACAAACTAAGCGATCCCTCTGACATTTCTAGCAGTACAGTCTCCCGAGAAGAAAGAACACGTCGAAAATCGTCTGGCAGCAAGTCGAAGAGACGAGTCAGTCACGATTCCGAGGCTGCAAAACCGTCAAGCTCCTCTCGACATCATAGACATCATAGATATGACGGATACGATTCCCCATCTGAGCAGAGCTATGATCAATCCGAATCTGTGGAAAGTAGCAGTGTTCGTGAAGACCAGAAACCACGTAAATCTTCCAAGAGCCACCGTGCTCGGGATATCGCGGCTGGTGCTCTGGGTGGTGCGGCTTTGACAGCAGCGGCGCTCAAGTCGCATGACTCTGGTTCTAGCCTCGAATTTTCCGAGAAGCGAAGACGACGACGCAGCAAAAGCCGTTCTAGTCGAAGTGCAAGCGTCACAGAGAAAGACGATGTCTTTACCAAACACAAGGTACCTCCCATGCCTTTCGTGAGCGAGATTGGTACAGACCTCACCCGCAGTTCACTCCAATCTTCTGTTGATGGGGGTGCCACCACGCCCACCAGGAGGGAGGTTCGTGAAGTTATTCGAGGTTCTCCACTCGATCTGTCCTCTTCTGGCACACGCACGCCTACCAGAAGCAACCTCGATATAAAACGTGGGCTTGGCACCCATCACGGAAACTTTTCAGAGCGCGACCTTTCGAGCCACGACATATCTAGGAAGGAAGTACTTGATGATGGTAGTGAAGTTTCGCATGACCTCGATGAGTCCGAATTCGCTCAACATGGCTTTGCAGCATTGACAGATCCAGAACGGGCTCGGGCATATGAGAGAAATCTTCATCAACAGCACCCCATCCGGCGAGGATTAAGTCCCATTCAAAGCGTTGCGAGCTATGCCACTACCACCGAGCCGAATCGGAATTCTTTTATGCATACTCGAAGCTCAGAATCTCTAGATTCAATCAAAAAGCGGGAGCAGATTAACGATCAGGTCTCGATCTCAACTCTCTCGTCTCCTCCCAGTACAGATCTGGCTCGCTCGATGCGGCCTCATGGCATAAGCCTAGAGAATCGTAGCGAGATCATGGGCCAGCATAAAGCCTCTAACGAAAGCACGCCCCGCCAGCTGGACCCAGAGGCTATTTTTGACGAACAACATCTTGAGAATGAAAGCTACCGACAATCTCCCTATGTTGATAAGGTCACAGCCGGCCGCCACGTTGCGAAACCAATCGGCGCAACTGCAGAATTTACGGAGATCCCGATGGGTGTTGAGTCTGCGGTTGCTTCGCTCATCAGTAACACTGGCTCACCTCGCCATAGTCATGCAAGCTCGTTGGATCGCCACGAAGTCGGTGGCACAGATAGCCCATCTTACGAGCGCGATACGAGATACATTGGTAGTCCGCTCAAACACCATACTGAGAGTTATACTGAAGACAGACTCTCATCGCACTCGGCGGGTCTGGTAGCTTCTCCAACACACAGCCCAACTCACTCTCTGCCTCGGTCACTTGCTCGGTCAACGCAGCAATCCGAAGGCCGATCTGCAAAATCGCTGCGTTCTCCTCATCTCATCTCTGGTGAGGCCAACACTCAGGCAGAGCTTTCTCCCGAATCAGACATTACTACGAACCCATCGGTTATTCAAGGCCCAATTGGTGGATTAAGTCAAGGCAACACGGATCATTGGCCATATGATCCTACACCTCCTCGTTCACGTGCAGACCTTGTCCTGCCGCCTGTTAGCCGAGATATTGGATCCGCGGGCGCTGATCTAATCCCGGAGGCCTTAACTATCAGTCACAATCATGATCTGGATCCTAAACGAGACCTGTATATGACAACACAGCCACTGGCGTCTTCCCCGGGTGCCAAAGATGAAGGTTACGAGACTGGAGCAAACGCTCGATCCCCAGGGCTATATTCACAACACCGAAGTCTGCACGATGACAGCTTCAGCCCCGACATGCATGTTCAAGACACCGACTTGGGTGATGATCCCTTCACAATCACTAAGCAAGATCAATATACTGATAGACTCTCTCATGGCATGTCCCCCATGTTTGATGGTCCTCTGGATCGTGGTCGCGAGCAAATTCAATCACGAGATATTGTCAACCTCATGGATCACCTCACAGTCCGCGATGCACAAAGAAACGCACGTGATACCGAGATTTTGGTGACACTCGTCCGAAGTGCGGCTGAGATGCGCAACTCCTTTGAGGATATGAAGAAGTTCATAGCAGAACAAGATGAGCAGATGCTGGATAACTCTGAACGTCAACACGAGAAGACACAAAGAATCGTGGGTGGACCTCGACCACAACCAACAAGCGGAGCTCGTACAGCTCGCTCAGCTACCTCGGAGGAAGATTTACCGAACAAGCGCCAAAATGTCTTTCGAAGAGCTCTACGTGGCCTAGGAACTAAAAACACTCAAGAATTGCAGAATATCGAAGCAATGCTTATGCGGCTGCTCGACGAGGTGGAAGGCCTTCGAACGACTCAAAACCCAGGGCCACGACAAAATCAAGTCAGGCACACTAGCTTCACGTCCGCCGACAATGCCAGGGCACCACCCACTGACACTGGATACGAGCCTGAGGGGCAGGCAGGTACTTCCTCAACTGGTGATCGATCCGGTTTCTTTTCCAATAATTCATCACGGCAAGCAGATTACCGTACCTATAATCAACAACGAGATTCTGGTAACCGTGTAAGCACTGTGATGGAAGACAATGAAGAGTACGATGACTATGATGCCCCACTTGGTCCTGCTAAGGCTGGTAACGTTCGCGCTAGTCAGACACCACTCGACACGCCTCCAAGACAAGACTATGCCCGCCAAGTGAGAGCAGGTTCTGTGCCACTGAACACTCCCCCCCGGACCACTCCTCAGAATGTTGGTTCACAAAGCAACGATAACACACCCCACCAGTCCACGGGTGACGGGTCGGGTCGAAAACACAAGTCATTCGCGGCAAACTTTATCCCAAAAATGGTGTCGAGGTGGTCAAAGACTACTGCATCATCAGCAGACAATTTCCGCACGAGTGCACAGAAATCACGACCCCGTTCAGAAATGTCGCGATCAGGTTCGAATTTAGGGGAGTACGAATATGAGCACGATCCCCAAGGTGACGACCCATTGCGATCAGACACATCCTTCCAGAGAGAGCAGTATTCTGATGACGAACATGATGGCCGGCCACCGTCCCCTTTGATTCCGAGTCAAATCTCTGACAATCCGAAATACCAGGCTCACCGAAACAGCATGAATCTTCAACATCCACAACCTAGGCAGGGTCCAACTGGTCGATTTCAGTCCCATCTGGAGTCAGAAGCTCAGCATTACAACGATCAATTCTCCCCTACTTCTCAAACCTCCTCTCAATGGGACCAAGGGTCTTCGCTCCAAACCGCACTACCCCCAAACACCGCATATGGAGAACATCTAAGCCCTATCCCTGATAATCCATATTCCGCAGATCACAGTGTGCACTACGACAGCCGCAGTGTTCGATCTGGCACTTCTTCTCAAGGTCCTCCCAGGCCACCAAAGATCTCAAATGACGAACCATTGGTACCACAACGCCCTCCCAAGGTACCCATGAGCCCATCTCAGGCCGCGAGACAGCCCACATATGTTGATCACGTCGCCGCGGCACGAGCTGGTAGCCCTGCATTTGACAAGGTAAGCCCTGCAAATAGATTTACTGTTATTTTACTGACAAACACCACAGTCACCAGTCGCAGCGCTAAGGTCGCCACAGAGTTCAGGAAGAAAACCGTCAGGCCCAAGGCCACTAGCCGGAGCCGGTGGATCTAAGGGAGATCTCAATGCCATCAAGAGGACACGTTTTCGAGGTAGTCCTAACCAAGTCGACAGTGAGGACGAAGCAACCCGTGCTTATTGAAAGATGGGAGACCTTGTACTTTGCATCTGCCTGGAGCAATGCAATCAATATTCGGATCCGTATTTTGCGTCTTGGGTCATTCATAGCTGGAGATCGACATTTCATGTGCCGGAGGAAGCCCGCAAAGAAGCATCTTTGGAGTTTCATGATGAGGACATTGATGACGTTTGAGCGACAAGATACCTAATTCATAGCTGACACATGTTATCGGCAGGTTGGAGGCTTTCGAGATCTTCATTCCGGGTGAATTGACTTTAATCTACTACATATCCCCAGCGACATGACTCCCCTTAAGACTTCAATCAAGGCCATATAAAGACCAAGAGAACCGACTCGGGTACATATTTCTGCCTCATTCTTGCATGCAAAAATTCTCCAGCCTTCTGATGACGCTCGCACACCGGCCATCGACTTGCCGCGTGAATACTTCCGCAAAGAAGAGACATAAAACCAGACTACAAACCCAGCCCACCACGACACCAGCCAGCCAACCGGCCGCGCCATCTTTGCCCGTAAAGCCCCAAACGAAATGCGGAATACCATATCCAACAATATGCAGCACGGTCCCATGCACAAGATATAGCGCAAACATATGCTGGCCGAGATATCGTGCGAAGCGACAGGTGAATAAGCGATGCCAGAACGACGGCGTCGGTGACGCTATGTGATTCCGACTCGTCTGTAACAGGAACACGAAGAGGAGGACGCCGATTGACTTTGGGAATTTCTCCTTGCGACTATAAAATGCGGGGATGAGGTTGTTCATCCATGTGAAGCCTGGTGCGGGCTTCTTGAAGCCGCTGATCGGGTAGGACATTAGGTACAGCGCAAATGTGTACGCTGCACGGCGTAGGATTCGTCCGGCACTCGAGGGTTTGCAGCTTGACTGCGTGGTGCTGGGAGACCCTGGGAGTAGGTCGGTTGGTGATGGGTCTAACCTGACGGCGCCGGAGGCGTGTTTGAGCGCGTCGTATTGAGCGAGCGCTGCGCCGAGGAAGAACAGTGGCCCTTCCCATCTATTCCAGATCGTATACAGCAAAGCCAGCGCAATGAGGAACCCAAGTCGTACCCGAGGCTTGCACTTCGCAAGACCAACCAGAGCAATGTACAGGTGCATTGACATTCGAGCCTCATAGCCGATCGTCCACAGGTGGGGGTCGTGCTCAGGGTAGAAGGGTCCGACCCTCCATACATCGCTCAGCTTGTACAATTCCTGCAGCCAGAAGTGCAGTTGCTGTGTCAGAGTAGCGCACTGTCTCACGCTTGGCTCGGTAAATTGAGGTCTGAAATTTACGTCCTTCTGGGCGATCATATCTCGCAACCCTTCAAAAAGGCCTGCGTACGCAGACACCGTCGTGATGAACATCATGCACATGACAGGCAGGTATAGCCTGGCAAAGCGTCTGAACACAGAACAGCTCAGGCTAGACAGGACCTTCTCATGGCGGTTCCCACTGCTGTTCGAGGGTGCCGTTGTCATCAATTGCAATGCTTTTGCAGAGCAGACGTACCCCGCGATCACGAAGAAGATATTGACGCACGTTGCGCCGTCATAGAGCAATCGAATAAACGGTAGTTCGATTATCGAGTGGTGTTGCTCGTTCACTCCAAACCCTACAGCTGTTGAGTCTGTGAATGCGAAGAGAAAATGGTAGTTGAACACGACGAGTGCGGCACAGCCTCGCAGGCCGTCCATCCATGTCGTTGGGCCGATGTTGGTTTTCAGTCCACTGCTGCTGATCGGGTCTTCCAGTATGCGAGAACGTATGGACTTGGAGAGTGCCGTGGGCACCGCACTCTCCAGTATGCCGGTAACACGGCTCCCTCGGAGGTCTCGCACCGTAGAGAGAAGCTGAGAGGTCGTGATGCGCCAATGGGGATTGTTAGTGGCGACGGAAGGTTTGTCATGGTGATCCATTGCAAGAATCCAGAGAGGCTTGGGATGACCCCGCAAGTTGTGTTCGGTGAAAGATGGAAGAAGCCCGTGAACTTACATGATCGATGCCACGAGGATTTAAGTGAGCAGACGTGCATCCTCGTTGTCGTAATCAGTTCATTGGAAAAGGGGTCGGGTTCTATTTGTGTTGGAGCTACCGAACAGTGACAGTTGATGTGTGCTTAGCTTCCTGTCTGTGGTACTCCAGAAAAGCGCTTTGAGTGGGTCAAATGTTTTGGACCCACTAGCTATTTGCTGGACGGTTAGGGGCGTTCTGAATGGGAGTTTTGGACCGCGCAAACTCTTGGTTTCTGTGGTTGATCACTTGTCTGATTAGCTACGAGTACTCATTACTGTGTGCGATCTAAATGTCCCGAGGAGTTAGACGTTTCGGCAACCGGTCAAAAACTGACGAATTAGAGTTGCTGCCAGGGGCTACAGCCTTGTGTCCCACGTTGGGTTGCAAGAATCGCGAACTTCACGTGTGAATGTTGACCAACTGTAGACAAGCACCGTGTGCCACCGTGTGCCATAGCCTACAGGATGCTGAAGCACTCCTTCAATCGTCGAATAGTGGCCGGAGCATGCAAGATCTGGGATGTCTAGTTAGAGCGACAGTGTTCAGCTTTGGTTGGGTCATTTTTGAACTGTGATTCTATTGGTTTGTTCTAAAGATCACCAGCCACCTCCAGGGGACTCTTGAGAGAGAAAATGCAGAGTTGGGGACGATCTCTTGCCGTAGCGCAGAATTGGCGGACAAGGAAATACATTTCCGAACGTGCTGCCCACGGCCATTTGCGGGGGTTGCAGACGTCAGATGTTGCCCTGGCTAGTTATGCTAGGTATTTTGGAATGTTTGGATGTCGGCAACTCGATAAGTTGACATTCGTCGGTTTGAGAGTGAAGTGAGGAGTAACAATGACATCAAGGTATTCTGTCATCCTGGGCCTGTCATCAGAACTGCAGTCCGGATCCCTCATCCGGACAACCACGTCCAAGTTTGCACCATCTATGCCTAGTAGTGGTCGCTTCCTAGCTACCTCGCTCCCCAGGTGGCTAGTGAGTGGCATAAACATCTTGGACATCCTGGATATGATTTCCAGGCGCATCTCGCTTTTTCAAATATTGAATTCGCAGAACGTTCCACTTGTTTGCCCTCCACATGATGCACGAGCTTTGCACACTCAGCATTCACGTGCGCAACAGCTGTAACTTGCACCACATAATTGAATTTTCATGCGTGGAGACGACTTCAATTTCACGACCTCATTCTTATGACAACGGCCGTTCACGATGGAACGACGAAATCGAACAAGTCACGCGTGTGATAGATGTCGGGCAACGCGGGCCAAGTGCTCTGGCGACCCGAAATGTGAGAAATGTGTCAGAGATGGTACAGTCTGTGTCTATGGTGATAGAAAGAGGGAAAAGAACAAGAGGTCAAGCACGATCAAAAAAAATTCGCACATTTAACGATCAGAACTAACAGTTCCCCAGATACATGGCTGAGAGTAAGGATCGGATCGGATCTCTCGAGGAGAGGAACCGTGAATTGGCGAAGATGTTACAGCGAGTGGCGTTGAATGTGACACTACCGGAAGACTTCCAAGCCCAGGTGGAAACCCTGTTATCAGAAGTATTCCAATCCATCGTCCTTGTATCTCGAGTTCATCTCCTGACACTTTGTTGGACCAGTCACCAGATGTGGTACTTGATGCTTGTTCTGCCACGGATCCTACGCCTCGGACACCGGCTGATTTGCGGGTCGACACATCTCAGTCACCTTCTCTGGACATAACTCGTGCGTCGCGGACAATGGCAGGCCCTTCACGTCTCTCTATACAATCTCAACATCGATTGATGGGCGACGAGCTACTGGAGAAGAAGAAGATTTCCCCATCAAAATGGACAGAAGTCACGACAAATGATGGCCTCGTGAGACATTTGCTCACACTCTACTTCTGCTGGGAGTATCCCACTTTCGCAAGTCTGTCCAAGGAGCATTTCTTGCTCGACTATAATTCTGGAAGACCGCGATTCTGTTCCTCCCTGCTGGTCAACATCTTGTGTTCCATGGGGGCCACACTTTGCGACATGAAAGAAGTGCGATCAGATCCAGATGACCCAAATACCGCTGGGGACCACTTCTTTGCAGAAGCGCAACGACTCCTTAGCAAAGAAGATATCCCCTGTGTTACCACAATCCAAGCATTGAACCTAATGGCCTTGAGGCAGGCCAGGTCTGGGAACGATGTCAGTAGCTGGCATTATGCGCGAAATGCGATGCGTATTGCGATAGACCTTGATTTACCTAGCGACGACCCGGAGCAGGAGCCCGAGGAGCCATATGTTTTTACTAGGGCCGAACGTCAAGTCCGTGTTGCTACATTCTGGGGTTGCTTTGCTCTTGAACAGTAAGTCATGATGCACTACCTACTGACAGCTCTGCCATCTTATTCTGACCATACCAGTGCGTGGTCATTATTGGCCGGCCGAGTTCCTCAGATAAGGCTCAGCGAGATCAAAATCCATAAGCCAGTGATTGTGGATGAAATCGAGAAGGAAGAGTGGAAAACATATACAGATTCTGGTCCCGAAGAAGAGAATAGTGGTTATCGCCAGGAAAGTAACATAAGGTTGATCTTTGCTGCATTTACAGACCTTTCGACGATCATACACGAAACTATACTACTTCTTTATTCGAAAGATGAGCTGTTAAACAGCCACAGGCTAGTATCGACATACTTGCAATATCTCCAATGGTATAGTGAACTGCCGGATAAGCTGCGAATGGGAGGAAATTCAACCCCAGTTGTTTTATTTGCACAGTGAGCTTAAGCCCCTTCTTTCGTACCTGGAAATCTTGCTCAGGCAGGCAAATGGAATACAGCGGAAGCTGACTATTGCAGCATGTATTTTCACTGTGCCGTTCTTGTCCACTTCCGACCGTTCATCAATCTGGCAGTCATCGGCAGTTCAATTTCTCCACGATCTATCTGCCTCGAAGCATCAAGAAATATTTCATCTCTGGTGAAGTCATACAAGCATCTCTACGGCCTGCGAAGAGTACCGATCTTCCTGCCATACATCTTGATGACGGCCGAACTGGCAATGATAGCACTTAGCAGAAGCGAACCGGAGGAGTCCACTCCTGACCTATATCCCAGCGACAACATGCATTACCTTGCAGAATTATCGACATGGTATCCTTCCGCCAAACAAGCTCTTGCAATCTGCAAGTTCTTCAGAGAGCAGAGAGGCGCTACGGTTCGTGGTGAGGATCCAGTACCAGGGGGCTCAAGCATCGACATGGATGCAAAATCAGATAATGATGATGAGCGCGACAGGGGTCTGATGGTCCCGGGCAACAATGTACAGACATTTTTCCGGCCGTCTAATCCGGACCGAAGCTTCCAGAGGCCGGCGTTGAGGCCTTCAGGGCCATGGGACGTAGCACTTCTCAGCCTCGGGTCGCCAAACTTCCCACTTCAATCAAACCCACTGGGAAAAATTGTGTCTGGGCCCGCCCAACTCAGAGGAGGCGCAGATGCCATGGAGAATTTGCGGGATGCATTGAAGACCCATGGTCTGACGTTCATAGCCTGATGTCGCGGAATGGCGACCCCCTCTCCGCACAGGCAGTTGAGTAGACGAGAATATGGGGTGGTTAACTCGATATGTAGCCACATGCGAAGACACGGAAGCTTCAATCCCAGATTTCCCTACTGGGCTCTCGTGAGCCCATTGGGACCTCCCGTGCTACGTGGCTTGCTTTCATCAGTTACGCTCGTACCCATGAAAACATTCCGAGCAAGCTGGTGCGAAGTCTAGAAGTCACATATCAGACTCAGTCGTTAGACTTCAAGTAGAGCATGCTATGGATTATCCACAACTATCGCTAACTAGGATATGGCATATTCCGAGAGTGATTCATCCGCCATATGTGACCCCCATAACGACAAATATCGAGATCCCGAATGCAAGGATGCCCGCTGGCTGCACATTGGCGGAAATGGATGAAGTGTTGTTAGTACTCTGAGGGGTATTTCCTGAGTGTCCTTGGGATCCATTGTCTGCTGCACTCTGCCCGCTTGCTAATGCATATATCTCAGTCCATGGGGAAGCCTCTTGGAAAGCACCAAGTACCATGCACGTTCCTGGGGCCTTGGGCAAAGAACCGTTGAACATGCCCAAAGTGCTGGATGGCCCATGAGTCGAGTAATCAGTGGTCACGTCTCGGTTACCCGTCGCGATGTCCATGTTGAGCCTGATACGTTCGAAAATGCGATACACGGTCTCTGGCTGGTATGCATTCACGAAATGGCCGGACTGGAAGATTCGAGAGAAGCTAAAGTGCCCGTATTGTCTCACAGCTCCGCCCTGATAAGTATGATTGGTGGTGATATATTGGTACCCGCTTTGGCTGAACCCGTCGTGACCGGAATAGTTGGCATTGATGGCATAGTCCTCAGCAGCAGTCCAGGGGGCTCGAGAATCCCTGTCGCCGTTGATGAGAGCGACCTTGATGTCATTTTGCAGGAGATATTCGATATTACTCTTGTTCGTGCGAAAACCATCCCCTGTACCTGCCGGGGGTCCGGAACCCAAGTCGAGAGTGTAGGCTTGGAGGACGGCCTGCGAGATGTAGGTAAAGTTCACTGGTACCCCAAGCGCCTCCTGAATCGACCTTTGGTTCAAATAGTTGTAAACAGGCAGATAGTAAGGACATGGATCAGCGCCACTAGTGGCACTCGTGCTTACTGCGATATCGAACACGGACCTTTCTGCTCCCAGGATCGTGGAACCTACTTCTTCCCAACATAGGGTTGTGGCATTTCGGCAGAGAGAGTTCACTGTCTCATTGGTTCCTCTGGCATCTGGATCTCCCTCCTGGGCGAAGGCCCGGCATTGGCGGATGAGATCATGGCAACCGTCATGTTTGGTGAAGTTCTGTGAAGCTGAGAGATAAACATCTTCGCTGATTAATGGCTCGTACGTGTTGTTGTAAATGAAGGAGGGCCAATATGGAAGGTCATGCTCCCAATCAATGACCCCATTGGTGATGCCTACATGATCTACGCTCCATAACCTAATTGGGGACTCGGGAGCTGATGCTTTGATTTGCTTGTCAAATAAGGCGGCAGTGGCGGGTGCCCAGAAGCCTCCTGCCTACTCGTCTGTAAGTGTGAATCCGAGGGCTTCGTAAGGGAGGGTAGTTTACAGAATTCCCCCAAAAGCCAATCTTCTTATTGCTTGACTTGTATTCTGGAAATCTATGAAGATAGGCTCAGATCAGCGTATACTCTGGGGAAGTTTCGATGTATTCCGGTGGCACTCACTGAGTAAGCCAGTGTTCGGCAAAATGCCACACTGCTTTCGCAGAGGAAACAGATGTGTTGGTGGTGGCGAAAATCGTTGGATCTGTGTAGGTCCCCTGGCCCAGTATAAGATTGCTTTCTGGTATGCGTCCATTATACTCGGTCAGAGGTACGATTTCGTTCGAGGTGATGTTATACGTGGCATTAACCAGACTGGTGTAGGAGAAGCCAGCACCCACTGGTTGGTCGATATACAGCACGTTGGCGTGATTGTTGAAGGACCATGGATTGAGAGATGTGCCGCTCCCATCAAAGTTCACATAGCATGGCCCACCCTCGCTATCAAGAGCTGAGTAGGATGAGCTCTCACCTGGTCCACCTGCGAAGTAGATGACTAGTGGCGCATTATCGGGGTCATTGCGAGCTCCAAAATAAAGAAAAAATGTATTGATGTCATAGTCGAAGCTCAGGTCCGCAAGAGCTTCGCGAGGAAGGTGTACGTAGCCAGAGAATGATTTTACACCTTCTGTGGTCTCGCAAAGGCTAATCTAATTGAAAATTTAGTACCTTCACTCTCCAAAAGTCCGTGGAGTTTACCTGTTTGTAAGATATTTTCACACCATCATTGAGACTTGAACCAATGACTTCCAAGTCGCTTGGCGGAACTGGAAATTGTGCGCTGACAACGACGTTGAATAGGTACAGAACTGAGACTTTCAAAAACTTCATCATCGACGTCGAAAAAATCACAAGGAGGGATTCTTGTCCTGGTGAACCTGTAACCCAGAGTGTGAGATGGGTTTTATACCCATCAGCACGCGAGAGACAGTGGCTCGATTGATGTGTGACTGACTGTTTATACCTCGTGAGCGCTAGCCGTGTAGATACGGGTATCATGTCACCGGTGCTCTTCCTACCCAGGTGGCCTGAAACGGAAGCTGGAACTGGAGCAGTAGAGAGTGAGTAAAAGTGGCAACAGCAGTCCGAAGGTAATGTCGCGAAGTTCTGGTATGAAATCGACAGAACGTTTACCAATAGAAGTTACTTCCGCTTACTTGATCGACAGAGAGCCTCAGTGGGGACAATTCCAGGCCTCCAAGAGCATGGGAGTGGAATCATCGTCTCCGTATGAGTAAAGATGTTCCATGTTGATGGAGGAGACTTCATGCGATCCTTATGGATTTATTGGGTCCGCTCACCAATCTTACCAGACTTTGTGTACCTGACCGATTTTCGGTCGAGGATGGAATAGTACCACCCCCCCCCCCCCATATCAATGATTGATGTTACAAATAAGGATATGTCGTGTCAACGAGGTCGAGGGCCCTGTCAACTTCTTCATGGCTGAGTTGTGGAGCCACATTAACCTTGACAGCCTCGTGAACGCTAACTCGTGGGAGTTAGATCAGTCAGGATCAGGCATCCCTCTAACCAGATGATTGGGAGCTAAAATGTACGAATACCAGCTGAACATACGAACATCAAGCAACGATCTTCCCATATCTTCATGACACTCAATTCTTGAAGGCTATCCCTTGGTCGATGCTCAATGATTGAGCTTCCTCAAGGACTCGAGGCAAGTTAATTTCCCACCTCCTTTCTTCGTAGCCTTGGCTCGCACAGATCTCGGTCTACAGCTATGGATGCCGCTCCTCGTGAGCGGCGACTTCGAGTGCAAAGTAGTCGATCTTCATCGGGTTGTCAAACCTGCAAGCATCGACGGGTGAAGTGTGACGAAAAACGTCCTCAATGTCAGAGGTGTCTGAGAGCAAACCGAATTTGCGAGTATCATGCGGACGAAAGTAATGAGTCCTCCACAAAGTTTATCAATTACACCTTGCCAGCAAAAATGGTGAGGGTACCGAACCTTGATGACGTTGAGAGACGTGCTCTTCACTACTTTCGACATTGTGCTGCTTCAAAGATGACGGCACCGTTTCAATCTCAGCTTTGGGATACGTACGTCTTTCAACTTGCAGAGAGATATGAATTTATTACTTCGGCACTTGTTGCGCTGAGCAGTGTGCATGAGACGTTCTCTTGTGGTGTTGAGAACCGGACTCGTTCTCAAGCAGATGTTCTCCGATATTACACCAAAACGATAAGGGGCATAAACCAATCAATGGATGCTGAGTTGTCGATCGACGCCGTGCTGATGACGATTTTAATCTTGCACACTCTCGACAGCATGCGGAGCTATTTTCAGAACGCTCTTCAGCACGCCCAAGCAGGAATAAAAATCATCCGGGAACGGCTATCAATGTTTCATGCTTCTGGACAGACATTATGGAGTGAAGCCATGCATCGAGAATTTCTTGCCATGCAAAATCAGGTTCGAGAGTTCGGTAACTCCGGAGTGTCCAAAGCCTTCGACGCACTCCAAGGATTTGAACCTCCTTCCTGTGATCAATTCAACTCCGTCGAGGAGGCGCTCTACCATCTCGGAATCGTTTTCAACGAGATGTACTGCCTGTCAGATTACTTGGAGGTTCTCCAGAGCTCAAAAATAGTCCTTTCTGACGTGTTTGTGAGAAAGATCCAGCCTCGCTACAAAACTGTCATTCTCCGATTCAAGAGCTGGAAACGTGGCTTGCAACATCTCAATACATTGCTCTCCAGTGATTATGACCACAGGCAGAGCCAAGCGTGTTTAGTACTCAGTATGTATGAATCACTCTTTAATGCTATGCTGGAGAGCTTTCCATCAGGAATATGCTTCGATAGATTCGACGCAGACCTGTCCCGAGCCTTGGATCTGGCCCACATGTTCATCGAACGTCAGGCTTCTAGCTCTACGAGTCATACAGACTTCTCGCTTTCGCTAGGCATCATACCCGGGCTTTTCGTGATTGCTTGGCGATCGAACGACAACTTTATTCGCGACAAGAGTTTGGAGCTTCTTCGACGTAGTGACAGGCGCGAGGGTGTTTGGGACAGCAAAGTTGCATTCCAAATCGTACAACGATATATCGCACTAAAAACTGCGAGTATCGCAGATACGCCCGGCGGCCACGTGCAGATTTCCGAGATTTTTTTTGACTCAGACACTACTTGTCAATTGGTCTGTTGTGTGATAGGATCTGAAATACCGCTTTCAGGAGAGCTCTTGCCGTTTGAGGGCTTATTAGGCGAACGCAGGTGTGTTGAGACAATTCAGCTCGGACTAGACTAGGTCATCATGGGGTGTTCTGCATCAGTCTTCACATGTTATCTAGCCACATCAGAATCTAAGTCGTCGATAGAGCTATATGTTGATCGTTGTTAGAATTGACCAACCACCGAGAGTCTCATTGTTGGCCAAGATCGAGTGGCCCTTTTCCCATATATGGAATTACGCTTGCCTATGTCATGGACAAGTTAATCCATCCCTACGTCGCTTCCTGTGGATGCAGCCAGGTCGCGAGCAATCACGCCGAGAACTCTGCAAGACAGAACGTTGGCCTTTACAAGCAGCCGAGATCAAAATCAGAATGAGGAGTATTGCCCAGACGGTAGTAGGTACGGACTTCGATCGTCTGGTGGTATGAAATGAAACAAATACCCTGTCCCATCCCCGTGACCGTGACCAGAAGGAGCAGGGAGACGGGGACTTTTCAACGGAGAGGTCAGCAGGGTGGCCGCTACTAGGATGCTGCAAAGGCGGAGTTCTCATTCGGCACATGTTTGGGAGGAAAGTAAGTACTGCCATGGACACTTTTGGCTTAACCGATCACAGTCTGAGGATTAACTTAGCACCGATACCGCTTGTAAAATATTGCTCAGGAATTCTTGAATATGTTTTGTTTACAGGCCACTGAGCCAAAGGGGCAAACTATATAACCCCCTTGCCACTTTAAAGTCGCAATGTATCTGTTCTCATGGACACAATAGCCACTACTGCGCCTCTCGCTTAATTATATACATGTCTTTGTGATATGGCCAATGATACCTTCGCCCCGTCCTTGGTATCCAAGACGAGAGTGGTCACCCCACCGAACAATCTCAGTGCGGCCACTGTCACCATGCATTCATTCAGACCTTGGCAACTTGGTTAGTGGTATGTTCATGTGTAGCTGAGGCCTTTTCAACATCCTTCGTCGCGTGATGCGGCTCATAAACCTCGGTTGCAATCTTATGTATCTGGCTATTCCCATGTTCATCGACAACAAGCTCGTGCGTGTTGCTGTCGAAGTGGAGATCCTGGGCGTAAACTGCGACGTCTTCACCGAACAGTTTGGCCATCTCTTCAAGGGGGATATTTTTCGTCTCGGGAAGAACGAACCAGGCAATGATAGCACCGAGCCCGGATATGATGATGAAGACAAGGTAGAATTTCCAGCCGATACTGGCAAATGCCTGTAGGTCGAGTCAGTCAGTGGTTGAGAAGTCTCAGAGAGCCCTTTACTCACGGTTGCCGATACTTGCAAATAAACCAGATCCGTAAGAGCAATTACTGCAATACTAAGTGCCAGTCCTTTGGCTCTTATATGATTCGGGAACAGCTCGGAGTAGAAGACCACTCCTGCGACGTCGACACCAATGCTGTAGATCAGTAAAAAGAGATACGCCGCAGCCACTCCCATCCGGAGGCCGGCTTTGTTGGTGCCTTCTTCTGCGAACGAGCTGACCATTGCTGCTTCTAGGATGAGTGATATGCAGCATCCTGCAACACCAGCCACCATCAAAGGCTTTCGGCCAGTCCAATCCATGATCAAAGCCCCGATGATATTGCCGATGATACCAACGGTGATCCAGCCACACTGGAAGATCAATTGGTATAGAGTGTCAAAGCCTAGAGAGGCATATATTGTCGGGCCTTGTGTATTAATTAGTTGATGCATACATGAATGGAAGCAAAAGTCGAAGGGGGAACCCACCATAATTGTTCAGTACAAGAACTCCCCTGTCACTAGATTAGTACCAAAGGTTTCCTTTCGTGCACAGAGGTCTGAAGATGCTTACGTGGACTGTCCAATGAAAGCGAATCCCATAGCAATGAAAGATCTCTTTCGGTAGCTGGGGCGACGGAACATCTCCATCCAACCCGGTTCCAGTTCTCGATCAATCTCCGCCTGCTTGGTCATCTGATAAAACTCACTGCGAGCAAATGCATTGTCCGGGTCATCCTTCCTCGCGTGGAGCTTGAAAACTACCTCTCTCGCCTCCTCGATACGACCTTTCATGAGGAGAAATCTTGGGGACTCTGGGATAACGAGACACACCAAGCACATCCTGTTCAAGTATCAGTTTCTGTGACCTATATGGAGTATATCTGATGGCTGATCGAATTGTTGGAATGGATGCTGTTCTGAGGGTGTACTTGCATTACAGGCCAGATCAAGGCGATTCCAAGTGGAGCTCGCCACTGTGCGTCAGGGGCGTCGACGAAGTAAAAGGCAAGACCCATATAGGATGCCAAGCCGTACCCCAAAGCGATATTGACACCATTCATTCCAACCATAAGACCCCGAAGGCCAGGGGGTGCTAGTTCTGCAGAGTAGAATGGCGTTACTGCGAGATAGCCCCAGCTTCCACCACCAGCAAAGAGTCGAGCGACGATGAACATGGGCGCGTTCCTTGCACCGCAAAGTAGGGCACCGCCAAAGAGTGACAAGAGCCCGCACTCATAGAGGGCGGCTTTGCGACCCCATTTGTCGGCTACCCAGCTAGCAATGAAAACATTAATTGCAGCGCCAGCCTGGAACACCTGTAGTTAGGGAAGTCAGTCAATAGTTCAGATACCTGTTCTCCTAAAATGCAAGCTGAGTTGGTTGGCATCGGGACTTACTCCTGACATGGCACCAATCTTAACGTCGGCGCCTACCCAGATCATCAGTCTACATTTCATGCCTGCTGATTATGATATGTGGTTACCTGCGGCCAAAGCTGGCGGATCCTGTGTAATATCCAACAAGCCCATGTATACGAGGAAACTGGGCTGTGCCAGCGTGACGCCAATGATGGAAGCTGGGTAGCCGAAGGCAATCTGGCCTAGCGAGACCATCCAGCAGATAAAAAAGTTCCATGCATTCCAATGTCTCTCCGTACCGAACGCCATGGTTGCTCAGATCGTATTCAAGGATAAGGAAATGCAGGGTAGGATTGTGGTCACTCTATCGCAAAACTTGATAGAGATAGAACTCCAACCTCTGAGGAGTTCGAGATCTCGATTTAAAGTGACTGTACTAAGTACATGTAGTATGATTTCGAAGATGGAGACAACCTAGGGGACAGAGCTGATGCTGTATCGCGGGGGTTGTGCAACAACCGAGACGTACCGCGGCTATCGGAAGTATTTCGTCCATGACTCCTCAAGAGTCAACCAGGGGATATGGCGGCTTTCATGACCACATCTGAAGGGACTTGGGGAAGCTAAATTGCCGTTGGGGCCCTATCAGAGTGTCGAGCGATCGGGTGGGACTTAGGAAAGCGAGAGATCCTGTTCCAGACCCCTGGTTAGGTCAGTCTCATACATATTCTCAATATCTCAGATCTAGGCCAAAGTAGATGATGCCCCAATTCGATGAAATGGCCTTGTTGCGGGTGGCGCTGGTCGAGTCGTTAGGACAGTGTCCTGCCTTCAATGACCTCGGTTGAGGACTGTTTAGCGACTTTCGTTTACGCATGGCCCGAGTTGAGGGAACCACCTCGTGTTTTTGACTGCTACAAGGAAGCGATTCTGAACGTTGGGCTAAGCAGTTGGGGTGCGGGGTAAGACTAATCTCAAGATAGTTAGCGAAAAACTTTAAAATAGCTTACATGTGTGGAGGTTGCAAAAGGTACCGACCACTTGGATGGGTAAACATTCTGTTGCTGGCAAGACCTTTACCCTCCACCATAATGATCCACCGTATTCAATCTGCCACTAGTGCAGTTGTCAGCTCGACAAGGACCAAAACCTCAGCGGGACAGGGTTACCAACCATACGTTATTACAGCTCGAGAAGGGTCTCAGGGATGTGGATAAGGCCATTCTAGATCGTCTCTACGCATAATTTATATAGGGAGAAGAACAGCCTCCATGAGTAGAGAAAACAGAGACAATTCGACAGTTCCTCAAGTGCATTGCCTACTGCCAAGCCTTCGACACATTCACAGCACTATAGACGCTTAACTTACCTTAGGTACTTTCTTACGCGTTGAGAGTACAAGATGTCTGCGGCTCGGATCTCCGAGGAGCAAAGGATGTTTCATAGCCGTAGGACGGACACAAACGTCAATATGGGTATTACTCCACCCCAACAACACGCCCTTCTCGGGAATGGAGGCGCCATTGAGATGCCCTTAGTCTCTTCCAGACAGTATTGCTTCTGTTCAGAAACTCGCCAGAAGGGTGAACATGTTTGAAACAATCCCCAGACCGAGACTCACTTTTCTCGGTGCCACGCCACCGCTCGTGGAGGGTTGAGAATTGCGGTTGTCGTCGCATTGTTGATGTTGTAAGGACGAGGATGCAGATCAGGAGTGAAGGCAAGCATCTCTATAAAGATATGCATCCCAGACGCACCGAATCGTGACGTGCAGACTAAAAGCACGCAGCTGCTTGTGCTAAGGTCAGTTCCTTCTTCTCCAAGATTGGTACCATTCTGTAGCCAACTTGAAGGACTGCCTGTGTGAAGGATCATCGATCTCAGCTAAGATGTCATCAGTCAGTCGGGGGCGCAGGAAATTGGAGAATGAAATTCTACTTTCTAATCATTGCTGGCGGAGACTCCTGTGTAGAAGTACTTCGTTTCCTTCACTATATCCCTGCTTTTGCTGAAGATGCAGCAGAGCAATTATACCATGGTGGTGTCCAAACCCTCCCCAAGAAGGAAGACCCAAATCGAAATTACAAAGAGAGCTCTGTGAAAACTCGATCAAAATTGAGGGTCTTCAGATATAATACTTGCGAATGTGCACCCCATAACAAGCCATAACCATGTATATCAAGTATGTCATATCCTCGTTCGTGGATCCCCATTATAGGTGGGTCTTTGGATAGACTAGAATTGCTTTATACTATGGGATATTGAGGGACAGAGGTACTCTTACTTTCGAGTAGAAAACTATAATCTAGAGTAATCATACCTATAATGAGTCTTCCTAGTACTATAGGAACATTTTATCCTCTCAGACGGACTATTAGGTGTTTCTTCAGTTGTCCTCTTATTCTAATGGAGCATCAACGTGCATGGTAATGGTGCTTGGCCTAACGAAGAGACAAGCGACTAGAACAGTATTAAGTTAGTATTAAGTATGTAGATGTCGGTACAAGACCGAACTCACCAATAGTGGCAACAGCAGAGAAAACAGCAGCAGCGATCCAGACATCCCTGAAAGCCCGAAGATAGCTATTCTGGAGAGCGTGAACTCCGGCGCCAATAATTTGTGGAGTGGCACCCTGAACTGCAATAAGGGCCTGGTTGTTGTGTGAGACCAGTGCTACAATGAACTGTTGTAGTGACTCGGGTGCTAGACCTAGAGGAATCACTGCAGCTGCAATGTCCTTGCCCAAGTTTTCAGCGATCTTGGTATTGAAGATCGATGTATCTATGGACAAAGTGAGTTGCATTGAGAAGATATGGGTGCAAGGTTTCAGAAATCGTGCTTACAGATGGCTAATCCCACAGAGGCACCCAGCGATCGAATAGAAATGATCAAACCACTTGCGACAGCGATCAGATGAGGAGGCGTACTGAGCTGGGCCAGTGTCACCAGACAGGTCAAGCTCATTCCCAGACCCAGTCCGAGGATCACAGGATAGATCCACGCCGCTGTGGAACTACCGGTGGTAAGACTAGACATACAGCCTGGATTGGTTTAGACTTTGAACTCTTATTCAAGAGCATAGGGAAACATACCGAAGAAAGCCACGAAGGCGGCAAAAGACGAAATGACTGGCAAACGTACATCCTTAGTGATTGAGGAGTAGATGGCGACGAGCAATGACGCCGCGATGGCTGCGAAGAAAACTAGCGAGAAGCGCAGGCCTATCTTGACTGGGTCGCTATCAAACAAAATCGACATCTCGAAGGGATAGTAGTTGGTCGCTGCAAAGAAGGCCATGCCATCAATGAAAATGACGAGCAGAGCGAGACTGAAGTTTCGGTTACTCCGGAAAGCATTGCGACCGAAAAGATCGTGGTGGAACAGGCCGTCCTTCTTGATCACTATTTGGTGAATGAGGAGTGCGACAATGAAGGTACTTCCGATAAGCAGCGGCGCAAGTACCTGTGCTGATTTCCAGGAGTACGGATTCTCTGCCCAAGACAACGCCATAACAAAGAGCACAACGCCGACGATGAGCATAAAGTAGGTGACCCAGTCTAGGCGCTGGAGCTTATGCGACGTGACGAGAGACTTCTGTAGAGGTCTCTGGGGTGGGTTGTAAAGCAGAGCGCACGTGATTGATGAAACGGCCAACAAGCTTGCGATCAGGTAGTAGAAACTCCTGAAGCCATAGTCTTTGACCATAGCTGAACCTGCAGTCAAGGCGAGAATGCCACCCATACCCAAGGCGGCGTTCAAGCCACCCTGAGCAGCTGGCCGGTACCGACGAGGCAGAATCTCCGACGTAACGGCGTAGAGCAAGGGCTGTACGCTGAAGGCCACGCCAGTGATGGCATGGCCGGCAATCGCCATTTTCATCGATGATGCACGGGCAACGATCATACTGCCAACAAAGCCGCACGCCGTCAGCACTACTAGGAACCACTTCCGTCCCCACAAGTCCGCTGCCTGTGAAATCGGTGGACCGAGGGCCACAGTGACGATAGCGATCGTTTGGGCGAACCACACCGAGTCAGAAATGCCGTTGAGAGGGCCCGCGACATCTCTTGCAAACTGACACACACGATCATCTTAGTATTTGGCATAATTCAGGCTTCTCAAGCAAAGCAGCAGATAGAACAGCAAGAACAATTTAGGAACAATGGCAACATACCGCACCAGCGCCGACCAGTGTCATCAATTGGCTAAGGCCAATCAAGCAAATCGACTCGAGAGGTGATTAGCATGATTCCAGTCGTGCGTGGGTTAGGAGGGGGTGTCACGTCGATGACTCACTAGATACACGACAATAATTTTGGCACTGAGGCCATGATAATTCTCGATATCGACGGTGTCGATCCTCTCGAGGTCTGATGGCGGAGCCGACTCGCCCGTGGTCGAGATATGGGCGGCCCCCACATCGTCTATGGTTTTGGTCGACGTTTGTGTCATATTCGCGTTGTACGCAATTTCGAGGTTGTGAACGTGATTTAAAAGGTGACAAAGATTTGGGTGTACTCTGAGTCAGGGAGATGCATTTTGTATATCTTCCCATCCGTGGATCGTGCAGGCAAGCCATCCAACCGGCTCCACATCTGGGGCCCCAGCGGGGGATGGAGACTAGAGTTCGAACAGGCTATTCGACAGCGACAGTACCTGAGCCTGAGGCGAGAAACTTCCAGCCATGTCACTCTTCTGCTCCAAACTCGCTACCTAAGAGCCCATAGGATATCTTGGCATCAAGTAATACTAGTACCTTGTGAGACAAGGTGCTGATGAGTTTCGTCAACCACCGGGAGACGTCTTTTCCTTGCGGCATCGCGCAACTGAATTCTTAGTCAAAGGATGCACTTCAAGTCCCTGCCAGTAGACTAGATCTGCACTGCATGACACGCCATTGCATTGCCCCAGCTTCGGGGCGTTGTTGGAGGCAAACGACCCTATCAACGGTTGCCCGCACCCGATCCGACAGAACTGCCTACTGCTCCACCTCTCCGGGTGTCATTGTTCGGAGTCATACTAAGCATCGGCTCTTGGTGTCACGTTCACTGCGGTCCGCTGTTTCAACTTTGACAGCAAACACTTAACCTCTATAAACAGGTTCGGGACCGATCAAAACGAGGTATCCTAAAGTGAGTGGGCAGGAATTGGGAGTTCAACACACTAGTTGCATTTTAAGCTAGCCCGCCTGAGCCAGCAGCAACTCACACAGGACTTCCTCTACGACCAATCTATCTTTCTTCTTGCGCCGAATAAATCTTAGGCTTCCTGACTTTGTAGATGAAGATGCCGGTGTCACCAACAATCAAGTCTGTGGTGCCCCTTCATGTCGGTCAGTTCTTGTTTGTTCGCATTGAGACCGACGACGGGGTCGTAGGATGGGGTGAAGGCGGTGTATGGGGCCACATCGAAGCTGCTGCCACTGCAGTCACTCGTTTCGCAGAATACCTTAATGGTAAAACTGCATTTAGCATCGAACACCACTGGAACGTCATGCACCGCTTCAGCTACTTTCAAGGCCTGGCTATTAATGCCGCGATCTCAGGTATCGACATTGCGCTGTGGGATATCAAGGGCAAGGTACTTGGTGTCCCGGTATACGAGCTGCTCGGAGGCGCCTGTCGCACTAAGGCCCGTATATACGGTCATATTTATGAAAAGTCTATCGAAAAGGTCCTGGAGGAGTGCAAGCGAAAGATGGCTCTTGGTTATACCGCCTTCGGCCACATCAACCCATTTCTCGACGAGGGGAATGATCAGGTTTACTTCAAAACCCACGTACAGAAAATGCAAGATGCCGCCGATAATGTACACAAAATGCGCGCCGTTGTTGGTCAGAAGGTAGACCTTCTTATCGAGCTACACCGCCGCCTAACTCCTGCCGAAGCCGTTACCTTTACAAACATGATTAAGGATGATAACCCTATGTTTGTCGAAGACCCGATTCGTCCAGAGAGTGCTGACGCTATGGCTCGAGTAGCTGATCGTATCGCCGTCCCCATTGCAACTGGTGAACGGTTCTGTACTATTTACGAGTTTCAGGCTTTGTTGGCGAGGGATGCTTTAGAGTACGTCCGCGTGGACGTCGCCGTTTGCGGCGGTATTACTGGCGCTAAAAAGGTGGCGGCGATGGCTGAGGCGCATAACGTTCAGATTGTACCGCATAATCCTCTCTCACCCATCGGGCTCGCTGCCTGCCTACAGATCGCTGCGAGCGTCCCTAACTTTGCCATCCAAGAGTATGCAACGGGTTTTGAGCAAGGCATTTTCAAGTCCTCGACAAAACATCTGGGTAGTGATATTGTGGATTTTGTCCCTGAGGTACACAATGGTTTCGTCGATATCCCCAATGGTCCTGGTATTGGCATTAATGTCGTTAAAGATGCAGTATCAATTCGACCACCGTTTTTCCAGCCTATTAGTATGAGACCACACTTCGACGGATTCGTGGTTGATCAGTAAAGCTTAGTATAGGTAGCTGGGGAAGTTGGAGACGCGAGAGCGGACGCCTCGCTGGCATTGAGGACAATTCTTCTAAGCACTGTATATCTGTGGAAGCCAAGATACAAGATTGCTGCCACGGAAGTTTTACGATTGAATGTTTATCTATCTTCCTGTTTAAAACTCCCTATGCCTGAAATTGTTCTGCTTTACAATCCTCATTGCTTCCCCGGGATGATAGGAAGTGTGATATAATTGGTGTGATGAGGCCCAAAATGCAGGTGGTTCACACCTCCGAATCTGTTCTCGTTCCTGTAAAGGAATTTATGGTTAGGACCAGCAACGCTACAGAAAACGAAGAAGAGGGTTGTCTGGAAGATATGGGAAGTTCATTGAGCCATTCAACTTACCTTTCCGGCGCTTCATGCCTGAAGATACCCACTCCCTGCGTATCACCACCACTAATTTCCAGAGAAATCTTCTCTCCTGGCAGAACCACGAAACTTGTCGGCCAGATCTCGATGTCAATTGCGTAGACTTCACCAGGGATGACCGGTAGAACATCTGTTGAGAAATAGTCACGATGGGGCCAGTGATCGCGGTGGTGGGGGTGATCCGCGTTAACCTTGCGCAGACTAACGCGTTGCCATCCTTTGCTGACTGGAACTGGATCTCCGATAGTGCCCGTGTAGAACTTCTCGTTGTTCTGACAATCCCAGTGACGAAGCGTGAGGAAAATGTCAATGTCCTTAGGCACGGGGCCTCCCAGCTTCGGTGTTACAGAGACATTGACATGTGTGACAATATGGCCAGTGATCTCGGTCTCCTGTTGGAAAGCCGCAGTCGTGAATCGGTGGAAGAAGGGATTATCAACTGTGGTCAATGGTGGATATGATAGTCTTTCGTGTAGGTCTGATGTGCGTTGCCCAAAGCCGAGAGAAAGATCAGGGCTCAAGAAGTATTTCGTATAGAGTGTCCTGGCGAGAGGCCACTCTGACTCTGGTCGATAAGAATAAACCTTGCCTGCCGCAGCTTCGAGGCTATCGTATTTAACGGAACCCTTGCGTATGGCAATAGAGACTTTGGGCTGCTTCCCTTCGGTCCAGCCAGCATAATCATCTCCCTTGCAAAACGCAGACAGGAAACTTTTCTGCAATTCAACTTCCGTGTCTGCGTAGAAAGGCAAATCGTGACGACCAGTCCCTAGACGCAGAAACTTGTAGCGTGACCCTGCATGGACATAGCCAGCGATATTGCCACGAAGGTGGACTACTATGTTACCCAAGTTGCCCACAGATAGAAGAGGCACTTCGATATCTTCCAGATTATAGTCTCGCGAAGCGTAGTATTCGTCATCTCGGAAGAAACTATCAAGGTTTTCGACATCCTGGTCACGCCGATTCGCAAGGAGCTCCTCCTGACTGAGATCGCCCTCGATGGTGTCCGGACCGCGCTGATTTTTCGACCGGCCGGGTAAGCCGTACTGATTCGACTTGACCTGTCGATTCATCCAGAACTCCAGAAATGGAAGTGTTAAGATACCGCCATGACGACAGCGGTCACGGTAGTAGTCGGCCATACCTTCGTAAGGAATAATACAAGCCAGACCTTTTGGGCGCCGTGCGGCTACTCTCCATTGACTGCCAGCGAAATAACTGATTCCCAAAAGGCCTACCTTTCCGTTTGACCAAGGCTGATCAGCAGCCCATTCGATGACTTCAAAGAATCCGTCTGTGGTTGACTTTGACATTGTATCTAGTATACCGGGCGACTGACCCACGCCTACCTCGTCGGCTCTTACGACCGCATAGCCTTCAGCGGTCCAGAATTTCGGGTCAGGGACCTCAAAGGCGGAGTGCTCAGACTGATGCTTAGGGTTTACGTCCTTCCAGGAATGGTGAAGAAATCTTGTTCAAGCAAAGTAAGTCAGTTCCGTCGTTTGCTTCTGGCAGGCTTTGCTATAGGAGCAGCAGTGACTCACTCGCTATACGCTGTATCCTTTCCATACGGGCCATATGTGACGATGACAGGGACCTTTTCGATTGCTTTGGGACGGTAGACGTTCAACCGAACGAGACCGGTATTGCTGGTCAGTTTAACCGTCACATTCTGCTCGTAGATGTACGGATGACCGGTCTCATCAATTGTGGCAATGTTGTCCTTGGTTTGGTTTGGCATTGCTCAGTCTCGTTCTTGCTCGCTCTATTCGTGATTGAATGCAGATAGTTTTTGGAACTAACGTGGTTTGGGGCGTGAACCGTTGAATAAATGAAGGAATTGGTCCACTTCATGCGTTCAGACTTACAACAGTCCTGATTAGCATGTGCTTGATCATCTCGTTCTGAGAATGACGCCCAAGGATACTCCCATCTCCCCACCGAGGATCAAGTTACAGCAGATCTAGTGAGCGCGGTTCCACACCAAACGGTTGGTGGCATCACAGCTAAGCGCCCGAAAGTGGATCGCCTATCGGCCGTATCGGGAACTTGGAGAGCTGGCTCGGCCCCGCATGCAACAACAGAACGGTCTCCACCAGATATATGCAAGTGGCAATCGGGAGATGCAGGGCTAGAAATCAGATCTCGCCGGCGCCAGGATAAACTTTTGATGGTACTACAATGTCGGTTGACGGCATAGTAGTCTTCGTCTCAGCGCTGTGTCTACATCCTCAAATCTGAACCGTCTTCGTTGTTGCCTTCGAGAAGCACTACACGATCTCAATCAAGCATGGCAGTTGAACGACTCGCATCAAAAGGTGCCCCGGCGACTGGTGAGCTCAAAGACTGTTGCGATGGGACGTAATCACTGACAGTGCCAACTTGACAGACCTTGCGCCAGTTCACTTCCTTTCACACGGAACTACAATGCTCCTTGGGGAAGACTCCCGCGTCAGAGACTACTGGAGAAAGCTGGGCCAAGATGCTTTAAATCATGGTGTTAAGGGAATCATCATTATGGTCGGTCCAGAGACTCTCAGTGTTGTTGCCGAGCAGCATGCTCTAATTGCAGTATACTAACCCCGCCAGGGTGCTCATTGGAATAACGACGGACCAGGAGTGAAGGTGGCCACGAACCCGGCCCCGACGTTCATGCCACTAGCCAATACGCACCCCAAACATTGGTCGGGATGGAAGCCCAATCCTGATCTCGAAACCAGTCGTCGTATCATCCAGATGTTGCAAGGTGCTGGAATTCAGGCAGAGGAAGATGCCAAGTTTGAATGGATGATTGACACGTTTCCCATCATTATCGGCATGTTTGGTGACAAATCACCCCCTGTGTCGATTGTGTCGCAGAATTCCTACTTTGACCCTTTCTTCCACATTCAAATGGGCACTGCACTGCGGCCCCTACGGTCCGAGGGGTACCTGATCATGGGGTCTGGTGGGGGTACGCACAACCTGTACCGTGCCGAGTGGCGATTTATGCTTAAATACAAGGACAACTTCGCCATGGAGAAGCCTCCGGACAAAGACAGTATCGAGTTCCGTCAATCACTAGAAGATGTGATCTGCAAGCATGGCGGTGGACCTGAGCTTCGCCGCGGTGTCGCGCGATTAATGAAACATCCCTACTTTCGTGAAGCTCACGGTACAGACGAGCATTATGTGTCTGTTTGTTTCGTTGCTGGCGCTATTGGAGAGCCCGAAGATCGTCGCTCACAAGGAAAGCTAGGAGCTGAAGCCTGGGAATTGGTGAGTCGTCGGTCCCTTCTCCATTCATCCCTTGAGTGCCACCGACCCATTCTCCTGACCCGCGCGCTCGAGAGACGTGGGCTAAGATTTTTTGCTAGCGCACTCAATGTGAGTCTCAATTCTCAATTGGGTCTTGGCCGAAGGCATGGTTAGTCAATGTAAGCGTTTGAACGTGTCTTTACGCTGGTTCTACCCCAATATTAGTATTAAATTGTAGCATTTCTCTGTTTAGCATTAGTGTAACTCGTTTTCATGTGGTCTTTCGCATAATACTGTTCTTGTTGTTGTTGTTCTCCATATTCTTTTTTCGGATCAACTCCTATTATCAGTGGGTGTTGGTGGGACAAGTCAATACAGTTCGGCTGAACCACATCCGATGCCAAGTGGGTATATCGGAGCTATCCAATTGCCATGTTACACCCAGAATTGGTATCCCGAATTCTACCTGATAGAGTTCTCTCTTTCGAGAGTTCAACTGTCTGAGCACTGTTACTGATGTGTAAGATCTGTGGCGAAACTCGAGATATCGGATAGTGAAGCATCTGCAACATTTCTGATCGCTAAGTAGAATCAGACCAAGATCCAACTCCGGTCCTTGGAAGCACAGCAAACACACACCTGGTACCCAGGAAACACGTGAAACATCCCTAGTCACTATGGTCAATATTTTAATCTTCGGAACTGGCAGTGTTGGCACAGTCTACGCCATGATTCTGCTCAATGCTGGCGCCAACCTGACTTGTCTCTGTCGCTCCAATCTGGAGGCAGCAAAGTCTCATGGATTTACCATCAAATCTTCCATCTTTGGTGAGCAGAAAATATTTCCAACTGTGGTGGGTTCGATCCAGGAGGTAGCCGATGCGAATTCATCCTCGCCCTTCGACTTCGTTGTTGTCTCGACCAAGGCAACTTCTCAGTCTGCAGTGGCTGCTGTAACATCATTGCGGCCGCTTGTCAAGGCTCACTTCACCACCATTGTGCTGATTCAGAACGGTATTGGCATTGAGAATTCCTTTCACGATGCCTTCCCGGACAATAGCATCATTTCTGGCGTTACTTACCTACCCACATCCCGGATTGGTCAAACCGTCTATTCTCATACGGAGACTCAGATATTACACCTGGGTCCATTCCCTGCAGGGCGAGCAAGCGCTGCCGAGCGGCAACACACGGACGACTTTGCAGCGTTGATTCGAGCTGGTGGCGGTCATGCATTGGTGCACACGGACGTTCAGGTCGAAAGGTGGAAGAAGCTGATTGGCAACACGACCTGGAATCCTATTTGCGCTCTTTCGCGCTGCCGGGACCTTGAATTTTTACAGTCATCAGTTCTAGCGCCGGATTTTGTCCGCAGGGTGATGCTCGAAGTCGTGGCCGTGGCCAACGCCATTGGTTACGGTGAGCATATTCAATTGAGCGCTGTTGAGAGTCAGATGCAACGCAGCGCAGCGCGCTCGTGGCCAGGCGTGGAACCTAGTATGATGTCTGATATGAGTCACACGCGAACGATGGAGGTGGAAGCTATTGTCGGGCAAGTGGTTCAGGTGGCCAAAGGAAATGGCATCGATGTACCTAGGCTAGAAACACTATACGTGCTTCTCAGCGGGCTTGATTGGGCTCTTAAGTCGAAGAAGCAATGATTCAACCATCCTGTCAGGGTGTGAATTACAGGTCACTCATGGTTATCTTTGAGGCAAGCAGATATTGAGTCATAGAATACAATTTTAAGCAGTCCTTCCTGAGATGCAATAATGACCATGAAACGGACCTCGCTTTCCAGGATAGTCTGGTAGTTCCTGGGAGAGGAGCTCCTTGTTCCACAGAACTTGAACACCCAGCATCCTGCCGATCAATGATTGTATCGTCCACGGAAGAATTAAGGCATATCACCACTCGTTGGCAACCATGTACATGCCGAAGCCTCGATCGTGCATTCCGGTAACTCGGGCGATGGTATAGCCCCACTATTAAAGACAGAACTTTGGTTAGCACATAAGAAGAGCCTAATGAATGTGCAATACCATACCTGAAGTAGCTGACAACCACTGAACATGTTCCAAAGGAAGATGCGCATGGGTAGTGGTCCACCAATAGTTACCCATTCCTGGTGCGTAACTGGAGGCCGGTGAGCTGGCACACGACGATGATCAGTGAGCCAATCTTGGGGGTTTGTGTTGGGCTCCCGCCCTGTAACGCCATTGTTTGCCGTCAAAAAGTTCTCTTCGTGCGCATCTACTGGGCCTCTCAACTCGTTTTCGAGCTGATTGGATCTGGTGGTGATCGGGTCAGCACCACGGAGAACGTTTCGGACGCTCGTGTTCATGGAAGTAGTAGTAGACATCGTTCAGCCAGTCCTGTCAGTTTCAATGAGTGGAGAGATAGCCTTACGCCTTATTCTGACGATGGAACGGATTCAGAAACGGTTTACACTTTGGAAGACAGGCAAGTCTAGGAAGGCGTTGCTACGGAGGACCAGAAGCACACCACCTGTGGCTCAAGTACCGCTTTCTTGGGACCATTTCAGGGATGGTAATCTGTGCTAGCTGTGATGGGACGTCTCCGGTATGCTCTGCCGCGAGGTCGGACATCTCTAAGGCGGTGCTGAGGAGATGAGCTGGTGCTCAATCTGAACTTCGGGCAGTAGCAGTCGGATCGGCCCCTCTCACGTCCCCACATCGTCCTGGTTGCACGGGGTACCAGTAGGCCCAGCTAGCGTCGCGATTAAATGGCTACCATCCTAAGCTCGAACTCTGCACTGTTGGAAAGTTTTTCCTTGCCTTCTACTCGACGACAAGCAGCACCATGGGTGAAAATTGCGACGAGACCCTAGGTCGAGTGAAGTTGGCGGCCATTGACGGCCGCATGAGAATCTTGCGCTTTCGCCAGCTTCAGTTTCAAAACCTTTACCAGTATCTTATACAAAATCGAGATGTGTTCATCGAGGCTACGCAATTTGACGATGGATGTACTAAGGAAGAGGCCGAGATTGAATTCGCGTCGGCCTTGATCGACCTGCGCAACCACTACGATGCTCTCGATTTGACCACCGACCTGGAGCAGGAGTACAGGGTGTCCAAAGGACAGTGCAACGAGGCGCACAAGGTCGCGATTGGTATTGTTTATATTATTCCAGATACGATCTCGGCGCTGTTTGGTGTGTTAAGTGCGCTGTGTGCCGCCATTCAAGCGGGAAGTTGCTGTATCCTCGAGGTAAGTTTTACGTTTGGCGTTGGTTGCTGGTCGGAAGGACGTATTCCATTGGCCACAAAACATCATTCAAACCTACGCTGACGATTTATCGATGCCCATAGATGGAAAATACTACGCGCAAGACATCTGTGTTGTTGCGCCAAATATTCTCTGAGTCAATGAACAAGGATGCGTTCGGGGTCGTCCTTTCCAGAGCCTCCCCTCCTCTTTTACTTCAGTGCGTTGTGGTCGATCAAGCCCGGAAGCTTAGGACCACCGATGACTCCAAGCCCTGTAGAGTTCTCACGTCGCCAGCAACACCGAACGTGGCTCTCGTAGACCGGACTGCTGACGTTGAGCTTGCCGCAAAAGAGGTCGTTGCATCCCGGCTGGCTTTTGATGCCCGTGGCCGTTATGCGGTGGATGCGGTGTTCGTCAATGAATTCGTAGCTGATGCTCTAGCCACGGCTGTGGTTCAAGCCGCCCAGAAGTATTTTGGACAGCACAAAATTGCTGGTTCACAGAGATCCACCCGTTATCTGAGTTCTAAGAGTGACATCTCAGACATCGCCCTTCTCGAGAATGAGGTGAGGCTTGGACGCGCCAAAGTTGTCCATAGTGATTCCGGGATGACAGTCGTGGAGGTTCTCGAAAGGTGTGTTTCATACAAAGAAAAAAGATTGCACAATTTGATACTGGTACTAATCAAGAACAGGTCGAGCGCCCTTGTGAATACGAAAGTGTCATCTCGCACCGTTATATTGATCCGGTCAACCAGTCTTGATGACTTCATCGACGTGCTTGACAATGGCAGCAGCCAGCTCTCAGTCGGCGCGCTGTTCGTTTTCGCTGGCCCTCGTGAGGCGAAGTACTTGGCGCAACATATCTTCAGCCAAGTAACGATTGTCAATCATATTCCTGCCCAATTACTGGGTGAGTGTTAGCCCGCTTTCTGAAGGAGAAAAGCAAGATTGGTGATAAAAATGCTAATAAAGGGTTATAGTTGGTCCCACAACACCCATCGGGTACCCAGTATCTTTGCGAACAAGGTACTCTGCATCCATGTTCGAGTACCCGAGTCCGCAATTCGCTGTAGGTCCAAGGTCTCATCTTGCGTCGAGAATCCTTGCTGGTCCAACGAAATCCGCTTGGCTCATGGGCATCGCTCAGAAGCCGTTGAAGCCAACAGGGCAGCCACCGCCTGGAGCATGGGGATTTTTCGAACAGGGCATGGTGATTGGTGCACTGGTTTATCTTCTGCCAATCCTGAGTGTATCATTGTTCGGTGCAGGTTACGCCAGTATCTGGGGCTATCGAAAATTCACCATCCGCTCCTAAGCGCGATTCGCGATCATGTCAGACTCAAACAGCGTGGATCTCGTGGATCGGGGTTCAGGAGAAATCGAAGTACCGGGTGGTTGCCTAGTAGAGAATACGAGGGGGGGGGAGACTAAAGATGAGGCTATCTCAAAATGACACATTAAGATTCTATACAAACTACTCATGGCGGATGTACCACGTTCGCAATGATAGCAATTAGAACGTAAATCACATTGATTGTCCGATGAACTCCAACTCCACTAGTTAGTCATAGAGATACAGTATTCTCGATATCTCACCGCTCGGAGAGGACTATAGGAGTGGCGTGCCTGGTGTCTGGTGCTCTGGTAAGTAGCTGTGGTTAGATCCGATAACACATATGCTCCATAAGCTTCGCGAGCCAAGAACGACATCCACAGCCTACAAAGTCGTGCTGATAGATTGCCAAAGCTGTACTTCTGTAATAACGCATACCTCATGTTAATATTGCCCGTCCTAGGCCAAAACACATTACAATGGTGGTGAGAATCCTCTTTCGATCGTTCCAGCAGCTGACTGTCACTCCACGCTTCGGCTCTGGGGCCGAAGCTAACTGATTCGGGTGTGCGGGCCCGTAGATTGGGGGACAATGCGGGCAGCTAAAATCATTCCCTAGTTCTCCACACTGATGCAGGCCTAGTCCGAAAAGCTCAGGTGCACGAAGGCTATTGGCATAACACAGGCCGTGGGGGACGACGAGCCACCATACTAAGTATACTAGTAGCTGATCAGGCGCATGCCACTTATCAAAAGAACTTTGAAGAATTGACTGTAAGAGAGGCATTTATGCTGCACTCCTCGGAAAGAGATATCACGCCTATAATCTCTGTCTAATCTTTCCATGTCACCACCGCTGAATGTTACCATCATTGGCGCTGGCATCGCCGGCACCTTCGCTGCGCGCGTTCTGCGGGAGAAGAACAATGTAAAAATTCTGGAGAAATTCGGGGCCGAACATGAACTCGGCGCAGCTATCAACCTGGGACCGAATGCCACCACGTTCCTCGACAAGTATGGTTTCGATAGGGAGAGGGCGGGTTCGGTCGTGGTAGGCCGTTCTCGTATCTTCGATACCAAGGGCAACGTGGTCCAGGAAAGCCCACTGCCAGATCTGCGAAAGTTGTTCGGCAGCGACTGGATTGTCCAGCACCGGGCCGATCTCTGGAATGAATTGTTTAGATTAGCAACTGCACCGTCTGACCAGCTCGGCCTGACAGGGGAGCCTGCGAAGATAATCTGGGGCGCTGAGGTGGCCAAAGTCGATGTCGAGAGTGGCGACGTCACGACAGTGGATGGCCGAGTTATTCAGTCTGATCTTGTCATTGGTTGGTTTCTGCCTACAATCACTTCAAGCATGTTGTGTTGGCAAGACGAAAATACGCTAACGGTAACATCAGGGGCTGATGGCATCAAATCCTCGGTGCGACAATGCGTCGTGGGTGAAGCCGCCTTCTCCACTGCTCGCCCATCTGGTTCCTCGGCTTTCCGATTCCTCCTGCCTCGCGATGTTGTCGATGATGTGGCTCCAGGCCTTTCAGTAATGGATCCAAATAAGCCCGCTGACATCGAGATCCATCTGGCGCAGGATGCAACGAAACGCTCTATTGTGTGCTACCCTTGCCGGAACTTCGAATTCCTGAATTTTGGCGCTCTCGGGCTGGACTCACACATTAAGCTCGATACCACGGAGTCCTGGTCAAGCTCTGGTAGTAGGGAGGACTTGTTGAGGTGTTTCAATGACTACGCACAACTTCGGCCGCTTCTGGAGTATGTCATTCATCCTCTCTTCACTGTGAAGTCTCTCCTTTCTATGAAATTCCCCCCTACGAATGATATAGAGCTACTCATTGACAGACTGAACGAACAGACAAGCCCGGAACATTAAGGTGTGGCAGCTACGTGACCAGGATCCCTTGCCAACTTATATCCGGGGCCGGACGGTCATCATTGGCGACGCTGCCCATGCCATGACACCGCATCAGGGCCAAGGTGCAAGCCAAGCGATCGAAGACGGGGAGGCGTTCAGTTTATTCACGGAGCAACAGGTGAGTCGAGAAAGGGTGCCGGAGGTGCTCAAGGACTTTGACCGCGTCCGACGCACAAGGGCGTCTAAAATTCAGAATATCACAAGGGATGTACACCAGAATAAGACGCCGGAGAATATTTGGAAGAATATGAAATACAACTTCAGCTACGATGGGGTTCGGGCGTGCATAACGAAACTGGAAGCGGGCGAAGAGATCTAAGCTAGACTGGCTAACTAGGCCGCAGTGTGTATAAGATATGTGTCGGACTGGGTTGTATGGCGCCAAAAAGATGAACAAGATCTCTCTTCCTTCTACTTCAAGGACATGTGACATTAGTCCGTGACTACCTCCTTGACGGGCTCAACGCCGTAAAAACACGTTTATCACAGTACCACGCTCTCTTTAACCAACTCGTTCTGCCAATCTTTAACATTTTGCTTCCTAGGCTTGACACATTGGTCAGGTATAGCACAGGAATAATGACTGGATACGAAAGGGGTTCGTTGACCATAACCATGATGTCCCAATCTTCTTCCTTTTCTGTGTTGGAGCATGGATGTCCAGTCAACCTACTACATTAACTACTTAAGATAAAGTATCTAGATGTATTTGGCAGGCTGCCGACACCCAAGGTCTCGGGGGCACCCCTAAGCAATCCATTCCTTCAAACCTTGTGTCACACTCTACACACGTCCCAAAGCCGGGGTCTCAGCACGGCAGATTTCTCGGCTAGTCTAACCCCACAATACAACTAGTGCTCCCCATTTCTATCAAACATTACTTCTCGCATTCTACTACTTCTCGACTTCATTGCTGCCACTTTTTATCCGGGGACATTGTTCTTGAAAGATTCCCAAAATTCCCTATCCTCAGGATCTTATGCCCCGTGGCATATCATTCTCAAAGCCACACCATGTCGATCAACTTGAGAAGCTCCCACGATGTCAACCGTGCAATCGTTCAGAGTTCTGCCTTTCAATGCAGCCACTGTCACCGGAACTTTTCGCGAATTGACCACCTGAACCGCCATATCCGCACTCGTAAGTCCAGAGACAATGGTCACCGAATCCCTTCTCCTTTTCTCCTTTCCACTCTCCATTCACGCAGGAACTGCTCCACGGGTTGGCTTGGGCTTGCACAACTAAGGCGCTAAACGCTAAACAGACACAATGGAGCGGCCTTATCGTTGTATCATTTGCAACAAGGCATTCGCACGTGCGTAAGTAATGCCATTGTCCCAGTATTGCGGAGACTGTAAGCTAAATTCACACCTGTAGTGACCTGCTCAAGCGCCACAATGCCCAGCATTCAGTCTGGTCTTCGAATCCACCGAGTGGTCGCTGCCCCCCTCAACAAAGCCAAAGAGTCATTCAAGCCTGTAAGAAATGTGCTTCGTCCAAGCTAAAATGCAGTGATGGGAAACCGTGCTCGCGCTGCCTACAACGAGGAATAGTATGTGAGTACGACCAGCCGGCACCGCAGTCATCAGCCGATGGCACCTCCCAGCACCAACGAACACTCCTGAACCATCACCAGACGGGATTGTCACCTCTCGATGAGGATATGGAGAATTGGGCCACATCATTGGGTAAGAACCGACCAGACTGTGTCAACACGAGAACGCGATTTGACCTCAATTAAACTGATGCTCCCAGATATGCTCAGTAACGCTACCAATACCAATAACGGTGGAAGTGAGCTTGACCGTATGCTCATCCCAGATACCACAATGTCATCTACCTTACACTTCGACTCCGAGATCAATGCCGCCACCTTGAGCTATGGTGAAGTGCTGAGAGATATTCTCGATTTTTCAGCCAACAGTCCGGTACGTTACAAACCCACGGATCTCGACGATCCTACTGGGGATGTATGGGATGCGTACCAGGGAATGGAGCAGGACTTCGATGACTTTGACAGCTTTTCGTTCGGGGCACTGCCTACTGTTGACGATGTGTGCGCTGCTCCGAGCAGAGGAAATCACGCAAACGCCTCTAACTCCAACCCGAAGGCTTCCACGTTTGAGGAGACAGCCGTGCAGGCGGGCTCACAAGCATTCCTGGCCTCCGGCTGGACCTGGGGACCGACCGCTATGGACAGCGATTATTCCGAGCATTCCAACCTTATCATCCCACCTCACTCGGTAGGGACGATAGACTTGAATCTTCAGCCGCAGAATACAGCTTCAAGTAACATGAAGCCAGATATCCGGCACCGCATATTGTCAGTTCTGCTCAATCACTGTGACAAGGCCCAGTGGGTGCGCATTAGTTCCAGTTTTCCCTCCGATTTCCTGCTAGACAACATGACACAGCGATTCTTAGCCTCTCAACGGACAGAGACTCTCTCGTGGTTCCACGCTCCGTCCTTCAACCCTCAGAAAATGCAAGATGAGTTCCTCTTGGCCATCATTGCTCACGGCGCATCTTTGACGCCGGTAGCCTCAATACAACGATTTGGTTATGTCGTACCAAATGTGTTGCGCTATGCCATTATCGATTGTGTAAGCTCATTCTTCCAACGTCGCAACTGAATAGGGCAAATTTTGCTTACATGTGAAAAGTGGAAGAAAGACAATACTATGTCACGAGATCTGCAATTGTTGCAGACTTGGGGTGAGTCTAGCCTTATAGTACTTACTAAGTAGTTGATCCGCATCCATTAACATTCTGTCTAGCAATATCAGCAGAACTTGCAGCTTGGAGTGGAAACAAGCGCCAGATGGAAATTGGCGAAAGTAATCTACAGCCTTTGATTACGGTTGCAACCCCAATCGACAGCTGCAGGTCGATCAAGTCAAACGGCTAACACAATGATACCATTTTAGATCCTGAGACGAGCACGCTGGCTTCGAGCCGACCATTACAGAGGAATATATCCTGAAGCAGAGGACAAGGGATCGGCACTCTTTCTCAAGTGGCAGAGTTGGATCGAGCAAGAAACCAAGAAGAGGTTCGTCACGCATACTAAGTAGTATTCTGCTGGGACCCCTAACCTAATCACTGAGTACAGACTGATTTATCGAACGTTTGCGTTCGATGCACAAATATCCATGACGAACCACGTCAATCCTTTGATGTCGTACTCAGAGATGCGAGTCCCTTTCCCAGAGCCAAACGAAATGTGGGTGGCACAGACCGCAGAGGAATGGAAAGCCCAATACATGAGCTGGTCCCAATACATTCCTCACGATCAATTTACTCTTGCTGACGCCGTTCGAGTCATACTCAGCGATGGACAATGGCCTAAGCCTGGATGTACACCCGCAACTACCCTCTGTGTGCTATATGGACTTTGGGGCAACGTATGGGAGTACAAACAGCTTCAAGAAACGCTGACGGCAGTAGATCTGAACAGCTACCATACAGAACATGACGCTTCGGGTTCTATGCTACCGCTCCGTCGTGAGATGCTCGTCAAAGCACTTAACCTGCTCAAAAGTAAGGACTATACCGTACCCGAGGGCTTTTGTTCAGCGGCAGTGGCCGAGCCTACCCTGGTTCTGGAATACCTCTATATGGTACTATACGTCCCGCTCCAAGGGCTTCAGGCATTTGCAGGTCGGGATGGCGAACAGGAGGCCCGGCGAGTGTTTCCCGCGTTGCAGGAATGGGTTCAAACCCGTGAGGCACGACAAGCCATGTGGCACGCCGGCCAGGTCTATCGAGCTGCCAAGCACAATCCGATGTGGTGCACTAGAGACCTGCGAGCGATGCTTGTCTACCAAGCGAGCATCGCTTGCTGGGCCTATGGTCTCATCACCGACGCTTCTCGCCGCTCCTCGCACCGAATGGACAAAGGCCAAATGCCGGCCACACGGCATAGTTTCAAAGTTCTGTGGATCAAGAAGCAAATAAGCACGCCCCACATCCCCGCAAACGTGGACGTGGACGGCACTTATCAATCATGATTGGGAAATGGTTTGGCACGCCAGTTTTATCTGTTGCATTCATTCTCTCATTGAACTTGAACAAGTCTGTAACACAGGTAATCAACCCGAGCTGACTGATTCAACACTGACATCTATAGCCAGCTGGCATTGGTTGCTGACCCAGTCCATACCCGCCACCATAGACGTTCTCCGCCGCCATTCGCATATTCATTGGCATCATTCTATCCTTTCATTGCTCTGTGACATCTGGTTTTTCCGTCGCAAACTTGATGTTGAAATATGTATCCTCCATTGCCATCTTCTTACATTTCTGCTCCTTCTCCTCATTCCACCAACTTGGTAGGACGTCAGCGCGTTTAGCACGAACGAGAAAGTCGTCAAACACAGGCATTGGGGCCTTCTCGCCATAGATTCCGTGTTCATGCTGATCCCACGTGAAATTATCGTCGCAGCGGAGGCGGAAGCTATCAGTAAGCAATTGGTAGGCCTTGGTCTCGTCCGGACTTTCACGGAAGAAATCTCTGAGTGCGGGATGAATCAACCTGTTTGTTGTGGTCGGTCGTGTGCATCCAGCCTTGTGCTGTGGCCAGTCCGTCGCCTGGAATTCTTTATTGCATCATATTAGACAAGCAAACCCCATGTATGTGTGTGGGCAAACCTTTGGAGCAGTATGAAACTTTCTTGCAGCGACCGCATCTTTTCAAATTGCACCCAGCTGGCACATCGACCTGGGATTTACTGCAAACCTTGCACGATGCGGGCTCGACCACTACATTCGAAGGGTCTGACATTCTTCTGGGCTGTTCCGAATGTGATCGGTGTTGAAGGAAATTTCTCTCTGTGGACTACAGAGGACGAAAAGAAGGATCAGCCAAGATTTCGCTTTGAGGAACTGCCGCCCCCCCTTCCCCCTTGGTATTATGATCCGAACTGTTGCCAGTGTCTGACCAAGGTGGTTCCTTGATGTAGTGGACACTAGAGAGGTTCACCAGAGAAGCAAAGGGAATAACTATTCGTCGGACTGTATCTGAAATGTATGGGTCAGATTGCTAACGAAGTTGACTACGAATAGTCCTATCTAGCGTAACGACTGTGTATATATAATGTCCCCTAAGTTGTCCATGCGTCCATGTGTCCATGGGGACATGGCAACATGGTGACCATTATTTCCTTTCCTGGAGGGTCCATGTCACGTGACATCGCCTTGCACAGCCCCGTAGGTATAGTTGCTTTCCTGGCCCTCTGGTGCCTGCAGGTCATGACCATTTTATTGACCTTCGTAACACTTGGGACCACGATGGAATCACTCACCTGAATAGCCTTCCTTCCTGTCCAGTGTCCCTTGTTGCTCGAACGGCCTCGGTTGGAAGCTTGCAGTCTGCTTCCCTGGTGGTCGGACGGGAATGACAAGATGGGAAACTTGACTCGACGCGTGGACGACCTTCTGTAGATTGCCAATACCCTTCTTCTCCCTTGATATCCTAGCAAGCGGTTGAGGGCAGCTGTGATGGTCTGGTGAGGAGTACTAGACTTATCTTATCGACTGGGCAGCGAGCCCTTAAGTACCAGTTTGCTTTGCAGGGCGTGCACGATCTGGCTTTCATTTCAAGTAAAGATTCCCCCAATCCGTGTTTTGTGTCATGGATTGGCGACTCTCTTTGTTTCCCTCCTAGCTCTGCGGCCTTCCAATGGGATATCTGCAACTTCACTTCAGGAGCAAACAGTACCTTGTCTCGGATTGGGCAGGGATAGGCAGGCGACTTGGAATGAGCGGCTCACGACGTGCAAAAAACGACTGAAAAAAGGTCTGTGGTAAAAGATTCCTGAGAACATGCATGTCGCAAGTGGCTTGCTGGGTGGTTAAACATGCCAATCTGGCAGATATCATTACTCTTGAGCGTATCGTCCGACATGGCGATGTTGTATATATGTACATAGTTTGCAGCATGACCTTTGTTGGCTGCGTAGGACATGGAGAAGCTGGAAAAGGACTGCTCGGCTTGGGGAGGATCTGACCGTCCCATGGGAGTCATCAAAACTCTCCAAATGCCGATAATGCAAACATCAGTCCAAAGCTGATCTTGAAAGCGACGTTGTCGTTGATGGCACTCCGGAGGTTGATGCCTTTTACATAGCGCTGCACACGCTCAACGGGAATCACATTGTATCCTTTCCGAGCAGCAACCTGGAGAAGAGTCAGCTTACTCTGCCTTGTTGAGCGGACTTTGAGCTGACTTGTCAGCAACATACCTGTGAAAGTACAATCCCCAGGCCGATTAACAGAGTGAGACTGGTCGAAAACGCGCTGACCAGGACACCTGTACCCAGACCCAGTATCGCGCCGAGACTGATTTGTTTGACTGCAGCCGGGTTCAAGGTCCTTCCATCCCTGGTCAGAGGTGTTTTGGCATCGCGTGAATGTGTGTAGGGAGAGCTGCTGAAAGAGGCCGAGTCTGATGGTGGACTATATGGGGAGGTGTCGAGACGAACGACACCGCGAGGTTGCAGGAACGGCACGGATATCGAAAGTCCGAAGGCGATGAGAACTGGTCTGGAGAGTATTCCCTGGGACAATGGGCGAGATATCGCAGGGCGGAGGGCAGTTCGGAGTAGCATGTTAACGATGGCAGGAGAGGTTGGAGTTGGGAGTGGTGGTGTAGAGTGCTTTTCTTTGTTGCAGCCGTAAATCGTACTTCAGGTGACGCGTTTCTTGCTCTTTGAGACTGATTCCAAGGTTCGACTTATGACGCTGTTCACATCCAACGGCGTTGTTGGTATGGAGGAAGGAAGATAGGCGAGGTGGAAGGAACGCAGTTGAGGGTCGGCGCCCATGATGTCATTGATCGGCTTTGGACTCAGCCCGTGGGGCCGCGCTAGACAAGCCTATTGCTTGTCGCCTAAGCAGAGAAGAGTGACCGCCGTGGCACCTAACAAGAGCATCCATGGCGATGGTTAGGTAGCCTCGGTGCTGCTACTCTAGGTACCTAAGGTACATGATAGCCCTGAGGCTATTAGGTGCCCAACTGCTTGTAAAAAACGTCTTTGGCGATATCCTTCTGTGAAAACAGGTTGACAGCACTGTCCACCATATTGCTACTGACTTTCTGATCATCTCGTCACGTCTAAACCCACCATCTAAGTCGGACTACAATTTGGTGCCAACGGGCTTACCAGATGCTTTGAAATTGATGTTTGTCGATTCAACCCTTCATCCCTGGAGCCTAGTTAGTGGGCATCGTACCCGAGAGGCCAGTCTATCGCCAATGAAATATTTATCGTAGCCAGCGGCTGCGAGTGGCCGTCTTCGTATTGTCTTTCCGGCGAGCCAACACGACAGTAAATCTTAGCATACACGGATGAGGACAATGTCCCACCACCACCGGAAACTCGACGGGCTGATTTCGCGGAGTCCACCCCAGCGCCACTGTTCAACCCTGTCGTTGTGGTGCTTTCCCGGGTCCGGGGAAAGGGGGTATTCCCGAGTACCAATCCTTCAATCTCTGATTAGTGGAACTATATATCAATCGAAGGGACGTCCTTCAGACCGACAGTGGTAGGTGTCTTGTGCTTCTCCTGTGTATACGCTCTTGAGTCAAAGTATTTCAGCTTCGCAAACCACTGCGTGCCCAATACTAGCATTCAGAGCTTAGTTCTTCCCCTCCCCACAAGCATGGGCTCCATGGCTCCTGAACTGCTGAACGGCACCTCTCACCATGCCCAGAATCCCGTCGAGGTTCCGTTATTGATCGTAGGGGCCGGGCCAGCGGGTGCTTCTCTGGCTTCCTTCCTCTCACAACCACCATACTCGATGACTGGACTCATGATCTCCGCTGCATCGACAACATCTCAGACCCCGCGCGCACATATCACCAATCCAGCCGCTTTCGAATGTCTACGAGACATCGATCTGGAGCAGACGTGTCTAGAGCAATCTGTTCAAGGCGATTGCATGGTGCATACGCGATGGTGCCATGACATGACTGGTGAGGAGTACGGTCGGATCTACTCGTGGGGTAACGACCCTAAGCGACGTGGCGAATACGAAGCTGCAAGCCCCTGCAATCACGTGGATCTGCCCCAGACCGTCTTTGAACCAATCGTGGTACAAAGGGCAGCTGCACAAGGCTGGGACGTCCGGTTTCGAACCAGTCTAATCGAATTCGAGAGGGAAGCCGATGGTCGGATTCTCAGTCGTCTGAGGGATGAACTCACAAAGACGGAATATACCGTTCGGTCCAAATATCTGTTTGGCGCCGATGGTGCTAGGAGTCAAATCATCCGCCAGTTACAGATTCCCATGATAAAGAAACCTGGTCAAGGACTGGCACTCAATGTGCTGGTCAAGGTGGATCTGAGTGAATTTGTTGAGGCGAGGAAAGGGAATCTGCATTGGGTTTTCCAACCGGACCAGGAATATCCAGACTTTGCTTGGAGTGGCTTGATCAGAATGGTGAAACCATGGAACGAGTACGTACTGCCTTGACAAACCATGAGACTACTCTCTTCACAGATGCTAACCCTCAAAATAGGTGGATGTTCATCCTATTTCCCAAACCCGGTACTGAATTCAAAGAACCCACACATGAACAATACCTCCAGCGATGTAAACAGATTGTCGGTCGTGACGACCTCCCTATCGAGATCCTCGACATCTCCAAGTGGAACATCAACGAGATCGTGGCTCAATATTACTCTGACGGCAACATCTTCTGCTTGGGCGATGCAGTACACAGACATCCACCATTCAACGGCCTGGGCTCCAATACTTGCATCCAGGATGCATTCAACCTGGCGTGGAAGATCAAATACGTCGATCAAGGCCTGGCTTCACCTTCTCTGTTGGAAAGCTTCAGCGTCGAGCGACAGCCTGTGGGTCTCGGCATCGTGACACGTGCGAACCAAGGCATCCGTGATCACATGCCAGTCTGGAAGGAAATGGGGCTGATGGAAGAGACACCCGAGGAACGGATGAAAATCGTCAACAGTCTCAAGACCGCTACCCCAGAGGCTCGCGAGCGGCGGAAGAGAGTTAACGCCGCCATCGAAGGCACCAGTCACGAATTCCACGGCATTGGTGTGGAGATGAATCACCAGTATGACTCAAGCGCCGTATATCTCGATGATGAGATCAAGGCAGGTAGACCGAAGCCTGAGTGGCCTGAAGATGCTGTCCTCCACCACCGTGTCAGCACGTACCCCGGACATAGATTGCCCCACGCGTGGCTGAACAAGACCATGCCGCTCAAGAAGCAAATCTCCACCATCGATCTCGCCGGACATGGACGATTCTCGCTCTTGACGGGAATCGGGGGCGAGAAATGGGTCGAAGCCGCCGAGAAAGTCGGCAAGGAGTTGGGTCTCGAGATCAACGCCCACACCATTGGTTGGGGACAGGAATGGGTGGATGTCTACAGAGACTGGTAAGTCGATCGAAAACCCCTTCCAGCGTTGAGCCATGTGCTGACTTGAATGCGTTATCAGGGAGCGTAGACAAGAGATCGAAGAAGACGGCTGCATCCTCGTACGGCCCGATCGATTCATCGCCTGGCGGTCATTCAGCGTGCTCGAAGATTGTGAGAGCAAGTTGCGCACGGTGCTCAAGAGCGTACTTGGTTTGTGAAGGTTTTGATGTGCGATGTCTTGAATCGCTGTTTTATCAGAAGCCCAATTGTCAAGGGAGTACAGGCGTTTGCACATAAGGGCTCCCACACCGTGCTTGTTTGTGTATGACTATCGAGGCTGAAGCCAGGATTCATTCCTCCCGAATGTCCTCCCGAACCCGCATCGGGTTTCAGGGCATTAGTCTGTGGAACGATTAAATTACTTGAGTATCATATAGCGCTGGCATGGATCTACATCTTGGATCTACATGGATCTGTCCACCAGATATTGTATAGTCTTCTCCGCCTACACTGGTGTGAACAATGTTTCTGCCATCTCTTCGATACCCAGTGGCTGTCTACCTAACAACTTCTCGAGCAGGGGATCGACCACCTCGGCTTCCCCCTGAGCCAATCCGTCATGCCAACCCGCCCAGCTCTCCAGGACCCAAAAGGCGTCTTCGGGAAGACTCTTCTTCTCGAACTTGTGATACGTCTCCGCTTCCTCCTTGCCGACCAATCGCACCTCGGCCTTCCTCCCCGTGTGGCGTTCCCAAAGCTTGGCCACGTCTTTGATGGTAGTTGCCCTGGGACCAGTCAGGCGCAACGTCTGCCCGACATATCTCTGATAATCGGCGAGGATCCTCGCGGTGCCCTCGCCGAGGTCGTCCCAGGTGACCCAGGCGACCGGCCCGTCGTTGGGTATGACGAAGCTCAGAGCACTCTGATCGCCCTTGCTGAACTGCTTGGGTTGATAGCCGGCATAAAGCCACCAACTCTCGGCGTAGATGCCCTCCCGGATCACGATGTACTGCAATCCGCTCTGAGACAAGTACTCGATGGTCTTGATGTGGGCCTGTTGGACACCGGCGACGGACTGCAGGCCAGTCTCGCCACCAAACATCAGGCTCGTGTAGATGATGGTCTTGACGCCCGAGGCTTTGGCCGCGTCGATCGCTTTCTTGTGGTGAAGCCAGCGGTCGACGGCTGGTGATGGGAACGACACCAAGAAGAGCGCGTCGGCTCCTTTGAACGACGATGCCAGGGACTCGGGTGACGTGAAATCGCCTCTCCGGATTTCGATGCCCGCATTCTTCGCTCTCGACGAGACATGGTCAGGGTTGCTCGAAGAGATGATCAGTTCAGACGGTGGGATCAGGTTTAGATCGAGTATGGAACTCAGCACCCGCGAGCCCAGATTGCCGTTGCTGCCCGTAAGGACGAGCATAACTATCCTCTGGCTTGTTGATATCTGGTTGCGACCAATCGTTTACTTGCTTTGTATGTTTCGCCACCACTTCGGCTTAATCTGTGACTGAATGAAAGTGACTCTTGATTTGTTGAGGTTGCCCTCTCAGCGAGAGATTCAAATTGATCTGCTCTTTTTATATGGCTTAGTACTCCTCGCACATTTGTCAACTTGAGCCTCACGTACCATGTTCCACAGAGTTTGATAGTATCATTTCTTGGTCGCCTGGAGATAAAGATGCCGATTACCGAAGGATGACGTTATTTCGACCTCCGCGGCATTTGCACATCACCAATTGCCAGGTAAGGACATTAATAAGAGTATCGGGATCATGCCTGTGTGGCTACTGTAGATACGATTCTGTTTCGAAAAATTCAGCTCACTTATGTCCATAGGCACCATTACCATCTGTGAATATTTGAATTGGGCAACCTTGGACGAGGCGCGATGGGTAGCCTGAGGCTGCCAACATTAAGGGGCCTGCCACAAGGGGGACCTCGGGCTTTCTCCGAGCGAGCGAAGGCTTTGAGGAGTGCCCAGGACGCCACGGAGTCCATCTGGGATTCACAGGAAGTTCGCACTCAACTACAGAGCACACCGGGTGGTTAACGCCTCGCACCAATAACTGTTGTCTAGGCTCGCGGCTCGACGGAAGGTGAGATTTTAGAGCGGCAGACTCACACATTTGTCGATCGGTCGACTAGTGTGGACGATATTACCGTTGACTTTGTCCGAAATTCGAAAGTTTTATTTACCCGCAAAGAACAACGTTTCATCTGGAGTCGTGTATCGCTGCTTGGCGATGCGCCACCAATCTTCCGCGAGGATGGAGGGGAGGGTTCGACGACTCGACCCAGACTAGAATTGAGTAGGTCACAAGTTGTGCTCGTTTCCCTTTTACCCGGTTCCGATTACGAGTAGGAAAGTGAACATCATAGCAGCCGTCAAGGTCAATCAAATTATCTGTGCGAACACGACGATGTCCTGATTGCAAGGTTTGCTCACACAGATGTCCAGGCGAAGAAATGAGTCCATGTTCCCATTCCATAGCCACCGACGAGCATTGATTTCCGACCATGCCAAAGCCATGTACTCGTACCATGATGGAATACTATTTACCACAGATTGTAGAATGAAAACTGTCCCTCCCAAATTCTCCTTGTGGATATCGTCAAAATGAACAGAATCTAAAGTCTATGCTGGCATCATCATCATTCCACCTGCACACTCTGGAGAAGATTAATCATCCTCCAGAGTGTATGATTTTACAATATAATTCGCAGACTGTTGCTCTGCTGTGTTGTAGTTTGTGAATTTCAAATCCGCGAACGTGTTCATTCCTCATCGGTGCATATCTCAACGTTTGTCCATCTCCATGTGCTCGACGGTAAATGTGACATCTCTTCGAATCTCGTTCACGGCTCGGTCGTAGCGACCGGAGCTGGTGGAAGAGCCATCTCCATGGACAACATCCAGTCCTCCTCGCTCAAGTTCTTGTTCCGAAGTTGTTACCATCGACTTGCTGATGGGGTATGTGTCCAAGTCCAGATCATACTCCTTGGAAAAATCCAAGTTCGTGTTGCGTGAAGGTTTGACAGAGTGATTACCCCAATTGTTCGTGTTTCCCTGAGAGGTGGGCTTCGTACCCTTTCTGCTGGTGCCGATCTTGGACAAGATGGGGAAGATCTCACGGAGGAAAACCCATATTCCAGGTAGCGTTGTGACGTAGACGGCAACCGAAGCTTCGCGAAAGTACCAATTCATGTAGACATATGATATGAGCGATGGGACGAGACAGTATATTGCTCGCAAAACTGCAGCGATGATGACGAAGGTTCCCATGCCAAAAATGACACCAAGGATACCCTTTTGCTGGAGAGAAAGGCGGGCATTGAGCACTGGAGGTATACCGATCGCGAGGATCATGATGTCGGTAGAGATGTTGAAGACCGCATTGACGATCTGGTAATACTCGTAGGACGAACATTGTGCTGCAAGGTATGGTCAATAACGTTTCAAGAAGGAGCATTTGGACACCAACCGTTCGTGGGTGGGACAGCCCAATATTGAGAGAGAGGTCGACAGATGAGGAACAACGCCAGCTCGTCACCAATAAATGCCAACACCACCCAAATCATCACGCCGTTGAGCAATTTTCGCGCTCGGAGGCCATCACTGTTCGAATCTTGTCAGCTTGAGACACCGGATGTGTTGGTGGTACTCATACGTGATTCTGGTGTACAGTATGAGCATGGCAGCTTTCATGCTCCAAATGGTGAGTAGCATAGCATGCTCCGATACAAAGACCCATTTGCTTCCATGCACACGTTGTCTTATGATTTCGGGGGTGAGGGCTGCTTCTTCTTCTGCCGTCATCAAGTTGGACCCTCCTCCAGTTGCCATTTCATTGAATGAAATGCATAAAATTGTATACGCGAAAAGACCAAAGGCGATGAAGCCATCATCCAGTTGAAGGCCTCTGATCCCAACTCGTCGGATTTTCGAATATCTGTGACATGTCCAAATTAAATTTCGAACACAGCAAAATCGGTATTGAAATTGGCGTTGACCTCCAGGGCACGGAACTCACAATCGCAGTACAATGAATAGAGCACCGACACTGTATAGACTCCATGATTCTGGCACGAAGCCCGGGTTTGGGGATTGGGTGGACATTGTTTTGACAGATGCAGGTGTGATGGGCAGGGGGAGTTTGGTTTGGGAGCACCAGGAATATAACGTCCGAACTTACATTTAACTCTCGTGCTCAGGCCCTTGAACATTGACTAAGTACCGCAGGACCCTCATCATTGCACTATTGAGTTCAATGCACCCGAAATAATGGAGCCTCCAACCCTTGATCCTTTGCAGACGACCTGGGACGGACTTAAAACATGGTGACCCATTGAACCAGGTCCATTGTCACTGCAACCTCGACCATGCAGCGAGAGCGTGGAAGGGAGACCGATACGCGGCACCCACATGGATGGTACTGTTGTCTCGAGATGGAAATCTTCCGTCCCAGGAGAGTGGTGGGGAAGTTGAAAAACTCTGATAAACGGTCGCCATGTACAGATCTGAATAAGCTCACCATCGGAATCGGGTAGTCAAAGTCATTCCAACAAAGTGGTTAGAATATCAGCTGGTCGCATCACAATGCAGGTACCAGTACGTAAGGGAAAACAGGGTATGCTCAATTCGCCTCGGAACAGTAGCTTCGCCGAGATTCATTCGCGATCGTTTGCCCCTCTTGGTGGGGATGTCAGACGAAGCGACGGACACATGTCTCGGTTTGGGAACTGTGAAGAAGCTCGAGAGCAATCCAGAGCAATGGTCGTGATGGCCGTCAGACCCTTGTGGAGTGATGAAATGGGGTTTGGGAAAATTTCAAAGCTTGCTGATGTGTAGGAGCGGAGCGGGAGTGTGCGAGCCGGCGGGTAGGTTTGATGAAAGAGGTTCTCCAGGGATAATAATACTACACCAGCAGTCGGAGAATAACCTTACACGGAGGGGCTCCAATTCATGAACCATTCAAATTCGAGAATACTCGTACTCAAACGAAGTCATGGAATTTGGAAATGTGAGGAGTCTGTCGAATGAGGGATGAACGTTGATGCACGCAAGACTACGTTGGCCCACCCCCTGTGCCCTCGCCACTCACCTACTACGAGTAGCACCAGTTCGGTCTCTTGGCGTAATTGATAGCACCACCCAGATCCGCCAATCTCCAACGGGCACTCCCCAATAGAGTTGTTCCAGGTGGCTCCATTTGCTGCATTCCGACAGTTTGCTCACAGATGCCGGTGTCAATCACCCGAGAAAGCGTACGGCTGATTTTCCCTGCCAAAGCTTAGGCCCCTAGGTAGGTTTCCGGGCACGTAGCTGGGCCCAATCCCTTTCAATCCCGGGCACGCCTAACAATGTCACATGCAAAGTACTCGTACGGTGCAGTGCAGTGTAGAGCCCTTGAAGCGCAGACTGAACCACCACCGGCAATGCCAAGATGAACCATCGGCTATTCCCTGTATGGCAAAGATGAAGGTCCATCTTTGAGCCTCCCTGGTCCGTTTAGCGTCGATGGTGTTTCGCTGACAGATTCCACTTCCACGTTGCTTTTCACTGCTGTCCCTTCACAACCAGTTAGCCTCATCAAAAAGGTTGAGTGAGACGTGGTCAGGTAACATGGAATCCCGGTCAAGTTCCACGCATCCAGAGCAGACCCTGCGTGCCGATCCTTCCTCTTTCGCGTCTTGATATATCATTCATAATGTAGGCATTTCCGTTCTTCTGTTGTTCTTTCTTGGAGCCATTATTTATCCCCATCGCCGTTGTCCACCATGTCCGAGGTCAAGCAACCAGTTCAAGATCAGGAGTCGGCAGCTTCTTCCACAGCGCCACCCGAGGATGGCGTTCTTATCAATGCCTCTGGACACGTCCAAGAGCTCCAGAGAAACTTTTCTCTCTTGTCACTAGCTGGTGTAGGACTTGTCGTCGGCAATGTCTGGCCGGCAATCGGTGGATCCATTCTGGTCGCCATCTTCAACGGTGGCCCTCCCGGCGTGCTCTATGAATTTATCCTCGTCTCGGTCTTCTACTGGACCGTCGCAGCCTCAATCGCAGAGCTGGCCTCTGCGATTCCTTCCTCCGCCGGTGTCTATCACTGGGCCAGTGTCACCCCGGGCAAGAAATGGGGACGCGTCGTAGGATTCTATGCCGGCTGGTGGAACGCGCTGGCCTGGATCCTCGGTGCCGCCTCAATGACCGCCATCTTTGTACGTCCAACCATTCGGAAAGTTGTTACCCATTCAGAGCTAACCGTTCAACTATAGTCCAACACGGTGGTGCAGATGTATGCCCTGAAGCACCCAGATTTCACCGCCGAGGCCTGGCACGTCTTTGTGACCTACGTCATCACGACTTGGATCGCATGCACGTTGGTGTGCCTCTTCAACAACGCCATGCCCTACCTGAATCAAATCGGCATTTTCTTTATTCTTGCCGGCTTCATCATTACAATCGTCGTGTGGTTCGTACTACCTGATTGCTGATTTGACCATACTCAAGCTAACGTGACCTCTAGCGCCGTGATGCCTGGCCGCGGTGGCCGCCCTGGTCATGCAACCAATGCTTTTGTGTGGAAAGACTGGACCGCCGATATTGGATACCCAAGCGGATTCGTCTTCGTCGCTGGCATGCTCAACGGTGCTTTTAGCGTGGGAACACCCGATACCACTACTCATCTAGCTGAAGAAATCCCCTACCCACAACGAAACGTCCCGATCGCCATCTTTTGCCAGGTGAGCATCGGTTTCGTGACTGGCTTGACCTACCTGATCGCTATCATGTACGCCATCAACGATTACGACGCCCTCTTCCTTTCGCCCTATCCCATCGCCGAGATATACCGACAAGCGACCGGCTCCGCAGACGGTGCTATTGGCCTGTTGTCGTTGGTCATGATCTGTATCGGCATCTGTGTGGTCGGACTGTACATTACCAGCGGACGAACGCTGTGGGCTTTATCCCGCGATGGTGCTCTTCCATTCCCTCGGATTTTCAGCAAAGTCTCGCAACGATTCAACATGCCACTCAACGCGACTGTCACAGTGGCGATCGTGGTCACCATTCTCGGAGCCATCTATGTTGGCAGCACTACAGCTTTTAATGCCTTTGTCGGTTCCTTTGTGTTGTTGTCCTCATCATCCTATGTCGCAGCAATTCTGCCCAACCTTGTGACCGGTCGCAAGAATATCGAGGTCTATGGTCCCTTCGAACTCAAAGGATGGAAGGGCTTCGCGCTTAATGGTATCGCGTGCGCTTACATGATCGTTTGGTTCGTCATCTACTCTTTCCCATTCGCCTTGCCCACCGACGCCAAGACGATGAATTACGCTGCCTTGTTGTGGGGAGGCTTCACTATTCTTGTGTCTGCGTGGTGGTTCTTGGGTGCAAGGCGCAGTTACGAAGGTCCGCCGATGGTCAGGGATGGAGGACGTGCCACCTTGGCCGATACTGTGAAGCAGGTTGACCCAAAGGTTCATCGGGTCAGAAGTGTTGCGTCTGGCAGTGTGGAATAGTATAACGTGTGTTTGAGATTCACATTCAGAATCCGGGGGCCTTATTCTGCCCTAATCGTACCTTGAGCAGTTTAGAAAGATTTGAACGAGAGCATTGCATAAAACGCTTTCATGGCAGTTTCACGAAATTCTACTGCACATTGGACCACCGTCAGTGAACGCATATACTCCCAGGTTGAGCAGCCAAGAATTGGCCCGGGATGTTGTGTTGATGATGCAGCAAGTCAGTTCGCCCGTAAGATGCTATCATGATCATCAATTTCGCAGTAGTCGCTACTGAACAGTTGATGCAAAGGAACAACATGAACGGTGCTGATCTCTTGAAGGATCCTTTACCCGGCCCGGCTCTCTTGGTAAATCAGGTGCAGGTTCTTCCGGGGTGCCATGCGTCATGTCAAATTTCTATGATCTCGGGTTGATTATTTGTCCCTCTCACGAGAAGTCCTGACATGGACAAGTAGATACATGCTTACGGATGCCTCAAGTGCCCGATCCAACTTCCATCCGGATGCTCAGGTGTGTACTAATGCCTCAGCGGTGTATGGTCTGTACTCACAATGGAGGTGAGTGCATTGGTGGTCTGACTGCACCACGAAACGTACCCCGGGATGCGCCTAAATTTAAATCTCAATCCCCACCACGTTTAAAAACAACAACATACCTCCGCGGCCAGCTCTTCATTCCCATTCTCTCAATCCCTCACACACGTTCAGTGCATCGCTTCACATTGTGCGGCTTATCGGCCTTGACATATATTGGTGCTTCCTCATGATAACGAAGACATGGAGCATCGTCGCATCTGTTTGGATACCTAAGTATCCTTATCTTGTCGACTCCTAATGAGGAATCTCATGCTTTGTCATATGTGAGCATACCGCGAGGGGCCGAGCAGTACGGTGGCCCAAGTGGTGAAATAGTTGGTGGAAATCGGCCACTAAAGTGACTAACAGATGAATTGACATTCCGCGGAGCTTGCACTCAAACCCCAAAGCCTCCAGCAAAGAATCAATTGACACCACCGACCGCATACTCTAATGGCGGCGGCCTCTTGCCTTTTGCCATGGCGCGCTGTCTCCTTCGTATGCGCTTTTAATGTTAATGTGGCCTGACGAACCTCCAAATTGTTACGTACACAACGCACCGGCCATTTCGGCCCCCGTTTCTCCCTACTGCCATAGAGCCTCGTACCGTTGAGTATATATAGTCTCCAGGCATTTGACCAGATCACCTATGCGATGTCTCTCACCACTCCACAGTTCGTCAAGATATGCTTGCACGCCTCGCTACCACTCGAGCCATCACATCTGCCGCAAGTAGCGCCAGAGCCATCCAAGAAAGAACCATCACTGCAGCGATTACATCAGTCAACAGCAACTCATTCTTCCACTCATCACCACCCAAGATGGGATTGACTCCTGAACAAGAGGCCATCGTAAAGTCAACAGCCCCCGTCCTCGCACAGCATGGCGCCGCCATCACAACCCATTTCTACAAACGAATGCTCACCAACAACCCGGAACTCCGAAATATCTTCAATGCCGCCCACCAGAATACCGGAACACAACCCGCCGCCCTCGCCCACGCCGTGTGGGCATATGCCGAAAACATCGACAACCTCGGTGCATTGACGACGGCTGTCTCTCGCATCGGACACAAACACGCCAGTCTAGGCATTACTCCAGACCACTATCCCATTGTTGGCGAGAACCTCTTGGCATCCCTCAAGGAGGTCCTGGGTGATGCCATCACAGATCCCATTGTCGACGCCTGGGCCGCCGCCTACCAACAGCTCGCCGACATCTTCATCAACTTCGAGCGTGATCTGTACCAGAAGGCCAAGCAGACCCCTGGAGGCTGGAACGGCTGGCGCAAATTCCGCGTCGCGAAGAAAGTCCCCGAAAGTGATGAGATCGTCTCGTTCTATCTCGAGCCTCTCGACGCTGGGGACCTCCCGCCCTTTGTGTCCGGGCAGTACATCTCGGTCAGAGTGTGGGTGCCCGAATTGGAAGTCTATCAGCCTCGCCAGTACAGCCTGTCTGACGTCCCTGACGGGAAACACTTCCGGATCTCGGTGAAGCGAGAGGATGGCGTGGGTGCCCAGCAGCCCGCGGGACGCATATCCAATGTCCTGCACCAGGACACGCCCGAAGGCGCCGAGATCGACGTCAGCAACCCGTACGGCGACTTCACACTGGACACAGAAACCGACGTGCCGGCCGTGCTCATCAGCGGCGGCGTCGGCCTGACGCCCATGATCTCGATGCTCGGCACGCTGGTCGAGAGCGCCAAGACGCGCCAGGTCGTCTTCGTCCACGGCGCGCGCAGCGGCAAAGTCCACGCCATGAAGAAGTATCTCTCGCACATCATCAAGGAGAACCCGCAGGTGTCCAAGGCCGTGTTTTACGAGTCCGTCAGTCAAGACACGGACCAACAGGGTGTCGACTATGACTATGAAGGCCGCATCGACCTGCCCGCCATCAAGGACCAGGTGTTGCTGCCCGACGCAAACTATTACCTGTGTGGCCCCATTCCGTTCATGCAGGCCCATCAGAAGACGCTCGAGGGCCTCGGTGTGCCGTCCGAGAGGATCCATTCTGAGGTGTTTGGGTCGGGGATCGCGTAGATGTGTTTGGCATAGATGCTCAGAAGTATGAGTGAGGGTCAAGCATATGTGTATATGGCGCTTTCCTTTCGTCGGTCATGCCATGGTTGTTACATACTGTAGAAATATACCGGCTGTGGTATCTAGATATTGCTCAATGTTACGAGGTGGATTTAGTTGTCAATGAATTGTATAATTTCCTAGAATCCAACACCGTATCACAGGTGCTGGCCTCATGTCGGTCGGTAGCGGAATAATTTGCAACCAACAATGCATTACATTTTCGATGACATTTGGATCCCCTGGAAAGGGCAACCTGTTTGCAGTGAGCATGATCTCGATCTCTGTTTTTTTCCAGAGCCTGTGACCGATGAGTTCCACCAAGTTGAGTAGCACAATATGTTTGATTTGCTAGCATCCAAGCGAATGGACCCCTGTGGTGGTGCTGGTGAAGGCACGACGCTGAGGGAAGTTTAGGTAGACCTTAGGTTGGTGATGATGAAGCCTGGCTAGGTGGTAACCGCCCCGCGATGGATTTTGTATGCTCCCGCAACGCCACTTTGTCATTGCAGGACATATTTTTTATCTCCGAAATTTGCACTCAATCAATCACCCACATCCTGATTGAAAGCATCAGTGGTTTAGTGGTAAAATCCATCGTTGCCATCGATGGGCCCCGTGTTCGATTCACGGCTGATGCACATTTTTTGTCAAATTTTTGCAGACAGTTTTTTTTGGGTGTGTTCATTGTTTGGAACAATTTGTGTGAGCCGTCGAGTGTGTGGACGGATGATCCCATCTTTCATCAACAACTCACACACAATAAAGAGCTCGAGGCATTGAGGAGCTTGACCTCGCCGTCATTAACTTGTCACACATAGTATACTGCCCGAGAGCTCATCACCAAAATGTGCTTCTATTTCTTCAATAGAGTCGCACTGAGGACCATCCATTTATTCAATTGCAATCGCTTATGATTCTGCTCTCCATGATATAAAATTGTCATTTCGCAGATCGGTAGGTAATGTATATATCTGTATCTGAACAAGAATAAAGGCCCAAGTGAAACCCGTCATTATCCCATCTCGCCCTCTACAACTTAGCCCCAGCTTTACGCCTGGCCTCACGGTCCTTATCTCTGAGCAGACGCCGCAGAATCTTGCCCGAGGGACTCTTGGGAATGACATCGATGAATTCAATCCCACCGGCGAGCCACTTGTGCCGGGCCTTCTCCTTCTCGATGTACTTGCTGATGCTGCGTTTGACGGCGGCGTCGCTCTCCTCCAGGCCCACGGAAGTCGACTTCACGATGTACGCCTTGGGGAGCTCGCCTGCTCGGTCGTCCTGCACGGGGATGACGGCACAGTCGGCGACGGCGGGGTGGTTGAGGAGGCTGGCTTCGAGCTCGGCCGGTGCGACCTGGAGGCCCTGTGTGGATTGGGGTCAGATGTTGGGGAAAACAATCATGGGGAGAGAGTCGGGTTGGAACTTACCTTGACCTTGATCAACTCCTTTATCCGGTCCACCACCCAGATGTGTTCATTGCCACTCGGCGATTTGCGGATCTCGACCTCGTCGCCCGTCCGCATGAATCGACCCTCGGGCATGTCGACGAACGTTTCTTTGGTGGCCTTTTCGTTCTTGAGATATCCCAGGACGATGCTGGGCGACTTGACCAGGAGCTCTCCGGGTTGATTGTACCCCGTGATTTCGTTTCCTTCGGCGCTCATGATCTTGGCCTCATAGCCCGGGATCAAGCAGCCGGACGAACCGAACCAGATATCGTCAGGCGTCGTGGAGCACACCACGGTACAGGTCTCGGTGAGGCCGTAACCCTGGCGGACCTGCCACGAGGGAAACTGGACGGAGAGTTCCTCGGCGGTCTCCTTGCCCAGGGGTGCGGCGCCGGTAAAGATCTGCTTGACGCTCGACAGGTCGAATTTCTTCAAGATCTGAGGGTTCTTGACCATGGCGATGATGATCGGCGGGACGATGTACAGGGTGTTGATCTTGTACTTCTCGATCGATGTCAGGTAGTTTTGAAGGTCGAACTTGGGCAGGATGATCACACGGTCTCCACGATATGTCGAGGCGTGGCAGATGACGATCAGACCGTAGATGTGTGATTGAGGGAGGAGACCGAGTGCGACATCTTGGTACCCGGGCTTGATCTTGTCACGGCCGATCCTGTCGTACACGGATATTTGAACCGTATTGGCGATCACGTTGCGGTGAGAAATCATCACTCCTTTCTACCTCAAAGTTAGCAGGAGTGGACGACTCGTTTGCAGGGAAATGAAACATACCGGTAGGCCCGAAGTGCCACTTGAATAGCATAGGAATGCGGTTTGTCGGGCGCCTTGGCCTTTGGTCCACTTCACAGGCTCGATGGCGGGTGCGGTTTCGCCCTGCTTCATGAGTTGTGAGAGGGTTTTGAATTCTTTCGGGTATTCTCCATCGCCCGGTACTTCGCAGATGAAGACCTTGTCCTTGGAGATGCCGGATTTCTCTGCGGCTTCCAATGCGACGGGCAGTAGTGGAAGGACGGTAAAGAGGAATTTGGCGCCCGAGTTTGTTAATTGATGCCGTAGTTCATCGGCGTTGTATGCGGCGTTGGCCGGCGACGAGACACCGTTGAGACGATGGATTGCCCACGACAGCGACATGATGTCGATCTGGGCCGGTCAGCGACTTGATTTCCCACTTTTGCACTAGACGTCGATCGGGCTTACTGTGTTGAGCGCAAAGACGCCGACAACCTTGTCATACTCGGTGCCCTCGTTCACCTTCCACCCAAACTCCTGGGCCAGTGCCCGAGACAGCTTTTCAACATGGTCCCGTTGTTGAGTCGCACCTATCGATCTCCCACTCAAAGCGCAGGTGTAGGTATCCCACGATTCGGAATAGGGCCGTCTTCCATATTGCTCGTCCAGCATAAAGTCGCATATCGGGACGTCATCGGGGATCTCTGGGAGTTTTGGCACCCATTTCTCGGGGTAGAAGACCATGATTACCGCGCGGTGAGAGGGAGAAGATTGAGAAGATCGCAGAACAGACCGTGGTATTTAGCCAGAGACCACCAACAAAAGTCCTTCGAAAACCAAAAAACAGCCCGCGTGCGTGAGGATATGGGAAACCTCCACCGGAAGTAGGGAAAAAAGAGCTGATGCAACTCGAACCAGGGAGATGCAAGCTGGGAAAGATAACTGGAAATCGAAACCCTGGGATGGCGGAGTAAACTCGCACACCATTCGTTCAATTTACCCGAGGTACAAGAAAGTCCCATGGGGTGAGCGTGGGCGTCTCCATAATCGAATTCCCGTGCTGAGCACCGACCGGGAGCTTTACTGCAGCTGGTAAGCCGCTGTGTCGCCTAGAAGCCATTAGTGGTGAACAATCGTTGGACTGCACCAATGAACCAAGCTCCATTCTGCTAGCCCACCGGCCCCGACTTGGAGCCTCGGACGTCGGAAGACGTCAACTCTTGGGGTATGTCTTCCGATGCCGTACTCGTACCAAGGCTGATGAATAACAAATTTAGGTACTCGTACGCCCAGGGTCGTAATTCCGTAGGAAATAATGAAGCATTGGGTGTTGTTGCGACAAGGAAAACACCTAGACCGGGCGATGGTGAACTGTCAACTACAGGGACAATTTCGAGGTTACTCCAATCCCCGCAGTTCGAGAAGCACGTCGGTTCATTTACAATAATGTCATAATGCCGGATGTGGCGTTTCTCGTGTGACTTGAAATCTTCACGAAGCAAACCCAATCCAAACTCAGACAGCCTTGTAAGCTGAAATTCCGCGTTTTGGACGATTTGTTGAGCACTGCGAATGTTCAAGTCGATTGGTGCTATGGGAGAGTCTTGGAGCCATGTAATTTACAAGGATTTTCTGTATCATGGTACAACTGGTTGGCGTTGTTGATGTTAGCTACAAATGCTCGATTGTGGTTGGTGGCCGGTGGCATTCACCCGGCGATTTTTCGGTTGACATTGGTCAGCAAAGCCAATATTCTCGATGTCGGCCCGAACAGTTGTGGAATACACCGTGATGTTGTAGTACAATAACCGAGAGAGACCCTTCACGGTAGGTCCCCCCAGAGAAAGCGTTTCTTGTTGAGATTTGTGCAGTGGTACATCATACGAAGGCAGAGAGATCCTCCAAAGGGATACTCTGTAACGGTCGGACGCTGACGTGAACCGGGCGTTAGTGCCATGCTGATATCATTCATGGGCATGCAGCATGAAGAGCATAGCGAAGCCAATTGCGGAACACGTCTCAGCGGACAGAAAGATGACACTTTTCTTCTGTTTTCGAAATTCGACTGTGGCTCATGTATTGCATCTGGTCGATTTGGCATTCGATCATCTCAACCTGGTAGTGGTGTCCCAGACCCATCGATAAATCAGAAACCGGCCATCTTCCATCATACGTAAGCACTGATATAGATCGAGAAGAATATGCAGACATCAAAGTATCAAGTTTGTGTTGGTCAGCCTTTAGCAGGCGCTCAAGGACAAGTTAAAGAATCCAAAGACAGAAATGCTGACCAAGTATTGAGCCAGTGACAGTCGACGAAGGTCCTGTCCTAACAACTGGACATGGATGAAAGTATCATCTGTCAAAAAGGCCAGGTGTATTGACAATATTAAATAGGTCCTCTGGAAAGCTTCCAGGTTCGAAGCATGCTCAACACCTCGCAGTCGAGTGACATACAAAATCTAGTCCACTATTCGGATAGATGAGACGTGCGTTGACCTAGTTGCCTTAGATAAGAGTGACTCTTATAAGTGAGACGAAGTCATGTCGTATATAGAGGCGAGCTCGAGGTGTTGGGGGTGATAGGTTTACTTCAACCTGACTCAGCCTCGTAGCCTTATGGAGTGTGAAGCCCGTAGATGTGAGCAAGACTCAAAAATCTCAATTGAACGGAGAAGCTCATCACGAGAACTCCGACGGCACGAGTCGAGGGCATTGCTACTGAATGCCACATATTGCGATGAGTCCTCACTAGATCCCACGGTATGCAGGGGGTGTGGGGAGGCAATGAAATGAAATGAGGGATGGAACCGCAATCAAAGAGAAGTGCGCTTGGAGAGTCGAGAAACTCGAGTGTGGCGGAGCACGCAGCCCGGAGCACGATCTCCGATTGCTGAAAAGGGTTCGACTCACGTGAAAATGACGTCGTTGTTGGAGATCAAACACTGCATCGGCTTTGGGATCTTCGCAATCTCATCTTCCCCGAAATAAGATTGAGACTCTTGAAACACGCCAGCAGATTTGCCCCATGAAACAAACACGAAATGGACATTCGATGGATCCCTTTTGGTGCTTCCACCTCGTGTTCAGGGATTGTCTCTCTCGATTATTGATACTATTTTCGACTCGTTACCGCCGTGGTGCGAAGGAGGTAGATGAGAACTTGTCGCTTAGCGTGGTCAAGTTCTGAATTTGGACGAATGCACTCTATTATGCATTTTTGGTAGCTGCGACACCTACTGGATGGCCGGTGCCCTTGTAAGCAGTCTTGTACGGATAGCGAAGAAGGTAATGAATTGGGGAGGTTGGTTGCTGCAGCCTTTTGACTTTGTACCCGAGTTAGAGGCTTGGAGATTGGTCTAGGCATGGCCAGCGGATGTGTAATCCCCTACCTAACCAAAGCTGTCGCTCGAGTTAGTGCATCATGCAATGCAGGTCAAAATGCCCCAATGCATGTTGACCAAGTTATCATGCTTGTTGCGATAACGCAATCGACTCTGACATTGGGATACTATCAAGCCTGAGTTCTATCCAAAAAAAAAGTTGACGAATCTTGCTTGACTCGGAAAGGTCACCACTGATTTCCCCGCACCTTGAGTTGCACAATCGAGGCCTGAGGTTGGTGACCTCCGCACCATGGTGGAAGTGTAATGAGAGACCTAACCAGTAGAAGATGCCGCAGCTCATGCAAGCGAACCACTGAGCCTACGATATACAAAACAAGCAGGAACAATGTCTGGCAATGCGAGAACTTATGAGTCTGGTGAAGTGGCACGATCACCAGATCTTTTATGGCACATCACATACTAGCATCGCATGATGATGGCAGTTGGGAGGTGAGAGAAGGATGCAGCCCAAGAGGACAGCGACCGGAGAATAGTTCCGCCTGGAGGGTCTGGAGAACGAGTTATGTGATACGGGGGAGAGTATGATTGAGATGTCGTTATTAATTGGGCGGGTTGGGTAACGAGATTTGGAAGGAGCGGTCGCTTGCCTATAGAGATGCTCGGTATCCGCAGTTGTAGCTTGTCAAGCAACTCGAAAAGCAAGAAACCATGCATGCTGTGTCTCTTTAAGCGACAAGACTTAAGTGACACTGCAGACGCCACACGTTTGTACGGATAGCCGTGCAACAAGTGGCATGGGTTGCCGCACACTATTGGTTCGGTACCTAAAGAAAAACACACTTGGAAGAGTTGCATGCAGCCGGGCCTGGTGCAGCAGTTGAGATAACAGCATTGGAGAGCCGTGTCGAGACGTACTTATGATAGGGTTTCAGGGTCTCGAAAAGCACAGATGATTCGAGCACAACGGCTGGGATAGGACTCGGTCTCGCACAATATTTCCATAGATCGACGAGCCTTGCAGACGAGGGAAGAGGGGATCTGGTTGTGCAAGACACGCCAGCAGTGATAGAGCAGTGTTTGCCACTTGGAGAGTGAAAAGAAGATAAACTTCAAGCTCGGGCAAACAACATAATACAAATACCAATCTCCCTCGGCACGTGGTCCCGTAATTTGATCAGTTATGTGTTGCCGCAAATTTGGAGACAGTGACATATTGTAAGTTGTAAACAATCACCTCGTCATGGTAGTGGCAGTGGCAGATTGAATCATCGGGATTTCCACCACAACACTGATTATTTGTTGAAGCGGAGTAGGAGGTGGTGCAGAGATAGGGAGTGGCAAAGCTGGAAGGGAAGGAGCAACGGGAGCAACGGTGATGAATGCCGTCACTACTTGCGAAGTAATAACCCAAGGCTCTCTCATGACACGGGCAAAGACAAGCGTTTCTTGGTGCCTTGCGGGCGGAACACTGACCCAGTCCCTCAAGGTCCCAACGAATGGCCAGTGGCTGTAGATCTGGAGTTATTCCCAATCCATGCTAGACCACCCTTGAACCATCCTGGTCATTGCGCGTCCGACAAGGGTGCTACTTTCCACTCCGAGCTGTCTAGTGAACCCTCGTAAAAGCTCTATTCATCACTTTCCCATTTTCTTGTTCAACTCCACCCATATCTTTTTTCTGTTTGCCTTCAGATCTGGGCGAGCACCATCCAAGCTGGCATCTTGATCCATATACTCCATAAATCCACATTTCCATATTCCAGATCCACTGCCATTCTGCCGCTTCATCTGCAACTCGTTGAAATTTCCACGAGCTGGTGCATGTGGTCCATCATCATCACCGTGTTACCCACGGAGCAGGAGCACTCATCATCGTACTCATCTCTCGTCTCTCGTCTCTCCAGTGTCCGTCCATGTTGATCTCAATCACCCCCAGTCGTGGCAGGAGGACATTATTCCCACACTAGTTAGTCAGTAGTCCTTCCTTCACAGCGGCTTTCCTTGAATCAGTGCATTTCCTCCCCATTCACCCATCCTCATTGGTGACACAGCTCCCCAGCAGCTGGTCTTGTTCTTGTTCTTCCTCTCACCTGCCTGTCGCTTGCCCACTGTTCCTTCCCTCTACTCTACGCATCACCACAGCACACAAACTCCACCTTCTGTTCCTTTTTGCTTTTGTCTTCTGTCGACATTACACCTCCATGCAACAATCTTCCGCATCTTGTACTCATATCCCATCCATCACTCACTAGATACTCGATACCATTCAACCGCGATTTCCACTCCTTCCCATCTACTGGTCAGTCCTTCGCGCCTCATGTCGCCGCATGCTTCTCTACGAAGTGCTCGTCTTTCAGAATAGTGGATCGGAGTCTGAACTCCTCAACCTACCGTGCAGTGCAGTCTTTGCCTCTTCACTGAGTCAATTCTCGGCACCACGAATTTCACCATCACTATCACAGAGAACTGCTGAAGCATCAGCCTCTTCCGATCGTGCATGAAACGCAAATCAGAGTCACGCCTGCATTCGCCAACACTCACACCCCCTCACAAGATTCCAATCCAGTGAAAAGCATACTCATGCACTCTTGATCTGAGCTATCTTGAATCTTCAAGAGGCAGGGTCCCAGTTCCTCAATATGGCCATCTACACCCATCCCCGATCCTGCAGGACACCCGCCATCTTATATGCCATCCTCCATTTATTCCTGGCTTCACAAGTCCATGGGCTTGCCATCTCCTATTGTTCACCGGAGAACAATGCTGGCTCATTTCCAGCTTGTGAGTGTCGACCCGGTTCCCTGATTAGATCCAAAGGTTAACCACGTTCACAGACAACTATATCTACCAATCCAACGGAGAGTGTCAGACACATTGTGGAGGTGACTATGCCTTTGCTGTGATCCAAGGACTCAATTGTTGGTGCTCCAACTACATACCATCAGACCAAGTCAGCACATATGACTGCAATCAAGCATGTCCTGGCTTCCCAGACGAATGGTGTGGCTCGACCGATGCTGGTCTATATGGATATTTCGCACTGGGCTCCATTACACCTCTGGGTACCTCTGCTGGATCTGCTGCTTCCAAGACTTCATCCTCGGTAAGTCATTTTCTATCCACGTTGCATCTGTAATTTTCTCTTCCGTCTTCCACGAGCAACTGTCCATCCTAGCTCTGATAACCCGGGATGTCCCTAGACTTCCGATGAGGATAGCCAGACGACTTTTGCCAGTGAAACCTCATTGGTTTCTTCAAACTCTCCAGTATGAAGTCATCCAATTTCCCTGATTAGCTCCAAACCCCTAGCAATTCACACTTCGCCATTGTGCTTGTGAGTTCCAGCTGACCACAGACAGACTTTTATATCCACCACTCGAGATTCCTCATCAATCACATCTTCCGGCCCAGCATCATCACCGACGGAAGTCTACACGAGCGTCACCACGGTGACTGGGGAAGTGCGCACCGTCATCATCACACCAAGTCCCACAGCCACTGCTGAGGGTACACTCGGACAATCATCTACTGGAGACGGTGGCGGCGGCGTCAACACGGGGAAAGTGGTCGGCATAGTACTCGGAGTTGTCCTCGGATTATGTGCACTCATAGGAATTGCGGTTTGGCTCTGGTTCAGACGGCGGCGTCAAAGCCGAGACCAGGCTTCGGGCACGGAGAGTACCTTTACCAACAATCACGGCGAAAAGTCACCGTCGAACAACGTCCCATCGCGGCAAGTTAGTCAACTGTCGTCCTCGGGTTTGCTGGGAAACAAGGCACCTCGACTCAATATAGCAGGAATTCCACCGGGCAATGATCCGAGAAGCGCCGACCCCTCGTCGTCTGCATTTGATCGGAGAAGCTTGGGGACGGATCAAAGGCTCAATCCATATGCCTTGTATATTCACGACGAGGCCCGCCATAGCGACGTGTCTCTGCAGGACAATCAAGACTATTCGCGACAGTTAAGGGTAGGTCTTTGCTCCCGGTGTGTCTGATTGTCTCAATTGTGCTAACCATTATCCAGGTTGCGAATCCGGACCCTTGAGACCTGAATCATGTCGCATATTATCTTGAATCACCAATATCGCTCAAAGAATCGAGCATTAATCACGGCCAGCTAATGAGAAGATGAAATACAAGGGGAGCCTCCAAGGCTAACCATCACATTCGCCATGACTGATTACAGTCTTGGGAGGCAAACAAGTTCAGAGGTGACTCTGCATTGATGGAATGATGTTACGACGAGACGCCCAGTTTTCTTCGCTTTGCAAGCACGATAAGCTTGTTCTATTGAATCACAGCATTGAAAGGTGTTCTCTGATGCATTGTACAAAAAGGTTGATGGACACGCAGCTATTGCCCGGGGCCCAAAGCGGGATTGCGCTCCGTGTCGATCATCAACGTGGCGTAAGCTATACAGACTGCTAGGCTGAGCTGCAAGACGAAAAGTCCAATGCTGTTGAGGCCATACAGGAGAGGATCTCTTGATGAACTGAGTTCGGGTGTATAGTCATTCAAACGTCGTTGCTTAAAACATGACTGGTTGGGGTCAGGCAAGACGGTTGTACATAGATGCTATCATCAGAGAAAGAGAGAAAAAAAGACATGTCTCGACTTGATTTCGAACCAAAGAGTGCAAGAGTGACTATCAGAAATTTCTGCTGAGCTGATCCCTCGATCTATGCCCAACTATGGAGTCTGGGAACCAAAAGCATGGCGCGGTGATTTTGTGAACAAGGCTGGCCTGGTATCCGTAGGTGTGCCCTGTGGAAGCTGGGACAGGGGTCGGGTTAGGCTGAAAGTTTTTTGGGTTCAAGGAAGGCCGGGTAAGGCCGTTTGCTTAAACGCCCGAGGGGTGACCTGAGCTTAGCTGGAACGGAATGAATGGAATGAATGGGATAAGGAATGATCGAGGCTGAGTTGGATGAGATATAGTCAATTAGTCCTTTGCATATCCCCAACAAGGCCGACTCATTGCCACACTGGCATGCTACTCGTACGCATTTCTATCATCAACTGAATGACAACTCTCACTTTGGCGAGGAGAAAAGAACCAGGAAGAAGCAAGCAAGGTGATGGACGATGCCCCCTCGGCCCATCTCCCGTTAGCCATGGGGCTGCTTAGCGTGGCAGATTCCTGGCAGCTGGCCCTTGATTCTTTCGAGTCATTGGGCTCGAATGCATAATCGACGTCACATGTCGGTGGGCAGCCAAACTTGAACTTGACGCCCCGGCCGGTCATTTACGTTGGTAGTGGAAAAAAAGAGCCAACACTTTCGGTCACTGCCAGTGGTGGGCTGGTGGGCTGTAGCTGGCTGCTGGCTGCTGGCTGCTGGCTGCTGGCAACTTGAACTGGACATGATGGAATGAGTCTCCAGGAGTCAGTCGTACGAGTAGATAGTTAAAACCCCATTCATCAATCAACTGCAAAAGGCACCACTCCACCACCTTTGTAAAGTACTGCACTGCACTGCACTTCGCCCTCATCGTCCTTTGCCTGTCCACCCACCTTCTTTCCACCTCCACCCTCACTTCACCTCAGATCACCACATAAAGCCAGCTCCCCAGCATCTCACCTCCAGACCTTCCCACCAGCCTCATTATTTGCCGCAATCACATCTCAAGAGTAGACTGGCCTTGTTCGGACTGATTCACCCCGTCTACTCCTTGTCCAATCCTGCTTGGTGGTTGACGTCCCATCTTGTTGGGGTTCCACGCAACCCTCCGACATCAGCCGTCACCAGCGAGCATCACCCCCTGACCACTACGCCCACCTGCAATGTCAGGGCGGCGTTATGCCGACGATGTCTCGGTTTATGATGACCGAAGATCAGAAGTCTCAAGAGGCGGTGGTCGAAGGGTCTACGAGGATCGTTATGTCAAGGAAGAAACAGAGTACCGCCGGGCTCCTGCACCCACCGCGGTGCGAGAGCGAGAAGTCGTCATTCGGGATGAAGTGAGAGAACGACCGTCGTCCAATACTCCCGCGTTCATGAGAGAAGATTATGGCCGCAGCGGTGCCGGTCCCATGGTTCTGAGAGCCAAAGAGAGAGAAGACTATGAATTTGTCCCCCGCCCTCGCCGTCGATCCCCCTCGCCAGAACTCGAAAGAAAGGTCGAAAAGGAAGAGATCATCATCACAAGAGACCAATCCGAATCCCGACCTCCTCCACGCCAACGAGAAATCGAGCGAGAAGAAATCATCCTCCGAAGAGACGACCGGGATAGAGCGCCACCTCCCAGAGAACGTGAGCGTGAAGAAATCATTATCCGGCGAGAGGAAAAGGAGCCCGAGTATAGGCCACCACCACCTCGAGAAGTCAACACCTCCAAGGAGGAGATTATCATTCGACGTGAGGAAAAGGAACCAGATCGTCGCCGGTACGACGACTACAGCGACGTGGGCTCTCGCAGAGGTGACTATGACCGGAGACCTCCAAGGAGCGAGGCCGACCGAGAGGAAATCGTTATACGGCGCGAGGAGGAGAAACTGGATTCTCGTCGTTACGACGATTATGCTTTGACGAGGCCAAAGTCTCATGAACGAGCAAGGTCTCGTGCTCGACGGTCCAGTAGCGGTTCAAACGACGAGATCATCATCAGACGGGATGAGGTGAGGGGCCGTAGTGGTGATCATGAACGTCAAGAAATCATCATTCGCAAGAGCTCCCGTTCACCGTCCCCATCGTCCATCTCTTCCGCCCCAGCTCCCCGAGCTGCTCAACCACCGCCGCCACAAGTCATCAACGCTCCCACAATTCATCAAGAAGTCATCACTCATCATCGTCACATCGATCACGGCTTCGAGGTACAGTACCCAACACGGCCAAGAGTGGTCTCTCGTCCACCATCTCCCCCTAGTCCACCATTACCTGCCCCAGTCCCCGTCCCAGCTCCGGTGAGAGCTCGTTCTGAAGAACGCATTCAAATCAGCCGGACACAGACCCGCAATGGACGCACTGAGAACGAAGACATCATCATCGACCGGAATCAGGGACCCAGTCCTCCAAGAAGCGTGGCGCCTTACTCCACTCCACCTCCTCCCCGAGATGCCTACTATGACGCACCAGTACCTCGCCGTGATTATCGAGGCTATGAACGCGACGTACAAGAAGAAGCTGAATATTACAATCAACGAGCCCTTGATAGGGCTTACGTAGGCGAGGCTCAACATGGAGCCACTCGTGACTGGGCATTGGTTGACGTGCCCCCTGGTACGAATCGAGTCAGAATGGATGGTGCAGGGGGTGGTGCACAGGAAATCACATGGCAACGATATAATGGTGTTCGCAGAAGCAAGTTCTTTCCAGATGGCGCCGATGAGGGCTATACTGGAGAAGTTGGTAGACATACTCCTCTGCCCGCACCGACACCTGAACACAGATACCCACCCTCTCCTGCATATAATGGAGAAATCGGGAAAAGATACGGCAAAGAGCGGAATCCGACTGACGGCTTATGGACCGAAGTCACCAAGGATTTGGTTGTGAAGGAAGCCATCCAGGAAATGGGTTACGAATATGAAGAGACTGACGACTTCTACTACATTATTGCTTATTTACGATATGTGAGTGATCTTGCCTGCTCTTGTGTCTTCTGATCAATAACTGACAATTCTCAATAGGAAGATATTGCCCGCCTAGTTGGTCTTTCGGAAGATATCCGTAAGGAACGCAAGAAGCGTATCAAGGAAATGGAGTGGGAGAATCGTGTTCTTCCTCCACCACCTGAGCAACGGCTTACCATCGAACCACCACCGCCTCGGCATGGAACTAAAGACTGGGCTCGAGAAGAAGAGAGGTATATTGAACGAGAGGTCGTTTATCGAGGAGGCCGTCCTCCACCACCCCCAGCTTGGAGACACTGATGTCGAACCGTCTCCAAAGATTACGAATTTCCTTATACAAGTGATCGATGATAGCGCCATCGCAGTATACCTGCAAAGATTCCTTCAAGCAACAACCACTACACGCATCACGCATCCATGAGATAACGAAGCGCGAAAGAGACGAAGCGAGATTTCAGAATTTGTTTTACGGATCTACCCTGTTTGCCCCACTTTCCCCGAGCGGCTTGCTTCTCGATCGAATTTTCTGAAAGCATTTCAGCAAGCGCATGGTTGATACATGTTGGATACTAAACAACGATTTGAAATGTCATTGAACGGGTCTGAGATTTCGTGACGCATCAACGATATGATATGATATGATTGACTATTTAAATGGCAGAGCCACTGTTGATATGATGGAGTTATATAAGTTTGGGTGAGAGTGCTGGAGAGGGTTCAACTGTCAGGGAACTTGAGGACGGAGACTGATGGATTTGGGTAGGAATGGATTTCTCGAGACATATATTAACAAATTCAAATTAGTGTCATGGTTGATAGAATTCATCCTTTCGTCTCCCAACGTGCCATTCAGATGCAGCGCATTATCACTTGATGGAAGTGATCCACCGGTAGTTCTTCCATCGATCCTGCATCGGAAATGGCTTCGAGTCTCCCACCCATCTCCTCAAACCACTGGTAGTTGATAATATTCAGGGGGCACCAAATTTGAGATTGATCATTGGAAGCGATACTGCTTGCATTCGTGATTTGATCGACAATGTGAAATACATGCATACTCGTACATCAATGATATGAGTCACAGCTAGTACGTCCACCTCGTACAACCCCGTCGATCATGGCTGCATGCAGTATATCGCTTGGCCGGACTCATCAATCAATACCATATAACATGATATATACCTGACAATGGGAAGTAGATGAGCAGTGATGAAACGGTTCTGCACGATTGTGCAACGACTTCCCCGCCCATCCCACCCCCTGGCCATCGACGTATCAAACACCTTCATATCAATACGACACAACACCCCAAAGATCTCAATCAACATCAAGAATCCACCACGAACGATATCACCCCCAACAACAAACAATGAACACGGCCCAGTTCCTCGAGGAGCTCAGCGCCGACGCCGAGTCTCACATCACGCTGCTCCAGAAACTCATCCAAGCGCCGTCGCCCAATCCCCCCGGCAACACCGCCGCGGCGGCCGAGGTCCTGCGCTCGTATCTATGGGACCACGGCATCGAGACAGAAGTGATCGCGCCAGACGGGCCGGAGAAGCCGAATTTCGTGGCCGACTTCGCGGTGGGAGGGACGTCGTCGTCGTCGTCCTCTGAACCCGCGCCGCCGCCGCAGCGCATCATCCTCAACGGACACCTGGACGTGTTCCCGGTCGACGCGACGCAAGACGCGCAGTGGAAGCACGGCGGGCCGTGGTCTGGCCACTTCGACGGCACGTACGTCCACGGGCGCGGCGCCGTGGACATGAAGGCTGGGGCGGCGGCGTCGGTGATTGCGTTCGCGCACCTGTTCCGGCATCGGGCGCGGCTGACGCGGCAGGGCAGCAGCGTCGCGCTCACGGTGGTCAGCGACGAGGAGACGGGCGGGAAGTTCGGCAGTCGGTTTCTCCTCGAGCGGGATGGTGGCGCTGGCGGCGGAAGATGGAAGGGCGACGTCATGGTCAATGCCGAGCCGGGCGGACTGCAGAGTATTCGGTTCGGGGAGAAGGGGACGCTGCGTATCACGTTCACCGTCGCGGCGCTGGGCGTCCATGGTGCGTACACGCATCGCAGTGAAGGGGCGGTGCGCATTGCGGCGCGCTTGATCGGGCGGCTGGTCGAGACAGTGCAGGCGATTGTGCCCGAGTGGGACGAGGACGTCAGGAGGCATTTGGAACGAAAGGATGTGAGGAGGGTGATTGACGAGATCATGGGGAGGGGCGCGTCCGAGAGTGTCACGACGCCGACGGTGAACATCGGCACGATCCGCGGCGGCGTCAAGGTCAATATGATTCCTGATCGCTGCGTTTTCGAGGCCGACATACGCCTGCCCATCGGCTTGACCAAGGAGGTCGTGCTCGAGAGCATCGACGCCTTGCTGCGCGCCGAGTTCCCGGCTTCGGCCAGCTACGCCGTGCAAGAAGCGGCGTCGAATCCCGCGTCTCATTGCTCACCGACGCATGAGATGGTGACGGCACTGGCTAACGCCGCCGAGAGGGTCACGGGCAGGAAACCTCTCGCGATCCCGTCGTTGGGCGCCACAGACGCAAAGTTCTGGCGCTATCATGGCGTCCCGGCTTATGTCTACGGTGTGGGGCCGGAGACCATGGCCGCGGCCGTCGATGAGAGAGTCAGTGTGGACGAGTTTCTGAGGGTGGTCAGGACACATGCTTTGGCGGTTTGGACGTATCTGGGTGGGGATGGTAACGGTGGTGGTGGTACGGGTTGAACCCAGGACACGCGGCGTGGACTGCTTGGGAGACGAAATGTGCTATTCCAACATAGAGCAAATGATTAAAATCGTGAACGAGAGAGATATGTGGAATAGAGAGGAAGGGGGGAAGATGCCTTCATGAGGGGTGGAATTTTCTTCTTAATTTCATCTGTCGAGGGTTAGTGTCGTAGCATATACTGGGAGCCTCTGGTGTTTCTCTTGATTCGTGTATATGCCGTTGCCCTTGTTTATTCTTCTTTATCCATTGGCAAGCTCACTCTCATCCATCACGGTAGTTGAAACACGTGATATCACCCAACAAAATACCTCCCTTGAAGTAGAATTTTGCGTCCAAAATGTGGCCTCATTTAGTGTCGGGTAAACCACTCACGACTTGGCAAACTCTGTCAACCATTGAGCCAGTTTCTGTGCATTTTCCAATGGAACGGCATTGTAGTTGCTTGCTCGGATGCCTCCGACGGAGCGATGGCCTTTGAGACCCAACAGGCCTCGTTTCTCTGCACCCGACAAAAAGGATTTCTCCTTTGCTTCATCGGGCGAGACTCCGGTGTCAGATTTGCCGGAAATGATGCGGAAGCAGATGTTCATTCGGCTTCGGACGCTCTTGTCAGGGACGACATGGTAGGTGTCTGGGTATTCGTCCAGGGTGTCATAAAGAAGTTTGGCCTTCTTGTCTGCTATCTCCTCCTGTCCAGACACTCTTTGCGAGCCGAATGTGGAGGCAAGGCTCTGGAGGACTAGTGTAGCGACGTAGAGATTGAAGATAGGCAGCGTGTTGTAGAGACTGTTGTTGGAAGCGATGGTTGAGAATGAGAACATGATTGGTGGAAGTGCTCCGGAAGTTGGTAGAACTGAGGAGAGTTGATGTAGGAATGTTGGTGGAGGGACAAGGGTGAGCAGGGATTTGCGGATAATCACCACAGTGATACCAGCGATCCCCAGGTTCTTCTGAGCACCACCCTATATGCAAGTTTAATTGTGTGTCAGGTTATTGGAAAGGCTGGAGTACTCACGAAGATGACGCCAAACTTGCGGACATCAATTTTGCGACTGACGAAATTGCTCGACATGTCGGCGACCACAATTCTTTCATCGTCACCGCCCAATGACTCGGGAAATTCTGGGAACTCGACACCGTCCACTGTTTCATTGTCACAGAAATAGGTCAGAGCACTATGGGGTGACAATTTCCATTCCTGCTCTGGAGGGATGACCCCAAATTTGCCATTGTTGCTCTTCCTCGCATCGACAGCCACATTGACGAACTTGGACCCAATCAACCTGGAGGCTTCTTGGCTCGCTTTGAGGGACCAAGACCCTGTGACCAGATAATCCACCTTGAGGTCAGATTCAATCTCCTTCTTCACGCGTTCCACTACCTCTGCGTCTTTACCTTCGCCGAGCTCGGCCACCGCTCTTCTTCGGCGCTTCTCAATCCAAGCACCGACCAGATTTTGCAGGGCAGCACTGAACTCTCCGGTGCCTCCAGCTTGCATGAAGAAGATATCATATTCATCTGTAGGAATGTCATAGAGCGAGGTCAGTGCTTCCTTGGCGTCGGCCAGGACTTTATTTGCTGTCGGGGAGCGATGTGAGATTTCAGCCAGGGAGAGGCCAGTGTTTTCAAAGTTGACGAATGCTCTGGCACTGGCTTCAATGACTGGTGTCGGCAAAGGAGCTGGTCCGGCGCCATAATAGGCGACTTCTGATCGATCCGGCATGTTTAGTTACCTATGAGAATGGAATTCTGTTGACTGTAGATGGTCTCTCGATGACGTCAGTTTGTCTGTCAATGAAGACTGATATCCCTCTAGAAGTTGAGTTTTTAATTCTTCGCCCCTTGCAAGGAGTCTGAGATTAATAGGTCAAGTACTTGATATGAGTCAACACAACAAATGAAAAATATGGAGAAAAGTCGTGATCTCCAGATCCCCCCACGCGCCGCACACTGACGCAAAGCAAATCTGCCACAAAATCTTGGCAGGAACCGGTACGTAGTTGGGGCTCGAAGAATCAGACGGTGGATGTACGAAATGATTACGAGTAGATTATGATTTGGGAGGAGATCTGTTTTGCTGCCACCGGGCTGCCACCGGGCTGGCTCATGTTGATATTTACAGATACCCAGGTAAAGATACTGCTCTAGGAGTTTCGACGACATCCATCGGCTTTCATTTCCTACTTGGACAATGCACTCCCGGTGTCACCTTTTCGAGTACTTCAATGCCACACTCTGTCTCACTTGACCACGACCAGCGATGACGGTAGTAAGGAGATAATTTTCTCAAGCTCAGAAATGTTGTAAGACGTCGATGGGCTTTCTTTCGCCGCATAAACCAGCAGTGGGAAGAAACTGTCCATTGTCCAAACATCCTCGTTTGTGTGTCCACGTTGGCTTGTAATCTCCACCGAACCGCTTTGCTGCTATAGGGGATATCTAAGGCTCTGGCAGAAATTCACAGAACTGTCGAACATCTTCTGCATCTCGCGGAATGACTTGAGATGGCTGTTTGGCAGGTTGGGCGCCAGCATGTGCTTCGGTAGCATTGTCGACAGTTGTTTTGAGAAGGCGAACAACTGGGTCGAGTGGGCTGTAATTCCAGGAGCATTCTTGCATCAACAGGCTGCAGGCTAGAGTCTGATAGTTCCTGGAGACATATTCTGGTTTTGGAAGTTCATTGAGGGCCCAGATGAGAGTTGCATTGGTCTCCAGAGCCATACATCCGTCTTTGGACGATGCTCGAATCCACTTTAGATCGTGTTTGAACCAATGATCAATGCAGTCACAGGGAAAGGTGACGTCGACTCGAACGATGGGTTCGGGGTTGGTGGAGATGGCGAGAGCATTAGCAAGAGCTGCCAGCGCAAGGATGGGTACAGAGAGAAAGCAGTACATGATGCGTCTGTATTGAGTCTGAAGGAGAGACTGGGGGTGATTGCAGACGCGTTGCTGTTTGGTATTTTCGGGCAAAGAGACTTTTGACGGTCGTGGAAGCAAGTGATGATGATGAAACAAGTAGAAGAGAAATGATGAAGCAAAGTGAAATGATGGTACGATGACGACTTTCAAGTTGGAGCACTGACTCACTAGAACCAAACCTTGCACTGGCAAGTGCCGAGAGTGTCATGGAGTAAGGGAAGGAGCGATGGTGCTCAACAACAGCAACATCCTGTTTCGACTGATGTGATGACACCGTCAACTTCAAGGAAGGAGCGAAGCACATACACCTCCCCTGGCCTTCCAGTATGGAAACAACGCGTTGCTGCTCGACGAACGATGATAGAGTACTGTGTTAGCCATGGCTTGATTGCTCAGTTACGCCTCCAGCATGAACATTGCTCAAATCTCACACGTGTTGGGTAGGCACGCGAGACATCTAAGATGCCAGTATAGAGTAGAGAGGGAGCGCAAAGAGGTGATTGATGAGTGTAAAGCAGCCAGTTGGTCAAAACGGCAAGTTAGCCGGTATTAGTTATCGGCGGCCGGGTGGAGGCAGAATACCTAAGTACTTACCTGTGGGTACTAGGTAGTTACGAAGTAACTAGTTAGGCTCCCCGTCCTTCTTGTCCCCGGCCCCTGCAGGAAACAGCTAAGTCACGGAGGCTGAGCGACAAGGTCCCTCAGGCAGCAATCATACTCGAACAGCAATAATGAATAACGAGAACCTCACTTGATACAAAACAAACGCCCCAGAGCCGATATCAAGATTCAGAGTCCTTAGCTGAACCCAGGATAATGTAATCGATTTTGAATAACGACTCCGGATTACTGTTGTTGTCTGGCCAGCTTCTACCACGTCCCTTCTCTTCAACATCACTTCATGCCACGACGGCCACACAAAAAATCTCGACGCGGTTGTTCGGAATGTAAACGCCGTCATATCAAGGTTCGCGACCCAACATTTCTACAGAGCCCCGATTCGTTCTTTTGCTGTACACAGGAGCGACCAAAGTCGCTAACATCTGGTGGTCTAGTGCGATGAGAATCATCCGACATGTGTGAATTGTAAAACAGCAAACCTAGTTTGTGCCTTCTCATCTCACACCAGCTCTCCGCGTTCGATACCAACGCCGGGATTGGCTAAATTGGCTGTTGTTGATTCCGGGCCTTCGGAGACATCCACGCCGGCGAAATCGGGACAAGACACAGCCCAGGAAGAGACTTCAGCATGTTCCTCTGCTCTTCTTGCCGACAACCCTGAGCCTGCCTTGAATATGCAGCACCTTGAGTTTCTCCTACAGTACTGTACAGAAACGTACAAGACTTTTTCTTCAGGACATGACGATCCACTTCACGATATCTGGCAAGTAGTGGTTGTCCGTATGGCACTTACTTTCCCCCCTTTGATGTACGAACTTCTAGCTTTTGCGGCCTTGCATCTCGCATATCTTCGTCCTGCCAATGCTGCTTGGTACCTCAGGAAGTCAACCGAACTTCAGACCGAAGCACTGAGTATGTTTACAGCCCAGAGTACCGTCGACGAATCCAATTGCGGGCCAGTACTATTGTTCACCTCGGCTCTGGGACTGCATATGCTCTGCGACCCTAGCAGAATGCAAGACTCTGGGTCCAGTCAGTACTTAGACCAAGTCATTGAAACCCTTGGGCTTCTAGGTAGGGTCAAGGGACTGAGCATAACGGGGTGGGAACAGCAGCTCAAGCAATCCGAACTCAAACCGCTTTTTCTAGTTAAACATCCGGCCAAGCCCTATGATATCCCACAACCCTGTATTGACTTGCTGATGATCGCGCAAAATTCCGACTTGAGTGCTGAAGCACGCGAGGCGTATACACAGGCCATCGAACGGCTTCACTGGGCCTTTGCCATATCCGAGACCCCTTATCGAAAACACTCGACGACCAAATGGCTTGCAGCGTGGCCCATTCAGCTCAGCGAAAAATACCTAGACTTGTTGAGTCGGCGTATGCCAGAAGCTCTCATTGTCGTTGCATATTTTGGTGCATTGATGGGTTTTTATGCAGACTGCTGGGCAGTAGGAGATAAGGGCATGGCGCTCATTCGCGCAATCAATGCACAAGTTGGCCCTAGATGGCAGAGATGGATGCAATGGCCATGTTCCTTTCTTATAAGTGATGGACCATGAAGCAATTCTCACAGTATGCGCCATATGACTGGCCTCCAATAGCTGGTAACGATGCTGCTTTTGGAACTTTGAAGGGTTGTGAAATAATACTGTGCACAACGGAACCAAGGAAGCCGACAGCAGACTACTGTGTGGCTTTCTCGCGTGGAACACTTGTCAACCGCTAACTCCCTGTTCCAGGATCCGGAGTCAGCCTTGTGCTGCAGATTTAACACCGACTGTGTTCAGTCGCCAGCACCTGTCAGTACTAAATTTATACTACAAGTCTTCTACAATTTTTAATTAGCTTGAAGTGCGAAAATCGTTTGGTTAATGTAGATGACTGTGGGAGGCCATAAAGCCACTCCTATACTTGGGAGCAAGTTTTGAATTGTGTGTCCGGCAAATTAGGCAGCAGGTTTCGGTCGCAGGGTCGTTGCCCCTGAGATAGGGCCTAGCGGTGAAATGCTAATCTGTTGAAATGTCCATGTACACCAGCTCTAGCAAGCTGCAGAACGAATAACGAGTACGGATACGCGTACCTACCTGGATCCGCCGATTGTGGATCACACACATCTAACAACTTACAAGTATGTCCAACCAAGCTTCGAGAATGCTCCTCTAAACATACGGAGTAGGCGTTTGGTTCCGGAACAGGTCCATCGCAACGCCTGCTACGTCTTTTGCTAGCCTTGGGGGTGTTGATTGGTGTATTTTGGCCAAGCCTTTTCATATCCCCCTGTTCTCTGCCTCGTGCACCGCCTTGTCCAACTTCGCTTCTTTTCCACTCCACCCTTCCTTTCGGTACCACCTAAATTTGCTTACTACTCGTACCGTTTGGGAGTATTTCACGAACCCGCGAGTGAGCAATGCTCGGGTCCGAGATAGCGCGACCAGTTATCTTTTATCTATCATGTCCACTCAACCTCCCTTTCTCTGCACTGCCACAGACGTACTATGGGCCATGGCGAGTCGCCAGACCCGGTGGACCTTTTCATCATCCCTGGTTTGAAACATACACGCCGGGACGAGGATGGATACCCGTGCTCTTTCCACGTATCTAGGGCTGGAGAATAGGCTCATGCTTTAACTTTAATATATAAAGTACCCCTTGGCGGGATCCTGGATATCTACAGTGTCGATCCATATAACCATCCAACCAGTCATTCATTCTACAGATTTGTTCCCTTGACAAACCAAGTTCATTCCTCTCTACAGTGTTTCTGGTCATCTTGCACCTTTCTGTGTTGAGTCCACTCATTACTTTGGGAGTTACTGTGCTCATTGCGACTTTTGCAACTATGAGTGGTAATTCGACCAGCGGTGATCATGCTGATGGACTCTTAAAATGCGCCAATGGGGACTTCAACATCTATGGTCTAGACCCGTCCCCTGTAGCGGCGGGTGTATTTGCTGTATTATTTCTCATCCTGGCTTGTGGCCATATCTTTCGAACAATCCGATCGAAGCAGTGGTTCATGATAACAATGATTGTTGGGGCCGGCTGTGAGTGCCTTTACCTCTATGCCTTGATAAATACTGACTGTTTCCTCCATAGTCGAAATCGGCGGCTTTGGTGTACGGGTAAACGGACACAATGACCCGTGTACTCTAGGCCCTTTCATCATACAATACCTTCTAATTCTCCTGGCGCCGTCGATTTTCTCAGCCACCGTCTACATGATCCTGGGAAGGACGATCAGAGCAGTGCACGGCGAAGCTTTGTCCCCAATTCGATCCACGTGGTTGACCAAGATCTTCGTCATTGGTGATGTCTCATGCTTCCTGATTCAATGTCTGGGAGGTGGCATGCTGGCCAGTTCCAAGGGTGATAAGAAGAAGTCGGATCTGGGCAAGATTATCATTTTGGCCGGTCTCGTTTTGCAGTGCATCATGTTCGCAATATTCCTGATCGTAACCTTTGTCTTCAAGAAGCGTCTGACCAGGCAACCAACGGCGACTGCAAAACGCCCGGAGATGCAGTGGCTCACCATGATTCATGTCCTCTACGTGGTGAGCTTGCTCATCTTGCTTCGAAACTTGTTCCGTGTTATCGAATACGCTTCTGGGGAGGATGGCTACCTGCTCACTCATGAATGGCCAATGTACCTCTTTGACGCCTTTCTCATGCTTGTCGTGGTTTCGATTCTACTATGGTGGTTTCCTACCTTGATTCGACCGCCAAATGCTTACATGTTGGACAATTTGGAGGGACAAATGCCTCTGACCAATAATGGTGGCAATACGCAGTACAAGAACCTGTCGGATCGTTCGCCTTCTCCCCTCCCTTATCGCCCGGGGTACCCATCATCAGGGTATCACTAGTGGCAGACGATCACATGCGACGACAAACATCCTCACCATTATTGGATCCACGAGACCATGCGGAGTGACCCTCGGGCCAAAGCTGGGAGTTTATGGCGAGGATACTTGAAGGGGGGATATGAGCTTAAGGAATATACAGGCTGGGCCAACCAGATTTGATAGAAAATGCCTTGGTCATTTTACTCTTCTGTTGGTGAAAAGCATCGCACGGATGCTTAGATAAATAATGGTACAGCGGAGGTGTTTGCAGAGATATTGGTCTTGAATGTTTTCAGGTCCATTGTAGAACTATTGATGTTGTTTCTAGCTTAGAATAACGGCGAGAGAAACCACTTACAAGTTATCACTGGAAAAAGCGTGTGTCTCAGATTTAGCGGATTGATATGTCATGGTTGATTTCTCTTGATCAAACATGTAGGCAGCCAGCAACTGACGTTGGACCATGCAGAGGGATCCCTGGAAAGGGGCGTGCTAAAAACAATAGTCCGGGACCCGGAAGTGACGAGTGCCCGCGGGTGCCCGCCGGTTCAGCCCAGAGTCCGAAAGCGGTGAGACATGTCGATCATCCCCACCGCCTGGGATTAATTCTGCCGGTCCAACTTTCCTGCACCACCAGTCAAGCAGTGTTTTCCACGATGCCTCGATCTCCCTTCACCAAACCAAAAAAGAACATGTCCAGGCGAGGTGGTCGCGGAGGTGGTAAGAGAGGTCCTGATCTTTCTTGGGAGGATGTTCAAGAAGTTCCAAGCGGACAAGCCACCCCCACCGAGAAAAAGAAACCCACACCCCGATTTCCGAAACGTACCTTCAATGTCCCACGACCGATCAGTACAAATGAACTTGCTGGTGTCAAGAGTTACCTGAGTTTTCGTGATGCTGTTCATAAGGGACCCTACTATTCTGTGCTTCAGTCGAGCAATTTGACCGATGACAAAGGAAAAGTGCACAAGCGGGCTGGATTTGATCCCTTCAATGACCAGGAAAAGTACACTGCAAAGTATCAGAGGAAGAAGCAGACTGTCCCTGATCTTAGTACGAGACAACATCGTACGTCCACTCCGATGACGCTGGGCAACGCTCATGATATTGTTGAACCAAACACTGACATTTGCACTGTCTAGTCCTCCACACCTTCCCACAAGAACTCTGGTCGACTCTAGATCCACAACGCAAAGACCCACTTTGGGCAACCGTCGAGAATGCAGCGCTCCTTGATGCACCACGGAAGAACTTGAAGCGCAGAAGAGAGGCCCTGCCGGAGGATGACGATGATGGCCGAAACCCGGCAGGATCAGACAACGAAGATGGAAACGATACAGACGCATCGGATCCTCTATTGAGTGGCTCTCGCAGACCACGAAACTCAACCAAGGCCGCAAAAGAACGACGAGACGACCCAACTACGAAGAAAGCACGAGAAAAGAGTGGACTGGATGCCGAAGACGATTACCCCGATGACGAAGGAAGAGACAATGACGACTTGGACGAAGAGAGAGATGGAGAAGACGAGCCTATGGATTCTGAATTCGAGGAGTCGGACGATGGCGGTGGAGATGATTACAATGCTGAGCAGTATTTCGATACGGGCGAAAATGACGATGATGACTTCGGTGGTGGTGGCGATGATGACGGAGGAACTTATTGAGGTTGAACCCCTGGTCTTACAATATTCGGACTTGATTATGACGGCACCTTCACGTGGAAAGTACCGCACTCGTCTTCAATATGCCATTGGCTTTTGTTCGCACCTAGGCGAACTGACGGCATCATGTGTCGTTCCGAATCAGCCTTTCGGGTCAACGTGTGAGCGGACTTGGGAAATTCCAGACCAGGATCTGTTTGATGTCGAGGACAAAACCATATGTCTCTGCACATATGAGGAAGATGGTTCAACTCAGACGCATTCTTGGCACCGAAGAACATGATACTTACAGGTTGAAAATCTATGCAACAGCGTTGGAGAAATGATGGAGCTGAGGCTGAGAATGAGCCTGAAAGCATGAGGAATATTCCTTCCATATCCCAAACCTCAATTTACCAAAACAGACTGGCAAATCCTGTCATATCAGATTTCGTTCGTACTAGTAGGAGTTGATAGGCTCTCTACGGTGGAACATTACGTTCTGATAAAGAAGAGCAAAAATCTTGACTTCCACCAGACTCTCCGACTCGTATCAATGATTAACAGTCTGCCCCCAGTGAAAGACTGGGTGACATAATGTACTAGCGCTCGTATGACATTATGTGTAGGTTTCAAAGACGACAACATGACTACAGACAACGGACAAAGCCAGGATGATAGATCCGCTCTTATACTGTTTGGTACCGAAACCGGAACTTCACAAGACATTGCTGAGGAAATCGGTCGATGCCTTGAACGATTACACTTCCAAACAGATGTCACTGGGCTCGACAACGTATCTCTCGGCCACCTGAGCCTCTACCCTAGTTGTCTTACAGTCTTTGTGGTTGCAACCACCGGCCAGGGCGATTTCCCAGACAATGCTCGCAAATTCTGGAAGAGTCTTCTCCGGAAGAAATTATCGCCGTCGACTCTTGCTGAAACGAATTACGCCGTCGTTGGTCTTGGTGACAGTTCGTATCCCAAGTTCAATTGGGCTGCGAGGAAGTTGGACAAAAGGCTACGGCAACTGGGAGCGACATCGATCATTGAGTCGTGTGAGGCCGATGAACAGGGCGACGACAGTACGGATGGTGCTTTCCTGGCATGGCTGCCCCAATTTCGAGATGTAGTCTTGAACAGGTTTCCCTTGTCCCCAGGTCAAGTTCTCATTCCAAACGACGTTCTCCTACCCAGCAAGTGGCGATTATCAGAGAGTACGTCGGGTTTTTCGAAAGCCCAGCTAACTCAGAATGGCTCACTAGGTGGTGTATCCTCTACTACATCTAGAGTTACGGATACATTCACAGCTACACTGGAGGTTAACGATCGAGTGACACCAGCAGACCATTGGCAAGATGTACGATTCATGACATTATGTACATCGGAACAGGTTGATTATTTGCCGGGGGATGCTTTGTCTATTTCCCCTCGAAATCTCCCCGTGGATGTTGCACTCCTGATCGAACGCATGGCCTGGGGACCTGCGGCCGATGTTCCTATCCATTTTGTTTCAACTAGGTCGCATTCAGGCCGACCCCTGAATTTTCTATCTGCAGATCCAATGTTCTCCCACCAAAATCTGACACTCAGAATCCTGCTCACGGAATACTTGGATATCAATGCCATCCCTCGCCGATCATTCTTCGGTGCTATTGCAAATTATACCTCAGACAGTATGCACAAAGAGCGACTGCTGGAATTCACCGACCCGCAATATCTGGACGAGTACTACGATTATGCCACTCGACCGAGACGAAGCATAATCGAGATTCTCCAAGAATTCGATACCGTGCAAATCCCGTGGCAGGAAGCGCCGAATATCTTCCCGACCCTGAGACCTCGCCAATTCAGCATCGCAAGCGGTGGAGATTTGAAATGGACCGCAAGTGGGCAGACAAAATTCGAGCTCCTCATCGCCATTGTAAAGTACAGAACAGTCATTAAGCGAATTCGCGAAGGCGTGTGCACGAAATACCTTGCACAGCTCCCGGTCGGGACAAAACTTGAAGTGTCTCTCAAGACAGAAGGCCGTTTCGCCAAATCGGATGACCTACTAGGTAAGAGCCATATTTTAATCGGAGCTGGAACGGGTATCGCACCGCTTCGAGCGCTGGTTCATGAGAAAATCGCCCGTGGTCATATCCTAGGAGATACGTCTCTCATATTCGGTTGTCGGAACCAGACAGCCGATTATTTCTTTAGTGAGGAGTGGAGCGCAATCACTGCTCAAAACCATACGACAGACGCAACGTCGTCCGCCGAGCGCTCCAGTCTCGAAGTGATACCGGCGTTCTCCCGTGATCAAAAATCCAAGGTTTACGTACAGGATCGGATTCGCGAGCGCTCAGAGCTCATATGGACGTTCCTGCGGGAGCAAGCTGCCACCGTGATTGTCTGCGGGGCGTCCGGCCAGATGCCCAAGGCCGTTCGCCAGGCACTCGTTGATGCACTAGTTGCCGAAGGGACGAAACGAATGGCAAAAGACTCGGGATCAGGGCACAATGGTGGCCTTGACGATGGTGAGGGTGAATTAAGAGACGAGCCAATTCAAAGCCAGCATGATGCAGAGGGTTATCTTGCCCGGCTGGAGAAGGAGGACAGATACAAGCAGGAGACGTGGTCATGATGGATATGATGCTGAGTGGAGGCCTGATATATGTCTGAATCAGCATCGTCTGCACTTCATCTCCATGGACTGCTCGGCACATGGCACCGAGACTAGCTCACGAGTCCATGCAATACGTCTGAAATGAAGGCATTGTTTCGGTTGATAAAGGCGCCCATCACATATTCACCATTTCTGGTGCGTCACATCGATCTCACATGGTATCACTAGACTCTCTGGAAAAGACTATATATAATGAAAAAGTGAAAAACTTCATTCATTTCGTTACATACATACACATACCTATATGTGCCCATCAATATGCGTGCCTACGCGCGAGCCCATACTTTTCCCGCGTTCGCATGACCACATCACCAACAGAAATGGCCGACTACAAACCCGCGCAAAAGAGAAAATGACGACGTGCTCCTGCAAGTATCTTAAAAAGGAAAATCAGACCTGCACACTCGTCTTATCGACACAAGAATTACAGCCACTCTTGCCGGCGGCGACCTGGCTTGGGGTGCGGGCGTAGCTGGGCGGGACGTCGAGGGCGGGATTGCGCAGGAAGAAGTTGCGCGGCCGCAGCAGCACCGTCATGGGCTCGGCGGGCATGACGGGGAAGTCCTCGGGGGCCGGGAAATGCGTCAATCCGAACGTGTGCCAGAGCACGATGTCCTCGTTCGCGATGTTCGCCGATGGGTTCGCCGCGATCCACGCTGGGAGGCCTGCCGAGGGCTCGCCCGAGGTTTGCGGGACGTGACGACCTGCCGGGTGGATTTGGGAGTCGTCGTCTGTTGAGATGGGAAGAAGGTGCTGTTAGTATTGCTGCTGCTTTGCTTGTAGGTGGGAGAGATAGAGGTGGGGATGGGACTTACATTTGGTGACGTGCACGGCGTGTCTGGCGAATCCGGCACGCTTCCACACCAGAGAGCCTTCCTTGGGTAGAAGGTCTGGAACCTCGCGGCTCACGAGCTTGTATGTCGAAGGTTTCTTACTGTACGGGTGGATCTTGTTCTCGTTGGAGATATCCCATGTCCGAGAGGTGCTTCCCTCGTAGTTGGCCTTGGCCTGGGTTGCTGTCGTATACTTTGTCTTCTTCGCGTAGAAGGCATTACCATAGAAGTTCTCCTCTGAGCCGACCTCACCGGGTCCTCGCTCCGCGTCGACCTGGAAGACGGTGTTTTTCTGGCCGTCGACGCTTGGGTCGATGCGCAGACAAAACAGGTGCTGGTGGTTGTGTGCGTTGACGCCGGGATAGACCTCGGTGCCCCAGCCCTTGGTGTCCTCGCCGGGGTTCATCGGATAAGTGTTTAGGATGCCGGTCAATTTGATCTCGAGCTGGATGGTCCCATCCTGGTGGAAGATCCAGTAGACGCAGTATTCGTAATTAGCGGCGGTGAAGATGTGGGAAATGATGAGCTTGCGGGCGCGGGTCACGATGACTGAATCGTCACGGAAGTCGGTGTGCTTGAACAGGATGCCGTTGTCCTCCTCGTGGATGCACACGGCGTTCTTAATCGTGCTGGCTGCACCGGCTCTGTTGACGAAATCGAAGTCCATGTAATGGATACTTCCTTTGCAGTCGCATCCCAGACTGAGTGAGTTAGTCATGTAGCCACCGCCGTACTCGCCAAGATCGAAGGCGTGCTTTCTTTGATGAGGATGCTCGGGGTTGCCGTATGGGACTACCATTTCCGCGAGAGAGAGTCTGTAGAAGATCGGGCGGAGTTTGTTCTCGTTTTTGTCAAAGTAGCTGATGTTGTTTAGGACAATTCCTTCTCTGTAGTTGAAGCCGATGTGGATTGACCAATTCTGCCACTCGATTGTACGGCCTTTCAGTGAAAAGCTGACGCCTTCAGGTTGAGTGATGTTGATGGGCTTCAGATCCGTTCTGAAGCCGCCCTGGGCTTCGATTGATTTGACGTCGTAGTTGTTGGGAGGTGCCTGGTTGACTGGGCGGCGGACTTTAGGCACATCGATGTGAATGATTTTCTGAAGATTCGAGTCGTAGATAGGGCAGAAATCTAAAGCATAGGAGTATTGAGAATCATCGACATGCGGGCGGTAATACATCAATGCTTGCTGTAATCGGACTGAGGTGCCAAATCTCTCATCGTACCCAATGGTCCAAGGATCGCAGTAGACCTTGTGCATGTCCTCACGAGGAATACCAATCAGAGCGCATTGCTCGATGACTCCGGGATCTGTGCGAACAATATGCTCCACGATCTGGAGATCCTCCATGGTGATCAAGGGCTGGACATTGGGAGTGGCAGCCCAGGAGATGACTTTCTGCTCGTTCAAGTCGACGTGACCATCGAAGACCTTACCGTCGGTGGAAATGACCACGATATCAGCAATACGATGAGGCGTCTGAGTGTGCTCGGGATCTGCCAGCCACTTCACCATTTGCTCCTTTGGGGGCTCCAAAAGAGTGACGGCATTATAATATAGCTTGCCATGCTGAGCTCGAAGAAGAGAGACAGCTGATTCAATCTCTAGGGCGGATAGAGGATCGAGTGGGTGAGGAGGGGAGACGGTGTTGGACACCTGTTGGGCCAATTGCTTCACCCGTTCAAGAACCATGATGATGACGACGAGACAGTATCAAGAGATTCCAGAGGATATAGGTACGAGTGATGGCGTGTCTGATATTAGGAGAGACGAACGGGAGTCAAGCTGGGACCTACAAGATTAAATAGGTGTGAGCCTCCTCACGATCGAAATAGGTAATGCTTTGCTTTTATCGGACGGAAGCTACAGCATGGCAATTGCCTGAACATGAATGGATGCGTTCCGCACTCACTCGGTATTCGATGTGGTTCATGGATTGAGTAACGATAAGATAAGGGTTCTGGAATAAGGACTCTCACTCGTGGAACTTTCGTGGTTGCTTTCCTCATCGCCGAGCTGGTCCAATTCTATGGCAATTTTACCCATTTTAGGCCTAGTTTCGTCCTTGATAGTCTTCATTGGTCAAGACTCGAGAGTCTCGGTGGACGAGAGTAGTCTTTGAGAAATGGCAAGTGACCACGAGCCGCAGTCGTTTTCATAATAACACGTTATCGCAATGTTGAATACAGACAAGTCAGACCCAAATTCAATAGTATATTTGTCCCATATATTGATAATTCCGTGGCATTCTATGGGTCCAGTATCCGATAACAGCGGCTGGTCGCATGGGTCGTCGAGACAAGCTTGGAAATGGGAAGCAATATGCAAGGCTCGGCTCAGACGTGGTAACCAAGACATGCGGTTCCTTGATGATTGGGCAGAGATGACGAGGCTGAGTCCACGTTCACAACTTCCGAGTTGTTGGGGGGTAATGCTCTTTCTCCGGATGATATTTGTCTATCCATATGTAGCATGACACCAAGCTGTTCTTCTGTCCTCTGAATATGTACAACTCTTTTCATTTCTCCATTTTTGTTGGCTGATGCTCTTGGTCTGGGTATCTCTGGCCCACTCCAGCACTTGGTGGTGAGCCGAAACATTGGATGCTTCAAGACTCGGGGATTTTAATGACCATCACCGTGGCCGTGACCATCACCATGGGCGTGTGTATCCTTGAAAAATAGCTGTTCAGCAATGACATAACCAGCAAAAGCTACTGTAGCAATGCCTAAGCCAGGGAACGATCCTTTGAACCGGTTGAATCTCGTGAATGGGCCACTGTATCTCCATGCTTCACTGCAAGCTGGTCAGTATAATCACCCATGGATTTCCATCGACAGGTGTCCTACTTTCGCACCCATGGATCTTTTGCTCTCCATTCTCTGCTTGTCGCGGCGTTGGTGAAGGCTTTCATGTCAAAGCCAGTGGGGTTGGGAGGTGCCATGATGATGTCGGAGTTGGGGAGTTCTGCGGAAAGTGAGGCTGGAAGCTTCTCACAGGCGCCAACGAGCCGTGCCTGACTGACCGTATTTGTTAGAGAACTGTCGCGTTCTAATTCTCGTGATGTAGCTTGACACTATGGCATGACGGCCTCATCTCGCAGTTCGTGAGGAGAAGGAAGGTGCAGTCATGATGCCAAGACTGCGCTTGGAGCTCGACATGATCCTCGGTTGTCTCTTTTTCACGAAGCGAAGTGCAACTTCTCCAGATTCAGTTTCGAGGTCTGTCTTGTCTTGTCACTCTGTCCCGCGCCATCCCAGTTCATACCCATTGACTCCTCATTATTGCCCAACTACACACACTTAATACACATACTCATACTGTCAATCTCTTGCGACCGTGGCCATGTCCTAGTCAGCATGAATCTCTCGTCCATGTCTTGCATTTGACAAGCTCTGTCCTTGATTCTCCCTAACCCATGCGCCCATTTGCGCGCGATGAACACATCTGATTCATTCTTCTTTACACCATCGTCCTAATAATGGCACCTCCTCGTTACTCCAACCAGTCCTTGAATGGACCCTACCACATCCAACAGAACCACCTCCAGTCGCACGGTGCCTCCCATCAGCATGGTGCCCTTCCTCCCCCAACCCACTTGGGCACACCTTCCTTCGGCGCCGGAGGGTCTTCCAACGCGAGCCCTTTTGCCCTTGCGGGAAACCTCAACAATGGCTTCGATCGCAGCATGCTAGACACGGGTATCTTGCAAGGCCAGATGGGTCAAATGGGTTTCCCTCGTGGCGGCCCGGTTCAAGCGCATCAAGGCTACGACGCTCTTGGTGGAGGACTTGACAATAAAGACGATGCCCGAATTCGAAATGTCTGGAAACACAACCTGAAGGAAGAGATGGCCACTTTGAGGCAGCTGGTCGATGATTATCCTTATATTGCTATGGTGACTATCCCTGGACACTACCTGTCTTCCTTCTGGACTCTACTAATTCTTCCTCACAGGATACTGAATTTCCGGGTATCGTCGCTCGGCCGATTGGACAATTCACCACCAAAGCAGACTATCACTACCAGACTTTGCGCTGCAACGTCGATCTCCTCAAGATGATCCAGCTCGGCATTACTCTCTTCAAATCTGATGGGTCACTACCTCCCCCCGATGCCGTCTCCTTATCCAAGTCTCAGTTCCACCAAAACCTCATTCCTACGCCTTGCACCTGGCAATTCAACTTCAAGTTTTCCCTTGAGACAGACATGTATGCACGAGAATCCACCCAGATGTTGACAAAGGCGGGCATCGATTTCGACCGTCATGCCAAACATGGTATAGATCCTAATGACTTTGGGGCTCTGCTCATCAGTTCTGGCCTTGTGCTTGAACCTGATGTGCATTGGATCTCCTTCCACTCCGCTTACGACTTTGGTTATCTGATGAAACTCATGATCTGCAAACCATTGCCCGAAGATGAGGCCCAGTTCCACAAATATCTCGAGAAATTCTTCCCCTCGCTGTTCGACATCAAATTCATCCTCAAGCATACAGGAGTCAAGGGCACCGTGAACAACAACCAGCCACTCACTCAAGAAGCCACCATGATGGTTCAACGAATCATGACAAAGTCAGGTCTACAAGATATCGCAGAGGAGCTCGCCGTTGCCCGAATTGGACAGGCTCATCAAGCGGGTTCGGATTCCTTACTGACGGGTCAAGTGTATTTCAAAATGAAGGAAAGGATCTTTAACGGAACGATAGAGGAAGATCGTTATCGGTCTCAAGTTTGGGGGCTCAATGCGCAAATGCCAAATTCAATGGCACCGCTCACTCGTGATTTTAACACTCCCAACATGAATGGTGCCACATTCTACACTCAGAATGGCACACCTACGACACCACAAACTGGCAACATCGGAATGGCTGCTGGCCCGTCTCACACCCCTATTCCAGCCCACATGGGTAGTATGACGCCTGGAGGATTTGGTAATTTTCAATACCAGAAGGCGATGAGCTAGAAGCCTCCATTTGAACACATGGGAAGCCACACCGGGATGTACATGGGCCCCAACACGAATGCTTACATGGGACGCTACATGCAAAAGTTCATGGGTAGCCCTGCGGAAAATCAAATGAGCAGATACAGAGGGAGCTACAGTGATGGGTATAGAGGGCCCAGACGACGGTCAACGCGAACATGGCCACCGCCACAATTTTAACCACACTGGTTTATGTTTTGCGTGGATTGGCTTGACTATCACACAACTTCTGGTATCTCTGTTCCCTTGTACGCCTTTGGCTGCCATGAACACACATCATTTAACCCTCCATGACCAGCCGCCTTAGGAATTTACTCTAATCCCCAGTTTTGTCCCTTTTTTGTAATCCCAAGGATGCGCCGGAGTTTGAAAATATTGTCACAGGATGATCGCACAGTGGGCAGGGTGCAATACGGTCGGGGCGCGAGCGTGGGATATTGTAGCACACTCCTGGAGTCATGGTAGAAGAGGTGTCACTTGGTGTACCTGGACTCGCTGTTGAGGCACTGGTGCGCAAAATGGTTTGGTCAACTGAGTGTCGTTTTGGAACGAAGTCCATTGGCAAAAGCATTGTAGGAATCTGTCAGTACCCTGGGTTATGTTGACCACACTCGACCATCAAATGAAAACCTTTCTTGTTATGTATTCAACACTTTGCTTATCACCAGCCAACCAATCCATACATAAGATCTCCCACACTGCTCACATGTCCTCCCTGCTGTTAGTAGATATTGCTTCATCAGTTGTCAAAGCATGCACTTCAATATCTAGGTGTATTGCGTCCAGTTAAATGTGATTTCAAGTCGGATCAAATAGCATATCTCCATAGAAGTGTAGCGTCGCGTGGTAAATTCTGCAAAGGTCTCATACATACCCCAAATCTGATCCTCTATTCACTACTCAGGTATCTAGTTAGGTACATTGCCCGATTGTCAATGTTGCTGCTTAACCAATGTAGGCACGCATGTAAACACCCCCTCCACAAAGCAATCTCTAAATCTCATCTCGTTTCATTCATGGATGAATGGTCATTCAAGTCCTGCTGGCCAGGTCTAGCCCTGACCGGGTCACGTTCGTTGTCATCGTAGCTCTTTCTGAGCGATGCTGATTTGCTTGCTCGTCCTTTCTGAGATGTTCGCTCATTCGTTGAGCGAGCCGCGGCGAGAATGCACTATTCCTTTTCAAACGAAAACTCGCTCGACTTTTCCAAGCGCGTCTTGCTTCAGGAGATCGGTGCTTGTTTCCTTTAATGGCTTGGTGCATGCCTGGCAATTCTATCAATGCCTCAAGCCATGCGGTTCAATAGTGGTTCTCGGCCAAGTAGGCTTGCTTCTGTCCAATCGGGTTGCTGGAACTGTGGCGTCTGGCGCGGTGTTCGTAAATTGTGTGACGGTGGTATTCATCTTCAAAAGAAAACTCTCCTCTCTTGAGCATATCTTCAAGATCCTAGATACCTCTTCCATCCCTCCCGATAGAGTGTCCTTTGACCCTCCTCTGAGACCCCCGGCTTCTCCCCGATTAGAAACCGTTCCCACCTGGCATCTCGTCCAGTGCCGAGACAGATGATTGTGCTGTTATCCGCCCAGCCTAGGATACCTTTTTGAGGGCGCGACGGAAGGGAGCCGAGGGCCGGGAGATATGAAAGGGTGGAGCCGTTGAGTCCGGTGGTTTCGTCGCCCATTTCGAAATGTGCGGACGCGAAGGAGTAGATGTCGCTAAACACGCGAGGGAGAAGAGGGATCTTGGACAGGAATCCCCATTTTTGATTCGTGCTGGTTTCTTCATCCGGGTTGGATGACACGTGGGGGGATTGTGAGCGGCGGTTCGTAGGGCTCAGAGGGCTTTTGGGTTGAGCGGAGTTATTTGATACTGGGAGGTCGAATACATGTAGGGTGGACTTGTCCGAGGTGACGGCCAACATGGACGAGTTGGGTGATATGGCGATACTGAAGATATAGGCTGGATCTACACCACGACGTAACTCCGCCACTTTGGCACAATTTGAAGTTGAGAAGACTCGGATCAATGTCCCTGCTTCACTGGCTGTAGCAAGGAGTTGTCCATCGGGACTCAGGTCCATCGCTCGTAGGGCAGAGGTATGCGCGGGAATGATGCTGACATTTCCGGAACCGAGTTCCACTAGTTGCACTTTTCCTGGAGAGCGGCCGGGGAATGCGACCAATCTCGACCCGAGGCAACTGAGGCCCAAAGGATTGTCCGCGGTCTCAAAGACGGCCGTCTTCTCGGGGGGTGAGGAGAATTTGTACAGGTGGAGGCTATTCTGAATTGCAATCGCTATCCATGATTTTGTCAGGCGGACTCGCAGGACTGCAGTCTTCAACTCGAGGGTGATTGCGACCTTTTGTTTGGCGTCGTCCCATATCACAACCTGAGGGATGTATCAGTCCGAGGCTGCGAGATGTCTCGTGTTCTTCAGGGAATACCTTTGTCTGTGGCCACCTGGGGTTCTTTCCACCTCCAACGAGTGCCAGATAGTTGTATCTTCCTAGCATTTCCGCCGTACCAACACCGGCGTTTAAGTCTTTATGTGTGTTAGGAATGGAGCCTTGTGCAAATGCGGGGCAATCGTTTACCTCTGGAGACTTTGAGCTCACATGGAAACGTATTGAAGACTGAAAATGAGAGATGGTGATTAGTACAAAGAGCATCCAGACCTTTGCTTGATGCTTCACTCACCACAAAAGCCTATGTCCAGACCAACAGCGAAACATGTAGCATCGTAGTTAAATGATGCACACAACGAGACAGGTCCCGAGGACTCATCGATGACGGGGCGAGTGTTCATGGTGGAGGTGTGAGACGGTCGTTTTCATGATGTGGTAGATGTGAGTAGGGATGAAGATCTCCGAGAACAGACGGAGAAAAGTTCGCTACGGATCGACATGGGATTCTTCCAGAGGTTTGGACAATGGTGATCTGTTTGTCGATGGTGTAGGTCCGGATCTAGTACCAAAGCCTGAAGGCCGCGGTGGTTGAATGGATGGATCGCCCGCAAATGCCAGTGCCTGTGTGACGAGGAACGTGTCCATCAAGCATGACGCAGAGCCTCGCTTATGGCAGAAAGTGAGCGGTGTGCATGGGGCCCTAAAACGTTAGCATGCTGCCTGCCACCATCCGGGCCTAAACTACCCGGAGGTTAGCATCCATCAGCCTTCAATTTGGGCGAGTTTAGCCTAGGGTGCCTACTGTCTAAGTAAGCGATTAGTTAGGCTCCTCCCATGGAAATCCCAGAATTCCAGCTTGATCGGAACAGTGGATGATCCCCACTTCCAGCTACCAAATGACTTAACCATGCATCACACTTCCTCAAGATCCAGACCTGTATCCATTCAGAAGTTTATCATCAAATGGTGCATGCCTGCGGGCTGATGACTCGGATCTTCATCCTCTACCAGATTCGCCTTTGTGGCTGTGCAAAGTGACCACCAAAGAATTTTGAAAAAACGATGTCATAAGCACCCTTCTGCCCACGCGACCTGATAAAGTCGTAAAACAGCTTGAAACCCTGGCTCTTTCATAGTCCCGAAATTTCCATCGGTCTTCCATGATTCTGACCAGCTACCTTCGTCTCGCCCAGTAGATTCCGCCCAGGACGTCTTGCGTTCCATCATGAGGTGAAATCGTCAACCATCGATCCCGGATAACCTTGGAATCCGCAACGAGCCATGTCTTTGAAAGCAGATGACAGCCTCGATAGTGGCCAGAAGTCGCCTCAACCATGGAAGTCGACAGAACCTTGGGTGCACGCCTCTGTGCCACCAGGTGCCTTCCCTGTTTCTCCCAACACCCCAGCTAATCCTGGTGTATCGGGACACCAGTCTTTATCAGCCGCCGTTAAAGCTCGGCAAGACCAGTACATCCGAAAAAAGACTATGAAAATCAAGATTGGCACCTGGAATGTGGCTTCAATCAGCGGTACTGAAAAAGACCTTGGTCCCTGGTTTATTGGGGCATATGGGGTCAAAGGGCTTTCGCAGGACCTTGCTGGTATCGCCGTCGAAACTCAACCAGATGGAACTTACAACCATCATGAGATTGAGTCAGTAGAGCAACAGGAAGCCCGAGTGGCGAGAAAGAAGACTACTTTGCCAAAAGTGGATGTCCCGGCAATTGAGCACGATGAAGATATCGATCTATATGTGTTGGGACTGCAGGAAGTCATAGACGTTTCATCCATGACAGAAGCTGTCAAACCTTTCACCGATCCAAACCCAGCCAAAAAGTGGAAGAAGGCGCTTAAAAGTTCCTTACCTGCCGGCTATGAGAAGATTGCCGAACAACAATTGCTGGGCCTTCTGATTCTCATCTATGCTTCGCCAGAGTTGGCTCCTACAATCAATTCGGTCAGTACAGCTAGCGTTGGCACGGGTTTGATGGGTTATCTCGGAAACAAGGGTGCGGTCTCAGTCCGCCTGATGATAGGGGAAACGACGAAGATGTGCTTTGTCAATTGTCATCTCGCTGCGGGAGCAGATCAGACTGCCTTGAATCGACGGATCTGGGACACAAGTCAAGTTCTTGCCCGAACGAAATTCTCACCCGTTACTCCTGATGGAGAAGTCACCAATGAAATAGAAGAAAAGATAGGGGATGAAGACTTCGGATTCTGGTTTGGTGACCTCAACTACCGACTAGATGATATCCCGGGCGAGGATGTCCGGAGACTACTCCTGCTACATACTCGGAATGAGTACGATGTGGCGAATAAATCCAAGCGCCGCATTGATAGCGAACTGGGCTACTTGTCTGCACCTTCAACCGAGTCTATCGTGTCTCACAAGCATTATGAATACAGCGATGTGGAACTGCCTGCCTCGGAAAGCGCCGCCGAACCAGCACTTGACCCAAAGTCTGATCCAGCTTCACTTCATACCACCATTCAATCCCTCTTGGCCCACGATCAATTGCGTGCTCAACAAAAAGCGCAAAAGGCCTTTCACGAAGGTTGGAGAGAAGGGGAGATCAATTTCCTACCAACTTACAAGTATGACGTTGGTAGTGTTGGCATGTTCGACTCAGGAGAGAAGAAGCGAAGCCCAAGCTGGTGCGACCGAGTTCTGTACAGGACACGCCGAGATCGAGAAATATATGAAGAGAAGGCGAAGCGATTAGAAGAGGCCCGGAAGAAAGACGAAGCCATGAAAGCTCGTGGCATAGATGAGGCAAATGCGGAACAAGACGTGTTATTCGACTATGATCCAGACACTGATGGATTAGCGTATGGGGATGACTATGATGACTACGATGAGGAAGAGGACGCCATACACGACGCTGAGCTGGTCCGTACAAGGGAGGAGTATGGCGACCCAATTGAGCTGGATCATTATATTTCCCACCAAAGGGTCCTCTCCTCAGATCACAAACCCCTCTCGGCCGTTTTCACTCTGACTTACGATGCTGTAATCCCGGAACTCAAGGCAAAAGTTCATCAAGAGGTTGCACGAGCTTTAGACAAGGCAGAGAATGAAGGGCGTCCGGCGGTCACTGTGGTAGTTGACAATCATCCTGAAGACACAAGCTCAAACGCTGACGATACGGCAGACATGAGTGCCGTCCAATTCGGCCGAATTCGATATGGTGAGAAAAAGACAAGAACTGTCACCGTTGCCAACACAGGACAGATCACGGCGACTGTGGCTTTCGTTGAACGACCTTCGGAAAACGGCGAGGAAGGGAAGATTGTACCATCGTGGCTTAAGCTTTCGATGGAAGATGAGACCAGCGTGAGTTCGGGGCAGGATGGGACGAAGCCTCCTACCGATTTTACTCTTTCCCCGGGTGACACGACCGTTGTGAACCTAACAATCGACATATCCGATGGTCAGCTCGTGCATGACCTGAATACGGGTGATTTACGACTTGATGACATTCTGGTTCTGAGGGTTACGGACGGAAGGGATCACTTTGTCCCTGTCCGTGGTGTCTGGTTACAATCATCATTTTTCCGGACTCTCGACGAGCTAGTTCTTGCCCCAGAAGGTGGTGTCCGCAAACTCGAAGATTTACGGAGGCAAGCATCTCGGGGTGGTAGTGACGCACATCACTCTGCCCCAAAAGAGTTGTTTTCATTGACAGAAGCTATTCCCAGTCATACAGAACGTTCAATCGCCGACTGGTCAATGCTACACGGAGCGGACACTCCACCATGGCAATATGAAGGAGTCGGCGTTTCTTGGCCTTTCAGCTCCCAAACATGGACATTCCACCAAGGTGAAGAACGAACTGAGTATCTTCTACGCTTACGAGAGGCATTAGACACTGCACAACCACTCGAGGAGAGCTTCGGTGCAGACGTTGCTTGTATCGTCAGGCTAGAAGTGCTTGCAGAAACACTCCTGGAGTTTCTACGCTCTCTGCGAGATGGGATACTGACCCCAGATGTATGGGCAGATGTGGAACAGAAGTTGAGCGCGGCCGAAAAGGGAAAATCACAACCGACACTGGAAGAGATACAGGATATGGTTATGGACTCGATCTCAAGATCTCCCGTGCACAGTGTCTCACTGACATTCATTACCTTTATGCTCATGCGACTCATCAACGAACTCGTGCCCTGTGGAAATCTTTCCTTAAATTCCGCCGCACCGACATCACCCAATCAGTCTCGAAGATCAAGAGCATCCACTCTGTCAAGCGAGTCAGAACCAACCTCTCACTCCGGGCAAAGCACCCCCGGCCGACGTAGTCTCTTTGCACCGTTACGACGACGCCGGACCCAGAGCATCTCGACATCATCAGAATCGGCAGCAGATCCGGAAATACCCTTGCACCAACGTCGGCATCAACTCATCCAAGCTTATACTGAGATTTTAGCCCCGATTGTGATTAGGTCAGAGAATGATGCAAGTGTGAAAGGACGGGAAAAGGCGACACTGGAGTTGCGCAAGAAGCGGGTGTTGGGGGCGTTTCTGGATGCTAGACATATATGAAGCGACACGAGCAACTCGCGTCAGAACATTGTCAACGACAAAATTCATACTACTTAGTACCTTCGTCCACAGTTTTTTTTCCATATCACTCATGCTGCATTCGACATGGAAGGTCGTGTAAAACTTGAGTGCTTACGTATGATAAGCTCTCTGCCAATTCTATCTACCATGGGTCACTACTGATGATCCTGCCTTTATTCCCGAGTAGGAGACAAAGCACTACATAATCAGTCTCTGCCAATTCACGCCGTTCCGAGATATAATTCTTTCTCGTCAACTCAAGTAGTGGAAGACCCAAATAATTTAACGAACGTTGTTCAAAGGTGCAGCTGGTGGTGGACCTTCGGCCGTCACATAAGCCTTGCTCAACCCACCATCGACAACAAACTCGGTGGCATTGACAAAGCTGCTCTCATCACTCGCCAAAAACAAAACGGCCTGGGCCTGCTCAATGGCTTCTCCAAAGCGGCCGCTGGGGAAATGGACTTCTCGACGATGCCTCTTCTGCAGATCATCGCCCAACCAGTCCTGCAACAACGGGGTGTTGAGGGGTCCTGGACACAGCGAGTTGAATCGGATGTTCTCGCGTGCGTGGACGATGGCCAGTTCGCGAGTCATGGCCAACACGGCACCCTTGGAGGCGGTGTATGCAAGCTGCGGGGTGGCGGCACCCATGAGGGCGACGAAACTCGCCACGTTGATGACGCTGCCGGTCTTCTTCTGGTGGCGGCGCATGCTCAGCACGGCGTGCTTGCTGCCGTACCAGACGCCCTTGACGTTGATGGACTGGGTCAGGTCCCAGATTTTCTCGCTCGTGTTGATGGCGTCGTCGTCCTGGGCGTGCATGATGCCGGCGTTGTTGAAGATGATGTCGATGCCGCCATATTGATCTTGAGATTCGATGGCAGCGGCGACGTCGGATTCCTTGGACACGTCACATTTGATGGTCGAGATGCGAGGCGACTCTGGGACTAGTTCTTTGACCTTCTCGAGTGCCTTGGCCAGTGCGGGCTCGGAGATGTCGGCCATCAGGACAGAGGCACCCTCGCGGGCGAACAGGATGGTGGTTTCCAAACCAATGCCTCCGGCGGCACCGGTGATGATTGCATTTTTGCCTGCGAGGCGTCCTGGTCTTTGTGTTGTGGCCATCCTGTCAACGGGCTTCTTGTTGTGATATCCGATAGCGATAGCGGGTCGATGCGATGCGATGCGGGTTTTATCAGCCAGATAGACTCCTGGACCGGAAAGTGTGCTTGCTGATGTCTTGGGGAACAAAAATTGATGTCAATTGAAACAAAGTAACCCAGATCCGATGACAAGTCTCACGGTGATATCAAAGACGAGTCACCTGGACAGATTCGACCGACTCCCATCAAAAATTCGGATGTGGAACCGCATTATCTAAAGCAGTATCACTATCCAGGACGACGACGGCCAATCATCCAATCAAGCAGAATTGCGAACAGCGGATTCCAGTCGAGGGCGTGGAAACTTAAGCTTCGCCCTTCCACATGGCTTACCTAAGGTGGTTCGAGTTGGATAATAGGAATCCGCGAAACGGGGGACTGCTATCCACTGATCGGAGTTGGGAGCTGAAGTGATAGGCAATGATGATGACCAGGATGCCGGCCGTTTGATCGATGATAAATGATGATGATCACCGGCACTCACAGCCTTGCGTCACGGCACGGCTGGCAGTTTGGATATTTTGAATTGCTTTCATTTCCAAACTTAGCAAGACATCCTGGATTCCTCAGACTCAGGCTTAGCTATTTCATTTATGTTCTTGATTGTCTGAATTGCCTAGGTCCTCGGCCTCCGCATACCGAGATGCATTGTTCTTATCTCTACTGCCTGATGGCTGGTGTGATGAATGTAACACTAGGCCTTTACTAGGACAAAGACACCGCACAAAGGGAGCTTCAATCTGGAAAGTTGGACGGGATTGCCCCCCTTCTGCCCCTCTCCTTCCAGGCTTCAGGGGAGCTTATCGACTTATCGGTGGCTCCACCATAGCTTGGTCCTTAACCGAACTTACTGGTAGATACCTATGGAGATACCTAACTGCTCCCTAACAAGAACGCCACTTACGCGAGCCTCCCAGGCCTTCCATGAGCTTACCTCCCCGCAAATACAACTGCTCCATCTTTGCGGCGTAGATATGCACACACTTTCAATACCTGCTGGTTGATCCTTTCCACCTTCAAGTACCTGTATATTTCTGGACAGTACATCTCGTATCCTACCCTCATAATCGAAACCTGTGCCAAAATCAATATGGGCAGCAAGAAGGAAAATGAAATCCTGACGCTGGATCAGCTGCAGACCGAGCTGGCAGATGACACAAAGATCAAACTCGCCGGGATTGATGTTGACGGCACGCGCCCATTCAAACCGGTCCTGCCTCACATGCTAATCTATTTTTTCCAGGTATCCTACGCGGCAAATTGATGTCCAAGAAGAAGTTCCTATCCGTAGCAAAAGATGGCTTCGGCTTCTGCAGCGTCACCTTTGGCTGGGACATGCACGATCAGACCTACTTCCGAGAGCTTGAAATCAGCAACAAAGAGAATGGGTACAAGGATCTGATCGCAAAGGTCGATCTCTCGAGCTATCGCCGAATACCCTGGGAGGACAATGTGCCCTTCTTCCTCGTCAGCTTCTATGATGGAGACACCGACAAGCCCATCAGCGCTTGCCCAAGGAGTCTCCTGCGAACCGCTGTGGCAAAGCTGCACAAGGCCGGCTACGGCGCCATGGCGGGTGCCGAGTACGAGTTCTTCACTTTCCGTGCTCCAAAAGATGATACCTATCAGAGCAAACATGCCTCTTCATCTACAACGGCTCCGTTTTTGCAGTCTAACCCCGTCAATGCTCTTCCTCATCTCACTCAGGGAATGTTTGGATACTCGTTGACGGACCCCATACATAACCAGGACTGGTTCTATGGGATATGGGATGCATGCGAGAAATTTAAGTGCAACATTGAAGGATGGCACACCGAATCAGGCCCGGGCGTGTTCGAGGCAGCCTTGGAGTTCGGGGAGATCACAGAGATGGCCGATCGTGCCAGTCTCTTCAAATATGTCGTAAAAGCAATCGGCAGCAAACATGGAATCACACCTTCATTCATGGCAAAACCAAAAGAAGGTCTTCCGGGGAATAGTGGCCACGTCCATTGCTCGATCGTGGACAAGTCCGGGAAGAACCTCTTTTACCGTGGAGAAAGAGATCCGAATCCTCCGTACCCAGATCTTGAATACGTCTCGGACCTAGGACGACAGTTTCTGGCTGGCTTGCTGGAAGGTCTCCCAGACGTGATGCCAATTATTGCCCCCACAATAAACTCTTATAAGCGTCTTGTGGAGAATTTCTGGGCCCCAGTCACTGTTTCTTGGGGCCTTGAACACCGAGCCGCATCGATCCGACTCATCGCACCACCAACAGCATCGGCAAAATCTACACGATTCGAGATTCGAGTCTGTGGCGCCGATTCCAACGCCTCGCTCGTCCTGGCTACAATTGTCGCGCTGGGATGGCGAGGAATCGAGAAGAAACTCGAGATATCAATCCCACCTCTTGGCAAGGGCGACGAGGTCGGCAGCTCAAGCGACAAAGGTGAACGCTTGCCAAAAAATCTCAAAGACAGCACCGCGAGATTCATGGCCGAGGATAGTATCGCACGTGAGGTTTTTGGAGACGAGTTCGTCGATCATTTCGGCGGCACGCGAGAGCATGAGCTGCGGTTGTGGGACGAGGCTGTGACCGATTGGGAGGTAAGGCGCTACATCGAGACCGTATGACGAGAACAAAGCAGTCGTTTTTATTTCTTCCGAATTTTGTTTTGGCGGTGGTGTTTGTGGGGAGTTTGATCCTGTGCATTTGGTTTTGACTCACATTGTCAGCGTGTACACGCCTCAACATTGACTTTGTGTTTTATTGTTCAGGGGTATTAACAATAGGTCGCGATGCCAAAATTGGAAACATGTTTCTCCAATAGACAACGAAAAATCACACCTTCCTTTCTTTCAAGATTTTGTGTGCTACACTGCAACTGAATGCTCTTGCTTTGGCGCACAACATTCACATTAAGGTCGACAACGCATCCGAATTGCTTCCCATCATACTCCCACCCGATCGATGAATCGAATATGAAATTTCAAGGATGAATTGCTGAATTGGCAGGTAAACTTCTCACTTCACTACAACTCGACGATGGTTTTTTCCCATTCAAGCGTATTGTCTCCCCATTGTTCACAACATCTACCAAACGCCAATTCCTCCCCAGGAATAACCATACATTCGCTCCCCTTTGTGCGAATGCCATCAATGAGGATGCAAATTTTGGCAACAGCCTTGTTCCCCCTTTCACCCATCATGAGCCACGGCTATAGCAATCCTCTCTCTCTCCCTCTCCCCTCTCACCTTGTTACATGATCTATTTTTGGAGACCTCCCAGTGAGTATATCTGAACTCTCCATTCCAACCCGTGAAATGAAGATGTCCATATTGAATTTCAACATACTGTGTTCGCAATACACAATCTTTCCAGAGTTTTTCACGAGTTTTCGTTACTCACATTTCCTTGTTTCTCTATTCCATTACTGTCTTACCAATCTCGTGTTTTCCTTGAATTTTATCGAAATGCGTCCCGGAAGTCGTCCAAGGAGAGAAGTGAAGCTCACTCAACGCCGGCGCGAGGCTGAGGAGGCTGGCCTTCTCAGATCCGCCAAGGTCACCAAAGCCAAAGCAGCCAAAGCGACCAGAACGGCCAGAACGGCAAAATCGGCGCCTAAGACGACTGGTAATGATGAAGATGATGACGAAAATAATGGTAATACCGAGGAAGCAGAGCAGGTCTCTGCCCCTTCAGCCGCCGGTAGGGTTTTGAGGGTCAGAAAGCCACACCAGCAACTCAAGAGACGAGGAAAGCAGAGAGGACCACCACCGCGTATTGATGTCCCTCTGACTCGCGCTCAACGCCGCGCCAGGGATACATTGGCTAATATTTACTACGACATCGATAAATATGCCACCCGACCTACAACCCAAGACTTCACCGCCAACGAGAAAAGGGCTTCTCAGAAGGAGGCGGACGCCGTTCACACTGTTCTCCGTCAGGCGAGAATGATTCGCTCTCTTGATCAGATCTCCATTGACAAGCAAGGGCTCGTCGTCAGCTTGCTCCATGGTTTCGAAACAGCAGATAAGCATGTGGCAGCCGCTGTGGCGCTAGGGACTGCTGATTGGTCTCTGGATGCTGTCTTTCAGGGTAGGTTCAAGGAGTTCTTCGGTCTGCCTAGCCCCAATCTTTCAATTTTGAGTATTTGTGCTCATTCCAAGACCTTCAGAGATGCCCTATTCAGACAGGATGCAGACAGTGTCGAGCAAAGGTTGCCAGCTTGGGGTGATCTCCTTGGCTTGATCCAAAAGAACACTTCAAGTCTTGAGCTCTTTGCCGAGGTCAGGGCTTTGCCGTGGGAGGCCGCCCTCGACCAAGCAAATGACCATTTCGCGTTGCTCCTCAAGCATGTCTTCATTGGTGCTCACAGCATGACCAACGACGCCACTCCCAATCGCGATTCCATTACGAGTGAGAAGAACTTTGGCATCAAGCCTGATGATGAGAGCGTGGTTCACGTCATCGACGGCGACAAGAGAAATCAAGGTCTTTGGACATTGCAATTGAATCCGACTCACAAAGCCACGAGGAACAACGCCACCGTGGTGGTCACGGATGAGACGGTGGACGAATTCAAATCGATTTTCAAGGACAAGCACCCGAATTTGAGATTCGATGACGAGATTGATATCAACCAAGAAGCCATCGAGGAATCGGTCGTCCTCGACGGCTACGAGGAAGCTTGGTCTGACTGGCTCCAACCGATTGGAAATCAACAGACTATTGAACCTCGGTTTGACAACTCAAAGTGCAAAGTTTGTGGTAAGAAAGGTACTCAAAGGACAAAGAAACAGAGGATCAGAGTATGTACGTGTGATTTCGTGGATTTACGAGACCACCGTGGCTTGGGAAACGTGCTCTTCGAGTTGGTGGAGACCGGGGTCCTGGGGACTGGGGTTCGAGCCTTGCAGGATATCAGCAAGGGGGACCCAATCGCCGAATATGTAGGAGAGATTTATCCACAAGTAGGGGATCGATACGGTTCTTCGAAATATGCATATATTGCCGACATTCCAGAAGACTCGGATCCTACCCAAGATGAAGCAAAATATAACATCGATTCCATGCGATCTGGAAACTGGACAAGATACATCAACCACAGTTGTAACTCCAATACCAAGTTCGGGTATATCAATCTCGGGCATCTGCGATGCGTCCAGGTCGGAGCCGAGAAGAACATCAAGTTCGGTGAACAGTTGACGATCGATTATGGTCATCAATACTTCCAATGCTCACCCTTTGGCTGCAAATGTGGGATGGCATGCTGTACGAATTGGATTGAGAAAGCATTTCCGGACGCTCCCGAGAACAAGCTAACGTTGAGAGATGCAAAAGCGAAATTGAAGGCCCCAATTTGGGCCATGAAGGATGACAATGTACCCTACAATAATCCACTCCCAAAAGCAGATATTAAACTGCCCGAGGGCGTCACAATGCCTGAGTACACAGATACAGAGCCCGAGCTAGCATCCATTGCTGAAACGCCCGAGTGTCCAAAACTGAGAGCGAGCAAGAGAAGGCAGGCTGAAGATGACGGACCTCGTCGGAGCAAGAGGCAACGTTGTTGAGGCGAGCGACTAGATCATTAATGTAACAATAATGATGCCGATGTGCAAATCTTCAATATATGACCCATTTCCTTTATTTTCCAGCGAGCCGTACTGGTTCTTGATAGTGGTTTCCTACTCACAGAGATATCAACAGCAAACTGTGCAGAGAAGGGCTGGTAGATCACTTCAATTACGGCGAGAACAGCACTTCTCGGCACCGCATATGGGCATCAGCAAGTGATTGCAATGACGGTCTCCTTAAGATCATCACGCTCCGATCGAGTAAGACGCGACTTCTTTAGATCTCACCGTCACCTAAACGCTCTGAAGTTGGGCTCGAGAAAATGACAAGGAGCGAGTCCATAGAGGTCAAGGTACGAGCTGGGAAGAGGCCCCCCTGGTGAGAAATCGTTTTATCTGATTGTAGCTGCCATGACTTTGAGGAATAGTTAAGCGGACTTCGTGTCGTATCTGTTATGTCCTCAGCCTTGTATAGTCTTGGCGGCACGTGCAAGGCTGTAATTGCATTACTCCAACTTTTTGATAGCACTGCATAGGCAATTCCAGCTGTGTCGCATCTTTCATCACTTGGCCCATCTCCGCTCAGTCGTCACATATCGACGCATGGCACTGCAGTGCCCTCATCAGCACGTGTCCTACGCAACATGGCGTCTGCAAGTCATTCGTTCTCTTATCCGTTCCGAAAGCCAAAGTCTGGCTGCGCTCTCTCCCTCCCGTTCAGCATGGTGGAAACGCGATTATAGGACGTCTCAATACCTCCGGGAAGATCGATCAAACCAAAATTCGGGTCGTTCAACTAGCGAGCCAAACCCCTCTGTCAAGCCTACTGTCAAGAAGTCTACTCCCCCGAATCCTTTCGATTCTGAGGGCATCGATCGTCTACAAGATGCTCTTGCGGAGGTGAGGGTCTTGCACCAGCAGAGGGTTGAGAAAGAGCCCGATCCCAGGAAAGGTCCGCAGAAAAGCCAACCAATCATCTATGAATCACCGGTCAAACGAATACTTGAGAGATCAGCAGCCCGGAAGTCTCACAAGAGACAGCCAAACCAGGAAGAGAAGGCATCCTTATATGACAATCTTTGGGCACGCATTCTTGCCACCCCCATCAGGTCATGCTTCAGCAGCGGCACGAGATTGCCCATCGCTCTCTTAAGTGACTGGGATGTCGTTCAAGAGCCAAAGACCAAGTCAATGTACTTGATGCCGACAGGATTGGCAGATCTGGACGGTATGGAGAAGAACATGGTAGACGCGGTGCGGAAGGAGGCATGGATACGTGAACCGAATTCACGGCAAGCCCTCGAACAACGTGATATTACCTCTAAAAGGGATGAAAGTGTCTCTGAGAAAGACTCCGACATTGAATATGTCAAGCCTGATAAGAAAGCCAATCCCGTCCTCTCATTCGCGAAATCCCGTGTCTTCATGTATGTCAACTACCTTCGATACCTTACAATCATGCTCGGTAAGCAACGACCCCCGACTGGGGAGAAACGCAACCAGGCAATGGAGTATAATGCTGCTCGTCTGTTGCATCCCAGGAATAGAGAAAAATTTGGGCTAGCTACTCACTACGAGCGCAACAGGGTGGACGTTGCTATGAAAACAGGCCAGATCGAGAAGCCACCTCCTGACTCTGAAAAATTCCAATTTCAGCACCTAAAGTGGCAACCAGAGATCAGCGAACGCTTGACCAATATTTTGCAGAAGCGAGTGGTGGTTGCCTTGCGGGAAACGATTCGAGTGCTCAACGAATCTGATCGAAAGCAGCACGAGCGAATCGTGCTTCCTTTGGCCATACCCAGAACTCGCTCACTTTCCGTCATAAAGCGTCACGGCTACCGTGAAGCGCTGTTCGCTCAGCTCAAGGCTCAACTAGGCGAGACAGATGGCAGTAAGCAGGTAGAAGGCTCTACGAACACGGCTACTTACCCTGATTTCGATGAACTGGTAGAAGGGCCACCAATCCACGAAGGCCAAGCGCCACAACCTCCTCCCTCATGGCTGGCTGGGAGTATTCTACTGCACATCGGCCGAGGCGATATCGAACAGCTTCTCAACTCCGAGAGCAAACCCACACCCGCATCACCATATCTTCCTCCACTACCCAAGAATAACATGATTCCAACAATGATACCAGTGGCTGGCGCTTACCGTCTGCCAGTCTTCTCTGTACATCATCTGTTCGCGAGGCCACCCAACGACACTCGACCCGCCCATCCGGAAGCCAGTGCCGACCTCAGCGAACTAGCCGACATCATCAACACCTGCCCATCATTCAATTTCGCATGGCCACCCGTCATGCCGGCCCTCCCACTGTACTCTCCCACGGGCGACGCCGCGCTCCAAGGCCCCGAAGACTTCCTGGTCCTCATCAAAGCATTCCCCGGCGGGCCCAAGACCCTGATCGAAGAGATCTGGCGACTGTGGCGATACATCGGCGGGCGCGCATACGGCCACGAGCCCGTCTTCCACGACACAGCTTTCCGTGGAGACCCTGTCCCGGAAGAAAGCCTCGACGAGCCAGCCACAGAGAAACTCAACGTTGATGTCACAGAGGAGCGACAGGTCGTCCCGCGCGCAGAGACACACGGTCCCATAAGGAGTCTTCAGCAGCAACAACAGAATAGTACACTGACAAGCGGCGCACCCGCATCGTCCACACCACAATTGCACTCTGCATCACGACCATCGATGTCCTCCTCGTTCGGCCTCACCATGTCGCGCAAGGAGTTCAAGACCTGGCTGGGTGACAAATACCCCGCTGCGCCGGATGCATTGGTGCGTTATGAGCCTTTGTGTAAATAGTTATCTATGGGCTGGGGGTGTCAAGGAAATACGACCTATGGAGATACATATACACGTGTAGGATTAAATGTAAAACCAAGGTATACTTCAGGGCATATATTAGAGTGGCCTCTCATTTCGACTCGGGACATAAATGATACAAAGGTTGAGGAATGTTTTCATTGTATAGACTGGCGCACTGCGTCATATGAGATACAGTCTACGCCAGGTAGATCTTTTCTTCCCATCTTCATATCCTGTGAGGCGAAGGCAAAAATATGCCCAGCCAATAGTTGCTGTGTACCGCCAACGTGATCGGTCAACTCATTTCCTCCGCGACTTCGATCCGGCCAGCCTCTCTCCGGTCCCTGCATAAATAGCCCTGGGCTGGATACTGTGAGATAAATTCCTGAGGGGAAATATGGAAAAATGCAAGGAAAGTAAACTCCGACGCTTGTCCCTGCGCACTCTCATGGCGACGCTAATAAACAGAAAAGAGGAAGCTCTTCCTCGTTGCACCTGTGACCTGGAGGGTTACTCATTACGCTTTCAGGATTGCGAAAGTGTCGATCCTCCCCCTTCTGGGGAAAGTGGTGAGAGACTGTGGTTGACTCTAGCTGACGCGATAAGCATCGTAGATGACTATTGATCGGGGTCCTCTTTAGCATGTGGCCTTCACGTTGAGAAATGGAATGTGATTTCATATGTATGTGGGGGCAGGAGATCTCACCTTCACCCGAGCGTCGACACCCACTTCCAATCCACATGCAAGCATTTAAGAAGGTGTATCTCTCGTCGCCGGTCTCAAGCTCGATGGACATCCGGAACTTGTACTGATTGGCAGGAACTTGATCTGCTTGGATGTTGTCATTTAAGCGTTCAAGGACTTCTTTGTTGCCAGTCCGCCAGCCCTTTGATCTCGCGGTGATGTATGCTGGGGGATCATCGTTGGTCTGCAGGAGATATGTGGCATCGATGCGCGTGGCGAGATCTCGGACGACCAGTTGGTTGTCTTGGCCTCCGGGCTGAGAAGTTGTTAGTCATATGGATCGACATGGAGAGAGAGGTTGAGGTGAGGGATATGTCTCGACTTACAATGATGATGCCTTTGCCCCATCTTCCTGCCCATTGTCCTCCCACAATACTGACCCAATCGCGATGTCCGTACAATGCAGAACCGACCGATATCTTTGGATTGAGCTTGATGCTAATGCGGAAGTCCAACTCAAGGGTTGGAGCAGGTATCTGAAGAGAACGAGCAACATCTCCCTCGTCAAAACGATGAAGTAGATTGTTGGCAGGTATTGATTCCTTCATGACGTTCTGGTATGTGGCACATTCCAACAGATGTTGTCGCTGTCTGGAAGTGTTCTTTGCACGGATCTGATTGCAGTAAATGCATTGGACCGACAGACACTTGTCCTCGTCTTTGGCTCGGAATTCCACAAAGGCAGCGTGGACATCGTCGAGAGGGGGTGCTGGTAGGTTCGAACCCGGAGTGTTCTTGGGAGTCTTCTGTGGCTTTGGAGTGGTGCGTTGTAGGGGAGTCGAACTTGGCCCTTGGGGGGTCTGAGAGGCCATGGACGAGGTACCATTTGGAATAGTCTGCATGGGGGTGGTGTGAGTAGGCAAGCCATTGCTCATGGCACCATTTGTGTGTTGTAGATTGTTAGGAGTGCCGAAGCCATTGGAGGTAGTGCCCATGCCATCACCGGAGGACTGAGGACGAGGGGCATTGGGATGGTTTTGTAGGCCGGGACACTCGAGCAGGTGTTGTTTTTGACGGGAGGTGTTCTTTGCACGGATTTGTTGACAATAGATGCACTGCACCGACATGCATTTATCGTCCTCTATGTGGAGTCAAGTCACCTTGGTCAGCTAACTGTACAAAAGTCGGAACTTGTAACTCGTGACAGTAACGTGTATAGTACAGTCTGATACTGGGGATGACCATTACGATACTGAACCGCGCTGACTGACCTTTGGCTTTGAACTCGACAAACGCCGCGTGAACGTCTTGATCGATGGTCCGTCCCATGTTTGATGTCTGCGATTTTGGAATCAGACCTTTTGTCACTAGGTCTTTTCACTTGTCACGAAGATGATGTTCTCGAGGACGATGGCTTGAGGTTTCGTGTACGGGTTGTCGCAGTTTCCAGCTCACGCGGTTTCCAAGCCTCGACCAATTCGGGTTAGCTCAGAAACTCGATTTCAGTTCTCAACCGAATCAGTCACACACGCATGGTCTGACGTGTCAATTCAGCCGTACCGCTTGAACACTCTAGGAACCACCAGCCTTCCAAGTCTCTCTATCGATGTGCTGGATCAGATGATCCAGAGATGTGCAGATTGTTGATCTGATACTGCCTATGGAGCTTAACACGTGGGTATACTTTCAGTAGCGCGTCGTTGATCGTCGACCGCGTCTTTGTGGCGATGATTCTGAACGTGAATGTGAATAGTATTCTCCGTCAGACGTGCTTGCTCAATTATTTTATTGCATTCCACTCGTTCCTTCTCCCCTCAATTACTGTTTCATCATGACCTAGAATGGAAGGAACTACCGGCGTACTGGCGATGAGAGTGATGCTAGGAATCAGTTTATTGAGTACGTGGGTAGACATATACCGTCATCTAGTAATCCCAGCATCCATCTTTTACAGTTTGTGCTTCTTCTCTCCGCTGGCGATCTTCCTGAATTCTTCTTGAGGAGCCCCGGTGACAAATCGCTGCATACCTGCCATCACTTCCCGAACACCTTGGGCTTCCAAAGCTTCTAGATATGGCGCCCGGATCAACTGCTTGATACCAATCAGACTCTCCTGGTTCAAGTGGTCTCCCAACTTGTCATCAATCTCGGCTAGGACTTGCTTCAAGAAGCCAGTGCTGTCATTCTTGTCTTTGCCGCTAAACACTTTGGTCACGAAGCCAGTGGCGACGAGCTCATCAATGGGGATTCGGCGAGACATGATCAATGCTTCATTGGCCTTGGTTATGCCAAGTCTTTGGACCAGGCCAAGTGAGGCACCACCTTCAGCGACAAGGCCAAGTGATGAAAAGGGCGTCAACAGGAATGTATGAGGTGTAGCGTAAATGAAGTCGCAGAAGCCCAACAATGCTGCCGACAAACCCACAGTCGGCCCATTGAGAGCTCCAACTAAAATCTTAGGGTGTGTGTAGAATGATCGGGTGATGTCGAGGTTGTTGGCAACGAAGCCCTTCAAAATATCATTTCTCGAAGCATCTTTATCTTGGGAACTATCAGCACCAGGTCTGGTCGTGTTCACATCAGCACCAGCTGAGAAGAATCGACCCTCGCCAGTAATGACCGTCACGCTGACAGTTGGGTCTTGCGCAATGTCTCTCAGAAGGCAGGAGATACGGTAATAGAGGGGTTGGTTCATGGCATTGAGTTTGCTTGGTCGGTTGAGGGTGATGATAGCAACACGACCCTCCTTCCGGTAGGTGACTTCTTCTGATCCCGCGACCATGGTTGCGATATGCTCGGTACTGTGTAATGGGGAGAAAGATCAACGTCGAGCTGGGAAAGCAGAGTCGGCAACAAATGACCACAATGATACTGCTGGAAAGAACGCAGTCGATAGAGAGCAGTTTCTCAGTTTAGTGTACAAGATGTTGAACAGGATGGAGAAAGATAAGTTGCTCAACATCCATCCTCCGTCTCCGTATTATGGTTAATTCGACCCTCGGTAAACGATCGCAAACCTACCTAAGCTAGCCCTGGATGGTCTCTGCAACGGTAAAAGTAATCCTTTGAGTCCGCCGAAAGTTGGAGAGAAATGTGGAGGCGGTCTGAACGCGTTTCAACCTCGGTTGAATGGTTCTTGGCATTCATTGCGGCTCCCCAGCGTCAACAGCCCGAGGACCCCGCGGGCTGTGACGGTACGGAGTTATCGGACTATTCTCGAAGACCTTTTCCATTCCTGTCCTTCTACCTTATGATAAGCGGGCAGACAGTCAACATTGTATTCTAAAGGGAGTTCTCAACATGTAGATACATTTCGAGAAGCTATCTTTGTACCCTTCTCAGAATCTGTCAACACACACTACCTATCTTTATTTTCATTTCCGAAACCAAGATTGGGTTAGTGGCTCTTGCCCTGTACATTCTTTTTCGGCTTCATTTCAGTAGATTGACTTCCGTCAGGTATCGAGAAAGCTCACAATTCCAGAGGACTGAGTGGTGCGCCTGAAAATCTTCCCCAGAGATCACAGACCAGAGAACTTTGAAGGTGGCCACATCTTCTATCGGTGATGGTGCTGGGCCCTGTGTCAACTTGCTGATGGTCGGACCATATCTTCTCCCCTAAAACCTGCGGGAGGCCCAAAATCTCAGCAGCCACAAGTAAAGGGGTACTTTTTGCTACCCAGGAGAACAGAAGTCGCTGTAATTTACGCACTGTCCGGCTTCCTCAACGATTGCCCCCCTCTGTGGCCAACAGATAGGTCTTTGTCTCCAAAATGAATCAGATCGAAACAGCACCTCGCAAGAATAAGTGAATTTGAAAATGCTGGAACCAGATCTTTGCTGGTGACCGTAATTTCGGAGAGTGCTCGGACTTCACGGCACTGTTTGGAGGGCTGGCAATAAGTCGACCAGCCTTTTCGCCGAAGATAAGTATATCGGCAGCCATTGAGATTTGTTTGTGTTCAAAAATGTCTTTTTGTCAAATTACAATAGCTTAGGCAGTGACACATCGATACTGGTATGTGGTTAGCCCGGCGGACTACGACGGATGTCGGTAAGTCATCGCTCTCAATCGATATATCGCAAATTAGAAAGAAACAGAGGTGAAGTATTGTGTGCTGGGACACATGAATCCGCACGAGCGCGCATCTTATCTCCCTTCCCAAAGGGCGTCAATCGCGTCATGTTCAAATATGAAGCATGGCATCACCGCCCGCGACAACGCGGTTTGTCCATGTGGGAGACACTGCCAGGCATTTCAATGCACAGAGTTGGAGCATATTTCAAACTCTCTTTGCTCGTCAGCGGCCAGAGCCTGGAGCCCGACAACCATTGATTAGCGGTGCTGGCGGAGATCTTGGCCCAAGCAAAAAGACCGAGTAAACGCGGTGCCGGTGGTGAGGCTTTGACAGCTTAGCCCGGATCTCGCATGAGGCGATATTCTGTGCGTAATGATCCACCGTGTGGTCTCGAAGGGGCTGAACAATTGATGAAACCAACCAGTGAGATCTGTGACGCGAAATTGTTCCTTCAAATGTCTATGCGTAGTGGAAGCCGATGTCGCTGACTTTGAATCAGCCGTGCTACGTGGAAAACAATGTCACCAACTTGAAGGGATTTCGAGCAGGATTTGGACTGGAAGAGGCTGAATTAGTGTTTGCTGACAGCATTCTGGCCCGTGGAGATCATGGATGTCCCCCGTGCTGACACGTCGATCCCCGATCTTGAAGTCCTCGCCAAGAGATCCAACATCAGATTTCAGATAGCAAAATTTTACGGAGCACTCTGCATATCGCACTGACCATCTCTCACGGGAAGTACTCAGTACCTAGACTTGTCCCTCGCAGCTGTCTATCGATGCTTGAGGCAGGGTTTCAGATTTCAGCTCTCCGGCCCAATGTCACATCCTTCGGTTGACCCCGGTTGACCCCAGTTGAGATCATGCTTCGCTCTTATCTCGGACGTTGGGCTTCAAACATGAGCAACTCCAATGCCTGTCCAAGCCGCTATCATAGCGCTTTGCTGGCAAACTTGCCGCCATGTCAAAGGCATGACGTGCCAAAGGTCATGCCAGCTGTAATCAGAGTTGAGACAGATGGTCGCCGCTCTGACAGGCGCTGCCACTAAGGCGGCTGGTATCTGAGATACATCTTATTGGTCAACCAAGAACTTCCAATCTGAGTACAAGCCGTCCAAATTCAAGCTTCGGCGATGTGGGAAGATTAAGCCTTGCGTGAAGTGGCCCAACAAGATCTTGGAAGAATGGACGAGATGGATTATGATGTGGGACCTCATGAAGTTTGGCTGCCTCACAGGCCCTGAACGGAATCTTTGTCGGAGCCTGTATTGTTCAGGCATAACACGGTGAGCACATTGTCTTGCGATACCAACGGCTATTTGGTGCAACTCCCCAGCGGAAATTCAGTCTCTTCTCTTTATCGAGTGAACATTGCCAATGGGCAGACCACACTCATCACCAATAACGTCGGAAACAAGGTGATCAACGCACTCGGCTACAATGTTCTCGATAACTACCTTTACGGCTACGGAACAGGCGACCGCACAATCAATCGGATCGGCCCCGACGGAAGCTCTCAAGTAATAGCAACTCTTCCTGCGGGAGTTACAGGCATTGTCGCGGGCGATATTGACATCAATGGACAATACTGGATCACGGCACAGGGAGTAAACTATTACCACATCGATCTTGCGCCTAGCTCCAATACATATGGACAAATCATCGAGTCCGGTAATACCAACCTCGCTACTGGCTTCAATATCATCGACTGGGTTGCCCTGGCAGCCGCTCCCAGTGTGTTGTATGCTGTGACTTCCGGTTCCAGCCAAACTCAGACTTATCTGATGCGGTTTGACAAGGGCACCAAGCAGTTTACAAATCTTGCAAGCTATGGCTCCATCGCAGGCAACACGTGGGGTGCTGGATATTCGACCACGGACGGAAATATATATGCTTCCGACAATGTTTCCGGACAGATCTGGCAGTTCCCCATCGATGGATCAGCTCCATCGCTGCAAGCCCAGGGCAACCCGACAAGTGTCAATGACGAAGCCAGATGTGCTTATAATGGGGCCCCTATCACTCGCTGATCCACCGAGAGTATCTGCACACATGGACTTAATGTGGCGTATATGGAGGAGGAGTTGTTTCTACTGGCTGAACGACAATGGGGTTTTGGGGTTTCTCTTGCTTGGGTTTGACGGGAATAATTTGGTCGTACTTTCTGTGCCATGCGGATCTGGATATCCGGCTGGCTTGGGGTTTCTCTCACTGGGGATAAGTAGATTTTCTTTTCAAAACTTGACACCGACTCGAGTCGGTAAATGGTGTCAGGGTCACCGACCGATATTTTATAGCTGGAGATTTTTTCTATTTCGTGATCACGACGATCAACTCTCAGATGGAATTTTTACCATGTGCCTTCATAAACAAACTTAAGATGAGCTTGGTTTCATCATAAATGGAGAGTGGCAATTCAAATCTGGCGGCAGACGTACAGTAGGTGCACTCTTGACGCGGTTTCAACTTGCTATATTCTTCATCTACTCTCCCAAGTATGCAGATGTCACCACGGAAGTCAGCCTGCTTGACTGTATTCAATCCCTTGAGGATCAGGATCATTACTTGGTTGGGTATCGGTCCAAGTACTTCGCATCAAGTGGTCGGAAAACGCAACATACCATTGTGCAGGTGATGGAATAAGACATTTACTCGCTTGACAATCCGCTTCTTCAGAATTGGACCCTGGCGGTTCTTCGTAGCGTGAGGGCCAAACAAGCAGCCAACAGTGCTTCATCAAAATATCCGAAGAACAAAATTTCCAAATCTCACGCAAGTTGCGACCTTCAGGTCAAGCACAAGTTGGACAAAAACACGCGTGTAGAACTGCCGCGAATCATCTGCAAGAAATATACCAAGGTGATACTCTCTCGTCTAACGTGTCTCGATTCTCGGGTGACGAACATGTTCGAAAAGAGTGATGATCTTTACGACGAAGATGGGATCCTGGTTGGCGTCGCTTTCATCGAGAAGTTTCTCATGAAATTGGACGATATCACCATTTAGCGGGTAAGTACGACGCATTGATGGTAGCTTGGTCGCGGTCTGCTTGAGTATACCTACGTAACTCGGGGTACGTGTATAAAAATTTCTGGATTGATAAGCACCGTTCATACCAGGTGATTGAGGCCGTCAACAACCGGTTTGGGCAATGCCCAGGCGGTGGTCAACGTGCTCATGCAATCTTACGGGCTGAGGAAGCTCGTGCTGACGACGATAGATGAGTTCCTGGGCCTGTCCATCTGTTTGGAGTTTGCAGCGGTGACTGAAATGTCTGCCGGCTGCACAGCAAAGCAAAGTAAAGCAGAATATATCCCACTCGTATCATGATGACGACGCATAGGAATGAATTACGAGTTTTACACAGCGTCGAGGCTCTGTCCATGAATCTTGGCATGCAAGGAATCGCCATCCTCCAATCGCGGATTGAGGGCCTTCGGGTCCGAAAGCCACTTAATCAAGCCCCTAATCGAGACCGCGAAGGACCGTGTCCTCGCACGTTAGGCTTGCTTAAGGGCCACGGGATGCACGTCAAAGTGCAGCGTTTCAGCCAAGACCTTCCAGGGCTTCCAGGGGTCTCCGGGCCCTCATAGGAGCCCGAGGGGCCTAATCTGCCTCAGCCTTCCTCGAAAGCACCAACCTTTCCAGATGTGTCAGCATGTTTGTGTAACAGAAGCACCATCTTCGTCCGACTTTCATGCTCAGACCTGCAAGAAACTATGCGTTTATGCATGCACATCCGACTAGTCAGGTCTCGCGCTCAATCAGCATCTTAGCCTCTTCTTCACTATTGCCAGGGGACTACCGAGGCCAGATTTCTTTGTCTGTTGTGCTTTTGGAGGATCAGGCATGATTATTGACTTCGTAGCACTGATGCACTTTCGACGAACGACGCGCCATCGAATTTTCCCTTGTCTCGAGTTCCATATATTCGATATGAAGCGTTGACTCGCTCTCAACTGTGGATGCTTCACTCATTCATTCTTCATCATCCACATCTGAAAGCATAACAGAAACTTGGAAACTGAACCATCCATCTCCACCCGAAAAATGCTCCAAGCAAAGCATATCCTCGTGCTTGGTGGAACTGGTACGCGATCTTCCCTTCCCACCCTGACGACCGTTTTCTTTTCCCCATACTCCACCACCTGACTCGGACAAGCTTTCCTGATACTGACTTCACATCCTCCGCAAAGGTCCATCTGGCACTGATTTCACCGACTTGGTCTTGTCCGACCCCAGTGGGGCGAAAATCACTCTCTACGTACGGACGCCTTCCAAGCTTCCGAGCGAGTATCGAGAGGCTGCCGACCCGTCACGTCTGCGAATCGTGGTGGGCGAGCTGGACGACCAAGCCACCCTGGAGAGGGCATTGACCGAGCCAACCGTTCCAATCGACGTGGTGGTCTCATTCCTGGGACCTTATGCATCCCTCAAGGCCTTCCTGCTGCGGACCAGCTCAACCCCTCTAGCAGACAAAATTCCCACCGTCCTGGCGGCCATGAAGCACGCCGGCGTCCGGCGCATCCTCGCCATCTCATCGCCCGCGTGGCTCGTGCAAGCCGAGAGTGACGACAAGGCTACACACCCTCACGAGTCTTCCGACCAGATGTCCTGGGGCTGGTGGCTAGCCATGCGCTTCGTGGCGTTTATCCTGCCGCAGGGCTCCGTGGAGATGGAGCAGATTGGCCGCCGCGTCGCGGAGGAAGGAATGCACGGCGGCTGGGGCCTGAAGTGGACGGTCTTCCGGATCCCTCGTCTCAACAACGGCCCGGACGACCTGGAAGTGTGTGCCGGATATCTCGGGCAAGATTTCAACGGCTCTAAGGAATTGAGCCGCAAGAGCATGGCCCGGTGGCTGGTCGGCGAATTGGCGGCTGGCGAGTGGATTGACAAAGCACCCGTCGTCTCAAATCGCCGCTGATTGTCGGCCGCCTAAGGATGGCGTTACTTCATGGTTATGATGAGGGCTACTCCGGGATAACGAAATTGGCGTTCGATGGCACAATGAAACAGGGAATGTATCCTGGCACAGGTAGCACGTGGAACAGCGAGATGATACCCATGGGCTTTTGGATGGATGGATAGACAGACAGTTTACGTATACGATAGAGGATGTATTCGGGAATGATCAGTAATATGCTCAGATGTTTTATCGGAATCTGGAGTGGCCCTAAAACAGTCCTGAATTCATTGAATTCATCCTGAACAGGAAGGGTCAGGTAACTGAAAATGATTTTGTTGTTTCTGTCTACAGCCTCCCATGATTGAGAGCCTCGCATACTTCGTCCCGATCCTAGGTATCCATACTCATAATCCACACAATCCTCTGGCTGTACGGTAGGGTTTCTCGCGGTAAGTGGGTATTGAATTGAGAACCGTTGGCTTGTGTCTTCATAGAGCATGAGATACCAGGCGATCTATCGCTGATTGCAAAGCCTTCGAGACTGGTGGATTGAAGTGACTCTCTTGAGACAAGTGTTGTGCTAAACTCTTTGTAAAGAGGAGGATTAATTGCTAGTTCGAACACGATTGTCCATCCCCGCCCTGGAAGACTGTATCCATGGTGGGAGACGCTCTGTCGTACCGTTGGAACGATTGATGAGATGCTGCTCACTAGCACGGGCAAAGGTCTGCTTCAATGTCGGAGACCGAGCATAACCCACAAAGTGTGGCTGTATGGCCTGGCGTATGGCGAGAGTGAGTTCCAAGGAACCGTTGCGTGGATCAACCCCTGCTTCCAGGGGCATACGAGCAACATCCTTCATGTGTAGGCGTTGGATGGCTGAGCCACACTCGCCGGTCAATCTCGAGTATGTGTTCCATGGCTCCACGGGTGGGAAGTGGTTGATGAATCTGAACCGCTGAATGGGTTCAAAAGGGATAGTTGTAGTCGTGGTTTGTTCTGTATTGGCTGGGTTTGCGTGAAGATGGTTTCCATGGTCATCATCCTCCCGTTTTGCAGCTTTCGTATTGATATCTTCGGTGGGCTGAGACATTGATTTGGCATGCGCGATTGAAGTACAGGGTTCCGAGGAGCTCGTCCAAGCCAGACACTTTTTCGAGAAGGGACCGAGCAAATCTCCGCCACTGCGTTTTCGTGAATCACTCATTGTCCCCGTAGAGAGTGAAGATTTGATGGCAAGATCGGCAGAGATGTGTTGCGACTAGGCATCACTGTGAGAAGGAACGTAGTGAATGGCTTTGCGAATGCTTGTGTGGATATTTATCTAACCGCAGTTTTAGTTAGCATGACTACCATCCGTTTGAAAATGGGTAAATTGATGACTGGGATGTTAGACCGATCCTCAGTCAAAGATGTTTTCAAGATTAGGAAAGCACATACTCAATTCAAAGACACAAAGGAGATGCATAAGAACGATATTGGTGGTAAACCACTATTGTCCCAAATCAGCCAGTAAGAGCGACGAGAAGTTGTGACAATTGAGAGGCATAGATCCTCTCTCATTTATCCTCTGGCTTTCCTTCGAATCATTTGTGCGTCTTCTTTCAGGGTTGGAGTGATAAGTCAACGTCAGGCGCGTGGCATATGGTTTGAGAGTGACGCAAAGAATCGTGAAGGTCTAGGTTGATTGCTTTGCCCTCTTCTCGCGCTCGACTGCCTTGACAGATGGGTTTTTGCGTGAGCCTCGATAGTCCTTTGTCGTCGAACTCTTTGATTTGGTGATGTACCTCTTTGGTAGTGAAATAATGTTTGAGAATAATGTGGCGGGAATGCTTGAGAGGTACATCGCATACTGCACTGGAATAACAACCACTGCGGAAATGCCGTTGATCAGTGTTGAGGCGTAACTGGTTGACTGGCGATCTGCATTGCGCTGGACAGCCGCGGCAAGTGCGACCACATCCTGTAGACGAGCTTCCAAGTCTTGGATTCTTGCCTCTATTTGCACGGATGAAATGGTAGTTCGCTTTTCATAGCGACGCATTGCTCTGTTGAGAGCATCCAGCTCAGGTGAGATCATCTTTTTGACGTCGGCAGTCGCCAACGCAGAGGCTTTGGCAGCAAGTGCTTCTCGGGTTTCGGGTTCCTGCTCACCAGTATTGGCGATCTTATCGGCAATATGAAGTTCTAGCGCATCTAATCTATGCATAATGTCGAACACTTGCTGAGTATCTGCTCGCTTAGAGTCTAACAAAACGTCCGAGTTGGCACGCCTCTGCAGGAAGAATGTTCTACGTTGAATGAGTTTGATCAGATGAGCAATCGGTCGGACTTCAGCAACTAGGAGGAATATGGTGAGATTATAGTTGGAGACCAATCCTTCAGAAGGTCGAGTAAGCTGTGATCTGATTGTATGCAAAAGCCAAGCAGCCAAAAATGGACAAGCAAAGCAGCTGAACAATGCCACCATTTCATGGAGGCGAAGCTCCCTTTGAGCGGAAGCTGCATCAGTGTTTAGTACACGTGGGATTTTGAGCTCTGGTTGGGAATGGGGCTTGCTTGAAGTTGTTGCCTTTTGAGGCATCACCTCGCCGGAGGGCTCGTTCAACTCATCGTGCTCTTCGATGGGCGAAATTGCCGATGGAGAAATTGGTTCTAAGATAGTAGAACTTTGTGAAGCTCTGTACCAGTCCCTGGTTTTTCGTGAGCAAAAGTGCAGTGCCAGAGTTAAAAATGCAAAACTCACCATGGAGATCTGAGGGCCCAGTTCATGAAGATTGCTGCCAGGGCCAATAATGTGACATCTGTGATGAATGCACTGCCATTGGTGAAGAAAATACCACCAACGGCAGGAAGCAAGGCCAACACTAGTGGTAACGAGTGCCAGTGAGAGGTGTCATCTTGATCTTGAAAATCGTTTTCGCCTCTAGCTCTCGGCAAGAAGATGTCGTCTGTTGATGAACGGAAAGATTTGCGCGTTTCAGAAAGCGTCTCGGAAAGAAATGAACTCCTCCGTCGATTCATTTGTGGATGGCCGTCAGCAAAGGTTGCAGCTCTTGCCAATGGACGATGCCTGAGTCCATGAGGAGAAGGACTAACATGGCGTCCAGACTGAGTTGAGGGGAGTACTGTGGATGCTGCCTTCTCTGCGTTTAGAGCCATTCTTCGCAGCCTTGTGTGCTCAAAGTGTTAGATAGACTGCCGATGCCTGTACGACGTACGAAGACCCGGGCTTAACGGCAACGTTAAGACTGTCAACCACGCGTTTATGGACGTTTGAGCATCTCCAAACAACATACAAACGATAGGAACAAGGTAACGAACGCGATGTCGACAAGTAATCAGACACGTAGGAAGACGAGAGAAGAAACTGGAGATAAAGTCTGGGCGATGGAATCCACGATCATTGATGATGATGAGAGGCGAGGTTAAAGGCGGAAGTGTCATCCATGCTTCGGGCGGAACAACTTTTCTTTGGGGCACGTCATTGGCAATCCCCAAGGCCACGTCCCCCTTTCATCCTCGAACCACTTACACCTCTCACTTGCTGCTGCCAACAACCTGTCAAGCTCAAACACGTTAATGATCAATCTCGTGCAACAACATTGGGTAGCCAGAGCATGTGAAAGAGCAGCGCCGATGGTGGCTACCTGACACGGTTAGTTGTGTCGATCAAAGTAGTCCATCTGCTTGATTTGGATATCAATGCTCGACATCAAAATGCTTCAACCGCGAATAGCTTCTTGTTTGCCGAGGGTATACCTCTGATGCTTCAATCTTAAGCTGGGAGCCATACTCCTGAAGAAGTCCACTGCCCGTAGTCGCACAGCTTTGACGATCCAAGGTCTATGGGGAGCCTTATTGAGGCCCATATTGGGCCAGATGTCTTTGATACTCCTAATCAGCTTAAATTGAGAGCCGACGGTAAGCATCTTCTGCGTCGGTATGTGTCCTCCTGACTGCAATCCTCATTCATTACACGTGTTGCTCATTGGAGAAAATCCTCTGGATTCTTTCAAGTTCCCAAGATTTGCCACAAAGAAGACAGGTTCAGCCGATTTTCGTTTCCCGAGAGCACTTAGTCGCTATCTCATGATGCGCTGGGATATTCTGATTGCTGCTCTTGCCCTTTCAAGCTGCCTACTGTCTGCTCCCCCTCTCGTCACTCATATACGGAGCGCAAATTTCGCTGCGATAGTCCTTATCCTCGCAACTATGATCTTAAACGTCCAAAACTTCATCAATGCCGTGATATGGCCAAGTGATAACCTGGACAATTATTGGGATGGCAGGATCCTATGTGATGTTGAAGCCAAGCTTTCAATCGGGCTCAGCATGAGTGTCACCGGTGCCATCGTCAGTATTCTACGCCAAACTACAATCATCTTGAATATCGACAACGTGACTTTGAGTCCAACTTCTAGACAACGAATGTTCAAGATCGCGTTTGAAGGCACAGTGTGTGTCCTTGTACCAACAATTATGATGGCAGTGCACTATGTGGTTCAATCTGAGAGGTACTGGATCTTACCGGTTACTGGGTGTACAGCTGCCTTTGACAACAACTGGGTCACTGCCATTCTCATGTTTACGCCGCCAATGCTGCTTTGTATTCCGGGCTCGGTTTATTGCATCATTGTGATTTGGCGTATTGTCAAGCAGAAGAAGGAAATTGCGTCGGCCATAGCCTTCCCTGGTGCGTCTTCAGCCTCACGGGCTCGTTTCACGCGATTGTCGAATCTGGCACTTGTGTTGTTCTGGCTGTATCTCCCACTGGCTCTCTACAACTTCCTGCAGAGCTGCTTTCCAGGAAGGTATCATCCATTTAGTTGGTCTTTCATCCACCCACCTGACTGGAAGGATTCAATCTACAAGATCTCGGGAGCTCCAGCCATTACGCTAGATCGTTGGGTGCAGATTGGGGTGGGCTACATGTGCTTCACATTCTTTGGGCCGGGAACTGAAACAATCGAAGCCTGCAAGTCTTGGGTGAAGCGTGTGCGGCTAGGCTTACAGGAGATGATTCCAAGTGGTGTAAGACGAGAAAGTTAGAGGGGTTTGAGGCAGAGATGGAGGCCAACTCTGGTCTCTGATGAAGGTGATTATTCCGCGGGATTGTTCAAAGATTGCAGTTCCTCATGTATTAGAAAAGTGACTCGGTCATCCACCCCGACCAAGCAGGTTTTGAGGATTGACCAGCAAACTCAATATCAGGAGTGGTGAAATTATACACGAGAAAGTAGTCCCAGATGTCCAAGAACGAAAGGCCTGCACCTAAGCCTCGTTCGCCCGTTCCGATTACACCAATTTTGTACAGCAATGTATCGATGCATGAATTCTCACGAAACCTGGTATGTTCTTTTTACTCTTCACTGGACTCGGTAGACTCCACGCGTGGTCTCTGAAGAACATCCAGCTTCGTCTGCACTATGCTCAAGGCAGTCCTGTTTTTGCCCTCGGTATCCTCATATTGACGCATTGCAGCATCACCTTCGAGGTAGACCAAGGTCCTGTTGCGAGTGATCAGTGTCATGTATTGTAGCAGGCGAAGGAGGAAATTGCTGGCATGCGCACTTACCCTTTGGGTAGTCCTGTGATGAAATCTCTCTGGGGACCCTCCGCGAAACTGGTCACACGAAACCATGAAGTTGTCCTGTTATCTTTTGGTCCTTGGCTGGTGCCAACGACGTATTTGACGAGGGTGGAGCCTTTTGCGGTCTCGACCACCTCTGGTTCAGCGCCTAGGCGGCCGACCACGGTGATGCGGGCCAATTGCGAAGGCCGGCTGGTAGAGAAGGCGCGAGTCGCGAGTCTGGGGACCTTGGAGGTCATCTGTCTCGTGAGGAATGACATAGTTCTGATGAGTGGTTGTGGGTGGCTGGTGCAAGGAGGAAAGGGAGAGCCGTGAGTTGCGCGGTGTCGCTGTTGGAGTTTGAGTGGAGACGACGGATTCAGAGGCTCGGGATCTGTGGTGCCGAGATCGACTTACAGAATCGTTGAAAGGTCTCGGGGGATGTTCAAGTCGTGATAACCATGGGAGCAACTGCGCTGTTCGGTGCAACTGGGTTTATCTTCAGGACACGCGATTTTCGCAGAACGCGACAGCGCCTAATCAGGCAACACTGGCGTCTGACAGGTTTCTACTCGAGTATTTCGCCATTTTGCACACAAAATCGATGTCTGACTAAAAACCAGGATAAATAAAGTGCTTGCATGGTGGCTTTTCCACAGGGACATCTCACACATCTTCAACAGGCGAGTAGCTAAAAACGCGTCAACAACCATACAGGCGCACGAACATGAGACGTTGAATCATATATCCATGGTGGATCGACATTGTTCTGTGTGATGGGATTCTACGCCCGGGTCAATCATGGCCTAGATCTGTACACAACCATCACTCACAGCGGTTGACACCTGGGCATTCCGAATCTCGCGCGAGAAGTGTTCCAGCTTACATTTCCAGAATGGCCACAATCTCTGTCAAGGTTCTTCTTCTCCGCACAGGCTCTCTCCGTCCGCAGTCTGAAGTCTGAAATGTGGTCAAAGGTCTTCACGGACCCTGGTGCCTTTGTTGCCTTTGAACCACAACGGATCGATGAATTGTCTCCGGAAATAGGTACAGACTTTGTTCTTTCATGTGAGCGATTTCGACAGCATCCTGTTTTTCCTTTAAGCCAAATTCCATCGTCTTGTACCTGCTTGTGCATACCAGCTCGATCTTACCTTCGTGCACACCAAGCGACAGCCATCATCTTACCCAGACATGTCTTCCCAAAACCGTGCCAGAAAACCTGAAATGGCCCCGATCGCCTGGGTGTTCATTGCAATCTTCTCAAGCGTTCTGATCATCGTTGCTCTCGTATATCTCTACGGCCTGAGATTGAGACATGATAAGAAGAAGGCTCAACGGAGAGCCGAGAACGACGAAGTCTTTGGGAGTATCACAGCAAATACAATCAGCGCAAGAAAAAGTTTCGATCATCATCAACATGCTTGATTGAGTATGACCTTGAGTCTAGCTCAATACTTCGTCCAAGCTCAAATCCCTGCAATCGAACATCAATCCCTTTGTTTTCTCCTTCCGGTTTGGTACACCACCAGTCTGGTGAAGGAAAGCATTCTTTGTCCTAATCGCAAATGCTAAACATATCCAGACCCGGGCCTTTCCATTCTATCACGACCACCCTTGCACTATTTACTTACGTCCCGCCTTCCCTTTCTTTATACTCAGCCATTCTCTTGCGTGCGAACTTGACTTGCAAGTCTCAATACTTTTAACCCTCTTTGGTCTGTCATGATTCCAACCACAGCTCTGATAGTCCTCATCACCGTCGCCGCAGTATGTACCATCACGCTGTTGGTCGCCGTATGGCACACAATATCAACAAAGCGGAGTCCTCCCGAGGCCTTCACGCACGAAGAAGACAAGATCGAACTCGCATCAACTGACAGCAGCGGCCCTCTAACGATAGTCCCACCAGCACGCTCACCTAATCCCGAAGCAGAATCTCCGCCACCGCTCTCTGCGGGCAGTGACATAGCCGCTAAGTTCCCGAAGCCGCCGAAGCCACCGAAGACCTTATCCGCGCAGCAAAAGGCTTCAAAAGAGCGAGACAGCATGCACGAAATTCTAGATCTCTATGGTAACGACGACAAGAAAAATGCTCCCCCCACGACGCCGGTACGGAAGCGGAGCACGACGTTCGCAGATGCGAAGTCTAAATGGGCATATTTTGGAAGACACGAGGATTACTATGTTACTTGAGAGAATGCCCGAGGCCTACTAACAGTGGATGGGAGAGTAGTATCTGTGCTACCATTTATTGAGTTCGATGATATTTGCTCAGATATTTGCTGAGATATACATGTGGTCCTTGTCGGCCGCAAACTAGCCATATATCAATCATTTCCCGAGTTGCCATAATAACTGCACATTTCAATGAGCGCAATGGCATTCCTCCAAGCAAATGAAGTTGAGGAAAGCTGGTATAAAATAGGTTTGGACAGGAACAAAGAGGGAAAGGATGTCTAACTGAAAAGATTGAGCAGGGGATAGTAGGTGTAATGGAACGAACAGCTTGGGCATTTTCAGACCTTTCGTTTTTGGTACAACTCAATCAATTAGGCTCAAAGACTAGTCGTCAATGAATGAGTTCGCATGCACGAGATGCAATAAACTTGTCTAGTTTTAGTTTCAGGGCTCATTAATCGTGTAGGAAGATAATCTTCTCAACAAAATGGTAACGGTGTCCGATCGAGATGACGTTTCAAACATTGAGAATAATGAGGCTGGCTTACCGGGTTAGATCCAACCAGGCGGCGCCTTGGTGTGACTGTGGAAGTCGACCTCCTCGAGGCTGGCATCGTCAATGTGTGCGACCTTGCTACGCACTCGGTCCGGGTTGCCGACGCCGGCGCGGCCGCGGCTAACAAATTGGACGGCGGTGCCCTCTTCTTCAATCTTGCTCTTGACGCTCTTCCTCGGCTTCGGTGCGTCTGGCAGCACAATGGCTTCAGGCTGCTGGAATGGTGTCAGTAGGCGGCTTTCTGCTTGAGCAAAGGGATACTGGGTGTGAGCTGCTGGAGGAAGGGGAGGAGTGACTGGTCGCGTAGCTCCCGCGAAATAGAGGGTTTCGAATTGAGTGTGTCGGCCTTCCTTAAGAGCCTCTTCCTCTCGTTGCAGCTCCTGCAGGAACGACTTCGGTGCTTCGTATGTCCCATCTGCCTTGAGAGCCGGACGCTCGAAATAGCCTGACTCATTGCGGTAGACCATTGGTAGTGTCTTTTTGGGCTGAGCAACCACTGGCAATTGAGGCTTGTTGGCTGCCATTTCGGCCCAGTACTCCGCGTTGCCTTCTTCAGCTTTATTCTGTGCTCGATGCTTCCTGCTGCGTCGGAATTTGACGATGATGATGTACATGCAGGGGACGAAGAGGAGGGCGACGCCCAAGAAGATGAAAAGTGCAATGGCTGACTTACTGGTGGCGGACTCGTTTCCGATCATGGTGAGTTACTTTGAATAGGGGTTCGTTCTGTGGAATGTTGGTGTACTCGGCGTTCAATGTCTTGTGATGAAGTATGCTAAGCTTTAATCTGTTGAAATTGTAAAGATTTTGGTATTAGTCGGCATGAAGAACGAAGCCAATGGCGCAGCTTAAGTATCGACGGAAGATCTTGCTACCAGGTCATTGTCTATCATTCCTGTGTCGCTTTGTTCCAGCAGTCCTTGCCCTTGATCTTTTTCTTAACATGCTACAACCAACCTTTGTCATCGGCTTTGCCAGATGAAAGAACCACGGCATGGATTTTCATTGAAGGTCTATCTCTTTGTTAGATATTGCGCAGCTCTTTTGGGCAATGTTGGTTCCATATCTCGGCAAAGGACGATGCAGAACGACTGACTACACGTATAGCAGTGCTTTAGCAATGCTTTGATTCTGCTCCGCTTTCTGACGAAGGAACATCGATGTCGAAATGTGGTGCTACGGACTATCTACATGAATGCTAATGGGAAATTAAATTACTTTTTTAACCACATCCCGCCTTTCGCACTGCATTGGGCCCCCTAATTCCTTCCGCCTTGCCGCTCAAAGGGCACATGTGTTTGCCCCCTGTTCTCTTCTGAAAAAATCCCCATGAGCTTCAGATATTTCACCATAAGTTAGACTATATTGTGCAATGCTCAATTCCCCTCTAAATTCCTTTCTGTATCTTCCACTCCCTTCTTCTCCTTGACATCTTCCAAACCATACTCGGTGTCAAGTTCCGTCCTTAGTTTGATCTGCTTTTCCAAAAACACCAGAAGAAAGCTAACCGCCGAGAGGGCGACAGCGAGTTGCCAGACCAGCTTTAAAGCTCTCGAGTACACTTCGACCAATTGATCTTCGGTCTCTTTCCCAAATGACTGGATGAATTGCTTCGAAGCATACTGGTAGGCATGACCAGCCGACAGCATTTGACGAACTGACGGGTCATCTATCATATGAGATAATTGGTCGAAACGATTGTTGAAGATTGCGGCGGGGATTGCCACCCCCCAGATACTTCCGAACGAACGGATGAATGACCAGGTTGCTGTCGCTGCCGCCTGGTCGCTTTCTTGAAGACCTGCTTGGCATGCCGGGAGAAGAGTGTTGAGAACAAATCCCGAGCCACCAGCGGCAATCATTTGAAAAACGACCCATTCTGCAGTTGGTGTATATTGATCTTGCATGGTCATCAAACCCAACCCAAGGGTACAGACACCGAAGCCAAAGAGGTGAAGTGGTTTATATTTTCCAAATTTGCTCAGAAGGAGAACAGCCACAATCGCTGCTGGGAGAGCGATGACGATCATTGGCAGGAATTGAACACCAGCCCTCGAAGGACTGGATAATAAAACTGCTTGGAAGTAAACCGGTAGGAAGAAGAATAGCCAGTACAAAAGTGCAGCATTCAGGAAGGTAACAATAAAGATGGTCAATGATGTCCTGTTACCGAAAAGGCGAGGAGGTACGACAGGTTCCTTGACCCAGGAGAGAGCCTCAAATACCATGAATAGTATGAGCCCTGCGAGCCCCAAGATGAGAGATAGCAGAATGCTCCAGTGACTCCACGGGTATCTCGTCCCCGCATATGTCAGGGCATAGAGGATTGACACTGTAGATCCGATCAGGATGATGTTGCCCACATAGTCAATGCGTTTGATCTTCTCGACGAATGTCATCTCTTTATTGTACTTGACATTGAGGAATACAAAAATCAACACCATGGCCACGCCGCCCACAGGGAGATTTAGATAGAAAACCTATGGTGCAAATGTCAGCACCGTTTGACTTTGGTTAGGTCAACTCACCCATCTCCAAGTGGTGGTATCCACGATTCGGCCTCCAACATATGGCCCTATCCGTCGTTTGTCAATATTCCGAGGGTGATATATGACAGTGTGCCAACTTACCGACTGCCAAGCCAATGAAGTAAACAGTCAGGACTATAGCTATGTAGTTGCCCCTTTCCTTCAGAGGAACGAGGTCGGAGATGATCACATCAATAATCATCTACAGTCTTCGCATTAGCCGAAGCAGGCACGGGATGGGAGCTTGTCTTGCTCAGAGTGTAACTCCAAGTTGCCTCATTCAAGCTGAAGGGACCTTACATTGATGCCTCCTGCGCCCATGCCTTGCACAGCCCTGCCACCAATAAGCATCGCGCCAGACTCTGCGCCACCGCAGATACCGCTTCCCAGGGTAAAAAGGGCAACGATAATGAGCGTAATCTTACGCCTGCCAAAAATGTTGGCAAGCTGGCCAAACAAAGGCTGAACCGCAGCACTGAATGAGTTGTCAGACATTTTGATGAGCGTTCTTTCTGTAGACCCGAGGCGTCACTCACCCAGTCAAGAAGAACACATTGGTGATCCAGATGTAGTTCTCTCCAATGGCAAGGTCATCAAGTATGACAGGCAGAGAGGTGACAACCACTGTGTTCTCCAGTGAGGACAAGATTCCAATGACTGTCAACGTCGAGATGATTGTCCAGAAGCGCCAGTCTCGCTGGAAGGGCTCGGCAGGTTTCTTTTCCACTTCCTGGTCCACATTATCAATTCTATCTTCCTTCTCGTTTCCTGGACCAGTAAACTTTTGGTTTTCTAAGTGCTCTTCGTTCGTAGTAGTATCGGTGGGATGATGCGGCTGTTCGCCATCACTGGTCCCCATTGTGGAGGGCTAAATCCGTATGCTGATATTGGCGATGGGAGGTCACTGCCGCAAGTTAAGTATTTTGACATCTCGAGTACGGGAAGCCAGGTTCATTTAATAGTGAGCTTTGCAAAAGCCCTTGTGTGGCAGGAAACCATCCCATCCGATTATATCAATCTCGCTCTTGGGGTAATCTGACGCTCCTCCCTGAGTGGGAAACCTCGGAAGGTTTTGCGCCTTACGAGGCGATACAAAACCTTCCGAAAGTTCCAGCCCAAAGCACATCATTGTCTGCACATACCTTCCGACAAGGCCCTCGATTTGAAATCGAGCTATCAGGCCTTCTTAATTAGATTGATCCACTGAGCATGTTTGCTTAAGAATGGCCAGAATTAAAAAAAACTCTCCGAAGAGTGTTCAAATCACCCTGCAAGCTCCATCCCTGCATCAAATGTTGCTCCAGTAGTGTCCACTTGGAACGTCGTTTCCTCAAGCTGAAGACAAACATGTCCTCTACACAAATCACGGATTCGTCCAGCCAGGCTTTTGAGGGACTGTCGACCGATAGCACCGCTCTTACTCGTATGAATTAATCGTTCTGCTGTAGCTGCTTCTTGCTTCAACATCGTCTTTAGAAGCTCCATATGCCCGCTGGAGGTGGTGGATGCGCCCGTACGCTCTGCTGCTGCAACGGCAGTGATGCCCTTTTCAGCACGCCAGAGTAAATCTAAAGCCACATGCATGAACACTGATATCTGCATCGAACGATGCATGCTGAATGAGAATCCACCCAGATCGAGGTTAGGAATCAAAGGTGGCAGAGATTTGTATGATGGCACAGCATCATGTTCGGACAAAGCTTCCAAGCACGACAGTATCCTGTAGAATGCCATTCTCAGCAACCGCACCAAGGAAACGTAGCAAGTAGTGAGTGCCAGAATTGTAGGGTAATCAATAAGTGGACCCCCTGAAGAAGTGTCACCTCGACTTGTCTGTTCTGTAGCACTAGGCAGATCGTGGTCGGTCCAGCAATGGCCCGTGTCACTCGTCCCTTCCGGAAGCGATCGTTTGTCGAATTCAATATCCGAACAGTCGGACTTTGCATCCTCTTCAGAAGTATCTAGATATGGCGTCAGTCGAGGTGCGGTCGTAATCGGAGTAAACATGAGAAACGAGCCAACGATGCTCGTAAATTCCTGCAAGGCACCGAGTATAGCTTTGATATCAAGGTTGCTCTCTGGATGGTGTGAATGTAGCGACGAATGTTGTGCTGGCAAGGTACGTTCCATCAATGGGCTATTTCCACAACAATCGCCGTAGACAAGCTTATCAATCACAGCCAAATGCTGGAGAAGGACCGAGTTAAGGGCAGCAAGTTTCTTCAGATGATATGACTTGTCTCGATTCATAAAAATGTGCGGCTGGATGCCTTTCTTCAACCATACTTCACTCAGACTACCAGCGGAAAAATCCAGTTCCAGCATAGATATCTCGGGTTGGAAATCAAGACCAGTTCCATAAGAGCTAGAAGTCGGGTGTTCTTTGTCGATTGCCAGAAATGTGTCTCCAAAAGCGAGACTCTCAAGTGGTAGGTTTGTAAAAATTGAACTTCCAAAAGTATCAAACCCAGTTGATGGCTTTTCGGTGTGCGTGGGTAGCGTTGGGAATGTTGTGGTAGTTGTTGAATCCAAGGTATCAACGCCCGATATGCTAGACAATGGTTCGGATCTTGCAGGTTCGAGCTCCGACAGATGAGTTGGCTTCCTTGACTTGACTTGCTGTCGTAATTGTTGGCGAGATGGTCTTCCTGAAGGCCGTGGCGCACTAGTTACACAATCGTATTTTGATTTCAAACACCGTGTGCATTTGCCAGCATCATTTGGACTTGAAGACTGGTCACATCTGAGTTTTTGACTTCGGCACCTGTCGCATGCAGATCGCACTTTTGGATCTGTGACCCGACCGCTGAATTCCTGATCATTTGTCATGGCTCCGACGGATGTGAGCTTGAAGTTTGGTGCCTCGATCCAAGATTCAATTTAGCTTTGCTGGATTCTTCGTAGATGCGGATACGGTGATCAAACAGTATGGTTTGGATAGCTTGTCAGGAAGGGAGGAAGGGGATAAGATAGGCGCCTAAGGCGTGCATCAAGCTAGTTGAGGTCTTAATTGGTAGGTATCCGTACCTAGGTAGGTAAGTAGGTAGCTAATTGATAATTGCCCGACCGCCCCCTATCCTAACCCCGAGGATCCCGTGCTTGGGCCCAAGAGCCTTTAGGTGTTCAACAGCGCCAAGCAATGGTCAGCACGCGACTTCTTTGTGCCTAACGAGACAAGTCGTGCTCTGTTGTCAACCTTAAGATTATCCATTGAAACATGAAGAAGCTATAGAATAACGCCATTGAGTTTGTATAAAGAGACTTATGAGAAGCATCCATTTACAGCTCTCCAGGACTGGACGGGCGGGCTGGGTGTTGGTCTTGAAAGCAATCTTTCCAATAACGTCTCCAGTGTTTCGACATGTTCCATCAACAGCTGCTCGCTCTTCAGAGTCACTGACATTCTCCGTATCTGCATATATACAGGGTTTCGACTCTGCAGTGACTTCATGCAGAGGTTGCCTACCGAGTGAAATGCCCGAGCAGCAGGATCTGACAGTCCTGTAACTGCTCCTGAGTTTTTACATTCGTGAATGTGAATGGAGCATCCTTTAAGTCAACATGCTCTGGTAAAGGTTCGGTATAGTTGGCATGAACATGCCATTCGTCATTCTGGTACTGTCAGAAGACCCACGAACGAGCATTTCTTTTTTAGCTATACTCACTGTATGGACATCAATAACCACACAATCAGTCCTAGATTCCTGCTTCAAGACGCGGAAATCTCGAGGCGGGATCTTGTCACCCGGTTTGTTTGCAGAATGGATAAGTTGCATAATAGTCTAAACGTAGTTGAGTAAGTGCCCATGAAATATGAGAAACTCATTCGGCAGGCTCACCTTTCGAAAATCTGGTCTCCTACTATGACGATGCTGAATCTGTCGGTGGTACGCACCACGAGGGCCATCGTCACGGGCCCTTTGCTGTGTTCCATCCCTGTGCCGGCTTCCACTCCTGCCGCGCCCTCCTTGGTCAGTTTGAGGTTGACTGTGATCCCGTGTATCATTACCACGGCCCTGCGGACTGTGACCAGCGCCATCAACATGACGCTCTCCGTTCTGATTGTCATGACCGCGCGTCAACATCCTTTTAGAGCTGGCTTTGACGGCTCGATTGCGATCGAGACCTAAGGTTACAGTCTTGATGGCGGTCTGTGGAAACGTTGTTGAATTATCTGCGGTTTCACCTATTGTGTCAACAGCATCAACCGCTAGGGGGGAGTCTTCGGTTACACCTCGCACAGTAGCCAATGGGTCTTGAGCAGAAGTTTGGGCTACCACCGCAGAGGCTGTAAGGCTATCTGATACTGCCGCATGTGGATCCACAGCTTGAGTCGTATCTTTCGTCGCAGCAGCAACGGCTTCTGGAGCGGATTGAGTGACGCTAGGAGGGAGTACAGTCACATCTGGATCTTCCTGAGTCCAAGATCCGCCCTCACGGTCAGTGTCCAAGAGTGACAAGTCCTATGAGCAAGAGTGTCAGATAATTACCGTCTCCATATTTAGTACTCACTGATATGATTCTCGAGCGAGATAGTTCCAGAATACGTTGATTGAATTTGCCATTTGTCCATTCATCAAAGGTAGCTATAGCAGGTTTCTTCAGGTAGAGCCCTGTTTGGAGTCAATCGATGAAACTGTTGACACAGAAGCTTGAGGCTTCTTTGAGGCTTCTACATGACTTACTCAGGGTTCCGACGAAGGTCTGATACAAGCGTGCTTGCTCTAGCGTTTGCCTTGCGTCGACTCGAGCAAATGCAAGTTTGGCGATGATTTTGCCATACTCCTATTCCTTGTCAGTGATGATGGATTGTTTGGATCGAGAACGCGATCGACTTGCCTCCCTTTCCTTAGAGGCATCTATGATGGCCATGATCGCGACAGCAACCGCAATCATAGCCATCACTGCTCCAACCACTTCAATGGCAGTACCTGCAGTTGCTGCCGCTATGATTCAACATATCACAAGTGCCCCAGCGACCACACCAGCTGAAATTGTAATCAAACCAGTGACGGTCAGTATCAGTTTTTCGATACTGACATCGCGGGAGAGACTGAAGGCTTTAGTTGTTCTGAATGGTACGAGGTTTGACATTGCCATACTGTTTAGTCAAGTCCTTCCATTGCTGGGAAGCCTCTGGCGGCAAGGAAGAGTCAATTTTCGCTTCAAGATCGGAAAGAGTCGAAAGGCCCTGTTCTTTCAACATTCTAGCCAGCCCGGGGGCAAGTTCCGCAAGAGATTTATTTCTGAGTCACTGTTAACTGTGGACAATTGACAGGAGCAATAGTGCAAACATGTCCGCAGTGATGGTATCCAACTCAGCCTTCATCGAATCGATGTCATCTTTGAGCTGCTGTGCTCGAGCACATCGTTTTGGATTATCAGGATAGAATAGATCCCCGATACTATTTCCCACATGCTCGGCACCTTCTGTGATATTCTTCGACACATTGTCGAACTCCTTACTCGCATCATCTTTGATTTCTTGTGCTTTGACTTCAACTTCTTTGAGCCCATGTTCTACTGCAGCACTAGCATCTGCAGCAGCAGCTACCACAGCTTTACCAACACCTTCTCGAGTCCCAATGACAACTTTACCAACGACGTCTGCAGTATCAACAACAGCAGCGACTGCTTCTGAGACAACACTTTGTACGCCTCCCATACTTTGAGGGAACTGAATTAGCCACAAGAATGTTAGACCGGAAACAATATTCAGAATTCCTCTATGGTTGTATATTGTCCCGACTCAGAGCACTTACCCATGCTTAAAAGCCCTGCGCAGAAATTAGCCACACATCTACCTAACACGACCGACTATCTTGCTTGCCAGGAAGGCATACCCTGTGAAGCTGAGAAATGACTACACCATTCCAATGATGAAATTAAGGTTGATGCCTCCGACTTTCAACCTTGGGATGCATCACCCTTGCTCAGCCGTCCTCAAACCCCAGGTGGACAATAAGTGGAAAGCATGGCGGTAAGCATCGGCGCGCTCGAACAAACAATTCGAGACATAAAAGGGCATATAGCTCCATCCAGATAAATAAACTCTTTTTGAGGCTGCAACCTTGTAATGCATGATCAGCTGGACAAAGGAAAGTCACATCAAGAACTATGCAGCCGTTGAGCAAGAGATCTGGTCACCGTTCTGCAGTTCGGGTCACCAAGCCAAAGAGCTTCTCACAGGACCTGATCGTAGCAGATATGGAGGTAGAGGACAACAAGGCATCTCCCGGCTTAAAAACTTCGTAAAATCCGATAAATCGTTCACCCAAGGGTCCAACCTTCCTTGACATGCGGGTGGATTGCAGTAACTAATGTCGACCACTGCTTATGCGGACAAAGTTATCCCGGAGGTCTCATGCACCCGCGGGCCCTCTGAGCTGACCTTATTTGCAACCTCCGTTCACACTTCGTTTGATCTCGCTGGAACACTTTCCGGTGACTCAGCGCGCATACATGTCGATTATATTTCCATATCGCATGCAGGGAGAACTTAATCATATACCTGTGCACTTTTTGAGGGCGCCTTTTCATGAAGCGCGTAGTTTGGAGCCGGGGGTAAGAAATGAGCTCGCGGAAAAGAAATGCAGCATAAGCTCCAGCTGAATTTTAGCGCAAATCGGAAGATGAAGCGTCATACACGAGACTACCTAGATCCTCGCTTTGATTGGTAAGACACGCGATATCCTTGTCGGACGATCTCCCATTCATCGCGATCCAGATGAGGCTATGCCAGAAAAGTTCTACATTCATGCACCAGAATGAGACTCGCATGACAGAAGATGTCTGTGGCACCCCAACTTGAGACCCGGTGCCACCGTCGACGGTCACATCAGCGAGGATTGCTCTTTGGATCTCTCGTTCTAAGCAAACGAAAGCAGACATGCACCTATTTCTCTCGACCCTTTCTGGCAGAAAATCAGCTTCGAAGGTTCAACTGATAGCCAATGTCCATCAAGCACAAGCCACTGAATGCTTCAATTGGTAGACCGTGATAAGTGTCTCTTTTACACCAATTATTACGTTGCTTCCGCAGATCACTCACTTGGCCCCACGAGTTGAATACGCTTTTACGTGGTTCTGTTTGGTCCGTAGCGCAAGCCGAACCTTCAGCAAAGGCAATGATACCACGACCATCGACTCTATTCTCGGGAGTAGGATCGTGCTCGCTGTTGGGACGCTGAGAGGAGACTTCGTACCCAGGCCGTCAAAATATGCGTCGGCTGAGGTTAACCAACTTGAAGATCTCAAAGAAAAGGCAGAAGTCTGGGATAGGCTGGCTAACCATGAGCTGAGTTTTCCACTATCTCTAGCAACCCACCTAAAAGTAGACCATTCCCATGGTCGCCATCTAGTTGGGACCTCGATATTTGGGAGTTTCCTGACGCCGGTCGTCGACGCCACGAAAGCGATTCGTTCGACATTCGCACACTACCAGGTTTCTGTGCCGGTAGTGCCGTCCTCCAAAGCTCTTGAAATAAGATTCAGACAAATTCCTAGGCTGGTACTGTCGACATTGGTCAAGAACGCAGCACCGTCATATAAAGGATGCCACTGAACCCTACTACAATCTTGAAACGCCATACCCTGTGTACCAGGTAGGTCCGGCAGGAGATCTGCTAACCCTACCACTTCAAACTGCATCATGAGTTTCGCTTATCCAGGTAGCTTTCGATAGGAACCTCCAGGCTACCTAGTTGAGCTGACATCACCGCAGACAACGTGAACCGATCTGCTCGAGTTGAGCAGCTTACCATGCAGATAGGAGATATTCAATTGTCCATCAAGCAGATGTTAGAAAACCTTGAGAAAGCTGACCAAGACACTTACGACTGTCAATAGGGGGTCTTACCGATGGTATCAACATGATAAAGGCTGCAGCTAAACTCATCAGCCAGAACTGGTCCAGAGAACTCAAGATCGGCAGCATGGTAGAAAATGGTATGGATCTATCCGAAACTGTCGGATCCTGCTTGTCAGGTCTGAAGATCGCCGGAAAAGTTATGAGCGTGATTGGTGCGCTTGGTGAGGTCGGCACCTTCGCGGCGGATATTGTTCTCGGAGCGAAACAAAAGGAACAGCTTCAAGGGTGAGTTTATTAGGAGAACACAGCTGACCCCAAGTTCTAATACAAATTAGCTTGATCGTGGGTGCTGCCTCCCAGAGACATGTCATGGAGTCTATCTACTGCATGGTCAATGCAGCAGTAAACTTCAAGTCTAGGTTGGCAGGTGTTATTGCTGAGAAACGTCTTTTGACCAGCAAGATCGGGCAACCCCAGAATCGCCTCAAACCTGATGGAGACAAATGGACGCAAGCGGATGTCGACGCTAATGTCAAGGCTGACATTGATGCTTTTGTCCAGGATTATGCCAATGCAAGTCCTCAGCGTACCTTCCTGATGACTTCTGCTAAACCTCATACAGGCTATACAAGACTCCGCTGACCAAGCTAACATTCTTGGAAACCTCGCACTCCTTGATAGCAACCCAGGTACAGAGCGATCACATAGATTTCCCATGCTGCACGTAGCTTACCGATTTTGTCTAGGTTCCAACTCATGGAAGAACGAAGATCCCACCTCAGACCAGATCCAGCAGTATATCAAGGACCATCCACCGCTAGACGACGCTGGAGATGATGTCGGTGTTGCGGGAGAGAAGGTTCAGAAGCCTGTTCCGACGGAGTTAGGTAAGGGTCTTGATCCAGTTTCCGATCCACCCAAGACAGAGGTCGAGAAGTGTAGTGCTTCATCTTGGAATGCGACTACTACTACAGCAGATGCACTGGATGGTGCCGCGACATAGACTTATGAGTCGAGTATAGGGTAAAGTCCTCTTCGCCGGAGATGTTAAGACGATGGCTTATTTGTTTTTATGAAACACACGCTTGTTTCAAAAATCTATGAATTTCAACACTCACATAGTGATCTCGCAAATCTCGGCTCATGTTCTTTCACTCGTTAGTGTTCAATATACCAGGCCAGATCATTTTCGGGATTCATTTCCATCTCCGTAAAACCGTTTCCCATGAATTTGAACCTATTGGCGCTTCGATACTCAATGTCAAAATCTTCCGTTCGAAGTTCACCGCTAATGATGCGTTTATAAAGCATCCCACTGCCACCGAACAATGCTGTCACCCTCCCGTTGATTTCGTTTCGCTTGTACCAGCTCTTACAAGGCGCTGTCCAAACCAGAGACTTGTGAATCTCGTCCCCGTACTTGACAAACTGATCTATCACGTCAGTTTTGGGGCAAAATGATTTGATATCTTCTTCCGCCATTTTTTTAATCCAGCGGATGAAGTAATCACCATTCCAGTGCATCGCCTCGAGCAGAGATCCGTGTCCAGCGACTGCGTTTGGACCTAAGACCGTAAAGTAATTCGGCATCCTGTCAGCGGCGACAGAAAAGTAGCCTTCAGGCTCCTCGCCCCATTTTTGCCTGAGATCGACACCATCTCGACCGATAGTAGGGAACTGGGGTCGAAATGAGACGTCAAATCCCGTTGCACATACCACTTGCATCGAAAATGTCAGCGGAAAGAATTTCATTGACGACAGCTTGTCACTAGTAAACTTACAGACATCCACCTCGTGTACCATGCCATCTGCGGTGTGGACAGCATTCTCTGAGATATGGGTTATTGGGCTTTGCGTAATGTCACAATTCGGCAGGAGAAATGATTCAAGGTAGCCTTCTCCGGGTGTGATACGTCGACAGCCCAGAGACCAATCGGGGATCAGCATCTTGCAGAGTTGAGCGTCATGTCCAAGCCTTTCCGCCATTTGTTCACGAGCTGCTCTCATGGCTTCTTTGTTTGCCTCCGAGTCTTTGATGAACTAGACAGAAGGCTCATTAGATGTCTGGAATGAAGAGGTGGAGGAGGGGCGAGGGACGGGGAGGCAAACCATTCTGAAAGCTCTGTTGGTACGGCCAATCATAGCCTTTCGATGTTCCCTCATGGCATCAGGATTTTCTCGAAAGTTCTTCTTCTCAGCTTCAGTATATTCCGGGTTGTTTCCTGACTTTCCTGATTTGCCGAGATGCTGTGATGGCGGGACACGGTAGTATATCCATGACGGGCCACGGGCGAAATTCATGACCGATGTGCCGGGTAGCTTGGCCATTTGAGGCACTATCTGAACTCCCGATGAGCCATTCCCAATGACTGCAATTCTCTTGTGGGAGTAATCATAGTCCTCGTCCCAGTAGGCTGAATGAACTTGTTTGCCCACGAAGTCGGTAAGTCCAGGAATTTCAGGCCACTTATACACGCTATAAATCCAGTTAGCCCATTTTTCAGTAGACTTCGCAGAAATAACAGATTATAGACAGTTGCTTACTCAAGAACCCCGTGGCCGGATATCAGAACATCTGCCCATTCGTCCCGAGTCTGGCCATTATGTGCCACGGTCACTTTCCATTGACCTCTTGATTCCTCCCAAGTCGCCGCAGTAACCTCTGTGTTCAATTGTACATCTCGATCAAGGTTCCATTTCTTTACAGTTTTGACGATGTATTGATGGATTTCCTGCCCACTGGAATAGAATTTTGTCCACTCTGGATTGGGGTCGAATGGAAATGCCTGTGTCGTGTCGTCATTTTAGCAAAGCTATACATATTTCTTCGAATAGGGACATAAAAACAACGCAACATACATATATATGTGATGGAACATCACATTGTACTCCTGGATACCGGTTAACAAGCCAAGTGCCACCAAAGTCCCCGCGCTTCTCGAATATGGTGTGCTCGACAATTTTGTCCATTTCAGGAAAGCGATGTTGAAACTTGTGAGCCATCAAGAGGCCGGAGAAGCCTGCGCCAACTGTGACTACCCGAAGCTTGCGGGCTGTAAAGGCAAGCCTGTCATCCATTGGAATGGAATATCTGCTTTTATCCGTGAGTGGGCTTTTCTTTTCGACTGTAGTGCCATTCGACAACGGTGCTGTTATTCCACGATGACCGTTAACGTATGGAGTTCCGTCATCGATAGGCAGATTTTTCGTTGGCTGCGGAGCAACGCGCTTGCTGTCTAATTGCTGCTCGACATATGAACCAAAGGCCTCATTCGGCGCCAGCGATTCTTCTGTCAAGGCCATTGTTGGGTTTGAAAGGAGGTTGAAATTGTTGCTGATGTTTCCTAGAACTTTGTGGCAGCGGGTTGTACAGGAGGGATAATACTAACGTTCGACAGAATTGTTATCTTAGCAACAATTCATAAGATGCGGTCCCTTTATTGACCACACGTCTAGACCTGTTCCACTGAGCAATATCAGTGATTTCGAGATCTCCGCATGCAACAAGAAACGTGCTAATGAAGTCGCGCCATGGCGATGTAGTTGCCTTCATAGCCGGATTTCTTCTCATGATAATCGAGTGTTATGCAAAGTGATTGGTCCCTGGAACATTGGGATCTTCAATGGTAGACCGCTGTCGACTTCGGCTCATTCGTACGAGTAGTACCTGATGGCGAATTGGCATTTACCTGGAGAGAATGTGGGGTACCTGCTGCCGAAATGCCGGGGCGAGGGGGCTCATCCACACCTGTGTGATTGGATAATCATTGCCGAATGTCCTGGGAGATCGGGCTTGGATACCACAATCCCCTCTTTCCCAGGTCATCCCAATGCCTTAGCACGTCTGCTGTCCTACCACCCCCTCGACCTACGCAGAAGTGAACGTCATGGCGCCTTTTACCTAATAAAGCAGACAGTGTTTCGAGTCTGGTCGATGTAAACACCGTTCTTCTCAAGCGATATCTGTGAGTGAATTCATCAGCCCTGCTGGAGCCTATCGCACTGCACAACAATAAATTCGACCATATTCGGGGGGAAAGCATTACGAAGGAAAAGACTCCTTAGTTGACCATGTCGCCTCAACGATACAACTACACTGGGCCTGTAGACTGCAGCATCATCCCAGACAAGTCACAGTGCAAAGGGAAAAGCGTGATTGTAACTGGAGGTCTGTGACTGCTCTATCATTGGACCTTTATTTGAAGCTGAATGCCTTTGAATATGGCTTTTCTGACAATATTCGATTCATTTAGGTGCCAACGGCTTGGGAGAAGCATATGTCCGGGCGTTTGTGGACGCAGGGTAGGTTCCACTATTTCCTGACTGGGTATACCCAATATTCTGACAACTTTCGAGGGCTTTTGTTACCTTCTGTGATATCAACAAGGTAAAAGGAGAAGCTGTTGAGTCAGAATTGACCTCGTGAGTATTCCTCGACGCCTTTATTGTCCATCATAAGAGTGCTCTAGAGTCGGTAGTAATTTTGGTTGACTCGAGTTAAGACAGAAAGTATGTTTCGTACAATCTGACACTCGGTCTTGGGAAGATCAAATAAGATTGTTCGAAGCAGCCGTAGCGAAATCCCCTAGCCAAAGCGTGGATATTGTCATTGCGAATGCTGGAGTTGGCAGAGGTTCTGGAGACCCCATGATGCAATTGGAAGGTAAGCTACAGTCTTGTGATATGCTGGAAGTCAATGACCATGTGCTGAGCCAAGTATTGGAAATCTAGATCCCTTTGTGACGCCCACGAAACCAAGCACACATATCATCGACATTAACTTGGTTGGTGCTCTATACACTTTCAAATTGGCCGTGCATTACTTCCGGCGGAGTCCGCAAGACAATGAGCGGGACCGGTGTTTCATCTTTATTGGGAGTCTTGCTGGTTTTGTTGACAATTTAGTATGTGCTTTTGTCATTTTCGGTCTACCCTCAAACATCTTCTTGATCTTGAGCTTTCTGAGCTTGGCTAACCTGTTGCTGTCCAGGGGAGTTGGGAGTATTCGGCCGCGAAGTTTGGCCTTCGGGGTTTCATGAGAGCTGTCCGATGGAATTCGCATAATCAGGGCATTCGAGTTGCTTATGTCGCCCCTTCGTAAGTCTTCATTGATGCTTCGTTATGCTTTTATCAGATTCACGGAAGCTAAAGGAGAGAACCATAGCTATGTCCGGACTGTCATACAGTCCGCCGAGACCTACGAAGGTATGCGGCGAAAAGGGATCGAGTTCGCCACTCCTGAGAGCTGTGTCGCGGCTATAATGAGAATCTCATGTGACAAAGGGATAAATGGTGAAGTTTGCACAGACCAGATCTTCACCCCGAAAACTAATTTCTAGTCCAGGACACTCATTCGTGGTCGTGCCATATTCTGTGGCAAAGGAGGGATTTAAGGATGCGGAGGAAGACGATTGGACTGATGAGAATTATTGGTTGCAGAAGTTCCAGAGGACAGTGGTAAATGTAAGAGGCGACTCATGGGATTGAGCTAGAAACTGCATTTGTACGGAAATCACAAGATCTTCAACTTGACTGGCTCTTTCGGACAGTCTACCAAGACTTCGTATTTGACATGGGCCTTTGCAAGCGGAAACATGCGAAGCTATGGAGCTTAGTTGCTTCTGGCGCCTTCTCATGTGAATGAGCCTTTCAGTACGGAATAGCCTATGGTGATAGAGCGTCCTAGATACATGATATTCATCACTAGGCTTGACATAGACTATTGCAGAAACACCATCCCATGTTCGTTACAAGACTGGCAGGTCGATGGCCGCGGCACCTCTTGGAGGAGCACAGCCCAATCTCATCATGCCTGGGGTCACTGTACAAGTAACCCGTGGTTCAAACAAGCAGCCTCGCCAAATGCATTGAGCTATACTCATTATATCCTGCCGAAGCGTCACCGATCTACGTGCGGCACTCGGGAATTGGTCAACACATCTTTGATCCTGATTCGATGGCAAACAACCGAGATGCCCCGTGCTTACCAGGACTAACCATTCGTCAATTATTATCATTGTTCTCACTAAGTAAGTGGATCCTTTTTGAGAAAGGTGTAAAATATTCCTTGTTGTTGAGGTGCTTGACGCTAAATGGGAGCTGAGATACCCCAGACTCGGTTATATAAGTACCCCAGAAACCCCGGATCATGAAGAGCTCTTCACTATTCTAGGTTCAATACTTGAGGCAGTGCGACCATACAGATCAAGCTACTCACAATGGCAGTAGACAAAAACTCTGTTGAGAAGAGCATGGCGGAGAGCCAGGTGGAGAATGCTACCCAAAATGAAACCCCGCATGACAGGGCCATGGCAATCGAGCATGTGGAAGGTGAAATTTGGCCCGGCATCAATAGGCAAACAATGTTGGCTTTCTTTGTATGCCTCACTCCTAGAAAGGAGATCAATGAGTCAAATGTGAAATGGGTTGCTAACGCGAAATGTGTCTTCTAGGCCATTTGCACCCAGCTGAGTGCCTACGAATTGACCTTGATCATTCCTGCTGTCTCGGCTTCCTATATCAATGCGGAGCTAGGGCCCAGCAAGAATATCGCCTGGATTAATATCACCTGGACACTCGGAGCATCAGTTCTCGTGAGCGTGGGAGGACGCTTGTCAGATATATTTGGCCGCCGAAACTTTATGCTTTGTGGAGCTGCCATCTCTTTCATCGGGACCATTGTCGGGGCCACAGGGCAAAGCATTGGCCAGATGATAGGTGCTGGTGTTATGTTTGGAGTAGGATCCGGGTTCCAAGAAATGGGATTTGCCTGCATCATGGAGTTCATACCTAATAAATACAGGTTGACGGCGCTTGGTGAGTATGCCATTAGTCACTCTTTGAACTCTATCTCGATACGTTGTATACTGATTTAAACCTAGGACTCTATGGAACAAGCGCAATCATGTGTCTCTTCTGTCCTCTCATTACGTACGCTTTCATTGCGCACACCAGCATCGGCTGGCGAGGTGCATATTGGTACATGTCAGGCTTTCATGCATTCGGTTTAGTGTGCATGTTCTTTTTCTACAAGCCTCCAACATTTGAAACAAAGCATAAGGAGGACGGAGCATCGAAGTGGAAGCTCGTTGCAGAGATGGACTACGTTGGTCTATTTCTTTTCACTGCTGGATGTGTTTTGTTCCTGGTCGGGCTGAGTTTTGGCGGTAGGCAGTACCCATGGCGGCATGCTGCGGTCATTGCGCCTATCATCGTGGGATTCTTCCTGTTGGTTCTTCTCTTCATTTGGGTATTCAACGCCAACCTCAAATATCCGTTCCTTCCTCCTAAACTCTTCAGACAATGGCGAGGGTGAGATCCATTTAAATATCTCTTTCGAAGTTACTATCAGACTAACAGATAATATGAAGATACAACGTGCTGGTGGTTGTTGGATTCTGCTGCGGCATGCTGTACTACAGTATGCAGGTCTTATGGCCTCGGCAGTCCTCTTTGCTATATGTGTCAGCAAATGAACCAATTTTGCGCGGGTTATACGCAAATGTTACCCTGATGGGAACCTGGTGTAAGTTATGGCAACCTATACATGGGAAAATTGTCGCTCAATAATTCTGACGTTGTCTAGTGTCACTCATCTCGGTTTGGGTCGTGTGCGCCAGATTTGGCCATGAGAAGTACCAGATACTCGTGTTCATCTGTCTCCAGGTTATCTTTATCGGGGCTTTGTCTACACTAGATATTGGACAAAACGGCAAAGCCATCGCCTTGGTCTTTCTCATGTCCTGTGTAATTAACCAACCTCTGTATATGCTTTTCAGCATGGTATCTCTCAACCTTGATGATCAAGCTGACATGTAAGTTATACCACCAAAATCGCTGATCAAGAATGATTCTTGCTAACTTAAGGATGCTTCCAGGGGTGTGGCGATCGGGGCAATCTCAACATTTCGTCTACTTGGTGGTGCAGTTGCCACTGCCATTTACGGTTCGATTGTAGACAATCAGTTTGCAACAAGGCTGCCAGGCCAAGTCCAGAAAGCAATTGCGGGCTCCGACTTCGATACGTCTAACCTACGAGCCTTGATCCAAGCAGCTGCTGTGAACACTGCCGCTGCCTATGCAAAAGTCCCTGGTATCACCGCCCAGATCATTACAACTGCTCAGTATGCAGTCAAACGCTCGTACATCCAGGCTTTCCAAGTGGTCTACTATACCGCATTGGGTTTCGCATGTTTGGCCATTCTTAGCGCTCTCTGCATCAAAGACATTGACCCTGCAAAGAAGACTTACGAAAAGGCTGTACATTTGGAGAACGAGAAGGTTAAATTAGCCCCTGACAATGGTGGCAAAGAAGAAGTTTGAGCATGAAGCGCCGATAACCACTAGCGAGTCAAGCAAGTAGATTGCTACCATCAACAGCATCTGAATAGATCCATCAGTACGTGTGCAGATATCTATATAGCTGTCCTGGGCAGGTGGAGGGGCGCTTAGAGGCTTGAGCTAAGCACATATAGTTTTTCGACTTTCACACCTTGTAATTGTTTTGAGGTATGCCATACCATTCAAATATCAGTATTTAAAGTCATCCTTCTGGGACACTCTGCTAGACACTCTGCTAGAGTACCTACGGGGCTTATGAGCATTTAAGTATTCTATTCCCTGAACACTCTGTCTTTCTCACACACGAGGCCGACCAAGCTGGAAATAGCAGAGCTCTGGCTAGGAAGACGAGATGGCCACTGAAACAATTTTTTGATGGAGGAGTTGACTAAGCGGTGAGGCAAGCGGCTGCCCCTTGAAGATAGGATAGCTGGTTTAAGAGGAGTCTGACAATTGTCTCATCTGGGTTCCTTTATTTCATGTCTTTCCATCATGTTGATCCCTCCTCTTCGCAAGCAGGTCAAAGATTCTCGAGCAGTCTGGCCTGCCTCCTATATCATTACACTCGTGGAGCAAACTCTCCAAGTCGGCTGTGTCATACAAGGCTGAAGCTTCCTGCCGAAATCGATCCTCGACCCCTTGCGGTCCCAACCAGGGCACGTCCGACAACGATTCCTGGTGGATCGTGCCATCTTTCATTCGGATCTTCAACTGGCAGGGCTGTTTGCCTCGTATGAGCTCCTGGTCGAACTCACTATTGGTGCAGATGACGCAGCGTTGTATGAGTCTCTCCAAATCTGCGCTATTGAAGTGACGGTATGCGTTCTCATCAATGCGTCCGAACAGCAAGGCGGCTGACACTCCATACTGGAGACTCATCTTCGTTTGCTGTACACTGTCGAATGGTCCTGAGCTGTCACAACCTGGGTACTCCTTTGCCACAGTTGTTGTGATAATTGAGATATTTTCAATGTGTCCCGAAGCTCCAGTGACCTTGGAATGTAGTCCCAATACGGCGGCTACAGGGGTTTGAATCAAGTTGCAACCCGCGAAAGGTTTGAATTTGACACCCATTATCCCGCTGCCAAGTTCTGATTCAATCACAAATTTGCGGAACCTTTCTGGTGCACTTGGCCCACAATTATATGCCTGGAACAGGCCATCTTTGCCCTCCAGGGCGGTTTTGCTGCTCAATATACCTGCCTTTGCTAACTCGAAACTGGAAATACCACTCCGACTAGCTATACCCATGTGAGTGTTGATCTCTTGGCCTCCAGCCCAGGGCCATTCATTCAGCCCTGAAGCCGTGTTCGCGGCAAGCCCCAGGGCACTAGCACCCTCGTCTTGAGTAATTGTCGGATCCGCAATGATACCCACTGCAGCAGCGCCGAAAGCGCCTATGATTCCACTTGGGCGGAATGAGGATTGCACGAACCAGAATGTCGGACTGAGGAGCCCAGCGCAACGGCCATATCGTAGCCACCGATTATGCTCCTCAGCAACTGATCTCCAGTCCAATTGTCTCGCTGAGCAAGGGCCAGCGCAGCCGGTATCACCATGACACCGATATGAGCCCCTGCAGATAAATGCATGTCATCTCTAATAATACTGTCCTGGGAGTCACCGACAGTGGCCATTGACGTTGACGACAGGGGTCTGGCTTACCTGTGAGCAAGTGCTGCGTTGGTGAACGCAGCCACCTCGGCCGCAAGAGGTATGTCAAGGCCCATGACATGTGCTGATCCCTTGCCAGGGCTTGCCACTTTGGCATATTGTAGAAGTGCAGCGCTCCATGGCGCTGCCAACCCAGAGATGAGAGCGCCAAGATAGTCGACAAGGCACTGCACCGCCTTTTCCCGCACTTCAGCCTTCACTATGCAGCTTCGGAGGCGCTCTAGATGTCCGGAGGCCAATTCAGTCAGTGTCGGTTTGATCTTCTGATGGTTTCCGTTGCGGAGTGTTGTCATTTTGTCCTTATAGCTCAGCGGTGTAGTGCACTACTTTCACCATACGTGTCAATTGCCCGTACTAGGGCGAGGCCTGCCAGATGCTGCAGATTTGTGACTTCTTCTGAGGCCCGATCCACCATTAATACGGACGCCGTCGCACGGAGACACGGCCGGGGTAAGTGATGTTAGTAATTGAGCCAAGCTGGGCCAGATCATCTCATGGCATCTCGGCTCATGTCGACCAATAGCGTCCAAACTCCGAAGAGCCACAGGACTCAGTGCCTGCACATGTATCTCATCGTGGCAGGACACGGCGGACGAGGTCATCACGCAAGACAAACCATCGGACTGTTCATTCATCTGACGCAGAATCGACGCATAGCATATTTAATGTCTTGGCAAGATTCTGCTCGCTGTTGTCGTGCTTGATCTCTTCTGAAACACAGAGCCCGTTAGTTGTATTTCCATCCTCATGTCTCATAGAATCCTGCTCACCGGAGCCTCTGGCTATCTTGGAGGGACTTTGCTTGCTCGGTGGACGAGCGTGACCCTGCCACCATACGAAAAGCTTTTTGCGCTTGTGCGAACGCAAGAACAAGCCGTTTCCCTCAAGCAATATGCTGCAACGCCCGAGCCTCTGTTCTTTGACATCAGAGATAAAGAAGCAGTTGATTCTGCGGTGGTCGGCAATAAAATAACAATCGTATACTTCCTAGTGGATGCTGTCAACGTGGAGGCTCAAAAACATTTCATCGCTGCCCTCGCCGAGGTGAAGAAGAGTACTGGATTAGATGTTCATTTCTTGCACGTAGGTGTCGTCTCCTAATTATCTCTACAGCAAATTCGTCCCTATGTCAATTCAAATAGGGAGAATGATGTTGATCTTCCTTGATATAGACGAGTGGAGCCAAAATATTCTCCAGTCACGCTGGCGCTCCCATTGACAGGCCACTTCTGGACAACGAAGAGGGCCTTTACGAGATTCAGAAGGCACAGATCCCGCCACTGCTCGCCCCGGTCCAGCAGGCAAGCCCCCCTCCCTTGATTCCCAGTTCTTCTCGAGCAATACCCTTGGTGATAAAGTCCGAGCACTAACACTGAGATTTCATCGCTCGTCAGGCGATTGACACCAACAATACTGTGATTGAGGAAGCCACAGCACATGGAGTGAGAAGTTACGTTTTTGTCCCGTGCGTGGTGTGTAAGTCAGACTTGTTCTCAGCCGCTCTGCAGTAGCTTGAGAGGCGTCTCAATTCTGGGACTAACAGTACGCAGATGGGAAAGGTGAAGGTTTCGGTAACCCCATTTCGATTCAAACGGTTGCTATAATCCGCGCGGCAAAAGCGACCAGGCAAGTTTTGAGTGTTGATCCTGGACGTCCGGTTTGTACATGACATCCATCTCTTTGACCCAAATCTTGTCAAATTGCTGATCGAAGATGTGGTAGATATGGCCCGTGTGCCATGTGCTGGACAACACGACGTTGTATCTAGAGCTTCTTCGGAAGATACTGGCTGGCGATAATCCCGGCCATGGTCGGCAAGGTTATTATCTCGCGGCTGCTGGTAGCGTTGCCTGGGTCGATCTGTATAGTGTCATAGCGAGAAGCCTGAAGAAACGTGGCGTCATTGATCAAGATTCTATAACGCAGGCTTCCGATCAAGAGCTGGAAAAGATGGCCACAGCACTGGGATGTCCAAAAGAATTCGTTGCTTTGCAATTGGGAGGAATGTAAGTGTTATATTTCTTACTCTGGAAGGTCAAACTGCAATGATTATACTACCAATCATGGCTTCCAAAGGGTTGATAGCTCAGACTGACCTTCCGAACAGTTGCACACTCTCGGCGGTACATGGGTCAGAGATTGGCTGGAAACCAACCTTTGCAGCTAGCCACATCCTCGAAACAGCGGATGAGGAGGTGGACTGGGTTTTGGCCAACCTGTGATTAAGTTCTGTGCAATCGCTCATCCCCCTGGAAACTTGTCGTGGTCTAAGGTCACTTTCCACTATGCTGCGGCAGAGCTCAAGATAGAGTAGAATCCCATAATGTAACATGGTCACTCTCCCAACCAGTTGAGCGCAGATAGGTTCTCCATGAAAGGATCCAAGGTAGCATCTGATGTATCAAACAAGTTCTGGAGATGCATTGCCGGATCTGCTAACCAGGACATATCCTCCCAGACAAATCCAGTTGGTTGTTCTGCCAGTAGGATGGCAGCGATGCCAGATACATGCACCGTAACGTTGGGAAAATAGCTCCGCCAGTCAATGCCATGAAACCAATCGACGTCGGAGAGTGGGGAAGAAGTCGTAGGGTGGTCGATCGCACTCGCTGTTGCTCCCTGACCATGTTTACCAGATGGGAGGTTTTCGAATGCCTTCAGTCTGTCAAACCCTTTTACGAAGATCTCTGTAGTGGGCCAAATGCGCGCCAGCTCACCCAAAGTTAATTTCAGAACTCGGATGTCCTCGGCGCCACTTTCAGCGAGGCCTTCAATTCTTTGTGTATACAACAGAGCCACAATCGCAACCGCAACATGCCAGGATGAGATTGCTCCAAGGAATTTGATCTCGCCTCTGGCCAGAAGAGTTTTGAAGATGTGAGTGACGCAAGAGGCTGATAACACTGCGGCCGTGTAGGCTTCCGGCCATGGTTGTGATGGATGCTGTGTGGACCAATTCAAATGAAGAACAGTAACGGTGGTGAGGTATGGCAGGTGTAAGGCTAGTACGTCCCGATCAAAGGTTTGTTCGCGATCAAAGATAGTCGACAGAGATAGGTGGGAGGGAAGGTTCTGAGTCCACTTGACAAGTTCTTCAGCAAGAGGTGCGGGAAAAGCTGCTTGTTCTGGGCTATGAGACAAGTGTTGGCCTACGCGACCAATAATGGCGCAGAGTCGAACCCAATGAACGAAAATCTCTGCTCGGGGATCTGTGGAATGGGACGGACCGAAGTCTGCAACGGTAGGTTCGAGAACATCACAGTCTTTGGGGTTGATGGTGCAAGGCCGTCCTTGACAGATCGAAGTCAAGCGTTCTCGAGCCTGCAGGCCACTGTTAAACCCGGCGGGACTATCGTACGGTGGTCAACTTACGAATAACGTCCACCAGATCCTTCTTCGCAGTCCTTGCATTGCTTCGCCCCCAACGTCTTGTATGTTCTTGGGCTCCCGATGAAGCCCCACCTGCTGAGCATACTTGATAGCGATACCAGTCCACCACCACGCAGCATCTTTATGCACTTGTGAGGGTCTGTTGCATTAATTTCAGCTGGAGTACTGCGTTCACATATAGATATACGCGAGAGAGATAAGGAGAAAGGGGCACAGGAAGATAGTGTCTTACCCACGTGGTGCCCACCAGTAGAACAGCATAATGGCTTGGAGGCAAACGATAGGGTTACTGTCTTGGTCCATATAAAAGAGCATTTTTGCTCGGTTATAATATTCAGCAGCTGTTGCATGTTGTATGATCGGGGGCCGAATCTGAGTGCCCAGAAGTGCTAAAGCGTTAACCAGCAAGGGAGAATGCATTGTATCGGAATTCTGCCAGAATGTTGCCTTATCGAGTACAGGGCACCATGGCCAGCAGTGATTAAAATACGTATCAGCAAAACTCTGCTGTAGCTCCGGTGGAGGAAGGTTATCCTCCAAACCAGTTGATGAGGACGACACGTTCGCAGCATCGTTAGTGGCAATCCTGTGAGAATCTCGAGCGAAAATCTGCAGAATACCATTATTGCCGAGATAGCTCACCGCTGGAGCTGGCGGGATCGCCATGCCTGCGTCCCCAGACACATCGTCGACAACATCAGCAGTCGGTGGCACAGCACAGGCTTGTAAGCGTGATGTTGAAGAGGAAATCGTGCCTCTCTGAGCGGCAGCAGGTCGTGTGCTTGCCACCGCCACCGCGTTGTGTCCTGGAGCATCAGAACCTTCAGGTATCTCATCAAGCCGAGTTAGGTCGCGGGTTTGAGACGACCGCGAAGGCTGATATCCGGTCTGATTCCATTCTGCGTCCAGATGACCGTTTCTGGGGCCACCGTTGATGGCGGGTAGGATATGGAGATGCACCGATGCTTGGGGCTCTAGAGCACTCGAGCCCCCAGGGCTGTCACGAAATCGCCTTTTCCGTCTCTTTGGAGACCTTGGCCTGGGTAGAGATCAGCCAAGGTCATTCGGACAACGACTGTGACGACTTTCAGCCATTGGCTTCTAGAGGCAGACTCACTGGCAGAAACTTGAAGACTCGATGCAATTACCGCAACTTGTCAAACCTTCTTGCGTCCGGCTTTCAAGGTCGCATCTCAACTACATTGGAAGAGGAGGATTAGTTAGCATGCCAATAACAAGCTGTGCCCCCCAATGAATCTACCTTTCTATCATGGCACGGCAAACAGACGCGTCGAGCCCGCAATTTACGGGGCTGGGGTATAGATTGACCATTCGGCATGATCATGAAATCGTGGTATGATAAGGTTCTTGACCATGGCAAGTTGTGACACTAACTTAATTCTCGGGCATGTCTGTAGCTTTAGGTATGAAATTTTGGGCATGGAGGAGCGAGCGGGGTGACTTGGATTGCCGAGGGAAATCTCGGGGGCGCCTCTGGGCCAAGAGCTTGATACCTTGGGTTGGTAGGTAGCTAGGTACCGAGTGAGGACAACTGCCATAATCCCTGCGCGGTATCACAGAGAATTGTCCTCGATATATTGAATAACTGTTTCGGTCTCAAGTGAAGGCCCACATCTTCAAACGCAGTAGATTGTGAATGTATAGGTACAAGTGCAGCATGGGAGGCCAGGGCCTTGGGCGCGAGTGGCACTCTAAATGCCACACGTCCTCTGGACATGCCTTCTTTCAAGCTCTTCGATACTCACGCCCTCCTTGACTTCTGCACGTAGATGATCACTCAACCTAACTCTTAGCAGCCAACTCGGTGAACAGCTCCAGGCATGACAGAAGCTATTGTTTCGAACATCCCCATATGGACTTCGCCTGGCATCGGTCTCGTCGAAACACTCCCAGAAAGTGTCGGCACCGACATTAACCATGCCACCCCAGTATTTCTTTATAAGATCTATAGCTTCGGAGAAGAGAGACACAGTTGCTAACGCATCGACTATATGGTGGTAGAGATACGGTGTCAAAGGTGTGATGGTGTCTGGATGCGACATGGCACCGAGAAGGGCATTGCGACACGTCGCTACTGGGAACGCCCCCGATAGGGTGAGCCATGCGGCGGAGGCGAGGGAGATCTGAGAATGTGGCCCAGAAATAAAGAGTTGTGAATGTGGTGAGATAAAACTCGATGCAGCATCTCTCAATTGTGAGATGAGTTGCGTATAGGGTTGTGGAGAGATGGAAAGGAGGGATGCAAGGGCGTTTATACGTTCCAAGCTGTACAAGAGAAGGCCGTGTAACCCAGCCGAGGTGTCGAGATTTTCGGCCCAGTCCAAGAACTTCCACGCAGTAGTCTTTGAGGAGACGAAGAGATGGGTTTCTGGATCGACATGTGAGATGGCCTTGAGAAGAGAACCCTGGATAGTGGGCCACAATTCGCGACCAGTGGCAAGGTCCCCTGTCGCAACAACATAATCATAGACAATGACACCAAAAAGTGTGTCGTAATCAACAATGTAATCTGTAGCTGGAATGAGCACTGGCTTCTCAAACAGGCAAGCTGGGAGAGAAGAGTCAGAGCGTGGTACTGCAGCGAAGAGGTACAAACAGCGTTTCGCAAGGTTGTAGTCGCGCAAGGTGTGGTAATTGGTGAGAGCTTGCAGGCGCAAATCGCCTATCCAGACACGGCGATCTCGACGTGGTCCATCTTCAAAGACCGTTTGCATACAATCCCTTAGTGTTAACATGGATATTTCGTCGATGGTGTTGAGAAGGGGGTCATGATAATCATAGAGCTCAACTTGCGTCGAAGAAGCGACTGAGCTAACGGCAGTACAGCAGAACTCCGAAAACTTGACCTTATATTTTGGTGAAGTATCGACAATGCGGACTCGTAGGTACCGGAAAGCGTATCGACGGGGCAATGCCACGTCCTCTGGCATAAAATCTATGTTTATGACTTCATCTGGCAGCCAGCTCGTGCTGATCCAGGTATCAACGCCTGTCATGTCTTCTATCACATCGATTGGCGATTCCCCAAACGTGAGGTTCAGGCGACATGGCGCATCAATGTTCAAACCCTCGGCCTCGATGCGAAAAGATACATGGCCCACCAAATGCAGACCAAAGTCTAGGATGAATTGGGTCCCCTTGCCCCATAATTTAGTGGAAAGTAATCCAATCTCACTTTCAAGGACTGGCTTCACGTTGAAGAATTGGGAATCATCGTCTGCGAAGCGAACTATGCGCACAGGGGCGTGTCTGGAATGAGACAGATCTGGAAGTAAAGACTGAGCAGTTGCTGCGAAGTCGTGATTGATGATTGTCGGTAGAACCTCTTCAATCTTCTGGTTTTCCGGAACCTCCGCCATCTCGAATGTGGTATGAGAACATCGGTGGTGCCCATTGCCTGCCTAAAACAATGTTGTTCTCTTTTTCTCAAACTTCAAAGGCGAGAAGCTCGCGAGATCAAAGCACCGAAATACCCCGGGCGGGCAAGCTGACAGCCATAAGCTGCGGATTGTGGTATGAGTTTAACTTTGTTGGCTTGAGATTTAGCATCCAATTGAAGATACTCGTAAGACGAATCAATTTTGAGCAGCAAATGACAAAAGCCGTCGAATATCCCGAGCAAGGTGGTCCCGAGAAAAATCTCGCCCTTCGAGATCTTTATCCCTGCAAACCTAGGACGTCCGCCGTGTCGGTACCAGGTACGAGTACGCGTTAGTGATCGCCCGTCCCCATGCTGGCGGACAAATCCCTGCTGGCTCGGTTCATCTTGACCCGGTGGAACATCGTTGTGCCGAGCTCACCACCAACTTACATCTCCAGAGCACCCCTCGAAACGGGGCCCCAGAGTATCGCCTGATCTCATGGGCCTAGGCCTTATGCAGATGTGAGGCGACTCCACCGGATCCGAGTGTATATATATACATGGCTAGGTGCCCTTGTTCAACTATCACGGACCCACGATCGCTATCATATCTCACCAATAATCGCCATCCATCGGTTTCCAACACTACCTTCCTCGACTTAGACAACAATGGGTCGCCTTCGAACGGCTGGTACGGCCGTCTTCCTGGCAATTGGAGGCTTCCTTTTTGGCTACGACAGCGGCATTATCTCCTCCACCATTGCCCAACCGTACTTTGTCGAGTACATGGGCACACCAACCGAGTCGGAAAAGGGTGGCATCGTTTCGTCCTTCACAGGTGGTGCTATCCTCGGCGCGCTATCTGTTTCTTACCTCGCTGATAAGCTCGGCCGCAAGAGATCAGTCTTTGTTGGCGCCGTTATATCATGTATTGGTTGTGCCCTACAGGGTGGTGCTGTGAATATCCCCATGGTCATCGCGGGCAGGTTGATCGCGGGTGTATCTGTCGGCCTCCTGTCTGCGATCGTACCCATGTATTGTTCTGAGATCGCAACCTCCGAAGATCGTGGCAAGCTGTCCGGATTACTACAATTTATGCTCTCTTGGGGCTTCTTCATTGCACAGTGGCTGGGCTACGGTTGCTTCCAAGTCAACAGCGCATTCCAATGGCGCTTTCCACTATCGTTCCAAGTTGTTCCAGGCCTTATCATGGCAGCTGGCATCTGGTTTCTCTCAGAATCTCCTCGGTGGCTTTGCGAAAAGGAGCGCTACGAGGAAGCGAAAGATGTTCTCAACAGACTTCATGGCACCGGTGACAACCAAGACTTTATCGATTTAGAATTTTTGGAGATCAGAGACACTATTGTAGCAGAAAAAGCCATTGCAGTTAAAAGCTGGAAGGAGATGGTCTCCCGAAAAAGCTGGAGAAAGCGACTCTTCCTCGGTATGGGTATACAAGCCTTTGGCCAGCTTTCTGGCATCAACGTTATGTACGACACCCCAGCTTCCTCTGACGTTAATTGTTCCTAAACTGACATTCGCAGCAACTACTATGGCCCTCAAATCTATGCCCTCCTCGGTATCGAGACGGGTACAGCCTTGAAGATTATCGGTATCTCAGGCACCCTCTCAATTGTCTATTGCGTCATTGGACTCTACCTCCTCGACAAGATCGGTCGCATCAAGCCTCTGGTGGTCTCGGCGGCTGGCATGGCCGCCGCGTTGCTTGTGAACAGCGTTCTATCCAAATACTACGTGCTTACGGATAACCCGAACCCAAACAACGACGCCCTCCGAGCCATGGTCGCCATGAATTTTGTGTTTAGCTTGTTCTTCACAATGATTGGCATTATTTCCTGGGTCTATCCCGCCGAGGTAAGCTCCCACTGCAGTGTCTTCTGAGCCTTTGGTCCTTTGATATGTGTAACTAATATTCAAAACTTCAACAGATCTTCCCCGCCGAGATCCGCGCAAGGGGTAACTCTCTGTCCACATTCACCAACTGGTCGCTCAATTTGGTCTTTGCACAGTGCGCTCCAATCGCCCTGAACAAATTGGGTTTCAAGATCTTCTATTTCTTCTTCGTCTGGAACTTGATCGCTGCGGTGTGCTACATCTTCTTCTATCCCGAGACGGCCGGACGCACTCTCGAACAGATGGATCAGTTGTTTGGTGACCAAGTCGTGCCACACGCATTGCAGGACAAGGAAGGTGCGGAGAAGGCTAGGATGAACAGTGTTGTGAGCCATGTGGAAGAACACCACCAGGCAGTCTGAGCTCGCCAATATTCATCAATCTCATGGGGAAGTGTATCTTACTGGGTGGCCGATCGATGAAGAAGGGGCTTTTGGCTTGCTAGGTAGTTAGTTGAGCTTTGTTGTACTTGTACAGCTCTTGAACGACTACTTCATTGATCGTCAAAAATCCTTGTTCCTTTGCTCTCCTTCGATTGTGACTGCTGCGTTCATGAGGCATTCTAGCCTGCCCTTGGTCCGGAAGCATCTTGGTTTCCCTGATTGACCGTGATAAGTCGTTTGCATACCCCTTGATATGATCTAGAGGCTGAATAATGCTAGGATCAAACGCTAGCACCAGGTAGCCAAAATCAGAGAGCAATGGGGTAGGCTCAGCACTGCCGGCGACAATACCGAGAAGCTGGACCATGATCGCCAAACCGCTGCCTTTATGCCCTCCCCATGATGTCAGAGCGCCCTGCAACGCCTTCAAAGGATCTGTCGTTATGTTTCCTTCACTGTCGTACGCTGATCCATCTGGAAGGCTCGTTCCGAGCCTGCTGGCAAGTACAACCTGAGCATACATGATGTTGCTCGTTCCGATATCCCAGATGATTGGTTGATCAGGGTCATCTGTGGGGAACCCAATGCAAAATGGGTTCGTACAGACTTTGGGTTCGTAGCCGCCGTGAGGTGCCACGATTCGCGAACCATTGGACGCAATGAAGACGATCAAGTCCTCCCTGGTAGCCATCTCAGCGTAGTATGCTAGATTGCCAGAGTACCAGAAGCCATTCGCCCCAACGACCGCCACCCCAGCAGCCTTTGCCTTCTCAACAGCTAATCTGGTCGCTTCATAGGCAACAAGATTGCCCACAGCACCGTGCCCGTCAAGATGGGCAAAGGTCAACCCAGATCGCGTCACCTCAATTGGTTGCACTTTGGGTGAGCCTGTGACTTGTAGCTGTTCGACGATACTCAGGACTCTCGCAAGGCCTGCAAATGGATGACCTCGCATTTCAGCGTCCACGAGATGGTCTGTGATGGTCCATGCTTGCTGGCTGCTGTATCCAGCTTTCTCCAGCACGCTGTGACACAGCTTGATGGTGTCTTCGATCGAGATTTGGACCTTTCCGTCATTAGAAGTCCCATTTGTGGGCGACGGAGATGACTTGTACGGAACAGGCTCTAGAGAAGCAGACATGATGATAGATCCAAAGGTGTTTAAGACTCTACCAAGATGATTGCGTTCACCATTGAGTTACATTTCAGCACAAGCATCCTGAGATACATAAATCAGGATATGGGTCTGGCAATCCCCAAACAGCCTCCCCAACTTGGCCACGGACAGCCGAGGATGGACAGAGCTTTGGACAAGTCTTGCAAATTCAAGGGCTCTACTCTCTCCGCAGCAGCAATGTTGAGGGACTTCGGTGGCTGGAGATAATCTCTCATAGGAGATGTAGTTGCCCTCGAAGTCTCAGGGAATATCAGTACCATTGGGACCCATTGGACCACAGAGCCGAGATGCCGAAGCACCAAAGGCAATCAACCGAGCGACGTCCCCCTTACTCCTCTGTCATGGACACCCGCACTTTTCGCCTGGGCGATGAACACAATCTTCAGAATTTTCGATTTTCTGAGATCCTCCTGCTGGTTTAAACTTGGTCCTGACGATCTGCGGGGTCATTAAAGACTAGAGACCTACCAAAAATGGTCCCCTCGGCTGTTTTGATCCCACATTTGCTTATGACAGCCTGTGTGAAGATTGGAGCGCGTCCCATGTGATGGTCCACGTTAAACGAACATTACACAGATTTAATATTCTCCTTATATGAGCCATTATCTCGTCTGAGTATAAGCGTTGGTGATTAAACAAGAAGATAGACAAAGTCAACATGGCTGAAGCACAGAGTCAAAGCATTACCAACACCTTGAAACCAAAGTTGAACATTCCAGCCTCTTCAGTGTCAATATCCGTGAAAATAATCGATGCCTCGACCATCTCCAACGTACCTGCTCATGCATTAGTTACACCTATGGTGCCTGGCTACAAGACAGCATCGCCAGCGCCTTCATATTGCTTTCTCCTTGAACATCCCTCCGGGCAGAAAGTGCTCTTCGACCTCGGGATCCGCAAAGACTGGCAGAACCTTGCTCCGGCCATTGTCGAGAGGTTTAAGAAGGTTGGACATCAACCTAGCGCTGAGAAGAATATCTCAGAGGTTCTTGACGATGCCGGGGTTGGGAAGGAGAATGTCAATGCTGTGATATGGAGGTACGTCAACTAGTGACCACGCGAATTGCCGCTTGTCCTTGACACTCGATGCTCTCCTGGTGTGTCATATCAAATGCTAACCATGTGAAATATCCAGCCATGCGCATTGGGACCATATAGGGGACATGTCCACTTTTGGGCCCGAGACCGAACTGGTGGTGGGACCGGGATTCAAGGACTTCTTCCTGGGTGAAGGTGATGGGAAGAACTCTGCCCTTGGGAGTGTGCAGTCAAGCGATGTCGAGTGAGTCAAACCGACTGCAAGTAGATATGTAAAGACCGCAAGACCGTGAAACTAACTTTGACGACGGTTAGAGGTCGGACTGTTCGTGAGATTCAATTCCAAGGGGTGGGCATCGGCAAGATTGGCAAATTCCCAGCTTTCGATTATTTTCAAGACGGCTCCTTATACCTTTTGGACACTCCTGGGCATTGTGTCGCTCACCTGTGTGCCTTGGTCCGGACGACCACGAACCCAGACACATTTGTCTTCTTAGGAGGCGATGCAGCACACCATTGCGGCGAGGTTCGTCCATCGGCCTATGTTCCGATGCCTGAACCAATTTTGAAGACCACGGCGAAAACGTCTGTAAACCAACACGATCAATTACCTGCTTGCCCTGGCTCCTGGTATGAGGATCTACAGATTTCGCGTGATCGCGACCCAAAGGGCCCACTCTGGCAACCAGCATTTGGTCACAATATGGAGGAAGTGATGACCACTATCCAAAGTATGCAGGAATATGACGGAGATGAAAGTGTTTTTGTCATCTTGGCTCACGATCCGTCTTTGCGATCGTCAGAAGTGCGTTTCTTTCCACAAGAGATCAACGACTGGAAGCAAAGAGGGCTGAATCAGAAGCTGAGATGGAAGTGGACGGAAGAAATTCTTGACACGTTGAATTGCTAGGGTTTCTTATGAATGGTATCGAGCTTGTATTTGATTCTAGCAATGTGTACCTACCTAGGTAGAGATTGAGATTCCTCTCCACCGCACTTGGAATTGATGCATACTTCCATTCCATGTCGCGACCATTTCAACCGTCCAAAGAATAACCCACATCCTCACCCCGGCCCATGGCAAGCAGCCTTGTCCGCATGGCCTCAGCTCGTTCGCCCCTGGGACCCTCGATCTGAAACTGTGCCCGATCAACCCACTTTCCAACGGCATGTTGCAAGACTTGCCGTGCTCTCTCGTTCCCATGACCTGCCAATCCAACCGAACCATGTAGCGTCATGCGCCCTAGGGACTCCTTCGCATTGATGCCCCTGTAGATACCACGGTGCAGGATGTTGCTGTCGTAGAACACTGCATCACCTGCCTGTAGCTCCACCACTAGCTGGTCCGGGAGACTCGGCTCGTAAGGCGCAGCATTTCTCTCTATGTCGGTCCGAATTCTGCGGTGGCTCCCAGGAATCACAATAAGTGATGCATCGTCGAAGAGCGCGATGTTGTACTGCGCATGTAGTTGCTGACCCTGCGGACTTTTCTCTTGAAGCTGCTTGGCTTCCTGCTCTTCAGTCACTTCAGGACGAATGTCGTCCCGATGCCAGCGAAGTTCAAAATCCGTATTTTTCGCTGGGCTTACGAGGAGATTGAACAATTCCATGACTAACTTGTCATCGCCCGCCGGATCATCTTTGAGACCTACCAGCTCCTTGACTACCGAGAGCACCTCATCGGAGAAGTAGAGTTCCGCGAATGTATCTCGAACGTTCATGTCTGGGTGAAGGAGATGTTGTACACCCCAGATGTTATCACCCTCCTGCCACTCATGCCAAGGTGGATATTGCTTCGGCACCGTTCGTATGTACGGCCACTTACCCTCACGAGCCCTTTCTGTTGTGTATTTACAGGCTGCTCTCATGGCCAGGAGTAATTGTGGTGACAGAAGCTGTGGGATTTTGACGAACCCATCTCTTCGGAGAGCATCGAGATAGGGTGTATCAGGTTTGACTGCCATGTTGAGCGTGACTATTTGACAGCGGAGTTCTGAAATGACTTTATAGTAGCGATACCTTTCTCTCTTGTAGCATTCTGAACGATACTCCAATGTCGTTAGTATGATGCAGATGAGACAAGTGGATATCAAGCGGTTGATGGATGATAGCCATCAATACATAGGTGGTTAGTGAAGCAGCAAAGCTTCTTGACTGGCGAAGGATAGAAATGCCGCCGCCCTTAGAAGACTAAAGGGGTGCTTGGCATCACTTAGTGAGCACTCCAACTTAATGACGACCCGAACATCACCGTTGACAGATGCACACCCCACCAGCGCACCTGATCTTAACCACGGTGGGTTATCTGACTATCATATCTGACACCATTCACAGCGCCCTTGAGTCTTGCAAAGCAGGCAGTAACAGGCCAAGAAAGACACACGACAACCGCCTGGAATATTCGCAGACTCACCAGAGGCGACGCAACCACCTCAGGTGCCCAAGTTCCGCTCACCATGGCAGTTGACCTCTCGACAACGAAGCTCAACCCAGATAGTCACATTTTACTGGTACGCCTAAATCTCGAAGATAGTTAATCTCATACTGAATAGCTCAATTGCAGGACCAACCGCTCTTGCGGCTTCCCCATGAACTTGTTCGTCGCAATTTCAGAAATACGCAACGCTATGTCGAACGAGAGAGAGACCAGATTCTGCCTGCCCTCAAGGACGCAGCCAATGCCGCCCTGAGTTCTTCCCAAACACCGGACCAGACTATAGCATCTCTAGATGCCATGATACAGAGAATGCATAACTTCAAGCGCAAGTTGGAGAAACTACATGTCGAGGAAGAAGCACTGCATGACCACACTGCGAAACGCATCAAACATTTACAAGACCTCTATGAAATACCCTCTTTGACGGACGTACAATATGAACACTGGTCACGGACTCGACTAGACAGACTCATGGTCGACTACCTTCTACGTTCAGGATACTCCAGATCAGCGAATGTGCTGGCCGAAACCAAACAGATATCCCACCTGATCGACCTCGATACCTTTGTGACATGTCACAAGATTGCTTCATCTCTCGCTCGAGGTGAGACAAAGGACGCCCTCGGCTGGATCAACGAAAACAAGAGCTCACTGAAAAAACTCATCACCTCGCCCAACAAAACCACTGACCTGGAGTTCGAACTCCGTCTACAACAGTATATTGAACTTGTCCGGGCAGGCACTACGGCCAAGAAACTCGAGGCAATGGTGCACGCTCAACAACATCTCACAGCCCATGCGGCATCCCGCTCACAACCTATATTGCACGCAGCCGGTCTCCTGGCACAACCACCGGACACCCACGCCGAACCGTACCGAGCCCTCTTCTCCCCATCACGATGGCACCATCTATCCAATCTATTCATCGAAACTCACCACAACCTCCTCGCTCTCCCCGTCCAACCACTCTTGCACGTCGCCCTATCAGCAGGACTCTCCGCTCTCAAAACCCCGGCCTGCCACAGCGCCTATAATCCCGCCAGCTCATCGACGCCAGGCCACGCACACATGGCGACCAACACATCTCTCTGTCCGATCTGCAGCATGGAACTCAACGACCTCGCGCGGAACGTGCCGTACGCGCATCACACGACCAGTTCAGTCGAGCCCGACCCCGTCGTCCTGCCCAACGGCCGCATCTACGGCCGCGACCGCCTGGAAGACCTGCAGCGGAAGCTGGCCATGGCGGGTCTGAGTGGCGACGCCGGCGTCAGCGATCTCCAGATCGGGAAGGAAGGCGAGGTCCGCGATCCCACCACCGGCGAGACTTTCAGCTGGGACCAAGTCCGGAAGGTCTATATCATGTAGGCCGGCAGAGAGGAGGGACCAATCAAGAAATATGATGACTACTGATCTAGCTTCAACGGGACGTAGAGCTTTCGCTCGCTCGATATTCTCGGCCCAAAAGCTTTTTATTGCCATCATCTCAACACCCGCTCCACTAAACAAGGCATTGCTAGCTGGCAGACTCATGATGAGACCTCGGAGCAATCCACAATGAAAGACACGAGTCATCGCGCAGATAGATAGTCACGAAGAATAAGAATAAGAATAAGAAAAAGGGTGTTTATGTTTCGCAATTTGATAATTCCATTACTTCATTGATGTTTTCATTCTAAGTGTAATTCGAGTTTGTGTGTGTGTGATCTTGATTACTCCCGCACTCCTGCACTCCCTTTGAAATGCTCCAGTGACGGGAGGAAAGAGGAAGGGAAGGAAACCCCCGGACACACGCACGAATGCATCCCGTGACATACATACATGACAGCCAAGAAAAAAGTAGTGATCGTCAGTCAATAGAGTAAACAACAATAACAGGGCGATTTCTTTTTTTAACTCCGTCAGATCTCAGCTTTACCTTCGGCCTCCTCGTACGAACACAAAGGCTTTCCCACAACTCATCCACTCACTCACTCACTCACTCCCGCTCCAGTTGAAGTGACATGGACTCAGGTTGGAACGGGTCGGACAAGAAAGACCCGATCATGGGAGAATCTGAGTGTTTCCCGCAGTGGGGTTCCTAGGTACTTCCTTCACAATCCCTCTCGCCCCGGCTCACCAAACGACCACAGTCCTTGAAGTTTGGATTAGGATTACTCAGAAAACACATTAGGAGATTAATCGGCTTTTCGAATAGTCCATGAAAAAAGAAGTGTAAGCTTTTTGGTTTCAGCAGGACAACGCCGCATAACTTTTGTTGGCTTTTTGTTCGTTTTTGAGGATTTGGGTTCGGAGAGGTTTGATACACCGCGACCGTGCAAAACAAGTGGAAGGTGCCGTTGTGGCTGGAAGTGAGTGGAAGTTGTTCAGGCGTGTCCGGTCCTGGTAGGTGTCTGGGCAGCGGAACCCGATGGTGCACCGCTTCTTCTCGCTGTTCCTCTCAGGCTCATACTCATGCTAACGCCACGGTGAGTATGGCTTGTACTGGATGCGTGCCGGTGGGCATGTGTCAACGTTGACACATCATGCTTGCCTATTCGGGTTTTGGTTAGTAAAAGGTGTTTTCTGAGCAGGAGGCCATTCGATATGAGTTGGCTTACCATCACAACATGCTCGGACATTCTCCAGACCTCCAAAGCCAATTTGTTCCTGTCTCAACATCTCTCTTCGAAGTTCTTCTGCTGAATCCTTCCGACCATCACTAACGACACTTGCATCGTAAATGCTTGCACCTTCACTAGCAGCTCCGCCAGGAGTGGCCGTGCCTTCAGAGGCTCGAGGTGTTCTTCCCGTTACCGAACCAATCATGCGAGAAAACCGACTCACGCTACTTGCTCTCAAAGTCCGGTCTTTGTCACCATCCTGAGTTTGATCGGAACGACTTCTTCGTAATGCAGAGTTAGGTGCCGTGCGGCTGGCTGTGGAATCTTGTGGGTCGCGTGTGGAAGTGCTGCTGACTGCAATACCAGGTGGAAGAGTCTGAGCCTGGGCCATTGACCCTCGAGTTGTCCTCGAGTTGTAGCTGGACAGGCTCATTCGACTCCCGTCCCGCACCAGTTTGGCCCCATAGCCAGCTCCATTGACATTGAACTCGTTCACATCATCTCGCGTTATCTCATTTCCTCCAGCAGTGTAGCTCTCGCCATTTTGTTCCTCATTGCGCACTAGCAAATACTTCAAAGCATTCAACCACGTTTCATGTCTTTGGCCAGTACTTGCTGTGAACCTTACCCGACGACCTGGGGTTACGACTTCAAGACTTTTGCGGTGCAAGCCGGGTGGCATGGGATTGTCATCGTTGACCACCTGAACGCTTTCAATCAAAACACTCTTTGCTTTCAGTTCACTTCTGCCAGCTGTCTGGGGATCTTGATCAGACCAGTAGAGAGTCTTCGTGTAAGGATGGACCCAGAAATATCTACGATGGCGTGTTTCAGACATCTCCGCCCGACCTGCTTTTCGAGTATACTTCCATAAAAACTCTCCGATCATAGTTTGGGTAATAGCCTGAATGATTCTCGGGTCAGTGCCGAAGCCATGTGTTGCGACTTGTGGATTGCCTGGGGTATTGAAGCGGACATCGATCTCCGAGGCAAAGGAAGACACTGATGAGCGACGCGACATCTGCGATGTAATCGTTCCCCGATTCTGGCGAGTAACATTGGATGTTCGTACGGTGTTGCTCTCACGAGTAGGAGATCGAACAGAGTCCCCAGGTGTCTTTGGTCGCCGCATAGCTGAGGCGGGAAATGCCGGTGGCCCCATGAGAGTTGTTGCTTGGTTGGGTTGACTGCTTTCGCGGGTTGGCGATGCAACTCTGCTACTTGCTTTGGCAATCACTTCTCGGTGATCAAGAGGTAGGGGGGGATGATTGGAGTTGGCACTAGACAGTCTCTGGCTCGACGCGCTAGAAGGACGTTTGATTGGTGAAGGGAAAGGGAATGCCGAAAATGAGTCCCGATCAAGTGCTTGGGTGGATATAGGGGTTAGTTCCTTGGGCTTGCTGATGGCAGCAGGCGTTGGTACTACAATAGGCGCTGGTACGGCCGTGCTGGTCCTGTTTTGTAAGGCTTTCTCTATCTCTTCGGCGCTAAGGAGCGTCTGTGAGGCTTGATCGTTGCTGGAGGAGTGGACCAGGACGGTGTTTTGGTGAGTCTTCTCGGATTCCAGCGATGTTTTCGGCTTGCTGGCCGCAGAATTACCAGAGACATCACTTAGGGGCTTCCTATGACCAATGTCAGATGCGACTGCACGTGGCTCTTGCTCGCTCGTCTCGTCTTCCATGATCGATGGGCCCTTTGTGTCTTTCGAGGCAGCAAACCCTAGTGCAGCAGCTGTCGACGCAAGGAGCCCACTCACGCCGGCTTTCTGAGCGGTACGGGGACGGCTAGGGCTGTCCTCCACTTGGGTAGACACAGAAGCGAATGTATTTGACTTAGGCTTGACCGGTGTCTGAACCGGTGGCTCGATTGGCTCTGTCATCTGGGTGTAGATGGATGAGAATGAGAAATTCTCAAATGCTGGTACTGGTGCTGGTACTTGGAGCGCCTTTTCTGGTGAAAGTGGCTCAGTGCCGTGCATCAGCAGATTTGAGAAGCCAAACGGTTGTGGAGGTTGTGCAACGTTAGTTCTGTCAATTTCAGATAGCGTTGGTTCTGGGTCTCGCTCTTCATCCCAAACAGTCTTCGGCGGAGTGATAAAGGCAGTGTTTCTGATCGGACTTTCTGGAAGAGTTCTCTGCGGAGTCCATTGTGTCCCATTATCAATGTTTCTAATAGGTGAATTGGGAAGAGTGGGGGGTAAGGGGAAGTCGAGTGGTGAAGGTGAGTATGATTTAGTGTGTTCGGCTGAAGCTGCCTTGGAAAAGTGAGGTGAAGATGGAGCACTTGTGCCTCTTTCTTCCGTAAGCACCGCACCCGAGGCTAGATCTGGTGTCGCCTCAGGTTGCCATGGTTCCGTCATTGTCCCCGAGTCAACCACCAGAATGTTCTTGCCGGTGAGCAGCGGGGTGTCAAGAGTGCTCTGCCTGCTTGGAGTAATAGCAGGGACGCCTGGTGTAGATGTAACGGAGGTTATGCTGGATCTGCCAGGAGTTCCAAAATTCGAACTCTCCTCGTATCCGCCCAATTCCGCGAAAAGACTCTGTTCAGCAGCTGGCGGGCTACGCTCACTGGTCACAGTTGCTGGAGAATCTGCACTAGGTCCTTCAGAGTAAAGATGAGTAGGCGTATTTTCCCTCGAAAACCTCGATTGACGACCATTCTTCAAGCGGAATTTGTGGGTTTGAGTGACAACTGGCGTCTTCAGGTCTTCATCATCGTCGTCTTCTCCTGCTGACGTAGAAGCAGTGCTGATATATGAATGTCTATCACCAATGGGCTTGAAAGAGAGGGTCGGTCTTGGACCTCTTGGAGCTCTAGTCCGCTGAGACAGCGATGCAGTCTCTTCGGTTTCAGTCAAATCATCGGTGCTATCACCTGCCATACTCTCGGCACCTGTCTGGAACTCTTCACTTTCAGTAGTGTGGCGTTCATCTGCAGTCTCAAAAGTGCTTTCATTCTCGGTCGCGGTGTGATACGCATCACTAGCGTCCGTGATGCCTCCCCCAGCATGACTAGGAACTGCAAGAAATCGCTGACTAGAAGCATGAGTCGGGGTGTCTGCAATATGGTCCTCCCAATCATCCTCATCGAGCTCAATGTCAGTTCGAGATCTCCTGCTGCTCCCGAGCATATTGGGATGTAGCGGCTTCTTGAACGCATCGGATTTGGATTTTGGTCGCTTGCTCCCACTGCCAAGGCCTCCGTCACCACGACGTTGCTCTAGTTCATCTCGGGCATCTTGTAGCATGCGCTTGAGTTCGATTTTTTCGGTCTTTTCGCGATGAATGTTATTCTTGAGGTTTTGAATCATTCTATGTGCATGATGTAGCGAGCTTCGGAGGGTCTCTGATTCCAAGCCTCCATGGCGTGGTGTTGCCTTGGTTGGAGAGGGTGGAGGGGAATCTTCTGGGGCATCGACATCTCGGAACTCCTCATCATGCTCATTGCCGAGGACATTTTGGGCATCAGGGTTCTGACTACGTAGCCTTGCAGCAACAGCATGAGCAAGCTCTTGGTTCTGAGCTGTCAGCTCGTCAAGTTTACTCTGTAGAGATGCCCGTTCGCTCTCACCCACGTCAATGGTTCTTTTCAGAGTGTGAATTTCCGAGTCGTGTGCCTTTTTCGCCGTTGTGTGATCTTCTGACAACTTGCCATGTTGTGAGCGGAGCTCATCCATCTCAGTCTGAGACCGAATCTTCTCAGCAAGGGCCACGGCCAGGCTTGCTTGGAGCTTCTTTTCACGGTCATTGGCCTCACGAGCAGCCGCCATTAGTTCATGAGATTGGGTTTCGAGGTTCCAATTTTCATCCTTGTATTTTTGTTCGTTTTCATCATGGGCCCTCAGTCGTTGGGTAAAAACCAAAGTATCCCTTTCCAGCCGATCTCTCTCCGCATTGGCCTGTTTAAGAAGTTCATCGCGTTCGGAAACAGCAGTTTGCAACTGGCGAACTTGGGCGAGTAGTGACGTGCTAATATCAGCAGCAAATTGAAGATCTCCAGCTCGATTACTGGGCTGATTCCTCTGTCGTCTGCTTGGAGCGGTGACTTTCGTTGGCGAGGCGGTGGCTTGACTCGAGAAGGTTGAGGGTTCCGCTCCGGGCTTTTCTTCTCCACTGACGGCGCGTGACTTGGGCCCTAGCAAAGCCCGGGCGATTTCTTTTCCCACATCGTTGTGTTCTTTCTCCAAATCTGCCAGTCTGCGTCTCAACTCGGGCGAGATTTCGGCGTCGCCTTGCTGCTGATCGACCTCGCGGAGCTTCTCTTGTAAATCTGCTTGTTGTTGCAACAAGGACTGACCAAGCTTCTGGGTATCTTGTAGACGACGCTCTGTTTCGGTGATATGCGCCTCCAAGCTGCGCTTGACCTGTGAGGGTGATGTGCTTGCTCCCAAAGTGATTGCGTCAGGATCAATGAGTGCAGAATAGCGGTGGGCATGTGCAGGGTGGTCCGAAGGTGTATAATCGATGAAAGGGTCCATCATTCCATTTGTTGACGCGTGTAGACCATTGCTGATTGAGGGGTCTCCTCCTTCCAGCACCGCGGTAGCCATGGTGGTGGAGGGAGGAAAGGGAGTCGTGGAAGAAGTGAGATGGGAGTGTTTACCGAAGTCAATGTGTCTGTGCGGTGGCGGAGATCATGGTTTTGGACAGTTGAGGCGCTCGGGACGAAGATTGGTCGTGATATGGAGTACTGGGACGGAAGGATAATTGAGGCTTGATAACGAGCGGAAATGGTTTGATCAACTTGAACGTGGTGCAAGCGATGTCAACAGACAAAAAGAAGGACTCGGTTAAGGGATGGAGAATGATTGGCTGCGGGGGTTGTTGACGCGTTTGGACAAGTGCTGGGTGATTAGTGGAGAATAATAGTCGACGAGGAGGGCGTGGATTGGAGCAGCCGGACTGATTGATTCATAAGAATACGGCGTAGCAATGGGGATAGGCAGGTAAAGAGTAAGCAGTCTAGGATCAACCAGGATGACCACAGTTCGACCTGGTGAAAACCGGTTCTATGTAAGACACGTGGAGGGATATTGAACCACACAAATTTCTGGTGAAACAACAACAGAAAGACGGTAGGCACGAGTAGGTCTTTAAAGTCGGTGCCTGAGTAGATTTCCCTGGGGCACAGTTGATCGGTGATGGATTCATGCCTGCTCTTTTTTCCGTGCTTTTTTCCACATCAATCCAGGATCCCCGTTGCTAGTCGTCTGAGGTGCGTTGTTCCCTACATTAGTTCGCTGCAACGGATGTAAGAATTGAGGGGGAATCCTGCGGCATTCACGGTGTACGGCGTTGGGGACCTCTCGTTGGACCGAGGAATTTGGACTTGAAGCTCCAATATTCATAATTGAGGAGGCGCTGGCGCTCCTCATTCATATTGAAACACAAATCAAAAGTGCTTAACTATACAATACGTACACATATTTGTGTGAAGTCTATTAACATGGGGCATAACCCGGGGTGGGCTTGGTCACCGTATTTACATTTCTGGTGGTGGGTGCCACAAAGCTCACGGAAATCAGCGTCAACAACATCTTATGAGATATTGACCTGTTCGTGCAGAGCTTGGCTATCCAACAATAAGCTGGATGTTCATGAATGTTCCAAGAGGGATCTCGTGTCGGAGCTCCAGGGCGTGTTCACGACCAATTTCGGTTTGGTCTCTCCTTCTCTCGCAATCCACCGATTCGTTCGAGATCAAGAGACTGGAATCGGTTGGCATCTTGCTGTTGATATGGTGGAAGGTTGTGGCGATTCAATGGTTCCATTCCAACACTGCCCGAGTCGGTGATGTGCACCACAACGACGCGGCCCTTTTGAGAGCCACCAGACTTGTCGTCTTCGTCGGGAAATGTAATGTGAATTTCGGGTACAGCTCCAGAAGGTGGGTTGGATGAATTATGAATGAGATTCATCTTCTCGTCATAGACGAAGACGGATTCATTTCTGTGGCCTGTGTTGAAATTGCTGATTGATGCCGATCGACGATGATGCGGGGACACTTGGTGATAAGTAGGCAACACGGTCGCTTCTCTTGCCATTCTCCTGCGGCGTATCGCATAAAGAGCTAACGAACAAATGGATGCCAGAAACAGAAGTGTAAAGAAGACGAAGATGAGCTGGTTCATTTCGAATGATGGCGAATCGTCGTCCATCAAGGTGTCTGAAGTGCGGACACTCAGGCCGTTTAATGAATACATGATAAAGGTTCTGTCCTTCAAGGATGTGTAACCGAATATAGAATGCTGTGCCTGAGGCTGATGTTGGAGTGTCGGAGATCAGGCTCTGGCTCAGCGATCAACCTGCAGATAAGATCTGGGGGCCGTGGACTTCGCCTCAGATCTTCAACGCCTTATACACGAAAGGTTGGCAAAGACACTGCGGTGTGCATGCGCCTGGTCGAGTAAGAAGACGCGTGGTCGTATCTCAGCTGCAGTTCACACAGTGCACCGGGCGTTTGCTGTGTGAGTCCGGGTAGATAGGAGGTGGTGGCTGGTAGAGTACTCGGTAGTGGGGAAAAACGAGTGGACGGCGAAGAATTCAGCAAAAGAGTGAAGCTGAAAACTGCCTGGGTGAAAGAAATGGTTCAAACGGAAAACGTTGAAAGTGCCGTAAGAATTGACGAGGTCCAAGAAGAAGGAAGAGATGGATGAAAGTGAAGTACAAGATAGTGATTATTGATGTTCGACTTGGTTGAGCTTGGTAGGGAGTTGCGATGGAGTGGGCAACTACTGACTCTAGCCTCTAGCCTCTCGCCTCTAGGTACTGCCCATGGCTCTCCAGGCGGGTCGGTGGAAATCAAAGACAGGCAAAGTGCCTATTTCGCATCCTTCACGCGATGACAGGCATGTGGACCAGTTAAAGGCCGCCGGTAAGCCCGCTCCCACAAGGCTCAGACACTGAATCGAATCATTACTCCACACCCTCATCTTGCCGTTAGTGTTTGCCATCGCGGGCGCTTTGAGAAACCAATCAATTGAATCAAGCGATCGGTGACTCGGAGGTTGGCTCTCTCGGAGCCTCCACTCAATCAATCTACCTGCACATGTCGCACCCAGAGTGGATGCTTCCTATAGAAATTCGTCAACAAACAACTTCGCTTCAGATTGCTCTTGCCCAGTTTGTTTGCCGTTGCGAGCATGGATCCTCGATTTATGATCGACTAGCCGTGTTGGTTCTTTGGACGCGCAATGCAAGAAAAACATAGAACAATGCAGCACCGCACCTGCTTCATGCTATGGACGAGTACCGCGCATTCAGACTCAGCACTTTCTATTACCAAAGTATCAACGATGCACCTGGTGTCGTATATTCTTGTTGAAGGGTCTCTTTCTCATGCATACGAGTAGCTTCCCTCTATTCTTGTTCCAAAAGAGGCCATGATTGACACCCATGCAGCCTGCATTAGGCTTCTTGAAATTGTCTCACCTTTTCGCAGACGAACATATGGCGATCCGTTTGACAGTACGGTGGACCATTAAGGACTCCTCTAAGAGTATACTGATTCTCCGTACCAGTCCAGAAGTTCGAGATATTTGACTCGATCATGATGGGCAAATATGAATTATCGCTCTGCTTGGCGAATCCTCGATTTCCATGTGTCACTGTGTGCGAGAATTTGGAGCCAGGATACCTACCTAGGTACCCAAGTAGGTAAGCAAGCGTGGACATGTGGCAGGAGAGCAATTCCTTGTCAGCCAGCAGACATCAGCTGAACACATTTCAAAAGCCTCGCCACGTCACTCCCTCAATGTGTTTGAGCAAGTCCAAAAAGACACCGGTTGGCGAGTCACAAGTCCAAAGCAGGTCAGGCCAAGGGATTGAAGCCTATTCTCAGCTCTCTCCAGATATCTACAAGTCAACTTGCCCCATTGTTCCTTAACCGCTTACTGCCAGCATTTGAAAACAACGCGCGGGTGCATGCAGAAGCGATGGAATAAAATCAATCGATTAACCATGGTCCATGGATATGCGTACTTTGGTAAGTCCCCTGCAACCCATGGACCACGGCAAGCCATCTGAAGCCGACATACTTGGGCCCTTGATACCTGTGGATTCCAAGGGTGGCGCCCATTTGAGTCTAGCGGGCCATGTTGGGGCCTCGTCCAGCCTATCCTTGGGGTTGGCTAACAGCCTAAACCGCCACCTGGCGTTTGACTCCAAGCCTGCCAAAGCCTGAAACGGCGCCGGACTCCACCAAACTGGTTGCGTCGATCTGGGGTTCCTAAAGGCTCTAAACTCTGTACAAGTCAGTCTTCTGGGTCTTTCTGTTGCCTGCGCATCATCATCATCATCATCGCTCCATTTCTGATATATCATCTTTTTCCGGGCCCTCTCTGGTTGCCCTCTTCAAACATATTTGTGTCTCTTTCTTCGTGTAACCCGTTGCACTCGGTTCTTCTTGTGTTCTTACCAGCCCAGTTCTGTTTGTTTCTGGTCCTTCTACTCCGCCAGTCGCCCGTCAATCCAAGTTGCCCGACTCCACTCTCATCAATTTCTCACCCTCGCCCTCACCGCAAACCGACTCATCTGGCCGCCGCTCCCCCACTATATTACACAAACCCGTCGTCTCTTGCATTCCACAGCCATCCCTTGCTCCATGCACACTTCGCAGTCGAGGCGCATGTCTGCTGGCAGATGCTCTCTCTCCCTTCCTTCGCGCCCTCACTTCGACCCATCCTGCTGCCACTACCCGTCTCCTGCGCAATCAGGCTAGGGCCATGATTCTCATTTGCCCTGCGGCTGCCTGCTGAGATTGTACCATCGCTTTGCTGGCGAACGAAGGGATACATGACGCTGCCAAACCTTACTTCTCACTGAACACATCTCCTCCCTCTTAATTTCTCGCCCTCCTTCCCTCGTCTTCTGTCTGGCGACGGCGTCTGTTAGTTCCCTTGGTGTACATCTTAACCTCATATATCTTCAAACCATCCGGTTCGTCTGGCCACAAATGCTAGATTTTCGAGAAGTCACTGATTGTTTTGTCATATTCCAGTTGATACATACTTGCTCCTTCTTCTCTTCGTTTGGATCTCTTCAACACTAGTGCGACGATTCACCACTTTCATTCTTGAACCGCTAAATCTGCTCACTGCAATTGAATTGGAGGGCACAATGGACGGTGGCACCACATTGGACAGCGTAAGTGTCTGTGACCCATCTGTCAACAGATTGTCTCTGACCATGTCCCATCTACAGAGCCGAAATGGTCGGGTTGCCGTATTTGAGCGTACTTCTAGACCTTCCTTGGGTATTCCTCCAGACTTCGAACTTGCAAAAACCGCTTGGAACTCGTCGAGTCGCATATGGGGAACTGGAACGTTCATTGATACAGGGCTCGATGGCGAGCCCACAAGACGTATGTCTTATGGGTTATCTCCAGAAGAAAGTCGATCTGACGTCTTTCCAGCCTCGCCAGTGCGTCAACTCTCATCGGGTGGGTTTGGCCAAGCGAGAAACATGACCAACTCGATTCTTTCACCAGTCGATGTTACCGATGAAAACAATATACAACCCAAAATGTCATGGAATTCCATGTCGGCAAATGTCGGGTTTGTCTCACGGCCCAAAGGCCAGCCTCTCTCGCCTACGAAGTACGCCCAGAATCATGGACTAGCCTCCTTTGGACCCTCCAACGGCACTTTTGAATCCTCAAGTCTTTTTGCTGGCAGTGCACCTGATACTGAAGACATACCAGCTGACTCTCAATATTCATATTCACGTAACCATCGTCCTCTCGACCCATCTAATCGCCTGGTTTCTGGGACACGTCCCTCAAACCCAGAGCCACATCGATCTGAGCATCAACCCAGTACCGCTAACTCTGGAAAACACTTTGGAAATGATCCATTCAGTCCCGGACAAAGATTTGAAAACGAACTGCATCACTCAAACAATCTTGTCAACATGGGCAATGCGACCAGCATGGCCCCTGCCGTCGGCCACAATTTCCAATTAGTCAAACCTGGAGTTCTACAACATTCATCCAGCGGCTCCAATCCATACCGAGCTACGCCTCCATCAGTCCCAACCTCCGAAGGCCGCGTCCTACCCGCACAGCAGATCGTTTCTTATTCGCCGTCTACGCAAGAGTATGCTGAAGTTTCTCACTCATTATCAACGGTAGCCTTCAATGGAGTTCAAGAACATGCTGGATCGATTCCCGCTCGCCGAACCTCGATGTATCAATCACAGTACCGAGATGGAAATGTCACACAGAATCGGACTTTGGGTCAGATGAATCTGCATCTCTCCAATTCGGAGTCAAAGTATCATCAACATCAAGCTCACTTGAATAGGCCATCCACTTCCCGGCTCGATCCTCTTGCTGCCCCACATTACCCTCTGCCCTATTCTGGCCGTGGATCGTTGTCACCCATGGCAATGGAATATCGAAGTAACATCCACAGCCCATACTATTCTGCTACTGGCACGCCTCCGACCGGACCTGAATCGGTTCGTAGTACTCTAGCAAGTGGCGCTTCCAGTCGAACATCGCACAATGACCAAATGTTGCTTGATCAGAAATTACGCAACCTCGACACATACCATTACGATCAGAATCCGTTCACAATGACATCTTTGCAGCATCAATTGCATCAAGTTCAGCAATATGAGCTTTCAGGTCAAAGCCTTGCTGTACGTTTGAACCCACATGCACATTCCTATGCCGGTCCAAATTATGCGCAGCTTGGTGGGTACCCCGTGGTCTCACGACACTCGGGTCGGGTTATCGATAATCAAGCAGCTCGAAGCCCGGTCCTAGAAGAGTTTCGAATGAACAGCAAGACGAACAAAAGACTGGAACTCAAGGACATCTATAACCATGTAGTAGAATTCAGTGGAGATCAGCACGGCTCACGCTTCATTCAGACCAAGTTAGAAACTGCCAACAGCGATGAAAAGGAACAAATTTTCAAGGAGATTCAGCCAAACCTACTCCAGCTGATGACAGATGTTTTTGGAAACTATGTGATTCAGAAGATGTTTGAACACGGTAATCAGTCCCAGAAGAAGGTGTTGGCGAACCAGATGAAAGGTCATGTGTGGACTCTATCTACGCAGATGTATGGGTGCCGTGTGGTGCAAAAGGCTTTTGAATACGTGTTGACTGATCAGCAAGCGACTTTGGTGAAAGAACTCGACGGGCCAAATAACCAAATATTGAAAATTGTCCGGGATCAAAACGGGAACCATGTGGTTCAAAAGGCCATCGAGCGGATCCCGGGGGAGCATATTCAATTCATTGTCGACGCGCATCGTGGTCAGATGATGAAGATGTCAACGCACCAGTACGGCTGTCGGGTGGTGCAGCGAATGCTTGAGTACTGTCAACCTCAGGTTAAACGAGTCATTCTGGACGAGCTCCTTCAGAACATTCAGCCACTGATCCTTGATTCGTATGGCAACTATGTCGTTCAACACATCATTCAGAATGGTGAGCCGCATGATCGAAGATTTGTTGTGGATTATGTGCTCAAACAACTTCTCAACTTCTCCAAGCATAAATTCGCCAGCAACATAGTGGAGAAAAGCATTGACTACGCAGATGAGGATCAGCGTGCTGAGATATTGCGTCAGCTGACGAGACCGGATGAATTGGGCTCGACTCCAGTACTTGGCCTGATGAGGGATCAATTTGGCAATTACGTCTTGCGTAAGTCTTGCAGCCCTAGCAGTACATCTTGTTATATCTACTGACAATGATATGTAGAGAAAGTCCACGCACAACTAGGAGGTGCTGAGCTCGTCGGGCTGGAAGCCGACATGAAGCAGAATTACCCTCTTCTCAAGCGAACAAGCTATGGCAAGCAAGTCGGAGCGATTGAAAAACTCTTGTTTGGAGGCAATGGGCCTTCAACTGCCAGTGCGAGTGAGGGTAGTCAAGATTCAACAGACCCAAGCACCAAGACAAGTAGTACTACTGCCGATACTCCGGACACTCCCACTCGTACATCAGAGGGCAAGTAATTGTCTTGTTCCCTTGGAATGCCACCCCTCCCACCTCGAAACACATCTGTACACAAGGGTGGAGCTCTGGTGACGACAACGACGATTTCACCAAACACAGGTAATCCATGACACTACCTTTTTCTTAATTCGACACGAGCATCATGTTCCCCATAAACGGGGACCATCACGTATAGAAATGCATGATTGCAGCGCATTATTGGTACATGCGGTCTTTTCTTTTTTTCCCCCTTCTACTGGGGCGTTGTGGAGAATGAAACTTGGGACACATTTCGGGCGCCGTACGGCAATTATTATGCACCCAACATTTTGGGCAATTGTTCATGGAATGGAAAGGATAAATATGCTTTGACGAACGACAAAACGACGACTGTGGATACCCCCCCGACTTGGAAATTCTGGATGAGCGATTAAGCAAACATAACTGAGGTGGCGAAAAGGGATGGTATATATTCAGCAGGTGGCCCTGTTTCATTGGTGTCGGAATGTTTATTGGTTCTTGGGAGACGGGCGTTTTGTGACCGAAGGGTTCTAGGACTGAATACTCCTGACTTTGGTGTCTTTGGATCAGAACAGACCTGGCAAAGCAATGCATCTAAGTGCCTCGTACAATCAAAGCGCTATTAGCCTATGGGGAAGACGAAGGTGAAGTACCATTCGTGCATCCTTATAAGGCTATGAATAGATCATAGAAGGCCATGTACTCGGTCCTCATGCCGGTGTTCGACATAATTAAGAACAAGGGCACATTAATGTTTCCACTCACATGTCCTGTCCACCAAGTACTCCGTACTCAGGCTGCTGCACGGTTAAGATGCCGGTGGGCTCTTGAACCTGCCTTGCGGTATCAGGTTACACCTTATTACACCTTTCCACGAATACACAAAACTCGCCTGCGGGTTCTCAAGCAGCGGACACAAGTGTCGATGAATTAATACATTTCGTAGCCCAATTTGCATCCTTCTGCGGGGCACCAAGCTAAAAGCAGAGATTGCGAATGATGGAATTTTGGGCCCCAAAAGTTCCAGTGCTGACGCTCGACGTGTCTTGACTCTTGACACTCTTGGGGCGGTTTTTTTGGTGTGTCTGTCTCCAAGACTGAGGTTTCCTAGGTAGGGACTTCAGTGGAGCTTCTTAGGCCCTGACGCCCCTAAAAGCTTGTTCTTATAAAGCGTGGCTTGAGAGAGTAGGCTCGTGCCTAACCCTCTCTGGGCAGTTGTTCTCAGGGGATAGATACTATTCGTATTATTATTGCTCTGCAGAAAGTGGCTGCTGGCTATGGTAAGCAGCCACAACTCTGTGGACCACGTATGTAGTAGTACCTCGTACCTTGAAAGCATCCTTCCATTCTAATTGAATTGATCCTCTTCCACGCCACTTGTTCGCTTCCCACGTTATCAATCAAATATCAACACGCGTACCGCGTCCATTTCGCCTGGAGGCTGCACCGAATTTATCAAACGCATATCAATTAGTAGTGTATGGATCCAGGCTGTGTAGGTCGAGCTCGAGGCCCTCCTCCGGGAAGCCAAGAAGCACAGTCTGTACCCATATGTCCCTGGTACTTTCCCTCTGCAAATTACATAAACAGAGATCGACTGATTCATTATGAGATCAACACATCTGACAGTCTGGACATTTCTCTCGTATCCAACGGTTCTCTCTCTGTCGCGTGCTTCTTATACGGCTACCAGGGTCATGGCTATATGCCGGCATTGTGGTTGATACTCGGTAGGGGTGCATGTCGACATGTCCATCATGGCAGATTCCCAGGGCCCTTGTACCACTATTGTTTGTGTAATATCGCTTGTTGACGTTGCTGGAATTAGGCAGGATCGCTCTACCTCTCGAGGTTTCAGGCGAACCGTGCTCCCGCGTCTGTTTTGGGTTTGGCCCTCCAACCTTGTTGCTCCCACGGGCGGATTTCCTCCATCATCCACTCTCAACCCGCAGCACTAAACATCTCCCAAAGTGCCTACGAGTAACAAAACAAACCCCATGCTCTCGCGACAACTGTACCATCTCGTCCGGCGATTCCGCTTTGGGTCTCGCTCGCCTTGGATCGTCGTCAATGGTCCCGTTACGTTAACTGTTTTGATCTTGGTACGTTATGCTAGAGTCCTGGTACCTGCAGCATCCGCCCCTGTGGCTTAGGGCTCCCCTACCCGTCGTCATGGGTCTATCTGGTTCTGAACCCAAAATTCCTTTCCCGAAATCAAATGTGCTTCCATCGAAACGGCATGTTCGGACTGCCCTCGTCTTCCCCAATATCTAGATTCTTGGGTCTTGAATCCCTTGTACATGTGAAGCGCGTTGAGTTGGTCAACAACTTCTGCTTCTCGCTAATTCTTTTGTCCCGTCCTTTCTTGTCACCTGGCCATGCTCTGTTCAATCACGGCTTTCCTCAGACACGACCTTAGGACCGCAACTTCTACTGGAACGAATTGACGAGATATTTTGTCCACTTCGTATAACTGTCTCGACTGAGAGCCAGAGGCAATGGCGACGACAATGGCTCCTATCGAGCTGCCCACTGGCCGAAGGTCCTACCTCAACACAGCACCTCTACCTGATATTCACGACCCGAATTGGATCCCTATGCTGGGTGGAGCAGCTTTTCAACCTCCTTCGCCTACAGTAGAGAAAGAACTCTCACCATACCAGAATGCCTCGTTTCCGCCTTCCGCCTCTTTCTCTCTCTTCCCTAACCAGGCCACCTCCCCGAAGCCTCGACCAGGCATATCTCACAACTATTCGAAAAGCTCATTAGCTCCTGAAAGCGTAAGCTCGGAATCAAGACCACAGAGTCCTCAGGAACCCGTCGAGCCCGTACCTGTGATCAGTGAAGCCGTACGGGCTGGTCACCCAGAGAGACTAGGACATCATCGACGTCCGACATCGATGGGAGGAGCATCTATCGAAGAGAAGATCTCGGTTGGGACAGAGACTCCTGGAGAAATGATCAGTGGATCTAGCACCGATGGCACATCAAGTGTGGTTGAGGATCAGGCTGCTAGCAACCCAGAGACCACCTTGGACGAAGCAATGATCAGCCCTTCGTCAAGATCTTCCATGACTTCTACACGAAAGGGTTCAGTCTTTCCTCCCACTTCCAAGTATAATCGCAAACCCGTCTCGATGGCTCACTCTATCGCCCCCTCCATGGGCCGACCTTCCTTTGTACCAAGCCTTCCACAGACGCCTGCCGAATCACCTCGACTCGGACCTACGGTACCTGTAATTCCAGCGGCAACACCAGTGGCACAGCTACCGCCTTCTCCCAGACTAATACCGTCGGAGCCGCCACCAGAGCCAGAATCTACCACTCCCAAGCTTCACGCAATGAAATCATCAGCTTCAGAGAGACGCCAACGAGCTTTGCATTCTCATCCCTCGAACATTTCTCTTCGATCGCGACGTAATTCAAGTTCAGATGATGCAGAAATAATATCCAAGCCACCTTCAGTGCGTCATAAACCACGAAAATCAACCGACTCACGGCCAACCACCCCTCGATCCACCATCTATGATTCTCAAACCCCAACTCCAGCTCCAACTGCACCTTTACCTCAACTTCCTCCTCAAGCACGAAGACCGTCAACGCATGGCAATGGCCCACGAAAGTCGCCCCTTCTCCCATCAGAAAACCCCGTCCCTTCATTACACCAATTCAAACCATCCGAACACTCCGAGTTGGCATCCTTCATGACCTCGGAAAACACTGTGGTATTCCGGAGATTCGATGATGTCCATGTCCGACTTCTGCTGTGTCTGCAAGATGAGATTGCTCAACTCGAGAAGGAAATCCTGGAACTAGAAAATCCCAACTCTCAAGGCTCTGCATCTGAGAAGCTCCTAAAGAGAACGAGAGTGCTACGGGAGTTGAGGAAGGTAGTGGCAGAATATGGTGAGTGTTTTGACATACAACGTTTGCTTTGTTTCAACTCGACTAATTTATGATAGACAACATGCTTTCCATGTGGAATAAGATGAAGGCGAACAGCGTGGACGAGAAGACCTCGGATGATCTGAAGCAGTGGCTTGAGAAACCACGAGATGGAACAGAAGCCGGTCTGGGCATTGACGTTCAGCAAGACCTCGCCTGGGCGCAGAACAGTAAAGATCTGAGCAGCATATCGCTCAAGCAAGAGAAGGCACCATCGATAAAAGATATGCCAACAGAGAACAAAACACCCAGCATGAAGAACGAAAGTGGTGCCAACACTGGTGGTGGTGGCGGCGGCGGCGGCTTTCTCGCACTATTTGGATGCGCCAGTAAGAGAAAATAATGATGTGCGATTATGGACACTTTTGCGGCTTTCTTTCATGCGACATCTCAACACTCGATTTCGTGTTGCGTTATTTCGGCTTTGGCCACGGACGACATCTGCGACTACGGCCTGGGGCTAACTACTACGATACCATATTGTCTACGAATCTGGATGTCATTTGATTCCAGCGGATAAAGCATGATGGGGTGTATGGGATGATTTTGAAATCGCCAGACTTGGGCATGGACGGGTCCGGAATTGGCCACAACAGAGAGCTATGGTGATTTAAAACCTTATGGATCCTGTCAAACACAGTTTAAAAATTGGAGGACTGATGGATAGACTATGGATATCGCTAACTTCAGGTAGTTTATTGGTCACTTATATATGATCAATCATAAGATATGACTTACTCAAATGAAATCCTGGTGGTGCATTTACCTCTTCGTTACGAGGTTTCTCCAATGGTGCCTCGTACCTTGCATAAGCCTCTATCGCGAATCACTTCCCTAAACAGCGCTAAAGCATGATAGGAATTCGGTTGTCGCAACCGATGAAGGTGTTGATTCCCTGCCTCCCCTCCCCGACTAGAGACTCATGGACACCCGCGGATAGCCTTTTGTTTTTCGCCACGCCTTCCCCCAGATTTCGGTTTATGCGGGAGGGTCACGTGCCGGCCTCTGAAAATTTCAGGGAAAAGAGCTTGCATTGACCACATCGTCACCGACTTGCTCCATTTCCATTAGTCACAGTAAGAACCACGGACCGTCGTCATTTCCTTCTGGTCTTCTTTCCTTCCGTCTACTTTTCTTGTTTTCACGATATATCATATTTTGTCTAATCTAGGATTCGTGTTCCCTGGTGCATCAGCAAGGAACTCGGGTGCTCTTCTCATACGACATTTATCTAAGGGGCGGTAATTTGTGGAACCACGCTTTCTTTCGTCCTCCGGTGCTTCAACCATGTTTCCTCCACAGCAGGGCACTTCGCTCGACATCGAAGCTCTCTCGGGGATCTGTGGATCAATATCGATCGCCTGTTGGGTAGTGGTATTTTCACCACAGATCATTGAGAACTTCAGGAGAGGGTCGGCCGAAGGACTATCCATTGTTTTCATCGTCATCTGGCTTGCTGGAGATGTGTTTAATATCCTCGGCGCCATCCTGCAGGGGGTCTTGCCTACGATGACGATCCTGGCTGTATATTATACATTGGCGGATATCGTTTTGATGATGCAGGTGTTTTACTATCGGGGTTTCACGCTGAGGGACGAGGTTCGACCATCACATTCTAATGGAGACGCTGAGACCCGGCCGCTCTTACACAGTGGCTCGGTAACTCAGCCGCCATCGAGGGATGAGAATGATCGCTCGCGTTCCATCAGTGCGTTGCAACGACATCTCTCTGTCGACGGAACCCATTTGTCCCCTGTCACGCCTCTGCTCGATGCCCCCAAACCCGGTGATCCACCAGCTGTCAAGAACGCCAAGCCCACTACGACACTGCAGACCGTCATTTTTAACAGTTTTGCTGTGCTCCTCGTCTGCGCCGCTGGTGTCTTTGGATGGTGGATTACCTCCCGCAAAGTGCATCGCAAGCACTCCATCAAAGACGAAGAATCTGACCAACTCGAATTCGATACTTTGGGCCAGATCTTCGGCTATCTCTGTGCGGTGCTATATCTTGGATCTCGACTTCCGCAATTGTTACTCAACTATAAACGAAAAAGCACGGAAGGCGTCTCGCTGTTGTTTTTCTTGTTTGCCTGTATTGGAAACTTGACATATGTCATGTCCATCTTTGCATATTCGCCCATCTGTCGGAAGCCGGGTCATTGTAAGGCTGGTGAGTCTGGGGCTATCTATGCCAGGTATATTGCGGTCAACGCGAGTTGGATCGCGGGTAGTTTGGGAACGTTGTTTTTGGATATGGCGATTTTTGTGCAGTTCTTTTTGTATCAAAAGGTGGAGGGTGATGACGATGAAGACGATCTATGAGATACTCTCATTCGATAGGTCGGATGTTATTGTCATTCTTCAAGGCTATTTATCTGCCTACCAGGAAATCACCTAAAAGTTCTCCTATTTGGAATGTGGGATTCGGGCTTCGGTCTTTTGCTAGCTTGGAGCAGAAAAGGCATTTGTAGTGAGCATTGGAAACGGACCGATGCTCACCTGGTAAACTGTCAGACTATGCATAAAACGGCGGAGCTTGAGGGCTTCAAAAGTACACCACAGAGGAATTAGACGTCAGAAGTTCTAACCATTCGATCACCAATCGCTCTAGCTAGTGAAAATCTCAAAACAAGCTAGGGGCGCTCTCATTGAGATATATATCTACTGGAACGAATCAGTCATGATTGGATAGCATCTGCAGATTTGCTGAGATGATGCGTAAGAGTGAAAGCACTCCAGAATAGACTGACACCTTTATGTGCCTGCGAAGACTGGGGAGAACGTGAGGTTTTATTCCCGCCCTGTTTTGGATTAGGGTACTCAGATAGAGGGGTACGGTACAGAGATATGCAAAGGATTTCAAGGCGGCTCGGGCCTCTTGGAGACAATAACAACTATAACCTGACATCTGCATCTTGCACAGCCGATCCCATATTCGTGGTTGCGCCTAAGTTTATGGGACAACGTAGTGGGTGTTACAGTACTAAGCTGAAGTCGACCTGATAATTCCGCCCCCACCGGTTGTCCAGCCAACCAGGTCACCATAGACATCGACGTCATATCGTAAACAGACGCAAAATCCTTGTGACCACCAAATAGCATGTGTGGATCGTCTAGATATTCTCCGAGCAACTGAATCTCAGCGGATTAGGCAAGCCTATCCCGTCGATCTTGGAGATTAATTGACAAGCACATGGTACTCCTAGACCCTGGCAACCATCACACACAGACCGTCACACCTCTCTGTCTGATATCATAAGGCTTCGGGATTTCTTCCTTCTACCGTTTCTTCCACATACCATTTCACTCTCGTAAGAAAGAACCCATTGAAGATTCCAAGACACAATATTCTAGCTTTCTAAGCTGCCAAGTTTCAAGGACCGATCCATTGGAGTGTATCGACGATTCAACCACTAATTCATACACCACACCCAGAAAACTCTCCCACCAAACAAAACACTCATCTCCCATCTCATCATCGTCAGCGACACCGACACCACCCCAAAAATGTCACCAAGCAAGCCTCTCTCAGAACGCTCCCCCAACAAACAAGCAACCTCGCCTTCAAAAACACTATCACAATCACAATCTCACTCCCTCGAGAAAAAGCTCACCGACATGAAATCCCCACCCAGCAATAACATCCTATCCAACGACCTAAAGCCCATCCCACGATTCGAAGTCACCACGAACACCAGTCTCGGCCACTCTCACGGCCCCAATGGCAACAACAACACATATATCAGTCCCAGCGACGCGATCCGCAGCCCGACGACCAAGAAACTGAGCGAGATCAAGGGCAAGAGATTCCAGTACGTACCAATTCCGCACCGTACCTAAAAACATACAGGCGACCCGAGATGAGAATAGAATGAGACTAACGAACGCCTGAAAAACAGGAACGCGAAGCCCCAGACTCTGTTCGCCAAGACGCTGGCGCTGCAGGGCTTGAAGGCACAGTCGGAGAATCTGAAGCGCGAATCTTGAGGGAGAGCGACACGAACATGAAGAACAAGAACAAGAGCTTGAAGGTTGTGTCAGAGCATGGCATTGTTGGCTCTCTTATTTATGATGGGCTACATACAGCGTCTTCGCTTTCGGATGGAGTTTTTTGGTGTTATCAGTGGATGGAGTAAGGCTAGATGCGCTGTCTGAGACTGTGATGTCCAGTCCTGGAGGAAGGTGTTTTCTAGGAGGGTATCCTGAAAACTTGGGACTGAGTGCACTGCACTGTTATGTTAAATTTTCGCCCGTTCGCTTCTTCTATATCGATTGGGTAGAGAGAGTATTATCATCAACGTGTCTTTGGGTATGCTGCTATACAGCAATTTTGCAGTCGTTTGTGGCTTCAGGTTCTGCGCACACACTTTTATTTTGAGACCCTTTTTTTTATTCATTAGGGCCCGTAAAGTCCTGTGTTAAGGAAAGCTCAAACCCCAAGGCTCACCAGTGGGTACCTAGGTACCCATCACTTCGTAGAATAAGGGGAGGGACTTTTCGTATTTACCAAGTACGGACACTACCGATGAGAATACGGAAGGGAACTCGTGGGTCGTGACTTGGGCCTCTGACTCATAGCATAGCAGCAAGAGTTCTGTAGCGCAGCGCCACAAGGCAAATCAGGTCTGGAAGGTCAACGAACCGCCGCTTGCACCTTGCTTTCCTCTGACACTTGACAATCTTTCTTCGTTCTGTGTCTTATAGTATGGCCACAGTAATACTGATTAACGCATAAAGTCTTTCAAATTTGTCAATCCCTTCAGAATCCCAAAGACGAAGGAGAAAATCTGGCACAGGCCAATATCGTTATTTAGTCAAATCCCAGCCAGGCCCGACTTTGCCCACACCCACCCAACATTCGAAGGACAAGGTATACCGTGCTGTTGTTTTGCAGTTCATAGTCCAGAATCCTCCTATCCCTCTGCAGCTCTTTGCCACCGTGGATCAGGCGCCCATCCGTAATCGGTATTCCTTCTCGGTCATACAAAGCATCTGCTATTTGATTCGTCAACCCTTTGGAGTCGATTTCAATGGTTATCGTTTTCCCTGTCAAGGACTTGATGAAAATATGCCATGTAGAGCTGTGGCCTTTTACAGCCTCAGGCTGTCCCGCTTGTTTCCTTCTGTCTGTGCTTCCCTGTTCCGAAGCTGGTTAGGTACAGATAACGCGGCTGAGGTGATGACACGAGAAAGGAGATCTGACAAACCTGTGGAGTACCCCAATCTGATGGGAGAGCCGAGCGAAAGGCATTCAACTGCAGTCCATTTCGATGATATGCTGCCTGAACCTCATTGAGAATTTCTTCCAACTCTTCTCTTCTTTTCATTTGACGCAAACATTCGAGGAGTCGAACAATGCATCTTTCGTGAGACCAGCTTGTGCTTGGCTTTTCGATAGACAATCGAACCAAGGGACATAGCGCATCAATCACTGACGTATACTTTTCTGAGACAAGCCATTTGGTGGTCAGATGGAACATGCTCCGCCTGTACTCTTCAGAATCCAGTCCACAGAGCTTCTTCAATGTATATGTGGGGGTGACGTCCGCCAACGCTTCGTCCCAAAAGGTACCTACGATATCTGTAGGCAGTAACCACGCACTCCAATCGTCCAAGCTGCCTTGCCCCAACCTCGGGGCCATGTGTGCTACCTGAGCAACCAAGTATCCATCCAAGGCTGCCACATAGGCTTCAATCCATGACCTTTCCGGCTGTAAGATCTTGCGTGGCCCCCAGTAATTAACATTGGCGGAGACGTCCAGATGTACAAGCCAGAATAAATTTGTTCGTAACGCTGCCACGAGTGGTGGAACCCTTGATCCATTGTCTGCAGTCTGCTTGAAAACGGCCTCACCTTGAGACAGAAGTGAGAGGCAGCGTTCACAGCGTTGAGGATCCTTATGGCATGAGCATACTCGGGAATAGAAGATCTCCCACATGAGAATCGAAAAGGACAAAGAATCTTGATTTCTTTGGTTCTCCACCGAGAGCCGGGTCCGATTTAGCAAAAACGCATTGACGCGTATTGCACGAAGGACCTCTCGTCCCAGCTGAGGAGATGTCCAAGGATTAAAGGTTGAGAGCAGACTGAGAGATTGAAAACATGTTGTGCTTGTCATGCTGTTCATTTTCTTTGAGAACGACAGACACTTCTGCGCGTGCACATTGATTTCTGGATAGTCTCTCCAAGGAAAGAGTGGCAAAGATCGTTCCGCTCCGACCCTGAGGCTATCTGACAAAGGTGCAAAAGGGGGAAGCTGATCCTGTGGTTTCAGGTAATTAGATACTATGCCAATTGCACACTTCTGTAATGTTGTCAGTTTGGCAGGATTCGCAGATGCTTGCTGGTAGGTCCATTGTTGCACCAGAGTGTGCATAGCTATTTCTCGGTTTCCAATCTTCCAGCGTATGAAAGAGTATCTGTGGAGCAACCCCAGGGCCTTGCGCAAAGCCACACTTGTCGAGAAAATAGTGGACAAAATTGGTGGTATCCATTCCTCATCTGTTGGTACCGGACTGTAGACACCATCTTCAGACCAGGAACATTGCGATTGACACGCAGATTCAAGAACAGCCAGTCCAATTCCCTCATGATTGAGGAGGGCCAAGAATAGCATGAGCTCCCATGTCCCTTCCGATATTTCTCGCACTTTTTTAAGCGATATCTTCCACGTCGTCCAAGTCGCATTTTGCTCAGGACGACGCTGTGGCCTCGTTGATGGCTCAATTAGTATGGTAGCGGCATCTTCTCTAAGATGTCGCCGATATTCTGATATGCTCATATTAGTCTCGCAAATGAATGCGGCAGCCTGGTCAACGGCCAGTGCTAGATACCCCAGATCGCGAAGAAGACTTTCAATCTCGCTCTTCAGAGGTTCCACCATCTCTGAATCCTCAAGTCCAGTTATACCTTGCAGAAGTGCACAACCCTCCTCAACGCTCAGCTCGGCCACGTCAACAACAAACCACGAAGATTTGAGAGACGAGTTTCGACTCGTTATGAGAATTGCTCCTTCCATTCCGGACCTGAGAAACTCAACTCGCAGAAAATGTACCATTTCATCATCATCCAGGTTATCTACAATCAAGAGATAACCCTTCTGCCTAATGAGCCAATTTTGGCAGTATAGCTGAGCCATGTCCGGAGCAATAATTGAATCTGTACTCAATGCATTGGCCATGGATAGAAAGCTATTTCTTAGTTGTGGCATGCTGGAGCCATCCAACCACAGGGTTCCACTTTGGAAGTCGTGCCGGTGACTCTCTGCAAAGTGTATTGCAAGCTCTGTTTTGCCAGCTCCTCCCATGCCGAGGATTACTATCCTCGGCTTGGGAAGGGCTGGTTGACTGGTAAAACCAAATTTCTCCTCTAGGACAGCTAGCTGCTTGTAGCGGGGGACGAATCGAGAGTTGGTGTCGAAAGGAATTATGAAGGGAGAGGCTCGCTGAAGCTGTGTGCCTGGAGGTGATGAAAACCGGTTCCGACGAGGGAGAGAACCTGCGTAGTAGTAAGTAGGTGCATAATTTGCGGAGCCAATTCATGTCAGCAGTCTGACCATGCAATTGAAACTCATTCCAATGCAGATAGGAAGTTCTAACCTTGATCTCCTCGCTCCAGGCGATGGGTCTGGGGCCGATCAACGTTCCTCCACTCCTCCAAAACCGCCTTCGTACACGCCGCCGCCGTCACAGCCGCATAATCTTGCCACCGCTTATTTTTATGAGAGTCCGCATAATCACACACGCTTTTGATCACGATCGTCGGCACAACATGCCCCGTACCGGCACTTTCCATCTCGAATCCAATCACTTTCTCTTCCTGAGCAATCTGGTCACGATGCCTCCCACTCTTCATCACTTGGTTGCTACAAGCCATTCGGCCAAAATGAATCGCAGGTGCTTGGGCTTCGTGGACTTCAGCGTCATTTAGAACCCGTCCATCAGTACCCACCCCCATCGCTTTTTGTATCCGTGTGCGCTCCACAGACAGACTGTCGGCGCACCCGAGGTCCTCACACGAGCTTTGCAGTGCTAGTTGACAAGCTTCGTCGTCCTGGCTCTGGCAATTATCACAAATACATGGTTCATGGATCTTGTTTGCTTGAACGCCCGTCTTCTGGCGATGCTTATGTCGGTGGTCAGCTGGATATAACTTGTCGTGTTCTGGTCCTGGATAGACTGACTGAGAAAATCCTGGTTTTGCACAAACCTGAGCAGAATAGGCAGCCGTCTTCTCCTCGAGTCGAGTCCGTACTAGATAGCCTGATAGTCTCCCTGCAAAAGCTCGAATTTCCGGGTTGGCCCGGCCTAAAGTGTCTTCCTCCTCTTTCTTGCGCACTAGCCTATCAGGCAACTGTCGACCAAAATCGGTCTGGATCACCGACGTACTGATGATCACGTCCCCCAGCAGGATTTCGGTGCCGTCGGCCGTGATAGGAATGCCGCCACAGACGCCTACCACCAGTGCGCATTTGATTCCCTGAAAACTAGCTCCCATGTTGGCTGCCACGGCGGTGGCGGTAATCATGCCCATACTTGGCATATATGCCAGAACTACATTTTGGTCTCCTATCCGCCCTGTTGTATAGGCATTCTTATCCGCAGCTGACTTTCCGTACGAGAAGCTGTCTGTTTCATACTCTTCATCTAGCAGCGCTTCAACGGCGTCTCGTTCGATGCGCAGGGCGCAGATGATGGCGATCTCGAACTCATCGCGGCAAGATGGTTGAGCGGGGAGTGCCATTAGGATGAACCAATCTGCACAGTGCCAATGACCAGGAGTCTAAGCCAGAGAGGCTAGTGAAGCTTGATGAGCCAGAACAATGACGGTCAAGGGCGCCGTTGATGGGATACAGTGGCTCAGCTAGGTGAGTTGAATTCATCTTGAAGATTGATCTCAATCAGGCTGAAATGTGTTGGTATGCCGTAGGCTGAAGTACGAGCTGAGTGGAATGTTGCGGTGGTGGTTCGGGTGTGTCACTACTCTCGTCACGTGATGAACTAAACTCCCGGTTATTTGGTAGTCTCGCTACTTCCCGCATATTATGGGACCCCCTAGTGGGTCCAAAAATCGGATCTCAAAATAAAGTGTATAGGTATGCAGAAAGCGGCTCTGTGACGGAACGAACATGACAGTGACTAAGTCGAGGCGTCAGGACAATGCTGGACACAGAGTACTTAGTATTGATAGTGCAAGGGGATCGTAGAATCAGCGGATCACATGTGAAGATTGTTTCCAGGCTTTTTGTGATTGAATCATATGATTATTATCTGTACAAGAATGGATAGCCTTTGATAAAAGAGCCAATCCTGAACATTCCATCTCCCACTGTGATTTGAATAGGTATCAATCTATCTGTGATAATCCAGCAGTACTATTGCCGTAGGATCAAAAACACATGTTCCCCTTCAACGCCTTCGCTTGCTAAAATGCATGGAATCATAAATCTGAGAACTCGTGACAAGATAGACCCCCGGTCTGGTATTCATCGTGATAGCTGGGACGAACAACTCGAGATTTGGGGATGGAGAATTCGAAATTCCATCAACTCTCTTTGTCATTCTTGGTGTCCAACAAAAAGAGTGTGATTTACTTGGCAGCAAATCTACTTCTGGCACGGAGCTTGCCACCAAACATCCACAAGGCGAAGATGCCAATGATACCACCAACAGTCAAACCAGCCAGAAGCGAGACACCACTACCGACACCCAGGTTGTGGAACAAGGGCCGGGAGAAATGAATGGCGCCCGCTGCAATGGACGATCTCACAAAGTCGTTACCTGCGAACAGGGAAGCAGCGTATTGAGGGTATGTGAGTGGGATGTAGATGAAGATGCACTGGAAGAGGATGAAAATGCCAATGGTGAAGATGACCACACCGATGGTTGGGACGATCCAGTGAATCTTGGGAGATGAATTGGCGGTCCAGGCAAAGAGGAACAGTCCTATTGGGAGCAAGAAGGTTGCTGGAAGTGCAGGAATCAGGCGTCGCTCTGGTTCACCAAGTCCTTGGGTCATCACCTCTGGTTCAAAAACGTAGCGTAGATACCAGACGTAGATGGCGATGGCGATGCTGACACCAACGGAGATGGAGAGGAAGATCAATCCGATTTCTCCTGCGTTCATGCCATAGCCTTGAGTGGGTGAATTGGGACCATTTCCGATTGCGTAGACCAAGGGGAAGACTTCGAAGAACGAGTAGAAGATGGCGTACATCAGAGCAGTGTACAAACTGGTGAAGAGCACAGCAGGGTCAAGAGCGTTGATTTGAACTGGATGCCAGAGATTGTCCACGATAATTTCGTTAACAGTCATATTCTCCTGGTCAATTTCCGATTGAGATTTGAGATTGTTCTTGCTGGTGAGTTTTCGAAGGCGGGCCGCACGACGGAGAAGGATGTTGGAGGCCGAGGTCTCTGGTAGGAGGAACAAGAGTGAGATGTAGACGGGAGCGGCGAGCCAGACGATCTCCCAGAGTGACCAGTGCCAATTTTCTGCTGGAACAGAGAATCCCGAGATGATGGGGCCGAGGGCAGGACCTGAATTTTTGTTAGTTTAGATATTTGTGTGAATTTCGAGGGAGGTTGACTTACCTGCAGTTGCAAAAGCAGCCCATCCAGTAAGGAAGTAAGGCATTTTGAGAAGAGAGTAAATATCTCCAATCGAAGCACCACCAGTTGCAAGGCAAGGACTGCCGAAGAACCCCTGCAAGAATCGGAGAACGACCAAAGCAGGGAAACTGTTGACCACAGCTGTGGGAATACTCAAGATAACGAAGATGCCAAGCGTCACCATATAGGGAGGATTTCTTCCAATGATGGGAATTTCCGATAGTGGTGAGAAGATTAAAGGGCCAATACCGTAACCCAGAACATACATGGACAATCCGAGGCTGGCGACGGTCTCGGAAACACCCATCTGCTCAACAACGTACGGAATTGAGGGTGTGTAGATGGCGGAACCCATGTAGACAGCTAGGGTGTAGAGATAGACCTGCAAGACGACCAAACCTTTCTTCTTGTTGGACCAATTCTGCGGGTTTTCTGGGTCGTCGGTTGTGTACCAATCAACAAGGATGGTTCCATCGGAGGTGACGGTTGGGGCGATTGGTCGACTGACCTGGGCCTTGAGGGCTTCTTGTTGGGTGGCATTGGTATACGCTTGTTCCAGGGATGCGCGTGTATTGACTTTTGACATATCAGCTCTGCTCACGATCTTGGAGAGTGATCTCTCGGAGGGAGCCATGGTTTCGCGGTCAACTGCTGTTGGCGCAGTAGTTAGAGGACTATGGCCAGTCTCGAGGTCTTCTTCAAGTCTCTTTTCCACCGAGTCTGGAGAAGGAACACTGGAGGCATTTGAGCCGATGGTTTTTCGATGGTCTTCGTACGAGGCTGGGATCTGGAAGTCGGCTTTTTCTTCTGGATACTGAAGATACTTGTTCTTGGTAATCCATCGGATGACCTGGCCCACTGGGGCATCTCTCAATAAGTCTGACATCTTTTTCTGTGTAGTGTAGTGTAATGTGATGGTGAATTGGCTGTGTAAAGGGAGGAGAAGGCTGAGAGATGTTGATTGTTGTGCAGTGAGGTGATGTTAGTCACGGAACACAGACCAAATGGGATGAGAGTGAATATGGTTAAGGTCAATTGAGCGTGGGAGGGAGTGAATATTATACTTCTGAATCTGAAGCACGTCAATCTACTTTACCTTTGCCTACCGTATGAGTTCAAGGATCATTATTAGCTGATTAAGTCCGTGTTCTGCGGGTGTTCGTGTATCCCGCCGAATACTGTACGTCGTGGTATCAGAGCCTAGCGAGACTGTCTGAATAATCAATAATGTGGACCCCTAGAGTCGGCCTGGAGATCACATCAAACCGTGGAGCTTAAGCCCAGAAAAGTCAAGTCCGTAAGCACGAAAAGCCGGCGGCTGGACGAAAAGGCTTGACGAGAGGCACGGGGGTAAAGATGGATTGCATGTGAATTGTGATGGGGAAGCTTGATTCAAAATGGGTTTCGTCCGAAGCACGCACTAGATTGCCGTTGATGCAATGGGGATAAGTAATACGAGTGAAAAACAACGAATGAAGTGTTGATCCAGGCAGGATGTGCAGACCCTGGGCTGAACCTTCCCAAGGTCCCCCACTGCAAAAAAATCAAGTTGGAGGCGATGACGACGCCAAGCCGCATTTTGTCAGCGGCCTCAACGGAAAATCCTTTTGTTATTTCCAGTCCCTTCTCTCGTCATAGCACACCGAGTGGTAAGCCATCCATCAGGCTGAAGACTCAGACTCATAGCCAAGTGAGTGGTTTTCTTCTCAAACTGTTGGATAAACGGAGATGGATATGGAATCAGCATAATTCTCCCTCTCAAGTCCGATATTTTAATACCCTGAGAACCTCAATTCCACAAGTCCGTATTCGTCCAATTCCCTCCACCGTTGTTCGGCATAACAATTATCCTTCAAGTCCACCACTGGCATCTGGCATTGACCACCACCACCTCCTCCTTAAGGCTATTTTCCACACGCAAGACAGCTAATCGCCCCAATCTGGTTCTTACTTACTTCGAGTCTGGAGAACGAGGGTCACCTAGGTACTTAGTATCCACATCAAAGATTCAATTACGAGTACGACTGATGCACCACCTCCTCCTTCCTTCAAAGTTGTCCTACTTCGTACGTACACACCCAACCTGGTGAAGACTTCTCTACTAAACGACATGCTTACTTATCAGGCCTCCTCCACTACCCGTCACTATTCGTACTAGCAGGGTTGACGCCTCGTATTCCCATCGCATTCCTCGCGGAAACACACAACTCGACCAATCGCCCTGGCTCTCTGCCGTGTTCCTGGTTGACTCAGCAAGCCGCCAAGGTTTTAACTCAAGCCCGACTGCCTAGGTACTTTACATAATCGGCAGGCCTGACACCCCACCTGATAGGAGTACTAAGCGACCAGAGTTCTGATGATACTAATCTTTATAGTTCACAAGTTCCTTCCAATTATGAAGTTTAGTGGATATTGGAAACACATCCTGAATCCTGATGTGACTTGAACCGACAGAAGTGGATTCAGGACTTCAAATAAGACAGGGCTTGAATCCTCTCACCAGCAACTAACTACTAGTCTATCATCAGATAGCCCAGGCCTCCACATCATCACCTGCATGGATGAAAGGCTCATCAATCTGCTTAATGCCCAGATCTCCACATAGCACACACTGCTCAGCGACGAGCCCGTCCAACTCAGCAACCAGCTTCATTCGTTGTGGACCAATACTAAGTCCCTGATTAACCTCGGTCTGTAGGTCTTTGATGCGCTTTCGTTTCGAGCTTCCGGAGTTCTCCAACACACGTTTGCCCAAACAATCGCTGTGGAATGCATGCTGACATGGGAAGACGAAGAACTGTCGGCTGAGCACCGGTAACGTACAGATCCAGCACCGTTCGCCCGACTCCACGATCGCATAGCGATGGTCTAATGCCGCTATTTCGGCCTTGATCTGTTCGGCCGTGTGCTGTGAAATATCCATTTCCTGTTTCAAATTGTCGATATGCCGGGAGTACTCTTCTAGCGCTTCGCAGATCTCTTCTTTGAAATCATCAATCACCACAAAATCCGGGAAGAATGGGATGAGATCTTCAATCTTGAGTAAGTCGCACTGTTTCAAGAAACTGATGGCATCTTTGATCGACGATGCCTCTTTGATCTTCTTCTCCGCAATTAATAACCACAGGCGTTTTCGGGTCTGGTCGTTCCCTTCTAGCCGATCTGCGACAATGGCCGCCAGATCGACATCATCGTGCTGAAGGGCAAGTTCTACTGCTTGTTGGTATTGCCCCATGGTACTGTATATGTGCACACAAGACTGTACCCGATTGTGCTGAATACATAACCGTAATGCGAAATCCGCATCGTATAAGGGAGGAGTGGGCTGAGTTTCAAGATAACCCAGCAGCGCGGTTTCCGAATTCGACGGATGGGATGCCATGATGGAGATCAGAGTGTTGTGGACCGAAGCCGGGACGCTGAAATCGTTCGTAACAACATAGTTGAGATATCTCACTGCCTGATTCTGCGGCAGCGGCACATTGGCATTTTCGTTGTAGGTCAACAGCGCAGGAATCATCTTCTGCGCGTCAATATTATTTCTCCTCACCAGAATCTCCACCAATCCGGTTGCGACATGCGACATGAGCACATTGCTATATCGATAAAATGTCTCTGGATTGCTCTGCTTGTTAAGCACCGAAAGGGCCTCGGTCCACTGTCCCCGTTGCACCCAGTATGAGAGGACGAAATCGTAGTCCGTGATTGTGTTGGCGAAAAAAAGCAATTCTTCCTCTCTGTCATGACTCGAGATCACTTCGTAGGTCGTTTTGGCATCAAGGTCTGACTTGTGCTTGTTGACGAACTCTTGAAACTCGGCTCGTGTCTTTTCCAGCTCTCTTTTCGCCCCTCCTGCATCCGTGTTCTCGATCAGTTCCGCCTTGGTGGCAACCATGTCGTCGAGTGCGTTGAGTTTGGCCATATAAATCTGCATAAGCCAGGTTGCTATCATGACTCTCTGCATGTATGATGACTTTTTGTAGGATCCGAGCTTGGTTGTCAGGTATTTCCGGAGTGCATCTTCTTGCCCATTGTCAATTAACGACAGGCAGACCTCTTCGAAGGCTTTGCTGCTTTTGCCCCATATACTTGCAGCCTCGAGATATTGTCCTTTACTTGACAGATAATCTCCTGAAGCCGTAGCCACTGAGTCCTTCTGGGTTGCATCTTTTGCGTATTTCAATGCAGCATCGTAGTCTTGATTCTTGAGCATAACTTTCCAGACATCCCGCTCTTCATCATTGGCTACTACTTCGAAAATCTCCTGGTTTGTGAATAGCCAGTATGTGTTCTTCGTTTGATCTGCAACAAGACCAAGTGCACTCTGCCCTGTCTCCAACACAACCTGGTCATAGACAACACTCCCATCGAGTCTGTTGACCGCAACAATGCGCCCCTCAGCAAGGGCCAGTACATGCCATTGTGACAGTACTACAGAAGAAATTGGGTCCTGAATAAGCTTGCGACCGCCACGTGCGGATATAGTCTCGGGAAAAATTGCTCTAGGATGAAGTTTGGCCTCATTGAAGACTTTGGAACCAAGATTGGAAGTGGTCGGAGAGGTGAGAAGTTTGCCTGTCAAGACACCCTGAGAGTAGAGCCATGCAAAGCTCCGTTCGGAACCAGCTCTGGAGTCTGCCGTCTCCGGAGATACTGAGAAAGAAGATGGGGCCGTAGCAGATGCACCAGGGGCGTCATGCGTGATAGGCGCCTCTTTAGAGAACAAGTCGGCATAAATAGATGCGGATCCTTCTCGCCCACGACCACCTGTTTTGCCTATCCAGTGACAAAGCCTCGAATGCGACGCAACAATGACCCTTCTCATATCAGCTCTACCTTCCACAGTCTCCGTCCACAAGCCCGTGACCGCTCCGTCCGGGATCTTCCATACCTGGGCCGAATATCGTTCTTCCCGTCGATAGAATTCGGATGCAGGCTCTATGTATGTCTCGTATATGTTTCCATCCACTGCGCCAACCAATATCTCTCGCGTCGATGCCGTCGGCTGGGAGGGGTTCCATGCGATCGACTCAATAGATACGCCTTTTAATCTCGACAACGCTCTGGGTGTCTTTGACTGACTGTGGAGGTAGAAGTTCTCGCCTAGGGTTGTACTGATGATGAGGTGAGATGCCGAGGGGTCGAGGAACATGCGCCGTATTAGCCCGACTTCAGTTGTCTTCTTGGGGAGATCGACATCTATTCCACAAGTACACATCAGCTATGTTTGCAGAATAAACAGAATGGTATCGACCAACCGTCAATGTCTGATGGGCTCTCTAAGTCGATGCGGAGAATGCGCCCCGTAGCGAGAGCCAGAATCAATACATTATTGGCCACCTGGCCTGCGACAAAATCCGAGGCGATGTTGAACTGCAACTGGACTCGTTCGACGTTGAAGATGGGGAGAGAGGTCTCGACACCACCTTGTGCTAGGCCAGGCGCCACATAGCCTTCATCGAGATCTAGCGCCATGGAGCGCTGTTTTGGAACGATCTCAATACATCTCGTGCTTCTTGTTGGTTGTGGGGATTGTTTGTTGTACGCAGGCAGGAACAAATTACTCTTGGATGTAGGCGAACTGGAGGGAGTGTCACTAATTGGAAGAAGTGCTGCAACTGCGTCATATTCACGTGACTCAACCCTGCACCATTTGCCTCGTAAACACTGCATGCTGTGCTCACTGTAGGCTCTTACCCAACCTCTAAAACTACCCCGGAGTAGCAATAATGTAATTTGGCCTACCTGGTAAATTGGAATAGGCAAAGAACACAGTCCCATTACTTACAACACCATGACTACCCGACTCCTCGTTTCTATTTCCGAAGCAACCGTTTGCGTTTCTCCGTCCACGTACATTCTCGTGAGACAAGCCAGACAAAACCCCTCCGGTCTCAGGATGACTCTGTAATTCTTTGCTATGCAAAGGGAAGCGGCAGCAAGTCTAGCTTGCCAATTGCCCCGGGCACGGATGATGCCAGCTTGTGAGGGAGGCTTGATGATTTCCGCAAAATTGTCGATAGACATGAAATTCACGTTGGCAGAATGTTCGGGAGTCTGATTCTGCACCGGTGTGGCGTTGAGCTCGTTGTTGCCATGTCCACATTCGGCGACCGTCAGAAGTTCAGTCGTCAGTCGGGGGCTAGAAAACGTAGCCAGAACATCGAGTTCCCCAATGTGACGTTCCTGGTCATAGACTGACACGAGTGCCTCCAAGAGATACGCCTCGATGTCTCGGCCACCTGAGTATCCCACATCTACTTGCATTGAGGCTTCTGAAAAGGTCAGATGGAGGCTTGTACCGGAGAAAAAGTCATCTAAGGTCCCATCGAACTCCTGACGGTTGTATTCGTACCACTCCCCAATGCCATAATCTCTGATCATGGGCTCGAGTGGTGGTACGAGGAATGCAATGCCAGCTCTTCTAATGTTGCCTGTGTATCTTTGAATGGCAGTTTCTTTCGGGTTTGACGCTGGGTCACGGAGAAGAGCCGAAGCGATGTATAGTGAGTCAGCTACAGAGACAGCAAAGACCTTCGACAGCTGATCCGGTTGAAGATTGAACGTTCCCGTTTCGAACATGGTTATGCATGCAAAACAAACTGCATGATCAACATCTTCGAGCTGCATTGACAGACGCGGTACATGACGTTTCGGAGCGGATCCGTAGGCCATCTCCTCGCCTTCTTCATATGGATTGTAGCGGGTGATTGTTGGCCTCTCCCGCGATATCGTCGCTAAAGTGCTTCTTCTTGTGCCGTTGGCTGCGCTTCGGACCCAGTGGGCCTTTTTGAAATCCATTTGGACTGTGCGTACGTCAACTGTTGCGCCGTCCAAGTTATTGTACAGGTTTGCAGCAAGGCATATGCCCCATAAGTGGGCGACCTGCTCGACGCTATGATCAAGTTCTTCTGCAAGCTTCTGAAAGTTGACTTTGGGCGGCGTGAAATACTCCATAATTTTGTCGATAGACATCACGTATGTATTCGGTTTGTTCTGCTCCACGGTTATCCTTCCACCCTGATGAATTACAGCCGGCGACCGCTGGACTTGATCTCGCCTTCGACGAAACAAGGCAATGCCGTCAGCAGCGCCTTCGACTAGCTCGTAAACTATATTCAAGCCAGGGGAGAGTTGAAGGATTATGATAGGATCTTCTCTGGAGCTCCTTTGGTGCTCGTGCCGTTCAGATCGGTGTCGTCTTTCAGCGCGGGACACAATCGTCTTTATACCACTCTCTGCAGCTGCATCCAATCTCTTACCAGAGCGTCTACCCAAATGCCTTTGAAATACTGGGAATGAAGAATTTGAAGATGGAACCGCTGTGATAATTTCGCCAAAGTGAGACAATTCTCTCGCCCGTCGATCTAACGCTGGTATGCTCCCCTCTAGCGAGGCTGGCTTTCTTTCGAAACCCAATCGCTGTGAATCGGATGGGGGATTCTTCTTTTGATCGTCGGTCAGGTTGTTAAAGTGAGGCCTTCTTTCTCCGAAGGATTGTTGGTCGTCAAAGGATGATTTTAACAACCACCGTCGATGAGATTTTGGACCTTGAAGCTTTCCATTGCCAGTTATCTCGGTCTCAGGAAGAGCAGTCGCATATTCCACAGCATCTCGGTGTGTCACATGGCCCGAGTGCTTGAATTCATATTCAATAATGAACTCATAGTCTTTGTTCGGAGACTGATGACTCAATGTTTCTGCCATTTCTCGAAGAAGCTTGATCTTGTCTTCAATCTCATAAGCAGCTCTGAAAAAGCTAAGTGGGCTGAAAATATGTTGGAATGGCTCCCCCTTGAAAGTGTGGCAGTATTCCAAACCTAAGTTTCTGAGTTTCTGTACTTTCACTTCGTCAAGTCTGGATAGATAGTGCTCAGAGGTTCTCGCGAATAGTGATAGCCAAGATTGGACAGGAGCCTTGATTCCCAGCGGAGCTTGCTGAGAGAATACTTGTGGGTTTGACCATATTGGTTTGCTGTGCGCCTGTAAGGTTCCCTGCTCAAGCCAAGTTGCCACGTCCCTGAAATACTGAATGACATTCTTCTTAGCAGTAGTTCCATTGTCCCAAGGTTTCAGGTAGGCAGTGGTCATCACCCACAAGAACTCATCCATTGTCAATCGATCTCTTTCAGTCGTGCTGATGTTGCGGCAACGGGAGACAGGCAGCCCATAATATCGGAGATTGGCGAGAGGAAGGGACCAGTATATGGATGTGTATGCTTTGGTATCTCCTGATTCTACTGGATCTAGCCCCAAAGTAACAATGCCACCACCTTGGAAGAGGGGATCATTCTGTTCAATAGTTTTGCTTTCCGACGAAAGATGGACCATGTTGGGATAGAGATGCCACGACGACATACCCAGGCAAATGTCTCCGCTCTGCAGTCGGAGTAAGGGCACTCCGTCCAGCAGCTTCTCCATCTGGACCATGGCGGATGTCCAAGCCTGTACGACATTGCCATATGTTTTCCGCGAAGTGTTGACGGGTAGCCGTAAATTGTCGAGGATTAATCGAAGCTGGGTCTGCCGCTTTGCCATGGCGGAATCAGCAACCCGCAGCCATGCACGTGCGCTCGCATCCCAGTCGGCGAGATCAGATCTGAGAAACATCTGAGCTGCTGCTGCGAGGAGCTCCTGCTCGACTTCTCCTTCTTCGACGAGTTTTCTCTCGACCTCTTCTTTTCTCGCCGCAATGATCTCGACCCAGATGGACGTTGCTTCTGGGGGGATCCCACATTCGAGCAAGCATGCATGCTAAGAGGTGGCATGCTATGGCAGGCCTCCCTGACGTTGCCGCCGCCCATAATGTAGTCCCATCTGCCCCAATGTTGCTTGCGAAGACACCATGAGCCTGGCCATCACCCCGTGGATTGGACGCATTGCTCCGAGCGATTTCCGAAGCACGGGTTCCATACGCTTTGATGAGCCTTGGTGTGGATGGGATGAGGCTTTTGAAGAGAATCCCGAGTTTTCGTGCAATGATATGGCGGTGACCTTCTTGGGCTTCTTTTAGGCGAGTGGCAGACAAATACTGACCTATCTCTTCAAACTCGCGCGGAGGAGTGATTCTATTGGTGAACAAACTGAGCTCGATGTTGAAATTCGCCACCGCAAATGTCGCTTCGGATCGCGCCGCTACTGCCGAAGTGTTGAAATTTCCAAACGATGCCATCCCAGCTGATCCTAATCTGATGTACCACCAGTACCAGAACTAGGTGCTCCTCGAATCGCTATATGTGAAAATGAAGAGAATCACCCTAGCACGACGGTCAGTCTTCGGAGACAATGGCGTCTGGCAAGCCAAGGTAATCGAGAGCTACGAAGCCAGGAAGTGGGTGAATGCAGGGCGCCAGGCTAACATGAGGCTGAATCGCTCACAACCCCAATTCTGCACCAGGTTATGCTGTAGCCATGTCCAAGAACCTGGGGTTAACATCGGAACAAACTAGCAGGAAGGCGCTACAGCTCTATGCTCCGCCTTCTAAGAGAACCCCTCTCGTTGTCCTGCCGTGTGATCTGGCCCGTTAAAGCGACCTGCATCCGGCGTTGTCAAGATTCAAGTCCACCTAACCCAACGAAATCAAGTCGTCTGTCATCTATAGCAATCCTGCTAATTCGAGTCAAAAGCGGTGGCCTGCCTGACTCCAATACTGGCAGCGCTGCTAGCATCGCTCTTTCCGTTACTGAATGAAAAATGGTACCTAGGTAGTCAGGCAAGTCGGGGTGGTGGCATAGATAGATAATAAGCTACTGAGCACTTTTCTAGACGCGAATCTACGATATCGAGATCGAGAACCGTCGACCAGAATATTGGAAGACTGATAACGAAGTATTTAATTTCTTGTGTCTCTTCATTTTTAAATAACGATATCGAGCTTCGATACCCCTACCCTGAAGACGGTCGAACACAACCACTAAATTTAAAACTACCTAGACTCCTAGTGCGCAACATATATAGATACCTTTCTCTCAATAAGACTTGGAATGATGGCTTCATCATTCGTAAAATCGCGCGGAGGATGCGGATCCCGTAACTAGACTATATTCAACATCCAGTCCCCTGGCATTTGCCATTAGGTCGACCACTACCTACAGCACGAAAGAATGTAGCCAGGGCTATGTTCCTGCAGAAAGGTCCAGTTTGGGGCAGTAGCAATATACACGGAGCATGAAGTCCAAGCAGATGGCCAGTCTATGCAAGATGTCTCGTGCCATCTTCAGTCCCAGGCACAGAATAAACCAACTCAACTACTACCAATGATGACCAAGATTCCCACCAGAGCCCTGTGCGAACCCAGCTCCATCGTCAAAGCCTCGTGCTCCCATCCGTCCCATTCCACCATTGGTTCCATGATCAAATCCAAGGTTGAATTCGAAATCAGGTATCGCGAGGAAATCCTGCAACACTTGTCGTTCAGGATGATGGACCGTCTCGTTCGAAGACATCATCATGCTGTCCAACCCGAAGAAAGCAGATTCAGCGGCTGAATGAAGGGGTCCAAGGCCTCCATTTAGATCTGTATCAGAATTCGGGATGGCGAAATTCGGGATACCCCCGCCATTTTCGCTGCCACTGTCGATCGACCAGTGGTGCGGCATATGGTGCTGTCGAAAGCTCGGGTTTATATCGGTCTCCTTCACCGAGACTGGCATGCTTGTGTTCTGCATCCTGTGGCTTGGTGCATTGGTGGCGGCGGCGGCACCACCTCCCTTGAGCATGGCCTGCCAGTTCTTGAATCTGTCATACCCGGAGACAGCTCCCGAAACGTCGGGTGAAGCAGTGTCCGGAGATTTTGACGTCGTGGTGAAGAATTGCAATCTTGCCTGTGCTCGTTCCAGAGCCTCAATGAGAGAGACTTCGGCTCTTGCCGATGCTCCACTCGCAGACATCTCTCGTATCATGGACAGTCCTGTCTGCAGTGGCTCTCTAAATCGGTTGGTTTGGTTGTAAATACAATAGGCAATGAGTACCAAAAGCGAGGCCCGGCAAGAACTGTACTCAATATATGAAGCTCTTGCTAGACCAATCCCGTCTCGTAACATTCGACATACTGAAATGGCCTCCTGTGCTGCTTGAACACAGTCGTCAATGAGGCTTGCTCTGCGTGATGACTTCTTATCGGTCTCAACAACACCAGTAGCGGTAGTTGCGTTGCTGTCCTTTCTCGAAGTTGAGTTGGGGGTACTTCCGGCAGCGTGGCGACTGAATAGAAAAGGTCGTCCAACAAACATACGTACTAGACAGTACTCCAGTTTAAGATGCATCCTTGGACGCGAGCTCGTCGACCGTATGGAGCCTGCTTGACTGTGGACTGCATGTGGTAGGTTCTCATACCACTTTGCTAGAGAGTCTTTCATAGTGATCAGGCGAGAGAGAATGCTTTGCAGCTCGCTCTTCTGGCATTTCCTGAGGAGTTGCATTTCCTTGAAAAAGTCTTCGAGCTTATGCAACAGGTGAACGGATGCCACCATGTGAGGAATATTGGAGGTTGAGCTAACGTGAATCATATCAACTCGGTCTGTGGGCAGATCGGCATCCACATCGGATCGAAGGACGGATGTTGGTCGTCCATGGAATATCCCGATCTTCTTCTCCACAACATACAGAGTCCACCAGACGCGATTCTTTGTTTCGATCGTGATCTCATCAACAGCTCTCCCTAGGTACTTACGATGCATGCCATTGACAATCGCTATTTTCATCGCTAAGTTAAAGTAGGTATAAGCGAGCCCAGAAGCATCAAGAGGAAGGCAATAAAGTCCAAGGAGAAGGCAGGCCTGTACACTTTCCAGTGATGAAATCTGAATGACTTCAGGTAGAAGTTTTGCTGCTTGTTCGAAAAACATTGTGCCAACCTCATCTTCGGAGAAACTCATTCCTCCTAGAGTCGATGCGCCAGATGGATTCAGTGATTCCAGATACGCGTATTGGGTACCGATGGCGAAAATCGCAAGTGCGATGCTGACCTTACCTGCGTCCTGTGGAACAAGTTTATTTGGTGTGGTGTAGAACACATTCAGGATATCCAACAGCCAAGCCCTATCGACGTAGAAGTAGTTTGACTCGGCATGGCGGAAGAATACATGAACGAGAAATTCTGCGATGTCTCGGGGAGGACAGCAAGCCAGTGCAGCAGAAAGACTGTGTGAGCTTGACAATAGTGGCTCCGCACGCCAGAATTCCGACACTCGTTCAGAGTTCGGCGCGTCTGGATTGCCACTGCCCATCCAGTCTTCCACATGTCGTTTGATCCGTTGCGAGAAATTCCAGTATGAGAATTCGCCAGAGTAGTGAGTCACATTGCCCTCAACAGGTCGAATCTCAACATCATCATCGGCTAGGACCGGCCCCTCGCCTTCGGCTTCAGAGGTCGTAGACTTATTGCTTGAGGTGTCGACTAATGTGTCCGCGACTCGCCGCAAGTTGGCTGTATCCAGATCTAACCCGGGAAGCTTGTGTCGTAGTATCCTCTCCAGAAGTCGAGCTCGATCCTTTAGTTCGGCTGGCTGATATGCCGGACTTGGGGACCTTGAAGCAGACAAGAATGTCAGCAACGATCACGAGGGAACGACAAAGATGCCCTCCTTACAAGATTGAAGTGCCTCCATCTTGCGGTGTTGGCTCGGACTTGATGCCTTTGAACTCGCAAGTCCGTCGAAAATGGGTACATCGTCGACATGGAATACCTCCCTCACATTTTTCCTTAACCCTACGACAGCCATCACATCTGGGAAATAGTTATTAGCAATCGAAGCTTGAAGAGCAGGAGAAATGCCCACGCCCTAACAGCACGTTTTCGTTCGTCTTCAGCTACCTTCCTTCGCTTCGCTTTTCTTCCGCTGGTGGTGTGCGGGGAGTCTTGGCCATCGAATTCTTCGTTCGGGGCTGCTCGCTCGGGAAAGTCGGCGGTCTTCATCCTAGTTGCATTGTCCTTTCAAGGATGATGGAGATATGCAATGCAGTGAAGGCGCTGGCTATCTTCCATTGACCCGGGTTTGCAGCTTCGACTGGGGCCGGAAAAATTGCCTCCGCCTTAGACAACTAGTGTTCGCCACGGAACGTGAATCGCGATAGAACCGTAGATCAGGTCATTACAGCGCTCCGCTTAAGTTGTGGATATGATATATTTCAAGATTCAATGACACAGAAGATCCAGAACAGTCGGAAGGTCTGTGGATCCCTTGTTGGAGGTGGGTTGTCCATTTTGTATGTACGCTAATGTGATCTGCAATCTTGGAAAGCCCAGGACGGAGTTACCCGTTCGCTACGAGTGCTCGTCACGAACAGCTTGAGGATCAGAAAGTACTTCGTACCTTATCTAGATACCTAGGTAGGTAACAATCGCTTCCAGGAGTAAGCCTATTCCATGGCGTCCCTGTCATACACTGGCAGGTACTGATCTAAATATGTTATAACATTCAATTCCTTGAGATATATAGGTATATTGATAATTCATAGCCGTTAAAATTGCCTGTCCAAAAATGGAAATTCCAATGAAAGTTCTCATGACCAGCTGCTTATCTCTATATGCGAGATAGAAGTGCACAAAGGGCGACATTATCGGAAGATGCCGGCTGATCCTAAGCCAGATCCAGATAACCTGATGTTGGCTGATATCCTCGATGTTCCACGGAAGCCTGGCAACCATCCTTCAGTCTCATCCAACCCGGTGTATAGATTCATAAGCTGCTTTGGGACCTGATATATTGCGGTTAAAGCGAAGGCGGCCTCGTCAATCCGATCCTGCAGCTGCTGTATTATGAGCAGACCGCTAAGAATTTGTTCCTTAGCGGGGATGCTGGAAGATGCCAAGACTACTGATATGAACTGTCTGGGCAAACCTTTCGGTGTGATGATCGTGTTTCCTGAACATAGCACCGTGATAGACGCTGCCTAGGGTCGGGGTTCTGTGTAGTCCAGGCAAAAACCCCAGAATTCAAAGGTTCATGAGTTGTCTCCTGTCAACGGGTCGAAAAGGATGATAAACTCAAAGTCCTCAGTGGAGCAGGCAATTCTTGAGCACAACGCTTTCAGTAGTTCTTTTCATAGACAGGCCGTCATTGACGATTGCTTACAAAGAAGCAAGAGATCTAGGAGGAAGATTGGTGGAGTTGGTGAGAAAGAAAACCACAGACACTGGCGTCAACAAGTGTCTGTCAACGGAACGATTCTTACCAGTTGAGAGCGAGTTCACTTGTATCAACTCATCTAGAGAACCTACCGAGTTATGGTTTCAAAGTAAAGGTTGCAATGGTGATAGAGGTTTTGCAGGTTTGTGAGTTCATGATGCCCGGCAACATTCCGACAAGCCGCTCCCGAGAGCGGAAGGTTTGCCGTGCTAATGTACTTATCACTCCACCCACCACATCAGTCTGGCCAACTACCGAGTACCCTGGTCTACGAAGGACCTGATACCACCAGAGCACGCTCAGTCTTGCATTTCGGTCGATTTGGCTGAGAGCACCCGTCCTCAATATATACCACTGACGATGCCGTCCTCATGTAAAGAGATCAGTGAGTGCACCTCGAACCCTTCTTCTAATTCCCAACGACCAAATCTAACCACCATCTTCTGTGCCCACAGGAGCCGCTCTCGCAGCATGCCTACAGAACACAGACTGCATCATGGTCGACCGACACACTCCACTAGAATGCCTGTCGTCTCCGCACCTTGAAACACTTCCAATGCAATGCCAGCAACTCAAACGGGGTTTCCGCGACTGCAAGCGCGGCATGGTAGATATGAGGAAACGCTTCCGAGGCAATGCGCCCATCTCAACCAGTCTCGAGCTCGAGGGTGGCGGCGATAAAGGAGGCCAGTTATACGGTGGAAAGCCGGCGTTTGATGTGGTGGAGAAAATGAAGAAAGAGCAGCGTGGTGAGGTGGAAGGCCTGGGTTTCGATGAGAGCAAGACGAGAGGCCTGTGATTGACTCTCTTTCGAGGGGATCGAGATGGTTCCAATTACGGCGTACGCCTACGACGACGCTCGATTTGTCCGACAAGTGGAAGAGCTGTTCTCTCTGCCCCTTGACCCACCTCCAGATTAAACGATCCAGAACTCCAGCTTCGACAAAGGGGTCCGGAGTGGATAGCCTCTGGCCTCGAATGACATGCAACGAGACTCGAAGAACTCTGACAAATGCCGACGTGTGCCTTCAAGTCCTCCCTCACGCCGTTGCGATGAGACGGAGTCGGCGGGCTTTGCAGGTGGCAAGCTATGTGGTATTCGTTCGCAATGGACCTCTCCGAAGGAATGCTTTTTGAGGGACAATCCTGGCGATCTCCGAATTGGATCTCCTGTTCAACAACGAGCAATAAGGTCTGGAGGTTGTCTGTATCAGACCCATATCATGATGCGCCTACACCAGGATTGATGGGGTCCTAGGGAAAAGCTCGGTATCGGACACGGGTCAACAGTACATATGTATCACTACTCCTGTACAAATAAACAAATATTTTGGCATCCAAAGTGATCATTGAATTTGAGAACCGCCATACCCACATATCGATTTTGAAGGTTCAAACTCTATTCTGCTTTTCTTTTTCATGGCCAATCTAGCCTAGCAAGCTATATTCCGTCCGGAGATCGGAAACCATAAAATACATTTCTTCTCCCATGAGCTGCAGGTCTGGGAAGGTTGATACTCCAGTCATGAGCATGTAATTTACCCATTCAAGGGAACCAAACGACATCCAACATCAAATTTATTTAGCCGGCGCACTAACGCTCAACTTCCGTCTCCTCTCACTCTCACTCTGACCCTTCGGGGGTTCCGAATAGAGCCAGAGGGCAACGAAAGCCAAGAAGCCACCAATGACGCTCCAGAGGCCGGTGATCCAAGGCCACGCCCCGCTGATGGCCCAGGACCGCGGCCACTCGTCGTGCGCGAAGTGGCGCACCGTGACCTGCCGCTTCTCCTCGATGCTTGTCAGCCACGGCCGCTTGTAGTTCACTTTGAAGGCGAAGATGCCGTGCTGGTCGGGAGTCGTGAAGGTCGTGGTGTAGATTGTGCTGTTGGGGGATGGTGGGGAAGCGGACGGGCTGAGTGCTAGGCGTTGGAAGGGTGATAGCATGCTGAATTCGAGTTGAACGGCGTCGGTGGTGGACGGTAGTGTGAATGGTGTCCAGTGTGTGCGTGACCATTGGGCGATTTCGATGTTGAATTTCTAAGGGAGAGGTTGTTAGTAGGCTGAACCAGACATAGAGGTAAGAGGAGAGCAAGTTACCACGTCGTTTTTGATTCGATAGATCTCCGGGTTCGAATCACCGATTTGAGTCGCATTCTGGTTCGCTTTGGTGGCTGGAGTGATTTGGTAGTGGTTGATATCTATCACTTTCAGAACCCCAACTTCCTTGAAAGTCCATTCCGTCAATTGCTGTGCGAATTCCCTATTGACGGTTTTTACGCTCTTGCCGTCTGGTGTCTTGACTGAGGCATCAAACCATTTGTCCTGGAGCGATTCAAGGGATCCCAGCACCACAAAGCGTGCGGAGTTGCGTGCCTGAAGAGCCGAGATGAGAGACAGCTGCGAGCCAGTCGCAAACACGTCTTCAACACTCTCCGCATCGTCCTTGGGGTTACATGCGTATGCAGTCACCGGAGCCTTCAATATGGGCGCAACAAGTGGGCTCGTGTTTCCAAGAGTCTGTCCGACTGTCTGTGGGAGGGCCAACAGTCCACTTCCTCCGAAAAAGTTCACCACATCTGCTCTTGAGGGGTTCGATCGGCTGACCAGCAGGACATCATGTTTCTCGCCTGCAGAGGCAGTGTCATAGTTGAAATGATCGACGACCACCGAGTTCTTGTCTGTCGGAAGTGTAATGTCGAATTCTAGTAGGAGAGACGAGATGGCAGAGGGTGTGCCTGATTCGGCGGAGAGTCCCAGTAGTACGTTTCCGCCTGCATTGACATAATCGAGGAGGAGTTTCGGCGTTAACGATGGGCCATAGCCTGTCTATTGTTTAGTAAGAGGGCCATGAATGAGACAGGGTAAAGCCAACCCTTCGACTTGGGAGGTGTTAAGAGCACATGCTCGAATGCAAGTTCTCCATGTCTGAATAGAGACAATGCATCGTTTCGCGGTGATTCAAAGGACAGTTTGAAATCCCGAGCTATTGTACCATTCAATCAGCATATGTAGGTTCCTCTTGGGCCCTGAACCGTACCTTCTAAATCTGCCCAGAATTTCGAATATAGACTCTTCTGCGATTCATCCTCCAAGACGACCAACAGTCTGTTTCCCACGGCACTTCTGGCGGAGACCACCCCCAGAAATGCCAGTATCAGCAGGCATAAGGAAGAGAAAGGCCGCATCATGATACAGCGACCGAAAAGTATAGAGGACGTGAGTTCACACAGCAGCACTCATTTGGCGTTCACACGGGCTTCAAGAATTGTTCCGCAATTGCTCACACGCCTTGAACTGTTACTCCGCAGAGGAGACGTGGTCAAGTGCAAGGCTTTGCCAAGGCCCCGATCAGCATCACGTGTCTCAGCCTTGCACTGTCTGGATTTCCCCTCCACCGTAACCCCCAAGCCAGCTCGCTCCTACCCAATCGCAGCGTTGATGTTCGAGCTTAACATCATTTCAATGCGATCGTGACTTTGAGCCCAGGAAGGAGGAGGGTATCAGTTTTACAAAGCCAAACAACCACGCAGAGCACAGAACGACCCTCACGACTCTTTTCCCCATCCAGAATACACCAACAGTGTCCTTGGTTCCATCCAATCTCCGGAGAGCAGACTGCTCAGACCTCCCACTTAAACCCCCTCTACCGAAGTCCAATCTCTACCCTCCATTCAAACACAATGTCCGGCATCCCACAACGATTCTGGGGCTCACCGGTCCGGTACCTGCGTTGGGCGGCGCACGAGAAGCCTGCGATTTTCTGGAGCTGTGTGCTCGGAGGACTCTCACCATTCACGTTCGTGGTGATTCCGCCTTTGAGGAGATGGGCGGGCGATGAAGAGCCGGCGAGAATACCTTTGACATATCCTAGTGAGTACTGCCTTCGTTTGTTTCACTCGAGATCTTGGTTGCGGAGCGATGGAACGACCGAGCGTTCCTGGTCGTGTTGAGGTCGAATGCAAGCAACAGGGCAATGGGGCTGGGGAAGCATGATTAGAGAGCAAATATAGGAGCTGGAGGAAGTGTTAGAGAGATACAGTCTACTAACCATGTTTTCTTGCAACAGTTCCCAAAGGACCGAGGAAGATACCAGAGGGCTTTGATGACCCAAAGTGAACGCGACTAAGCCAGACAAAATCAAGTTGTACGACCTTTGGAACATAAATAAAGAAAGATTACTGAAGTCAGTCGGAGCGTCTGGTTCACTTTGCAGTGCAGCAATGAGAACGACAGACAGTGCCGGACTGGGTAGAAAGAGTCGCTGAGACGATGGGCTTGCGACTGGACCGAAGACAAGAGAATAACTAACTATTCCTCACCTTTGTACATACCTTCTCCAAAGAGAGAAACAGAAGATGAAAAGATCAAAAATGGAAACTATGACGGTGTGAAGTGTATTCTGTTTTGTTTTGGAATCTGCTTGCCATTTTTTGGAAAACTATCTAGACTTTCCCCAATGCCTTGCTCTGCAACCCAACCCAGCACGAAATGAAGAAAGGAAAATTGAGGATTGAGGAGTGCAATAACCAAGGTTGTTCTCCTCGGCTGTCCTGTCCAACTGGGTAAAGAGTGTCCTTTCCGATGCCTCCACTTTGACAAAGCCATTGAACGTGGGGGTCGCTGCTATGCTCAGGACAGTGCTCACCACTCCATCCGGAGTTGGAGGCGGCTCGTGTAGAAGAGAAATTGTGTGGCAGAAGACAGGTCCGTCCGGGTCAATCCACCGCAAGAGACGCACTGAGTCTTCGCGCACGCGCACATTGATCGATTCGCTCTCCCTTGGCGGTCGTGCGAATAGCCTAGTCTTGATCCTCCATAAACTCATCACCGTCACCGTCTTCTTCGGCGTCGCCGGCGTCGTTGATGAATTGTGCGTACTCTGCGTCTGTAGCACCATTGGCCTGAGCATTGGGAACAACATTATCAGCACTGTCAGGCTCAACCGAAAAGCCAGTGACGTCAACAAGACGGGGATCAACAGGGATAAATGCAGCGAGTTCAACACCGGGTATGACAGGGGCAGTAGTTCCGGGAACATGAGTGATGGGGACATTGTTGGAGGCGGCTGCGACACGACTAAGACTAACCTCAACACCGGCGGGTCCAGCAGCGTCAGTGCCCTGGGATTCTTCTTCATAATCATCTTCGTCTCGTGCACGCTTCTTGCCAGCTCTAGCCTGTGCGAGTCTCATGGCGTGGTCGTCGACGGTCCCTTCGTCTTCCTCCATCTCGGACAGGTCATCTGGCTCGTTCTCGACATCGTGTTCAGTACGCGCCTCAAACCCCGCATCGGCTCTTTTCATGGCATCCATTCGAGCGTTCTCTTCCTCCAGGGTCTTGTACAGATCCTCGAGGGCATCATGCTTGCCTTCGTAAGGGCTGTACCACGGGAAATCCATCTTCTCGATCTTGGCACAGGTCAGCCAATGGATCTGATACGCGCCTCTCTTCAGATGAGTGTTTTGTTCGATGAGGGGCTCGACAAATGCCTGCAGGTCTTTCTTGAGCACACCCATGTGGGCTTCGAGAACGTGAGTGGCTTTGATGCTCATGGGGAAATATCGGTGGAATTCCTGGAAGTCCAGGTGCGAGAGATATGCCTGCCCACCTTCGGCGATTGCACAGTAGATGTTGAGGCCGCCGTCGGGAGCACGTCGGGTGCGGTCGTCGGAGATGCATTGGGCAAACCATTGACGAAAGAACCCAATACACATCCACATGTAGATGTCATTGGCATATGAGGGACGGCCAGGCTTCTGTGCGGCTTTTCGGGTGGTGTAGGCAGGGTAATGGCCCAGGATTCTGAGCTCAACGGCTTCTTTGACAATCGAGAGCTCTCTGGCTTTTTGCGCGATGGTCAGACGTGCTGATTTGGGGATACCTTCCTTTACCGCGTCCGACAGTGTCTCCCACTGGCCCACCAGGTGAATGGCTGCTTCTGTGAAAATCGATGGTGAGTGAAGACGGCAAGCAAACTCAATCCATACAGCAGGTGCACCCAAGATCGAGGTCCAGAGAACATTGTCGTGACGAAGCAATGCAAGGTCGGCAGTCTGATAGATGAACTTCTCGGAGCCGATGATCTCAGCGCATTCAATCATGGAAATCACATGATCGAGGACAACCTGCAGATTCTCACTGTCAAACACAGGCGCACGGCTGTAGAAGAGGCCAAAGACCCAGTCCCAGGCTTTGTCATTGGATTTGTCGACTTTCCCATTGATGAGGCGTGGACCGCGTGGAGTGCTTCCTAGTGTACGGCCAGAGTTGCTTACTTCCTGCAATCATACTGTGTTAGTCGGTGGTGTTTGCTCATCAGGAAAGTCACTGTCTCCAGTTTGACTTACCAATCTCACAAACCGTCCGTTATCATTGTCTGAAGTCGCTTCCAACCACTCAAAGTGATATTGTGGGGCATTGTTGCGTCTGGCTGCTGCGTTCAGGTGAGCACCGGGGTACTTGGCGATTTCTTTCTTGAAGAAAGTCGAATGGCTCTCCAAGACTTGTTGGTGAAGACGGTATGTCTGAGTGGTGGATATCATGATGAAAACATTGCCATCACGGAATTTGGGGAATTCTGACTGCTCAGAAGTCGTCATGATGATGAAGTGATGTGAAGGGGATCAGCCAGGTGCAGGGTGAAATTAAGGATGCTCTGTGAGAAGATACAGGTAAACAGGAGCTCATCCGCAGTCGGTGAGCAGACGAAGAGAGAGGCAATGTGTAGTGATAAAAGAAAACACGCGGACGCGGAGAGTCGAAGTTGAGGCAGATTGATATAGGCGCGAAGGCCGCGCTAGCAATGACAATGTCACCGTGCTGCCTGAGTCACTCTTCACAGCAGTGACAAAAGTGCAGATTAGGAACAGCGCGCTGCGCAATGGTCATAGGCAGTGGGTAGGCGCCGGGGTAATTGAGTGAAGTGAATTTGAAAGACGGTGAACTTTCTGTCACTTGACGACAGCGGTCACCCAAAAGTGATTCTGTATAGTGAAGGTGCAAATCCCAGCCTGACTCTCAACTCACGTCACATTGATATTTTTGCTTTCCGTAGCGGTCACCTCAAACGGTAATATGTATACCTCACCTTAAGAATACCTGCCACTCCTGTATCAACAACGTCGTAAGAGCCCTGTGATTTGCAAGACTAGTGCCCGCTAAGTTTCCAAAGAAGTCCTTGGAGAGAAGGATCCGGAGTCACATTTAATGACAAGAAAGCCATACAATACACACAGGAAGACCATCAGGCCTATGATCTTCTTTTGATGTGAGCGAGTGTCAGCCAAGAGAAGGGGGTGAGAAGGTGTATGCATTGGAGACTGACAAGGGATCCAAACAACGCTGGGTCGGATAGAGCCCCCTCAGAAAAAGCAAGGCGTCACGAAGCAGATTCGGAGGGCGGACTTCTGGTAATCAAACATGAGAACAGACATGGCACATTTCTGGCGTAGTGATCCAGCAGGAGAAGAAGCATTGAGGAACCGCAAGAATGGAGAACACGAAACCTGTATACAGCGAAGACGAAAGGTTGAGAGCGACAAGAACTTCAATCTTTGGTGGTGGCCCGGTGTATTCATGCATTTGGTTCGGCACCATACTTGTGAATTGTATGACCTGTCCGGCCACATATGGTGGAATGTGCAACATTGAACTCCTGAATCCACATCGAGGAACATCCAGATGATGGCGCTTATGGGAATTGCTGATCTAGACAGTAAAAGAACCCAAGGAGTGGCATGCCAAGTCATGTCGACATGAGTGAACAAAGGACCAAGGATAAGATGTGTCTCATTAGTAACCCTGACCGAGTTCATTTCCCATCCCATCCGTCCCACTGCATAGCAGCTTGCACGCGCCAATTCATATGCTAGGTACAAAAACATTTCAATCCGAATGACCGGCATCGCAGAAATGGTATATAAATTTGAGAAGTCCGTTTTGTGTAATACTCCAAGAAATCTTGTAAAGGTCCGGATACAAGCCGGCCGTCCAGCGCCAGAATCCAGAGGCCAAGTGCCGTTATAACATGGTGATCAATGTCTAATGGACCAGGCGAGTCTGCGTTCTCATGGTAATCATAAATCATAACCTCATCAATGGTGATGTAACAATCCAGGAATGATTCAAGGAAGCTGTTCTTGAAGCATAGCAACGCCATTAATGTAGTTAGAGAGTCCGGGAGAGAAGGCGTTTTTCGTGTCGGATGCGACTCCGCATTGGAATAAATCGGAGAAGAAGTTGTCGACTTCTGATTGGGCCAGAAAACAGAGCAAACTGAAACATCCAGAAAGGCACTACACATCATCAAAGACGGTATAGAGGGTGAGGCAGGTGTCATCTGCCATGCCTACGAGAGGGGTCAGGGTAGCCGGGGGGATATGCACCCATTATTTCCCCTCCTCTTCTTTCAGGATAAGTAGCCGGTATAGATGCAGATACAGGTGGCGCCGATCTGGACGATGTGGTATAAGGGGCGGGGATATACCCTCCTTGTGTCGTTCGACTTATAGACGGGGGTGTGGAACTGCCAGGGAAAACAGTCCTGGGTTCCCGTTGTTCCGATGGATAATAGCCTGGCTGAGAGATGGGTGGGTAGCCTGGTTGGTTTGACGAAATGGAATATGAAGCCGGATAGCCAGGTTCCGGAGGATAACCAGAAGTCACCGTGGGGCGGGGAGGAGCCATTCGTGGGTCTACTTCACGATGCCTTGGAGGAGGTCTGTCATAATCATCATCGAGGTCCATTTCTCCTGGATAGCGGCGGTCTCTTTCCTGGCGGGCTTGCATTTCGGCATATGAACCTACACGATCCTTAGACCGAGTTGTTGGGTTGTCGCTCACAGGCGTACCTTGCGAACGGCCCTGTCTGGCCCTTCTGTCTCGCTCACGATTCCATTTGACGGTATCTTCTCGTAGTGACTGTTCCATCGCCTAAACAGGAGTGATCAGTAAGGGTCCAGTTATTATCATAAAGTGATGTGTCCATACCGTTGTAAATGGGCGATAGGCTTTGACCCAGAATCCGGAACGTCCCTGCAAGGGTATAATCAGCACGATGAATTCAACCTCGGGAACCAGCAATGCGGCATACTTGATCGTTACGACCTGGGCGGCAAGTGGCATCCTGACCAAGATATTTGCAAATTTCATGCTGGATAACTTCTCGTTCAATGCCTTCTCCTGGGCAAAAATATTCCGAGTAATGAGGGCTGGGCCTGACAAGATCACGATCCATAGCCATAGTGGTATCCATTTGAGTTCGACTTCTTGTGGCCGCATCATCATAACGATCATTAGGAGCATAAGGAGACCTGCTCGCCGGTGGCACTTCGCGATATATCTCACCAGTAGTGGGATCTCGATAGATAACAGCCTCAGGTTCAGTGGTACGACCACCCATGGCACGAGGGTCAGGTCGAGGGTCGAGTCGAGCAGTAGCATTAGCTCTTGGGTCTGTCCGGATGTCCATGCGGTCAATCCTGGGATCAATTCGGGATTCTATCCTGTGGTCTATCCTGGGGTCCATGCGGGGGTCCATACGGGGGTCCATTCTGGTTTCCATGCGGGTGTCCATTGCATCAGTCATACGAGAGTCTCTGTCGTCTATTGTTCTTCTCTCTCTTGTAGTTTCAGTCCGGTGTTCTCTGGGCTCACGTTCTCGGGTATCTCTACGAGAAGAGTGAGAAGAGTGGCCAGTTTCTCGACGACGACTTGAACTGGAGTACTCTGGCTCATCAGGGTAGCGCGACATGGTGGGTGGTAGAGATAATAAAAGAGTTGGGGGAAGCAGGCGTGGAACAGGTCCTGGTCAAGTCGGGCAGCAACAGATGATCAGCAACAAATGGGAAACTAATAGTCAGAGGCAAGGAAGGCGTGGCTTCGCGTCCTGTAAGCTAAGGCAAGCTGCAAGTATGATCCAGGGAAGAGAGAGATCCACCAGGTCCGTTGGTCCCAAGAGTCCTGCAAGGTTAGATCCAATAACGGGTGCAAGATAGGTCGTCCAAGGAGAGTTTGAGGTGTGAAAGTGGTAATACCGAACCAAGGAAGAGAAGAAGACAGATGGAGGGAGGCAGAAGGCAAAATTGGATAGAAGTGAGAGTGGGCGAAGAGATGTGGGTGATGGGCGCAGGCAGCGAGCGCTTTGGGCTGAACTGAAGCTGCACACAGGATTGAAGCGAGAGATAGCCACCAATCAATGCACTGCAGCCCTGGTGCGTGGTCCTGTTGATCCACTGGGACTTGATGTACGGGAAACAAGTACCTTCCTGGGTCTGTCCGTATAGTGTATAGTGCTGTGAGTTTGATTCGAAGGGGGATGTACGGAGGTACCTGACGTTGCGGCGTTGCGGCGTTGAGAAGTGAGAGCAGGAAGGATAGAGGGGGAGGAGTGGAAGAGACAAGAAGGTCTGGAAGGGATTTGCGGTTTGACTAAAGTGCGGCCTGAGCCCTAGACGTGGAACCGTTGCCCAAGAAGTGGATTTTGGGGGGGTGGGATGCCGTAGTAGCCGCCGTGATCTGCAGTTTGGCAAGAGAATGGAAGGTGGGATGGAATTTGAAGGGAGAGAATGAGGTGAGAAAATCAGGAGAGGAAATGCCAGCTGGCACCCACCAAACCATTGAAACCGAGGCGAGAAGGATGAAGGCAGACAGACGGGGCAGAAAAGACCGGTTAGAGAGTCACAGGGCCACAAGTATTTGACCACAATCCTGCAGCTGGGTGGCTACATTCATCTAATTAATTGGCCACCACCCAGCTCATGGTTCCAGAAATGTCCAAGAATGTGATTTACCAGTGTTTGCTGACGGGGACAGACCTGTTGTTCCGCCCGCCACACCACTGCCAGCAGCGACCAAGGGCTCTTTTTAACTCGCGTTTTCCTGACGCACGGCAAAGTCTTCCAGACCACAGCTCCATGATGCTTTGCGCTTGACTCAAACTCACTGACCATCTGCTGATTTTAACGACCCAGGCTGGATAAGCAACAGGAACGAAAGGAACAGTTCTGTATCCTATCCTGTAAGTCTTCAAACCGTGTTTGCCGTCAATTCCACCGGACGTGAATGAGAACCGTCTAATCATCCTTACCTGAGGGTGAGACACAAGTGAACCTCCATTCTGGCAGCAATGGGTGGTCAAGCAACAACAAGGCCTGTCCTGGCCGTAAGCAAACAATCATGAAAGGACCGTCATTCAACGTGATTGTCCTACAGCCTCACCTGCATTGATGGTTCGTCTGCAAGATGCTCCATCGTTCTGTTAGCCGAAACTCTCTATCTTCCTGTGGCAACGATGATGAAAGCGTGGCATCGTTGGAGCCTCTCGTCAACGTCCCAAGGTTACCGGTCGGTGGTAGCCACAGGCTCACCCATGCTGCCATGCATGCCTGAGAAGCCCGAGGAGCAGTAGCCCGGTTAAGGAAAACTGGATCCTAGGCACCAATAGTACAACCTGGGCAACTGTTACGCCCCAAAAGCGTGGGAGCAACCGAAACATGGAAGCCCAATTAAAGGCCTTCCGTTCCCCATCTCCGACCAATCGTGCCGGGTTGGGCATCAACAAACGTGGTGGCTTCCACTCAGCTGCACTATCGTATCTACCATCCAAGTCCTCCGTCCGTGGTCACAGTGTTTTCTCCAATACGGCCAAGAAATGAGCCCAGCTGCATCATTGCTCCTGTCATTGGGCATCAACCATTTCGTCACTGGATGGCACCGTTTCCATGTGACACATCACGCCGTTGCTTGTGTCTGGGGACACTCTTCTCTTCTATCTACAGATACATCCAAGTCATCATCTTGTCAGGCTCAATCTCCACCCAGGTTGCTACTGCTACGTGTGGTATACCCCTGAAATCATGGTTCGGAATCGTGGGCATGGACAGACTGTGGTCCGCGGTTCTGTATTCATTACTAGGTAGGTACAAGAATCCATCTCAGAGTCCATGGGATCTCAAAATGGCTCGATATGTCTCGGAACGTCTCGCAGACTGTCGATCGGTCCGTCGCCATAACGGCGGGCAATGCTCACATTCCGGCAAACATGGCTTCAGTGCATGCTTCACAGACAGATCATCCAGCATTGATTTTGTTGACACAGTCAGATGCTGGTCACACCATGCAAGCTGTCCTCCAGGAGAATCCAAGCAGCGCTCACTTGCCGACAGGACGCCTAGCGACGAAGTACTCTCAACTGTGGCCCCGTGCAGATTTTGATATGTTACGGGCAAATGTAGCGGCGTGGAGACGTTCACGATGCTTGCATTGGCACCCCGAACCCTTGCAGGTGATCAGTTACAGCTTTGACTCTCCTCCGACGGTGAGCGTTTTAATTCTGAAGCCGGTTCGAGGATAATGCACGCGTATTCCTTTCTCCTCAGACCCAATGTGCAGGACTGCTTCGTCCTGGCTGAGTCCTATCAGGTGTCCTGTATCATGATGTCGGGAACCAGAATCAATCGGGTAAATCTCAACCAATGCTCCTTGCCGTAATCCTAACGGATCCGCCTGGTCGATCCCCAAGTCTTTTTCCGCAAAGGAAGCGTTGAAAATACGTTGAGCTGCAACATCGCCCTTTAGTGAGGTGGGTTTGGGTGCCTGCGCCTTTGCCTTTTGCAGCACGCCGTTGAATCTCTCTATCCATGCGAATACCTTAGGATATTGCTTCGCAGAAATCAGGTCCCGGGGAAGTGCTCCCTTGAGGCCATTGAGCCAATCAAAGGTCCAGATAGCTTTTCAATCTCGCATTAGCCTCAATCTGTAGGTCGCGACCTGCAGCGTACTTCCTACTCACCTTCAATATCTGCAAGTGTGGGTCGATCAGTCTTGAGCACCCAATCACGTCCATCCGCCAACAGGGTCGACTCTAGGAATTGAAACCCGCTCCTGATGGCGGCCAGTGCCTCTGGTCGATTCGCGTCGATACCTTCTTTGCTCCAAGGTCTGCTGGTAAGATCCTCTCTGTCTTTGACGAATTTGGGATCATTCAACAATGGCATGCTGCTCGGTATGAGCTGTGACGCTCGGTTGAACACGCCGGATTCGACGGCCCAGATCTCGAGGAATTTCTGGATCGCCTTTTCCTCGGGGTTGGAAGCTCCCAGAGCCCCATCTGGAAACAACTCTTCTAGCTTTCGCAGGATAAGCCGGGAGTCGCAGTAGACATCACGACCGATAGCAAGCAAAGGAATTCGTCGATAATTGATTCCCAAAGCTTTGAGGTCTGGTCGTGGGAGTACTGGGGCTTGTTTCTGGTTTCCACATTAGCACCATGCAATGAAATAGCAACCTAAAGTTGAATCGCCTTTTCAACTCACACATTCAGCATAATCAATCCCACGAAGTGCCAAGTACCATATCACTCGTCTCGCATAAGGTGAGAATGAGTAGTGATAGAGAACGATACCATTGTTTGGACCGTCCATGATGCCTCACAAGAACTACTGAGCTTCACAGCCTCCTGTCCTAAAGTTATGCTTTTCCCCGAGGATTGAGGGTTCTGTTAAATGCCTAAGAGCTTTGCGAGAAGGCCTTCGTGCAGCTCAACTCCTGCTCTTCAAACGTGAGAAGCTCAACGGGGTCGTGGACACGATGCTCCAACATTTGGACCTCGGCATCTTATCCTGTGCGGGGCAGCCTCCGGAGACGACGCCACAATCATTTTCATTACACTCGCCAACATCGTTGCTCCTGTGTCCTACCACGAAGACGTAGGTGAATTGATAATGACACTGGAATCCATTCTCCTTATAAGTACTATTTATTCTGCTTGAGGTCTATAGATGGGCGCACTACATTCCGCCTCGACTTCATGGTCTCGTCAAAAAGACCCTGGGGAGCCGTTCACCCTGATTGCTTGACACTTCTCCTCAAGAGCTTACTGTGCATCAATCACATAACCTCCGCGTACATATAGGTGGGCAGATAGGTAAGTCTGTGTTCCAGGATCGTGCAAAGTAATTGCATGCCGCAAAATGACTCCGGCACCAGTCGAGGATATTGTGACATCATTTGGGGTGTTGACATAACCATGAGGTCAATGACATGGTACAGGCACACGATGATTGAAATAGTCCATGCGAAGGCCAGCATACCGTCATAATTGCGCTACAGTTTTGTGGGTGAATATAGGTCATCATAACCCTACCTGTGATCTTTGAGCATCACAATAGTCATAACATCTGGAGATATTCAGCATTCCCCATTGAACAACATCATGTCAGACCAATCCGGCCGAAACAGTGGAGGCGATCTCTTTGATCTCGCAAAGGACGGCACAACAGTACCAGACGATGCAGCACGACCGAGACATATTCCTTCCGTTCCTCGTCCGGATCAGACCACGAGTGAACGTGACCCGAACGACCTAGGCAGTTCGACGCTTGCAGGAGCAGCAACCAATGCGGGAGATATCCCCCGAGTACGTTCAACCGGAACGCCAATGCATATCATCGGTCCCCATGCTAACAGATGGTGAACCAGACCACCCGAGACACAGCGGGCGACGAAGTCATCACGGGCACGGGCGATTCTCTCCCGGCCCAGATCGACTCCAAGAGATTGCATAATGTACCTGGAGGTGTCACACATGATCCCTTTGCAAAAGGCTCGACCAGGATGACCGCACACAAGACGACAGACTCAGACATTGTCGCGGGAGCTTCGGACGGTCCATTGGCAGACCGAGCTCCAGGGCAAGAGCAGTTGAGTGACGAGCAAGTAATGGACAACGTTGAACGCAAGTCATAGAGTGGCCTAAGAACACAGCAGTTCTGTGGGTAGCATATGTATATAACTATGGAATCCACGCATGTTCAATGCAGTGACTGTGCTTGACCATGCAATCAACCACCCGTTCATATCTACTAGAGAAAGGCGGTCAAACAAATTAAATCTCACCTGCCTCATATCTTATCAACCAAAAACCACACCGGGCCGGGTCAGCGAAAGGCTTATCGAATAGGTGGGCGTAAACAGCGTAAAGGGCCCCGGAACGGCCTTCCCGAACTGGGAATTTGGTGTCCAGATTGGCCACGAGCACGCGTCAAGTGGAGAGGAGAGGAATTGGAGGTTCTGCGTTCTTCTCCGCATTATTCTCAAAAGAAACAACCCACTGCAATTCCTGGGTCCCGCCCTTCATGTTGATCGAAGCCACAGTCAAATAATAAATACCAGAACTCCCACGAGAACCATCTACCAAGGGTCAGGTATCTCTGTCACTAATACTGCTCTAGCAGACAACGACTGTACATATTTTGAGGGGCTCTCCTCACTTGTTCCTACACTACCTCAGCGTCTAATTGTTTCATTCAACATCATGGCCTCGTTTCTGCGCCCCGCGAGCTTACGCTCCGTGACTCGTCTCGCCGCCGCCGCACCCTCGAGATATTCATTCAAGGCTGCTCCGATCCGAAGTCTCGCATCCGCCTCCAACAGCCGTAGTGCCGCTGCTGCCGCGGTCGCCCACGCCCCAGAAGCATCCTCCTCCTCCAATGAAGTGCCCTTCTTCGCCGACGAGCCCGTGGGACCAAATGTCGTGACCGCGATCCCGGGCCCCAAGAGCAAAAAGGCCATCGAGGAACTACACAAGGTGTTCGACACGCGCAGTCTGAACATGATGGGCAACTATCAGCAGAGCTACGGAAACTACATCGCCGATCTGGACGGCAACGTCCTACTCGACGTGTATGCCCAGATTGCATCCATCCCCGTCGGCTACAGCAATCCCGCATTATTGCTCGCGGCAACCTCACCCGAGATGGCCTCTGCACTGATCAACCGACCGGCGCTGGGCAACTTCCCACAGCACGACTGGGCGGCGATTCTGGAGACCGGACTCCTACGAGCGGCACCCAAGGGGCTCGACCAAGTATTCACGGCGATGGCGGGCTCGGACGCCAACGAGACCGCCTACAAGGCAGCGTTCATGTGGAAGGCGCAGCAGCAGCGAGGCGGCCCGGACGTCGAATTCACCGAGGAAGAAATGTCGTCCACCATGGCCAACCAAAGCCCCGGGTCGCCCAACTTCTCCATCATGTCGTTCAAGACGGCCTTCCACGGCCGGCTGTTCGGCACCTTGACCACCACCCGCAGCAAGGCGATCCACAAACTCGACATCCCCGCCTTCGACTGGCCGCAAGCCTCGTTCCCTCTGTTGAAGTACCCGCTCGACCAATACGCCGCCGAGAATGCGGCCGAGGAGAAGCGTTGCCTGGAGGAAGCAGAGGAGGTCATCAAGAATTACCACAACCCCGTCGCGGCCGTGGTCGTCGAGCCCATCCAGTCAGAGGGCGGTGATAATCATGCCAGCCCAGCGTTCTTCCGCGGCTTGAGAGAGATCACCCGTCGCCATAACGTGTTATTGATCGTCGACGAGGTCCAAACTGGCATCGGTGCCACGGGCAAGTTCTGGGCCCACGACCACTGGAATCTGCAGGATCCTCCGGACATGGTCACATTCTCGAAGAAGGCACAGACAGCAGGTTACTACTTTGGCAACCCTGAGCTTCGACCCAACAAGCCTTATCGCCAGTTCAACACCTGGATGGGCGACCCAGCACGTGCAATTTTGTTCCGGGCCATCTTGAATGAGATTGAAAGACTAAACTTGGTGGAGAACACCGCTCAAGTTGGTGACTATCTCTATTCTGGTCTAGAGAGCTTGGGACAGAAATATCCAGAGCACTTCAAAAACCTCCGCGGTAAAGGTCAGGGCACCTTTATCGCCTTTGACAATAGCAAACGTGATCAATTCCTCGCAAAGGCCAAGACCTTTGGCATCAACATTGGTGGAAGTGGTGCCACCGCTGTGAGGTTGCGCCCGATGCTGATCTTCCAGAAACATCATGCAGATATCCTTCTGGACGGGCTGGAGAAGGTGGCCAAAAGTTTGTAAATGATCTTTGTGCAAAGGTGGTTCTTTTGCCCGTGGCGTTATGGTGATGATCGTGGTGTGAGTTTTGATGCATAGTTGAGCTTGCTGCTCCTTGCAACCGACACCGACGTAGTTATCAGATTTCAGCTTTCAGCAGTATAATCCCAAACTTCGATTGATTCAATTGAGAGCTTCCATGATTTGTGTTCTTTGTTTTGGTGTGCGCACAGCCAGTGCCGCGTGGGAATGGAGAAGCCAATTGCCTGCGGTTATCAAGAAGCCACGTCATCCTCAAGGGAGCTTCCATCCCTTGGTATATACTTGATGCCATTGTCTTCCAACGACTCCAGAACCTCCTTGGGCAGTTGTCCCTGTACCTTAGTGGCGTAAATACCAGGCTCATACTCGGTCAACCTCTGCCACTTAGCCACCCACGATGTCTTGGGATCACCCAGTGCGATGAGCCCCTCGAAAACCTGAGATGTGCATTCTTGAATTGCGTCTTGTGAGTTTTTCAGGCCGAGGATCGCTTCGCAGTTGGGGCAGCCACCGCGGTAGAAGTCCTATGCGATGAAAGTCAGGTCTGCTGGAAATGAATGAAAGGGATTGGGGATGTGGAGACAGGGAGGGTCTACATTCATAGCCAGCACGACAGAGCAGACCATGCAGGCGCGAGCATTGCGACCAAGAGCAGAAGTCATGGTTGTGGCAGGGCGTCAAGGAGGTAAGATACAGAGAGCGGAAGGAAGCGTCGCGCTCGGAGTCTCGTATAGATGAGAGTCGATGGGAGTGTAATGATAAGTGAGAAGCAGGAATGCCGCCGCTGCGGTGTTCGTTGATGATGAAGAGGAAGTTGCAGGCTGATGAGAAAAACAGTCGTGGCTTCCCTCAATCCTGCCAGCAATTAAGGTTTCGGCAGATCGACGATTAGCGCGGATATGCTCTCCGCAATCGGACTTGGCAAATCAGGCGTTTGGAAGCAAAAAGAAAAGGCCTAGAGATTCGTCGCCTGGAGCCTTTCGGTGCTTGACTCGCCAGGTGAACCCCGTACGGATACAAACCACGCTGCACCCAGAACAGGCGAGAAAGTCCAGATTGGAGAAAAAAAAGTGGTTCACTCTTAACTCGAGGCTAGAACTTTCCAGCCATATTCCCCAGTCAAACACTCGACACTCGAAACTCGGTTTACATTTCGATACTCTCGACTGCAATCTTCACACGTGCCCACACACCCCGTTATGTCACGATAGCAATTGTTCTTCTTTCTCGGTCCGTCATCTCTTACCTCAGACTCCTTCGATAAGCCCACATACCTGTGCCTGCTCCGCCTCCAACAATCATGGCAGCGGCTTCAGATAAGACAGCCGCCACTGCACTGAAACAGAAGGGAAACAAAGCCTTTGCAGAACATGACTGGCCCACGGCGATTGATTTCTACACAAAAGCAATCGAGAAATACGACCAAGATCCTTCCTTCTTCTGCAATCGAGCGCAGGCAAATATCAAACTCGAGGCGTACGGCTATGCTATCGCAGACGCCACATCGGCCATCGAGCTCGATAAGGATTACGTCAAGGTGCGTCAAGATAGTCACGTCAAACTTTGGTTCCACGAACGCTTGAGCTGACATTGTACCTTTGTTTAGGCATACTGGAGAAGAGCTATTGCGAACACTGCCATCCTCAATTCCCAAGAAGCCGTTCGAGATTTCAAGATTGTGGTTAGGAAAGAGCCAAACAACAAGGATGCCAGACTCAAGCTGTCAGAGTGTGAGAAACTCCTCAAGAAGATCCAGTTCCTCAAGGCGATCGAAGTCAGCGATCCTCCTTCGGCCTTTGAAGGTCTCGATATCAACTCGATAGAGGTCGACCAGTCCTACGATGGAGTACGGTTAGAAGAAGAAATGACACAAGAATTCATCGACGACATGATAGAGCGCTTCAAGAACGGCAAGAAGATCCACAAGAAATATGTGTTCCAGATCATCAAAGCCGTACGAGATATTGTGTACGATGAGAACACCATGGTCGAGATGGAAGTTGAGCCTGGTACACAACTGACGATATGTGGTGACACCCATGGACAATACTTTGATCTCCTGGAGATTTTCCGGCTCAGCGGCTTCCCCACCGAAAAACACTCGTATCTCTTCAACGGTGATTTCGTAGATCGTGGATCATGGTCTACCGAAATCGCGCTGCTCCTCTACTCGTACAAGTGGCTGCGACCCAAACAGTTCTTCTTGAACCGAGGAAACCACGAGACAGACGATATGAATCGGGTGTATGGATTTGAGGGCGAATGCAAGGCCAAGTACAACGAGAAGACCTTCAAGCTGTTTTCCGAATCCTTCTCTGCTCTCCCCTTGGCTACCCTGGTTGGCAAGAAGTATCTGGTTCTACACGGTGGTCTGTTCTCAGACGACAAGACCACTTTGGACGACATTCGCAAACTCGATCGTCATGTCCAGCGACAGCCTGGTCAGCAAGGCTTGATGATGGAGATGCTATGGACTGATCCTCAGACTGAACCCGGACGCGGACCCAGCAAGCGAGGAGTTGGCTTGCAGTTTGGACCTGATGTGACGAAACGCTTCTGTGAGAACAATGGTCTCGAGGCAGTCATTCGAAGCCACGAGGTCAGAATGGATGGCTACGAGGTGGAACATGATGGCAGGTGTATTACCGGTAAGTTGAATTGACGTCGCTATTGAGTGAAAAGGACGACTAACATGCTCTCAGTATTCTCCGCTCCCAAATATTGCGATACGACCGAGAACAAAGGTGCTTACATCAACGTTGGGCCTGAATTGAAGCTTGAATATCATCAATTTGAAGCAGTACCCCACCCCGACATCAAGCCAATGGTAAGAGATTTGCGTCCGTGATTTCACCATGTCGATTGACTAATTCATTATCAGGCTTACGCAAATAATTCCTTGATGTCGGGCATGTAATGTCGGTCAAGATTGTAACGTGATTCTACATGAATGTGGAGTTTCGACTGCTTGGTCATTTGTGTCACTACAAACAGATGTTCAATGATAGAGGTGCCAAGGTGAAGCAAGCAACCACAGGGATTTAGAGTTCGGGCTGGTGCCATGTGTTTTATGTACCTGGGAAAGTTTGTCAGAGCATCATGATTCTGGTTGTTTGGCATGGCGCGGATATGGTCATTGTTGGAAGCAGCTTGAAGCAAGCGAAACTGGATCAATGGCTGAGCATCAGCCACCGACTAGGTGTCGTATGGATCTCACGATATTCGAGATTGCCGTGGAATCGGAATGAGGTACCGGTATGTACTGACGAGTAGTTATCACAACGGGTACACCAATTCCCTTCAGGCTTGAACTCCAGGGCATGCTGTCCAGCACATTCAATTTCTGTGCCACTTGGGGTGGAATTGATTGTGTGGCCATGCATCTCGCGACGCCACAGTTCAGGGTTCAAGTTAGTGAAGCCAGCGCGTGACCGTCAGCAACATGTCTTGTTCCACCCCCGCCTCGGTGCCTTGAAGCCACTAAATAACTCTGGCCGTGAGCGAGCCTCATTCGTCGACAGGCTGAAACCCAGCCCTCCTCGATACGTCCCAAACCCGCCTGGCGTTGTCTTTGCCCTACCAAAAGAGAGCCCACGGAGGCTTGAAGGACCACCCAGTCAACTGTCACAAGCTTACGAGGTCTTCCACAGCCTGCCTTGACGATCCGCCCCTTGGTCCCTGACGCACTTTCAATCCGTAGCCCTTTTGGTGTTGTTTCTGTTGTTTCTCAAGTCCCAGTGAAGTGTGCCTGATGACCGCCCGCTGTGCGCTCCCCTTCTCCATACTGGCAGTGCTTAGTGCCCAGTGCCCACCCACCGCCTGTCGGCCCCGCTCCAACCCAACGTCAATTATTCAAACATCCGGAACCTCACACCTCGAACCTCAAACCTGACACCACTGCATCATCACGCATCATCAACTTTGTACAATCATCAATCTTCCTCGTCGTCGTCGTCGTCGTCAACGAACCAGTCACTGTTCACTCATTTGCACGCCATTCAATTCCATCGATCCAACATTGTTTTCGTTCACCTTCATCCAGCCTTCCAGTCAGCGCCTTGCACCCTTGAATTGGCATCTCAAACTCAAAGGCACTTCTGTCTTCACCACCATCAGCTAGCGCCAAAGCCCAGTGACTCCCACCTTTTCCGCCTGACGAAACGCCACGACTTTCACTATCACCACGACCTCGCTAAGTAACCATCGTCGTCCACATTCGATCCATCGCAAATGTTGCTGCCTTGGGATATCTTAGTCATAACTTGATATCATCTTGCATCAGCTTCAATATTTCACACGTTTGTGGATAGTCACCTCCAACCTCGAAACCCAACCGCATCCAGGATTCCAACTTTGTACTGTGCACAACAATCTCAGGCAAACCTCCTGGATCTCCACCCCACTGGGTTCCAGAAAGCATGGACCGAGCTTGCAATTACGACTCGGCTCAGCAACTGGATGCATTAACGTCGAAATCATCCTCAAGGCTCCGCTTGAGTGGTGATTGGTCCCGAGTCAATCTATCAAATCCTGATCCTTCAGCCATGAACGCACGCCTCGCTGACCGAAAGGAATCATCTCAAGTTGATATATCAGAACAGTCTTCAGATGTGACGATTCCAACTTCAAGATCTCGGGTTTCAAACCCGGCCACTACCATCGTTGCTCCAGTGCCCATCAAGCCTGAGGTTCAACCAAGCTCAACAATCCCATCAATAGTCCTGCCCACAAAATCTAGGACAGCACCCGTCGCAATGAAAACCGAACAGCGGAGTCCCTTCCTCACCATTCTCCCCCACGACATTCACTACATTCTTGCAGTGAAATACCTAGACTTCGACACGCTCCTCGCACTCCGCCAAACGTGCAAAACAATATTGTCTCTGCTGGACCCGGACCTCGTGCACCGGATCCGGTCGGCACTCGTGCAGAAGTCCCTCGACAATGAAATCAAACGATTCCGCGAGTACCGCACCATTTACCCGCGGCAACGGCTCGGAGCGCTGTGGGATCTCCTGTACGCAGCGTTCGACTTTCGACTAATCGAGCGGCCTGCGAAAGAACTCTGCTGCTACGGTTGCCTGGAGGTGAAGCCGCTATGGTGTTTCGTGGAGCGCATGAGCAACAAAGGCACGGGTCTAGGTGCGAAATCAGCCCGCGACCGCGTCTGCAAGGACTGCATGCGCCGATATCGCGACATCGAGGGTCAGTGGTGGAAGGAGAACTGGGTCAAGAAGAGCGAGACGGTGCGGAAATCCAGTCGACGCACACGAGTCAAACGCTGGGCGCTGGAAGGCCGGAGTCTCGTGAACCCCGAGGAGGAAATCGGCGTGTGTTCGTGCTGTGGCAGTGGGACGTTCGAGTTGTGGTGGGGTTGCGTGACCTGTTTCGAGCTCGAGGAGAAGCGCCGCAGAGAGGAGGATCTCATGGAATATGCCGGGCTCGAGAGGCGACTTATCGACATGCTTGAGACGTGGCGCGCCAAAAGGGAAGCGAAGCGCAGATCTCAGCAATCGACGAGGGAGCGAAGGAGCAGGCGCTGGTGGATGCCTCTACGACTGGATCTGAACCTTCACTGGGAGGGCGGTCTCGCAGAGCGTCGGGCTGCACTGGCCGAGTGGAAAGAAAGCAGGAACCACAACGTGTCTTCGTCGTCATCCACACCAGCAATCGCCCACTCGAAAAAGACCTCCAGAACCGGCCTGCTCTCCTCAGAAGACACCGAGCACGACCCTCCCCGCTGGCGCGCCATCGAGCAAACGCCGCTTCCCAAGAGCCGCCGCGAGGCACGGTGTTCCAGCTGCTGGGTGCCAAACTGTCCGCGACGCACATACATCCTGGGACTGGCATATGAGCGACCCCTGCCGCGCGAGCGTTGGTGCGGCGACTGCCAACAGAACTACAAGACGAGACATGCCAGGAAACGCGAAATCAATCGCCGGCGTAGGAGGTCCCTGGGTCCTGACACGTCGGGCATTTTCGGCGATTCTTGGGACGGTGGGTTCGGGACGCTGTTTGATGAGGTCGAGAGTTAATGAGTCAGGGAAAGAAAATAGGAGGAGAGCTTGATCAATCTTTCTATGTACGAGTTGAGGTTAAGAAAGAGGTGGAGGAGCGATGCGAGACTCGATAACGATAGGAATATGGACGGATATGAAATGAAACGAAATGAAATCAGATGGAAGGAAATGACAGAGGGGCACAATGATCGGTGAACGGCCGGAATTGCCAAACACCATCTCGAATGGGATGTGGTATTTGCGCTGTGGTCATCGTTTCCCCAACCCATGTACGATATTGTCAGCTACAGACAGCTAAGTAACGGCCGCGTTGTTTTTTCACATTTTCATTGAACTTTTTGTCCCTTCAGGAGTTGTGTTTCTTTCACTTGTTCGGCGACATGTGTACAATATCATATCGCGACGGATGATCAATGGGCACCAGGACCATGGCATGTGGCGATGTTCAGCGAGCCCAGCGAGCCCAGCGACTACCCAGTGTGATGGTGGACGAACTATCACAGAAGGCCGAGCGGGCGTTTGGACGATGAGGCCGAAGCGATCGGGGACAGGGACGTAGAGAGCAAGAAATACTAAGTGACGGCAATGACTCTCGACTGGCTATCGCAACCACGGGCAGTGGAAATGTGAATTCACACTCAGATTCGCGCGGCACATATGATTCATGCATCAATCTCTGCTTCCCTCGTATGCGATATCGATCAACCCAGGTCCCTAACTAGGTAGATGCGATGTTGGTCAATCCCCAAGGTACATGCCTGGTTCACCTGCCGCGTATCAGCAATGCTGCCTGAAAGGAAAGGCACGAATCTCAGTTCCACATTTCAGAGTTTGAGTTCCAGCATACTCAGGTTGTCTGGAGGTGGACATTTACACTTTTTGTTTAAGCTTTATCGGTTGTGGATTTAACATTGTCCTTGCTTTCTCATCTATGTACTCAATCAATTATCGGAATCGGAGGGTCGGTAGGCATTTAGGTATCTACACACATCATGTTTCCCACAGTATGAGGTATTCGGCACAAAAGACGCCCTGCGCGATTCCATGTATACTTTTCCGACCGAGCACAAATACGAAGGAAATGCAACGCCGTAGCCAACGTACTGTAACTAGGTACTGCGGGGTGGATGGAGAAGCACACCAGTCCTCTGCTGACGTTGCACGCGGCTTTGACGCCAATCAAATACGAAGGACGTCCGTATTCCTCGATTCAGAGTTGTTGATCCTTTCCACCTTCCAACTCAGGCCTTGAAAGCCCTTCCAGGAAGACAATTGTACCAGGGCGCGCCAGAGCGCTAACGTATGCATTCGCTGCCTGGTGGTATATCATCGTCGCAGGATACATAAAGGCAGCTCCGGGACTTCTTTGTTCTTGGGACCGCACTGTCAGTTCGTCTTGGATTTTATCCCTGTGTTGATCCACTATCTTCAACCTCCCCAGCCTCGAGGCAGTGGCTCCGCGAAGCGTGATGACGATGGCCTCATCGACCGGCAAGATCGAGATCCCAAAATCCTCCGTCACCGTTGATGTATCAGTCATCAATAGCACGTCCTGGGTCGGCAATGTCCCTCATTGGTTCGTCTTTGAGCCATTATATCCGGGGTTCGAAAGGAATGGAGGCCCAACTTTCGTGTTTTACATCTATCACAAACCTTCAAACTCTCGACTCCTCTTCGACTTGGGGGTCCGGAAGAACTTTCGAACGCATTTTAGTCCACACTTAATGAAAGGGCTGGATGAGATCCACATGCAAATCAGCGTTGAGAAAGACGTGTCCGAAATTCTGGTCGAGCATGGCGTACAACCTGGCGATATTGATAGCATCATCTTCAGTCATCATCATTTCGATCATGTGGGTGACACTACCAAATTTCCAGGCACCACAAGGCTAGTGGTTGGTCCAGGGTATAAACAGAGATACTTACCAGGGTGGCCTGAAAATCCCGAGGCGGCAGAGACGACAAGTGATACGTATGAAGGAAGGGGAACTGTTGAGATTGAATTCGCGCCCAATGATCACCAGGTATTGACGATCGGGAAGTTCAAGGCGTACGATTATTTCGACGACGGGAGCTTCTATCTGTTGAGCACTCCGGGACACACGGTAGGGCATCTTTCCGCACTTGCGAGAACGACATCCAGCAGTGATGACGGTGGAGGTTCAACATTCATCTTCCTCGGTGGCGACATCGTACATTCCTGTATGGTCTTCCGGCCGACTGAGAAGTATCCACTCCCGGATCAAATCTCGCCCGCACCAAACAGTGCGCCGTTTTCGAATAGTACATGTCCAGGCGATCTCTTTGCATCAATGCACCGATTCCGCAACGAAGAAGATGGTGAGAGGAAATCACGGACCACCCCATTCTGCTTGGTCGCTGGGCCGGATGAAGACTTGGCCGAGTCTCAGAGGAGCACAGACGAGTTGGCAAACTTCGATGGCGAGGACAATATCTTGACTATATTTGCCCATGACGGGTCCTTACTAGACGTGTTGGAGTACTTTCCACAGAAGGCGAATGAATGGAAGAACAAAGGATGGGGTCCGCAGGGACATTGGCGATTTCTAGAGCCTTTGATGCAGTCCAAGAAGGAGGCTTCTCATTTGTAGTGTGGTGCAATTGACCAACGAGGATTTGTTGGTAATGACGATCTCACAGATAACATACATCTTCCAGTTTGCAGAAGCTATGTATAATTGCAGCTGGGTGGAATGGATCACGGAGCCCTAGGCATAGGCAGGTGCGACTAGGCTGAGAAGTGCCCACAGTCGTTTGATCAGCCTGAGCAAAAGGATACGGAAGAGACTCGGGCATTTCTCGATTCATTTCTTACTAATGCTCTAGAGTTCTTTCCAGCTTCGCACTCTGACCAGAGCTGCTTTCAAAACCGACATATGCAAATGATCGTCCTTCGAGTTTGGAAGGGTGAATAACCTGATCATTCCGATTTCTGCCTTCCCAAATTCCTGTCCGCTCCGCCGAAGCCTCGGGAGATCACACCCAGACTCTGGTCATCGATTCCTAGCATGAGAGGAACCAGTCCAAGAGCATGTGATATTCAGGGTCACGGGTTCTCTAATATGGAGGAACATCCGTCGAGTGGAGAAAAACCTATTGCCGAACTACTCGTACAAGAGAGGTGGTTTCGGGCCCCACGCTTATGTGAGGGCCCAGGGACGCCGCTGTGGCCGAGTTTTTTTCTTGCCCCAATATTTAGCCTCGATCTTACACTGTACTTTGCCTCCCCACTTTGGCTGATTTGGAACATCAGTGCTCCATGATACAAAAATCGATGCATGCTGAGGTACGGTATGTTTTCATAAAACTCCGCAATTACCCTATTATTTCTCCCAGTGCACCTCAAATCATTCACGACTGTTGTTTAATTATTCCCCCTCACGTTCCATCCAAAATCCACAACCGCCCCTCGGCCCCGTTTAACTCAGCCTTGCCCCTGAATTATTATCATTCTCCATTCCGCTCTTTACACAACTGTCTCCGTACTACTAGCCATAACGAACGACTCGACATGACTGTCACGACACATAGCGCAGCCTCAGATTCAAACGACAATGGCACTGACACACCAAAATCAGAAATTTCGTCATCTAGTGAATCCCTCGCCAGTACCAACAGCTCACGAAACTCATTGATAACTATCACGAGACGGACGCAGCTTGACTTTTCCGCCGTACAGGACATATTTTCAAACCGCTCAGATCCTGCTAAATCCGATGGATCGCCTCTTTGGTATATACTCACAACAGCCGTCCTTCTCTCCTATCACAAAGAGAAGCTCATTGGCGATTTGTGGACATATCTGGCATGTCAAGTCCAAGACGATACAGGTCGTCTATCCGTGGCCAGAATACTTCGGGAAGCGTGTCTAAAGTCTAGCACGCTGGTGGGGTTTCCGAGGGTAAGCTCCATTTGACTCGCAATCTGTTGACCTTATGATGGAGGTCTGAAATTGACGGTACAACACTCTCCCAGGCAATTAATGCGCTCTTCGCATTGAAATCAGCCATTGAAGGTTCAACGCCGCATCTATCTTCAATATTAGCTGCAGATAGTTCATTGCGCTCCCCATTATCATCAACTGAGAAATATGACCGGGGCCTCGCCTTCTTCAACGCCATTTATCGTCAACATACTTCCAGGGTCATTTCAGCCATGGATGCTACATCTGGTGGCGATTTGACCCACTTTGCAATCAATTGCATTTATGGAGAACTTTTATCGGAGCACAGTATCATCGGTGGATTGGACACAGGTCTCCTTGAGTTCGTCTGTTGTTTGGCAGATGGTTGTAGTCCACAAGCGAAAGGGTGAGTGAAATTGTCCTCTCCATGACAGAATATATTTCCTAGATTTCTCTTCGCTGACCAATATTGCACAATTTCACAGACACTTCTTTGGTTCTATCAACCTAGGAGCAACAAACCAAACTCTGAGATCGACAATTCTCCTTACGGAGAGTATCGCATTGCAGTTAAAGGCACCTTGTCCGTGGCTGGATGATCCGGAAGAACATTCCTTTCTTCAGCGAGCTCTTGGGACGCCGTGATTCGATGATGAAATCGGCTTCTGATCTTGCAGATGTCTCCACAACAGGTATATACTGATCTTGTGGCCGGCAGTACACTTGGGAGTGATACTTACAGAGAGGTATAGCTCAGGGGGAGGTCTTAGGGGAGGGTGATTGCGAGCTTCTTCGGTGATGTTCAGGGTTCTGGTGCATATTGCTTGGGAAGTGTTTTATATTGTCAGGGTCCAGGTAGAAGAGTACTCGGAAGACAGCGCAATCTGGTCGAAGAAGTGGGCAGGATGTGGAAGGAAAGTCAAGATCTGGCATGGGCAGGGATAGCCCACTGCTCAGTGGCAACTAGATCACAACATGTCCCTCAGCGGCACTTGAATCCTCTGCGCAGCGTTTCAGGTAAATACCTTGGGACTAACATAGATACCCTTTGTATCTAGCATTGAGACATGCAGTCACGATACAGCAAAGCTGTCCCAACAGATCTTGACTCAGACTATTCCTTCGAGCGACTCGTCCATGCCTGTCAAAACCCCTCAACTTAGCCCATCCGACAAGAACCCACCGACTCGAGCACCAGGGCCTGGCAAAAACCTAACTAGAAGGCGGCCTCTCGACATTGCGCCATCGAATTTGCAACCACCACAATCTCGGGCACTCAACCCGATGCGTATCATGATCGCATCGCCCAACGTACCTATCTCTTGCCCGGTGAGATGGACAATAATTCTGTAACGCGCCATGCAATCGGCTCCTCGGCGAAAAATAAACCCCCGAGTATGGACATACCCCGCCTTCCCTCAGCGCTTCCGACCAGTATTTACGCGCCTCAACTGCATGGTTCTATACGGGCGAGTTCGAGGTCCGTGAATGACATGTGGAATGATTCTGTTTGTTGAGCCGGTCATATGGCGCGAACGATGCGGCGGTTGATCGTCTTGTGGGAGAGATAAGGGTTGCATATTGTCCGAGTCGGTTGTTGAGGTATTTCCGCGCGCGGCTTGTTGTTGAGTTGGTAGAATAGGTATTCACTCTGCAATCTAGAGGTGCATGTTTGAAAGTATGGAAGACTACCTTGTATAGTTTTTATCTATGGGGGAGGGGGGTTGCTCGAGTCGAAGTCCTGTAGCGCTAAGTCGTAGTAAATTTCAAGCTAAGTAGTCAAGGGAAAATATGGATGACAGAAGGGAACGATGTTGTCAGAAGAATTAAATTTCTCAATAGCTATGTAGGCTTTCACAGCCAACGCAATATGTCCTGACCTGCCACTACCAGTAGAAAATTTATGTATTGCGTGTTCCCAAACCACTTGTTGCATCATGCAGCATCTGTAAACGTCGTCCACCATGATTTCAAGAACCTCAGGCTTGCATTACTGTACAATTACCTGCCCCTTCTCTGTTAGAAAAAAGACCAATGATCAGTACTTGAAGGTGGGAGAGAAGTAAACAACCACTTACAATTTGGGACCAAAATATCGCTTGATTATCTGCTTTTTGTTCACTTTACCCATGGCGTTCCGCTCGATGTTGTCCACTAGCTTGAGTATCGTTGGAATCTTATATGGTGCCATGTCTTCCTTGAGGCATTTTCGCATCGTTGCCAGATCCATGGGTGGTGCCTATACGTTGTCAGGTCAAACACTTCGCAGGAAAAGGGGACAAAATCTCGCGAGTTCCTTACCGATTGTTTCGTCTTCACCACGGCAGCTACTCTCTGTCCCCAGTCTGGGTCTTCCACTCCTACAACGACCACTTCAGAAATGATGGGTTCCAGGCCGGCATTTCCCAAGATCTTTCTTTCGACCTCGAGGGCCGAGATTTTGTACCCGCCGCTCTTGATCAGATCAACACTCTCTCGTCCGAGGATAAAGTAGGCTCCATCTGTGTTTCTCTTCGCCACGTCGCCGGTCTTGAACCATCCATCTGGGGTGAAAGTCTCGGATGTGGCTTCAGGCTGGCGGAAGTATTCAGCGAATAGATTGGGACCTTGAATCTCAATCAGACCAGACTCATCCTTGCCAGAAGATAAGATGATGGCTTTTGTCTCGGGATCCACAAGACGGACAGAAACTCCCGGAAGAGGCCAGCCCACACTGCCGCTGATGCGCTGCGCAGGGTCAAGGCCACAGCTAAGTGCCATTCCAACCTCGGTCATCCCATAGCGCTCTAAAAGCTCATGTCCTGTAATCTCACGGAATTTTTGCTTCGTCGATACTGGAAGAGCCGCTGAGCCACTAACAGTTAGACGGAGAGCTTTTGCACCTTGCCTGGCTGCAGACTCTGGCGGAGTTCCACGGATTTTGGTGTCGAAATATTCAATTAGTCGAGAGTACACGGTTGGGACCGCCATGAACATAGTTGTCGACCCCTTTTCGGTCCATCGGTCCCACACAATTTTGGGATCAAATTTGGCATACATCTCCACTGTCCCGCCTGCCAGAAGTGTTGCAGTGAGGCCGTTGATGACTCCATGCACATGATGCAGTGGAAGCATGTGTATTAGATGATCAGATCGTTGATATTTCCATGCTTGCACTAATGATCGTGCCTGGAATGTGAGAGTTTCGTGGGTAGTGACACAACCCTTCGGCCGAGATGTGGTTCCTGACGTGTAAATTATCAATGCGCGTTGTGTTAAGAGTGGAGAAGCTGTGAATTTTGGCAGGCTTCGAGTGTTGTCTTGGGTTCTGGGTTTTGACAATGGGTCGAATCTGAGTAGAGGGACGTTCTGAGCCTTGCTGCGGAAACCTGCCTCCAGACCTTGAAAGGATGGATGCAGGATGATCAAAGAAGGGTCGGAGTCCGAGATTGTGTAAAGTAGTTCACTGAGAGGGTGAGTTGTACCTGAACTGTTAGAAGGCATCCGTAACCACCGATTAGAGACGTTGACGTACATAACGGCACGCAGATGGCACCAACTGCCCAGATAGCCCATTGAGCAACGACATAGTCATATCCTGCTGGGACAAGAAAGGCGATCCTCGGCTCTTCTAGATGTACTCCCACGTTTGAATGGCTTTGTATCTCCAGGGCGTCTTGGAGCTTTGTCTTAAAAGCAGCAACATCGCTCAAGAGGTCCGAGTAAGTAAACTCTTCATTCTTAGTCTTATCGATAATAGCAGCCTTCAGTGGTTCGACAAGTGCGTGAGATCGTGCGTCAAGAAATAAAGGCAAAGATGGTAGGGAGTGAGAGACTCCCTGCGTATGGTTTGATGCTTCACGTTGGGTAGCAATGGCAGGATCGAGAACAAGGCCAAAGGTAGGTAAATTTGGTGCTCGCGTAACTTGGACGGCCATATTGACTGGTCAAGGATTTCAATCTGGATAGTAGCTTGGAATCTGTACCTTGACTACAATTTGGAGACTCAAGAGCCTTGATAAACCCATTCTGTCTAAGCAGAAAATCCCCATGTTCCGCGCTGACTCCATCAGGCAGTAGAATATTGCCGCAGCCCCATACTAGGCCGTCAACACACTGGTTCGAGGGCAATTGTCCGTTGCCTCTCCAATTCAGATATGGGCGATACTAGATCTTCCGAATATGGTCACCATAATTCTTCGGCACCAGTTCAAGATAAACGGCCGAAGAAAAATGGCCGTGGGTGAGGAGGCTCGGGAAAACGTTATCAAGAAACCCAAAGAGGACTAGAGGACTAGAGGACACTACATCTCCTTTGGTCATGCTCTCCCGTAGAATATTGATGCTGATGCCAAGCTTGCCGCCGACATTGCCGATCTGGCCGATGTAAAAAGGCCGATGTCTCCCTCCTCCAAACTCTTTTTCCCATTTCAATGAACTAGATTCTTGGAAAAGTCTTGGATTTTCTGCAAAGACCAGGGGTATCAAAAGCGCGGGGTTGTCTCATAGGCTGACTACGCCTGAGCCTCCTCAAGAAACACGATGTTATCCTGGATCTTGACCTCAACAAGCTCGCTGCCCAGGAGCTTCCAAGACTTCGTTCTCCATACCTAGGCATAATGGCCTCCGATCATACTTGAGAGGATCCCTATGAGCACAGGGTCCGGAATCACTTCTGGCACCGAAAGCAGTGTCTTCCAATCACATACCCTTCAGATCTTGCTGTTGGGCCGATGGTGATCATGATTCTATAGCCGATCATATTCATGCGGTAGTCGATTGCTACAGTATGTCGCCCGTGGCGCCAATCAGAATTGTTGAGATGCAGACAACCCAGTCATCTTATCTCCACAGAGAACTTCCCCGTTATACAGACCCCGGGTTGTCCCCAGACTGTGTGCCATCGCATGACATAAATACTGGTGGTGAGCCCGCTGATCTCAGGTTGCATTTTGTCAGCGCGACTCGTCAATTTCCTTCTCATTCGATACATAGTATCTTCTCCTCTGACACAAGCGCGTTTGAGAGCGATACCCCAATCTTCAAGCATAAAACACCATCATGAAGTCGGACGAGCCTTCAGCTGCCCCGGCTGACGCTGGCAATGTCCACAAAATGTCGATTGAGAACATTGAAGACTTCAAGGAGCAACCAGCAACAAATGGAGACTATGCAGGCGCAACAGCAAAAACGGACCCTGTCGAAATCGCATTGGTCAGAAAACTTGACTGGCGCATCATGGTGAGTAGAATGTCTTCATTGAATGGGCGGGCTGTTCCTAACAGACATGGAAGCCCACTCTGTGCACCATGTACTTTCTCAACTACGTCGACCGCAATGCTTTAGCACAGGCGCGTCTCAATGACCTCGAAGAAGATCTCAATATGACCGGCACACAATTCAATACCACCATCAGCATTCTTTTCGTCGGTTATGTCTTGATGCAGATCCCTTCAAATATGATGATTACCAGAATTCGTCCCGGCTTGTACATGAGCAGCTGGATGTTGATCTGGGCTGTTGTGTCTGGTGAGTCTACCCATTGCTATTCATTTTGCGCGAATACTGAGCCAGACCTTTCACTGACTGAATCCAGGCTGTACTGCATTGGTTCAAAGCTACGGTGGCCTCGTCGCCGCTAGATTCTTTCTTGGTATAACCGAAGCGCCGTTCTACCCGGGAGCAACTTATGTCCTTTCGATTTTCTACACTCGTAAAGGTTAGTTCATTCCAGCACCCTTGATTCGAGTGGGCAAGGGCTAATACAGATTCACAGAGGTTGCTTCGCGAATCGCACTTCTTTACTGCGCACAGATTCTCGCAACTGGTTTCTCGGGCTTGATCGCTGCTGGTGTGTTCGCCGGATTGTCGGGCGTCCATGGCATTGCAGGCTGGAGATGGCTCTTCATCGTTGAAGGCGTCGCGACTGCTGTCGTGGCTCTATTCGGTTTCTGGCTTCTGCCCGACACTCCGTTGACTACCCGCTGGTTGAAGCCTGAAGAACGCGAGTTGGCTCACAGCCGTATGGAGCGTGATCGAGTCGGTACCCAGGCCGAGACCTCCGCCATGGAGGGTCTCAAGCAAGCTTGCAAGGATCCCAGGACTTGGGTGTTCTGTCTCATGCAGAACTTTCATCTGTCGGCTTGTTCATTCAACTCTTTCTTCCCAACGTAAGTGCCACCATCTCAATGCATCGTTCAAAGCTGACAAGTGTTTCCCAGCGTTGTGAAAACTCTTGGATTCAACACGACTATTACCCTGGTGATGACTTGCCCACCTTTTTTGTTTGCAGGAGCAGCCGGTATCCTCTTTGGCTGGTCATCTGGTCGCTATCATGAGCGTACCTGGCATATTACCACGGGCCTAGGTATTGCAATTGTCGGATTTGTAATTGCAGCATCTACATTGAACACCGCTGGACGATACATTGCATGCTTCATCTTCCCAGTGGGCGCATATTCGGTCAACAGCGTCATCATCGGCTGGGCATCCTCCACGTTAGGTCAGACTAAGGAGAAGAAGGCCGTCGTCCTGGCAATGACCAACGTGGGTGGCCAAATTGGCTACATCTATGGTGCTTACCTCTGGCCTAAGGAGGACGGACCCAGATACGGCATCGGCTTCGGGGCCAGCGCAGGTTTTGCTCTTTGCAGTATTGCATGTGCCTGGGTTATGCGGATCCTGTTGAAGCGTGAAAACGCCAGAATCAAGCAGAGCACCACCGAGAACGTCAATCTCTACGGCTACTAGATGACAAAAGTGTTTGAACAGGATTTCGAAGAAGGTCCTCGGGCGACAAGCAATACCTATGATTATGGAGCAATGTGGCGAGCTCTTTTGTTGGCTATGAAGAATCTAAAAAAATGAATCCGTGGCAGATGAGACTGTATGCTGCGAGGCAATTCTTGAGGAATATAGCTGATTCTGGAAATGGGCTATGAAAAGAGGCAATACCGAGTGGGATATTTAAAACACCAGTTGTTGCTATTTACAGGAATGAAATCTAGAACTGTCATACCAAATGTGGAACTGCTCCAATGTCTCAGACACGACTGTGTTGGGTCTACTAATTACAAAATGATGATAACATGTTTATAGTGACAAATTGCTCTGACACTGACAATAATAGTAGGAGTTTCAAAGGAGTTTGAGATGAACTCCAGGCATATCCAAACCTTTGCCTGGAAGTGTTGCGTCTGACTTCAATTTGGTCCACCGAATACTGGTTCACCGTAGCTGCGCTTCACATTTCAATGACTTCCAAGCAACTTTAGTTGCAACGACGCCCAAGGTTCTTTCGACTTCCAAGGTTCATTGATTTGTACAAGGCAATCGCATCCCTTGAGTCATCTGTTCACCAATATTCCGTACACCATCTCTTAGTTCTGTGTCATCTTCTGAGTTCTACGATTCACTCGCGAAACGATTGCTTTACTTGCCACTTGCACGTGTCAATCATTCTAGCCGGGCCATTTCGTAACATCCCACTACCATACAAAGGCGGCTGCGGGCGCAGCATAAAAAGACAAACTTTCGCCTTCTGATTGTCTCCCCCAACTCGATTTCTCGGATACGAAAGCCTTCTGACAAGATCCAACCCGTGGTGGACTTTCCTTTGAGCCAAGATGGCGTTGCCAAAGAGAATTATAAAAGAAACTGAACGGTTGATGGCAGAGCCGTACGCGAAGACACCCATGTCTGGCGAAAGATTGTGAGGCTGATATACACATCATAGAGTCCCTGGAATTAGTGCTGTTCCACATGACGACAACCTCAGATACTTTGATGTCAGCATACATGGCCCCTCCCAATCTCCATATGAAGGTCGGTTCATGATGTGTTTCCGTGAAGAAGGATAATGAAGCTGATTGTTTCAAGGTGGCATCTTCAAGCTGGAACTATTCTTACCAGAAGATTATCCCATGACACCTCCCAAGATCCGGTTTCTGACCAAAATCTATCACCCCAACATCGATAAACTTGGACGCATCTGTCTAGATGTTCTGAAGAGTGGGCAGCCCTCCGATTTGGCATAGTTTGTACACTAACAATAACCAGGCAATTGGTCACCTGCTTTACAGATCAGAACGATTCTTCTTTCCATACAGGCTTTGCTTGGTGCCCCCAATCCAGATGATCCACTGGCAAATGATGTTGCTCAGCGATGGAAGGAGGATCAGGAAGCTGCCATTCAGACTGCCAGAGAATGGACCAGGACACATGCCATGACATGATTTAGGTACTAGCACTGGACTTTATCTGCACAGATTTGCATTATGATGCCAGTGAGTATGCCCATGCAGGCGTTGGGGTTGGTTTCGTCAGCCGTGTATCCGAATGGTCCCGATACAGCAACTTTGATTGAGATTTGATGCGTTATGATTGCATGACGAACTTGGTATAATATGAAAGGCTTTCGAAAGTCAATCTTCTCTTGCGAAATTGGGTTCCTGGTGAGTATACTGTTCTTTGTCGTATCGTCTTCTATCATGGCCTTTGAGAGCGTGTCAGTCTCATCGATGTGCTTTGTATTCGCTGCCCGTTCCATGCCTTGTGATATATCTCATGTGATGTGCACCCCGTCCGCCTTGATGACACTGGATCCGCTTTTCTGTTGACGAGAAGTGCTCGGCGACAACGATGCGATGGACAACGAGAGCGTGCCATTGGCCGATGATGGGGGATGAGCTCGGCGTCGACGCCCAGTTCAATTCTTCAAGATAGCATCCAGACGACTGCTCACCTTCTTTCATAACCACCGCATCATTCGACTAAGTGTTCATCATGACCACGCCGGTCAAAGACGTCGTTGCCGGCGAGCCTGACACTGGGTAAGTCCTATCATGTGACGAGCACCAATCGCTTGTGGCTGACTCAACTTATGCACAGTCCGTCCCTACCTCCGACGCCAAAGTCGGGCCTCTTCTCTGGGGCATCCCTGAGGCGAATTGGGAGCAAGTTGAGCGCAAGCAGCTTGTCTCCTAAGAGCCGCAAAGGGTCCCCAGAGAGGAGTGCCCTGACGAGGCTAGGGGGAGGGCACGTGATCTCGTCACCTCTGCCGTTGAGAGTGCGACGAGGCTCGCTAAAGCCTCTTTCTATTGTCACCACGGCCTTTCACCCTCTGGATTTTGATCCAGTGCGAGTCTTGGAAGCGGCCAGAGACGTCGCCCTCCCTCCCTCCCCTTCCCCCCCTTCTCCGTCCAAACTGGACGTTTCGACCATGGCTGGTGAAAAGCCAAGAAAGCGTGCCATCGTAAGTGAAGTCTCAATTGTGACTGGTGACAAGCCAGTGACAACAAACCCAGCAAACTCTCAATTTGTTTTCAGTTGACATTTTCCTAGATCGACAACATGGAGATGTTTGGCAAGCAGGTTGAGCCATTCCCGCAACTTCCTTTCGCGAGAAAGAAAGAGCGTGACTTTGACGAGGAGACAATCAAGCCTGCCCGTTCTTACGCCCGTCTCCCGCCGCCGATCCCGTCTCAAGAAGCCATGGCTCGCTCAAGTGCACAGAGATCAACCAGTTTTGGCATTGAACGAAACCAGAATACTGAGAGGGTCATCACTGGCAACTTTGCTTCCCTCCTCAACCTCCCTCCACCAACCTTGAATCAACACCCGACCACTCAATCCGACCCTAATTCGGCCAAAAGTGACGCACCATTGATGTTTACAACTTCCACCGCAGATGAAATTCGAGCGTGGGCAACCCAAAAGCATCAGCACGAGGGAGTGCGAGAAATTCGTCCAAGAATCAACACCAATCCATACCAAGTTCCTGGCAATGCTTTCTCTCAGCCTGCTGTCAACACTTCCTCTTCCCCCCATTCTGCTCATACCACACCAAGCCGTACTTCCAAACCTACGGGTCTCCGAAAGAACCAAATAGCAAGTCCGCTTAGCAAGTACGGAAACGCTAGCGAAGTTACTCTAACTGCTACTACCCCTGGACGCAAGAGCTCAGACACAAACGGCCTGAAGAGCAAGATGTCACGTCTGCAGATTGATCGCGATAATCAGGAGACTGATATTTTCGATATTCTCGCTGAAGGTTCTCCTTCAGATATCAAAGCAGTACCGAAAACTCCATCTGGCAGTCAGTCTGGGTTCAAGACAACCAGCGAATTCGAACACAGAAAGACAGGATTGCGTAAAGTGTCTGCCATCTTCAAACCCAAGTCTGCAAGTGAGAAGAACGCCCCAGACATCTTCAGCCAAGTGGAAATCCCCAACTTTGACGGCAGTAATTGGTATCGACCTGATCTTGTGAGTTCCACATTTCCTATCTTCTAAAGGACAAGCCTAACACGTACAGGAACTCTTCCTCCGCCGCACGTTGAACTGTTGGTCTCGTGACTACAATGGAGGAGATCCGAAGCCAAGACACCCCAACACTGGTAAAGGATGGTACTCTCGCAACTTGAAATGCACTACTTGTTTGGAGAATTGTTGCCCAATCTGTGACCGAGCATGCTGTGCATACAGATCTGCTGTCCTAGCGCTTGGAAATCACAAGAACAACACTAAGACCTTGAAAATCGCCGAGGAACGCATGCACCAGATCACCACAGTTTTCCCATATGGAAGAGAAGTTTCAACATTCCTCCAATGCACTGAAGGCGATGAAACCGGATGCGGCAAAATGATCTGTCCTGATTGCTGTGGCCAGTGTCCCACCGATATCTGCAAAGATGTCCAATGCCGTCGTTGCAAGAAGGACCCGTGGGCCATTTGTGACTGGCACGATGAGGAGGCAAACCTGAAGGCTTTGTAAAAAGTTTGGTCATTGTTCGACGATGAGATGAAGCATACTTCTTTTACATGTCCAATATCAGTGACACACGAATTGGGTTGGCGTTGGAATGACAGGATGATAGGATGATACCATGATGACGAGATGACATGACAAAAGTGCTGCTTTAGACTTTCCAGTTAGGCCACCGAGATGAATATTCCTCGACCTCTTGAGCAGGGATCTCAACCGTGTGACAAAATGTAGCACTATGGGCCATGATGATGGAATCGACGAAACAGATCCTGAGAGTGGATCAGAGTTTTTCGACCATGCTCAAAATAGCTGAGATCAAAATCAAAATCACGAATCAATCCAATGTTCTGGACCAACATGGCTTTTTGATGCTGGTCGGGTTTTCATCCGACCTCGTAGATAGTACTGGGTATTTGCCTGTCAATCAAGAAACACAGACCAGAGCTAACATCTACAGCCTAACCATAGGGCCGCCCTAGCAGTTCAAGCATTCCTCTCCACGGCTTCAACAATTGTCTTCGCCGTCAACTCAATAGCACTGACGTTAGGACAATGCCCGACCTCCAACTCAACAACGTCGACCTTCTCACCCTTCTTCTCCTGCTCAATGAACTCAATACACCCGCGCTGGAAGCTCGGCAGCAGCACCTCGTCCTTGGTGCAAAAAATCCACGTGACAGGGTTCTCCAGGTACGCCGCATGCTGGATCTTATCCGAAAAGCTACGGGACGAGTGGCACCACATCTTCGACACCCATTGCTTGCCCTCCTCCAGCGGCATATCGCTGAAGACGATGTGCGCGGACTTCTCGGCGTTTTGTTTCAAGAACTTGCCAGTCTATTTTCCCCCCGAGAGAAGCATTAGCAATTGCTCTGTTGTCATGATAACATCAGGGTCCTGATGGCAGGAAACATACCTCATCGAAGGGCTCCATGAAGTCGAAAGTCGGGAGGCGGTCGGCGCACGTCTCGGCAGACGTTGATCCAACAGCCCCGACAATGCAACTCAGGTAAATGATGCGGACGACACCGCCGCGTTTCCCGGCACTCTCTCGCTCCGCTTTACTCAGGCCGTGCGCGGCATCTGTCGTGACAAGGCCGCCATAAGAGTGGCCTACAACGACAACGTCTTTGCCCTGGTCGGCCAACGCTTCGATCTTTTCGTGGAAGTACGCTGCATCCTCGGCCAGACCCTGAGGTTCAGAGTTCTTCGGGTCGTCGGTGTAGGATCGCAGATTGTGCGTCTCTGCCTCGTAGCCGTCTTTGGTCAGGCTCGACACCAGGTCGTTGTAGAACACTACTGGGCAAGCCCCACCGGGGATGACCACGATCGCAGGCTTGCTGGAAGTCGGGTTACCTTGAGCCATTCTGCTTGATGTTTGATGTTTGGATCGACGAAGAGGATTACGTGCGGTGTAGATACGAGACCCCCGGTGTGTTGCTGATGCCGCTGCTGGCCCGGGTAGGTAGGTGTATAGCGATATTTATTTAATGGCTTCTCAATCCCTCTCGCTATAGTCTTAGAAATCAGATTCGGTGCCTACCGCGTGGCTGAATAATGAATGAACAGTAATGTAGTTCTTCTATACATCTCGCCTTGTAGATATTACATATCCAAGTGCGAGAACGGAGTCGAAACGGCCGTGCTTGTACCCCATGTCAGAAGTTTACATGTTCTGACCATTCTTCGGATTGACGAACATTCATCCGGTCAGAATGACTCGGTGTTGAGGCTTCGCAACGGGACTTGAGAGCATCATTTCTCGTCTGCTGTTTAGTTTAGCTTTGGTAGTCACGCAAAGTATGCTGAGTTGAGCTTAAACTTGTTTGCTAACTGCGTAAGAAATGTTCAAGTTGTTTGACGTTGATCGCCTTCAAGGGGCAATGCTTCGGCAAGCACTCGGGTATCCAGTACTGCGGAGTGGAAAGCAGGTATGGCGCTTCCACACCATTACTGTGGTCCATCGGAGTGGCTGTCTTGTGCCCCGCTGTACTTAGGTTGACAGTGTGTAGTTTGTTCTTCCATGCCCAGGTGTGCACTGCGCGTATTGACCGGTAGTGATGCGACAGGTAATAGAAGCGACCGTGCAGCATCATCCCCGGTGTCACATTGAGGGTATTTCGAGAGACTGAAAGTGGCCAATCTGTGTCCGGGAATGTTGATCCCAAGATCAACTCACCGAGTCTGTCAGGGGGCGACCACAAGAAAAGATGATAATGTGACGTGCCTTGATGAAGCCATGCATATGTCACAGTCTCTTGAAGAGCCTCAAACTATTTCCACCGTATCTCAGCGGTTCTATATGTAAGCGATTCCCCCGTACTAACAATTTGGAGGCAGCCTTGTGATCGATACTCGGGATTCCGTGTACAGAGTTACATGATAGCCTGTCGACGCCGGATGCTCCGTAAAAATCAATGACCTGCTTAGAAATGGGATGAAGGGAGTGCTTTCTTGATAGGGGTATATTATGCTTCGGATTCACGAGGTATTCATGGTTTCCGAAGATTCATCATCATCATTCTCAAGCTGTCCATCCTCAGTCTGCAAATTGAGTCCCAAGTTAGTTGGGATTAAAGGAAGCTACACCAATATGAAGATCACAGACCCTGCCATCCCATTCGACTCGGTTGTCGTGGTTATCGGCGCAAATGGCTATATGGGCGTGGAAACCTGTGAGAAATTGCTGCAAGCTGGCTATCGTGTGAGAGGCACCGTTCGAGACATTCTGAGAAATCACTGGATGATAGAACTCTTCGAGAAACAATGGCCGGGCAAGTTCGAATTGACAAAAGTGGAGGAATTCACAGTAGAGGGTGCTTTCGATAATGCATTCAAAGGTGTGTTGGCTTTCCAGATGCCAAAATACCTAGCTTAAAGCAAGATTTGCTAACATCCGTTTGGACAGGTGCTTCAGGTGTGATATATGTCTCAACTCCCATCGTCTTCGACGCGGATCCCGCCAAGTCGATTGACCCGATTGTCAAGGGAACCATCAACACCCTGCAGGCCGCCGCCAAAGCTGGAGTGAAGCGTTACGTGTTGAGCTCCAGCTCCAAAGCGGTGGAGTCAACGATATACAACGTACCACATACTCTGACCACCGAGTCATACAACTACGAAGACCTCCGCATAGCACGCGAAGAACCCATCGTACATACCTTCGAACGCGCGGTGAGTGCCTACAGCGCTGGTCGGGCCGCCGCCGAACTGGCTTTCTGGGACTGGATCAAAACCAACAACCCCCCATTCACCGCCAATGTGGTTGTTCCAGATGGAGTCTTCGGTCGCGTACTGGGGTTCACTCAGCTCAAGGGAAACTTTAAGCTGACTACTTCGAGTCTCATGCTCAAGACAGCTCTGTCTGGTGGGCGCGAGGGGGTTGTCTCTCATGTTGGTAAGCATAAGCGTATATTTCCATGTGGAGGTTTCGTCTCACCAAGTCTGTGGCTAGGCTACCTGACCGACGTTCAAGACTCGGCACGGCTCTTGGTCGCAGCTGTAGCTTCAAAATCGCTGTCGAACGAACGTATTTTTGCTTACTACCTGCATTATACCTGGAACGACCTTCGGCAGCGGGTCCGTGAGCTTTATCCCGATCGCACCGACATTGTGACGGGCGATGATTACGAGGATTTAGGTCGGGATCTGGGAGATGCGGATGAGTTGATCCGAAAGTCGGAAGAAATCCTTCGCCAAATTGGTCAGGTTGGCTTCAACGATTTGGACGACATTCTGAGGGAATTTGTTGATTGCTGCTACGCTGTATGAAAAGTGCGGGCGGATCGGACAATACTCAGAGCATTAGTGCTAGACCTGGCCTCAGCGTGCCAACGGCAGCGTTTGTCTTGTCGAACACATTGACTGCACATTGCATAGCGCAAGTCGGGAGAACAGCCTGGTGAACCTTCCGCGCGCCAGGTCATGCTGATGTAACTTCTGGTTCAACAAGCAACAGAAAATATGTACAAATTCGCCAACACCCCAATATATAATGAACACTATGTAGGCTCAGATACATTCAAATACCCCAAACCCCTTTTCATGTGTATCACAGATGGTGCAACGAGGTGGCAATCCAAGCGTTTTTGCCACAATCCAGCGATGGTTTCGAACATGCCTCACAGGCTATAGCTGACAGTGGCATTGAACGGACATAGAACAGCTCGCGCGTATGATATGCCAACCCGGTATAGCGTTCAGGAGGGGTTTTTTTGCTTCATGGGTAAAGCTGTAGATCCAAGAGAAGACGTGCGACGTATCGAATCTTTGCAGGGGAGTAAGATTGGTTGGGCACATAACGCCGGAAGTCGAGGCTTCGTGTGGAATACTTGCAATACATTCATCATGTTCCGTAGTGAGATCCATAGTCTAGTCCGCCTCTGCTTCCGTAGGTAACAGTTCGGCTGGGCGCCTTCCCATTGCTTAGCGTCGGAGCATACGCCCAACGTAACGGAGTCAGAGGAGCGCAATGGGTTGACTGACTGCCAAAATCACAAACCAAAGTTTTGCTTGACACATTGATATTGTGTGGGATTTGTCCAATATAGTTGTTGACGTGATAGACAGTCTGTTGACCCAATGTTTTCGATGCCCATTGATATAGAGAGGGACGCTTGAAGCCGCTGAAGGTAGATGAGTGTGACAATTTGTCCATGGAGTACAGTGATGGAACTTCAGCTATGTTGATTTGAAGTACCTGGAAAGACGGTATTCCAATAGGTAGTGGTTTGTTTGCAGATATCAGGCTTTCCTTCCCAAGCAGATATCTTGCCTTCATATTCGCATGCCAGGTCGTGGAGGATGTCCCACATTCTACGCTCCAAGTCAAAGCCAAAGAAGCTGACCGCAGTCTGTTCTTCATCAAACCATATCCTGCGCAATTTACCGTCGGTATCTTTCGTTGGGCCTGTGGCACCAAAGGAAACATCGTCGAAGATAGAGGAAGGGTCGAGTTTAGGAAAGTTTGCGTGTACAAAAAGTGGACGTACTTTAGCATCCTGTTCAGCGCCGGTAGACTTGCTCTTGAAGTCTTCTACGGGGTCGAACTGTGCCATAGCTGAGCCTCGCCACTCCCTAGTCGTGGTTGTGTATCCAAGTGCTCTGACCGGCTTGCGAACTGAATAGAAGCTCTCATTAAATACAACAGCCGACCATAGGAACGTTTCCTTGTCGCCCTCACCAGGAGCCCCCTGAGATTGCAGAGGGTAATAAAAATCGGGCCCGTAAAAGTTGTAGTATATGGCCAATAAAAGAGAGTTCGTATGCTGTTTCTTTGAGTAGAAGAGCTCCCCAGATTCAGTTGCAGAGTTCTCCCAAGGCGCAGGTACTGGAATACCTGCTATCTCAAAGAACCGTGGACTTTCAGAAGGGAACCAGAAATCCGGCCAGCGGATCATCCCGGTCGATAGGAATGGTTCGGAGTCAAAATATATGTCTGGGTCGACAACGGGAAAGCAATCCGAGTCGAGGAAGAGTACCTGTTCGAAGGACGAGAAAACGATGGACATGACTTTATACTGATACTTGTCGATTCCCAAATTTGCTTTCGTCTTCGATGGATCAAAAATCTCCTCAAGCACAAGACAGCGAGCGTTGAGTGAGGGAAAAATCGAATCGCATACTTCCGAGTCCCACTCATCCTGAGAGGCAAGAAAGACTTCAACAGGTAGTTTTGAACCAGTACTGCGGAGCATGCGGATTGAAACGAGAGCGACGGGAAGGTATTGGCCCCCCGCGGTGGTAACTATGCCTCGAGTACTGGGTACGAACGGGAGAGAATACCCTGCGGTCTTCAAGTGCTCTACAAAATGTTGGTGAGAGGATCGCAATCCAGAAGCCTGCTGGTCGGAGAGTGAAATGCGATCAGGTCGCTGATTGCTATGATCAGAAGCATCATAACCAATGCTCAGATCATTGATTTCGGGGTGGTCCACTGGAAGACATTGGGGCTTATGCTGAATTATTTGTTGGTACAGAGGCTGCCAGAGAGCTCTTTGTGCATCAAGAAGCGATTGATTGAAGATATTATGAGAGTGTGGAGCCGTTGGTGTTGATAGTGGTGTTGTATCTAGAGCACGCAAGTTAAGCCTGTAGAGGGTGAAAAGCGAAACGACACAGCCGAGGAGTATGGACAAAAGAAGCGCAGAGCGCGGGAGTCGTTGGGCTGCTGAAAGCAGCATAATCTAAGACAAATCGTACATGGCCTGATCCGAAAAAAATATATAGAATAAGATAAACGAAGTTATAGTGGTAGATGTGATGCTCAAATGTGAAAGAAGTGATAAAATAAACGACACATGAGGAGACTGAGACTGCTACAAGACGAGGCTTGCGTTCTGACTTCTAGTTAAAGTTCCCTGCAAAGCCACCCTCAAGTGCAACGGGTAGCCTGATGGATAGGAGAAGCCTCCCTAGCTCCCTAAACTAAAGGTGAGGATTAGGGGTGGCGTTCCAACCCCTAACCTTGCTATTCGTGCGGCTGTTTCAAGCGGTCGAGTAGCTCGAAATGTTGATAGCATCCTCGACCGGGAAAAGAAACACTCTGTCTATAATGACTTCGATGCGGAATGCTATTGAACGCGAATCTCAGACAAAGAAAGAATGTTCGTTGTTCAAATTCCAAAGTTGGTCCTAACAAAAGACTTTACTTACCTGTCGTAGATGTAGGTATGCTTCCGGGGACTGGTAAGCCACTCTTACATAGCTCCCTGGGGCGTCCGATGAACGGTTCCGGGTGCCGATTCTAGGTGGGCGGCTAACGACCAGATCATTAAGGCGGCGAGGGGTCAAGTGTGGCGCCCCCATGACGATGACGTCGCCTCTCACAGGCAGGCTGCGACTATTCCAAACACTTCTTCCTCGTAGGAAGGAGCCAACCGTCCACTTCGCAACAGTCTCACTTCAAGCCTCTATGCCTATCACCTCACACAGCCGTTTGAAACCAGGTCAACTCGTATCAATCGTCCTTAAAGCAGATCATCGCACTGGCAAGCAGGTTCAAGGAACCGTTGCACAATTATTGACACGCCACGACCACCCCCGAGGCATCAAGGTCAAACTTAACGACGGGCGAGTTGGCAGAGTACAACAAATCCTCCCTCAACCCTCAAACCAGACATCCTCGTTCTCGACTTCCTCGCAGCGCAAGACCATGACTTCCAACAATCCATGGGCCGATGCGCCTTCACAAGGCAGCCCGTATGGCAACCAGCAGCAACCTCAGCAGCAAGGACAGGATCAGAGATACTATGCCAACTACAACCAACCACCCAACCAGCAACAACAAGAAAACCCATGGGGTCCTCCTCAGCAGCAACATGGCGGCCATCAGGGCGGATATAGCGCACCTCAGGGTCCGCCCCCATCCCACCACCAACAACAGCCGCACGGGCAACAACAGCAGATGCACCGTTCCAACACGGACCAAATGCTCGTGGGCAATGAAGGCGACCGCGCAGCTCAAGTCGAGCACATGCAGCAGTATGAAGCCAATGCGCCTCAGAGCGAAGACGACCGCAATCAAGCTGCGCTGCAGAAGCAATTCCCCAACATCGATTCCAGTCTGATTGCTGCGATCTACAATGAAAGGAAACCCGATATGGCGGAGGTCAGGGAGTTGCTTCAGGAGCTGAACTCTTGATTCAGGACCTGCATCATCCAGATCCTGTTCCAGGGTGACCAATGTATTGTGTCATACATCTTTTTGGAGCGATGAGAGAACCGGGAAATTCCTTGGTTTGAAGGTGGCAAAGAGAGAGTGCAGTGCAACACAGCGTTAGTAACGACGACCACGTATATGTATATTTTTAAGCCAAACGAGGATTGTCATGGCCTTCACTTCTTTTCGTTGCGCTTATGCCTTGTTCTACAGCGAGATTACGAATGCCCTAGCTACTAAGAATGGCTGAATGATCATATGTTCCTTGATTGATCATAACTAACGACTAGGACATGCCTTCCTAATGACTCATGTTCTAATTGGCATCCAGCCACACTAATAGCAGGACCAAACCAATCGACATTGAAATATGCCATACGATAGATATCTGTGGCCTCCCTCATCCAGCTCCCATCCCACGCTAAAATTGCTGCACAAAATAAATCATACACATAAAACATTTCTTTCCCCTCTGATGACGGGGCAAAGATCCTTCCAACACGCCCTGAAACTTGCATGATCATATCATACCAAAGGGCATCATGATACTCGTTGCTTTTTGAAAGCATTTCCGCCCTGGAATTTCCCAGCTTCTCGTTGTCGTTTTCGCTCGAGTTCTTCTTTCATGATCCTTTCCGCTTCGCTCATGGGCCGCTGTGTAGGGATTGACGGTGCTTTTTTGTTGCCTGATAAGGCGTTCTTCTTGGTTGTGGCGGCGAATACATTCTTCGGTTTACTTGTCGTAGGTGATAGGCCGAACGACAGAGTGGGTTTCGTGGATGGTTGTTGTGTTTTCTGGACGGCAGGTTCTGCTGTCGTCGTAAATGTCGTCGTAGTGGATGTGCCAGGTCCGGTGGATTTCTCCTTGTCCGACGAGGAGTCATCACCTTCAGTGAGTGGTGGACTAGGAGGTTTTTCAACGGCCGCACCATCATCAGCAGATTGCTTTTTCGCCCCAAAATTTAGTCGTATCTTCTCGCCGTCCTTCCGTCTGATTCCTTCACCGGATCCTGGCAAGTCATCATTTAGGTCTTCTTCATCCTCAACACCCGCATCCATGCCATCCCGCTTCGCACGCCGTATTTGCTCGCGAATCATTCTTTGCTCCAATTCCTCATCTCCACGGTCCTGGCGTTCTCGTTTCCTCAAATGTTCTTGCCGTCGTAGGGCTTCAGGGCTGTTGTCGATCCATGAGATCATCAGTCCGCTTGCGCCTGACCGACCCTCGTTCTTCTCATCCTCGTCCACGCGGCAAATGCCCTCTCGACCCAGATATTTGGCGAATTCCGTCAAACTGGACCACTTGGTCGCATTCATGTGTATATGTTGCTTGTTCGAGATGTATTCTTGGTAAAAGTGGTTCACATTAACCTTCTTCTCTCCATGGCCGGTCCGCAGCAGTTGAATGAAATCTTTCATGAACTGGTTGGAGAAATCGTTTATCGCCCTTCGCGGGTCCTCGCCAATTACCTGCATCTGACGAACGTGGGATTCGGAGGCAACGTGACACTTGAAGCCGTTCTCATCACGCATTTGTCGGGAACAAGCCTGGCAGTACCATCGCAACCGTTGAAGTCCTTTCGACTTCATCTGGTTGGCGATGTACTTGGTTGATCCGACTTCTGCTTTAGGCATCTTGATTGTGGTGCAGGGAGAAGGGATGAGAAGATTGGGAGACGGCTTTTCGAAGGTCCTTCTGTAGATGGAGCCGTAGAAGCGTCGAAGTAATGAGATAATTGTCTTGTCGTTGAGTGGGAAGTGGATTGTCAAGGACTGGATGGAGGCTGCGACTTCTGATATTGATAACTGACTACGGCGGAGTGGTGAGAGTGGCGGTTGGTAGTGATCACGTGGGAAGAGCTTACCTAATGGTGATTGTCGAAATACTAAAACGATCTCGTGCATTTGCTGGGTCATGAATGCCAGAATTAGAGGTCAAACCCCCCCAATCGGGTGAGTTTGGGATAAATAGCCATTTCAAAAATTTGACTTGCTGGATCAGGAAATCCCCAATATGGATGTGTCGGTGTCCTAATGCAGCAAATTAAGGGGTCGTTCGGCAAATTGACTACTGGCAGGCGCTGAATCAATTCATTACCTGCTTGCTCCAGACTTACTGCAAGGCGCGAAATGCATAGGGCTTTAGAAAGCAAATTCAGGGTTCGAAAAAGGAAACGCCCGGGATGCGCAAACATTCTAAAGGTGTCACACTGTATGATAACACCTGCAAACTCTCTTATTGAAACATGGATTGATCTCAAATATGCTGGAAAGGCAATATAAAAAGCCTTAGTATTACTCCTTGTTTATGGTATATCTCCCTATCCTATCTATGTTCGTTAAATTGCGCTGCTATATCCAATCCAGATGACAGCCATCCCTCTTGTACACGGTTTTGGAAACGAAAAATGGAAATCGTGACGCTCGACAATACTCCAAAGAGTACAATCAAGGCTTGCTAAGCTGTTCTTTGCGGTAAAACTGTAAAATTTATTAGTCTGAGAAAAGCATAGATTGCGAGATATGTTGACTTACCATGAAATAACCCACGCAGATGCTCAAGTTGGCAATGAGGCCGACCCAAAACCACGCAGTGAAGATACTTGCGAAACCGGTGCTGATGTCTGGACTGATAGGTCCTGGGCCGATATTGTTTGGTGCACATGCTCGAGCGACTATCGTGGCCACCGAACCCAGAACTTGGGCCATGATGAGAGTGAAAGCAACGTGTACTCGGGTTAGTGTAGCAAGGAGTATCATGCCTAAGCCGACACCTTGTAGTGCATCTAATGTGCCGAGCCACAGCCATAGAGCGCGCGAGAGTAGTGCTCCTGTCGTATAACTACCGGCCCAAGGAAGGTAAAGTCCAATATTGCTGGTTCCCCACCAGATTTGAGCCCAACGAGGCGCACCGAGACCGATGGCGAAGAGAGGAAGGATCCAGCTGTGAGACTTGGATAACATTCCCAAAATCCACAGGATACCAGCCCAGACACCGATAAAGAACACCGCCACGAGGATGACAACTTGCCAAGTAGATGTGTGGGGACTACTCCAAAGGAACGACCAATTGCGACCATAAGGGGCTGAGAGGAAGAAGTTCTGGATCAGGACGGTAGCGAAGAACCAAAGTACAATCTTACGTCGGCCGAGACTGGTGTAGAAGCTGGGCATTTTTCCAGGTGCCTGTCGATAGTAGGTAGGCAGACCAAACCACATGAGAAGGCCGACTGCCCACAAGAGGCATGCGATGGGCAATGTGATGGCGGTAATCTTCCATGAGTTCGTGATCGGGTCAGATGTAGCTAGTAGACTATTGGTCTGGGTCTTGTTGAGGTACGAACCCCAATACCAAAGAGCCACGACGTAGACTTGTTGAGTGCCCTGGATCACACAAGCACGGAAGACCCAGGCTTTGACTTGGGCACCTCCCTCGTCACCAAAGTTCAGCGCGAAGAAGATCGAACCAGACGAGGAAGCCATTGCGTAGAACGCAGTCCCAACGTTCTGAACCCATCCTCTCCCACTGACAGTCGAGGCATAGTGAGCCAATCCAATAAGGATAAAAGCCATACCGTAGAAGAAAAATGGTAGTGACAGGCAAAGAACTGAGCTAAAGCGTCGGAAGAGAATCCACCAGCAGATTGAGGTGGCCAGATAGATGGATGCAACCACATACAGTTTTTCTGCTGATTGACCCACTTCTCCGGTCAATAGAGTGATTTGATACGAGTTCGCTGCGATGATCTGACCAAATGCCATGAAGAAGGCATAGACTGGCCAGTCTCCAATCCGCAACTGCATCCATTTTCTCACACCGGTTGGAGGCACATAGTCTTTGCCGAGCAAGAATTCATCTCCTAGGTTGTTTTGGTCACTTTCGTGTCCCTCGCTGTCATGCTCGCTTTGTTCACCAAAAATTGAGGGTGCTGCGGAGGTCACACGCGATTGCTGAGCGCTTGGTGTGTAATGATGTCGGCCCAGTTTGGCATCACGGAAACTGGTGAACCAGGTCTTCTCAGACTTGACGAGGAACTCTTCAATACATGTGGTGGATTCAGAGTTGCCGCCATTGAGAGTCTCTAGTTTCTTTTCGAATGCTCTCGAAAACTCGCCACTGGTGTCTGTAAAAAAGGGATCGACTTTTTGCAGCTTGAAGTCGGTCTTCTCCCCTACAATCGAACTGATTGAAAGCATCGAGGGGGTGGAGGAGATTCGATTACTTCCGTCTCCAAAAGCTCGAGGAGGAGCAAGAAGGCCGGATTCTGGTCCAAGGTGAGGGGTTGGGGGAGTTGAGTGACCAGTATAAGGACTGATACCAGGCCTCTGTTTGGGGAATTGGGTCAGTTCAAGACCAGGAGTCCTCGAGTAGCCAAATGCCCCGTCCAAAGGTGGTGATTGTGACCCGTCACCATCCGCTGGCACGCGTTCATAACGACCCCGAGTTCGTGTTGGCATAGTAATGTGGTCATCTTCATCAAAATCACTATCTTCTGGATCAGAGGCATGATCTCCCTCATCGCCGTACCTCATCACAGCGGTACCAAGTCCACTGTCATCACCCTCCACATCAGGCACTGGAGACAGGACAGTTGGCAAACCTGACTCATCACCATCGTGTTGATCATGGACGATAACATGGCCCGGCCCTCTCCGGGAACCAAGGGAGGCCGACCTTGAAAGTCCCTTCGACAACTTGGAAGAGTCCCTGGGCGTGTGGGACTGTTCATCGTGGCTTTGTTCTCGACTGTGGCCGATGTTCTTGAGCCGTGCCGCAAGTGAAGACAAGCCTGCATGGCTTGAAAGTCTGGAATGCCCAAAGACGGGGGTCTGCAGACCTGATGGGGTAGCGGAACCAGACATGGCGGGGGTAGTCGCACCAGAAATTGGTCGTATCATGTCCCCTGTTGCCATATTCCTTTTCGATGCTTCGACTTTGTCGTGAATTTTGACGGCTGTAGACTGCAGAACTTCAAGGTCCTCAACCCAACTCGCGACTGGAAATCTTTGTAAGCTACTCCGAGCTCTCATCAAAGCACGAACTTCCGTCTTGGAACTCAAAGCTTCCTCAATCGCTTGCTTAAATTGGTGGATCAGATGTACCGTGGAAACACTCTCAACAGTGTACCACCATCCTGGCATTTGACCTAATCCACCGACTCTGGCACCAACCCCAAGAGCTCCCTTGCGACCGAACTCGACAGCCACCAAGCCGAAAGGCTCATCTCTAGAGGGAATCAAAGCAAACTCGGCGCCAGAAAAGATGAATGGCGGAAGCGCTGTGAAAACAGGCTTGGAGAAGACTCTTCCAGGATAAATTTTCATCATTTTGTCCAACTTCATGGCTGCGAACTTGCCGTACAGATCGATCACAGGTCCGATAGTAATCAACTGAGCATTTGGATTTGACTCGAGAACTGATGGGAAGACATCCGCAATCAGGTCAATACCCTTTTGCATGGACCAGCGGCCAACGAAGACGAACAATTCAGCTTTTGGATTCTGTTCAAGCCCGGCCCATTCCTGTGCCTGTCTCTTTAATTCTGGACGAGCAGCTTCAAAGACAGGATCAACATGGATGTCTTCCTGTTTTGGAAGCTTCTTGTCCCATTCACCGGTGTCAGAAGGATCGGGATTCGGTAGCTTACCGACCTTCTTGAGACCCCAGAAAATGGGATACCGAGCATAAGATCGCTTACCATACTTCTTGGATACACCAACAGCACCAAAGCCCTGTTGATGGACTCGAAGGTATGAAGCACCTGCGTGTAAAAGATTGAAAACCTCTCCGAATTGGACGTAACGTTGAACAAGCTCGGAAGAAAGGTTGAAAACAGAACAGACCTCCTCACGCTCACGCTTGGTACGCATGGGCCACAGACCCTGGAACTCAGCATTGTGAAGAGAAAGACATGCGGGAATCGTTCGAGGAAGAAGATATAGTGGTGCAATTGAGCCGTGATAGTCGTTGATATGATAGAGATCCACGGGGAATCTGTTGATAGCCTGAGCGATGCACTGGTTCCAAGCAGAATAATAGATTGCAGACGACAAGTCGTCCATTCTCGGTGGGTATGGCTCGCTCTTTGTCTGCTCTCGGAACACGGGTGCGTCCAGGAGAACATAGGTGATATTTCGCAGCACATGGTACTGAACTTGCACCTCATAGGGCTTACCCAGAATCGTGACAGTCATGGGATCAGCTCTGTTGTCCTCGGGGTAGTCGACACCTCCGACACAAGGCACCACCCAGATGAGATCTTGGTGTCCAAGGTTCTTGCCCATCAATTGAGCCATGACGCCCAGTCCGCCGATCTTGATCTTGATTTGCCAGTCTTCGATATCATATTCCATTGTGGCAATTAGTACCGTCCGACGTCTTTCTTGATTGATTACAAGGTCGGTGGATTGCAGGAACTTCTGTTTGCGGGTAAATTTGGCCATGATTCCAGAACCTGCCTCTTCGTCATGTCGCTTGAATTGTTTCTTGAATATTTCAGGGATCAAGTTTGCCTTCTCTGATATTCCGATCTCGTTGAACTTGACGCTGTAGAAGGACTGCATGAATGCCCAGACAGCAACGGCAGCCAAGAAAACCGGAACAACCCACAAGAGTATGTACAGAATCATCTGGTTGTACATGCTTCCCGAAGGTTGAAGAGCAAATCGCATGGTACCGTCATTGATGACGATTCTCCAGCCCAAATGAGGTTTTGGTGGGGGCTGGGTGATGTTGAGTACCACTGAGGAAAGGGAAGATGGTGGAAGCCGATCGAGAACGGAATCTCCATCTGCATCGCCAAGTACATATGTTTGATCGGGCTGGCCATCAGGGTTGACTCCCCAAACATTTATCTGCGCCAAAGTTCCTTTGAGGCTCCATTCAGTCATGAAATGATGCTCCCACGTCGAATTATCCGTCAATTTCATTTCGTTGTCTAGACCTGCGTCAAATCCATATTGATTGTATGGTCCGTTAAGGAATAGGTGAGGAAAGCGTCTTGGTGTATGACCATCTAGATCAGCTTGTTGAATGTGGTCACTACTGCCAGCGAAACGACTGAAGTATTCGACGCGTACATGAGTGCCTTTCCACTTCTGAAGCTTAGTACCAGACCAAGGTTGTTCTTTGATCTCCGTCTGCCCACCCTTGTATGGTTGCCAGTCTGAGAAAGAGGAACCCCAGTTGGTTGAGTATCGCCATTGGTCTGCACCAGCAGCAGAGTGAGAAAGCACCAAGGAACCGGAATCAGTCTTGGTGAGAAGTGTAGACGAATAGTTCGCACTCTTAGTGAAGACTATGGGATTGTCAAGCTGACCGATTCTGAACAAGAATTTGTCCACGGCATTGGTATGTTGGTCACCTCCTTCGCTGGTCGCGTTTCGGACGATTATTGCGTGAATACCATTGGCCACTCCATTCAGGCGAGCGGACCATGACCAAGTTGATGATATTGCACCCACATAGTCAGGAGTTTCAGGGTTGCTCATAACATTGCAGCTGACACTGTCAGTATCAATTTCAGGGATGATTCCAGACTCGGTGGTGGAATTGAGCACAATGCTGTTTGTGACACTGTCACAGCTCATTTCAACAGAGAAGCGCAACTCAATCTCGACGGATTCAGTCTCGTTGGCGCCAACAGTAGACTGTATTCGGACGTCATGACCAGGGCTGAATTTGGTAATCATGGGTTTTGGACCAACCCATTGATCGATAGGCACATATGCACGATAATCGTATGCTTCCATATCTAGCTTTGCCAGACAGCCATTTGATAACTCACTTCCATTGATGCCCAACGAATGGACGCTTTCGAGTAATGTGTGCTCATCGTATGGATGAAAAAGATTCTTAACAGTAGTCCCGGCGTCAAAGGGAGAGATTAAGCTTGTGGTGTTCAGAGCAGTGTCGTTATTGTTGCAATCGAATTCCCATGTTCGTGAATCGTTGGTGTTGGAATATAACAACCAGATTGGCAGGTTCCCCGCCCCAGTGCCACTGAGGTCTTGGTGTCCAGGAAAGCCGGATCGAAGGACTGACCACATGCCAGTTTCTGTAGTGACTTTGCCAGAGCCAGGATATTGGACTTGCTGTGTTTGATTCGACAACTGTTGGAGGAAGAAACCATCTTGAAGAACTGGAAATTGGTCTCGAAGCTGGTTCATGTGGTGGATGATGTTGCGAACTGGGTGTGACGGGTCTCTATGGTCGAATGACACGGTATCGTCGTGACATCCACGACGAGCTGCATTAAGCGGCATTCGGTAATACTGCGTTGAATCGAGGTTATAGCAACCATGCGTTTGCCAGGCAGTAGCTGAGGACATAGCCTGCCGACCAAAAATGTAGTTGGAGGCAGTATTATCAAGGACATAGAAGGCCTGTTCCTCACCCCATAGAAGGAGCGGGGCTCCAGGAAGTTCGATGGTTGTCACAAAATGTCCCAATAGCTGGCGCTGAACACCGTTTGTGATCGCAGGCCAGCGAAAGACATCCTGATTCGTGACTCCAAACATATGTCGAGGATCAAATTTGCCAGTGTTGGGATTGACGAAGTCATTGGTCAACATGAAATCGTTCCACATATCTACCCAGTTGGGTGGTGCATCGTATCCTGCTTCAAGATTGCCGTCCATACCAAGGAAACGAGTGAGTGTGCGATAGACTGTATAGTGAAAGGCGCCAGAATCAAGACCTCCATGTTCTGGGGCTCGTAGGAAATACTTGTCATCAGAATTGTTGGTCATGGTAACCGCCGCAGTTAGATTATCCGGAAGCATGTCAGGTTGTCGACCACGGCCAATGAAAAGACTTCCGAAAACATTACCACCAGTAATTTCTCCAGGTAGGAAGAAGTTGTCTTTGCCATGACGCGCAGCACATTGACGCATCGCTTCATTCATGAAACCCATGGCTTCAACAGTACTTTGTGTAGCCTTGTCATATCGATAGCCATCGATGTCAAGCTGGGCAATCAACATGCAGTAAAAGTTCTCCAGCTTGCGTCGCACAGGCTCGTGCCATTCACGTAGACGATCCTGCACGGATGCAAACTTTGATAGTTGACGACGCCAGTCAGGGAAAACACCAAACGCTTCTGTGTCTCCATACTGATCGAAGTCACTGTCATAGCAGCCGACCATTGCTTTTGTTGTTTCTTCGTCGACTGGGTATCCTGTTTCGAGCCAGAACTTGGGATACTGGCACGTCTTGTTATAGTTGTTGCCAATCTCGAAGTCGTAGTATTGACGATTTGTTTTCCATTGAACCTGATGTTCATCAAGGCTGAAAGGGGTGGTGGCGTTAAGGTAACCATTGAATCCGATGAGATCTCCGAGTGTCGCGAATGTGTTATCCAAGACAACATACATACTTCTCGCATGTATCTCCTCGATTGCCGTTCTCCACATCTGGATATTACCGAAATGTTGGTCGAGGATAGAGAGGTCAAGAGGGGAGTACTGGTCATAGCCCCAAGGACTATTGATGAAGGGTGACCCTGCGATATACAAGCCCTGCCTAGGTTAGTATGACAGTGATGATTGAAGGACCTCGACTTGCCTTTACGCCCATGCCCTGTAAGTAATCTAATGTGTCCACCAAACCTTGGAGATCGCCACCATGTCGCATCTGGTTTGAATTGGTGTCATGTTCGAAGCTGGTGCCATTGATATTATCATTGGAAGGATCCCCATTGACAAATCTGTCTAAGAACAAGGTATACCAAGGGAATCTCCAGTTCTCTGGGGAAGGTGTGTATGTGTGGCCGGTCCACTCGCCCCAGTAGTCGAGCGGATCGGTAGCGGTCTTGTTCTCGTTAAGATTATATTGCACATAGGCCTCATCGTATCGGAAAGCGCTGCAAATTGTGAAAAAGAAAACGTAAAGAAACAGTATAAGGCTCGACATGATGAAACGATTGGGATGATTTGGGGTCAATAACGAAAGGTCGTGCAAATGCAACGGGCTTGAGCGAGTGTATGCAACCAACGAAGGTGCTAATAGTTGTAGATTATCGAGGGATAAAAGCAATCTCGAATTGAAGAAGGAAGAAGGAAGAGAGAACCAGTATTCGTACGGACGACCTGATCGAAACCCCTAGTCTTGATCTTTCGGGGTATGGCTTACCATTGGGAACTTTGAGGATCCCAGCGATGCTAATGCAGGTGCAGCTTCCTGTTCAGGGTTCTGCTGGGAATGAAAGGTACGGCTTGAGCCATAAAAATTGTGGCTTCATATCACAGCAGGCGTATCATCCATCATAGCTGACCACAGGTGGAGCGACTTATGAGACACGATAAGCCTCTGCGTTGCCTGCTGCGCCGTCTCTGTGCCATGGATCCTTATGCAGGAAGGGACTCCAAGTAGGACGGAAGCTCCTGTTCCATGAACGGCTGAGATTCCCATTCATCTGTGTTGGGTGGCCCACCAAGATTCATGGGCTTCTGTGTCAAGATGGAGTGAATATGCAGCAGGCACATGGTATGGAAAGTGCAGCAGAACTGTTGGATGTCGAGCCCACTGGCTCCAGCAGACTCCACCAGAGGAACAGAGAATTCACAGCTACAAGGCTACTCAAATTCTCCTGCACAAGATTTTTCCAGCGCAGTAACACCGAAAAGGCGGATGACGCCGTGGGTATTTTCGTGGCAGGTCTCATCGTGCTTGCCTCACATATCGAAACCAACCCAACAAGCTCAGATGTTGGTCAGCTAAATTTGGAGGGGCGGCAAGGCTGGAAGTATCAAGCGCCTCCTTTGAGTTGTGTGAATACCAGGCATGGTCCGCTTTTCTCCCAGGATGTAGGAAGTATGCATCAAGTGCTCCATCCCAACGGCGAGTTGTCTGACACGGTCAGGAGTGTCGCTTTTTGGCAGGGAGGCACAACACTCACATGGCATGAACTGATGTCAAAATCTGGGTTTAAGCCTCTGTTCGTGTTCATCCATGTTGGGCGCACTAGATGCTGGGCATACATTTTGCCAATCATCCAACATGGAAAGATGTAGCAAACCTTAATTTTGCTTGATAATGGAGTGTCTCACAAACACCCTGCCTGTACCCATGTCAGCAGCATCGTCATAGTGGGCAACATAATTCAAGCATCTCTGTGACTGATTTGATTGAAAGTCGGCACAAGGACAATGTTCAAGTTTGTCATTAGCCGAGAAACCCGACCTCGATTCTCGCTAATCAATACATATCCCAGCAAACAGTTGCTTGTCCCTTGATGGAAGAGGCTTCGAAGTTCCTAAGCCATCAGTAACTTTTCCGAATGTGGAGCAAGAATGATTACGAGCGTCCACGGTTGCAGGTTTCAGTCATGGATGACGAGTCCCGAGTACCTCGTACTAGTAATCCAGATAATATCGACAGGTCGCAAATGAAATCCCTCGGCATAGTCGGGCTGTGAGTGGCAGGCGACATTATCTCTTTCTGGCAAAAGGGGACCAGATGTGTATCTGGGAAGACGGAAGGAGTTTGGTGGAATACGAGAATGGCATGCACCTGCATGATTAATTTTGATGCAGGCACCAACCGTCTATTCCAACGTTGGGGACAGTACTCGGTATGGAATCTGAATCGGATTGATCGCGCGACGGAAAGCAAGGTTGTGTATGGTTGATTTTGGAGGTTGGAACAAACACAAAGGTGCCAAGGCGGCACTGATCTTCGACTAAATTTTCGCGCGAATGCACGCCTGAGGGACCCCTGCAAGTCCCTGTCTTATCGTTAAAGGCGACGCCGGAAAACGCCCCTGCCGTGTCGGTTCCCAGAGTTGCAGCGAACTTGCAGGGCTGCTTGACCCATGACCTTAACTATCCGTCACTAAAAGGCGGCCTTCCTTCGGCTCAATCCTGGCTGTGGTATCCGGCCACTCCACAGGGCTTGCTCGTTGTGGTCTCATCACCACACGCCACAGCCCAACACTCCATATTTGGGTCAAAGTGTGATTGTTTGGTACTGCTTCGTGGAAAAAGTCAAACATGTTTTACACGTGTATCCCTCATCCCTGGCACAAGTTACATTGCCCTGAGTAACGTTCGAACCACCATTGGTGATCTGCTGCCTGTCCCATCATTATCTGAAGCGCCTTCAGGGTTGAGCCCGCGCACGGATATTGTTATCCACCAGAGAACCCAATGTTGTCTTGCATATCCAGTAGCAATGTTTTCATCCCACCCGAGGTCATCCCAGCACGTACAACTATGAGTACAAATATCCGGTACCTGAATTGCAAAAATAGCATCAGCGCGAGTGATTGCCCCTGGCCGTCATAGATAAAGTGCTCCATGGCGTTGGCTAGAACCGCTTCGCCATTAGCGGTATCTTGCCCCCTGTTCGATGCACATGCTCGAGATTTTCCACAGGATTATCTCAACAATCCGTTTGCAAGCATTCGCAATCCCTATGCAAGGGTGAACATGTCCACATTGCTCGGTATTGCTGGACTGAGGCCTCTGAAAAACAGCACCTGGTGCCTTTGAAAGGATTAGCTGGTGTCCAATGTGGATGCCCGTAAGGCTGTAGACTGGGCTGGGATTTGCCTCATTGAAAGTGGTCGAGACAGAGTCACTGACCACTTATCGCACACCTCACTTGCCCAGAATGGCGAGTTGACGTGATCCAGCCATGGGTGACAGTGGGTGACAGTCCAAAGCCAATGCCACATGCTATGATACTGTAGATCCAGACGACCGGGTCATGAATTCCAAGCACCAGGCTGTTGGGTCGAGACAAACCCCCTCAGACTTTTATCTCGCCCCGAGTACAAGATAAACTCAGCGCACAGACATGATAGAGTGAGATCGTAGCTGCGCACGGTCGGTGTTAGGAAGAACCGCACAGAGGTCGACCCGGGAGATAGATTAGCTTGGAAATTTTTTGGTTGCGGGCGTGGTCTTAGAAGCTCACACTGGTGTGCCGGAGCCTGGTGATCTGTTGTTCCTGTGACGCCCACGTTATCGGTGGTTTGGACTCCGTGTTCACGAGCTGAATGCCTAGCTTTAGTCCTGCAATTGTCCTTTGCAATATCATGTCCACGAGTTATCACGTAGTCAGATCGCTTCACTCCACCCAACTGTAAATGGCCAGCGACCATGCTGCTCCGCATTAATGCCAACGATATGTCGCTCTTCCAGATTGGATCGCTCCAAGGGATCTTCGAAGTGAAAGACGAACTGTTGTGCTCCAGAATTCGCAAACATGTTCAAGAGTTCGAATATCTTTGAACTTCAGAGACCAAATCACTCCAGAAGTTTTCGGACTACATGATAGTCCGACATCTCATAGTGACTGTAAATAGGCAGGTGGAGATCTTAGTGTCTCGCAGCTCTCTGGCTCGAAGCTCCATCTTTAAGACATCGCCATGACAATCCGCGCCTTCAGATCTCTCTGCAGGTATGAGTTTGAGGAGGTCATGTAATCTTGTGGGGCTTCATATTACTAATAATGGCTTTCTTTGAGTCGTGGTCGATATGGGCCGGTCATACCCCCTTAAATATTGCGTGTCTTGCATGTCACTGGGCTGTCATCGAAATCTAGAGGGGGATTAGGTGACCACTAGCAACATGCCTGAAAGTGTATTCTCACTTCATTTAGCACGATTAGATATCCAATTATCGCGAGCACAGGCACCTGTTCAGGTCCAGAGCAAATACACCAACAATTACGATCTTTAGAGTTGTGAGAATTGGAAGCAGACAGTCAAACTCCTGAGAAGCATTCGGCATGTAGCGCAAAATGTCGTCCAGATCTGCGGCTATGATCCGCCGGAATCGATAAGCGAACGCGGAAGTTGCAGCTCCAGTTCATGCTCGCCAGACATTCAAAGTACCTCCAGCCAGTCTGTGGCTGGTGGTGAGGATCAGGATGAGGGTGCGTAGTTCGGGTCTCGTCTCGAGACTAGAAGCAGCTCTGAAACCCCCGAAGCCTCATCAAAGACATTCCCTACAATGCTTGTCCCCAATTTCTCAAAGGAGAGGCTTCCGCAATGACTCAACGCGAACCCCACGAGCCACGGACTTTGCTTTCGCGTTTGAGTGAGTAATCCGGGACCTAGACGTTCATACTCCTATGCTCCAGTCAGTCTCAAGAGAGCATCATCTGACCATGATACTCTCGCAGCATAGACGGTGTCCTCGTCCGCAGCGCCAATCCCATTCCCTACGCCTCCCAGACACTGCAATTCCTCCAGCGAAACTCCATCCCCTTCATCCTGCTAACCAACGGCGGGGGCAAACATGAGTCTGAACGTGTCAAAGACCTATCGTCGAAACTCGACGTCAACCTCGAGACCTCAATGTTTGTACAGTCCCACACACCGTTCGCAGAGCTTGTCCACGGCGAGAAGAACCTGCGGGACAAATGCATCATGGTAGTGGGCGGCGAGGGCGGACGTTGCCGCGATGTCGCAGAGATGTACGGCTTCACCAACGTCGTCACACCGGGAGACATTTACTCAGCACACCCAGAAATTTGGCCGTTCAGCAAGCCGTTCTTGAAAGACTACTACTCCTCTTTTGCCCGCCCACTACCCAAACCCATCAACTCTACATCCCCCGAGGAAAGTCTCAAAATCGACGCAGTCTTCGTCTACAACGACCCACGAGACTGGGGACTTGATCTCCAAGTGATCCTTGACGTCCTGCTGTCCCGAGAGGGCATCATGGGGACATATTCGTCCAAAAACGGTGACCTCTCGCTGCCTAACTCGGGCTACCTCCAGGACAACCAGCCGCCACTGTACTTCTCGAACCCGGACCTGTTGTGGGCGGCCAAATACCATTTGTCGCGCCTCGGACAAGGCGGCTTCCGCGAGTCTCTCGAAGGCCTCTGGCGCGCCGTCACTGCGCATTCCCACGGCTCCAACACCATCGCGCCAGAATTGTACAAGACCGTCATAGGAAAACCGTACACGGAGACGTACTCGTTCGCAGAGAGCCTTCTACTACGGCATCGTGATTCATTGTTCGCTAAGGAAGGTGCCTCGACGAGCTTGAAGAAGGTCTACATGGTGGGCGACAATCCAGAAAGCGACATCCGTGGGGCGAACAGCTACGATTCGCCGCACGGAGTCGAATGGGTGAGTCTGTTAACCAGGACCGGTGTGTTTCGAGATCGGCCGGGCCATAAGCCGACGTGGGAGCCGAGAGCCATCGTCGATGATGTACGAGCTGCGGTGCAGTATGCATTGAAAGACAGTGGGTGGGATCAGCAGCCTTTGGAATAGAAGGAAATCACAGATGATAGCATAGAAATGACTTAGCTCCCCAGGGATAGATGATAAAGAATTCACATTCAGTGATTCTAGCATTGGTCATCAGCTGTATATCCCTCGTAGCAAACGTCAACGAGGATCTCTTTCCTCATCTACACGAAATCAAAAACATCACCACCGCGATCATTGATGAGCCGACCGACCCTTTCGGTCCCCACGATCCTTTCCAACTTCATCGCATCCCACTTGGAGAACAAAGCGCGGATAGCTCCTTTCCCCTTGCCCGGGACCGCAACGCTTCCACCGTCACCACCGCCCGACTTCGCCCTCTCCGAACTCAACGCCAACAATGAAACCAACTCCGACCAGAAGATCGGATTCTCGGGTACGCCGTAGAACACAACCCGCTTGACGCCCTTCAGCCGGTATCGGAAATGATGGTGCGCACGCTCCGAGTACAGCAGCAGACTGTGGCGACCGTTGAGGAAGTGCGAACGCGCGCGAAGGACATCCTTGCGCGGCGTGTACTCTGAGATCGAGCCGAAGGAGAGGTTTGTCGCGTCTGGCGAGGTCGAGAGGTAGTTACGCAGCCGGACGAAGTCGAGGTATGATGGGACGAAGAGCAGGATGCCTTTTTGATGTTTCGGGTCTCGGAGGATGGGTGGTAAGATGGTTGTAGTGAAGGTCTTGAAGCGCTGGTCGGAGTCTTGGAGGGCTGTGGTGGAGGAGAAACGAAGGAAGGTCTGGGGGACAAGCATCGGGAGAAGGGATGAGATGGTGAGCATGGCGCCCGGGTAGCTGGGCTGGAGCTTGACTCGGCCAGAGAGGTTGTGGAGGTAGGTGGATGCCAGAGCATTGATTTCAGGGGTAAGGTAGTCGGAGAGAAGGATTGTCTGGCGGAGGTATTTGGCTTGCCCTTCAAGATACCAATGACGGACTCGGGAGAAATCACAGCCGTGCGAGTCCTTTGGTAGCAGGTTCATCTGAGAGAAGAGGTAATCGACATGTTGCCAATTCTGCATCTGAAGAGCATTTGCATGGTCGACAATAAGGACCTCGATGGACGAGAGGAAATCTGCATCGTGAGTCTTCTTTTTATCTTTGCCGCCCCCTCCAGTTGTGATCGTTCGCATCAAACCTAACGGAGATCCAATGATGATGTCCGAATTGTAAAAGCCCGAGAAGTATTTGATGGTTTTTCGGGTGAATTTGAGACCGATGCGGAAGTCTTCTTCATGATTGCCACCAAACAGTTGACGGAAGTCTTCTGGCTTATCCTGCCATTCATTCTCGTTTTCTTGAGAAAACGTGTCGAGAAATCTAGCTTTGTTCTCTTGTTGATCAGGCTCGCTGAGTTTGACTATGCTGTCCACAATTCGAACACACGCCTGCTTGGTAGGAACCACGATGAGAACTTTCGGTCGAGTGAATCCCTGATCTCGAATGTCCAGTACTTCGGATCCGGTCTGGGTGCTGAGTTTAGTGTTGTTCTTGAGCACTCGATCCCTTGTTTTCAAAACGTGGTTTAATGCGTGTAGACATGACGTGTCTCGTAGTTGAGCTGTGTTTCTGAGTTCCCGGCACCCATTAACGACGTCCTTGTAATCAAACATATCCGCCGCCATATTTCTCTGGTCAGTTGACAGTGCTGAGACGACCTTGGTGCCTTGATCAATGAGTCTCTGCTTCAAGAACAAATCTTTTGCTGATTTGACAGCACGGGAAATGTGCGTTTCTCCAGTGCGGGACAATTGTGTCCGACGTATTTGCGACTCAGATATCGATGATCGAGTTTGCCAGTCTTTTTTCTCGACCTGTGCTGCGGCATCCTTGACCACTTGTTCCGTCATAGCAGCATAGTGTTGCTCAAAGGGATCACTCATGATATGTTCTTCATCCTCAGAGTCCACTTCATCGTGTAGTCCGTCTTCTTCGTCCTCATCCTCCTCGTCTTCAGCATCTTGTAGTACCTCACCGTCTTGGACTCTTAAGCCCGCACCCTTGGCTGTAACCTGCGAATTTGTGGTGCTATTTTTGCTCGTGGTGATCGATTTCGTCTCGACTGAAGTAGGTTCGGTTCTTGCTTTCTTCCTTGGGGGTTCACTATCGGTCGTGCGAGCGTTCAAGGACTGCAGGAGGGCCAAGTAGGAGTTTGTCGCTGGAGCCTCATCCTCATCTTCATCCTCGCTGTTGGATTGGGCGCTGTCGAGCCCTGCGTCGTCTTCTTCCTCGTGGCCCGTGGACGCTTCATCTCCAGAGTTGACATCACCAGACGCTGGATCATCTCTATTCACGTTAGAAGAGTCAACAAAAGACGCATTATTGCAAGCGGAACTTACTCTTGTTCTTGTAATCGTGATGTCCTGAATGTCGAGCGGGCGTTCACCGCACCCCTTCCCCTTCCCCTTCCTCTGCCCCGACCCCCTCCGCGATGAGCTGCAGTACCTCCTCTCCTTTGACTCTGCGCAGGCATCTTGCAGTCGAGTTGAAGAGGATGGCACGACACCAGACGTCTCTTGTACTTGAATAGAAACTTTTATTGCATGCGGAGGAAGTAGTTGGAGAAAAATCCGCATCTTATCTTATCGTTCGCTAGCGGCATTGAGCCTTGCCAAGGCAGCCTTGTCCCGCCTCCTTTCATTGTTCAGCCTGATGAGATCTCTTGTTCATAGAATTTACAAAAGAGTAAGGTTAGCCGACAGATTTGCCAGATTTGGGGACTGTTAGACATCGCTTTGGATTTCAACAAACGCTTGTAGAGTATGATTGTGAACTGGAATACAATTCACGTCAACTTCCTGCCAACTCAGTCGTTTGATATCTATTTCTGACGCGAAAACAGCCTCTGGCGCTCTGTCCGTAACTGCGGGCCGATATGTTTCCTCTTGAGGCAAGGACACAGTAGCAAGTGCGAGGCTCTTGTCGATCTACATTAAAGGCACTTTAATCCTAGTGAGCTTCAATGAGGTGTGGCTTTCCCATCGCATCAGAGGACATCAGAACACTAACTTGCTACAACGTTGCGTGCAATGACTATATACAAAAACTCGTGGATAATGGAGTTCAAGTCAATGTTGAACTTTCTGATTGAATTGCAGTTCAGCTATGTTGGTTGATGTTTGGTAAGCTTTGAAGACCTTTCTGTTTTGCGATCTCAACGCCTTGCTTGAATAATTTGATCCACCTTTGCATTTCGAAGCCACAACTTCATCAATATGTGACACAGTTCTTTTCCAAGAGATCAGCATGCTGATATTTGATTTCTGTGCAATGTGGTTCGTGCAGAGTATGGTTTTGGTGATTTGTAATGACTGGCCAGCCCATTAGACCATGTCTGCAGCTTCTTCAGGCGTGAGAAGCGAGCTATCAGAGACATCGACAAGAGCCACCTTGGTCTCGACCTTGGCTTTGGCATCATCATCATCCCCCTCCTCACTGGCTTGATCATCTGCCTCGTTCTTGACGGTTTCCTCATTCTTAACGGCTACATCACTCTTGGGAGCGGCTTTCTTCGACTTCGTGGTGGCTTTGGCAGGTTCCTCGTGGGCAGTGTCATCTTTGGGAGCCATCTTCTTCGTCTTCGTTGCAGGTTTGGCAGGCTTCTCGTCTGTAGTTTCGTCCTTCGAAGCAGCCTTTCTAGCCTTCTTGGCAGGTTTGGTAGGTGCTTCGTCAGCAGTATCGTCCTTGACGGCCGCCGCCTTGCGTTTGTTGGTGGTCGACTTGCGAGTCTTGGAGGCTTTGGTGCTCTTCAAAGCAGGAGACGGGGCAGCGGTGGCAGGATCATTATCGTCGTCAACTTCGCCATCACCCTCCCCATCAGGCAAGGTAACACGGCCGCCCTCGAACTTGTAGCCATGCTTCTCCACGAGACCTTTGAACTTTGATGCACTACCGATCAAGTCAGTACGTGGTTCAAGAGATCAAGCTCGAAATCGAGATCGACTTACGCGTTCTTGCCATATCCGATACCGATTTCTTTCGCCACACTATCCCAGGCAGGCTTGACAGATTCACAGTTCTTCATGACGCTGAGGAATACCTTTATGGCGGCAGTCGTACCGTCTTCGGCTACCTTGTTAGCTTTGGGAGGCATATTGAGAGATCTCTATAACTGTTAGTTCCATGAGTGAGAAGATTCGAGGCTAGGCGAACCGAGAAGATTGAGTAGTAATGGCTTGAAGAGTGGGTTAGATAGAGGAGGATGAATCAAAGTACGAAGAGAGAAAGAAGTCAGGTAGAGAGAAGGAATTTTCGGTGAGAAGGTGTGAGAAAGAAATTGAGAAGATGAAGGAATCTTTGAGGTTCACTTCTGTAGCATCAGAATAAAGTGAAGTGAAGTGAATCTTTCGCGTATTGCCCGCCGAAATCGATTCACACCTCATTTAGATCTATACGAAATTTCGTGAGGACAAAGCCATTCAGATCGTGCACATTTCCGACTTGCACACAAACGGCGAAAGGTTAGCCATGTACTACTTTAAGCCACCATTCTTATTTTTGCTGTATCCAGCTCTGCCTCCTCTATCCTGTTGTCTCCCCAATCCAGAATTCAGTGTTCGGAGTACTTCAACATGGCCAGTAGAACTCACAAACAAGAGCGGAATCTACGAGCACGCAGGAGCCTTCACTACTGAAAACATATGTACGAGGCCAGACTCAATCAAGCTCATGTATTGAAAATGTTATACCTCTTCGATGCTTGCTTCTAATTGTAGCCAATGTCATCAGGATCTTGCCTGGACATGTCAACACCGTAGGTTTGCTTAATACGAGACTCGTTTCGACCTCCATGGTGTGTTGACCAAATTTGATGCTCAGTAGTCCACCATCCTCGCAGTGCAAACCAGACGGGTTCAACTGTGCTGGACTTTCGGCCAGGAGCACTCAGGTACCGGGTTCCACAACTCCGTCCTCAGCAACAGACTGCTCATCATCCACGTGCTCATTCTTGATAACAACCTGACCAGAATCGACCTCGTCATCGTTTGGCTCTGTCTTGATACCCTTCGGAGCAGCCTTCTTGCTTGGTCTGGCCTTGGTGATGACAGATTTTTCTTCCACATCGTCTGATGCCGATCCCAAGCCGTTTTCACTCGCGGTAGCATCAGCCATCTCACTCGCCTTGCGCTTAGTTCCGCCACCACGAGGTTTTTTAGTGGTGCCAGCACCAGCAGCGGCACCGGCGCCAATACCGGTATCTCCAGCTCTGCGAGCACGGCCGACACCACCTCCTGCCATTCCCCACTTCTTCATGATTCCCCAATGGCGATGATAGCTAAGAACAGTCAGTTACCATAAGTCTACCGGATGGATCGCAAGCAGCACAATCGACTTCCTTTGGGATGTAGAGGACGATGGTAAGAGAGCGAATGGAACCTTACCAAGCGTTAGCGCTCTTGGCACCAAGTTCCTTTGCGACTTTGTCGAAGTCGGGCTTTGAGGTCGGCGGAGAGTGTTTGATGCAGGTCATGATGAATTTGAAATCCTCATCGGAAGTCTTGGGAGCCATGATGAACGGAGAGACTGATGGTTGTAGTGGTTGATGCTGTGGAGGGATTTGTGGTGGCTGTCAAGAGGACTGAAAAGTAGTAAAGCTACTCGTCTTGATGTTGTGATTGAAGAGGAACCTTGATACTAATTCGGCAAGACGAGAAAATCTTTCGGATCAATAGAATGGATGAGGTTGGAAGGAGAGAATGGAGGATGCCCAGGATACCTTTATAGACGAGGAAGAAGGGAAGATTCAGGTTCACATGCGAAGCTATCTGTGAAAGGCTAACAGGGGTAGCAAAAATGAAGTGAAGTCGGTTATGAGAATGAGATTGGGTATTCAAGGCCGTGCAAAACTCACTTCTGGTAGTGTATACAATAAAGGTGGAGAAGAGAAGGTGAAATTTGTAGCTCTCATTTGGTCGATCTTGATTGTATGATCGTCTGAGCATGTGATTCTGTCGCTGCCTTGACTTTCAGCGCGTTGAGAGTTATAGAGACTGTATGACTATGGTTCTCGCGATTGCCTGGAATCCAAAGAATACCCAAACTACCTAGAACCCCCAAAGTCTCTCAATTCTCTCAAGTCTCCCAAAGCTCCCAAAGCTCTCAAGTCTCGACTCATGTGCGAAAAGATTCGGGATGTTTGCGCCAGCATAATAGACTATCTTATCGGAGTGTGTTTGCGAAGGAGCAACAAGGAACAGCACTCAAGGTAGATGGCGATCTACTCCTTCTCGCTGGCCTCCTCATCTTCCTCATCTTCATCGATTGAATTATCTCCATCCTCATCATCCTCGGCCTTGGCATCCTTCGGATTCATTCGCATACCTCCACGCATGGGTAGCTTGGGCTTGACGACTGGCTTCTCCTCGGAGTCCTTGTCAGCGTCTTCAGTCTTGACCGCCTTGCCTTTGGTGGCAGCAGCGGCTTTTGGAACAGTCTTGGCCTTCTTCTTCTTTGGTGCTTCCTCCTCGGCCTCATCATCGTCTTCGTCCTTGACAGTTGCGCTGGATTTCTCAGGTGCGGCATTCTTCTTGGCAGGTGCCTTGCGTTTGGCAAGAGCAGCCTTGGTTTTGGTGACAGTGCCTGCGGCAGCAGCATCGCCAGTAGTATCTTTGTTGGCCCATGCAGCACCTTCTTCGCTGAGCTGTTTCATGATTGCACGGAATTTGTTGCTGTTTCATATTAGCATGGTCCTCGAATGAGACATTTGGGTAGGGAGGGAGTAGGTGACAGCGAGGTGTGACCGAACGGGGAAGACTTACGCAGCGCCACCAGTGCTCATACCCATTTCCTTTGCCAAAGCCTCGAAGTTGGGATTGACCTTCTCTTTAGCATGCTTGATGCAAGCAGCGAGGAAAGCATCGTTCGAGACCGTCGTCTTACCTTCAGCTTTTGGAGGCATGATGAGTGAAGGGTTGATGGATGGAAGAACGGGTATGATGAAGAGGGAAGTCGATAAAGAGGATGGGTGCAACGAAGAGGCGAAGAAGTCGATGTGATGTGATGTGATGTTGTGCGAGAAGATTAAGATCGGTGGATCTGAAGAATGGACTAAATATGTGAAGAAAAACGCATGTTAGTTGGTCAACAAAATGTGACGAGATGCCAACTCCAATCAAAGCAACAAAAAGCAATGAAAGGAATGACAAGTAACGTCGTGTATGATATGCGATACTTACAATGACTGAATGAGTCAGGTTGACGATGGAGGAATGTGGGAAGATCGGAAGTGGATACAGAGAGAAAAGAAGAAGATCAGATCAATATGTAGAAAGTGGGAGGCTTTTATTGTGAATGAATTTGAGTCTCGCGAGTTCATGTACTGTAGAGTAGAACACTGCCTAGTGGTGTCTTGTGTACGGTGACAAAGAAGTTGTACTCAGTGAATGAACAGGTAGTGCTGGTCGTGTTGTGCTGTGTTGTGCTATGCCGTGACAAGAGGTTGTACTTTGTGAATGAACAAGCAGTGCTGGTAGTGCTGTGCTGTGACAAGAGACTGCTTGATACGAGCCAACCAGGAATGGATTTTGACCAAATTCTCATTCGCATGCCTTGTGTATGCAGAGGCGATGTAACTTCTTTCTTGGATGGACGTGCGATGGTGGTGGTGATGGCGCTGTGTGCAATTTTTGGTGGGTATGAGCCAGCTGGATAATGATCTTGATCTTGCAAGAATCATGCAGTAGCCGAAACTGTTGCTGTTGCTGCTGCAGCAGCTGCACCGCTGCCGCCCGTCACGTCGTCCTCGTCCTCGTCCAAGCGAGGCTTTTTGGTGGTGGTGGTGGTGGTGGGATCGGCATCATCGCCGCCCTCTCTCTTGTCATCGTCATCGTCCTCCTCTTCCTCTTCCACCGCCCTCTTCTCCTCTCCGGCCTTCTTGGCCCCTTTCCCCTTCCCTCCCCTCTTCCTCTTCACTCCCACTCTCTCCCTCCCATCTCCCCTAATCGTGAGGCCGAGCGGCCGCGCCATGCGAGAAACTCTCGCATGCCTGAGTGGGACCTGATTAGCGTTTGCATCTCACAGGGGTGCTGCAAAAGGAGAGGCTTGATTGAGGGCCATGGTAGGTATAGGGGGTGACGTTGTACTTACAAGGCCGTTGCCTCCACCCCAGGGTAGTTGTTGGCCTGCAGCCGCTGGTAATCAATCACCAGCGCTGGTTGCACTGCGGCCGCCAGACAAGCCAGAAGGAGTCTCAGATCAGCATCGCTGATATTGATTGGTTGTTGCGACATCTTGGTCGCTGTTGGTTATGAAGTTTGTGGTAGAGGTAAGGGTTCAGGTTGAGGACAGATCTGAGAACCAGATCTTTCACAACAGTGGTCGACAACGGTGCTAACTCGTCTCGGCGCCCTTGCAGCGAACGCTGGCTCGGCGAAACAACAAGCTGTGAGTCCATTGTTGCGCCCTGCCCATCTGGAGAGCAGGCCACTGATCTCGGCATCAAGCACTGATGACAATCGCTCCCGTTAAAACTGAGACAACGACCATGGCAGTCATTCTATCACTTACCGATGATAACAAAGCTTGTCTCGGGCTTGCAACTCATCGAACGAGTGCACGACAGCTTGGCCGTCAAAGAAAAATATTCAGATCGACGTTCAGATGATTATGGACAAACAGAATCAGAGTTGGGAGTTCACGGCGAACGTTGCCTACCATTCATGAGGCTGTATAGCGGCGAGATATATTGCCCTGAAGTATTAACAGATTGACGCCGCCCTCAGCTTCATCGATGCAGTTAGGGCAAACACCGTGGTTAACAAATGTCGAAAGCCTGAATGCCCATCTGCGCTTCAATACGAGACAAGATTCAACCGTGCCTGATCTACCTTTAGAACATACAGCAGTTGCGGTGTTGCAGATTATAGGTAAGCCGTTGATCTACAGCGGAGCTTTCCTGAGCATCAGATGGTAAGCAATCAAGAGTAAACCTACAGACACATCTTTTTCATCTTCCGTGCCAAAGTCGGTACATCGTACACGATTGGATAACATGAGCTCTGCCATGCCGGATAATCTCTGGGAGAGACAGAACATTCGACTTCGGTACTGCGGGCTGCGATCCGGATGCAGCGCGGCTGCCACAGCTTGAAAGTCTTATGAAACCCAGTGCATTATTCATCATCAGTGATGGAAAGCTCTGTGGCTCGGCGCGATTTTCCTCTGGTAAGAACCTTTGCAGGGCGTTCTAAAAATGACCCATTTCGGGAGCTGGCCATCACGGTATTGAGACAGGTCGCATGGAGTTTGGTTTGACAGTACGCGAACGTCAAACCAGCACATGACTGTATGGGAAAAGATGAGATGTATGGAAAGATTTCGGAGTGGTGTGACAATTTCTCGATGTTGAGCGCGGCAGAACTGGTAGAGAATCTGGAAGGCTGGGATTCTGGCAAGCTCACCCCTGTCTGAAAACTCGTGGGTTGTTGGGTGCCCTGGTGGTCCGTGGGGCCCCTCGGCCGTGCGCGCGGCCTTGCCCAAAAGATTTTCTCGACTTTCCGTAAGGTGACGGTTTGGTGGCTTTCGGGACCTCGCCTATTCTCGCTAGTGAGTTTCTTTCCACGTGGATGCATCGGAGACCCCGGGTCTTGTGGCTCTCAGGACAAAGTTGGGTGGGAATTTGGAAAAAGCCCCAATCAGTGGTTGACCCAGACGCATTCCACTCTGACAGTCTGGCACACGAGTGATGGATGACGCCGCCGCCAGGATGACAGCACCCGGTGCTGTAGGTCCAAAGTCAAATCAAAGACTGCCGGGTCCAGAATTGATGAGAAGTCAAATCGGTTCTAGACCTGGCTTTTTATTCTTCCCTTATTATCGGTATTCTGGGCTACGATCAATGCAAAGCCATACCGTACCTAACGACGCCTCGGCCTTGAACGGATGCGATCCAAAAGTCCCAATGCGAGTGGTGCTTTGGCTCCTTTCTCCTTCCGTTTCCAGGAACCTCAAAATCGGTCCCTCCAGTTCCCACTTGCGTACCATGGTGCTGGAACCGTTCACTCCACGTGGCATCATTTGCTCCATGTGGCTGTCAATGCTCCTGACTAAAGTGCGCTGTGGTTCGTAGATGGCTCTACAGTGTCCATGTGGCATCAGTGTCACTTGTCCCTGGGTGCATCACCAGCAAAATAAGTCTAGTGTGATTGCTTTTTGACATGAATTCATCTGATCAACGTAATGTACATTCTATCCGATCTTCTGTTCTGTTCGTTCCGTTTTGTCACCGCTCGCTAGAAAAATCCAAAGTATTGTACAAATCTCCCGCATTTGGAAGTCACCCTGCCTGCCTAGCCACCGTTCATCTCCTTGCGGTTTCGCCCAAGCCCCCCCGTCATCATCCGACGTTGACGGTTTCGTAACAAACGACGTGGCCGAACACCACAACGGCTGAACATGTGGTCTTGCTTCAGCCGGGAAAGATGGGAATCTCATTGACCCAACGCGTCTTTACCAATGATAATTCACGTTCAGGGCCTCCTGTCCAAACTGTGGCATGAGAAGTCTGTGCATAAAAGGGGTATCAGGGCGTCAGTCATTGGTGCTCACAGGCACAAGATGAGATCAACAAAACCCAGGTAGATGGCTGGAGACCGCGTTACAGAAATAATGGGACCGTGGCATAGCTCTTCGCCAGGCTTTTTCCCTAGATTGGGATGTCGATTTGTTGTAGATGTATTGAAAAAGTAAATGTTTTCGCCTCAAAATGCTTCGGAAAAATCTCGTTAGGCTGCCTTTGGACTGGTTCCTGGCAAATTGGAGGCTGATCCTCCGTGGCAACCCTTCTCGTGCCTTTTCATGTTGCTCCGTACACTGAAATATTTTCCACAACCCTCATGTTTACATTTGTACGGCTTTTCTCCAGTGTGAGAATATGTATGAATCTTGAGTGAACTGGGTCGTGAAAATGGCTTGTTACAGGTGGGACATATATATCGTTCTTGTGTTTGTGGATAAGCTGGAGGGTTTGCGGGTGGATAGTAATGATGATGCTGCCATGTTGGCGTTATTCGTGTTTCTATGGGTGGTAATCCTGGAGCAGCCAGGGGAGGGGGAAAATCCATCGGAAGTGGCCGCTGATGAGCAAGCCCTTTGTAGTTCGGAGCATCGCGTGGGACATCGATATAGCTACTTGGAGGCGGTCTGCTTAGGTGATCTTGCATGTTTTCTGTAGCCTGACGAGTCAGATGCACTGGAGACCAGTGATGAGAATTATCAGAGACCGGTGAGTATGTCGTCGAACCATTAGGATTCGATGGATATGTAGACGGTCGTTGTGTATAAATCTCTGGATTTGTGCTTGACGAAACGGCAGGGTAATAATTGCTGCGACCAGACACGGTCGATGGTGAAACATTTGTAGATGTTGGCCTTGGGAAGTCGAAGCTCGAGGCTGGTGGCAGTTCCGGAGTAGGTGGGGGCAAGTTTCGTGGGCTTTCTGATACCCGCGGTTTGTCAGGGCTTATTCTGTTACCCAGTGAGCCTGTAGATACTCTTCGAGAGGTGTCGAATTGAGAAGAGGGGTCGTTTCCTGAAACATGTTAGTCAACCCATTATAGAAGATCGAACCATGGCAACGAAATCATACTCTTGTCAGGTGGCTCAGTGACGGCAGATATGAGACTCGAGATCGAGGGCAAGAAGGGCCTTGTCTTTGTTTCTTGCTCCATTCTAGTAGTCGCTAATGAGAGACTTGGGAAAGGTAAAGGGTTGTATAGAGTTCGATCCGCGTGGTGACTTGGAAGAAGCGCCAGTGCCATAGTAATTCTCAGACACCAGATTATGGCATGAATAAAAGTATCGAGATTCCCAGTTCAGTGCTTTCGTTCTGAGAAACAAATGATGCTACTCAATTCCGGTGAACGTAATGGCCTGGACGAAAATGGACGTGGCGATGATGTCGTGATCTGAAGTCGTGTCGTAGTCTCGGACCCTGATCAATAGAGACTGTGGCAGTTTCCAGGTCGAAGCAGGACGATGATGGGTCAAGAATAAGTTGGTGTAAGAATGGATGGCTTGCGAGGTGGTCAGTTGAAAGGGAGACGGACCGTTGGAAAGGGCGAATTGATGTAGAAGACCAGTAGGTTGTGGAGTCGTGTACAAGTCCTTGGATCCAGTGATCGAGTTGGAACTACGACCTTGGGTAAGAGTAGGACAGGCTCAATCAAGAGTGCCCTACGCTGACAGTTTACTGACGGTTGACCAGTGGTTCAAGGATCCGAGGTGGACAGTCACTCGGCGGGGGCTACCGGTTGAGAGCGGACTGGCTCTCGAACCGAGCAATCGAAAAGGAAGGATCGTCTAGATAAGTCCCAAGTGGTTGGCCAGCGCGTCAACTAGTAACCATTGACAAACTTGAATAAGAAGTGTAAAATGTGTGCCTGGCTGGCAGTTGAAGGGTGTACGATGTGCAGGCTTGGTGGGAGATCAAAAGTGGGCAGCAGATGAGTTAAAAGGCGCCGTCCGGCCGTTGGCAGTACGGTAGCGGCAGGGCTAGCACACTGGTCGAGTAAGTGGTTGCTGACGGGGTAGGTAGATCTTAGCCCTTTGGATGATGGCGAATGTTCATCCACTTATTAGGTGGGATTGTTGGATGGTGTGTTGTGCGGAGCGTGGAATCTACTGCAAGCCTCAGGCACTGGACTCCCAAATGCAGACAGGATGTCAGACACCAAAGATGTCTACCAGAAGCTACTGTGCTCGTCGGTAGTAAGTCGACAGTGGATATCCGTACTAGGAGAGTATGTTACCATACCCTGTATGAATAGCTATCTTGCCGTGTGTTTGCGCCTGGTCTTGGCTGGGTGAAATGGATGGTCACTGACCAGGCGAGCTGGGCTTGAAGCGACTAGACTCCCTAGCATGTGTTAGCAGAGATGTAGCTTTGAAGACCACTTCGAGCATAGGGTTGAAGGAGTAATGCCGAAGTGGGAGTAACGACAGGAAAAGTAAGTGCAGGGGCCAGTGCGGGTTATACTTGATGTCCAAGTGACGGTGTTGGCTTCGTCTGGTAATAACCGAGACTGACAGAGAGGACGACGCGACTCACAGTGACCCAATTAGTGGGCAATCCAGGTTCCAAGCGAGAAGATGCACGGACAATTGGCTTTACGGGGTCGGCAGAGGCCGTGGTTGGCCAATTCCATGCAGTGATAGCGACGCCGTAATTTCTTTCGAGAATTCTTGCCGGGTGTCACTTGTTGCGGATCGCTTGACCCTGAGCGTCCTGGTC